GATTAATTATAGCCAAAAGGAAAATTTACGGCATTTTTAAATTTTTCTCCTTCGAATCTTTGATGAACACTTACATTAGCTCGCATGCTGGTACTGAAGAGCTAAAGTAATTAAAATATATTATATCCTTACAACTTTTAAATCAATTTACTGACCGTGAACCTTGCTTTATAAATCTTCAGGACAGAAAAAAACACTCAAAATTGAAAAATAACAAGAAAATTTTCCACGTTGAAAACAACACGCGAAATGGGCCACCAAATGGCGTGGGAGGCGCTTGAAATTCGACACGATTTTGTTCGGCACAGCAGCAAATTGCCTTTCTTTTTTGGAGCAGAGCTAGTTGTTTTTCTTAGATAAAACTCTTCCCAACCCATGGTTATACTCAAATTCACCGACCGGGCTTGTCACGAAAATGGGTCCTGGAACGACTGGCAAAAGAGAGGACGAGAATGAGGAAAAGTACGCTAAAACAAGGCTTTTTTTTCGATGAAAGCTAGGGAAAACTGGATATTTTTCTTTTCAAAAAACACGATTGATATCTATAGTGTCCCGTTCCTCATTTCAGCTTCTTTTTAAAAATGATCAGAAGCTTATCGTCAAGCACCTTGCGGCAAAGATACTGTGAAAAAGGCGCTTTTCCCATGTCATTTTTTGCGTCAAGATATCTTTTACGCTTTCCGAAACTAATTTTCCATTAAATTGAACATTTTTTTAACGAGTACAAAAAAAAAATTAGTGAACGATATGCAGTCAGAAAGGACGGATTTGATCCAACAAAAGGAAAAAATGAGGCAAGGTCGGTGAGTTGAAGTAAAAGCGTTCGGGTCCGCAACAACTTTTTTTTATCCGCCCGCTTTGTCCACTCAAAGATGCATGAGCTGACACCTCTCGAGGTCGTACAAATTTCCCATAAATCTACGGACCAACCAAACATCCTTCTTCTATTTTAAATCTCAATGCCGTTTTTCCATTTCAGAAAAAAAAAGAAACTTATCAGATGACTTCTGATTTCAAACGTTCGGGTACTTTCTATTCTTTATTTATTCATCGAAGAATAATTTTTCTTTTCATTCCTCTATATTAACCCTGAAAAACTGATTTTCCGGTTCGAAAAACGAAAAAAGAAACGAATCAAACAAAACCCAAAACTTTAGAATTCTAGACTTTCATGTCTTCTGTTCATTCACTCACTTTTTGAAGGCTTATCTCATCCTTTACCGTTTTTCTACGACCGGATAAAGTTTGAACAGTCGGTGGAGACATGTCAGACTTTTTCGATTCATGCCTAATGGAGTATATTATTTATTTTGAATTAATTATTTTTTCGGATTTTTCCAGTTATCCGTCCTAAATATAGGGTCCGCAAGCCATTTCTTCAGAACGATTCAAAAAATATGTTTTTCACATTGTTCGATAGAGGAGACTGTCCATTTTCATAATCCGTTTAGTTTTTGAAAAAAGCTTCACTAAGAAAAAAGTTATGGCCAAAAAACTAGCGCGCTCGGCGTTCAACTGGAGGCGAAATCTCACGGTTTACCCGCTGCCGCACGCTTTCTTTTTAAATGTTTTTGCGCATTTCTGAACCGTTTTCGAATCGGCTTTCTGTTCTGAGAGGTTGTCCGAACTGCGCTTCATGTTTTGGTATGAATCTTTTGTACAATCCTCATAAGAATTTTTGATAAAATATCAAAAAACTAGCTAGAAAAAAGGTCAAAGGGATTTTTCAGCTTATTTTTCTTTTTTCTACTCAGAAAAATTATTATCATTCGATTTGGAAAAAAGAAAAAAATGAAAAATAATGTTATTTCGAAATAAAACAGGAAAAAAAGTGCAATTTGATTCCGAAAAAAACGGCTCCTGCAACATTTAAAAGTGCGCATCGGTGTGTTTGACGCAAACACAGCTACGAACGCTTGCACGAATTCTTCCAAAATTTCAAAAATTGCCATTTTTTTCGAGGTTTTCAAAGCCGTTATTTTTTTTCGCGTCGTTAGATTTTTTTCATAATTTTTTTTCATTGATAGAGTTTTTGAACGCTTAATAACCTGATCAAAAAGTATAGACGCGATCCTATTCTCTCATGCGTCAACGAGGCAGACGAAAAAAAGGAGGTTTTGGTAAAAATTCAAATATAATTTAATTCGCTGTCCCAATAATTATTTTCATTCTGAATTTTTTTATTTTTTTGAACACATTGTGAGCTTTTTTTAATCAAATAAAAAAAGTATACCTTGTCGCTGAAATTTTTTTTCGCATTTCAGCTTCAAAGTTTGGTGTCACTTTACAAGCTTTTAATATTTTTTTCGCGTCGTTAGATTTTTTTAAAAATTTTTTTACTCGAAAAAAATAAAGAAAGTGTTAATATATAATATACTCAAAATTTAGAAGCGTTCCTCACTTGGTTTTCTGAAACGCGACGATTTTTATGAAACTTGTCAGTTTTTTTCGTGTGAAATCTTACTTTTTCGCTTATTTTTGAAAAATACATAGTTTTAAAAATATTCAGTCTTGTAGAGCGTTGTCGATTACATAGATTAAGAGAAACAGTTAATTTTTAAAGTGGGACTTTAGCTAGTATAAACGTCTCAAAACCGTTTTTGCAACAAAAAAATCGTCATTTTGGTGGCGTGAAGGGGCGGGGCTTTGCGCCCCCTACCTAAATATACAGTACTGGCCATAAAGGTATTTCAAAGTGGTTATTCGAGCATAACTTCTCTGAAAGTGGCTCAAATGACTTGAAACTTTGCAAAAATTTCAAATAGCTACGCAGTAACTTTTTCTCAAAAAAAAACACTTGTTTGCTCAAGTCAGACCGGATTTGAGAGCAAAAACCAAAAAAATCGTGAAAAATCAAGATTTTTTTCTCTTGAGATTCGAAAAAAATCATATCTTCAAAGAAACTTCGTTTTTCGAACCAGAAACTTTTTTTCCCCCAGTAAAACAAGTCTTCGGCTTTCCAAAAAAACCTAATCAGCCCCTCACCAACCCGATAGTAAGAGCGTAGTGACTTTTTCTTCGGAAGGCCTTTGCGTTTTGACGCCTCGTCATTCAGATGGACTATACGAGGTCATTTTTGTTTGAGGACACCCTGTATCATGTTGAAAAACTTTGAAACACCCTCAAAAAAAGTTTAACACTGATTTCTTAAGCTTTCTCACTTTATCTGCTCTCCAGAACTCACTAACTTCACTAGGACCGATTTTGAAACCTCTGATTTGAACAGTTTTTCTGGACTTTCGGGCGTTCAAAATAGTTTTTATCTGGTCAATCGCTTTTAAATCGTGAATTTGAAAATAATTAATGGCTAAATTTCAGGCTCCTACATCCTGAAGACTGCTAAATTTTTTGCTGAAGCATTAGTTTCACAAGATCAAAAACTTATTTTCCCATAAAGTTTAAAGAAACTTTTTACAGTGCCTATCTTTGATCTGAGAGCTAGAAAAAGGAGTTACAAACTTATCTCATGATCTAAAACAATTAAAAATATGAAAAAAGGGGTTTTTATCATCTTCCACAAGATTTGGAGCCCTCTAAGCAACACTTGCTGAAACGAAGTTTTGAGAACTTTAAGAAACTCATTATAACTCACTATATCTTTTGAGTAAGTAAGCAAAACACAGTGGGTCTTCTTTTATTTTTATTCATCGAGGTTCTAAAGAAGCTCTGAAATCTGAAATGAGAAATCGAGAATGTTCTGATTTTGAAAAAGGAGCATAACCGCTTCAAATCAGAGGTTTCAAAAACGGTCCTAGTGAAGTTAGTGAGTTCTGGAGAGCAGATAAAGTGAGAAAGCTTAAGAAATCAGTGTTAAACTTTTTTTGAGGGTGTTTCGAAGTTTTTCAACATGATACAGGGTGTCCTCAAACAAAAATGACCTCGTATAGTCCATCTGAATGACGAGGCGTCAAAACGCAAAGGCCTTCCGAAGAAAAAGTCACTACGCTCTTACTATCGGGTTGGTGAGGGGCTGATTAGGTTTTTTGGAAAGCCGAAGACTTGTTTTACTGGGGAAAAAAGTTTCTGGTTCGAAAACGAAGTTTCTTTGAAGATATGATTTTTCGAATCTCAAGAGAAAAATCTTGATTTTCACGATTTTTGGTTTTTTGCTCTCAAATTCGGTCTGACTTGAGCAAACAAGTGTTTTTTTTTTGGGAAAAAGTTACTGCGTAGCTATTTGAAATTTTTGCAAAGTTTCAAGTCATTTGAGCCACTTTCAGAGAAGTTATGCTCGAATAACCACTTTGAAATACCTTTATGGCCAGTACTGTATAATCTTTTTTTCTGAGTCCGTAGAAGATCCAGGAGCTTTTGAAACCAAAGAAAAAGTAAAATGTGTTGAAATCGCCTAGTGAACATCTTCATACCATCCCAATGTTGCAAAAATAAAGTGGTTGATTGATGAAAAAGAGGCAAAAGATGGTCAAAGGAGTTTGTTCTCTGTGAGCTCAACATCCATTTCATCGAAATTTTTAAGAGTAATTTTCGAAGACTGTTTTTAATTAATCAAAAGTTTTCATTAAAAAAAAGTTGAATTTTTTGCCTTAAAACAAAGCTAAACATAGAAATTTCTCAGAAAAAATGTCTAGCCAGGAGACCAGTAACTTCAAAGAAGGAAAAAATTCATTTCGCCTCCCTCTGCATATTTTATGACCATGTACATAAAATGAATGTTGCTTCTTCTTCCCTAGTACTTTTTGACTTTGGAAAAAAAAAAGTTTGCGATATCGTAGGAGGGACATCTGTTTTGAACAAGTTGAAAATGCAATAAAACGCACATTCCAGTGGTTGTAACAGGAAGGAAAAAACTGAAGCATATTTTTCTTTGCAATAATGGAAAAAAAAATGCAAATTTAAAAATTAATTACATTATTGTACTGTTCGGCCTAAAAGTTGAAAGAGGCTTGTAATAGCCTCAAAAGGATATATCTGGAAAAAAACAAATTCAATTCAAATTCTTTTTTTCCGCAGAGCACACTTTAACAGATTAACTGAAAAGGTTACAGTGTGCTCTACGGAAAATTTCTCCTGATGAGATTTTTAGATTGAATCCATATGAAGAAATGATAAATTGAGATCCGCAAATTTTTTCATGGTACATTTAAGATCCTGAATATATTAAAGTTCTAAAAAAAGGCAATTTTTCTAGAAAAAGAGTTTTTATGAAATAGAGGTCGTCGAGGCACAACTGATAAACTACATTCCAAAACTATGTAAGTTCTTCTCTGAAATATCTTAGATATTATTTTACCACAGAACTTGAAATCTCCCACATGAAAAATCAAAGTCAACAAGTCGAAAAAGTGGAGTAGAAGCAGCGGGGTTACCTCGACAGGCTTGGCTAGCGCCGATTGGGCCGGCGGCGCTATGCGAATACTGTCGTACTGGGAGAAATGTCGCGGCAGAGGCGTCATTGGCGTCTCGTTGTGTCGCGACGACGACGCCGCCGACGACAGCTCCATCGCCGAGGAGCTCTTCAGAAGCTCGAAAGAGTACTGGTCGCGCTTCATCCGACGAGGCATGATCCTTCGGAGGACGTCCATTTTGCGGTCAAATCTGCTGTTCCATTTTTGGTTGACGTGGGAGAAAAGGCGAGAGCAAGAAAACACGGTGAAAAAATAAGAAACAAAGGAGTGAAAATACAAGGCCCTAGAGTTTGAGAAGCAAGATGGTTAACTCTTCTTTAAGCTCTTCAATTCCCCTTATGATGCCTCACATGACGTACATGAATGTCTCAACCTACAAAGCGCTGTCTTTTTCGAGATAATGCCGTTTTAAAATAAAGGAAACCATCAAAAGCCGCCCAAACTGTCCATTTTGAAACTTTCAGCATCATTTACTCGAAAACTAGGAAGTTGTGTAGGTTGAGACTTCGAGGACCTCTATTTGGTATGTCAATAAATTCTCACAACATTCAAGAACTCAAAGTTAAATTACGTTTCTTGTCAGCCTTTTCAATAAAAAGAGGGACTTTCAAATTTTTCTGGAACTCACCAGAAAGACCCATCAATATAATCGAGTCCGTTCGGTCGCTTTCCGCGCAAATTTCCAAATCGCACATATGAATTTTCAAAAGGCCCACTTTCCTTGAAATGTCACTACGTGTAACAATAAAAAAACATTGCAAATTAATGTCTGCGAAACGGGATATTTGTCCAAAAATGACCGAAAACATGCGCCTAACAATAATATACCTTTAAAAAAATGGAAATGGGGAAAAGAAAAGAGAACTCACGATTCTTTCTAATGAAACTCTGCGTTAAAATTTTGATTCATGAACTGTTAAAAAATTATGAATTCTGGGATTGTTTTGGCGGTGAAATAAAAATGCGATTTGCTGCGAAAGTAAGAAAGTTTGGTGCGATATCAAGTAGAGAAACCAGATAAAAACGATAACTCTGGCTCAAACCCTATGGGAAGAAAGTTCGTTTGAAAGAACATTTTTAATCTCTTCCGTTTTACTAATAACCTGTACTGGTGAGTAAAATTTAACTTTATAGCTGTCCGGATCTCTGGAACACAAAATGAAATGTATTCTAAGCTTTAGAAAAAAATGATTTTACTCATGTCGCGCATTTTTTTCCAAGAAAAAAAGAGATTCATTGAATTATCTAATAAATTTTGAAGCTAAAAAAATTCATTTCTAAAAAAATAATAAATTTCTGTTTGGAACTTCGAAAAAAATGAAACTTGAGAAGATCGAAAACAACAGAGCTTCTGAAAGTTTTTAAAAGCTCAGTTTTCTTTTTTTTTCAGTAGGCTAAAAAACTAAAAAAACTTTAGAAAAAGACAAAAAAAGAGAGAAAAAGCCAAGAGCGGTGGAAAAAAATCTTCCGAATATTCCCTGGGGAAAAAAAGTTGAGGCGGAAAAACACGTATCAGTTTTTAACGAAAAGAGCTGTGCAAAGAGAAAAAAAGAAGAAAAATTTTATCCTGAATGGCTCAAAAAACGTTGAAACATGGCTACCACCTTTAAATCTTTGAAAAAATATTATATATGATCGTAAATAACTTGTTTTATGGGAGAACTACATTTTTATCTCTTTGACGTTTCAAAAAATTAAGATCGGAAAATCCTTTCAAAACAGTTTCTCAATTGAAAGCTTCCAGCCGAGCAAAACTTAGGAAGAACTCAAAGCTTTTGTTTTTTACTAGTGCTTTTTAATAAGTTCAGCGGAAATTAGACCATAAAGAGCCATTTTCATTCAAAATTGAGTTTGGATTGATAAATTCACGGAGATTCTAAAACTCGAAATATAAACTTGTGCCGAATCTCCGAATAACTCTAATTTCAGCGGTAAAAGGCGATTCGAATCTGGCCACTGAGAAAAATAAAAAATAAAAGATTGTGTTTCACTGCAATTTCTCAAAGGAATAACGACAATTTCAAGGAAAACAGCAAAATTTCGATCAAGAACCTCAAAAACAAGGCTGAAAAAAAAGGCAAGAGTGAAATCCAATACAAAGCGTGTACTCGACATCAGTCTTTGAACGGAAATTGGAGACTTGATCGCGAGGCTTTTGAAGTTTTTTCGCAAGCCAAAATCGAAGTGCACGAGGAGAACTATATCGAAAGCACGAAGGAAGAAGGAAGAAATAGAAGAACTAATCCGGAGCGTATGTTATGGCGGCAAAGTTATAGCGCGACGGAATCGACACTGACAAAACGGAGGCCAAGACGAGTTGGAAGGGCGAAAAAAAAGAAAAAGGAGGAGAAGGCGGAGAGGAGGAGAAACAACGGAAAGAAGCCAAGTTTTTCTCGAGAAAAAAGGAAAGAAAAAATGGAACCGAAGCAGATGACAATTTGGAAAGAACCACTGGTGGCTTTGTTCATCCCGCAGCAAAATGGCCACTTTTCCGATTTTGACTTGCATAAATCTTGATTTTGTAGGCGTTTTGACACAAAACCGTTGGCACTACAAATTCAAGTTACTTTTTTTGAACTCATATTTTCATCACAACAACTACAAAAGTTCATGAAACTTATAGTTGAAGTTTTGACAGACTCCGCCGCTTTTGAATATTAATCCAACCAGAAAAAAAAAATCGGTTCTTTCCGCCGGGTTATTCCCGCCTAATAGGGGGTTCTTCTTGGCTAAGAACCTCGAAAACTAAAAAAAGATTGCACGACTTCTGACGAAAATTAAATTTTTTTTCGGTGTAAAAAAATATTCAAAAAAAGTTTATACAGCAAAAAATGTTCAATTTGCCACTGGCTTTCGTTTAAAAGAAGTTTCACCTGATTAAAACACGAAGAAAAAAGTTAGACTTTTTTCGTATTTTGACTACAGTAATCCTCGAAAGAGAGTCTGTCAAAAGCTCAACTAAAAGTTTTAAAGGCTTGCGTATTTTTTTTTTGATTAAAAAAGCAACCGGGGTTTTGGTGCCCCACTGTTTGACTCACAGATTCTCTCGGAAAAGGCGTGTTGAGAGAAGAATTTCGAGCAAATCCTTCAAGCCCAAATACTTAGAAAATAGGCCGTATAAGTAGTCCTTTCTGCGTTTGTCTAGCTCGGTAGCGGAATCCGCTATTCTCCTTCGAAGACTCTCCTAACTAATTTTTTTCTCTTGCGGTTTCTTGATACCAGAAAAAAATAAAAACAAGACTGGTTTTTATGAAAAAACGACGAGACTTCTTGATAAACTTTCCTTCTGTTCAAAGCTTTTTGGTGCTTTTGCTCATCAGAGAAATTTTCTGAGCTCATCTAAAACTAGCCGGGATAATTGAGCCGATTCAATGACCGAGCGTCCTTCAAAACTTCAAATAGATGAGCGTTTGCGAGTAGATAATTCTTGTCACGTGTCTTCTTGCTTCTATTCTACAACGCTTACTTCTCGCTGTTAGAAAGCAAAAGATAGCGAAAAACTCTCTATTCCAACGATAAAAGTGAGTTATCTCCGTACGATAATACCTTCAGAATGAATCATTCGGCTCTTAGGAAGATTGATCAATTCTTCCCATTAAATTCTTATGCAAAATGCAGTTTTGAGCTTTTTTTTTCATGCAAATAGTACCTAAATCTAGATGATTGACACCACAAAGATATATGAAAGTTATGAATTCCGTTCTTTTCTTTGTAGTTCTCCTCGATGCAAAGCAGAAATAAAATTATTCCACGGAAATTATTCCATATTTTTTCTATGGACCATAGGAAAAAAAACCTTAGTGACGTCAAAGTTTGGAAAGCGAAAACAGATTACCAAAACTTCCTTTTTTTTTGACACAGGCAGAAAATAATGATAATAAAATGCATACAGAACCGAAAATAAAATTCTACTTTGAACTTGGTATTCGTAAATCCGAGAGTCACCGAAACTCCATGTAAGTAAGTGAATAAAGATGCCCTTTTTTCTTCTTTTCGGGACGACCGTGGGGGTAATTTAATAGTTTTTTCTTTGCTTCGTTTTCCGTTTCCAAGGCTTTTGGAGCCTCTCCCATTCGGTAACATTATTACCAGAACGATACATTTTTTTAGAATCAAAGTATCAATTATTTCTATCTTTGATTTTCAAGTTAAAAAAATTTATATTTAAAAATGTTATATACGGGTTTTTTTCTAACAGAATCTCGTCACTAAAAAAAGGAATTTTAAATCTGAAAGCTCCTTTTTCCCAGTTTAAATTTTAACTTTCAGAAAGGACAGACAAATTTTTTTCAGCGGTTTTTAGAAGGTATAAAAAAATTCTGAACAAAAAGTTATATTTTTTTACGACTTCTATTCGAAATTTTAGGATAAAAAAATGGAGTATTTCGCGGTGTAACTTCAATAACTACATCTTAACTCTCATACTTTCAAAATCTGAATCCCTGAATTACACAAAAATTTTTTTCGTTAATTCAAAACTTCATCTTTTTCGCAAATTTTCCTTGATTTTTTTTCTCGATATTTTGACTTTTTCTTTCTTGCTCAAAAAACTTTTTTTTCCAGTCTTGAAATAACTTTAATCACAAATAAGAACCCCGATTCAATGAAAAACATTTTTTTTGCGATTTTTCTTGTTTTTTTCATTTGTTTTTTTCTCACAAAGGTCACTTTCTTAAAAAAATCGATCAAAATATGAAGATTTCCGTCATTGTTATTCGTGAATAGTGCTAAGCCAAAAACAAACTCGATATTCTTGAGAAAAAACCTTCTAAACACGATTTCCTTATTAATTTCATCTGACGAAAAGAAATTGAAAAAAATGTATGAAAAAAGTGATACCTGATAAAAAAGATTACGAGAACTGCTCGGCTGCGCCCAAAGCCCATCCATAATTTGTATCTGAAAATCAGATTTCCAATTAGAAATTCATTTTCAAGAGGGAAAAGAAAAGAAAAAAGAATAATTGCTCAGCTTCTGCTCGAGAAACACTGCAAAGTGATTATGTACGAACAGTTGAAGCTTCAAAAACAAAAGAAAATGGGAAAAAAAAACGCTTAGCAACCATTGTTTCGAACTTTCCAAATGAGGTTTGGAATTCCATAGATTTTTTCCAAGTTTCAAGTGTGAAAAATCAGCTTTACCCCTAAAGTAACTCTATTGAATGAAAACTTATGTGAAAGGTTATAGCCTAGCTTCTCAATGTTCTAATTGGTTCACCACGTAGTGAAAAACCAAAAAATTTCGAGTATTAAATCTAAGAAATTTACCTATGATTTTGCAAGTCACAAATTAATCTGAAGTGATCACAGCGTTGAAAATTTCATTGAAGAGCTTTTCTGCAATTTTTTGTGGAGTCTAGCCTAATGAAAATGTCACAGAAAAGATTCTCAAAATCAAAATTTCAGTAAATTCTCTGAAACAGCATGGAAAAATTTTCAGCGACTTTTTAAAGTCAGCTGCGGATAAATTCCGTTCAACAAACTTTTTCAAAAGCAAAGTTGATACGAAAAAAACATGAAATAAACTGGAATCGATAAGGTCTGACGTTTCGTTTTCCCTTCTCATTCCATGACATTTCTGAAACGCGAGAATGTCTTTGCAACAAATTGACAAAGTACTTTTCAGAAAAAAGCCCTGGAATTTGATGGGAAAAAGAGCTGTGGTCATATTCTTGCCCGCATTTTGTGAAGGGGTGTTTGATCGACCACTGTTAATATTTTATTTGTTGTTCGTGTTTCACGTGAATTTTTTGTAGACTAGCAAAACATTATTTTAAATTTAATACAAAAATACAGGATCTAAAATAGAAGATTGTGAGAATTTTAACTTTTTTCGGTACTTTTTGATTTTTCAACTTTTACTCAACACTACGAGAAAAAACAAATTAGTGAAATAAGAAAAATTTAATTTCTTTGATGGTTTCATTGAGTAAAAAAAAAATGGATTGAGTAGGAATTGTCCATAAAAACCTTCTATTTCCCATGGTACCTCACCATTTGTTAGATATTATAATTTTTTCTACAATGAAAAAGCAAAAAAAAGAACGGGACAAAAGAAAATTATCTGACTGCTTTTAAAACACAGAACGAACGAGGAAAAGCTCATAAAAAAGGGTAAAGATGAAAAGAAAAAGATGTACTTTTACTTTCAATATTATCCTCGAGTTTGTAAATCCCATTGATTGGCAAGTTTGGAAGAAAAAAAGGAGATTTCGAGGAAAACAAAAGAAAGATTTTAAGCAAAGATAGGACAAATGCTTCTGCTTGTTTAGTGGATTTTGGGTTTGAAAAGAAAAAAAAAATCGGAAGCCGATCCAAAGATCGTTTGCGGAAAAAATTTCATTCATGTCTTCAATGAATTAAAAATATTCAAATAAACAAATTTTTTTAAAAACTGTGAGTTCTTACCAAGACCCACAACAATCCAAGACAGCTGTCAAGAAACCGGGTGGAAAAATCCCAAAAAAATTTGAGGTTTTCCGAAAAAAACCTATGCTTTCTTTTTCTTCGAGCCTATTACCAAGCATTTAAATAAACTTCCAACCGAAAGTATTGCAAAAATAATGAACTATGAAAAACAGAAGCTATGAGTTCTAATGAAAAGCTTCCAAATACTCTTTTTTCTCTTTTTTTTTTTCTTCGTAAAGCTGGACTTGGCCACTAAAACACAAATCTCAGGCTAATTCTTTCGAAAAAGCGGAAAAGAACGATTTCTGAGTATGAGTAGGGGAAAAAGGAGAGAAAGAGAGGCTCAACTTTTAGTGTCGACCGGCTGGACGGAAGCATGTTCAAAAATGGCCTGGAAATGGGAAAAGGCCGGCCAATCGTACATTTCTAATTAGTCTTGCCTCCTTCTGAAGATAGATTGTCCCTTCTAGACAAAGAAAATGAGAAAACAAACTTCGAACTTTGTAGTTTCTGTCTGAAAGTTCGTAAATTTATTAAAATGGGGAAAATTTTTTTTTTCCAAAGGGCGGATTTGAGGTGCATGAAATATTTTATTAAAGTTATCGAGAGGCGAAAAGTGGTTCACGTAAGAATTTTGCACCTTTGAAAAAACCTAAAAATCTATTTGGACAAAACTGTGAAAATTTTCAGAAAAAAAAAAGAAAAATCGAAAAGCGTGGCATTTTTCCATATTTCGTGCAGCCAAGGTCGTTTCAATAAAAAATTCTGGCAAAATTGCGTGCAAAATTGGAGAGGCTTCATGTGACACATAAAACACGGCATGGGAATGATGAAGGTATTAAAATGGCCTCGAAGATTTTATTTTTCTACCCTTATATCCGGCTCACCACGAGCCGGGGCTTCTCAGAAATAATCTTTAAAAGATTTGAGTATTAAAAGTTTCAGCTAGACGATTTGGAATTGAAACGCAAGAAAAAAAGCCAGTTGATAGTCAAATTTGACAGCTTTTGTTACATTCTGGCGACAATTCATCAACTCAACAATAAGTCCCAGTGGAACGCCCGTCTCCGGCCATCTCTCCTAACTTTTTTTGTTCCGTTGATGTTAAACGTTGAGGCGAACAAAACTACATTCGAAATAAGTTCAAAAGATCGAGCTTCTTTTGAAAAAATTTTCACGTCGAGTTCAAAACGTTATTTCTAGAGAAAAACACGAAGAGAATGACGCCTCCGAAACGAGGTTTGTCTTCAAAATATTGTGAAGCTCACTTTAAAAAAGAAATATTTCAGAACGAAGCGTGGAAAAGGTGAAGGATCACTATTTGAAAATCGAAGAAAAACAGCTTAAGAAACAGTTCGAGTGAGCTCTTCAGAATATTCCTAAGATTTTAAAACTCTTTGAGGGAGAATAGGAGCCTCTGGAAAGAAAAGCCTAGGATTTAGAAGACGCGTAAACTGAACCAGAAACTTGATATTACTCGCAAAACACTCAAAATCAGTGATTAAAGAAGCAGGGCGAAGCTTATATAGTCTGTGTACCACGACTTGGAAATTCACGGAACGACATTCCGCTGTGCCGCGGCGCGCCTTTGCGAACCTTGGTCGCACTTTTAATTTTTTTTTTTTTTTTTCTTTGATCAAGGTACTCTACTTTCCTATGCTCCCACATGTGGCCACAGTAATAATAATCAATTGAAAGCGTGACTTAGATTGGAAAGACGCTGCAAAATTATCTCTGACTCTCGAGAATTTAGTTGTTTTTTTGTTTCTCTGACGGCTTTTTTGGATTTCACGGAATCTATTTTCGCATGGCATTATAATGATATAAGCAAGCCTGAAGAAGATAAATTCTGCTGTGCGCACGCGCACCAGAATTTTGTCTTTTCTTGGGGTGTCTTTTCTATTTTTTTAAGCTTTTTAACTGATTGAAAAGTTATAAATCTAATATTTTTCATGTCTATACTTCTCTGATTTGTGCTCTGCCACGGTGTTCCGCGCAATGAAAAAAAATGCGAAATTTTGGGTCCCAGCGGCATATTATCCGTGGCGCATTATTGCGCCCTTCTCATGGTTTCTGATGCAAAAAAATTGAATTTCTTCACTTTTTTTCATTGGTTTTTTTACTTTTTTTCTATTTCTTGCATTTATGTGATCTGCCTCTCTATGGGTACATCTTTGTGAAGCTTTTAAATTGCGCATTTTTTTCTAAACCGGTTTCAGATCTTTAACTTTTTTTTCTCAAAAAGAGCTGAAGATTTTTTTCTAAAAAGTCCTAATTTTTTTTCAAAAATTTTTGAAATCTGTTTCGCGACATGAAAAATAATCACTCTATTTCGGAAACTATAGTTTTTTTAATTTAATCAGTTAATAATAAAAAAAGTTATTATTTAGTTCCTTTGACGTAGTTTAAAAATCGGTTTCGCGTAAATTAGAGCCAAATTGAATTTGCTGATGCAGTTTAATGATTTTGATATATGCATCATCTAAATTATATTTTTTTCTAGTTTTTTTGATGGTTTCTCGGATTTAAACAAAAAAATTTCGCCATACGAGGTTTTTCTAAAAATTTCTGCTTTCTATCCATTATTTGTTTTTTTCTGAAGCTAGGTTTTCGAGGTATATAAAATGTTTTTCATTTGCTCCTCGAATTTTCCTCATTTCAATATTTTTTTCGTATTTATAAATGCTTATTCAACGGGAGCTGATTCATTTTCATAATATTTTTTTGTTTTTTTATTTTGTAATCATTAATTTAGAGTTTTCCCTTTTTCGAAATCGTTCCTAAATGTTTTTTTAACGTAAGTGAATGTTTTTTTCACATCATATCCTTCAAAATGACAAATTTCGAACATTTCAGGAGCTATTATCCTGAAATCGCAAATTCTAAAATTGAAAAAAGTATTTTGAGTATGCGATAGTGCGTCTCGGTGTGCTTACACCCTAAGCATCATAATTTACGAAAAGTCTTGACCTTGCGTAATGAAAAAAACACCGTGCTGCTCCAGTTTATAACAACTAGAACGCACAAAAATTTGAAATACCAAAATTTCCTTTGGCAATTTTTTTTTCATAAATTTGTTCGAAAGTGCTCCGAACAAATTTAAAACGTGAGCAGTTCTGGGTAATATTAAAAAAATGTGAAAAATATATCTCAAAACTGTATTCAAAAATTCAATGAAAAGACGAAAAAAGAAACAGTACCCCGCGCGTGCGCGCACCAGTGCCTGAGTTACTATATTTTGTTTTCTATTTAAATATATATTATCAGCCACTTTTTTTATGCTAATTTAGATTGCTTATCAAGTAAAAATTAGTATCGCAGAAAGAAACCTAGTTTCGGTTTGCGATTTAACTCGAAGTAAGATGTATTAAGCAGAAGCTCTTTCAAACGGGGAGTTTTGTTTTTCATTGGTTTTTCTTTTTTATACTTGCATTGTTTTGATTCGATAAATTAAAAAAATTTTTGCTTTTCAAAGTTATGCACTTTCCATAAAAAAATGAAAAAGATGGCAATCGTTCGAATATTACAGAAAATTAGCGAAATCCAGCAAGCCGCTGTTGGAGACCAAGTCGAAAATACTTAATTTCGTTGGATTGGTCGAAGACAGGAATCGCTGTTGTGTTCATGTTTCATTGACGAATAATTCAGATCAAGTAAGATATTTTTCGAATTGAAAAAATAGGAAAAGTGATCAAATTTTCAGATAATCGCCTACATTGTTCGCTGTCCAGAAAGTCCGTGTTTTTTTGTGAAACCCAAGGTTAGTATTATAAATGTATTGAATTTCCATACATTTTTTGAGTGAAGATCGGTGTCGTTTACCCTGAGGCGACGACTACTTTGTACTTCACATTTCGATCGAAATGTCACCGTGTACCTGATGATTATGCTTGGTTTTATACGGTGTATCAAATTGAAGTGAGCATAGTTATAAAAAAAAGCTCTTTTAAAACCGACTTGACAGTTAATTGTGAATTTTATTTCTTTTTTATAATCTTTTTAAAGCATCTAAAAGATAAAAGAAAGGTCTCACAAGTTGGTGGGGTGAACGCGCTAAGTCGTCAGTTTCGGAGCCAGGAAATTATTTTAATTTTTTTTTCTTTTTTTTTGCAATTTGATGAAAACCTGTTTCTCGAGGTTACAAGATGAGTTACGTCACAAAAAGTACACTCGTTTTCATTTTATTACCCATTAACCTAGCTTGATTACCGTAATACGACCAGCCGCCTTAAACTTGCGTTGGCACACTGTAGCGATATCTTTGTTAATAACGAGTTTTTTGTACGGAAAAATGAATTGAAAAAAAAAAACAAAACTAGAACATCAATGAATCAAATTAAGTTTTAACACTCAAGTTTTTGCAAACGCCAGCAAGTCTTAGAAAAAAGCCTAATTTGTGAAATTCAACTTAACATGTTAGTAAGCAAAACATTTTATGTATTTTTTCACCTATTAATGTCGAAAACAGCTTTTTTAACTATATTAAATAGAAATAGTGGCGAAAAAACGGTCAAGTGTGGCCAGTATAGACGGCGCAGTGCGAATCGAACGGGTCCCGGTAGGTCTGAACTGGTGGGAAATAATGCCAGCCGTGGAACGTCGGTTGAACGGCGGAGCAAAAATATGCAAACTCGGACTCTACAAGGAGCTTGCACCGTGCGAGCACTGATTTTGCACTTTTTTGTTGCACGGTGCATGTTGTCGTTTTGCACCTCGCAGTTTTGGGTCTTTTTCAGTGCGCATGAGGTGCAACACCGCACGGTGCTGACACTCCGAATCAGAAAATTGGGTATTCGAAATCCTGTCAATTCAGTCCATTTCTATCAGTTCTACATGTTATTTATAATTTTTTTTCCGTTTTAGTGATGGTTTTTTTCGTTAGAAAAGTCGGATGATGAAGAAAGAAAAGGCCTAAATTGAGTAGCAAAGCATGTTTAGTTTTGTGGTCCAGAGTGTCAGCACCGTGCGGTGTTGCACCTCATGCGCACTGAAAAAGACCCAAAATTGCGAGGTGCAAAACGACAATGTGCACCGTGCAACAAAAAAGTGCAAAATCAGTGCTCGCACCGTGCACGCTTCTTGTAGAGGAAAGGGTGGAAAAAGGCTTCATAGAAATGTTCCTTTTATGATGACGAAGGCTCCTTTTTTGCGCCATTTTCTCGGCCTTTTTGCACCATTTTTGCTGCCTCTTCCTTTCTTTACCATTTCTCGAGCCTTTAAAATCCCAGAAAAATGGGAAGCTCGATAAAAAGGCTTTTTTTGCTGCCTTTCTGCATCCTTTTTTGAGCATCTTCCTTTTAGCGGCCATTTTTCACCATTCCGACTTTGCTCGAGAAGAAGGTCAGCGGGTGAACAACAAGGCAAAAGCGCCTTAACGCGTCGTTCTAAATCGGGTCCACTATAGGTTCATCCGATTTTCACCCGATCTAACACGGCACACAGGCGAATCGGGATGGTACCATAATATGTCCACAAAGATACCTCTCAAAATGGATCGGGAAGACCCCAAAAAATGGATTGGGGAAGACCCCAAAAAAAAGTCCATCGTGAGAACTCCAGCATACCTTTAAGCTATATCTGAGCCATCTCGGAGGTACTTTAGATTCTCTTTTTCTAATTCACAAACCCACTCTTTTTCTAATTTTTCTCGAAAAGAAATAAATTTTAAAAGTCATTCTTAAAAACATTTCGGACTTTTTTTACGAACATTTTTTCAGTCAAATGTTTATTATCCTTCGATAGAATGAGTTTTTTTTTTGAGTCTTTTGAAACGGCAAAAAACAGTTTTGACGAATATCATCTTCCAAAAAGTTTTTGCTGGATGTTGGAGGACGTCATGACGCGTCAGCAATGCGTAATTTTGAATATCGGGCCTTCGTCTTGATTTAGTCCATGTTTAAAACTTGAGCGAGTCAGTTTTCATCATTCACAGTTAGATTTCTGGAAGTTCTCTCCGATAAGCGGATATTTTTTCATTTATGAAAAATTTGTGATGAAGTCTTCGATTTAGGTCCCATCGACGAGGCTGAAATGGCTGAAAGAAGACGAGTTCTCCTCAACGCATGCCAGAAGCATCTGGCGGGAACACGGCCGCAAGCCTGTGGATAATTTGCTTTTTCTGGCTGCCACTTTCGAGGAGATCAACGACGGAGAGCCCCATCGCGAATGTCAACGGCATTTTCCCATTCAACCTGTAATGGTCAACGAGGAGGGCAACGTTCGTGAGTATTCGAGCTTTTCGAGGAGGGATTCTCATGTAAAATGTACCCTTGTATCGAACATAGTCTAGCGATAAAGAACAGAAAAATGAAAAATTATCCTGAAAATCAAATGAAAAGGTTTTTCTTGTTGTTAAATTAGACCGAAAAGTTAGGAAACATTTAAGATTTTAGTGAACTTTCATCATGACAGAATCAGTGAGTATTGAGAAAAAGTAGAAAATAAAAAAGTAAATTTCACCATTTATAATGAAACTATAACTTTCATTTTTTTGGGAAAAAAATGGATTTATTCAAATTAAAAATTCTTAACTTTTTTTATTCCTTATTTAATCTTATATTTCTTTTTTTCATATGGTTAATTTTTTTTGCGGCTTTGAGCTCTTCTTTTCTCAAAAGATGCGCTATAAGGAAACTGCTGTCATAACGAAAGAAATGAAATACAAAAGAAAGTTTTGCAGAAAAGTTCACTGATGTGGCCATTTTTTCTCGTGGGAAATTTGTATTTCGTGTACTTTTTATCATGAGATTTTTACCTTTTTTTCCACTTGTAAATTAATTTTCATTTCTTGTTCTAACCAGGGAACGTTTTTTACCCCCCGGTTGAACTTTTGCTGAAACTTTGTTGAAGTGTACTTTAGGACCCCCTGATTCCAGAACAAGAAGAAAATTTCTCGCAATAGATCTTGTTTCCGAAATATGGAGCTTCAAAGTGTGCAAAATACGCAAATTAGGCCAAAAAAGCGCTATTTCGGGCTTTTGAAGTGTCCTAACTCGAAAACGAGATCTATTGCGAGAAATTTTCTTCCTGTTCTGGAATCAGGGAGTCCTAAAGTACACTTCGGCAAAGTTTCAGCAAAAGTTCAACCGGGGGGTAAAAAACGTTCCCTAGTAAGCATACTTTACATTTTTTGTTCAATTTTCAGTGGAAGAGGAGGAGTACGACCCTGACCGTCACGAGACTACAGACGACATGCCGGCCACCGCGGAAACTTGACAAAAATAAATCTTTGTTTTTATCAATTTCCAATGTTTTAATTTATTATTTCGGGCAGTTTGAATATCATTGACTTGTATATTATCCGTAATTTTTGCTCAGTATTTCCGTTTGAAAGCTCAGATCCGTCGCTCCAACGGCGTAACTCCCGTGATAACTGGTGATATTGGCGTGATTCGAAAAGCCTTTGGCAATAGCTTCATCTTTCGACGAAGCTTCAAGTCTTAATTTAATTTTTTGAACGAAATTCTTTTCTCACCTTTGAACTGCAGAACAGAACCGTGTAGGGAATAGAAAAAGTGAGTAAATCGCTGGCGAACGGAAGTAAAATTTGGACAATTTTCCTAATCGTCGTCCACACCTGATCGGAATCACTGGCGATTAAGCGATTCAGGACCTTCAATTGTTTTTTATTATATCTCTTTGAATCATGGTGGTGGAGATGTAAATTTTTCATTTCGAAATTCCCGAAAAACGATTTTTTTAAGCTAAAAAAATTATTTTTTTGTGATCATCAATCGGTTTCTATGATATTTTTTTAAAAAAATCTTTTTAGAGTAAAAATATTCTAAACTTCGCAATTTCGACAAGTATAATTTAATTAAAAGTTGACTTTTGAACTTTTTTGAAAATGCCCAGGCGAATCGGGAGGGTACCATAATGTGTCCACAAAGGTACTTATCAAAATGGAGCGTGAAGACCTCATCGTGAGACCTCCAGCATACCTTTTAGCTCCATCTGAGCCTTATCGGAGGTACTTGAGAGTCTCCCTCGAGTCTTCTCATTTTGCTCAAATTTCTCAAAGGTATACTCGAGGTACCATCGTGAGACTTCAGACCCTGCAACATACCTCAGAGGGTATCGCGATACCCTCGATTCACCTATCAAGCATTTGAGCATTCGTTTTTCTTTTTTTTCAATAAATATCTTTCTTTTTTTTTCGATTTTCTTATCCGTTAAACATCGTGTTGCCGTTGAACGTCAAATATCTATGTTTTTGAAATTTCCAATCAACTCATTTCGATAACCAAAAGTGATAACGGCTCATTCAACTTCCTCGTCTGTTCAAAGGAGGTGTTTTTTGAATAAAGTTATTTTCGTGTATATAGCTGATTCACGGCTGACTTGAGCCATCGAAAAAAGAGTCCTGACACGGTAATAAAAGAGATACTTCCTCGTTGGTGGAGAGCGCAGACACGGCACGCCTTCTCAGCGTCCCAAGTTAGCCGTGAATCGGCTATATATTTTTATTCTTCCTCCGCGCGTCTATATGGTAAAATTTAGGTTCCTCTAACAAACAAAAAAAATTCACCACTGTTACACCGGCGAAGGCTTCGACAATAAACGAGACAAAAGTCATCAGAAACAAGTTGACTTCAACTTTTTTCCTCGTTTGGAGGTCCGAAGAGTATAACTTGAAAATCGCAGCCATATTTACAAAGCAATTTAATAATATTACGAATATGACAAAATTTAGTAAAATACTATAGACTGTGGCGCTGCTCTGAAATATATTTTAGTTATAGACAAGCTTTGAAAGAATTTTTTGAGACCGTTTTGAAAAAGTATATAAATTGTTTCAGTTTTTCAAAAAAAAAAATGCGGTATAGGTTTTTAAGCTTCTTTTTCAAGAATCAGCCTTTCTTTCGATTCAATTTTTTTCATCGCTTTTGAAAGGATAAAACAGATCTTTTCCCTAGAAACTCGTTCTTTGGTTCTTTTTGGATTTAAAGATGTTCATTCGGAAAGAAAAACTCACCAATGTGCTTTTCGTGACAAATTTGTCTGATTCCACGTCGTACGAATAGTATGAAGTATTGGTCATGAAAGAAAATGTCGTGTAAAATGGGGATATTGATATGAAGAGAACCACTAGGAAAAGTATTTTGTCCCAGATCTGAAGAAAAGAAATTGAATTCGTACCGCGACAGAAACAAAAAATTGGGTTGGTAAAAAAGGAAGAGTTGATTTCATTTCAATATATTGTTAATAATCATGATCAACGAACTTTTTAGGAAGCTTTTTTTAAGAAAAAAAGTTTGTAAAACTATTCTACCTTTTTCACACTTGAGCGGATAAAAAATCATAGTTGCTCTGTTGCAGCATTGAAGAAGATTGAAAAAATATTGAAGGAAAGCGAAATGATAATGCATCATGTGGAAGAACTTCAAAGGAAATTCGACGTTTTCCAGGTCGTTCGATGCGAAAAATGAGGCCAAAGAGCAGTTTCCACAGGTGGACTGTGGAATTCGAAGGGTGACGAAAGAATTGAGGTAGGTCCACAAGTTCTGAATTATGTTCTGGTTTCCTTCTCAATTTGTTCATTTCATATGAATCAATTCGTAAGAATGATTAAACTTAATCTTACGGGGCCTAATTAGGTTCTAGAAAGAGCGAGAAAAAGAGAGCTATGGCGATTTGAATAGACGCCAGAGGAAGAAAAAAATCTGACTTCTCTGGCGTCTCTTCGGCCTGCTGTTGATCTCTTTCTCATTTAGCTGTAATTTCTTTATCTAATGAGCCAAGTTTCTGTCTTATATTAAGCTTATTTTTCTATAAATAATTTATGAAAATACCTCAAGAATTTTTCGATTTTTTTTTCCGACAATCTAATCAACTTACGATGACGAAGCCGAATAAAAAAATGCGAAAAAATGAGCCGGAAAAGTGCTTCCAGTTGTAAAGGACGGTTATTGTCGCCAGTGTGTATAATATCATTGATATGATCCCATAAGTGGTGGTTACCATGAAAACTGGATTCAGGAGGAGGTCCATTACCTGTGGGAGATCCTCAAAGAAGAATCTGGTCTGAAAGAAAAACATTTGGCAAAAAGTTACTTTTTTTAAATTGTTTAAAAATTGAACCTGTATATCTTTAAAAAAATCTTCAATTTTAAGATCCCTTAAATTGAAAAAAATTTCAGTTTTTTTGAAGAAATTTGAGGAGCTTTTTGTTTTTAGATAAGATGGGAAATATTTTTTTGTTTGATTATGCGATTCAACAAAAAAATGATGATTCTTCGGTTTGGAAAGAATGATTCTGACAGTTATTCTTCCATATAAACTGATAAAAAAATAAATGGCAGTATATCAAATTTAATTTCTTCCCAAAAGTTAGTTTAACATAACGATAAGTCAACTGAAGACCAACAATTTTAAAGAAAAAAAGGAATTTCAATGTTTTCACTACTTTTAATGAGCACCTTCTTAGTTTAATTAGGTGACAAGAGGAAAAAAGTAAGGTGTGTATAATCCCTAAGGTGCTTCAGAAAAATAGGAAATCATCGAGTTTATTAATCATTGGTTGATGTTTCTGTCGGAAGTAGGAATATCTCAAAAGCTGCTCTTGGAGCGTATATTTCGGGTGCTTTGATATCTGATAAGTGTTAGGAACTTCATGTCTAGTGGATGGGGTCTGAAATTTTGAAATTTTGTTCTTTCTGTAGCAATAGGAATTTAAAAAACGGCAAAAAAAGAAGTTTGATGTTTGTTTGCTACTCTAATGAACTTTTTTTCGAGTTTTATCAGATTAGAAGAGAAAAAAAAGGGATTTTTCTGAGGTTTTATGAAAAAAGATCAGGTTTAATGATATTGATAATCATTGGTTTCTAGCGGAAGTGGTTTGGGAGAGAAAGAAAAGAATATGATTATTGAATTTCTAGATGTAAAGATAGCATGTGAGCTTCAGAGGATAATTTAATTAGACTGGAAACTTGTTTTGTTGAGCAAATAAGAAAATTAGGTGACTTTAAATTAACTTCGAATGTAACTTTTCACGAGAAGATGAGAACCACATAGAATTTAGTGTGTTTTGGTGTAAAAAATTGGATTATAGGCCTGAAAGCCTAATGCACACCCTAAATCGAAAAGTAATCAAAAGCAGCTTTTGATTTTTTCTTTTTCATTTGGTCTGAAAAAGCATAGAGTCCCACGTAGAATGACTAATTTTTTTTAAAGCGTTTTCAATCGTCGGTTTTTGATAATTCGTGAGACTTTTTATTGATAAGTTTTTTAGTTCTCATGTGCTTAATGAATTAGGTAATATTTTATTTATTCAAAATGTGAAATTCTAAACGAAGTTGTAGTCCGTCCGCCGCAACTTGACAGTTTTCGCGTGTCTGCGTCTCTCTGCTCCCTCACCGAAACATGGAAACAGCACGTGAACATGAGAGAGTCGCCGAGAGACGGGGAGGGCGCAGAGAAGTCCCGCCCTTTCAAGTCGCGAAAAACGGACTATACTATAGGATCATTTGAATTCGAAGAATAAAAACCGCAGAAACTCTCTTGGGCTCATAAGGATAGCCAAGTACTGGCAATCCTCAATTAGCGAGTCTCTCATTTCCATTTTATTGTAATCTGTGAAAAAAAAAAGCTTGCTCGCTTCTTGCAGAATTGGCGATTACTCTAGTTACGAAAAAAAAGTTTGCAAAAGAAAAAATGAGAACAACAAACTCGAGGAAAAGATAGACAGAAGGCTGCTTCGTTTTTTCAGTTTAATTGGAGCTTGGCTTCAAAATTGGGCCATTTGAACATTGCAATTTTTCAAATTTTTTCTTTAGCTTCTCTAGAAAATTACTAACGTTAAAGTTCATCATTTATGTTTTTTTTTTCTCTGACGCTGAAGGTCAAGAGTTGTCGGAAAAGGCTATTTTTGGAATGCAACTCTCTTGACGCGTTTGGACTGACAAAAAAGGGTTTCGGTCTGCGGTGCGCATTCAAAAGAAGCTCCTATTAAATTTCTATTTTGGAAAAAAACTAAAAAGAGAAAAAAGAACGATTTCTCAAACTTTATCTACAAAAATTCACAGAATAGATACTGTAAACTGTGAAATAAATTCGTTTATCAACAAATTACCCAGGGCTCCCTTTTTCCGCTACAGTCATAGATTCCGTTGAATGAATCAGAAGCAAGGAAGAAGCTGGAGGGGATATTTCCACTTCAAGAATCTATTTTTGTGTAGATTTTTTCATTGAATGATCCGTTCTGCTTGGATGAAGGTGCCAAGTCAACTCTTTATTCACCAAAAGCATTCCGATTAGTTTAATCACTCCCGAGCCGGGCAGTCGCGACAGTAGCAGTGGACGCCGTCCTCGGCACAGCCGCCAGATCTGCATTGCTGGAAGATTGATTTTTTTTTCTATCACTCGGATCGGAATCATTACGTTGACATTGATACACTTGGATTGACATCTGTCGGCGCAGCTCTCAGCCTGAACGGCGGCGTTCAAAGAAACGAACAAAAAGGCGAGGAGAAGCAGGAGTTTCGAGGAGAATTGCATCCTGTTCTAATTCATTTTTCGTTTTTCTAAAAAGTTAAAATCGAGAAAATTCGGAGACGTTTAACAAAACACCTTTTTCTTTGGAAATTCACAATTCCTTGGTTTTGTGATAAGTCAGCGATGAACTGAAAAGGTTTCTGCGAAAAAAATAAGTCGACAGCGCCATATTTGAATAATTTTCTAATACACTTATGACTTTTTTTCTTAAACCATTATTTTTTTAGTTAACCATCAAAGTACCTGTTGACAGAAGTTTCCGAAATTGAGGAAGGAAAGGAAATCTTGAATTTTCTTTTTTTTTTTCTGCTCTTTTATAGGAGAAAAGCTTTGAAAAAACTTTGATTGCATCTTAAAATTTCGCTTTTTGAATTTGAAAAGACAACCATAAAATGAAGCCTGGCTTATTTTTATTCACGTATGAAAAAGGGTCTCGATAGAAAAAATATGTTTAAAAAATGATGCTTTCGGAAATCGGCTATCTCAGCTCTTCGAAAAACTGAACAAAATTGATGTTATCTTATTTTCCATTGAATTAGACATGAGTGAAGCTAGGAGTCGTAAAAACGATTATCAAATTATTTTTAATGTTTTCAAGTTTTAATGAGAAATGAAACGGTGAATCGACCACAGATCTTCGAAAGCCACTGACGGAAAGTCCACATTTTTCCCATTTTTCCATGTTCTCATTTCTTTTCTAATTTTCCTGTTTTCCGCTTGAATAAGGAAAGGTTACTGTATAAATTTGTGCATTTTTTCATCAACTTATAAAACCATTTTTTCTGTGTTCTTTGATGATAAAGGATGAACTTCTCGCTTAAAATCTTACTTTTCCTCGTCTTTGTATTGTTTTAAACGTCAAAAATCATTCAAGACATTCGAGACGTAAAAAAATAACTGTAAATTTTTAAAAAATAGGCTCGATTCTCAAATAATGAAATAGTGCCGCTTGGCTTTTAAAAAGAAAAAAAATAATCTTTTATTTGGACTTAGCTTTCTTGAATGCAAATAGTCATTCCTTTTGTTTTTCGTTATAATTCTTGAAAGTCAAAGTTTCATTGAACTTTTAAGAATTGATGTCTTAAAACGATGGAAGACCGGTGTTCAAATAGTGATAGAAAAAAGGCTTCACAAATGAAAGATCTTGAGACGGAAAGCTCTACACTAACAAACTATTTTATTTTGGAAAGAAATGTTTGGTCCATTTCCCCAATGTCGATACATTCCTCCTAGGAAAGTTTTGGCATAAACGAAATTCTTCAAAAAGTTTCGAACCTAAGTCATAGACTCCGCAGTGCAAGGACGCTAGCCACTACACCACGCTGCCAACTGGAGGGATCGTACGCGGGCCAGATTCCCTCTTGCCTTGCAGCACTCATTCAGCGTGCAAACTTTGAAGCTTCATAACTCGAAAACGAGATCTATTGCGAGAAATTTTATTTGTGTTCTGGAAAGAGGAGGTCTTATAGTACCTTCCAGCAAAGTTTCAACAAAAGTTCAACCGGCCACCAAAAACACTTCCCTTGTAAGCTGTGCATTACTTATAAATCTTGGTAAACATAGGTAAAACGGAAAAGTTCCTTTGAGGATCCTTAAAGGATCCTGACCAGGGAATGGTCTCAGCTCACAGTGGGGCTGCTCCTCGCTGCCGTTGCTTCGACAGCCGTCGGATCGCAATAGGACACCGCGCGCGCTTGCTCTTGTGTGCGTCGGGGCTTTGAAAGGTCATATCTTAGCTTCGAAATTTCTTCGAGAAAAATTTGATGGTTTTTCGTGACAAGGGAAACAAGGACTATATACCCTCCAAAAATGAGCTCGATCGGAGACCATGAAATTTTCGACTTTTGAGGGTCCATAACTTTTCTCACAGACCTCGGTGGCAGCTTTTGAAAACGGATTTGGAATCAGCGTGAAAAACTACATCTAGAGGATATGGTCTCATTCAGAAGTCCCACTGTGAGCTGAGACCATTCCCTGGTGAGAGGGAGATAAAATGCTTCCTCTAAAAGCTCCTAAAATGATGTAAAAAAGGCCTGCTGGGGACCCTTTCAAGGTCTTTTTTTGAGAAAAGCTTTTGGGGAGCTTTTCAGTTTTGCCCGAGAATAAACTTTGTAAGGAACACTGTGCGTTTAAATCTTTATTAAATACAGAAAAGGGATTTTTTTTTGGGATTTTCATTTGATGCAAAATTAACACATGGTGCAGACGCAGTTGCCGTTGATGCAGGCGGCGACGGCGCAGTTCTGAATTTTTTTTTTAGAAAATTGAAATTGTTTAAGAAAAAAAGCTAATTTTTTTAATACTCAAATTCAGTTTTATGTTCTTTTTGAAGAAAGTTTGAAAAGGATCTGACTTTTCAACGTATCCCAGAAAGATGATATGAATAGATAACAAAATATTATAATTTTTCCAGTTAAAATTTAAATGTCAAGCAGTTTTTCCGTTTATCGGACAGTTGAAAGGTCAGAAATCAACGAAAACGTTTCAGTCTTCTGGAATTTTTTTTCCACGAAAAAGCTTTCAAACAACAGTTGTCCGAAGTGTAACAGCATTTCGAACGAATATCGCAAAAACATCGCAAAAATGTACGTTTTTGCCTGAACTTTGGCCATTTGCCGTCACCTGAGGGAGCTTTTATGATTTTCACGGGAAAAATGCTTTAAGAATATTTTTATGGCTTGAGCTTTTGGTTCTTGAGAAAAGTTGTACAGAAAAGCTAAATAGGTTCAAAAACAAACTCTGCAGGTGATGGATTTGCAGATAGAGTCGCCGAAGAAGCAGGAGAAGTCGGCAGCGACAACGGAAATCAAGGCGATGAGGACGACGAGGAGGAGCACGAACTGAGTGGTCAACATTTTCTGAAAAAGGTCCTTTCTAAAAGTGTTTTCAATGCAAAAAAATTAGTATGCAAAACGGCAAAAATGTTAAGCCACCTAGGGGACTCGAACCCCTGACCGTTAGATTAAAAGTCTAACGCTCTACCAACTGAGCTAAGGAGGCCCCGGCAGTCTTGTATACGTCGAGGATACATATTCCATGGGGGTACTAAACTGAAGGACTTGTGTTTCAATATATTTTGAAATTATATCTGTTTCGCAAAGAGACTTTACAAAGAGCATCTTCTGTCTTCGCAGTAATTCGCGAATTGCTTGAAAAACATGAAAAATGGATACTTAGAAAAAAAAACCAATTCTACTCTTTAGAACAATAAGGTGGCGAATGAACTATAGAAATCAAAGTCATAAGTAAAATCTGTATTTTAGATTGTATGGTAATCCTTTCACATCAAAACAGGCTTCAATGGGCTTTGAATTTTTGAATACTTTATAGGCACGAAATTGGCTTTGAGCTATGAGAACTGGCTTACACATTGCTTTTTTTTTTTAGGATTTTGGACTTTTTACTAACTTTTCCAAATAATTAGGAAGGACTCGTTTATCAACTGAAGTCGAGTAACGTTTGTTAAAAATTTATTTTAAATATTTATAGAGCTCGACTATTAGACCCTAGCTTTTCTTCGCTCTAGCGATTCATTCAAATAAGAGCCCAGTAAAGGCGAAACTAAGAATCAGAAAACCAGAAGAAGGAAAAAATATTGAAACAAAAGAGAAGAAATGGGAAGCAGAGGCTGAACGACGGGGTTGGAAGATGGCCAACTGTCGGATTTGTTCGGAAGGCCGCCCGGCGCGGCCCAATTTATAGCTGCACACGTGCTCCGTTGTACACAGAGCAAGCATAGTCCTAGGAGCAGCCGCACAACATAACAACTGGCCAGAGAGGTGGTGCTCATTGGTGTTGCTGCTTTGAGGGGATGTGATTGGAATGCAGTTGGGAAATCGGGTCTTGATTCGAAAAAACAAAAAGCGGATCGAGCTTTTTGGGGTTGGAATGATAAGATTTGGCTGGATTTAGGAAGTTTCCATGATAAAATATATTTAAAAGGAAGAATTTTCAAGCTATTAATTGAAGTAAGATCTTGTGGATAAAATGTGAGAAGAAACGCACATACTTAGAATTCGTTGGTTCAGACGTGATGGATAAATATAACTACCCAACATATATGCTATGGGATTAGGGATTTTTGATGTTGGCTTGATGAGATTTAATTGGTTAGCACTATCGTTTCGAAGTGTTTTCTAAGGATTCTAAAAAAAGATTCCGTTGTCCAAACTTTTATTCAATTTTTCTTTCAAACTCTAAACTTCACATCCTGCTTAATATATATGGAAAATAAATGCGAATGGAAAAATAAATGATTTTTTACAAAAACTACTGTTTGAACTTTCGTAGTTGGCCACGAAAATGATGGCAAAAAGACTCAAACGGATGGATTATCCCCTTTCGTATATAACTGGTTACGTGAAACCAATTTGAAACTTTTTAGTTCGGAAAATGACGTTTACAGAAAAATGAGAGAGTTCACGTCATCCTTCAGTTTTCATTTTCGATTGAAAGAATGAGTGAAGAAGATGACTGCTTTTGCCCAACTGCTCGATCCGGTTTTAATTTGATTTTCTAAACAGTCGTTGATTCACTACGAGTTTTTCACGATGCTCAAAGGAATAGGAATTTTCGATAACTTATCTTGGCAGGATTTGAGAGAACATAGTTTAAAGTAATCTAGGAATTTTTTCTTACCGACAAGCTCCTGTTCAATTAATTTTTGATTCATTAGATTCATATTCCTTTGTTTTGTAAAATATCAGAAAATACAACTTTTCAGTATCAATGGAGTCGATGGGGGCCGGATATATCTCGAAAAAAGAAATAAGTTGTGAAAATGTGCGTAAAGCGGTACAAATTCGGATAAAACAGGTGATAATATTTATGAACGAATTTGGTTTTTCCTAATTCCTTGAAAGTATTTCGGCAGCTTTTGAGCTTTTCTGTCTTACGAGTTTGATCTTAGCGCTCTAGGACGTTTTCTAATTTTCTACAGATTTCAAATTCTTTCAAAACACCCCATTTTTTCACCTTTAACTGATCCTTGATTAATTGGTTCTAAAAACTTGAAACTTTCAGTAGCTAACTATAGAGCTTTAAGCTTCCAGTGTTCGTTTCAAAAGCAAACTAGTGATCACTTTGGTCTTACCTTTTTCCACTCGAATGACCTTTTACGAACGAAGAGAGCTTCTAGTCTCTGTCATAAAGATTAAGATTGTTAATAAAGATTGCTACAACTCTTTCTCTGACCTTCCCTATTTCGTCGTTATCTAGCTGCGAGAAAACGACGAAATAGTGGAGGTCAGAGAACGAGTTGTGTCGATTTTTATGCGCCCCAAACGAAAGAGTGTTCTTTAGAAGCCAAGATCTACTTGTAAGATAAACCTCAAAATTGCTAATAACTTATCTTTTCAGTTTTGACTCGAGGTTTCTTTAGTAATTTTGTGGCTACTCGAGTGATTTGGTCGCAAAAAGAAACTTTCAAGGCTTTGCTAAGCTGTACTCCTGTAGTGCTCATTAAAGCGATGACTAGAAGAACTTTCAAGTTATTTCTGTAGGTCTTTTTCTCAAGATCATCTCTTTTGGATGCACGAAACCGTCCACAGAAAAATCTGGAAGTGCGATAAAAGGGAGAAAAATTTCAAAAAATATTCGATTTACCGGAATTGCGTCAGCTATTTTATATGCATTCCAATTCAAAATGAAAGCAAAATATTTGCTTCCCAGCTCATTCAATACAGACCAAGAAATGTGACTCAGGTTGTTTGAAACACCAGTTTTTGTTTCAAAAACAACAAGATGATGAAAAAACGGAGAAGTTTGCAGCGTTATAATTGTGAAGAACAGAGGATCACGTCGATGAAAGCTCCTTTCCGAGGTTTTGCGGTTTTCGTCCGTTTCCACTGTAGGGCGAGGATTCATCATGTTCGGACTGTCAGGCTTCCAGGTTCACATTATAATAATAGATAGTTTATTCACTGCCATTATTTAACATAAATAATTGAAGAATAGATGATCAAGTGAAGGAATAGGCAGAGAAATAACAATACACGGGAAAGAGTCAACCCCAACGAGTTGACGGGTACCCGGAAATATGGCAAATTCACAGGAGACGAGAGGGGATATTTTCATGAAAGGCTTCAAACGGAAGAGCATTCAACTTTTTACGCAGAGTTTCAGGGGTAACGTTAAAATCTAAATAAGAAGTTAGTTTATTCCAAAGAGGAATAGTTCTAGAAAAAAAGTCATTAGAAAACTGACCAGTAGTCCGTAGTCGAAGAATTGAAGTCGGAATGAAATGGGAGACAAAAATCGGAATGAATAGGAAATAAATGAGTGAATAGAAATGAATAATTTTTTCATATAAGATGGCTGCAAAAAGTCTTGAAAAAATGATCCTGAAGAAGCGATGAATGGATTCTCTAACCAAGGAAAAGATTGGAAATTTCGTAGAAATTGCTGACTAAAAATGTATCGGGAAGAAAAATAAGCTTACGTTTGGACTAGTAGGCTTAGTTTCCATTGAAATTAGTGGAAAAAGTTGAATGAATGAAAAAATCCTCGATTTGGGGCATGCCCGGGCATAAAGGTCTTAAGAAGCGATGACTAGGCGCTCCAGTGATAATTTTGATAATCAGTACTTGTGGGTTTGAAAGCAGAGTCGGCAAAATAATATCATAATTGATTTATGGACAATGAAAAGTCGAAAATTTAACTTTTCCAGAAGTCTTATCGCCGCAGAACAAAGAGGCGGACGAATCTAATGGCTAGAACTTCCGTCGGATCTTCTTTTATTAATGAAAAAAATGTTTCTTTAAAAAGTCAATAAACAATTTTATTATCTGAAGAAGAATTTTCTTTTTTTTCTCAACTAAGAAAATATAATTCCGAACGTGAATTTTCGACATTGGAAGTTGGGCATTTTTAATTTCTACTCGGCAAGGACAGGAAGCTATCCTTCCGCCGAGTTCATGTCCGGTGCAGGTAATGAAAGATTTCGCTTTTCTGTTTTGGGTGGCGTCATTACAATGTTTCCATCAGCACAGTTGTTGTTCTTCTTTATTGCTTAGTCAGATAACCTCTCTGTACTGGTGCGCTCTATGTTTCTCTGCTGCATGCTGTTTCTTCGTTTTCTCGCAGTCAGAGAGTGGAGAAATATCACGCGGCAGAGAAAAGTTAGGGCGCGCCTTAAGACACCCCAGTTCAGAGCTTCTCGAGTTTCAGAGACTCCTCCCAAAGATGAGCCAACATCGGAGATTCTCACTAAAAGTGAGAAGAAAGACGATTTTTGCTCCGAGTCGGGACCTTTTCGGACCGTTTTAATGATAGCTATTTTGCTTATAATCAACACGTTGAACTATATGGATCGGTATACTGTTTCAGGTGATCAGAATATCGATTTAAAAGTCGAAAATAGCCTTTAGGAGTCCTCACTAGCGTTCAAACCTACTATTCTATAAACGACTCGACTGGCGGGCTTATTCACACGGTTTTCTTGGTTTTTTACATGTTCGCCTCGCCTTTTTGTGGATTTTTGAGTGACAGGTCTATCCGGGAAAGATTTTGATGTTCATTCACTGAACTTTTCTTCAGGTACAATAGAAAATGGATTATATTCGTCGGAATTGCGATTTGGGTGGTCGCCGTGTTGGGCTCGACTTTTGTTCCTCCTAATGTTAGCTTTAAAAAAAATATCATAGTCATTTCTTCCCGAATTGGTCAATCCATCCCGACTACAAAAGCGAGGGAGGCGAAGAAGTGAGCGGCACGCGTAGCGTTTGCCAATGCGGTTTTTGGCACGAGTTCAATTCAAGTCCCACCGACTATTTAAAAAGCTCGGTCACCGCTCTTTTTGTACTTATTCTGCAATTTTTAATCAAAAAATCGATGAACAATCGAAAAAAGATGGAAAAAGCGATAAACGAGCTATCCAAGTAGTCGCTGGCGGTTGAGTTGAACCCGTGCCAAGAAGGCGCACGCTACGCGTCCCGCCTTCCTCGCCTTTCAATTCGGAAAAACTGACTAAAAAATCTAAGATTTCAAAAATCTGCCTTCGCACAGAGAAAAAAAAGATTGGTATAATTCGAAAAACGCTTTTTGAATTTATATTTTGTGATATTTCAGTAGAGAAGAAATATCTAACGAACTACAACTGCCATAATGTAATATTCATTAACTTTTTTTGGTTTTGCTGAATATGTTTCAAACTTTATCCTCAAGATGTCTTCTAATTAAATAGGATAGATAAATTCTAATTTTTTTATTTAATTAGATCGGAAGATCTTTTGTTCTCAACGTTCCAGTTCAAAAATTAGCTTTGGTAATCTTAGGTTTAAAAAAATTCTCTTTTTTTCTATAAACACATTTTTTTAAATTTTTTTCAATAATATAATTTATTTACAGGCAGAACGAAATAACATGTACAAAAAAAGAAGGGAAGAATTGGCATAAAAAGCCTGAAATAAATAAATAAAAGGCATTTGAGGCCCTCACGAGCCTCTGAGCCAGTTTTGAAAAATGATAAGGTCAGAATAAGAATCGAGGATTGTACAGAGTTTTAAAGAAAAAGTGAATAGAAAAGGAAGCATTATAAATTATGAAACAGTGTAGCACAGGTATTAGGGTGGCAGGAAAGAAATGCGTGTTTTTGATGTCATTTAAATTTATCATAAAAATAAGGTTATCACAAATTAATTCGAAATGTAAGAAGTTGCACCCCCAAATTTGGACTTCATCGGAGTTTTTCAATTTTTTTTTTGGCTGTTCAGCGATCCAATGATTCGGAAAGATGATAAATGCGAAGAGCCATGTCTGAGCAATGTAGCGGAAAGAGCAGGAATTTGCAGAACAATTTTTCTAATTTTGGGCAAACACATTTTCGCAAAAAAAAAAAAGCGATATTGCGAAGCCATTTTTCATTTCTCATTTTTTGCACCCCGTTGCGTAAAAAACTGTTTTCTTTTGCAGATATGGGTGTGTAATAACTGATGAGCCAGTTTCACAGGTGTCTGTTTTGGATCCAGTCTAATGGCATTTTAAAATCGCCTTTATCGTCGAATTTTTCGTGTTTTTCGATTTCAAAGGTCTTTTCGCCTAGTGAATAGCGCTAAAGCAATTCAAAATGTTAACTATTAGAAAAAATCATCAATGGTGATCATAATATTGAAAGGTGCCAAGCTTCCGAATTTGATTTGTACTTTTTGAAATAACGCGAAAACTAGCTCTGCGAATACATTTTTTGAAAGGAAGTTTTCAGAGCTATGTTTCTTATAGAAAGGCGGAATGAACGTCAGCAAATTATATATCCAATGACGCACAAGGACAAGCCCTTTTTGACAAAAAATACCATTTCAAATAATATTGCTTCTTGGATGGATTAGAAGCCGACAAAAACGAGCCGCATTTCTTTCATGCCAACCTAATAAATGGGGAATTTAATTGGTTGTAATGATATAAACACGCATTAGATGGATTAGAGCAGGGATGAAGCACGGGTACCTGGTTCAACGGAGTCTGCTGGGAATAGTTCCAAAAAGGAAATTGTTATCGAGGGATAGTAACAAAGACCTGAAACGATCTGGAGAAACATTGAGGTTTCCCAATGTAGCCAGTTTATTCCAAAGAGGGATGAACATCTCAAAGAAATTTTCAAAACGAATCCCTACTCTGATAAGACGTGATGGAGCACGTGCTGAATTTGATCTCCTGAAAACACTGTGAGCAACTGGCAAATGACGTTTATCAACAGTCTCTGATCAGATGTAAAGAGCAGACGTGTCATAAAACTAATATTGAATTTTTTCGGAACTGTTTGATTTTGACCACAATTCATTAGAAAGAAAAGTCATCATGAATCTTTTTAATTTTACAGATCCTTCGGTTTTTCTCAGTCCCGAATTTCTTTGATAATCTGACAATAAAACAAACATTTTGAAGCTTTTCTGGGTGTTCCTGCTGATGAGAGGCCTCGTCGGCATCGGCGAGGCTTCCTACAGCGTCGTGGCGCCGACAGTCATTGCCGACATGTTCACGGACGTCATGAGAAGCCGGATGCTCATGCTCTTCTATTTTGCCATCCCGGTTGGAAGGTTAGAATTCAGAAATAGAAGGACCGAGTAGAAATACCTTTTTTGATGTTCGGTTCATACGTGTTTTCATTTTCTAAAAGTTTCCGCTGAACCAGTCAAAAAGGGAGAAAGATTTTTCATCGGTTCAATACTCGATTTGGTCAAATGAGTATTCTCCATAGCGCGTAAGTCGTTTCTAGTCGGATGCGTCTTTAGGCTGCTTTTATGCTCGCAACCATTTTCTTTCAAAATAGAAAGATCTGCTGAAGCTTGAATTCGATCGCCACATATCCGTGCCTTTTTTCGTTAGGAAAAGTAGATTGTTGAAAATTCAATGAACAAATTGGAAATACAAATACTTTTTTTCGGCATTTTTCGACCGCATTCCATTATCAAAAAATCATTTTTCCTTTTCTAGTGGCCTCGGTTTTATCGTCGGTTCGGTGGTGAGCTCGTGGACTGGCCAGTGGCAATGGGGCATTCGGATTACCGCAATATTAGGTTTCTTTTACATGTCCACTCATCACGGTCACGAAGCGGTTCTTTTGCTTCGATTTTTTTTGGATTCTTCGACCAAAAAAAAAACCGCTTGAGCGCGATCGCATCCTTCAGTATATGTGATACAAGCGACACTAAAGTGAGCAGAGCGAAAAAATTCGACAAACTAGCAAAATGTCACTTCGCGTTGGCATTTATATCGAACCATACTTTATTCTTTTGAAGATTTCATCAACGATTTTTGAAAATCTGAAGAAAAAAATAATAGAAGTGAATAAACGAAACTTTTTTTAGGCTTCGGCTGCTTAATCTTGATTATTCTTTTCTTTCGCGATCCTGAACGGGGTCGAGCCGAAAAAAAGAAAAACGGCGAGATTAAAGGCGAGGTTGAAGACAGCAGTTATTTCGACACTCTTGTTGATTTATGCTCGAAGTTTGTCTCTATTAGATGTTTTTTTTTTTCATAGAAACATGTATGTTTTGAGCGTCACTTTCATCACTTCAACAATCGGCTACACTGCGATTATTTTTGTTGTCGGGATGTTGGCCTGGTGGCTCCCAACGGCGATCCTACAAGGTGAAGCTTGGGACAAAGGCCTCAACTCAACAGAAGACCTACCCAGGGATAAAAAGATTAGGCGAGTTTTCTTTTAACAGGCAAAAAGAAGTAGGGGGCACCCGGAGTTGAACCGGGGACCTCTCGATCTGCAGTCGAATGCTCTGCCACTGAGCTATACCCCCGAGATGGAAGCTTCTCCTTTGTTTGCTTCCACATCTTTTCTGAGAAGCAGCTCTGATATTTTTGACAACAAAAAGGCAAAAAGAAGTAGGGGGCACCCGGAGTTGAACCGGGGACCTCTCGATCTGCAGTCGAATGCTCTGCCACTGAGCTATACCCCCGAGATGGAAGCTTCTCCTTTGTTTGCTTCCACATCTTTTCTGAGAAGCAGCTCTGATATTTTTGACAACAAAAAGGCAAAAAGAAGTAGGGGGCACCCGGAGTTGAACCGGGGACCTCTCGATCTGCAGTCGAATGCTCTGCCACTGAGCTATACCCCCGAGATGGAAGCTTCTCCTTTGTTTGCGGCCAAATATCCTTTTCTGTCGCGCTCCCTGTCGTTGAATTGTTTGCTTGTCCTCGGCCCGTGTAGACAAACAATGATCTCTTGATCTCTTGATTTACATTTTTCCTGTTTTCAGCCTAAACTTTGGATTCGGAGCAACGGTCTGCTTTGGTGGCATCTTCGGCGTCGCCTTGGGAACAACGCTATCCTTTGTTTTTTTTCAAAGTTTTGCAGGAAATTAATAATAATTGATTTCTAGCTCCTGAAGAAAGGCCTACCGCCGTTTTTCTTTCAAACCAGAAGAGCCGATGCGTTGGTCTGCGCTCTCGGATCCGTTTTCACGATTCCTGTCTTTTTCTTTCTTCTGACCAACCTCATCACCGAGAATGGGACGTTGAGAACGGTTTGTGATGGGGATTTTGATTAAAATCGTAGTTTAGACCAGAAAAAGTTCGTTTTCCGCTTAAAAAGTCCTTTTTTTCAAAATCGGAGTGAAAAAGTTTGATTTCCCGCCAAAAGGGCATTTTGTGGTAAAGTTGCTCTACGGACATTACGTATCGCCATTTTTTGGATTTTCTCTTTTTTCTACGTTTTTTTCAATTTTTTTTTTCTGTTGTCACTTAAGTTCTTTTTGCCGTTAAAACGTTTTACATAGAATTTGCATATTTCAAAAATGGAAGGCGTGAAAATAAAATTGCGTTTTACCTCGAAAATACTCATATCTCTTATGAGTAGTCCGTTCGAATTACGATGAAAAGCTCTACAAGATACTGCTCTCATACGAATTCTCTTCTTTACTGCCCCTATCCCTTTAACCCATATTCAACCCTATCAGAGTTCCACTTAGTGATAAAAATAGAAAATTTTGGAATCTTCAAGCAATTTGAGGGTCGAGTTTTTTTTTTTTGATGCGAAGAGCTTTCGGTTCAAATTAATGAATTTCAGACAATATTCTTCCTTGTCATCATTTTTACGAGCTTCAACTGGGCGACCAATGTTGATTTGCTGATGGTTTTTTTCCAATCTCTCTTTTTTCATTTTGAAAATTTTTACAGTCGGTGGTGATACCACAGCGACGAGGAGTTGCCACTTCATATCAATTCCTACTATCGCATCTTTTCGGCGATGGATCGTCGCCGTATTTGATTGGATTGGTTGGTTTTCCTCATTTGAGAGCAGAAATTTGATCATTTAAACATTCATTCAGTTTTCAAAGAAGATTTTTTCTTGGATTTTGGATAATTGAAGAATTTTTTTTGTCTGTACGCGAAACTGTTGTTGATCAAAAACGGCTAGAACATCTCGTCGAATATCTCGCCCTTCTTTTGATAATCATGGACGTTTTTAGAACGTTGCCGACAATTAGCTTCTTCTCCATGTAGGAAAATTACGGCGCCCACCTAGTCCAGGGCTGGCGGGCGTTGCATTGAATCTAAGGCGAGAGCAAAAATGAAGACCAACCGACCTCTCGGGAGGTGGGAATGAGATTTAGAAAAAAAAAGGAAAGCAAAGCAAGAGTTTTAAAGCAGAAACATTTTGATCGTTTTGAAGTTTTTCTAGAAAAAAAAAACCGAGTACGATCATATTAGTCAACTTGGAGCGATCTGCTTTTATATGAACTGGTGCCTCAATATGGATTTTATTCAGCTCTCCGACTCTTTACGCGGCTCGGAAGACTCCCCGCGTGCTCGGTACGACTCCCTAGTGACGTCATTCAAGTTTTGTTTCGCGCCAATTTTCCTTTCCGGTGTATTTTTCCTCGTAGCTGCCTACTACACGGTTCGGGATCAGGATAAAGCGGCTTCGATTATGGGTTTTGCACACTGATATTATCAATGCTCATCATATTCATTTATAGGCAAGATCGATAAACGAGAAGGCAGAAGCTCGAGATCTTCGCCGGTGGATGCTTGATTTTTCATAGTTTTTTTGTGCTTTGAATCGTGAAATGAAGATTTTGCTGGTTTTTTTCAATTTGAAAAATGCTAAGAATTTTTATGTTCCTCAATATTTGTATGTTTCAGGAAAAGGCGTTCACATGAATTGAGTGATTCTGACTCTCAGTCTGTTCAGGTTCTGAATCTCAAGCTCCGCCCCTAATGGCGCAATGAACTAATCAGAGAGCGAGCCATCCGTAGAGCGTTTTCGGAAGTACTTGATATCCAAATTCTGAACAGACTTTATCTGCGCCCTATTCTTCGCGCCATAGAAACAAGAGAGTGTAGAGATCAGTTGGTCGAGAGTTTTTGCCGAAATGAGTGAAAAAAATAAACTTATTATAATTTATTATTAAAAAAAGTGTTTAATTATATGTTCTTCATTCACGAATATGTTTTTTTATTAATGTTATCTAATTTCTTTTTTTTCGAGAACTTCTTGTCGTGTTGTTCATTCACCGCTGACGCAACAAAAACAGAAAAAAAGAAAAAAATTCAGACGGTTGGCAATTCTAAAAAAATTAAAAATTAAAAACATTTTTTTCAAAAAGACTCATAATAAAAATTTGTACAGTTTTAAAACTGTACAAATTTTATGAAACAAAAACACACATTGTACACATTTTCATCTGCTGTTCAAATTTTTTTCTCAAACATTTTTTTTTTCTGCTGAAAGTTTATTCTAGGAAGCTTTCTTATTAAAAAAATTTCATTTTTCTTACTCTAATTGTTTATATTCTATGTTTCAGAAACTTCGAGTTTTATCCAGAGCTTCATTCTCTGGAGAATCGGATTCATTTTCAAGAGAAAGAAGGATTAAAGAACTCGGGAGCTATGGACAATTTGAAAATCAATTTGGTTTTTTCTTCCAAACAGGTATGATTTTTTTTTTCGATGTTATTCCGTTTTTTGAAACTGGTCGATATATGCGTGATTTTTCGAAGAAGAATGCTTCTTAGGGTGAATTAATGAACTTTTTTTAAAAAAAGAAACATCATTTATTATATTTTCACTTCTGTTTAGTATCCTATTTGCTTCTATGCTGTACAGAATTTTTTCCCTTAATTCTTTTTAGGGATTTTCAGTTGATTACTTCGCCTGTTCAAACTTCTATCAGTGATATGAAGCAAAAACGGCGACATCTTTTTCTATTAATTTCCCGAGAATAAAACGGAGATGACAAAATTTTAGATAGTCTAAATAATCGTGATTCCAGGTCTGGCTTTCGCGCCCTCATTTCCACATTTTTAGTCATTTCTATACCGCTTCCCTCAGTCTCATTCCGATAATTTTTTTCCCTGAAATAGGACAAAATGAAGTAGAAGAAGAGGGGAAGTGAAAAGAGAAAATGTGTGTGTTGTGCTCGGACAGGAAATGTCGACGTAAACAACTCTTGCCACGCAGTGTTTCGCCAGTTTCTGCCCCATAGCCAAAAGAGCAAACCGCTGGTAAACAACGTTGAAGGGGGGCGGCGCACGGAAAACGACCAAAGCCTTTTTTTTCGCCCTATTTTTGCTGCCATCCGAGTGTTTTTCGTGGCAAGATTCGATCCAAAGGGCATGATAAACAAGGGATTGTGAGTTTTCGATGTCTTTTGCAAAATACCTAGGGGTTCAAGAAATGTAATCCCCAGCCGTCACACATAAGGACGGATAGGTCTCTAGAGCGATTTCATTGATTATCAATGATATCAGGACAGTTTACAAGTTTACAAGTTTATTCATTCTTCAGAGAAGACTGAATCAAGAATCAACTTGGGAAGCCGATGCCGCTTAAAGGCGTAGGGGTAGTAAACGGTGTTTCAGTTCAAAGCAGTACTTTGTAGAGCTTTTCATTGTGAATCGAACGGTGAACTTGTAAACGTACAGAAGTTCCTAGTTTTGGAGAAAAAATAATTCAAAGTCGGAGAGAAGAAAGTTTGAGTTCCCGCGAAAAGGGAGCTTTGCAGTAAAGTTGCTCTATGGACAACAGGCTTCGCCATCTTCCGGATTTTCGCTTTTTTCTTCGTTTCTTTCAAATTTCAATTTTTTCTGTTATCACCAAAGTTCTTTTCGTCACAAAAGCTTTCTATTCATGAACAATTTGCAAACTTTGATTGCAAAAATGCTTCCCTGGTGAAAAATGATGATTTTACACAGGGGTTTTGATGGGGAAAACGATATTTTGTGTTTTCTTTATTATCGGTGTGTGTTTTTTGATTTCTTAATTTATTTTTCAGAAAAGAAACCCTTAATTTGAAGCATTTATCCGGTTACTTCTCAAAAAATGCGAGTCTAATGAGAAGTCCGCAACATCCCGTGCACGGCTACTGTAAACAGTTGTCCGTGGACCGATCCAAAGCTTTTTTCAAAATTAAAGACGGGAAAGTAAAATCGCGTTTTTCTTCAAAATAAGCCACATCTGTAATTTTTTTGAGTACACCGTTGGATTCGCAAAGAAAAACTATACGAGATACTGCTTTCACCTGAAACCCCGTTTTTTACTGCCCATATGCCCATAAGCGATGCAAAGGGGCAAGAAGATAAAGAAGATAAAGTTCACTCATGGACCTCGAGAATTTTTAGAGCACAGATTCGAAATCAGCGTTTGAAAACGCATCTTAACGAATTTTTCTGAGAAAACCCTTGTAAAAATGTATTTCATTTTTTACTAGCTAGAAACTTTCCTAGGTGGCCCATTTATTTTTGATTCTTTCTAAAATACTTTCGATATTAAATTTTCAAATGGCCAACCTATTTCGAAATCAACCAACAAATTTATTAGAGGTTGAAACAAGCCTCTTGAAACAGAAGTTATACTCGGTTTTCAAAAGAACGGAAACTTTCTGGACGATCAGCTTATTAAAATAAAAAAACGGAAGGTACGGGGAAGTTTCAAGTATTATATATCTTGAAGCAATTAGCGAGATGTTAGGGGAATTCTTTTCAAAGCTTTCAAACAGACTTTACTCATGAATGAATTCTTCTCCTCTTTTTAAATGTTGAAAAAAATCCATTCATGTATGGATTTTTTTAAAAGACACATGGCAGATTTTTTTGAGAAGATATATTTGCTGTAAACTTTTTTTCCCCAAAAAAATTTTCAATAAATAAATAACTTTTTACTTTCTTATAACTTTTTTTAAAAACAAGTTAGTGTAGGGACCGCAACCCATTTTCTCAAAATGGTCGTAAAAATTTAAATTTTATGTTTTCTGTTAGCTAATATCTTCAAACAGACATTCCCAAAAAATCTCGGCACTAAGTTGAATGAACGCCAAGAAAATTCGACAAAAGTGAGGGTATCTCGGGAACGCTTTTAGCACTGAACCGTGTGTCTCTGCAGACAGGAGGGAAAAATGGGAGGAGTCTATGCAATTTTTTTGGGCGCGCTTACAAATTTTTTTTGAAAAAAATTTTTTGAAACACGATTCTGTAAATGAAATAAGACTTTTTTTGGTGATTTTAATATGTTGCCATGGAATCGCCATATGAAGAACCATATAAAAAAACAATGAAGCCATGAAAAAAATTCAAAGTCTAATCGATAGAAATAATAAGGTTATTCAATCGAACCAGTAAAAATTCAAACAAAAGTTATTTGGTATGAAAAAAATTTCCAATTCTTACTCTGATAGTTTTTGTAACATATAAAATGGGTAACTTCTTGAAATGAAGCTGAAAACTTCAAGTTCATCCTAATCCGAGCAATGCAACAAGAAAAAAATCTTCGGAAAAGAAGCAAAGTGTAAATTTTATACTTTTGCTAGTTTGAATAGGTCGACAACATCCCTGAAGTTCGAAAAAAATTCCAGAATAGCGCAAATCATGAAAAATGAAACGAAATTATCCTTTTTTCAATATTTTTATTTTAGTCAACAATAACAGGGCATGATGAATATTATTCAAGCGTTCCCTTGATAAACTCTCCTTCGTGAATGCTGTGAAAATATTTTCTAACTTTTTTTGGAAAAAGAATATTCAACGATAAACGTTTTAAATTCGAAAAAAATAATGAATTTTGTATTGGAAATTAAAAAAATTATTTTTTTCGTGGGAAAACGCAAACGCCTCACGCGCGCGTAACATTGCACACTTTTTCATCGAGAAAAATACAAATGTCACCGTTTTATATTTTATGCACGTCGGTGCGCGACTCGTTTTTTGATTTTATTGTTGTTAAATGTAGAGAAACAGTTAAGATATTAAAAATTGAGTGGCCGCCGTCGGGCGTACCACTCTCCTTTCCACATGTAAATTTCGAAATTTTGCGCGTGTGGATGCTTGCTTTTGAAACCATTTGCACAAAATATTTCTTGTTTTCTACATCCCATTTTTTCTTAATGTGTTCCAATCAACTCCTTTTTTCGGAGAAAGAACGTTTTTTGTGTGGAAAGATTAAGAAATCGTCGTTTTAACGCTTTATAAAACAAGATGCCGTGATTTTTATTTCTGCGGGGTTTTTCAGGAATTTTTTGTTTTTAAAATTATCAGTAAATGCTTCTCATCGAGTTCAGCACAAAAAAACATAGGGTCGTCGCTGAAAAACTGATATTTTAGAACTTTTTTGCTCTTGCACTGGTTTTTTTCTAGTTTTGACGTTGAAATATTAATCTAGGCCTTAAACTATGCCCCAACATGTATTTCGAGTATAATATTGTTTCCATACGCGCGCTATAGAAAAAAGAAAAACCGCAGTGCAATGCAAAAAAAAATTTCGCCCGAAGTGGGCGTGGCTTTGCGGTCCCTAAGTTAGTGTATGAGATTTTTTTTTAATGAGTCAACTGTTTTCGATTTTCGTGTCCAACCCCATCAACAAAACATATCTATTACCTGGAAAATAAACTTAAAAAACGTTTTTTTTTTTTAAATCGAAAGCCACTCTTTTCTCGGATGGGTATTCATACTCTTAACTAGTTGCTTGTTTTCATCATTCTCTCTCTTCTTTGCAATGACTTTTGCTCTCGATTACTAATGTATGCCCTCTCGGATATCACTTTCGTCCCACGCTTCGGCGAAAAAACAGCGAAAAAGAAATCAAATCATATCAACAGGGTGAGATTGACGTTTTCCGTGTGGATTAGAAGGATTCTCGGTATCTCCGAGGCGGGGCTAATCCTCATGTTTTGCATGGATTTCGGCGCCGTTTTAGTTAATCCCCATACTTGTTTGTCAAGGAAAAGCGAGCTTCTTCATTTTTTTTTTCTTGTTTTTCTCATTTTTCGGCTCTTTTCTCTTTCCGAGAATATCCGGAGAAATCGATCTCCTCTGAAAGATCCAGATGTGGAATGGCTCAGTGCAAGCCGGATCGGATCTTGCTCTAATTTTTTTTTTTTGATGTCCCTAGGCGGCACTCGCTTCGAGTCGGGCGCTTTTCTTCGATTTTTCTGCGAACTTTCTGGAAAACTTGGTTTTGGAGGTTCTTTTATAAGAGAACATAGTTTTATCCCTCGGATTTTTCGAAGAAGTTTTCAATTTTCGAAACTCCACCCCTTCGGCAACGCGACGTAGAAATTTTGCCCTAGCACTTGTTTTGATACGCGCGCAAGAAGCAGGTGTACTTGCAGGCAGAAAAAGTACCTTGCTGTGCCAGTCGCCGTGGTTTTTGGGCTGTTTTTGTCCGTCCGGCCGGTTCGGCCCCCTCTTCGTCCTGTTGTTTTTCATTCCATCGGCACTTTGCCACAGTTTCCCTCGGTCAAAGGTTGGCATGGCACAGTTTGAAGTTCTACCTCTGAGCTTTTGATTCAAGCTCTTTTTCCGTCGGCAATGTCAAGTCTTTTTCGGAAGTGTAGGACTGCCTTCTGTTAACCGGCACTATAAGTTGGATAATTATTATGCCTCCGAGAGAAGAACATTTAGGAACCATAGCCACTAGAGAGAAGCATCAAATGAAAAAAAAAACTGAGCAACTTTTTGTGAGACCTTTTTCACAAAGAGTCACTTCAGTTCTCCCTCACAGATACTCGTGTGATCACTCTGAACAATATCCTTCTAATCGATACTTCCGGACCTGTTGTATAACCTCTTTTGGTTGTCAGGACAGTCATCACCTGAGCTATCACTTGATGTTTCTCAAAAATGTTGCTCCAGTGATCTTTTCTTAAGCAGCTTCTCTCAGAAACACAAGGGGTTTCTTGGAGATGAACCGCTCCGATTAATATCCCTTCAGGGGCTGCTGCGAATTTTATCTACGACATCTTGAAGGGGCCATATATTAGGTAATCGCTTATATTTTTACTGAACTGTTGTTAGATACTCTCATAAAAGTTTTTTCTTGAAGGCCTCGAAAGTTTCTCGAGCGTTTTGCAAAGCCACTAAACTTTTTGAGTGATAATTTCAAAGCTGGGAAAAAGACTTCCTCGAAGTGATAACTTCAGTGACTGCTTTTAGATTTCTTCAGAGTAAATAGGAAAAGCTCCAGTGGCCACTTAATAAGTATCTCAAGGACTACTTGGAGAGGACACTAAAGTAGCCACTAAAACCACCTCTATAAAAGCTACTACTCTGCGTCTGAGTAGCCACTATAGTAATTTTAAGTGGACTAGTAGGACCATTTAGTCTTTTAGAGTAGCCTAAAAATTCAGCCCCTTAAGTGGCTACTAACTCCACTACTACTAAAAATTATATCAGAACTTCTAGTTTTCTCAGATAATCCTGCGGAGTCATTTAGTAGCTTTTTACAGACCTCCTTGATTGCCAACCAAGAAAAATTTCCATTTTTGAATACATTTCATATTATAGTCAATTCAGAACACCTTTCTATATAGTATCCCTAATACAGCAGATCCCTCACAAAAATAACTTTTTATCTAATACTATTATGATTTCAAACTATGATATTCTGAAAGTTGTGCAAAAAATGTTATGGATAAACTGAATGTGTTCAGAACCACAAAATTTAGCGAGGAATCTCCTATTTCGGAAATTCTCAAAAAAAAATTGTGATTGAATCTCCCACGCAGTGAATGTTGTATTAAAATCTATTTGCGAACATTTTTTTCTCGTTTTGCCTACGCGCTGTTGTTTTCATTTTCATTACAGTATACCTTATCTTTTTCCCAATCTTTTTGTTTTGTTTTGTTTCATGTCAACGATTCTCGTAATGATGAGATTGGAATTTGCAGCCAAATCTTCGCTGGTTTTTTTTTTCAAAGGCAGAATTTTCTAAAAAAAAAGTTTATCATCGAATTCGAAACTTACGATTTAGAAGCATTTTCCTTGAAGATACTCCTTGGATCATCCGCCAGAAATCGCTAAGAAAATGGGTACGGTAGTTCGCGGTGTCTGCACTCCTATGCAGAAGTGACGTAAAATCTCACGATATACTTTTTTGAACATTTTTTAGTTGTTTCTGCTTCATTTTATGTGTTGACAGAAAATTAAGGGCTTCGAAAATTTTTTATTCGTGAAAATGCCATAAATTTGACGTGTTCATCACTCTTTCAACATGATATTTTGGTAATAAAATATATAAAAAGGAAAGGAAGATTACAGTGTTATTTCGATCCCAGAGAAACAGAAGGAAAGGGAAAATTATTTTCATTGATCACTTGAAGAGGTCCCTCACTCCGAAAAAAAAACGCCCCGACTTTTTGGATTCAATTTTTCGTATCGTTATTGCATCTGTAAAGTGCTTTCGTGGCGAACTATCGATCGAAGATGGAGTTCTGGCGAGGGAGAGAATTGTGTGTTGTTTACGGGGTCGGGGGACATGCGACCCGATTTCTTCGGAAGCGGTCGTCCTCTCCAGCCAGGCCAGCATTTCAAATCGAAAATATTTGTCCAACCCAACGACGCACTTTTTTTTCCTTCTTCTTTTTTTCCCTTCTGCCCTCTCGTGTCTCTCGTCTCGTGAAACTTTTCTTTTTGTTTTTAACGCGCGAAATTGAGAGATTGCACCCCTCTTTTCCCACTTATCGTAGTTGCGTTTTTTGATTCTTCTGTTTCGTTTTTTTTTTTCATCTTGTTCAACTATTTTATTTTTTTAATTAAGTTAAACGTTGAGGAACCATGTCTTGTGAGGATTTCTCCCTTCTTCAAGCACCAAAGTGAGGCTTTTTGAACGGGCTATATTTTTTAATAAGGAGATTTCGTAGGAGTTTGATTATTTGAAGAAAGTTTATTAGCGAAAGATTGCTTGAATGTTTTGGGTTCCGCAGCTTTTCCTTCATAATTCCGCATTCTATACTTTTTTTAGAGCTTTTTTTCACACAAACTATATTTTAGAATTGAAATATTCAAGATTAATAAATGCTTTTTCGATGCTAAATCGCATTTTGCAAAAAATTAATTGTATGTGAGTTTTCGAAATTAGGGAGAAAGTTCTGTTTGGCGATATATATTTTTGAATAATCAAACGTATCTTTAAAAAGTTTTATATATGAATAATCTAGTTACGGAAAAATATACTATAGAAACCAAAAAAAAAAAGGAATCTTAGATTGAGAATTAATAGGTTTTGAAAAAAATTCGAATGAGTGATGTTGTGAACAAGTTTAACGTTCAACGAAATCCAGGAAATACTCGAAGTCAAACATTTTTATTTCGCATGTTTTCCATTTAATCGTTATTTTTATTTTTTCGTGAAAACTGTCATTTTTTTCCGAAATCTTGAATCCCGACATTATACCGAATATTGCAGACAAGCATGTCGATGACAAGTTTGTCGATGAAGTCGCGAAAGCCCGATGACGTCATCATCGAAGGATGGCTTCACAAAAAGGGCGAACACATCAAAAATTGGCGGCCCAGGTTATCATTATCTCGGGTTTTTTCAATTTCGATTAAAAGAAACGTGTTATTTATTCCTCAATTAATTAGACGCCCATATTTAAATAACTATCTTCTTATTTTTGCGACATAAGAGTTACCAGTAAACTTTCCCAACATCAGGAAATAAATATAAATGGAAGAGTATATTTTTTTGTTTTTTTGATCTATCATTGATAAGTTAATTGAAACTCATGTTTTTTTTCAGCAAGTTGATAGCTTAAATATTTTTTTGGATTATTTATCAACAATATAGTCTAAAAAAATTTATACATTTTCAATAGCTCGATTTTTCTATCGTATAAATGAGGCAAATCTTCTCAGGTTTTTTTGTAAAACGATTTCTCACGTATTCGAAAGCCTTTTTTGCGGAAAACTTAGAAGATGAAATATAAAAATAGAATGAACATTTAAAAATTTTTTAACTCGATAAGTACTTTTGTTTTTTTTTTGTTTCGAAAAGAGTTTCCATTACAGCTTTCGTACGAAAAAGTTCGTTTTTTTTTTTTCACAGAAGCTCTCAAAGCAAACAAAAGCAGTTTTTCACGAAATACTAACACAAACAAATTATTTTTCAAAGGCGCGTGAAAAAATTCAATCCGGGGTTTTAAGTGATGCTCTGCGCTTTGAAAAACTCTAGCGAACGGAATATATCTTTGAAAGGCAGTTTCCCAGCGAGAAAATTCTCACCGCAAACGATTTTTGGTCTTTTAATTGTCTGATTGCAAACAGCAATGGAAGTTTCCCAGGTGTTTGGCTAGGCGACGTAGGAAATTCTCCTACGCAAACCAATAAAAATTCCAAATCATGGCTCAAATATCAGTCATGCGTGTTTGTCTGGAAACTGTTTTTGTCGGTTTTAATGTAGGGAAATTGTCGATTCTGTGTTGCCAAAGGGACGGAAACAGGTGATTGAAGTGTTTACAATGGATTGTTCTCAAAACGCAGACAAACAGCCCTGTTATCGACTTTTGTCTTGGGGCGTCTTTCACGGCGAACTCGTAATTTTGTATATAGTTTGTTCGAGGAGAAATTAAAGTCAGGATCTAATAATAATGAGGGAATTTCGGAATTGCATGCTCTTGTAACTGTTAGATTCATTTTTATTGTTCATACTGGCAAGGTTCTCATGACTCGTGTACTTCATTAGAACTAAAGGGATATTTTAAAGGCGTAGTGCGAAGATTGGATAATTTTTATTTCTGTCTATAACGTATGCGAAAAAATGAAAGCCGTTTGAATATTCTTTCTTAGCTTCTCCTTGTTTTCTAGGGTTATATCATCTGATCATGAGTCGGAAATCAAGGTTTTTAGCGGAAAAAATCTTTTATTTTCAATTCAATTAATATTTAAGAAATCACAAGGAAAATAGTTTAACACATAGAATATTTGAGTAAACTTTTGACAGAAGCCAAAGATCATTGAAAAACTCACATGATGCAAAAATCTTAAAATTATTTTCAGGTACTTCATCTTGTTCAACGATGGCGCTTTACTTGGGTTTCGGGCAAGGCCTAAAACGGGCGTCCCTTATCCCGAACCACTCAACGACTTCATGATAAAAGATGCGCAGGTGGGAATGGATCGAAGGAAGGAAAAAACCCCTAAAAAAAGTACTGAAATGAACTTTTTTTTTAAAAAAATAACCGGAAAAAAATATAAATCATAAAAAGCTTTTTTTCTCTTAAGTTTTCCAGTTCATTTTTTGTGGTCGAAAAATTCTGAGATTTATTCATAAATTTCCCTGTCAGATTTCACCTTCTCGATGAGACGCTTGATTTTCGTTTCATTAATCCGTGAGCTATTTTTTTTTTTCCAAAAATCTAGAAATCTTCAAATGGCGATGCTTCCGTACTTGGGTCAAAAATTCCAAACTTTCAAAGAAAAATTTTTCAAAAATTTTTTTGATTTCTCAGAATAAAAAATCCCGAACGAATCGAATTTTCTCCAAGAAACAAAGTTTTTTTTATTTCCAGACAATTTGCTACGACAAACCACGCGCCAACATGTTCATGATACGCTGTCTTCAGTGGACGACTGTTATTGAAAGGACCTTTTATGCGGAATCTGCCGAGGTATTTATTCGGTCTCGAATCGAAGAAAACTGGGATTATTCCAGATGCGACACAAGTGGATCACAGCGATTGATGGAATCGCTTCTCATTTCCGGGAGCTGATGAATAAGCCACAGCCGAGTGATGAGATCGTCGAGGCGGTTCGTTTTGAGGGAAATTGGAAAACTCGGGGAAAATTTGACGAGATTTCAGTATTTCTCGGAATTGAAAGTATTATTCTGCCACTTCAGAGTAAAAAAAATATTCAACACTAACTTTTTTTTTCCAAACTGTCTTAATAAGATGTCGGTCGGTGGAATAAATATCAATTTTCAATTTTTTTTTTTGATGAATGAAAATTGATACTTGTCAAAAGTTCTACACGATTTTAAAATTGCAAAGAGTAAAGAATCATGAATTTTATTATTTTGGTACCTTTTCCGATCAAGTCTTCTGAGAAATTGTTCTTATATTCAATTTTTTTTTTCTCCTATGTAATCTTTTGAAAACTTTTTTTGAATGTTAGAGGTAGCGTATCTCGGAGCTCCACATCTTCAGCATTGATTTCGCTCTTTTCAGTAGTTATAGTGTCCTAGAAGAATTCCCTACACTTTGTAAAAATTATCTGTAAAAAGAAAAAAGCTTTGCAAAGCAAAAAAAAAGTTGGGACTGAAACAAGTTCAGATGTCCCAAGCGCAAGTCGACGAGAACAGCGAATACGCTGGAGCGGCTCACGCCATCATCGGGCAGCCGTCGATGAACAACGGCGCCTTCCCGGGTCCTTCTGAGCTCCGAGCCTCCATGATCAGTATCGCCGACACTAGCGAGGCCGCCAAACGCGACAAGATTGTTCGTTCTTGGGAAAAACAAGAAAAAAGGCAGAAGATTGAATGAGAATCGTATGGGACGTTGGCATAGCAGAAAAAAAAACAGTTTGAAGTATTAGAAATTTGTAAGAGCCTAGGCTTATGAATTATGTAGTGTAACATTAAAAAAGTACGGCGGTGAAGGACTGTATCACTCAACACTTTTTAGGCACGGTTTATGGAAACTTAAAAATAATGTTTTGAAATGAAAAGAAAAAAACAATAAAAAAGAAGAGGCTGTGTTTCGCACAATTATGTCACAAATTTCGAAGGATCGGGGGATTTTTAGATGGATAAGTCTAGCACGACTAACGAAATATTGTATGGAAAACGGAAAGCGTGTAGTACTTTTAAAATTATTTTCGAGGCAAGCCAGCCAGGATATAGTTAGCCAATATGTTCCGGCAAGACTGAAAATGAATATAGAAAATAACGTTTCTAAATTTTCGAGAGGAAAAGAATATGAAGTTCGAACATAGTAGTAATGAAATTCAAGAATAGGTGGCTTTGAAACATTTTTACCGTTTCAGTCGATGGACGATTTCGATTTCTTAAAAGTTCTCGGCAAGGGTACTTTCGGAAAAGTCATTTTATGTGTGGAGAAACGAACCCAGAAGCTGTACGCCATCAAGGTTCTCAAGAAGGACGTCATCATTGCCAGGGTGAGAACCAATTTTACTTCGGAAATTAATTATTCCTAATTTTTTTTTAGGAAGAAGTCGCCCACACTTTAACAGAAAATCGTGTTCTTCAACGTTGTCGCCATCCTTTCCTCACGGTTTGTTTGATTTTTCGAAAATATATTTTTTTAAAAGAGGTAGATTTTTATCCAGTATAAATTTTTTTCTCAATTAAGCCGTAAAAAAATTTTTTTGTAGTTTTCCAGATCAAAAATTTATATGATCGAAAAATAAGTTTTCTTAACATTTCTTCCCATTCTTTACATTGGTGTTTGTGAGAATCCGAAGTTGAAGCATTATGTAAAAAAACTGAGAGAAAGAAGTAATTTATCAAACTCTCTGCGACGTACTAGTTGAAGATGATTAACGTCTCAAAAATCGCCTATTTTTGGTGAATTAATTTAGAAAAAAAAAGATTCTCAAAGTTTAATTTTCCTCGAGCAGTTTGAAGAAGATCGACTTCTAGGGCATCAGCCACACGAAAAATCGAGATTTTTCTAGCCAACTTTCATAGTTATCCGAACTATCGAGTAGAATGATTCCTTTTGTTAAATTTTCTCTCTTTTCTTTTCTTTTCTTTCTCTCTCTTCCTGTCCCACACCGGAATGACCTGATTTATGTGTGTGTCGTGTGTTTACAGCAGCTGACGTACAGCTTCCAAACCAAGTATCATCTCTGTTTCGTGATGGACTTTGCCAACGGCGGCGAGCTGTTCACCCACCTCCAAAAGTGCGGAACGTTCAGCGAATCGCGTACCCGATTCTACGCCTCGGAAATTGTCCTCGCCTTGGGATACCTCCACTCCCTCAACATTGTCTATCGCGATATGAAGGTGCATTTTGCGGGGATTTTCATTCGATTACGGCGTGGGGTGCGGAAAGGGCAGAATTAATTGATATGATTGGAATTTTTAAAAAGCATACAGTCCCATCAATTTTTTAAATTTTTAAATTTTTGTCCGATGAGCAACTTTTGTGGTTGTCTGGACTCGGTGTTTACAGCCAATAAGGAGTCTTTCACATTAGAGCAAACTTTACAAATTTTATGAAATGTATTTTTTTTCTCGAGAGGATTAAGACCCCTTTTTGTCACTTTCTGGCGGTAAATTTTTTCTTCTTTGGAATCTTTCAGAAATTTCAGTTCACGCATATCCTTTTTTAAATCAACGCAACCTTGCAAGATTTCAGTAAGATTTCTCATTTTGTCCAATATGCTACCAAGATCGTCCGTTTTTTACAAAAAAAAATGATCGAAGAACAAATGTCCTTTCCCCACTCCGTCACGTTAGCGCGCGAATTTTCAAAGACCGATGCTAGTTTCAAAAAAAGTCTCAATTTTTCTCATTGATTCTTTTTTGCTTTTCGGAATGTTCGATTCTCCAGCTGATCATTTTTTTTTTCGCTTAGCCGTCATACCGTGGTTGTTACTGCCATCGTGGTCGTCTTTTCATTTCTACTTCTATTCTCTCTTTTTTCACTTTCTTCACTGTTGTGCTATTGTTCTCCACAGCTTCATTTTCATTTCCAACCCTCTTTATTCGGATGATTTCTTTCGAAATGATACAGATCAGTTCAGTAGGTTGGGACTGGTTCGGCGGGTCAGAGAAAATTCAGCAATAACAAAAAAACTTTATTTTTCAAAAAAAGTTGATTTTTTTAATGAAAAGTTGTGTAATTATTAAAGCTGGATCAATAGGAAATTTCTAATTTTTTTAGTCCTAACACACATTGTCAGTTTTAGTTTTGAAATACAGTGCTTTTTAAGTATTTTCTTGCTCACAGGAAAAAGAAACGCCGTAAAAGTTTAAAAAAAAAAGAGAAAAACGCTTTGAAAGTAATTTGGAGGTTTTTTCTGATTTATGAGACTCCAGAAAGATTTGAAATAAAAAAATCGAGAAAAAAATTAAGTTTTTTTAGATATGATTCACGACTTGAAAAACCGCTGGACCCGGAAAAAATGTATATAATATTCGCTTTGAACTGCTGATTTTTTTGTTTGACCCTGATTGGTTTCCAATGAATGGTGCAGGAGCTGAAGTACTCGTTCCAAACCAACGACCGACTCTGCTTCGTCATGGAGTTCGCCATCGGCGGCGACCTATACTACCATCTGAATCGTGAAGTCCAGCTCAACAAGGAGGGCTTTTCGGAGTCGCGAGCCCGATTTTACGGCGCCGAGATCGTTCTCGCTCTGGGCTACCTCCACATGAACAATATTGTCTATCGCGACCTCAAGGTGGGCTCTACAATCGGCATGATTCTTCTTCTCCTTGGTGGTTGTGACGTGCCGCTAGTGTAGTGCTGAAGGCTGGATTGGTTCGTTGGTCATTTGGTTCCCCTTATAAAAGGGATACAAAGGTTTCTGGTTGGGAATTGAATCTAATTGGATTGATGTGTACTTTAGGACACCATGATCCCAATTCATTCTCAAAAAACAGCGCTTTTTGTCGTTTAGTAGACTTATGGCGCCTCAAAGTTTGCCTAAACTTTGCAGTAGAGAAAAAAAAATTTTTTTTCTCGAGTCATATCTCTAATAAAAGACTGAAGTTTTCACTTAAATTTGCAATCAAGGTATCTCAGAGTACGTCAAACCGAAGTTTTTTTTTTAAATTCTCAACTGGATACTTTTTGCATCTGTCTCTTGTTATTTACTGTCTAGAATACCACACTGGAAGCTGGTCTTATCGCACTAGTTCTATTACTTGCAGTTTTTCAAATTGATTTCGAATCTGAGCTCTAAACTTGGTCTGCGAGATAGGCTAGTGTGAGACCATCCAACAAGTTCTGGATCGGCACCCGTTAGATAGTGTCGTCGTGCCGTACTATCGCATTTTCCTTGGTGCGACCTCGCTTATCTGTCGCATTTCTTAAGAACTCAAAACAATTGAAAATTTCCAAAATGCGACACCGGCATGGATACAAAGCAGCACTTTTTCGAGGTCTTTTATCGCCAGCGGTCTCGCTTTCATTCTTAGTGAGTGTCTCAAATTTACGATAAGCAAAACAGTGTGCATAAAGTGGAGGGATATAAAACAAACCAGAAATCTTGCAATTTTTATGACCCAAGTTAGCAATTTATGAAGGAGATCCATTTCTTCAGAGTTCAACTCATAATTTGATATTTTAAAATATGATCTAGTTACTTATTTGCTACAACTGGAACGTTTTTAACTTTTCTGCGTTCTTTTTTTCCTCTCATAGGTCATAGAACCAAGAAGATAAAAATCAGAACAAGCAATTATTTCTACTTGGAAGTTGATTATTTTTAAATGGAAAATAATCAACGTTTAATGTCTCTCCTCTATTTTTTTGACGATTGAAATTGATAATTTATACATTCAGCTTCTTTTTTTCAACTTTTTGTAGTGTCTGTGGTTCGATATGTGCATAAATTGTTTCATTTTCTCATATTCCTTTTCGGTTTCATATTAGTTTGGAATTTTTGTTTTTTTTTTTTTTATTGGAATCTTTTGGCTCTCTTATTGCTTCTTACCTCAACTAGCTATCGGTCTTACGCGTTCGCAACAACAAAAAATCACAGGATTTTAATAATTTTACCCGATTTTAGCTCGAGAATTTGTTGCTCGACAGAGAAGGACATATAAAAATTGCCGATTTCGGTCTCTGCAAGGAGGAGATCCGTTTCGGCGACAAGACAAGCACTTTCTGTGGAACACCAGAATATTTGGCTCCTGAGGTATACAGAAGTTGAAAACCTGAACAAACTCAATGGGAAGTTATTTTCAAGAATTCTTTCTCTGTTTTTCGCGTACCACGTTCTTTTTTTTGCGAATTTCTCTTAAAATTTGTACTTTACTCTCCACGACTTGAAACTCTCTCATGTAGAATAGCTCATGTAGAAACGCGTTGCGGTCGCCCTGCGGCTCATTTTTGAAGTTTTGCGGCCCTCCAGACTTTCAATTTTATAGTATCCCTAAGCGTAAACCTTTCCAAGTACGCTGTTCAATTTGTCAAAAAATCATAAAGCTGAAATTCAAAACTTTTTCAGCTACTAATCGAGATAGAATAGGTTATGAATCCTGTAAAAACGCATTCAGTAGCGCTTTTCCCAGGAAATAAGCCTTTTTTAACTATTCAAACTCCAAAAAATGAAAATAATTTTCGAGTTTCGATCATAATTTCGTTGTCAAGGTACTCGAAGACAACGACTACGGACGATGCGTCGATTGGTGGGGCGTCGGCGTCGTTTTATACGAGATGATGTGCGGCCGACTTCCATTCTACTCGAAAGACCATCAGAAACTCTTCGAGCTGATTCTCGGCGGAGAACTCCGATTCCCGAGCAAATTGAGTCCCGAAGCGAAGATCCTCCTCAGCGGCCTTCTCGTCAAGGATCCTGCCAATCGGTAGGACTCCTTTTCTTGAAACTCTCGATAACTTCAGAAATGATCGTTCCCGTAAGAAAATATCTTACTTCAATGAATACGCGATCTAGAAAAGTATACCATCTCGAAACTTTTTTTTTTTCAGCCTCGGTGGAGGGCCGGATGATGCGCTGGAAGTCTGTCGACAGGACTTTTTCCGCGAAATCGACTGGGAACGCGTTTATTTGAAGGAGATGGAACCGCCGTACAAGCCGTCCGTGGAGAGCGACACGGACACCAGCTACTTCGACAAGGTTGGCAAAAGAAAGAACGAGAAAAGAGTAGTCCGTTTTCCGCGACGTGACTCGAAATTCAATTCAAAAAAGACAGAATTTCATATAAAAACTAGAATTTGTAGAAGTAAACATTTTTTCCCAAAATTTTTTTAATTTGAAATGGCGCTGGATGGAAAATTTCCATAAAGCTTTCAAGTAAGCTTTAAGCTGTTAATTTTTTCAAAAAATTTCAATAAATGACGTTTTGAGATTCACTTCGGAAGCGTGAAAAACGTGAAATGAAAAAAAGCGGTGATCAAGTCTTCTAGAAGCGGTTTATGACTTGTTCAACAGAAAAATGAGGAAATGAATTTGAACATTGTGTTATAATTCTCTTCGAGGCGGAGATATTTTCCCAGTAGATTCAAAAATGAAACATCCTTTCCAGGAGTTCACCTCGCAGCCGGTGCAGCTAACGCCGCCGGAAACGCGTTCCGGAAGCTTGGCGACCGTTGATGAGAACGACGAAATGCAGGGCAACTTCACGCAATTCTCGTTCCACAACAACTTCGACAACAGTTTACTCAAAAACAGCTCCGAAACGCTGGAAACAACGGCGTGAAATTATTATTTCTTGTTTTGTACTAATCGTGTACATTATCGCTAATTGTATTATTTATCAAAACTGAATAGTGTTCAATCTACATATAGGTGTTTACAATAGCTTGCTGGTAAATCCTAAGAGTTTTTAGGCCATCCTGCGCTTTTGAAAAGCTGTTGTTAATTATTTTAGCGCGTTCAAAGGGAATTTCACACGGAAAATTAGTGCATTGAGTGTCCACTTGAGGGTATTCAATGCTAGAATATTTCTGCACGAAAATTACTGAACGCGCCATTTTGATTTTTAACCCAATTAAGTTTAAATCTGTTTTAAGCGGAATATCTGGTAAACCCATCGTGTTATTCCTGTATGTTTTTAACCATTTTGAAAATCTTTGTGAGTTTTGTTCCATCATGCTGTTTCATCGAGAAAAATTAACTTTCGATTCAAAATTCGGTTCACATTCATGTCACCTTCATGTATCATCAAGACAAGCTCCTGTATATTATACTTTTCTCTGTTCCACTTTATCACATTCGGAAATGGGAGTTTGACCTGTGCGGTTTTCTGTTCCAATTTTTTTGACTTTGAATCAAATTTTCGAAGAATTATATCGATTTTCTCACATTTCATACGCAGAAAATAAATGTTGTTGTGTTGCAGAGCGGCATGAGTGTCGCAAGAAATTAATGTTGAAACCGTTGGAATATTTATCAGTGGCTCGGTTGAAGCTCACTGATTCACACGTTTTCAATCCTTTGGTTTATTTCAAAGAGAAATTATTTTAGTTTTTCTTTTTTTCAAATCTATTATATTTAATCATGCGTTTGAAGTTTCATAGTCGCAATTTTTAAAGGCGTCGAAAAAAGTGAGTCATTCTTTCCTCATTTCTCATGTTGATAAACAGTTTTTTTCGTTTAAAACTGCCAGAATTTTCATTCTCTTAATTTCATCATGTCTTTAAGGTTGATGCGAATCTTCGGGTTCGTTAGGAATTTACTAGGCGTGGAGAACGATTCAAACAAGGTTTTTTCTTTTTCATATCCTTTCACATAAAGAGGCTGGGAAGCAACTAAAAGTATTCGAGAGGATTCAAAAAGGATTAGGCTATGAAAAGGGAGCTCAAAATCTTTTTCACATCGTTTAGGAGCTTTTAGAGGAACCTTTTACGTTCCTTTTGAGGACCCTCGAAGAAACTTTTGCATTTTAGCTATGAACGTTGTTTTCAAATTAGAGAGTAGATTTCGTGATGTGTAAACTTGCAAAGTGTTTCGAGATTTTTCTTTCTCAAGTTTGTTCGAATATTCTAATCAATGTTCTAGATGCAATGCGAAGATGTTCTGCCGCCGGACATTTGGCGGGAGATTCTGCTTCGAACCGAGGAAGAAACTCTGAGAAGCGCAGTCAAGGTATTTTGGTTTCATTTTATTCTTATTGTTTCTTTTTTTTCTCATTAATAGGATCTGAAAGTTTTCCGGTTCCACGAAGTTGAGTAGTTTTCACGTTTATCCATTGGCAAGTGTGATTTTGAAACGTGCAGGCAATCTATTTCAGCTTCGGAAAAATGAAAAGCTTTCCTAGAAGTTTCGAAGAGAAAAAGAATAAAAGCGATATTTTTCAGGTCTGCCGAACGTTTCGCGAAATTCTCTCCGATGACAGTTTCTGGGTGAGACGCTCGAAGTTTAACGGTCGAACTTTTTCTCTGCCGCCAGTCTCTTGGCGCCACGCTTTCCAATCTGGCCAAGTTGATTTTCCGGAAAACGTTGAGCCGACCGGATTCTTCTTCGATACCGCCAGAATCTACATGTCGGGGAAAGGATTCGGGACGCATTTGGCTTTGAATCTCCGTGAAGGCTCGACTTTGGAACAGCTCCAAAGAGAATACGACATCCGTTTCAGTCAAGGAGGCAACGGGTTGGTGATCTTCATTCATAGAAGCCTTTTGGGGCATTTTATACCCCGCAAATGTGGGGCCTTAGGATTTCTCTAAAGTTTAATGCTTTTAAGAAATACTGCTGGAAATTTGAACGCAGATTTCTTAAAAGTTTTTTACTGGGTTCAGTGGAGCTAAAATAGGAAATTATTTGCAATGAAAAAAACTTTTGCCTCATTTAACCGAAACTGAAATTTTTTTATTTAAAAAAAAACTTTTTTTCGCAGTTTTGCGATTGAAACTCCGCCGCACGGTTGCGTCAACGATCATCCGGACGTCGAGACTTGCTTCGCCACGACTTTCAACTATTGTCACTACAATTTACGAGTCGATCTGACCAAATGGGGCATCGAGGTTGCCATTTTTGAATTTTCAAGAACCATTTGATATTCAGGAGTGGGTACTTGACTATATCAGGCCGACAATCAGAATCACCGAACTGGTGGCGCCTCGAAACGACTGCGGCTGCAGTTATGAGATTTACGCGAGGCTTTCGGAAGAAAATCGCGCTCATTTTGGATCCGTAAATTATCTCGATCCACAGTTTCACTCGTACTGCAAGTTGGAGAAGCGGGAGTGGCCGCAGTGGAGCGGTTGGTTTTGAAGGAAATATTGGAATGATCACTAGACTTTTTTTTATTTTGAAACCATCCGACCTGATTTTAAATTAAAAGAGCTTGATAAAATCCAATTCTTGGGTTTCAATTTGTAGAAGCTGGTTCTTTTTTTTTAAAGATCTGTCTCGAAAGCAATAGAGATAACAAATGATCCTTATGGTGTAATGAGATTATAATTGTACAGAATAGTATAGAATATTCTCGAATAAACTAAGCCAAAGCTCAACTCATTCAGAATTTCATCTTCCGATTTTGAAGTAGTTTAGTTTTGATAAGTTGATAGGGCACCAAAAAATATGCAGAACTTTGCTTTGAGGGCCAGTTTCTTTCAAAATTTTAAGCGAAAGTAAATCTTCAATTACTGAGCTGCATGCGTGCGATGACCCTGTTAAGCGTCGGTCGCCCCCGAGAAAAAAATAAGAACATATATTAGTGTCAAAAAAATGTTTTTACGAAAGATATGCGAGAAGTTAAAAAAGAAAGAATTTGAAAAAAAGTTAAATTTCAAAGCGGGGCACCGCCGACAACATGGTTTTATTGAATAAATATAGGAAGGACTATATTTGAATTTTCTAATGTTGATTTTTGAAATCAGCGTGGTCGGTTTAGTCTAGATTCATCTTTGACAGTCTTTCAGGACGTCGCTAACGCGCTCGGTCGTTTTAGAAGTACTGAGGCGCGCCGTCAAACGCCGGTGGTCGCCGATGCCGAGCGCGTGAGCGACGTCCTGAAAGACTGTCAAAGATGAATCTAGATTAAACCGACCACGCTGATTTCAAAAATCAACATTAAAAATTTCAAAAATGAGTCTTTCCTATATTTATTCAATAAAAACCATGTTGTCGGCGGTGCCCCGCATTGAAGTTTCCTTTTTTTTTCTAATTCTAATTTTTTTTTTTCTAGCTCCTCGCATGAAGTTACGTATTACTAGGCAGCGAAAAACGAGAAAAAGCTGGAAAAGCGGTTTTTCAATTTATCCCTTTCCTGAACGCTGCTAAAAAAATTTTTTTTTGGGGGTCGCCCCCTCCCCCGGATCTTGCTATACAGTGGTCCCCCTCCCTCATCTCGGTGGATCTCCGACATGACTTTCGCACGTATGACTGAGCTCGAAATGTCACTTCAATAATATTGTATTTTTTTGAGAAACTTCTATTATATTTTTTTGTGCAGTTCTATAATTCAAGAAACAGGAGTTTCAATGAGCTCATTTTAAGTAATCCGCTGAGGCCTGTGACTGATATCAAGCGATTTGCGAAATTAATGTTCCCGATGATCATCACGCATGCAGGGTTCAAAATAATTTTGACGAATTTGAAATCACCGAGAAAAAAGTGGAAAAGATAACGAAAAGTTTCGGAAAGTCATACATCATTTCAAATTTTGCCGACATTGAACGTGGCGTTAAGATCTTTTCCTTAAACATTTTTTCCAGAGTTATAAAGAGAATTCTCTGATTGTTTTTCAGGCTGTGGCTGGGAAGAGGTGGCGCTGGAAATCTCTGAATATCCGATTGGAATGCGATTTTTGAGCATCACTTCTGGCGGAAAAGATTCTCAGTTTTGGAGTGGTCACTACGGTCCGAAGATGGCGCGGCTTAAAATCGAGATCGTCCTGCCGTCGGAAGGGCCTCGACTCCTTTCTCCTGAACTTTGGGCAGATAATCAGGAGCCCCACTTCCTTGCCGATGAACCGTTCATTCGAAACTTCAACCCAGAACATCGGAGACTTCATCAGACCTTGAGACGGTTCCATAGAGGAGGTCACTAAAGGAGCCACTGGCACATTACCAAAGAAAATTCTGATGCAACTTGGCTGGAGTTTACTTGAGGATTCCAAAAAAAAAAAATAGACCTTGTTTAAAAGTTATGACCATTCTAAGAGCGCAAGCTACAAAAACTAAGGAGAAAAGGCGTTATTTGAGGTTTTTGAAGCTCGATGAGTCGGAAGTAGGATCTAGTCTGAGAAATTTTTTTTTTTGAGGTCTTAAAGTTCACCACAGCCAAAATTGAAAAAAAAATTCATCCGGGGACTATTAAATTTCTCTTGTAGTTTGATCAAGTGTTTTAACTCAATCGCTACGATTTGAAACAGTCTGACTTGTCTGCGCTCTCTTTTTCCTCAACGAAAGTTTCATAGAAACATGAAGACATGTGAACAAGAGGTCGTAAAGAAGACTTTTTCATGATAGTAGGGAATGAACTATGAAGATTGCAAGTTTGTGGGAATTTCACACCGTAATGTTTTTCTTTTCAATTTCACGTGCCCGTCTTTTTCCCTAATGTATATAACTTTTAAATTTATCTTTTACTTCCCCTGTCCGACGAGTTTTCTTTTAGACGTGTAGATGAATTTATCGCTTCACCTTGTATGTACTTGTTCGATATAATAAAGTTTTTTTCGAATTGATCTCATTTTTCTTTTCTGTTGGATTGTTGGAATTCTGTCTCAAATACTAGGAAAATTTTTCAAGTCAGTTCTGCAACCTTACGGTACTTTTGAATAATTTATCTTGAATAATAATTTAATTCATAATCACTTTGATCTGTAAAATACTTCTTTGAGCTTCCACTCCTGTGAAAATTTTCCGCCATAACATTGAACAGATCCAGTAAAGTTATATTATATATCGTTTCGAAGCACGATGTCTGGTTCAGTCGTTAATTTTGAAGATTTTTGTACCAAAAGAAATTAGTCATCTTTCTTTTTCTCAAAAAAAATTTATAAAAAAAATTAGAATAAAAAGGGGACCTGTCTAATTATTCATTTTGTCGACCAAGTTCCTTTTTTTCAAGCCTCTGTTTTTCTCAAAAAAATAATTTTTTTCGAGAAAAATCGCTTCACAAATTATGACAGTGTTAACGGAATTTCGGAACTTCGACAATTTTGAAGTTCAATAATGGCGCGTTCAGGAGCAAAAACGCGAAATTTTTCGAAATTCAAAAGAGCGTTCACGGCGATACTTCGAAATTAGCGAATTTCGATTTTTTTGAGATAATTTTGAGAAATTTCAAAAAAATAGCGAGAAAAATTGGTTTCGCGCGAAATGGGTTACGGTATATTGACATTTTTGTGTGCCAAACGCAGTTTTTTTCTCTTTTTTTCTTTTTTTCAGATAATTTTTTTCTTTTTATTTTTTTCAATTTTTCAACCCGTTCAAAGTTATTGATTTTAGAAATAGTACGAATGAAAGCCTTAAGTTAATTTTTTTTCGACGGTCTGAACTTAAAAAAAGTTCAATTTTACTCAAATTTCTTTTATTTATCGTTTTTATTTTTTTCCAACGGATGTATCAGAGTGTTTGAAGTTGCAGGTCTCTAAACTATGGCGGGTATTGGATTACCGAAAGTGCTAAAGTTGAAAAAAAGGTTAATTTTCATTCAAAAAAACTTTTTTTCGCAATTATTTTTTTACAATTTTTGATTCTTTTCACAAAAAAAAATTTAGACTCGTTAGGGAGGCACGAGCGGCTCGTGTGAAGGTAACGCAAAATTTTCGTCTCTACAGTCAAGCATAAATTCGTGAGTTCTCTTATTCTTCGATATTATTTTCTTTTATTTTCAATATGTCTTGTCTGTTCAGTTGTACACGAAAAATGAATACCACGGTTCAACCGGTGGTATGAAAAAAAGAACAGCAAAAACTCGAACGACTACTTTTCCGATTATTTCATATCGCTAGGGAACTTTCCGACTAATCTTTTATCGAATTTTCTTCTCAATAAACTTTTCGTTTTAAATATCCCTGTATAAAGTAAACAAGTTATTCATATTTTAAACACAAAAAAATAGGAAAAAAATATGTTGATAGATGTTTTATAAACCGAAAAAAATATAAGGGAAAAAAAGTCGGAAAGGGATTCGGCAGAAAAAGTGGCCGTCGGAAAGTCCCCTAGCGATATGAAAAAATCGGAAAAGTCGCCGTTTGAATTTCTGCTTGTGTTTTTTTCATACCACCGTTCAATCAGCCTTTCCTTTCTGGAAAAATTTCTGCTGCTTACAGGCCTGAGACGAACGGTTTACGAAGGACACGCCGAAAGACTACACGTGGAACTTGGATCTTTCCTTATGAAACTTTTTCTAATAAAAAAATTCATTGTTTTTCTTCTGCCTTTCAGAAACATCTCATAACAAAAACAGTTTCTGTTGTTAAGTTTTTTTAATTTGATTAACTAAGCAGCTTGTTTTTTTCACATTTATTTTTTTCAAGAAGGTAATGCTCATCATCTTTATTCAAACAAATGATAGAGAAAAATAAAGCGTAATAAAAACAAAATCAAAAATCATTGAAACGAAGAAGAAGTTAAAAAGCTGTGGATTTGACAAAATCGAGACATGGTAAATTCCAAATTTATCCGGCTGGCCACAACAATGTCTTGTTCGAATGAGCTGAAAAAAATTCAATACTTTTTCTTTTAATGAAATGAACCAGTTATTGAAAAATTGTATAAATAAAAAAACCTTCTATTTCCTTCTTGACCGTTGCGTCGAAAAATCACGGATTTATGCTTGACTGTAGAGACGAAAAATTTTGCGTTACCTTCACACGAGCCGCTCGTGCCTCCCTAACGAGTCTAAATTTTTTTGTGAAAAGAATCAAAAAAATTGTAAAAAAATAATTGCGAAAAAAAGTTTTTTTGAATGAAAAATTAACCTTTTTTTCAACTTTAGCACTTTCGGTAATCCAATACCCGCCATAGTTTAGAGACCTGCAACTTTAAACACTCTGATACATCCGTTGGAAAAATAAAAAACGATAAATAAAGAAATTTGAGTAAAATTGAACTTTTTTTAAGTTCAGACAGTCGAAAAAAATTAACTTAAGGCTTTCATTCGTACTATTTCTAAAAATCAATAACTTTGAACGGGTTGAAAATTGAAAAAAATAAAAAGAAAAAAATTATCTGAAAAAAAGAAAAAAAGAGAAAAAAACTGCGTTTGGCACAAAAATGTCAATATACCGTAACCCATTTCGCGCGAAACCAATTTTTCTCGCTATTTTTTTGAAATTTCTCAAAAATTATCTCAAAAAAATCGAAATTCGCTAATTTCGAAGTATCGCCGTGAACGCTCTTTTGAATTTCGAAAAAAATTTCGCGTTTTGCTCCTGAACGCGCCATAATATTTTTTTATCGAGTTTTTTTTCGATCAATCGATACGTTTGAAGCTAATTTTTTGGTTGAGAAACGAAGACGCCATTATAGATAGCACTCCCAAAAGTCTCCTCTTGGCGCATTCCGCGTGCGTGCGCGCGCCAATTCAAATTTCGTCTCTTGGACTAGATTTACAGGCTTCCAGTATATGGTTCTTTTTTTGTATAATTTTTTTCTTACTTATTCATTTCCAGTTTTTTTATTTTATTTAATATTGACTCATTTAGGGAATCTAACTTTATTTAAGAAAGTTTTTTTCTTGTTTTAGCGCCAATTCAAATTTTCGCCTTCACTCACTTGCACAGGCAAATGGGGAAGGTACCATAATGTGCCCACAAATATACCTCTTAAAAAGAATCTTGAATATTCCATAATATGTCCATCGTGAGACGTCGAGCATAAATTTTAGCTCTAGCTGACCAGGGAATGGTGTCTAGTCGCAGTTGGATTTCAGAATGAGACCCAGTCCACTAAATGAAGTTTTTCATGCTGTTTCCAAATCTGTTCTCAAAAAATGCCGCGGAGGTCCGTGAAAAAAGTTTTTTTTTGGAAAAGTTTTTGAGCGGAGATACGATTTTTCAAAGCTCCTCGCATGATAAGGAAATTTGCTGCTGAAAATTCATTCTTCGTTTCTCATGAGCGAATAGAGAACAACGTGTACAGCTTATACAAATTTCAAAGGAAGTCTGAAAACAGAATGAATAAAAATTAGAAAACCGAAATGACTAAAAATAATAATAATAAAAACCTGGGAAGCATTTCCAGGCTACTCGGTAGCAATCAAAAATTTCAGGTACTCTGCCCGTATATCCAGTTATCATAGATATGATACCCGTGTAAAATTAATTGGAAGTTTTTTTATGCAAGAAAAAAATTATTCAAAAAAACCATATACTGGAAGCCTGTAAATCTAGTTCAAGAGACGAAATTTGAATTGGCGCGCACGCACGCGGAATGCGCCAAGAGGAGACTTTTGGGAGTGCTATCTATAATCACTAAGAATAACTGACGAGATAAACGCGAGGTCGGTGGCGGTACATTGACGAACTCGCAAACATCTCGCTTTTTTCTAGGCGCGATCCCGCATTTCTCTCGGCGCGACCTCGCATTTTTCTTGGCGCCATCTCGCATTTATCTCGCATTTCGGAAATTTTCAAATTGCGAGAGAAATGCGAGCTCGCGCCTAGAAAAATGCGAGCTCGCGCCCAGAAAAATGCGAGACCGGCGCGAGAAAAAAAGCGAGATGTTTGCGAGCTCGTCAATGTACCGCCAGTGTCTCGCGTTTATCTCGGCAGTTATTCTTAGTGATGGCGTCTGAGAAACGATAATGTAACTGATCTGAAAATTTTTTGTCTGTACTGTCCTAGTTTTCAATAGAAGCAAAAAAAGTTAATTTTTTTCGAAGACGATGCAAAAACAACGTAGAAAGAAACTTATTTCAAATATATCAAAATAGGCCTTTTTAATGGAAATAAACGGGTAGCGGGATCTTTTTGAGCTAGATTTCATTATTCATCTTAATTTTTTTAATTTTTTTCAGTTTTTTTCGCTTGAAGTACCGCCGCGAGGTTGTTTTGATGAAGATGTCCGTTTCTGTTTCGCCACAACTTGCGATTTCGGTTCCTACAACACAATGATCCATTTGAGGGAAGACTGGGGAATCGAGGTTTCAGATTCTATCTTTTTTTCATTTTTCAAGGGAAATTGCTTCACGTAAACGGTAAATTGCGTTTTTCTGAAAGTAATGTGATTTCAAAACGCGCCTTCTTTTATGGAAAATTATGAATTTTTGGGGATCTAAGTTGTACTTTTGGAATCGCGTTAAGCATGAATTAAGGTTTTTTTTTCAAATTTAATATCATGATACTTTTTTTTGAAAAAAAAAATTAGATCCAGAAAACATTCATGATTTCATGGAATTCTATGAAATTTCCGTATTCATTCCTCTACCTTTGGAAAGATAATTCTGAATTTTTCAGGAATGGGTACTCGACTACGTCAGGCCGACGATCAGAATCACCGAGTTGGTTTCTCATCAGAAGAATTGCGCCTCGGAATATCAGATCTGCGCGAAACTTTTGCGACGCGACATGGGATATGATTATGATCCGAGATTCTATCTCGACCCGAAATTTCATTCTCATTGCAAGATGGAGAAGCGAGTCTGGTCCAAGGATAGCGGTGAGTGTTCTCTTGAGGGGTTTTTTTTTGAGGACAAAGTATTCAGTTTTTTGAAAAAAATATGTATATATATGAATTTTTTTTTCAAACATCATGACGAAGTTTTAAAACAGCAACAGAAGCAAGTTAATTCGAAAAAAATTAGATAAAGAAATAAAAAAAGGAAAATAAGTTCGGTTTTTTTTTAATATAAAAGAGGCTTTTTTTTTGCTCTCTTTGTTGTAGCATTTTTTAGAAAGACAATTTTTGAACAATTTTTGAACAATCACAAGTAGAACGTTGAACACGAATCAAACAGCCTACTCAGAGCGCTCACAGGAGCACTCGACAGTTGGAATGAACATTTTTGACTGAATCCCCTCAATTAGTTGTAAATTGGTAAAAATCATTCAAATTGATTTCCTCACGGATCCATAGCGACTCCTTCCCGCTACACTCTGAGTTAGTTTTGGTGGTCATCAACCTTCAACAACTAACTTCCAAGTTCTGAACCAAACTCAGCTTCTTTATTTTTTTTTTCAGACTGCGGAAGAGGTGATCCTGGAGATCTCAGAATACCCTATAGAAATGCGAAATTGAGCATTTCTTCTGGTGGACGGGATTTGGAGAATACGGAAGGTCATCACGGTCTGAAAATAGCGCGGCTTCAAGTCGAGGTCGTTCTCCCGCCGGAGGGACCCCGGGTTCTCCCTCCACAACTTTGGGAAGATGATGAAGAAAAACATTTCCTCAAGTACGAACCCTTCACTTCTGATTCCGCTATTTTGAATCTCAGACCATTTCGGATTGAAAGATGTTTCCGTGAACGTGTATTTTGAATAAACAAAATTGTAGCTTTTTTCTCAAAATAATGTTGGGCGGTATGAAGGAGCAAAGACTCAATTGATCACAAGTCTAGTCCGAAAATCTTTTTCACTGTTTTTTCAAGTCGTGCGAGACTTGTCTTATTGTCACACTCTTAATTCCAAAAAAAGCAGTTCATTTCCATTCAAGAAAGCTTAAAATTCATGTAAATTTTTTTCATTTCAGACAGCATTCTCGTATATTTTTTTATTAGGATAAATTTTTTTCGTTTTTTTATTTTCGTTATTTTGGACAACGTGATGGTGGAAGTAATGTGAAATTCGTGTGATTTCTTATTCCCAGGTTCAGATGAATACAATGACCGTCTTGAAACCTTTTTCGGGGAGTCAAAAGTTTGAGGAAAACTTGGATTAAAAAAGAAGGTTTCAGATGCAAGCCGCAGAAGAAGCTTACCAGTTGAAGAACTGCAGAAATTCATGCTTGGAATCGAATTTTCAACAGTCGAAGAGATTCTTTGGGATTAGGTAAGGAAATATAAATGTATAAGTTTTTTTTTGCTGGGTTGTTCAAAGCGAATAGAGCCAAACTTTTTGGAAAAACTTTTCTCCAAACGAAGAGCTTTTTTTCGTGTTATTTGGGTCATGCAAGACTTTTCTTTTTTTTTAAAGATTATATTCGATGTAAAGTTCATTTTTCACTTCCTACAAGGTAATCTTTGAGACTTAATTTAATAAATTTGATTTGTAAGAGAGAGAAAACGTTCCTGGGTCTTGAAATTAGTGTTTTGGTTTTGGAAAACTTCATTTTGCCAAAATCAAGTTGAGTTTTTTTGTGTGTCATGTAATTTTTATTCATTTCACCTGCGTTAAAGATTTTCGCCTTTATATTTATTTATTGGTTTGTTTTTTAGGTTTTTTCATATCTGCCATTCGGAAATGTCTATAAATTTTTGATATAGTTTTATAAATGGAGGCTAAAGGATTTCCCTAAAGGGTCTCGAAGCCAAGAGTCGTTTTTAAGGTTTTTTCTACTTCATGCAATACTTTTGCGCATCTAATAATCTCAGCAAAGGTTCTTGAAAACATTAATTTGTGCCAATATTGTTCTCCTAGTCAACAATGATCATTTGAATTTTCACGGTGATTCATCGGTTCAGAAATGACGAGACATTCAAATAATGCATCAATCCGTCTAACTCACTAGGGAACTACTCGGACTCGTAATCGCGGATCGAGCTCAAACTTTAGTGGTTTATAGACGTAAGTGAGAATACTTGAAAACAAGTGAGAATATCTGCTAAACCCGATATAGAGCTAAGAAAAAAATTAGTAGAAAATGTGAAAAATTAGGCCTGAAAAATTTTTCAGAATACTGCCATTTTTCAGAATACTGCCCTTATTTTATATTTTAATAAAATCGCCTTGAATGATTCGGCTATGATAATCTCTAAAAAACTTTTTCCCGGCAAAAGAAGAAGGAAAGCAAAAATTTGATAATTTTCAAGCCTAAACTGTTCATTTTCAAAAAGCTTTTTCTCAGAAGCCTATGGGGTTTAGCATATAATCTCTCTTGTTTCCAAGTACTCTCACCAGGGTCTATTAGCCACCAAAGTTTCAACTCGAAACGCGTACCCGAGTCCGAGTAGTTCCCTAGTCAGAACATCACTCTTCAATTAGCTTCGTTTCTCGTTAATTTAATTTAAGTATTTTTTCCCTTCCGTCACGAAATAATTTGATTTTTCTGGAATCGCTCTTGTTCGCAAAAAGGGCTTTTTTCTTGGAACCCCCTTAATTGTCTACCTTCCATACATGATTAAAGTGTAGTGACTAAAGTGCCAATGACTCAGGCTTTTCCTGCGATAACTCTAAGTTCTTTTGATTTAGATTTTTGATCTTCTGGTAAACGATTTTCAGTGCCTAACTGTGTCAAAAATTGTAAGGAGCTTTTGAAAAATTGGCCCGTGATGACATTAATATACTTTGAAGTCTCCATTTACCGCCAATCGTCGGAATAATTAGAATCAAATATAGTACCATTTTCATTGAAATTTTTTTTTCGTGTCGTAGTTTTTTAGATGTATGCAGTAGATTTTTCTTATTTTAGAGCGTTTCATTCAAATAATTGATTAAATGCTTAGGGCGGAACCTAAAAATCATTTGAATGTCTTTTTTTGTGAGTTTCTAGGCTTTTAATTTTTTTAAACCGGGCTTTTGACCTTTTCAAAAAAAGAACAAGATATTATATTCACGTACAGTTCGGAGTGTTTCACACGTTTTTCTTTGATTTCACGATTTTTTTTTTTAAAAAAAACACCATCTGCTTCACTTATAGCTTGTAAATGTAGCTTTCATTTGGAAACAACTCACTTGTCAAGGGGGAATTGAAGACGTAGGGCAGAGCTCAGTCTTTAATTTCCACTATCTGATCTTTCTTTTATAACCTACACATAACGTGGAGGCCATTTACGAACAGCTTGAAGTGGTGATTAACTTTTTTTTTCTCTTCTTTGACTCCGCCTTTTGGCCTTCTCAGCCAAGCTCTTTTTTAGCCAACTAATCTTTATTCATAGAGTTTCAAAAGTTTTTTTTTGAAATCAATAAGCTTTACTGTATTTTTTACCTTTTATTTTTTTTTTTTGAAGCCGAATTTTTTCATAAACAATGTTTCGTAGTAATCTTCAAATCTCGGAGGCACTTTTTTCACGTCTTCAAATTTTTTTCGAATTCGGAACGATCTTATAAATGTTCATTTAATTCATACTCGATTTTCAGAGTTTTTAGTTTATTTTTTTTTGGCAAACTATTTGCTGATTTTTCTTCATTTTTTTATACTACTTATTCAACATTTTCCACTGATAATTTTATTTCAATGGAATTTCACAATGAAACTCTGATTGATCACGATACTAGATTGGAAATTATGTTTGGCGGCGTCATTTTCTTCCTGGTTTGGCCTTTTGATCATTATTTGTTTTTAAAAAAAAATGTTCCTTTTTATCGAACCTCATTAAGCCCGATAACTAGGCCGTTAAATAAGAAAAAATTTTCTACGTTTGAACGAAGATTTTTTTTCTTCAGCTTCCATAGTTTGGATTGATATATTCCTTACCAGGGAAAGTTTTTTACACCCCGATCGAACTTTTGCTGAAAATTTGCTGAAGTGTACTTTGGGACCCCCTGATTGCAGATCAAGAAAAAAAATTTTCGCAATAGATCTTGTTTCCGAGTTATGAAGCTTCAAAGTGGGCAAAACACGCAAATTAGGCCAAAAAAGCGCTATTTGGGGTTTTCGAAGTGTCCTAACTCGAAAACGAGATCTATTGCGAGAAATTTTCTTTTTGTTCTGGAATCAGGGGGTCTTAAAAAGTACACTTCAGCAAAGTTTCAGCAAAAGTTCAACCGAGGCGTAAAAAACGTCCCCTCGTTAGAAGGACATGGTCGCACGTGGAATGACTCGGAGCGAATTCATGGAGAGTCAGTTTGAACTCAAAAAAAGATTTCAACTTTTTCTCGTTTTCTCATTCCAAACGATTTGATAGTGAAAAAGTTTTAATTCAAATCGGGATAAAATATAACGGTGAATCAACTTCAAAACCACCTCTGACGTCATTAATTTTGCAAAGTCGTAATTTTTGTTTTTTCAGCTGAGTCTTATCGGCGTGCTTATCAACGCATTCCTGTTGTTTTTGTTCTTGTCGGACCCTGCCTTCAGCGGCGATTTCTACAAACTCTGCGTTTCGAAAACGATCAGCAATTTGGTCGTCCTCTTGACACACCTTCTTTGGGTCGCGCCGTGTAGTATATTGTCAGTTTTGCAAGCTGTAATTTTTTTATTTTCCGAGAAAAGCTGCGAAGGATCAAAGAAGTTTTTCAGTAGTACAGGTGGTGCGGTTCAACAAAACATTTCCAAAAATTTTTTGAGATCGTCTCGCACTTTTGAAATAACCCTCAAGCTTCTGTGAACTCACCATGGGACATTTGGAAAGAAAATCCGCTTTTGGAATGACTCGAAGCGGCGCTGTCGCGTAGCGGCACAGAGACCGAACTACAATTGAGTTGTTTCCGACGACCGTTTATCTTTGAGCCATTCAACGTGCAACCATGGACTTCGGAATGAGGGCGAACAGAGAAAATTATAAATACGGATAATTTTTTAATTTTTAAAATCCTTTTTGTACTTACGAACAAAATTTCAAACAACCTTGTAGGAGAGACGTATTTTGAAATGAGAAAAGTCTTAAAACTGAAAAATCATAAACTTTCAGGAATTCCTACTATATCAGCAGTATCGATTTCAACTTGTTCGTCAGCCAAATTGGCGCCGTTTCTTTTTATTTCTTAGGTTTGATTGGAAAATTTCCGTTGTCCCAATAGAAAGAGCTATAAACGTAACAGATGAGAAGCGGTAGGTCTAAATTCTTTTTTTTCCGACCCGAAACGACTTGCTCACGCCGACATAGATTAGCATCAGTAGACCGTTTTGATAAGAAACTAAGAAAATCCTATTTTTGCTCAGATTCAATCGATGTTCGATACGTTCGTAAAATTTTGAAAAATCTCAACTTTCTTCGATCCGCCTAGAATTTCCAGGTGGATTAACTCAAATTTGTATGGCTTCCAATAGATTCCTCATCACTGCGTTTCCTTCAAAAATTGGTCAACAAAAAAGGACGCGATATTCAATGGTAAGTTTGATATCATTCAAAAGTAACCGATAAAAACGTTTTGGAAAGGAAAAATTTTGAAGCGAAAATGCAAGAACGAGAGATTAATGGCGGCATGAAAAGACTCCAGACAACGAAAGGTTATCCATTTCTCTGGCGTCTCTTCTGGCCGCCGATGATCTCTCGCATTATGGGACCCGTTCCGCGCTCAATTCCCCCTCACCGGCGAGGCCGTATTGTTTGTTTATTGCATCTTCAATGTAAGAATACATGTGCAATCGACTTTCATTGATTTCAACTGTGTTTAAACGGCGGCAGGAGCTGTGGCTTAAGCAGAGAAGTTGTGAATTTCGCTCGTAGAGCATCAGGTACAAGAGAGGTCGTAGGAAGAGTTACGGTGCCGGCTTTCCAAAGGCCGATGCCAGAGATTGAGCCTTTTCGCTGCATGCAGCTCCCAATATTATCTACCCCGGAGGGATGAAAGGCTTGGTCGACCTCGGGGGGACTCGAACCTACGACCTTGCGGACGTTAGAAATGAGTCTTTACCAGCTGAGCTATGCCGCCCCTAGAGGCCGTATAAACAAGAAAAAAGCATATTAACACGAGAGCGCCGTTGAGGGGAAAAAGAGCTCAGAAAAAATCAGATTCCTTAAAAGTCGTGACGAATCGAGTTTACGACAGTTGGAGGTGAATAGCTATTTTTTTCAGACCATGCTCGGAATTTCGTGGATTTTAGCACTCCTATCGATCGCGGCTTGTTTTTTAGGTTTCAATTTCTTTTGAAAACGACACAGTTCTCAGAGAGCGTTTTTTCAGCCAGAATCGCCATATTCTATGATTTACATACACTGGGCTATCAATCGAGTGATAAAGACCATGCGACGACTTTTTTCGCGACTCAACTCATTACATTTCTCATCACCAGTGCGATTTCGTGTTCGATAAATGCGTGCACGACTGTCAATCTTCTGAAAACGGGGGTCAGGGATAAGAAAAAAAAATTCGGGAGGAGAAATAGAGCTATAAAGTTTTGGAACGTTACTTCAAAAATGTCCATGATTGTATATAATAAGCTGGATGATTACTTGAGGATTATTTCCTGTTTAACACACGTTCTCTGAGATTTTCGAAAATACGTTGGTACAATAACTTTCAAGTTTGTTTTTTTGAGCTGAAGTTCATGTCACATATACTATGCGACCTTCTTAACACATGACACCCGGTTTTGACAGGCTCCGCCCACTTTCAGGGTTATGGTGGAGAAAATACCGTAAAAAGCTAACTTTTTTCCTGGTCGAGCAAATCGGTTCAAACCAACTGTAACGCAAAGAGCACGTCATTTTGAACATTTTTCATGTTGGAAACTACTCTGGAAAAAATTTTCTTCTTGTGGAAAAAAATCGCTGAAAGTTGAAAAATGACGAGGTTATGTAGTATCTCTGATAGCAAAACGAGCTCTGAGGAAGTAACTTGAAATTCTTGTACCAAGACATTTCTCAGTTCATCGATTTTCTCGGAGAACGTGTGTTAATCCGAAAACGTATTTTCCTACATTTTCCCTACATTTATCCCGTGAATTTTAGGACTTGTGAGTGAGAATAAAAACACCCGATTTGATTGAATAAACTTGAAAAGGTTGATTATATTTATCATCCTTCGTTAAAAAAACTCATCTCCTTACGGTTAGGAATCATCTAAACCGTCATTAAAGTGTTCCAATCCGGTGCGCAACTCTAGGGACCACTCAGCTCTCTTTGAACCGAATCTAATCACAAAAAAAATGACAAAAAAAATGTCAAGTTGCTCTTGCATTTAACAGATTAAGAAGTTTCTTTTTTTTGAGAAGAAAGACTTCGAGTTTATTTTTTTAATTCTCATAATCGAGTAGAGCAAAGATCGAATACATAGGTTTTTCATTGAAGGTCAGCGGCCTGGCAACAGATGCAAGTATGAAAAGAAGAAAACGGAACTTTCGTCTTTTTATTCAGGTTTGTTCGATTTTCAAAAGCAAAATTTTTTAATTAAAAAAATTTTAAATTTTAACTGAATGAGTTGACATTTTCTAATCTTTTTAATCCTCCATCTTTATCTGAAATCCGATCGAATAGAGGAGATTTTTCAAAATTCCTTTAAACGAGCGAGAAACTCGATAGATCGGCATGGAATTCTTCTCGTTGGAACTTCTCGTATATCAGAATGTTTCAGAACGTTTTTCAAGACGCCATACCCCTGATCGACGTGATCAACACATTCGCCATGAACTTTGTTACTGGCTCCTTATTTGCAACCTTCTCATCAACCTTCACGTTGATTCTCGTCCATGTTCTCGATGGGTTAATTTCATTTCTTTTTCTAGCCAAAAGCTCTAGAAGTGCCTCTATTTTTTTTTCGAGAATGAAATAGTTGTAAGTCCAGATTTTCGATAAATCAAAGACCTTTTTTTCCCAAACTTTATAGACAATAATTTGATTCAAATCCTCATAATTAAAAAAACGCGATTAAATGTATTGAAAATTACCTAAGTGTCCACTCAGGTTGTCATATTCAATTGCTCACTGTAGAGACTCACATGTCAGCTCTCTTTCCAGTACCAAAAAAATGGTACCGCGAAAAAATTATAAGCACTTTTTAATGAGTCGAGATTTCTCAAGTAAGATTCAAATCAATATGTAAATAAAGCGCATTTTTTTATCTCTAAACTTTTGCTTGCTTTTTCCTGGTAAGTGAAAACTCCAGCTATACGGAAACGTAAAGCTCTGCAAGATCAAATTTTCTCAAAAAGTTGGATCTTAGTGATAAAGTCCTTTCCTTTCAGACTCACGATGTTCATTTTTTCCTGGCCAAGTTGGGTTGCGAGGAAAACAAGCGTCCTTCGAGTGACTGCCGCCAGCTCGACGCATTGAAGTGGAAAAATAAGCGATTAATCGCTTACTTTTAGGTTTTTTTCATTTTTTTTGTTTCTAAGAATGTCCTTTTGTTAAGAACCAAAGGCCGCTAGGAACTAGACAAAAGTTTTCTGATCCTCTACTTTTATTTATTTACTCTTTTAATTAAACTGAAGCATCATAGCGTAATTGGCGTTTTTCCGTTTCAGTTTTTATAATATTATAAGTCACAAAGCCAATTTTTCTCTCTTCACTTGAAACTTTTTGGCCGGATTCGGAATAATTCAGTTTGGAGTTTGAATAGATCGCGGCGTGCAAAGTCGGGCGCATCTTTACGAAAACCGCCTCGCAAAGGAGCCATTCCAAGTGCGACCGAAAAAGGTTTTAAGACAAATGACCATAACTTCCAAAGAGTTTTTGAACAGAATAAGAAAAAAAGGAGCGCGATCGTTTTGTAACCGGAATAGTTTTTTTTAAAATTTCTTCTATAAGCCTCAAAAATTTGCAGAAAAGATCTTTTCATTAAACTTTTTGAACGAATTTAGAGAAGAAGCGCAATTTTTATGGGAAAATAGTTTTGATGTACTTTTTTTTGGAAAAAATCACTCGAAAGTTTTGCTTCTCAAAGTAGCCATTTGAAGAATTAATCTTAAGTAGTCTTTCGAGCATTCTACAGGTTTCCAAATCCTCCGAAAGTCCTCCCGAAAAGTTGGATTTTCTTTAATAGAAACAGTTGTTTTCATTTTCCGCTAAAGCTCTTTGGCGTTTTTTAAGTTGTCTCCAGAGTGCCCAGAACTCTGCATAACGTTTTAGAATTTGTGATAAAATTGCTCGAACCACTTGAACGACCACTTGGTGTATCAGAAAAGTTCTTTTCAATAGCTTTTCGTTCCATTCATCGAATTTATTCATTTTTTCAAAGTTCAGTGTTACCTTGTTAATTTCTCAAGGCTCCCAGGTTTTAACTTGAACCTTCCCGACGCACAGTTTACTTAATTTTTTTCCGAGGGCTGTAATTCTAGTCATTTCCTTATCATGAAATGGGATAATTGAGAATGATATTCACAACGGATACCTAAGGTGCCCATTAAAGGGGAAAGAGCAGCTCAAAATTTGTACCTTATGTTTTTCGCATTTTCCGTTGGCCCGAGGGAGATGTCTGACTACGTGTAGACATCATCATCGAAATTCATTTCTTCACTTTTTTGAAACCAATTTCTGTTTTTTCAGCTCTTTCATTATCAGCTTTTTTTTGTTGTTATCATTAGCGCTGGGGAATAGGTGGGCGATTTTTGTTTTCAAAATGTTTTTTTCGGAAAAGTTTTCACGAGAGCCGTTCAAATAATCACCGTTTTAAATCGATATTTCGCCCAATGAATATTATTATTCAATACCTTCTCCAGGTTTTACGAAGTACGGAATTATCGCAAAAAAATGGTTTAAACTTCAGCAGAAGTAAGCAAAAATTTTTTCTATATTGTTTGTGCGAGTATCTTATTACTTTATTCTTTTTATAAAATAGTTTTTTTTGAGACACATCTTTAAGTTGAGTCTAAAGGCGCAGGGCGGACCCACAAAAATTTCCGAAAGAAGACCATAAAGTAAATTTGAGAAAAAAACTGATTTTTTTGGCTTGTCACGGCCAATCTTTCCGAGCTACTTTTGAATGAGCTAGGCTAGCAAATTTCCTTCTCAACTTGAAAAAATCTAGAAGAAAGCTAATAGAACTTCTTCTTGAGAGAAGAAATCTTTCGAATTGTAGGATGGTCTTTCAGTAATCGCTGAGAAATACGATTTTTTTATACTTTTAGACGAACAAATTTTATTTTTGGTTCCACCCTCTGAAGAACACTTTTGCAAGATTCACAATAAACTCTAGCCTATAATTTATAAGATTATTGGAAGCAAATTGTTATTAGTTTATGGTGATTATTAGATCCCCGGCATTTATCATCTCTCGAAATGTCACATGCAATGCATTGAAAAACTCCCAATGAACATTGATATCTTGATGTCTTTTATAAATGCGGTTTTGTAGTGATTTCAGTCAAGTCGGAGGCATTTTCCCAAGAGTTTCGGGAATAAATAGTCTCACGACAACTTCTGAGAATTTGCGTTCTAATTTTTCACGCATCTCTAGGCATTTGGTCAACGAATGGAATACAAATTTCTCACCCGTTTTTTTCTCATTTTCCCAAAAACTCTTCTGAATCATTATTTTTTCATTTTGTTCCCCGAGGTTCGTTCAAATGAATCGAGACAATATGTTTTATGTGTTGGGTGTTTTGAATACCCGCATTAAAGCATTTTGTCATAAATCTTTTTGTTCTTCTTCTAAGCCTCAAAAGTCATTTAAGCTTTTATCTGCTTCTGAAAAAAACTTCGAGTGATCGCTTAAGGGATCAAATTGTTTCAAATCTGAATTCACCATGTCATTGAAAATATAGTTATTATATAGCTTTTTCAACGTAAATCAAGGTTTTGACAGACCTCATGAGAGACCAGTTGTGGCAACCCAAACATGAAAAGTACGAAAAGTAGACTTGAATTTATCAAAAAATAAATTTTCATTCTCGCTCTTTCTTTGGCCGCTCTGCTAGCTCTTAAGTTACCACTTGCCCTCAAATTTCATTTTTTTTTTTTTCAGAATGCATTTTATGAACTATTTCAACCGCACTCATGCCGAACTACTGGGAAATTGGCCACAATATCAAGAAATATTCCAAATCGAGATACTTTTCATCGTTGTCAAGTGAGTTGACAAGATTTTGTAATGTGAACTGAATATTTTCCAATTTCAGTGCTTTACATACGTTGTTTTTCATGCGGCTTAATATGACTTGCCGACAGTTACACTCAAATTTCACCAATATAATGACATATCTGTATATTCAACACTTTCTTCAGTGCGTTTGCTGGTTTATCCAACGGCTTTTGTTCATGACGGCAAGGGTCAACGGTTTGTTTTTTTTTCCTCAAGAAAGAGGAAAATTTTTTTGATTTTTTTTAAGTTTTTCGGGTATACCCGGGTAGGAATTGCGCTTTAAAAAAACTTAACAATAATTAAATACAGAGAAAAATTTTTTTGAATAGTTGTATAGGAAGTCGAAAGAAATAGTTTCATGCATAAAATATTTTTTTAAACATCTTTTGAAAGACTGAAAATAAGTGCAAGTTTGTGGATAGAACTTTGAGGAAAATAACTTCGAAGTACAGTTTTTTTGCCTCTAATATGACGCTATTTGGCCCGATACATTTGAAAAAAAATGACAAAAAAATTTTTTTTTGTTAAATAACGGCAGCGGATGAACTATTGTTATAAAAAGCACAATGATTCAAAAAGTGGTGGAACGCATAGTATTAAGTTGCCTAAGAATTGATTTCTCATCCTCATTGTCTAGTTTAAAAGGTTTTTTTTTTCAGATATCAAAATTGAAACCGATTTTTTCTTTTTGTTCTTCTCAATCACACGGAGTTGCTGCCTTTTTTCTGGTTAACTTCTTTTTTTTCCAACTTTTTGAACGATTTTAGTATTTTCAGGGCTTCTCGTACTGCCAGCTTTGATAATAGAGCGAAGTTGTGCTACTTATTTCCTATCGGATTACGAAAAATCAAGAAGATCCTACATTTGGATCTTTTTAACTTTTTCAATTGTGACTTTGGGGATCGTGCTTGGCTACACTTATCATTATGGTATGTTTATTTGAAGTGAAATACAATTTTTTGAGGATCGAAATGAGTAGAAATAATGATTTTGAGTTTTTTGGTATGAAATATTTAAGTAGCTGTGGAAAATTGAGAAGTTTCTTTATTTTGAATTCTATTCAATAGTATTCACAGCTGTTACTTTTCATTCAAAACACCTAATCACAATTTTTTCAAAATTTCAGCTGCTACTACATTTTATCACGTTGGATTCGTGTCTGTCGTCAATTCGATGGCTTTTTTGGTTGGTTTTTTGTTAGAGGGAAAATGTTCTTTCTGAGAGAAAGCATGAGAAGTGCACCAAGTTCTGAGCATCACAAGCAATTTCATAAGAGAAATGGAACACAAAAAGATTATTGTGAACATTTTATTCAAGTCTTGTCAGGGTACCTAAACTTCCAGTTTTTCGTTGAAATTTATTCTGAATCACTTTATTTTTGGACGCATCTTAAGTATATGTAAAAATATAATTTGAGTCAATTTCCTGCATAGTAAAGACTTAAAAAAATATTTGAAGCAAAGTTATCATCATAATGTGAGAGAATAGCTAATGAAAAATTTCTTCAGGGCAACCTTCGAATCAATTGGCTCAATCGCAAGTATCATCACTTATTGGCAAGTTCAACAGTTGAGAAATATTCTCTAGCTGAACGATTTCAAGTCTCTGAGAATATTAGAGCGTGCAAGGTTCGAGTTCGAATACAGAAATTAGATAAGTCGATTGGAATATACCTCAAAACTGACTTGAGATAACCAAGTTAGAATTTGGAAAAGTGCATTTGAATTTATTGTTTATTACAGAAGGGATTTCCATTAGAAAAAAAAAGAAATTGATTTTTCAAGTCTTTTTTTCTTTTCTGTTGAAATCTTTTTCATAAAAAATCATCATGATTTGATTCCCAGATCCTGAACAACGTTATTTTCGCAATGGTCATGCTCAACTTCATTCTCTTGGGATGCCTTTCAGCGGATAGTTTCGATATCGGCCACGATTTGCGGCATTTGACCATTCTCGTCTTCGATTTTTGTGTTTTCTAGTGGGTTTCACTTGTTTCTTTTTCGAATTTTATGCAGTTCTTGTCAGAGAGAAAAATGAGGCTATGAAGAATCGAATTAGTTTTTTTTCATCTGACTTAGTTTGGATTATGAGGATTTTAAGAAGGTTTTCTTCGTTCCCAAGCTACACCGAAATCGCTAAAAAGTGAGAAATTGAAAATTGATATATTTCAAGTTGCGAAAAAAGATAAAATAAGTCGTTAAAAAAGTCTTCCATGAAAAATGGTGAATTGTCACAAGTTGAAAAATATTCTGAGTATTTCGGAATTTTTCGAGTGGAGAAGGCGATTCACTTTCTGACAGCTTGCAAAAACTGAGTTGGTCTCAGATCTAAAGAATGGTTTTTGTTCAGCTACAGCTTCGTGGTCCCCTACATAATGTTCTACCACTTGAAGAAGTGCTGGCGTTTTATTTCGGCCGTCCCAAGAAGGGTGAGGTTGTCCGAAATGACGTGATCATTTGAAGTAAAGCCCCAGATTCTCCGGTGCTGGAGGCCGAGCAAAGTCGACGTCGACCTTCGCCTCACTGACACTTTCGGAGCCAATATGATGTCGAATAATAAACGCGACGCCGCTGAACATTTTGAGAACCTGACGAAGATTTGGGCTCTCGAATTTGACCGGAGAATCGCTTAATAAGCGGTGTTTTCGTTGAAAAAGACTTCATATGTTGCTGAGCATTGATATTCCGAAGAGGCTTGCCTTTTTTAAATGTTCACTTATCAGCTGTATTGTTGACCTTTTGAAAACAGGTGTTTAGAAACCGCGATATGCATCACGTTTACAATTCTCAAATCAATGAAATGTCGGAAAATCCTCATTTTTTTCGGGTTCGGCGCCTCGAGTTTTGATTGAAAGATCGCTTGAAAAAGTGTTCTCATCGTTGAAAAATCGATCTGTCCGCTGAGACATTATTCTGAAGAAAAATCATATTTTTTCAACAATTTAAAGCGCATGTGTGAGTTAATTCATTGATACGTTCTAATTAAACTAATTTAAAAAAATATGCTATATATTTAAGGTTCTGAAATAATTTTAATACAACTTTACTGAAATTTTATTCTAGGCCATTCTTATAGCCCTCAGCCCTCAAGTTTCACGTTTTTTTGTATTACTTCTTGAATTCCATCATTTTTTTGTTGAAGTCTTTCTTTTTCCCGGTTTTGTAAATCTTTTTAAGGCTATTTTTTCCTCGCAAAAGAGATGTTTTTTTTTTTACTTTTTTGTTATACTTATCAACTTTTTATGAACTTATATGTATTGCACGGGCCCTTTCAAATCATTTTCTACATACGCATAAATTTTTTTATCGTTTTTTTCCAATAACTAAAGTTCAGCGTGAAAATTTCGCAAAAGTATTTTATTTTATCATTTTTTTTTCTTCTTTTTTCGGGACTCGCCAAGCCTATAATCGCTCCAAAGAGAGCAATTATATTGGTTTTCTTTTTGAAAGCTTTTTGACGTTTTTTTGAACTGATTTATGAATCAGGATTTATCAAATCTAAAAAATGGAAAATTCATCGAAAAAAAAAAATTTATTCTTCTAAATTTAAATCTTCCATATTGGAAAAAAGCTTCTCTTCTCAGAGAGATTTTTTAAATTTTCACTTTGAAAAAGGCTCTTTTTTAAAATAACCAAAAAGTCTTTCTGATTTTCTACGGCGTACAAATACTTGCCAGGTCTGAAGAGAAGGTTTGACGGCTTTCCACCTTGAAGCTGTCCCTATTGTTCCATATAAAACCTGAGCAAGTTTCAATGAATAGACTATATAATTGAATACACTGAACGCTTCTACCTTAATGAAGCCATTTGACACTGATTTCCGTGCAAAAGTCGTCGAAATTCGTTGCACCGCCTGCGTTCTCGCAGTTTACCACGGGCCCGTCATTGATTCGTTCGTTCGGCCCCTTGCCAACCAACGACCACCACAAACAACAACAAACAGCGCACCCGATGTTGAACTGCCTCGCTCTCTTTTCCACTTTTTTCTTTTTTGTTCAGCTTGTGTGTAATGTGTAAGAACTGCTGTCTGAAAATCGAGTTGCAAAACTTTTACTTGACTTGCAAGTACTTGGTAGAAGTTCTGTTCAACAGATTGATGCACTTTCTCATGTTTTAAGCGAGAAAGTGATTAGAATGTTCGAAAAGGATACATTTTTGTAGCGCAGATTTTTGTTCTTTTTTTTTGTAGCGCTACTGTATCCCATGAGTGTGCACATGCAGTGTATTTTGCAAAGGGCGTTTTAAAAAAAATTCCAATTTTTTTCGCTTGAGCGCTCAAGCTCGAGCTTCAAAATTTTTTTACGTTCTTTTTGTTAATTTCTGTATAACGACTTGAAATTCAAAAAGAAGAGTGAAGTAGAAATTCATTCGTTTTATATAATTGAGATTTTCTTTTTTCAAATTGGGCTTTCGAAGCACGGAAAAAAATTGCAGAAAACTGATTTATTTCTTTCTCTCTCTTGATTGATCTCGAAGACTGCATTTTACGTTGCTGCAAAGTGCTTTTTTTGCTGTATAGTCTGCTCGAAACTTTTGCTGTGATGTTCAAAAGAACGCTCTTCGCTTCTATACGTACTGAAGATGAACATTAGAGCTCTTCTGAAGTTTTTCTTCATTTTCTTAGAATCTAAGTTAACTGTTTTTTGTTAGGAAAATGAAAAATGTGTCGAAATATGAAGAACAGTTCTCCAAAAACGAAAAAAAAAACATTCTGTTTTTGGCGCCTAACAAACACGGTTTTTAATTTCGGGACGTTTCTTACCCCTTTGTACGCATCATGGGAAAGTGTGCAACCTCAATTGTTATTTTCTTAACGATTATTACATTTCTTCTCTTTTTATTGAAATTTTTTTCTCCTTGTTTCTCACATGTTAGTATTTTTCCTTTTTCAGGAAAAAAAAATCTCGTCCCAATCTTGCCGAACTTTTTTCTGCTAAAGGGAATAGTTTTTGTTCGAAATTTCTTGCCGGAGTGTTTTAAGGCGTTGAAGCCTTACACGGTCTCTGAATCAGTTGTGTATCAGTTTAAAAAAATTTTGACCCGATTTTTTTTTTTTCGGAAAGCCGGCTCGTTTTACGTTTTTTTTTGTTCTGTCAACGTTGCAAAATTTTAGAATAACTTTTTCAGAGGGAGTTTCTTCAATTTTTCCCAAAATTTATCGGAAGCCGTAGAAATGCGCTGGCTACTGCTCGCCTTGTGCGCAACTGCAGTATGGGCTCAACAATGGGACGCCGTCAATTTCCCGAATCCAACGGCTGGCCAATTCAAACAGTTCGTTGTGTTGTGAAAAGAAAAAAACAAATTGAGACAATTTAAAGATGCAAAATGCTGACGACGGCGAATATTTGTGATCCGGATGAAGTATTGACGGAGCAAGCCCGTTATCGCCTTGATCACGATTTGAAGCAGCTGGAAAGTAGAACTCGTCAAGTTTGTAACTAGAGAATGTACTTTTTTGAATATTTTTCTTTTTAGGACGGTGGCAGGACTTTCTGTGACAAGAAAGGAGTCACGGCGGCCATGGCCGTGGCTCGTCGCGTCAAGGGAGGATCCACGGAGGTCAAAAAAAAAAAAGAATGAAAAAGTCCAAAAGGCCTTTTGAAAAATTATGGAAACAGAGTTTTTCGAAAAATTCCGGATAAATTTCGGAAAAAAATTTTTTGGCTTTTCAGCTTTTCAGTCACTTCTTGAAACCTTATGGTTCTCCTTTGTAACTTCTCAATGAACAGCAGTCAAAAAAAAAAGAGGAGAAAATAATTTCTTCCACTCTCTTGAAGCAAGAAATCTTTTGAAGATTTTGAAAAAAAAATTTCGAAAATTGTAGCTTGAAAAAAGATAATTTTCCCAGTTTTTTAGTGTAACTTGTTGTTTTTTCTCCTAAACCTGAAAATGCGTTAGGAAGTGTTTTCAAAGTTCTTGGACATTACCCCGGATCTAGAAAAATTGTCAGCTTGAATTTTAGGAGGTCAAAAGGATGGCTAATGAGATGCTACAACGTTGGACTCTCGACCAGCAGTGTCAAAAGGCCGTGGTCATTGTTGTCAGTTTTCTCTCTCTTTTGTCTGAGGATATATTTTGTTATTTTTCGGTGCTTTTGTGTTTTAAGGGAGAATTTCATTAATAGTTCATTGAAAAATTGGCCTTTTTTTGTGGGTTTTTCACAATATTCATATATTTTCAGCATATTCCCAAAGCTTTTTTAAAGAGCTGTTTTTATGATTTCCTGAATTTGTTTATTTCTTTTTTATCAGTGTTTTTAGGTGTCCACCGAAGATAAGAAGTTCTGGGTGGCTCGCGATGATAAAGTCCCAGTTTATGCGGATGAATTCACGCAGATTTTTCACACAGCAGGTTTTTTTCTAATATATTTCATATAAATAAAAAAATTTGTTCCAGAAAGCACTCTTCCAACAGAACAATTATCAGCAAGCTTTGACGAATATCCTGCAGGCCACTTGGTCAGTTTTATCAGAATAAAAAAACACTCTTTTTTTGTCATGTTCAACCACATTCATGTTTTCTGGTATTTGAAATGCGAAATATATTTTGCCGGAATAGTTTTTTTAAGTTTAAACTTTCACAACTATTATAAAACGAATTTTGAAGTGCCTTGTGCAGCGTTTTTTTATCCATTTCAGGGGAATAAAACTTGAGGAAAAAAAAATCATACTCCGCAAATAAGTCGGTAAAAGGTCATAGAAGCAAATGAACAACAGTTTTTGGATCAATGGGTTTTCATGATATTTTGAAATGAAATACTCTAAATAGCGCTCAATACATTAGATTATATTGTTTCATCATCAAGTTTTTTCAGGGAGAAGGCTCTTTCTAAGCAGGGCCGACCTTCGACTACTGGCGGGGGCGGTTTCAAACCTCAACCTCCGCCAACTGGAGGCGATCGGGACTCGAAACCGTCTTCTGGTCAGTTTTACATGGTAAAAGGGGCTTGCTGAACTCATTGAACTGTTTGAGAAAAAGATAATCTCCTCTTTCGAAAAGAAAGTTTTTAATGCACGTCAACTTTTTGATCTTTAATTTAAGAATGTTTTTTGAGAAAAAATTGAGAGAAAGATAATGGATCTTTCGGGAAAAAAAATCCCAGCCCAAAAGTTAAAGAAAAAAATTTGTATAGTTATGGATTATATTTGATTTTCTCAAGGATCATTGTTAAAAGTCATGACCACGTCGCCATAAATTGCTTTCACTGTGAGAAATGTTCAAGATCTAATAACAAAATAATATATTCAGGCTTTAAATTCCCGTCGATTCCAATGTGGCTGTGGTTGTTCCTGATCATGGCTCTTCTGGGCCTGTGCTGCTGCGTCGGATGCTGTTATTGCTGCTGTTGCCGAGGTCGTGGAAGCTCCGGAGGCAACCATCCCCAGCCCGTACCGACTGGTAGGAAATGCTCTTCGGAGTAATCTTCAAAAGAAGTTTGAAGGAGGCGGCTATGACATGGGCGGCGGTGGAGTGCATTCTGGAGGCGGCGGCGGAATTGGCAACTTTTTCCGATCCGCTGCTGGCGGAGGCGCTGGAGCCATGATCGGCAATATGTTGTCTAAAAGTTCGTTTAAACTATAAATTAGTTATTTAACATTTTTAATTTTTCTTTAAAGGAGGGCGAGGCGGTAACAGTGGTGGAATGAGCGGCAACAGCGGCTACGGAATGGGCGGCGCCGGGGCTTATCAAGGTATGATCCATTTTGAAAAGCAAAAAGTCCTGAGACACTTGGCTCGAAAAGAATGTCTTCTGCGTTGTTTATGCATCTTGTTCTTCCCAAAAGGCGTCCACTGAATTAAAAAAATTCACAAAAAAATAGGTGAAGAAAGATGAAAAAAATATTGCGAAAAAGGTACATGAAATAGGAGCGTTTAGGTCTTCTCAAGCCAGGAAATCGATGTTTTTCTCTCTCTCTCTCTTGGATTTTTTTCATATTAATCATGAATGAAAAACTATTATCTTTATTTTTGAGTCTTCTTTGTATTTCAGCTTGTATAATTATTTTTTTCACTATAAACTTGAGTTAGGTCATAATTTTCAGGAGGCGGTTCTTATCCCGACGGTCCTCAGCCTGTTTATGACGACAACCAAGGAGAGGGCGGCAAAGGCCTCTATCCCTCGAAAGCCGTCAAGGACGAAGGCGGCGGCGGCAGCTGGGCTTGAAATCCTCAAATTTTCGCATCTTGCCATACCTTCCATATTGATCGCATTTCGATTGACTCCGAAATTTTGAGATTCTAGGTAATTCGATTTCCTTTTTTTTTCAGTTCAAATGTTACTTCGTGAAATTTTATCTCCTTAGTACTCCCTGTTATTGCATTTTCTATTTTTATTTCACTACTTTTTGTTTAATAACCTAAAGATGTTCTGTTGAATCTCTTTCGAATCTGTACAGGCTTAACAGCGTGTTTTTTTGTATATATTTTGTTTACGCTTTGCGCGAATAAAGTTTTTGTGAAAGTGATGAAGCTTCGAAGTATACAGGAGTGGGCATAAATATTGCACGGCCTTTAAAATTCCGTTACTCTCAAGTGGAACGGTTTCAGACAAGATTGTCTGAATTTTTTTATCGGCAAAGTATCCAAGTTAGCACATATAATTCAATTTTCGCTCCGACTTTCATTGGCCTCACTGAGCGCCTTGACTCTCTCGAAAAAATATTCGACCCTTGGACACAGATCGATCTTGTCATCCATTCTTGATGATGGAGACCATCAGCATGTGCCGGTTGAAATAGAGTTTTGTCCAGGCCTTCAACTTCGAATATAAATATGCAGAATGTCAAGAGGTTCGAACTTGGTGAGTAGCCGGGCCATTCCTTGACCGTGTTGAAATCGGGCAGATTGGACTCGCACGAGTCTTGCTCAGCTCGGTTCTTGCAGCTTGACCTGAAATCTTGGTGGAAGAACCAGCGACGGTTCGCAAAGTGGATAGCAAGAAAAAACAAATTGAAATTTCATTGGCAAAGAAGAAAGTTGATATGATCGAAAAGTCCGTGCAATATTTATTCCCACCCCTGTTTATATTGAATAAAACTTTCGATTTAGTATTTGTGCTTATATTGGTTGACTAGGAAACCATTTAAGGTTTTGAAATTTTCTCCGAAAAAATCGTATTTTATTGGCAAGTCTAATATTTTTCGCTTGTATATTCAAAGTGAATGTTGGACAACCTAGTCAAGTTTTTAGAACAAAGAATTTGAGCAAAAAAGTTAGTCGATTGTGAATTTGCGGAGGAAAAGCTGTTGGCAGTGGGGCGTGTGGACGTTGAGCAAGAAAACGTTCATCCGGAGATCTTGACGATCTCTGGTAGCCCCGTAGAGAAGGTACTTGCCGCCGTTGGCCAGCGCGTAGATCATCTCCACGAATTCTTGTTCCTCCTCGGCTTTCGGCAAGGAGAAGACGATGTTCAGCTGAAATTTAGAGATTAAAGGAGCGTTCAAATCGCGTTCGAAAGTCTTCCATAATTCTGATTAGACTATTTCACGGCGTTCTTTTGACGACGCCCCTCCCACAATTTCCGTAATATTTGACGTCTTTTGTGCATACACAGAACGACGTTAACTCGCATACTCATTGAATTCAAAAATAATTTTTTTCCTCGAAAAATAGGGTTTTTTCAAAACTATAGACGTGGAAAAAATCGATCAAAAGTTCCTTCGCATTTTGCTGTCGCAATAAAAAATAATTACCGTAAATCAGTACAAAACAGATAAAGATACAGCTGAAATAAACATGAAAAATCACGTGAAGCACTTGAGCAACAAGAAATTCAAATGTTCGCGCGCAAGCTGTCTACCGTAAATCTAGGTGGAGCAACCCTTCCAAGCTATAGTTTCGAAAATTGACCGTTCGACCGACCGTTCGACCAATATTTTTTCAACATGTCATAATAAATGGTCATTGGTCGAACGGTTGGAGTTTCAACATTTCAACATGTCACTTCAGAATGACATGTTGGTTTTTGACCGTTCGAAATGTCACTCTCAAAATCGTCGGTCATTTTTCGAACGTTCGAAATGTCACTTCAAAAATGGTCGGTCATTTTTTGACCGTTCGAAATGTCACTCTGAAAATGGTCGGTCATTTTTCGAACGTTCGAAATGCCACTCTGAAAATGGTCGGTCATTTTTCGAACGTTCGAAATGTCACTCTGAAAATGGTCGGTCATTTTTCGAACGTTCGAAATGTCACTCTGAAAATGGTCGGTCATTTTTCGAACGTTCGAAATGTCACTCTGAAAATGGTCGGTCATTTTTCGAACGTTCGAAATGTCACTTCAAAAATGGTCGGTCATTTTTCGAACGTTCGAAATGTCACTTCAAAAATGGTCGGTCGGTTTCGTAAATTTCAGAAATTGGACGGTCAAACGAACGGTCAGAAAAATGACATGTTATAACCGTTCGAAAAACTGAACGGTCATATCAGTTGAACGGTCTAATTGGTCGAACGGTCGAATTTTAGAACACTGAAAATGTGGAGCGGCTTGGAATCCAAGCCGCTCCACATTTTCAAAAATTTAACATTTTCTTCCACTACGCAGAACGCCGTGATTTATATGAGCGAAAAAGTCTTACATGAATAAGAAGAACAGTAAAAATGTTTCTTTGCTTTGATATTTGTTCGAAATTGTCCATTAAGGAAGCACATGAAAAATTAGCAGGATATTCACAAACCTTCCCTCAATTTTTTGCAAAATTTTTTCTTAACTACTGAAGTTCAGAGCGCAATACAACTAAAATGAACCTGACAAACGTCGACAGTTGATGGAAACTCTAGCACGTCCAAATGTGACATCAGGATACGGTAGTCTGTGCTTCTGACGATCAGAAGATCTACGATCTCTCTGGTTTCTTCTGTAAAAATGGTTTTAAATTCTCTAAATTATTTCTTTAAATCAACCTTCATGCGACGTATAACTTCTGGGCGTGGAGAAACCGTTCATTATTTCGCAGCCTTTTGATTCTTTCTGTTATTTTTTGAATTTCGAAGAGATTTTATTTAAAAAAAAACCTGTAAATTTGGTAATATCTGCTTCTTCTCTCTCTCGTCCATATGGAGGTAGATCCTACAGTTTCCGTTTTTGTAGGTCTAGATATTATTTTATCCAAGGTTATTTATTTTTTTAACCTCATTCATTTGTCGAATATAATAATAGTGAAATCCTCCATCAACTGGAAATTTTTGTAAGCTTATCTGAGCGTTTGCTGAACAGTAGTCAATGTTGTGGGGCATGTTTCTCCATAACTAAAAAAAAAAGACGTTGAAATCGACTTTTTGAAATCGAAAAAAATTTCAAAACCTCATCGAAAGACTTGTTTTTCTTGTCGTTGTATAGAATCGAGTTTAAACAGCGCTCCGCTTTGCAAAGATAACTGAAAATCTTCGGAGAATGAAATAAAAACCAATTAAACTTACGCCCATTTCTCTACGTCTGGAACGACCGCTAGGTCAAAGTTCTGGAAAAACAAATTTAATAATAATTATTATCTGTACCGCCTAACGAAGACTCACACATGAAGGAAGGGGAACACCCAGAAATGTGCGATAAAGAAAATATAGGATTATAAAATTAATTACAACTAGGATACAGTCGAACGTTCTCATTTTGAGACAACAGTTGAAACTGTCAAAGATTTTGCCTCCGCTCGTTTCGAGATATACATCAATATTACTATCGCGCATAGATCTAGCTTCTCGCAAGGCTTAAGTTTTAGTTTGTTCCGGAGTTTCGAAACATCGAGTTTTAATGAGCTGGTAGAAAAGGATTTTTTTTTATTACACAAAATTTTCGAAGTTCTTGTGGAATGGAAAAAGCATCAGATTTTTAGCCTTTCTTTAATTTTCTATCGTTGAAATCCATGGGTATGTTTCATTTTTTTATATAAAAATTGTAACTTAATATTTTTTTAAATATATAGCGTCACTTCCACTGTTTGCGTACTTGACAAAGTAATCTACGACATTTTTATTTAAATTTTCCATTCTCCTCGCGCGAGGCGATCGCCCAATCTAAGAGAAATATTTTTTTTGATTTATTTTTCAATTTTTTTATGATGAAATGAATCAAATTAAAGAAAAAAACATTTTTTTAAGGAAAATTTTCGCGACTCCTCCGCTTAATAGAATTACTCTCGCTGCGATATAGCCCGCAATATTGGGTGCCGGAATATTCTCTTGAAAATTTTTGAACTTATCTTTAAAAAAAGTTCTAATTTTCGAAATTTTTGCTTTATTTAGCTCGATATCGTTACATACTAGAGTTCACCAAACCGATCATTCAACCATTTCAATTGATCAAACTATTGAAATGTCACTGTTCAACCAGATTTTAAAATTTTAAAATTTATTCAGTCCTCAGAGTAATCATGTATGTGCTGAATCATGGGATATTTGAAGAGATGTTTGTCGGTTCGCGCAACTGTCGCCCATCGTTCACCAAGAACTGCTCTTAGGTCATCTCGCCAACGAGGTTTAGTTCGTCCAGATATTAACATTTCATTTTTTGAGAGATCGTTTATTAGGTAAATTTTGATCACTTACATTGATGATCAATCATCGGATTTAACGTTTGATAGATCGATATTTCGAGCGAAATTTTTAGTATAACATTTTGATCAATCATTATTTCGACCAATACAACATGTCGACCAATATTTTCGGTGGTATGAAAAAAACACCAGCGAAAATTCAAACGGCGACTTTTCCGATTATTTCATATCGCTAGGGAACTTTCCGACGGCCACCTTTCCGATGAATCTTTTTCTGACTATTTTTCTCGATAAACTTTTCGTTTTAAATATCCCTATATAAAGTAGGTAGTTGGTTAATGATTAAAACTCAAAGAAATAGAAAAAAACAATGTTTATAGATGTTTTATAAACCGAAAAACTTAAGGGAAAAAAAGTCGGAAAGGGATCCGTCGGAAAGTTCCCTAGCGATATGAAAAAATCGGAAAAGTCGTTGTTTGAATTTTGGCTGGTGGTTTTATTCATACCACCATATTCTTAATACAACATTTCGATCAATCATTTTTTCGACCAATATTTCGAGCATAACATTTTGATCGATTATTTTTTCGACCAATATTTTCAATACAACATTTCGATCAATCGAAAACTGAACGATCGATTCAAAATGATCTCTCATTTAAATGAAATGTTGACATGTCGAAAAAACGAGAGATCATAATCATGGGACATGTTAATCGTTCGGTAGCAAGAAATGTTAATTAATCATATTTTTGGTAACATGTCATGAAAATATTGGTTGAACGTTTAGTCGAACGATCGGTTTGGTGAACTCTATTACATACGTTCTTTCTTTTAATTAAATGTGCATAAATTTCATGAATTTGAACTTTGCAGGTATTATTTCGTAGTCAGTGATGCCTAAGCAGCATCAATTATCTGATTATGTTTGCGTCTCTCACTTCAATTTGGTAAATAAAACTTAAAAATTATTGCTTGACGAAGAGAATAATTTTTCTAAGTTGAGGTTTCTTCGCATCTTTTTTCGAAGTTTCTCCGATCTGTAGAGTTTTTTCTTCATTTCGTTAACGTGGAGGACGCTCGAAAAGCGCACAATCTGAGTAATTTCACCATATCCATAGCGAAAAGCATCGATGACTTCAGTTCATGGGGCCGTAAGTTTTTACAATCGTTAGTAATACAATCAAAAGCTCAGAGACCTTGCGTAACTCTCTCATACTGTTCGTGATTCGTTATGCTGTGGATTCGGAATCAGTCGATTGCACGAAATTGAAAACTGGGCAACTCGCTCTCCTCGTTTCATTCCGAGAACGCGTCATTGGATCCATTGCGAGATGCAATAAATCGAAAAAGTCATCAGTGAGTTGTTCAAACTATTTTTGCCGAGCCCACTGATATTTTCTTTTAAGAAAACGGAGCCACCTTCCGAAGAAAAATGCTGCATCGAGGGTTGTCACAACAGGTGATACTAGTTATTTTAAAATTTTTGATTTTTGATCTTTTAGCTTATCTACCTTGAATGCTTGGCTGGAAGAGCCGTGCTCACTTCACAAAATAAAGAACAGCTCGTGTAGTGCCAGTTGCAAACTGGAACAACCTGTTCGATTTTTGAAATTAGTTGGTGCATTTGCTCTCCATACGGTTCGTTTCACCCGGAACTTTAGCGTGAGCTGCGCGAACCTTTGCGGTCAATGTACATGGAGCTCTGTTTTCCAGACAAAGTCGTAGAACAGGTTCCGGTTATTTCGAAAAAGTATTTTATGACGTTAACTTTGCAGTGCAGTAAAAATAATATTTTGTTTGATGAAATCTTGTCTAAATCTGTCGTCTGCTCCTGGCATTTTCATCCTTTCCATCAATCGTTCAAATACCCGTTTCCTATTCTCGCCCTAAGACAGAAGGTTCGAAATTTGCTTCAAAAAAAAAAGAAGAAGTTTTCAATTTTTAAGACACACGAGAGAATTCACCAAGTTGCCAAAAAGTACGATCTACAGTCTTTGCTGACGTACTCCTTCTATTCTCTTGACATTTCTCGTGTCAACGACTTGACTCCAACCTTCACGTTCAAAGTTCAAACTACAACTCTTTCCAATTAAATTTTTCTTTTTTCTCAGGATATCTTCGAGGGAGAAACGATGAAAGGCTGCGAAATATCTCATCCATATTTTGTGCCGATGGGAGAGGAAAAAGAGTACATTGTATAGATTTTCATTTCATTTAAGCCTTTTTTTCAGGTTCCTGATTTTTTCCGACTTTGTATCCTTCGAAAATCATCCTGCGGTTTCAAATCAAAATACGAAAGTGTCTCCGAAGTCCAGCGTTCAAAATAAATCTTCTGAGCAAGTCCCGGGTCCTTCTTGTACCTCAAAACCGGACTCTATAGAGGGCGCGTGTTTCTCTGATGATGGTGGGTTCGAGTTTTGAATAGATTTACACAAGAAACACCTTTTTTCAAATTATCAGTAATAAAAGAAGTTGTTTTCGCTGTAGTTCTTTTTAGAGTTAACTCACCTTACTTTCCTTTCAAAATTTTCACGTTTTAGTTCGATTTTGTAGTCTTCTGCATGAGCTTAAATGTTGCCGTACGTTTTACGAAGTCTTCCAATGATTGTGAAGATCTTAGATGAATTTAATATACTTCAGCTTTCGAAGCCAGAGTGAAGGAAGAATGTCCAGATTCCGACGACAGCTGTGGTTCGAATTATGCCGTGGAAACAATTGTAATCAATAAAATTCTCAGTCCACAGAGATTTTAGCTATTATTTCCAGTTCAACGCGCCCAAAGACAGTTTGCTCGAGGAACAGGTTGGTTTGGCCAAGTTCTTTCCTGCGATAGGAATGCGACTGGTGGTCAACCGCAACGCCAAAGGAGTGGTGATTATTTGAATTTGCTGAAAAGCTTCTCTGGCTTCTTTTAACACAAAAAAGACAATTTTGAAAGATAGATTATTAAGAAATCTTCAAAGACGATTTGTTGTGCTGTCAAGTCCTGTGAACAAGAGAGTATCGTTGAGAAGAGGTTCAAAGATGGCGCCGTGCCAAATTTTTTGGTTCGACTGCCAGCAAATCTGCTCTTGGCTCTTCGGTGGTTCTACCTTTCATCCGTGAGCTTTTTTAACTTGATACTTTCATCAGCACGCAAAAGAAAAAATTATTGATCTACAGCTTTCAAAAGAGATTATATTGTTTAGAACACTCTGACGGATTTCGCGAAACATTTGTTCAATCTTCGCAATGAAATGCTGCATAACTCAGGTTTTAATTTTCTCATTTTGGGTTTAAATGTTCTGCGAATATGACTAATCGGCGTTTAAATTTAAAAAAAATAGAAGACTAAACTGATTTTTATACTCGAAATTATTCACAACCACCCATCTCAAACCACAAATGTGTTACTTCAGGTATTATTTTTCCAACGGACGAAAAAGGAGAAAAGTTGATTCCTAAGGATGTTCTCGAATCTCATTACTTCCACGTTTGTGACAGGTGGATTCGAAAGACTAACTTCTTCTTAGAAAACCTGGTTAAGGCACTTTTCTCTGGACTACATCAAAACTGTGAGGCCGGAAATGTCTCTCAATGTCCGCTGTATCCCGTTTGACAGGGTTTCCTTTCATTAATTGTCTTTTTGCTCCCCAAATTATTTTTTTAATCAGATTGAACGAAGCTTCAGATTTCTTCGTTCTTCACAGATGCCAAAGAGAGATCCGTTTTCGGTTCAGTGTTGGAAACTCTTCGAGAATTCGGCGTTTCTCTCTCAGATTTCACTTACGAGCAGAGTGAACCAAGAGTTTGCTGTGTGGATTGTGAGGGTTTAAAAAATCAGTTTCTAAAAATCCGTAGATATTTATGAGTCGCTCCGAAGATGTCAATTATTTTTTTATTCTATTTTTTTCTCCGCTTCAAACTGTAAAAAAACTTTGGTCAAATATTCCTCGTAATTGTTTAAAAAAAGTTTCACTCAATTATCAAATGAAAAAAATGAATGTAAAAAAATTTAAAAAAATAAAAAAACAGTTTTCAGCGTGCAATAAGAGATACGATGCGAAGGGTTCTGAAAAAATAAGGTGTCTCTTCCCGATTCCCCTTCACCCGTAAGAGAATCAAAAAAGCAAGCAAAAAGCGCTGAAACATTTCAGAGAGGAGAGAATCGAATGGCTGAGAACCTACAAAACCTTCCATCCGGAACATGACGGCGACTTCAAAACGTCTTTTGTCTGTGATGCTCATTTCGAGGAAAATGTTCAGGACAAAACGACGCAATGGACTGTGAGATTTTCGCTCTTTCATTGTGTTCCAGTGTTCTAAGAAAAAGCGTTGTATTGGAAATCTCTTCAAAGTTGCGTTCACTCTTACAAAGAGATGGTCTACGACAGATTTTATTGAGAATTTCCTCCGAAAACTGAAAATGAGCTTTCTTGTGACCTTGCATGAGAACTCAAACGTTGAGAACCGGTGTTTTTATACTTTTCATTGAAAATTTCGAGAAGGTGCAATATAGCCAGTTCGTCTGTATTTATACCGCATTGAAACGAATATCGAACTTGAAGACTTTTTTCCTGGTTGTGTTGCTTGCGTTTTTTGGAGCGAAAGTACAAGCGTTAAGATGGGAGTTTTCAGTCAAATCTGACGTCTCTTCGGACCAGAGATTTCCTCCTTTTTTGATAGAAAGTTTCTTTGAACGCGGCATTGAGCCCAGCTTCGGAATCAGCGTGAAAAACTAGACCTCATTTATGTAAAGTATCCTTTTTATCCTTTTAAAATTGAAAGGCCCTTGTAGGCGAAGAATTAGATAAAGAAGACTCGTCTCTCAAAGGTTCTAATCCACGGCTTTCTTATGATGTCATCGTTGGAAGCACGTTCCGTGGCGTCATCTGAGTACATTAATGACTGGGATTTCAATATGATTTTTTCAGGTACCCTGTCATCAATTCTCTGAGGCAGCCTCTTCTTACGAACCAGATGTTTCCTCTAACGTTGAGCTTTTAACGCCAGAATTTTCCGCTTCCTACGATTCTTCGGCTGTTAAGTCCATTCCAGAACTACGGGAATGTATTGTCAGGTTTACATTTGTACTTTTTTTTTCAATTTGCGTCACGCAAAAGTTTTTTTTGCTAGAGCTCGATCTAGTTATAAGAAAGCTTCATAAAAAATGCTGCTCCGATATATGAACTTTGGTTTAGGTCCTGCGGTTCGAAACATGGCGACTACGACGAAGAGAACCATTTAGTGAGGTTCATACCGCTCCCAGGTATATTTTTCAAGTATCTTTTTGAAAGTTGTTTTTATATTTTATATTTTATATTTTTTTCACCTTTCAACAAGTTTCAATATATATTTAAGTTTTAAAAAGTGTCAGGCAAGGCAAAGAGATCGAAACGCAAGAAAATCCTGGACGTTTTACACCTGAACGACGAGTACTTTTACCGGCCCGACGGCACCCTCTTGCGGTGGATTTGCTCTCGTCATTACCCGGAACTTGATGGAGGCGCCATCCCTACAGAGAAGCAGGTTAACATTTGATTCGAACCAAACTATCACAGCGCACCGTAAAATGAAATTTTGATTGCTCAATCACAGGCAGAAAAAACACAGTTTTTTTTTCACAAAAACTACGAAACTGCAAAAAAGCAAAAAGGAGAACAAAGGTCTTGAAACGATATTTGGTCTAGTTTGATCCAGTTTGGTATACGATGTTTTTGGCAGAAAACAAAAACCGGGCGAGCTGACGCGGAAAAAGGCATATTACTTTGTTAAAATTGTCCGTGTCGCTCTTGAAAAACTTTATTCTGATATTTTCGAAGCGTATTTCTTTGACTGATTTGATCTTCACCGAGGACGTATGATAACGTTATTTCCAAAAAAAAACGCCCACTCAAACAAAGCTCGTTCAATTGTTCTTTGGATTTTTCAGCAAGGGTTACTTTTGCCGTCGCGGCACCTGGGTCCTCCCCCGGAATCGCCACGATCTCCGTTTTGGAAAGAAGAAGCGGAAGACGCTTCACCGCCTTCTCCACACCCCGATTCGACCGCCACTCCCAGAAACAGTTCCCCTGAACCTGCGCCAATTCCGCCGAAAAAACTGAAAAGGTTTCACAATACTTTGAGAGGAAACTGTTTCGTGTGTGGGAAATATCAAATATTTTTCAGCGACCTTGAACACGATGAGTGTTGCGAGAAGTGGAGAAAAGTGAGCGAGAAAATGCTTTCCGTCTACTCCAAATTGCTACACGTTCAAATGCAACTGTCCCTCCTGAACAGGGGGAAATGTCTTCAGGAAACGTCGGGATTCGAGGTTCCTTTCTATTTAGCGAGCTATAGGAAAGAAAAAAACAAATTTATTTTTTTCCAGCGAACAACTAAGTTTTCAAATTCGTTTAATTTTTTTTAGATGCGATGAGTCATCGCTATTTTCATCCTTCGCAACGATAAATAAGGGTTGGGAAAAATTTGAGAATTTAGGGTGACATTCGAAACCAAAAACTTCCTTCTGAATTTTTATTTTAGTGAAAATAGTAACAATGAGCGATATCAACCGGATCAGGTAACTTTTATGATATTGAGAAGACCAGTGTAGACCATTTTTCTGAATCATGACGAAATATATTCCAGGGAAGTCAGCAAAACTCAAAAAGGATGAAGCTTTGGGACGATGAAACGAATGATGAGTCATCGCTATTTTCATCCTTCGCAACAACTTCTCGATTTTCGGAGTCTTCATTTAAAAGTGAACTTTTTGAGGACTTAGACAAAGTAGCTAAATGCGGACCTTGACTTCTTGTTTTGCGATTTTTTTTCCATCATCCGCTGATCATTAAACTTTTAGAATTTTTACGGTTAACCAAAAACACTTTCTAGATTTAAAATCTTCTTTAAAATTTTCATTCTGTTATATTTCATCGCTGGTATGGTTGCATCTTCTCTTTGACGATTTTTGTTGTTTTTTTCGTCTGTCGCAATAAATTTTTATTATCTTACATGTTTATTGACTGATCAAGAAGGAAAAACTTGAGATCGGGAAGAAAATTTGAGATTTTATCTGAGAAAGTTTTATATTTTTGAAAGCTATATAAGATGATGAATCGAAGCTTTGATTAACAACTCAAGTATGCGACAATATAAGCGAAAATTTTGAATTAACAATCGAAAATATCTGGTTCGGATATAACAATTTTGAAGACATCGAACAGCCGAGCCAGTTCCACTACTTTCTGCCGATCGATGTGTATTTTCTGCAAATCAAAAAAAATCCAATTAGAGTGATTATTTAGTAGAGTTTGAAAAAAAAATTCGACTCACATGCAGCGTACTGACGACGTTCATCAGTTTGATGAGCCGAGAAGCGTAGTTGGTGAGGTTGAGATCTGTGTAGTACTGATGGAGGTCCTCGGCGATTTCTTCCCGAAACCTGTCCCCCGCCTCTACCGTCGACTCGTGGACGTCTTTTCCTGCAACTCCGTGGGAAACATGGACGTGAGCTACTCGAGCTAACCGGCAATGTGCCAAGATATTTGACACAGCATGTATGCGACTTCGATCCGCGACGGCGCCAGCTCCAGCAAGGGACTTGCAACTTCCGCAAACATTCGGTTCGTGAAAGGCTTGAACATGCTACCAAACACCTCATCAGAAGAGAAGCTGTAGGAGGTGCTTACTTTTGAACGTACTCCTTGGGAAAATCGGTGATACTCGAAATGTCGACCTCAAACTTTTCTGTGCGTATCGCGTACTGTGGTGAGACGACCAACAGCTGGAAAATACCTTTTTTTGAAAGTTCTACAGAAGAAAATCTAATTTTTCTCATAATTCTCAAAATTCAGACCTGCTCCTGGAGGACTCGAGAGCCGAAAATTTCGAGAGATGAAGCGATTGTTTCCATTCTTTTCCAGACCACCCAAACCACTTTGAAAATAGAAAACTGAAATGATCGACGATCCCCTTGTATAAATAATTTCCTCACCTTCTCTTCCAAAGGTAAGAGTCTGAATTCGTCAATATGCATCATCCAAATTGCGATTTTCTTCATCCTCTCTTGGATAAAAGGAAACATCCATTTCGCTTCCACACTTTCGATGAACTCAAACTTTCATTGGTGATGAGAAATACTGAGAAAATTCACCTGAATGTTATTGATTTTATGGTCACACCGATAACTCGACAGAGCGTATTCCATTCTTTGCAGCTTATTGAGATGTAGGAAGTCTTCGTCAGCAGGCACAAACTGAAAGTATCATTCTAGCCAGTTTCCTGTCAATTTTCTCACAAAAACTCTGTTGGTATTTGGCAAGCTTCAAAAGCAGTAATGGGAAACTTACGCTGTCCAGTATGTGTTTGATGCTTGATACGAAATCGGAAATGTCGCAATAAGTTTTCTTGACGGTGCCCGCGGGCGGAATCTCGTACTGAATAGAAAGCATTTTTAAAAGACAATTCAGCCCATTCTCTTCAGTTTGAACCGTCATAAATTGTTTCTGTGCTCTATTATTTCTCTCTCTTGGCAATGCTCTCACGTGTTCGCATTATTTGGAAGTTACTCTAACCTCGTCGGTGAGGGAGAAAGAGATGCAAGCAGACAGAAAGTTTCAAGTCGCGGCACAAACGGTTTACCAAACGAAAACTCTACCTTGGGAATCGTATTGGAGATATCTTCGTCGGAAGAGTTCGATTTGGACTGTGGTTCCTGGGGAACTGGGAGTTCGATGTAGCCGGAACACTGTGGAAGACAGTCGTCGCCATGCTCCATCGTTCCGAGCTCTGTAGAGGAATAGGCAAGAACTTCGTGCGACGTCGAAGAACTCTGAAGCAAAAGTCTATTCATATCTATCGTCCAAATAGGACTCTTCCTTGGCTCCCTTGAGAGTTAGTTTCAAAACCACATAAAGAAGAAAATATGAATAGGTTGAAATTTTAAGATATCCAAAAAATCTTGGCTTAATTTTAAAAAAATATTTTAAAGTGTTATCCCGTAAAGTAAGGTTTTCAATAAGAGAAAGGTTTAACAGACTCAAAAAAAAGTTCTGATGAGGAGAAATTTCAACTGACCCGCTCGATCTGGTGACTGCTTTTCTTTTTCAGTTTCTTCCCTTCAACTGACGATAAACTGTCTCGGTTCCATTGCACATCTTAAATTAATTAGGTACACTGAGTTTTTTCGGTCGAGCTTAGACATCAGATGAAGTCTGATTTGAAACAGCCTGTCCCGTCTGCGTATCTATTTATTTTTTTTAGTTTTTTTGTCATGAAACAGTTGAAGTAACGCGAAAAAAACGGGCGATTATTCAAAGGAGAAAAAAAGAAACGTCAGAACGTTTTAACTTTTGCAAAAAGAGACATTTAGACGAAAAAAGTCATAGCAGAAAAAAATACTTTGAAAAAAAGAAGATTTAAAAGTTTTGAATTGTTTTAATATGGTGAAAAAAAAAATACTCCAAAAAAATGCAGGAAATGACTTTTTTTCTGTTGGAGATTTCTAGCGTGTCTAGAAAAATTAATCATTTTCATAAATTAGACTAGCTCACTTTCGGAAGTCATCCCTGCGCGAACGCATTTGTTGTACCGACAAAATCGGCAGAGGTACCGGAAAAAATTTTTTTACTCAGAAAAAACTGAAGAAAAACCTTTCTTCGCTGTTTATTTTACACATTCCATTAGCACGACGACACGCATAGGTCTTTTTCAGAACTACCGTTCTCCTAAAATTTTTCCATTACTTCCAGCAGATCCTTAGAATAATCAGTTCGATAAAAACAGAAATTAAAAATGAATGATTGACCTGAAAAAAGCGGCACAGGCTCGACAGGCGAGGATTCCGAAGTGGATGCCGTGTGCCGTGTGCTCGCAGATTTGACATTGGATTTGGCTAGACTGAAAAATTTGCAATCCAAAACTTTCCATGTCGCTTATTGAGCTTTTACCGATTTTTATCGGCTAATTAAATTCTAGATGAAAAAATAGCCGACTTTCCGATACACGCTGGCCGTTTTCGAGTTATGTTAAGCGATATTAATCTTAATTGAATTGCTATATTTCCCTTCCCCTGTATCAGATGCACTTCACTTAACTTCTTTTCAATATATGATATAACTATGGGAAAATGTTATGTTTTAAGCCGACAACTTGCATCATTCATATTTCTACCTCCAATTTTGCATCACTATCTATCTTCTCTCCAAAAAAGAAAAATAAAAACCATAATAAAAGATAAAACCTTTTCAGGAGATCCTTGAGAACGGAATAGCAAATTCTCCTGGTCAGGTTCGTGATCAGTCATAGAATAAAAAGCAGATCAGAAAAATTGAAAAATCGATTTAAAACAAGGAAAAAGACCTTGTGCTAGAGAACAGAACAAATAGACGAATGATGCGACGAGACGAAATGGCGAGTCAACACTGGCTTCGAAGAGGTAGACAGGTTGCCGCAAAACCAAACATGGAGACCAGAATGTACCTCCCAGTTTATCAGTATCTACATGTTCTCTACTTGAATTATACTCACGGTTGATGAAAACTGTACGTTCGATCAAGAAGGTGATACTTTTTCCAATGTGAAAAGGGAGTTTTCCATGTCCAAGGCATAAAGTGTGGTCATATACTTCATCTGTAGTACATTGTTCCGTTCAAAGTGCACTCAGATAAATTTCTTGGATGGCGCGGATTCGTCGGGGTCGGGGACAGTCAGAGGATTGAGGTAGTTGTAAAGGCTTTTCAGAGATTTCTGTAGAGACTCGATGCCTCCGTTCATTGCAGAAATGCCAGTGACATCCTCGAAGCGAAGAGGAAACTTTGGTCTCATCTCTTCAGGTACTTCTTGCGCCCAGTCGTCGCTTTTGAACAATTCGATAAGTCCATGCAAGTCCTGAAACTTTCCTTTCAATGTTTTCAAACCAAGAAGAAAAAAAATGTTTAGTTCTGACACTGGATAAAGTTATACGCTAGCGGAATGAATTTCGTTTGAAAAGCCCCACAAATGAGCGATAAATCAAAAGCTGCGTTAGCTGTATCTGAAAAATTGGTCTTTTTTCTAATTTTCTGTCTCGCTGCCAACATCATTAATATTATTAGAAATATCGTTCATTTTTCCTCTTTTTTCGCCAGATCAACTTTTTTTAAACTCTTAATCCCCACTTGCGAACAAATTCCAGGAGCTTGAGAATGAAAATTCTCATATCGTAGTCAGTTATAAAACAATTCAGCTAGCTAGAATAGTTGAAAAAATAAGTGTAGATACGGGCCGGAACAAGTTCTCCATACAAACTTGTTGCAATACCTTTTTTTCTTTCTCTAGTATGCTCATGATATAAAGAAAACATAATTATGTGATTATTAAAATTTTTAAAATCGAAGAAAAGTTTGTTCAGGCTTTCTCGTATCTATTCAAGCTATAATTTTCATAGGAAGGGAGACCACACCTTCGGACTTTTCAGAAGATCAGTCTTGTTGAGAGCCAAAATCACAGGTTTTTTGATCAACTTTCGATCGTAGCATTCCAATTCCACATTCAACAGCGCAACACTCTCTAGAGCTGTTCTGAAAGTTCGAATTAGAAATTGAAAAAAAAACAGAAGTGCACCTTTTTGGCTCGCCAACTTCATTTTTGAGTTGAAATCCAGTACAGTCGACTACGAGAAGAAGAACGTTCGCGTATTCCAAATGTTTCAGAAATTGGTAGCCCCGGCCACGATTTTTCGAAGCTCCCTCGATGATTCCTGATGAATAAAGAACTTACGAAAAGTTTGCTAAGAACGTTTTTGAAAGTAGGAGCTCCAGTTTTTCGAAGAAATATTCCACTTTTTCAACAGAAAAAACCTGGCATATCCGCAATAGATAATGTACATTTTCCTGGAAGGTAACCGCTCACATCGACCGTTTCCTCACCGGCATTCCAAAAGCCTATTTGAGGTTTAATCTAAAAACTTCACTAAAAATTGAAGAAGAGTAAAGGCACCGTAGTGAAAGGGTAGGGAGCTATTTTGACGCTTTTTTCAGGAATAAAAGCTTTGAGAAGAGTTGATTTTCCTGCATTCGGAAAACCCACGAGACCCACGTTAGGTCTCAGTTTCAAATGAATCGCCACTTCCAACTTTTCTCCTCTCGAACCCCTGAAAGATTATTTTGAAAAAGCAGGAACATTCGTCAGAATATTTTATAGTTTATGAGGCTTGACAAAAAAAAAGAAATACACACACTTGTAGCCGTTGCTGGCGTTGCCTCCTTCGCCGCCCTTGGCGATCAAGTATTTCTGAAAGGCACGAGTACAGCGAGTGATCAGCGTGTTCTGCGCAACATCGACGACTTCAACGCCAAGGGGAACCTCCAGAAACTGGAAAAATCGTTACGAGAGTCCATTTTAGCAAAAACTCACTACATGGCCTCCAGGCTTTCCTATGAGAGCCGTTTTCTGACTTGCATCTCCTGAAGTAGCCTTCACTTTCATCTTCTGTTTCAGACTTCTTTTGATATCTGTGAAAGCTTTTCCAGGCTTGGCAACAAAATAAACATCTCCACCGCTCCCTCCAACGCCGTTATACCTAGATATATTTTCATTAGGTCATAAAAGTTAAGGATACCTTGCAGTTCCATTGCCACCTGAACCAGCCTGTACGGAGACTAGAAATCTATCAACATCAATGATGTTAAGATCATTTTTGATGAGTTTTTGAACAGAACATACCGTTTCCTTCAAAGAAAAGGAAATTCTCATCAATCTGAAAAAAAAAACTGAGCGAAGTCACGGTGTTTTTTTCATTACGCAAGGTCAAGACTTTTCGTAAATTATGATGCTTAGGGTGTAAGCACACCGAGACGCACTATCGCATACTCAAAATGTTTTTTTCAATTTTAGAATTTGCGATTTCAGGATAATAGCTCCTGAAATATTCGAAATTTGTCAGTTTGAAGAATATGGTGTGAAAAAAACATTCACTTACATTAAAAAAACATTTAGGATTGATTTCGAAAGGGGAAAAACTCTAAATTACTGATTACAAAATAAAAAAACAAAAAAATATTATGTAAATGAATCAGCTCCCATTGAATAAGCATTTATAAATACGAAAAAAATATTGAAATGAGGAAAAATTCGAGGAGCAAATGAAAAAAACATTTTATATACCTCGAAAACCTAGCTTCAGAAAAAAACAAGTAATGGATAGAAAGCAGAAATTTTAGAAAAACCTCGTATGGCGAAATTTTTTTGTTTAAATCTGAAAACCATCAAAAAAACTAGAAAAAAATATATAATTTAGATGATGCATATATCAAAAATCATTAAACTGCATCAGCAAATTCAATTTGGCTCTAATTTACACGAAACCGGTTTCAAACTACGTCAAAGGAACTAGATAATAACTTTTTATTATTAACTGATTAAATTAAAAAAACTATAGTTTCCGAAATAGAGTTACTCTTTTTCATGTCGCGAAACAGATTTCAAAAATTTTTGAAAAAAATTAGGACTTTTTAGAAAAAAATCTTCAACTATTTTGAGAAAAAAAGTTAAAGATCTGAAACCGTTTTTAGAAAAAGTGCGCAATTTAAAAACTCCACAAAATGTACCCATAGAGAGGCGGATCACATAAATGCAAGAAATAGAAAAAAGTAAAAAACCAATGAAAAAAGTGAAGAAATTCAATTTTTGCATCAGAAACGATGAGAAGGGCGCAATGATGCGCCACGGATAATATGCCGCTGGGACCCAATGCCGTGTTCAAAGTGATTCCGCGAAATTCAAAATAGCCGTCAGAGAAAGAGAAAGATAACTAAATTTTGGAGGGTCAGAGACCATTTTGCATTTCGCGGAAATTACTTTGAACACGGCACAAAATTTCGCATTTTTTTTCATTGCGAGGCGCCGCTATTTATAGACCAGGGGCGTGGCTTGCCTCACCGTAATCTTGTGCGGTGGCGCGCACATACCTACTTTTTCTCAGTCATTTCCTTTATACTCGTTTTTTTTTTTTCATTTTCTTTTTCATATTTATTTTAAGTATTCCCCTTTGATTTCAATATAACTCCTTCTATTTCTTAATTTTTCGAAGATATGGTTCTTCTCAAGTATTTTTCTTTAAAAATCACTCTGCAAAAAAATATGGAGCAGCATTTATTTATTGCTTCACAATTATTAGTTTTTCTAATTGTTGGTGGAGAAAAATTGACGAACAAATTCAAAAAAATTCAGCTATTTTAATCACTTTTTTTGGATTCTTCAAATTATTATACACTGCGCGTAATAAGTATAGGAATCCAAATAAGTTGCGCAATTCCATACTTTAGAAATGAGTTAAGAATATTCTACCAGCGTAAGACTTTTCAGTGTACGGAAAGAACTTACCGTGCGAAAAATCTCGGACGAACTCGAATCTATATGGCAACGCGACCCAATAAAACCGAAAAAAAAAGTCGCGTCAAAAGTTTAGGGTATATGCGAAATTTCTCGAATTATAACGCAGTAAAGGATTGTCACGTAGTACTCGAAAACTTTGAAGAGGCATAAATCTCGCAAGACCTAAAAAACACTGAAAACTGCACCAATTATCTTTATTCAAATTGACTGTGCTTCATTTTGCAGGTATTTGCAGGTACACTAAGAAGTAGAGTTCTCAAAACCGAACGTTCAAAAAATGACCGTTTGAAAAAAATGAACTTTTTCATTTTTCGATAGTTTAGGATATATCATTTTTCAAACGTTCAACCAAAAAAAGTTCGAAAAATCGTTTTCTTATAATAATGAACGTTTGCTTTTTCACATAAAAAAACGGACGTTCGTTTTTTTGAACGAACTGTTTTTGAAATGGAAAAATGAACGTTCACTTTTTGAACGAACTTTTTACGAGCGAAAAAAATGAACGTTCATTTTTTTAAACGAACTTTTTGGAAATGAAAAAAATGAACGTTCATTTTTTTGAACGAACTTTTTGAAAATGGAAAAAAATGAACGTTCATTTTTTTGAACGAACTTTTTGGAAAATGAAAAAAATGAACGTTCATTTTTTTGAACGAACTTTTTGGAAATGAAAAAAATGAACGTTCATTTTTTTGAACGAACTTTTTGAAAATGGAAAAAAATGAACGTTCATTTTTTTGAACGAACTTTTTGGAAAATGAAAAAAATGAACGTTCATTTTTTTGAACGAACTTTTTTTGAAAATGAAAAATGAACGTTCATTTTTTTGAACGAACTTTTTGGAAAATGAAAAAAATGAACGTTCATTTTTTTGAACGAACTTTTTTTGAAAATGAAAAAAATGAACGTTCATTTTTTTGAACGAACTTTTTAAAAATGAAAAAAATGAACGTTCATTTTTTTGAACGAACTTTTTTTAAAAATGAAAAAAATGAACGTTCATTTTTTGAACGAACTTTTTGAAAATGAAAAATGAACGTTCATTTTTTGAACGAACTTTTTTGAAAATGAAAAATGAACGTTCATTTTTTAAACGAACTTTTCACGAGCGGAAAATGAACGTTCATTTTTGAACAAACTCGCGATCGAGAATGAACGTTCATTTTGAACGTACTTTCGAATTTCCAGCGAATATTCTTATAATTACGACATGGAACATGATATATTGAGTTTTCGTTATAGCTGATTCACGGCTGGCTTGAGCCATCGCGAAAAGGGTCCTGCCACGAATAGAGACGAGACAGTGCCCTAGTTGGTGGAGAGTGCAGACATGCCACGCCTTTTTGCGTCCCAAGTTAGCCGTGAATCATCTATTAATCGCAAACCGCTACTCCCTGACGTCACTATGACATCATTCGAAACACAAGAAATAAGCGTAATCTAAATATTTGGCTATATAATTATTTTATTTACGTGAAAAAATGGCCTACTTTCAACTGAATCCATTCTTTCCGAATCGAATCCGAATCGGCCATTCAACCGAACCCATTCTTTCCGAATCGGTTAATTATCAATCCGAATCGGATATTTTCAACCGAACCCTAGAAAAATTTCCAAATATTCTTCCGAATCGGGCGTTCAATCCGAATCGGTCAAAAATGAAACCAATTTTATTCAAATTTTTTTCTTTCTTTACTATTTATTTTCATTTAAACTCACTGTATATTCAGAAATTTAATATGATCTGGGAGAGATAAACGGAGTACAGCCAAAAGCCTATCAAAACTTGAGTGTGTGCAATATCTTCACAAAGCTGAAGACTTCTCATTGCTACAGATCATTTTTTTCGGCTTTTTTTCCTCAATTTTTTTCTCGCCCATAGCCGACTTTCAGCTTTGCCCTTGACTATTTAGATACATCTGTCCAGATCACTTTTTTTCAACATTTTTTTTGATTTTTAACCCAAGTTTGAATTTGAAAGTATCTGGTCTATGACTTCTTTTTAGGGTCGTCTGAGAGTAGAAATGAAGTCGCTACAGATACTGCCAAGTTTCCTGATCTTGGCATGACTTTTCAGATTTTCCAAACATTTTTTTAATTATTTCTTTTTTTCAGTCAGTCAATTGTTTCTCTGTTTTAGTCACAGATATTATCGACTGAGCTGGATTCAAGAGCTTTTGAAGCCCCATTCAAAATCGTCTCTGGCGAATTGGAAGTGCAAATTTGTAGTTCAAGGAGTTGAAAGCATTTTCTGACGTTCCTGCGGTTCATTCTTCTGAGCGTAGTTCACCAGTTGCGCTATGACGAGTTCAAAATTTGATTAATTTTGGAATTGGAGCGCGGAGATCGTGTTACAGGTCAAATCTCAAAAATTAGAAATTTTAGTTTAATCTCAGGTTTTTTTCTGGCTGGAACTTTTTAAAATAATTGCCAAGTTTTTTCTAGATATGTTTCTACTGTCAATTTCTGAACAGGTTTCGCATTAGCGCGGGTGATAATGATTTAAGAAAAGCTCAGCGAGATTCACCTAATAAATGAGCTTGACTAATACTAATTCTCAGTCGTTGCAATTATTCAGAATGTAAGAAAATCTGCTAGCGACTTGTTAGTATTGATTTCATTTTTTTAAATTCCAAATTTTCCAATAATTCAAAAACGCGTCGCCAGAAGAAATCTTATCTCTTTCAGATCGTTACACAGTCTAAGATTAGTACATGCAGAGTTCAGAGTGTTATGCGAAACAAGATTTGCAGACGGTCACGCGGAAGGCCAATCTCAAGCAGAATTCACCCATTCGAGAACCCATCTAGCTGTTTTCTTCCGAGTTTCATCCGAAACATGAGGAACGAGAAAAAAAAAATCAAAGCTCAAGTTCATTGACTTTATCAATTGGATTTTGAGGCAAATTTTAAAAAAAAGACTGTGTTAAGGGGTCTGAGGAGGTCCAAAAGTCTCTGGAAGCTCTCTCGAAAACCATTGATATACTTTCCTACAGCCTTGAGAATGAGTGAAAAATCAGTGCGATCAAATTCCACATATTTAAAAACAAATTTCAAAAAGAAAAAAACAAATTTTGGCGTGAATTATCATTCAAAGTAATTTAGCAAAAATGATTTCTTAAAAAAATTTTTCGTTTATTTTTCCTTTTGCCGGTCTTCTTGCTAGAATCACTTTGAGAGCGGCATAAAGACACGGCACTCCTTTTCACGATATTATAACTCAAACTTTGAAAGGCTTAATTGACATGAAAAATTGATGTAAAAAATTCAACTTTTTGGGCCTAAATTTTGTTTTTTGGAGAAAAGTGAAAAAAAAAGTTCAATACGAACTTTAAAACATTAATTCTTCTCATTGTAGAATATCAGTTGTTGGAAAAACCTGAATAAAAAAATATAAAAACACAAAGTAAAAATCAGCGAAATTTTAGGCCAGATTTTTCAAAAAAATTGAGATTTAGCGTCGATAATTTCAAGTAATTTGACTGTAGAGAGCTAACACTAAATGTAAAAAGTCAAAATGAAAAAAGCAAAAAAGAGCAGAGAAAAAAACCCGCCAGAAACTTATTTTTGGCAATGGAAAAAAATAATTTTCGAAAACTGGCAATTATCCAAGTGTACGGGAACATAGGGTCCCAAAGCGATGAGATAGCGCGCCAAAACTCTTGGCGCCTGCTTAAATTACGTTTTTTAGTTGTTTTTTTCTTCAATGTTTCTTTTTCAATTCTTGTGTTTTCTGTATAGTTTCATCACTTATAGACTTTGCTTAATATTAGTATTTTGCTATAGTCATTCTTTTTTCTTATATTTATTCGCAGGTTTCACATCTTTTTCAAGAAAAAAATTTTAGGCCCAAAAAAATTTTTTTAATCGGTTTTCGTCATTTAAAAATTTTTTTCATTTCATTTCCTATCAAGTTTCATGGAAATTAAGGAATAATCCGACGTTACCAACATGTTTGATTTTTCAGCATGAACGTCGGATTATACCGAAATTAAATATCATTTCGGAAGAAATATTGCGTGATAACGACTTTAAATTTTAGTTTGAAATCGATTGATAAAGTCAATGCAATTGGGCTGTAATTTTTTTGTTCCGCTCGTTTCGGATGAAACCAGTGAAGTTCGGTATAAAAATATAGGTCATTCCGCGCCAGCTTGTCACGATTTCCAGTTTATTTGGAGCTAGAGAAGCCTTTTTCGGCGCTTCGCTTCGATGCTCTCGGTGTGCCCTCTTGCGTGCGCCTTTAATAAAAACTCATTATTTTGGAACTTTGGAATTTTTCCTATTCTACAAAAAAACAGTTGTAACATCAAATTTTATATCACATTAACCCAAAAAAACTATATGCAAGAAAAAGCTCGAACAGCCGGTTTCATTAATAACAATTAAAAAAAGTAGTAATTCAATCTTTTTGATTTTTCTTTTTTTCTTACAAATCCAGCACAGAATCTGAGTGTGCTCGCATGCTGATCAGGTGTCTCAACGGGTGTACCCGTATTTAACCCGTGTTTCTGAGGTTATTTTTAGTCTCAGTTGGGCTAAAAACGGGGGAACAACGGGTGTAAGAAAAAAATATGTAACCCAGCTGGGCTAAAGCGGGGTCTCAGTTGGGCTAAAAAAATTGCCAAAAAGTTCTATCAGCTGGGCTTTTACGGGTTTAATACAGGGGGCACCCGCGGAGACCCCGTGTTAGCACGGCGGGGTTACCCTGCTCAGCATGCGAGTGTATAGTCCAAGCGAAAAAAATGAAATCAATCCATCGAAAACAACCTCGTAAATTAATAGAAGAGTGAGAGGAAATTGAAGCAATATCTTAATCAGAAATAATATTTTATTAAAGGCGCACGCAAGGGGGAACACCGAGAGCATTGAAGCGAAGCGCCGAAAGGGGTTCTGTAGCTCCGAGGAAAAATTAAAAATCGTGACAAGCTGGCGCGGAATGACCTATACTTGAATTCTGCTTGAGACTTCCGCGTGACCGTCTGCAACTCTTGTTTTGCAAAAACGCTCTGAATTCGGAATGAATTTCGTAGTGAACAATTCGAAAAAAATTCTTACTAATAAGTCCGCAGATTTTTTTCTATATATAGCGCTATGTAAGCAACGACTGAGAACTAGTTTTTAGTCAAGATTATTTATTAGGAAAAACCTCTCGAAGCTATTTTTCAAGTGACTGTCACCGTCAATTCCGAAAATGTTCAGAAGTTTACAGTAGAATCGCCATCTGACAACTTAAAGAAAACAAAAAAACTTGGCGATATTTTCAAAAAGTTATAAATAGAAAAACCTGAGTTTAAACTATAAATTATATTTAGTTAGAACAGTTTTAACAAATGAACTGAAAGTTCTGTTCCTAGAAAAAGATAGAAAAAAGGCGAAAAGATCAGCTCTTTTTTTATAAAAAAATCTTCCCTTGAAGTGATTTCTTTCATTTCAAGGATTTGAACTAGAGCACGAGCTTCGTGAAGGACCGTCAGACAGTTCTATCCACTCCTTCGACTACAAATTTGGACTTCAATTCGATGAAGTTTGAAAAAAACTCTTGCATCCAGCTCAGTCGATAATATTTGTGCCTAAAAACAGCGAAATAATTGACTGGCTGAAAAAAAGAAATAATTAAAAAAATGTCTGGAAAAAATCTGAAAAAGTCATGCCAAGATCAGGAAACTTGGCAGTATCTGTGGCGACTTCATTTCTACTCTCAGACGACCCTAAAAGAAGTCATAGACCAGATACTTTCAAATTCAAACTTGGGTTAAAAATCAAAAAATGTTGAAAAAAAGTGATCTGGACAGATGTATCTAAATAGTCAAGGGCAAAGCTGAAAGTCGGCTATGGGCGAGAAAAAAATTGAGGAAAAAAAGCCGAAAAAAATGATCTGTAGCAATGAGAAGTCTTCAGCTTTGTGAAGATATTGCACACACTCAAGTTTTGATAGGCTTTGGCTGTACTCCGTTTATCTCTCCCAGATCATATTAAATTTCTGAATATACAGTGAGTTTAAAATGAAAAATAAATAGTAAAAGAAAGAAAAAAATTTGAATAAAATTGGTTTCATTTTTTGACCGATTCGGATTGAACGCCCGATTCGGAAGAATATTTGGAAATTTTCTAGGGTTCGGTTGAAAATATCCGATTCGGATTGATAATTAACCGATTCGGAAAGAATGGGTTCGGTTGAATGGCCGATTCGGATTCGATTCGGAAAGAATGGATTGGGTTGAAAGTACGCCGAAAAAATTGAAGAATGGGAAGAGCCTGAAATAATATGAAAATTTTTTCGAGTCGAATCTAATTTTATAAATTTAAAACGTGAAAAATAAATCAAATAATATGGCTGCGTGTGCGAATCGCCAAGCCACGATGACGTCATAGGGATGATGTCAGGGAGTAGCGGTGTGCGATTTAACTCGAAATGAATTATTGGCAGAGGAAGACACTCAGAAGAAAAATGGCAGACCGTTTTCTGTTGAAATTAGCATGCCAGCGCGCAGATCCTCGACAGTGTGGAGAGCGGGGAGAGTACGAGTCTGGTCACTCCAAGTTTACAATTCTCTCTAAACGGATGTATGCGCGCTGGCATGCCGTTTGTTTTTTGACATTCGTGCTGGCTCGCATGTTTGAGACAGTACCACAGCGGCCGGTGTCCGGTCAATATTGCGCAGTCAGTTTCGGAGCCAGGAAACTTTTTTAATTTTATTACATTTTGCAATTAAAAAAAAATCGAACAGAAAATGAACGTTCACATAAAAAACGAACGTTCGTTTTTTGAACGAACTTTTTTAAAATGAAAAACGAACGTCCGTTTTTTGAACGAACTTTTTACGAACGAAAAATGAACGTTCGTTTTTTGAACAAACTTTTTACGAACGAAAAATGAACGTTCATTTTTTGAACGAACTTTTTGGAAATGAAAAATGAACGTTCATTTTTTGAACGAACTTTTTGGAAATGAAAAATGAACGTTCATTTTTTTGAACGAACTTTTTGAAAATGAAAAAATGAACGTTCGTTTTTTTGAACGAACTTTTTACGAACGAAAAAAATGAACGTTCATTTTTTTGAACGAACTTTTTAAAAATGAAAAAAATGAACGTTCATTTTTTTGAACGAACTTTTTGAAAATGAAAAAAATGAACGTTCATTTTTTTGAACGAACTTTTTGGAAATGAAAAAAATGAACGTTCATTTTTTTGAACGAACTTTTTGAAAATGAAAAAAATGAACGTTCATTTTTTTGAACGAACTTTTTGAAAAATGAAAAAAATGAACGTTCATTTTTTTGAACGAACTTTTTACGAACGGAAAATGAACGTTCATTTTGGTTGAACGTTCAAAAGCAAACTTGAACCAAAAGTTTGGTTTCAACATTTGTTCGAAAATGTTTGGTCGAACGTTTGGTTTTGAGAACTCTACTAAGAAGAACTGCCGAGCTCGCTGGCGGTACATTGACGAATTCGTAAACATGTCGCTATATCTTCGCGCGGGTCTCGCATTTTTTTAGAAGCGGCCTCGCATTTATCTTGGCGCAACATCGCGATTTGAAAAATATTCAAATATTTACTAGTTCGTTAAAAAAAGCGAGATAAATGCGAGATCCGCGCGGAGACGATATTTAAATATTTGCGTGATTGTCGATGTACCGATCCCGAACTAGGTTTTTATATCACGCCCGAAAAAGCCAGTTATCTTTAGTGTATCTTGAACATAATATTTAATAGGGAATTTTCTTTAATTCAGATAGAATCGCTTGACAGCGTTAAGATTTTGCATGGAGATGAAGGTAAACGACGGGCATGACCAGAGGACCGAAGTTATTCGTTCAAATCCAGGAAAATGAAGCCATCGTAACACCAATCTCAAAAATAGATCGTGTTAACTGCAAAAATCATCATATCTGCTTTCCTTCTGAAAAATGAATTTAGGCTTTCAAATCTTTACATGCGGTAGCTGCACTTCCCACAGCGGTCTATGCTTCGAGGAGATAATAAAAGCAAATAAACTATAAAACTTTTAATTCGACAAAAGAAGTAGTCGTCGACGATGTAGATTTCATCAAATAGTTGGAGTCCTCTTCCTGTGGACTTTGGACACATTCGCAAAGTGTTCAAAAGAAACTAGAAAAAAGGGCCTGAACTTGTCAAAATAGGACATTTTTCACGGAAATTAAGAGCTCACTTTTTATTACTCGAAAAAATCTTTATGGGAAGGTAGAAGAACCCCGAAAATGAAATTATTCGCAATGACGTACACTCATTTAAACTAAAAACGACTTTCGGCCTCAAGAAATTCGTCTACGATACTAAAGACAGAAGAACCATGTATTCGAAAATTAAAAATTAAATTAGATAATAGAAGGAGTTATATTAAAATCAAAGGGGAATTCTTAAAAGAAATATGAAAAAGAAAATGAAAAAAAAAATGAGGAAATATAAAGAAAATGACTGAGGAAAAGTAGGCATGTGCGCGCCACTGCACAAAATTACGGTGAGGCAAGCCACGCCCCTGGTCTAGAAATAGCGGCGCCTTTCATTGCGCGGAACACCGTGAAGTCCTTGATCGAGAAGGAAGTAACTTTTTCTAATCGGTCCTAAATTAACTCAAAAACCGCCATGGGCGGCTGGAACATGCTTGAAATTAACTAGATGGGGAACGAAATAAATCACAATTTATTTTATAAAATTTAAATTGGAAAATAAAAGAAAACCGCAGTTTTGGAAACTTTTAAAATGTTGTCATGGTTTCTTGCGTTGTGGTGTAAATGAACACCAAGCACCATATCTCACGAGCTTTTCGTCTTTACGGCTTTGTGTTAAATCTATTATATTTCGTTTGAAAGTTCTCGTATATATGGTATATCTTTTTTCATAAATCTTACTGCGCTCAGAAGTAATTTTGTTGTAAAAAAAAAACTAGTCGTTAGAGGCTCGAAAAGTAACGAAAGTCTTGGAGAGAAAAAGAGCCTTTCCGAAATTACTTTGAAACGGTATGAACCTGTGATGAGTTCCGCGTTACTATATTACGTTTTTTTAATCTTAAAACATTTATTTCATAGATGATTTAGTTTTCAGAGGATGTCATCAGCCCCTGGCAAGAAAGTTGTATCACCGGACGCTGAAAACTCTTGGACTGCCACGGTATATCTTTAGGCGCTCTACCTGAATTTTTTTTTCTCTCAAAAAGACAATAAGTAAATGAAAATTTTTCAGCTTGGTAAAGCGCTACGACCGGGACAAGATTGGCCTGACAAAGACGAACTTCTTGACGTCGTCTATTGGGGAAAGCAGGTATTCAGGCATTATCATTCTTCAGCGGAAAATTCCCACAAAAATTTCAAGGTTTTATCTCTTTTCGTTGGCATCGTTTTCGGTGTGACTCCTCTCTACGGAATTCTGGCTCTGATCGGATATGTTGCCATCTCATCTGTCATTGCTCAACACTACGTAGTCAAATTTCAAAAAGTACTTTTTTTGGTTTTTTTTTTTTAACAGTTTATATTGTTTCACAGGTAGATGAGGAAGAAGTCGGTGGGTTCTGGGAACTGGCCAAAGAAGGATTTGGCGCGGCGTTCGCGACATTTATGGTTACCTGGATCACCATCTACACTACTCTCCATCACTAAGCAGTTTCAACTAATTTTTCAAAAATATATACGCTTGTTACTCACTTCATGAACAAAGAGTAGAGTAAGAGATTGCAAATATATTATTGGTCTTAATATATTTTCTACTGTGATTTTTTTCTTGTCAATTGAAATTTCTTTTTAGTAAAAATATTATCCTGAGCTTGTGAAACTTGAGATTTCGTGTCAGGCTCCGAAGAATTCCTTTATACTTGGAACATTCGTTCAAATTTTGAAAAAAATTGTTCTCTCAGGGAATTTTCCCTATTAATGCAAGCTAAGCTTGTGCTCCACTTGTTAACGCTCAATGCTATAATAAACTTTTCCTTTTCTTCGAGGACGGAAGGTACTTAAGAAAAGTAGCACTTGTGGAAGGTCTTTTCCCTTGCAGCCGGGTCCGTGACGTTTGTCATCCTAGGGAAACCGTCAAACTATCATTTTTCTCTAGCGGCTGAGTTGAATCGAAGAATTTCAAAGGAGTGCATCGACAAGGTACGTAGTTGAACTTTAAAGTTCTTATTGGTGTTTTTTTTTCAGAAATGCAGTGTTTTGAATTCAGCTGTCGACATTGAGGTAAATGGTCATTGGGCGGTTTGGACCCTTTTCAAGAGGTATTTTTTTCACAGTTCCGAATAACAGATTGAAAAAAAGCCTGAAAAAAACAGCCTTTAAATGTTCTGAAAAATTAACTTTTTCTAAACCAGTATATTTTTCCATCGACGCTTACAAGGAATTATTGAAACGTGCTTTCTTCTCATTGAAATTTAAAAAAAAATACACGTTTTTTTGTTACCTGCAATCGATCAAAATTTCGTTTCCCTCTTCTAGTTCGCACCTTTCTTATGCCCTCTTAGAGGCTAGAAGATAGGCTACAACCCGATTTTCATTGCATTCAGACTGAGAGAAAAACATTCTTCCTCGTGGTACGTCTTCCTAGAAGATTCTTCTACAGTCCGTGTATCCAGCTTGCGAAAGTTTCTGGCTGAATTTGATCATTCCGAGCATCACATTTTTGGCTGCGGGCTCTTCGACCGAGCGTACATATCGCTATAATTTCTTTTAAAACATAATTTCCAAGGCCGACGATTATACACCACTTCAGTCACGAAGATGGCTCGGTTTTTCAGTACCCCGACTTTAGCTGTGGTTTCGTCGTATCACACGGTTCTGTGTTAGCGTAAGCTTGAATCTTCTTTTCTGAACTAGTACCATTGTAGTTATCAAAAATCTTTGAGAAAGGACTTCTTAAATAATATTTTCAGTCTTTTGGACGCCCTCGAACACTCAAATCCCACCACCGCCGTGCCAAACTTCTCAATAGATCCGAAACATGAGGTTTTAGCGAGAAAAAAGTCATCCAAGTTCAATTTTCTTGTTCTGCAGGTTGCTGTACTTTTTGATAAAGGCCTCTCTTTGAAACTCACGTCTCTTGAGGATAAATTTTGCGTTGAAGAATCTCCTAGTTGTTTAATTTATCACAGGGTAAATTTTCATTACAAGAGTCTTTTTTGAAATTTCGACCAATTTTGACCCGAACATCTTGAAATTCGTTTTCAGAAGCCTACTTTCGATTTATGCGAAAGGAACGTGGAATCTTCAAATGTTCACTTCATGGTGAAAACTTACAGCGGCTTTCACAGAAGTCGATGTGGGCCCAAACTTTTATTCTCCCTATGGTTCCATTTATTCAGTGGTGGTTATTAAAAGGACATGGGCGAGGGACCTTCCAAGCGTCGAATTTTGCAGCGACACAGTCGATCGCTACGTTCCCACCATTGACATGGGTGTCAACAATACTAAGCAAGGTGAACTTTTTTTCATCGTTAAAAATTAGGTGGACTACACTAAGAATAACTGACGAGATAAACGCGAGCTCGGTGGCGGTACATTGACTAACTCGCAAAAATGTCGCTTTTCTCTCGGCGCGACCTCGCATTTTACTCGGCGCCATCTCGCATTTATCTTGCATTTCGGAAATTTTCAAATTGCGAGAGAAATGCGAGCTCGCGCCTAGAAAAATGCGAGCTAGCGCCCAGACTAATGCGAAACCGGCGCGAGAAAAAAAGCGAGATGTTTGCGAGCTCGTCAATGTACCGCCAGTGTCTCGCGTTTATCTCGGCAGTTATTCTTAGTGTACGCGAAACGATAAGACCAAGTTTTCCACCCTTTTTCATTCCTTACTTTAAATATATATCGAATAATTTGAAAATAAAAATGGGAAAAAAAAGAAATCAGGAAACTCATTCTTCAGTTTGAAGAAAATTCGGGGCGGAACTGAGACAACATTGAGAAAAGAAAGGAGTTCAGGTCATTGTGGTAAGACGTGGGCGATGCTTCAACGGTTTGCCGAGTTGAAGGCTGAGAACAAATTGAAAGATATTCTATGGCTGGTTATAGCGGATGATGACACGCTTCTGAGTGTGCCGCGACTGCGGAAGTTGCTTTCTTGTTACGATCCGAATGAAAAGGTGAGTTTTCGTTTCATTGTTGAATATACGTTTTTCTCAGGGAGAAATGTCTTACTAAATATCCTCCAAAAATGAGCTCAATCGAAGATACTGAAATTTTCGACTTTTGAGAGCCCTTAACTTTTTTCACAGGCCTCAAGGGCAGTTTTTGAGACGAGATCTTGAATTAGCGTAAAAAAAATACATTTAGAACACATGGTATCATTCAGAAGTTCAGAACCCACTGCGAATAGAGATCATTCCCTAGTTAGGTGAACCTGGTCGTTCAATTTCTGGGGAAGGTAATCCTAGGTTTGAATCTTCGAAAACAAAAAGAACCCTGTTTTGATCTCCGGAGAGTACTGCGAAACAGCGCGTCGAAATTGCGAAACAGCGCGTCGAAATTGTAAACGATAAGCTCAAAATAAATTTTCCTTGGGTACTTCGAGCAAAAAGTTTTTTCTCTTTATAATAGAGTTAATCATAGCAGTTGATAGCAGGATGATAGCAGTTGACTCACAAACTAAAAATCCAGAAGATAATTTTTTGTTTCAAACGGTTACTTAGAATCCTCCCAGAAGTTGAACCAGATCTGCGATGTTATACTCATACACTTCCCCGGTTAGTTTTGTGAAGAAAAGTGATTTTTTTTGCTGTAATTAATTAGTTAGAATTAGTTAGAAGTGCTTATCACCAGGAACTTTTCTAACCAATTAAACAATTTCAAAAATGATCAATTTTTTCAAAGATAATTATTGGCGAACGTTATGGTTTCGGGTTCCACTTTGCTCAATCAAAGGGATATGATTATCCAACTGGGGGCTCTGGGTTGGTTCGAAGAAGTTTGTAAACTTCAAATATTTACCTTCAGGATGGTTTTCTCTTATCCGACGGTGCTTGCGATGCTCGAGAAGTGCTCATGTCCCAGAGATGACTCTCCGGACGACATGATCATAGGTTCCCTCTCCATATCTCTGCAAGAGAACTCTTCATTTTCAGGAATGTGCGCCCAGTCGGTTGGCGTCGATATTGTACATAATGCCGGTTTTCATCAGGCCCAGATGTCCGACTACGCCCCGGAATACTTTTGGTTGGTGTTTCTAGCAATTTTATACAGAAAGCTGATTACAGGAAGACTCCGACGATTTCGTTGCACAAGTTTGAAGGAATCGATCCATATAGAGACTACATGGCGTACCTTTACGAAGACGATTCAGAAAACAAATTCGTTCATCAAGAATTGTAACTTTGTCAGATATTTGATCATACGTGTCTTATCTTGTCTATAAAATAAAAAAAATCAAAGAAAATAGTTTGTGAATCCGTCATGATAACTGAAGAGATATCCTCTTTTTGATCCTTTTTATCTTTTTCAGTCACTTTTTTTAAAAGCAATTTTGGTATTGAATTTGCTTTTTTTGCGTTTAATTTATTCCTATGTCATTATTTTTGCAAAATTATGAAAAAAATTCAGGTTTTTGAAAAAAAGAAAAATTAAAAAGAAAAACCTGATTTTTTTCATAAAATCTATCCAATTTAGGCTCTACTCTTTTTTCAACTTATACGTTTGTTTGATCTTAAAAACCAGCTCAAGTGTTCATTTGAAAGTGTAATGCGAAAATTATATTTTTTCCAGGTGGAACCTTCAGAAAATTGCCTCAGGTACCATAGCTTCGCTCACCTTCATTCGCAAACGAGGAATGATTTTCATCACGGGCCATGACGCGTCGACCAACAAACACGCCCGCATACGCTGCACCCGACCAGCAGTGGCTTGCGCCATTTCTATCTCTCATCGTTTGCTTACTTTTCACTGCCGAGAGATTGTAATTCGTTCAAAAAACGTCTAATAATGACAACGGAACTAGTTTCGAAAGAAGAGCCTTCAATTCAATCACTCTAAAAGGTACGAAGACAAACCGCTCAAATTTTTTTCAATCAACATAAGGTACAATCGAAAGGAAGTTCAAAGTGAATAACTGAATAGTAACAGAATAAAATAGAAACATATTTCCGTGTTCAAATGTATAATTCAAAATTATCGATAATTCTGTGACATTCCAAAATCAGTTATATTGTTCACTCTTCGAGTGCTATTGAATTTCGCGGAATCACTTCGAACACGGCATGAATTTTGAGGTGAAAAGAAGACATTTACTTCGGTTCCTCAAAATTTTCAAGCCAGAAGGTTAGAAGATCTAGAGAGGCGACCGATGACAAAAGTCTTTCGTTTTTTCCGCTGCCGTTGCACATTCCGAGGTATCAAGATTTACTTACTATGACCGATTTTGGATCTTGATCTCACCGAAGTATCACTTTTTTCTTCTGAAACTAACCAACGACAACGAGATTCCCAAGGGCCATCAATAATCTTAGTATTCCTAGGCGGAGAAAAGAGAAAGTCCGTGACAACAAAATTATCGTGAAGCGCCGCTTGACATATCGGCATTTCCTACTTGTTTTAACTGATCACCTCTCCTGACTACTGACACTCAAGGTACGAGCACAAAGGACTACAGAAAGCAACAAAATGTGCAGATGGGACTTGTGGAAGCCGTCGAGTTGCCTTTCTCGCTGCTGACGACGGTCGTCCTGCTCGGCGGCGCCATATTCGCGACGGTCGTCGATTCTCTCGACGATTCAAAGAATCTGCCAGTGTCTACGGCTCCTCCTTCCCGTTAGCTTCTTTTTTTGCTCCCGCCTCGATATCATTTTTTCTTGTTTCACGTGATCTTTATTTTCATCCAAGAACTTTTTTATTTCAGAGCTGCTGCCGATGGCCCTCGGGATCATGTCGTTGATGGGAATTTTCTCCCGAAGACGTTACGTCATCACATTCACCCTCATCAACATGGTCTACGCCTACTTGATCAGCCTTCACTTCTTCGTCTTGACCATCTATCGAGTTCGCTCCGAAATTTTTTTGTCCCCGTATGAAAGTTCTCAGATCACTCACAATCTGCCACAAACGTGCCCCTACGAAGCCTTCATCAAGCCAGGCTCGGATTGTCTTCTCGGCGACATCCTCGTTCTCATCCTCATAACCGTCCTTCTTCTGATCTCGGTAGGACCTGACCATTTAGTTTCCTATTCATCAATTTAACTTTTTTAGCTTTTATACACCATTCCAAAAATATCCAAAAAGGATAAAACCTGAAAACACTCTTGGCAGAAGAATTTCATAATAAAACATAGATCATCATACTCGTCACCTTACTCATAACATCTTCATTCTCTGATTAAAGGGCATTGAGAATTGAGAGGAAAAACGGATTAATTAAATCAAATCGAACTTGAAATGATCCTGGAGAAAATTTTGACGCATTTACAAGATCAGATACTTCCATTTTCCCTGTTTTCAGTATGATAAAATATTTTGGCTGAAGTCCTTCATCTCTCCGGCTTAGCTTTCGAAATCTTGCAACGCTATCGAAGGAAATGTTTGTAGGTGACGGCGTCGATAGGCGTCTTCAACCGGCTCTCCTCGCCGGTCGTGCGGCTGCCGGCGTTGCCGGAGCAAGCGACCCGAAGACTCGTCCAGAAGCAAGTCGACCCTTCGTCTTTTGTCAGCCATGCCTGAGCCCGACTCAATGAATCATTGGTACTCGCTTTTTTTTCGTTGGTCTTTTTTGTTCGGTTTCGTTCGGCAAAAGTAGTTTTTTGCAATCTCATCTCCAGAAGTTTTTCTATATTATGAAGACAAACGAAGCAGGTATTTTTCGGGAGCAAAACACTTTTAAAAAATGTGGAGCGCGATAGTTGACAAACTCAGAAATTATTATTTCGAAGTAATTTTCAGCTTTTCTCAGAAATCGTAGGCAAACTGAGCAAGTAATACTTAATGATAGAGATGAGGACAATGCCTTGGAAAATTTAACTGAAAGTAAGCGAAAATGAGAAGTCTAAACAGACTTGGCGTAGGATGTTGCTCTGTGTGGCCCTTCCCGCGAGACTTTGTCTCTTTCGGCGAACGCTTCTCGGTCACTCGAGCTCCAGTCTTGCGTCGTTTCGCTTCTTCTCACGTCTTCCTCCTCCCCTTGCGACTTTTGTTTTTCGATTTCCATCTGTGTCTTTTTTCGTCGTGAGAATGGCCTCAAGGCATTGTTATTCATTAACAGCGAGCTTACTGAAAATATTTTCTCTTTTTTTTTTGGAACCACACTTTATTGAGTTTTCTTACTCAGCCAAATTTCGAAAATTTTTTTTCTAGTTTCTAAAATGAAAGAAGGAATTTATCAGACTAGCCAATAAATAATCAATATTTCTTTTGTAGGAAATAAAAATTCTGTTCGGAAAAAAAGCCAAGTTATTAGAATGAAAGTTCATCGAATATCAGATTTCTCGACATAAAAAAACTAAATTATTTTTTTCTTGAGTTTGGATTGAATAGAAGATTAACGGAAATTTATTGCAAAAAATTAGTTTTGCCTGACATCTAAAAAATAAGTGTTGGAACTTTCTTAAAAAATAGAAAAGTTTGGAGACTTTATATGTTTCAATTTACAGCTTTTTCTCTCTCTCTCTCTCTCTAGGCTTTTACGCTTTATCTTCTTCTATTTTAACTGAGCATCAGAAAATCAAAGTTGAAAAAAAATTTTTTTTTTCCTCTCTCAGTTCTTAAAATTGGCGCGCAGTTGTGATTTGAAAGAATTAGGTGATTGACCACTTTCTTTAGCTTCAAAGGACTTTTTATTGGTTGGGGGACATTATTCTTGACGATTAATACAGCACAGAAGCAACTTTCAAATAATGTTTATGGTACCCTAATGTCTCAACTCTTCGGTGAATCATTTGCATTAAAAGAAAAAATTCTCTCAGTTTTGAATTTGTTATCAGAAATATATATATTGAAAGAGAAAGGTTGATGTAGCAACGCAAAAAAAAAACAAGAGTTAGTAGGGGCTACGAATTATATTCAAAGTTTTTTTTTAAAGAGTGACGAATGCTAGTAGGATCACATGGACCTTGGTTGGACAGAAAAGTGGCCAAGGCTGAGAACATGTGTCGGTCGGCGATCTGGGCGGATCTCCAGCTTTTTCTTCCTCTCGGTCTCCACTATTTCGTTGTTTTCTTGTCGTACTTCTTGGTGTGAAAATGAATTACTACAGGGTTCCGGTATATCTTTTTTGATGGAATCGACTAGAAGAAAAGCATCCTTCTCAAGCCTTATGCCTTGGAAAACCTTTAAATGGGTATGCATCTCATGGAACTGCTTTCGGAGCTTTTAAGGGAGTTTCGAAGCTGGGGGATATAACTGATTTTGATATATAGATTTTTTTTGGTTCTATGACATCTAAACGAACTTTAGACTTCGTTTTTTCTTTATTTCTATTTTTTCTCACTCAAAATAACTGTTGTGTCAAGTTTTTGAAATATATAACTCAATTAAGAGCCTGTAAAGTTTCGCATTAAGGCGAGAGGTCAACATTTTATACTCCGAAGATAAATCTCATCAGAAAATTTTTCAGCTTCAAAAAATTTGATTAAAAAAGCTTGTTTTCCTCAAGGGCCAGGGTATTGTTTATTGGAGGAGTGATTAGTTGTAAAACATAGTCCGTTTTGCGGATCCCAGCTGCTGCTTGCTTATTTACGAAGGGCAGAGCCTCGTGTCGTCGCTAATTACCCCAAAACTCCCCGAAGCGCTTTTCCGCCCTCATCTTTCTTTGTCTCATGATCTCTCGTGATGCCAGCCGGCAAGCCTTCATTCAGTTTTGAAGATATGACGGCGCCAAATCTTCCTCTAGAAAAAACTTCTTCTTCAATAGTCGCTCTCACGAAAAGAGATATATATAACGTGATAGTTTTTTGAGGATTTTTTTGCAAAGGACAGAGAAGAGATTTCCGATCAGCTAGAACCACGGAAATTCTAGGCTGCAGGAATTGAATGATGTGCACAGGCAAATGGCTTGAGGGCGCAATGGGGCAATCGGATTGGCACGCGTTTTTGGGAAACAATTGGCACTCGGAATGTCCGCCGAGCCTTCTTCCCTTTGTTATCCGCCTTGTAAGCCACGCCCAAATTGTTCGTGCCATCAATTATTCCATCTTGGCATACGAGAAGCGTCAAAACGTCCCTCTTAACAACCTGCCTCATTCCTCCGTTGCAGCGTTTTCTTCCTAACTTTCGCTGGCTCAACCGTCCCATTTCCCTTTTTTTGACCTCGTGTACTTCATCTCATCTCAGGTTACTATGATTACGCAACCTCTCAGTTTTCACATTTCTCCTTTTTTTTGGATAATATATTTTATCATTTATATCTTCACTTTACCACTTCTTGATCGTTCCAGGCACGTTATTCCTTCGAAATTTTGACTGTTCTTCCGCTCTTCACGAGCCTCTACTCAACGTGAATCAACCAGTTTTGCGAATTTCTTAAAAAAGAAGCCATATGCTTCCAAAGAAGTTTTAGCCTGTCTCGCTTCAACGTGAAGGAATCTCATTGTCTGCAAAGAAAAAAGCTTCAGGTTTTTGGTTATTTAAGACTAGTCAGCGTTTAGGCACAATGAGTTATCGAAGTTCCCAAGAAAAGGAAGTTTTCCAGGGTTTTCTTTTTCTGATATTCGATAAAGCTTTGACGATTTGTGCAAAAATTAGCTTTTGCAATCAAAAAAATTCTTTTTGGTCAATTTTGGTAGCGGTTTCAGAGGAAAATGCTCAGAAGAGATGCCTAGGAAGGCTCGGCGTTGGATTCAATTAGTTTGGTTTTGTTTTATTACCCGTCCTTGGAGCATTCTAGAAAATACAATTATGATTAATGTGCGTCCGATTCCTCCTTGGCACATGCACCACATGCTCGGATTCATGTCGTCCTCTCTTTTTGTATCAGTTTTCTAATTCAATTTTTTGTCCGCGTTCTTTGTGAAGGGGCTCTTTTTTCGCGTTGAATCGTTCTCTTCCAGATAGGGAGACGATAGCGGCAGTAGGAATCGACGCCGACAATGGCGAAGTCGGTGTCGATACCCATCGCGCTGAGCGAACTCAAACGCACTTCGCTGCGACAGCTGAGTGGGAACAAGAAGAAGACGTCGACCACGACGCCGCTCACTGGATTCGTCATCCTCGTCGAGAGAAGCGGCGACGTCGTCAAGCTCTACGGTGAGTCTTTGGGAGGCGAAGAACCAACTTGTGGGCTATTTACTTGATTCACAACAAGTTAATAGTGTTCATAGACAAAGGGACAAAAAAAAGATTTAACTGGAGTTTCAAAAAGTTTTTATTTTGTGAACTGGAAAATCTGGCCTTTGTGAAAAATTTTTTTCACTGTTCAGAAATTTGAGAAATATCGGAAAGGAATTCGGAAGAATTTTGAGAGTTTTTAAAGATATTTATAAAGTCGGAAAGTTTGGAGAAGAGGAATATTCCGGGAACTCTGCTGCTAGGATTGGGATAATTCTCAAAAACATTATTTGTAAAAGAACAACGAGAACTTATCGTTTATAATAACAAATTAGCGAGTTAAATCAGTATTAAAGTTATTTGTTCCCAGGAACTGCCGCCGAAAGAGCAGGACTGAGCATCGGCGATGAAATCGTCACCATCAACGACATGAACATCGACGGGAAGAAGTACGAGCAGGTCGTCGAGCACATCCGCGAAGTCTGTAAAAGTGTGGTTGAATTCTCGAAATCTCCATTTCAGTGCATTCGGACGAAGGTCATACAGCTCAAAGTTCGACGTACTGCAGTTGAAATTCCCGCTCAAAATGAAGCTTCCGTTTTCAATTGTAGGTATACTTTGAATCGTTTGAATCGCCCATTTTTGAAAAATCGAAACTTGAGCAAGTTTAGATTTCCAGGATCTCTACCTAGAACATGAAAAAGTGTGCCAGCATACTCTTAGGAAAGTCCAAAACTCTGGTCACCTTCTTTTTGAGAAAATATGAGCTTTTCAGTCGATTCTTCTTCTTCTTTCTACGCCTTTGTACCGCTTGAGCGGCGTCGGCGCCCCAAGTCGATGAGCCGAGGTCCTATCCTGATATCAGTGGACTGGCTCCAGTGACATATCCGCCCTTGTGTGTGACGGCTGGGGATTTTGAAGTCGTGGTTTCCCACTACCAACATTTCTTAAACCCCTTGGTTGGGTCGGGGCGGGGATCGAACTTGTGACCCTGTGGACCGTAGACAGGCACACAACCTGTTGCGCTACGGCGCGCCTTTTCAGTCGATTGTTGATTCCGAAATAGACTGCCCATTGTAAATTTCATTTCTAACCCTGGACGAAGTTCCGATTTTGATCCTAGGTATTTCTGTCAAGATTCCTATCTGATCGAACATTTTCTGACTTTTCATCGGAGCATTTCTAGGCACGACTTCGAGCACGATGATCACGGACGCCTACCTCGTTTCCGTCGACAAAGAGCACATCAAGGAAGTGACCAAAAGGCTCAAAAAGTACGTTTTGAACTCGGATCGAGCCAGTGAAAAAGTCTTTTTGCGCTGGAGCACAGTTTTGCGGCGAATAAATGGGAACTGTAGTGGGAGGTGTGTGTTTGTCGGTCGAGTTGACCATCTTGCTCCCTTGTTTGGTCGAACCGACTTGAGCACAAGTGTTTCCTCGTTGTTTCTCGCACATTTACCTTTTCTCATCGAAATTACATCCAATGCTCAATTATTGGAGAGGTCATGAGTTCAATTTTCTGAGACTTGCGAAAAATCTTTTGTTGACCCCCTATTCTTCAGATTTTTTAATCAAATATTCATCAAAAATGAAGTTTGGACTACCTCTCGAATTTAAATAAAAATTCAGGGTAGATTAGAAAAAGTGAAAAGGTCAGAAAAAAGTCCTATATTTACTTCTACTTTTATTCATTTATTTATTTATTCAGCAATATATATCGTCAATGAAACGTCTATACTAGCGATTTCAAACCTAGGAACTAAATTTTCAAGAATTTAATTTTTTCGAATATTTTCGTTGATATAATTAGAAATAGTTTTTTTTCAGCTGTTTCATCTCTCCTATTTGCTATTCGGAGTTCTCACATTTCTCGACTTCTGGGAAAGGTGTCTTTTAATCTTTCCCTGCGGACTCTCGACGTTTCAAGTCTCTTGTCTTTTTCCTTATTTGTCTTTTTTCTTTTGTTTTTTATTTTCGATCAAAGTAACTCAAAATTTAGCCACATTTTCGATTTCATTTTCCCAACGTGTAAGTTCGACGCTGTGTAGTATTTTGCACTGAACTCTTTCATTTCAATTCAATCTTTGCGATCTTTTGAAGTATACTTTATTTATCGTAAATTAAGTTTGGCTAACTAGTTTTCTCGAAAAGATTTTTAAAATTCCCCTTTTTCTTTAAGAAAGAAGTTTGTGAACGATATAGTAAGCTTGATTTGAAGTCTCCCAATTTTGGCTGTTGGGCAGCGGTTATTCTTACATCTTTCTTTTCTGGCCTTTAATCATGTGAGTTTCGAAGCAATTAGTGTGGAACAAGCTTGTGTAGATTGAGAGCAGTTTTTTGGATAGCCGAACGGACGGAGTGTGCTAAATAGTCGCACCAACAGAAAGGAAGAGAAAGCGGATGAAGAAATTGAAGATCCTCAGGTGACTCGGGTTCTTTTTTTCGACCGATGGTCCCGATATTCTGGTGTTGGGTTGCCCAATCCTACGCTATCCCGAATTCTTCGTCTTTTCAAAATGTACTTCCTAATAGGACTCTTTTCGAAAACGGATCTTCCTGAGTTGTTTTTTTTTTTTTGAATCTCTAAACTATTTTTAAAAAATCAGTGCACCTTACCTTGGTTAGTAATACGGTGGTTCAACTTATTCAGTATTTAGCGATAGTGAAATAGGTTTTATAGTCACAGTGAACTTTTTCACAGCTGTAAGAAAGTCATAAAGCGATCATAGGAGTTTTGAATTTCAAGGCAAAGAGATTCTTCTCTCATAACTTCAAAATTTTTCGAAGGTTGGTCAAAAATTTTCTTGATTCATCGGATGATCCCAGAACTCCAAAATTCGCGACTCATTTTTTTTTAGAGGAAAGTGTTCTGGAAATCTTAGCCAAGATTATAAATTCATGGAAAAAGTGTTTGGAGGCCTACTCACAATATATCTTTTCAAAATACTGTCTTGCAAAAATCCATAAAAAAAGGTTTTCTTCCATGTTAGACGATTTTGGGAAGTTTCCGAAGGAATTCTTTATTTAAGGAAAACCTTTCCTTACAAAATGAATCAAATGAGAGCTGAAGAAAAGGAAAAGGTTTTGTAAGACGTTCGGAGACTTTTCAAAAACACTCATCGTGTTCCCGCCGAAATGGCAGGCAATTCACTCGTGCCCCAATTTGTCGGTGGCACCGCCGCTCCTCTTGAGCTCTGTTGGTTGGAAACCGGCAAAAAGGCTTCCTTCTGCTAACCTCCACACGACGTCTCAAGTCGAGAACGCCATTAATCACTCACTCATCGGTTTTTTTTCGATCCTTATCTGTTCACAGCGTCTTGCCTCTCTGGTCCTCTCGTCGCACTTCGAAACCCATTCCGCTATGGTATTACCTTGACTGTCGTGTTTTTCAAACTTATTTGTTGTTTTTAGTGGAAATATACCAATAACTTCTTTTCCTGTTCCTTTTTTGAAGCTTTATGGCCTAAATGAGCAAAATTTTTTTCTCGTTTCTATCACACTTTCTCTTCAAAGTTTTTTGAAAGTTTCATCATTCTTTCCCATTTTTTTCAGAAGATTTCAGAAATATGTAACCATTTCCCAAACGTGAAAAATAATAAATGTATAAAAGCTTTTAATTTTTTCAAGTGATCTACTCAAATCCTTTTCTGAGACTCATCAGTTCAGAATATTCCTAGGGTTGTCGTGAATCTTGTGAGATCGTGTAAGAAAGGTCATAAATAGCCTAAAAAGTGCATTTATGATGGCACGGTGAGCCTTGTGACGTCATTTTTCGACCAGATGTTCTCCCGTTTACTGTCATTTTATGGGTAACAAGGGTTTTCGATGTATTTTAGCATTTTTCTCCGCTGTCTTTTTGCTCTCAACTATCAGTTTTCCTTAATCTTGAGAGTTATTATTTGGAGAAGGCTATTTACACTACCGTCAGAAAAGAAACGAAAAAACGCGACTTTTGTCACAATTTTCTTTTAGGATTTCAATCTTCTTGAAAGTTTCTGATGCTGGGTTTTTTTTCTATGTGAACTGAAACTTCATCGGATTGTTAAAAATAAATTTCATCACAAATCCAAAAAGTTTCAAAAAGATTGAGTCCCTTACAAGAAAGTTGTTACCGAAACCCCGTTTTTTCGTATCTTTTCAGACGGTACTGTATATTCTACTTCATCATTCAATTAATAACTTGAAAAATAGAATTTTTTTAAAAACTTATAATGTTTTCAGTTTTATTGTTCAACTTTTTCGACAAAGACAAGCCACACGAGTTTTGAGTTCTCAGGTTTCACGCTGAATGAGAGATCACGCTTAGATTTTAATGAAGCTTCAGAGACAGTTTAAATATTTTCATCAAATGAAAGACTCTTTTTCTGCCTGCATGAGCAACTTAGAGTTCAAATTGAGCTTTATATAGTCATAGTAACGTGTATCATTCATCGATATTTACATGTAGTGTCCCAGAAGTACATGAGAACAAAATGTGGCTGAGCTTGCCGAACGGAGAGAACGTCAGCCGGTCATGCTCCGATTGGGACGGTAATCGACGCTCCAAACACGGCTGGTCTCGCTCGGCTGCCGACGATCCCCCAATTATGATTCTCCCTCGGCTGTTCTTTTCTGCCTCCTCATAACAACACTACCGGTAACAATCTGCCGCATTTGACCGTTGTTTGTCCTTCGGCGGAGGACACACGCAATTGCTGCTTTCACCTCACCTTTCGTCCGATTTTTGTGCGTTTTTTGAGGTTAAAAGCAATGATGCTCACGGCTCATTAAAATGAGACCGTGAAAAGTCTCGTTCGTTTCATCTACTCTAAACAGTCTTTTTTCCCAATTTCGATAAACCCGTAAATTATCTCTCATCTTGGAGATTCAGCCTAAGCACCTGAAGAAAAAAGATCAGAGTTTTCGGATTCTTCGATCTCTTCCTTTTTTTTTGTTTCCCAGATCTTCATCTGAATTAATTGGAAGAAAAAAGGGGTGCCGGCGGAACGCACCTGCTCGTTTTCTGGACCTCGTTGCATGACCAAATTACCGTGAAGGTCAGCTATGTTATTAACCCAAGCGTTTCCTACCGATCCGCTTTCACCTCATTTTCATGAAAAATTTTAAAAAGCCTGTTTTTCCACATATCCGCTTTTCCGTTTTTCTCTCTCCGGAAATCTACTGCCACGAGATAACTGGGCCGTTATTACGTCCAAAACTGTCAATTTTCCTCTCTGAAACTGGTTGGCCACTCCATCTACATCTACATAAATGTTTGCCTACATTTGAGTCTTTCTTGTGCAGTTCAATTTGAGTTTCAAACAGATGCGCATTCATTTTCACATACATAATTTTTTAGATTAAAAAAAAAGTGAAACTTCACCTGCCTTTGGCTTCTTGAAAACTTTTCTATGCTTTCTTTTCATTTGAGTTTTTCCTTGTAAGAAAAGGATGGCTTTGTTTCCGATTTTAAAAAAAAATGCTGTGAAATAAAAGTCTCGAGATTATATTCAGGATTAACTTGAGCGATTTCAAGTTCAATAGCCTTCAATAATACGTGGGAAACAGTTGTTACCACAACGCTGTTTCAAAATTGGTCCGTGACCCTCTAAAAGTGGCACAAGCGTTTGTTGAATGAACTATTCGCCTCATTTGACATGCTATTTTTTTTACCAAAGTTTTTCAATTTGAAGGATTTTTTTTTGAATCTCTTTTTTAAACTCGCAACAAGAGTTCATTATTCAATTTCTCCTCGAACAATCAGGTCAGTTTATTGATAACGATCATGACGTTTCTTTCTGTCAAACAATTAAATGCCGTGTATCTTTCCTCAACTTTCTGTTATCACAAGGTGTAACAAAAATAACTTTTCTCGATGTCTTTCTGTAGTAATCGATTCCTTTTGGATGCTACGAAACCAAGATTATCAAGGATTTTCCACACCAAAGTTTTCTTTCCAATTTGAAGGTTATCACATTCGATAATTGATGACTGATGGCTGACATTTAAAAGTTTTTTGGACACTTCTGATTCATAAAAGGCGTTTGCCTGCTTCGTCCCGTTTTGTTCAATAAATAACTCAAATCTTTTCAATCTTTCTTCGCATGTTCTTTGATAGTTTTTTCTTATCGCTTTGGTTCTCTTATTTTTTTTCGGAACCGCGGTTGTCCTTGTAACTTTGCAAACTGTAGAATTGCTTGTAAAACTAAATGTTTCTACCATGCAACCATTCAGTACGTGAAAAAAAGAACATTCCCGATTGGCAAGAAAATGTTTGAATGGGTTATATGACTCAACGTCAACAGCATTTGAATGTCGCCCGTTATCACGATCACTTCCGCTGTTTGTACCTTTTCCTGTCTTTTTTTTGTCTCATTTCAATTCTCCAGAAGTAGAAAGAAGCCGAAAACATGATTTTTCTCTGAAATATGATACGAGAATGAACCCTCAATTCAGAAACGCATTTTGGATTCTCTGCTTTTTTTTAGCTTTTGCAAATTCGTGAGAGGAAAAAGATAAACAATAATTTTTTTTCTGATTTGAAACATTTTAATGTTAGTAAAACTGAAGGCGCTATAATTTAATATTACATGCACAACGACGCTTTCTTGAGTCTATTTTTGACTTCCGTCAAGAATTTTTAAAAGGAGTCATCCTTACATTCAGATGTATACATAGAGAGTATTGCAGAGAGTATCCCGAGCTGCGGACTTACGACATGGAGTCGATCGCGGCCTCAGCTCCTCAGCCCACGAATTTCCAGCGAGGCTCCGTGCGGCGACCTGAGGCTCACGAGTTGCAGGAAAGGATCAACAACAAGATCCAGAGACAGAAGGAGAACGACTTCTTGAGGTTCTTTTCTTTTTTCAACAGTCAAAATCCAGCATATATTCAAAAAGTCTTCGAGCTAGTCATTCACGAATTCGTTGTATTCCTGAAAAAAAATTAGAGTTTCTTCAGAACCTCGATGCGCCAATCGAAACGTCTACAAGCCCTTGCGACAAGTGTCGAGCCCATGTCCTCGAGTACGTCTTCAGAATAAGCTCGTGAGAAAGTTTGGAGTTCAGAAGAAGTGACGTCGTTTGCGAATCCGCTGTCCGAAGTGTCTGGATTCGAGAATCAATGCTTCGCAGAGTCTGTCGGCGTCGCCTCGACGTCTTCTGGCACCACGCGGATTGCTATCGGCGAAAAAGATGAAGAAGACGTCGTCACTACTTCCGATTCTCATCCCCATGATCCGATAGGTTCCTATTCTATTTTTTGATCTGCACGAAAAAAATTAGTCAAAGTTCAATTGAACGACATCTCTTTGTTTACAAAATCTCGTATTTCTCTTGGGAGTTTATACCAAGGCGCACTCGTCAAGATAAACTCTGGACCCCAAACTGCGGTTTTTCGTCGTTCAGAACTGAAGGAGGTGATCGTCTCAGTGGAGCGCATCGCCTCGCGACTTTCCGAACTGCAAGGTCGCGAGTCCGACGTCGCCATGCTGCGACAGTTCTTCGCCGCGCCGCCCATCCAGGCCGCCATCGAACAGACTGCCGCCGCCATGAAGTCTACCGGCAAGGTCAGCGTTTTCAGGACCAAAATAGTATTCGGTTGAAATACCGGGAAAAAACAGCCAGGTAGATAAGAAAGTGAGAAAAGATAATGAGAAAAATCACTTGTAAATGCCGTTTTCACTAAAAGATTTTTAAATTGGATGAGATGAAATATTATTTCATACTCGGTTATATTATCAAAAAAATCAAAATTATTTTTTTAAGAAAAACCAGAAAGATTCAAAAATTGGATCTTGATGAATAATGACTTGATTGCAGTCTTTGAATTGGCTTGTGCAGGGAGTTTGAGCGAACTTTTTCTTCTCGAGTTAATTTTAAGTTTTTGGTTGTATTAATATCAACATCAATGATAATGATTCATGTCATTAATTGATTGTTGATTAGAGTGGTCTCCTAAATTATATAGATCTATATTTCCAGACCGGCTCCGATATTCCAATGACGACAGTTTTGAACGGCGCTACAAAGACGGGCACGACGTCTTCGGGGATCGGCTCAGACGGCAGCCGGACGCCTTCTGAAGCGTCGGCTCCTGAATTGGAGTCCCGTTCTCGTGAACAGAACGTCTCCAACACAGAGCGCCCCTCCTCCGAGAAAAGAAACGTCCGCGTCGTGACTCTTTCCAAGGATGAGGACAGCTACTTGGTCCGTTATCTTCTACTTTCCGAAGATATGCCTTCTAGTTTTTTCAAGTGACTTTCATTTTGAATAAGGCCAAGGTCTCTGTGCTTTCTAGAGATTTTCAAAAGTCATCTGCAACTTATATTTAGATGAGTCTACTGCGACACTTTCTGTAACTGTTTTTTCCTGCAAATCAGATCCAAAAACAAACGATATCTTTATTGAAAAAGAACAACACAAGCAACTATTTTCTTCGTTCCGAGCCTCAAGGTCAAGGTATGAGAATTTCGGGGCCCATAGCAGTAAGCATGACCGGATACATGAGGCTCCTGAGCACGACCTCTTGTCTCTCGTCTCTCCGATCGCAAATCATCTTCCTGGTCTTGGCGAAAACTGAAAATATCATTGAAAGGGCTTCATCTATTGAAACTTACTCATGTAGAACCCAAGAATGAAGATGAGAAATATCATTAGGTAAGACAGAATTTCGAGCAGCTCCAAGGAAGCCATGATGAAAAGAGAGAATGAAGCTCCCACAAGAACGTGCGATAATCAATGCCATGGTAACGGTGTCCAATCTACAGCTAACCTTTCCATTTTTCCACTCGAATAACTCCAAATTTTCGTTCTTCTTGAGTGATTCCATTTCTCAAAAACAACTTCAATGCATCGATCACAGCATGGTGCGAATCTTCGCAGGTGGGATGACTAAGCGCCTCAGCAAAGGATTTTTAACTGATTAGATGAGATATGGATCAGAGAGACTCAATAAAGTATGGGAAGAAAGAAAACCCTTTTTTCAGGGAGCAACTGTGCGAAACGAAGAGAACCGTATTGTAGTAGGACGGGTGGTGAAAGGAGGCGTCGTCGAGAAATTGGCACTTTTTGAAGAAGGTTTCTTTTCAATATTTCACTTTTACATTTACAAAGATTGTCCAAAAACCTCTTTTTGAACATTATTTTTCGTACTAAAGACGGGATTCTATTCAATTCATTTCTTGAAATCTCAGGAGACGAGTTGCTCGAGTTGAATGGCGTCAATTTATTCGGGAAGCAAGTCGGTGAGATCTGCGAAATATTGGTGAGTCTTACTGCAATAAGTGAGCGAACGGTTTTCAAAAAATGATAATAAGAGAAAAAAATCAAGATTTCATAAAGTTACCTTTTCAGAGGAACCTGAAAGGAGAAGTCAAGTTTGTGGTCGCTTCGAGGCAGCAACCCGAGGACGCGAAAGGTGAAGACGAGAAGTCGAGGCGACGCTCGCGCACGACACAGTCGCAGGCGGTGCAGCACGTTCGCGCGCTCTTCGACTACGATCCTGAGGTGTGCCGAGTCGGTCTGCTGTTCCAGTCGAGAGTTTCAGGACGACGTCTACGTCCCTTGCAAAGAACTCGCCATGAAGTTCCAGCGAGGCGACATCCTCCACGTGCTGAACACCAGCGACGAGAACTGGTGGCAGGCCTATCGCGAGGTTTCCTTTTCTTTCTCACTACAGATACTGGCATTTCCAAAAGAATTAGGAACTACTAGGCAGCAGTTCAAATTCATATTTTTCAGTAAGATTTCTTCTGGTTTTTCGAGCTTTGATAAATAGAGAAATGTCGAGAAAGTTGGACAGCCCTTTTGAAGTCATTTGAAAAAACTTCTTGAACAAAACGCTTTTTTAACGTCAATTTGAACTATTTTTCCATTGTGAAAGTCGGAAAAAGAGGGGGTCAAAAAGAAGAAAACACACTATGAGTACTGAAAATGTACTGTATTTCTGAGTTTTCAGGGAGAAGACACGACCCATTCGTTGGCTGGGCTCATCCCGAGTTCTTCTTTCCGTCAACAGTGAGTCAACTTCTCTTGGAAATTTCCATCAATAGTAATTTTATAGAGTTGTAATGTACGCGGAAGAAGTGGAACGAGAACGTGACAAACGGAAAGGATCAAATAAAAAGGTCAGTTTCGTTTGATAAAAATGTTATAGTGTATTTTGGCTCACTAGAATGGCAATTGACTCTTGTTTATTGTAATGATTTTTCGCGGCCACGACGCGACTTTTTTTAAAAATTTTTTAAAATTGCATCTTCAATGTAAGAATACATGTGCAATCGACTTTCGTTGAGTTAACTGTGTTTAAACGGCGGCAGGAGCTGTGGCTCAGGCAGAGAAAATGTGAATTCCGCTCGTAGAACATCGGGTACAAGAGAGGTCGACGCGACTGTCTTTCGGCTGAGAAAATTATTCAAATTTAAACCGCTTTTTTTATTCACTCTCCAGATTTTTTTCAAAAAAATTTTTTTATTCCATCATATTTTTCAGAACAATCCAGTTTAGAGAAAACGTTTTTGTACAGGAACTTTCCAGAGCAAAAAGCCTTTCTGTAAGACGAATGGGAAAGACGAAATCCGTAGAGGGGCCGATGAAGAAGCGCTTCCATCAATCGCCGTCTATTCCGGTTGGTCTGAGCATTTTTACCAGAAACTTTATCGAATCAAAGGGGTTGTAACATGGAAGTTGAGAAGTTCCAAATGCGACCGAGAAATCAAATTGTGGCGGAAGAAATACCCTTTTAGAGAATCGTGGCATTTTCAGACTTGCTGACATACGAAGAGGTGGTGCTGCATCTGGCGCGGACAGATCGCAAAAGACCGATCGTCCTCTGCGGCGCTGAAGGCGTCGGCTGCCTGAAGCTGCGCGACAAGATTCTCGAAAACGACCGTCAACGACTCGCCAGCCCCGTTCCTTGTCAGATTCTTGCTTGGAAATCAATCTACGGTCTCTTTCAGACACGTCAAGACTACCGAAAGAAGGCGAAATCGACGGAGTCCACTACCACTTTGTAACGAAGCAGCGATTCCAAGAGGAAGCAAAGGTTTTTCTTATTTCTACTAAAAAAACACTAGGCGGGTCACTATAGTGAAACGTTTTCAATTTTTTAGAAAGTCTTCCAAAAACTCTCGAGTCTCGCTTAAGGATTAGATAAAGGTTCCTTATATTTGCTATAGTCTGTGTACCATGATTTAAAATTTCACCGAACGACATTCCGCTGTTCCGCTGCGTCGCGGAGCGTCTTTGCGAGCCTCGGTCTCTCTTTGATGTGGTTCTCATTTCTGATAGATGGACTGGTCCACTAGGAACACGTGTTGGTCGAGTTCTTGAATAAAATGAAAAATTAAAGGCGCCCAAAGGCACGCAGCGGAACAGCGGAGTGTCGTTCGGTTAAATTCCATGTCGTGGTGCACACACTATACCTTCGAAAATATCATTTTTAAAAATACAGTTTTTCGAAGATGCGGGGTATTGGCTGAAGATCTATTTCTGCATCATACGTGAAATTTTAAAATTTCTTATTCCAAAAATAAAAGATCTCGTTGTTCACGACCGTAGAAAACCTCTGGATTTTCAAAAAAAGAAATTTGATCGAAATTTAGTCGGTAATAATAAACATACGATTTTGCTTCATCGTATACATTTTTGGAACTGGTTTCAAATATTTTTCGAAGCTTTCACGCTTCAATTATTTGGATAAATTCGTTAGATAATTGTTTTTCTTTTCAGGCGGGAAAGTTTGTTGAGTTTGGTGAATATCAAAAACACTGGTACGGGACCTCGAAATCAGACATCATAATGGTGATTCACAGAGGGAAAACCTGCGTGATGACCCTCAAGGCTGAGGTTCGAGTTTCATCTCCTGCGCGAATATTTTTCCATCTTCCAGTCGCTGGGAGCCGTTCGTTCCGGCGACGTGATGCCTTTCATAGTTTTCGTGGCGGCGCCGTCGCTGCACGTGTTGCGGCGACAGCGCGAGTGCGATGGCCAGTTCGGCGTCAAGGACGACGACCTCAAGCTCATCCTCAACAAGTCCAAACTCATTGAACAGGTTTTTCGGCTTTCAAAAAAAGATCGCCATCCTGAGGCTTCCAGAAGTACGGACATTTGTTCGACGCGATCGTCGTTAACACAGACTTTGAGAAGTCTCTCGCCGAAATGGGGACTATTCTTCGGAGACTCGAGACCGAGCCTCAGTGGGTTCCAGCCACTTGGCTTTGACTTTTAACATTCGCTCATTTGAGTCTTCTTTTCGAATTGTTGTAACTGTTCTTCAAACCATTTTTTGAATGCCGTTTGAAGGGTCCGTCAATCTTTTAGCTTACAAAAATGAGAGTCTGGAACATTTTCTAGAGGTACGAAAAGCTTTAACATGACAAGTTTCATGGCTTTATAGTTATGGCCCCAGTTTTATTTTCTTTTCTAGTCTTTTTTTTTACTCAAACCAAAGCATCGATCCGTCCACTGGTATCACTCCCTGTGCTTTTCTACCTGTTATCCTTATTCATGTCCTTTCACATAGTCGTTTCATTCTCGGGTACTTACCAGAGGCAGAGTGGAGCCTGCCAAACTTTCTTGATTCCCATTTTCTTGAACAATGATTTCCTAGTTCCTTATGGTTCTACTGTCAATATTTAAAAACTTTTTCAAACTTTTTTGAAACCAGTGCTTTCCTTCTTTCACTGTTCCACGACATCTCCAAAGCGTCAGCATTCCCTAATTTGTCATCTCCTTCGTCATTTCACTCACAAAAGTTATACTCAAGAGGTATTAATAAAGAACTTTGAAAAAGAAAAAGATTTCGATTTTTATTTCACAATAATTGATCGAGTGATTTTCTACGTATGCAGTTGGCCGATCGAACAAATTCTTCCCACTTTGCAGCATCAACCTGGAAATTCTTACCGTCTCATTCAAATTCAAGCTCAAAAAAACATACGATGGTTTTTCCTTGGATAAGCAGACGCTCAGGAACGATCCATCTGCAAAGCAGGAGTCTAAGACTGGAGCTTGTGTCTCCAGAACCTGAAAAATTCTTGAGTGTGTACGAAATATCGGAAACTGTGAACCTGTGAGAAGATATTTGTGGTTGACTTGAAGCTCCGGAACACCGCAGACAGAAGACATCGTGTGTGTCTGAATCGTCGTCGGAAGAGTTTTTGTGTCATGCTTCGGCTGAATTTCGAAGTTCAAAAAAAGGTTAAAAACATTATGAATCAAAGAAAAGCTCACGAGAAGCTGTTGGAGATGGCTCACAGTGTAGGTCACTTTCATTTCCTGTTCGTTCACCGTTTTGTTGAGGATCCTCACGCGGCTCACTGCAACCGACTTTTGCCAGAACCACGCCAATTGAACTCACCCCAGTCGGATCTGCACAAACCAGCCGAGTCGGACTCGGAGGGCATGCAGGAACAGCAGAAGCATCCACAGATCAGCCCAAGGAACAGTAATAATAGTGTTTTGAGCATTTTTCAGCTTATTTCTTTCTCAATCTTCTAAATAAAATATGAATTGAGGGTTTTCAGTTTGCTCGGTTTTCAAAAATTGCGACCTACAAAAAGTTCGATGATAAGTGAAGAAAAAGAAATAGAACATCACCAAGTGCGCCCCATCGCTCAAGTTTCAAACTCGCGCCGAACCCCTACAGTAAACACTTGAACTAATCCTAAATATTTGATGGAGGTTCATTACGTAAATATGTTCAAGGCTTTATTTATTGTTATAGCCTTTTTGTCTTTATAGCTTTTAGCTATTTGTACATTTCATGGCCAACCTTGGTCATTATTGTTGCCGTTCGCTCATTTTATATTTGTATCTTATCAAGGTTTAATTACCCAAGTTTGAGATCCCAACAAACGGCTGCACAAGTGCTACACCCACTCCTGCCACTTACCGCCCACGCAACGTATATTTTTTTATATTATTTATCTTAATCTTGTATATTTCTTTAGATTTGTTGTATAAAGAAACCAAAAAAGAAAGACGGTTTTTGTGAATAGCATTCCAGTCCTCAACATATCACTGTAGAGAGAGATTGTCTCTGAGTGATTTTACTAGAAACTCTCAACAGAGTTCTAGAGTAGAAAACTAGGAATAACGTGGAATACTAAAAGTGCGTGTCAAGCAAAAGCTTGACAGTGATAGCGTTTGTTGAAATCAGGAAAACTGAGCCTCAAATTAGGTAAAAGATTCCAAAATATCGTCTAGTCAACTGCAAACTCTAAAATAGAGTAAGGCAGAAGGACTAGGCATATTACTGATACTCACAAATTCAGGGATGAACAGCTTGAAATACTCGAACGAAAAAAAAGTAACGCAAAGTATACGCGCACTTGGGATGTTCGCAGCTTCACATAAAAATGGCCTTTCTTGCGATTTTCACAAAACAGAATTATCAAAAAATTGACGTGGAACAGAGAGTCGTGCAGACTTTATTTTCGCAACTATTAATAAAAAAAATAGCCGGTTATAAGTTATGATCATTCGACGGCAAAAAATAGATATATAAATCGAGTCGAAAACGGATAGGATGACGAATGCAAAAAGGGATGCGAAAGATCAAAAAATTCTCTTCGAGATTTTTTACATTGAAGTCGTTTCAAAAAGCTGCTGAGCAGATACTTAATGATAAACTTTTGAAATCTCTGATTCAAGCTTCAAAAAGTTGAAAACTTTGCAAAGGAAAAAGTTCTGAAGACACAGTTTCTGTTTTTTTTTTCTGTTGGCATGAGTTTTCTTTCAGTCATTCGAAACCTTTTACACAAACTGAAGCAAAATTCTTCGAGAAGAAAAGTGAGCAAACAAACTTTTAAAACAATAATGAATCATGCTAGATAACCGTATCTTAAGGGTTTTGCAACAAAAAAGGAACAGAAATGATGATAGATAAACGTCATAAGCTAAAAATTGAAAAAGTTTGACCTTCCTGTTTCTCTTTACCATCGCCTGCAAAGGAACGGAAAATCAACAGATAAAAGCAAGAGCGTCGCCGAAAGAAACGAAGACACAGAGAAGTCCGACAGTTTCAAGATTTAGCAAACTCGCTTTACTTGTTTTTTATGCGAGCAGGACTTGTTTTCAGAAAAAATTAGGACACGTAATTATTAAATGATGGAGGTATAAAAGAGCGAAAACAGTTCAAAGTCGGAGGTGACGGATGCGAAGTGGCCAAACGACAAGAAAAATCAAAGTTCTGTGTGCTGAAAGGTGGCTCTCGCCGCTGGCAGACGCTTCTTCAGGAGTTCGGCTCCTGTCACTCGAGGAATTTCCGTCTGCCAGAGGTCGTAGGCGTCGCGTCGGAACGAATCTTCCAGCTAAACAATTTTCTGTCCCGTAATTAATATTTTTACTTTAACTCTCAAATCTTGAAAGTGCGCTCTAACAAAATCTCTCTGAATGGTTTTTCTCCTCAGACCATGGTAACGAAAACCGAAGACGAACGCGTTTAAGCATTTCTAGTGACCACTTTAGAAGCGTCCGCACTCTCAAAGGGTCACTAGAAAAACCCCGATAGACCCGCTTGTCATTACCAAGGGTCGAGTCTGAGCACACCTATATTATAGTGTTGGATTACCTTAGGATGGGGGTTCAGCAAAGCATTCAAAAACGGCTGTTCGTTCGAAATCGGAGTCCAGACGAATTCGGTGGTACTCGGGTCCCTATAAGCTATTGTACATATAGTCTGTTCAGATTTTGGATGTCAAGCAGCAAACTCCGCCCCCAACAACACTCTGTGTACTTCTCGCTCCCTGATTGGTTTGATCTACGCATAAGGGGCGGAGTTTGAGCGATGACTTGACATTCAAAATCTGAATAGACTATACTATAATATCAGTTTAGTGTCTGAATTTGAAACAAGATTTTTTTTTCGGAGTTCACCACTAAAAGGTTGACCAAACTATCGAAACTCCCAAATTAAAGAAAGAACATGTTCTGTGGAAAGAAATAATGTGAAGCCTAGCATGGAAATGTGGATTTTTTTTTGAGAAAAACTTCTCTAACCCAGTTTTGACGAAGTTGGCGAAGGCGTTGACCAAATGACGTTCAAACAATTTGTCGTTTTCATCGAAAGGAATCCTTTCTAATCCACGGAAATTGAAGAGAAATCGCAGTTCAGATGCATGGAAAGCCCCTTGAAATATTGAGAAATGAAAGAAAAGAATGGACCGAACCTCTGATGGGGTGCGCTGGATCGCGAGTCGTCTCGCTCTCGTAGTCGATGACGTAGAAGAAAGTTGGCCAGTCGTGCTGTCTTTTCAGATCGATCTCGTGCAGAGAAGGGATCCCGTACTGTAGGTCGCCCAGGAGCTGGAACGCATCATCTGATCAACTACATCCACAAAAGGAGAGCCCGATTAGGACCTTCTCATGAGATCACACTGTTCTCCCTCACAACAAAAATGAAAAAAAAAATACTTATTAGAGAAGCAAAAAAGAAGCAAATTGTCAAGTTCACTCGCCAACACTTGGAATCAAAAAAAACCCTTTTTATGATTATAAATGAATATTTTTGATGCGTTCCTGCGCGCATTGTGAAAAAAAGCAAAAATAGTTTTACCAAAATCTGATATTCTTGTCTTCTGGTTTCATTCAATTTGTGTATAGAACACTTTTGACTTCAGTTTGGAATCTTTGAGACTTCTAGAAGTTCTCTAAGCAAAAAGAATTACAAAAGCAAAACAATTCAATTATTTCCTCCTCACTTCTGCGTAGGCCCGAAGATAGGCACTGGAATTGGCATTTGTCGACACTCCGCGCAGATAAAAGTCTCTGACAAGTTGGTAAAATGCGGACGTTTTACGTCCGAAGTCTTTCTCCACAGCAACTGAAAGAAAAGGAGTGTTTTATGTACAAAATAGTGATCTTGCACCTTGGTCGCGAATGAAATCTTCAAAGTTTTCACGGCCGTAGCTTCCCCAGCTCTCCTTTGGAACTCCGAGAAGCTTCCAAAGTTTCGTCGGATAGCAAACTGAGATTAGGAATATATTTTTGTTCCTAAAACTAGAAAACCAGCATTCCCACTCTCCAAACTGAGCAGACCCTGCATCGTCCGTTTCTTTGGAGCTTTCCGCGACATTTTCTCCAACTACAAGCTCTCCAAACGATAACAAGATGTTCCTCTGAAACTCACGTCGTAAGGGAAGTAGTCGTTGTCCATTCGAGGATGGAACTTCTTGTTCCGTGGTCCAGGAAGAAGTTCTCCCTTAAGTTCGAGGCGATTAGTCATTGATAGTTGGAAATCCAAACGATTTGTTCCATGGCGTCGAGGATCTCATCAATCGTCCGCTCCTCCATACAAGCTCTCAAGGCCTTTGACTCGGTTTCTGAGCAGCCGGCGGCCTTGGCCAAAGCTTTGCTGTCTTGAAATTCAGTTTCAACACGAATATTCGCAAATCTGAACCTTCCACAACATTTTCGCTAATGCTGTTCTCAGCAAATATCGAGCCCGACATTTGAATTGCTTGCAAAAACAAGTCTAAAAATCTCACGGAGAGAAATTAAGCTGGAAAATCAAATCTCACGATCGGAATGAGGAGAATAAAGCAAAGCGGAAACAGCGGCCGATCCGGCTGATTGGCCGGCGACCGTGATTTTCTCCGGATCGCCTCCAAAGTCTGGAAGGACCTCGTGAAGGAAATAAAGAGCCGTCGTCAGGTCCCACAGTCCCATATTGCCCGGTATCTCGCCGTCGCCGGTAGTGAAGAAACCTCAAATCGCCAGACTTTTCTTGAGACTCGCTTCGTCCTCACCAAGTGGACCCAGTCTATACTGCACAGAGACGAAGATTATGTCCTGCGAAACGAAGTGTTCAGCCGCCTTTTCGTATCCAAATTCCATCGCGTTTCCATACTGGAAGCCGCCTCCATGCACGAACATCAGCACTGGCAACTTCCTTCCTTTCTGAAAATCTTTTTTTTTTCTTTGAGCTTTCTCCGGCTTTCTTCGGTAGCTCTTTCAGCCATTATATCTGATGCGTTCTCAATTATCATTTTTTCTTTTGAACTTTGAATAATTTCACCATCTTTTCAGCCTTTTTTTCATTTCGGTAAGCCAAATTCTAAAATATGTCCAATAGCGGTTTAATAGGTTTTTACTTGTCAAGTCAATCCCAAAAAATAAAACAGATTAATAAAGAAACGAAAAAGAGTTCCAAACGAACGTAGTTGTTCGGCGTGACGATGTTGAGGAATAGACAGTCTTCGCTGTAGTTAACGTCGTCTTCGAGCTCGCTCCGAAGCGACGGAATGCAAGAAGCTCGGAAATGCGTCGCATCGTGTTGAACAGGTCCCCACTTCTCTACCGGATCAGGCTTCTGAACCAAAAGGATTCCTTCTGGATATCAGCAAAAAGAACCTGAAAGCGGAATATGTGATCCGGCGGTCGTGCATAGCGAATCCCTAAAAAAACGTTGAAGACGTCGTCAGAGGACGGCGACTTGTGCTGGAAGCCAACGATGGGGCCGAAGTTAGTGGCGATGAAAGGCTTCTCGCAGGACGCCAGAAGGCAGAAGCTCAGAAAGAGAAGAGCGAACATCGCCTTACAAGTCGCGAGTGACCGATGCAAAAGGTAATGCCGAGCAGCAAACACGGCCTTTGTGTTTGTCTTGCGGTCGCCGTTCCGTCTTTATCGATTTGCAAGGTTTCATCGCGTGGCTCGTCGGTCATCAACAACCCAAAGTTACCTTTTCTCACCTTATCGTGTCTTTCAATTTCGCCAAACAAGGCCGGAACAAGTTCTTCGTAGGCACCCAGTTGCCAAAGTTTACAATAATTTTTAGCGATTCCTTCCTTTTACAAATAAGTCAGGTTTTCTTTCCACTGCTGACTCATTAAAAGACAAACCCACTGAGACTTTTTTTTTGATTTTTAGTCATGAATTTTTATCGAACTTAAAGTCTTTAACTTCTTAAAAATATTTTTTATGAAAAAGTTTTCACCGTTCACTCATCTTTCAGACAACGATTCGATAAATCGGTGAATCAATCATCAATAGAGACCATTTTCAAAAAAATGGTGCTTGCATAAAATATCGTACAAGTTGGTTAAAACATTTATGAAACCAAAACATCAAAAAAATGAAAATGAATCGAAAAATTCTGCAATCAGTTCATAGCATACTTATTTTTCTAAGAAAGTTTGGTATTACCAGGTACTTGCCAGGAGAAAGATAAATAAAATGGAAAATTAGCATTTGATGGAGCTCAATTGAGAACGAAGGCTTTGTGGCACCTGCAATCAAGAAAAACGTCTGGAAATAAGATAGAACTCACGTTTTGCCATTGCAAGACGTTTTCGTACTGGTTTTCGGCCGGGTTGTCAGAAAGAACTTGGCCGCAAATAACCGTGAACAAGGCAGACGGGGTTTCGACGCGACCTGTAATTTTCAGTGAAAAACCACTTATGAGGAGGATGAATTCCTTTTCCTCAATTTTTCTACCCAAGAAAAAATTTTGTTGATTCTATAATATACCTGCAAGAAGGTACTCCTTTCCGGCGTCGATCTTGATTCCGCAAGCGGGTGTCTCAGAAGGGGTGAAGATTTCCTCAGGAAGTTGAGTCATATTTTCAGGCTTCTGAATAAAAAAAACCAAACTTCAAGTAGATGAACAGAATAACCTTGAAGACGTCGAGGTGCTCGACGTGGTATCTGAGGTTGTTGAGGCCTTTTCGCGTCGATCCTTCAGGGAGACCTTGTTTTCCAACCCGCGCTTTCACCTTGACATGTGAAACTGAAAGATAAACGCTTCGAAATTTCATGGACGAATGAATTTAATCGAATATTACCCCAATGAGCTTTACAGAAGGATTCTTTTGTCGACTGATCCTTGCACTTGCAAGCCAAAAGAGCGCCAACACACAACAAAAGTATCGTGAAAATTCTCATACTCATATCTGAAAAATTACATTGAAATATTAATCTATGATCCGCTAAACACACAGCAATACACAAGATATAAAAAATGCTTTGAAGAAAAAAAAACAGTTTTAAAGCAGAAATGAACATTTAAATTAAATTAAGTGAAACAAAATAAGTCTTAAAAGAGAAGAGTAGAAGCTGGATCAAACAAAAAAAAAATCGACTGAATACGGAGGAAGACTTAGCGGATAGTCGAGAGGTCGTGCTTGTGCAAAACGCTCCTATTGAGGATCCTCAAAATAAATTTTCCATGATGATGGCTGCTTTAGCCAAAAGAAAAAAAAAACGTTTCTCAAAAACTGTCATTGAATGGCCGGTCTAATCTGCTCCGGCTGGAATTAATTATCTGGTAGGCGTTGTTCCTCAAAACACAGATTTCGATGATTTTTGAGTTGTGAACTAGAAAAGTTGACGGAGAGAAGAAAATTTGTGAAAATGAAACAATTTGGAATGAATTGCATGTGTGAACTGAAAACACCCAGGTGACACAACAAAAGCGAGTGACGAATCAGTTCCGCAAACGAGAGATCGATTCTCTCAACTCGCAAAAACAACTTGAAATCGGCAGCAAGGCGAAAAGGGGTTGCGAAGAGATCATCTTTTTCTTCTTCTCGAGTTACACACGGTGTAAGCGAGCACAAAACCTTTATATCTGTCTGAATATCTTTTTCGAGTTCCAATTCATAATCGAATAACCCCTCTCTCACACACTCTCCAAAGGTCTAGCCGGTTCCTCTAGGGTCTCTTCCAATTGTAAATGTCAAGCAGATAATTATTATTTATATAAACAAGGAAAGTCTCTTTCGTGTGAAATACGGAGTATGTTTCATAAATTTTACCCAAGTTCTGGTATTTCTTAATGAAATTTATAGATAGTTCCTACCTGCACAAAATTTTTTTTATAATACAAATATGATTTTAAAGCTGCAAAATATTGCTTGCAGGCTTTTGTGTAAAACGCGTTCTCTGAATATATATTTATATCCCGAAAATTGAGAGTTTGCGGAAGTAGGGTCTATCAGAAATCATTTTTCCGACCTATGAAGAGTTTTTTGCCAGACTTTAGGAGATTCTAATCCAAAATTATATTTTTGTAATTTCGTTAGATTCAAAATTATGGCTGACTCTTTTTGAAGAGAGATCCCCATTTCGACTTTTTCTTGAGTATTTAACTTCGCCGGAGCAATGTGAACACGACATCAGCTTCTTTCTAAAATCACTTTTTGTTTGTAAAAAAAAACCTCATGGTATCGCTCGCAGGTTATACGTGAGAATAGCCTGAGCCGAAATGACGACAATTTATTAAAAAAAAAATCCGCAGTTTTCATGAAACGAACCGACTTTGAAAAACAACTTTAGCTTTAACAGAAAGTTTGAGAACGGGTTTTTAATAAGGGAGTTTACACAAATGTTGAAGATTAAGGGTAAATTCTACATCAAAAGCTTCTAACAGTTTTTCGCATGAGATATCGACGAATTGTCGAGCACAGACTTTCAAACCCTAATGGTTTCAATTAATCCGCCAAAGCGTTACCACTGATAGCCCATCCATCTTCATGCGACTTGAAGTTTCATGAAAAGTATAATTTTTTTTTCAACAATTTCCTTGAACTAGGACATAAAAATCATAGCGTTGTCTTAGTCTATATTTATATGAAATTCGATATAGACCCATTGGAACTCCGAATAATGTATACTCATTCTCGGGCAAAACTAAAGCTCCTCAAAAGCTTTCCTCAAAAATGACCTTGAAAGGGTCCCCAGCAGGTCTTTTTTATCTCATTTTATTTCGTTTTTGCATCTTTTTCACATCTTTTAACAAGAAAGCTGGAAAAGAAAATAAAAAATTCGAGCGGATTCAAAAAGATCCGGCTATGAAAAAGGAGCTCAAAAGCTTTTTTACATCAATTATGAACTTTTAGAGGAAGCTTTTTATCTCCCTCTCAGGACCCTTTAAGGTTCCTCAAAGGAGCTTTTTCGTTTTATTTATATTTCAATAAGTTATTTCAACTGTTTACGACGAAACTGTATTCATGAAACACTTTTTGATCTGTCTAAATATTCTAGATATTGACTTGTTTAGCAATGGGAATGTTTTTCGTTTACCGAATAAAAACCTGTTTTTATGTTTTCGCCTCCGCAGTCCACTAAATAGGCCAAAGCGTTTTGTTGAAGAGAGTAGCCCACTCTGCACGGCCCATCACTAATTTGGAGGCGTATAGTAAAGGAGGGCAGGTTTATTCAAGCGAATAACTTTTCTGTTAACATTTACTTTATGATATTTTTTTCCGTTTTTTTGTCTTTGCAGTGTAACCTTTTTTTCTGAGCAGTTTCTCTGAAAGATATGTAGAATAAGCTCAAAAAAACTTATTAAAAACCTCTGATTCTTTAAATTGAAAAACCACGGATTATTTGTTTTCATGCCGCTTTAAAAATTTTTTTTTGGGAAAGAATAATAAAAAAATAATACGGTTCAATGCTACCTTAAAAATTACTGGAAACTATAGTTTCCAGTGATTAGCTCACACATAGAGGAACCGCGACGGCTTTTTTTTCTCTAGCTATAAATCGTCGCCGAACAGAAAGTAGGAAAAATAGCGACTACCAAATAACGTGGACGGTGTCCATAGAAACAAAATGCGGATGCTAAAACTTTTAAATTTTTCTTTTATTATTGGACCCTGTTTATTTTTTCTTTCGATTCCTCTCTTTTATCGAGATTTGTTCAGTAACTGATAAAATGATCTCTTTTGTGATCAGAATAATCGATAGTCATTTCTCTATACGTATTTTTCAAAATTTTCAAAACTTTTTCATAAAAAAAAACTCTATTTAAAAACTTGCTCAAAAGTGTTTGAAACAGGTTTGAAAAGAGAGCAATGAGGCTAATAAGAACCATAGAAATAGAAAAAGCGCATTTTGAAGAGGTTTTTTTCCATTCAGAAAGCAAAAACTAGAAAAGGGATATTCCGCGCGTTCCCCATCGCGTGGTTAAGATTGCAAAAAAAATTTTGAGGGAAAGAGCCGTTTAATGTGTGCTCCATGGCGGAGCTCCCAGCTTTTTTTTTTGGAGCGCAAATGCAGAAAACATTTTTTTTTTCTAGCTCTTTTTTTCTGAGTTTCTGGTATAATTATTTTTTTTTTTTTCACGACGAGTTGATACGCCGTGAACGTATTCGAAGTATAGGTTCCTTCATTAATCGTTTCATTCTTCTCATTATGACGCTTTTCATTCGTTGAAATTCTTTATCACTATCTGCCCATAGCAGGCTTGTGCGTCATGCCGGGCGGCCCGGGCTGGCCTGGTTCGGCCAGGCTTGTGCGAGGGCCGGCCCGTCACTCTCCTGGCCCCCGACCATTTCGTAAGCCCGGCACGGCCTCAGCGGGGCCTCAAGAAAAAATGGCCCGCCCGGCCCAAAACGCGCAATTTTTTTCTAGTCGGATATCGAGTTTTTTTACGACAACAATTACGTTTTTTTCATTTTTTCACTTAAAGTTTAACGATAACTATCATTTCAAAAGTAAAAAGTAACATTTTGGTGAAAAATTTTTTTAAATGAATTTTTTTAAATTTTTTTGAAGCCCGGCCCGGCCCGAGCCCACGCGGGCTTTTACCTGAAAATAAGGCCCAAAGCCCGGCCTGTCGCACAAGCCTGCCCATAGGTAGCTAGTTAAAACATTTGAGAAGAATATCGAGTCATTTGTACATACCTTTATAAAGAATGAACACAGCTATAAAAAGCGCGTTGACCTTGTGAGTAGTTTTCTGTCCTTGATTTTTCTGAAATTAGCTCTTCTCTTCATTTCAAATGTTCATGTATGCAGGTATATGTATTGGATGGTTAATAGTGTATGAAGATTTTTTTATTTTGGTCTTCGTTCAATTCTCACGTTAGTTCCCGACCCGAAAATGTCATAAAATGCGTACTCAAAAGGTCTGCGGGGAACAGAGTCGAAAGAATGAAAAACAACCTTGTTTTTCCCAAATGTCATTCTTTTCGCTCTTTTTTCGTTTTATTTTTTAAGTTATTTTTGAGAGGTGAAAAATATAAACTGGATCGAGAGCGCTTCGAATTTCATGTTTAACTTTGAGGTTTATGCGTCCAATCTAAGCTCGATTTTGAATTAAAAAAATGTTTATCTGAACTTACCAGAAAAACGAGGAGTGATTGCAATACATATTTAATATGGTAACGCAGGCCGCTGTTGGAAATGCCGAGAATTATGTTTTTTTATGGTTTCTCACTTTGGAAGAGCGCCTTTCAGTGTATTCAAAACATGATTAGTTTTGCAGCTTCTCGTTTCGAGGTTTTTTTTTGGAAAATGTATTTTTTTTATCTATCAACGAGTACTTCTCATATGTCTGCATTCTAATTAGTTATTTACTTTCCTGTTATTTTTGATCGAAGAAAACTCGTTAGGGTGATTCTGTGATTCACTGATCTGTGATTAATTTATAATTAATAAAAATATGAATCTGTTTGAAGTTTTGAATTTTTTTAAGTATTAATAAGTAAATTGTATCTGAATTCAAAAAAATTTTTAAATTCGAAAAAAAGTCCTATTTTTGTTCCGTGATTATTTTTCTAAATTGTTTAGACACTAAGCGAGACTATTTTTTGTTAAGAATGAAATGCTCTCAAAAAGAGTTTGGTATAAAATTAGTACGATAGGCTCGTACTTGAGTGTTCTTTTCTTTAAATTTTCCTTCTTGGTTAGTTGATTGTTGTAGGCGCCTGTGTTCTCGCCGAGTTTTATTTGCTTTGTGTACAAGCCAGAGGCTCTCGCCAACAATTCTTTGAACGTACGTATACCGAGTTTCTCGGACGAATTTATTTCACCTCAGACTTTTCTTTGTGTATGTATACCTTTTTGCACTCCCGCGTGTTCAATATTCACATCTCAAAGTCTAGTTTTACACTAGCACCTATTCAAAAATACTTCACAGAAACTTGCTTAAAGCGAAACGCATTTGGATGACTTCCGTTTTGCTGCGTCTGCTGCGATTTCCGTTGTCTGCCGGCCAGTCACGGCAAGTTTTTATGAACAAAGTTCGCGGTAGTTTTGTTAGCTCTAGTTTATGATTTTAGAAATAAAAATTTTTTGAGAATACCATGTGTAGGGGATGATCTAAAAAGGTTTAACCTTGTAGGATAATTTTGAGCCTGTTGCACTGGGTACAAAGACTTGAAATCAAAGAAGGAAAGCGAAAGAAAAAAAAAGATAACTTGCAACTTTTTCACGATTATTGCGTCAACACAGCGCGACAAGCTAGTTCAAAAATTTTCTTTCTGCGCTTTCGATTTGATCAATGAGAAAAAATTTTCATTTTTTTAAAGTTCCGGAGTTTTTCAGAAGTTAAAAAAGTAAACGAAATTCGTAAGTTAGTATGCTATAAATGAATAAAATATTCTACTACTTGTTTTGAATTCAAAAGGTGACTGTTTGTTTTGCGGAATTCTAAGCAAGCGGTACTGAAGTCCTAAAAATGCTGACAATTTCTGCGCACTTTTGACTCGTAAACATTTCCTTTGTCCACAATTTTTCATAGAAAATATCTAGTTCTTCTAATAGACTTCTATATCACATTCATCTTCTCATCCATAATAATTGAAAGTTTAGCCGTTATATTCGAGTTTTTCTAAAGTTCGATTTTAAAAAGTGGTTTTCATCATTTTGAAAAATGTTGCTAGTGAGAAAGGTTAATTGTAAGAAAGGAATTTCGAGATCATCAGTGTGACTTTTGGAGAGTTCTTTAATGATTGTAGTCTACGTTCCGCCGGTTCGTAGTTTGTCGCTTTCTAGTTTTAAACGTCTTTAAGAGAGTCTTTCAACCCGCAGAGTCCCAATTCACACGTGTAGTTTGTAGGGAAAGTGTTTTTTTTTCTTGTTTTGTTTTTTATCTTTGAAATTTTTTGAAAAAATATTCAGAATTCCCCACTCATTAAATATCACTAAAATCGCTAAATATAAAACTAACCGTTTCATTTTTTTTCCCACGCCTTTTTCCCACAAAACTATTGAAAAAATAAAAAAGGTCAGGATAATCCGCGCCGTTCGATAAAAAGAACTAGAGGTTTCAATTTGAGAAGAAGACATGTTTTAAAAAAATAAAGTTCTTAACACGCATGTTCAAGGTGGCCGGTCGTATTACGGTAGTCAAGCAAGGTTTTTCGAGAATAAAAGGAAAACTTGTTTGCTTTTTGTGAAGTAAATTATTTTGTAACCTCGATAAATAGGTTTAAAAAAAAAATTTAAAAAAAATTGAAAATTTCCTGGCTCCGAAACTGACGGCGCAATATTTACCGGCCACCGGCCGCCGTAGCACTGTTTTGAACATGCGTGTTAAATAAAAGCTTTGAACCACTAGTATAACTTTCAGCTCTGCAGAATTTTTTTTTTTGATTAAGAAACTGTTTAATTTTCCTCTTCAATTTTGAACTTATTCACCTTGTCTTGCCGTCCTTTCTCTTTTGTTCTTATGGAAAACATCAAAAAAACTGTAGTTTGGCGTTCAGGATGTTGTGCTGTCCACCTCCCGTGGGTCCGGACACAGCGCTCGATGACTCGCCGATCGTCGAGCAGGTCATCGGGAAGGCTGCTGATGTGCCTCCCGGATCGTTCGTTACCTTCATAGGCTGGGATGACGTACTGATTCAGAAAGAAGATGTTCGAGGTGAACGAACGCAAGATCCTCGTGATCAACGACAGCGGAAGGCTCTTCGCCATCAACGGCCTCTGCAGCCATTACAACTTCCCGCTCGATGGAGGTCTGCATTTCCTTTTCCTGAAAGTTGTTCTCGGCTTCTTTATACGCATTCGGTTTGAGGGGCCTACTCAAAGGGGAGGATACGCTGTCCTCTGCACGGCGCCTGCTTCAACGTGGCGACCGGCGACATCGAAGATTACCCGGGATTCGACAGTCTCCACACTTTCAACGTTCTGGAATCACAAGTTTTCCCGCTCAACCTGTTTTTTGAAGGTTTCGGACAAAAACGGGGACTTGGTGATCAAAACGACGGAGAAAAGGCTCTCGAATGACCGCAGGACTCGCACCATGCCAACTCTCAAGAAGTGCGAGGATATCCCCATCGTCGTCATCGGCTCTGGTGAGAAACTGCCGGGAGTTTTCTCAACATTATACATTTTTGGAATTTTTCTCGTCTCTTATTCTGACCTTTTTCTATCACTTTCTATTTCCGTTTTCCGAATCTAGCGATGTGCTTATTTTCAGTAGACTATAAGTTTCATCATATTATAACCAAACAAAAATGTACGCAGTACGATTTTATTCCTGAGGATTTTTTTACGAAGGAACTAAAGAAGTTTTTTTTTTCAAATTTGATCACTTTTTATGAGAAAAGTTTCGCAGCGACGCTTCGGAAGCATGTATCAATCTAGGGACTTTTCAGACTTTCCTTCTCATTTTTCACTGGCTTTCAAACTTCCCGATTTCGAAACACGATCTTTCAGGCCCTGCGGCGGCAACTTTCATCGAACATTCGCGACTTAACGGACTCGCAACGCCGATTCTGGTCATCTCAGAAGAGTCCTTCACTCCTTATGATCGTGTCCTTTGCAGCAAGGTACCTTTAATTCATATTCCTCCATCGCTCCTCTAAATTTTTGTATGATTTTATTCTTTAATGAGCCGCGAACGATCCTTTTTTCAAACATTATCACATTTAAAAGCTCATAATAAAAATAAAAACCTTTTTGTGCGTTCAGAAACCTTCGGCCGGCGGTAAGGACATAGCTCTCCGTGACGACGCCTACTACGCTGAACGCCGTGTTAAATTCCTTCTAGAAACTTCTGTAAGAAAATTTTTCTTTTATGGGACCTGCAACTTTTTTCAAAGAAGTTGTAATTCCAGGTGACCGGCGTCGATACTAACGGCCGTCAATTGAAACTTTCGAACGGAGAAAAGCAAATTTACTCGAAGTTGGTCATTGCAACTGGAGGAAATGTGCGAAAGCTGACGGTCCCCGGCGCTGATCTGAAGGTTAATTTTGGCCTTTCTTTTGATGATCAATCCTCATTCAGAACGTCCACTATCTTCGGAAGGTACAGGAGGGCAATGCGATCGCCGAAGGAACCACCGGGAAGAACGTCGTTTGCATCGGAGCGTCGTTCATTGGTTTGTTTTCAGCTCAACGTATTCTTGAGACGAAGAATTTATTTTGGGTTTTTTTTATATTTCTGAAAAAATTTTAATTTTTTTGTGTTCCAATGGACATTAATAATCGATAATAGATGTTTATAGAGCATGAATTAGGAATATTGATTGCAGGAATGGAAATCGCCTCTTCGATCAAGGATCAAGCGGCGTCGGTGACTGTGATTGCTACTGGAGAAGAACCGCTTCCCGTCTTTGGCCCCGAAGTCGGACGAGGCATCCGAAAGGTTTAATTCTTCAGTTACGCTTTGATTACGAGATAAGTTCCAGAAGTTTGAAGAGCGCGGCGTGAAGTTCTATACAAACGCCAAAGTCGTGGCTCTGAAAGGCTCTGGCGACGCCGTTTCCCACGTCGTTCTGAGCAGCGGCGAGGAAGTTCCTGCGGAAGTTGTCGTCGTCGGAATCGGTTATTTTTTTTGTTTCCATGGAAAACAAAACGAGGTAGAAGCTTAATACGAAGTTTTGTCAGATAATTGAGTTAACTTTAGTTGTGATTTGAGAATCTGAAAAAACGCTTTGGAGAAGACCAAGCAAATTACTCATAAAAGAGGATTTGTGTTGAATGAATAATGTTTTCTTCGGCTAGCTGCAAAGTTTTTCAACCAAAGGGCACTTTTTAGGACGTTGCGAGGTATTAAACTAGAACGTGTGTTTAGGTGTCACCCCAGCCACTGAGTTCCTCAAGGGAAGCAAAATCGAAATAAACAAGCAGGGCTACATTCCCGTCGACAAGCATTTCCGAGTTCGTCCCCTTGTCCTACCTGTATATTCGTCTTCAGACCAACGTCGACTACGTCTACGCGATTGGAGACGTCGTCAGTTTCCCGTTGCCGCTTTGGAACGTCGAATCCCTCAATATCCAGCATTTCCAAACTGCTCAGGCCCACGGTTTCATTTGATCTCTTTTTTTAATTGAATCTTTTTTTCGTTTAGGGCAGAATCTCGGCTACTCGATTGTCGGAAAACCGCAACCTGGTCCTATTGTACCCTACTTCTGGTCACTTTTCTTCTTCGCCTTCGGCCTTAAGTTTTCTGGTGAGGCTTTTCGCGAAGAATTAAAACAAAAATTTTAAATTGAATGATTTTGGAAATCAAGATCAGTATGAAAGAGAAAACTTGTTCAGGATGTTCGGTTGGATCCGATGCGACGATTACCCACGGCGACACTGATGGCGACTTCGTTAAGTATTACCTGAAGTAAGTTTGAAGTCGTGTACCTTCAAGGCTGTCCAATCTTCGGGGAAAATAAGAATCAGAAATATTGTTCATTTCAGAAACGACAAGGTCGTCGCCGTGGCTTCTGCGGGTCCTTCCATCGCCTGTCCCGAGTTTTCGGAACTTTTCAAGCGTGGAATCGCCATAACCAAGGCCGATGTTGAGAAGTGAGAAACTAAAAATCTTTAAAACAAAAAAAAAAAAACAAAAACAGACTTCCAGATGACTTTCAGAACAAATATCTCTTCGGAAATACGTGATTTTGCAGGAATACGAAGGACGAGTGGGCCAACTACCTCGATTGAGATCTTTTTTTATCATTTTTCTCTTAATGAGTTTTTTTAATTGCTTGTATATTAAATTCATGTAAAATGGAATCAGTCAAGTGCGCTTACATCATCACTCTGTAGGTTAAAAAAATGTATAGTATTATTTGTATGCTTATAATAAAAAAATTTTGAAGTTTTGTCTACATATTTGATTCAGTTTGAATATATCTGAAATAACGGATGATGTTAAGAAATGGAGCTGCAGAGAATTTTGCCTTCTCTGTAATTTTTATTTCAGAGTTCAATTACCTATCCTGAAATTTTCGTTCTAAAAGCCCGCTGGATTCGAAAATTGATTGAAAACTTTAACCAATCTTTGCCTAAAATAAGCACCGTTACCACCTTTGAAGTTATTTTCGAATGGTTTTTTTTCCTTCAGTGAATCAAAGAAAATTATAGGCACACGACAATTAGATCATAAGACGAAAGACACCTGTTGGTCAGGATTTCCAGCCGAAGTCTTGTCGAACAAGTGTCTTTACCCCGATGAAGAAAAGAACTCGTCACCTTTCGATTATGAAAGGGAACTCACCGGTGAGTACTCCAGGGAAATGTTGTTCCCTTTCACTATTTTCCAGGTCGGGGATATATATTCCGGAGTTCTGGTGGCCCTCATCAGTGATTACTTTTCCTTTTTTTTGACCCGTGAGCCCTGGCCACAAATCTTTTTTTTTCGATGTGAGACGTTCGCATAGCGCTGCGCCCGTCGATTACTTATCCCCCCGTAGTGGCCGGCTGTCTTTTCCTACATTTTTCTCAAGTTTCATTTTCCTTCTTAATGTAATAACGGATTTCCCAAGTTCCTTGTTCTAATCCATGAATCTGAAACTAACTTGAGAGGTGGTTTTTCGGCGAAAAGTTTCTTTATTCAAAAGTCTTCCAAGTGATCTATCGACGGCTGAAATTCATCAAATCGCCCCACATAAAAACTCGAGAATCCTTCACAAAAAGTAGTTGTGGAAAGTTTTTTCAGAGCTCCCTACCATCCAAGTCCGGAAAGCTCTTTTCTGGGGGTTTTTTTCCCCGTTCTGAAGTTTCTTAGACCTGTCTTTGAAGGTTTTATTACTAACTTTTTGCCGGTAACCTTTGGGATAATGTTCTGCACACACCTAGAAGGAATTCGGGACCAATGCAGCTGAACAAGGGCCGAGGCTGGAAATGGCGAAGCCTGGAAGGACAGCGGCTCCAGGCGGCTGCCACCTCCGGCCACGTCACATGTCGCTCCAATCCTCTCGAACTCACATCGATCCATCGAAGCCTTCGTCTCTCCTTTTGCCTGCCTCTTTCCGATGAGTCCAATGTTCAGCCTCCCTATCAGAAATCTTCTTGCAGCAAAACGTGAAAATATTCACAGTGATGAAAATGTGACGATCTCCTTCTTTTTCTCTAGTTTCGACTCTCGAAGTCAATTATCTTCGGTTCACGTTTCTATCAATCATCATTTATAGTTTTTCTTGTTTTTTATATAGACTAAACTGAGTCCTGTTCCTGTCTTTCACGTTCTCGAATATTGCTAGTTCACTAATGTCTTCCAAATAGCTGCCTTGACTACCTCAGAAAAAAAAAAGACTTGATCCGCCAACCAGAGACTTAGGCTGTTAGAGTGAAGTTCAAAAACGTGACAAAAGAACTTTTAAAAAAGGCATTGGGTCTCCGAAAAGATAGAACTTTTTGGAAGCATGTTGGTTTGAATTTTATTTTTGCTCCTCTTCAAATTTCTGTTAGTTTAGTTTCACCCCTTCCAGCTTTTCTTATTTCGGTTTATTTAAATCATGATTTGAAAATTATGCGACATAAAAAAACATTCATTTCCACACTGGCTGCTACTTTCTCCAGCAAATCATTGATGTAAAAACTGCTAAGCGGCTCTGAAAACAACCGGAACGCGTTGTGTAAACATGAGGTTGTGGAACAGCTGGATCTCAACTTTTAACCCTAATTGCCTTCTTTTGTTTTCTTTATCTTTCGAATTCTCCCGTTTCTATTGAATATAAAAAGGACGGAAACCGATTTTCGGGGCTCGGGAGAATCGTGAGGGAGAGAGGCGAGACGAACGAAGACCGGCGTCGTCGGTCCTTGGGATGTGGAGATGGTCGACCGGATCAGACCCGACAGCAATGCCCGACAGAAGCAGATCAGCCGCACCTGCTGCGATATGTGCCACATCAAACTCGGTAGGACTCTGTTTTAGAGATCGCTTTGAAATCTATCCATACAATTGAACTTTAAATATACTGAACTTTTAATAATGATAGTCGACCTCAATTTTTTGGTTGAAGCTTGAATTTTTCTGGTGAGTAAGTGTATTTCGATGGTTTCTCTTCTTCGGACACCCAATTATATCAAACCTGTGTTTTGAAACCGAAAGTTTGCTTCGCTGTGATTTGTTTTTGTGGATTGGGGTGACTTTCGAAATGAAACGGCTAAATATTGGATTGTTTTGCCTTCCTTTAAAAGTTTACTTATTGTTTAAGAATGAGGATAAATTATTTTAGTTGTTACACAGGATGTATCTGAAGTAGTTGACGAGGCGCGTGAATCTGAAAAAGTAGAGTGGACGATGTAAAGTAGTTTACACAGAGGAGCTTTGCAAGTTTGATACGCTGCTCGGCCATTATACCGCGAGTTCGATTGCACCCGGCTAAAACCTTGGACTAACAATTCGTGCGAAACGATTTTATTTCGGTTAATCTAAGACCCGTGCCAACAAGCTTACTCAAATTTTGTGTGCAATAAAAAAAAGATAAAAAGACAACGTATGGGGGCTTTTTTTGTGTAACAAAAGGCTCTCCTCGATGAAGCAAAGGTGAGATTTCCAGGTGCGTGATTAAACGGTGTATCGGGAAAACGTTGAGGTCGATAAGTCATTTCCTGCTCTCTCTCTGAGAAGCTTGAGAGACCAAGAAATCAAAACTAAAAGAAACTATCCTCAAATACGGATCAAACAAATTCAGGCGCCGTGTTTCTGGGTTGCGTGGAAGCAGCAGTCGCGGTTTTCGTCCTCATAGGCGTCGTCCAGCAAGTCGTCTGGAAAAATCAGCACTCTTCTCTATGCGCCAAAAAGTTTCTCTCAACATAAGTGTACCTGGGAAAATAGTTTTCAGCTTATTCCGAGATTGCTTGATCTTCCAGTTCAATCATTTCAACGTCACGCTCATTTTCGACTACATTGTCATTCTGATGATGATATTTATTCTGTTTTCTGTGAGTTTGAGTGGAAGATTGTTTTTGATTATGTAATTCAGGTGCTCCTTTTGTTCTGTGGCGTTTTGACAGACACCTCCTGCCTCATTCTGCCGCACATAATCGTTCAAGCGATCTTCCTCCTTTTTTCTCTCGGTTACTTCATTCTTTACGCTTGGTCTTATTTCTATGGGGATCTCCACACCTACAAACGACCTTTCATGGTAAAAAAAAAAAGAAGAATATTTTTCCATTGGATGAACTGGTGCTTTGAAGTTCCAATCGTTTGTGGAGAGAATGTGGCTAGCGACGCTTCTGCTGGCGCTAGCAGGCCTGCAGTCGTATTTATTTTCCTCGGTCATTCGATGCAGTTTGTATCTCGCGGTGAGGTCCTTTCAAAGAACTCATTGGGAACGCCTTTCTGCAGAATATCGAAGACGAAAGACGGCGTCGGGAAAGAGCCTTCGAACGTTGCAGCGAACGGGTCCGCATAGCCAAGGAGAATGGTTTGTGGAGGACGACCAGCTGGGGAGGCGGATTCCAACAGGTTCTGTCTTCTTCCTTCTGTTTTGAGAGGAGTTCTTGCAGTACAAGGGACAGTTCGACAAGCCCAAGAAGGAGCCGAAACACAAGGGTTTCCACGTCCAATGGAATGCCGACGTCGAAGTCAGCGACGAGAGAGCGCAGCTTGTAAAGTGCGCCTTTCCAAACTCATTCTCTTTTTTCTGTTCTTGTGGACTACGCACAGCGTTTTTTTTTTCCAACTTAAAAGCATACGAAAATTGGAAACAATGTTAAATGTCAAATCTAATAATTGAGGATGAATTTTTTTGAAAGATGTTATTGTCTTTTTTCTCGGCTTGAAAGGCGAGATTGGTAAGTTTTCAAGGGTAACTTTTTGCGTAAGCGGCGTGGAATTGCGACACATTTGAAATCAAAATCAATCATGGAAAAATTGAGAAAAAAATACTTTTTCAATGTGTTTTTTTCAACAAAATTAAAAAAAAAATCTAAGTTGAATGTTTTTTCGGCAAAAGCTTAATGAGGATTGTTCAGAATTTCCGAAGATCCACCAATAAGCTTGAGTCCTATCGACGAGGAGTCACCACCCGTCGCGTGAGTTTTTTTTTCCAATAAGCAATTTCTAAGTTTTGGAACGATCATTTTTCAGGCTCTCAGAATTTGCGACGAATACTAGGAAAGAGCGCCGAGCTTCGGCGACATCTGCTGGCAGTGGAACGCGAAGATTCGCTTCAGAATCTCCCAAGAAAGATCGACCTCGATTGGTGAAAAAAACGTCTTCCGAAGGACATAACAGAATGGATTCTGAGGTTTTAATCAAATATTTCGATCAAGTCTAAGCACCGCTTTTCTAAGATTCAAAAAGCCACCAAAGAAGTAGCCAACAAGCCGCACATACATCATCACAAGGAAAAGCCAAAGGAAGAACTGACGGCCCCGAAAAGAATCGTGAAACTGCGCCCCAGTGAGAGCTCCAAGTGGGTCTACAGAGAATTCAGAAAGAACGAAGACGTTTCAGAGGCGTGAAGGACGTCGTCCGTCGTCCGCCTCTTCGTTCCAACAGAAGCGTCGATTCTGGAGAGCACTACGATGAAGTCGTCGCCTTCCACAGAGAAAGGACTCACGGAGCCCGAAGAAGGTGTCCTTCCTAAGCAAGTTCCTACTGAACTCGTCTGTTTGCAGGTCTTCTGAAGAAATTCAACCGATTCCTGCGATCCATCACCACAGAATTCGCAGCGGCGAACGTGAGAAACTCTTTCAGTTTACAGTCAAAGGCGTTTGTTTCAGGAAAAACACACGATACCGTCATTCCTATCGTGAAAAAAGTTTCTATAACTGCGACCATGGGTTAATCGATACCGATTTCACTTGCTTTCTTTTGGGATCACATCACTTTCTTGGGACAGAATAATCCATAAATCACCTCATTCTTCACCCTTATAATCTTTCCAAGTTGAAAATACTGAAACACTTATGGGTTTTCTTTTTCTCTCTTCATGATTTGTATTTCGCTTGTAATTCTTTTGCTTTTTCCGTAATTTCCATAACGCTGGAATCAACTTCCAGTTTTCCTATTCGAGGTCATCTCCATTAACCTTTTTTCGTTATATTTCTCTCTTTCAAACGTCGTATTTTCGTGAAAATAGTGATCTCTTTTTGTATATAATCTACGGTAAGAATTAAACGAACTATTCATTTGTCTCACAAGAACGGTACGTGAAAGATGAGACTCGAGGAAAACTCTCAAGTGCCTCCGATATGGCTCAGATGGAACTAAAAAGTATGCTGAAGGTCTCACGATGGACATATTATGGTATATTTACGATAAATTTTTAGAGGTATACTCACAGGCGAATCGAGTGTACCATAATGGGTCCAAAAAGATCGTGAGACCTTCAGTATACCTTTTATACTCGAGGTCTCACGATCTTCAACAAAGCTTCAATCAAAAGCGCTTTACAGTATGAGATATTCTGGAAAAAATGAAGACAGCCTTTCAAAGACTTCGATCCCAGAAAAATAATTTTGCTCAAATATGAAACCGAGATTGTTTAAAAGCTTGAAACGACACGGAAAACGCTTGTAAAAAGGAAAAATTTATTTTATTTGACATGAATAAAATCAATTTGTAAATCGAGATCTACGAATGGCAAAACCCGCTTTGGGGAGACCCATTTACAAATTGAAGATTGAGGCGATCAGCGAGTCACGAAACTGCTGATCGCGCCGTTGAACCTGCCGACGACGCTTCGCCATTCGACCGCCGTAAAATTCGCGTGCCAGAAACTCTCCATCTTCTGAAAAAAACCAAGTAGAATCTGAGGTAATAATGTCACAGAGGTTCTTTTTAAAAATAAAAAAAGATATTTTACATACTGTGATGTTTTTTTTCCGTAGGCTTTTTTCTAATTAATGTAGCTCGAAAATTTATGCTCACTACATATTTTTTTCAAATAATAAAAAGAAACTTTTTACTTCACAAGGTCTATAAGAGTTACAACCATATAAGTTTTTTGAAATATTTAAAATAAATGTTCACCTCGAGCTCGATGACAGCATCCCAGCTGGGCAACTCGTTGCAGGATGGAATGTTGAGGAACTGATGAATCATTTCGGTTAGCATGTAAAAATATTCACAAAAAGAAATAAATTAAAAGCCAAATTTTGCAATTCAAATTTTCGATATTTTCGGAATAAATATCTTTGGAACTAACTGGTTAAATCAGACAGAACCACTCCCAAAACACGCTTTAAAAGCACTGGTTTACGAATAGATGACTTCCAAAGAACGGAAAAATCCACTGAATTGGACAACCGAAAAAACCTTGAAAAAATGACCAAAAATGGCAAAATGGGTGAAAAGATTTGAATTTCGCGGGTAAAAAAACAGAAAGCGCGCTCCAAGGCTATTTTCAAAAATTTTACCCCAATTTTTACCATCGTTCGTATTTCGGTATTTATCCAAGATCTCCTATATTATAGCCACGGCGTTCCAAAAGGGAACTCGCAAGCGAGCCGATGAGGCGTGTCATTTTACCGCGCCCTTGCGTTCGTTGGAGCGTACTTGCGCAACAGAACTTTTTTTTGAAAATTCACAGAAAATGTCAAAAACGAAATTTTAAGAAATTGAGATGTTTCGATTGAATTCAGAGTATTTTTTGTGATTATCATGATGTCCATGGAAAAGTGGAAGCTTTCAAAACATAAAGAAGCAATTCGATGAAGTTTCACTGACAATTATCCGTATATTTGCTTCTCAACCTTTAAATCGGTTTTTACGAAAAAAATTTTCAGCTATAAGCCTATGGTATTCGTTGTTTAAAAGATGAAAGAATGATAGTAAAAACGTATTTTGAATGAATGTTGTTGAGAAGTTTTTGACGAAAAATCACATAGAATGATAATGGAAAAAAACGCTCATTTGTTGCGTAGTTCTGCGATCTTCGCAGGTGTTCTCTAAAAAAATTTTTTTCCAATTCTCTAATTAACCATGTTCTTTCGAATGAACCTGTGTGAAACATTTTCAGCTATCAAAAATAAAAAGATTGACCGACATACCACAAAGTTTTTAATCTTTCGCGCGGAACACCCAAAATTTGACAAGATTCCATGAAATTCAGTTTAAAAAAATTATTTTTTTGCCGACAAAGATTTTTTTGAACAATTTTTAGATTGTAGAAAAAAACTCATTCTGCACATGAATCAAGCAGAAAGATGTCGAATACATGGCATGTAAATTAAAAAAACTCGCGAATTATCATTTTTTTCGTTTTGCCTCAACTAAAGCGGTAAACGGCCAAGGAGCGACATGACACAACCAACTTATATGAAGTCAGAGCTGACGAACAATATAAACACAGCAGTAACACTCAGAAACGAAAATGTAACAAGAAATAGGGTTTTGAATTCCCAATACAAAACTAAACCACGCCCAGTTTTCTGCAATTGAGGCGCGGTACTTTCTGCCTCATTTTTCTCTACTGCGAGGTTCCCTTTTGGAACGCCGTGTAGCTGATTCACGGCTAGCTTGGGACGCTAAGAGGCGTGGTCTCTCTGCACTCTCCACGATCCAGGCACTATCTCGTGCATTATCGTTTCAGAACCCTTTTTTCGATGGCTCAAGCCAGCCCTGAATCAGCTATAAACGTTGACTTAAACGTATGGGCGACAAAGACTGATGAAAATCATTCAAATTCAATGGTTTGCAGAAACTTGTCTGCGATATATAAGTTAGTGCCGGCTCTTGTATTTTTTGAGAATCTCGTGAATTCACCATTCTCATATGTTTTCACGTTTAATACAGATCCGTTATCTGTAAAGAAAAAACATTCCTAGTTTGGGAAACCACTAGTTTCGAACTATTTTTGGCGCATGACGACGGAAAAACCTGACGTCTCGAAAGCAGAAGAACGCGAGATCGACAAAGAATATCTTGCTTCTTTAGGTGTGAAACCTGATTTTCCTTCTTTCTAAATTATATATTCAGAAAAAAAGTTGAAGTCATTAAAGGATCCTAAAAAGATCACTACCAAGACTTTTCTTAGTGATCTTGCGAATCATCGAGATAATCAGGTTTTTTTTACGAATTAATTATTCAATGGAAAATTCTGAAGCTTTTCAATCTTCTCTCCGCTTCCTCAAGTCAGACGACCTCAAATCCAGACGTCCCTCTAGAGTTTGAAGACAATTTCACTGACACTCCAATCGCACCAAACTACTTGCGAAGAAAAGTTGCCCCACAAACGTGTGCAATAAATAAACAAGAACTTGCACATCTCGTCAAGCACGATTTGACTCAGGTACTCGGAATTTTACATTTATTTTTTTTTTTCAGTTTTTCTGTTTAGAAAGTCCACGACATATTCTTGCAACTGGATCAAACTTCTGAGGATAGGCTTGAAAGCGAAAAAATTATTAAAGAACTCAGAGATTTGGCCGATGAGTTGAAGAAAGAGAAAGACGAAGCCTAGTTTTTTCTTTATTATTTTTTCTCTTAATCCGTCTAATTATAGGAATGGAGTTTTTTCCTGGTGGCCTTACTAATCTCTCTACGAAAAAATGCTCTGATTTGAGAAATTGCACAATGCTTCACTTTATAAACTTACCTACCCCTGTGACAATACCTCACAACGGTTCGTGCATTTTCACTGAAACATAAATTCCTTTCAGAAAGGGAAACGTCGATGCTAACGTTCACAATAGGCATAGATGGGAAGTTGACTTGCGATCAAACAAAAACGGTTTACGACTTGAAAAGTATCGAAAAGTTACAGGTGCCAGCTTTTTTACTCTTTCATTACCGGTAACTTCATTGCCATTAACAGTTAATAGTTCAGTTTTCTTCGGGAACGACAATCGAAGTTGTTTGTTCCGACTGTCTGTTGCGAATTAATGAAAGCTGGGCTGTAATGTTTTCGATAATGTGGGTTTTCATTTCGTTTTTTTTTTTTGAGGTTTTTTTTTCAGTTGGGTCGAATTAAACAGTTTGTCCATTCCGCAGAAATGTTTCGCCACAACTTTGATGTTAAACGACGAATTTCACGTTAATTTATGTTGTATGGTGAATTTTTTAGACTAAATACGGCGTTCAAAGTAATTTTCGAAATCTGACCTTAAGTACGTTTTCGCTTTCTTTTGTTTGGTTAAAAGAATCAAAAAAATAATAGATATTCAGCGCAAAACGTGCTTTGGGGCCTCCGAGGATGGGAGTTTCTCACTAGGGAACTACTCGGACTCGGGTACGCGTTTCGAGTTGAAACTTTGGTGGCTAATAGACCCTGGTGAGAGTACTTGGAAACAAGAGAGATTATATGCTAAACCCCATAGGCTTTTGAGAAAAAGCTTTTTGAAAATGAACAGTTTAGGCTTGAAAATTGTCAAATTTTTGCTTTCCTCCTTCTTTCGGCTGGAAAAAAGTTTCTTAGAGTTTATCATAGCCGAATCATTCAAGGGGATTGTTTTAAAATATAAAAGAAGATAAAAAGCAGTATTCTGAGAATTTTTAGGCCTAATTTTCACATTTTCTACTAATTTTTTCTTAGTTCTATATCGGGTTTAGCAGATATTCTCTCTTGTTTTTAAGTATTCTCACTTAGGTCTATAAACCCCTAAAGTTTGAACTCGAAGCGCGTACCCGAGTCCGAGTAGTTCCCTAGTCAGTCAATAAAAGATACTTTGAACCTGAAAAACCTCTTTTTTTTGCTCTAAAACTTCTCAGAACGCGGCGCCGCTACTTGAAATGAAATGAAATTTCACGATTATCGAGTAATTGAACTTTATAGGTGGAACTGCCTGACCTCGTGGCTCACTGTCGGTTGATTTCAAGACCTGATTCGAATCACGATAACCAATTTCTGCTTATTTTTCCGAAAAGTTTGCCTCCAATTTTATTCTCTGTTGAGGTTTCCCGAGTTCCACGATTTTTTGCATTTTATCTTTTCAGCCATCAAAGTTGAAGCGAATCTTTAATTTTTCTGAAACGTTCCCAGAATTGGAGGATCTCGTTCCTTCAGGAACCGTCATCCGCTCTTCCTTCATCCAAAATGAACTTTTCCGGTCTCCCTTTTTCTGAAATTATTCATCACACTTTGATTTTTCAGCTTCAACGTGCTCGGGTTAGATACTGGCTTTGTCACAATTTCCATATACGACATTAAAGACAAAGCGCTGCTCAAAAGGTAGGCTATTTCCAATTCTTATTCATTTTATTTTTGAAGATGTAACTTACGTTTTGCATGCTCTATAACAGTAGCTGAGTTTCTTCCTACTTCAAAGGAAGATTCGCAACGTTTATTGATTTCTTCGGCCATGGGTCCTGCCGCGATTTGGCGATGTCTTGTTAAGGTTAATAGTTTTTTTTCTACATATTTCTGTATGGAAAAACAGTTAGAAGTGTTGAAAACAGTTTTTCTTTTTGAAAAAAAAATCATGAAGAGGCAGAAAAAACAGATTTCAAAAGGGAAAATGGTTTAGAGTTCGACAGGAAGAATGGAAACAAAAAAGAGCCTTTGGGAAAGTCATTGCCAGCTCGAGTTCACCCTTCAGGGATCACAAAAGTACGATTCAGTCAACTGCGCCAGTGTAATTGACAAAAATCGGATTTTTATTGGTACTTACAAAGGGGTAGAGCTCTTCAGATCTAGCTTTGATGAAAAATATGTTTCTAGAAAGTTCTTGTATACGAAATTCCTTCACTCGTTTTGGAGAGGCCCATGGAGATCACGCTTTCGAATTCGTTGACCGTCGACGGAGCTGTTTTTGCCATCAAAGTTTCCCTCATTCCTCTATCCATATACTGAACCTATTTTTAGGAAGCTTCTGTGAATTCTCTGACAGCTCTCACGTCAGATGGAGCCTTTTCAATCACGAACGGGTCGTGAATAATTCAGAACTGACTTTCTTATGAAATGTTTATATTGTAACAATGTATGAATAAATTATTCACAGGAAAAATAATTTTTCACAATAATCAAATAGTTAAACATCTATGTGTTACTTGTCGAGTGAATTACTTCATGGATAGCGCGAAGCCACTTTGTTATCGCGATAGCTCCAGCGTCTGGCCTTTTTTGGCTCTGAAAAGAATTTTTATGTGATTGAAAGGCCAAGAGTTTGCATAAAAAGCCCGTTATGACGAGTCAAAAGTTTCTTTTGCACAAAAATCTAATTCCGGAATTCAAAATTGCCATGTTAAAAAAAACTTTTTTTCGAATCTTCAAAACTATCAGGACCGCACATTTTCATGCATTCGGCCTACTAGAAACTTGATCGAAACCTTTTCCGAAGTGTAGCTGGCTCTTCCCACTGTCGCTTTCTGCTTGGCCGTTTCTTCCGCCGCCTTTTCACTAGCCTATGATTTTCTCTCATTTGAAAATAAGTCCTTGCTCCACCTTCATTGCTTCCTCCCAGTTGATCTCATTGCCACCATCAGCTAACTTTCCCACCGCCGCATCTAATGCGTCCACCTGAAGACCGTATATTTTAAATGTTCCTGATGAATCATTCATAAATTCAATTTATATATAACTTCTAAGTTATGAGTTAAAACTGTATAAGACTGGGGAACTAGCCATAGTCCGATCGCCCGGTCTGGCGCCGCCGTATTTCTGTAGAGTGTCGTTAGCCAATCGAAGTGCTTCAGCACAACTTTCGGAATTACTTTTTGTATCGAAAGCTTTGCTGGCCGAGTTCAGCATCAGGGCGTAGAGCTGCAAATCCAAATGAACTATTTTTTTGGGCATTTTTCGGAGTATTTTTTCTATATTTGTTCTCAGGAGAAATACGTTTTTTTCATGAAAGCTAATGAAAGCTCCTTAGAAAAGTATTTATGGAGTTAACAAATTCGTTTCCACCAGGAAATTTTTCATTTTTTTGTAAGTTTTGGGCATTTTCGAAATTATTTTCAGCAAGCTAAAAAAATTAATTGAACTAGTTCAAGAGTAGAATGAGTATATACAAAAAAGTCGAAATATTGAAAAAAAAAAAGAGAAAGAAATAGTACCGCTCCACAGGTTCCTCCAACAGTTTGTTCGAAAATATTGGCGATTTGCTGCAGGAGCGTCTGTGGATGGGAGCAGACCAAGCTATCCATAGAGGAGAAGATCGCTGAAGAATAGCTAGAACGTTTTTTGAGCTGTAGAAACCCTTGGAAGCAGTGGCGAAGGTTGTTCCGCAGTCGCCGTCCCCCGCCGCACTGTCCAACTCGTTCAGATTTTCTTCCTCGCGCCCCATCGCCGCGCAAACCGCTTTCACGCATTCGCGAATGGAATGCTCATCTGAAAAAAGCGCGTAGTTTTAGAAACTTATTCCGAGAATCAGCCTGCAAATATGAGTAACAGAAAGCCATCGATAATTAACCTCCCATCGCTCCCGATTTTGAAATATCCAAGTTCCCGGTCTCCATTTTCTCTTGTTTTTCTTTTCTGTTTTCACAAACTGGGTGATGAACAGCCAGATGACCGGACCATCCAGGTGCTTTAGTAGGCGCGTCTGTGGTTTCCTTTGAATGAACAACTTCTATTCAGGCCTCACCTAAATATTCGGTTAGGTCGTTGCTGAAGTTTTTCAGAAAAGTGACACTAACGCCATGAGAATCTAAAGACGTCATGTAGCTGCCGACAAAAAGTCGCAAAATTTTTAGTTTTCGAGCATCTAAACAATTATTCATTATCAAAAGGACAAAGTCTTCTATCACTTACCGCACCATTTGACAAGTTCGCCAGTGAGGATATTCATTTCCAAGTTAGAGACAGATCCCAAATTGTTGAGAAGTACGAATAGTTCTTCTTCTAAACTTTTCCAGTTATTATTCTTCCAGAAAAATGAATTATTTTTTTCATTTCGCAAAAAAATGGTACAGAAGGTGAAAAAAATCAATGAATTGAATTAGATTTAATTATGAAGGAAAAATTCAACAACGTTTTCAGATCTTTCAAAAAAATCAGAAAAAAAAATTTGTTTTTGTTCAATTTCTCCTCGCTGAAATTTTTCAGCAAGAACTGTCGTTACAGTTTTTCGATCTTCAAAGTTTCCATTATCTGGCAAAAAAGATAATTAGTAATGACATCTACTAAATAAAATTTTAATAACCGAAACGTAAGTTAGAACTTTAAAAAGACGTGGCAAACTTGGTTTCAATTGCATTTTGTGTTGAAGAGTTCCGAGTATGTCTTCGAAGATTTCTCCGGCTTTGGAGTAAGGTTTTCGGTGTTTTCCAGGCTCGCCGTGGATGCCCAATCCGACCTCTATCTCGTCTTCCGGAATTTCCGATCCGCGCCGTTTTCCTGGAACGGCGCCCGGGTACAACGAAACGCCCAGCGTTCCTGACAATGTTCGTTGGTTTTCTCCAATTTCTCAAAAAGTCTTTTTTGAGATATTTTAAATTTTTTGCAGAAAGTTCTTCGGTCTGCTGACTTCTTAATTTGAATAGCGGCCGAAAACACGCAGAATAGTAGTATCAAACAAAATTTTGAGTTTTCCCAAACTGAAGATTCAAAAATTATAAAAATAAAGTTTTTTTCTATTCCCGTTATATTTAAATTTTTTTTCAAAAATTCTTATGATTTTCAGTGTGACGGGAAATTAAAAAGATTTTTTTAGCTGATAGAAAAATTTTCTGGAAAAAAGTGATAGAATTTCAGAAAAAGATTTTTTTGTGAGCAGAAGTTTTGGGAAATTTTTTTTCAGCTTTTTTTTGAACCTGTAGTAAACTATCTGGATTTTTTTCTGTTGAATAAAAAAAGAAAAAGCTTGCCTAAATTCTCATTGATTTCCAAACATTTCTCGTAGATCTCACTCATTGATTTGCCGCATTCTGACATTGCTCCAGCGATCTCAACTTATTCCCTTCTCATTGAATCTTAGTCATTTTCAAGCCTTTATAGTCAACACGGCGCCCGCCAGCCCACGTTTCCCGACGCAATTACTCGGAGAATCGATCGCAACGTCGTCGGAAATCAATAAGGTCTGGAATTTTCCAATTTTCGATCCAAAAAAAAAAAAGAAGAAGCTTTGTGACCTTCACTTTGTTCTTCCCGTTCTCCTGGAATCTTTCTGCGGCCAAACCAAAGTTCAGTCGATCACCGGTATAGTTTGTTATGAAGAGTATCGTCCCTTCTTCAAAAATTTTTGAACGTTGATTGGAGATTCTCCAAAGTTGTATCGTTACGTTCTTTTTTTTTAACCGGATATTATTATACTTAATGTTGCTTTTGAATCTATATCTACAGAACTAGAAATATTGTCAACTGTTATCCAAAGGAAAACTTATTGGCTTTTCTTTCTTCCAAAACTTCAAACGAAGTCTTTCTGTGTTGAATTTTGAGTGAAAATCGGGTATAATTGGTCGTGATACCTTCGGATTGGGTGGCTTGGAGAGCTTGTTGAATATGTCGAGAAGGAGGCGAGGCGAAGACGTCGCCGGCGACCGCCGCCGTCAGAAGCCCTTCGCCGACGTATCCTGAAGAGAAGACGTCGAATCTGGACGGAAGCCGCACCTGCCGCGTATGGCTCGTGTCCAGAGCCTCCTCCGGCCACCAGAGAGACTCTTTTTCCTTTTTCGCCCCGCCGCAGTACAACTCGTGGATTATTCTAAATATTCTGTTTTCGCCTTTGGGGTCCCCCTACCGGATGAAGCTGAAGTTGATCACTGGACCCGACTAATCCGCGTAGTGCATCGTTCACTGCTTCTTCCACGTTGTTCACGAATTTTTTACTCATCTGAAGGCTTCTATTGTAGTTTGAAGACGTAATTTTCTCAGTTTTAGTCGTTGATCTACAAAGAGGCCGGTGTTCTCGAAAACTTTGAATTCTCTGAAAACTTTTTGACATTCGAACATTCCAATAAATGAAAACTTCTAAGATTTTCAACCCCGTCGAAGATTCCGAAGCATTTCGCAAAAAGGAGAAGTTGTGCAGAAACAATAATTTCAAGTAGTAGTAATATATATTCACTAGTTTTCAACTCATTTTTCAAACATTTGAAAGCTTACCAGAGAGAGTAGAATGACCTCTCTGATTCAAACTTGAAATGATCGAAAAAAGCAAGAAGTTCACAATGAATGCGGTTTCAGTAGAAGTTTCACGCGGTTTTAAATTTCAAATGACAGTTTTCTCAAGCCCATTAACCAACCTTTGAAAAAATTAGAAAAAGTTTTCAATGAAAAATAATGAGCATTAAATTATAGTTAAGTTTTTTTGATTATTAACTTTTTTGAAGTCAACTTGAAAGGTTGCAAATTTTTCAAAGCGAAAAAAAAAATACAGGAGAACGGGGAAAGTTTTGAAGAGAAAGGTCAAATGACGTAGGCTACGACGGCTGTAAACAAAAAGCGAAGTTGTTTGGTTCTTTGTTGCATTCCTGAAAATCCGAGAATAAAAAGAAGAATAAATTACATCGTTATCAGAAAATAACGAAAATAAAGGTTTGAAAATTTTTGTTCAGGTTGTATCAAGCAGTTGGCAACAGGAGGAATCATCCTGCTGTTAGTTTTTCTCATCCTCAACAACGGAACCACAGGTTCCTTTTTGCCCTTTTATTGGATCGTGAAGCTAGAATTCCATAGGAAATTCTTAGTATTATAAAAACGCTGTGAGAATTGATAGTAGAATCTGAAAATTTTTTTATTATTTTTTTCGAAACGCTTCTTTTAGACGATATTGAAGAAAAACTTCCAAAAGAGGTTTGAAATGCACCGTAATATTTTTGTTGCAAGCAAACTTTCCATTATTATGAAGAATTATCTCATGAGTCTTCTTCATTGAGTACATTTGAGGATTCTGAGCACTGGCCATCATCCGAGCAAGGCCAAGGCCCGAAAAAGAACAATGCCGTCTCCAGCGGCGCCTCGCTCTTTGCCTGTCAACGTGCCGCGTTCCAAGGCAAAAAGCTCCCTCGCTTCCGAACTTGGCGTCTCGGACAACGTCGATCTCATTCAGAGAATCGGTTATCAATTTATCTTTCTTTTTTTTTTTGACCTTCAACCGCTGGCTCGCGCCTTTATTTTGACCGCAAAAAGCTCGGCTTGATATTACTTTAACCACAGGCTGTATGCAAGAAAAATTGATAGATTCATCTACGGGGAATTACCTTAAAAGATGAATAGCTCAGACTTTCTCCTTAATATTCAAATACGTTTTCTCCCATACAAAACCGGCTAAATAAGTCTTTCATATAGGATTGTGAAAAGAAAACTTTTCAAATTAATGTATGATATTAGGCTATTTACCATTACTGGGTGAACACGGTAACTTGCGTTCACCATTTTCTTACTTATGTCCTCAGCAAACTTTCGGGCGCTAGAAAGGAATACCTTTCCATTACTTCGAAATCTCGTGACAAGCCGTCAGAATTTTTTTCGCAGAACTTCATTTTCTATTTTTTTGATTTTTTTGTTTTAGTGATGAAACGTGCGATGGGCAAGGCAGCCAACAGGGAACAAATCGTGGAAATCGAATCTCCGCAGATTTCCAGGCTGTCAGTTTTTTTTTCTGGTTGAGGTTTTTCGGTGTCGATTAATAGGGCTCATGGTGGCCTTTCATGTTTTCTTTTCTTTTTGAAGTATCAAAAATTTTCGAAAAAATAATAATGATTGATGGCGGCTCAGCCACCTTTTCTTTTCGCAATAGTGGCGAAAATCTCAAAGGTGACTGAAACTTTCCTTGAGCTGTATTTTTATGCAGCACTTCATTTTCGTAACATCGGACTGTATGGCGAAGCTGCAGGGGAGGGAAAAGACCACGAATGAGTTTACTAAAAATAAATAAAATCATAATAAGTACAAATCAACTGTCAGAGAGTAAAAAAAAACTACTACATTTTTGAAAGTCAAATTTATTTTGATTTTCACCGAATTGCTTTGAAAACGAAAAGGCGCCGCAGCGCAAATCTTGTGGGCCTTTCAACGGTCCACAGGGTCACAAGTTCGATCCCCGCCTCGACCCAAGCAAGAGGTTTAAAAAATGTTGGTAGTGGAAAACCACGACTTTAAACCCCCGGTAGTCACACACAAGGACGGATAGGTCGCTAGAGCCGGTCCACTGATTATCACTGATCAGGATAGGACCTCGGCTAATCGATTTGGGGCGCCGACGTCGCTCAACCGGTATAAAGACGTAAGAAGTAGAACTCTTTGAAAATGAAACTATATCAAAATGTCCTTCGAGCTCAAAACTTTATAAAATTTCTTTAAAAAAAATGCTGAAAAACCAAATTCTATAAAATAACCAGGGATTATTAGATCTGATCAGAACTGTTATGAAATCGAGCTCATTGGATAATTTTTAAAAGATTCAAATGTGTTCAATCGGGAGAATGGTCATCAACTGGCCGTGATCTCAGCGGGAGCAGTTGCGTGTCCTTCATTTCGCAACGAAAACTCCTCGGAAATAGAAAACAAACGTTGTTTATGCATTCCTTGCACACCGAAACACAGCTCCCTCCTATTTTTTTTTTCGATATTTGTCCAAAACTACTCCAAGGATTTTGCCGATGTCAAAAGTCTTTGAAGTCCTTGCACAGTTCAAAAGATTGCCGTTTGGTCTTTCGAATCCTCTCAGCAACTACAACCAGCTGTTTGCCGAACGCAAGATTTTTCATAGGTTTATCAATAGTCTGATTACCGATAAGAAGAATTTTTATCATAATCTTTTGTTCGAGAATGTGAAAAATAATTCGTGGTCCAGAAATTATTTCTTGAGTTGCGACTAGAAATTTTAATTCCTTAAAATTGAGACTTCTTCTTTAAAATACTGTAGAGCAAATATTTTCTCAACTTTTCACTGGCTGTTTTTCAAACTTTTCCTTTCGAGCAGGCTTGTGCGACGGCCATTTCGTAAGCCCGGCCCGGCTCGGCCTTACCGGGGCCTCAAGAAAAAATGGCCCGCCCGGCCCAAAACGCGCAATTTTTTCTAGTCGGATATCAAGTTTTTTTTACGGCAAAAGTTACGTTTTCGCCCATTTTTTCACTTAAAGTTTAACAAAAACTATGATTTCAAAAGTAAAAGTAACATATCAGTGAAAATATATTAAATGGAATTTTAAATTTGTTTTGAAGCCCGGCCCGGCCTGAGCCCACGCGGGTTTTTTTTCCTGAAAATGAGGCCCAAAGCCCGGGCCGCGCCGCCCGGCCTGACGCACAAGCCTGCTTTCGAGCTGAACTTTTTTTTTTCGTGGAAACTTTGCTCTTTTGAGAATGAGCGGGGCGAAATGCGAGTGAAAAAAAATTCATTCTCCTTCTAATAATGCTTTGAAGTGAATCGAATTCACAAATTTTAGAATATTCATTATGTACAATTTCAACTACTGAAATTGACCCTTTCTTAACAATTTCTCGAAACAATCAGGGTTGTTTAAAGGCGTAGATTGGATACCTAACAGAGAAAAAGCCTATGCGGCGCCATTCTTGCATGTTTATAATCCTTAAACACAGTGAACTAAAACAATTAAAATGTTTTTTCCTTCTAACATGATGTAACCAAAGATGTTCAGGCCGGTGATCGAAGAAGCGAAAGTGGAATCCGACGCCGACACGACTTTTTCCTTCTCGTGCTCCTCGTCCTCATCGACTTCCTCTTCATCGTCCCCGACGAAAGAACCAACCCCAAAAAGGTTTGCTTTTCCATCTACCGTTATCTTGTTTTCGGTGTTCGTCGTAAACAACGGACAATTGTCTTTCGAATTTATATTATTCTCCAAAACATTACGGCGATTTGCAACATTTTTTTTATTTGTGAGAAAACTCAATCTCTTCACTTTGAAAGGAATTATTCAATTTTTTTCGCTTTTTTTTCCAATAACTTCAAGCTTCTGAACAAAAATGGAACGCTACTGAATGAAAATAAATGTTTTTCGTCATGAAGGGCATTTTTTGAACCTCAAGTATCCGAATAAGTTCTTTCAACTGACCCTGGCTTGATTTGGATGCGCGGTGATCGGTATTGAAATTTTTCTGCAGCTTTGGCAAAATCTGTGTTGTTTGAAGACTTCCAGATCTCCTTGTCAAATACTTTAAAAACGTTGATTCTCGTAAAACTTGAGTTCTTCTTGTGATAGCGCGACCAATCTTTTTTTCACAGTTCGGAATTAAACAATGATTACTTGAATGTTGATATTTCATCAAATTAGCGAAACTGTGTGAAGTTTTTAATATCTTATTTGTTTTCGCCTTAAATGAAATTACTTTTTTTTCGTTTCAGAAAATTGCGCAAAGGGATCCTTATGAACCCGAAGTCTGAGAATGACGTCAGCAAAGAGTGTACCGCAGCGGCCGCCCCCTTTCGTACTTCTTTAGGTAGTTTACTTTTGTGAGGGATTCGGCTTCAAAAGTTATCTTGCAGTTTTGAAGAGGGAATGTGCCAGAGTGGAGGAAATCGATGTGGTCGTGATCAGTGATGATGGTTTGAACCTTTTCAACCTGAAATAACGGAAATTTGCATTTTCTATTGATCTGAAAGAAGGATAGTTAGACGAAGAAGCTTCTCTAGCTACTTTGATATGAACTAGCAACTCGTTTCATTCCAATGAGAAAGCTAAAGAAAGCCTCGATCATTGCTTTATTTTATTTTAGAGATGGAAAAAGTTTTCAGAAGGGGAAGTGGTTTGTCTGCGGGACGCGACGACTGTTGAGAAAGCGGTGGAAGTGGAAATCGAAGAGATCAGCTCCGTATGTTGTCTTTTCTGTCGAGTAACGATTTCCTTCAATTCAGAACAGCGCTGGATCTTCGATTGGATCAAAAACCGAAAAGATCAAGCAAAATGATAAAAAGGTCAGGATTTCGCACCTTTTCGATATCTCAATATTTTTCTTTCAGTTAACAAAAAAGTCGTCAGTGTTGGAAAATATCGAGGACTGCCTTAATAAACAGTCATTTCTGAAAAAGAATGAGAAGCTTCGATTTTGGGAAACTGTTCAGGTGAAACGGAGACTTAGGCAACTCTCAATACCATTCGTTTTGGAAAATGAATTCAAAAAGACTTGCTTTGTGCTTTTTAAAGACATTTCTTGATGTAAATAAAGCTTCTAGGAGAAAAAAATTTTGGTCATAATTTTTTTATTTTTAGAGAATCCATTAGCGAGAAAAATTAGGGAAGGAGGAGCTGAATAGGTGTTTCGGAACCCTTGAAACGAATAAATGGGATAAGTTCCACTTTTACCCCATTTGAGAACAGTTTCCAAGCAATTGCGGAAGATCTTTCGGATTATGCTCATGCAGAAGATTCTTTTAGAAGAGTTGATGGGTTTCTTCGATTTTTAGAATTAATCAACGATTGATAAACCTCCCACCAATTTGACAGGTTTTAAAGAAGCTGTACGATGCTTTTTTTTAATAATTAAATAGCTATGAACTTTGAAATATTTGCCATTTGTTGTTAAATCGAATAAAAACATGATTACGCTTTTAAAACTTGATTTCTTTTTCCGTAAAGAAAGTATTTTTTATCGAATAACGATCTTCATCGTTTTTTTTTCCTCTTACTCAAGAGTTTGATGACATTAAAATCAGTTTCAATCTTAGATTTTTCAGAATCCTGATGCTTTTTCTCTTTGCCGAGGCCCTCACGCCGATTTCCGGGTCTGCAGCTACAATATTCTTTGTCAGGACACAATAAGCAAAACAATGTATCTGTACAGGCATTTAAGGTGCTTTTTTTGAAGTTATTTCGAGAATCCGAAACTGAAAGATTCTAAAGGAACAGTTCTCAGAGATAATCACTGTTTTTTAAAATTCATAATCTTCGACTAAAAAAATGAAGGGTTCAGTCGCGAGCAACATCTTTTGAATTGGGAAGTTCGATGGCAGAAATTACGCGAAGAACTTAGTTCCATTGACGCCGACGTTTTTGGCCTCCAGGTGATTATTCTTGACGTAAATTCAAAAAGGTTGTCATTAAGGAAGTTCAAGAATGCCATTTCAACGATTACATCAAACCTTTCTTCAAGAAAAGTTGGTTTTCCTATTATTATTTTGTTTTGAATGATTTGAATTAGAACTTTACCGTTTTTCTGAATTTTTGAGCCCCATAGTTGATTCGGAAAGAGGTATTTAAATAATATTTAAAATTCGATTAGATTTGTGTTTCTTCTCACGGAGCGTAGATACTGGAGCTCGGATTTGAAGTTTCAAACTTCTAACAGCTTTTTTGAATAAGTCATTTTGGGTTCTATGTTTTCCAGGAGGTTACGCAGGTCTTCTGAAAACTCGTACTGGCGGGTTATTCATCGACGGCTGTGCAATTTTTTATAAGCCGCACAAGTTCGACATTCTGGAATACCGTTTTGTCGAGTACTTTGTAGCCCCGAATACAAATATGGATCGGGAACAAATAGGTGAAACGCTTCTGAAGTCAATGTCAAACTGTCAGATTTCAGCGCAAATCGCAAAACTCAGATGCAGAGTGACTGGCGAAATCGTACTCTTCGCCAACACTCACCTTTTGTTCAACAAAACACGCGGGGACGTGAAACTCGGACAACTCGCGTTGCTTTTCGCCAATATTCACGATGTGAGTCTTCGACTTTATTTTGTTATTTGGAGAGGGAGTTCTCCAAAGGTTCTAATCAGCGTTTTCGCCTTATGAAAATTTCAAACTATTTTGAAAACAGTTGTGAAAATCTAAACCAAAATTTGCAAAATTAAACTGGATGAACATGGTGAACGCTTCAGATGAAGGCGTCGACCGGAAATCCTTGTTCTGTCATCGTCACCGGAGATTTCAACATGGAGCCCAACTCCGCCGTCTACAGATACGCCGCTAATGGAATGTTCGTTGCTCAGGAAACAGACATTCAGCTTAACTTCTTAGAGAATTGCATAATAAAATAAAAAACCATTGGCAAAGAATGGCTAATTTTTCTTATAATATTTGACTTCTTACTTCTAAATCCTTATTTTATTTTCTTCTGGTTGTGATTTTTGCTTCATGATTATATAGACCCCTTTTGAGGACAAACATATTTCTAAAACAAAAGTTTGCTTGCTTCATGACTTGTCAAAAATGCAGGATCAACTTGGGAGGTCTGCCGCGAAGAGAACTTTCTGGTCAAGGCGAGAAGGGCGGAACTCCGCTCGACGCTTGCGTCATCTTACCGCCGGCTTGCGGCGTACTGCGCGACGGGATGTTCGCGTCCGCATGCGGAATGAGTGAGAAGAAAGGTTTTTCCACTTGAGCCTCTGCTTTTCAGAACCGAACCGCGTTATCGCGGCCAACGTCTTCTGTCATCCGATCAAACTACATTCGGTTTACACACATGGTTGTTCTGAAAATTCCGAGGTCTCCACGTACCACGCTGACAGCGGCAATCCCGACTTTATTTTTTACAGCGTCAAGGAGAAAAGTTTCAAAGGAGAGGTTCGTTGATTTCTGATAGGTTTTTGTTTTCTAAGTGAAGAAAATTTTGGATGAAAACATTTTGATACAATTGCTCGACCTCCAGAAAAGGCAATTTTGATACGCCAACTCTCAAAAAAAACGAGAAATTGCGCAGTTGAGACTCTTCAGATTTTGATGCATACGGTTTTCGAAAAGCTCTGCGATTCCGATGAAGTTACCTCTATTGACAGATTTTCTCTTTTAGCGTTGAAGGCTGGCTCAAAATTTACATTGAAACTGAGAAAAATTTTCACCTTTCCCTTTTTTACAACTAAACTTCGTTTAGGGGGTGTCGGTTAAAGAGTCTCCTTGTCTGAAACTCATGTCCCGCTACTCGTTGCCGACCCGTCGCGGTCTTCGCGGTCTCTCGCCTTGGCCCAACTTCTACGTTCCGAGTGACCATATCCCTTTGATCGCCAACTTCCGACTAACTGGTCCTTCGTTTTGAGGAATATCAGTGTTTATGTAACGCTTCAAGTTTTCTCAACAGTCTTCTTGTATGTATATTGGGGTTTTCTTTTAGATCATCTCTCTGTAGCTGTTAGACTTCATAGAAGCATTCTCCTGTTAGGCTCTATTTGAATAGTTGTTTGACGAGACAATTTTGCTGTCGAGGGTCTCTTTTTTGAGTTTTTTTTTTGACTCAAAGTTATTCCGGTTGCATATTTCGTATATTATCCACCGGTGTGTTTGGCGGGTGTCTTATTCTTTTCATTATTCGATCGCTCACTTATTTTCATTTGAAACGGCTCATAAAATGTTTTCATTTCCATATTTATTGCAAACACGTAGAGTTAAATAAAGTTAGAAAAAACTTAAATTAAGAAAATACTTAAAACGATTCAACTGGGTGGAACAGAGAAGAAGTTGAGGAAATCGGAATACCGGGCGTTTTACACTTTTCGTTCATCGGTGTGAAGTGGATTACTGCTGCATGGGTTCTGGGGCTGCAGCTGGCGCCTGTCCGTGTCCCTGTTGAGCGTTGGAGCGCGGATGCGTCGCCACGGCGTCGAGATGAAGGCCGACTTGAGTGTCGGCCAGAATCGTGAACGGACGATCCTTGCCGACGATGCCGATCGAAGTGTTCTGCAGTTTACTTCTGCTCACAAGGAAATTCAATTAAACTACTCCAAAAATTTTTTAAACAAGACCCATTGAAAAAATGAGCCAAAAATGTTTCTTCTAGATCTGATCAAGTTGGAAATAGACAACGTTCAAAAAAGTTTTCGAATGAAAATTGGACTTTTTAATGCATCGAAGACGAACTACAAAAGAAATCCATACATTTTTTTTTTAGATATAATACTAATCTGACAAAATACAAAAAATGTATAAAATAATGAAGAAGATTTCACATTGCGAAGAATGAGAAATCGAATAAATTTATCTTACCTGAGCACTGAGGTTTTCCTCAGCCGGCAGAGTATCGCGCAGAGCGAGAAGAGCGTGAACAATCAATTCGTCAGCACTGGCTGGAAAATTGGCTTTTCAATGTGGTTCAGAAGGGGAGACTGAACCATTCTCGAACTTGTCGACGTTCCTCTCCAAGTAAGTGCGCGCAGACTGCGAACGGGCGCCGATTGACGACGCCTTCATACTGACGACTTCCGCCGACGGCTCCGTCTGGATGATGTGTGCGCCGTCCTTCTGAATCCAGAGATCGGTAAGACGCTGAGGCGATTGCAAGAATTTTGTCGTAAAAAAGTAAATTAGAGAAACTCAAGTTCTTCTCTAAACCCTTTTTCCCAGTTTATACATGGGGTATTCGTGCTTGTAAGTCCAAAATTAGAAAGGAATGGCAAAATGTTTGATGGCTGAAAAGGAACTCATAATTTTTCCGGAACATTGTCTAAAAGCTCTCATTTTCTCTGAAACACTTAGTCATAATCGTCTGAAAGGTTTAAAATTATTCGAAGAATGGGTTCAAGTTTTTTTCTATACTCTTTTCGAGAAAAAAACAAAAAGAAAAAACTCTGAAAAATCCGAACTTCGTGTAAAAAAGGTTAAAAAAACTCAATAACTGTAGTGAATATTCATGACATAATTTTAACCGTGATGAATATAAGGAGATTAAATTATTGAAAAAAAGGTCACAAACATCGTAACCAGCGACGAGAAGACCAACACCGAAAGGTCGTCGACCGTAGTACTGAGTATTCGCTTGCAGTTCTTGAAAGTCCCTGATTGTGATTTAAAAAAAAACAAAATTTTATACTGAGTTGCATGGATTCAGTGAGCTTCTTGATGGGAATCGGGAGTTTGTAATCCCATCTCCAGCTCGAACACTCTGTTTGCAGATACCTAAAACACTATAAATTAAATGAAACCTAAAAAATTGAACCTCGCAAGGATGCGACCATCCGATAATAATCCTGCGATGGACACACCGGAATGTGTATCGATTTCATAGATCTTCTTCTGGTGAGAGCAGAGCTCATTCTGGGCGCGCTAAAATTCCACGTTTGAAAACCAAGCTGAAAACAGTTACTTCTACTTTTTCCGAAGATTTGAGAAGTGGACGTTTTCACTATAGCAAAGATTAAAGACTTTTTTTAAATTTAGTTCCACCTCCGCCTCTTTCACCGAAATTTTATATAAGCTATTTAAAAAAAGAACAAGCATTATTTCGCATGGCTCAGCTTTACTTTTATTTGCTATAAAAATCATCTCCAAAATTTTTTTCTAAGCCCAGCTTTCGAGAGACATATTTTCTAGATGCAACAAACGCCGTTCAAAAAAACTACTATTGAAGTTTGATGAAATAGAAACTAAGAGAAAACATGAACCTTCAGAGCAACGATAACAGCATGGGTCTCGCTCCGGATTCCGACGGTGGCCGACCCTTGTTTCATTGCTTCGACGGCATAATCAACTTGGTGAAGACGTCCCTGAAACAGCGTTTCTTTCGAGGAAATATCCTTTTTTGTACCTGCGGGCTCCAGACGGTAACGTCACTGTCGTATTGGTTGCGAAACATGGATTACGACAAGCTCTGAACTTATGACTTTTTTCATTTTCGCAAAATAAAGAAGAAAACTCGGCAAAACGAATAACAAGTTTTTTTCAATAAATCTTAAGTGACTGTAAAAAAATCAATTAAAAATAACTTTCAAAAAAACTTTTTAGAATTTGGATCTATTGAAACCGGTTTTTTTAAACCAAAAAAATGAAAAAAAGAAGAATTTCAATTAAAAGAATAACACAAAAAAATGATGCAACTTTACGAAAAAAACACAGATTTTTTTGAGCGATTCTTACGACTAATCACGAATTAGGTGCACAAATAAACTCGCTTGGAAAAAAATTATAAGAATTTGAAGAAAAACAGACAAATTTTTTTTCAAAGATGACAAAACCAGCCCACGACAATTCACGTACAATGCCCAAATGTTGCGTACAGTACACCTGCGTGGAAAAAAACTTTATTTCACAGTATTTACTTTTCTAAACCAATAATTTTACAAAGTTAATAAGTTTGTTTTCAAAAATGCAGTTGGTTTGTAGCGAACGTAAACCGGCTGTCCGACGTGAATATAAGCCTAAACTTGATCTTTATGAACCGAAAGTAAAGTTTTCCTCACCTTTTTCTTTAAACCAGCGTAAACTCCAAACACGGGGCTATCCTTGAACGTTTTGCGCATTGGACCTTCTGGAGCTAAGCGAAACCTTGACTTTCATTTATTGTTGGAAAGAATTCTTCAGAAAAATACTCTCTGAGTTTTTTCAATGGCTGTTGGTCAGGCTTCATGACACCTTCGGCAGGATCAACCGTCGTCAGAACGCATCTGAATATCAGTTTTTGATGATATGGAATGATTGGCCTCTTCCCGCGTGCAGGGAGCGAAGCACTCAAGTTGAGCATCGCCGATCCGAATCTCGGCCCATTTGTCTTCGTCCCATTTCTGACAACCCTCTACTACGATCGAAGGTCGGAAACTTTGAGTCGTCACCTGTTATACTTATTTTTTTGGAAATCTTCAATTTTTTTCACACTTTCTTATCAAGTTTTCGGTTCAAATCTTCGAGTGAAGCTTGAGTTGCAATGTGAAACGGCGCGAGATCGGTGAAGCCAGACTGAAAAAAGCATGTTCAAAAAAGATAATTCAAGCGGCTACGTCGTCTTTTCGTCGAGGCACGGGATTATTCCACCAGCTGGACTCCGGAACACAGGTTCTTTCCGTGTAGAGACCTTTGCGGTGCATCAGAAGTCGCACGTCTCAAACTGTTTTTCGGGAGCTTGTCTAAGCCTTTTTCTCACTTGTCTCGTTCATGTAGTCGGACAGGAACTGTCCAACTGCATCTCCACAGTCCAAACCGTCTTGCTTTGCGTTGTCAAAAAGACTGCAAAATAAAAAATTTGGCATTCGTGATGATTTGAGACCTGGCTCTGGTGATCTGGTTCTGATTAACGACTTCCTTTAAATCCACACTAATTGATCCTACTTTCGGGCCGTCAATTGACAAGACTTCATTATCAACGGAACATTTGAGTAATACGAGTTTTGGGACTTGACGTGCAGTGTAAAATCTGAAATAGAGGAGCTTCTGGAAAAAGTCAAGTCTGGCGGAGCTCCCTTCCAGTGGCTCCGTCCACGATGAGAAAGTTCCTGTCCTGGAGTTCTCTGAAGACTGGACCGTGATCAGTGCACTCGAAGGCGAACAGCTGCAGAATTTTTTTTTTTAACCCAAAAGAGTCTTTACATCGACTGGAGCCGCTGACTTGACGGGATAGATGTGCAGACTTCGGACCAATCCTACGGGTAACCATTCCTCTTCTTTTTCTCTCAAAACCTTGCAGATTCCTCGCACAATCTAAAAATTCCTGGGCGGCTTTTCTAGAACTTCCGCCAATAGCTCTTTTCATTTTTTCATATTTTTTAAAACGAAATCTTGACCAACATGATAGGCAGCAAAAGATCCTGCGATACAGCCAAGCAAAATTTTCTTCTCTTTGTCCAGTGAGTCGAACATTTCTAAAAAATCCTCTTTTTTGTAGCACACAAGAATACAAATATGGACAGAAACGAGAGTAGAAAAATCAATAATTGACGTCTTTGCCGTCGGCCGCACTCTTATCAACAACGTGTTTTGGCAAGGCGGAGGCTTCAAACTTCTGAGAAAAAGGAACGCCGTCGGTTCTTATGGAAAACATTTTATTGTTTGAAAATGCCAACAAAGAGAAGTACATATATTTACACGAAGGTAGAACAAATGTCAAGTGGATTTCGACCGCATCACTGCATCTGTGATTATCGGCGGTTCTTGCGTGTCGTAGAGCATGAAACTGGCGAAGAGGACAGTGCAAACGATGAAAACCCACATTATGATCTTCTCCATCATTCTGAAAAAAAAAATTGTTCCTGTAGAGAAACTGGAAAGTTTTTTTCTTTCCGAAAGCAAAGCATCCCTGAAACCCATACCTGGACTTTTATCTCACATGTCGAGCAAAAAAATACTTTTTTCTTAGATTTACTTTTCGCAGACCACTCCAGCTTATTTTGCCAAAACAACTGCGATTGCCAAAGACACAGCACTAAAAAAATGTCCAAAAAATCTACGAAAAGACTCTGACGCAAAGTCATGGGTTTGGCGAATTAGTCCTAATGAAAAGAAAAGGATAAAACTCTTTTTTTTTTCGAAAGTTCAATTAAAATGGATCATTGGAAAGGAGAAAATGTAGCTCAGTGAGTCAGAATCGTTTTTAATCTATTCTTTCTCTCCGAGGCGATCGAACTTCTCTGCTGAACAGCGAAAAACTCAAAGCTACCAACTTTTGGGAATTCGCCACCGTAAAACTCTCTACACAGGAGCGGTGTACTTCATGGTCCACGAGAAAATTATACAGCTATTGAAAAACGAAAGTTGAGACTCTAGTTAACTCAAAACTTCGACTATAATTTTACATTTGTAGAAAAGATTTTTCTTGGATGATAAGAACCTGGCGAGCATCTGCCACTCTTTGCGGATGCGTTTGAGGTGCTCCTGGGCCGTGAGATCTTGTCTGATGGCCTGGACGCCGGCGAGAACGTCCACCACGACGTTGTACAGGGCCGGATCCTGCAGCTTGGAGCTGTCGACGGACTCGGTCTCGCCGACACTCGATTTCGGATGCTGCAACCATTTTGTTTTCAGGAGAACTTTTTCGAAAGTGTTTGGAAAGGCGGCATTGAACACAAGCATGCTTGCATGACTGGGATGATGAACGAATGTCACACAAAAAAAAATCGAGCAAGGTGAATTGAAAAAATTTTCTGGGCTGGTATCTAGATTTTAATTCAATAACATTTCGCTAGCTTGCGAAATAAGTTCTTCGTCGGAGATCGAAAACTATTCTGCTTATAAAAAAGATCAGTTTTCTGTTCAACATGACTCTTCTAAATTTTACGGAGGTCGCAGTTTTTTCCCACCGACCAACCGTGTCCTACTCCAAGCAGGCCGAAAAAATCATCAAAAGTTTCAAATTGGTTTTTCAAGAATATATGTGGACAACTCACCCTCGGTTCGTCGGTTCGGAGCAGCTTTTGCTGGAATTGAAGAAAGTCGTTGGCAAATGTCTTTTTTAACGCAGACAACTTGTCCTGCATAGTTGTTAGTGAAAACATGCTTTAAATCCAAATAACGCTCTTCCAAAAAAGATTGCAAGCCGAGAAAAATTGCGGAAAATGTTAGCTTTTCCTCAAGAAAGCTTACGGCAAACCGAGCAATAAGCTGACTATAAACGTACATATTTCTTGAGTCTCATTTTGATACTTTCTTGAGTGTTCATGAGCTCTCGACCGAAGAACCACTGGACGAAGGAGGAGCGGTTCATCCGGATGGAGAGCAGAAAGGCGCGAAGACGTCGGGTGATCGGTCGTCCCTGAACCCGAACTCTGGGGATTCTCCTGAAAGGGAGGCCTACCGCGTTGCCCTGCATCTGAATGCCCAGCGTGAAGGTCGTGCAATACGTCGCCAGGAACATTATGAAGATCAGTCCGATGTAATACTGCCCTGTAAAGTTTGTGAATAGGAGCTGCAGTCTTCTGTCAGAGACTGTCATGTTGGCGTTGAATTTTTACGTAAAATGCACATTTTAGTGACTAGAAACTAGTTTCGCGGCAAATAACTTTTATCCGCAAGCAAGGAAACTTTTCAAGATAAAAATCGTTCAGAACTAACCGAGTAAAGGAACAGAGTTTGAAGTGGCTGGAAGTTTGTCGGAAACCATCATCACTAAACAATAAGTAATATAATAAGAACTTTCGAAATCACTCACAAATGATAGCCAAAGATAAAAGTGCAGTCACACCCAAGCTGACCTGCAAAACGATCGAATACGAACTATTTTGCTCTGCCTCACTTTTTCGGTGTTTTCTCCGGTCGAGGAATGTGGCGTGAAGAAACCGATGACTGTGACGATGGTTATGAAGGCCGATGGGATGATCAAAGTGAAGAGGTAGTAGGAAGGATTGCGTTTGATGGCGAAGAAGTAGGAAATGTCCGGATAGGGGTTCGGACAGCAGTCGTAGTACTTCAAGTTGCTTCTGTAGCGGAAGTCGACCAGCTTCCACTCCATGTTCGGGATATAGTGCGTCAAAATAGCCAAGTTTGTCCTGAAATCGCAGTTCCTCAGCAATGCGCCCAAGAAGGCAGTTTCGAACCGGTTTTTGAGATCGAGAGGAGCTTCTGTGGGTTCTTCGGCAGTCTGAAGCATAATCTGCGAGCCGTCGTAAGACCAAGACGCCAACATTATGAAACACGTTTGCTGAACAATTTACATCTTTTAGATTTTTCTTCCCCAATATTAGCTTTAAAAAAAGAGTTTTCATAATAAGAGAGTTATTCTGCACTGCTAAAAAAACTTTTTTTATTTCGACTTGAAGTTTTTTTAAATAAATTTCTTCTCTAGACCGCAAACGTTAACTTTTTCTTCTATTCATTTTAAATTACTCTTTTTTTCAAATTTGGGATGAACAGTTCTGAAATTTCATTTTTGACTTCATAAACTTTTTTTATCTGTTTTACCGTTTGAGAAAAAAATAGCTTGCCTGATCATATGGGAATTTTTTTCCATTTGCAAATCACACGTTATATCCGTAATAATGGCTCTGTAAATAATTCATAATTACTATTCAAAGATAATTTTCTATCAGTACAAATCCAACCGACTCACCTAAACAAAGAGATTCGTCCGGTGTGCTCTATTTGGACGTTTGTCTGCATTTCGTTCTCCTTGATATTCATATTCGCGCTAGAAAAAGTTCATAACAGAATCTTTTAGAGAATTGAAAATATTTCTCAATTTTCCCACAAAGAAGATTCCATTTGGAAGAACGGGGAAAATATGGCCAGCGTATTTTGGAATATAATAAAGTGGCTAGTCTCGCTGCTTCACTTGAAAATTCGTCAAAATAAAATTAAGGTTCGAAATTGAAGGAATTTTGCTTCTCTTTGATTTTTTCGTAAAAGACTAAGAGAAGAAAGAAAAATAACTTGTTGTAAACGAGAAGGTCAGGCTTCCAGATCATGTCCGAAGGGACGTGCAAGGAGGAGACGCCGTCGAATTCTTCGGGGTCCCACATCAGGAACTCGTCCGACCAGTACTAAAACACGGCTCTCCTAATAACCTTAAAAACAGAAGAAACCTCTTCGATCCAGCAATAAAGTGTGATAATTTGGTCGTTTTCTTGTACCTTCTGGATTTGCTTGAAATAAAGCTGCACTGTAACGTTTGTCGGCCCAGAACTCTCGTCTTTCACAGGCCTACATGCAAAATAACTGTCTGAAAGAGTCATTTGCTACCTCAGTTCTTTGTGGTAGTCTTTGAAGAGAAACTTGAGCAACTCTTTCTGCTGACAACACACCGATTCCTGGGAAAATGAATGAAAGTGAGCGGTAGAATTGTTCGCTCACCGAAAAAGATAATATTGCAAAAATTCTCAGTAGGTAAGCTAACAATACTTTTGATGATGAACAGGCCATTTCCGCTCTGAAAATTGAGAGATTTTTTTGGGGAGATGTAAACTAGAAAAAAATAATTTTGAAAACCAGAAGGAAGGTTTTTCACGAAAAAAAAGACCCTCCTTCTGGTTATTCACGGTAGGAAGTTATTTATAATCCCCGCTTGAAAAAAAACAATAGTTTTAAAACTCCTGGGAAAAAGGATGATGACACGCGGATATTTCAAAAACTAAAGTCTACGTAGGAATTTCGAACTCTGCAAGGGTCATTTCTGTTCTTATTATCCTACGAAAAAAAAATCGGCGAAAAAAGTTCATTGGACTTTAATCGTGAGGACGTCAACGTGTGGGAAGCAATTCTGAAGCTGAAGATCGCGCAGAACGTCTCAGGATTCAATTTAGAAAGAAACGGAAACTTAAAGCAAACTCCCATTTCAAGGACGTGGCTTATTCCGGCCTCGCTTCACAATAAAGGCCAACTTTTCCGCGCAATTTCATTTTCGATTCAAAAATAAGGATTATTTAACTCGAGAAAGCCGAAAAAGAGGAAAAAGTTCTGAAAAAGAAGTTGTCCGACATTTATCATCACCCTAGTCGACAACGCCCACGAACGTCCATTTGTTACATTCCTTTTTCTGTCGCGAAGCTTGGAAACATTGGGAGGACAAGTTCGAAAAGAGCCGTGACAACAATTGTTCACATAAGAGCTTGTCGTAATTTCTGAGGAGTTTGAAAGTTTCGCCACTTCTTCTTTCAGAAACACGGCTGAATGCTCAAACATCCATAAGAAATTAGTGGGAATAGGGCAAAAATCGAAAAAAATAAGACTTGCAAAAAGGTCCGAAAAATCAAGAGCTCTTGCAAAATTGAGAAAGAATGAAAAAAGGGATCTCGCGCCGAAAAAACTCGTTTGGAGTCGTGAAAGGCTTCTCCTTCAGGGCTCTCTGCTCACTTCTCCGAGGCTTATAGGTTTCGGAGATGAACTGAGAAGGTGGGCGTCCGAATTGATGCCTAACATAACCCAATAAACAAAAGTTTGGCTTGTCATGATTCGTGGCTTTTCAGAGCGAGTCAACCTTTCTAGGAAGTTCAAAAAGCTCCTCTTCAAGTTTCTCACACTTCATGGATGACACACGCACGTGGCAAGCCAAAAAAGGAGCTTCCAGCGTGGGAGCCATTTCGACAAGACGAAAACAGTTCTATTCCTCTTCTAGGCAAGATCTATTACTTTATTTTTATTCTGAGCTTGCCTCCAGACTTTATCGCTTAAACGAGTTCTGCCAAGTGTTTTCACGCTTGCATAAACTTGAATTTATGAAAAGCTCAGTGGAAAATTCAGATTTTTTCAAAGCAAAAGGAAAAAGAAATAAGGTGAAAAACAAATTGCTAATTGAGGCACTATTATTTATGAATCTCGTTAAAAACCAGTACTACAATTTGGACGAAAACCAATTCAAAAAAAATCTGCTGTCATTGAGATTTTTGAGGTAGCAAACAGATTCTTCAATTTTTTTTAGAATGAAAACTCAATCCACGTTTATATAAATTATAGTTAACACACAATCAACTGAAAATTACCTTAACCTTATCAAGAACAGAAATTTTCGATTTGGGGTCTATTCTATGTTTTATAACTTTCTCCAAAAAAAAAAAACTGAATATTGGGTTGAAACTAAAAACGAATATCGAAAGAAGATGTTGCTTTTTGAAACAAAATACAAGTATTGTGATTAATGTCCTTGTTTTTATGAATTAAAAAAACTGAAACGAAGGAGAAACAGATATTTTCCATCGGACACGACAATAGACGTCTGCCATGCTTCAAACGCACAATTTGGACGGCGAGAAATTGTTTGTTCCGTTAGATCTGCTCTCGGATGTAGACTTTTTTCGAATTAAAAATTTTTTTAGAGCTTTATGACACGGAGGAAAGCTTTTTAGTTTCTGTTTAAACTGGAATGAAGAAAAAGTTTGTGCGAACAATAAAAATGACTGTTTTTCTGTGGGAGCTTATTTTTGCAACGTCACTCGCAGCCGCCACGCCCATTACCTCGCGGATATTCTTTTTTTTTCTCAACTTCATTGATTTCGTTTCCGACGGCCATTCATATCGACGAAAGAGTCTTTATATCTTGAATTGGAATATTTTATTACGAAATGAATATTATATTACAAGGAAAAAGGATTGGAGTCTCTTGAGACTGAACAGCAGCTTTCTTGTTTTCTTCCATCTTTCTCTCTCGTTTTCGATGATAGGGACACATTTATTAATCCATTTTTCCATCTTTGAAGGTAAGTACACGTAAAGAGACACATAAATAACCTGAGAACCAAAAAAAAAGAAGAGGAGGAAAGAGCGTCGACTAGGCCTTTTTGACAGAGTCCATCGTGGCGTCCGAAAGAGAAATGACGGCTTCGCGCGACGCCAACATGAAGACGGCGAAGAGGATCGTGACGATGATGTAGACGAACATGATGAGTCGGTCGATGAGCCGCGTCACCTGCTGCCACTCGAACTTGATTCGTTTCAGCTCGCGTTCTGAACTCGGCTCTTCAACAAGTCTAGTGGGGCTCGTGGCGGACCTGCTTGGATGCTCAGCCGGAGATCATCCAAGGCCGCCTTGATCTTGGCCATGTTCGAGTGGGAACAGACGTGCGACGCCGAGTGACAGTGGTGCTCTCCCTCAAGTCCTTTCCGTTTCTTCTTCACACTTGGGATTTGTCTTTTCAAGTTGTTTGGGAGCCTTTCTTGCGTCAAATCTTTGATTAGAACAAACCCACTTTTCCGTGAAAATTCAATCAGTTTTTTTGAATTCCCTTGTGTGAGATTTTTCTGTCTCACTCATTTTCGCGTATCAGTTATCCATTAAACTATGGTCTTCCTACAAAAAGCACAAATCGAAGGAAACTAACCAGAATCGACTTGATGCTGCCCGTAATCTCTTCCATTTTGACGACGTGCGCCCGATGTTGTCCATTAAGAAGGTGTCCCTTGCAGTAGCCGTTATGGGAAGATTCGTTGACAAAAAAAAAAGACTGGAAAGTCTTTGGAGATGGAAAACATTAAAACTCAGTTCAAACCTGTTTCCGTGTATCGCTTTTGAGCAGTTCTTTGGGTAGCTGGAAAGAAAAGGCCCAGGAAATGCAAGGGTTGCCGGCGATCGAATAAAAGAAAAAGTCGCGGACACGAGGATCCACCTGAAGCGTTTTCATTGGGGGGTCGACCGCAGAAAATGGACCTCGGCTCCAGAATTTCCTCGCATCTGGTAAGCCAGCGTCAACGTGGTCGTGAAGGCCGCCGTGAAAATGAGGAAGATGAGGCCGATGTAGTACTTACCGATGAGTGGGATCACTTCCGACGTCGCCGGAACCTCGTCAGACACCATCATCACTGGAACTCCTTTTTATATATCTGCGACGGGGCTTCGACGATTCACAAAAGAACCCACTTATAATTGCCATGGATAGAAGAGCCGTGACCCCTAGAGAGACTTTCTCAGTATTTTCTCCGGTCGTCGAGTGAGGCGTGAAGAAACCGACAATCGTCACGACGGTTATAAAGGCCGAAGGTATCACCAAACTGCATTTTTATCAGTGGAAGTCGAACACTTCAGAAAGCAGCCTCACCTGAAGATGTAGTAGGACGGCGAGCGTTGCAGAACCATGAAGTAGGTGACGTCAGGGAAAGGATGCGGACAGCAGTCGTAGACTTTCATGTACTTTTTGACCCTGCGATGCATTTAGACTGGTCTTAAAGTGCTGAATCACAAACCGAAAGTCGGAAAGCGTCCACTCGGAGTTGCGGATGTAGAGTTCCAGGTTGTCAGTGTCGGGGGTTGCTTTCAGGCTCAGTTTGCTGCCGTCCATGCTCCATGAGGCAAAAGTGACGTAGCACACCTAGAACAAGTTGCAGAGGAGGATGCAAAATGCTTTTTACACACGGTTTTTTGTAAGAAAGCTTTTTCAACCTGAGAATGAGAAAAAATCAGTTACCAAATACCATAAGGAAAAAAAAACTATTTGGAAAATTCAAAACAATTTTCTCATATCGATATATAACCAAAATCGGACTCACTTCATTAGAACTGAATTTTAACCACATATTATTGTTTGTCCCTATCCTCTCCACCACACCTTTCATTTCTGATCATTACTGTCTTTTCTACAGTTTTTTTTTTGTGTTTTTTAATTTTTTTTTTTTCATAAAATCATCGCGCATAATTATTGCTAAAATTTAAAGATATCGAATCTGATACCCTCTGAACCGTTTATTTTGAAGATCCAGCCCAGTGTATTTATAGATTATTTATGAAATATCAATTTTTTTGTTGTAAGTTGACAAGGAAAAGTAGTCCCTCTTGAATACCTGCTGATCGAAGGGGAACTGCTGGAGGTTGAGGTTGCAGCTGATGTCGGTGATCATCGAGCGGAAGAGCATCACGCGGCCGTCGTGGTTCACGATCGCGTTCGTCTCCATCTCGTTCTCTTCCACGTTCATGTTGGCACTGCAGATTTCAGTCAATTTTTTGAAAAGCCTTCAAAAAAGCCCCTCTTTATAGTTTTTTTTAAACTCATCAGAGCACGAGGCACTTTCAGTTCGGGAAACTCACTTGTTGTAAACAAGGACGTCAGGTTTCCAGATCTTGTTCGAGGGCACGTGAATTCGCGTCAGATTTCCATATTCAGAAGGCTCCCATCGCAAAGTTTCGTCTTGCCAATACTGTGAGACAGCAGATAAGCATTGTTTTTATGAAATTACTAATAATCATGAAGTAAGCTACATGAAAGAATGAATCCTACCAATTCAAGCCAGCATCAAATATCAACAATTCGGTCTCGTTGACAACTTGTTTTCCTGCTCGCTCGGAATGAATCAAGCAGACAGAAGCCCTATGGGAAGATTTTCAAAATGACACGCAAAAAATAAAAGCCCTCTAAGTTATCTATTTTAACGCACACACCTAAGCTGAATAACGTATCTTACACGTTCTTAACCGTACCTGATAACTTATTTGAGTACCTTTATTCTCATTCCTGGTCCTATGTTAACACTACATTACCCTGATACGAAATCGATTCTTAATCTCAATTTTCTACTGATAGATGTGCATTGAAAGGTAACGAAGTGAAATAAGAAGATTCCTTCAAGTTTCACATTTGAAGGTAAATTACATTAAAGATTAGTTCCTACCAATTCGAGCCAGCAATAAATATTAACAATTTGATCTCGTTCGTCAACCTGAAAAGGACGTTTTCATCTTTCATGATTTTCCTTCGAGAAAACCTTGAGAATTTGCTTGAGCCAAAATTTGATTTCCACCTCCAAAGTATGGGACTCGTTTAGAACTGGGCGGATTTCCTGAAATATTTTTCCGAAGTTATTTTTTATTGGGTATATGAAAATTTCTGCACAATATTGATCACTTCTTTGTTCGTGTTATTTATCTTTTTAAAAAAAGCAAAAGTTCAGATAATTAGATAAATCGTGCTTCTCTGTGCATTTATGATTTTTATTCCCATCTGCTTCAACAAGTTAAAAGGTTTATCGTCTTTCACAAAAAAAATTATTTTGAGCTCTCATCGTAGAAAAAATACACTTAACATACGAATATATATTTTCAATGAAACTTTTGAACCGAATGCAGCTACGACCTCACTCAAGGTTAACTTTCATCTGACACCCTCGAACCGTTTATTTTTTCAACATCCATATTTTTTAGTTTCTGAATTCACCGTTTTTTTCAAAAGTTATCTACTGAATTATCGAAGACCGATGTTTTTTGAAGGACCTTGACGTAGTCGCGGAAGAGATCTTGGTACAAAGAGCGCATGACAGTTTTCTTGCGTTCAGAAGTCACTTTGGGCGAAGGACTGCCGTTCGAAAGCGTCGGATCGGATTTCGTCATGTTTATTTCCTGGAAAAGACAAGACGCCATGCGATTCTTGAAATCTATGCCCCCGCCGACCTTCGAAACTAATTTCGAAGCCGAGGGCGTTTTCAAACACATTTTTCGAAATCTGCGAACATTTCCTCTAAATATCCTTGATTGTTATCATAAACATTGTCTGAGAAGACAAACTTCGGAAAAAAAAGCCTACCTGATAGCACGTGACAGCGCTCCATATGCAAAGGGAAAACAGCCACCTCGGCATCGGTTCTTTAAAAAAAGCGTTTTCAACAGAGTTGTCCAAGTTCTGATACAGAAAGCTCAAAAGATTATGATGAAACATGCACATGTGAGATATTAGTGAATGATTTTGATTACTTTGAATTTTTTCTAGCTCGAAGCAAAAGGGTTGAAAGAGAAGAGCAAACAAGATTTTCAGAGCGTAAAAGCTGTGGCGAAGACGATTGGGTTGCATTTTAGGTTGTCTTCTTTCCAACTGTTGCTAAAAATTTTCACATTATTTTATCAAATGATTCGATTAAAACATGATCGTCTTTGCCATAACATGATTCATGACAAACTTTTCCTTATGACTTCGAAAAAAAAGTTCAAACGTACTTTGAGTTGGTCAGCTTCCTTCTCAAGAATTAGGCAAATTAAAAATAATCCATTTAGCGTTGATAAAACAAAATGAAGAATAAAAAAAAGATGAGTTAAACTAGCGAGTCAAAGAAAGAGTTAAAAATTTTTTGACGAAGAAAACATCTAGGATGGTCCCAACAGAGGCGGAAAACACAAATCAAAAATGGAAATTTGACGGAACGGCGGAAAAAGACGAGAAATCCAAGGCGCAAAACATGGCCTACGTGTTCATGCGTTCGGCCAGTCGAATCTGCCATTCTCATATTTTGCCCATTTCTTTCATACAAATCATGCATTATTTTCGAGATTGGCGGCGATGAGGAAAGTCCGAAAAAGATCTGAACGCATTGCAATTCTCTGAGCGAAAGAAACGAGTAAAGTTTTAAAAATAACCGGAAGAAGAAGAAGATGAGCAAGATTTTTTTGAATAGAGTTCCTCGGGATAGGTAATGAGCAGAAAGAAAGACTGGCCTTCCTTGTCGCGAATGAATAAAAGATGACGACGCCTAAGATTTTTCGATCTTAGAGCTTCCTCCTCAGATCTACTGACAACTAAGCCTTAGTTATCAGCAGGAAACTACTTTTTAAGGAAACCGCAAGAACCCACATTTTGAAAAAAAAGAACACAGAATTTCACTTTTTTGTTTGAAGTTTTCTCAATTAGGAACGGCTCAAACTCCCTGCGGACAATGTCAAACTAAACATGTCCGCCTCCGGAATTAAATTTGAAGACGTTCATATGTTATTTCTGCAAAATTTGCAAAGAAGCTTGCAAGTTTGACCTTTGCCACCGTAGTGTTGTCGAAAAAAAACAAATAAAAGCAAGGAAGTTGTCCCAAACTCTCTATTTTTCCTAATGAGCACGATAAGTCACGACAAATGTCTGTCGGAAAAAAACGTGCACGATGATATAAGGTCGTAAAAAGGGCCAATCCTCCCATTTCTTGACATGGAAGTAGGAAAGAAAACGATCAAGAAGCACGAGAATTTGTCCGAATTTCCGACGTCTTCAGGAACATGAAAAAAATTTTATTTTCTCTCTTTTCGCCAATAGTGCAATTGAGTTTTATTGAGCGTGAACAAAAACTAGATTTGAGGTCACAAATTAAATGAAGCATTCGGTTGTTTCAGATTTGAAGCTCTTTGCTCAAAGAAATCGTTTGGAAAAAAAGACAAGGTATGTTTGCAAATTTCGGGATGCAAAAATAAAACACCTAACTTTGATTGCCGGCATTTTTTCTTGGCATAGAAAAATTATTCGAAACAAATTTATTAGACGCACACCGAGAAATTAAAGTAAAGATGTAAAGCTTTAAAACTGATATAGAGATCATGTGATTGAAATACATGCACGAAAGGACCCGCAAAAGACGAACTCGATTTGAAATGATTATCTCCTTGTTAATGAAAAATTACAAATGGTCCATTCATAAATTGAGTCAAAGAACGCTAGTTATTCCAAACTTGAGAAAATTATCATCAAGAATCTTTTCAACAAAGAAAACTTTTGCCGAGTGTCGAAATTCTATTACAGAACATAGAATCGCGGGAGAGGTCCAAAAAGCACCTTTGAAAAATTATTTTATTTGATAAAGTCACCATAAGTTTCAAAAAAGGGAGGAACAAAAAGGGTTTTTCATCTTTAAAAAAAGCGATAAAAAAATGATTTTAGAAGACTTTTTTTGCAAGAAAAAAACTTAAGAATGCTGTTATTTTTTTAAGGCTCTTAAAAATTTCTCTTAGACTTCTCCCGTGAAGGCGCAACGCATTCTCAGTTCGCCGATTTGAAGTTCAATAAAGATAGTACCGTGTAAACAAATCCGTTTCTCAGACTTGACGCAATGAAACTTTTCAAAAATATAAAAGTCGGCAGAATGAGACAAAAAAGTGAGCTCTGAGGAGCATTTTAATGTTATTCAAAGAGAAGAAGGACGACGAGAATCGACGAGGGGTTCGTAGACGGCTTCGGCGCCACCGTCGTGGACCTTGAGTGGCGGAGCGAACGACGAAGACGCCTTGTGAGAGAGGCCGCCACGAGACGCGTTGCTCAGCTTGCTCACCGGCACGAAAGAGTTTGCCAGCGACTCTGAAACAGTTGTCCTTGCTGTCGCGTTTCAAGAGGTGCTGTGAGGGGAGCACCGACAAGAGTCCATGAAAATCGAGCCCAAAAGCAGCAAGAAAAATTGATTTCTTAACTGTTGAAATGACAAAAAACCTAAATTTCCAAAACATTCTCAAAAAATATCTTTAGAATAATGAGAGGTTCCGTAACGTACAAGTTCGCTCCACGGAGCTCCATTCAATAAATATCCGCTAGAACTCTTCATTTGGGCTCATTTCCAAGGACCAGTAGGCGAAGGTCAACAAACAGATGGTTAGGTGCAGCGGGACATGCCAAAACCGTGGGGTAACACTCAAACCAAAGCAAAAACTTCCTCGATTATCAGTTAGAACTTTCTAATCAAAACTCATCTCAGCCGTCTTCCCACAAAAGCCTTCTTTCCTCAGTCACAAGCAGAATATTAAAAAAAAATTGAATGAAAAAGACAAGCAAAGGGTAAAATGTGCTGGAATATCTAAAAAAAAAATTGCCTTGAGTGTAAATATTCGATGTCCAATGGACCAAAATAGAGAAAAGATTCCGAAGGCTGTCGTGCAAAACGCCTATTCGTCCTGTAGATTTGACAGTTACCGAAGGAACCAAAATCTTTCAAACAACACCCGGGGCAGTAATTCAACACAAATGGGGTTCACACGCGATTTACCGCTTATTTTTGACTCATCAGCAACTTTGTAAGCCCGTAAAAACGGCTATCGTCAATTTTCCAGGCCTCATTTGTGGTGCTGAGCAATTCTAGAAAATAACTTCGACTATTTCTTATAGGCAAACCTTGTTATCATAAATAGTACTTTTCTTTTTTTTTTTAGTAAATCTTCCTTACTCGAACCGAAAATGAAAAACTCTGCGGAAATTTTTTGTTGAAAAACCGGTGAGACTAACTTTTTTCTGAAGTAATTTGACTTGTATGATATTCATATTCAATCAAATATTTTCATCGTTGTAAGTTCCAATGACCTGATCAAATATTGCGTATTGATAGGCGTTCAATTTTTGTTTTTATTTGAACACCAGTTTTGCGAGGACAAGGCGGCCGACGTTTTGACATGTCCGGCAATTACGCGCGCCAAACCGGCATCTGACGTCGAATGGTCCAAAACTATAAAACGGGGCCAATGAGAGCAGAAAGGCACAATTTAAACGGTGCCAACATCTTCACAATGCACAGGTACTTCTCCTTGGTCGCTTCTGCCATCGTCCTCGTTGCCTTCCTCGGCTCGGTAGTCTCTCATTTCATCCGCTGATAAGTTCCAAAAACTCAGATCCAAGCAGTGCCGCTGCCGGTGACGTCGACAGAGTTGGCAACAATTCAGCCGAACGAACAAACGGCCATCGACACTCTCGGAGATTCGAACTCTCGCGTGAAACGCCAAGGAGGCTGTGGCTGCTGCGGATGCGGATGTTGCTGCTGTCGACCTCGGTCAGTTCGTGGGCCCCTTCGGAACAAAACATCCGTGCTTTCAGGTGCTGCTGTTGCTGCCGTCGATGCTGTACTTGCTGCAGAACGTGCTGCTGTACTAGATGCTGTACCTGCTGCCGCCCCTGCTGCTGCGGTTGCTGCGGATGCGGTAGGGAATAATCAGTTTTCACTCAAGAAGGCATCTTTTCGCAGGTTGTTGCGGTTGCGGAGGTGGTGGCCGCAAGAGACGCAGTCGGGAGAAGCTTCGCATCGCTCATGCTCAGAAAGAATCCGTCGTCGCCCTTCCAGAAGGACCAGTTGAAGGAGAGGAGCCCATCGCTCTCCCAGAAACGCCTGTTGACGAAGAAAAATCCGTTAATCTACCCGAAGGGCCAGTTGAAGGAGGGGAAGAAGTTCAAGAAGTCGTTCCTCAGAACTCCACCGACTAATACTCTTCTATATTTATTTAACTTCATTATTGATAATTTAATTATGGGTCATAAAACTCTGAAATAGTTTGGCTTCCGACAAAAAACGACTTGATAAGACTTATAACGTACCGATTTTGCGATTGACTTTCCTTTGCGTCAACCGAAGAAGTCGTACCCGGAAATGTTTCGAGCCGAGGCAGAAAAGAATGAAGTTTGACGCCTTTCCGCAAATCACCAGCGTGCTGAATGAAAATGAGCCTTGTCTCGGGTGAGGGAGTACCTGCAGATCATAGTCAGATCGTAGAGTTCTTCTGGCTGCAGTTGGTAAGCATGACGCGCCAGATGGACGAGCGCCGAGGGACCGTTCGTCAGTGTGAACATGGTGACGATGAAGGCGACGGTGAGAGTGACGCGGTTCTCCGTCTTCTGCATGTGGTCGCTGTTTCTTCGGTCAGACATGTCCGTCGCGAAAGACAAGTGCTTCTGCCGCTTCCGCAGGGCGCAGAGCAACGTCAGGTTCAGGAACGTCAAGAGGATGATCGGCAGGATGATCATGAGGAAGATGAACGCCAGTTTACAGGAGCTCACCACCCTCTGGTAGCCTGCCGAGAACGGGTTCGGTCGCTGGCCCCACCATTTCCTGCAAGTGCATCATTCCTGATCGAATCCTTTTTGAACAATAAGTCTTTGCAATTTTTCTGAGAAAGATTCTCCTTTTTCGTGTTTATTTTTCAACGAAATGGACCGTGTTAGTGCTTCGACGATTCAATATGTTTCAGAAGTACAACGAACGTGCCGTGGAATCCAATTAACTTTTGTTCCCTTGCCAAAGGTGACGGGAACTTTAGTCATTACTCTGTTTATTCCGCGAAATGGAGTCACATCGCATAATTTGCTTTTTCTTTTTAAAAAAATGATTCAGAAATCGGTTTCGAACTATGAGGCTCAAAAAAATACTGAAAAGGCATTCAATTGGAGTTGCATTGTTTTCCGCAACATTTCAGAATGTTTCTGCGCCTCAGTAGGTTCATCAGCTGTGACGTGGGCTCCAAGGCAATTTCATTAGTGAAGAGTTGACTTTTTTCCGACCCACTATTGACCTGGGCACCGAAATTACCACTGCAATTATCCTTTGACACAAAATAACGCCCTCAAAATTGAATAACATGTGCAGGTTGCAGTTTTAAAACCATTCGTTCGAGTAATATTGAGAAAAGAAATGTAGAAAAAAAGATCAGCCGAAAAACGAAATCCTTCACTTTTTAAACTTTTTTTAGTTTACAAATATTTTACATTTTACAACGCTTTTCATTCCACAATAAAGCTTAAGAAACGAAGGGATGAGATTTGTGTGAATATTTCAAATCCCTTTTTTTAAATTATTGAAGTTTTTTTCTTTTAATTTTTTTTCTTCTAATAGCCTAAAAAAATTTGATCAGGGAAAAAGGGAAAAAAATTAATCTTGATAAATTGCCACGGAGGCCGAAGGAGGAAGACTAATAAATTGATTTGAATGTTTTTATCTGTGATGTTTTGAGACCGAAAGTTTTTCAAAGAAGTCGTCTGAAACTCTTCTTAAAAAGAAATATGAATTTTTGAAATACTTAAAAAAATGCCTACCGTGCAACTACTTGGAGAAAGATCAAAAATAATACTTTTTAAAAATTTTACCATAATCGTAGTAAAAATAAAACCAGTAGATAAGATCATAAACGAACTCTGCGTTGACAGGAAGACAGCGGGAGTAGAGCTGAGTCTCGTGGCAGTAGGAGCGGACGAGACAGACGTATTCGAAGTGTTGGTAGAAGGTGAGAAGACCGCAGCCGGACACGATCCCTACCACCAGCGCCGGCATTTTCCACCTCAACCAAGAAGTTGATGCATTTTGATCAATTATTTGGTAAATATAAAAATAACAGAAAACTAACGATGACCAAGTTGCACGGGCATAGAGCGGCTTTTGAATTCCAACTAGCCTGTCTGCACAAACAGCGATCACACACCTGGAAAAGTCACGTTGTTTTCGACCGTAAGTTAGTTCTAAAAACTTTCAAAGAGTTAAATCGTACATCCTCGGTGAAAAAAGCACTGTTGATATAGTCTGTTCAGATTTTTAATGTCAAGTGCAATGACGTCATTCAAAAACACTCTGTGGATGGTTCGTTCTCCGATTGGTTTACCGCGCCATTATGGGCGGGACTTGAGCGACGACTTGACATTCAAAATCTGAACATACTATATTTGATTCAATTTGTAAAAAAATATTGAGCTTGAGCCGAGTTCTCAACCTTTTAGTGAGGCGCAAAAATCTCTCGAAATGTCTAGCAGATTTTTCAGTAGCCCTCTGAGACCACGAAACCTGGATTTGAAGGTTTTTTGAATTATTTTGAACAGTTTTTTCGTAGCCAAGCATGTAATAAGATAAGCGACATTTTTGCTATCCTCATTAATTCTGATTGATTTTAAAAAAAAAAACTAAGTTTCGCAGTAATTTATGTTAAAATAATTAGCGCCGCTAAATCCAGACGTGGGGGCTTGCCTCACGCGCGCGCCAATTCAAAAAAGTGCGCTGGCGCACAGAACCCAATATCCCCCATTAATGTATATCCTTTTTTCAGTCAATCTTTCCGTTTATATTTTTGTCGAAAGATTTTTTTTCGGTTAATTTCGCCATAAAAGTGAATCAATAAAAAATAATCGAGTTTTTTTAAAATGAAAATAGTTTTTTCGCAAATTTTTTTCCACTGGTCAATCGTGATAGAGATACAAATAGTTACCGAGTAGCTACCTTTTTTAACTAGCTCAGCAGGTCTTAGCACGGTTATAGGCCATTCCGCGCCAGCTTGTCACGTTTTTCTTTCCGCCAAAAGGCCAAATTTGACCAACTTCGCTTCAAGACCTTTGTTTCTTGCCGTTATAAAAGCAGAAATTTGATTTCATTTGGTATACGGTCTTTTTGGCGGAAAGAAAAACGTGACAAGCTGGCGCGGAATAGGCTATAACAAAAAAATGATTTAAATAAACGACCACTGATTAGCCTCGCGGTAGCCTTAGTGGCGCTGCTATCGTTTATTAGTTACAAAAGAAGACCATCTACAGTTTACTTTTGTGCAGGCAAAAACGAGAGCAGAAAACTTTTCAAAAAGATGTTGCCGAAAAATGGGAATATTCACGATTATTATAAGGTATACCTGAGGTTATGCACTTCTTCAGCAAAGTTATAACGGTGAAAGACAAGGAATTATGAGAAACTATAGAATCTTTTCATTCAATTCTTTCCTCTTTGAGCTTGCATTATTTTGACGAAAGAGAAGAGATCTTGAAGCTTCAAAGCCAACTTCAGTTCTTCACTCACCTTCATAGTGATACCGGCAAGTAAATGTTGATCAAACGAACAATACCTCACTGTTCAACCGGCTTATCCAGTGCACGTTCCATCGAGATATGCTACATTTAATCAATGAATGAAATACAGAGGCTAAGTTTCTGCAATTTCATTACTACTACTGTTCACACCACTAATATCCTAATGCTATTGCCATTTGCGATGGCTAAGGGGGCTTCAGAAAGTAAAAGTAAAAACTTCTGTGATAAATAGTCCTAGGTATGAGTACTCAAAAATGAAAAGAAATATCAGCTAAGCGCCATAGGGTACTGAGAAATAGCCTGTCAAGAATGTACAGTGATATCTCAAAAACTTAGTTGTTTTCTTTTTCGATTTTTAAAAGTCTAGTGTTGTTCATTATATCATAAAAAACGCGAGAAAGAAACTCTCTACGAAAAACCCAAAGATAAATCGTTTTTTAGCTTCTCCTGTACATTTTCGTAGGGCTGTTTCTCGGTACCTTAGGCTCAGCAGATCATTTTTTCTGTTTTCCAATACTCATACCTAGGACTACCTACCACAGAAGTTTGAACCATATCTGTGATGCTCACCTGACACACTGCCCTCGTCAGGCTTCTAAAAAAATATTTGTTTTTTTTGTGTACTTCGAAAGTCTTCAAAAAACAAGAGCGTCTTAAAGGAAGCGTCGTCATTTCCATAGTAATGGTATCTGAGGAATGAAACTTCATAAACTATTTTATAGTGAAAAACAGTTTATGCGAAAAAATACAGAGGACATTAATCTGAAAAATGAACAGCAGTACTTTGAAATTTTTTGAAATTCTTTATGGGCACTTTGTATGCTTTCGAATAGCACTCCGATAGCTATCGCACCGTTTATTCTATACATTTACTGATTATATGGATACCTCGAGTGGCCTTTAAGTGTAAATGTGAACTACATTTTTAGTCAAAAGGTGACATAAAGTACTAAATTGCGAAAAGAAAAAGAACCCCACTGACTATTTTTTTTATTTCAAATATTTTTATCGATTCACTTTTATGGCGAAATTAACCGAAAACAATCTTTCGACAAAAATATAAACGGAAAGATTGACTGAAAAAAAGGATATACATTAATGGGGGATATTGGGTTCTGTGCGCCAGCGCACTTTTTTGAATTGGCGCGCGCGTGAGGCAAGCCCCCACGTCTGGATTTAGCGGCGCTATAAAATAATATCTTGATCCGAACTTTGTGAGAGCAATTTTATTCAGTTGAAAGAACATAAAAGCTATTTCGATGTGATAAAGGAAAAAACGAAAGAAACACGAAAGAAATAAAAAAAAAAACATAATTTTCGAATTTTAAAGTTTGAGTTTTTCGAGGTTATAAAACACACCGACTCTGCGGATTGACGCAATCCTACACTTACACGCGCAAAAAAGATGAAACTTCATCATTGTAAATGTTCCAAGCTTTCTTACCGACCGAATGAATTTTCCGGTTTTGAGATAATCTAAAATTAAAAGAATGAAAGTGAATACTGTACAGACAGCTGTCAATCGTGGTACAGGTATACTTTTGATGAAAGGCCTCTTAAAAGCGAAATTTTTCATTGAATCGCTTATCACGAGACATCGTTTGGAAATAAGAAATAAGAAATTTCCCAGATTATAGTTTGTTCTTGGTTTGAAACCCTTCCGCAAACTTGATTCAAACTAACCAAATGGCGACGCTCGAGCACCAGTTTGCGAGAGATATCAAGTGGACCTGAAAAAAAGAATTACTTGCTAAATCCTTCTTCCTAACCTTTGTATAAAAATAAAACCATCGAAAGTAATAATTATAAGTGAATATGGAATAGTTGGCAAGAATGTTGGGAAATAGCAGAAACAGAAAAATGATGTCGGCGAAGGCCAAAACCGCAAGGAAAGTGTTCGCTCTGAAATCACGGTCAGTTGATTTAGATTTGAAACTCTTGGAAGAACTTTCTTTTTACTTTGCTTGATCTGTGCAAAACACCAGTCGAGGAACTTTCTTTTCTCTCTATTAAAATGATGCTCATTTTCTCATTATAACGAGGCTGATGGCCTAATAAAGCAACTAACATTCGCTTATCGTCTGCTGCAGTTCTCAAGCGTCTAATTATAGACTTTTCATTATTATTTTTGAGGAACCCCGTCTACATGTCCAAAAAGACGAAAACATGCTAATTTGTTTTTTCGACGTCGTTTTGAAGCAGAACTCGGCAGTTTAGACATAGGTTTACAAAAAATATCCTCGAGTTATTGAGAACTCGAAATCTGAAATTCGATAAGAAAAGTCTGAGAAAGCGCTTCCCCGTAAATTTTCCCTTTGAAAGGAAATTACCAGACATTCTGCGAGAAGAGAAAAAAAAAACAATTTTCAAGCTGGGTACTTCCAAACTCTGGGCAAAAGAGAAACGTTAATGTTCCTTCCAAACTAAACTCACGTGAGGTAACGACTGCTTTCCGTGAAAAACAATTGTTTCCTATATATAGCTTTTTTAAAAAATATTTTACTTCGAGAAAAAAGAAAATGTTTCTCATATCATAGTTTCTGCCGCAGATGATTTTTAAAAACTTTCTGACCAGAGTTTGTTTTGCTATGTTTTAGCGCGCGTTCGAAAATTCTTCGCACTATTCAGAACCGAAAGCTTCATTTATAACTTTCAAACGAGTGTATTTTATGTCATATGACACCTATCGAACACGGTTTTCCCACGGGATCTCACTACGTATCATATCTTGTTACTTTTTTCTTCAAAACATCAAAAAACGTGACGAATGAGTCTAAAAAAATAAACTGGACGAACCTGCTGCGCATGCTACGATTGAGAAGAACTGTCAGGTTGAGAAAGTTGCCGAGGATCCCAAAAACGGCAAGAGCCGGGTAGAAGTACCTATACCAGAGTTTTTAGGTCACCTTCGAGTTTTTTTTTGAACTTGAATAAATTCTCATTTTCAAACTTATTATCCAACCTCTGCAGACTGTACTCCAAAGAGGAGCCTGACATCATCTGCTGCTTCTCATTGAGACAAACGTGCGAAAAATTGGCGGCCATTTTGATCTGTTAAACCAGTTCAATATTGGCAACAGGTGCGAGTGAGTCTGAAACAGTCTCTCTAACTTTTTTGAAGGATCTGACGACGGTTTTCGAATAAAAAAAGAGGTTTTTCTGGGGTCCTCCAGATTATTCGGAGAGTAAACAAGAAATTACTTGGGAAACCTTTCAGAAGAAAACGCGCGACTCCCTTTTTTGACTAGAATCTCGTCCGCAGGCCATTTGATGAGTTTCCGGGTGGCGCAGGCGTACAAAAGATTCAAGTGTAAATGAACTTTTGTGACGAGAATTGCAGATTAAAAAAGGGATAAAAAAGAGAAAATTCTGTCCTCAATCATGGAAATCTGCAGATATTCATAGTCACTAGTGAAGAAAAAAATTATTATTCCTTCTTCGAAAATAAAAAGGAAAAAAAACTAGAGTTTTAGAGAAAAACTTCTATTTTATGTGGAATTTTTTTAAGAATAAATTGAGCTACGAAATTAGAAAAACACAAATTCAAACGTTTTCATTGCTTTTACGTGGGCACACGAAAGGCTCCTGAAAGAATTCATCCCAAATACGCCGACGCATTTCGCGGCTTTAAAACAGAGATCACACATTTCATACAGAAGAAAATTAATTGGACGTTTAGCAAAAATTAAGGCAGTCAGAAAATCTGCGGAAATATTAGAACCAGAGAGAACGACTTTTGTTCGAAAACAAGGAAAAGCAAGTTGAGTAAGATTGGAAAGAGGTGAAAAACGGATCTTTTATTTAAAGCTCCTTACTCATTCTCGTCACCGGATTTCTCTTTGCTTTTTCTGTCTCGAAAACTATTGTATCTTATGAGATATTCCCAGGTTCTTCAGGAAAAAAGGTTTTTCTTCCCTTTGATCTTAATCCAAAGGCTTAAAAATGGCTGATAACGAATAGAATGATTAATCGACAAAAGGAAATGAAAAATCTTCAAAATATCCTGATAAAAAAGCAAAGCCAGAAAATAGGCCAGTCGAGGAAAAAGCTAGAGGTAGGTCGTACTTGGTGGGCGGGGCTTCCATGAGCAGCCAATAGTGCTCGCGCAGCTCAAGTTGTATGAAATCATAATAACTAATCTATGTACAAATGATAGCATAAACTAACATTCTAATAAATATGAGGCCATTTAGAAGAGCCCAATTTTCCTGTGTGATTCGAAAGTTTTGGAAGTTTTACAGCATTTAATAAAAAACGTGCCGAAAAATCAAGCTTGATTTCATAGGAGAAAAACCTCCGAGAGAATAAAGAAGGAATTCTTGTTGATCTTTACCAGGTCTGATGCAAAGGTGATTTGAGGAAATTAAAAGGCCGCCGAGATGTCATTTCCTCGTGGAATCTCCCACAAACGCCTGGTAAACAATGCCTTTTTGGGTCTTTTTTTCTGGCAAATTCAGCCAAGCAGATTCAGCAATGGGAGCTGAAAACATCAAAAACTCTACTGAGAATCTTCAGCAGCAATAAGCCGAGATACCTTTCAAATGTGCTCAGTGAATGAGAGGTTCAAGCATTGGTTAAGTGAACTTATGATCCGACCGTTCGAAATAAGTTGGCTGTGTCGAGAGGACTGCAAGAGAAATATCAAGCTGAAAAACAAATTCAAATACACAGAAAATTCAAACCGAATTATGGATTGCAATTCCCATAAATGGAGCAAGTTCTAACAAGGTTAGTCGGCTCGTTGGAGACCAGATCTCTGATTTTCGGTCTGATTCTTGTGTGAGTTCAGTTTTCTTCGCCTCAAGCCGGCGCTGAACTTCCAGAGAAGAAATTCTTGAGGCGTTGACCTTTTCTTTCTTTTCAGACTCGAGTTGCTTTTTCTTCCTAAAAAGGCTCGAAGATGGAACAATGACTCGAAAGTTTATGTTTTTCGCGACGGGGCGGCCACTCGCTTCGCTTCACTTATTACAGAGCCGTTCTATACTTTTCGTTTCGATTTTGAAAAAGCCTCCCATTTTCGAAATAACATTTCGGTCGGCTTTCGACTGAACAACAACGCTTTTAATACTGAGAGCGAAAAAAATTTAGTGAATGGTAAGCAAAAAAAACTTTTTATCTGCACCCATTCTTTCGATAGACCAAAAGAATGCTTGGAAAGACCGTGATGTTCCTATTTTTCAATAAAATACCCAAAATGCACTTTGGGTTGAAAACGTCTCAAACTATCATTCAACCCTCTAAAAAAACAAAAACAGAGAAAGGTAAAGACAAGACGTTGTTTTTGGCTTCCAGAACGGCCTCCCTAGAGAATAGACCTCGGCTAATTTTTCTTTGGAAAAAAGGTGACAAAAATTATTAATTTTCTCTGATGAAAACCGAATTCAGGCTCAACACGAAATCGACAAATTATCAATGAGATGGGAGCCATGCAGTTTCATAGGAGTGTAGTGTTAGTTACTCGGCAAATGGAAGACTCACAGCTCAAATGTCGACTGCTCATTTTCGAAATTACCCTTCCAAGCACCTAATAAGCGCACGCTTGATATTGCATTCTCTTCCCCGAGTGAAAAAATCTTATAAAGTTGGAAACGTTCAGAAAACCACTTCACTTACTAAGTTGACTAAAAAAATTGCAAGTAAGACGAAAAATTACAAACGATAATTAGGAAAAAAAACTGAACTCAAAAAACGTGTTGAAACTTGAACAATGGGGAATACTCCGGGTCTCCCGTAAGTTTTTGCTCGAAATTTTGTTTTAGGACTTAATTTGGAGACTCTGTCCGTGTCAGATAGTACACCTTTTTGAAGCTTTTTTTTTATCATTGCGATCTAGTCACATTTAGGATTTTCAAAGCGTTGCGGTGTTTAAATGAAAATTCAAAAATTTGCCTTTGGAAAGCGGAACGAAAATAAGTACGGTGAGAAAGATGACAAAATTAGAAGAAAAAAACTATTTCATCTAGGAACCTCAGACAAATCTTTAAAAAATTCTATAAATCAAGATCTTTGATTTATATTATGAAAATTATGGCTAAATTATTTTTTTTTGCAGGACGCAGAAAACAAACAGAAAAGGTGGTCTAACATTGCTCTGGAAAGACTTTTGCAGATCAGACCCAAAAACAAATTTATAGTTTAATTCTCGTTATATAAACGAAAAGAGGATATTGCATGACTTTAGAACCGGAAAATCGAGAAAAGAAGTTATCTAGAGGCTGAAAATAGCAGAAAATATAAAAAATTTACAGGCGTATTCTTGAAAATCTCTGTAAAAATCAGAGATTCATAGCCTAGTTTTTAATTTTTTTCATAAAATAATAGATTTGTGCCTGTAGAAAAAAAAAACAATTAGAGGAGAGCATCTGGACTCTGCCAGTTCACGCCTGTGTGCTCCCGTGTCGCGAAATTCGATTGGGCGGAGCAAAGCCATTTTTGGGAGCGAAACGAAACGGCTTTTTCTTTTTTCTGAACGACAAAACGCTACCGGCGGCTTCCGCTTCTAGTTTTACAGAAACAAGGAACCTTTTGCTCGTAGTTTCATCTCAGAAGACGTTAAAAACGAAACTAATTTGCCATTGGAGAGTTGTTTGGCGTCGTTGCTCACCAGAAAATGTCGAGTAACTCTAGTATACTCTATACTTGACTGATTCATGGCAAAAACAGCTACGGTTCAGAAGCTAACATGAAAAAAGACTAACAAAAATTACTTCAATTTGGAGAGAAAAAATAGACCTATTTGGTTAAACATTCTAACCTAAATTTTATTTTATGATTCCTAAAACGCTTAAAGCAGATATATTCTAATATACATGTACAGCTGGATCAGAAAATATTCCAGTATTGTTTTTATCTCGCCTCGCTCAACTCCATGAGATCAGGAAAAAGGTGCATCCTTCTATAAATACTCCAAAAAAGCCAAGAAACTTTAAACAACAGCTACCAAAATAGCCGAAAAAGAACTCGCGAGTTCGAAAAGAACAAACAGCCGCGTATTGTCTCCTGTGGTCAATTCCTTGCGCACGAGCCTTATTCTTATTGGTCGATCTCTAGTGTTTTAATATCCTCGTAGACCCTTCATTTCATCGGAAAGGGCTTCATCAAAGCTTTTCCTCATATTTTAAAGCAAACACCAAGAAAACTTTGAACTAGGTTCAATGAACCCAGTGTAACTCATACTTTGTATAGTTTCCTTTTTCGTTGAGCTATATTTAACCCCGTCCAAGTATTTTCTTCGTGGAAGTTTTGACCTTCTATTTTCCGTGCCGGGTCACCTAATTTTGGAAGGTTATTGTTTGAGAGAGAAAATTGCGTTTGAAGCTTGCATAATTTAAAATTTCGGAAAAAACGAACGAGAGAAAAATGCCAAAGTGGATCGCGAGACAAAAAGCCTCCACTTCCTTCGTGAGAAGAACATTATTTATTTATTTTTGAACTCGAAGGCAAGAAAAACGAAGTTTGATTGTCTTGCTCCCTTGTTAAAATCGTCAGCTGTTCGAAAGCAATGAAAAGCTTGACATAAGCGCATAGATTTTCAGTGATTAGAAAAGAAAATATAATTTTTCTCAATATTTATTCATAGCCATAAATTAGAGCCTGCCCTACAAAACGTACCGGCGAAAGGAAGTAAAGGAAACTGGAAAAAAAGATCGATTGTAGGACGTTGGCTTCATTATACATACAGCTCCGCATAATTTCGCATTGAGTAAGAAAAAAGAACGTAGTCAGTTTTACAGGAAATGTGTTCAGTTGTGCGTGAGGTAACGCGGCGTCGCACTGAACTTGGCGTACCCTTTGACGACCTGAAAAAAATCAAAGTTTCCGGGAATACAAGGGGAACTGGAAACCTTGTTAATGGCTTCGAGGAAATCTTTTTCGGTCGCCACCTTTCGACGGGCGCGAATCGCGAACATTCCAGCCTCGGTGCACACTGATCGAATCTCAGCGCCTTGAAATTTATTGTTACTTGATATCAGGGAACTGTGAGACTTTTTCGTTAACATTTTTTTCAGAAATCACAAACCCAAAAAAATTTTTTTATAAACTTTTTCTAAAAAGGAAATCTTGATGAAAATTTTCGCCGGATTTTCAAATTTTTTTCTGACAAATCTTCGATTGCTTAAAATTTGAATGTTCCTATCTGAGACTTTCAGTGTTAAAGGGAGACACGAATCACCTGTGCTGTTGGGACAAAGCCGAGCGAGCAGATCATAGCGGATGTCGCGCTCGACGCTCATCTGCTTGGCGTGGATCTTGAGGATGTGCGCCCGGCCGGCGAGGTCAGGCAAGGCGAATTCGATCTTTCTGTCCAGACGGCCGGGACGCATCAAGGCTGGGTCCAGCGTGTCCGGCCTGTTCGTGGCCATGAGAACCTGGAATACCCATTTTCTCGAAGATATATTCAGTTATTCACGACTTTAAACTCTTTGGTGGTCGCCAATTGGATTAATCTACGTGAACAAAAGCAAAGCGAGCTAGAAAATAATTTCAGCAGCTGCAGAAACTCAGAGCAAAAATATCCAAACTATAGAAATTCGTTGTGACTATTAGATAAACCAGGCGTTTTAAAAGTCCCCCTCGATCGAAAAAAAAAGCAATTTTTGATTGACCTCACTTCGTGAGCCTTACCAGATTATTCAAAAAATTCATCTCGCGAGTTTCATAAATACACATCTCGTTTTTAATATATCCTCCGTACCTTGATGTTACCACGAGGATCGAAACCGTCGAGTTGATTGATCAATTCCAACATAGTGCGTTGAACTTCATTGTCACCACCTTGTCCATCATCAAATCTGAAGGAAAATGTTGCTCATTTCCGATGTACCGAGAAAAACTCTCACCGAGCGCCACCGACGGCGTCAATTTCGTCGAAGAAGATGAGACAAGCCTTTTTCGTTCGGGCCATTTCGAAAAGCTCTCTGACCATTCTGGCTCCTTCTCCGACGTATTTCTGCACAAGTTCCGATCCAATTACACGAATGAAGCAAGCGTCAGTTCTGAAAATCGTCTTTACGCAAAAACAACATTAGCCCAGATAAATCGAAACATGGCTAAAAGAAAAAAAAAAGATGTATTTTTTTATTAAGCTGCTTATAATGGAAAAAAATAATAAAAAAATTTCCGATTATATTTTTTTTGCTTCAACTAAAGCTAGTGTAACCTATTCTAACGGAAATGTGGCAAAGTAATTTGAAACTTTGATAAAATAAAGAGATTATAGCTTTATTATTATTAGTTCATCTCGTTCGCGAAGTTTTTCTTATTTTTTGGCTATATTTTGAACAAAGACCAAAATTTGAGATAACAAAAAATGAGAATTTCGGAGATTTTATTGTAGCTTATTATTGAACTTCTCTTAAACGCGTTTCTGATTACTTTGATAGTGAATTTCCGAATAGACCCTTCGAATTGAGCTTTTGCAGAGAAAAAAAAAAGTATAAATTGGAAGTTATCAATCAATAAGGAGACCTGTTGGCGACGGCTCGGGCACACAAGGTCTTTCCGGTTCCAGGCGGTCCATAGAGCAGGACTCCCTTCGGCGGCTCGATTCCGAGGTTGACGAAGCGCTCCGGATGCAGCAACGGCGTCTCGACAACTTCGCGCAGCTTCTCTATTTGGTCCTTGCAGCCGCCCACGTCCGAGTATGTCACATCTGGCTTCTCTTCCACCTTAAAACTTGGAATATCAAACCTTCCAGAGAAAAGAATAAAAAAGTCTTTAATACAAAATTTTGAGCCAAAGACGGAACTTCGAGGATCTTTACCCGATTAGCAAAAAAGCGTTAGAAAAGTGGAGATTCTAATATTTCGGGAGTGAACGATAAGAAAATTCAAAAACCGCAAATCAGATTACAAATGCCAAAAAAAATTATAAAAAGACCCACCTGCATCATAGTGACGGTAGGGTCAATTTTGGCAGGAAGAGGTAAGTGAATTTGGTATTTGTTTCTGTCGACTCCGACGCGCATTCCCTCCTAAAAAGATTTTTCTAAAACGATCCAACTAAATTATCGACTTCGATGTCAGTAGGAGCGACGGATTCGGCGAGGTCGACGACGAACTTGGCAAACTGCTTGACGTTGATAAGGTAGCGCGGCTCGTGCTTCTCGCTGGTGATGATCTTGGTGCAGCGGGCGACTTGCAGGGGCTGTTCCTGCTGCATCGCCTGCTTATCGGCGGCAATGTCCCACAGCGCAGGCGGCGCCAGTCCCGTGTCCGACTCTTTGATCCCAGACAGCTCATTCACCTAAAAAAAACCAAAATAGTTCGATTCGAAACAAATATAGTATGAGGAACGCATTCTTTCTAAAAATGTTTTCATCAAAAGCTAATGTCACCTTTTTGACGCATTCTTCGATATCGTTATCCAGTTGTTTTAACTGTTCTGCGTAGGGTCCTTGGCCATAACGTTTAAGTACAGCGATGTCCCCTTCATCCAGAGCTGAAATTTATAAAAAGAAAGGTTTCGAAAATAGGAGGAAAACGGACCTTGGAAGACTTTCTCTTCTTCTGCAGTTTCTCCTTTCTTAGTTTTTCGCATATCATCTCCAAGGTGGTCAGGCATGTTTTCTGAGTAATAAATAATAACGTTAACGTCTCTTGTTTCCAACATTTCATACAAGCGCGTAAACACGACGATTATGAGATGATATACTGTATCAAAGATAGATTCGTAAAAATAGTTAGAGCTCGGCGAGATATTGGACGGGAAAAAATCACCTTGAAATGAAAAATCGTAGAATTATATAGCAACGTGAAGGCGTGGCATGTGACAGTTAACGTGGAGTATTTTTCATTCCCTAATCAAAAAAATCTTTGATTTTTATACGAGTTTTTGTTCACCGCAATTGATCTGTATATATCTTGTCCCCGTTCGGTTCGCGCAGAGCTCCAGGTTTAAAAAAAGGTAAAAGAAGTTTTGAACTGAGCCTCTCGTCGAATGGTCAATATTCAATTATTAAAGTTATCAAATAACTTTAAAAAAATGAAGAAAGACAGAACTTTTAAGTTTACTGAGACATAATTGTATTTAATAAGAAAAAAAAAACTGTGGAAGAGAAAATTCAATTAGTTTCTGAACCTACTTAACAGTCCCTTCCCACATTTGAAACTTGTTCGAAACTTTGTAATAAGTTCTCAACGCAAAAATGGATATTTCAAAGGTGATTACAAATCGCCGTTTTCGAGCCTTTTTGCAGTTTTCCATGGAGCGCAAAGGACCACGCGGTTCAAACATTTTTCTCTTCCCGTCGTTTTTCTTTCCATCCTCCCTTTACTTTAATAAATGCTCAGTTTTGACCAGATTTTGTTGAAATCCCTAGCTAGAACCTGATAAGCTAGTTTTTAAAAGGAGATACTATTTTTTTCTGTCCCGATTTTCTTCTATTCCGAGTTTTCCGAGTTTTTGGTAGATGGTCTTGCAGATTACCTTGATGAGCGCTTTTCTTTACTTTTTCTCTCTCTAAATAAACTTCAAGAGTATATTTAAAGAATTTCGACATAATTCTCAATCCATAGATGATAGGTTTCATCTTCTGTTCATTTACACCTTGTACGGAAATATCATCTACAGTTTGCAGATCAAATTGGAACGCGCATGTCGGAAGCTGAAAAGAAGAGTTTTTTTGAGCATGCCAGTGCGTTTCACAATGATTATTCTGTGTTCTAAAATATGTTTTAGGGACGAGAGCTCCAGGTAAAAGACAAGTGAAGCCGACAGCAGCTGTGCTTCTGGATCTCGACTTGCCTCCCGACGAGGAGGACGACGACGAAGAGTTCGTCGGTAAACTTATTTTCCTATTTTATTAAATAATTTCCTTGTTATACATCGTTCTGAATCAGTAATACTTTGCGTACTAAGTTGTCCACACTTCAAAAGTTACAATTGAGTACGAATCGATTAAAAATTTATCTGCACCAACGTGCTACTTTCTTCTATTATTCGCACTATATCATATATTATTTTCTTTTTTCTGCTAAGAAAACATTATCAACTCAAGAATTAAGGCTTAATGGATAATTGATCTGAGAAATCGAATTTTTCTTTATGTCGCTATTGGATGCGAGATTAGTTTTACATGTTCGAGCAGCAAAAATCTCTAGAACTACCAAAATTTTCAGTTTGTCGCTCTGATAACTTGAAACTAGTTTGCATTCATATATGTTCACTTAATTAATATTTTTTCACAGAAGGTTGCTGTATTTCGGAAAAAAGTTCATTGCACCCAAAACGCTATATTTGACGAAGAAAAGTTGTTTCTCAAATGAGAATCCCGAAGCTTAAATTTTACAGCGGATGACGGTTCTCAAGAATCTGATGGCTCTTCTTCCGAATCTTCAACTGAAGGGGATGGAGATGAAGATGAGGAAGAAGAAGAAAAAGAAGGAGACGAGAAGAAGGATATTGAAGAATTAGCGACCGAGACAGTCGCCGAAAGTGTTTGTTTTTTTTTTTAATCGAAGCTGTTTTGAAAATATTGGTAGCGTTAAATCTCAGTTTTTTTTTAATAAGCTTAGGAAATAATTTATTACAGAGTGTTCCAATCTGTTCTATTTGCTTGAACCAACGACCATCGCTGGCCAACGACGAAGTGATGCACTGCGACAAGTAGCCCTTCCACGAATCTTTTCCGTATACGGAATGCATTCAGATGCGGCGTGGCGGTGCACGAGGCTTGTTATGGCGGCGACCACACGGGAAGCCATTCCGAGGATTCCGACGACGACTCCCCGACGGAGCTTTGGTTCTGCGAGGCCTGCGTATATGGGCTCCGCGAGCCGCCGTTCTGCGAGTTCTGCCCCAGTCGCTACGGCGCTTTCAAGCGATCTGGTATATACATTTTCATCAACCTTATGTATTGAAAGGTTGATCCAGCAAATAAAGTTTATATGACCAAAAAAATGCGAAAAATATGAATAGAAAAAGTTGAAATTTTTTTCAATTTTTTTAGTTTAAAAAAAGAGTCTAGTCATCAGAGAACGGGTCCTGAACAGAATAAAGGTACGTCCACAATTGACTGCCTTCACCCTTTTTATTTTTTTTTTTAGTATCAAACTGCGATAAGTTTCTAGTATCAAACGCGCCCCCTAATAGCGCTACACATACCATTCGCTATCGGAAAAAAAAAAATGAAAAGTTGGAATCTAAGACGTTGAACTGATTTTCATCCATTAACTTCTTGAAACGAAATGTTTTTATAGATGTTGGCGGTCGATGGGTTCATCCTCTTTGTGCTTTTTATACACCTTCAGCCACGTTCGGTGACATCGATAAATACTCGGCGATCAGTTGGCAAGAAATGGACCACCGTCTGTTTGGAAAAAAGGTTCCTTATTTTGGATTCATTTTCATATTAAATTCATGCAGCCGTGCTCGGCGTGTACTAATAAGCTGGAAGCTCGGACTGGAATAACCATTCGCTGCGAAATCGGACTCTGCAAGGAGCATTTCCACGTTTCTTGTGCTCAGAGGTTATTTTTTCGTGCATTATAGTTACATTTTTAGTAGCAAAATGTTTATACTCCAGTATTCAACAGTTTTAGAAGTATAAGGACCTCATGAAAGTGCGTAATTTCAGCATCTCATGGACTATTTTACCTTCGCTATTATTTTTATGTTTTTCTTTTATGAAAAAGGAACTAAATTTTTCTTTGGAAGTTTTAATCTTCAAAAATTTCTCTGACTTTCATTTTTCTTCCAGTTAAAATCAATGAGAGCTTAAAACAGACTTGGATATTTGGTGGACCACTCGGAAATGGAAGAAAAGGCGACTTCGAACGAAGCGCCCGTCTCGCAGTACGTCACCTGCAAGCGTCATTCCAACTCGGACAACGCCAAGGCCCTCCGCACCGCGTCAGAACTTTCATTATTATTTTTTACTTTTTTGGAATTGAGAGGTTTTCTAAAGAAATTATTAATGCTGCAGTATATTCGTGAGAATAGAAGAAGTCTTCAGATACGCCAAATGGTTCATTCAAGAAGAGCGGCGCTTGACGGTGGCCCGAAGGAAAGTTCTGACTGAGCGGGAAGAAAGGAAACGTCTCGAGTACTTTGAGAAAAGCCAGCAGAACTTTAAAAGTCTTGAATCTGTGACGATATGTTGGCCCAAAGAAACTTGGGGTCGTGTGAGTTTTTTTTTCCGCAAAGAAAATCCTTCCAAACGATGTCACGTGTTCAAAGAAAAAAAAATTTAAAAGCTATATCTCCAAAAAGAAAAGTTTTGCGCAGATAGCGACTATGTGGAATCAATTCCTAGTCTATCAAAGATTGTTCGAGCAAGTTTATAGAAAACTCTGAACACTACGCCAAATGACCTTCCCTGTGAAGAGAAAGTTCGAGCCATTTAGCATTTTGGGGATCCACGGTATAGCTTATTCACGGCTAGATTGGGACTCAGGAAGGCGTGACCTGTCTGCGCTCTCCACTAAGCAGACGCTGTCTCTCTTCTTATCGTGTCAGGACCCTTTTTGCGGTCAAGCCAGCCGTAAATCAGCTACAAACGCATTCACCACTTCCTTGTATTCGGCCTTTTAAGGGCTAATTTCAGCCGGAAAGAGCTCGTCGCTCGCGACATCTCCATACTTCTCCGCGATATCTCAACGCCTTCAAAGAAAAAGCCGAACTTGCCAACATTGATGAAGAGCATTTCGAGCAGGAATTCCTCCGTCTAGACGTCGAAAGTCTCCCTTTTTTGAGCCCTGGGTTTTCACGCGAGTTTGTCGAGTAAGAAATTTTCAGTCATATCTTGGTTAATCTTTCCTTCTCCAGTTACTTTTTTCATCGCGAGAATCATGTTGTTCTGCAAGAGAAGAAAAAGCTCGAGATGCTGCGCAAGTCTATACAAACTCTGAAAGATCGAAAGTTCTCTCGAGAAGCGGACAACGAAAAAAAACAGGTTCGTTCAGGATCTATTCTTTCTCGGTTTGGTGTAGCTTTCTTGCGAATGTAGAAAGTTTGGGCAGAACGAAACTTTTATTAAAGAAAAGGCTGAGTTGAATGGTCGTATGAGTCGAAGCAATGTAGTGAGCATGTTTGTTTCAGTTGGAAGCGCAAGCGGCTGAGTCGGCCGAAGATCTGGAAGACTCCTGCGCGCTTCTCACTCGTTTCTACAACGTTCTGCAGCTGGTTGGAGTCAAACGCATCAATAAACCTTCGATTGTTCAAAGCAAACAGTCTTCTCCACCTTCCAAGAAGATGTTCGCGTCTTGCCCGGATTTCGAATATCTCAACTGGACTTTCAGGAAGCTTTCGAAAAGTGTGACTCCGCCGGCTAGCTCTGCAAAGAATTCTTCGGTCGAGGCTAACGGCGCCGTCCACAACTGCGCCGAGTGTAACAAGGTGAATTTTTCGACTTTTTTCAGTTGGATCAATCGCGATTTCAGACCCACGACCAACATTTGATGACCAACTGTGATGAGTGTCTCAAGTATTATCACATCGGATGTTTGGATCCGCCGCTCGAAAGGTCGTTTCCGATAATCACCTCAATTTTTTTTTCGTAAAAAAATAACTCAGCTTTTGATATTTATTATAAATTTCTCCAAAAATTTGTCTCCTAAGTCGGACTCTTTGTTCATCGGTTCATCTTTCAAAAAATTCGAAGATCAAAAAAGTATTAATAGGTAAATCACTATCTGAATATTTTTATGTGAATATTCCTAGTCAGTACTGATCAAACTTGTTTTGAGGCTTCCAAAACGAACTGCGAACATCGGATGGGTTTGTCACCAGTGCGATACAGATAATGAAGACGAGGAAGCCGTCGAGGTTTTCGAGTTTTGAAACGAATCTGAAAATGATATATTCAAGGACGAGACTTCGAATGATGGACCTCGGAAGCTGCGACAAAGAAGTGACACGTTGAAGATCAAGAAAAATGCAGAGATTCAGGTATAAAACTAGAATATTTTTGTAATTCGTTAATAATATCCTCCTGAGAAGATAGAAAGAGTCTTTCAAATTTGCTCCTTTCGCGGTTATCTGAATAGTCTTTTTTTCGTTGCTGATTGTCTTTTTCAGAGCTGTCGTTTTTTGAAAAACAGAAAGAGGGGTAAGTTTCAGGGGTTCACTGCAATTTTTAGAAAGAGTTTTTTCTGTCTTTTAAGGTTTAGCAAGTAAATTCCTTTTATTTGTAAGTAGGCATCCCGTATCTCAAAGTTTTCGAATCCATCTATCCCTCAGCAACAGTAAGAATCGATCTGCAGGAACAGAATCGCGCTTTCCGCGAAGCCGTGCGACGGAGCAAACTCGACTACAAGCCGCCGACAAAAAAGCCAAAGAAGCAGTCGGCGACGCCGCGGAGTCTTTCCCGCAAAACTGCCCACTCTGACGATGACGAGCCAGAACTGTGATATTATTAATATTCATGTAAAATGTCTTTCCCAAATTCGATTTTGATTGTTAAATGTTTCGTTTTAATTTTATTGCGAATTGTTGCTTAAAATTGCATAAATAAAGTGATTGCATTAAACATAATTGCATCTGATTATATCGCTTAATTTGCGCTAAATATTTTGAATCTGGTCCAGTCTTTTTCTATTTTTTTAATTGAAGAAGCCTACTGAACTGTGACAAACTTTTCTCCAGCTATGCCGTATAAATTCGCGCAACGCGACCCCCTAACTGGGTATGCTTTTTTCTACAAACTGATTACAGAAAAAAATCATGCATTTTTCTTGGCTGCTTTTTATAGGGAAATAATCAAAACGCGGAAGGCGTACTCGGCGACAAATCTTCTGAATGCGATGCGCGACGTCGTCACAGGAAGACTCTCCGTCACGGAGGCCAGCGTCGCCCACAAAGTTCCTCGCAGCACGGTCTTTCGTCGGCTCAAGTGCGTCCATCAGTGTGAAAGACGCCAAATAAAATCAGTGCAAGCGGTCAATTTGGAAAAAAGAAAGTGGATAAATCTTTTAGAAAAATATAATTCCTTTTCTGATGAAAACCAAATATAAGACCGAGAGAACTCTAATAGTCGAAGTGATGAGCCAAAAAAAGATATTAGTTCAAATTCCGTGCAAGACTTCACCCTCGCTTTACATATTTCAAAAGTTTTAATCAGAACCACGGAAATATCCAACAAGAGTTCTTCGAAGAATAAGGATATCCTCTGATAGGTATCGTTTACTTCTCTGCAAGGAGGAATCCTTTTAAATTGAAAAAAAAAAGCCGTGAGATGCACAGAATCTATTGCAGAAAAGCTCGCGACGAGCAGTTACGATCGATGGGAATAGCTGAAGAAACGCCGTCTACTTCAAAACCACGCCCCATCGTAAATCGAGTTTTCCTTAGGAAACTTCCAACTACCTTTCAGGTGGTAGTGCAGCCATGGATGAAGCTGCCCATAAAGCTGGATAATCCGCCTCCGGGAAAAGAATGGGAAAAGAACGACTCTGCTGTGGATGCCTGTCATCCTGAGGAAGAAGTTTGGCAGGATTCCGATGAAAATACAGCAAATGCTCCTCCAACACAAATACTTCTAATACCCAACGCAACAGTTTCGCCTGTTCAATTTTCTGTGAATAGGTCTTAACCTTATAGATTGTTGTAATTATTGTTATAAATTCTTCAAGTTCAACATAATTGTCTTGCTCTCTGTATTGACGACGCGTGCTCGCTTTTGATATCTTTTTTACAAAGTTTTGAAACAGTTTTGTCACGAAGTTTCCAAGATGTCGTCGAGAAAGGCGGTGAAAACGGCGCTTAACGCAGGCCGCTACCCTCTATACCTCTATAAAAATATTTTGAGGTGGTTCTTTCTAAAGGATCCTCTACCAATATCGGGTTTAGATTGCACTATGGACTTCCGGCTCAGGCCCGACTTATGGGCGACACCTATGTTCGAGACGAGTTCCGGAGGCACAAAACGGCGGCGCCAGAACACGTCAAAGTTTTCATTGAAGAATGGACGGTTGGTTCTTTTTCTCATATTTTTGAAAATGAGGTAGAACTAGCTAAAGTTCTCAAATAGAAAGGTTTAAAAAAACTGACGGTGAGTTTTCGCTCAGTCACATTCAGTCAATCTCACATCTAAAATCTTCAGAATCTTCTCGGACTCTAGTTTTTTCAAGGAATGAAGCTACAAAACGTAGACATCGTGTTTAAGCTCGCGTTTCCATAAGCTGATCAACACATCAAAAATTATTTTTTTTTTCCGATTTTTAGAGAAAAGTATGATACTTTTTATGTTATTATTAAATTTGCAATCCAAATCTGTTCAGCCCGTTCACAATAAAAAAAGTAGAAAGATATAATAGATGAGGTTTGCAGAACTACTGCGTGATGCTTTCGAAGCAACTTTCCGGGAGCGGACTGAGACGGGGCGCTTTTGGGAAAGACCTCGAAGGGAAAATTGACGACCTGGCCGACGAACAGATTCATCAACTACTGGAACTAAAAATCGAGGCAGAAAAACACCTCGGCAGCGACTCGCAATTCGTAAAGTCCTTAGAAGACCTAGGAATTATAAAAGAGTCTAAAAAATGAGTATTTGATCGGCCACCTTTTTTTTCAGAGGAAATTCAGAGTAGATATTATTTCTTTCATAATACATCATGTATTTTACGCTAACGGGTTCAGAACGATAATTAAATTTTATGAGCAACGTATGAAAAGAACTGAATAAAATTTGAATAGTTCAAAGTGAAGAGATAACAGCGAAATCAACAAAATCCAAACGAGATCGTCAACCACTGGAAAAGTGAAGAGGAAGAGAGGAAATTTCAAATCTCGGGTCCTTCGCCTCCAGGCACAAGCATCGTAATATGATTGCCGTTGAGGAGAATCGTGTCGAGTTTTGTCATTCGCTTTCCTTCTGCCGTCGTTTCATATTCTACCTTAAACCAGTAAGAATATCATTTGCCATTTACGTCGTTATAAGTAATTCTTGGGAAGATATTTTTAATCGTAATCTAAAAGAAATCCATGAACAAATAACTCAGAAGTAAACGTACGACGTCTTCAAGAACCATGTTAACGTAATCGTCGAAGCCTGTCAAGGTCCCGACTATTTCCTTGTCTCCTAAACTGATAAAGATATTAATTTTCAATCAGAAAGTCTCAACCTTTCATAATCACCCAAATGCGAGATCCAATGCATTTGTCGACGAGTTCCAAAGGCAAAAGCGTCGATGGATTACTCGCCGTTGAAGCCATCGTTTAGATCTGAAGGGTTTACTTGGACTGCGTTTATATTGTATTTTGAAATATGAAAAGCGATTTAAACGCACGAAGGAAAAGTTGATAATACTTTTGAATCGATTTTTATCAAAACAGAAGGCGAGGCGAAGGGTTTTTCTTTTTACAAGAAACTGCAGGTAAGAAATATCAAATAGCAGAAGATGAAGGTCTAGAAACTTCAAAAAGATAATATTAATAAATTATTTAATTATTTCTCACAGAACGTTAATTGAAATTGCATAAAAAGAATCCAATAAAAGCTGAGTTTGATGACAGATTTGTTATTGTTCCTACGGAAAAATATTGAAGTTTTGTTTCAGAACAAAAAACGGTGCAATAACATGAGATAATGACATGACAAGGCTAAATCATTTCACCAACCCAATAGCGGCAATATTCAGCGAACGAATCAATCGAAAAAAAATGGGCAATTTGAGCTGGGATTTATGCTTGGACTGGAGGTGGAAAAGTGCTCAGAACTCCTCTGGGACGGGGGCTTCTTCGTCTTCCGGCGGCGCGAAGCCGTCCTCCGTCTCGTAGAGGACGTCGAGAATCCGCGACACTTCCACATTCCCAATAGATTCGTTATCTTGGCACATCACCTGGAAATCTACGTCCTTCACTTCGCTTCCAGCCTTTCAGACCTCGATGGTTCGCAGTTTGCTGAAGTAGAAGTCGCGTTCTTTCTCAAGGCTGGAAATGACGTTGTCACTCTCCGAAACTTGCCGTGTGGCCTTGAATAAAAGATAGAAAAACTGAGCATTCCCGCTGCAGACCTCATCGAGTTCCTCCTTCAGCTTACGGATCTGCTGGAGCATCTGCGAGTTGTCGGCAGCGGAAGGAGCTTTCGGGGCCGCCTGTTTCAAGCCATTCGATGGCGTCGCTGCGACAGGCTGCGGTCGAGGCGCGGCTGCTGCTGGCGGTGCTCGTGTCGCCGGAGTCGCGGGCGTCGGTTTCGGCGTCGCTGCTACCGCCGGCGCACGTGTTGTCGTTTTCCTGTAGAAAAAAATCAATCAATAAATTAATTATGAAAATGAGTTTTTTTGTGAGCAAACCAGAAGAAAAAGTTATTTACATTATTGAAAAAAATTCTTGCCTAAAAATAAACTTTGCAGCAAAGTCACTCTTTAGAAAAAGTGTTCATTAAGCACTTTTTTTCAAATCTAATTTTTTTGAAAAATTTTCGAATCCACGACTTAAGTTGTATTAGAAACAGTTAAACATAAAAAAATAGAAAAACGACGAAAAATACTATGAGAAAAACCATTATCATTAATCGTTTTGCTTATTTATTTTATTGATCGATTCAAAAATAAAAAAAGCGAGGCGAGGATACTCACGGCATAACTGGAGCGCGCGCGACGGGCTGTCGGATTCCAGGACGAGCGGCTGCTCCGCCGACGGCTTCTCCCGGAAGATCTTCTCCTCCGCGGGCACCGAGAGGGTCATACTCGTGGCCATCGTAGTTGGCATCGAACAGCTTCTTGAACCATTGAAGGAACTCGAAATTGTCCTCAAAAGTTGTTTTTTTTCTTTTTACAAAGATCAGCTACTCCTACCTGGAACTTCCCTTTGATCAGTCTATCAACTGGTATGACTTTTTCGACACCGAGGTTTTTCCAAGCCGTTTGAACCAACTTCCAATTGGAAAGCCAATCAAGCTCGAGCTTCGAGTTCCATTTCACTTTTTTCAAAGGGAGTGCTTCAGGGAAAAGGAAGTCTGTGAACTGAAAAGTATTTTCTTGGTATGAACCAAACTGAATAACGAACCAAACAGTAGCCGGCGCCCGTGTGGAGCTGCTCGATTTTGGTGAAGTTGGCCTGAAGACAGTCGTTGACCCACATGAGCATCTCGTGCCGACTCAGGTTGTCGCCGGTCGACGCCGTCGTGTAGACGTTCACAACCGACATTGTTCCTGTTAAAACTATTGTATACTCACAAATGGAGATTCAAGGAAACTTATTTCTAACAATTTGTGAATATCCGCTTTTTCCTGGAAAGTTGCTTTTAAAGAAGGAATAAACACAGGTTCAAACTAATCGTCCTATTATTGAGAAATGATGAAGTAAAAATTGCGTGAGAAACGCCTGGCGTAAGGAAACAAAAATCGAAGCACAAATAAAAATTTACTGTTAAAGATCATCGGAACAAACAGACAACAAAACGTAACGTCAATATTTACTAAAGAGTAAAAAATAGAACACGAAGGAGACGGACCAATCGATGCTTACGAAAATTCCCTTTCCACGATTTTAAAAAAATCGAAATCGACGGACACTCCTTCGCATAGGATTAGATAAAACAGAAAATAAGTTAGGTGGGGACGGAGATTTTGGCGGCGGCGAGCAGAAGGACGTCTTCCGTCTTGGCGCGCCAGTTAGAAACGTTCTTGGCGATCGACTGCCAGAGGTCGCCGTGGTGAGGATCCGAAGCGACGCATTTGTCGACGACTTTCCGCCTGTCTTCTGGCTTCCCGTGGATCGCTTCGAAGGCGTAGTAGTGGGCGAAAGAGTCGCCGTTGTCCGGATCGAGGTTCACAGCACGGACAAACCATTCGCGCGCCTTTTTCATCTGCAACTATTACCGTCAACGACTTCGAGGGGTCGTTTATTGCAAACATTGTAGAAGAGAAACACCCTTTTCAGATTACTTCTTCAAAAAAAGCAGACCTTTCTTTCAGACCAAAAAAGCCGCGCTGCCGCGACGAGCACGTGAGGGTTGTGTTCGCAGCGTTTGAGGGCGTCGATGGACTTGGCGCGGCGTCCGTGGGGACCCTCCATCCAAATAGCCTCCGCCCACAGTTTCCCTGGAACCCATTGGAGTAAGTTGGTAAGAGTGTTGGGATTCACCTGAGCCTTCACATTCCTGCAGAGCCCTAGTCATTCTTTCGGCTGCCAGCTCTGGAGACCCAACTCGCTGTTCAAAACGGACAGATTCCAACCACAAATCCTCGTTTTTCGGATTTCGGAGCCGAGCCTTCAAAACTTTTCATGAGCACATTGCAACTTACATGGTAATATCGATGTCCTACAACTGATCCATAAGTTTTGAACAAAATAAAGGAAGTTTTTCAAAAGTGGCAATCAACCGATTCACATAATTGGAAAAAAAAAACTTTACACAGATCAGCGGTTAGATTTATTTGACGTTTTATTTTTTGTCTTGTCGTGCAGATTGCGGAATGGCGAAAAAACCTTTGAAATGAAAAATGAAATGAAATTCGATGATGGAGTTTGAATGTTTAGCAAAACAATATGCTAAATCAAGAGATTGATTTTCTTTGAGATTCCGCCTCAAGCTATCTTTGATACGTTTTCCTTTCGAAATTTGACGACAGGAATTAATAGAAAATACAGTTATTTTGATTCTTCTGAAAATATGCTCGATATAATAAAATGTCTATTTCTATTTTTATTTTTTCCAAACAAGATTTAAAATCTACCTTCTCGAGATCACAACGCGCCTTCACGATTTGCCCTTGGGATTCTTCTAATCGCGCCAATCCAATCCACAACGGAATCACGCCCGGCAACTTTCTGATCTTCAAACGGAAAAGTTTTTTATCGTTCGGACGAGAAAAGTCACCCCTGAAGTGTAGGCGGATCTGGCGGCGGCGTAGTCGCCATTTTGCTCGTGGATTTGGCCGAGCATGAGGTAGAGTCGCGGATAATCGTCGTACCGCGAGATTCCCTCCTCCAGAATTTCTTTCGCCTCATTCAAGTTTCCGAGACACCATTCGAACTTGGCGCTCTTCATCCAAACGCTGAAAATCCAACAATCTCCGATCAAGTTTTTCTTCAGTTTTGGCCGCTTTATGAAATGTTTTCATAATTTAAGCTTCGCAGAGACCCTAGAAAATTCGAAAAAATTTATCTCTTTGGCAAGAAATCGGCAAGGACAGAGAAACATGGAAATAGCACGTAGCCATGAGAGACGTCGAGAGATAAGGAGGGTGCAGAGTATTCTCACCCTTTCGAGTCGCGAAAAACGGACTTTAGCGTTTGAAATCTCTGAATGGAAACCGACATCTGATGAAAATATTTTTCCCAAATGGCTGCTTTTAAATTTAATTATGTCCGAGCCGGGTAGATATTATTAGTTGTGAATATACCTACACTCACTTCGATAATAACCATGAGAAAGTACTAAGAAATCGTACGAATGTGCTGGTTATCAAACCATCCGCACTTTCGAGGATCCGAAACGCAAAGATTTCCTCACCTCGGAGAGGGCGCCTTCGTGCGGGCCTTGAGGAACAGGGAGCGCGCCGTGTCGAACTGGTCATTTTCGATTTCGATCTTGGTCGCTGCCAACCAAATCGTCTCCGACTGATGTCCGTGTTTCTTGAAGGCCTGAAAACAAAACATGGGAATTTTTTTCAATTTTCATGTCTGAAGATATTGTTTTCTTGGAAATTTCATCTAGTACCAACATCCATGAGAGTATTCCTGGCTTCTTCGACTTGGCCGTTGACAAATCGAAGTTTGGCCAACATCAGCCAGAAACTTCGACTTCCGGCACGACTTCAGTGGCTTTCAACAGAATCGCTTCGTGTTCAGCTCTGAAACTAATCATAGATTTTCCATAAAACTAAATCATCAATCTGAAGACGTGAGCATTCAAGTTCAAAGACTAAAACATTTAAAAAGAAAGAAACAGATTAAAAGGAAAGATTCTTGAGAGAAAAACGATCCACGTTATCAATTCCACAGCAACTTGAGTATATGAAAAGGTTTGAAATATGAAAAAAGCCTGACATTGAGCCGTGCTCCTTTTCAAACTGGATGGCGGCGTCCCAGACGCTTTTCTTCCGAGGCATTTCTTTCAGGGCGATCGCGAACACCGCGCGGACGCAAACGTAAGCAGCTGAAAACCGGAAGTTGTAAACTAAAGTTCTAGAAACAAAAATTTTCTCTTCACTCTAAGTTTTGGAAATTGAGCCATTCAAAAGAATTTAGGAAGAATTAGTTTGAACTGAAAAAAAGACACAACAGAAACCACCTTGGCGCTCGAAAGATTCCGCATCTTCAAGCCAAGTGACTTTCTTGTCCTCATCTTCGACTCCCAACCCGATAACATTGCGACTGGAAATGTTGATTGAAATTACAATGAGAACCGGGGATCGAACATGATGGCCTGGCAAGTGAGGGGACAGCCGGCCTGCTCGGCGTCCACCGCGTCTTTCATCCAATGGTCGCGGTTGATCTCCACTTGGTTGGCTTTCAGAGAAGATATCGCCTACAAAAAACTACAGTCGAGAAAGAAAAAAAGATTTCAGCTCCCGTAGCCCCAGTAGTTAGGTAAAGATTTGCAAGCAAAAATTGAGAAAATTACAAAAAAAGCTTGAATTTATGAAGCTTCAAAGTTCGTTAAAAAAAAAAGCAACTTATAGCGAAAGAGCAATATTTTGGGCTTTTGAAGCGTTTTAACTCGAAAAGAAATTCATTGTGAGAAAGTTTTCTCTTGTTCTGGCATCAGGAGGTCCTAAATTACATTACAGCAAATTTTCATAATTTCATCAAAAGTTCGACCGGGGGGTAAAAAACTTTCCCTAGTTAACCTTTTTGATTCCCGCTTCTCTCTTTACAAAGCTCTGGAGAGTTCAGAGAATGTATGTATAAAAGTGGCTCGGTTCCCGTTTCCCTTTAAACCCGATACTGAAGTCAGTAGTTTTTTGTATCCATGAAAACATCGAAATCAGAGCGAAATTCCTTTCACTGCGAGGTATCCACCTTTTAATGCAAAAAATCGAAAATTTAGACTGAACCTTTTGGTTTTTCCAATAGGATTTTAGTTTCCAAGCTTGTTTCTCATAGTTTTCTCCAACTCTTTTTTTCTAAACTTTATTTCGCAATGACGTACCTTGGCGACGATTCTGTCGACCATTTCCCTTTGTCCTCGGGTCTCCTCGAGCCTCGCCGCATTCAGCCAAATGTGTCGGTCCGTGGGAATGTGTTCGCGGGCTTTGTTCAGCACTTTCCGCGCATTTTCGTAGGATTCCAGTCGTGCCAAGGCCAGCCACATCTCGGTACTCGTGCTGAACAAATGGGGATGAAGGGTCTCTCGACTGAGGAAATGAACCTGCAGCACTCGACGGCTCTCGTCAGCAGAACTCGGGCGTCTTCCGGATCTTCGAGTTCTACGGCCGCCTTCCACAGACGCACGGACGATGGAATCTGCTCCAATGCTTTGCGAAGCACCTGAAAATTAAGAAGCCTTCGAGAGGGTTTCAATACAATCGAAGCCATTAGTTTCCAAAATTGAATGAGTTTAAAAATCCAAAAAAATATTATTTTCCGCTCTCGTCTGAGATTTATTCCGACGCCCGTCAGCCCTGGACAAGCTGGGCGCCGTACCGTTCCTACATGGAGAAGCAGTGATCGTCGGAAACGCTCGAAAGTCGTCTACTACTATCACAAGAAAGACGAGATGCTCTACGCGCCGTCTACGTTTGATCAACGACAGTTTCGCAAACCGACGAACAACTCTTCAATTATTCCATGATTCAGCAGAGTACCTTCTCTGAAGACTGAATAAAGTTTCAAAGTTTCAAAGTTTCAAAAAATATTATTGAAAAAAGCTTCGAGAAGAGAATCCTAGTGGGCCAGTGCTATATCGTATACTTAGCTCAAAGAAAACAAATTTTCAAATTCCAATTTCGAAAAAAAAAAATATTAAATATTTCCATGGACCAAACGTTGTGTAAAAACGCGTATTTCAGGGCTCAAATCTATCAAATACTTTCCTAAAAAAATTTTGCTAGTTCATTAGATTCGTATTAGCTCAAATTTCGTCTATAGCAAACCTTCTTTTTGTCTTTCAGGTCGAGTTCGATGTCCGATGCGCGGATCCACAGTCGAACACTCTGTGGAACGGCTCTCACGGCGTTCGCCACGATCGACTTGGCCAATTCTGGCGGGTGCAAACTAAAAATAGAACAACATAAATTCTATGAGTTAGAAGCTTTTTCTGAGGCTATGTATGAAAATGTGATGACGAAATTTGTCAAAATGTTTTTCTTTTTTCAGAGACATTTTTTCCGATATATATCTTTCAAAGTTTTCGACCTTAAAAGCCTTCTCATGGCTATTCTTCACTAACATCACTTACTAACAATTGAAATATCTCTTGGTTCGAATATAACCTACCGAATGGCAGCGAGCCAAAGTTCTTCAGAGCCTTTGTTCTTCTCGCAACCCTCCATGATCAAGTTACGCGCTGTCTGAAAATGAGAATTTCGAAACATCATCTTTTTTCTCGAACCTGAAGCTTTCCGACGGCTTCTTCGAGACCTGCACTGGCGATCCACGCCGGCGGATGTCGTGGATTCGTTTCTCGCACGGATTTCAGCAGCATTCTTGCCTTGAATACTTGAATGAGCTCTCATTTCAATCTCTTCATTCAAGTCCAACAAAACACACTTTCTACCAAGTTAACGCGAAAAATCACCTTTTTAACATCATTAACGTCACCACCATACTGCGGAATCATCGACTGGAGGTCAGTCAGATAACCTTTTGGATCGACGACCGTTTGACCGGTGACTGAATCCGAAACCTAGAGAATCGAAAGGATGAAACCGGATTCAAATGGAAGACGAGCCTGGTTGAGCTTGATATCCATGATTTTGTTGCGAGCCTGTCCGATTTTCACCAGATCAAGGTCCAAGGCGCTGGAAGTGCCCGTCTGAATGCCTGTTTTCCACCCTGGCGTCAGTATACCCGCTAAAATAGGTCTTGGTTTTTCTTTGCCTCATAAGCGTGCTGTGGCAATAGTTCAGTTAACAGATACGAAAATATTGTACCAAAAACGTCTGAAAATGTATAAAAAGAGGTCTAAACCCTACGAAAATTATCTATATAAAAAAGTCTAGATCTACGCTCCGTATGTCTCATCAGAGTAAGAGCAAATCGCACATTTAGTTCCAGCGAGAGTGGTCATCAAGCCAGATCCGAAAGGCGTCTGCATCCCATTTTGAACCCGGGAATCCAATGTACTCGTCGTTTCGCCGTAGTGCATCGCCATAGCAATCAACGAGTCCGGAACAGGCGTGAATCTCAAAAAAAAAAAACAATCAACAAATCAATAGAAGTTTAACGGAAGAGATTTGGGAGAAAAAAAGAAAGGGAATCGGCTCGTTGAGCTTTCCTAGAGCTTTTCTTCATTTTTGAAAGTAGCGATTTTCATCCCGTACATACACTTAAAAATAATAAGCAGATCTTTGAATTGAAGACCAACAGATCTTATAAATCTTAATCTAACTTTGATAAAATAAAAAAAAACACTTTTCCGTTCTGGGGTTGCGTTTTGCTTTGTTCCGCAAGTCGCCAACTTCTGGAATCGCCGCCCATTCATCGTCTGTGACCTGAAACACAAGATCCAAAACATGAATATTCATTCAAATCAAAGTTCATCACGAAAGAAAAACAAAACGGACCTCGGACAGTTGTCGCTTCAAATCGGAGAACTCCTGCTGGATTTTCGGACGTTCCTTGCGATACTTTTCTATAGCTTCTTTATATTTACGCTCACTGAAACAAGGGAAAGCCGTACAAGGAAGGCAGAAAGACGAAGGGAAACCGATGGTCGCGTCGGCGTTCGTCGAGTCGCTCGTCCACGTCGTTGTAGACGCGGTCGGCGTCTTCGTCTTCCTGGTCGTAAGGATCTCTCGAGAACAAGGAGCCGCTGTACCCTTCGAACTGAAAACGACACTTCAATATTGAACTTAGGTATAAACATTTTCACTGATTCACGCAATTTTGATATGCATATAAATGAAAATAAATATTACGAAGCATGTATTCCGTCTATTTCTATCAAATAACTGTACTCTCGTCCCAGTCAGAAGATTCTTTCTGGTATCTCACCTGACATAACGACCTTTGACTGAGGATATAAAGTTCTATAAGCACTCTAACAGAAATTCATATGAAAGGCGAACGGATCTCATTTACGATGATCATTGCTATGAAGGAATGAATGTGTAACAAAGTCGACAACCAACTTCATCATAATTTGCGTCGTTGAGGTTGTCTCCCTCTTTTTCCTCGTCTTCTTTGGCCTTTTTTGCCGGTGGAGCGCCCGGAGCAGGACTTGGGCCGACAGGGCCGGCCTCGGGCAAATCCGTAGGATCTCGTGCTGGACCGATATCCGATCGTGTCGTGAAACCGGTCGCACCTCAAAACAAAGTTTATTTTGCAATTCGATTGATGAATATCTACCTCGACCCACTCCAGGAACATATCCTGTGGGTGCTGGCATACCCATGAAGAACTTTTTCGTTTTGTTTACTAAACTACCGGGAATAGTCGTCGCCATTTTGAACTGAAAAAAACATAACTTTATTCGTATTTCGGTAAAAGCAAGCGTGAAAAAGGGGAGATTCAGAAATGCCTAGACAGTCTTCAAGACTCGGCCCCACCCAATCATTGAATAAGTAATGTCCGGAATAAATCGTAGCGGTATTTCGAGAGCACTCATTTCAAAAAAAAAATGAACAAAAATATGAAGTAGTAGTACGATTGTATTCCTGATTCATGTTTTCAGTACGCACCGAAAAAGTTCTTCCGTTTATTTCCTGTTTTTTTTTTGGCGATTTAAAACTTTTCGCCTTTCTATTGGATTGAAATAGAAAAGCCATTTCTAAAAAATAGTTCATATATCCACTAAACTGAGATTTAAGACATTCGTAATAGGTAATGACAAACTTTTAATTAAACAAAAATTAGATGACAGTTTTTTTAAATTTTTACAACATTAGTCAATTCAAAAATTCAAAAAAACTTTCCTTAATGAATTTTTTAAAGGGATATCACGTGTTCGAAAGGACAAAATATACATCAAGAAAAAGGAAAAATTCGAAATTGCTAGTAGCCTTCAAAACGCCGCCGTCGTTATATATTTCACGATAATCGCAATAGCGCGCACAAGCCTCTTGTAGATTTACAGGAAAATTTATCGTACATATACTCAGGCACTGGTGCGCGCACGCGCGGGGGTACTGATTCTTTTTTTCGCCTTTTCCACTGAAATAAGGTTTTTGAAATATATTTTTTTCATACTTTTTTTGATATTACCCAGTGCCCCTGCTCACGTTTTAAAGTTGTTCCGAGCACTTTCGAACAAATTTATGAAAAAAAGTTGCCAAGTGAAACTTTGATATTTCACATTTTTGTGCAATCTAATTGTTATAAACTGGTGCAGAGCAATGTTAAGAGATGAACAGACATGAAAAATATTAAATTTATAACTTTTCAATAAGTTAAAAAGCTAAAAAACAAAAGAGACACCCCGCGCGTGCGCGCAGCAGGCGCGCGCATGCGCACTTTTGGCAACAAACACGCGCCGTCAGTGCCTGAGTATAAAAAATTTCAATGCGTTTTCCAAATTTAACCTACTCACCCAACAATAACTATCAAAACATTTATAACCTACCGAAAAAATTGAATTCATTTTTGATAACTAAAATTTCTTTGTGAAATAGCCCTTGCTTTCAAAAGAGTCTTTGTTTAAAAGCACAAAATAATTTTTCAGCAATTTGGGAGCTGAAAACCTGTATATACTGTAATAAGTTGTGTAAAATCAATTTAAAAACATTTTTCAAGATTTAGGGTCTGATAATGGTTAGAGAGAGGTTTACAAATTGATGAAATGTGTACCTTTCAACGTCGGCTTTCTTTTTTCCTTCGAAGTTTGAGGAACTCTCGTTGCGACAAATTGGCCGACATTGACAGTACGAATGATGGAATTATGATGAGAAGGAGACCCGCAATAGGTTCCCACTCTGCGGGAGCAGATAAAATCTCGGAAAGTATGCGTCATTGGCCTCAAACGTTTGCCTTGTTCATTAACCTTGAAGGTCATTTCAGGTGAGCCTTTAAATCTGTTGAAGAATTTGGGATTGAAAGGCCGAATTATTGCATTATTTCATTTTTTTCATTTCATTTCAAGTGTTTATTCGCCATTCCGCAATCAGCACGACAAATACAAAAAAATAATACATCAAAACAATCAAATCAATCAAATAAATCTAACAGCTGATCTGTGGAAACGGCTGGAGGAAAAAGATTGCCTGTATAGACGATGCTAACCCCCATTTGGTATTTTTAAGTTTGTTCTTTGTTTTTTTAATAAGTTAGAATTTTTTTCTAGATTTTAGTAGGATCTAATGATTTTAAAAAAACGATGTGTTTGATTCGAACCATGAGGTGAGCATAATCTGAAACTTGCCGATTTCGTATTCAATGATAGTTTCTCTCTCCAGTTGGTTCCAAATGGGTATGACTCTATGATTTATCTGCATATTGAAACCAGCCGAAAGTGCTTCAGTGACCATATGTGACAGGATATCGCAAAAAACTCCGTTAAAAGCTCCATATAATTTATAACCATAGTAAAAACCAATCAACACAGTTGAGCACATAAGAAAAACCGAAGACACTAACCGAGAAGTAGAATTTCGAGCAAAACCGGGACCACTACACATCCGTTCATATATCAGGGTTTAATTTAATGACCGGAGTAAGTTCTATTTACAAATAGCAGTAAGTTGTGGGCCGAAACCCGTCCTCCAAATAGTCATTTTGCGCACTTCGAAAAGATAGGGTACAAAAAAAGAAAGTGGTGAAAATGAAGCCCATATATATATATATATATATATATATAAGTACATATATGAATAAAAAGAGAGGAAACATTAGAATAGAGACATTTTATAGTTAATTCATGACGAACTGTTCGAATTCTACAATCATCTCTTGCTAGCGACGTCAGTCTTTGACACTGAAACTCTCTGAGTACACACACTGATAACGATATCAGAACTTATTGCAAGAGTTCGAATGTAAGAATCGATGAGCTTGTCGAAGACTAACCATAAAAACTTCAAAGTAGGGGTTCGCGAACTCAAGTAGCCTTCTTTCTCAGATTTCAACTAGAAATTTCAAAACGAAGAAAATTGAAAGGAGGTGGAAAGATCGCTGGAAGTCGCATTGAAATAAAGATAGTCCCAAAGAAGCACAGAGGTTAACTATGGTGTCAAAATAAACCGGTTTAGAAGAATGAAGCGAATTCAATAAAATTGAAAAATAACCTGAAACAAATCACAACTACAATTAAAACTAGATTCCGAGCATAAATTCAGAGGAAATCACAGATTGTATGGCAACACGAAACGAGTCCATTTTGTGTTGAATTTTGTGCAATTTAGTCTATTAAAATGCTTTTGCCATGAAGAACCATCATAAGGCTGAACAAAGAAATGATTATGCGTGGGACAAAAAGAGGTTGGCACATACATCAGGACACGGATATTCAGTGAAATGTATGACTGGTTAGAGGGTACGGAGAAGCAGAAAGAAAATCTGAGTTGTTAGTCGCAAAACAGCCGTTCAACAAAGCTGTGAACGCTTGAATGATTCTACGGAAGCTAAACGGACAACTTGAAGGAAATAAAAAACTAGCCGAGTACTGACGGGGAAGAAAAGTTGAGAGGAACACCACCAAAGCCCAGAAGATCCCAGAGAAGAGAAGGTGAAGGCAAAAAAGGCTAGCCAGAGGGCGGAGAGCGATTGCGGAAGAAGCAAGAGAAGAAGCTGCGATTGCGCCGCGGCCGTTTCCGTTCGTTTTCCAGCGGCGGCGGTGGCGGCGTGGTCGGCACGTCGTGCACTGGAAGCTCGTTGACCAGATCCTGGAGGGCCTGCGGAAACTCGTCGCTGTCAGCCATTGATAGCTGGTCCATCAGCTCTGCAACGCTCAATGTGAAAAGTGCGGGAAAAAAACAGGTCTTTTCTCCTCAATTCGCATTTGCTATTAGTATTCCCTAATATAGAACTTCAAAAAAAGCATGAATTTACGATGGTATGAAAAAAACGCCAGCGAAAATTCAAACGGCGACTTTTCCGATTTTTTTCATATCGCTAGAGAACTTTCGGACGGCCACCTTTCCGACGAAATTTTTTCCGACTTTTTTTCTCGATAAAATCTTCGTTTTAAATCTTCCTATATAAAGTAGGTAGTTGGTTCATGATTGAAAACACAAAGAAATAGGAAAGGTGACCGTCGGAAAGTTTCCTAGCGATACGAAAAAATCGGAAAAGTCGTCGTTTGAATTTTCGCTAGTGTTTTTGTCATACCACCGAATTTACTTTTCTAGAAGCTTTTTAGAAAATTGATAAATCTCACAAAATCGTAAGATATAGCCCAAGAAATATTTGCAGCGGAACTAGTCGAGCAGGGAACAAGACATCCTCATTTGACTACGCGCTTCGACCTCTTTGAAAGCCTCTTAACGCCTAGTCACTTACATTTTTTACCTAAAAAACCGAATATGGCATGACATGACTCTTTATGATTACGAAATTCCTGATCTAATTTTAAGAGCATCCGCTGAGCACAATTCAACCTGGGCGAACGTCTGCTACGGCGCTCAATATTAAGCTATTTTCCTGACAGCTCTTTGGTGCAAGTTTTCCCGTTCCACCGACTTTATCTCATGAGAAAACAGTTATGACTCAAGTACACACCATCTTCGTAGCCGTCGTCGGTTGTGAGAGGGTACAACTTGGCGAGATTCCCGGCGAAAGTCAAAGGACGAGAGCCCGTTCTGATGCGCTCGCTGATTTTCCCGAGACCTTCGTCCTGAAAAAATCTCTGATAAAACATTGCTCAATTCATTCTCTCCCACCTCTGGATATCGACGACGGAACCATTCACAACGTTTGATCCGATTTATGTCCCAACGCTCGACTGGAGACTTGTTCAGCATTCCAACTATCAACCTGACATCAAACCCCAGTAATCAAGACAGTTTTTTAGAGAGCTCCTACTCTTGTATGTCTTCGTCCAACTCGACGTTTTGGGGCATTTGCAACGGAAGAGTCGCAATATTCTCGAACAAACTCATAATCACCTAGAAGGATTTGATCAGGAAATGAAAGAAGGGAAAGAAAAGAGGAAGGAGTAATCAAAGTGCTTTCGGCGGATTTGAGTCCAAAACCGCTTCTGCAAGAAACCCGAAAGAGGATTGATCCCGAGAGAAACGGAAAGTTCTGAACCAAAAATTGAGAAGCATACAACCCGAAAAGACAGAAAAAAAAATGAGGAGAAGCCCGTCTCCTGTGGAGTTTTGCCGAAATCACTTTGACATACCTTCAAGGAACTGCTGTTCTCACTAACATGTCCTTCAAAGGGATAAACGCCGGAGAGGATATTGTACAGAGTGACACCGCAGGACCACACGTCCGCTTGGAACGCGCTGGAATGCCAGAAAAGATGAGTAAAGATAGGCGAGTCGAGTAACAAAAGAAATAGGGAGATTATGCCGCTGATTACACATTCAGACCAAGCTTCAACCATAATTAATGAATCACAGCCATTTGAACTTAGAAAATGGGTTAACGCGAAAAAACATCTTATTACCTTTCATGTCGCATTCGAAGAAATTAATTGAAATTAGACACTTTAAATTTTTCTTTATCGTTCTCACTGACGGTCTTTTCTTCATCGACGGACTTTTCTTTTTGAACTGACAATATAATTTTTATTTTGCACCTTTTTTATTTAGAAATCCTCTACATGAATACGATCGTCATAAAAAGTAACGTGTGAACAAAAATTCTTGCTGTGGTGTACAAAAGGGAAAAAGTTTTTCATGATCCAAAGCAAAGCAGAAAAATGCGAACTGCCATGAGACCTCTGTAATATTATTCCATGTGCCTATGAAAAACTCAGCGAGGAAAATAATGGCAAAGCTTCATGAAAAAGCCATTTTTTTTTATAAATACTTGAGAGGCTTGCCTAATCTGTAATTTCATGGACCGTAGAGGTCAGGCGAGCCTTAGGTAGAGGTCCGAAAAAAAGCTTATGCCTGAGACTGGGCAATATGACTCGCATAAGTTCCAATGTGAGTAGGTATACTCACTCATAACTGCTCGAGTTTCCAGAAACAAGCTCGGGAGCCTGGAATTTCGGAGTTCCCTGTACGCTGGTGCACGTCCCATCATTCTAGACAAAAATGCGAAAAATCTCCGGGCTAGGAACAAAGAAACCTGAAAGAATGGGAGCTGCTCGGCAACGCCAAAGTCGCAAATTTTCAACACGAAATTGATGGAAATGAGCAAGTTTCCAGGCTTGATGTCTTTGTGGACAACGCGGATCGAGTGCAGGTGTTCAAGTCTGTAAAGTTTCAGATTTTCCAGATTTTGGAAATAATAGAAATCGCGACATATGGCCACCAGGACTTTTACACTTTTTTGAATATTTCTTATCGCTTTTTGAAAATGTGGCCTAATGTATTCATATAGGTTTTGCTATTTTGAAAAAGCTCAAAAAGAAAGTTTGTAGTTTCTGAAAAGCAGTTTTCCTAAAATAGCTCTTCATCACTTTCGGCGAGACTATTCTAATCGGAGGACGCTGAGAATTTCCATTCATAGAGCTCCGGCAGAAACTGACGCCTTGATGAGGTGCAGGAAATAACGATGAGTCTCGCCGGCCTCCAGACGCTTGTGCAGCTCGCTGTCGAGCTGCGTCTGCACGGACCCGATGCAGAATTCCAAGACTAAGAAAATTCTCCCTTTGACGATGTCTTCCGGCATCTGTATTCATATTCGTTCTTCTCAATTTAAGCCAAAAAAGAAGCAAACCACTGAATAGGCGCCGTACAGTCGACACACATTCTCATGATTGATTTTCTTCATGATGGCGATCTCTCGCTGCACATTTTCCATGCCATTCGGAATACGACGAATTTTCGACGTCTAAATTCATTTTATATAGATCGGATAGAAGATAATCTTTTGGCATTCATATTCTGTTTTAAAGGTTACAAAAAGTAGGACCTTCATGACTTTAAGCGCGCGACGGACCAAAGTGTTCTTGTCGACGATCTCCTTCACTTTTCCGTAGGATCCGATGCCAATCCGTTCGCCATACAGATATCCTTCGAAGAACTTTGGCTCCTTTTTCTTTTTCGAGAAAACTTCATCCAAGTGCTAAATAAAAATATTTTCGGATTCAGAAATATTGTTTTTTTATTCAACTCAATTAAAAATAATATCTTTCCTTCTCAATCAGTAGTGGCGACTCGAGCCCGAGGTCGAAAAACTTTGGAAAAAACTATATTCATTATTTTCGAAATGATAACTTTCGCTTAGTATAATCTCTAGCCTTGCCTGAATGTTAGAAGACGCAAACATAGAACTTAGAACGGTCATTAAATTTAAAGAACATGGAATTGTGCTCCTGCTATTGGGTGTATATGAAATTTTGACATTTTTTCCCGCGAAAAAAACAAAAATCAAATTGAGACAAAGGTCAAGCTTTTCGCAATGTACTGTTGAGGAGGAAAGACGAACTGGTTCCTCAATATGGTTCTCAGGAGGATTCAGAAGCCCTTGGCCTTGAATGATTGCGCGAATCCGATCGGCGCCGATTTCCTCGTCGGGTGGGAAGTCCTCCTCCTGAATCAAGAACAAAATTCAAAAAATAAGTCCTGACGAAGGCGACCTGAGGAGCGTTCCAATGACGGAGGTGCTGCTGAAGACGGTACTTTTTCATCTCCGCCGTCTCTTCTTCCTCGTCCTCTTCTTCGTCGTCCATCCCCCCAAGTGAAAGCTTCTGAACATTTATAGAGAGTTTAAAGAGTAATTAAATTAATAAAACATATATTTATTCATTTTTTTCCTCATTTCGCAATCTTCCTTGCAACAAAAAAACAATGTCCTTTTTGAAACTACCTTTGTTTTCTTTTTATCCGGAAGCTCTCTTACACGGTGAAAAAAATAAGTGTGAAGTTTGTTAACTGAAATTGCTCAAAATTTCTTGAATGGTTGAGATAACTCTTATAGATTTTCTAACTGTGCAAAGCTTTTTTTTTAGCAATGAAAAAAAAACTACAAAGTTTCTCAAAGTCTGAATATGGTTGAGTCAATTTATCGTGGAAAGAACTAAGAAAACACGGTCGTTTATTTGACTATATTTACTACGGCCCTCTTACTGATTGCGTCAGAAAACATCAAAAAAGTTTTTGAACACACTTATATTTTTCTTTTTCAATCTCTCTATGATAAATAAATAAATTTTGAACGCCTATTTTTCTCAGTTATAAGTGAAGAAAGTGCTTTTTTTTTTGTTATTCATCTAAGCAAGTATTTTGGAACGAGCTTCAAAGTTTCATGAGTAATTTTTGAAAATTTCGAATCTTATTATTCACCAAAGGGTTCTTGCCGCCGGTGAACCATTTCCCCTGGGTGACTCGAGAGGCCGGTTCTTCTTCTTCTCCGACGTCCGAATCCACGTTCAGTTTCATGTGGCTCGTCCCGGGCCCCGTGCTGTCGTTCGTAGGCAAAATCAGTCTTGAACTTACTTTTTCTTCTGTAAACTTTCGATTCATCCGAAAAATACATGCAATTGATTTCAGAAAATTGGAAAAAAAAAAGAAAACTAGCCTTCACATGGCCGCGCGCCGTCCAGTGCCACGTAGTCCATTCGAGTCGCCCCGTCTATAAAAACTATCAAGATTTTATTAACTCTCGAACATCAAAAATAACTCGACACGTGTTTCAGTAAACATTCAGAAAGTCGGACGTCAATGAAAAGAAAAATCGATAAATTTATTGGCCCGTATCCAGACAAAGAAAATTTTAAAAAAATATCACAGGGTTATTTACAAAACAAGGATAATGTGATGAATGCGATTTGAATTCTGCATAGCGTTAGATCTGATCAAAACTCGTGCGTAACAAATACAACTAGCGAAGCGACGAAAACATGGAAAGAAAGATGAAATTTTGAGAAGCAAAGAATAAATACAAGAGATCTTGAATCAGTCCAAGTCGTCGTCGATCAAACCGTTTGGAAAAGGGGCGCTGTTCGTGGAAACCTTGAAAAACAAGACATGAGAGTGGAAAACGTTAGTTTCTCGCTTCTATTGCTGCCCTTTATAGCGAGAAAAGAGGGCGGTCTTGTAAACTTTTTTCTGACAAACCATTTGGAAAATTAAACAAAAAAAACCAATTTTGAAACGTTTTCGAAATATAAACACTTGCTATCTCGTTTTTCGATCTTTCACATGATTCATCGTAAAAGCTCTCAATTTATTCCATTTTTTCGGACGGGAGAAAGCAAACAAAGACATTTTCTCATAGAATATATAATCTTATTTACCGAAAAATCACAAAAACATGAGAAAATGATGTGATACCTCAACTTCAGCTTCGATCCAATCGTTGTCTGAAGCAAAAACTTCTTTCTGCTGTTGTTCCAAAACAGGAGGACCCTCGTCATCCGAATCCTAAGAAATCTTTTTTTTTTCAAGAGAAAATTAAGCCTACCGTTACAGGTTCCCGAACAGTTGGTTGTACACAGATTCTTCGGAAAACGGACTGAAATTTACTTTTTTTTAAATTACGAATATGAGTCACTTAATCCAATGAGCATCGGAATTTTTTCAAAACATTTTCTGAAATAATTCATTAAAATTTGCATGTTTATCAAAAGAAATTTTGAATTGCTCAACATGACAAAACTAATTTCACATTAACCCTTAAATTCAAAAGAAGAAAACCAATAAATTATTTGAAACGCGGAATTTCTTGAATACGAATTAAAAACATTTTTTGATGAATTTACTGCATGAAAAAACACGGCAAACCACTAAAGCAAAAGTCCGAGGCCTGCTTTCCTAAATTTGAAAAAATTTCTCAAAATATACTATTCTTGAAAAGATGAAATTATTTTGAACAAGTACTCAGAAATGAATTTCAGATTTTATGGGATTTCGTCTTTGATGCTAATTTCCGATAGGAAGCCATATTTAATCAATAAATATTGACCATTTTAAAATAACTCGCTAGTCATTTCAAGAATTACTTCCAAGGGAGCTTCCTCGGTCCTCCAATTATTTGATAAAACGGCGATTAAGCCTTGTCTTTTTTTTGATCCTGATATCTGCAAAATCTGAAGAACAACTTCTTTCTATGGCTCTACCCCAAAATTCCGTATTTCTCAACCCAACTAAGGATGGAAGGTTTTATAAAAACTCAGATGAGAGAAAAAAAACGTACAGCTCCGTTCAGATTCTTCTGAAGAAAGAGGCGTTCGGATGGCGTCTCTCCTTTAGGGACGTTTGCAGAAGCTCTTGAAACAATATTAGAGAACAATCTGCGAAATCAAAGCTTACATGGACAACTGAGCAATCCTATTGTCTTCAGGCGTTTTCAATCGCACAGAAATGGGGTGGACGACGAATGGAGGCCGTGTGATCGCGACGGCGACGTTTCGGCCGCGAATCACCGCTTTTTTCTCGCTTTTCTTCGGTTGGTAGCCGGCGCCTAGAGAGGGAAAAGGTCAATTTAAAGAGCGAAACAATGACTAAGCCGAGAAAAGAGAGAATTATTTCATAATATTGCTGTGGTCACATAAGGGTGCCTCTAAAATCTTTTTTTTTCTTCGATTTTTACTACTTTTTCGAAATGATTGAAAAGAGAGTCATCACAGATAATGTCGTTGCTGGACTTGGCAGCTTTTTGAATTGACTATAGCAGTGTAATCTTTTCTAAACTTCAGAAATAACCAAGAAACGAACCGAACTCGTCGTTGACAAGGAAACGAATGAGGCCATCATTGGACAAGGACCCCAGATTTTCTCCGCCACCGATCGACTCATTATAACTTCAAAAGATCCATGAGCTGAATAATCAGACGAGATCATTACTTGTGCTTGATAAGATGTTCACGGAAGTGTCTTTGTGACTTCGAAATGAAATTACAGGCAGCTGATGGACAGCCGTAGGTCGCAGATCTACCGACATGATTTGCTCTGAGAAAGTTTTGAATAAATTATATCAATACGTTAAAGTTAGAAAAAACCAAAACAAGATAAAACATTCATAGGATCCCGTTCGTTTAGCAACGGCATGAAGTATTCAATAGATTCATTAAATACAAAAATAAGCGGCAATTTTTACTTTGGCATTTTTCAACGCAAGCTCGCCGTCAATGAAGTATACTAACGGAAAAAGGTTTTTTTCGGAAACTTGATCGAAATGATGGTTTTCTTTTTTTCTGTAGTGAATATATATTTCAAGTGGATATTCAAAACGAACTGAACGTGTTGCTGATAGCTGGCCGGCTCCATATAAGATTCGGAGCAATAGGGACATTTGTAGCCCCATTCCGAACGCGGCGTGTGATTCCGCAACTTATGCCGGTGCAGCGTCATTTGGCTCGCTAAATTAAATCTCTTCTTTTCTGATCAAATTCGATGACTGAACCAGCTGCATAGTCGCAATTCTCGCAAGCGAAAGGTCTAGTTCCCTTGTGTATATTCATGTGTTCCGTGTAAGATCGCTTTGAGGAGAGTTCTTTACGACATACTCTGAAAAGAAAAGTCTTTCATAAAAGTCTTGAAATTTTAAAAACAATCAATTGATGAAATAAATTTCATAAAACTTACGAGCAATGCCATGATATTTTTTTGTGCTCCGTGATGGGCTCTTGAACTGATTGAGCCTTGATCAACCGAATCCTGTGAGGCTTTCTAGGTTCTTTTATTACTTTGTCCATAGTTTTCACAAATTTTATTTGATCAGATGACGTATGTCCCTGAATTTCGCCGAATTCAAGAAAATCGTTGACAAAAGCCGTCTTACCGCTTTCAACTCGATCGGAACGCCCTTAGAAGTATAGTCCACTCTTTTTAGATAAATTGTCTGTACCCGTTGTTGCTTTATCATTTTCCTGTAATAAATAAAATTTTCATGGAGCAAAATTCAGACTTCATTCATCGAAAAAAAACAGATACATCGGTATAAACAATAATCCGCATCATACGCTGATTGGTAAGATTTCGGAGAATCAATTGCGTTAATGATCAAGTTTTTTAATAGCGTAAAAAAAAGAGACCCGAAAAGTTTTGTTGAAAAACAAGAGAAATAAAAATTGAAAAATTTTTTGGCACTTCGGCGCACTTCACGCAGGCACAAGCGTTCACGGAAACAGCCTACAGTAATTGACAATCCCAAAAAAAATTTTTCAAAAAGTTTTGATCAAAATTCAAGTGAATGCAAAGATTTTTGTGAAAAATTCAAGTTTTTTTTGAATTTCAATTACTGATCGGTCTGAAATATGTATGAAACAACTTCATTCCATGAATAGTATTTGGAGCGTAGAATGTAACGGATACAAAACTATTGGAGAAATGCACCAAATATTCGAACTTGAAAAATAAAAAAGTTTTGATGTTTGAATTCTTCAAGATTTTCAATTTTAATTCGTTTCTTTTGTATTAAAAATTTGATATTTAATCCTAATTATAGAAATTTCTTTAATTCGAATTGTGCGAATATTCGCATTTTTTTTTCTTTTTGATGTTTATTCACTCACAGAAAGATCAACTCGTATCACATCGTACAAGGTGAGAGGGACCAGGGCGCAGTGCAGAGAAAACCTCAGAAGCAGCTGTCATCCTGAGGCAGCCAACTTGCTCCTACCTTTGTTCCTTACCCTCTTTTCATGTATATATATATAAGTTCCAATTAAGAATTAGTTGAAATTGAGTTAAGGAAAATGAAGTAGGAACGTGAACATTGCAATTTAAGAATAATTTAGAACTCTCGGTCGTTTGAGCCCGGGCTAGCCCCCATCTGCGGTATCTGTTTTTTTTTAGTAAAAGTTGTTTCCAAAATTCATCTATGTGTATTTTAACTTTTAAGAGAGCCGTTTGAACCAGAATAGGAGATAATTAAAGATAGGATCCTTAGTCATTTTGAGATGGAAAGTTGCCTGAAACTACATTCGTCGCAAATCCGTGGTTTGAAATATCGAAAAGTACGAGGCTGGTTCCGAGAATATATTTGAATTCCAAATTGACCAGTCTAATTTGTGGAAAAATTGTCTATTAACGTTTTAAAAAAACTTATTCTATAAATACTGACCGGAGTTGGTATTCCTAATGTCTTGTTTCTTCTCTTATGAAGTTCCAGGTACGAACTATGTCTCAGAAAATCATCGAAAAAAAAAACTCAATTCACACCTCTCTACGTGCTCAGATTCAGCTTTTGTTAATAGGTTATAGACCATCTTAGGCCTGTTCAAGGCGGCCTGCTGTATTACGGTATTTTAGAAAGCTTTATGATATAACCGATAAAGCCTTCATCGGTTATAAAATGGAAATTTGTTTCCTTTTGAGACTTAACTTTTCTCGCAGCTTCGAAAGATAGATTTTAAATAAATGCAAAAAAAAGCAAACTAAAAAAATTTCCTGACTTCGAAACTGACGGCGCGATATTGGCCGGGCGTCTTAGCGCTGTCTAGATGATCTTAATTTTTTAAACTCCTTTTTTATCTTCATATAAATCTCCCTTACTGAGCCATCTTTCTTGAATATTTGATCTCAAGCAATCGATCTCTATCGATTTACTCGGCCTGAACAAGCGCTGCAAGTGTTTGCCGTGGGCGGTAGCAGGCTCGTTTCTTTTCCAAACCCCTGTTGCCATTCGATCGTCCTTGAGATGAAAAAGCATAGATAGTTTCGAACCCAATACTGTTTTTTCGCACTCAGTTATGACATCTAGACAAAGCTTATGCCACAATAGAAGCCTTTGTTTCGCAACGGCACTTCACCCACTTTACCTATGTTTGCGCAACGGATACGAGTCTTTTCCGACGCCGCGCTAATATATTTTGCCTGAAACAAAACTTGCAGCGCGTCATGCCGACACACTGACTCCTGCTCATCGAAATGGACGTTCCGACTTTCAACTCCGTTCTTCTCACATTCACTGCGGCGGTCTGTGGTCTCGCCCTGATTGGACTGCTTTTCCTTTTCCTGTCTATCCAGTGTTCCTGTTGCAAAAGAAGGACCAGAGCAAGTGAGGCAAGGCACAGTATCCCTACCGTTCACATCTCTGTTCACAATGATAAGTGAGTTTGTTCACACCCTAATCCTCTTCAATCCCCTTTTTATTTTTGAAAAACTCGAGCAAAGTTTAATTAATTAAATAGGTTGAAACTTATACCGAGACCTGTTCCGAAATGGAAGTTCGCTTTGCTTGAGTATTTGAAGAGATAGTGAGCTACAATGTACTGTCGTCTTAACTTACTAAAAAACGCTTTTTTCCAAATTAGGCCTTTTTAAGGGTTGCTAGCGTTTGCAAAAACTCAGTTTTTAAAACTCAATTTGAATAATCAAACGTTAAGATTGTGTTTTTCTTCAAATCTGTTCATTTTTTCGTACAAAAAACTCGTTATTAACGTTAATAACGAGTTCGTTATAACGAAGATATCGCCCAAAACCGCGACTGGTGTGTGCACATTTTAAACCTACAGTGTGCCAAACTGAGCGTACGGAACAAATGTGGGCTCTCGAAATTTCAGCTTTGCGTTTTGTGCTAACTCATTTAAAACAATAAAAACGCGGTCTTTCTGGCAGAAAAAAACGTGAAAAGATGGCTCGGAATGGGCTAGCTCAAATAATGGTCAATCGCAACAAAATTTTTGAAACTTTAGATATGTAAGTCAATTTAAAAAATTATAATTAGGGGCGCAAAGCCCCACCCCTTCACGCCACCAAAATGACGATTTTTTTGTTGCAAAAAAACGGTTTTTGAGGCGTTTATACTAGCTAAAGTTCCACTTTAAAAATAAACTGTTTCAGTTAATCTATGTAATCGACAACGCTCTACAAGACTGAATATTTTTAAACTATGTATTTTTCAAAAATAAGCGAAAAAGTAAGATTTAACACGAAAAAAAACTGACAAGTTTCACAAAATCCTCGCGTTTCTAAAAACCAAGCGAGGAACGCTTCTTAATTTAAAGTATGTTATATACTAACAATTTCTTTATTTTTCGAGTAAAAATTTTAAAAGATCTAACGACGCGAAAAAAAAAATCTAAGCTTGTAAAGTGACACCAAACTTTGAAGCTGAAATGCGAAAAAATTTCAGCGACATGGTATACTTTTTATTTGATTTAAAAACTCACAATGTGTTTAAAAATATAAAATTCAGAATGAAAATAATTATTGGGAGAGCGAATCAAATTATATTTGAATTTTACCGAAACCTCCTTTTTTCGTCTGCCTCGTTGACGCATGAGAGAATAGGATCGCGTCTATACTTTTTGATTATGTTATTAAGCGTTCAAAAACTCTATCAATAGAAAAAAATTATGAAAAAAATCGATCGACGCGAAAAAAATAACGGTAAAAAAATTCTGAAAAATTATTATCTTTCTGAAAAAAATTATTATCTTTCTGAAAAAAATTATTATCATTTGATTTGGAAAAAAAGAAAAAAATAAGCTGAAAAATTCCTTCTGACCTTTTTTTCTAAGTAGTTTTTTTGATATTTTATCAAAATTTCTTATGAGGATTGTACGAAAGATTCATACCAAAACATGAAGCTCAGTTTGGACAACCTCTCAGAACAGAAAACCGATTTGAAAACGGTTCAGAAATGCGCAAAAACATTTAAAAAGAAAGCGTGCGGCAGCGGGGAAACCGTGAGATTTTGCCTCCAGTTGTACGCCGCGCGCGCTAGTTTTTTCGCCATAACTTTTTTCTTAGTGGACCTTTTTTCAAAAACTAAACGAATTATGAAAATTGACAGTCTCTTCTATGGAATAGTGTGAAAAGCATATTTTTGGGATCGTTTTGAAGAAATGGCTTGCGGACCCTAATTATAATTCTTTCAGAATTTCGACCTACCGAGGAAGCAACGACCTGGAATACATAGATTCCTCCTTAAACACCGGCCTTATATCTTCTACTGTTAAAGTGAATAACGTGTCGCCAAAGTCATAACTATTCAGCCTGTTTCAAATCAAAATAATAAATAGTAACATTTATTTACCAACAAGTGTAACAAAAAAAGCTTAAACAGTTTCTTCCTTCGTGACCTTGACTGGCTTTCCTCCCCGAATTCTTCCGGTACGACGAGCAGCAATAAGACCAACCTTAATCAAATGTTTTTGCACGGTATGACCTTTCAAAATATAAATTTAAGAAAGGAGGTAAGTGACAAACTATTATTTCGCCCTCCATGGAAAGATGTAGCTTTATTAGCAACGACATCAATGAAAGAGGACACATGCTAACACGAAAAAAAGAGAAAAAAATACCTTCTTTCCTGCGCTGGCATCTCTTCTAACAGTAGATGGATGACCGATGTGTTGATGGTTACCACCTCCGTGAGGATGCTCAACGGGGTTCATGGCAACACCACGCACTCGCGGCCAGCTGTTTCTCTTGGCCTTGTACTTGTGGTATGACCTTCCAGCCTTCAAGAGAGGCTTGTCAGTACGGCCACCACCGGCAACGAGTCCTGAAAACGCCATCTTTCCTTTACAATCGAAACCATACGAAGTAAAGTGCGGGAAAATTAGACGATAATTTGGGGTTCAAAATGATTTCGCAAAATCCAAAATAGCCGTAGGAGACAGAAAAAGATAACTAAACTTTGAAGAGATCACTTTGCATTTCGCGAAAATTATTTCGAAGACATCATAAGAGGTTTCCAAATCTTCGAAAGCTAAAATGCGTTCAAATATTGAGAGACCATTGTGACTTTTCAATCATGTATTGCTCCTTCAATATTTCAAAGCTTTTTTGCAGAGCTGTTCTCAAGTCGGGGCGACCCTGGCCGAGGCCGCCCCGACCCGACCGCGACGCGCCCCGGCCCGCGAAGCGGTTTTCATTCAGGCCCCCGAAGCGAGCGCGAGGATTTTTCCGTATTTTTTTGTTTTTTTATTTTAGTTTTTTTATATTGAAAATGAAACTTTTTAAGTTATTTATGATCCATGAAAAATTTTATTAATTTGTTTACTCTAGTTCTGTAAATTGTTCTGGCCACTTAGGGAACTATTGAATTTTTGGATTAATATCTCATTTCATCGGTTTTTCTCTTTATGTGCTCGATAAAAAATGTACGGCTCGAGCGGCTGAACCAGAAAAACTGTTTCGCGGCACGCGTCAAAAAAGCTCTGTACACGTATGACTCTCCAAAAACCTTCAAGGACATTGGTAACGTGAAGCGGACGTTTCTCAATAATAATAATAAAAAAATTAATCATTCTTCTCACTCTCCGGCGGCTACTTTGAATTTCGCAAAATTTTCGATATCAATAAACTTGAAATAAAAAATATGGTTATCAAGTTAAAAATAAAAGACTCCGTAAGGGTCCCCAGCAGATCTTTTGTATTTTATTTTTGCATCTTTTTCACATCCTTCAACAAAAAAAAAAGCTGGAAAGCAACTAAAACGTTTCGAGATGGATTCAAAAAGGATGAGGCCTTTAAAAGGTAGCTCAAAAGCGTTTTTTCATATTCCAAGAGCTTTTAAAGAGCTTTTTTAAAGCCATTTTCAAAGTAATTTCGGCGATTTCAAAATAGACGCGTTATTTGTTCAAAATGAATTCAGGAAATAGGCAAAATTGCTATTCCGAGAATGCGCAGAAAAAGTGAGTCCTACAACGATATATCGTTAAATATGCATTTTTACCGTAATTTCTTCGCGGTAACTCAAAATTTTGGAACTATGTAGGCATTTTCTACTGAAATTTCAAATTCGCGCGTAAGACTCACCGTAAAAATGCGTATCCAACGATATATCGTTGTAGGACTCACCTTACCAGAATACCAATTCCGCCTATTTTCCGAAATCCTTTTAAACGAATAACGCGTCTATTTTGAAATAGCCGAAATTACTTTGACCACGGCATTAGATCCCTGTCAGGATCTTCAAATGAACTTTCCAGTTCTACCTATGATGGCAGGTAAACAACTGAATAAGTCTGGAAGGAGGGGTTGACTCACAAAAAATTTCAAAGTAGAGTATAAGAATGAGAAAGAATAACACCAGAGGTTTGACAGGAAAAACTTCTGGAAATAGTACTGACTTCAACTCAGGAACTCGGGAAAAAAGGACAGCGCCTCAGAAAATGGTCTGCTCATGTACGTCTCAAAATAGCATGCAATAAAGTGAAAAATGATTTTTCGCCAATTTTCTGGAAATAGAAAAGCCCTGAAACTCGCTGAGATATCAGTGATTTCGACTTTATCTGATGTAACAAGGCTTTATAACAAGATTAGGGAAGAAACAATTTCAGCCTAAAATAACTTGTTGTAGTCCTTTTAAAGTTTCAGGAAAATGTCGGAAAATCATTTTCCCCTTTCTTGCACACCGCCTCAGGTCAAACTTTTTTTTTCTCTGAACTGGAGCTGCTAAAGGCGCGGCCGAGTTTTTTTTTTTTGGCGCATGCTTTTTTTCACTCTCTCTGACTGCGAGAAAACGGCGAAATAACATGCGGCAGAGAAACATTTAAGCGCCTTCAGGCGCTCCAGGTCAGAGCTTTTTTTTTTTTGCTAAGCGTTCCTTAGACCGAGTTTTAAGTGATTCCGCAAATAAAGATAGCCGTCAGAGTGTACAGGACTATTGCATTTTGAAAAGTGAAAAAAGGTTTTGAGTTTCGCGGAAATCACTCAGAACGCCGCATTAGTTTTAACACAACTATGCTGTGCTTCGAGCAGTTTTCGAGAAAAATGAAATTTTCTTTGTTGAAGTAGCGTCATATTAATTCAAAAGCAGCGCTGGACTATCTTCTTCTAAGTGAGAAAGCTAATGAACAAACCGATCATGGCGCGGTTAGCAGATTGAACGACTTTCTTGGCACCAGAAGGCAGACGAATACGAGTCTTCCTGGTGTCAGGGTTGTGTGCAATAACCGTGGCGTAGTTGCCTGTTCATCATTAATATCATAAAAGATAGAAATTTAAAACGAGATTACCAGAAGCGCGAGCCAAAACACCTCGATCGCCAGTCTTGTTCTCGACGTTGCAAATTGTGGTTCCTTCAGGAAGTTGGCCAACAGGAACGATGTTTCCGATTTGAACCTGGGCTAAAAATAACCAATCAAATTTCAGTAGCAATTATTAAAAAATTACCTTTGGAACCACAGTAGATGAATTGTCCGGTGTGCATTCCCTCAGCAGCAACAACGGTGCTCTTGACCGTTTTGTACTTGTAAGGGTCTCTGAAGGCGATGATGGCGAGGGGAGCACCTCGGCCAGGATCGTGGATGATGTCCTTCACGACGCCCTTGATGTATCCGTGACGTTCAGCATAGTCGAGCGGACGAAGTTTAGAGGCACCTTTGCGGTGCTTATTGTGGCTTTTGAAGATGCCACCAGCTCCTTTCCTCTGGACACGGATTCTACGTCCCATTCTGAGTTACCCTATAATTATTTTTGTGAAGAAATCTTTCACTAAAATTAAAAATAAATATGAGAGAACTTAAATAACGCGAGCGTGATATACGAGCAAACTTAGAAAAACTGTAGTTATACTAAAAAAAAATGTTTGAATGAAAATCTTGATGAATGAAGATTTTTTTTAAGCCTTAAATTTATGAACAAAGCTTTGAAGCAAAAAGAGTACGAACTGTTCAAAAAAATTTTTGGTGAACTTCCATCAGTTTCTACAAGTTATATGAAACTTATTTTTATTACTGATAATATGTCATGAAGAACAATCAACACTAATATATTTCTTTTTTTTAATTATTCACAACTTTTGGGTTTTTTTTATGAAATTTTTTTTTACGAGACGTGTTCATCGGACAAAACGAAAATTGCTTCGAAACGCTTTGAAATTGCTCCAAAAAAAAAAATTAGAACTGTTTTAGAACAACTTTGGCGCGCCGATTAACACGCCATTAGGCTGAAAAAAAAATTTATGAGCACTTAATGGCTTAATTTTAGGCTTAACTGACGCGAAATGACCTTTAATGGTAGGAACGCTCAAAATTTTTTTTCGATTGGAAACAGAATGTGAGAAAAATAATCTTCTAAAAATTTTTTGAATATTTCGACAAGAAAAATAACTTGAAAAATTAATTAGAAAATTAATTGAATCGTCGAGCCAGATTTGAATGACAGAGTGAAATAAAATACTTTTGAAAATGTAAGAAAAAAATTGTAAAAAAAAATAAAAAATAGAGTTAATTTTTAGGCCATGGGCCACCTCCCCCGCTCCTCCGTCGGGTGGGAAAAAGGTTTCGACACGAAACCTTTCTCCATGGCGCACACTTGGCAAAATCGAGGCGCTCAATTCTTTCGATTTTCTTCCATGATGCCGTGTTCAAAGTAATTTCCGCGAAATGCAAAATACCCGTTAGAGAAAGGAAAAGATCACTAAATTTTGGAGAGTCAGAGATCATTTTGCATTTCGCGGAAATTACTTTGAACACGACATGAGGTTTTTGAAACGGACACCCAATTTTGTGGACTATATCGCAGCGAGAGTAACGCTATACCGCGGAGAGCCGCGAGCGATATCGCTCGTCTCTCGCTGCGACCTCGCAAACGTCTTGCGCTATATCGCTCTCTGAAAAATTTTTCTTCAAAAATGTTTTTTCTTGAATTTTATTGATTTCATCATAAAAGTCAAAAATAAAGCAAAAAAAAATGTTTTTCAAATTTCAAATTTTTAAGAGGGAGCGATGTGGCAGCGAGAATTTGACGAGGTCGCAGCGACATGATGACCAGATCGCAGCGAGAAGCCTTTGCTATATCGCGTGCGGCCCGCTGCGATATCGGCAATTACGTTGGGTGGAGCTTTTTCAAAAACAGAACTCTAGAGTTGAATTCATTGCGGACGCGTCTCAAAGTTGCTCGAAAAAAATTTTTTTGTATTGTCGTAATTTTGTCGTAGTTCGGAACTTTTTTCTTCTTTTTTTTTATTTCACTATGCACACATCGCCACCTTTCTTTTTTCATTTTGCTAGTTCAATTTTTCTCTTTTGGATTATTTAGCGTATCAAATTAAAAAAAAAAATTAGTAAGAAACATTTTTGCAAAGAATTCTTTCGAGGAGTTTTACATCTTTTGACTTAACATATTAAAACTCAATTAAATTTTTTTTTCATATGTAATCTTGACACGATAAGATTTATTTTGCGTTCTTACTACGCAAGTTGTGCATAACAAATGTTTGAGTTTTGTCCGAGTTTTTCTTTCAGTAATATAATGAACTTGAAAAAAGGTGGCTGTAAAAGTTAGTGATTTTTATTGATACAGGAATGAAAAAATGAATTTCATCAATTCTGATTGAAAGGTGCTGCGAAGATTTCCAGATGAATTGGAGAGGTTTCGTTTTTCCACCCTTTTTCGCTATGTTATTTTTTCCAGATGTTGATTCCAATTGAAAATTGAGAGATTCGTTAGCTCAGAAAAATGTCTACGCAGACATTTTCTGTATCTTCTCAAGATGTCATGACGTCGATTGTCTTGCCAACAATCGTCTTCTGCATTGGGATGGTCGTCGCGATGCTGGTATGATTCAAATTTCTAACCTCCCATTAGTTTTTCCAGGTTGGCATAAACAAATGCAAACAGTGGGAATTGGATAAAGTTGTGGAAATGAGGCGAACAAGACGCGTTTTGCAGCGCGTGACAAATCTACTGCGCGAAAAAAATTTCAAGACAATTCAAAGTTTGATTTTTTCGTTTTTCTAGAAATATGATTATGTTTCAGAAGCTCGTAATATGAGAAAAAGAGCTGCGAAAAAGCAGAATACCTCTGGAGCCTTCGCTCCACCGCTCTACGCATCCCAATTATCTCAAGAAACCCCGTTAGTGCCAATATTTAGATGCCCAGGTAAAAATCGATGTTTTCAGTTGTGGAACTTCACCACCTCCTTCCTATGAGGACGCTCTGCTTGATGAGTATTACCGTGAATGTCTTCCAAGGAGGTTTTTCATTCTTAATTTCTGTCTTGGATATCGATTAGTAGTTTTCTGAAGATATGCAGCAAACTCAGTCAAAATTGCGTGCAACTAAACCGAATCAAAAGGATAACTTAGATGTGCAAACCTTTTTTTTTGACGATTTTTTTTGTGAGTTTTTTATTATACTACAAAATTTGACAACGTTTTTAATGATGAAATTTACATTTTTCTACTGAGAGCCTAGAAGTGATTGAAGTGAGAGAAGGCAAGTTTCCGAAAAGTTTTCAAGAATAAAAAATCTCAAAACCTTCCTTACTTTCCTTTTGAAGCGACGAATTTCAAAATAAAAAGGGGAAAATTACTCTCGCTACTTCTTGCATCAAGAAGATCCATAGTGAAATTAGCGCCTTTCATGGATTTTGGGTGGTATGAAAAAAACACCAGCGAGACTTCAAACGGCGACTTTTCCGATTTTTTCATATCGCTAGAGAACTTTCCGACGAATTTTTTTCCGAATTTTTTTTTTCGATAAAATCTGAGTTTTAAATCTTCCTCTATAAAGTAGGTAGTTTATTCATGATTAAAACACAAATAAATAGAAAAAAAATGTTAATAGATGTTTTAAAAACCGAAAAACATAAGGGAAAAAAGTCGGAAAGGGATCCGTCGGAAAGTTCTAGCGATATGAAGAAATCGGAAAAGTCGCCGTTTGAATTTTCGCTGGTGTTTTTTTCATACTACCGGATTTTGATAGGTCAAGATTCCAATGTTTTGAGAACACCTTATTGAGAGCACGAATATAAATAGTCTGTTTTGCAGACGTTCGACGATCGTGTCAGATCATAAAAGAAGAACTTCAAGGACGTCTACCAGCTCACGTCACGCTGCTTCTACATCGCGTAAACGCTCTCGAAGTACTGCTCGCAAGAATTCAACTTTCAATGTTTGAGTCTTTGCACAATTATTTAAGTCTTTAACCGTAATATAAAGTAGTTGTAGCAAATAACAGCTTTTTTCGAAATAAAAATTCAAAAAAATCCGGGTAGAATTCTGTATTTCACTCTGGAGCAGTGCTGTTGCCAGTATTGTCCGTATCGGATTGAGCATCTAGATTCGTCAGCTATCAGTCTCGCTAGAAGATAACCTGAAGCAAATGTTTTTTTGCTGCTTTATGTATTTCAAACCAATAACGAAAATAACCGGAAAGTAGGAAAGCACTGAAGGGAAACCTTGAAAAGCACAAAAAGTTGCAAAGGTAACTGCTTCGCTTAGGTAATTCGGGTGTCTACATATCGCCCAATAACCACTTCCTGTAAAAAAAACCATTTTTTTTCTCTTTACCGTATTCACCTAGGAGAAGATTGGCTCCTGGCTCGCCGTTGTCCATTTTGAACTTAGCGGTGATGAAAAATGGGTCAGTTCCTCCAAATTTCAAAGTTCCTTTGGACTTCCTGTAAAGTTTCTCTATGAAAATGTTCCTTTTTTTTGGCTTTTCCAAACTGACCTGAACTCGTATTTTTGTCTATCAATCATAGCTGTGGTGAGAATAGAACTAGTAGAAACGAAAAAAAGTATCGCGTTTGTCAAAAATGAGCGTGTACTGCTCGTTTGCGCAAGCGTTAATGTTGGAGATCCATATATTACCGGATAGAACACCTGAAACGATCAAGAAGAAATATTTTGTGTTGGTCAAATTACCATATCGCTCCATAGACGGTAAAATCCACAGTTAGTGCGTTTTGCATCAATCGAGTTGAGGTAAAGGTCTTCATGCCAGTGGAGTCTTAAAACATACAGGGCTTGGGAAACAGACGCAAAGAACAGACTTTCTGAAAAAATATTCATCGAAACAGGTTTCAGTATACTAGTAAGCATTGACTTATGGATCGGATGGAATTTCCTCACTTGATATTTTTCCCTGTATGCTGAATTGATGGTAAATCGATGAAATGAGCAAGAGTGGCCATAATGAAAATACCATCCGTGATCTTATGAAGTGTTTAACATCGACATCAAGAATCCGCGTGTGTGTTTCGATTCCGAAGTATAACTCACTCAAAGTAGTTACTGCAATATTAATTATACAAAAAAGTTTACAGCTATTTTTTTTTTGATAGGGCATAATGTTTGTGCGGCGTAAATATTTGGAAAAAAATATATATATGATGAATACCGTTGTTTCCGTCTCCGTAGTGATAACAAACACATAAGTACAACAGCACAATGACACAAATGATTGCCAAACACATAATTATGGAGTTATAGTGTACCAAAACAAGGTCTCCTCTGAAAAGCTTGTTTAATTCGACAATGACTAAAAATAAAAACCTGTAAAATCCGGTGCTTGCACCTAAAACGTATAATAAACATAAAAGTAAGCAGGAAAAAAATCCATTGACAAACTTCGTTTCGTCACCTGAAATTTTGGGTAAATAATGTGGGTAGACGTGTACCTGCAGAAGAGATTACTGTGACCGTATCGTGAGGTAAAACCCAGTGGAAAATAAGTTGAAGTCCAAAAAGGACGGTCGTGAATTTCCAGGCGATTAGATCGAACAGCGGCGGAATACATTGAAATAAAAATGGCCATTGGAAAAACAGAGATTTCAGCGTCTGAAAAAAATAATACGGATTTTATTGAAAGCACAGGTTAAAAAAACTAGTTTCCACTGTTATTGCGTTCCAAAGAAAGATTAAATAGAGGAGTTGAACTCTAACCGGGAGAAGCTGGCCGGCATGAAGCGAAATCGAGTAGAGGTAGACAAAAGTGAAGACTGGAAGAACGGTCAGAAGCACCGCCACCACCTGAGCAGACATCTTCTGCTGTTTCTGAAAGGAAACTTCAAAGTGGAAAACAGTTTGGGAACCTTGATCGTCTGCTGAATGACGACGACGTCTTTGGCGGAGATGCTGCTCCTGCGATGGAGACTCGCCGTCGATCCCGTGTAGCTTGAACGCCTCACCCGTTGCATCTTCAATTTTTTTTTTATCAATAACGGTCGATCGCTGACTTGAACGTTTGGTAATACAGTTTTCCCATGATCAGAAAAAAACAGTACGCAAAAAGAAAAGTTTTATGCGTCCATGAACAATTTTTTCAAAGGAGGAGCCAAATAAAGTAAAATATTCGGAAAAAAAGCAGCTATTCATGTGAGATAAGTTTCGATAAAAAAAAAACAAGCCACGTTTCTGCTAAAGAAATAATTCGAAAGCTGAACCTTCGTGATGGAAAATATAACAGAAAGGTTCTTATTCAAGGTTTCGTTTCGTCTTATTCAGTGGCAAGGTGAAAATCATTTTTATTCAGAAAATGGGTTTGGTGGATAGTAAACAATTTCGAAAGATTAAGATTAAAAAAGAAGCCAAAAAGCGTTTATCGGTATAAAAATCTTGCTACAGATCACTTGAGGACGAAAAAAAGCAGTGTGAGCCATCAAATAAAATATATGTAATATCAAGGAAGTGAGGGGAGGTTTTCGGCTGCGGAAAAGACAGCGGGGCTCACACGCGGAATCCGACAGCATTACAACGACCGCAGGGCCTAAGTGAAATAGACAGCTTTCCATGCTTCTTTCGTCTTCTACGGCTCTCCTCCAGGTTCTTTCTTCTCCAGGAAGGGAGGTTTCGTCAAGAAACTTTGAAGAAACTCAATTTTGTTGGAACTCAATTGTCCTATCGAAGACCTTCTGGGAACATTTTTTTTCTTTATATCTCGGTCAAGCGAGTTCGACGCAGTTTCTATAACGAGTAATTGAATACTAGAGATATCTTTGCTCGAAAATCTGTTTTTTTTATGGTTCAGCCATGTCTAGAATGAAAGGACTTGCAATTTGAGTCTTCGCAGCGACTCCAAAGAATATTCAACTGCTTCTGGAACGAAACATACTTTTGAAACCGGGAGTTACTAACAGGTTTATCGCAGAAGAAGAGAGATCGATGAAAAGGCGGATGACTGGAAAAGTGTGCCCAGTGACCACTCGAGAGAGTTTTCCGCGAGGAATTGAGAGAAGAAACGGGCACAAATAATTTCCCATCGAGTCATAAAGCCACGGTTCGAAATCCATGTTGGTTTAAAGCTGGCAATATCAACAAAACTATTTGATCTATAAAAAAAAACAGAAGCGTAGATAACATTTATGAGTTTTTAACAAAACAAAAAAAACTGGTAGATGGTTCATCACATTACGACGTAACGCGGCAGATTCGGATTGACTTGAGCTTTTCTGGCAACATAATTCTTGAATTTTCGAACAAATCGAGGCATGTCGAAGGAAAAATCCGTATTGAGGACGGCGGCGTGGTTGACGTAGTCCAGTGTCATGTGATCGAATTCCACGCCACAAACTACCGGTAGCTTTATTCCTGAAAGAGAGTGTCGATGCAAAAAAGCTCCGATGAATGAGTCCTTACCTCTTCTGTTCATGGCGAAGCGAAGTCGTTTTTTGACTTGAGGCCATAGAATTCGAGGCACGATGAACGAGAAAACCTTCTCAATAGGAGTGGCCAGTGGTCCTCCGATCCCTAACTAAATGTAACACGATTAAAACCAAAAAGTCTTATATTTCAGAAAGAACATCGAAGACGTTGACGTCGACGTTGGTCAGAGAGACGTCGCCAAGCAGTCGAGAATGCCTTATAGTCGGTTTCAACTGCACATATTGATTCAAAAATTCAAAAGGACTCCAGTGGAACGAACGGTGACGTGAAGGTAGGCGTTGGCGTGGATGACGTCATGAAGCTGTTCTCGTCCCCGGAACGTCACGGAGACGTTGAAGGCGAGTTGGGCGCGTACGCCTAGTTGTCCATTGATTTCGACCTTCGGTTGCCTAAAAAAGTGTTGGTTTTGAAGACTCTGCAAAGACTCAGACTCTGTGAGGTTGGCGCGAATCTCAACGTAGCACTTGCCGCAAAAGGCTCGCGCCAACTTCTGCAGGAACTTGGGCATGTCGTTGGGTCCGAATCTCTCGCGCAGCGTGCCGAGGTCGTTCACGTAGATGTGTGTGAACAGTGTATTTGGGATGTAGTCGGACAGCATTATTCCCACCATCTGTAGGTTTTAGTTTTGGTACGCACTTTGAGTTTAGAAGGATTCCTTCTAGTTCACAAAGACAAAAGTTCTCGCAAACCTTGAAAACAACCATTTTCAACATTTAGATATGCAATGAAATGCTTAATTGCCTTTCAAGCCGAAAACTTTTTTGGATAATACGGATGAAACCGATTAAATTTATGAAAAGTTCATAAAATCGAAACCCTGAATATATTTTGGGGAGGTTGAAACTCGTCTATCAACTTTCCCAAGATAGCCTTTGAACTACATACCCTTTTGTCTAGCAGCGTTTTGTTCAAAACAGACGGCACAAGAGCCGATTCGGCCTTCCAGCCGTTGTAGATGATCCCGCCATCAAATCCGACGACGACGTCCTGATGAACAAAGGATCAAGCTTGAAAGTAACACACTGACGTCGTCTGTAAAGGTAGGCGGATGCTTGACCGTCAGGTCGACATCCCAGGTACTCTTCGTGGAGTTGACGATTTCGATAAGCTCGTCGACCGGCAAAGTCGCGGGCGTCGTCCTTGAGACGCCGTCTGCTTCATCCATCTTTAAATTTCTTTTGATTATAAGATCTAAAACTACAATCATAATTTTTTGATCTAAAAATTTTAGACTAAAATTACCGTGCAGAGGTCGGCGCCGAGTTCGGCAGTACTGAAGCTCGTGTCGTCATCAAGCAGCGAAATGTCGTCTTCTGTTTCCAGCGGTGCAGACGGCTAAAGTATGGGTTGTAAAACCAGAAAATTCAAAATTTTTCAAAATTTTTTTTTCGAATTTTTTTGAAAATTGCTTATTCAACATTTAATTAGGGTTCTTTCCAACAAATGGATGATTTCATGTTTCTGCTTGTGTACAAACTCGCTGGGACTGCAAAATGTAGTTGATAGCGTCGACGGCAGTGTTGCAAACGGCGTTTTTGAGTTGATTGACAATCTGCAAACAACTGAGCAATTGTATTGCTTTTCCGTGTAACGGACAGCCGTCTCGATTTCTTCTCGAAGAGACGACAAAGTCGACGTCGGTGGGAATGTGATGAGCAAATCTGAATGCGTTACGTTGCACACGGTGGCCTGGAAAAATGAGAAAAAGGCTTGATAGTGATCATTTTTGCTCACTGCGACAGTTGTTACATTTTCAGTGACAAAGTGCAATTCGAGGAGAATGCCAAGATCTTTCAGCCTAGTCATGAAACCGCCTGAAGACAAAAAAAACTTTGGAATAAAATAAAAGAAACCTTCATATTTCCAGACGAAGACGTCAACGGCGCCATAGGCACTGGCGAGGAACGTCGGCAAAGTTATGTTCGCTCGTACTCCTGAAGACTTCCCAGTCAGGGAAAATGAGAAAAATACCTTTTCCGCCAAGAAACTTGGCTTTGATGACGGGACGAGAGACGTTGGAGATGTGGATCTGGGAGATCTTGGCTGGACTCGCCTCCACGTCAGGAGGACTCAAGTTGTTCAACAGCGCCGGGAAAGCATCGCTTGCCAATTCTTGAAAGCCGCTATGAATCTTAGCCGAGGAGTGAATGTCATCGTTCCGTTGTGGGAAGTTGAAAGGTTAGACAATACATGGAACTTCAGATTGTTTGGATCGACATTAATGTTGCATTTGGGTTCAGAGAGTGAAGGTTCCAGAATTGTCGACCAAGATTTCGGAAAAACTACCTGAGATGTAGTCAACGGCCTTCTGGTTCAAACGGATGTAAAGTCCCGCCGGTCTTTCAACAGCCGAAATAACGGAAGAAAATAGTAATACAGAAATAAGAAACCGCATCTTCAAGTCATGGAATGCAACAAGTTGGGATTAAAAAGCGAACGAGACGAGGGGCATGTGGCGCAAAATTGATTTTATTGCCGTTGTAATGCACCTGATGAGCGGCCGGTGCTCGAAGAACCTCGAAAAAACGGCTGCTCAGCCGTTTTGTTCGAGGTTCTCACATTATTGAGACAGATGTCATCTAGATAGGAGAAAAAAAAAATTACAAATAGTAAAATATGTTTTCGAAATTAATGCCGTAGACCCTCGATGACTAGAACGTTTTTTGGAATCACCAGAAAAGGCTGACGGAAGTCGAAAAAGTCCTATTGGGCTTGTCAGATCGTTAAGCCAGAATCAGCTCAGTTTTTTTATTAGAAAAAAATATAAAAAGACCCCAAAAAGGAGTGAAACGGAAAAACCGAAAGAGAGCAGTCCGATCTTTTCAAGGTGCGAAGAATAAGGCGAAGGTTGAAAATATTGTTTTAAAAATATCAGTAAAATGTGTTTCATTTCAGTTTTACAGTTTAACTGTTTTTTTTGTTCTCATCGTTCCAATAAACCTAACTATCGTTGCAAAAATCCTCTTAATACAGCGGATACATTTCTAGCATCAGATCGTCGTTGGAAAGAAATTTATGGACTGGAAGTGCAAAAAAGTCATTCGATGTGGTAGTTCTGATGCTCAGGACGACGCATTCCGTGGACGGCCCTGGCGTACGGCCTCTTGCGTTCTCGACTGCGAGATTTTTCCGACCGCCCATCCGTCGGCGCTTGTTCGTTGCGTTCCGTCACCACCAGGTCATCAAACGTCGCTGGAGTAGTGATTATAGAAAATGATCGGAGTTCCCTCTGGTAGCTGAGAGAAATCCTCACGCTCAGGAGCCATTGGACTGGAAGGCTGTTGATAGACGTCTTCAGACTGTCCGATCGAAGCGAAATGGTCTGGCTGAAAAGAAAAAACTTCGGTAGTTGAATGATACTCTTATGATTCATGCAACTTTTTTCTGGATGAAATCGCGTGTTTCACTTGGTTCTCACAGGGGGAAGTCGACCTAATTTTCGAAATAAGCTAACTTTGAAAAATGCCTTTTTTCACTACTTTTGACGAGCGGTTAATTCGTTTTTATAACCTGCCAGGCAGAACTTGATCTTGAATCAAGGTAGAAGTTTCCAACCAATAATCAAAGTCTTATTCAGAAACTCTCGCTTTGAGTCCAAACCATTTCCTTATAAAGATGCGCACTATTCCGAGAATTTTCTGAACCTTGGCAACACTTTTGAAGTTGAAACTTTATTTTTAATTTGAAAAAAAGAAAAAGAAATAAAAAATTAGACTGGACCTACTTCAGATTTTTTTTTGAGAAGGTCACTTTCGTCTTCTTTTTCCTCGCTATCCTGAACAAAGAAATATTACAGTGGATTCTCACGTTTCAGAAAATACTCACCGATTTTGTTTTCGAACGACGTTTTTCCTGAAGTCGGATAGATTTTTGTGTTTTATAAAATAAAAACTTTGCCAGAATCGCAGCGACAGCAGAAGCAGACGATGCAGCACATCAGGAAGGCGATCAGCCAGAAAATCATGAAGATCCCCACAAGCGCCATCCAAACCGGATAGTCCGACCACAGATTTACTGTGTTCACATTTTTGTTTGGTTTGAGTGGAATAGTTGGAAGAGAAACATTTAAATATTCAAGAGTAGCACCGGTTTTTCAATTTATTGAAATTTTAAGTTATCAACGAATGGGACAAACCGAAATATTTGATATTCAAGTGAAAGTTAGTTTCGTCCTTCTCTCCATCGGAATTTGATTCTGCTTTTTTGCAGAAAAGCACAACGAGAAGATATGCGAGCCGCATTAAAAGAAAATAAAGGAACATTTCACGTTTCTTATGGAATTATTCTTTCGAGTCTCGCTTCGTGGGTTTTGAAACGGGAAGAAATGGTTCGGTGTGAGTCTTATTTACGGTAATTTACCTTCAGAAAATTGCTTCCCCGAATATTTTTTTTCTTTTGATCGAAATATCAGAATCTTGAAAACACTTCGCCAAATGCACGTATTTCGATTCCTCGTAGGATGCGAAAACCATTCTAGTTCCTCAGTTTTCAAATCGCCTTTGTGGCTGGGAATCGTGAGTACTTTCCGTGGTCGAGATCGTTCGTTATCTTATCGCCCGCTAGTTTACCTCTTTGGTCTACTTCGCACTTACATTTTTGTTTAGACTGATTGTTTATAGAAATTTTACATCGTTGCTCAATAATATACATTTTTCAGCACTTGAAATGATCTCATTCCGTGATGGGCCTTTGAATTCTTTATTGAAACTATCATCTCTATATAAAACGCCCTAACGAATCATTGAAGGTGCAAGACATGCGTCTGATGGTTCCCCGTTCAGAGACCAAAACTTTTTTGACCCTTCCATGTTGATAAAAATCAATAAAATTAATTTTCCATCGCGGAAAGAGGCGCCCAATAGACTTTTGATGCGTTCAAAACTGACTTTCTCGTAAACAGGGTATTTTCCTTTTTATTTGATCTATTCTCAGCTTTTTTTTCCTACTTATTCACAGCTAACTTGGAATGAAAAATCAGAGAAACCCGAAACTTTTTTTTTCGCTCAGTGTTCCGCTTATGGTGTAGAGGACCCTCCTAAAACATGGTCCTTATCTAGCGGTGAATCTACTCAGCTCATAACATTTCTTTCAAAATTAAGATTTACGTTTTATCTATTTAAATAATTCATCAAACTTCGATGAGAAACTTTTTAGACGCCAGAGAACTAAATCGCGTTCAATATGAGCAACACGGATCTTCTGTTAGATGATTATCCGACCTTGAAAAAGTCGTGGGTCGAGGATGTCCTGGAGCATGAGTATGGAACGAGGCCAAAAGTGACCTTGGTAGAACCAACTCTTCCGTATTCACAGAGCTGTCCAATTTTTCCAGGTATCTGTTCTGTCAGACTCTGTTCTCGGGTACATGTCCGTTCTGCGACGAGTCACTCTCAAATGGGAAGACGACGAGGATCCGACTGTTGCCACCTACAAAAATCTACCGAAATCCGTAGTCATCAAGGTTTTGTCAAGCCTGTGAAAGTTCCCCAAAGTTTAGTCTCCAGATCGCTAGTTCTGCGAAGGGGAGCGACGCCATCAGCAAGGCTTCCAAGTCCGAAGTCGAGGAGGAGCACATGTCGTTGGTTCAGAAGACGTTTCATGAGAACGAGTGCAAGTACTACAATCTTTTCAAAAACGGTGGCTTTTCACTTGGTCATTCGTATTGAAAGAGATTCCTTCTCAGCAGTAAAGCTGCCCATCAGAATTCCTAAGATTTACGCGGCTCTCGATTCTGACAGCGTCGAAGTTCCGCGGATTCTAATGGAGGACCTCCAGGACTGCCACCTCGTCGACCTTACCGAAGGCTTCAACGAAAAACAAGTTCTTTAGTTTTCCTTGTTGTGCAGTAAACTTACATTTCTGTTTCAGCTTTACGCGATCGTCGACCAAATAATCGCTTTGCACGAGTTTTCCTTCACGACAGTGGAATGGAAGAAGTTGAAAACAAGTCAAAAAGTGAGTCGGCGAGAGTCAAATAAACATGTGAATATGTAATTGAAGCTGAAAAATGTTCATCGAAAATTCTTCGAACAAATCAGGGGGATCGCCGTCAACCTCTCAGAACTGCCTCAGCTCAGTAGCAGCATGAAGGTTTTTTTTTAATGTAGTTTTTGCCTTGTTATCGGCTGTTCAGAAAATAATCAAATAGAAGATCACTATGTTTTTTGTGAGTTGTCAAGATTTGGACAGAAATACTAAAGTCAATAGTCTTTCAAATAAGTCAAAACGGAAATTTTCCGAGAGAAAAGATCATTAGTACCCCGCTTTCTTTTCTTTTCTGTGAGTCTGTTAATGTTAAGAAGGGTTGGAAAACTTTTGAAACTGAAATACTTCAAAATATGGCACAGAAATTACAGAAATTTGTCGCGAATGCTTATGGAGACAACAACGAGTTTATGTCTGAAAATGGAGAAACCTACGAAAATGGAGGTCTAAATTTTTTTTCAAATTCAAGTAACCGATGGTTGAAGAAAAACTATCTGTACTCTGTCACGGAGATCTGTGGGCACCGCAAATACTCTGGAAAACCGAGACGGAAATCGGAGCTGTCCTCGACTGGCAAATCGCCCATCGCGGTAGCATAGTCAGTTCTTGTTCTTATATCCGAGCTTTTCATAACCAACTTCAGTCCGAAGATCTTCTACATGTCTTGTCGACATGCACGAGCGCCTCGAACCGAATCAGGCTTCAGAAACCTTTGCTAGACTACTACTACGCCAACTTGTCCGAGAAGCTGGAAGTCGCTGGGGTCAAGATCCCGTTTAGTAGAGAACAACTGGATGTGATTCATTCCTCTCAAACACAATTGAATAGTGTTGATTCTTAGGAAGAATATAGGTATGGTATGCGTGCGGCTGGAATTCTGACGGTGTTTGCCACGGGATTTTGGGTCAATTCACCAGTTTTACAGGTAAAACTTCAAGTTCCATTTATATGGAAAATTTTTTTTGATTAAGTTATCATCAAAGTTTTCTAGGAAAGAGTTTTCAGACCGATGGTAAGCCTGATGAGCAGAAAATCAACGAATCTTTTGATCGCTGTGGTTCCTTCATAGAAGACGCGAACAAAGCTTGGAGCTGGTAGTTTTAGTCCAGAAATTTGATGTACATAACATCTTAATTGCTAATTCTCGAAACGTTCGCATTTATTGAATAAAATTGTGAATTTAAATTTCTCATTTCATCACTAACAAAAGGAAATGCTACATGAATGTGTGAGATGAGGGAATTTTTCACTATAAAACCCTAACAGAAATCAAATCCCTGGAGAACTTTTCAATTGACAGAGTATCTTTATTTGCTCCCCAGTACTAAAAATTTTGATGGAAACTTCTATATGGGGGGTTCCGATTCAGGTGGGGAAAGCCAAAGGACCAGCATCATTTGAGCCATTGAGGCGTTGATTCGAATGATACGATATAAGAAGATGAAAGTAAAGCGTATATAGAAAAATAGTCACAAGTTTTATGATGCAATACACAGCGAGAAAAAGAATAAGAGACGTACCGGAAGGTGGGGAGAAATCCAAATGATAGTGAGGTGATGACTGGTAAGGAAATTTTATAACTAAAAATTCCAGTCATACCAAGATAGCCTGATAAAAAGGGTTCAAAAAAATAAAAAAAAACTAATGATTCTTATTGTTGCTGGCATCTGACACCGCCACCAGGGCCGCCGTGGAACTCGTGACCTCCGCCTTCGTTATCAGAATCTTCGTCGTGGTAAGCTTCGCCCCCACGTCCTCTGCTGTACTTCTTCTCGTCATAATCCATGCAAGACACCTTAACCCAACACTTATATTTCGAAAAACTCATTTACCTCGATGGAATTAGGCGGTTGAAGAACCTCTTTCACAGCTGGGAAACAAGCTCGAAGTAGCTGAAAATGGCATTATTTCAACAATTGAAAGTTTGAATGTTCGCATCGCGGTAAAAGTTGTCATAATTATTTTTATTATACACGCTACGCTTAACTGTTCACCTAATTTTCACTCACTCCAGTTTTTTTTCAGTTTTTATTTTTAAAATGAATATTTTGAATCACAAAAACGTTTAGTTTATCATCTTTAAGATATTATGAGACTTTTCGAAAAAGTATTTTCTAAAAAAAACGTTGTTAGAAGATGTATAAATTTTGAGATAAAAAAATTTCAACTACCTGATACTTCTGCTCTTCCTCCAAAAAGTGGTCAACTGGAAACTTGACATCGAAATGGATGTAGAGATCACCAAGGAGCTCGCGGTGTTTATGTTCTGGCATTCCTTGTCCCACGACCCGTCGTATGGAATCTTTATTTAATAATTTATTGAATAAACTTGAGTAATAAAAACACCAATACTCACTAGGTTTCACAACCTCTCCAGGCTTGTTGCGAATGATCAGTGTACGCCCATCTAAATGTTTAACGATGAACTGGAAGCCGCAAATCGCTTCATTTAAAGAAATTTCTCTGAAAAAATTTGAATATAGGAAAATTTGATGGAAAATAGGTTACTTTTTCATATGAAGATCAGAATCGTTTCGTTCAAAAAGCTCATGATCGCGAACTTGCAGAACAATAACAACATCTCCAGGATCGATATCAGGCTGAATAAAAACAAATAATTTTTTGGGGTTTTCTCATAGAACTGAATAAACAATACTATTAAAGAGTTTTTACATTTCTGCGAAAATCAAACAGATTCTCACCGTTAATTCAACAAAGCTTTTGAGAACTTGTAACTGTTTTTTTCCGAAAAAAAAACTTCTATTTTACAACAACGGCTTCCAATAAGATCATATCGAAACACTAATTGATTCAACTTACATCAACTTGATCTCCTTCTCTCTTAAAAACGATCTTCTCATTGTGCTGCATTCCTGGTTGAATGTGTACTTCGATGATTTTTTGCTGCTGAGTGTGCTTTTCGCCCTTACATGTTTTGCACGAATCGCTATCCGGGACCTTGCTACCTTTAAAGCATGATTGACGTGAGAAGTTACGGCGATTCTTACCAGCGCCTCTGCAAACGTCGCATCGTACTTGCATAATTTGAATCTGGCCACCCATTCTCTGCTTCACAACTTTGATGCCTTGACCAGAGCAAGATGTGCATTTGTACTCATGTCCAGCTTTGCCTCCAGATCTTCAAAATTATTGATTGAAAGTCGTACTAAAAAATAAAAACAAAACAAACCCTTTGCATGAAGAGCACAAAACTTTTTTCGACAGCTTCAATTTGGAAGTCTTTCCATTGTAAACGTCTTCCAAGTTAACAGTGAGAGGGTGAACAGTATCTTGGAACTTTCTACGCCGCCTGTAAAAAAATATTTAAATACATTATTTTTTTAAATACGATTACCTGCCGCCGCCTCCGTGACCGCCTCCAAAAAAGCTGAAAGGTGAATCATCTCCCCCAAAAATGTTAGAAAACAAATCGAAATCTTCTCCTGAAAAAATGTTTCCATCAAAGGAATAAAAATGAAATTTACCTCCGCTTCCACCTTCTTGGATTCCATCTAAACCTCGAGCGTCGTAAAGGCGCCGTCGATCAGGATTTGACAAAATTTCGTACGCATAACTGATTTCTTTGAACTAAAAAAACATACATAAAGTACTAAATTCACTTTATCTCCATGATTAGGATTCTTGTCCGGGTGATATTGCTTCGCCAACTGTCTGTACGCCTAAAAAAACCCGACAATTAAAAACAATTAGAAATAATATTTCTACCGCTTTAATTTCGTCAGCAGTCGCTGAAGATGACACACCCAAAGTTTCATAAAGTTTGGTGTCGACAGGGCCGCTGTTTCCGCCGGAAAATCCTCCAGGAAATCCACCCCCAGTTGAGAAAAAAACATAGTCTTGAAAAAAATTATAACTGAATATTTGATGTTTATTGAAAATGCATTCTCGATAGTTTTCGTAGCGGTTGAAAAAATTTCATCGATATTGTTTAAAGTTGCAAAGAAAAATCATGAAACTTCCGCTTGAAGCCAACAAAGTCACTTTGAACAAAAAAGTTTATACCAAAATATGTTAATATAAACTTTTTTTATACATCAGAAAATTAGAAGCTTCAAAGTACCGTCTCAAAAAAGCTATCTAGATTCTGTCGAACATTTGTGAAAACCAACACAGTTTTTTTTTCTCGTGGAAAAAAGATCTCTTCAAAGCATAAAATGATAACAGAAAAAAAAGTTTTGAATCGTTCAACATTAAAGGTTTAGAAAGACATGAATATGTTTTTGAGTTAATGTTGAAAAACTGCCAAAAATAGGCTTGGATGAGAGATTGTAAATATAGAGGTTTCTTTTTAGAAAAATAAAAACACGATTCCAATGAAGAGCACACAAATTTTGTGTAAATGCAAAACAGGTAGACTGAAAAGGAAAAAAATTGTCTCCCACTTTCTAGAATTTTCATCGTCGAAAAAAGCGCTATTGGTGCCCGCCAAAGACGTCATTATCGAGTCGTTTGCGCTTTTAGAGCCCACGTTTTTTGGTTATGGATTGTTCGAACAAGTTTCATTTATTTATCCGGTTTTCTGAATCTCACCTATCTATATATTAGCTAGTTTAATTTGAAATCAAGAACAGGAAGAGGAACATTTCACAGTTCAGGTATTACATTTAAGTTTACTCTTGTTTCAATTGTGCAATTATAATTGACTTTTTTTTTCCAAATCAGCTCATTATTAGAGTTTTTAGCATGTTGATGTGACTATCTTTTTTTTTTGCGATTCTGCTATGAGCGAGAAATTGCCTCCAGGTAGGGGTTTCATCACTATATCTATATATATACAGCGTTCTTAGGGACTTTGTGCGCTGTTTGTGAAGACCTTGCAACCGGAAAACACTACAGCGTCGCTTCTTGCAACGGTTGCAAAACTTTTTTCAGACGGGCTATTGTTGTAAGATTGAACTCATATCAACGTTGATGGTCAATTTTTTTTTTCTCAGAACAAAAGAGAGTTTTCATGTCAAGGAAACGGCCACTGCCCCGTAAACAAAGGTTTTCTTTACAGTAGTGAGCTTGATTTTGACTCGGGCTTTTTCATTGCAGGTGTGAGATGTGCTTGCCGATATTGCAGACTCCAAAAATGTCTAGTAGTTGGGATGGACAAAAACTGTAAGCTTGAAAATGATTTTTCTCTTCATTTTCTTCATCCTATATAACGTGATAATATAGAGACATTATGTATCCTGTTTTTCAGCAATTCAAAACGACCGAGATAGAATTGGTTACACAAAAAGGAAGCGAAAAAACGACGAAAAAGGCACGAAAGAGCACGAAAACTTGGAATTTGCAGGACCGAGCTCTTCTGTTCACAAGTTGGTTTTTTGTTTCTATTTCAAAATTTTTTTTTTGAATGTTTGCATTAAATTACTAATGAGAAAAAGAGAAATTTCATGAAAATTTTGAGTTTTAGAAGTTAAAATGCATTTACAGCGGCGCTAGTGATGGTTCCGATCATCACGATCTGATGCATAGCCCCGGAGAAAGCAACGAATTATGTGACGTAAAAGTGGATCATGTGAGTTTTTCAAAAGAGGAAGTTTAATAACAACGAAAAACCCCCGCATTTGTAAGAGTAAAGGCTTGAAAAATCTTTTTGAGACGGTCGTGGAACCGATAGCTGAACGTCTGACGACGCTGGAGAACAATTTCTCGCTGTTGCTCAGCCGATGTCCCGACCTGAAGTCGTACGCGACCTTGGAAGAGGCTCTGAACGCTCCTAGTCGTTTCAACCAGGCTGTCAACTGCGACGTAAACCTTGCCAAAAGTTAATGGAACGCAAATATTTAGTGGTCGGATCCATTGGTTTTGCCCCATCACGACAATGAGAAGATGCCGTTTTGGCGTCAGCGATTGATTGCTTTGTACATTGACTGGGCCAAAACGTTCACAGCTTTTAAAAACTTGCCTTACACTGACAAGGTTGGTTTTATCTAATTTTTTTTTCCGGTATTGCACTTCAAAAACTTTCACTGGTTAATCGGCGTATCAAAAAGTTTAACTAACAGAAAACGCTTTGAGATTTAATCGGTGAAGCCTGGTGTTTTGATTTTGAGCGCTGCGAAAGTTTCACAAACGCGCTATTCCGCGCCAGGTTTCCACGATCTTTTCCTCCTCAGAGCTACAGTACCCTTTTCTTCGATACGCGCGGTATGTGCCTATGTATGCTTCCGAGAACGGGAAATCGGTTTAATTAAAGGCGCATGCTCAGAGATAGGCCGCGCGCATTGAAGAAAAAAAAAATCATAAAAAAACATTATTAATTTTTTAAAATGTTAAATAAAAATAAGCTTCAATGATTTTTTGGTCAGGTGGCCCTTATCACGAACCACGCGTCGTCGTTCATGATCTTGTGCGAAGCCTTCCGCACGCCTGAGCACGTCAAGTCAGACATGGTGAGGAAGCGTCCAGAACTGAGCGAAATCGTCGCTGGCGCCTCGGAAGCGGGAAGTCGCGTCGCGTCGACCGTCGGCAGCAACCACAGCGCCAGCGACTTCCCTTACGACCACCATCTCAGCTATCCAGTACTGATAATTAGTTCTTCGCTTGCGTCAAACTTCCTTTCTCAGTTGGACGTGTTCAACCCTCGGATGGACAATATGCAGCTGCTCGGTGCCGAGGATCTCTTGTCCCGCTCGAGTTCTCACTCGTCTTCTAATTCTTTCCAACCGAAGCCCAATTTCCCACTGACTTTCAAGTTGGTTCTTTTTGTGCACAGCTTTCCTTCTTGTTCCCTCTGAAAGCTGAATTAGTAGCTCAAAAAATAGTATGAGAATGGGAAAAAAAATAGTCTTGAAAAACATCCGCGTCTATAGATGAATTGAAAAAAATTTCAAAGATTTTTTTCACTTAAATTTTTTTAGCTCAAATTAGTTCCATTCTCTTCTCAGGAAGCCTCGCACTGTTGTAATGAAAAAGCTGAAAAACCGAGTCCACGGAGCTCGAATAGTTTGATCTAAATCTTCTGGAGAATAATTTTAAAACGCGGTCGTAAGAATATATTTCATTTTTTTGAGAGATGTCAAAACTGAGCCGAGCGACAGTCCGGAGCCGAAGCCTGAAATGATCCGATTGCCGACCGAATACGGCAGTTTGCCAGCTGATTATGCCTCTTGGATTCCCAAGGCCCGTTTGAATAAATTTTTCCAAAATTCACTTGTTGAATTTATAGGATTATGGCCACCCAACTGCTGGAATTGAAGGAAGATCCGACATTCATAACTTTCTCGATGCCAGGGAGTTCTGCGAAGTGGTATTCCGCCTTTTCTTTCTCGAATATAAAAGAAGCTCTCAGGGTCGACCAAGTTCCTGCAGTTTTAGCGAGAAATCCATGAAAACAGCAACTTTGATGGTCCCGAAAACCTCGGTCTCCGCTCTTCCTGTCCCTAGGTGAACGAGAAAACTTCCTGAAGTCACCCGAATATATACAGTTCAACATGGAGCCAAAAAGTTTATTTTTGTAGTCGGCTTTAGAGCTTCCTTGTGTTCAAAATAACGAAGTAATCGAGTGCAAAGTCGTAAAATTTCAAATTCATCATGTTCCAATAACACTGACTTTCTCGGCAAGACATGAATACTCGTGAAAAATCAGCTCAAAAGATGTTCAATCGACGCATTTCCTATTCACGGCTGTATTCTCTCGTATCAGAATGTAGCTCGCTTTTTTTTCAGCTTGTCTGGAATAACGCCGGTTATGGCAATGATGATCGATTTGGTGATGAAACCGGCGCGACTTCTCAACTTCTCAACCACCGAATTCGCACTTCTTCAGGCAGTCATGTTTTTCGACCCTGGTAAAGAGAAATTTCTGTGATTGATCCATTTCCACATTTTGTTTTGAGACACTGACGGTTTGGACTCGGCGAGTCAACGGAATGTCATCGCCGAGCAGAAGAAGTTGCTCGGAGTTCTCTTCAGACATCTGCAGAAGATTTATTCGCCTTCTGATGCCAACGATCGATATTCGGCCATTCTTCTCAGAATCCCTTCTATTCGCGTTAGTGGTTTTGCAGGATTTTACGCCATAATGAAACAAAATTTTTCTTGATAACATCTGAATGGTTTTTTTTATTGAAAAAAGGATATCATTTGTAAAGTTTTTAGATGTCCAAAAAGTGTCCATTTATGAAGTTTGAGAAAATGTTGGATGAACTGTTGGGAGCCGCACACAATGAAAATGAAACGATAGAGGAGAGAAAGCAAATCGTATCATGTGTTTCAAGTTTTTTTTCAAGATGAAATTATCAATCAAAGTGTCATCGCATGCTGGGGGCCCTGATTAGGCTTCAGTTGAATAATTGCTGTCCGATAAGAATTGTTTTCAAAAGAAATTGAGAAGGGATTTTCAGAGAGCGGCGGCGAAGAAAAACGAGTCTCTACAGGTGCTGGACATGCTGCAGATGCACGTGATGAACTCGTTGGTGAAGGAGACGTCGCTGGGTCCGCGACCGACGTCCGTCCAGCAGAGGATGGGCATCGGCGGCGGCGCCTCCGGCATGACCACTCTAAACATCGGCAACCACATTTGAACTGTCCTTCATTTGAACTTTCCTCTTGTCTTCTTCATTTGATCTCAAAGCACCTTTCCTCCTACTCTAACCATTTCAAACATATTCTTCATATTGAGAGACCGCAGTCTTTGAATCCACTATCTTTTTCCATGCATTCACGCTCTAGTTATCTCGCTGTAGTCCGTCGAGTAGTTTCTCTCTACTTTATTTAACTTCTCATTCATTACACCCTCTATTCATAACGACTTTGTGCAAATCTACTTGGAATAATACCTAACTTCACATCTGTCGTCTTTCATGCACTATCATTCCATATCTCTTCTGTTATCCAAAGGTTTTATTCGTCCTACTTGCCTCTCACGTGTTAGTATCTAGTCTAAATAAAATCACATTTTTTTCAATTTATATAGCATAATTCTGACCAATAATCGTGTTGTGACTTTCTTGTTAAAGTGCTGTGAATGAAAACATTTTTATCATAAAAAAAGTTGACTTTTGTTTGATTTATGGGTTCAGAGACTCATTTTATTGCATGGTTTCTCTTTCAATCATATTGTAAACCGCGGTTTTGATGTCGCTCGTTGAAATTTTCGAGGGGCTAAGGTCTGCGGCCGAAGCTTTTCCTGATTTCTTAATCGCGCTCAAAGTGGCGTTGCGGGTGAAGGTGTTCCAGTCATTAAGGGCTCGATCGACTTCTCTGCGTCCGCTCAAGTACGCTCCAATGGCTGTTTGGAACAACCTAAACCCATTTTTTGTCTTTTCCTTTTCGGCTTCGAGAGAGGCGTCGTTCTGAAGGGAAACCTGTGATGGGTGGCCTCGCCGGCAAAGAGAACTCGCGGACGACCCGAATGCTTGACGGGGATGGCCAGCTGCGAATGCGAGATCCGCGACATGGCCTGAACCGGCGTCATGTAGGAGTAGGAGCCAAGGAGCAGTTCGTTCTTCGTCAGTTTCGACCTGAAGTTCTTCACTTTTCAAGCTGAAGGTCTTTTCGCCGACCTTATGATCTTCTGAGGCGGTTCTATGTCCTGGTCGTCGTACATGTCTCTCAGGAGCCGTGTGATCTTCTGCGAGAGTTCTTCGTCTGAGAGATTGTCCACCATGGCGTGTCCTTTTCCTGCGTACCATCCACAGAGCACATTCGGTGCCCAGTCAATCGTCTGAAACTTGCTTTTCATTTCATTCACTTAGGTTTTCATACTTGTAGAATGGTAGTCTCTTGCTCGAAGATGTCTACTTCATCTCTTGCCATTCCCTTCACTGGTAGAGGAGCGATCGAGTAGGTGTCGTTGGGCCAAAACTTGTTCTCCCACTCGAAGAAAACTTTCGTTGAGCCTCCAAATCCTGTATCAATTTTTTCTCCTTATTTAGATCAATATAACACTGTTATACCTATTTTCTGAATCGCTTCAATTTTTTGCCTCGCAAGAGGTGGAGTGAACATGGTGTGGTGGTATTTCTTCAGAACTCCCAAAGAAGACGTCACGATGATGTAGTCGTAGACTCTTGGGTGAAGACCGCGATTTGTGGTGACGTGGATTCGGCCGTCGAGCTGACTGATTCTGATGTTGTCGACGGTGTGATTGAAGTGGAATGCACGACTAGGGATCGGACGCGAGATTTCGTCGAGGATCGCCTGAGATTTTACAGCTGATGATGCTCATTTCTACTCTCACTCACTCTGTAGCCTATCTTGTTCGTAGCGAAAGACTCGCACTCGGGTCCTTGGTCGTCCCATTCACGCAAAACGTGAACGCTCAGCTGAAATGAGAAAACAGTTCATTTTGGGTAAGATCTAATGAGGGACTAACGTCACTCCAATCAGCAGCCCACTCGAATTCCCAGTAGGAACGGAAGGAGCGGGCCAAGGCGTCGAATACGTGACGACGCCCTGCTGAGATCTCATTCTCCTTCAAATATTTTTCAGTCAGACTGAGATCTGCGGGCTGGTCTACCGAAAGAAATCGCATATAGTCCAGAGTGAAAAGTTCCTTGAAGGAGTAACGTCGTGCGACCGTTTCATTGTGCTTGGCGATTTCGCGGTACTTGTGGTCGAGAGGCTTTATGAACTCGAGGAAGGCGTCGATGTCGTTCCTGAAGTTTTTTCCTGGCGGTTGCTTGCAAAGACAGGTTACCTATCGATTTTCTGCTGACCGTGCATGTAGTTCGCCTTGTCGACGTGAGCAGTGTCTGATACGACCTCGGCCAGAAGGTCCAGCTTCTCGGCGATCTTGTACAATGGATTTTGAGCTCCGTTAATGAATTGAGCTCCCATTTGCAAGTATCCATCTTCTGGAGAGTTTCTTTCAGAAAAAGAACATTTTTTTTGAAGCTACCGTAGGCTACTGGATGGATACGTCCTCCGATGCGGTCGAGTCCTTCGAAAATGTCGAAACTGTCGATTCCAAGTTCAAGAAGCCGGCGCGCTGTTGACAAACCAGCCATTCCGGCTCCGACGATGGCTATACTCGGCTCCCCCTTTTCTGACTCCCTCTGACAATACATATTTACATTTTCAATGGCCAAACGCTACTGCTCACCTGAACCGTTATTCCACAGCCAATGATTACCATCAGTACTATACGAACGTTCATCGACATTTTTATTCTTGTAGAGTGCTGCCAGCTTGTCGGTTTTAAAGAAAAACCAGAGCCTGAATGAAGTTTTGTACTTTTTACGTAGGCGTTTCTTGGAAAAGGGGGGGGGGTCGTAGAATCTGATAAGAAGTACTCATAAAGTCATTCACAAAGCGTTAGAAATAAATTTTGCAACGCGTTACGCAATAAACTGAAGGAGCCAAAAATACATATCACTATTTTCAATCACGCAACGCGAACTTAATTTCAACGCTTTTTCAAAAGAGCCAAAGAGCTACTGACACTTCACCGAATAGATTTTTTCAGAATAAAAATCCAAATCATGTTGATCTTGATTTTTCAAAGATAAGGGGTGTCATAACGAGGTTTTTCATTATTTTTTCCATTTGAATAATTTTTATCCAGTTTTTTTTACCATCATATCAAAATTGAAATCCTGCTTCTGAATGTATTTAAATCGTTTTTAAATTCAAAACTCGAAAACGGGAACTTCTAAATCAGGTCCTCAGCTCACTTTCCTTAGCAAAAGTATAAAAAAAAAATTAATGAACTCTTGCGTAGTTAGAAGGAGGTTTGAGACTAGTTTCAAACTTTCAAGGAAAAATAAATCAGCGAAACAGTGGGGAAACGAAGATTGAAAAGGTCTTTCTGACGTTATCGGCCAGTGGCAGCGGCTTTTTATTCCCAACCATACGGTTTGGTCTTACGAGTGATAAGCGCCGTGGCTTCATGTGCTTGGATAGGTTCGTCTGCATTTTCAGCAGGTCTCTCCTATTCCAAGCCTTCTGTGTGCTTCTTAGACCCGCGTGATTTTGCAAGGCTGGCGCGTGAATGATTTATCATTTCGATCAGGGATTATTTTTAGGAACCGGAATCACGTTTTGTTTTGAGTCATTGCTGATCTTTTTTTTGAATGATCAGTCTTGAGCAAAAATTATAATTACGTTGTGGAATTATTTTCTTGGTCTACAAAAACACGGCGAAATGGGAATAGAGCGAATTTGACTTTCTTCTGAAAAGATCCACAAATTACACTGGCCAATCGGCGCATCCACAAAAATAGCTAACGCGTATCCTATTCATTAACGGACGATGTGGATACCCCGATTGACCTTTTTATGCTTTCCGAGTAGTTTCTATTTTTCATCATAAGCCTGCTGATTCCGTTTTTTAAAAACTTTTGATACTCAGTAGTTTTTGAGAGTAGTTTGCATCGTTTTGTCAACTCATCAACAGTCACACTGTCTCATGTTCTATGGATACTTGATTTGTGGGTGTCGTTGAAATGCGCACAGGCTACACTTATCAGCAGAGTCTAATCAGCTCAATTCTACTTGTCATTCGATTAAGGGATTATGTCTCAGTCGAGGTAAAATTGGAAGAACTTTCAATCAAACAAACAAAGAAAAAAAAAGTGAGGGAAAGATAAAAGAAGAAAGAATTCCTGAAGATTATCAACGATGATTTGCAGCAGTCATGGTAGAAAGTGACGAAATAACCTGGGAAACGAGGTTGCAGAACCATTCGAGTTCTTTGACTCAGTTTCTGGAGTCGAAACGGTATGGAAGGGAGAGGATCTTCTGAAAAATAGTTCGAAATATTCAGGGAAAAGTTGCTTTCCGATTTCCCCGACAACCGCGAAGAAGCTCTCACAGAAATCGTCCAAGTCATCTGTGCATTATCTCCCGACTTCCTGAGCGATGAGCAAGGTGCTCTTGGGAAATTCGTCCAGTTTCTAAATTGAACATTTTCAGTAGCTCTGCTTTTAGAGTTTCTTCTGTCACGTTTGGAATCTTCTGCCTTGGCCGGTGGCTCTGTCATTTCCGGTATCCATCATTTGGTTAGAAAAGAAAAGTCTCAGAAAATGAGCATTTTTTTGAGGTGACAAGATGCAAAAATCTTCCTGAAGGATTCGAAATGCCTCTTGTAAGATTCATGTTCAAGTGAGTTTCCGGTTTCTTGCGATTATCAACTGAAATTAAGAGAAGGAAACGTGCAATCGTGGGCTCAGAAAGATCGGCAGTTACAGTACGAAGTTCTGCAATGGCTGCTGAAAAGACGTCTCAGTCGTGAGTTTCCAATTTCTCAGAAGAGGAATCTTCTTTTGAGTCTTGCAAGCGTTGGGCGTCGACTTTGTTGCCACCTTCATCAAGACGATTTCCGGCGAACGAGACCCGCGGTGTCTTTTGGCCGCTTTCCAAATGTTCGTGACGGTCGCCAAAAACTTCGGTATGGGTAAGTCGAAACGAAAGTTCACATCAAAATGATTGAAGTTAAAGTTTGATGCGAAAGGACAATTTGGAGGAAGGCGCTGATAGGCTATAAAAAGATATCCATTAACTTGCTTTATTTTGAATATTCTGAAGTTTCAGACTCACTAGTGAGGCTATTTAGCTGATAAATGAAAGAAGTTTTCTAGCTATCTGTAAGTTCCCATACAAACTATTAAATAAACTTGCTGCTTAGTTGAACAGAAATTGGATTTTTAACTGCTGATGCCTTAATGGGTTAGCGCTTCTGGAATGAAATTCCATAGTTCATTGTAGATTTTTCAAAAAAGCCGTACTTCTCTGCAGCATTGCCAAAGTCGTTTTTTTTTAAAAAACGGTTTATTGCATCTTCAATGTAAGAGTACATGTGCAATCGACTTTCATTGATTTAACTGTGTTTAAACGGCGGCAGGAGCTGTGGCTTAGGCAGAGAAGTTGTGAATTTCGCTCGTAGAACATCAGGTACAAGAGTCGTAACCCAGTGAATAAAAAGAAATTCAATTTTCAGGGCCGTTCTCTGAAGAGATGTTCGAAACGATCGCATGCTACTTTCCTGTGGAGTTTAAAGCAGTAAGTTTCCTCTCGAGAACAACCAAACCGGAGAATTTGAGTCGGCCACGGAAAAGTCGATCAGCCGCGCCTACCTGTCGACCTGCTGCTCGGCGTGTCTTGTCGCCTCGCCCAACTTCGCCGACTTCTGTTTCCTGCTCATCGCCGAGAAGTTTGAAGACGACGAGTGCTCGCCTGAACAGAAGGACGACGTCTGCGCTCTTCTGGCACGTCGGTCGTCTAGCAATCTTTCTTAAATTACATCTACAGGCGTTGGCCGCAGATACTTTCCCCTCTAGAGCTGTTTTACAACATTTGAAAGATTTACTTGCCGGTTTGCGGATGGTCGGCCTAAATCCAAAAAATCGTGGTATATTTTTGATAAGGGAAAGGAAATATTGGAACTGACAGGTGAAATGTCGGGAGAGGTAGACGAAGCACTAGGAGCGCTTCTGAGGACCGTTCGAAGACTGGAAGAGCCGAAATTCGAGTGGGGATGCATCGATTCGTTCATCGAAAGTGAGTGTTGTGAAGAGAATAGATTTTGTTCTAAAAAAAAATATTGAATACATCGAATTGATCGAACTTTGAAAGTGATGGGTTTTTAAACTTTTTTTTTGAAAGGAAGTTTGATAACGGATTTTGAAAATTGACGGGTTGAAGGATTCATGGTTGAATTTCTTTTCTTGCATTAGGTCGAAAAAGGATTGAACAATTTTCTGTCAATATCTTCGCTTTCTGTTCAAAGTTCTCCTGAAAAGTAGGAGGCGTAATTCCAAATACTGTATAACAATTTGAATTAAGGTTCTTGGTTTTTGAGGACAGGATGGATAACTTTCAGACCTCGAACCTTTTGTGCTCCAAGCTGAGATGGGCCTCTCCGGGAAAGGTTTTCGGCTATTGCGCTGCGCCTTCAACAACGCCTCGAATGTCGGCGCGCGGAAGATTTTGGGTCAAGCTCTGGCGTGGCTCACGACTTTAGTCCAAGGTGAATCTGGAGCTCATCCGAAATCCACGATCTCGACTGCAGGCGACAGCGTTAACGTCGCTGCGAACAAGGCAGAGATCATCGGAGAATCTCTTGTTTTTCTGGTTGAATGGGTCGAGTTGGCCGCCAGTCGGCCAGAAGTTGGAGGTTCGGCTAAGTGAGATGGAAGTTGCTGTAATCTCCGTCTTACAGAGCCCTCTCTGACATCTTACGAATCAAACATTTTCGCTGCTATTGACGTGGCTCGGGAATACGTGCCCAGCAAGTCTGTTGAAGCCCTTCAGAAATGTGCTATTGTAAAGAAAGATCTTCTTTTCGATTTACTATCTTTTGATGTAGGTTTATTGTGAACTGAAGAGTTATTCAAGTGAACTGCGTTCTCGAATAGAAATCATGGTGAAGAATGGGTTGACTACCGTGATGATTCCCGAAGAAATGTAGGCCTCCAATTATATTTCTTCTGATATTTCCTTTTTTAGACCAAGTTATCTTGAACTGGTTGCGAAATGCGCGAAAAACTCTTTGTTCGAATTGGATCTCACTGCCATTGACTCATGGAGTTAGTCTGTTTTTTTATGCAAGACTAACTTTTTCAAATTTAAGACAGGCAAAAGATCATTCCCGTTTTGTGTTCAGCAATCACAGATCAAGCTTCTTGGGAGTTATTGAAGGTTCTTATTGAGAAAGAGCTTAGAAAAAGAGTCGAAGACAGCTCAGGTGAGACTGAGACAAAATGAAAAGGCGAATTCGGATTAAGACGACCTGTCGACGGCTCTTTCGGCCTACGTCAGCATGTGCTCGAGAAGTCAGCCCAGCGAGGAGCTGGTCTACGGCCAAATCCTCCATTTCGCCCACATTCTGACATCGGTCAGCCATCAAATTCCAGATTCCTTGGACAGAATTAACAAGAAGATACCGTAATTGACACTGTTTGAGCAAGAAATTCGTGAAAAACGAAATCTTCTTTTTTGCTCTTAAGCTTCTCAGAAGTTACTGATTCCGATGCGATCCTTGTAGATTTTCGAAAAAGAAAAAACTTAACACTTTTCCAAATAAATAAAGATTTTGATTCTACAGATGCCAGACAGTGGTTCCGAAGAGCAAGAGCAGCTTTTGGGAGCAAGTCTACAGAAAATGACCCTCCTGCTCTCGTCGACTTCTCACTCCAACTTCATGTCCACTATCTCAGCTCTCTTCCGAGGTTCTACAGTCAAAGAATCGAGTCTTTATCTTCTCGAAGAACGCTTCTCCTTGTCCTTCTTACAATGCGAGGTATTGCTAATATTGGCTGGAATTTCGAAATTAATCTAAACAAAAAAATGAATAACTAGTCAATGTTTTTTTTGTACATGTAAACATTACTGCATTTTATAGCAACTACGATTATTCAGAGGAAAGATCTTTTGGAAGAAGCTCGGACGTCTTCTCACATGAGTAAGAAGTTCAAAAATCGAATTCTTTTTGCATCTGTCAATCGTGGATTCGTCGAGAATCAGGATATTTCGGCAACAGAGTGAGTTTGGATTCCAAATGATTTTTGAAAAGATTTTTTCAGAGAATCGGCAGTAGTAGTGAAAGCACTACTACTACGCGAGACTCCAAAAGGTATCAGGCTCCTGAAAGAGGTTGTATCTGTAATTTTGTAGCATCCATATCCTTATTTTTAGCTTCTTCTTGAAGCTTCGAACAGGTCTCAAAGTGACGAGGAGTTAGAGAAACTATTTCCCTATTTGTTGGATTTCAATAGGTTGGACTCAGAACCGACGCTGTGTCGATATGAAACAAACGGACCTCTCTGGCGTCAAAGGTCTGATTTTGCGTTTTTCAAAAAGTTCAAAAGTTGAGCTTAGAATATTCTTCATGATCGTGCCTGCCTACAAAGAAGTTATCGACCTTTCTTACTCAACAGGTTCTCTATACTATTATCACAAACATTGTTTAACTGATTCAGCTGGAAAAGGCATTTTATACGGATTTTTGCCGCCTTTGCTGGAATTCGCTCAATCATTGGGAAACCCTCACATCAAGGATCAGTTCTCTATAGTTAATTTTTCCTTTTTTAGCAAGAAAAAGTGGGGTTTCCAGCTTTTGCCAATGTTCATGGACTCTCTGAGAAGAGATGAGGCTCTTTCGACTTCGGTTTTTCGGTCGATCCCTTCCTTCATCCAGGTCGCCGAGGTTTTGGACCCACAGAACATCGCAGTTCTTGTCAACCGAATCAGCAACGTCATAAATAATGATTCTACCAAAATGGTAACCGCCCTATACACAAAATGAAGGAAAGCGGGGCTTTTTCACAGAAGGAAAAACGCTAAAAAAATCTGGATAATTATAAATTTAAATTTGAACGAAATCAATTATTTTTTTGTTGTCCACAAGTTAGCAAAAAAATTAAGGAGCGAGTTCAAAGCATTTTTCTCTTTTTTTAAAAATACTGATTTGTTTTTTTTTGTGTTGAAATGATCGAAAAGAAAAAGAAAGCTAACTCGAAAAATTAAACTTCACGTTTTTGATTTTGGTGGATTTTAGGCAACTGTGCTCGATTCCCTGGAAAGTCTGCGTTTTTTGGCAGCTCGCCAACCCGCGAGGTCCCTTCAGCCGTTCATTCAGCCGGTTACTGTAGCTCTGAACAAATTGCTCGCTCACCGAAAACGTCTCATTCGACAGAGAGCTGCCGCCGTCAAAAACACGTGGTATGTAGATTTTCAAGAGAGCTTCACTATGATTGAGAAATCTATAAGCTAGACAACAATTTCAACCGTTTCCACATGGAAACTGGGTTATAACTCTGATGGACTTTTTTTCAAAAAAAGGATAGAGAGAGTTGTAGAAATATTTTGAGGCACAACTGATCGAAAGTTACTCTGAGCCAATCTCTATCGTACACCGTTCTCGTTATTTTTTTGCACATCAGTAGAAAGTTTTTGATTACGAGATCACTAAGATTTAAAAAAAAAGGTTTATCTTCTCTTTCAATAAAAAATTAAGGTATAACATTAATTGAATATTTGAAAAAAAAATTGAAGAACATGAATTAATTTTTTCTAACTGTTAATGTTTCAGGGAGACACTCGCAGAAAAGTGAAAAATCTTCATAGAAATCATTCAATTTGTTGTTTTGGAATAAAATTTTCCTTTTCTTTGTCGCGATTGCGTTCTGATGTTTTTGTGAGAGAATTCAAGACCCTACTTGACTACGCTCCACACTTTTCACCAGCGTTGCGTGCGATAGCTCAGCACACATGTCGTTTGCATGCCGTGCGAGTGGTCGCTGGTTCGGATCCTGCAGTGGTCGATGATGGTGTTTCAAGACGGGGCTGACCTTGTGATGCATAAACTCTGAAACTGAGACAATTTTTTTTATTTTTTGTGTTTTCAGTACGTAAGTTTAAGACCGCCTGAGTCACTTTAGGCCTTTAGTTTTGACGAACTGAAACAGATAGAAATGTTTTTGAAGAGCTAGTGAATTAATGATCAAATATACATTCGAATAAAGTTCGTGGCTAACCTCGTCAATGTTTCTTGTGAACTCTATTAACATCTCGTAAATAATTGATTTTTTTTAAATTATTAGTTTTCTCACTTCACTAAGTTTTGTTAGTCTTTATACCAGCACTTAAAATAGCTTTTTGAAAAGTCTTACAGATGCCGTATGGAGATAGTCTTTAAACTCAAGAAACTAATCGTCATCAATCTTCGCATGACACGGCGACATGTTCACTTTCACGCTTCTACAATGTCCGATCATCCATTTCGAGGTTCCGCTGATTTTTTTAGTGAGTTTTTTTTCTAATTTCAAATTTCACTGAAATCTAAAAAACATCTGGGAAGAATGAGAATCTTTTTGTGATTCGCCGATTTTTTAAAAGAATTAACTTATTTATATTTGAATATCAAAAATTATAAATTTGCGAAGCGGGGAATGTTTTCTTTTTTGATTAATTTAGTATTAGTCGAAGCTGGGAAGTGCTCTTTCGTACTCTTTTATGTGGAATGACGATTCGAAGAAAGCAAAGTGTTTTCTCATCATGTAACTGGAGAAACTCATAGAATTTGGTAATCTAACGCCTTTTGAGCAATTTTGGAGTAGTCATGTGAAGCCGAAGCCTTTCTTGAAATTTCTGCTGCGTTTTGTCCCGGACTAAAATTGAATCTATGCCGTTTTTTGTACCTTTAAAATTTTTTTACGATACATCTATTTCCACGTGTAACATTTTTTTTGATGAACAAGCTAATTCTCAGAAATTTATTTATGATATATTTAGTACAAAATCTCATAGTTTTCTTTTTCGGCTATTCAAACTGAATTCTAATCAGTCTGAAAACCTACCTACGACCATCACTACTTTTCCCTTGAAGCTTCTTCTCTTGTTAAACAGCTGGAGTCTGGCCGAAATGATTTTCGAAATCAACCCAATGAAGCTCCCGCGGCAGTGTAGTCGCGCACCCCAAAACAAGACGAGAACAACCTACCGACTGTCACTTATTTACACGATGTGACAAGTGACCGACGGCAACGTCGATCAATCAGCGGCGCGCACTTGCCGCTACCTGTGAAAAAGATTCATCATCCCGTCTTGTACGCCAATTTATGTACCGCGTGCCTGATGGAGTACTCATCAAAGTGTTATTGAAAGGCTTCTTTATCAGCATGCTACACATTGTGATTTAGTTTTGTTGTAGCATACAATTTTGATGAGATCTGTTTATTCATCTTTCCAGCTACACGGAAAATTCCGGTAGTTTGTGCAGAGGAGAACGAAGGAAAGCACTGGGAGAAACAACCTAAAACCAAGAAATAAAAGGAGGGTAACCAAAATTTTTAGGAAATTATTTCCGCCTTCAAACGAAAAAAGAAGTTCAATCTTTTGAAAAGAGGCTTCATAAGTATTTGAAGCGATGTTAACTCCAGAAAGTATGTAGGCCTGTTTGTAATTTTCGGACGTCGCTTCTTCCAGAAGACACCGTTCAGTGTTGTTTTCCTGGCTCAACAAGGAACGCCAACCCATCAGTGGAATCCATGGACTGCCGCAGTCGCGCATATCTAATGGAGCTCGTTAGAGCGAACACGACCCGCCACTACAAATGACCAGCGAGATTCATTAGGCCCGACTTAGTTCCTTGTTTCTTCCGCGCCAGATGCCCTTGTAACTGTGAGTGATCAGGCCTTCTCTCGCTCATTTTCTTGGTGTTTTGTCAGCAGCTCTAGTTGATCATATTTTATCTCTCACCTTCTAACTTGGTTATTTTTGTACTGTTCAATAGAGCCGTTTTTTCTTTTCTCAGATGTCGATAGCAAGGTTTGAGCTGGGTACGGTTTTTAATAGTCTAGAGAAAAACCAATCGATTTTTTTAATGCTCAAAAGTAAGACTTGGTGGACGACAAAGTTTCGGTTAATAGAACTTTCGAAGAATAGAAAATTTGAAAATAAATGGAAAAAATCTTCTTTCACACATTTTGATAGCCAAGGATGTCTAGTTCCATGATCCATTGATTTTCTGATCAGCTTCTTTATGAAAAAAATTAAGACCAATTGTGAAACGACTCTTTTTCAGTTTATTTTCTTATTTCTGAACTCTTTTCTGTTCTGGAATTATACCCATACGGCTGTTTTCAATTGAAATTTTTGTACAAATCTCGGATGAATGTGAAAAACTACAAGTGAGAATGATATTCAAATAAACTAAAATCCCTTGCGTCTCTATTTTTGATCCCCTCATAAAACCTAAACGAATTCATATGCTGAAACGGCGTTTGTGTATGATTTCGTTCATCGGAAACAAGGAGCCGCCGGCCGATCAGATAAGTTTAACGCGGCAGTCGGGTGGCAGCGATGACGAGCTTTTGATCGGGACTTGACAAGCTCCGCCTCCATTTTCTGACGTTTTTCTTCATCTAGGACCTTCACTTTTCTCTATTTCATACAGAAATGTTATTTTCTTTTCTCTAGTGGTATTTCATCTTTTTTTTTTTCAATAAGTTCGACAACTTTCCTTGTCCAATTTCATTTGACACAGCGAGGGATATTAACGCAACCGTCACTCAAAGTATCCTTTTGCCTGGCCGAATCTTATTTCTGTCACTTTTTCAACTCGTAATTCGAATCTGGAACTCACAAAGATGTGTATTTTTGAAAAAGCTGGTTTAGAAGTGAAAAGACTGTTACTTTTTTAAACTTTCAATCTACGATATTCTTCTTGTTACATTCCCTGAATCTTAATTTTGAGTTATAGAATTCCAAAACTTCTCTAGTGCTCCCGTTTTGTAGACCTGCTTGTTCAAGGAGAAAAGCTGATTCTTTTCTTTTTTTTCTGCGTTGTCGCGATGTTTATTCATAATGACTCAACGAACGGAGTGGCGACTTTTCCATTGATGACCTTAGTCGCCGTCGCGACGACTGCAACAAAATTCGCATCACACGCTCGACGGCACTCGCAGTTGTGTTCGCGGCTGTCCCGGCCCTTATATAGTAAGAAGGGAAAATAGTTGCAAAACGCCCTCGTACCGCGATGAATATCTCGAAGGCCTTTTCTCGCCACTCGCAGTTCAGTCAACCGTGTGTTTTCCGTTCTGACTTGCCCTCCACTCTTGCGCCATGCCGTCAGTTCAGCCGCCCATTATTTTTGTATGCATAGCCAAAACAGTTTCTAAGTGAATTTATTTTTCTGAAACTTAGGGAAAAACTTTTTTTATCTTTTTGAAACATATTTTTTTATCTGAAGTTACATCCGAGGTTATGAGCGACAAAATAAATGGAGAAATATCACGAAAAAAATACAAAGAAATAAGAATTCAAAAATTTAAAATTATCAATTATTCCATTTCATTATTTTTAAATTGTCTGAATGATTAGATAATATTTTTTTGGTTTTTTTATTAAATTTTTTTTTGCAGATTCCAGAACCAAAGATGTTGAAATAACTGATTTTTTTTCACATAGTGTATTTGTCCTGAAAAATAGAGAAGAGCCTACCAACTGTTCCGGGCTTCAGAGAGATAGGTTTTATTGTTGGACTATCTGGAAAAGGCTCGGCCGGACCCACGCTCTTCACACTCTCGACGTGGTGCTTGATCCATCTGTTTGTGGGCTCTTGAATGTCTGTTTCCGGTGCTCCGACATGTTCCTTTCCTTTTTTCGCCTCTTTTCCTCTTCTCAGTTTCAATCCGTGCTCTATCGCACACTCATCTCACTTTTTCAACTTTTTTTGCTTTGTAAAGTTTCTAAGCACCGTTTAAACATAATTTCCAGGCAGTAGAAAACTTTTTGAGTCCTTACTTTGCAGATGAAGTACTTTGTAATATTATTAAAACCTAGCTTCATATAGCATCTTCGTTAAGTCGGATTCTGGAACTCCTTATTGTTTAGTTTGAAGGCTTTTAAAAAATTCGCCTTTGGAAAAAATACAGCCTTCAAAGAATAACTCAATTATTTCAAAAAGTAAAGGTTGCAAACAATTGTTTCTCTCTAGCGACCCCTTTCAATAAGCTCCGTGCGTAATTCAAGTTGGAATGAAGAGGAAAAAAAATGGGTAGCGCCTTTTTTGTCGCCGTTTTCATTAGCTTTTACTGCCGTATTTGAAGCCTCATTGCCAGTTTCCTTCTTCTTTTTTTCTCCACTTTTCTTTTTTCGTGTTTTTCTCTGCAGATTGGTATTCAAGCCATTCACAACATTTGAAAATCAGGTCTTGAAGTGTTGACTCTTCAGAGTGTTCAGGGTCAGAGTCATTCAGTTGGTAGAAACAGAAAAAAGCTCGAAAGTTTTGCATTTGGTCGGTCGGATTAAACGAGTGGCGGCACGCGATCTCGTCCAGCGGAGAACGTCTGGAGGCTTGTCACACCGATTTTCGTCTGTCGCTTCCGAATACTTTCGGTTCGACGACGTCGCCTTCTTTTGGTTTTCCCAACACTTAACTTTTTCCTTTTTCGTGAGCCGAGTTCTGAATCTTATTATTATTGTATCAATAACTTCATAAACACCTTTTTCAACATTGAATAACTGTAGCGCGCTATATTGCGAAAGTTGTAGATATTTTCCTCGTAAAAATGTCGCAAATATTGAAATATCTTGATCATAAATGAATTTACCTGTGAATATTATTCTGTTACGCCAAGTCGAACACCGTATTTTTTTCCTGAACATCGGATTTTTTTTTCTAAAGTTGAGAATTTTTTCGAGTATATCTTTTCCCTGTGATTTCATTTTTCACACCTCAAAAAATATTGAAAATCACACAAAAAAAAAGCAAAGCATAGTCGTTGGTGAAAGGCTGAATGGGATGTTTTTCAAGTCGAAAAGGTCTTTTTTCCCCAGATTTGTCCCTTGGAGGAATCCTCCTGATGGAGAATCTTGGGCTTTTCCTTACATTTTTGCGTTGGCCGGCGATGTAAAAGGTAGATGAGAAGGGAACGGTACGAGTGTTTGTTCAGAGGAGCTACTACACGCCCAGCTACCGGCCATTCGAGATGTTTTGCCGTGGCTGTTTGTCTTGCCATCTCCTGTCGTCACACGCAAAAAATGTCGGGTCCAAACCAATTATTCAGCTTCTTCTAAACCACTACATAGTTGGCTGACTTTTCGCGCTTTCGATCAATCGACGCCTCCTCGGAATTGAATTATTTTTCGCGCAATGCTCACAATAACGTTTGATTAGATTATACATTCGCAGAGCGCGACTCGAATCCCATCAAATATGCGCGACACGAATTTCAAAGTATTCTCCCAGAACCTCGATTATTACGCATTTTGAGCAATTTCACTACTAAATGATGTTTTGATCTATTTTCGGTCATATTGGGAAGACTTTGGAGCGCTTCGCACTTTTGGGGAAAAGCAATTTCTCAGCACTAAAGTGTCGAAACCTTGAAGCAAACGACGAAAGTTCATTTCATATGCGGCTAGTCTCGAAGAAGGCGGCCTCGCTCATCCGCCATTCCATCCATTCATTTCCAGACCTCCACAGCTCTACTTTCATCCTTGGCGCCAATACACAATTCAAAAACAAAGACTTATTGAGGGCGCAGAAATCTGTATCGTCCTCGATTTGAGTCTTTCTTTTCTCCTGGTTTAATCTATTCAAGGCTGTCCTTCCGAGTCCAATTCATACCCTTTAAGGAGCTTAGCAGTAAGTAGCTCTCCGAGGCAAATAATAACCTCGACGCGCGCATTTGGGATGTCCTCACTTCACACGTCCGTTCCATTTGCTGTTCAGCTTCCTAATTATTAAATCCAAGTCTTTTCTGAGCTCTTTCTCCATCAAGTCTGACATCGCTGGGATAGGGATGAGTGGCTTTTGAAATTTTTGAAAATTCGAAAAACAAATGTTCCGTGTATTGTCTCATATTTCTTTTTTCACGTTTTCCTTTTCCTGTTCTGCTAATTAATTCAGATTTTATCTATTAGAAAGGTGCGCAGATTGTGCTGACATCAAAAGGTGAAACTCGTTAGAAGTGATAATTATGTTGAGACAGGTAAGGAGGCTGTCAGCGGGGTCACCTTGTGTTCTTTTTTGACGTAGCGAGGTGCTGACAGTTCTTTTCGCACTTAATTGACCCCTTGAAGGTAATTAATCTTATAGATTGAATATAGTTACAAATAACCTCAACTAAATATTACCGATTCACCTTTTTTTTCTTGGAGGAAGAAAGTACTCTTTAATTTCCTTTTTTTTTAATTGCTGGGACAGTTGAGAAGGTTTTTTGAAGATTATTTCGTTATTTCATTTTAATTTTTTTTGATTCTGTTGGTTTCAGCTTTTTAGAGTCTCTAGAGGCGCCTTTTTTTGCAATTAAAAAAAAAACTCCCCATTTTAAACCGTAAATGGTCAAGAACTCGTAAATCTTCAAGCTGAGATACGTATGAACTCGACTATAAATTCACAGATCCTTCCTGAAACATGGCCACTGAACGTTAAAAGTTCACGTTTCAATTTGTATAATTAATATTGGATATTTGATTTTGTTATTCTAACCCGGCCTGCTCAGCTCGTTATGTCGGTCTTTTGCCGCCGACCAGAAGTCCATTAGGCGACGTCCGTAGCTTCAAAAGGCGCCGCCTGCGAGTCGAAAAGAGCCCAATTCCTGCCTCCGACATTTGTCCAACCGCTTACCTTGTACCCTAGAGCTTGTTTTAATTAGTTCTGTTGCCAATAATCGAATAGTTTCAACAACTTTTCAAATGTTCCTTTTCAGAGCTGAACTTTGAATCAAAAATTTTATTTAGAATATTTGAATGGTACTCGAAAGTTTTGCCGCAGATCATTTACAGTGCTGAAATTACGATTTGACTAAAAAACTCCCTTCTAAAATACCTCCCAAGAGTCCAATTATGGATCAGCCGTACTCGAAGTAAGCAATTTGCAGGTGAAGGCTTTATTTGCTCGTACCTGTTGAGTGATTCCTCGAGAGCCGCGCGTCAAATTGATACGTCAGAAGGCTGCCTGAGGCCGACACGGAGGCTGACGAGGTGCAAAACAGCCAAGGTGCATCTCCACCTGTCCGAGGACCAATTTGCTCGTTATGTCATGCTCCTCCTCCTCTGACACCTTCTTTGTCCAGCCCTCCAACTTGGCCATCTCGCATCAGATAAGCTTGCTAGAGCACCTGTGAGCACGCCTTTCTTCCATTTCTCTTCATTTTTCGATTCCGTTGCAATTATTTCCGCCGTTCTTTTGTTTTTCTCGTTCAAGTTCAGCTCGTTTACATCTCTCTTTCGTTTATTATTCATGGATTCGTGCTCTCTTTTTTTTCCAAGCTTCTAGCATGACATTTACATTTTGTTGGAACTTTTTCACCGATCTCCCAAAAGCTTATAAGCTTAACACGCAACCTTGTTGTCGATTTGAAAGCTTCAGACTCTTTCCTTCGAGTTTTGATTCAGATTAAGTTTTGATTCATGATTAAGTTTTTTTATTCAAAATATTTTTCTCTTGTCATAATGAACAGAAGGAAATTGCTGACGACCTTTCTGCCATCGGACCTTCATTGTTCATCACATTCTCATTTTTCCTTTGACGGTCTATAATCACGAAACATTTGAATGTTGCAATTCTAGGCCCGTAATTGCAGGTAGTAGAGCTTCTGGCGCTGTGTTGCGCAACGAACAGACAGCGTGTCTCGCCATAAAATAGCCATTTTTCGAGGCTCAGCAGGGTGCCAAATTATGACACACCAGTTGTTCTTTTTTGCGTTTTGCAAACTGAAGTCTTTCATTTTCCCACAAAATCAGTTTTCTAGGCACCCATTCTCTCATCCAATTATCCCGACTAATGGACCCTTAGCGCGCCAAGTTGTAGAAAAGTTTGCACTAATAAGGAGGATGTGGTTGTTTGCACGTTGGCGCGTAAATGGCTTGGACGAACACTACTTTGCTTGCTATGCTTATGCAAATTGGCGACCTTTCCTAGGGTTGTACCCATTTTCGTCGTTTCCATGGCTTCTTCTCCTCTTTCTCTTGCTTTTGAGTTGGTTGCAAATCTGAGAAGTTGCCAGGGGCGTTTTTTTCGTTCTAGAGAAGGTAAATGGTATTTTGAGGACATTTTCCAAGTTGTCTGAGCAAGTATCTTAGCTGCATGAGAACTTATTGATGATATTTCTGAGAACAAGAAAGTTTTTTTGCTCGTAGAATTTGTTGGAGAATTTTTTTTTTCAAATCTTCCCTCCGTCTTTTCAATTTTTCATTTCAAAAAATCTTTTTGAAGCGTTGAAAATAGAATTAGAATTTCTTTCATGTTTAGATTTTCCAAGTTTACATGAAGAATCACCGTGTCTTGCTTTTATTTGAGAAAAATTTTGAAACCAATCTTGGATAATTTTTAGTTAGATTACAATTTTTTTGGTTGAGTTGAGTCAAAGAAGGTTATTAAATACGGTGGGATGGGCGTGTCATTGTCCGAATTCGGTGGCACGACGTGACAAAAGCGCATAATAGGAGGCCAAGGAGTAGGTCGGACTCCTGACTACCTGGCTGAGGTCGTGTTTGCTCGGCTGTGTTCACGCCACTCATACTGTACTTCTTGAGTTTGTCTATCGGACTCTCTACCTTACTGTTTTTGCGTTTCCTTCTCGTCCGGCAGATCCCATTTCACGTCGTTCTCAGTTTACGCAACCCGCCTTGTATATTCCATCTTGAATGTACCACCATAAATAGGATAGACCTTTTGTCAACTCTCTCACTCCAAATATTTTTCTTTCTTTTTTTTCAGCATATGATATTGTTATATTTATGATGGTGAAGAAAAATCTGATAATCGTTAAGTTTTTTAAACTCACAAAGTTAGTCATTTAATATTTTAAAAAAAGTCAAGGAATTCAAAAAAGTCTAGGCTCTGAAACTAAAGTAATGTCAAGGTCTTCCTCTACCTGACCACGACTCTCATATATAATATTACTACTCTCTCTCTCTTTTCTTGAGCTGCTTCTCATTTCCTTCTCGCTTCCAATGACTTCTTCTTTTTCGCTCAAGTGGAAACCCGCTGAAGAAGTCTCAGAATGGTGCAGCAGGAGATATATGTCATGTCATGCAGAGCGTACACTCGTAGTGTTGTTTGCCCAGAACGAAGTGTCATGGTCCGACTCTTTTTCCCGTGGCTCATGATCATTACGTCTGTTGCTGAAGCTCATTCGAACTTTTCCCCTTTCAGCCTTTTCAGTGTTTACGCTCCAGTAGATTACTCCGCTTCTCTTTTTTTTTGGAAGGGATACAGAGCTGAAAACGGAATGACTGATGATTTTCGAACAGATCGTTTTCTTTCTTCAAAAAATGTCGTTTGAATCGCAAATTTCAAGCTTCTGAAAAAGTAGAGAGTAGAGGTATCATTTTTTCAATGACAAAAAAGTTCAGAGGCAGAATCCACGCTTCGAACTTATGATCCGACCTTTTTTCTTGAGAAACTTACAGTTTGCAGAAAAAAAAACACTATTATATTCAATGTTTTTGAACTTGATTCCTCCGAAAAAGAACTTCAAGCGGAAATGACGTAGCTTTTTCTGTTGTAAAATTCCTGAACAAGTTTGAGTGCAAAGAACTTTCGAGTTGTATGAAATGTATCCGGGAGCTGTCCGTCGAGTGTTGTGCCGCCTCAAGTGCTTCTTCGTCTCGCATGCCTGATGATACCTGCGTCCGGATATCCTGGACGCCTAGGACTCTTCCCTATTTATTGACTTTAGGCTATTTCCGTCGTTCCTAATTTCTGATACTTTCTTCATCACTCGCTTCCGCTTTTTTCTTTTTACAAGGCTTTGGAGAGATGTTTTAATTTCGTCTCTCAATATGCTGCAAACTAAACTTTTTTTTGATCATATACCCGTTCAAAATTTTTTTTTGGCGTTTTTCCGACTCAGAATTTTTCGATTGTTTGAACCCAGAGGAGTTTCTAGTATGAAAAAAGCTGGAAACAACATATTTGGTTGCTCTGTATCAATCCGTTTCACAATGTTTATTTTTTCGTTTTAAGATATCAGGGTTCTTTCATTTTCTGAAAATTTTTTATCTTTTTTTCATTAGGCTTCCTACTGTTTTAGCTTTTTTGTTGTCGTTAAAAGGGGAGTTATAAATTCAGCCCTACAATTTTTTCCATTTCATTGAATAATAAACTTAACTTCATAACTTCAATTTCCCATCGCTTGCTCTTTGAGTTCGAAAATTCCTTTTTTCTTGAATAAAAATAGATTCCGGAAATTTAAGTGCCAAATAAAGTAGATATGAACTGCATCGATTCTAGCTATCTTCCAAATTTAGATCTTCCCTCAATATCCTCACTTAAAAGCAACTTTGTATACATTAGGGAGAGAGTAATCGCCAGAAATCGATAGCTCGCGAGAAAAAGTTTACGTTTTTGCCTCGAACCAAGCGCTTCTTGTGCATCTTGGACACTGGAAACCCGATATGCGGCGATCTACTGACTCCTGGCGGCTTCTTTTTCTTCTCCGCGTTCTTTTCCAGAACTTGGACGATTTCTTCCTTCGCTCTTCGTTTATTCTTTCATTCTCAACTTGTCAGAATGTGTCGGTTTTTCAGAAGCGGAATGCGGTGGAAGTCTGTAGTTGTGCTTTGTTCCTTCCTGCAACTGGTGGCGGCTGCCAAACGCTGCGAGCCGATAACCGTTCCTCTTTGCAAAGGCATCGGCTACAACATGACCTCTTTCCCGAACAGCTACGGCCACGAGAAACAGGAAGAGGCTGGCCTCGAAGTTCATCAGTTTTTCCCCCTCGTTGAGGTAACCTTTTTTTCTGGGGTTCCATGGCCAAACCGATATCTTCTTTAGGTTGGATGCTACCAGCATCTCAAGTTCTTCTTGTGCACACTGTACACGCCCATCTGCCAGGACAACTACGACCGCGCCATTTTGCCCTGTCAGGAGCTCTGTTTAGAAGCTCGGAAACGATGCAGTCCCATCATGCAAAAGTTTGTCTCATTATCGGTCTTCAGTTCTCAATAAGCAGAATGCAACGATTGCAAAAGAACAGGCGAAAAAAATGAAATGGAATATCCATATTTTGGAAATTTGCTTTTTCTTTCTGATTGATCGTAATTTAGATATGGATTCCGGTGGCCGGAAACTCTTTCTTGCGACGCTCTGCCCAAAATGTCGGACCAAATGACGTCAGGAAACATTTGCGCGGCTCCTCCAGACACGCCGAAGCAGTTGAAGCCGAAGGAGCCTGAGCCACCACTCTTCGTGCCTCAAAACCGTCCTGAGGTCGGCATCTCCGTCGAACGGACCGACTGCCAATGCACATGCAACCTTCCCTTCCAGTACATCGACAATGATCGCTCCAAGGTACAAAGTTCGACGGAAGAAGAGCTGTTAACTGTGGAATTCAGGTCATGAACGTGTCAAACTGCGCCTATCCCTGTCATTCTCCAGCCTATGAGATGAACAAGGGTCTCATCAACAACTGGATGGCCTTTTGGTGAGTCTTTCAATAAGAACTTCTGGTTTCGAACTCGGTTTTCAGGTCTATCACATGCTGCGTACTTTCCGCGTTCACCTTCCTCACGTTCATCATTGAAACTGACCGGTTCCAGTACCCAGAAAGACCGATATTCATGCTGGCCTTCTGCCAGTTCATGGTTTCGATTGGTTTCATCATTCGCTTTTCTGCCGGTCACGATGAGGTCCGTCTTTGCCTTCTCTTCAGCTAAAAGAAAAAATGAACATCTAAAAGGATGTTTCCAGGTGGCTTGCGAAGCGTTCAAGATCAAAGGCAGCGATGACAACTCGGGAAGCCTCTGTTTCGGCGTCTTCCTCCTCACCTACTTCTTCGGAATGGCGGCTTCGGTCTGGTGGGTGATCCTGTCGCTGACGTGGGTCCTGGCGGCGGCTTCCAAATGGAGCACCGAGGCAATCGCCGCCTACTCCTTCCACTTCCACGTCGTCGGCTGGCTCGTCCCAGCTGTCCAGACTGTTCTCGTCTTGGTAATTCGAAGAAATTCTGAATGTTTCATGAGAATTCGTGTATGTTCCAGATTTTCAACGCGATTGACGGCGATCCTATTACTGGAATCTGCTACGTCGGCAACACTGACGTCAACTTCCTTCGTCTGTTTGTTCTCGGTAAGTTTTTAGAAGACTGGTTTATTTCTGTCAAACATAGAAGAAAGTCAGAATGATTATCCAATTGTAGTTTGGTGCTATATCTTTTTGGAACTAGAGAACTACGAAGAAAAATAATAACACGACAACGACCGCATAAAATATTTCGAACTATCACCGTTTTTTTTTCGAAAAACCTCAAGTTGATCGTATTGTTCGGCTTGAGCATGCGGCAAACTTAACTAACTTTTTCTAATACTATGGATTTTTTTGTCTTTTTGCAGCGTAAATTGTGTAAAGAAGTGTTTTTTATTAGATAGAGGGTCTGATAAAAAACTGAACTGAAATCTCAAAATAACCTTTTCAGGCCCACTCGTCGTTTACTTCAGCTTGGGAGTTCTTTTCTTGGCGGTTGGCTTCTTCAACCTGTGGACAATTCGCAATGAGGTCTTTTTTTATCCTAGCATCATGTTAAATCTTGCATATCTCACTTTCCGATGAATGCAAAAATGTTTGTCTCACAGAGCATTTCACAAAAATAAAACCTCAAATTCGAAAAGAACTTTTATGGATGTCAATAACTCGTTTCAGGTCCAAAAACAGCACCCAGGACTCGACAACGCCTCGAAACTGACGCAACTCATGTCGAAGATCGGCATTTTCTCGGTTCTGTACACGTTGCCGTCGTTCATCATCATCTTGGTGCTGTTTTACGAGCAGAAACATCGGCCCTTGTGGGAAGAAGCTCGTCTTTGCTCCTGTGCCGCTGACAATCTCCGTATTGGTCAGTTTCACTTTTTAATACAGAAATTGAAAGCCTCTTTGGAGCTCCTTTCATGGAACTGAATAGCTATTTCGGACTTTTTCAGGGGACTCTTCACTTTTTGTGGCTCTGATGAAGACGGCGTGTATGTGCGTCGTCGGATGGACCAGTGGATTCTGGGTCTGCAGCACGAAAACGCTCTCTTCCTGGAGGAACGCTTTGTGCTGCTTGGGTGAGCTTTTATTTTTTCTAGAAAACATTTTAAAAAACAAGAATCTTTTTGCGTGAAAATGCAATGCTTTTTTCACATTTTCAAAGCGAACTGTTTTATTCTCTCTAAACTTTAGAGTCTAAAGAAATGAAAGTTTGGCTCAAACCAAAAAAACGAATAAAAATTCTTTTTATGTTTCCAAAAAAAGGAGAAAAACACGTTTTTTTCACTTGCTTTTTTTCGGCGCAATCATTTCCTGTTCAATTTCTGAATTCAATAGCGAGTCATTGATGAAATATTATGAATGTAGTTTGATTCCATATCAACTCTAGTATTTTCAGGCCAATCGCACTCGGGGGCCAAATATCAGCCGGCGGATTTGCTCTACGCCAAGAGCGACATGTCCTCGCCTCATTTTTTCAATACGCATCTTCGTCAGAATCATATTTATGGTGGAATACCCGATAATTTATAATCAATATCTCTTTTTCTTTTAGGTTATTTATGATTTTCCCGTCAATGTCAGACTGTTTTTCTTTCAAACGAACAATATGGGTCTCATGAGCTTTTCCCGTCTTTTTCCTTATGTTTCCAGTTTCATGGAACGGTTGTTATCAAATCAGGCGCCTCTATTTCTTCTCACTTTTTCCCATTTTCCCGTGAAGTTGTACATTTCCTTATTGATCTCATTCCTTTGAAAATCTTTTATTGATTCCTCAAGAAGAAACGCCTTATTGCGAGGTGCTCTTTATAACTTGCACATTTTTGGCCTTGATGAGCTTGACTGATAATTCAACATTGCTGTAAATCTCCCATTTGTTTCTTTCTGTAAAATATGTTGCTCTTTGTCTTTCCAAAAATAAAACTATCAAATCGAAAGTCTTTTTTTTCACAAAAAATGCCTCTCTTCACGAGAATAATATTATTTCAAGTTTATCAAGTTTGAGATTCAATTGACTGACTTTCTTTTTGAACTGAATGTTGCAACAAAATCTGTAGGTGTTAAATTCGGTCTAAACTTCAGAAACGCGAGAAACTTTTAAAACTTTAGCACAAGCGGTTGTTCGAACGAGATGAGATCCGTAGTAACTTAATCTGATTTTTACTACGAGATTTTCATTCTGAGCGATAATTTCTTCAATAAAGCTTAATCAGCGGAATCTGCGTTAATGGAACTTCTTTGCAAAGACGGATAGACTACGGTAGGATTGCCAAAAAAGGGCAGGTTTGTGAGCGATCGAACAATGGAACTAATCCTTTTACTATACTCTGAGCGTATTTTTTTTCCTGAGGAAGAAGCTCGACGTCACACTTCCTCAATGGTCCTATAAAAGCGCGAGATGGAGGAGGTCGGCTCATTTTCGCGATGGAATGGATTCTCCGTCACCACAGTATCCAGAGCATGCCGCTCTACAACTGCAGGTACAGTAACCGAGTGTTTCCAGCTGAAAACCAATCTGTTTCTCAGCGGGAAAACGAGTGAGGAGTGGACCAGGCTTTATGGTGTGCCCCGAAGCATTTTGGGTCATGCTGACCTACTCTACGGCATATTTGTCGAGGTTCCGCAGAGATTTTTGGAGGAAGAGTTTGAAAACCTATGAATTCAGCTTTGCTACCTGCCTTGCATGTGGGTGATGTTACAGAAGGAATGTATCCGTCTTTCCTGCTTCAAAATCATGTTTTTGCTTGGCCTCGTCGACATGTGCGCCATCGGTCTGTACAGAACTTAATATTTAAAAAACCGGAAAATTATTCTGCAAAGCATGGAAACAATTTAGTTCTTACAGCGGTGAACTCAATCGAAACCGGTATTCTACTGATCGAAGGCGCCGTGTACTGCTCGCATCCCGAGATGATCTACATAACCGGCTCGATAGGCCTCGGTAACAACTCCTTCGACTGTCCTGAACTTCGAGTGACTCAGGATTGTGGTGCTGCGCGTGCTTGGTCTGCCTCATCCTCGTCATCAACCGACTTTTCGACATTTTGTACCCTACCCTGGTCAAGACTTACTTCGCTGGGTGCGTTATCTTTTGAAACAGAGAAAGTGGCAAAGTCGAAGTTGAAAACCTTTTATTTTGTTTTTTTTTCTAATGACAGAGGCTCAGAAAGCATCTAGGTTCAAAGTGAGAGGGACCGAAATAGTAGTTGTGAGCCTTCTGCAATGAGTCTTACCAGTGGAAGGGTTCCAGATCTCGCACGACGTTGGTCCTTCTGGTTCCGATCACATACGGGATTTATTTCACGCTGTTCACGTCTCCACTCCTCTTCACTTCCCAGTACCAAGCCTGGTTTTTCGATCCCTTCATCCACGAAGGCCTGTCCATGGAGGTTCCACCTTTTCAAGTGCTCTGATCAATCTTTTCAGTACCAAAATTTTCCTCACACGGCCAACAACATGTTCATCGTCGTCAGCACATGTCTGCTCTACGGATACTTCTGCTTGGCCCTCAGAAAACAGTTCAAGAGACACTACGAATCGACCCATCAGCGTTCCAACAAGCAGGTTGAGGTACATCTGCCAGTTAGTTTTTAGTTTTCTTAGTTATCTTCCATATGTCAGTGTTGTCCAAAGGTCTTTTGTCTGAGTTTGTGAACTGTTTTTTTCACCTTTTTATAATGAAGAAAAGTATTAGATTCGTCGTTATAGTCTGTTCAGATTTTGAATTTCAAGTCGTCGCTCAAGCTCCGCCTCTAATGGCGCGATAAACCAATCAGAGAGCGAGTCATCCACAGAGCGCTTCCGAATGACGTCATTATACTTGACATTCAAAATCTGAGCGTGACCAATATTACGGAAACTAGTAAACTCTCAAAAAAGCTTCGAAACGAGAAGAAATGTTCATATTTTCTACCATTTTTCCGTTCATTTCGATCTAACAAGCTCGGGATAAATTATTATTGTGAAATTAATTGTTTGTTAAAGAACACCCTAAAAGCACAGCGTCTTGATCGATTTTTAGTATATATTATTCAGTTGTTTTTTATATTTAATGTCGTATGGCTTGGTTGTACAGCATAGTTGTAGCGATTCTGGGATATGTTCTTCAGATCTTCCTCCAATCCACGCTGATCTGCATGGTCAACTTCGTGGCTGCCATGGTCTACGTCTACATGCAATTCTTCCCTGTCCCCGACTTTGTCATCGTCATCGGCCACATCTCCTGGCAACTCGGCCATGGTTCTATCTTCCCGAAATACTCTCAAATTCCATTAATATCTGCAGGATGTCCCGCCTTAATTTACCTGCTGATGAACCGCACCATCCGAACAGGAGTTTCCAAGTTCTTCAAGTTCCGGGTGAGTATTTCTTTGTTTTATGAGAAAACCCCATTTTATCCATCCCCTTTGCAGCCTGGAAAAAGGGTGACTATCGCGACGACGACTGCGACGGCGGCAAGCGCCCATCATAATTCCTCGAGTGTTTACTAATACCCGGTTCGAGTATCATTCGCTTTCATGAACATATTTGTGAATAAAGCACTTATTTGGAATTTTGCTCACAAATGTGAGTTTATCGGAATATAACTGATACAATAGATGAATAGTAATCCCTCATGTCTTCCTAGCAAAAAAAGGATATTTACATAATAGATTAGGGAGCTTGAATGATAATAAGTGATTGGTATTATTGAAGATTTGATGGTATTATTAGGAAAGAGTGTTTACACGGTGATAATCAGATTATCAGTAGTAATCCGGTCTCATTGAGAACTTTAGACTCCTATCAGTTCATTATCAGCGAGGGTCTGGGAAATTTCAACTTTATTTAGCCTTTTCTTCGCAGAAAGGGTTGAGTAAAAGAAGAAAAACATAAATGAAAACTGCTCCTTAAGGCTTAAGCCTTAGAGAGCTCTTTTAAGAAAAAAAAACGGCAAATTTAAGAAATAATAGGCTCCCCCTGTGCTTAACGTAGTGAATCACTGAGTTAGAAATATTAGAGTCATACTTTAAGTTATAATTCATGGATCAGGTCGGCTCAACAAAGGGCAGGAAAACCTCGATGAAAAAAAAATTGTAGGTCAAGATATTGGTAAAAGACGTTGGTAAAGAAGCTGGACGGTGGTTGGCAACGTGTCCGTTATCTGTTAGATTGGCGCCTCTATCTTTTCTGACTCACTCATTTCGCGGCTTCTTCTATGCCCTCCATATATCAAATTCGCAACTTTCCATACCTTGTTTTATTGTTTTAACGATCGCTTCTAACTTTTCTGAAAATTGTGAAAGCACTACCTCGAAAAATTAAAAAAAAGCTTTTAAACTATTGATAACTGGTAATATACAAGATCAAGTTCACGATTTGTTATCTAATTTTATCGCAAAGGTGTTTAAAAGATCAGCAACAGTTTTTATGGGCTTAGTGTGGTTCATCGCTCATCTTCAAATACGCTTTTCAAAGTCCGAAATGTTTTATTTTCTAAACGCGAAATATACTTTAACAATCCGTTTGAATTTACAAAAAAACATCTGTAAAAAGTTTATATTTATATTTTGTTTTCTGAAGGAGTTCGAAAAAGAAGTTTTTGTTTTTCCTCCAGGCAAAATGAGGTTTGGCCCCGAAATTTGGAGTCATTCCCTAGCTGTGACGGCAGCAATAATGCTGACTTCGGGCATCTGGCTCACGGTCAGTTATCTTCCAATCATCTTCTCAATAATCTCAAATTTTGAAAAATCGTCTTTTGAGGCTTATTTTGCTGGTGTCAAGAACAACAAGCCGCAGTACAACACGTACAACTACATGACGAACGTTTCTGCTTGCGATTCCTCGGCGCCAAAATGCCAAGTTCCAGCCATTCCCCAATGCGACAACACTTGCGAGTTCGTTCCCTCTTTTCAGTTATAAAGGAATCCAAATTCATTCTCAGGTTCGTGATATGCGAATCTGTGCCAGCGGGGCTGCAGTTTGATCCAAAATACAAAAAGTTCAACAGCACGACAAACTGTTGGATGAGACTCATGGGTCCGTTCCGATAGAAAAAATCAGACAGATTCCCTTCTAGAAGAAGCCAAGAAGGACATTCTCATCGGAAGCTACTACTGGAGCCTTCTCGTCCAAGACACCGGCGATGGCTACACCGTCGATCCGACTGGAACTTCAGCTGATGTTCGGATGCGAAATAGACAAAAATAAAGGAGATTTTAAGGGAAAGTTGATCTATGACACGATCCAGTCGACAGCGGCGCGAGGGATCGATATTCGAGTTGCTCAGGCCTATGAAAAAGGAGGTTTCGCCGCCAGAATCGTGTTCTCTAGAGCAAAAAAGTTGACAGGTTATCCTGAAACAGCTGACCTGGCGAAAAATTCAAACGGAAAGATTCAAGTCCGTTCACTGGACTTTACTCAATGGTTAGAAATCGTAAAATTCAACTGAAAAAAGTAAATGAAGGTATCCTGGCGGCATTTTGCACGCCAAATCGTGGGTTGTCGATGGGAAACACATTTATATCGGATCGGCCAATTTCGACTGGCGATCTTTAACCCAGGTTCACTCTTGAAGTTTTTCAGAGAAAAAAATTCTCAGGTAAAAGAGCTTGGCGTGGCTGTTTTCAACTGTCCATGTGTCGGGGAAGATCTTCAAAAGTTGCTTGAAATCTATTGGACGATGGGAGCCCCAGGAGCGAAGCTTCCGCAGCAGTGAGTCTTCAATTTATTTAAAGATAACGGAAAAATGAATGAGAAGACAGAAAGAGGAATAAAAATGCAAGGAACTCAGATGGCCGGACGAGTTTTCTACGGGAGCCAACTCGAAGACTCCAGGAAGTGTCCCGCAGCCATCTGGCAACCAAGCCGTTTACATCTCTGTGAGAAGGAAAACCATTTTTCTCGATTGATTAATCTCTTTCTAGGCTTCTCCTCCCGGATTCCAATCTTGCGGTAGAGAAGATGACCTGGCAGCCATGATAAAAGCAATAGATGGCGCCAATGTAGAGCATCGAAATCAGTGAACACGAAATATTCGATCATTTCTAGGAATACATCAACATGGCCGTGATGGACTATTCTCCGTCAACTTTATACCTAAAGGGGAACAAGTTAGTTTAAAAAACATGTATGATCTTTTTGACAGTTTTTCAAAAAAACATGATATTTAAAAACAAATCAGAAAATAATTAATTTCCGATGGGAACCGACTCTGGACACGGCCATCAGAAGAGCAGCGTTCGAAAGAGGAATCAGAGTGAGTTTCGTTTTTTGAAGGTCTTAAAACTCGAACTTTCCAGATCCGTTTTCTTCTATCTCGATGGCCGCACACCTTCAAGGAGTTCTACGCCTACATGTACTCTCTCCAGGACATCAGCAACACTTTACCGTGCATTTCATATGCAAACTCAAGTAGGAGAACGATTTCTGAGTTAAAAGTTTCTCTGGTGAAATAGGCTGCCAAAAGAAAGGCTCGATAGAAGTGAGGCTGATCCAAGTGCCGGCGATGCAGTACGGGGCGATTCCCTACGCGAGAGTCTACCACAACAAATACTTCACTACAGAAACCACGTCCTACGTCGGTTCGTAGATCATCAGAGTTTATCTTTTTTTTGTTGGTATAACTGAGATTTTTCACCCCGGAGCACGCTTTTTGAGAAAAAATATTGAAACAACTTCTGATATGTCATGCATATCTTAAGCCAAAATTTTTTTCAGAGCTTCTGTGAATCAAAATTTCAGTTTGAAAATTAAAAAAAAAATGCAAACCCAGGTACCTCGAACTGGTCGCCGGACTACTGGGACTTCACTGCAGGAATCGGACTGGTGCTGCGGGCCGAAGACGTCTCATTGACGTCACCGATCGTCGCCGACCTCAACTCGATCTTCGAACGCGACTGGAACTCCAACTACACGATTCCCCTCAGCTTCTTCGACAATTCAGGCAACAATGTCACTCATTTGGATCTGTAACTTTGTTTCATCATTGTTGTAAATAATACATTACTTGTAACTTTTTGCTTGAAGAACATTTATTTTTTTCTCTGATGCTGAAGTTTCAGGCAAACTCATCTTCAAAACTCGATTCGGGAGAAAATTCTGAGTTTACACGTTTTCTGCAAAACTTGAAAACAACATAACTTCAAAAACAATAGAAATAGAGGACAAACAAAATTAGAAGTTTCTGGAGAAATATTGATGATATCACGAGAACGAGTTTTGAAAATAGAACATCGGTTGTTTCCAAGGAAAAGGACGCCATATAAAAAGTAAAGTCCAACCGGCACCTGTATCAACTTCCGAAAATCGACAATTTTCGAGTTTGAAAATGAGGATGCTCCTGGTCGTCGCCTTTTGTGTCCTCCTCGTCGTCTGCGTCGCTTCTGCGGACGACGCACGGTATCCGCAATTCGGATTCGACGGCAACGCCGATTCTGCTCAGTGAGGTCTAGAAGGAGAGAACTCGGCTAACTCTTCTATTTCAGTGATCGCGTGAAGCGCCAGTGGGGCTACGGCTTGGGCTATGGAATGGGAATGTACCGTCCGTGGGGCATGTATGGCATGTACCGTCCCTGGGGAATGATGCCCTTCATGATGGGTCGATGAATATTCAACAAAATATCTGTAAAAATTGTACATATTTTGTCTTTGAGTCCATAATAAACCTATTCTTCATTTATTTTGAGAAAAACTGTGGAATATTCAGAAATATCAGTAAAACAATAACCAACTCTTCTCGTTGAAGAGAGTCACAAAGAAAAACAAAATGAAAAAAGCCCTGAATAGAGTTTGAAAACGAAAAAAAAGTTACAGTTTGTAACAAAGATACATTTTTTTTGATCTCATTGGTCGAATTCGTGTGAATTTGTCTGTGAACTCTATGAGACCTTGAACTCTATGAGACATCGTCTAGTATTGTATTGTGTTATGAATATTTTTGTCCCTTCCATGTTCTTTGATGAGGCACTCAAATGTGAAAATGTAAAAAATGAACTATGATTAATATAAATCAAGATTTTCGATTTTTGGGCTTTTGCAAAGGTGTTTTCATCCTCGATGTTTACCTGCACAGAAACTGGTTGGAAGACATTCACAAGAAGAATTCATTCACTGACCAGCAAATATTTTGATGACGTTGACGGTCTTCCTTGGACTGAGACACTTGAAAGCGAGCGAATGAGCACGACCGTTTCTAAATGTGAATTAAAAAAATCTTATACTCAAAAAGTGATCCGAAACGGGTCTGTACTGGTGGCAATGAACAACTTCTTTTATTTCATTAATTTGCCAGAAACGCTCCAGAAAGATGTTAGTTGTAAATGAAAAATCGGAAATTGCCAAACTCGGGAAAAAAAATTGAAGCATATAACAGTGATTAGGATTGATTGACAATATTTTGTCATTTCAAGAAAGTGCGGATATAGAACAGTATCAATTTTTTTTTTTGAAGTAGATCAATTCTTTTATTTGCTATCATACATTTCATTTAACAATATGCCTACTTCCTGAAACACATTACAGATCCCAACATCATAGAGTTTTCAATAAATTGAACCAGATGGATAGAGGGATCCCGTGAATATAGTTTTTTGGTGCGAGAAATATGTGAATTTGATTGAAAAATGAGTATTAGAAGAAAAAATTTTGGTTCGTTTCTTTTAATTTCTGGAGTCAACGTTTTTTTACGTTTCTGATTTTCTAAAGACGATTCTCCACCTTTCTCGGTCATCACAGAAAATTATTGCAAAAAGAAGAAAATAGATGTTTGTTCGAGATACAAAAAAGTTTGCCTGTTTTGGACGGACAACAAATCTTCTTCGAGAAAACAACCAAACAGTTTCCCAAATTGTTCGTTCAAAGAACCACATGACACTCTTTTTCGGGTATAAATACAGAGGTTAGGACTTCCCAAATTAACTGAAATCACAGTTACTTCTAGCACCATGAAAATTTTCTTTGCTATCACTTTCTGCGTCCTCCTCGTCGTTTCCTTGGCTAGCGCCAACGACGGAAATCAGGAACAGTGAGTTTCCACAGTTTCATCGTTTTTTTGTTGATAATAAATCTGTTTTTTTGAAGAAAAATGGATGAAATCAAGAAAAAGCTTTCAGTGAGAGACCGAAACGCCAGTGGGGCTATGGAATGGGCTACGGAATGGGAATGTACCGTCCATGGGGCATGTACGGTATGTACGGCATGTACCGTCCGTGGGGAATGATGCCTTTCATGATGGGTCGATAAACCAACTCTTCTCTCAAGTCTCCAGCAAAATGTATATTTGTAAAATAAATATTTATTTTTTTAATGTTCGTTTTCATGAATCGATCATTGAAAAGTTTTCGACTGTTCCTGCACAGTTCGGACGAAAGTCGTCAAGTACGATTACAGATTTACCGGCACAATTTTCAGATATTGGAAACTTTCATTAATTTCAAAAAACAGTAAAAAAAAAGCGGTGTATTCGGTTCAGTTCTTTTTACTACATTTGTTGACGAACAACGGACGTGATCCTTGAAAAGTTGGAAAAAGTTCTTTCAAATCTCACATTCCTCGTCTTGACGATATTTGCAGCTTCCGTATCATTAATATTCGAAAATAGATGCATTACTTGTTGTAAATTGTTCTCAGGCTGCTCGAAATTTGGACGAAACTCAGTTATGGATATAATAGTATGTTTCGTGCAAGACGGCTACGTTTAAGAGAACACCAGAAAAAAAAAGCTACAAAGGTTTTTTTGCACTTCTGCTTTACAAAGCTCCAGAAAAAGAGCAAAAAAGGAAAGTCTTGAATCTCAATATCGATCTTATTTGTTTTGGTTCTTCTCAAGGTCGTCAGGAGTGGGAGGCAAGTCTGGCGACCGAACTGGAGCTGGGGGTTGATTGCTCGCGCCAGTGGTCTGATGAGCACTCGGAGTCCTTTTCACAGTCAACTTTCTTGTGTTCTCGATCGTCTCCATTGCTGAAAGTTTTCAAAACTTCTTCGTAAAAGCTTCTTCGAAACGTCTTGTACTGATGGTTTTTTTCCGAGCTGTGGTACCCAAGGATTTCCTCGTCTCTTGGGCCCTATAGAGTAGTTCTGTGTCCTTTGAAACACAACGGACTTCGCGTCCCTGTCAAGTTTAGATTTGAAAGCATTTTCGAGTAAAACATTCCACTGACAAATAGATCGCTGCGACTTTTTTTATCTCTCGATTTTGATTGCCTTTTTTTGTCGGTCATTCTATTCAATTCTGGAAATTCTATTTTGAATTGAAAGTGTTTTTGTGTAACTCACAGAAAAAAGAGGGAACTGTTTGGCAGGTTTTCTTTTTCGAAATGGCTCTTCCTGGATGAATAGATTTGTTTCATCTTCACGCTTCATTTTTATTTTTCGCGCGCTTCAAAGATCAATCGGCTTCAAGATCAAGATTCGAAATTAAAAAGAAACACCTCTTTTCTCAAAAATAAATTTTTCAATAGGTTATTAAAGATTTTTCTGCTCAGGTGTTAGTTCGAGTATAGCCGATTTCATGGCTAACTTGAGACCAGGCTTGTGCGTCAGGTTGGGCGGCGCGGGCTTGGGCCAGCCAGGTTCCGAAAAAAATTTAAATATCATTGAAAAAAATTTTTCATAGAAAAAAATTATTTCCTCTTTTTGGAATTTCTATTAACTCTATCTGAAAAATGACCAAAAAAAAAATTCATCCTAAAACAGCTTGATATTCGAATTGAAGGTTTTCGGTATATTTAACGATTTTGGTGTATATACAGAACGACCCTAACTCGCGTACTCATTGAAATCGAAAAAAATTTTGTTAAGGAAAAAATCGCTTTTTTTTTTCAACACTATATTCAAAGCTTGAAGTAATTTGAAAATTGTGATATTTTACCTGGGTTTTGAAAAAGCAACCACACAGGTAAACAAGTCGTGATTAAAAAGTTGTTAACTTAATTATTTTAAATGTAATGTAAATAGTTTAAACCAAAGTAGTAATGAGCGAGGACAAAAACAGAATAATAAATACTCATACTGAGTATATATCGCGCGACCGTTTCGAGTCTTAAAAGACATATTTGGCGAAAGTTTGCAAGCAATCCATAGAGCAAAAAAAAAAATAATTATGGCACAAACCCAGTTTGATTTCTTTTCGAATGATATTGTATTATGAAAAAGGAATTACTGTCTATTTTAAAATGAACATGATGGCGGCTTGACAGCTTTTTTCTATTCCAATTCGATATAATTATGAATCATACGATGTTTGATATGTTTCAGCACCATTTTCCATTGGTTCCTATGTATGTATCTCACTTTTTCTTCGATTCAATTCATACTTCGTTCCAAATCAGTAAGCTTTTCTGAGGTTGTAAATTCAGTTTCTGGGAATCTCAGTTTCATGAAGCTCTGCGAGTTTTTAAATTTAAAATTCCCCTTTTTCTAAAAAAAAAACAGCGGCGTAAAACGAAATATTTATTATACAATATACATTTATATGAACAAATTCTCACAGAAAAGTTAATTTATCGGCCCATCATGAAGGGCATCATTCCCCAGGGACGGTACATGCCATACATGCCCCACGGACGGTACATTCCCATTCCATAGCCCATTCCGTATCCCATGCCATAGCCGAACTGGCGTTTTGGTCGATCACTGAAAGACAGACGGATTAGGATCCAATCAGATAGTTGCAGAGTTCAGGAACTGTGAAAATGAAGTTGAAACATACTGTTCGGTGTCGGGATTGTGAGCCAGACTGTCCTCCTCGAACTGCTGAGCATTTCCTTGTTGAGCGTCAGCCGAAGCGAAGGCGGCGAACAAAAGGAAGCAGAAAGAAACGGCCAGAAGAAGCTTCATTTCGAATTTTTTGGTTCACGAAAATGTGATACTGCCCGCCGCTCTTTTGCTGTATTTATACCTCGAAAGTTTTCGGTTCCCCCTCTTTTTCTTAGAAAAATATGTCATCCGACGATGTTTCGTTGAAATTCAAGGTCGTTTCACACGACTTCGGCCAATTTATTTGTTGACATGTTTTCTGATCAAATGAAAGATGGGACCATGGAGTTTCGCAGACGAAATTAGTCGGAGTTACGGTTGAAAGATCTATGAAATAAGTCGAGAGATTCGAAATTTGAACGTAGTTTGCTCAGACTGACGTGTACCATGCAACTGTAACATGCAACCGTTCCTCTTTTCCCTCACCTGAGCAATGGCAGTGGAAAGATAAAGGGACCAGGCTTTTTCAAATTTTGAAGTTGCAGTGTTTTTCATTTTTATCTATTTTTCCAAGAAAACTGTTCTTTCCAAGCTTTCCGAATCCAGCTAACTCTGCGAAATTCTGATTTTCGTGTTTTTAAATAAGTTTGGCGTTTCAAATAAAAATAAAAGAGCAAACATGGAACTGTTTTTTTGAAGTTTGTCTTTTCAAATTTGTTATCGTTCCAGATCTGTTTGTGTATTTTTTGAACTCAGGTTCAGAGCGGTCAGAAAAAGTGCGATTGGTGACGTCGCCGATTGGAAGAAGACCCTCGGCCAGCGAGAAAAAAGAAGACGTCATTGTTTGGTTGTTCGGCGAGGCCTTACAGTTGGGTTTCGAGGTGACCGGCGCATCAAAACAGGCGTCATACTCGCCGAGATGACGTCAGACAGTCGCAAACAAGAAGAACCTAGGTTGAGTATAAAATGAGAAGAAGACGTCGTGGATCCAACCGACGACTTCACTCGTTGATCTTGTTTTCAAAATGAAATTCCTGCTCGCCTTTTCTTTCTGCGTCCTTCTGATCGCCGCCTTCGCCTCTGCAGAACAAGGCTTCCAGCAATTCGGAGGAGACGGTCTCGCTCAGGCTTCCGACACAGAACAGTTAGTCCTTCCTTCGCAAAACTCATCTCACTGTGAACGATTTCAGCGTCCGACCAAAACGCCAGTTCGGCTATGGAATGGGATACGGAATGGGCTATGGAATGGGAATGTACCGTCCGTGGGGCATGTACGGCATGTACCGTCCCTGGGGAATGATGCCCTTCATGATGGGCAGATAAACCCTCGGCTCAATTTCTGTACAAATTGTTCATACTCTTTCCTCATATATATTTATAATAAATCCTGCTTGTAAAAATATTTTCAAAAAAATGCGTTGAAAAATAATTTATTTCTAGAGAAGAATTCGACGTCGATAAAAACGTAATTAAACGTTACGAATAGCTGTGGCGATTGAAAAAAATTAAAATTGGTGAAGAAATTTTTTTCCTAACTCATTAAAGCAGAAAAATTGGAAAAATATAAAAAAACTTTTCTAAAAAAATTTTTCAAAAATTTAAAAAGTTCATAAAGGTTCATGGAATCGCCTTTTTTGTATAATAAAACAATCAATACAAAAAGACATCGAAAAACTTTTCGTTTTTCCTCTCAAATCAAGAAGTTGAAAATAACTTACAACTATCTTTCTCTTGCCAAAATCCCAACGTTTTCGCCCATTTGGAGAGAATAATCAAAATCGATGATGCTTTGCTGCAGTCAAAATTTTAAAAAAACAACAATAATACGGCCTTGATAAACAGGTTTTAAAAGATTCACGTCAACCATATTAAATGTGTATCTACATTCTAAAAGCTCCGAAATTTTCTGGATCCAAACTCCGAAATTTCCTGATCAGCTTCAGCTCCTCAAACTTCCCGAAAATTCATGCGATTTCTGTCTTTTCTCTGAAACTCCTTATCGACTTTAAAGAGGAGATCATCCAACTATTTAGAAATTTGCAAATTGACCCTTTTATAGAGAGTCTGAATGTCGCCTTTGTGCAAAATTACTTCTGGAGAGACAGTAAGAATAGAGTATTTTTGATTCAGAATAGTCCTGAGGTCTTTTCAGAGCTTTTACTTCGAGTGCGTTCAGCACAATAAATTCCCTGAATCTGTCGGTCGAGGAGCTCTTTATTAAAACAATTTTTTTTTTCGTATCAGCCTAAATACGGTGTATTAGGACTTTGGAACGTCCGGTACTTTCGCTGCAGCGCTGCAAGAAGAATAAACAACGCAAAAACAACGAGAGCGTCAAAGAGCATGACGCGAGTCTCCGTAGATAAAAAGTGTCGGATTGATGGAATTTTCGTGCTTCTGCCATGAGACTTTTCCTACTTTTCCTGTTACTTCTGGCATGGTTCGCCACTGCCGAGAAACTTGAGCCACGAACCGACCCCGATGAACTGGGCGAAGATGTTCTGAACGACATTCTTGAGCAGCAACAACATCAACGTGAGGACGGCTTGTGAGGCTTTTATAAACATAATTTTTAGAATGAAAACTTTCTCTGAACTTCTATCCTTTTTTTATTGAATTTTTGTGAATAAAATAAATGTGTTTACATGAATACTGGTATTTATTCTTGCGAAAACGCTTCAATTTTCTTTCGGTCGACTGTAAGGTTAATTTTTCCCAACTTGAAAGGCGAGGGAGTTCGGGAAGAGGACGGGACGCGTAGCGTGCGCGTATGCGGTTCTTGGCAAGAGTTCAATTTAACCGCCAGCTATCATTTGGAAAGCTCGTTTTTCGCTCTTTTTGTTCTTTTTCAATTCTATATTGATTTTTTTTTATTTGTGCACTAAAAAGTAGTAGAATAGATTTTTAAAAAGTGGTGACCGAGTTTTTGAATAGTCGGCGGCGCTTGAATGGACGTCGTACCAAGATCCGCGTACGTCGTCCGCCCATTTCTCCGCCTCCCTCGCCTTTCAAGTTGAGAAGGATTGACAGTGAAATAGATGAAAGATGAAAATGAATACGAATTATGGGTAAACTTGAGGAGAAGAATATAAAGTGAAAGTGATTAAAACCCAGAAAGAAAGACAAACACAGACGAATCGAGAAGGTACCATAATGTGTCCACAAAGGTGCCTCTCAAAATGGATCGTAAAGACCCCATATTGTGTCCATAGTGAGACCTCCGGTATACCTTTTAGCTATATCTAAGCCATCTCGGAGGTACTTCAGAGTCTCTCTCAAGCCCCCCTTATCTTGCTCAAAATCCTCAGCGGTATACTCGAGGTACCATCGTGAGACTCCAGAGCCTGCGAAATACCTCAAAGGGTCTCGTGATACCCTTTCTCGATTCGCCTATGACGAAGCCTAACGAAAAGGAAACTATTATCGAGAGATTGAAGAAGTGACCTGAAACGTTCTGGAGAAACATTGATATTTACCAGTATAGCCAGCTCATTCCATAGAAGGATAAACGTTTCAAACAAATCGTTGGAACGTATACCCACTCTCATCAGACGCGATGAAGCACGTAAGGAATTTGATTTCCTGCAAACTCTATGAGCAAGAAACCATTTGACTCCTCTATAAAAAAATATGTAATGTTCTCAAACAACTCTATTCTTGTTCGGAAAAATACATCATTTTCATAAAAACCTCTATGGACATTCAAAATTGGCGAAAAAAAAATCGTCGAGGTGTCATACGATTGATTCAGAAATTCAAAAAAAAGTCATTTATAAGTGTGTCGAGACAGACAATGTAAACATTCTCTATAAATGGTATAAAAGACTTCCTGATCGAGAAATACTTCCTCATTAGAAAGGGAGTTAAAGAAATATCGTGAACTGAGATAATAAACAACAGAAAAACAAAGAGAGTGTCAAAGAGCGTCACGCGAGTTCCTGCAGATAAAAAGAGCCCGGAGGACGTGTCCGGCTGATCCAAAGCGAGAAAATGAAACTTATGCTGCCCCTACTGATGCTCGCCTGGCTCTCTATGACCAAACATCGAAACGCCCACAACAAACCTCGGAAAAATCGCCGAGAAAGTTATGATCGACATCTCTGATCAGCTTCACATCGGAAAAAAATCTTCTGTACACTTCGTCTCAAAAAAGCTGGTATCATGTTTTCTACACTTGCTAACTTTTTATTTTTGATATAATTTTACATTTTTTTTTCTGGCTGACGTCTTTGGGCAGAGATGACCACTGGCTCAAAGGCTCTTCGTGACTATTTTTGTAATTTCCCATTCAAACGCTCATATTTTAATCATTCCTATACTGGTTTTCTGTGAAACAATCTACTACTCCAATTACATTTTCAATGTCCTGCGAGGTTTATATGACTTTCACGCTAAAGCTTCACTTCTATTGCGAAAAAAAAACAACGCCTTACAAAACTCGTTTTCGTGTCATACTGTTGCGGATAGAATTCAAAGGTGAGAACGTTTGTGAACTTTAATAAAAATTTGAAAAATTGGGAGATACTTGCAAAAACTGAAAAAGACATGAGAAAACGGTAAACAAGAGGAGACGTCATTGTTTTCCTCGGAAGAAAACAAAAACTTTCGCTATAAATAAGAGAAATCGAGAGCAGCTCTCCGACAACATGAGACTTTTAACAGTTGTGTTTTTGTTTCTTCTTTCATCTGCTTGCGGAGCCACTTCCGAAGAATTATCGGATCTTCAAGTAAAGCCCTTTCAAAACCATCTCGGAGAAGTTGGTAGAAGACTTTTCAACGCAAGGTTGGTTTAAATCATTCGAGAAAAATATATGCTCCATTTTTGATGGATTTTGAAGCCTTGCATAGTTTTAAAAATGAAAAATGAACTTGAAAAACTTTCAGGAATCGCAGAATGATGACAACAGAGACTATTAAACATATTGATAATTTTTAATCGTGATTTTTTAAAATTTATTGGTTTTGTATATCATATATACAGTATACGTACAATAAAAACTCAATTGAAAGTTTTTTGTCGGAAGGAGACGTCTTGGTGGTCAGCATGAAAATGTTTAAAGTGAACTTGAAGCAATCTCTGTCCAAAAACTCGTATGTGTACCTTCAATTCTGCAAAAAATATACCTTGGAACCTGTTATAGCAGAGGATGTTTTGGTTGACCCATGAATACTTATAAAAGAGACGTTTTGGCTAATTTCTCCAAAAAAATGTTGTTTTTCCTATTCTTAACAATTACACTCCTGGCTCTCCTGATTCCATCCGGTCAAACTAAGGTGATTGTAGCACGCAACTTCTCAAATAATTAAAGTTAAGGCGATAGTGAAACGACAATGGCCGGTGAATCCAATTCAAGCTCAAAGGAACCAGCGGCTCCGGATGGAGGTCCGGCAGCACTGGTCAAACGCTCAACGTGTTCTTTACAGGTGGCGAACCTCAGAGGACAGCTTCAAGGAAGGAATCAGGCAGAAGCTCAGTTCGGGCGTGGCGGCGGTGGATGGAACCGAGGCGGTGGCTGGGGGAACCAAGGAGGATTCGGAAGTCAGGGAGGATGGAACGGTCAGCCCGGCGGATGGGGAGGACAACCAGGTGGCTGGGGCGGTCAGCCTGGTTTTGGAGCTTCTCCGTTTTTTGGATGATGTAATAAATATTTTGAAAATTTTCCATTTCAGAGAAAAGTTATTCTCATGTAACAAATTTTCAAGTTTAATCCACCAAATAAAATTACTCGTTGATCAGAAGTCAAAACGACATTTTAATTTGAAAATGAAACAGTTCGAAGTCAAAAATGTTTATTCTCATTATTGGCTGTTCTCATTGAAATGAGAACTGACGGAGCCAAGATTGAGGAGTTCCTTACTGATTTTGCGCAATTCGAACTTTTTGATCTGAAAAATGAACATAAAAGAACGCTTGAACGTTTGCGACTTTTCCGGTGGCCGTCACAGGGAAGTCCTGCTGTTCCTTGATCAAAACGTAGCGCGGCACTTTGTAGTGGGCAATCTTCGATTTTTACGATTCATTCTTCGCTCATTTCACTCTCGGAACCTTTCCCTTGCACGCTGATCGGATGTCCTCCGGCTGTATCTTGCCGACGTATTCTTCCTTCAGTCTGATCCAGACGCAAACTGCTTCGCCGTAACGTTCGTCGGGTACACCGACCACCTGAGAAAACGCTGAAACCTGCAGTTGAACCAAGATTACCTGAGCGTCTGCGATATAAGGCAGTTGGAACAGGAACTGTTCGATTTCTGTGGGGTAAACGTTCTCGCCTCCCCGAATTATCATGTCTTTGGAGCGGCCAACGATGTTGATGGTCTCGTCTTCGTTCATTGAAGCCGTGTCTCTGGAATATAAACACATCAATTAATTTAAAAGGTCAAATCTGCACCCAGTATGATACCAGCGATCCTGCGAAATCTCTTTTTTCGTCTTTTCTTCGTCTCCCCAATAACCCAGCATAGTCATGTACCTTAGAACAAGTTGTAAAGACTCCAACTAAATATTTTACCCTCGAGCCCAAAGTTCTCCTCGAACTCCCTTTGGAACTGTCTTGCCGCTTTCGTCGACAATGGCAATCTAGGAACTCCTGGATCTTCGGAACAAAACTTTTCGAAACTTCTGCATGCGGCATGACATGACCGACGCTCTTAATACGATCAAAAGTGTCGACAGAAGACTTGGACATGGTGACGGCCGGGGAAAGTTCCGTAGAGCCGTAGATGATGTAGATGTCCTTCATGTTGAGTTCGTCCACCATCTTACGGCACAGTGCATAGGGACAAGGAGCTCCAGCGATGAAACCTGGAGAACTGATAGAAAAAGAGAAAAGGAGATGAAAGAAACCTCCTTTGAGGGAAGAAACGTCGTGGTTTTGGAGAAGAGGCGACGACACAATGTCAATGAACATCGTCGGCGTACCAAAGAGGAAAGTGCACCTATGAAGGAAAAAAATGATTCTCAAGAAGAATTGGACAACTTTTCTCTCTCCACAGATTCCAGGATCTTCTTGACATTGTAGCGGATCGAAGGGAAAACGCAAGTTTGCTGATGATTTACGGCGGCGACGACGCCCAAAACGCAGCCGAAGCAGTGGTAGAGAGGGTTGGGGATGCAGATATTGTGCTTCTGAACGAGGAATTTCAAGTTGAAACTCAGAGGAGAGTAGTCACGTTCATATGCCATCCAGCGCGTTTTCCGACGAAATAGCCATTGTTGTTGATATTGTGGTGAGTGAGAGTGGCTGCTTTTGGATGTCCAGTCGTTCCCTGAAATCAAAAAAGTTCCACGAGTCCTTTTCCATACTTTGAGTTAAGGAAATACCTACACTGGTGAACTGTATGTTTACAGCGTCATCAGGGCGGATCAAGTTTTCGAATTCGTTGAGTTTTTTGACGTCCATACTTCCGGCGTTTGACCAAACGTCGTTGAAGCTCCATGCGCCTCTGGATGAAATCAGAAATAAGACGAATGGCAAAAAATTTCAAATAATTGTTAATATAAAAACTATTTTTTCAGGAACAAAAGGAACTCACACAACTGGTTCATCGTTCGAATAAACGATGATGTGTTCCAAATGTGGCATGTCGCGAGACTTAATAGCCCCGATTCCAGGCTTGCCACTTGCCATTTCCGGCACTACCTAAAAATCCGATGAATCTCCTGTGAGAATGAATGACGAACCTCCATAACCGAATGAAGAAAGTTGCGACCTCGATGCTGAGAAGGCGTCACCAAGCAACGGACTTTGACCTTCCGGAGGACGAAACGCAACTCGTCGGACATGTAGTTGGGGTTGACGTTCACCTGAAGACCTTCTGCTCAGAATCTGGAGCGGTCCAACTTGAACGAAGCCTCCGATGGCACACGCGTATTGCATGACGACCCATTCGTAGTAGTTGTTGCCCCAGACGCCGATTCTGTCGCCTTTAACGAGGCCCAGAGAGATTAGACCAGCCGCCATGCGACGTGCCTGTCATTCCATTCGAATATTTTTTTTTTAAACCAAAAAGATCTCACATCATCATAAAACTCTGCATAGGTTTTTTTCAAGTTGTCGTAAGAACTAAAAGTGACAAAGTTTTTATCAGGCGTTGCCTCCACCGCGTTTTGGAGCGTCTCGCCAAGCGTCTGAAGAGACGAAAGTTCGATCAAATCGCTCTGAAGTTGGTCAAAGTTACCTCGTACTTCAAGGCATGTGTCGAGGGCCCATGAACGTAGCTGTTGTTGGTTCCTGGGTTATGCAACGCTCTCTGGCTCAACGTCAACCTGAAAAATTTAGAATTTTGATGGAATGATCGTTTCATACTTTGGGAGGAAGTTTCTAGAGAATCAAATGAGAAGGCGAATAAGCAAAAGTTTTGGCGATGGGTTATGAAAATTGTATACTTGAGTGAAGCCCAACAGACACGTTGAAAAATGTCCAAAAAAGCCCCTTAGGAATGTATGGAGTTACTCAGTAAAAAACCAGATTTTTCGTATTTCTTTTATTGGCTGAAAACAGAAGACCAGCGGATCCCAATCAAAGAAGACGTACCGCGACTGGAGACCTCGGCAGAACTTGGAAGTCACTCGGAAGAACGTCATTCAAGGAACAATACTTTTGGTAATAGAGCTCACGTTGTATCAACGCGTTTCGCATTTCAACGTTTGATTTTTTCCCGACAAAAAACATCTCTTTGTGTTTGACGGAAACTTCAGGCTGTTTCCCGCAAGTCACTCGTATCTTATGCAACACGCAGAAAGTTGTAAATCCTCCGACTGAAATGCCATTTCAAGCTTAAAAACCGGCGCGAATCGGAGTAATTTAGGGATTTTTGGCTCGACCGGAAAAGCCAAAACGTGTATAGGCTCCGCCCTATTCTGTCATACCAAATGCCATATACCGTGCCAATGGGATCGTCTTTTTTTCTCATTTTAAAAATGTTGCGAATCTTAAACATTTCTTTTACCATGATTTTTTTTAATCAAAATTAATTTTCAACTTTTTCTTTTTTCTACTAAAATAGCTTTTTTTATTTTCAAATCAAATCATTATTTTATTTCTCCCACACAATTTCTAAAATTTTTAGAATAAATGTAGGGAAAGTATAGAACAAACGTTGTTTTTTTGTATTTTTTTTTTTATTCTTTTTTTTTTGCGATTACAGTCGTTTTTAAAGGTTAATATTGATGTGCCTAATTTTATTATTAATTTTTTGAATAAAGAAAAAACTTTTATGGGCTTCAATTAATTCCCCAACTGAACAGCCTCGTCGAACAGTAATGTATATAATTGTGGTTCATCTTTCACTTTTCCCCTTTCCACTAGTTTTCGCCAAAGCTTGCCTCTTTGATCGCTTCTGTTCAGGAAGCATGCGACTGAGCTTCCTGCTGTTGCTGACGTTCTTTCCGAGCGACGCCGAAGTGGTGGGATGTGGCCAGCCGAGGTGCGGAGTCCCTCAGAGCTACTTCTACCAGCCTTACGGGTATCCTAACACGCCTTACCAGCCACAGTCTGCATACTATACCTCTGGTAAGTCAAAAGAAATTCAAAAGAGAGCATCAATTTGAAACTGACCGCTCGGAAAATTAAAATAATTTTCGTAAAATTTATTTCTGCGATTTTCCAAGAGCAAAAAACTTATTTCCAGGAAACTTAAAAAAAACTTTAATTTTAATGAAAATGAAATAATAGTCTGAGAAGTTATTTTTGAGCCAATACCTACGCGGTCGCTCCACCTCATATTCTTGCCCAAGTCGATAAAGAAACAGTACTGATTCCGGCAAAAGCTTCGGTAACATCGATATTTTTTCCTAAAAAGAGACCTGGAAACTCAGCCCTACGAGGAGTACGAAAGAGAGTTGGAGAAACTTAAGCCGTCCACCGTCACGACCACGATTACTACCAAAAACGAGGAGAGTCTGATTGCTGTGGAGGTCCTTTATGGAGTCGGAGCCTTGACTAATGCTGTCATTCCAGCCTCCTTCAAATGTAACGAGTCCTCCTGTCACGTATATCCGGGAATTGACGCCTTATGCTCCGGACCCGCAGTTCGCAGGACTCCGACCAATGCCCTACAGGCCGATGCCGTACCTGCCGAGAGGTATTTCGTTCAAAAAAAAAAAATGATATCGTTCAAGTTTTTTCCAAATAATGTGATCGAACAAGCGCCAAATATCTGATTATGAGATATTGCTTTATTTGAAAATTGATTGAAAAAAAGCTAAAAATTTTGATCATTCTAACGTGGAACCCGTCCTCGTTGACTTTTTTCAAAATATCTTTGAAACTCCAGTTTTTAATCTTCTCATAGTCGCTTCGCTGAAAATGGAGATTTTCACATCGTACTCGCCTTTTTTGGCCCAAATTTTTTTTTCAAATTTAACAGACTTGTAGGAGATGAGCTACTCTGAAGACTAGTTATTCAAAACTAAAAGTTCATGGAGAGAGCGACTTTGGAAAAACTCTATCTAGATCTTTGAAGAGTGTTTGAATAATTATATGAAAATTCCAAGCTTATACCTCACAAAAAGGAAAAGTCAAAAGAGCTTTTAATCGAATTTTTACCCAAAAAGCCTAAAAAAAAGCCTCAAAACCTTGATTTTGAGACAATCGGAGATCCGGTTTTCCAGGTTGTCAGCTCCCTGCCGTCGCCGTCTCGCCCTATCTTCGCCCGGCGCCATACATGCCGCGAGGTTACGTTCAGCCATTGCCGACGGGTTCGCAGACGGGTTTCCTCCGAGAAATCCTGTAATTGCAGCCTACGCGACGGCTCCGCAGCCTCTGCCACAGCCGCCACGGCCGCTGCTCCCGCCACCGATCAACGACTGCTGCGGACGGTGCGGCGCTCCCTGCAAGTACAGAACTCGCCGAAATGTCTGTTTTCCAATCAAAATAGTAAAAAAAAAGCAGTGTGAACAAAAAATATTGTTTGAAAACTCTCAAAAAAATTTGCAGGTGATAGCTGCGTTAGCTTCCAAGATTTTTAACACTGAATACGTCCCGAGGAGGGAAAACCAAGACGAAGACGAGCCCAAGGACCCTAAGTGCAACAGCGAACAGCTGCGCGACATAATGGATCGGGTAAATTTCTCTAAAACTCAAGAATTTTTTCAATAAAAGAGGCGTCACTGGTTTATCCACTTGCAGTACACGACACGAACCGTGAGTCTCTCCAAAAGGCTGATTCAGAAGAACGCGGAGAGCGATTTGGGAGGTGAGTTCTGAAGATTTGATGGAAGCTCTTCCCGTTTATCAGGATACTTCTCTGTGTTCTGCTCGACCGGCGACTTCAGCTACGTCGCCAGAAGCGAACTCTTCTGTCAGAACGAGAAGAATGACATCATCTGCTATGCGTTCAAACACAATTAAATTATTTCGATGCATGTTTTGAAATACTTCTCTCAATATCTTAAGAACACTATATTGAATTTTCTAGCTTTTGTTATTTGTAAATTTCTGATGAAAATTGACTTTATTAGTAATAATCACAAAGAAAAAAAAAAGCGGCACTGGAAATATTCACATACTCGTTTCAAAGTAAGGACAAGATAACTATAACAAACTTGTTTTGTTTTCAATCTCTACTGGTTCTAAGAACTAATTTGTTCTAAAGATTGAGAAGTTAATTTGAAAAGATACACGGAAATGACATGGAACGTTCATGAATGTGTACTCGTGTCGTTAGTGAGAGGTAAAGCTGAAACTATTCGTTTTCATTAAATTTCTCATAGAAATCTCAGAAACGAAAATTGACTCAGCAGGAATGAAGAGAAAACCGGATCAAATTCCACAGATAAAGCTCTCACAAAAATTTTAATAGTTCATAGGTTATCTTCATGAGAAGTCAGCTGAAAAAGTACAGCCTGAAATTCAAAAAAAAAATCTCGATAGATTATTTTTTCGTGACAAATGAGCTATAATTTCTTTGCTGGAAATCCATGAACTTCCCAAATTATCAGAAAGAGAGGATCTAACAAGATGCTTTTTGTGTGTTGTAAGTGCCGTTGAGGCTTCGAGCATCGATGGAGATGACGTCGACGTCGTCAAGATGTCTGACGTCTTCACGCGACTTCCATGTCGAGTGGCTCTTCTCGCTGCCGTCGAAGGAGTCGTCGACCGGAAGGCTGTCTCGAGAAATCCTCGTCATTTTCCCGCTCTCCGGCACGATCACCACGTCCTGCTGTTCAATACTCTCATTCGTCGATTTTTTCAATTTGAAAATGTTGTAAAGTTTAAAAATTAGCCGACGGAGAAACTAAAAAGGGGAAACTTAAGCCTCATAAATTTTTTTTCGTTCTCAAAACTCAAAATGAAGAGAAATTTCGTTCTTTGAACAACAGTCGAGCTTCATTCAGAGGATAAAAAACGTTCCCAATCATCTTCAAAGAGCTAACTTTCAAAAAAGAACCTTGTGATCATCGTATTGGACGTTATAGTAGTCCTTGGCCGCGTCGAGCTTCAGATAACTGTAGTCCTCTGAAAACACAAAAGAGGGTCGAAAAGAACGAAAAAAAGTCCCGCAAGGTAAATGACTACCATGCAATTTTTCGAGAACATAGATGAACTAACAAAGAAACAGTCAGATCTCACAGTGGAGCTTTCAAATCAGACTAAGGTCATGCATAAGATATAGTTTTTCCCCTTAATCTTACATCTGGGCTCAAAAATTGGAAAGCCGAGCCATATTCATCAAAAAATTTTTTGGATATTTTCCAAATGGTGGAGTTTTTATTGATCCTAGTCTCCTTTGAAAGCCACAGCATGAGTTCAAACTATATCCGAGTGGGAAGAAACGAAGAGGGAAAAATTGCCGAATGATCAAAAAGTAGTTACCAGTGATTTCCTCGAGCTGAGAGGCGAGCTTCTGTCTGATGTCCGAGAACTCAGGCCTTTCCTCCGGGATCCCTTGCCAACATTCTTCCATCAACGAGTAGCTACGAAACAGCTTCATTATTTTTACTCTTATCTCTAATACGCTGGGTTAAATATTCAATTTTTTGAGAAAAGTTACGAGAATTCAAAAAATTAAACCGTTTTTTTGTTTCCTAAACACTTTTTGACTCACTTTTATCCTTTCTGTTCAATTTCTAAATGTTCAAACTTTGAAACCCCAAAATTGAAGACATTTACCGTTTAAAAAACTTGATTACTGGATTACTACTGAAATGTGTGTTATGAATAGTGTTTGAAAACTCCTTCGACTCACAAGTTCTGCGGACAATTATCTGGCTGCTCTATCCGACCGCCGTTCTCCAGGAATGTCAGCATGTCTTCCGGTGCAATTCCAGGATACGGAGAGCCTCCTAGAGTGATGATTTCGAACAGAAGAATACCGAAAGACCACCTGAAAAACAAATAAAAACATTTAACCATCAGTAAGACTTCCACTCACACGTCACTTTTAATCGAAAACTCGTAGTTGCGAATGGACTCTGGAGACATCCATTTCAACGGCAGACGGCCTCCCTGAAGGTAATCAATGGAAAAAGCACAAAAACAGAAAAGAAAAAGCATATGACATTCTTTCGTAGTAGGCCTGGAAGGCTTTTAGATATGCTTGAAAACAGATCGACGAAATTAGTTCATCAAGAAAAACTAACCTTGCTTTTGTATTGACCGGTGTCGCCGTAAATGTAGCGACAGAGTCCGAAATCGCCGATCTTGCAGATGTTGCCGTCGTGGACAAGGACGTTCCGGGCGGCGACGTCGCGATGCACGAAGCCTTTCTGCGATAAGTATTCCTGCAAACATTTCGTTCAGAGTTAAATGAGAAGACGTGGGAAGCACCAAGCCGTAGCTGATCTGGACTGCAAACTGCAGCAGCTGCTTCAGCGTCACGATCATGTCCAAGTCGAAGTTGTCGTCCTCGGGAGCCTCGTGGTAATTGATGCCGAGTTCGTCAAGCTAGAAGACGTTGGCGGGATCGAGGAGCTGGTCTCACCTTCATCATGTACTTGCAGCGCTCCCTCAAGAACTGCAGCAGGTCTCCGTCGCTACAGTACTCCACGACGAGACACAACGGTTCGCTGTCCGTGATACACGCCAGCATGTTCACCAGTCTGAAACGAAAAAAGTACAACATGAAAGGAAGGGATATTTTCCGATCTAGTACTCCAGTAACAGCGAAACATTTTGAAGTTTTGATTTCATGCCATTTGTAGATTCAGACAGAAAATTTGATCAATTGCCGAAGTAAATCTATATTTTACATTTGCAAAACGACGTCTCCAGTTATTGCAGGCGAGTTTTTCCTTTTCTACATAGTCCGACTTTGAAAAAAACAATGGTCTCAAGTGACTTGACTATTTAAATTAAAATTAAATGCGGCATTTTCCTTCCAAATGTTTGGACCAACCTCTCGTGATAACCCAGAGATTTCATCAAACTGATTTCCATCAAAAACTCGCTTTTCGACATGTCATCAGCGTACTCGGGAAGCATCTTTATGGCAACCTGAGAAACAGAAATTTTCTCATTATTCGCTGAGTTTCTACAAACCTGACAGTTTTCTGCTCTCATCAAGTTGATTCCGAGTGGAGAATTCGCGTCTTTATGACCCAGAGACTTTCCGATCAATTTACCTGAACACTTTTTTGAACTGAATTGTTCATTGGTAATTATTACCAAGGTAAACCGCGCCAAAAGCTCCAGACCCCAACTTTTTGTCATTATGAATTATCAAATTCCGACGTTCAATCTCCCAGATATCGTGCCTGAAAATAAGAACCTCAAGTTCTGTTCTAGGAAAATGATGCACTTTTTAGGAAAATCGGTGTATCGATTCTGTTTCTCTCTCTCAATCTGAGCGATTTTGAGCTTGTAGAGTTTTTCCTGTTTCCGATGTTTCCTTTTCAGGTAAAACAAGACGGCTACGACAAGCGAGGCCAGAGCGGCCAGGGAGCCAAGAACGATTCCGACGATCATGCCGGCGTGGTTCTTTCCAACTTCTGCAAATCCATTTTTTTCTCATTCGACGAAAAAAAAGGCTCCATGGTTAGCCAAAAGGAGCAAGAAAAAAAAAAATCAAAAATTGGATAGAGAAAGAAAAAAAAGAGAAGTTTTTGAAAGAAGCAGCAGAAAGCGCAACATATCAAACACAGAGGAGCTGAATCGCTATTCGCTACTTTTTCTCATGTTTTGAGCCGAAAAAATAATAAACAAGCGATATTATTTGCAAGTGCGAATTCGCAAAGCTTAACGGTGGATAGGTTATACGTGGCATGTGAACTCAAAAAAAAAACAAATTTTAAAGCGGAAACAGCCGAAAATCTTCGAAATTCTGCAGCTGAGGCGGTAGAAGGAAGCTTCCCTCCTCACCATTCCTACTCCTTCGTTCCATTTCAGAAAAGCTGGTGGTCATTGTTAGATTTTCTGGCGTTGTATAGTCCGTCTCGTTTTTAAAGTTCATAGAATCGTTCATTCCGAATATAGTCTCGTTTTGAGATGAGACTGGCAAGGTTTCACCGGATAAGGAAGCGTCAACGGATTCAGCCGATGCTGCCGAGTTTTCGCTTCTTTTCAAACGGCTTATCAACAAAAGAGTGTCGTTTTCATGGCCATCTAAGGACATGTCTTCCTCCATTTCTTGCGAATATCCCGGCTCCTCCCATATTTGATAGCTCTCGGCTTCCAGAGCAAAACTAGTGGAGACGGAATCGGTTGGAATATAGTCAGTGGGCGATATCAGCGAAGTTTCAAGAATGTTAGTCATTGTGGTAGTGATAAGAGAGGTTAGTTCCATGGGGTTTGCAAAGTCTGCAAGGTGATATCTTCAAAAAATAAGGGTTAACGACAAAATAGCCGTGAAAGTCTTCCTTTCAGGCGAATGTGCGCTCAACGGATAATCAGTGAGGCGCAACATGAAAAAAACTAACTTTTTTCGAAAAAAAAGACAACTGGGCACAACTCTTTACACTATTTCGTCGTTTTCTCGCAGCTAGATAACGACGAAATAGTGTGTGTCAGAGAAAGAGTTGCGGCGTCCTTTTGGCGCTGCATTTCAGAGCACACAAAAATTTTTTATGAATAAGCCATAGAGCGCACATTCAGCTTTTGTCTATTTTGTCATGTAATTGAAAGACAGGTAGAATGACCAACCTTTTTTCATTATCATCAATCGGTTGGCTTTCGGCTTGATAGCTCTCGATTGCGACATGACGTCGGGAAAAGTGAGGTTCCGTGGATCCTTCACAGCGCAAACAGTTATCCCATAGAGATGTTTGGGTTGAATCCCGCTCACGACGAGCGAATTATTCGGCGTGTTCATCTAAAAAGAACTTCAGCTGGGAATTGCTGGGACTGACCTCGCAAAAGCCGTTCCGATCCAAGGCCAAACAACTGCTGACGCTTCCGATGAGCCGCGTGATGTTGACGCCGAGGAACGTCTCCTGCAACTGCACCCCGTAGCCAGCTGAGTTTCTAAGCGGTTATTTCTCGGCCGTTTTCATGCTTTTTGTCAACATTTCGAGTTGGATTAGAAACGTGCAACTTGAGTTTTAAACTGCAGAAAGGTTCATGTTATTCTTTTTGATCTTTTGTGGTCAGAGAAAAGTATAGTTTTGATGAAGTGAGCTCGGTTTCAATTATTTTTCGATGTAATATTTTATTTGAAGTCATCGAAAAAGTTTTTGCTTTTTTCAACGAACTTTGTTTTATAAACTTCATGTTTTTGATGATTTTTGTTAGAGTTTCATATCCAGTTACTTTTTGGAAAGTTAGTTTAGCCTAAAATCCTCCTCAAAAATGATCAGGCAATTTATAACTCGTTCTAGGAAGACCTTTAACCATGCTGAATCAAGAGTTAAATAATCCCAGGATTTTAATTGTTAGTTTCATTGACTATTTTACAGAAAATACTGTTAGTACGTTTTTATAGTGAAAAATTATCGTGCACTCCTCATGAAAATGACAGGTTAGAGGTTCATCATGCAGTTCAGGTTCTTCAGGCATTTTTAGGCCAAATCCATCCTTTCCAAGAAGATTATTCATGACTCCGAAAATTTCTCGAAGACTTATAACTTGGAGAGAATATTTTTGGTTGTGAGAGGGCTATTGTTTAGAGGAAAAAGGTTCTGACCTCTTCTTGGGTCTTGTAGTTGAGGGCGTCGCCGTAGATGCCGACATAGTAGAGTGTAGGTCCCTCGTTGGCCCTCTGCATCGGGTTGAAACTGACGTTGAGTGTGAGATTCTGGTTGACGTCATCTAGGTCGTAGTTCTCATTCAAAATCTAAAGTATCATGTTTCAGAGGAAAAGTCTTTCAGAAATACCGCGTAATTGAGGCCGTCGACTTGGCCACAAGCCGGATGGGCGTACACGACAGGAGTTGTGCACGGCGCGTTCCTCACAGAGTCGCATTCTTAACTTTTTTCTTTTCGAACTTTTCAGTCAAAATAGAAAGAACAATTTCAGATTTTTCTGTCTTGAAACTGCTTTCATATTTCGTTATCAAGTAGTCGAATACAGTTAGATAACCAAAAAATTAGTGGAAGACAGTCTTCTCATTGTAACGATGAACTAGGCAAGCCAATTGCATTATTAATTTTAAAAACTCAGAAAACCCACTGATAGTCATCGTTTGCAGAGCGTCCGGCGGTGGCGAGTGCATTTCACTCGAAGTTCCACACATTCGACTTCGGGCGCTCTGAAATCTTCCATTTGTTCTGTCATTCCGAAACTGCTGAACTAACTTGTAGATAATACACAAATCGACATTCTCGGTACATCAGATCAGCGCCCATTTCTCCCGACAATGTTTGAGGCTGACCCGATTGCATCTGCAACTTTTCTATTTCAAGAGAGTTCAGAATCGCACTATTGAAGGTGATAAAAACTGGGAAAACAGAAAGATTGGAAAACTCACGAATTCGGGCAAAGGATAGCCCTGGCTGAGATCCGGCTTCGCGCAAGCAATCAGATGAAACAGTGGCGTGACCTCCAGATCTTTCTCACCTGGGGGCCAATCTGTTCAAAAACAATTAACATAATATTCTCCACCATCAGTTTGAAAAATTAATCAGACTTACATATAATGTCGTAATGAAAGTTGACCCGCAAAGTACCATTTGCTTCATAAAAATCGCTGACAAAAGGACGATTCTAAAAAAAAAAGAAAATTGTCTGTAGATGAAACTTTTCTCACGAGATACTCAGTATCCAGCAACGAAAGCTTCGGGTTGACTTGAGGCGATGGCGGAGAAACTCGGAGAACAGAGCTGAAAGGTGCGGCTCCGTCCGCAGAAAAGGCGGAAACTCTGAGAAAAAAAGAAGTTCTTCCAAGTTGTGAGAGTAGAAGTTGAACCTGGCGTCAAAAGCGTTGCAAATTGAAAGTTTCGGGGGGACGAAATTAGTCAATTTTGGTTGCCGAGAAACCTGAAAAATGTAGGAATCCGAATTTTTTTTTCTTGATGAGGTGTGTGTCATCTAGAAAATCGATTTTAGGAGCAATCGCTAATATCTAAAGAAACTATTGAAGCTTTGAGCTATTGCGTTCAAACTATGATATACAATTTTAGCACTCACAATGAAGTCGTTTGTATCGTAGCCCACCGCCGAAGCGATTTTGTATAGAAGGACGTAGACGACGTCTCCAGACACAGGATCCCAGAGAAGGTCGTTGCCGCCGCTCTGCTTCGAACTGCGAAGATTGGGAGGCGAAGCCAAAGTTCGAGGAGGACCCAAGTCATCACAGTTCGCGCGGCAGCTGTCTGTCGTCTGATTTGTTCACAGAATAGGCACGTTTTCAACTTTTAAAGCTTACACAAGGACTTTTGAATGAGTAGGGCAGGCACGTCTGGCGGCAAAATTCGATAGATGAATTCTAAAACAAATAATTTTTAAAGGAAGTCGCTAAAAACATTCGAATAATAAATCTTTAGGATTAATAACAGCCTTGAAAAAAGTGTTTTCAGAGAGAAAAGGCTTTTCCCAATTTTCCAAGAAATCTCAAACAAATAAACGAACCGAAGAGAGACATTTGGCCATACATCGGAAGCCGCAGACAAGCTCGGGACTCAACTGCGGCTGTTCCAGAGCCAAGTTCTGCGCTTTGACGACATCCAGACTTGCCGAAAGTACGAGAAAGGCGCTCAAGAGCCAATCCATGCTCTTGTTAAGGCCCGTGTATTGGACTGTAGTTCATCGAGGGCAGTAAAAGATCTGAGAAAAGGTTGATGACCGAAGTCAAGTGAAAGAAGTCAAGTCAGAAACATTTTTCATCAAAAAGTTCGATCTCTGTCCTCTCGGCATTGGAGATCTTATCGAGGCGAAGGGCAAACGCAAAAAAAAAACTGAACAAACTATCGATGTTTCTCAAAATGAAGAATCAAAACTAAAGGTAAGAAAAAGATGTTCTTAATTGGACCCATTAGAGAGTCTGCGAGAGTAAAAGATAGTTATATTGCGATATAGACTAGACATAAGTTATATCGGTGACCAGAAGACATTCAAGAATAAGGGAGGGTCATTTAAACCCATAAAGGATAGAAACCGAATGGATCAACCTGAAAGGGGAGAGAAAACAGAGAAATTGAGAAAAGTTGGTCTGGCCACGAGAACCGTTCGGCGAATTTCACATTTCGGGTCATCCCTGTGAAACAATATTCTTCTTGTTTGATGTGAATCGATTCGAATATTTTTGAGCTAAAATAGTTATTAAATCTTCGGGGAAAAAAAAATAAAGGAATTACAAAATAAAGAGCCTTTTATTTACCGAAAATTCGTGAGCTCCAGGTTGTCTGGCAAAACTTTTTTGCAAGAGAACAGAGGATCAACCTGTCAAGGCAAATCAATTGGCTTCAAAGAGGGGAAACAAAACGGCAAAATGAGTCACAGTCGACTTTTTGCCGTCGACAAACGCTTTCCAAATTCCAGTTGCCCGAGGGTATTCCCCCTTTCTCAAACAGTGACGTCACAACATACTGTTCTTCAAGCTTCCTCCGATAAAAAATGGAAATCAAAACCTTTATCCACTAAAACTAACAAAAATAAAAGTTTCGTCAAGTCGAAAAACTTATGTTGTCTGGAAATGTATGTAAAAAGTCCATTTTGTGACCAGTATAACATGTGATTCGCCGTCCTTTTGAAAAATGTTTCTGTCGGGCGACGAACTTGAATGTCTTCTGGTCACCGCTAATGTGGAAAATTTAACTGAAGTTGCGCATCAGAACAAGTTCTCAAAGACGAAAAAATTTTGAAGCAAACTTTTTTGACAGCCCAAAGATCATTTGTTAGCCCAGAACGCTTTTTTGGAAAAAGCGAGAGAAAAAAAAATCTTGGATAGAAAAACTCAATATAAGTAATTACAATGATAAAAATTTTGGAAACAATGTGCTTATTTTAGAAGCCTAGATTATTGAAAAGAAGTTTGATGTACAAAAAGAGCGGCCGAGAAATGGGAAGCTGGCCGCCTGGAATGACGACCGACTCGGACCGGTTCTGACCCTATCCTCACCACATTCCAGCCACTTTTGTTTTTTCTCGATCCTTTTCAAATACACTTATTTTACCCAAAATTAGGAAAAATTTTCCCTTTCTGAATTTTCTTTTACCAATCGGTGAGTCCAAACTTTCTGACACAACTTTTTTTTTCAATGCGGTTTATTTGTCTGGTTCTTTGAAACCATGAAAATATGAGCCTAGAAGGCATCTTTTGTGGATTTCACAACTAGTTATGTGTATAAACGGTTTAAAATAAATAGAAACTTAACCATTAAAGCATTTCGGTTTCAAATTTCACTTTTTTTAAAAATGAAACAGATGCTCACAGAATCTTGCTCTGAAAACAAAAAGCTTTGAAATGTATAAAATTTCAGTACAAACTAAGGAAAAATGTCCAAATCAATGGAATGTCGAGAGAACCGATCAATTTGAAATGAAATCTGAATAAATTATTGGGGAAAAGACCGAGAGAAGGTCGAAAGAATGCGTCATGCAGGCAATTCTTCTCAATGCCTTTCACCTATTCTTTCAACAAATCGTATGATTAAAAAAGAGCAACTGGGGGAAAGAGACGGAATCGGGTGAACGCATGCCGATTAATGAGAGACACGCACCGTTTGCACTAGTCGGATCAAGTCAAATCAAACAAAAACGAGTTGTTTTCTCAACAAAAAGCCTTTTTTTTTCTGTTGCCAGAGGTCGCAAAATGATGTCTGCGAAAATTAGAATTTGTTTTCTAAAAATGGGAATTTCAGAGCTTCTGTTAATATTACAGGCTTTCTCATAAATTGGTCAGAACACTTTTAAGTGAAAAAGGTTTCCAAGGGTGTTTGAAATGATTACAACGCCAAGAAAACCTTTCGGCGCTGTTTGAAAGTTTCAACAATAGTGGCGAAGTTCTAGTGGCACTGTGTTGATGGGAATGCACACATCGACAGAGAGATCCACACGGTCAGGCCGAAATGTGCAAGTCAAACAAAAAGTTTGGCGCCTTCCGGGCTCACCTAAAATCGATCGAGCTGTTTTCAGCGATCACTTATAACGCTTCAGAACTTGTCGTCTTCTTACACAGAACCGTACTCTCGAAGGAACCCGTATTTCAAGTTTAAAATTGAAGTTTGAAACGTATCGAGAAACAACGTAAAAAATGGTTTCGCGTTCGTTTTTAGAATGCACTATAATATGGATCATATTTTTGATATGCGTTGTTTGCCCGTTGTTTGGGAAGTCTCCCATCATTATGTTTGCAGTACTGGACAGTTTGAGCAAAACAAATGCTTCCAAATGATACTGAAAACTTTCATGAAAGATCGCTTTACTATTCTCATCTCGAAATGCAAGCTGGGATTGAATATTTATATAGCTCATGTAATTTATGGGGGGAGTAAGATGATCAACAAGAGACGGAATTTGTTCAGATAAGTTATGCAAAAACTTACAACATCTTTATATTTTTTTTTTCTTTGCGGTTTTCCAGTTCATGGGTCAGCTACATATCGAACTTGACTTTTCAGAATGAGTTCGGCCGATAGCTCTATCATTCATAGGCCGGCCCTCGCACAAGCTTGATGCCGTCTTCAAAGTAATTTCGACGATTTCAAAATTGAAAGGGATTCCGGGAAGTGTGTGGAATTGAAATTCCGGAAGCGCTTAGTTGAAACGGATACTACATCGGTATATTAAACTCGTGAAAGTCATCGTAAAAATCCACATATTGCGATATATCGTTGTAGGACAAATATAGACGATTCACGGCTAGCTTGGGACGCAAAAAGGCGTGGCCTGTCTGCACTCTCCACCAAGCAGGGCACTGTCTCGTCTCTTTTCGTGGCAGGACCCTTTTCTCGATGGCTCAAGCCAGCCGTGAATCAGCTCTGTTCTCTAAGCGCTCCCGTAATTCCAATTTCACCTATGTCCCGAAATCATTTTTAACGAACGCGTCAATTTTTGAATCGCCGAAATTACTTTGAAAACGGCATCAGGCGCGAGGCCCCCTCCCTCCCCGCCATTTTCTAAGCACGGCCTTAGCGGAGCTTGATAGCGAAAATGGCCGGCGCGACCCAATAAGCGCAATTTTTCTAGTCGAATATCAAGTTTTTTTTACGACAAAAGTCACGTTTTAATTATTTTTTTTACTTGCAGTTCAACAAAACTATGATTTTAAAAGTAAAAAGGATTTTTCGGTGAAGAATTTTAATGAAACTTTGAATTTTTTTTTCGAAACCCGGCCCGGGCCGCCCGGCCTGACGCAATAGCCTGCACGCAGGATTGTGCGAGGGCCGGCCCGTCAACCTCTCGGCCCCCCGGCCGCTCCCCAAGCCCGGCCCGGCCCGGCCCTAGGGAGGCCTTAAGCAAAAATGGCCGGTCCGGCCCAAAAAACTCAAACTTTCTTCAAGTCGAGATTTTTTTCGCTTTTTTTAACGAGAGAAGTGTTTTTTTTAATCTCATAGAGTTATTAGAAACTATGATTCAACAAGTAAAAAAATAATTTTTCCGTGAAATTTTTCTCAAAAATGAAATTTAAGATTTCTTCCGAAGCCTGGCCTGGCCCGAGCCCACGCGGGCCTTTTCTAAAATTGTAAGCCCAAAGCCCGGGCCGCCCGGCCTGACGCACATGCCTGCCTGCACGGCATAGACTTCACAACGAGAAGTAGACTATTGCGCGCTATCGCAACAGCGGGAAAAATTTTTTTACGAGGAATTTACGATTTTCAAATTTCGTCGAGAAATTGATATATATATATAGTATTTTCTATGGAAAAGATTATCTTTTCTTTTCGGTTTTACCTCTGATTCGATGCTGTTCTTTGATTAGGGATATTTTCGCTCTCAACTTTCTCTTCAGAAGGTAAACTGATAAATTAAAAAATTTTCAGGAAAATGAGTAGAACAGAGGAACTGGAGTTAGTGCTGGACCGGCAACCAATAGAGTACCCAGCATTAGTCAAAGAAGCTTTTTTTCGAGGTGTGTGAAAATTTCTGAAACATATTTGGAATCATTTCAGTTAACCGAGATGATTTAACCCATAACTCTGCATCCTTGAACGACACGCACTGTTGGATTCTTTCTAAAAATAGCTTGTATATTTGGGATCGCTCCAAGGTTTTTTTTAGAAAGCTAAATGTTTATTGAGACGTGATTTGCAGCCAACATCGGGGAGTAGAACTTCAATTCAGCTTCCATTACCTCCGTCTGGTCTACCGCATTCGGTCAAATGTGTAGTCATTTATCACTCGAGTGAGATTAGATTTCTTTGTCGACAAATCTATCGGAAAATGTCAGAGTCTCGTCCCAAATCGAAAAGCATCGGAGTGGTGATTGTGTCCCGGGAAGGTGTCGCGAGACATTGGCCTTCGGTTCATTCCCAGTCCTACGCCGAATCCGTTTTCGAACTTGAGAGCGAAGTCGTGCTCACGGTTGAGCTGTTGGATCCTCCTTCTGACGGTAAGGTTTCCAAGCTGGATGGTTAAGAAATCCTTCTACACTTCAGAGAAATGTCCTTGATTTTTATCATTGATAAATTATTAATTAAAGTGACATGAATGAGATAATTAACTTAGGGCATTGTGAATGAAAATTTAAAAAAATAATTGTTTTGTTGAAAGCCTTGCTGGGATGTTTGAAGGCGCTTGCATGACCACAGTAAAAAAGTTCTTCGTCTCGTTTACTCTTTGAAAGTTTTATATTCTTCTTCCAGCGCCGCAACAAGAATTTTTGAATACAATATATCTGTATGAATAGAACGTATAACTGAATAGAAGCTTCTGGTGTATTCAGAGAAGTTTTCACAGCGCATACTAGGATTTCAGGCCGACCTGCCTCTTTCGCTTTAACCACCACTTCTGGTTCGATCCACTTTTTGAGGGGAAGCGATGACCCATCGCATCCTCAAGGTACACTTCTTGCTCACAAGGTAAGATATGTCAAGGATTTCAAATAACTTGATTATTAGGTGATTGCTCGTAGTTCAACGGGGATTCGACGTCGCTTATCTTCTCTGATCTTCGGAAGTGCTCCCGAAGGCGTCGGGTTAGTTTCAAGAGAGGCAGAGGAAATACGAAAGTTTTCAGCTCTTCGACGACACGAAGCGTCCTTTTCTACAATAAAAAGGAGTCGGTGAGTTACCAATAGGGAAAGAATGAGGGGAATGACCGATTCCAGTGCAACATCGGTTTGGTATCAGCGCGGTCGTTGATCATGTGCGACTTGAGAAACAACGACGCCCCACTGTGGTCCCTCAAGACGGACTCTTTCTTCCTTCCGGCAGTCAAAGAAGTCCTGGAGGTCTCGAGACAGTGAAACTTGCAAAAGAACTTGAATATTCAGATGAAGCTGCGACAGGAGGTGAACGGTCTCCGTGTGAACCTCGTGGACGTCTCTTCTTTCCGCCAAGGATACTTCGCTCTTCTCGCCGCTCAACACGAAGATTCCAACGCCGTTTCTTTGTTTTTGGGTCAGTCCTTCATCAAAATCCGTCAGCTACATGTACCGAGTAAAAAAAAATCCGAAAACGGATGGTTTTTACGAAATTTGTTTAAGAGTGGCATTGTTTTGAATATGCTGTATTCTTGCCTTTTTTTCGAAGTCCGACCGGAAGTAGTTTTATACCATTTTTCTCGAGCAACGGAAAGAGGCAGAGATCTTTTTGCAGCCTATGTCGACGAGTTAACGGACGAAGCTCCGTTTGAACCGACCTGGGCCGCTCAATTGCCGACCGCAAGTTTGAAGTCGCTGATCGATGTCTCAAAGTTTCCCATCTTCAAAGAAAACCCAATATTTTTAGGTTGACTTCGACGAGGTGGGCAACAACCTCCAACTCGTCATTCCCAGAAACACAGGAAAGATGAACAAAAGCGAAAGAACGGACGGCATAATCGTATTGCACACGTCTTTCGGTTTTTCGAAGGTCCTTCGGTTCCCAAAAAGGAAATCTGTTTTCAGTTCAAGCGGTGTATGTTCCGGATGACTTGAAAAAAAGCGCCGAGCAAAAAAAATATGACCTGGTTTTGTGCAAAACGACAGCTTTGTTACCAAGAGATCGTCTCGTGGGAGTCGGTACGAGGTTTCGGCTTTTTCACTTATCAAGGATATTTTGTAGCTCAAAGTGCTCAACACTGCTACATAATGATGCTGGACGGCGGCATTTTCTCTGTGCGACTTCTCCCAAAGTTTGTTCTTTTTCAAGGGAACATTAATGCGATGAAAATACAGCAAAAAGTTTTAAAACTTAGTTCATTTAGAAAAGAAAAAGAATAAAACTGTAATTCTTGCAAGTTCTCACCTCCAGTTTTACATGAGGGAAAGTTGTTCTTTGAAGAAAACTTTTCGGTATACCAATAATTTATTTTCTCTGGAGACATTTTGTTTCAGAGGATTCGCCACGGACACGATAGTTGACGACGACGAGGCGCTCAGCGAAATGTTGACGGAAATGGTGAATGTGAACGTGAACGGCGGCCATCCGGCCACGGAACGTCTTCTGAAGGCGTTCGTCCTTTTCGGCGAGAAGAGCATGGTTCAAATCGTTTTCTAAATCTTTCAAATCCATTTTTAGGCGGAGTCGAGTGCTGAACTGCAACCGTTGAAGCAACGTGTCGATATGGAATTCGCTGAGAACATCTCGCAGTTCCTGATCTCCATCGTCGACTACAGCGGTATGGAACACTTTGAGAAGAAATGTCACAGAGTTTTCATCGCAAAAAAGCCTCTCAAGATGCTGCAAGGTTGCTCCATGGTTAATTTGTTCAAAAAATGTTTTTCTATTCCGTTTTCGAAGAGAGAACGCAAAAAAAAAATGGATAATTAAATTTAAATCTGGCAGGCTCTACAGAATAGTTAACAAGAATATTTTTTTTAAATATATTTATATAGAAAACTTGTTTTCTAGACCCTTCAAATTCAATCGAAGCCGAATTGAGAGCGAAAAAAGTGTTCGCCTACCGTATGCTCCTTTTTTTGCGCCATATGGGTTTGTACGACAAGGTGAGATAATATTCACAGGATCGGTTAAAAAAAAGGAAAGCAATTTGCCTTTATTTAGTTTTGATAGAGTTTGCGGTTAGTTTTGGAACTTGAAAAGGTGATTAGTCGAATCATAGTTTTTAGGACGATATCCAAACTTTGATTTTTGAGGTAGCCAACGCTCGCGTGAATGTACCGAACAGCGAGGGACGTCGAACCGGCCTGAGCATGTTGGCCGAGGTTCCCAGACGTCTCAGACGATCTCATAGCCCTTCTCTCAGATGAACGAAAGAATCGGGGTCGCCTTGGCTCTGCGCGATTTCCAGCAGCTGAGCTCCAACAACAGAGAGGCGCTGATTGCGGTGGCGCGATACGCTGAGAAGTCGGCCGGAGAACTCGCAGTTGGAGTTCTGGACGCCGAGTCGATGCTTTTCGGAAAGGTAGGGTAAAGGGAGGTGGAAGAGGAGATAGAGAAGTCTCAGCTGACCCTGATCCACTTCGTGCCGGCGGCCATTGTCGACACTTTGCGGGCGGGTCTCAACAAACGAGTCGTTTCTGCGGGAGCCCGACAGGAGATGCTTCACGTCGCCGCCGACGCGATGGTCGCCTTCATCGAAGGCGTCGAGATAACTCGCAGGTCCATTTCATGGGATACAACCCTGCATTTCTTCACATACGAAAAAGTTCTTGTGGATTTTTTTTTTGGAGTCCATTTTCATTCATCGAAACCTCAGAAAAATCAAATAGCTTGCTTACATTTTTTCCTAAGAATTATGTTTTTCGTGAATGCACAGTCTATGTTTCCTTTATCGTCAAAATTTGAAAAATCTTTATTTTTTGTCAAAAAAACGTAACCAATGAAATAACTATCCAAAAAATGTTTTCAGCTCCCCAGGAGCTGTTCAATTGGATGGCACGACCAATTTGTGGACGTGTGGATCTGTTGCCATCGCGTTTGAGACTATGGTTCTTTCCACCGAATCATTATTTTTGAAAGAAAAAATCTTAGGCGAAAATTCTGATCGACGAAATCAATGCGATCGAAGTTTCCAGTTCTGAACGAGCTCGACTCACCGCGTATATTGTCAGGTAAAAACTCAGTTAGAAGAAGCATTTGTCTGAAATCCATAAATATATTCAATTTCTCTCCAATTTATTTATATAAAAAGCAAAGTTTTCGAGTTTTTTTTTCTTTGAATTTTTGTAGGATACTAAATGTTTGCTTTCTAGAAAAGAGTAAACGGCAGTAAGAGCACATTTTCTCTCAGATTGTTTTCCTTCCATCTGAGCGAAACGGGAGAACAGCCAGAAGGTCATCCGCTTCTTCGAAAACTCTTCGAACAAGGCGAAAGTGCGGCCGCCGTTCTCTTGGCAGAACGCTTCAAGGTGTGCCAATAACATTTTTCGTCGCTGAAAGTCGTCAAGAGTTCAGGACTTCAAAACCTTGATCAAAATCTGCTTGCTTCTTGGGGAAGAAGAACGTCAAGTTCAGTTCGAAGCGTACAAAAAGCGATACGTCGAGGACGACTTCGAGATGTACCTTTGCAAGTATTTCAAAGAGAAAGGTTATTTTAGAAGTTTTCATTATCTTATCGGGGTGATGACATTCATCGATGATATTTTTCCTCGTTATAATATTTTTCGATTCATCCACGTAAATTCTGAAAACGATTCATTCCTTTTTTTTCGAGAAATTGAATATGAATAGAAATGATGTCCGTGGAGCGAAAAAAAAAATCTCGGCCTATTTTTTGGTGTTATTGAGTGGACGTTTTTTCCAATGTTTTCAGGTCTAAACGAACTTCTACTAACACAGCGCGGCCAGCGAGTCGACGAGTACTTGAACAATTTCAAAGAGCTCCGATATTCTCGTGAAATCGCTAACAAACAATACGAAAAAGTGCTTTTAATCCCATGTCTTCATTTATTTTCCTGTTTCAGGCGGCTCGAACATTGGCGAATTTGGCGGCTTCAGAAAAAAATAACTTTGATAAGTTTGCCATGTATTTGTCGCAGGTAATTGAGGTTTATATCGACGTCGAGAGTCAAGTTTTTGAGGCGAAAAACTGTGCGTCGGCTTGTGAAGACGCGGCAGACGATATCTTGGAGTTTTATCAGAGAAGGGCTCCGGAAGTGAAGGGCCGACGAGCGATTCCGGCCGAGGTGATCGAGGCAAGTCTGTTTCGGCCTTGAGCACGGCTGAGTTGGAAGTGTTGAGGAAATAGAGACTTTCGAAAAGTTCGCATAACAAATGGCAGGAATGTTTATTCATAAGTTTGAGAAACCCGCGCTTTTTTTTGTTATTTCTCTTTTTTTTTTAAGATTGTGCAGATTCTCTATTATTCTTGATGTGAAATGTCTGTCTGCGCTCTCCACCAACTGAACACTGTCTCTTTTCTTATCGTGTCAGGACCTTGATTCGTTCGATGACTTGAGCCGGGCGTGAATAAACTAGGAAGTTTTTGGGACCTCGGTCACGCAAATCTGAACGTTTCTGAGCACTTCTAGTGATCACTTAAGGGTACTGAAGCCACTAAAGGTATCACTCACTAGAAACGCGAGAAAGAACGGCCGGGCGGAAAGTTGAAAGTAGCCAATTTTGGAAAAATTGGATGATTCTGACGGCGGCGGTATAAGTGTTTTAGGTATCCTTATTTCTCTGCAAAATGAGTATGAACAAACAGATAAATCAGTAACTCTTTGATAAAAACTTTCCTGATCAGCATCAGTGGTAAGATCAAGTTAAAAACAAAAACGAGAATATTGTTGGAAGAAAGTTTTTTGATCTTTTGTTTTCAATGACTTGAGGCTTACGCATGTAATCGATCTGAGCAAGTGGGCTTCAAAAATGCAAAAGTAACAAATTTCAATCTATCAAGAAAAAAAAAGCCATCGTGCGACTCCAATTGATGTTGCTTTGAATTATAATCGAAATACAAAAAGTCTGGGATTGAAATCAGCGCAAATGTTCAAATTTCGGTCTTCAAATCAAAAGTAACAATATAATTCTAGACTGTATATCCGGGTAATCCAAATGTGATGCTTACGATAGACCAGCTCATCGAGATCAACATGATTCCTCAAAGTACCGACGAAGAAAGTACTTTAAGCGGGTATTTGAGGTTCAGATAACAGAGTATCCTGAAAAGTACAATCGAAGTTTCCTTCAGAGCACTGAACTTGGTTTCTGATTTGTTGCAAGTCGAGAAGTCTTCAGAAGTCAAACGGCTTCTGATGAAAGTCTGGAGCAACGTTTTGGACTGTGATGAGTGGGCTCGGGTTTGAAATCGTCAGAAAGAAGGCGTTCAGTGCGAATTTCAGTGTAAATCGAGCCACGATGTCAGTACAACAGTTCTCGGAAAGCTTCTGGCCGCGTTGGTCGAGCGGAGAATGGCCCTACGTAAGCGGCCGCCGGAGTTTTCGCCTTCTAATACTTTATTTTCAGCCGGTTCCGCTTTTCCATCTTGGGAATACGCCAAACGGCTCGAAATCCTCCCAAATTTGGACGATCTTCTGAGTGAAACGGCAAAAGTATGTTCATGTTTATACCTCAAACTTCAGAAAATATTCCATCAAGGTATTTACAAACCTTATGAAGTAGTGTTAAATTTAGGAGTAAAGTTTTGGTTTTGATATATCTCAAAATGGTTAGGATTGTACATGTCGAATAGAAGAGAAGGCTCGATTTTCTTATAAAAAAACCTAAATAATTATCTGGGATGGGTTCAATTAATCAACTCTTTTCAAAAGAAGCCATTTTTGACAGTTTTTTTTTCACTTTCTGCTATCATTCCACCTATCCAGTTCATTTTTTCAGTTCATTTTTTTGTACGAAGAGCAAAACTTTAAAAAAAATGATCAAAAATCATTTTCCCGATCTCTTACGAGAGCGAGAATGTGTTAACAATGTTATGCTTCCGATATTTTCTTCAAGGCTTTCATGTAATGCACTTCAAGTTATACATATTATATACGAACTTGCATTCAGAATTTCGCGGACGCTCGCAAAGCGGCGGCATGGGTTCGATCGGCGTTTGCCGCAGCAAGAACGCAGCTGCAGGACCTCGCGAAACGTCCCAAAGCTTCTTTTTACGAGTTGGACGCTGAGAACTCAGGCCCGATAGCCATGGCGGCCTTCGCCAAAATCGGGCCGGCCCTCTCCGCCCGCCGTCGGCATCCCCCGCCTGTCGAGTCTATCTAACTATTGCAGAAATTTATTTCACTTTGTCTTTTTTATAATGGTGATCTCGAGGTCTCATGAACGGTTGAGTTTAGCCGTTTATTCGATTGCATTTTACATAATAATCACAGATACAACAAAGAAATGAAAGTTTGGAATGTGCGAAAAGAAAGAGTCGAGAAGCTTGAGTCTTTGCTATGCGAGCTACTACTCAGCTACTTGCTAATTAAAAATATAAGAAAATTTTGAAAATATTTTTATAATAAACTATCGATAATCATCACTTACTGCTTCTCAACATAGTTGCTCTGACCAGCGAAAAAAATTACATGAAAAACTGCAATTTTATCATGTTACTTTTTGAGTTCAAGCTTGTCTACCGTTTTCTATCAATTTATTTTTTTAAAAAAATTGTAGCGTTGTTTTGATGTGAAACAAGGTTTTCTGAACGACAACCACAGGCGAGAGTTTTCTACTACCTAAGAAAAAATTAAGGTCATCTCATTAGTTTTAATGAAGCGATAGCGAATAAAACCAAAAATGAAGTCGAAGTTGGAAGAATTTTCGAGGAGTTGCAGAAGTCGGTTTTACACAGACATTGTTTGGCAGCGATTCTAAAATTTTCTACGTTTCATAGGATATTCCGTTTTTGCATATTGAAACGATATTCATTAACTTTTAATGTACTGCCAATAAATCTCACCCGCGAATGCCAATATCGATGCAGCCTTCTTTTAGGTCGTCGCTCTTTTCCGCGCATCTCTTTTCCACGTAGTAAGTCGAGTCCTGTGAAATAATTAGTTTAATGGCGTGAATAATACCCCTATTTGAAGAACTTGTTTCGAAATAATAAAAAATAAAGGTAAACGAACCGAATTCTGACCGATGACGGAGAGACAACCATAGTTCTGTGGAGCGCAAGAGTTGTTGCGAACGACGCCGCGACATTCGGCTGTCGGCGCCGAGAGAAAAACACCGCAGCTGAAGCAGTCGAGGCTCGCCACGGACTGCAGTTGGTGCAAGCCGAACGCCGTCAGCAGCAGCCACATTCTCAAAAATCACAGTCATAACGGTACAGCGCTACCTTTCCAAAACGATGCGTTTCACAGAAAAAACAAATAAATCCTTCAATTTCGACGAATCAGCTTTTTGCGAATTCAAAACAAATGAATTCTCCAATTTGACAGAAAGCAAATATCTTTGTGATTTTTTTCAAATACTTCGAGTTTGCAACTTAGAACATTTCTAGAGTTGGCCCTTTCTCAATATTTTCATTATTTATTCATAAAATAAACTTTACAGAAATAATTTGAAAGGGAAGTTCGAAGTTCAACTGTCGCTCAATTCGAATGCTTCAATATTCATTCAAAAAATGGACTCGTAAAGGTGAAACCACGGACAAAGTAATGCCATGTTCAATTTGATTACGCGAAATGCAAAATACCCGTTAAAGAAAGGAAAAGATTACTAAATTTTAGAGAGTCAGAGATCATTTTGCGTTTTGCGGAATCAAATTAAACACGGCATAATCTTTAAGGCCTAGTTCGGTGGGTTTTAACATTTCAAAAAATTTGAAAAAAAAAAATCTATTTCATAATGTTTTATTGAGACAGAAAAAAATAGATGAAAAACTTTGAAAAAGATTCAAAGAAATTTTCAGCGAAAAATATGGCTACAAAATGAATTAATTAGTTTTGCCCGAATTTCCCTATTTGTAGCCGAAGGATCTCATGTGGTTTTTCTATGAAGAATAAAATTTGAGGGAAAACGAACGAGAATCGAGCATAAAAAATTGACTCTGGCGACACGAGTCGTTGAAAAGCTATGAAGCAAACCAAAAAAGGTGTGCGAGCGGAAATATTCGAGCTTTTTCTGAAGAGGTCTTTGCCAACCCTGCTTTTCAGAAACTCTTGACGAGTTCTCGCACCATGAAAAGGACTCGTTGTTCGTGAAAACATACGAAAAGCCGAAGAAAGAAAAGAAATAAGCTAAAAAGGTGATGATGGAGCGGATATGGCCGGAGGGAAAATGCGGCGAAGAAAGCCGTAAATGGGCAACGGCTTACGGCCGAGAAATACATGATCGAGTGGACCGCCATTTGCATAACGGCACACGCACGTAGGCCCCTCGAGAATCCGAACCTTTTCTTCTTTTGTCCAAATACTCAGCGAGTTGTTTGAGATTCCCTTTGTTATCTCCTTTTTATGGAAGTTGGGTGACCAATGAAAACATTACATTAAGCTTGAGATTGAAGTGCGTTCAAATGGAGCCTTCCATAGAATTCCAACAGTCTATCTAAAATCACACGAGAAAATTGTTTGTGGTTAATTAGAAAGTTTTCGAAGTCTTTAAAAAAATCAATTCGAAACCGTTCGGTTGATTTGATTAATAATTGACAAAAAAAAAAGAAGATTTGTAATTTTCGATCAGAGTTGGGAGGACCTTTATGGAGTAGCTTTGGAGAGAATATGAGATAAACTGAACGAAAAGTGCTAGTTTTTGGAGGAAGAGATGAAAAAGAGCGCCGCCCATTAGAAAAAAGGAAGAAGAGCTGGATCGGACAGCACATTTTGCTCTTGGCACTTTCAACATAACAAAAGCACATGTATGGGAATAGATCGATTCGAGGCTCGGCGAGCAAAGAAAACGAAGACCAAGACCCTCGATAATTGAACTCCCATTTTTGGCTCCAATTAGCCCTCGAATTGGGTTGACTTGGTGCTCTAGATTGCGCCAGAAACGGAAAGATCTAAAGAATTATGACAACTGAAAATAGGGTAAAACTTTTTGAAGCGGTTGCTGGGGCTACTGCGAAAGAGGAGATTTATTTCTCCTCCTTCAGCTGTCTTGAGTTCTTCGGGGAAATTGGAAGAGTGTGCATATTTAATGTATGCGAGCTCGTTTCCGTACACCAATTGGCTTTTCAAAGGATGTACTGAACTTTTTATGGTTTGAAGTTCTCCCGCGAGGCTCATTTTCAGATAGAGCGAATGAACCCATGAAGAACGATGGCAACTTGAAAAAAATGAAGTCGCAAAGCCCCTTTTCGAGAGTTGGTGTTCAAAAAAATGCATTTAAAATTGTTGAAGAAAAAATTAAAAAATTTTTTTTTCACTAATCAGTGAATGTTTTAAAGCAAAACACAAATTACAAACTTAGTTGGGTCTCAGGCTAATTCTGAGAAGATTTTGGGAAGGTAATAAGCAGTAAGTTTGAAGGTTAATGGAAGCTAGAAGGTGTTCAGAAGGTAGTTGAAAGGTTTTAGAAAACAAAAAATTGAGAATACATGCCAGGAGTCTTCCACCAGATTTCTGTCAGAAGGTGTTGGGAAGCTATGTAGAAGCCGTTTTACCCCTGCTGCAAGCTTCCAAACGCCTTCAAAGGAACAAAAAGCAGAAGCTTCCCAATTTTTTGCCTTTAGTCTTTCATCTTTGTAAGCGTCTAATTCCCATTGAGGACGGATTAAAAACTTCTACTCGTGTTTTCTTGCACGAATCTTGATCGATTGGCTACAGGGTTTCCATCCGTTTGCAATTATTTTAAAAGAGTGTCTCCACTGAAGTTTTTGACATAAGTAATCAGTTGATCTCAACCTCCGAAGGAGACTTAGTTTTCTTTTCTTGTTTTGAACTTTTCAATCCTCTTTTTCATACTTCTCTCTCAACGTCAAAAGTTGAATTTGTCACTTCATTCATATTGAAAGAACCTGTTAACAGTCTTGGTCACTTCTAATTAGATTCACCAGGTACACACTATTGTAGTGCAAAACACATTGGCACAGAAAGATAAGGCGTCTTTCGCAATTTCTCGCCCTTTAAAAGAAGTTACCGCGTCGAATTCTTCGGCAGACACAGTCCCTTCTTTGCTCTTCATGAACTTCCATGTTTTGCTCGGTTTTCTGCTCTTCGAGCCCCTCCTCGCCTACAATGTACTAATAATTTCGCCTCACTTTGGATACAGTCATATGAAATTTATGGGTCTTTTGGCCGATCTTCTCTTGGATGCTGGACATTCCGTGGTTTGTCTTCACCTCGATTGAAGTGCTGAATTTGAATCAAAAACTCGTGCTTACAAAGTATTTCTGTGATTCAATTTCTGAACCTCAGCCAAACGTCAAAGAAAAATTTTGAGGACATTTCTTTCAAGATTCGTATAGAAAAATGTGTACAGCTGTATCTCAGAGAAAAAAAAAACGTTTCGAGCTTTTTTTCCGTGAAAATAACGCATGACGGTCCCAATCACCGACACTTTGAGACTGCGATAGTGTTTTCATGTAGATAACAAATTTTGATAAGATCGATAAACTTGCAAGTTTTTGTTTGATGTTTCAAAGAACAAATCTGAGTTATACTTGAAGTACAAGTCAGCAAGGTTCTCTCTAAACTTCAATCTCTACTCTTGGAAAGTTCAATTGATTTAGATAGGTCATGTATTTGGAAAAAAGCCATTTTCAGACACTGTTTGAGCCACTCGTCCTCGACAGCTATAAAAGCAAGAAAGTGGTTTCCAGTCCCAATGTCACGGTAGAAAAAACTTTTCCAATCTGAGTAAATCATGGGTAAACACAGAGAATCTTCTACGAACATGACGCTGAAGGCATCGCATACGTCAAGAAGAAGGGCGACAAGTTTTTCTCCGAACTCTGGGAGCCGACCGAGTCTCTGACCGGCATTCTCGATGTTTTTCTTTTTTCTTTTTGCCATCCAATATTTTTTTGGTTTCAGCTACCTAACGTCTTCATCGCCGATTTCCAACACATGTCAAAAAGTTCGAGTTTTGCTTTTAATTTGTTGTGATTTTGAATTATTCTGAAAAAGAACCTGTTTTCCGCTAATTTCAGAAGTATTCTTGCGACTCTCACTCTGTTTGAAAAACTATCGATTGAAAAATGAGATAATTTTCAGAAATTTTCCGAGACAAAGAGATGCACGAAATGTTGCGGAGCAAAAAGTTTGACCTGGCGATATCGGAAACTTTTGATTTTACCGGACTTTGTAAGAAAAATGTGAGAAAAGTCGGAGTTTCAAAAACATTTTCAGATCTCGCTGATTTTTTGGAAATTCCATCAGTTCTGCCGGTTTTCTCAGCGGTCAGACTCCCTGGTCCGATGAACGCTCTGGGACAAGATTTTTCCTCAAATATCATTCCAGGTATAATTAATTTCAAGCACATCTGAATTATTTTCCAGGCGCCTTCTCCAAATACGGAGATGAATCTACTATCGGAGACCGAGCCAAAAATCTCATGAGCCACAAACTTTTCGCTTACATTTTCAACACTGTCTTCGATAAGCAGTACGAATGGGCTAAAGAGGCCTTCGGAGACAAGGCGAGACACTGGGAAGTCGGTTTTCTCGCTTTTCTTCTGAAATACTCGGAGTTTGTGGAAGAGCTCAAAGAAGTTCAGGACATTGTTGCGGATGGGACATTTTTCCTCACCAACGGAAATAATTACTTGGACTTCCCAATGATGTTGCTGCCCAAGATCGTGCCAATCGGTGGCATCACCATGACAAACGATAAGTCCATTCTGAAACCGTTGCCTGAAGTTGATCATCTTTTCTGTTCTCACTAACCTCTATCTTCAAGGAGTACAACAAGATGTTGTCAGAGAGAAGCTCAACTGTTTTCGTTTCTTTTGGCTCAGTCCTGCGCTCGGTGGACATGCCTTGGAGATACAAGTTGGAGCGACTGTTAAATGCCGACGAAACCCGGATTCAGAGAATCGCTGATCAAAGTTTTCGAGCTGATGCCGGACACGACGTTCATCTGGAAGTACGAGGAGGACGACAAAGATCTGTCTGCGAAGCTTCCTTCCAACGTGCATCTCAGGAAATGGGTTCCTCAGCCGGCCCTTCTAGGTAATGTGAATTAAATTGTGCTTTTTGGATTGATCGTTCAGGACGATACTGTGGTTTAGAACTTATTGATTTAGAACTTATTTTTAATTATTAAAAAAATAATTTTGAAGTAACTTTCCTTTTCTCCGGTATGTTCATGACGATACTCATTGTTCTATTTCCAATTTATTTTTTCGAGAAAAAACTTTCAAAATGAAGACGTGGTTCAGCTGACAAGCGCGTGAAGGCTTTCGTGACTCACGGCGGCCTAGGAAGCACCATGGAAGTTGCCTATTCGGGAAAGGCGGCCTTGATGGTTGAAAAACAGTCTTCCAAAAGATTTCAGTCTGGTTCCTTCAGATTCCTGTGTTCGGAGACCAGCCCATCAACGCCGAAATGTTGGCGCGCCACGGCTCGGCCCTGCGCTACAATGTGAAAGACCTGACCGACGCGCCGAAGTTCGTGTCGCATTTGAAGCGGCTCACTCAAATACCGAGGTCTATCCCAAAAATATTAATCTCAGAGTTACACTTTACCCCGATTTCAGCTTTGCCGAAAACGCTCAAAAGCTCTCCGAAGTCCTGAAAAATCCACCCATAGATCCTCGCCAAATTGCACTCAAGCATATTGAATTCGCTGCCAGGTCTTGTATTTTCAGTTTTTTTTCGTATCCTGTTTTTCCAGATTCGGGAAGCTTCCCAACATGAACTCTCACGCTAGGAAGCTCAACTTTGTGCAATACTACTTCCTCGACATAGCGGCCATAATCTTCTCTTGTTTATTTGTGATAGTTTATGTAACGAGCAAAGTAGTTTGCGGCGTCGCCAAGTTCCTGAAAGGAAATGTGAAAGAGAAATCTCAATGATACGTGTATCCTTCTTAGGTCCCTAGAATCTTGACATACTTTTTCTTTAAATAAGCATGTTTCTGCCAATATTTAGCTGAACGAACTGCAGAAAATTTCGATGTGTCTGGTTTTCTGAAAATTTTGATGAGTAAAAATTGGGTTGTTTTTAGTAATTTGTGGATGTGCACATCAACACGAAGCCTCCGCCAAAGACCACTGAGCAACAAGATTGAAAATCCCACGATCAAGCCGCTCCTTGAAATTCTAACCACTTGTTTTCAAGTTTTCAGGCCTCTTCCAAACTTGAATCTTGTTTTTAAAACTTGTTTCGAAGAAAAAATAGAAGTGCTTTTTCAGCGAGAACTGGATGATATCTATTTCCAATTTCAATAAGAAAAGCCTGAGAATATATGATTTTTTCAGAAAGTAAGTGTGCAAGCATGATATTGACCAATTGCAGGCTTCCGAAAAATCCAAAACAATTTCAAGAAAAAAGGCTCACAAATCATGTTTGTTCCTTTGAGGTAAGCGGCGTGATAATTTAGTTGAGAGCAGACCCCAAATTGAATATTGTCACTCCATAAGCTTTCCGAACGAAACTCTCCGTTTCAGTTTCTTATATCCTTCTCCCGATTGCCCCCAACAGAGCTAGGCTCAATGGAAACTTTTTTCCTAAAAATATTCAGTTGAACTCGGTTTCATGTTCCGTTTTCTTCACATTCTTTCAGGGCGAAAATGAATGGTTAGAACTTTTTTGCTTCCTTGTGAGATAATTTTTGTCCAAAAAGATCAGAATATAAACGGCTAAATAGGTGCTTGTTATAGAGAGCAAGAACTTGAAACGAAGGTTATTTGCCATGTTGCAAGTCTGAAAATGGGCTAAAAATGATTTGGTCACTTAGAAGACGTTCCGTCCAACCCAGAAGCTCCGGTCAACTTTTCATGCACTACATTGAGAAATATTCATTTTTTCCTGGACTCATGATTCAAGTTTTACTGAAGTTCAGAAAAAAAGAGTATTTTTGTTTTGTGATACGCGCAGTCGCCTGACCTGTCCTCTACTACAAACTGAAAATTCATACGTACAAACCCATGGAGCGCAAGACTAGAAATCCACACACGTTCTTTAGCTCCTTCCATTCTTTGCTTCACGTCCTCAGTTAAGATTTTAAAATTTCTTTTCTGGATTTTCAAGTTTGGTTTCAGTTCATCAATAGTATTAGTTGGATAATTTTGACATAGGCCACCTTGTGAGAAAATTTTCTAATAAATTGCCCTATTGAAAAAGAAACCACAGTTGAAAACCTTATTTCCTCAGGAATCAAACCGCGGTTCCTAATGCAACCCAGAACATCATAAAAACTATATTTACGAGGCTCTGATAATTTTTTTTATTCAAATACAATTTTTTTTCACCATTTCTTGAGCGTTATCAATGTTATCGTTAAAAGAACTCATTTTTTTGTGAAATTTTTGTGTTTTTTTCTCAGTTTTGGAATGGAAGATGGGGAAGAACTCGTGGAAGCCGTTGTCAGCATTTTGATCATTTTTGGTCTGTTTGGAAATGCCAACGTCGTTTTTGCGATCGCACGAAATAAGGAGTTGCGGACGAAAAGTGGTGGGTTCGAGTTCTGAGTAAAATTTAGAGACGGCTTTCAGGATGCCTCGTTTTTGTCTTGTCAGTGTCTCATCTCGTCTGCATATTTTCGGAAATGATCGGCCTAACTCTGAGGTTGAGGTAAAATACCAAAGTAGCGAAAACTTCGAAACGGCACGTTTCAGATTCCGACCAATGTCGCGAAGAAAGTGCTTCGAGTACAACGCCGCCTACGTCTTCTGTATAATGTTCCAGTCGGCTTTGTTCTTGGCCATCACAGTAGACCTCGCTCTGAGTATTCTTTGTCCGATCAGGTAGAGAAAGAAGATAAAACAGACTGAAACCCGGTTGCAGACATCGGCTATGGAACAAGTACCGGTACGTGGCGACTCTGTGCTTGCCTCCGTTCATCTACGCCTCCGTCTGCTGTCTGGTCGGCTTCGTTTTCATGAACGACGAGATCACGCCGACCTGCATCCCAGTCACAGGTAGGTTTCAACCTTAAAGAAGCACCTTGATGTCTGAGTGCAGCTACTCTTCCCGAAATATACATCTCGATCTCTTCTGTGAACGTCTTCTGCAATTTGGGCACAATTTTTCTCACCGGCACTTCCATCTACATCTTCATGCATCGAGGTAGTTTACTATCTCGCATGCTGAGCAGGGTAACCCCGCCGTGCTAACACCGCGGGTGCCCCCGTATTAAACCCGTATAAGCCCAGCTGATAGAACTTTTGGCACTTTTTAGCCCAACTGAGACCCCGCTTTAGCCCAGCTGGGTTATCTATTTTTCTTACACCCGTTGTTCCCCCGTTTTAGCCCAACTGAGACTAAAATAACCTCAGAAACACGGGTTTAATACGGGTACACCCGTTGAGACACCTGCTCAGCATGCGAGATGCTATTAATAGTTTAACTATGGACGCTCGAGTTCATATGAAATACATTTCACGTTGATATTTAGAAAAAAAGAATGCAAGAATGCCCTAAGGCGACAATGAAACGAATATTTATTTGAACGGAATCGATATGTTAAATTTAGAGAGTCTACTGGAGAGTTAAATTAGATAAAAAAGCTTTTCCAAGGGATTATTGTTTGTAAAGAACACAGTTGAATCTCCTTTGAGTATTGAACTAAGGGAATAGAGATTATATAGATTATAGGTCGAAATTGTTTTGATGAAGAGAAAATTGTTTTAGTTCATGCCTCCTAACTTTATTAAACTGTTTTCGCAGAAAGACCTCGCCAAAGCAGCCGACGGTCCTACTCTACAGCGAGCAACGACAGTCATGAAAAGAACAAGGTTTTCTTTCCCCAGCAGTCAAATTCAAATGAAGATCTGAAGATATTTCGCTCAACCTTCTACCTGATGACGGTGTACATCGCGTCGTGGGTTCTCGCCTGCTTCCTTTTCGAGTTTTTCATTTCCTACTACGACGCTGAGGTCGCCGCTCGCGAATATCTGCCTTACTTGGTGAGTGGAAGAGAACTCTTCCTTATTTCTTCAAACATAATCCAATACCCTCGCCGAAGTTCCGAAAGATCTTCAACCGGCGCAATTGGGCTAAACCTCTTCAAAAAGCCTCCTCGATGGATCCCTTAATCCTCCATCAACAAGTTTCTTGTGAAGCTTTTGAACTTTCCCCTTTTCCAGATTCTAATCGCGATGCCTACGTACTGTCAGACGTACTTTGTGACATTCGCACGATCGCCGCGATATCGTCGCGTCTATCTGCGACAGCTGCGATCGCTGACTCGCGGACGACACTTCCCGCCGCGACCCGACTGGAAACCGGCCGCCGCACTCTGATGCCAGCTTTCCTCACGGCATTCTTGGATTCTGGACTGACCCGCTTCGGGCGATTTTTTTTTTCTAACGACCTGTTCCATCATTGTCTTGTCGAACCTGCCGATGACCGCGCGTTACGTTGATTTTCTAGTTTGGGTGAAAAAAGCGTTATCAAAAGTCTCTTGTGAGTTTTATTGAAATGAATGAATTATCGGATCTCTCCGAAAATGTCTCAACCTTTTGTAAATATGCTAATTTTTTCCCTACGTGTTTGCATTAATGAACCTTCGGGCTGCGCGACCTTTTTTTCACGCAACATTAAGTCTACGGATGTTTTTTTCTCTTTCTTCATTCTTCTGGTTTTTTCGATTCATGAATCTTTCTTCCGAATGTTCGTCATTTCCGTGTAAAAACTGTAAATAAAGTCTTCATCCTCTTCGATCTCTAGCAAAAGCTCAAAATTAGCATGAAAAAGAAGAAAGAAACTCTCGAAAGTTCAGATAGGAGCGGAGATTGATGCGTCGAGACGTGCAATGTCTTCGAGCTGTGGCCATAATCTCTGTGCTTCTCTACCATCTCTTCCCTACTTTGTTCCCTAATGGATTCTTAGGAGTCGACGTGTGAGTCTGTAGAACCTCTTTCTATACCAGTTCTTTCCAGATTTTTCGTCATTTCCGGATACATCATGGCTCGGAAGTTATCAAAAGATACAGTTTTCAAGTTCAAGTTCAACTACATTTGGAATACTGTAGTTGAGGCATTCGATTTCTATTATCGGAGGTTTTTTTTTCCCAGTCTTTCGTTTTTCAACAGGATTGACCAGGATAAAGCGAATCTGCCCGATGTACTACTTGTTCGTGGCAGCGACGATGGTCGCAGTTCATCTCTGGCAGTCGGACTCCTGGTGGCCCACCAACTATCGCTACTCGTTGGCCTCGTTGTTCTTCATCACCAACCAGCTGATCATCCACGACAGTGGCGACTACTTCAAGGAGGTAGCCTCCTCTGTAAGAAATTTGGTTGAAATATGGGGTTCAGTTTCTTGCTGACGGCACCTCCATGAACACCTTCGTGCATTGTTGGTCCCTCGGCGTAGAAATGCAGTTTTATCTTCTCGTTCCGCTCATTTTCATCGGCTTGTCTCTTTTCAAATCCGACCTGATAAAGGTTTTTCTGACTCAACTCGGTGATCAAAAAACTATTCATTCAGCTTCTATCAGTTTCTATCGGATGCTTATCCGGTCTGGTCCTGTTCAACTCTATCAATCAACAGTTCGCCTTCAACTTTATGTTTGCTAGACTTTGGCAGTTTTTCGCCGGCTTTGTTGCATTTTACGCGGCAAAGTGCCAGATGAGTTTGATTCCGAAAAAGAAAGGTTTCACAAACTTTTGTTTTGACTTCATTGGAAAAACTGCAGATTCTGAGCAGCTCGACTTGAGTAATGTCTCCGTCGCCGCTTTATTGCTCTGCTTCTTCCCCATGGAGATATCAGCAGTTTACTTGAGGCCGTTCATCACCTTTCTGGCTGCTTTTGTCATCTACAGCGAAATGGAGAAAAACAACAGAGTATGTTGTGCGGCAAGTAACGCTTTTGATTCTGAACTACAGGTCCTCCGATCAAAAGTTTTGCACTACATTGGAGATCTCTCCTACACCATATATTTGATTCACTGGCCAATAATCACTATTTTCCGTTCTTCTTCATTGCAGTCCAAGTACTTCTGCGTAGGCAAGTCCTTTCTGGGAAAATGAGGAAAGATTATGTTCTTTTCTTTCAGCTGTGACGATACTTCTGGCGGTTTTTCTGCATGAACTTTTCGAGAAAAACTATTTAAAGTTGGGACCGATCTCTGCGATTTCTTTGATAGTCGTTTTGATAGGGATGAATGCTTGGTTGCAATACAGCATCAGAACTCATGATTTCTGGAAGACGAGTTATTCCGAAGGTTCCAGCAGACACTGCTGTTTCAGAAACTGATACCTGTTCATGTTCAGAAACAATGTCCATCGTGACGGCTAATCGTCGTTTCATGGACCCGAGCTGGGTCAGAAACAACTGCCAAGAAATGAAGCCGGTGCCTGAAGTCGTCCAGCCTTCGTTGACCTTCGGTCATTGCGTCTTCGCGGTTTCGTAACCCTCTTCTATCTTTGAAAAGAGAACCTTACAGCCGGGCAAAGGCAATCTGACGGTTCTTCTGATCGGCAACAGCTACACACTCAACCAGGCTGAAGTCATCCGTCAGCAGTTCAACGAGAACTACTCCACCTTCCAGTATCTCTCCCTCGACAGTTCGTTTATCACCTTTTTTTTTACAAAATTGCTTGATAAATACTAAATACCAGAGAAAAGACATCATTGTAAGAACCATTTTTTTATTGATTACAATCAATGTAAGCTTGGCTAAAAAAATAAATGGATTTCAATCCCAAAATTTTCCTTTTTTTAAATAAACAGTCTTGCTCGCTATGGTTAGAATCCCCTTTTGGTTAGAAAGTTTTAGTCGAAAAATTGTCATACCAATAATTTTAACTATATTCTAGTTTCTTAATTTTGCCTATTTCTACAACTTTGAATAAAAACAGAAAACTTCGCGATATCGGCTTTTCCGGACGACATCTCGAGGAACGCATTGGTCGCCACGAAACGCGTCGTTTCCGAAGTCCAGCCCGACCTTCTCTTCATCGTCCACAGGTTTTCAGATGATCTTTGTCTTTTATCCACCTGATTACAGAATGATTTTGCAACAACCGGCTCTTACAAACGTCCAAGAAGATCCGATCCTCGCTGAGTACAACGAAAATCTCAACCACTATCAGAAGTATCTTTTATTGTTGGCTCCACTCTTTACAACTCCAATTCAGATTTGCGAAGAAGATTCTGATCATGGACGCTCATCCATATTACCCGATCAACTTTTTGAACTTTTTCATTGAGTACGTCATTAGTAGACCTCAAGACTTGGAACAACTTCATTTAGATAAAAAAGTTTGCTTTTTCTCAACTTAAAAAAAATTTAATTTTTCCAGGTTGCTGATAAAGCAATGAGTCATGCGAAAAAAAGGCTGAAAAACATTAAGTGCGATAAATGCGAGGTTAATTTTTGCGTGATTATTCAATTATCAGTCATGCATGGAACTGAAAGCTGCTTTGCAGGTGTACGATCTGTCGGAACCTTTCCTCGAACAAGACAAGTACCTGGCCTTCGACAGGGACACCTCTCTGTCCTACATCGACAACGGGATCCACTTCACAGAGGAGGCTCTCAAACTGATCGCTCCCTTTTACAAGTCGCTCATCTCACGCGTCGTCCAAAATTTGAATTAACTATTGGAGACTACGTTAGTGGAACACACGGGTTTTATCATTTTGAATTTGAATATTCTAATTACTACGATATCTGATTAAAGAATCATTTTTTTGAACCTCAACTGAACCACGAAAGAAAAGTTTATAGAAGTTCATGTCTGCAATATTCTATTTTAATCAGAATTTTTATAATAATCACTTCATTCTCTATTCAAAAAATGTTTATTGTTAAATATGAGAATAGGTTTTAATTATCACAAATAGCGTCATCAAAGCTCCGAATGCAAACAATCGAGAGAAATTAACCCGTTTCAAACGGTGTCGGAAAGTTGGGTGATGCTGATAGATTCACGATTTGCTCTGTAGTCGAAGGACCGATGGTCCAACTCGTGCTCCTGAACGAAAGGAGTTAGTCATGGAATCAGGAGCCGCGACGCGTAGGCGATGCGTCGCGGTCTCGGCAAGTCGTGCGCAACTGACCGCGCGTCTGGCCACCCATCGTAGAAGTTACCTCGGGTCCGACGTTGCTTCCTTCCGTCGGTCTCGCCAAAAACTTCAGGCCAATCGCCACTCTCACGTTCTCAAACACAACACTTCATTGAGAAGAGTTTTTGAAAAAATTTCGCAAAAAAAAAAGAATTTAAAAATGAACCGAGCATCGTTTCCGCCAGCTTGTCATTTTTCTTTCCTGCCCAAAATATCGTATACCTCTAGATAACATGTGTAATTCTTTTCATATGTAATTCCCCATAACTTTAAAAAGGATCTGATGTGATTTGAAACTTTCTTTTTGGAATGTCCTACTTGGATCAATAACTTTTCGAGCCATTCCCAGTATGACTATCAAACAAAAATTCAGAAAATTGGAGATTAGTAAGTAACATTAAGCCATTTGTTTCGATTCCAAAATAATAAAATTTTTGAGCTGAAGTTGTTTTTCTCATAACCTGAGCAACGTCCGGTTTCTAAATTTTTTTTTTTGATTGCCACTTCATCAGTTTAGAAGTGAATCACATACTCGACTCAGGATAACCATGGCGAAAGAATTGAGAACTGCCATCAGGAAGAAAAAGCTGGGAAACTGAAGAATACTTGTTTTAAAATAAAAAATAAAACACTAAGGAAGACCTGTGTATAGATGAATTTGGAGATGATGTTGTCTGCAAGCAGGTATCCAGTGATAGACAAAACTTCATAGGCGACTTCAATAAATATGAGAATAGAATTGAGGATTTGGAAAACCACCAGACTCTAGATCCTCATCTATTCGTTCATTTTTGAGGGCTTTTCCAACCTTCTCTTGGATTCTTTTGCGAATCTCTGCGCGTGTCTTCTCTCGCAGAGTGTACAGCGTCATGGCGTTGAGCAGAATATTCGCCGCTGTGCACATCATCGTGATGCAGACACTCACTGTCCGGATGTACTGCAAAAGACTCTGATTATTGATTTTTCACTAGTTCAGCACCGATATTCTTTGTGTTCTGCCGCTGTAGAGCTGAAAGCCATCCGGTTGGACGACCCATTTGAAAGGTATGAAATACAGCTCGATATTTATCAACTGAGAAAGAAGGAATCCAATAAGAAGGTATAAGGCGGTTTTTCTTCTCGTGAAAAACTAAAAATAAATGGGATTGGCAAGATGGAGGCGAGTCTGACCATTGGAAAGTAGCCAGGAAAAGCTATGGCTAGGTACTGGTTGGTAGACATCAGAAGACCTCCCCAGAGATGAGTGTACCAGTTAGTTCCCGTCAAGTTCTTCAGAATCGTCAGCAGCCAATCCCATTTTGGACCTGGAATGGTTGACGTCGTTTGGCTTCAACTTTTGTCCAACCAAAGCCGACAGCGAAGTTGGCTGTGTCGTAGACGGTTGCCAAGGCCAATAAGACGTCGAAAACGCCTACAAGAACGAATAAAAGAGGAAATTCTCGACGAGAAACCTGTCCACATGTAAATCATGAAGTAGGTCGATCTGAAGTGTTTCTCGCGAGAGCAGGCGAGCCGAAGGAGGACATAGACGTAGAAAAAGATGCTCAACAGGTAAATTAACATTTTCCCGGTGACGATCTCAATCCAACGGTAGGAATACTCGGCCGATAGTGTTTCAGCCATGTTTCACTTGAGTTGCTTTCTTCTGTAAAATAGATGTTTCTTCTCCGCGTCTGGATATGCCCCGGCGTTGCGGATCGGTTCGGCAAAATTGAAAGTCAGCCGCCCCCTATAATACTGTTTCAGACCCTACTCAAATTCATTTCAATACGCGCATTTTTTTTAAAGCTGCCCTCTCGGTATTTTCACGAGGATATTCGAATGTGACCATGCAGTTCCACAAAATGTGAGCAATTATTAATTTGAGCGACTAGTTGACATCAAATGAGATTAGAGGAGGAATGGAAGGAGATTCCGGTTCAATAGAAGAAGTGGTCCTGGAGTGTTCCTGACGACTTATAAAATAATCGAGAGTCTCACTAATCAACCATCCCGCCCGTTCAATTAGAGCTGCTATAGAAACGTCAGCACAAGTATCGCAGTTTCGAATCGGAGAAAAAGTTCTGTCTGCTGACTAATTAAATGGTTCAATTATTTAATTACGATTTATGAAGTTTTGTCATCCAATGAGTCTTATTGAAATAGCTTTTTTGTGGTGACACGTAACGAGGAGAGCTTTTACTACGATAGTCGATTGAGTTCCGATGGTTTTTCTGGAAAAACTCTTAGTCACTTCTTCGTACAAAACTCAGATTCCATATCTGATTTGCCTTGTCTTTTCGATTTTCCAGAATAAACATTTATCGAACCTTGAGAAACAAAATAATATGTACACCAAATAATACTGAGCAGATATTCATGCAAAAAGATATGAAAATTCTTATTTTCAGTGGAAATTAAGATATCTTCGACACAGAATCAAACAAACAAGGAAGCATTCCGACAAAAGAAAGAGCAGAACGATTTAAAACGAGTTTGGTTCGTGAGACACTGCAGTTTTTAAAATGAACCTAGAACCAAAAAAAAGGAAACGATGAAAGCCGCACATCATGCAAACGGCCCTTTTTAGTCTTTTTCTTTCAGAATGGTTTTTTTAACGCGGTTCGCGTGCCTAAAGGGAATTCCAGATAGTGAAGGTGGCAAATACATGAGATTGGACTGAGGTCATTGGTTCTGAAGATCAGGAAAGTAGAAGTTAATTCGAAACAGAAGGAGCAGTTGGATGATTGGCGTAGGAGGTATTGCCGTTGTGGGTGCTGTTTATGTGGGACAACTTTGTTCCCAAAGCGAGGATCTGGTTTTGAACCTGAAATGAGATTCTTTGAAAAGAGAAATATCAATAAAAACTCGACCTCCTTGTTGGTCAAAACGTAGATCAAAGCGTTGGCGATGCTGTTGATGGAGACGCAGAGAGAGATGAGAACGAACCATTCGACGCGAGATTCCCCAATCAGGATCGGAAACACTCGGAAGGCAACCCAGCTGAACGTGTAGAACACGGAAATCAAGAAGAACTGCACCGCGTAGCTGTAAGGTTCGACTTTGACTTGTAGGTCTTTTCTATTTATCGAGTTGCTCTTTTGCCAAAGTTTATTGAATCAACTACCAGAAATAAATATGGAACTAAGAGTCAAATATCTTATACCTAGTGGGTTACTTTATGAAAATTTACTCCCAATTTCCCGTTATTATTCTTTTCCTCCCCGCCGCTAAAAAGAAAAGAATATTTTTTTAAAGAAGTCGATTTTTTTTTTTGGAGGTTTTTTCAAGTTTGAGACATTTTAAAGATGAATATTATCTCCAGGACTTTTGGACGCTATACTTCTTTCTTATGAAATTTTCATCGGACTCTACTTTTCCATTTTTTTTCCGCTTTAATAAAACTATTCTTTGACCTTTGAAAGTAGAAAACGGAGTTCAGAACTGGTCGAAAGCTAACCTGTACTCTTTGACTCGACGAGAACGACGCTGCTCAGCCGACATATTCAGAACGACCGTTTTCGATGTACTGCGCACCGAGACGAAGATCTGACGTCAGTTTTGTTTCAAATTGACAGAAAATATTATTTTTTCGGAAAGATTTTCAAAACCAACAATGGTGTAGCTGATCACGGCGATCCCCGTGGTGGTGGAGTTGAGCCAGAGGTCGATGAACTGATTCGAGTAGTTGGGGAGACCTTCGATCTGCACGTACGAGTAGGACAGATACCTGTGGTCGAATGAGAACCTGAAAACAAAAATGAGAACTTGGATAAAAGATCATATTTAAAGAGACCTTTTTGAGAAGTCATAAATTAATTTCAATTGTTTTTCCCGATGATACATCTCACAAATTGCTCTATCTTCAACTAGATGAAATTTCTCAACAAATCGGGACAAACTTGCAACAGCTGAATCCGTATTGAGCTAGCCAGGTCGCAAACAACAAGAGTGGAGTTGAGGCCACGAACAAGCAAATCGTGTTTTTGTGCGAGAAGAAGTTGTTGCCTCGGCAGCAGATGACCACAAGTCTGAATTGTTTCTGGTTGCACCACGCCTTTTACAGAAAAATGCCTGTTGATGGCCATCAGGATCTGCGTCAGACAGCCCGTGTACCAAGCGAACATGAACATGGAGGAGATCAGTTCAGCGTACACACTCGTCTGTCCTTCTTCGAACAGCCAGCTCTTCAAAATGGCTAGTTAGTTGAGAACTTCGGTGGAATTTGCAGCTTGGAACTCCTGAAGGAACGGACAAACCTCTGTCAAAATACAGGGCACCAGGTAAAAAAAGGCGAGCGACAAATGGATGATGTCGTTCATGATGTTCACCAGCGAAATGATGTATATAGGGCTTTTCTTCTGGACGAATCCCAGAATGTAGACAGGTCGCAGGACGACGATGTTGAGAACGAGGCCGAGGCCATTCACGACTCCGAAACCTACTCCCAGCCACTGTTTCAGGGTCATCTTCGGTCTGGAATTGCAGCTGAGTAAGTTGAACAAAAAAAAAATTCAATTTAGGCATCTAAGTTTTCCGTTTCTAAATTTTTTCAGGGTTTCGAAATCTCGATAAAAAAAAATTTCGAAAATGAAACTGAAAGTTTCACAAACAGGTGGAATAAAAGCCAAAGTAGGAATACTTCTTGGAACGAACAAGAAGTGCCAAAATCATCAATCTATTGCTTCTCTCAGTGTTTTATTCGATATATACATCCAGCTATTCATAATAACTAAAAAATAAAGTTATCATCTGACGAGGTTCCTATTAACAAAAAGCCAAAAACAAGTGATAATGCTTAATTTCCCATAAGAGCCACAAGGCTAGGCTTGGAAAGAGAAAGAAAAAAAGGTTTATTAAAAAAATTGAATGGTCAAAAACAATTTTCTCATTGCACTTTTCGTCTACTTTAATTATTTTCAACAGACGAATAACAATTGAATTTTTTTATTGAAAGTGTTCCCATGTCTTTAAATTTCACGCACGTACAATTTCTTTCAAAAATAGGAGCAAAATTAATCAGAACTCCCACGTTTTTTTCTCGGGTAACAGGGCTTTCAAAATTGAAAATTTCAGAAAACAATGGAAATTTTTTTTGAAATAGTTCTCATGAAATTCTTGGAAAACATCCACGACGGGATGATTTCAAATTAATGTCTGTTAATTAAATCGTTAGTCTTAACGTCGAATTCTAAAAATAAAGGGGAAAACTTCGCAGCGCGGAGCTGTTCAAAGCCCAGAGGATGAAAACGACTTCTTCTTCTTTTTTCAGAAGTTGAAAAAGCGAAAAAATTAGACGCACTTTTAATGCAAATGGACGGCGAAAACTAGAAAAAGAGCGTTTTTAAAGCCCTAAATTAAGCCGTTACTAAAAGCCTTTGCTAAGAGCATGTAATTTCCCAAAAAAAGGCTTTAGAAATAAAAGATTAGAGTCCATTTGGAATCACTTTATGCTTAACTTCCTGGATAGATTTGAGATTAAGTACGGTGTAAGCATTTGTTTGACAAAAGATGTGATCAGTGGACCGACGAGACAAAGACCGGGCTAGGGATTAAAGAACCTTAGATTTGAATAGAACTATTTCAAAACCGTCTTTGTCGAGATGACGTAGTTCCTCGAAGAAATAGACACGTGCCTCCGATTCCCACTGACCGAACATTGCCATTTTGGAGCACTGGAACGTTTTCGCAGGCTTTTTTTCTCGATAAAAAATATTCGCAGATCAAAAAATGAACAGCTATAAGTTGTTTTCCCAAGGAAAATTCAGGATATTACGTATTTTGGCTTTTGAAGTTCAGACTTTCGCTGTTGGTGTGATAATGTCCAACTGAAAGACATATTTGAAGGAACCTTATACATAAAAAAAACACCTAGAAAAAATTTTAATTGACTGGGTGCTCTTTGTAAGAGTCTCGATTGTCTGCGCTCTTTTCTCTCTCTCCTGAAAGTAGTCCTAGAGAGCCACGCAGTGAGATCAAGAGGACGCAGGATAGTCGGACTGTTAGAAGCCGTTGCGAATGAACTTGGCATATCAGCCATCGGAATGGTTCTGCCGGCCCCGGAGCGATTTCCGAGATTCACCTTGTTTTGGCGTTCTCTTTGCGGTCAGCTTCGATCAGTTTTGGCTAACCGGATTTTAGAGCTTCGGATTAAAAAACTTTGTAATGATGTTATTGAAAAGAGATTCCTTCTAAATTCGAAGGCTTCGAATAGTGAGAAAATTTTCTTTTAAACTTAATAAATATGGGATACTTTTTTAAATTCGGTGAAAAATGCGAAATTCCTTGTTGAAAATCTCGTCACAAGTTCTAGCGGTTTCGGCAGATCAAATTTTTTTGAAAAACATATCTTATTTCTCGGTATTTCAACCATGTTTTTCTCGCCAACCATCATCGAAAATTAATTGTTGGTTTCCAAGAATCTTGCACAAATTAACATCTTATTAGTGTTATAATTGAAAAATAAACCTCTCGAAAACCAAAACTTTTGATCCGACCAAGGATTATTTTTATTTTTATTCTTCCATTCAGCGTGGGTAGCTGGGTGAACGGTTTTCTCTTGCGCTTGAGTTGAGCCGATTTGGAAGTTTTTTCTTCTATTCATTTCTCGTTCTCCTCGTTATTTTCACTGGTTCCCTTTCAGCCTTCTTGCCGAGAAGATCTCAGTTTCTTTTTTTTTCAAATTATTCAATAATGTCAAGTTATAATATATTTATAATGTTTATATAGCCTTTTAACAAAAAAAATCAAGGCAGTTCGAAACCGAGTTTGTTGAATGATCTTGGAACTTCCAAGACTTGGAAGTCCCCAGCGGAGGTCGTCTCGTTGGTTCTGAAATGTGTCTTTTTGACATTAAACCATACCCTTTTCAACAGGTTTCCTTCTAAACCGAGAGAAACGAAATGAGTCTTGAGCACCCCAGAAAGATCGGGAGAAAACTGATGAAAGTCTGGTTTTTTCAAAAATTATTTAACGTACAACCTAGCAAAAAGTTGAAAAATAGTGAAATGAACGTTGTCACCGAAATCAGTGTCCGGTTTTTGAGTTTGCTTCGATCAGACTATATATTTGGGATATATGAGTTTCTTATAGATCTTCTATTCTTGAATGAAGTTTTTCACCAATAAAATTCTATGAGTTGGCTAATTTGTATTCCTCTTTACTCTAAGGAAAATTAACTTTTCGCACAGTTTTTGTTCAAAAACCAGCTCTGAAACGGCCATAATTACTTTTAGAAAATTTCCGACCACACTGTGTGGGTTTTCACGTGCATCCCCTGTCTCGAAAAGACCTGGCCGTCGATTTTCTCGGTCTTTGTGACAAATTTGCAAAGCGCAAAAATAAAGGAGCTGTGTTTCAGGGACAGAAAGCAGCTAACTTCGAGTGAATGGGACAGTCGGCAAACACGACTTGTATGAATGGTTTTGAGAAGATGTGAAAATGAAAAGAAAAATTGTGGGAGTGTAAATATTTTGCGCGACGTCGGGGGACGTCATCAAAATAACCCTGTCATCTGTCCTTTTCAAAGACATTTTCCAGTATTCAACTCTACTCGAATTTAGTGTCAGCTGTTGAAGAGCAGAGAGCAAAAACATCGACGTTTCGTCTAATTGCAGCTTGGAATATCTTTCGAGTCTAATTTCCGTCGATTTCTTTCCTACCCCTTTAATTATCTCAGAAATCTGAGGCATATCACCTAAACTTGTTGGAAATAGGCTCAATGATAGAGGAGGAACCAAGCGAGAACCAACGACGAAACGGAAACTCGTCATTTATCCCCTCGAAGTCGCCTAACCAGTTCCCTATCGCTATGGTCAGAAATTCAAGGGAATTTTCGAAAGTTTAATTTTCTAGATTCATTTTTCCATTTATTTTTTCTTCCATGAATCATCACATGATCCAACTAGATAGATCAGCAATTATGTTTTATTTCCAACAAAATACCTGAAGAAAACATTTTTAAAAGTTGGTGGGCGGCACCGTGTCTCAATGATTGGGAACCGCCTTTCGGGTCTTCCGAATTTCAACGTTCGAGGTTTTTTTTTTTCTGTCAGACTCCAGAGGTAAGAATTGTTCCCATTATTCAAAAACTGAAGTTCAAAAACAAAATTCGAACCTTTAAGCTTTTCGCGCATTTGGTAATTAAAAGAAGTTTCACGACCGCGGTTGTTTGATCAAGTTTGAAAGTGCATCTCCTTAATAGTTTCGTGTTTTCCGAATTGTTTTAATTAGAAAATTCGAATTTTTGTCGAGAGCGACCCTTGTCCCCGTTGATCGTCTGAACGTACTGAGACACGACTTTTTCCTGAACCTGTCCTTGATTCCATTCATATCTCTGTTATCGTTCTCTTCCAGATCTTTCGTCTCTTATCCCACCGCGTTTGTTGTTCTTTGGAAACCGAATTCCTTCCTTTACTTCCAATATTTTTATATTCTTGGAAACAATGCTATTTTGGAGAGCAATCCAGAATTCGGATCTATGGAAATTTATTAATCAATAGATGATTTTCTTGAGAACTTCAACCAGCGTTTCTTTCCCACGATATTTAATCAATAGGATGTTCCTCTCCTGTCATTTTTCTCATTTTCTCAATTCTCTTCTCCACTGATTCTCAGTCAAAATACTTATAATGTAAGTTTTTTTCTTAGAAAAAAAGCTTTTTTTAATGCGCTGATTTATTTCTGTTTTCGGTATAGCTTTCAAACATTCAAGTCAGAGTTTCACATCTTTACAGGACGCTCAAAATGTCGGTGAAAATTCAAGCCGAGCCGAGTTGTCCGGAAAAAATGCAGACGTTTGACTTTCTGGATGAGCTACCGGCCACAGAAAAGATGCAAGGTGAAACTAGGAGTCGGACGAGACTGACTGAGGTTCAGACAGTCCTCTGGAGATCCTCGACGCGGAGGAGAAGACCGACTGGAAGCTCATCTCGGTGGCGGGCGTCGTCGCCTTCCTCACCGTCATCGAGAACACCGTCGTCGGCATGAGCGAGTGGCCCTACATGAAACAGGTTCGAGCTTTAATAATCTAGTGAGAAGCTCGGAAAGGGGATATAACGTCGGCTAACATTGAGAAAAGCCTAGCCTCATTGGAAGCCATCCCAAGTATCTGCAATTGTCTCCTTAGTTTCATGATGAAAGTCCGCGTTTCATGATAAAATGTTAATGAGTAGAGAAGACGTAATGACGAGGTGCAGAGTCATCGCAGGAACTAATTAAAATGCGTCACAAGTTTCTCAGCAACTCATCAGAAATGGTTTGGATGTTAACGCTCCACTACACATATCATATGTGACATATGATGACCAAAGACACAAATAATCGTGATTCAGGAATTTTACAACTCGAATTTTTTTCAAGGAGAAACCTTTGTTGATGGTCCAACATTAAACTAATTTCCGCTCATCGAATCTTTTCTTGGAACACCTTTTAACTAGAAAAACTGTGAGTCATGCAGATCAAAGAATGCCTACGTTGGATCTCTCGTCCTTTACCTGTTTTTTTTTCTTTGCACTTTCACTCGTAGCGATATATATCGACGAATGGAAACGTTATGGGAAAAACAAAAATAATTGTTTTCGGGAGCTGTTTTGGACTTGCGGAGATCATACGTCCCATCCAGAACACGACTATTTATTGGCCCATGTAACCTCGAATCGAATGGGAATCACTGATCTTTTTTGAAAGTTTAACCACTTATTTTGAGAGAAAAATAGCGATTTTTTTCGAAGATGAAAAAAAAAAGAAAGAAACCAGAAGTCGATAATTTTCCAGCGTGGATGATGTCATTCTACTGACTTTGATCAATGGAAACAATTTTGCCGCAAATATTGTTTTGTTCATTTCGATTTCAGATGAGGCTGGTAAATGTTTGAAAAAAACGAAAGAAATTTTCGAAAATGCGAAAAGTATAAGCTACCCTTTCCTCTGCCGCTAGCCGCGGATCAAGAAAAAAAAATTTATATCTTAATTTCATAACAGCTGATTTGAGTTTTTAAATAACGAAATCAAAGTAGCTTCTGGCAGCCATTCTGACTTCGAAACAGATAACTATATTTTTTTCTTTGCTTCTCAAAAAAAATCTTCTTAGCCGTGTCAATAATAATATTAATCATAATAATAATTAGAGTTTGTTGACTGAAAATCAAAAAAGTTGAATTAGATTCAAAAAGAAAGGTGAAAACAAGAGATTGGAAGAAGGACAAGGATACACGGGACCATTCCTAATCTGCTGTCCGAAGTCGCAGTGGGTCTCTCCGTAAAAAGAGCCAAGAAACATACTTGCTTCGATCGAGACCATGATTAGAAAATAATCAAAAACATTTTTGTAACTATCCCATTTCTTCAAAATCGTGACAATACGGTCACGGTTTTTTTTTTCGAACTCATTTTTCACTCAAATCGAAACGACAACTTTTATATTTCAGATAGACAAAGAAGCGACGGCGCAGTTTTTCGGAGCCGCGACGTCGGCTTCGAAGGCCGGACACGCCATTTTCACTCTTGTCTTTGCTGCTTGGAGCTTCCATTACAAAACTGTCAAGTCTGTTCCCTTACCGCAGAAATCTTGAGCCATGAGTGGAAGATTGAGAAACTTTTCGAAATAGAATTCAAATTAATAATAAAGAATAAAAGCAGAATAAAAGCAAAGTCATAATAAAAGCAAATAACTTCAGAAAAATCTCTTACTTCAATAAGTCTTCAGATTTTTTTCAAGTTTCAGAAAAGATTTCTCATATCTGTTTTTTATTAGTCATGAGTGGAGAAAAACGCGTTTATTTCTCATGTTTCTATGATCTTGGAGGCAAAGAAAAGAGGGCGCAGACGAGCGAGACTGTTTCAAGTCCTGGGGAATGAAATACAACTCAACTAACTTTCACATTTACTCCAATTTTCTTCTCAAAATTATCGTTCTGCAGAGCTCCACTAATCGCAGGACGAGTTGTGGCGACCATTGCGTGTATCCTTTACCTTGGCGTCGAGATTCTTCCCTCAGGCCACAGATACCTCATGATGTTCTGCTACATCTTGTTCGGAATCGCCAGCAGTTATTATTCATCGTTTCTCACGAAATTCAGTCCTCTCGCTTCAGGTGCCTCGACCATTCTCCGGGCCTACGTCGTCGCTATTTCCTCTTCCAAAGATCGTCCTCGAGCTTTTACTTGCATCTCCGCCGCAACCATATTTTCGATCATCATCGGACCTTGTGAGTCGCAGATTTTTGTTTTGAAAAGGGAAGCTGAGTTTTTGAACGACCTGTTCGCTTATTATTATTCCATCAAATCAAGAAAAGAAAGAAGCTCAGAGAAATTCGCATTCGATCCGCCTCCCTACGAACAAAAGAAAGTTTTCAGTGGTGCAGCTGGCTTTCACTAGGATTCCGTACCCAGGCTACACCCTGCTGCCTCGGGTCCATCTCCACGTCTACTCTGCTCCCATCTGGATCGCCTCTCTCACCAACTTCGTCGCCATCGCAGTCATTCTCTGCTACATTCGAGACGCTCGCAAAAGGAAGCCCGCTGCCGGTGCCCCAAGCCTTAAAAACTAAAAATGATTCAAATTCAGAACGCAAGAAGATCAATTTGGAAACTCTGAAGCTGAAGTTCAGAAAGTTGAGAAAGAGCAACATCAACTGGAAATTAGTTATTTTGTGTTGGACCATGAAAACCGCTACCACGTTCTCCCATCTCACATTTGCAACGTTTGTTTTGGATTTTGAGCTTTTTCAAAGCGAAATATTCTCTCAGAATTCTCTCAATATTTTTGATGGCGGCGTACGGCTGGACTGGAGCCTTCACCGTCCGGATCATCTCCATGTTGATGGGCGGCGTGGGTCTCATGTCCATAACAGTTCTTTTTTCCTACATGGTCTGCCGGATGGGCGAAATGTACGTCACAAAGCTTTTCCTCAACGTTCCTTGCTTCAGAATCCAACAAAGATTCGCCTTCTTTGCGGCTATGGCCATGTCGGCACTCCTCTACGTCATCACGTACCCCTACCCCTTCACCAGTAATTCCATCGCCAAATACGACAGTTCGTTTTCCAGAAGAATCTTCAGTGGTTAATCATTTCCAGATGTGACTGACACTGGCTGCGATCCCTCGAGGTACACTTGGTGTGAGACTTCGAGCGCAGTCAATCCTATACTTCTACTCGCATCGCTGGTCGTCGTCAAGGGAATCGCTATTCCGACGTCCCATGTCTCGCTCGACACCATCTACTCCAGAATCCTTGGCGGCATCGATCAGGTATTACCACAGCCCAAAAAAACATGAGCTTCTGCGTTGCAGAGTGTGATGCAAGGAACTATTTTAGTCGTGGAAGACATCGTCGCTGTCATGACGCCCATTTACGCCTCGTAAGATTTTCTATTCACAATAAAATCGAAAAAAAAAGAAACTGATTTTCATTTTAATTTCTCTTTTCAGATCAGTCTTCGCCCATTTTGGAATCGAGTCGCTGTGGATAACTAACGGCGTCTTATTCTGTTTGGCGACATTCTTATGGGCCTGTTTCCTCGGAGAACTTCGGCCTTTCCATTAATCTATTTTTTTTCTTACTTGTTGTGTTGATATTGGGCAGGCCAACTTGATGTGCAGCTAATCTAGAGCCACGGGTTCCGACGTGCTTGTTAGGCAGTAGCTAGTCAACTTCGTGACGTCACTGTAATTAACAAACTGATCTTATCCAAAGCTTTTCGTATTGCCATCCACGGTTATCATGTTTGTCATAATAAACTTTTTCAAACATCGCTATGAAAGCTTATACAGAAAACACAGAGAAAATACTTACTTTCTGATAAAACATTGGAAAATTAATTTTTGTTCTCTCTTTATACCGGTATATACCGTATCTAGTGAATAAACCTATTATTATCATTAAATGTTGCTAGAGTCACGTTCTTTTAAATTCTCTCAAAATTTCGATGAGAGCGCTACAGATTGCATGAATTTGATTTTGCAAGTGACATGTTAAGAGAAAAAACACAAGAAAGGATAAACATGAATGCGATTTCCTGGCTCCGGAACACAGTGCGCAAGATTTACTGGTCTAAGGCCGCTTTACCATTAGCCTGTCTTGAAAATACGTGTATATAAAATTTAATCAAACAATTCTGATCAAAAAACGTTTGTGTGCTTTGATTAAAAATCTTGGAAAATCGCGCTTTCGTTAACGTGTTTGCAGATTTTGAAAACTGCATTTTTTTCAGAGCGTGTGCACACACTATTTTTTTCTGTAAAATTTCTTCGTAAAAAAATTTTTACTTTAAAAAAACTTTTCTAATTGTTTTTCTTGGTGACGAATTTTTTTCAAGTTTTCCTCTCAATATCAGCTTCATCTCGCAGAAAAAAGCGCATATGTGTATTAGTTTTTTCAACTTTCCTTTTTTTTCTTTTTCGCTTCGAGAAGGCAATTTTGCTAGCACTGCATTATTATTTTTCTTTTGATGTTTTAAATTTACAGATTGCCAAATGCTCTTATCTTTTTAAACATGGACAGTAGCGGATTAACATATAATTCGCTCAGCGAGTTACAAGCTTTGAGCGAAATTCCGCGAGAATTGCTCAATTCATTTGATAAGAAAAATTGCGAAGAGTAAGAGTTCAAAGATAGTAGATAATATAAAAGAAAACTTTCAGAACTTATAAATCTTTCAAAAAGCTGGTGGAAGAAGCAAGAGCGGCACGTGGTGATTTTGAAAGACAGTACATTTTTTATATGCGAGGCGGCGAGCTAGCCAAACTGATAAAAGAAAAAAACGGATACAAAACTTTCATTGTGAGTTGATTCGAATTTAAAATTTTTGCATCTTATAAGTTTTTCAGAACCAGCCAAAAAATAAGTTTGTCGGGCAAGAGTTTTACAATTATTTCATGGAATGTGTCGATAAAGGAGGAGAGCTTCAAACATTGTTAGCAAAAGTGAGTTTTTTTTTTTTTTGGTATTTCAACTCTATTTTACAGAAGTATGATAATCGAATATTACGATTGGATAAAAATGAGCGAGCTTCTTTGGATTCTTCATCGGACTGCAAGGAAAACGAAGGTTCTAAGATTTCGGTTTCAAAGCAAATATATTTATTCTCAGGGCCTCATGTTCTGCCAAAGTTCACAATATCTCCAAAAGAATTAGTGAGAATGGTCGAAAGCGAGAGGCCAAAGAAGAGCGCCATGATTTTCGATTACCGGTAAAAGCAAGGAAAAATAAACTTAATTGAGCGAGTTTCAGGAAGGATAAAAGTGAAATTATCCGTTACCCCAACGATCATCTCATCACTGTAATTCGGATCCCAAACGAATTGATCGAGCCCAAGTTTGTTTTTCTTATTACTTTGGTGAGAAAAAGTACACATAATCTGTGTTTTTTTTTTCCGATTTAGACTATCTATTTTCGCGAACTTTTAAAGCAAAAAGACATGTTAGCTGAGCCACGATCCGTAACATGTTCTTAACAAGAAAATAAGCCTAATTTCTTTCCTTCTGACTTTTTTCAATAATCTCAGACATCCTGTTTAATATAATCCTAGCCGTCTTCGCTTGGTTCCGACTTTTTTCTATTTCAAGGCTGATTTACACGCACCTGAAGCAAAAGCTGGACGTTGGACAAAGGACGTTGTTGGGTCGATTGAACTCTTTCGACCACGTCGTTCTGATGGAGGAAGACGAGCCGGCCATCAAGAACGGAGACGCCGTCGCTGGGAGCAAAGCCAACATTCTCTTCAAGGCTCTTTACGAGGTCCCTTCATGGAAGTTTACTTGTTATCCCGTTCGGTTTGCAGTACAGCGGAAAAGACAACGGACCGAAAAAGCGGCCGATGTTCATGGAGGGAGGCTATGCCATGTGGCGGCTCCAATATCCCACCTACACCTTCAACTTGGTAACTTTCTCTCTTCCTCCTTTTTTTTCAATTTTAAAATATTTATTCGTTTGAAAAGCTGTTTGTTTATAGCGTAGGGCTGAACATGTAACTGACTTTTTCGTGTTTATGTGTAACCGAAAAAAAAAAATTCATTGAAATCTTGCTTTATTTTTGGTTATTCCGTCCTTTATTCCGTCCTTTATTATTTCTGAAATTTTATTCGCAATGCTGACATGATTTGACTGAATTCGAAGTAGAGGTCGAATTTCAAAAGCTTAGTGTTTTTTTTTAGTTTGGACCTGAGTTCAACTGAACCTAAATTTGAAAAAAATGAGAAAATAGCTACAAAAGGGATCACTGAACCAGTTTTTTAAGGCGCCTTCGACACTCTCGGCTAGGCCAATAGACGATTTGGATGACGCCGTCCAAAAGTACAAAAGAGGTGTTTCTCAATCGAGATACGGAATTCAATATAAGTTCAGACGAATCTCTAAACACGATTGTGTATCCCGACCTTTTCAACCTGCAAATAAAGGAAAAGAGCAACGTGCTCACGGAGAAGAAGGCTGTCAATCAGGGAAACGACAATCGTCAGTTTCTATCTTTTCCTTCACTATCAATTCATGTATTTGATCTTTTCAGAGACTCGTACAGAAACGACTTTCTATGCCGATGGCGTTGGGCAGGTTGTTTTTCCGGCCCGAGGTTCTTTTTTGTCGTTTTCTTCATCTTCTTGTCTTTTTCCAGGACCGTCCCTTCCTAATTCAAATAACGTCAAGATCGACGGTCAATCCCCAGCTGGTAAGTGTCTTTTGCCCATTAATTCCAGCAATAGCTAAAGGAATTTATTTGATTTTCTAGTGATAACAACTTTTCCTCGATCTCTCACCTTTCCAACGCATTTTGTAGTCAATTGTTATGGAAAACTCCATTTGTGAATCTTTTTGCAGTAGTTTTTGAGAAGTTTCATTCAAACCAAAAGATTACACTCAGATGTATTTCCAGTCTGTATTTTTCAGTAATTCCTCCTCGTCCAACGGCGGCTGAATTGAACGCCGTCCCGCATTTGCCTCACAGGAACGGCCAACTGAACTCCGAAGATTCGATTTTGAAGCAAAAGGCTGTTTCCACTGAATCCAGTAGGCACTTCCAAGTTTTTTCTTATCGAAAATGATAAATTTTTTGGAATAGGGAAGAATGAAAATATTTTTCACCCTGTATCAGAAGTTTCTTTTTTAATTATTCTTTCCTTGCAAAGATCAATGTTTTCAGTTATAAATGACGTTGGTCCAGTCGCTCCCCCTTCTGTCGACCGCGCGAACAAACCTCCGCTGACCGTCCAAGTACCGGGAAAAAGCTGTCTTCCTTTGCATTAGAGCGCATTTCAGAGTCAGAACCCGCCGGGGTCGTTCGGAATCCCCCTGCAGCCAGGCCTCGGCAAGCTTCCCAAGCTGAACGGCGGCGAAAAAACCAACGGTTTCTCCCAGACTCCGCCCACTTTACCCAATATGCCGCCAGTTCAACAATCTGTGCCCTTCAAACCGTTCGTTTTTTTTTCAATTGAAAGAAGACTATAATTTTACAAAAGTCCTGTATTTCAATAGCCGTGAAAACAGCTATGATTTTAATTTTTCCATTGCTGTAAAAGAAAAGAAAGTCAGAGAAAAGCTTAGTCGAAATTTTGAATTTTTTTCTCCCTTTTTTTTAGCTCGAAAAAAAGGTGAATTTGTTTGTGAAAATGATTTTCCATATTTTTTTTTCACAAATTTCAAGGATTTTAGGAATATTTCTCATAGTCGCTGTCTACGAAAGTTTTACACTTCGCGAGGTTTTTGTATGACTATCTCTAATTGAAATTGCTGATAAAAAAAACATCCTCAGAAAAATTTTCTCAAGTTTTCATCGTTTTGTGTTTTGCAGAACTCCCCAACCGCCTCAACTAGATCGAGGCACCAAGCCCCCATTGGTCACGTGAGTTTCCTTCTTTGAACTGAAATAATGGTCATCTTAAATGAAGTTTGCGTAGGGCGCGTTCATCTCTGAAAAAAAGGCTTTTTATTTTGAAGCTTTCAGGCAAATGCAACATTTTTATCGTATTGCTCTTTTTTTGGCTATCGGACATCATGAAAAAAGAAAAAGAAAGCTAGGATTGAAAAAAAAGACGTGTGAAGAACCGAAATCGGCATTACTAACTCATTGTCAGTCAACTTGACGCGTCTGCGCTCCAACTTACTTAACTGTATCTGCTGCTGCCGATGGCGGCCTGAATGAGACAGAAGTTGATGAACATGCTGCGCGGCCACTCGTCGTCGGAAAACGAGAGCGACGACGAGTTGGACGAGCGGGTCGCCGAGCACAAGCGTCGCTGGCCGCGCCTCAGAAGTGTCGGTTGCAGGCCCGAGCGCGAGGCCTCGCTCCTCAAGATCTACGAACAGATGCGTCTCGCCCTGGCTCAGTCTCCGTCCCGACATGGGCATCCGGTTCGTTTTCGGAAAAACCTTTTTTCCTTCTATTCGCAGAGTTTTTGGGTCAAAGAAGCTTCTATTTTTGATATCAATTTCGAACCAATCATACCCACTTTTGTATCATTCTATGAGATAATTTTGGAACGTGCAGTGTGACTTTACTAGAACGGAAAAGAAAATGATTTTTGGTTTGTTCTCTGCGATCTTTTCTCATTCTCTATTTGAGAATACGTTTTCATCTTCTTAATAGTTCACCGTCCTCATGAAAACCATTCCCTGTTCAGTTTTTTTTGTTCAGATGCCTGGTCACACGGGTCTCTACAACATGGGCAACACCTGCTTCATGTCGGCGACTCTCCAGGTTGTTTTCTATCCTTTTACTTTTCAAAAAACCTTTTATTTTTTTTTTATGAAAACAAACTTTTTCAGTGCCTCTTTCATACACCACAACTGTGCGACGTCTTCACTCGGGAGAACTTTTTGTCTAAAATTAATCCGTATGTTCCTTTTTTTAATTTAAAGATCATCATAGGAACTTTGCAGACAGAACAAATTAGGAACGCAAGGCGTGATTTCGGCTGTTTTTGCTGCTTTGGCGGATATCATCTGGAGCGGTCAGTACTCGGCGATCCGGCCTCAACGGTTTTTGGTGGGATTTGATGTTTCGAGTTTGGGACAAAAAGCGAAAAACAAGTCTCGATTATTAATAGTGATTCTTTTTGATTCAAAAAAAAAACGTGTGAAAATGCGACGAAAACAAATTTTTGCAACAACCATGTTTCTCTGAAAGTTTTTTTGGCTGGATTGCTTGCGTTATTTTTCTTGTCATATTCTCAATGATCAAAAACTATACGGGTTCCATAATTCAATCGAAAATTTAAATTCTTCGATAAGTTTTATTATGACAGTATTTTATCGAATATTCCGAGTTCCAACACATTTTTTTTGGTTTACTCGGGGTGGATACTTAGTGATTTTCGCTTTGACTTCATCTGATGCCTGAAAAGTTACTATTTCGATTTTTGGCCCTTTCAGCAACTTTTCGCGAGTCAAGTGAATTCCTCGCTTGCCGACGGCGAGCAACACGACGCCAGCGAGTTCCAGTTGTTCCTGCTCGACGCCCTCCACGAAGACACCAACCAGGTCTGTCGTCCTCCCGCCTCCCCGGACGCGCCCCACTTGCAGGTCATCAACCGCGTCTCCTTCGAGCAGAACTATCGCGGCGGCGACCGGATAGCCAAGGACGCCGAGGATTATGCGCAGAAGAGCCGGAAGTTCGCCTACTCGCCCGTCAACAAAATCCTCAATGTATGATATCATCAGTGTTCGAAGCAGAGGACGAGATCGTCGATGAGGCAGTTTTAGCATGAATATGGCTCTGTGGATCGATTGCGAAGAGAGATTTATTTTTCCGAAGCTTTTTATTTATTTTGAAAGCTCGCAAGCTGTGTGAATGCCTTGGAAACAAGAGATTCAGATCCAAACGGTGTCCGAGCTGACGTGCGCCTCGTGTGCGGAGTCTTCGGCGACCTTCGAAGAGAGTACTCTGCTCTCGGTGGAACTGCCGTCGGATGACCGACCCTGCTCCCTCACAGAGTCTCTCCGGTCGCATTTCTCCGAAACGGTTGCGTATATGCACATATTAACATGAATTCTGTTCTAAAAACTTTTTGTTTATACATTTCAACGTGAACTCATGCTTCAATTTAAGGATAGGCAAAAAGATTTTTCAACTTTTTTTAAACGAATTATTATCAAAATGATTCCGTAGTCTGCAAAAATATCTATTTTTTTATAAGGACATTAGAATGAAAGGGCTTTGTGGAATATTTGAGGCTTCCTTTTTAAAAATCTAGTAGTTATTTCAATTCAAATTTTCATTCAGTATGTCAAGAGGTTTTTGGCTATTTACCTTAAAATTCGAAAGTTCTTGTATAGTTGAACGGCTTGTTTATTTTTTAACAACTCGGTTTTGAGAGGCACATTATCTCAAGTCATTTATTTTCAGAGACTCGACGGCGACTGCCGATGGAATTGTCCAAGGTGTAAAAAGGCACGACCCGCGGTTCGGAAAACGAGACTCTGGACCCTGCCACCAGTACTGGTCAGTGCATATTTGGATATGGGAGAGACCTTTCGACGATTTGAGGTGATACATCTGAAGAGGTTCTCCCTGGTGCACGGCGAGTACGTGAAGAACACGGCGGCCGTCGCTTTCGACACGAAACTCGACGCGAATTCCTTTCTGCACGCTGCCGCGCCGCACGAAAAGCTCGCCTCCTACAAGCTCTACGCGATTACGGTAAGCACTTTTTGTTTCTCATTCGAACACGGTTTGATCTATTTCAAAATGAAGCTGTGTATAAAGTTTGACCAGCAAACTTTTTTTTAGCCCCATGCTGATTTTTTTAATGGAACTTGACTGAAATGTACCTTAGGACCGTCTAATTTCAGAACAATTAAACTTTTTGCGCAACCTACACGAGAAATGAAAAAAAAATGAAAGTTTTGGAGCTTCATAACACCAAAAAATGATCTACGGCGAAAATATTTTTCTTGTTCTCAAACCAGGAAATCCGAAAGTAAATTTTTGCCAAGTTATGTCAAAAGTTCAACGTGGGGCAAAGTTCCTTTATAAGGCTTGTGTGAAATTCCGAGCACCAGTTCTTTTTCTTTTTATTACCTTTTCCTTGATCAAAGCTTCTGCGGAGAAGTTTCATTATTAACGCGTTTTCCAGAACCACGTTGGTCGCTTGAACTCGGGTCATTACACGGCTTTGGCGTCGCATTTGAGGAGCGGAAAATGGCTGCGATTCGACGACGAATCCGTTTCTTCGGCCGAGGTCTCCTCGGTCGACGTGAGTTTTTTTTCCCATGTTCAGCGGCTTACCAAAAAGAAAGAAACGAAAAAGATATTTTTGAATAGAAGTAGCTCTTGGAATTTCTTTGAATATCTTCCTGTTACCAAACTCCACGTAGTTATTTATGATATCATTTTGAAATAAAAACTCATGAATTTTTATTGGTACTTCGGTGAGTTGATTTCTGTCTAATATTGACAAGTGCAAAGTTTGTAGCTGAATATTTCAAAAATCTCTTCCAATGGGATTTTTTTATGGCACAGAATTTCATGAAAGCAACAGAAAAATATAGGATTAGAAAAGAAGCCAAAAACTAATAAAAGTTTTGTCCATAGCGAAAATTTGCCGAAAGATGGACAATTGGCGAGTTCAAAAAATTTTTTTAACGAATTTTTTTCAAAAGGATTTTTTGAATCACTCAAGGTAATAATAAATTCGTTCTGGTTTGGACAACTGAATTTTCTCTTATTTCTTCTTACTTAATCTATTTTCATGAAAAAAATTCTCAGTTAGGATGCTAAAAATCGAAAACTTGTGAGCTAATCACATAATAGCCATAATTGCTTCAAAACAGTTTCATTCCGTTATTTTTCTACCTCATTTTTTTGTTGATGAACCGCCCGTGTCTCATAAATTACTTGCGCGGTGTCTGCATGTCACTCCAAAAAAGGATTTTTTGGGAAGACGTCCGCGACCCCGATAATGTTTCATGTCCGCAGGGTTTTTGATCCCGAAAGTGCGAACGGATCCATCATTTTCGCGGCTTTTCTCACCCTTTTTGTCAGCCGTCGGACACCTCTTTTTTTTGGCCGCGTGCGCAAATTTCGGCGATTGTCTGCGTCGAGGCTTGCGACTTCCCGTGTTGAAATTCAAGTTGATATGTTGCGTTTCCTTCAGGTCAAATGTCATTATTTGAAATTATTGCCTATGCAGCTTCTCTGCTGGTTTCTCAGTTAAGCTGATTGATCCACTTTTCATCCAATTACGATCCAACGGTCGAAATGTTCTTTTGAAGTATCCTTTCTTACTCAAAATAGAATGAATTTTCTCATCAATGACAGCTTTCTTTTCAGCACAAATCTGCCTACATACTGTTCTTCAAGCGACAATGAGGTCGAGGCTACCTTCATTTCTTCCCCTTTCTGATTTATTGTGATACAAAAAATTGACAATTGCCAAAGGATCATATGATAAACGATGGACTTTAGCATTTCGAACTTATTTTGTTTTATCAGCGCGATTTCATGTTTCATTCTTCAGTTTCCTTCTTGCTCAACCACGGTATTGTTTTTGTGATAGCATGTTTTAGTGATTCTCTTCAAATTAGATTAATTGTTTGTAAATATTTATTGCCAAGAACCAATTTATATATCCTGTCATTTTCAATGAACCCCGGCCCAGTGTTGTTTGATAGTATTCATTCGCATAATGTTCATAAATTTTATTATTCACTTTATTTATACTTGGAGGTGAAAAATGGCACGAATATTGTTAGAGTCAATTAGAAGAGACCTAAACCGGTTTTTCCTGATACGTGTAGAGAGAATGATGATACTGATGTCTTTTTCAGATTTACTAGACGATTGATGAGAAGAGGTCAAATATAGTCGAAAAAAAACAGAAGTCCTTTTGTTTTTCCTGCTTTCTTACGACAAGTTGTTTGAAGGTGATTGTCACGACTGGTTTTCTCCCAGGATGTGGCTAATCCTCGACCCAAAACGGCCTGGCTACAAGTAAAATACTCGTTTAATGCCTAAGTACAGTTTTAGTAGGACCTCAACTGTTTTACACCGTCTAGAGAGTGAAAAAATATCCAGAGGATTAATCGAAGAAAAAAAAACGACCGGAAGTGGTTTCGTTGCAGATAATCGTCTCTCAATCAATCGGTTCATCAAATTGCTGAAAAGAAAGGTTGTTTGGCTTTGTACCTTGAATTCAAAAGGAACTTCTACTCAGTCTTAAAAAAGTTTTCTCTGCCAATCCATGAGAAACGATTTTTTTTTGATTCCCAGAGTTTGCTTCTGCATTTGTTAGAGGCTAAAAGCAAGCCGACAAAAGCGAAAAAACTATAGAAAGTTAAGAGAAAAAAGATTATTTTACTTTAGACGATGTTTATTTTTTTTTATAATTTTCACGAATACTCTCTTAATGGGTCAGATGAAATTTCAGTCGCTTTCTGCGTGATTTTCTAGTTCTTGAAACCGGAGGCGTCAAACTTTTTTGCACATATCTTCGGAAAGCGTCTTTTGAAAATTCGATTTTGTAAGGTTAGGAAATTCTGAAACTAGAAAACGTACGTGAAAAGTGTTATAGCGAATAATCACAGAAATGCCAAATTACTGAAAAAAATTGTTTTTTTTTCTTCTTCAAACTTTGCTGTCTTTGAAAAGTTTGATGTTGTCCAAGTCGTGAGCACGAAGCTTTTCTGTAGGATTCGTGTTGAGACCCTTAACTTGCCAGTTAGCCAGCTTAGTGGAGATAAAAATTGAAGACGTCGCGTGCGTTCAGATGATGATGAGGGGGCGGGTTGAGTAGCAGATCTGCGGCCGAAGAAAGACGAGTTTTCGCCGTCGCCGCCGGCCAAAACTTTCGCGCGTCCCGCAGCCTCGGTCCACTCGTCTTCTCCCGCCTTTAACATAACATTATCGGTTCTGATCAACACCTGCCCACGCCTCAGCATGGTTAGGCAGCTCGCACGAGCTTTCCTCCTCGGCCTCGCCTTCTTCGCCGCCGCCATCCAAGCTCAGACCTCCAGTCAGTTCGGCTCCTTATTCTTTTCTTTTTTCAAAAGCTTTTCTTATGAGTTTGATATCCGGTTAATGATCTATTGGATGATGATCACGAGGAATCGATCGTAACAGAACTTTTACATAAATTTTCCCGTTTCGAAAAGTCTTGAAACTTTTTAACAAGTGAAAAACGGCCGGCAGTTGTATTATATGGCTTTTGAGACTCTTTGCGATTTCTTCCATAGAACTCAGTTATAGGTTTTGGTTAATAAATCGGTTTATTCTGAGAATTTCATTGACGACTCCAGCAATCCGGGTGAAATCCATTATGAATCCATTAGGAACTTTTCTTGCGAATTTTTTCGCTACCGCCGAAAATAATGTGCACCTCTTCTGAATGATGGCTGTTTATTTCTAAAATGGATCTTCTCCAAGTTGGCTTTATCAGGTTTGCCGGTTAGAAATAACCCTTGGGTTATTTGATTCATATGTGATTCTGTGGAAAGGACTTCCTAGGAATCAAAACAAAGTTCATTCTCCTCATGGAAGTTGGTGACAGATCATATTTGCAATTTAAAAATACTTTTCAGGTCTATTTTTCATAATTTTTTTTACCGGGCATCCAGTATTTTGGAATATGCATGGATTTGTTTTGCAGGATCCCAGTCGACAGTCATCGCCGATTTGGGCAAGTTGATCGTCGACAACTGTCCGCCGATGCTCTGCACAGGCCTCGACTGCGCCGTCGTCACCGAAAGAAACGGATGCCAGGTCAGATACTTTCTTTTTTTTGGTGAGCACTGAAGAATGTGGAGAAACGGCCTGCAAGTAAATGAGCACTCAGAAAAACTGCCGTTCGTTTCGCAGAAATACTTTTCTCGCGTTTAAATATGTTGGAATTATTTCATTTGGAAAAATTAATATTGAGTGAAAAGGGCCTGACACGGGTGGTCATTGTCAAATTAGTTGTGTCTCAAACTTCTTCTGGTGTTCATTTTCTGAAACATCGCTGTTTTCCGACCGATTTCCAATTAAATCAATTTATCTTTTTCTGAATCTATTTTTGGATTTTCATCTCGAAAATGATTATAATGATGAGGTTAATTTTTTTTTTTTTGCATTCCTTTCCTCATATCTGTTTTGAAATCTTAATTCACGCTCGACTTCCTGTTCCGTTACTCTATTGGTTAATTACTTCAAAAAAATTAGAGAAAGTTTTTCAAAAAAATTTGATTGATTTGATAATATTTATCATAGAAATATTTGCTGAAATAAGAAACTGTACAGAAACTTGAACTTTCAAATGTTCTGCCATTTTAAGTCGCTCTTTCTTAAATTCAGAATTTTTTCCTGATAGTTCTGTCTTATCAACCAAGATAGACGAAGGCAGACGAGCTGCCATCATCTCGGCCTCTTGTAAGCGAGTCTTGTCGAATGGAGCGACAATAAGTGCGCGAATCGAAATGATAAGACCTGTTCGGAAAGCCGTTGGCATCCGTCGGCCACTTCCTTTTCCCATCTTCCTGTCTTTCGGTATCCCCATGCCAGCCTCGACGCCCATTTCGTCGTTATCACCGTTTCAAGTTGCCCAACACCCAAAAAAAAAAACCATTTTTTGTCACCCGATCATCACCCGCTTTGGCAGAATCTAGCAGGTCTTTTATGGATCACCAGAACGTGTCAAATTTTTTTTAGTTAGCGGTTGCGAAAGCAACAAAATTGCCGATTTCTTAGATCATGAAGGAGAAAAAAAGAATGAACCTTCGTTTATTTAGTTCGAGGTTCTATTCTAACCAGGGAACGTTTTTTACCCCCCGGTTGAACTTTTGCTGAAACTTTGCTGAAGTGTACTTTAGGACCCCCTGATTGCAGATCAAGAAGAAAATTTCTCGCAATAGATCTTGTTTCCGAGTTATGGAGCTTCAAAGTGTGCAAAATACGCAAATTAGGCCAAAAAAGCGCTATTTCGGGCTTTTGAAGTGTCCTAAATCGAAAACGAGATCTATTGCGAGAAATTTTCTTCCTGTTCTGGAATCAGGGGGTCCTAAAGTACACTTCGGCAAAGTTTCAGCAAAAGTTCAACCGGGGGGTAAAAAACGTTCCCTAGTAAGTTCGAAGTTTGAAAAAACTTTCATACAGTTCATTTCTTTCCTCGCGAGACAATATTAATGTATCTTTGCATTATCACCCGAATTATGTGCGAAAAAAGAGGATTTCTACCGTTTATTATTTCAAGCTAGCGGTGAATGGAGTGTGAATATTTTGGAAAATCAAAAAATTATATTTGAAAGGTTTTTTTTTGAAGACTAATTTTGATGAACAGTTCAAAATATTATGTTTCGTTTACTTCCTGAACTGCGCAAAAAAGTATTAAAGAACATGGCGAGCTTCAAAGAAAGAACTTCAGAAACACAAAAATTTTAAGCACCATTGTCTGAAAAAGGCTTGAAACTAAAAAAAAGTTCTGTTTTACTTCTCGAGACGCCGTTTCCTCAAAAAAGAAAGTTTCAGTCTTTGGTCTTTCAATTGAAAGCTGTCGAACAATCGAAAAGCGCATTCAAAAGTCGGTGTGAATGGAAAGTTGTTTGTGGAAACCAGCGACGTTTTTGAGGTCGAGTAGGGGCGGCGCCTTTTGAAAAAGCCGCGCGAAATCCATCAGAGGCCATTAATGTATTCCGTTTTGTTAGATTGAAGAATCCGGAGCGGAGGACTAATTCTGAATGGTCGGAGGACCTGACAAAGAAACTTCTGACCTTTCAAACGGCAACCAATTTTTTCCTCTGATAAATTGTCCTTTGTTGTTGGAACATCTTTTGAATTGGGAAGTTCTTGACGTTAAGGAGGAAGTCCTAATGGGAACGAGTTTGTCAATGCAGGAAGTTATCGCCAGTCCTTTTTGGGCCTTTTTAGTGGGACTGTATTTAGGAAGCTTGTGAACTTGATAGCAGTGTTCTATGTTCGAAGATTTTGTTTCATTACTTCACGACACACTGCTTGTCAGCTACAACTTCGCCACTAAACCGTATCTGACAGATTTCATCCGATTAATCATCACACGAATCTCGACCTAATCACGGTGTTGCAGCTATGTGCTTGTCCGATCGGATCCCCTGCTCGCGGCTGTGATCCGATGCCGTTCATCCTCTGGCACGACCTCATCGTCAACGGCTGTCCCAATGTCACTCTCAACAGCCGAGACCCCGCTCAGAAGGTCCATCGTTGGTTCCGAAGGGTCAGTTCTCTTAGATTCCATCTCTACCGACCGAAGCACCTTTTTGAAATTGCAGGTGAACCGATTCACCAACACGGATCAGTGTGAGCCCTACATCTTCCCCTACTGTCCGGAGCTTGACTTCAACTTGTGGCGCTCGCCAAGGACCAAGCAGGAGTGCGAACTCTACTGCTATTCAATCGACGAGCAACGGAAACGCGGAATTATCTAATAAGTCATCGACATCAAACTCTTTCAATTCTAAATTATATTTTTTTTGTCAAAACTTATTTGTTATGTCCAAATTTGTTGTAAATAAACTCCCAGAGAAACTCTAGAAAAGACATTCATTAGAAATAATTATGGACTGTAAGGGCAAGTAGAAGACGAATGATTATACATGAAACATGACTAGTGGCACCAAGAGACCCAAAGAAAGACAGGAATGAAGTGAGGACACCGGAAAAATGCGCTAAATGCAAAGTATTGATTCATTTCTGGAGATAAAAATATTATTAGAAGAATCTTCACTATCACATATTCTGACACAAACACAATTCCAACCAGGGAAAATGAACGGAAAATCCAGAAACCAAGTAGAGGAGATCGAGAAAGTAGGAAAAAAAAATGACATGTCATGGTTAATTATTGTTAAGGCCGTCAAATTGGTTACATGAAAAACTAGCTGAGTGAGATGCTATTGCTTTTTTTGTTAAATGAATAATAAAAATTAAGGTTCTGTACATATTAACAAACAGAAAAAAAGAAGTGAAACGGAGGAATTTAAGTGACCCGACCACCTTGTGGTGTATATTGTATGCTTGCGATGATGAGAAACGCTGCAAAATCAAAGGGATTACAGAATTTGCAAATTTTTTCGAAGATTTTTTCTATCCTATATTTTATCAACTCAAACTATCAGGATGAATGAGAAAAATAATAGTAGAGTAAAACTGGAAGTCAAAATATTATTTCATGGGATTTACCATTACTTTTTCAAGTTTTATCTGAGGCCCTTAGTTCAAGGAAGCTGAATGTTGCGAGCTTCGAGTTATTGTTTCAGAGAATTTGCGAAATCTCAAGAGAAACACCTGAAAACGGAAAAATGGAAGTGACGACGAAGAGCCAGGTGTAGCCGATGACTTGCAAGTAATACTGGGACACGGCGGCCAGCAGGACTCCGCTCAATGTCTACAGAAGAAATAGGAGAATCAACGCGAAAATGCCCACCGTCGAAAATATCAAATAACCGTAGTTTTTGGCCTTGTGCCGAGTTCCGAAACATTTCACTGTGGCTGTGATGTAGAGCGCGTGAGTCGCTCCCATGCAGATGAAAGTTCCGACGAGCTGAACCGAAACTTTTGTTTTGAAAAGGAGATGAATGGGAATCACAACGATGAAGGACGGAAATCTAGAATATAGAAATTTCAAAGTTTGGAAAAAGAAAGACGAAGTACAATAAACGCTGATCTGATCTGAGAACGCATGTTAGAGCTGCCTGAGAATGTACATTGAGATACTTAAATGTTGAAGCTTTCGTCTAAGCTTTCGTACAAAAATTCGACAACAATCTTTCGAATTGTGCACTTGTATGATTTTTGTTTCAGATTGTACACCAATAAAACTTCGAAGGTCAACTATTACCCAAAGAAAATAGAAGAATCGGCCGAGATCTCTTGTGAGTGGCATCGTAAGCAAAAATACGGATGCAAGGCAAGTAGCTGTCGATAGAGACACCTCAAAAATTCAGGGTTAAAAAAAAATGGAAACTCCTGGATGATTGTGTCCACGGTTCCAAGTTATTTTTTTTCTTCGAAAGTATATAAAATTTTTTTTTTTTAATTAAAAAATGTTTATTAAGCACAAAGGAAAGTAAGATGCGCCAAAAATTGAGATCATTTTTAAATTCAGGAAATAGTGATCTAGCCAACTCCCTAAGTACTTGAGATTTAACTATAGAGGGATATATTCCTTCTTGAAAAACAAAATTCTCAATTTTAGTCAAAAAAAAACTCCCAAATTTACTAGAAGAAGATCCTTTCAAATTGCACAGTTCTTATAATGTAGGGAAGATTGACTCAGTTTCCCCCGTAGAATTCTCGGCTTGAAATTCAGGTTTTTTTTTCTCACGAAATGATCAAGATTTTAAAGAAAAACCTGGAAACTAGTCCGATCCGTCAAGTAGCCCCATCCAATTCTCGCTGCTGCGTTGGCGACGGAACCTACACTGAAGGCGACCGCGAAAAAGAAGTCGTCCTCGATGAAAGTCTCGCCAAACGTCTGCAAAATCTTTTTTTTGTCATCGAAGTACTTCTCAGGTTATTTTCTGACAAAAAACCACTAAATTTAGACATTTACAGACCTTATAAAGGTTGTAGAACATGTTGGCGTAGAAGGAGCAGCAAAATAAAGAAATGAAGAGGAAATAAAAGGTGGAAGAGCTGAGCATTTCCTTGGGCGACAACGAGACGATTTCCTCTGCCGTACGAGCCTCAGGATTCCGGGAGAAGACGTCGTCATCGCTATCCGAGGATCCACGAGAAAGAGAACGTCTTCTGACGGAGGACGACGCTTCTATTTCCGTTTCCTGCAATAATGATGATATTTTTGGAATGGAATCAAAGAATAGCACCACCACCAAAAGTTATTACCATGCAGTGTGTTAGAGCGAGTGAATAGGATTAGTTAGAAGCTCTATTATTCTAAACTTTTAAAAACAAAGAACGCGTTTGATGCTTGAGATACGCAAAAACCTTTTCTCCAGGGAGAGCGTCTCAATTATTGCATAGCTTCTAGTTCTGTACTTTTAAAGCAGTTATGAGCTTTCTATACCCTGGTGATTTGAGTATTACAGACAGTGGGGAATGAACTAAATAGAAAAAAAATATTTAAAAAATACCAAAAACTGAAACAGTGCGCAAGAAAGCTAATGTTTTCAAACCTACCTCATTAAATATTAGAAGAAGTTCTTAAAGTCTCACCTAGGTACTATATGTGTATTATAAGTCCTGATAGTGAGATATAAAAAGATATTTTTCAAGTAGTGTTAAGACCAACTGAAGAAAAAATTGAGTAAAATGAAGTCTTCGCTCAGAAATCAAAAAAGCTCGAATAGAAAGAAAACACGAGCGCAAAAGGCGATAGAAAGGAACATAAGCATGCGTTGTGAGGTACCGTGTCGTTGACGCGCAAGGGCCTGTAGGAAACGGATCCGAATCGGTCGCCAGACCTTCGGCCTCGTCGCAGTCCGTCCACGAACTGCGACAGAGAGCCCAGTCCCGAATGCCGAACCTGCGTTTACTCCAGTACTTACAGTCATTTCGCTCGCCTTGATGAAGGCTATGTACTGTGTTGATTCCTGATAGCAGACAAGGATTTGTCCCCTTACCCCAGTCGACCTTATTAATATGAAAATTGAGCCTGTCCTTTAATCAATCAACTCAATCAAAGTAACGATTTTTGAAGTGTCAAAAACTTTTTCATCGATTCCAAATCAATAATGCTTTCATCAGTTTTCACAAAAATTGAAGTCGTAAAATTTTTCCTTCTTTCCATTTAATCACTTGTTATGCTATGATTCATGAATCATTATTCATCAGAATTTTCGCCATGCGCTCAAAATTGATCTCTTCTCAACACTGAACAGTTCTCCTCGCTTTTCTAGAAGAAAAAGAGACTTTGTTTTAACAGCCTTCAAAATAACTAAAAAGGTATATTTTGTACTTTTGCAGACGGAAAATGTTCTGGAGACGGTTATACTTGGTATAACTATCCTGACGACGTCGCTAGCAAGTAATCGCCAAAGAAAAGCCAAAATAATATAACCATTCTGATTGTAAAACAAAAAGATCCTCATCATTTCGGTTAAATGTCTCTTTTTGCTTGATTGTATACTTTCTGAAATTATTTGCCATGCGCATTCAAGTACAATTCCGTCATTTGGCGAACTCACTTCACACGTTAACTTTCAACCAATTTTGTTTCGCTCAGAACTGAGGAATAATTCAATCAACACACCTTTTCTGGAGGGTCACAAACGACAATAACAGCAATTAGCTGCATCAATCCGTAAATAAAGGCCAAAGAGAGAAAAACATCTGGAACCCGTTGAAGAAGTTCTTCTTGGACGAAATATCTGAAAAAATTATAGTTAAAAAATTAAAATACATGTATCACTTCATTCAAAACTGTAACAAAAAAAAGCATTATTTGAGCGAAAATTGATTGAAAAAAAAATTCCAACTTTTATCCTGAATAATTATTACAGAAATCCTCACAATTGAATAGTATCAGAATTTGGTGATTCTTTAAAAAAAACATATTCAACATACTTTCAGCACACTATCAGTGAGAAACTGGTTTCCGTATCAATTTAATCCGCTGATTTTAGCAATTTTCAAAAAAAAAAACTTAAATAAAAACAGTTTCACAATCAGCAAAAATTAGTTTTCGAAAAACTTTATAGTTCGTTCTAACATTTACTCCATCCTTTCAATTATTGGAAGAAGGAGTTTCCGTGAAAAACTGACCCTTCCTTTGTTGCAGGAAGGTTTTTTGGGTTGACGAGCATCGTCTGGATTGGCGCAAAAATAGAAGAAGAAAGGCCGAAACCCGCCGCCACGATGCCAGAAACGAGGCCGATCTTGTCCGGAGCCCACTGGAATTTCATTATTTCTTGCTAAAACGACATTCTGGAAACTCGCACATTTATAACTGTAGCCACAGCAGTTACGTAGGCGATTCCCATTCCGATGCCGTAGATCATTCCATAAGAAAGGAAAAATAACAGAAAAGAGTGGCGAATCGCGTAGGCCGAGAAACCTACGCCAAACCTAAAATTGTTCCACTCTTTATTGGAAAATAAATTATGAACTTCAGAGTTGCAAAAAAACTTTAGAGGCAATTTTTTTAAAGTGAGACATGAAAAACCATTATAAACCAAAAAAACCACCCGTATAAAGATCGTTTTGCCCTTTTCTAAAGAAAAAAATCCCTACTTAAATTTTTAAAAAAATAAACAATTTAAAATGGTTTGCTCATTTTTTGAACTGCTACTCTTCTTTTTAAATTTCTATCTATTTGATCTTCAATTTCTTTTTCTGTTTCAATCGCACAAAATTTTCATAAAACGAACGTCGCTAGAGCGCATCCGATGAAAGAGGCGGTTCGAGGGCCCAGTTTGCTAGCAACAATTCCACCAATGACCATGGCAAACGGGAAACATCCTCAAATCTCGACTGTGATATGAGAAAATGCAAGAGGTAACCTTGAAAGGTAGGGATCCACATCATATGTTCGAGGCGAACCGTTGGATCTGTATAGGTCCTCATGTACGACGCCATGTATGGTAACATATTTCCTGGAAACAAACTCCATTGAATGAATAATGAAAAATGGACAGGACTACCAAAAGTGTGATAAGTTCCAATTGTGAGGTGGATGAGGACGGCGCCCGTCAAGACAACAATGAGCCTCCATAAAGGCGGCAGTTTGAAAATAAGCACTGCTATTGGATCTTTACCCGCCATCTCTGCAAAAGTAAATATAATAGAGGGGAAGGAAATAGTTAGTTTCTTTTCATAAAATCTCTTTCGATTTGAAAGATTGGGATTTTTAAAAATTGAATGATGTCCTAAACTTACATTCATTAAACAACTGCGCTTTGAAAAAAATGAAATTTTTTTCAAATAAAGCGGCGTCAGAGAGAAATGAAAAAAATACATGTCACTTGATTTATTCCGTGCTCAAAAATGATTCCACTAAATGCAAGATATCCGTTTCTTTGTTGCTTGTGAATAAATATAATAATTATTTTTATGACCCGCCGGAGAAAGGTAAAAATTAACTAAATTTTGGAGAGTGAGAGATAACTTCGATTTCCGCGAAATTTCTTCAAACACATCCTCAAGTTTGTAAAAAAATACATGCAAATGTTTTAATTTGCTTTAAATGGAAAAAAAAAGTTGAATGGGAAAATTGGCGAACAAGGAGGTCAGCAAGCGAAAACAGCGCCTGTTGTAACATTTTCCAAGACAACAAAACGCTGTTCAGTAAAGACTCAAGCACAGCAAAAGAATAAGACACACGGTCAATAGGAAAACGATCAACTTACTTATATACAGTCGGAAAAAACGGCTTAGTGCGACTGGTTTCGACCACAAAGTCCTCCTTCTCGCATATTACTCAGCCAATATATATATATATCTTCACGTATGGCTTCTTTAGAGGATCTGATATAAAACTGAAAACAGTAAAGAATCTATTTTTATATGAGCGCGCTTTTTGGTGTGAGAACATCTGTGACTATTAATGAGAAAAAATGAAATAAAAACAATTAAAATTGCCTTCAATGTCTATAATATCTGAGAAAGTTCATAACTTTAAAAAATGCAAAATCAAATTAGAAAAAGTTCAAATTTGTCGACAAATCGATTCACACAAATCTGTAGGTTTTTGAAAAAGGAAAATTCTTCTAGAATTCTATAGAATAGAAAATAAACGGAAAACAGCTAATTCCGTGATCAAAGTAATTACCGCGAAATTCAAAATTATTCCTGACTTCTCAAAAATTTAGTTATCTTATTCACTCTCTGACGGACATTTTAATATTCGCAAAATCATTTTTCAGATATAAGTAGAAGCTTTTTCTTTTAAAAGATTTCAAAAAGGTAGGAAATTGAAAAGTGCGATGGAGCATGCTTTTTTCAAAACGGAAAGCATTGGAAAAATTCGAATGACGTCATATTTCGATAGTTGGCTTTCTGGCTTTTTGACGCATCGGATTTCAACTCGATTTCTTGAAGTTAATTTGAAACGCATGCGTTTAGTTCTAGCCCTCTTATATAATGGATCCATGAAGAAAATAAATGAGATATTGAGAAAGCAAAGTTAATGCTCTACTAGAACGATTTGAAAATCTCTAAATTTATTTGAGATAAACCCTTCATTCAAATAAAAAAAAATGATAAAAGAAATGAATTAATATTTTCAAAACTGTTTAAACATCTTTCTTGTTTGGAGGCGCTTCGACGGGTCTGAATTTATCACGGGGCTTAGAAAACGGGAATATCTTCTTACAAGGACTGCTCAGATTCTTCCGATTTTTGTGGAACTGAGCTTTCTAAATATTGATGATTAATTTACCGAATGATAAGAAGACAAACCTATTGGAACGTCATCAAGAACGTCCTCCGAACCCCTCTCACCCTTCTTCTGCAACTTTCATCTTTTTCAAAACCAGCTCGAAACTTTTCGAATTGAAAAATCTAATTTCCACTCACGAATGAATTGTTCGTCATGAGTGCTTCAACAAATCCCGCAATCGTGCTTGATATAATGAGAAAAAGAAAGAAGCCGAAGTATATAAGCCATGCGCCTGTAGTAGACGAAGAGTGTTCATCGTTATTCTGAACAAAAACCAAAAATTTCCGACTTTTTTTTCATTTATTTTTTTCATTTCATCAAAGTTTATTTTTATTATATACTTGATAAAATTAATATATTTGAATCGAAATGAGAACAGGAAAATCGGATTGATCTGTGAGTCTCTATTAGAGTGGCTATTTTATGGAAAAAAAGAAGGGAAAAAGGTCTGCTTTCTGAAAAGCGCATTTCTTATTAGCCGCCACAATAAGGGCAAAAAAAAATTGCATTTTTAAAACAGCAGTTTTAAACTCACAATTGCCGAAATCATCCCTTTGTTATTGCACATAGAAGTAGTACAACAACAAGCTTGGACCCGCCGCACCAATTGGTTTGATAGATAACCCTGAATTCGAATTCGGCTTTCAAAATTGTTATTTTCCTCAAATTCCGAACCGAAAACTCAGGAATTCAAATTTCAATATATAGTCAATGTTTCCCGACTTGAAAGGCGAGGGAGGCGGGGCAGGGGGCGGGACGCGTAGCGTGTGCGTTTGAGGTTCTTGCCACGTGTTCAATTGATGGTACGACAAAATCTCAAGTCCGCAAATCTCGAGGACCGTAATCTTGTGTACGCAGATCTAAAGTCCCATAATCTTGGAAACCAAAATCTTGGAGACCAAAATCTTGGAAACCACAATCTTGGAAAGTAAAAATCAACGCTTTTGCGAATAGATTTTATCAGAAATTGTATTCGGTGATCCAAACGAGAGAATATAAGTAGATAAAGTGCAATAAAGAAGACTAAAAAGGAAGATTTTTTTGCTTTCCAAGATTGTGGTTTCCAAGATTTTGGTCTCCAAGATTTTGGTTTCAAGATTATGGGACTTTAGATCTGCGTACACAAGATTACGGTCCTCGAGATTTGCGGACTTGAGATTTTGTCGTACCATCGTTCAATTCAACCGCCATCTACTCTTTGAAAAGCCCGTTTTTCGCTTTTTTCATTCCTTTTTCAATTATTTATTGATTATGTTCATGTGTGCATTGAAAATAGTAGAAAAGATAGAGAAAAGGCGGCGAACGGGCTTTTTAAATAGTCGGGGGCGATTGAGTTGAACTGGCGCCAAGAACCGCGTACGCACACGCTACGCGTCCCGCCCCCAGCCCCGCCTCCCTCGCCTTTCAAGTCGGGAAACATTGACTATAGAAGAAAAATCGATCCTTTTTTTAGGTTGAGCAGCTATTTTGTCTATATATTTTTTTTAAATCGGCCAGGTTTTTTTGAATTTTTTTGTAGCTTTGACTTTCAGACCTGAAAAAAAGAACCTTTATCCTGACAGAATGCCTTGATAATGCGATCTACAAAAGAGCTTCCTTTGTATGCCTGTGCTAACACTACCAAAGTTTGTTCGATGACAAATTATAAATCTTCAAACTATCTTGTCAGAGATTTTCTTTTTATCGAAATCGGAATACCGTGGCCACATCGTTACAGTTCATAGTGTCGTGTTGTGCTTCGCTGTCTTTGCAGAGATAGTTCATACCGGTCGAGTCTTTCTGGTCCATGCAATGCAAAGTGAACTCATCGCCTTTTTTGATCCCCAAGCATCCCTTAAAATCCGAAGAGATTGGAACTTTGAGATCCGCATAATATTTCGTCGTTTTCTCGCGGTCAGAGAGTGAAGAAACAGCATGCGCAGAGAAATATTAGGGCGCGCCAGTTTAGAGCGCATAAACCTTTGCGGTGATCGTGATGCTATTTTATATTCTCACACTTTTGAAATTAAAGCGATTAGAAATTTTTTTTCCTAGGCTTGAAAAAAAACACTTTTTGCTCGAATATAAGATTTGCTTCACCTTGTAATAGACAGAATGCTTCGTTCCTTCGCAAACTTCGTAATTTTGATTCTTGAAATCGTTCTGATTATCAACCAGACCGGTATAGCATGAAAACCTGGTCCCCTGGACTCAGATCATTAAAACTCCTTTCCAAATCCCTATAACTCACCTTGAAAGAATTAGGGCTCACCATTGATACTACAAGTAGGAAAAAGAAAAGCCGAGTCATCAGACGGAAGTTGAAATGAGCCTTTTTGAAAGTGCGATGAAAAAATACGTAGCGTTTATTTTATAGTATAATCAAAAGGATGAAAAAATTCAACAGCTGTACAAGCGAAAACCGAATTATTACTTTTTAGCCATTTTCTCATATTTTTGACTGATAAACGAAGCCATGGGGTCAGCAGAATGGATATTTGTGCGATGATAAGCCTCCATTTGTACTTCCGACGGCGCCTTATTTGAATAGTCAGTGTTGTACTTTCTTTTGCGATCACCCTAAAAAAAATTTAAATATATTAAAATTCACTAACTGGTCGGAATAATTTTTTTTTCAAGATTACTATCAAAAAAAAAAACCAGTAGCATTTTTAAAACAAACAAGCACCTCTCGGACTGCTCGCATCCCTTCTATCCGATCTTTTTCGGCCCTTTTCACAGCTTCTTGCAAGTCTTCTTCCTCATCACTGTCCTCAGAACTAGACTTCTTTGCATCATCATCAGCATCCGAATCGCGGTTCTTCAACTATTGAAATAAAGTAAATTATAATGAAAAAAAAAACCTTTCTTTTTCTCTTTCCGAGCTTCTCCTTCCTTCTGCTTCTCTTCTGCTTCCTTTTATCCCTTTTCTTTGTTTCTCTATCTCCTAGATAAGATAATTGTTAAAATGACTATTTTGTATGAAAAATTGTAACGAATGAAAACGTACTTTTTTCCTGCTCTCTGCGTATCTCTTCTTCGTCATCGCTGTCACTGGAGGATTCGCTTGAGGAGGAGGACGAAGAGCTCGACGAAGGTTCCTCTTCCTTATTCACTTTTTCGAGATGTTCCATCGGCTCTTCTTCGGTTTTCACTGCCGCTGGATTTTCTTCTACTTCAACTGAAAAGTAACACCGTAGAGGGAAAATAAGAAAAATTCAGTTAACATGTAGATGTTTTTCGAAAACATTAGGAGCACATTCATATTCCTAACTAGGAAACGTTTTTCACTCCCCTTAGCGCTTTTTTAGCCTAATTTGCGTATTTTGCACACTTTGAAGCTCCATAACTCAGAAACAAGATCTATTGCGAGATATTTTTTTCTTGAACTGCAATCCGAGGGTCCTAAAGTACACGTCAGCAAAGTTTCAGCAAAAGTTCAAACGGAAGTTTAAAAACGTTCCCTGGTAAAATGGTGGAGCAAAAAAGCACGAAATCTTACCGCTTTCAGGAACTTTGCCTAGAGAGCTTTTGACGCCGTTTGCAGCGTTGGACTCAGCGGAAATACCCTCACTCCCAGTGCAATAGGAATTCTTCATGAACTGATGACAGCACTTGTAGCCCCACCTTCCATCTCGCCAGAAAGAGCCAAAAACAGAATTGTGGTTTTGGGGGAACCTCAAAAATACTTTTTTCGAAATAATTATTCAGGAAGCGCTAACTCGTCTTCTTTGAACCGACTCTTCATCACCGGCTTTTCTTTTCCTTTGATAACTTTTCCTTTGCGGTTGTATTCGACGTAGTTCTCTGACTGAGCCAGAAGCAACTCCTCCGGTGGGCGATCAAGATGTTCAGCGCCTCCATACTTTTCCAATAGCTCCTGAAAGCAAAGCATTATATACAAAAGTTATAGAAAATTCCAATGAAACTGGTTAATTCATAAAATATTATTTCAAAAAATGTCAAATTGTCTTTTTTCGTTACTCAGTTCTATTCTACAGTTTCCTTAGCAAATTAAAATTATTTCCTTGTTTCAATCAAATCTCAAAAAGAAAAACGCCAAAAATAAATTTTTTTCCTCTTCCGGTTGACCTTTTTTTACTTGAAATTTAATTGAATTTCTAAAAGTATAGTTTAGTTTTCCAGAAAAAAAAATAGGAGAAGTAAAAAATGCAGACAATACGCAAAGAAAAAAACGGAAGAAACTCTTATAGGCAAACTTAAAAATAAGGAGGAAAAAACCTTATTGTAAAAGCCTTTTAATTATTAAAATAAATTTTGCTTTTCTTTTTTTTCTGTTGTCTACGCTTCGCACTTTAAGAAAAAAAAAATTTTGCACCTTTTCTTGTAAAATCGTGTGACAATAATTTTTTTTTTCTCTTCCTAATTCATTGAAAATCTCAGGCTTCAATCTATAAAAACAAATCATAGACCTCGCGGCCTTTTATGTACGTCAGAAGCATATTTTACAACTTCAGGAAAATACTTTATTTTCGAAAAAACAACCTTTTTCGTTTCGTCCTTTGTTTCGCCTTTTTGTTTCTCAAACTCTCTCTTGAGAGCTTCCAACTTGGTGGGTTCAGCTATAGAATGTGCGTAAACGCCTTTTCTAGTGGCTTGCCAAGCAAACACTTGAGCTTCGTTCGCAGCTGTTACTTCGCCAGAATACCTGAAAAAATAAGTTTATAAAATAAGCATACTTTCAAGAAAAAAAACCTGACAAAATTGTCCCCGGAAAATTTGGCAGCCTCCAATTCTTTTCCTGCCACGCCATTGAAAGGATTTTCTCGCATCGATCGCGATTTTGGGTCATAATAAGGGGAATTCTCGTTCAAGTTATATAAATACTTGGCCGTATCTTCTCGAATTCGAAGGTTTCGCACCTAAATCCTCTCAGTACATTAAAAAATCAAAAAAAGGTTCCAAACGGTGATTCTGGTTCTGGAATCCATGTCGACAGAGACTCCAGCCATATCCGCATCTTCAGCATATTTATCTTCGTCTTCCGCTTCCACTTCTTCGTTCACTTCCCCTTCGTTCATCTGAAAATATGAGAACAATAACAAATTTCCTTCTTACAGAGTTATTTCAAATTGAGAAATTAATAACGAACCTTTTGGGCTTTTATAACTTTCCGGGCTTCTTCCAATTGTTCAAATTCTTCGATAACCTAAAAAAAAACGTTGGCTGAATAAAAACTCGCATTTTAAAAATAACCTCTTTGTGCGATGCTGGATCATAACCATTCCACCTGTCTCGTTTAGCATCAAACCCAAGTTCCAGCTTCGGTTGGACAACGTCATCTGGTGCAATATCTTCTCCTGTTATTCTGAAAGTTTAACAAATAAATTACTAAAAAAATGAGATGGTTTTTTTCCAATTGAATGAGTTGCGATAATGAAATTTCAATTAAAAGGGAAAGTGTGATTACCTTGCTCCAATTTTACGAGGTCTATCGAAGCAATCGACCTTTTTGTGACCAAAAGCCCCACAGTTTTCACAGGCACCTGAACACGGAAGATTAAGTTCCTCATAAAGCTAATTTTCCAACCTTTCCTAAACTTGGTTGCAGTCTTTCCAGTTGTTCCTTTTTTGTACCACTCCCCTATTTGAGTCATAGCCTTCTGTCGTTCTTCATGAGGACGTTGATGCTACAGAACTCAGAGATAAACTAAATAGATAACAACTAAATACCTTGAGTGTGGGACCCTCACTGGGAACGTACCAAGGTGTCTGTGCAATGAAAAGCGGGATATGTGGATTGATATCCCTGCCTGTATCCACGTCAACCATTGCAGGAGCCGTTCCTGCTTTTCGGTCTTCCTGTAGAAATATTTTCCTTTATGTTCAAGTTGCGGAATAAAACTCACTTCTAATTGTCTCTCTTTTCTTTGTTCATGCTTCGATTTTTTGTCTCCGCCTACGGCTATCTGCTTTTTCAGAAGCATAGACGTTGGTATATCTTGCCGATAAGAGGCCATGATGAACCTGTGAAAAGGGAAAACTAAAATTGAATTCTTTCATTTTCAACGCACATTTCACACTGCGGCCTTGCCAAGGTAAAGTTTACATGTGTATGAGAGAGATACAGAGATAAATAAAAACAAAGTAACTATAAAACTTTTGATTCGTTGATAATTACCTCATTTTCATCATCAATCGACTTTTCTTTCATCATTCAAACATCTATTTTTGATTGATTTTTTTTAAAGCGAGCTGTAAAGCCATTAAAAAAACCAATGTAAATTTTTAAACAATCACACAGAAATTTTATACGATTCATTTTAAACTTCTGAGAAGTTTCTGAAAATAAAAAATCTCACAACACAAAATGTGATTGCACTGGATTAAGAAAACAAAAACAAAAAAATGAATGCCGTAATCAAAGTGATTCCGCGAAACCCAAAATAACCAGAACGAAAAAAATAACCAAATTTTAGAGAGTCAGAAATAATTTTGCGGATACTATTTTGAACACGGCTGAAAAAAGCTTTCTTTCGAAAGTAAAATTTTCGAATCTGAATCGAAAAACTCAAAGAGAAAGTGTTAAAGGCGCATCGTTGCACAACTTTCAAAGTTTCGACACGAATCGTGCATACGGTAGCAAGCGTGTTGCCAAGAACGTTTCCCTTGATATTTTTTGCGCGTTTTGTCTTTAATTTTTATTTCATGCCGTGTTCAAAGTAATTTCCGCGAAATGCAAAATGGTCTCTGACCCTCCAAAATTTAGTTATCTTTCTCTTTCTCTGACAGCTATTTTGAATTTCGCGGAATTACTTTGAACACGGCATCAGAGCTTTTGAAAAAAAAATTCATGATTTGTAGGAATTTACAGGGCTTTGGGTCGTTATGGCCTCTGTTCCTCATTTTGTTCTATATGAGCATGCAGTGGGGTACTCTCTTCTTAAAGTAAAGGAATTCGAAGACAGTGGCCTCATAATCCCGGAGGTTTCCAGATAGTTTTTTGTAAAAGTAGATTCAATACTTATAGGTCGAAAGTGCACTGGGAGACGCTCAAAAGTTTTGCTCATTAGTTCAGCTCACAGCTTTCGATCCTTTTAAAAATACCGAAGCTGCTTTGGAAAATTGCAATTCTATTTCCGAAGGTTTGTTTCAGTTGTTCATTCAGATAAATATTTTTTTGTTATTCAAGGACTTGCGCACCCCGATTTGGTCAACTTCCTAGAGCGCGCGCTTCCTAAGAAGAAAAAAGGAGTTCTGCTAGGGATCAATGACTCGAAGCTTGCGGGGTCTTTGACCGAAGCTTTCCCCGGAATCAACCTCCAGTTTGGTGGTGTGGTTACTGAGGTTAGTTGATCGCCTCACCGTATGTGATGAAATCAACTTTCCAATGACGAATGCCATACATTTTTGAGTTCAGATCCTACGCGGTATTCGCGTTCATTTCGAAAAACTAGCCAAAAGTTTGCCTCATCATTCGCTTTCAAAAGCACAACTTTCACTCGGTCATAGCTATTCTCGCTCAAAGGTTGTTGATCAGATCCTGATGCGCGTTAATCGTGATTTTAGGTGAAATTCGATGTTCATCGGGTGGACAACATGGTTATTCAATCCATCGCTTTGCTTGATCAATTGGATAAGGACATCAACTTGTTTGGAATGAGAATTCGTGAATGGTGTGTTTTAAACTTAATGAATCTTGTAAAATGGGTTTATAAAAAAATCTTGTGTTCAGAAAGAGCAGAAGTTTTTGATAGCTTGAAATGAAATATAAAGCGGTAATTTGTTTTGTGATAATTAACTGAAATAAACTCGTTCCAACACCAGAGCTGATGGTACGACAAAATCTCAAGTCCGCAAATCTCGAGGACCGTAATCTTGTGTACGCAGATCTAAAGTCCCATAATCTTGGAAACCAAAATCTTGGAGACCAAAATCTTGGAAACCACAATCTTGGAAAGCAAAAATCTTCCCTTTTAGTCTTCTTTATTGCACTTTATCTACTTATATTCTCTTGTTTGGATCACCGAATACAATTTCTGAAAAAATCTGTTCGCAAAAGCGTTGATTTTTGCTTTCCAAGATTGTGGTTTCCAAGATTTTGGTTTCCAAGATTATGGGACTTTAGATCTGCGTACACAAGATTACGGTCCTCGAGATTTGCGGACTTGAGATTTTGTCGTACCATCCCAGAGCTATAGCTTCAAGAAATGAAAGACTCCTAGTAAAAAAAATTATTTTTGATGGATTTTTTAAAGGTATTCTTACCACTTCCCAGAGCTTGTGAAGCTTGTTCCCGATCAATACAAGTACTCTAGAATGGCGGTGACTATTCTTGACAGAAACAAGATGGGCGAGAACGACAACATAACTGCTGAGATATCAGGTTTTTATGAATTATTATATAAACTTGGTCAATCGGTGATCGTTTATTAGCTAACGATGGGAAATAGCTGCCGGGTAGCACACGCAGGACTACCTGGTAGCAATAGCAAATGCCAGGTGGAACAGCGATGTTATCCAGGTGTCATTCTATATACAACTAATAAACGACGGTTGATTCGGAAAAATCTATCCGGTAGCATTTCCCGATTGACCTATGGTGTTTAAACTTCATTCAAAATTTCCTTGCTTATTAAGCCGGGGCTTTGACCTACATGTCTTTCTGCCTAGTAAAACGCAAGGAATATTAAAGAGACCGCCAGACACCGAAAATATTTTGATATTTCCGGTCGAAGCGTATCCCACATTCAAAATTGTTAACTTATTCTTCAAGAAATACTGGACGAAGATGAAGAAAAGACAGCTCAAGTCCTAGAAGCTGCCCGTACATCTATGGGAATGGACATCTCTGAGCTTGATCTTATGAACATCAAAAGGTATTTTTTCCATGCTATCTTGTTTTGATTTTTCTATTCAGATTCGCTGGAAGAGTGGCTGCACTGATGGAGTACAGACAACAACTTCACGAGTACATCAAGGATCGTATGGACCACTGTGCGCCATCTCTTTCTGCACTTATCGGAGAACAGGTTGGAAATTAATCAGTTTTGACATGAAAAGATCAGAAATGCGAGTTGTCCAGCCCTTCTAGCACATTTTATGCCGTCAGAGATCGTTTTATTTATTTCACCAATTTTCAGGTTGGAGCTAGATTGATCTCGCACGCAGGATCGTTAACCAACCTGGCCAAATATCCGGCATCCACTGTTCAAATTTTGGGAGCTGAAAAAGCGTTATTCCGAGCTTTGAAGACACGCTGTGAGTTTCTCTCTTTTGATTACCGGTATAGATGTTATGAGCATGTGATTAATGCGACTTTTTTCGGTAGCTCAGTCGTTTCGCTTGCATGCTATATCATTTCCTTGTTAATTCAAATTTTTGTTCAATTGCGCCAAAAAAGAATTACCATTGACACACGTTTTACAGCTAATACTCCAAAGTATGGTCTACTTTTCCATTCGAGCTTCATCGGTAGAGCTGGTCCGAAAAACAAAGGTCGTATTTCGCGATTTTTGGCCAATAAGTGTTCTATTGCGGCTCGTGTCGATTGCTTTTCAGATGTAAGTAGTAAAAATAAACTTTTAGTCGCAAAGTCTCGTATCTCTAGGTACCAGTCGGCACGCACGGCGAATATATGAAAAGTCAAGTCGAAGAGCGTTTGGCATATTTTGCCAGTGGAACTATACCTAAGAAGAACATTGAAGTCATGAAAGAAGCCGAAGAAGCAGCGGTTAGTGTTCGTGAAAAGGTGAATATATATATTTTTTTTTGGATTTTCATATTCAATTTTGAGGTTCTCAAAAAAAGAAAGAAGGCAGCCAAAAAGGCTAAGCGCATACTTGAAGCCGAGTCTGAAGAGAAAAATGATGACGAGCCGGAAATGAAAAAGCAGAAAATGGAAGAAGAAGAAGACGATGAAGCTGAAACACCGAAACCGAAAAAGAAGAAGAAGAAGAGTAAAGCTACTGATGAATAATTGTTGACGATGTAATTTTTTTTTTGTTGCACTTTGTTGATCTTTCTGTTACAATTGTTGAAATACACGTTTTGTTGATCGAAATTCTTCTATCAATGCAAGAAAAATTAATTCAAAAGTATGAAAAGTTTTTCTGATCTCTCAAATGAGACTCTTATGCCGTGTTCAATTTGATTCCGCGAAATTCAAAATACCCGTTAGAGAAAAGAAAAGATCTCTAGATTTTGAGTCAGAGGTCATTTTGCATTTTGCGGAATCAAATTGAACACGGCATAAAAGTTTACAGCGGCTGAATTTCTTGAAAAGTGTTTATTCAACGATATAATCTGCTTCCACTTGTAAAAAAGTTTTTTATTAGTTTGTAGACCGAAGTTGGGTAAAGAGCAGAGCTGTGCGCGAGTATGGCCGATTTGTAGGCTGGTCCCAACGCACGACCCAGCTATATCCCCTGGCCAAAACCACGACGCATATAGCCCGTTCACGGCTGGCTTGGGACAGCGAACGGCCGGTTTAACTTGCGCGGCGATGGCAGATCATGGCGGTCATACATGCGCATGTAATAAGAGCCTCATTTGGTGAATTATTTCTGTTTCTATTGAATTTATATTATTTGTACATTCATTTAATTGATTTTTAGATTTTCTTAAATCGACGAATAATAAGAGAAAAATAAATAAGTCATAAAATGGGACTCTTATGGAAGGCACATAGATTGTCGCCATGATCTACCTTTGCCGCCAAAATTAAACCGCCCGTTCGCTGTCCCAAGCCAGCCGTGAACGGGCTATATGGCCATGCTTCGGCTGGCTTCTGCTGGCCCACACACACCTCTGGTAAAGGGTAAGTCCAAAACTAAGATTTTCTGATATTACTGGACTCTACGTTTTTCTTTCCGCCAAAAAGACCGTATACCAAATTAGATCAAATTCCTGCTTTTATCACGGCAAGAAACTAAGGTCTTGAAGCGAAGTTGGTCAAATTTGACCTGGCCTTTTGGCGGAAAGAAAAACGTGACAAGCTGGCGCGGAATGGCCTATAAGGTCGAGGTTTTTCGAAAACTCTTCTTTGAGAAACCTAGGAAATTGTTTCAGCTCACAGAGAGACATCTGAATTCGAATGAGACATTGGCTCTTTCGATGTCGTTTTCATAGTCGATTCACGGCTAGTCTGAACCCCAAAGAGGCGTGTCCTGTCTGCGCTCTCCACGAGCCAGCCGCTGTCTCGTGCATTATCGTGTCAGGACCCTTTTCTTCATGGCTCAAACCAGCCGTGAATCAGACATAACGCTGATTCCAAATCTGGTCGCCCAGTACGTCTGAAAAAACTAAAAAACTATGAATTCGACTTTTGAGAGTTCATAACCTTTTTACAGACGTATTGGGTCATTTAAGACCAGATTTTGAATTCAGTAAAAAAGAAAAAGAAAAAAAAGGCGCTGAGAAATATCCCCAGAATTCACGATATAAGCTTAAAATTTGATTTTCTTCTATTTCTGTAATTCATTATATCATAAGAAAAATGAGAAAGGACTTTTTTCACAGAAACCCAAAAACAGTTTCGAACTTTTCCTGTACTGTACTTTTTCGACGGGCTATTCTCAGTAATGAGGCTTAGCAGATAACAATATTTTTCGAGTACTCATATCTAGGACTACTTGGCACAAAAGTTTGGACTGGAGCTGCAATTTTTAACTCTCAAACATTCTTAAGACCATTTCTTGGTACCAAGTGATGCGGTTTAAATTCACAGTAACTCATTAATTATTTTATGGTTAATTTAATGCTTAACGCTCTATATGGAAAATTTCATGAGAGTGTTCAACTAGCTCGTTCCTTTTCATTTTTCTAAATTTCACTGGAATAATTAATATCAAGCTTGCTATTGAGGTTGGTTTGCAGGAATGATAATTGAACCCGTTCGCTCTTTTTTATTGTTCCAAGTCCAATCTCAGTTGTGCTCCGAGAAATCTTTGGCTTCTTTTTAATAGTGAGGCCCTTTGGAGTTATTAACACTCGAAAAACAGGAAAGGCGGGGCTGCATTCCGAGTTTAAATTAGAAATACTTGGCGGGTTTCACATGCCAGCTCTACTTTTCCCGCCCTTGCTACAAACTTTAGCTGAGGCAGCTGGAAGCAGCTCCACACTTTTATTCCCTTTTATCGGAAACTTTTCTTTCTTGTTTTTCAGGGTTTTCGAGTTCATTATTTTATATTTTCTTCACAACTGTTTTACAGGCTCATTGCGATGTCGAAGATTGCAACGGTCGCTTTCTTGCTCTCGTTTTCGTATGCAATTATTTCCTCCCAGGCGCAGGTTAGTTGCATTGTCTATATTTAATAGTGTGATAAGTGGTCTGGTTGAGTCAACTTTTAGGAAAATATTAAAGATTTTGTAAAAAAAAAATACATAGATGAGAAAAAGAGTGTGAGGAATATGAAATGGTTCGTCGAAGAACTCAGAAAATAATCCAGTTGCTCAAGTCGCAGCCGTAAAGGTTCAGCTGCCCGGGCCGCCTGAAAAACAAATGGAAACTTTTTGCTGAAAAAGCAAAAAACATTTCTTCGACACTCTGATTTTCTGGGGGAAAAGAGAAGCTGAAGGTGGTTTTGGGAAGAAAATAGTGTGTTTTCAGGCGAGTTATAATTAATTGCAGTTGGAGAATGATTGCAGGAAGTGGACGAGATCTATCCTCTGGCATCTCCGAAGGCTTTTCAGTCTCTCTACGACGCTTTTCCCACGTCGGTCAAGGTAATCTGAAGCTTCATCTGAGAAGATTTATGAAGAAAATCTATGATGACTTAGTTATTTTGCGGAAAGTTCTTTCTTTTCAACATTGGAGCTGAATCTCGGTCGTCGTTAGTCGAAAGTTAGATTTATCTATTAAAATCAAGCAAACATGCTTGAAAGCTAATGAAAATTAAATTCAAACATATTTTGTAGGGATTAAATGAATCTGTTTTCCTTTTCAGAGGACGATAAACCAAAAGATTCGCAACCTGAAGGGTCGGCTAAATGGAAACAGCCAGCAGTTCAAAGAAATTCTTTTCGGTTGATTCAAAATTTTGTGTCAATAAACGTTGGATTGTTTTTTGTTTCTTGTTTGTTAGGAAATAACCTTCTTTCAAAAATAACCTTCGCAAAAGAAACATTGCAAATCAATTATTGAAAACCGAAAATAATAGTCATTTTTCTATTGGTAGAGAAAAAGTCGCCGCTTCCCGAAATATCTCCGGGAGCCACAATTGTTTGCCCAACTCGTTTGCTCAATCGATTCCTCCTTCACCCCAATAATTTCAAAAAGTTTCATTTACCAACCTTTTTTGTTCAGTAGTACCACGAACTATATTCGTTCGTTTCTGATGTTCGTTGTGTTATTTTTCCACCGTCTTTCTTCTCGAAAAATGGCCCTACTGCAAATAATCTCAAAAGCGAAAAAAAACTTTCAACAAAATTTATTTTACATGGAAATATGTATTTTGACCAGAAAAGGGTACTTCGTTTTGTCCATATACAAGTGTTTTTGAGCGTCTCTGGATTGTCCTTTGTGATAATATTCACTTTGTGACCCAAAGTACGAAGGCGAGCACGATGAAAAATATGAGAACTCCCAGGCAGATCATCATCTGAAAAAAGAAAATAGAATTATTCCAAAATATTGAGATACCTTCAAGTTCTTCCACCAGTACTTCTTGCGCAGACTTGTGGAGGACTGTTGAAACCTTGAAGCCCCCTCCTCAAGAATTTTTTGGATATATTTTTTGGACGATAGCATTTCAAAAACCTGAAGAACATCGGCTCTGTGGTCCAACGAAGCCAAGTGCTGCTCTCTTTCCATTACTTTGTTCACATTATCCTGAAACCGTTTTTTCATCGTGACGGTTTCCAAGATTTTTCTATTTTTAGTATGACCAGAAGCTCAATCTCAAGTTAGCCTCATTTTTCATTGAAAAAAACGATTTACTCTTTTCTATTGAAAATCGTAGGAGAAGGAAGTTGATTACGCTTAAAATGACATAATGGTGCACTGTCGCCTTCTTTTATGTGCAGATCGTAACGGAGTTTATTATCAAAAAGAGCAAACAAGTTGGCTAGAACAGAGGAAAGAAGAGACTGAAGAAAGACCTTCATGACGCCGATGACGTCGTTGACCTGAGCCTGGGTCTGCTGCAGCCTTTTGCTGTTCCACGTGCCTCCGGGAGTTTCACTCAAATCTCTTTTTTTTTCGTTCAAATCGATTTCGGGGCATCTATTCAGCTCTTTCCTCTCGTCCCCTTTGACCGTTTCAACAACCAAAAACTTTTCAAATTTATTGTTATTTTTATTATTTGAAACTGCGTGGTCAAGTACAGAATATCATGAGTAGAACGTAATTGTCTTGTAAATTAATTTTTTTTAAAGCCCTCGAAAGAAAACCGACCTGGAACCGTTTCCCAGATCCGCCATCTCTCTCGTGGATCACTCTTGATTTTTCTGAAATAAAAAAAAGTAAAACTAAATTAGGTCTTGATGCGGAAGTTAACGTATGACGAGCCGCCGACAATCTCCCTGGAAGAAATGGCGAGTCCGGAGGGAGAGCACTTCGAGGAGACCGAGGTCGTCCTCGATCCTCAGGACCTCCGACCTCTGCATTTGGACACCAGCCATGTCTATCTCCGACCCTCTACGCCTTATTTGGTAAGCTATCACAAAAGTTTTTTGATAAATTATTTAGAACAATTAAGTTTCTGGAGGGTCCGACATAACTGGAATAAAGCATGAACTCATGAGGAGGCTTATAAGTGAGATTAATCTCACTGGCTTGAGATTTTCTTACTTATTCCCAGTTAAGCTTGAAAATAAACAAAAAGCACAAAAAAAACAGTCTTCTCGATAAAGCTCGAGTTCTGGAAGGTCTGATCTGCTCCTCGTTCCCGAAAAAAACTTTTTCTTAGGGAAAAAAATATTTTAAGAAAAATTTTTACAGTAGGTGAGGCTCTTATAAAAATAATTTATCAGTTAAAAAAACGATTCACAGGTGAAGTTGATTGGTTTCTTGCGACTTTCTACCATCCAAAGAATCTTCTCGGAGAAACAAAAATAGGTGTAAAATAACTAAAACTAGTGATCGGTTTCTTTTTGAAAAGTACCATAAGTTCATATTTTCAAAGAAAAAACAATTGATAAAGAGTTGAAGGACCAAAAATATTTATAATTATTTTAGAAATACTATAATCAAGAAATTCTCAACAAATCTCTAAAAAAATAAGCATTTTCTTTTTTTGTTTCTCTTTTTGAGGCTAAACAAAACCGCCGGAACGCTACAAACCGCCATACATTTCCATTTCTCTCTTCTCAATTTTCCAACTGAAGTCTTTCGCTTTAAATTCTATCTTCAGTTTTTTTGTTGTTGTGTGTTATAGGAATATATATGCAAGTTAACTTCTATTGAAAAGTTGCGAAATTATGTACCAAGCCCTTCCAACCTTTTAGATTCACTCAAAAGAGTTTTTTCATGACGCGTTGGATCGAATTTTTTCAAGGTTGAAAGTATTTCAAACGTGTTAGAGTTGACATTGAGAACCAAGGAGGCAAAAATGTGAGAGGAAAGTGATGGAGCAAGGATGCGAGGAAACGAGAAGGACGGAATAAGCCATTGTGATTGGGTAAATAATCGATAGAAAGGCGTGAATCACTGTTGTGTGCGTGATTGCTTATCTAGAGGCCCCTTCGATGGAGCATTTTGTCCGCTGCGCCGTCAGAAGTCGTCCCAACTCCGGAGATGTTGCGGCCGCCGTCTGCCACCCAAAACGCCGACTCCGAAAATGTCTCCGACAGTTTTCTCTCGTCACAATTTCGCCAATAAGAGGCCAAGCTTGTGAAATAGGGGTCCACGGGCTTAGTCTAAGTCTATTTTAGAACATTTTGTAGAAGACAGTCTATTTGTGTGGAATATAAAATAATCGATAATGTATGGGAAGAGAGATGAATAAGGAGTGTTGCTAGAAGTTGTCTGGTTCGATGTCTTCAATGGGAGAAAACTCCAGTTTTTCGATTTAGTCGGCTTGACGGCTTTTTTTTCTGCAGATTGATTTTTCTTTGTGTTCAAATTTAGAATGAATGCTCCAATCGGCTTTAGATGTATTTTTTGATTTTCAGTTATCAAAATGTTTGCAGGACCACTCGCCGGCGCTCAGCCAGAAGATCAAAGTGCCGAAAAAGCATTACTCACACGAAGATCCATTGCAACGAATGGAGACTCCTGTGTTCGACAAGGTTTTTCTTCATTGCTCTTGAAATGATTTGGAAGAAAACTGAGATAACGAGTTAGAGACAAATTTTTCGAAAAAAAAGCGAGCTTCGAAAATTTAGCTAACCATGGAATGCTCTGAGCTCACAGTGGGACTTCTGAATGGGGCTAGGTTTTAAGCGGAATTTTGTTCATAGTTAATTTCATCGTTTTTTTTTTTTGATTAACTATTTTTCCAAGTTTGTGATCTGTTTTTGTGCGTGTTTTTTAAATTTTCCTATCCCGTTATTTGATCATTCACTTTATCTAAAAATAAAAATGGAACACAGACAATTTGGAATAAGAGGCTATTACAAGTAGAAGTAGCGGTGCGCAATTAGATTATATAGATTTTTTTATTTGAAAAACGAGAAGTACATATTTTATGAAAAAAACTCACTCTCATTATTTCAACTAGCAAAAATTAAAATTTTTGAAACTAAAAAAACGAAACAATATTCGAAAAAAATGTTCAAAAACCAACAACTTTTTTTGTGATGGTTATCGATGGCGCGCAAGAAGTAGAGGAAATTTCTGCCAAGAGGTTGCAAAATTTTTGACGTTATTTTTTTCAGCTGATTTTCTCATCGACGGTTCTCGCCGTTAAATGTTCATCAAAAAAGTAATGGAACTTTCTCTCGTTTATGAATGAAATTCAGGAAGAGCAGGCTCATCGAAAGAAAGGGCCTTCTTCGGCGGCGACGGTCCTGGCCATGTCGGGACTTTTCGTCGTCGGCACCACTCTCATCCTCAGCGGAGTCATCGTTCTCATTGTTGTGAGTTCCTTTTTCCGCGTCGTTTGACCGGTTCGCCTCGTATTGGGCAGCGGAAAGCTGGCTGTACATCCACAATTTTTGTTTTCGTTTTTTCACTTTGGAAGTATTTTTCAAATTACTTTGAGTCAATAATAGATTTTCATTTCTGGTTCATGTTATGAACATTTCAATAAAACTATTTAGCTAGAGCCCTTTTTCAGAATTTCGATAGGAAAATTTAATAAGAATGATCCTCCGTGGAAGTGCAAAGATCATATACCTTGAATCATTCCCGAAAAACTTTCTGAGTTCCCTAATCTTATCAAAAATTTTGAGAAAACCCAATCTTTTCGGCCTCCCTCTGCATAACGTTAAAGTGAGCGAGAAGAAGCTGGAAGCAGTCCGAAAATCGGGTTTTTTCTTCACCAAGAACTGACCGCGGCAGCCGCCACCAACTCAAATTCCGATCATTCGCTTTTCCGCCCAATTTTTGGCTGATTTACGCCCTAAAATCGAGCCTGTTTCCAAAGTGTAAACATAGCTAAAAAATCTGAGAGGATTGCGGACCAATATTCAACAATAGAACTTCCTATAAATCCAAGAAAAGACTCTATAGCTTTCAGTTTTTCTTATTTCATTGCTGGGGAACTAGAATCTCCCCATTTTCGAACAAAAGTGAACATACCAACGCATAGTTAGTTTCCAGCCGGATCAATGGAGTGCAACTGCCATACCAAAAAAATAGTTCGAAGCTAAAAAAATACGATTTTTTTCCCCAAAGAAGCTTTTTAAATAAAAAAACCCTTGATTTCAAAAAAAGATACTGAGATTATATTTTTTTAGTTTTGTTTTTTCATTGTCATTGCTTACATTCATAATTATATCTTCACTAAGAATAACTGCCGAGATAAACGCGAGACACTGGCGGTTCATTGACGAGCTCGCAAACATCTCTCTTTTTTTCTCACGCCGGTCTCGCATTTTTCTGGGCGCGAGCTCGCATTTCTCTCACAATTTGAAAATTTTCAAGATGCGAGACAAATGCGAGATGGCGCCGAGAAAAATGCGAGGTCGCGCCTAGAAAAAAGCGAGATGTTTGCGAGTTCGTCAATGTACCGCCACCGACCTCGCGTTTATCTCGTCAGTTATTCTTAGTGTTTAAGTGAAAGCTAAAAAGCCTTCTAGTTATTTTTTTCACATGTTTCGTGATCTTTTGTTAACAATCTAAAAATGTTTGCCAATCGATAAGAAAAAAGTCTATGTTCTCAAAAAACATGTATTCAATCATCCATCACGTTTTTGAACTGGTTTCAGCTGCTTCTTATCAATTAAAAGTTTAATGATCTCTATTTAACACTTTATCGGTATTTTGATACTAAATCAATTCATGAATTCAATCTTTCAAAATTTACAAAGCGAATTTGGTATCATGGATAGATGCCACCGTTTAATTCTCGTACGTCTTTGGTGTGTTGAAAAAGTTTCTGTTCTGCAATTCTAACAGCGCAGTTGAAATTCAGGCTCAAAATGAGTTTAAGATATGCCCTGAAAGCAAACAAAGCTTGTCTCACACCTAGGACACTCGGAACGGATCCACAGACCGTTCGGCCCCGATCGCCGATAAAGTTTGTCCGATTGCAAGCGCAGCAACGTTATCAGATCTGCGATTCCGCGTGATCCACACATACAAACGTCCTCGTTGATTAGCCATGAACTGGCAACAAAGCCTGTCCCTTCTGATTCGTCCACGCGCCGAAAAAGTTCAACCTAAAAAGAGTCAAGTTGTGAGAATCATTTCTTGACCTCCCCTCAACTTCAGAAAATTCGGCGTTACCTATTCTGACTTATGAATGGAGCTCTCGTGGACTTGGCAAACGTCAACACCAAATTCTAGGCGAAAACAAAAACCATACTTTTTTAGTTTCCTACTACTATTTTTAACGGATAATTTAGTAAAACTTGTTTTCAAAGTGCACACGTACTTCCAGGTAGTCAATATTTGAAACTGAAGTTAGGATTTTTGAAGCATCGTCAAAAAAAGCAAGCAAAAATTTCATTGAAAAATGTATCATAATTTTTTTTATAAGAAAAATGTTTAGAAATGGTGCAAAATGGAGCACGAGATAAGGACGACGTGAGCCTTTTCCTCTCTTCTTTGTATTTTATTTCTTCATGTAGCTTTTAACAAGAGTTTTTTTCAGGCATCTCACATCGTGTTCCTACCTTCCAATTTTATTTTTTATTCGTTCCAAAAACTTTTTCCAAACTCAAACTATCATATATGCTCATTATGTACTTCAATAAATTTTCCATATTTCCTTTTCAAATTTGGCTGATTGCAGCAGCCGGAGACGCCGTTCGTCGTGACCGGCTGTCTTTTCCTGGGCGTCGGCGTGGCGATGCTCCTCGTTTGTGTCGTTCTGCAGAGGAAGAACGTCGTCAAGTTCGTTCTCGACCTCAACCGCGACCTCTACTTCCTCAACATGAACAAGTCTTACATGTGGAAAATGATGTTTGAAATGCGCTCCGAGCTTCCTTTGTCTTCTGATGACTGATCGGCTTTTTTTTTCTCTTTTTTTTCTGATCTAACTTTCAAGTTTTCTCTTATACGCACTGAGTCTTTTACCGCTGATAATGCCTCACGCTCTGTAAAAAGTATATATTGATCAAATAAGGAACTTGTTTTAATTTTCGAAAAATTTTCAATTTATCTTTCGGGATTGAACTGTGTCTTTTTCTAAAACGCTTTTGTGGACTACGGTTAAATTTTTTTGTATCTAAAGTAATGCATCGTATCATTGATTCTTTTCTCAGATAAGAAAAAAATCCAAATGTGACAGGGAGTTTTTTTCGGTACCAATTAAGGTCAATCTTTACAATTTGATTGACTTTATAGTTTTCAGAATAAACTTTTGAATAAAATGCGCTGACTTGGAAAAAAAAATGAGAAAAGAACTGCAAACGATAATTTATGAACTTCGGAACTTAAAAATAAGAAACAAAATGAAAATTGGCTAGACAAAATGAAAGAGAAGCTAAAAACTTTTGAAAAATTCATATTATTTTCGAGTGTTGCTGTTTTGAAAGCGAAATCAGAAAATGAGGCTTCGAGTCTGTTCTCACGTCGGCATTTGAAAAAAAAAACCCAAAGTCAGTCGAAATGAACCTTGTCTAAATAATCTAAGTTTTTCAAATGCTTGAATCTTTCACGGCTTTTTTTAGAGATTCGAAGACCTCCAATCAGTAAGTTTAAAAGTGTTTTAGCGAAAAAGTTTCCGAAGTTATATGAGTGTGAATTGACCTTTCTTGTAAGACTCCAACAATACTCTTTCAGTCGGATCAATAATGATCAAAAATGAAAAGTTTCTCTAATGAAATGAAAAGCGACGGAAGTTGCAACAGTAGGACAGTAAGGAGATTCACTTTCGGAACGGTTTGGGGGTCGGATGTCGCCAGGCGAGAAGTGGACCGCAGCTGCGGCCGCCTATCAAGTTTTGCGGGTCTTTGCACCCTGGAGAAACCCGCGAAAGGTACTGATCGAAATCTGATAGCACCTTATTCCAAACATGACCTCGCGAAGATTTCAACAAGGAATAAACTATTTTGAAAGCGACTCGAGTTTCTTTCGTTTGTCTTTCAAAAAGTAGTCACTTCAAAACAAGAATATTGAATACAGAGGTGTCTCGGAAGCTTGGGAAAATTGGGGTGTTGAAAACACATTTGACTACGTTGCGTTTTTGTCAGCACTAATTTTTTTTTGATAGAATCCTCAAAAATCATGGGTTCTACCTCTTTTTTCATATGAAAAAAGAGGTCAAAATCCATGATTTTTGTTTTGAAATTCAAACTTCTATTTTCAGCGAAAACTACTTTTTAATGATATAAGCTGATGGTCTATTTCAAGCTGAAAAACTCTCAGATTTCTTTGAAATGCCTTTATAATCGGGAATATGTTTGAAGAAGAAAAGTGATTTCTGATCGATTTTTTCGGAATGATAAGACGGCTGTACTTCGAGACCGTTGGCACGGCGGGCAGGTGGTGATAGAAAGGAGAAGCCGCAGCGCTGGCGAGATCCCGATCTGACCCATATCTCAAGACGCTTCTCTCCTTTGTCTCAGCGGATCCAGAGGGGCGGCGTCTGTGGACTGCCTTAATCGGCGTCGCTTCTATATAAGGTAGGAAGGTGGCGGAAGAAGATGCGTTCGCCACCCATCCACCTCATCATGGAGACCGACGGTCGCATGAAAGCTTACAAATTTGTCGCCTACGCGGCGGTCTCCTTCTCCATCGTGGCCGTCCTCTCGGTCGTGCTCACTTTGCCGATGGTTTACAACTATGTGAGCCACGTCAGGCAACAGATGCACCACGAGATCTCCTTCTGCAAGGTTTATTTTCTGTTTTTTTTTTAAATTTTTTTTCTTTATTAAATCGTTTACTTAGCAATGTGTTCGCGAATTTCTATCTATTTTTCATTGCACTTCTCGATTTTAATAGTGCTTTATATCATGAACGGAGTTTTCATATATTCATCAAAAACCATTGAGAAAGCCTAAACTGTACTTTTTCCCATATAAAATTGATTGTTACGTTTCTAAACCTGTCCATTGTTCAGGGATCCGCCAAGGACATCTTCGCCGAAGTTAACTTCATGAAGGCTCATTCTGGACCAGCGGCCCCACGCAACCGTACCGCCCGTCAGTCCGGCTACGGCGGTCCAGAAGTCAACCCAGCTCCAAACCTTCAGTGCGAAGGCTGCTGCTTGCCGGGACCACCTGGACCAGCTGGAGCTCCAGGAAAGCCAGGAAAGCCAGGACGACCAGGAGCGCCAGGAACGCCTGGAACGCCAGGAAAGCCACCAGTCGCCCCTTGCGAGCCAACCACTCCACCACCATGCAAGCCATGCCCACAAGGACCCCCTGGACCACCAGGACCACCAGGAGCTCCAGGAGACCCGGGAGAGGCTGGAACTCCAGGAAGACCAGGAACCGACGCTGCTCCAGGATCGCCAGGACCACGAGGACCACCAGGACCACCAGGAGAGGCCGGAGCCCCAGGACCAGCCGGAGAGCCAGGATCGCCAGCTGTTTCCGAGCCACTCACTCCAGGATCCCCAGGAGAGCCAGGAGATGCCGGTAAATCTTCCCTTTCTACTTACACTATAGCAAAATCGAATAATTTTTGCTCAGAACAGTCTCTTCAAACTGATTTTTTTCAGGACCACCCGGACCTCCAGGACCACCAGGAGCTCCAGGAAACGACGGACCACCAGGACCAGCCGGACCAAAGGGAGCTCCAGGACCAGACGGACCACCAGGAGTCGACGGACAAGCTGGACCTCCAGGACCACCAGGACCTGCCGGAACCGCTGGAGAGAAGGGAATCTGCCCCAAGTGAGTTGAAATTCGCTCAGAGCTCAACTAATTGGCTTCGTTCTCAGGTATTGCGCTTTGGACGGAGGAGTCTTCTTCGAGGACGGAACTCGGCGCTAAGCGCTTTCACAGTTCCACACGCGGTAGACGATGTCTGTCTGGTAATACGTCGCACCGTGTTCTTCTCGGCTCTAGTGTCTTTCTTCGCCTCATCGCAATCAACCTTATTAATTTATCGTTCTCCCCAAACGACTGTAATAAAACAGTTCTTAAATTTCTTGTTTTTTGTTTCAATTTACATCGAATAATTCTGAATTATAAGGCTTCATTCTCGAAATCAAGATCCTTTTGTTCTTCGAGGATGTTGACCTGAATAGCCCAGTTTGCCTCGCACGCGCGCCGAATCAAAGCCGATATTCCGAAAACTCGATAAAAGGCCTGATAAAACCGCATTCTTCCCTATTCATCTCGGCCACAACGCATAATCGCGTCTCCTTAACGCATTATCACGTTGAAATTGGATTTTCAACGATCCTGATAAGCTTGGAAAGTTCTTTGGATTTTGGAAGTCTTGCGATGAGCATTAGTCGTCAATAGAAGCTTCTCAGATTAGGTCACAATCGAAAAAATTCGTTTTGTTGCTACTTCTTTTTTTAAAAACATTTATAATTGAAAAGAAATGGGTGGTGAAATAAGAGTATTTGATGGTTTTTCTAATTATTATAATATATATTGATATTAATATATATATAATTTTTTTAATTTTTTTATATTTTTTTGAATGTGTACAGTTACGGTCAGATGAAAATACGTCACAAACTTGACGTCACATACATGTTAATAGACGCGCATTGTTGTCTTTTTTTTTCTTAGGCACTGGTGGTGCGCACTTCAGGCGAGGACACGCCGGGGACGTGGCGGGGACGCACCAGGTGTCTCCTCTCATTTCTTTTTGTTCTAATAAGTGTTCAGCAAATTTTCCTTTTTATACGTTTTTACAGTCTGAACAGTCTTTGATGAACCCATATGAGCCGCATGGCTCATTTCAATCAGTCGGCACACACCCACGGTATGATTTTCATTATGCTGCAGTTTCTTCTTCATCTTTTTAGCTGCGTGAAATCGACGGCCAACCATGGGTCCGTTCACCTACCAAGCCATCAATCTTCATCGATGAAAGGTAATTTGAAAAAGTTCTGTTTGTTGATATGTTTTCAGAACCGGGAAAAAAAGCGCCAGATTGGTACTATCCCGGGTCTTCATCGGAGAGTTCAATGCTCGATCCTATCGAAACACGGATACTCGGTGTATCTACTTCATCTCGAAGTTTGGCTTCTGAGATGAAAGATGAATCTATAGCTGAACATGGGGTTCCTTTTGGAAATTTTTTTTTCATTGTGTGTTCCATTCACAGTTAGTCTATTGGCAAGAAAAATATCTTCATATTTAAAATTAAAATTGATTTTATTGCTTCACTGAACATATTTAGGACTGCGAGCTATATAGTGTCAACTACTCTGTTTTCTAAGCATTTTTCACGATCAATATGGAACCGAACTTCTTTGACTTATTCCTCAATGTTACAGATTAGTTGTTCTTGTGGATGTATTTCGGTGAAATGTTTGGGCAACAGCGCTCACGAAATTAATTTTTCATGCGATAAAACGGCTTCAAATCCTCAAGGAGAGCTCATTGTACGGCTTCGTAGGGATGGCGTAATAAAAGTTCTTGAAGGAGGTTATCCAAAGTTAATAGAGAGTAAAAGAATTTTTTTTACGATTCAGATAACGAAAAGGTCATTTATGATTTCTCGCAGCCAACTCCAATGAGCTTATATCCACCGTCTCAACCGCTATATTTTCCCGTTGCGCCTTTCCCTTCGTGTCAATCCATAAACATGGTTTCGTCTCTTTTTCGGACCTGAAATGTTGTCTGTGATTGGTTTTGCTTATGACATCCCGTCTTTACTGTAGAAAACTTTCTGGTGGTGAAAAAAAAGCCAGCGAGTTTTCGAACAGCAGCTTTTCCGATTTTTCATATCGCTAGGAAACTTTCCGACGGCGACGTTTCCGACTCTTTCCTTTTCAACTTTTTTTCCCTTATATTTGTTTCATAAAAGATCTATCGACATTGTGTTTTTAAGCATGATCAACTACTTATTTTATAAAAAGAAAATTCAGAGCGAAGAGATTATCGAGAAAAAAAGGCCGGAAGCTTTGCAGTAGGAAATTTCCTTAGCGATAAGAAAAAAATCAAAAAAAGTTACTGTTCGAAAGTTCGTTGGCTTTCACATTTTCATTTTTGCATATTGCAGGTTTTTTTAATCTTTTTGAGTATTTAACAAATAGTTATTTTTTTGATGTCTAAAAAAATGCTTGAAAATGAATAAATTACGATTAAACTTACAATATTTTTTTATGTCAGTTGTAGGTCAAAACGTCGTGCGGTCACTACGCGCAGGATGTTCCCTTCTTGCCGAGAGCAGCATACCCAGAAATAGAGGTTTTTTTTCTCTCAAAAACTATTTTTCGTTTGTCCTCTTCAGCAACATAACTCCTGGTGATAACACCTGTTTTCAGGCTCCGAATTACGGTACACACAGACAAAATTGTTCTTTTCAAACCCAATTTCCGATGGAATATCCATCGTGGAATAGTAACGTCACACAAGTAAATTGGTCATTCATTTTTGTTCCCAAATCAAAATTATAGGCGGAACAGACATTTTCAGGCTTCAGAAACATGACGACAGGCTTTGAGGAGGTTCAAACTTTTAGAAACATTTCCGAAAAAAATTGAGTAAAGAAGGTTAAAAAATCGCGGAGTCCATGCAGTTCAGAAAGCTGCCAGTAAAAACTTACACAACTTTTTTTTTTTACTCATTTTAAGTTCTTCAGTCTTTGGAGTTATTTTTGAGAAAGCGTTCAGAAACACTAACACATAGTAGAAGCAAAATGTCAACTAACCCTCGAAGCATAGAAAGGGACAAAGAAATTTGTATGAAAAAAAGGTCTCTGTGTTTCAAGAATGAGCCTTGCTATTTTTTTCAATCTATTGAGTTTTTAGCGGCTATATACAAGTGAAGATACGTTGCCAGAGTTGCCGAAGATAAATCCTAGTAAAGGTTTTCAAACGGTGAATTCGACAACTGGAGGCCATCCGCCGGAAGACGGAGGCGGTCCCATTTTGCAGGTAGGAATTTCTAATCGGAAATAGTCTGCTTGATGTTGATTCGAAAGCCAAACCTACTTGGGAATTTTTGAATTAGACTTTTCCAGACATTGACGTCATCATCGGCGATGAGGTACCTGGTTAATCGTCCAATAAAGGTTTTTTTCAAACTCTCTGTGAATAAGTTCATGCAATTTTAGAAAGCAGATGATGATCAGTGTAAAGACTTACCGAATCCACTGGATGTTTCTAAGTTTTCAAGCTGCAAATAATAATTATTCTAAAATTTGTTTCAAAAGAGAGGACAACGATGTCGTTGAAATTTTTTCGACGACACCCTTGATGCGAATCAAAAAAGATTTAGGAGTTAAAGTAGGTATTCTCTAAAATAAGTGTAATTTCTCTGTTTTTTAAGGGAGGCGGCGAAGACTTTGAAAATGACTCGGATTTCGAGATTTCGTGAGTTTGAGATAAAGTTTCTGTTCAATTTTCAAGAGACAGATCTGTGGTGTCTGATTGTGGCGAGATCTTCATGGACATGGAAAATGCCGCGGACATCGGAGACCGTCGCGAATGGAAGGAAGGGCTCAACATCGACGTGCGATTGAAGCCTGGCGGTGGACATGAGGTTTTTTCTCTCCGGGGTATCGATCCTCGAAATTTCTCTTTTCAAGGTCGAATTGTATACTTTAAACGACGGTCTCAAGGTGTTCGACGTCGGGATTTGCGGGAATATCAGTGAGATCAAGACTTCTCAGTACTTGAAGTACCGTGAGAGAAGAGATGGAACTTTTGAGGTTTGTCGATTTTTTTGACCTGGTGTCTGTCCAAATATCTTCGCTCCTCAATTTTGTAGAAGTTTTGCACTACTTAAAAAGAAAACAGAGAGAAGTCTTTCGAAACGATAGTTTTTTGGGATTTTCTCCTTCAAAAATTCCAGAAATGATTTTCCCGCAGACCATATAGAGATGAACTAATTTTTCGTCGAGAAAAATTGTTTTTTCCGTATAAGCAAAATTCCTGAATTCATCACTTTTGAAAGGGAAGTGAGACAATTTTGTAAGAGGGGTAGCTCAAGTAAGAATAAAAGTAAAGTCTTGGTCGAAAAAATTGGAGTTTTTTTTTTCTTTGGCGCATCACACGCCCGAAATGAAACATTGGTACTCTCTGAATTTTCAATGTTTTTCTCATTCATCTGCTCTTAAAATATCAAACGATCCGGAGATGTTTTCAAGATGAGGACGACGAAAAGTATGCTGCAGCGCGTAGGCGTCATCTCCATCAAGTTGCGTCACAAAAAGTGCCTCGAGATAAAGACTTACGCTCTGTGTTGTTACTCGACAGCAGAACTGCTCAACAACCGGAAAAACAGCTTTTACCTTTGGTAAGACGAAAGAAGCTTTTTACTCCCTGATAAAGTCATCCTTTTGATCTTAATTGAATACTTCCATCAATGAACATTGGTTTTGGTGGAGATGATGATAAAAAATTCAGACTTTTAGGTCATTTCGAACAAGGTACAATCTATAACCGAAAAAATTTTCGATGTATTGCTTTCTACGAAAATTTTTATCTTAGATGATTTTCGGATCAAAAATGCTTCGAAATTATTTTAGGGTCGACTTCATCGGATTCTACGAGTTGAGCGGCTTGGATGTTCTAAGTTGGTCGCAAAAAAAGCAAATCAAACCGGAGATACTTTTTGGTCCGCTCCGTTTGTTGAACGTTATGCTAAAGGCTGATATGTCTCGGTTTTTACTTTCTTGGAAATTTATAAAAATTTCTGGGGATTTTTAGACGCGATTCTCCTTTCCCGCGCTTCACTTTGCTCTCAGTCGAATCTATACGAGAAGATAACGAGGGGATGGTCAGAACAGGATTTTTTTTCCTTTTTTCAAGTTTATTTTTCTAAGGAACAAGTCGGCTCAGTGTTTTGGCCGTCACAATGTCATCGTTTCGACGATTTGGAATACGTTGACAAAACGGTGCGTTTCGAGGAGTTTGTTATGCCGTGTTCGAAGTAATTTCCGCGGAATGCAAAAGATCTCTGTCTCTCCAAAATTAATTTATCTTCTTTCAATTTTCGATGGCTATTTTAGATTTCGCGAAATCACTTTGAACACAGCATTAGATTTCAAGACTTGTCTTCTCGTAAGGTCATTGAACGTAACTTTAGGCCAAAGAGTACATCTTGAGATCGAAAAGCCGCCCTTCGGTTGTCGTTTGGTGTTATTTCCAGAACGCATGGATTGATATCGTCGAGAATTTTTCCAAGGATGTTCTCTTTTCGGTGACTTTTTCGTTTATTGTATTGAAACTATGTGGTAATCTTTCAGGCAATTGTGGCTCCGCGTCGAGTTAAAGGAAAATTAGAAGGATACAGAGCTCTAATCGCAGGCCCCCTCAAGGTTTTAGAATAATCTCTTTCTCAAACATTTCCGGACAGTTCAGAAACTCCTATAGCAGAAATATTGTGCAGAGAAATCCTGAATTTTAATTTTAAAAAAAGCCTCCTTTTTTGGTTATGAAAATTTCTTGAGAGAGGCTTCTGTAGCCTTTTTGCAGTTTTACTAATCTTTGAGAGCTCATTTCGGAGAAACTGGTTAGTTTTGTAGGTTAGAGAGCGGCGGAAGCTTTCGTTGCTCAGTTCTTGTGTGGCAGAAATATTTGAAGGAGCCTCATTGCAGCTTGTCTTGTTGAAAACGCAACATCGCTTACGGAACTACGTTCCAAAAACGTTTCCCAGTGATCGTCGGTGCAAGGAAGCTCAAGAGAAACTCAAAGAAACCCTGGCAAACTCGACGAGATCTCGATCCGACGTTTCTGAACCGCGCAGAAGAACCCAAAGCTTCAACAATTAGCAATCTTTACTCGTTTTTCTGTTGTACTAGTTCATTATTTGTGTGCTTTTCTCTTCGTTTTTTGTAGCTCGCAAATTTCTTAGAACCTATCCGTCTGTATGATAAATTTTTCTCTAATTTAATTTTTGTTGAATTTTTTTTTCCAGTTCGAAACTGTTAGAAACAGTTCATACTTTGCGAGTAATTGCGAAAACCGATGGTACGACAAAATCTCAAGTCCGCAAATCTCGAGGACCGTAATCTTGTGTACGCAGATCTAAAGTCCCATAATCTTGAAACCAAAATCTTGGAGACCGAAATCTTGGAAACCACAATCTTGGAAAGCAAAAAAACTTCCTTTTTAGTCTTCTTTTATTGCACTTTATCTACTTATATTCTCTCGTTTGGATCACCGAATACAATTTCTGATAAAATCTATTCGCAAAAGCGTTGATTTTTACTTTCCAAGATTGTGGTTTCCAAGATTTTGGTCTCCAAGATTTTGGTTTCCAAGATTATGGGACTTTAGATCTGCGTACACAAGATTACGGTCCTCGAGATTTGCGGACTTGAGATTTTGTCGTACCATCCGAAAACCGATGCCGCATTTGAAAAGTCAGTGTGCGGGTTTGCAAAGTGGTGTGTGCTGTTTGCATTTTGAGAAATTTTGATAAAGAAAAATAGTTCTGAAATTTTCCGTTTATTCGAGTTTCAAAAATATTTTTTTCCTAATTGATTACCGCCATTTCAGAATTTATCCATCAATTGTGAGAACTTTTTTGCAAGAATTTCATTTTTTTTTTATTTTATTTTTGAAGCTTTTTCTTAAAAATGTAGTCCAATCGGAAAAAAAAAATGATTAGAAAATGACAGTTTTTTTATTTCCCTGTTGCCTATCCAAATTAATAAATCGTATCTACAAATTTAAAAAATTTCGCCGCGGTATCCCTGATTGCAGCAGAAAGAGCAGCACGCGTTTTGATTTTAAGACGTTATCCTTTCTTTTTTTACAACACAATACTAATTTCTCTGATTTCTACTTTCCCACTTTGCGTTTAGGCCCTTACATTAAGTTTTTTTAATTCCTAGTTTCAAATTATTAATGTTTATATTTCTCGACTTATGTTGTTTCTCTAGTAAGAAATATTTTTGCAGAGACTTATCTAGAAGAATCTTAGCTTACGTGTGATCATATCAAGCTAGCTTAAGCAACATAAAGTAAAAAAATAAGTTTTTTTAGTGTTCTCAATTTTTTTCTCCGTATAATTTCCATATTCCATTTCAGCGTTTCAATGAGTGATACGTTGTTCGGTTTCAATCGCTCAAACGTGGTTCTCGCAGCCGGGATCGCAGGCGCGGCTTTCGTCGGTTATTGCATTTACTTTGACCATAAAAGGACCACTGCTCCCGATTACAAAGACAAAATTCGCCAGAGTACGTTTTCTTTTGTTTTGCTTGAAATATTATGGTTTCATTCCGCGCAAAAAGGCTTAGAAGAGGTAATTTTTGATGTAATTTTTTTATAGTGTGTTTTTCTCTTCTCAAAATCTTTGTAACAAAAAAATGAGTTATTTTTTTCTGTTTTCAGAGCGACGAGCCGACGCAGCAGCTCGTGGAGGAATCGGATTGAGGTCGACGGCGTCGGCCGGAAGAAGCGGCGAAATGAACTTGTCGGACCCGGCGATGATGCAGGCCTTCTTCTTACAAGAAGTTCAGCTCGGTGAAGAGCTCATGGGTGCAGGTTCGACTTTTTTTTTACATCGTCGTGATTTCAAAAAAACAGTAATTCTCACGACGCTATCTTCGTGTTTCGTTATGGCTTCCCGAAAGTTGCACGCGAAAAACTGGGCATCTTCTGACAAAAATACACTTTTTTTTTTCTCGACTGATATTAAAAATGCCCGACTTTAAGCTTTTATCCCCTTTTTACGAAAATAAGTTTTTTTTTTCAATCATATTTTTCTCAACGATTACCGTGAAGCATTTAGAGAAACTAGCATCAGTTAAGTTTCTTGACCGGTTTTGAGTTGATTGCTGCGGTAGCCCGTAGTTTTTATTCGCACATTTCTACATTTTTAAAGCCTATACCCGACGGGAAGAACCTTTTGTTTTAGGAAACATCGAGGAAGGCTCGACGCACATCGCCAACGCGGTCGTTCTGTGCGGAGAGTCGCAGCAACTGCTCTCCATCTTCCAGCAGACGCTCTCCGAGGAACAGTTCCGCGCCGTCCTCGTCAAACTGCCCAGTACTCGCGAGGTACTGCTTTCTTCATGTTTCTGATCAATTTAACAGATCATTCTCTTTTCTTCATACTGATTGTCTGACTTAAGAGAACAAATTTTGGTTTCCACTTCGAAAAAGTTTTCCTTCATTTTTGCTATTGCCCTCTACTTGGATATTAGTCAAAAACTTTTTTTTACCATTTCTCAATATTTCAGCGACTGGCTTCAATGTTCGGAAAAGCGGCTGATTCAGCAGAAGATGAGCCGCCCACTGTGCAGTATATCGGCGATGGCCCCGCTCCTTCTCAGGTTATTCTTTCAAATTGAAAACTTGTAAACATCCTGTATTTGAATCGAATTCTGCGCTACTTTTGTTTAGGCTCGTTTGAAAAAAAAAATGCGTTTAGATAACTTTTTCTCTAAATAAAGTATAGTGTAGAACAAGATGTTTAAGATTTTTTTTTTGACTATGAGCTGTTATTTCTTGACGACCTATCTGATACTTTTTATTGAGCCAAAAACAACAAAAAAAATTTGATTTGATTGTTAAATTTTTGTTTTACAGATCCAAGAACTGATTGACGACACGGACGATCTCGAATAAAAACAAACCCTGCTCAAATTAGAACAACGTTTCCTACTAATTATCCGTTCAACTTGATTTTTAGTTATTATCATTTCTTCGTTTAATTTTCCTTCTAAGGGTTTTCTAGTTGTTTGTTTTTGTTACGTTTGTTATTCAGAGGCGGAGGCTTTCTGCGCTGCTCGCTCCCTTTCTTCAAACCGATTGATTTCGGCAATTTATCAATAAATTATGAATGAGTCGCCAGCCGAGGGACAATACACGTGGCCAGGGATTTGGAAGTAATTCGCGGCAGGAGGATCTCCCTGCGGCGCGTTACAGCTCAGACGACACCAGGAGAAAGGAAAGAAAAAAAAGTGTCACACAGCGACTGACCACCGCCACACCTTTCCAGAATCTCTTTTCGCAGCTGTGTTCTGACAGCCAACAGCGGCGCTTCAAAAATCTCTTTCAAACGGAAACTTTTCAAAAATGTTCTCACTCTTTGCTTACTTTGACCTTGAATCTCTGCGAGAACAGCTAATGATGTTAAAAGTCGCCTAACGCGCTTTGCAACCACGGACAAAACCTATTAGGCTCGAATGTCGATGGTTGCTGACCAGGCCTAAGCGACTTTACGCTTTCTATCCTAGCTCCGGGTTCATTGCACTTTTTGTTTTCGGCACTCGATCTCACTTCGATAATCGTCTTGTAGTCGTTTGTCAAAGCCGCGAGAGAAAATCCGTGGTTGGCTCTACTCCAAAATAATACGCCGAGCATCGGCCATTCATCTCATTTCCTCGCTCATCCAAAAAAGAGAAAAAACCCCTTATTCTCCGCTTCCTTTCGTGAATTGTAACGTCATAAAAGACTGGCGAAATAAATAAGAGCCGGTCGTCAAGCATTCTTTTTCGTCATCTTCTGGCCGCCAGGAACGTCCTTTTTCTTGTTCGCAATTTTAATGAGAGTCGAGCTTCATCTCTGAGGAACCGCAACTAACTTTTTCACTCATATTCATCATGCCAGACTTTGGACAGGATGGCCCAGCTTGAAAAAGCTTCTATGTGCAACGTGTATCTGATTAACCACAGTTAAACTTTCCAAACAGCAAGTCAATAGCTAATCACCTGAGATAACTTTCAAAGTTTTTCAAAATTAGCTTTGAATAGAATAAATAACGTAATAACATCAATTTTAACAATTTATGTAGTTTATTCACTTCATAGTTTTCAAAAAATCAAAGCTTTCGTGGTCTTCAAAATTTTTTTAAATAACGCAACCAAATAGCTATCATTTTTAATTTTCAGAACAAAACCTCCTTCAGAGTCAACTTCTCTGTTGAACCTTTGACAATATTAGCTTGGATCTACGAAAATCCCCAATCCCAAAAGTTCCACCCCTTACAGATGAGGACTTATTAGGAGATCGGCGACTGGCTCACGGGAGGATAATTTACCTCGACGGCTCAAATTTCCGGACTCCCACCTTGCTCTTTCCTTGTTTGACAACTGTGCAACATCCATCTGTTCTTCGACGTTTCTGTCCTTAAGCTCCCTTAAGGTACCACTTCAAAGGCAAAAATAAGTTATTTTGCGAGAAAACCTCAAACTTTTTTCGAGCAATTTGATTTTTTTTTATTAGTTCTTTGCGGGATCTGTGATTATTCATTATATGTTTTTCTTGTTAATTCGAAAAGCTAGCGACAAAGGCTTTCATTTTTCCGCTTTGTAGCTCATAGGAATTTCCTCTTTTCGGCCATTATTTTGAAGCTCCCCAGAATATTTTCAGCAGAAAACAAAGAAAAATTTTCCAGTTTAGCGATCAATGTTCGGACCTCACAAAGTAGTTTTTGAGGTGATAATTTTTGATGCCAGCCAGCTTGTATATTTTTCTCGAATAGATAAAAGTGAATTAAGTCTGGTATGATGAATATGAAATTGAGTTAGAAACGGTACCAGAAAATACAGTCAAAGTTTAGGAGGAAGTATTTATACTAAAACCCGAAGTCTGAGTAGTTCTTGTTAGAGTTCGGAGCAAGAGAACTGGGAAAAAAAGCCGTACATATTAGGACCACAGTCAAATAAAATTTTGTAAATAATGAGTGCTCCACTGACAAAACAAAAAGAAATTATTTTGAGAGAACTATTGTCATATTTGAGAATTTCGATTGTCCGTGAAAAAAACGAATAGTAGGTCTAAGAGGATCAAAATAATTACATTCAAAAATTGATCGAATCATTCGTTTTCCTGGTCTTCAGCCGAGGCTTAGAAGTACCGTAGTGCAGAGGCTGAAATTTAATATGCCTCCAATAACGCGTCAATCTCGGTCCCTCCGTCAAAAAATGGCTTAAAACGAAGTCGAGACGAATTTCCTCAAGTTGGCAAAAAGTGCGAAATATGACTACAGCCAATGGGCCAAAACTGCTTGGACATACGCTCACACACCGCAATTATGTGCAAACCTTTCATGGAAGCGGCGGGCACCTCTGCCCAACATTATTCCTTCTTTTTGCTCCCAATAGAACTTTGGGTAAAATTGGCTCCACCTCTTCTTGAGGAGTAATTCCGCTTCGAATGCGCCTGACTGCGAAGACTATTTGCTGGTGTTCACATTTCAACCGATTCCTTTTCTTTTTTATTCCCGCCGTTTCTTGAAGACTGAAAAAAACGATCTGTTTCGAAAAATACAGGACGGGTTACAATTTGAGCTGAATTCCATTCGCTACAAATTGAAACGTCGTTTTATAGCTGTTATGTCACGGTTTCGTGCGGTTTACCTTCAATTTCAATTTTTTATTTTTCAAAAATTTCAGCCGTTTTTCTCTGTCAAGCTCAAGAAGAAACAGTGAAAAACTGTTAGACGTTGATTACCTGCGAAAATTGTTCACAATTTTTGCGACTTACATATTTGTGGGAAGTAATAAAAAAGACTTCTTCGTGAGCTCTTTGACAACTGGCCACGAGAAAAACAATTTATGGTTTGTCCGACCGGATTGTTTATCATCTTTGTCAGTTTTCATACCGATTAGATTTCTATTTTGTGGCTTGAATCGGAATAATATTCATATTCTGACTCTTGAGAGAAGGCTTACTCTGACTCGATTTTTCTAGTCAAAGATTTCTTGGTTGTTAATTATAAAATAATTCAAAAAAAATTATATTTCACATTGAAATCTTGCCAAATTGAACACCGGAAACCGTCTCTTTAACTTTTGAAAAAACATAAATTTTTCAGAAGTGGTGAAGTGGATTGGAAACAAGAACAACGCACACTACAAAAGAGAATTAAGTGTTCGCATATTTCGTATTCGCAGCAATCTCCTATCAATTCTTATTCCGTGACTTTTGAAAATTGAATTTTACTCAAAGCGGTGAATCAACTGTAAATCTCGGAATCAAACTTGAAAACTTGGGTGAAACTTCGAAAAGCAATCTGAACGGCTCAAGTTCTCTGCTCCCGCCTCTTTTCTCACCTCGACCAGATTATTCTCCTTTTTTGGCTTTTTTTTCCTCACGTGAAGTCTCAAGCACCCTCGAGTTTCAAGTCGGCTCTTGCACTATTCGTCCTCGATTTCCTCAAAAAAAATTGTCAACTGAATCGGTATTTCCTATAGATCGAGTCTCACTGAAAGTTCTTTTCAACACTCCAAGTCAGCTTTCATCGCGTCGTTTCTTTTTTTTCCATGTTTTTTGCGCTTTCGGGCCAGATGTAGCAATTAAAAAGGCGGGGCTTGTTAATGTTCTGCAGGCAGATTTTTCAAATTTTTAGAGGTTTCTCAACCATTTTTTTGGGTCCATTAAAAATTTTGATCTTTCCTTTTTTCGGCTAGATCTGTAAGTAATTGTCACTGACACAATTAAACCCGTTCAAATGAAATTTCATTTTTAAATGTGCTTTTCTGTGTTTTTTTGAAAGTCGTCATAATATTCAATCTCCAGGTTGCGCGACACAGTGAGCGCGAAGGGACCGACCTCCGATGCTGATGGACAGCGGCTAGAAGTGCTCGCACGTCTTCTGAAGACGACGACACCAGATGCGACGGACGACCGCTCGCAATTCGTTGCGTCCGTTAATCGCCACATTTGCTCCGCCCATACCGACGTAAGTTTCTCCTCTAACCTGATGATACTTCTAACTAGTAATATTACATGTTTATTTCAAAGTTTTGAGCGAAGATTTCAATTCAATCAATTTATTTTCGCAACATCGGGATAGTATGGTGATGTTGCAGGGAGGGAAAAGACCACTAGGTGGATTAACTTACCCCACCTGTGAAGAAAAAAGTTTTGCTAGCAATGTTTGAGAAATATGCCTTGGCGAAACACTTTTTTATTTCATTACTTCTAGGACAAAATCTGATCCTTTTTTGAATTTCTGTATAATCTTCTTCTTTTAATGAAAAACTTCGTGTTGACTTTGAAAGATGACACTCATCAAAATTAGAGACTGAATTACGCTATCAAAATAATCCCTAATTAAAAAAAATCATGCTTAACAGGACAAGTGCAGTTAGTAAGAGGTCAGAAGTTTTATAAGAAGTTTTGTTTGAAAGAACGATTGAAACACCACAATAAGCTAATTAGCGTATTAGTTAGCGCTAACCAGTAAAAAAAAGAAAACAATAAAAAACTTTTATATAGGACTGTCGTAGGGTTTTCTGTTTGCGTACGCGACATTCTAACTGACGGCAGCTTGGCAGTTTTAATAGTTATTGGCGTGTTCATTGGAGAAACGAAACATGCTTCGAAACGAAAAATCGTGTTCATTGGCGCGCCAAAGTTGCTTCAAAACAGTACTAATTTTTGTTTTGAAGCAATTTTTTCGCGTTTCGGAACAATTTTCGTTTTGTCCGATGAACACGCCATATATCTGATTCACGGTTAGCTTAGGACTCCAAGGGGCGTGTCCTGTCTGCGCTCTCCACGAGCCAGGCGCTGTCTCGTGCATTATCGTGTCAGGACCATTTTTTCGATCTCACACCAGCCGTGAATCAGCTATATGTTTTTTCTTGATTGAATTTTTCCTTTTTTTTTCATCACTTCGAAGTTAAGAGAAGCATATTTTTATTGAATGTATTAGATAGAAGATCATTAAGGCTATTTTTTTAAGATATGGGCTTATAGGGAAAAGACTCAAGTTATCAAAAAAACTCCTCTATTTTTAATTTTTCATTTTTTTCACTGTTCACATTGTTTTTAACTCTTTTTCTGAATTTTATCAATTTCATACATACAGAAAAAAACCATCATTCAAGTAAGATTAAAAATTTCCGAAAAAAACGTTAAATGATAATCTTTACACAATCAAATTATAATGAAAAACATAAATATTGACGATTTTTGTGTTTCTGGGATTGAGGGCTCTTTTATACGTGATTCAAAATAATAATAAGTATAGGTTATCAGAAAAACTCTTTTTAATATTTCTTTAAATTCTCGATATTGTTTGAACTTTTTGAGCCACTCGTTATCCCTAATGAAAGCGTTTTGTTAAGGACATCAGCACCGGACGACGATGGCGAGTTTTCGGCGCGAAACCCGTCGTTGCACACGGCGCGCTCCGCGAGGACCGATGAGTTAGTTTAAATATTTGGAAGGAAAATTATTTTCAACTTTTTATCGATTTCGTGATCTTTGCTTGGATGCAGAACGCTCAGCAATATGTTAAATAGGTTTATTAACGGGAGCTAGTGAGGTTCATTAATCACTGAACGGATATATAAAAAGGTTTTGGTTTCATAGAGAAAATAAGAAAAAAAGAGAGGCTGAATGGGAAGTTTTAGTAAGAAGACTCACGGAAGAAATTAAATAAAAGGGTAAAAAAATAGTTGTTAATTATCTTTCCAAGGCGTCCTCAATCACTCATGGCATGTTTCTTTGGCCTCCATTTCAAGTTTATGACTCAATTACGCATATAACCAATTCATTTTATGATATCTCGATTTTGATACTGTTCCATGCCGTGAGTTTGAAGGATGAAAAGAAGAAAATTTTCTCTCGACTCATGTTAGAAAAGATGAGCGCGAAGTCTCTATAGTTCAAAATGGCAATGACTCGCCGGCCTGGAAAACGAAAAAACCGAACAAGTTGGTCTGGACGGAGGCCGTTGATAATTCGCTTACCCGATTCCCGGCTCGCGGCTCCACTCATTTTTCGACGTCTTTTTCCTTCAGTTTGCACTCTTTTTCGGTTCATTTCCCGCTCTGTTTTCCTTTTTTTCTCTTAGAAAACGTCTCATTATCATTAAAAAAAATAATTTCGGCCGTTTTTCTTCTCACCGAAATCAACTAAGCTTCTCGTCTTGAGTCCGCGTCAAACTTTGTGAAATTCCAGCGTTTACGTCTTAATCGGGATTCGAGGACTGAGACGGACGAGCACTCGTTTCAGTTTCTTTCTCTTTTTCCAATTTGCTTGTTTTGTTTCTGATGACTTTTACAAGAAAAAAAAACTCAAGAAAATTTTTAATATTTTTCCCTGCTAGATCTTTCCAATTTGTTGGTTTTCTAACAACTAGAGCTTGATTGTTTTGAAAAATTTCTCTGAAAAAAAGAATATTCCAGCCAAAGGCTCCTTTTCTGTTTAACAAACCCCAATATTTATGGGATTTTAATAATTTAATTTTCAATCTTCAAAAAAATAACTCAATTTTTTTAAATGCTAAGGTTATCTAACTAACACGTGTAAGTATTAGAACTGATTTATCCTTGGAATGATTAATTTTATGAAGAATACAAATACCGTGACCAAAAAAAAAATGAGCATTTTTAAGACTTAGGAAAATATCAGTTTTCTACAGATTACTTTTGGAAATATTTTGTAGTATTTAAGTGAAAATTGTCATTTTTTTATTGATAACTTTGGAAATTTAATGATGTTCAATTTTATTTTTGAAACAGTGGCGACTCAAATAGGATTGTCTGCATTTAAAAAAAAATTGAGAGAAAACGGTTTGGGAATGAGGTTTTAGAGACCTGCACACATATCAGTAGTCCATCTGACGAAAAACAGATGATTGTCGGTGTAGCGCATTTGTCATCCAAACGGCTCGGATGTCGCATCTTTCCAGAGAAGTGTTCGTGAGCAGTTGTCGCGCTCCGATTTGATTCCGAGCCTCAGAATCGTGTCCTTCTCGCGCTAATATGCACTTTTCCCTACTCGGCTCACCATTTTACTCAAAATATCCTTTTTGAAAGTTTTGCTAATGAAAATTACCGAATGATCATTTTTTGAAGGTGTTCCCCGCCAACAGAAAGTAAAAGAAAATGCGCTTCGGCGGCAACATGACGACGCAAATTTACAATGAATTATTCATTTTCCTTCATTTGGGATGTGCAGGTAGGCCAGCCGCTGCCCCCAAATCTCACATTGTCCTGCTCTAATTTTTTGCTCATCCTTTTTTTCATTTCTAGTTTGATACTTTAGTTTTAAATAACCTTTTTTTATTTTTTAAGATTTGTTCAGTTGCGAAAAACAGACAAAAAAACGCAATCAAAGTTGTCGAACCGATTTTGAGGCTCTTTTCCGCAAGAGCCCTGGCTTTTCAAAACTTTTGAGCATTGCGTAAATATAGATTTTCAGATTCAATTGATTCCATTTAGTGAATTTTTTTCTCCTAAAGACGGGATTATGTTTGTTCTCAAAATTTTTGAGAAGAAGGTTTCGAATTTTTATATTTTTTTAGATGTTGCAAAAATTCAGAAAAAGACGTCGAAAAATGTTGTTAAAATATAACTGTTTCTTAATAATATTTCGATGATTTTTTTCGTTAAAAATGAAAAATCGGTAAAAAAAGTTTGCGGTTTATATCTCATTACTCTTTGCTTGAATGAGTTTCTATACGAAGCTTCAAGTCGGAAGTTTTTCTCTTTTTCGATTCGTAAAATATCGTTTTTTTCTCTTTGTAACCTGTACTTTTTGTGGGTTTCCGTTGCCTCACGAGTCTTCTGTTATGGGCTCCTGAGAGTCATGTTCGCGCGCGCCAAGTTCGCCCACCGTATCTATCGGTTCGTTTCTTTTTTTAATTTTTTTCTTCTGTTGTTTTAGGTTGGAACTATCCAGAAATTTAGTAATGAGTTAGATCAGGTCTGAATAGTCAGAATCAGAAATTTTTGAAGGAACAGGATGAAAAGTTTATTTCTCAAGGAGTCTGTCGTCTTTTCCGATATATCGCGTGAATAACGAGATTAAATGTGCAGATAGGTACTAAAATGTGAAAATAGTCTATTTCACTTCCGCGACGTTTCATATCACTCTATAACGATGAATTATAACTATTTGAAAAAAAGTCAATAATTTTCAATTGCGATTCATAGATGTAATCTTGATGAATCATTCTGATATAATTTTTCACGTTTGTCTCACCTAGACTTTATTGATTCAGAAGACTTCATATTGTAGGGCCACCAGCACAATAATTTTTAACTTTTTTTTTTAAAATTTAGTAAATGCTTAGAATTTCTACAACATGACTCAATATATTCAATCTGGTTCTTTAATGTTCGTATGTCTTCAAAGAATTGAAAACAAAGCCAATTAATTGAATTTGCCCCGAAAAGTGAACTCGCCACCAATCGAAACTAATTTCATGTGAGCCTTATTTATTTTGTTTTAGTTGTAGAAATGTCTCCAAAAAAGTGGTTTTGTCGAACGTATCGGTTAATAAAAAGTCGTTCCCACACACCTCATTGAGCCGACTTCCGGTGGTTGGAATCGCGCTTTGTTGGCACTCAATGCTCGAAATTATATTTCTGAAATCTGCTCTTTGCCTGTGAACTTTACATTTTCGGAAAATGGCCGCCCTTTCCGACATTGCAAAACTTGATAAATATCGTTCTGATGATCAGTTCTGGTATTTAAACAACTAGCAAAGATTTCTCGCCCGTATATTCGGAAAAATGACTCCCCTATCGACACAACGCTCTTCACTAGCAGTACCCCATGTCCACAACCAGAAAAGAAGGAGACACCGAGTTTCGAAGCTTCGATCTTCCCGCCCCCCAAACAGTAATCCACACGAGAAACGCTTACTTCTGACTCCTCCTCTTGTCGTTGCTCAGAGAGGTTTTCGCCGACGTTCTGCGGTCTCACGACGTACTGTTAATTCTGGTTTTATCGCCTCGTCCGATTTTGTGAGGTATGGCTTTTAAAATTTAGTTGACTAAAATTTTTCTCGAAAAGCTATTTATTTTCGTATTCTTTTTCAAATTAAGCGGTTACAAAAAAAAGCGTGAAGTGACTAGGCGAAACTTTTAAGGGAAAAAACGCATTCAGCCATCAAACTTTTTTTTGTAATTTATTTTTGAACTTTTATCTTGTCTGCGAACTGTCTATTGTCCACCTAATTTGCAGATCTCGAGAAAATTGTTTTTAAATGTAGAACAAAAAGCCAGTTATCGACAAAATTCAAAAACTTTCATTAAATTTTTAAACTTCTCGTTCGATTCTTTGGTAAACTCAGAATCCTCAGTCAGAAGTCTGATATTGAAATTCTGTCTTATTTATTTTCCAATCCATGTAAAAAGAAATGCTAACTAAACTGAGCCTGTAGTTTGTTTGAACGATAATTTCTCTTCCCCCGTATATTGTTTTTCTTTCAGGTTTCTTTTATTGAACCAACAGGGTATTACGTTTTTTTTTGACAGTACACCTAAAACTGCCGTTAAACAAAAGTCTGCGTAGACAAGCCGAGATCCACCTCCAAAGGATGAGGCTCGCTCGAAAAAAGTCGCGTCGAGTTCACGAGTGGGTCGGCGTCTGGAGAAGTGTCGGTGTCCCCGGAGACGTCCGCCTTTTGCCTAACGCCTTTTCACACAACGTTGGCGGCCACGCCCCTTTTTCATGCACTTCTCCACTTTTTGATCGCCGCAGAGTTTATCGGCGTGTCACTCCGTGTATCAAGACGTTTGACGAGGGCTGTCACGGCGATATATCGCCTTTGCAGAGGATCTTATTTGGACCTCCGGCCTTATTAGACGCGAGTGAGAATAATTTGACTGGAAGCCTCTTCACACCTTGCAAAGCAGTCAGTACGACTTTGGCTTCGAGAATTTCGGAAATCGACTTTCATTCTCGAATAGACAGAAGAAAACAAAACAGTCTGCTCAAACATCTAGAAAATATTGTCTCATCCAGAAGTCCCACTGTGAGCTGAGATCATTCCCTCGTTGGGTTTAGAGAAATTTTTGAATTGAATTCAAATGGATATCTCCATAACTTGATCTAGAAATAGTTTTCAAATATTTGACTTCACTTTTTACTTGACCCTTCCCAAAAATAGTCAAAAAAAGGTTTCACAGGAAACTTTGGGAATTATTGAGTATATGTTAATTTTCTAAATTGAAAAAAACGAAAAAAATTTAAATTGCGATGCGATTTTTTTGAAATAATCGTCATAGTTCGAAACAAAAAATGAAATTTGGAATTTCTCAGTTAAGGGGGAAAAAAAGTTGCTTATTAGGTTTTTTTAATTATAATATTCTTCGGATACTTTTATGTTCGAGGATTTTGGAGATTTTGCGTGTATAAAGTGTACATGCGGTTAATTAAAACTCCACTGCAATTATGAAAAAAGAAGAATAAATTAGGATTTTTTTTTCTGGTTTTTTTATGAAACAGTCAGATTTTCAGCGAAATGAGGAAATAAATGAATTTTTGACGGATGCCAATTTTTTTCTCTTTTTTTGGATCTAATTTTTTTATAGGTTCTTTTTTTATACAAGGTTATAGAGGAAAATTTTCTAGCGAATCCAATTGTTTCTCATTTTCGAATATGATCCTGTTTGAGAGAAATTCGATAAGTACTCTAGAATACTACTAGTTTTCTCTCGTCGAATTGGAATAAATTTCTGAATGCGAAAAAAATTCGTTGACATTTTCTAAACTTTTTATCTATTCAGGTAAAAAGACAATTTAAAAAAATAATAAGTTTTTTTCAGAAATTAGAATATTAAAATGGGTTTTTTTCTATGTGGTCCTGGCTTCTTGGCTTTCTTGAAGTTTGAGCGTCGGAAAGAACTGTGGCTCAAATATAGAACTTGAAGTTATTCTTAAAACGTGAGAACCGTGGCCAGAGCCGTTTCAGCAATTTGAACGGCGGCCCCGGCTTCTCTAAGGCTAATGGCCCACAATTAGTAGGGTAACAAAGGAGCCAGTCTGAGGAGATGTTCCTAGAGACGCGAGCCGTCTAATATGTGAACCACGCCCTCCTGAAGAGATTTACCCTCTGCTATCGGCGAATCGCAGCCGGAGGGTAGCGCCGCCGGAAAGATAACCGCTTCGTCGAAAATTTCGGTTTTGGTCCCGCCTTCTTCTTCGCATTTTTCGTCTTTTTGGCTCTAGAAGGAAGAGCGGGTGTCTTCACTTTTTATCGGCTTTCTTGACGTTTCGCCAACACTTCACACACTAACCCCCATCGGACTCTTTTCTGTTTATCACAATTTCCTTTCCTCATCCATTTCTTTTCTCAGCTTCTGGTTTCGGATGCTCGAATTTTCAATTTCTATTCTTGAGTTTTGGTCCAACCTTTTTTCTCGGGGTGTTCCATAAGTCTTTTTTCGTCTTGATTGATTAAGAGTTTCATTTTCAAGCGGCTGCAAGTTCTGGAATTTGATCAATAGTCTTTTTTTTCCTTTCTGAAATTTCTCACAAAAATAGGATGTGAAAAAATTTTAAGTTACTTTTTAGGACTTTATATTTTTGCCAAAGTTTCAGATTCACAAATTGGCTTTTTGACCTTGTTTTTGCAGAGTTTTCTGGGTATGCTTCATCTTTAATAATAACTTTCTTACAAACGACCTCAATTATGAGATATTTTGGTTGAACTTTTCGAGAGAACTCCGTCAGGTAACGATGTTACCGATTTTCTGTATTTTACGGAAAACCTACGCTCCAACAAGACATTTCTTTGCGTTTTCACTTCAAAGAACTTTTTTACTTTCAGAAATTTTCCTCTTTATTTATTTCTACTGAGTCGAAATTGTTGATTTCTATATTCCGACAACTTTTTAATTTCTTTCCCTTTTTCGAAGAAGCCATATTAAACTAGAAAACAGTTTGGCCAAAGGTCAGAAAGGTCGACGAGCGTCGGATGAGCCTGTGCGGCGGATGACGTCATCCGTGGTGGGCGACGACGACGAAGAGCTCGAAGACGTGCCGGAGCGCGTCCGAAGAGGGGTCATCTCGAGGGAAGTCGACGTCGAAAAGCTTCAGAAGACGTCTTCGGATAGAATCGCAGACGAAGCAGAGGAAGTTTCTTAGCAGCACACGGAAAGGGTCCTTCTCCTCTGACACCGCTTCTGCCGAGTTCGACTTTTCTTCCTGTGGACTCGTTATCAAGAACAATGCTCAACCCTATGTATATGAAGCATCGGCCTTCGTCGGTCTCTATAGGACCGCCCAGTTCGCCGCCGTCGCTGCACAATCTCAACCAGCTCGCCGCTGGTGGCGACGTCGAACAGCTCAGGTTGGCTCTTCCTTGATTGTTGGACTTCTTCAGTCGAGGAGAAGTTAGAAGAACTATTTTTTAGTGAAAATTGAGAAGGCGTACTGTTTGGACTGGATTCGAATGATAATTTATCTTCCCTCATGTCGTGCAGATTTTGCAGCTCATTCAAATTATCTAAACCTTCAATTTCTCCTTTTTTTTTAAAATTTTATAGCTAAGAATGGTACTTCAGTTGAAAAAAATATAGACGATTGCTCGAAAACCAGTAATTTTTCTGAAATCAAATTTGAGCGTTCTTTTTTTATATTCTCAATAGGATGATTAAAAAAATTATCAATGAATTTCCCTCCTTTGTAATTTTTCCATGACTTCAAAACTCTATTCAGATACCTTTTTATAAACGCGTGTTTATATTTTAGAACTAAATGTCAAGTTTTGTTCAAACATTGTTCTTTTAATGGAGTTGGACTTCCGCAAGTGAAATAAGATATTTCTTGAGATTTTTTGCCCAAAAAAGGTATTATTGCTCGGGAAAATGGATTTAAAGTCGCTACTAGGAACCGTCGTTATCTTTTTGTAAGTTCAAGTTTTCACAATTCGTGCTCAGTGTTACCGTTTCATGCTTTTCAATTTATTTTTTATCAAACCGTTTTTTGGAACTTTCGATACAATTTCTTTTCAAGTTTTATAATAATGTACTGAATGAAAACCAATGTCTTTCAGGAGAACGTCCGTCAAATTTTAATGTTGATGTTCAAAGTGTTTTCTAGATAACTTTCTTGAATAGCTGGAAGTGTTACCATCCTAATCAGAAAAAAATGTTTTCGTTTTTTTTTTGTTCTTGCTAGTTTGTACCTCAATACGTAGTGATTCGAGTATAAAAAAATCATTTTTTTATTCTAGCTGAAAAAAATCTCTTTTTTTGAAGAAATCAGTGATTTCATTTTCATTTGACCATGGACTTGCTGGCAAAACGACGAGAATCTGTTTGGTCGCTAGGTATCTTTCACCTCCTTTGGAAGAGGAACAACTTGGCCACCAAAAAATAACTCGGGATGCTGACAAAGCGCAAGAGTAGTAGTAGTAGGCAATCGAAGTGATTGGGTGCACGGCAGAGGTGGCGGCGCCGAACTCGTGAATAATTCCGCGACGATGCGCCGCCGCCGACCTGATCCTCCAGTCTCGCCATGAACCTGCAGGGCCGGCTCTCGTCGGCCCACGACGTCTCCCGCTTCCACTTGTACGCTTTTTAACAGTTTTTTTTTCCAACTTTTTATCTATCCCATCTTAAATGTAATTCAGTTAAGGTTGAACTGGACTTGAAAAAGGTAAGGGACTGTAGCTTTAGCTCAGGTTTAGACTTTTATATCTAGAGGGAGTTAAGATTTTTGTAGAGTACTGTACTGTTCTCCATGGTCTGCTAACATATCTCCCCTGTCACCCATTTTGACAGTTGCGACGAAATAGAAGCCTTGGTCCATCTTGAGAGGATTTGAATCAGCGAGACGATCCTTAGCAACTAAGCTGCGCGTCATATACATTGTTCAAGTATTTTTTTTTAACTTTAACGTTCACTTGGAGATTGGAATCTTGGCTAAGAAAATAAACATCAGTGGTCTAACCTTCGACGTGATCTATTTCTTAATCACGTCTATTCACATACTCAACAGTCTTCACCGCTGCCATGGTACTTGTACATATCGGAGCGATACCTGATTTATTTTTGTTTTTAATACGAAAATTTTAATGCGAGATTTGTTGAAAACACATTTTTTTTTCTTCTAACTCAAAAAGAATACCTGAAAGTTTATCAAATTTTCGAATCGAAAAACCTCTTTCATGCTTAGTAGGCTTCAGGCTTGTAAGAATATCGAAGCCTAAGGATTATTTTTTCAATAGACCTTCTCATAAACTTGTTTTTTATTAACTATTATATACTTTCTGAATATAAGTAATTTTATTTCAAAGAAACCCGATGATAATTTCTACTTCCTGCTCTTTTCATTTTATTAATTCATTCATAAGTTGAATCGAGAGAATTTTTCTCATGTTGTTGTTTGATGAATCGCCCACCTGCGAATGTTCCTCGGTGTCCATCGCTCAAAATTCCTCGACGACCGAACAGCCGGACCTTCGTCAATGTCTTCATTTTATTGCTGTCCTAAGCTTTTTGTAACACGCCACGCTAATCGTTAAATGAGTAGGCTTGGGAAAATGAAAGGCTCGAGTCTAGTTGAAATACCTTTTTCTCAAAAGTGCAGGGTACCTCTGGAAAAAGTTGAAAAGGAAGGAACCGAGGGAAAACTTTGAGTGGATGTTCACGTAGGAATTCTTTAGGACTTTGAAAGAGACGTTGTGTTCTCGATTTTTTAAAGGAAAAATAAGCGATGGGCGAGGCTCAATAAAAGAGAAAAATTCGGATAATTTTGAGAAAAATTGATTTTTTTTTTAATAGCGCGAAAAAGCTTACATGTGTGGGCGTTCCTCATTCTGAGGTCTGAAAAATAATCCTTTTTGTTTGAAATTGATGATTTTTCTGATAAAAAGTTTTTTTAATCGCCAGTCAAGTTTGATTCGCACACTGATTTATTTTTTGTTGAACAAATCGGAAAACTCCTTTTTTTTCAAGTTTCGATGGTTCCAATTAGAAATTCCAAAGTTCTTAAGAACTTGCGTACGACTTGACGAACTTCAAAATAGCCCACTTCCTGATTTTTGCAGCGAGTTCTTTTTGGCCTCTCACAACGTACGTCACCGCATTTGTTTGCCTAAAAAAGGCAAGGAACTGAGCCGTCGAAGAACACAAAAATGCTCCCCCTACAACTGGCTCTCGTAAGCTTCCCATACGTCTTTCTGGACATAATTTCTCGCCTTCTCTCTCCATCTTTTCCTCACTTTTCTTCCGAAAACCGAACGGGTTCCGATGGAAATTATCTGGGCTTTTTTCTGAGAAAGAAAAGAAAAACATCTTATTAAGCTCGAGTCCGCCGTTCTACAACTTAGTTGAGAAAAAATTGTGAGTTTTTTCTTTTCAGAGGTTCACGAATATTTAGCGCTAAAATCGAGAAATGAGAATAAAGAATGAAAGAATGAAAAAACACAAACCATACACGATTTTGCTCCTAAGATCGGAATGAAATTTTTGTATTTTTATTTTTATTTTAAAAGATATGACTGTGTATGATTTCAACTCGCAATATTCTTCCCAAGTCCGGTCGTTTATTCAATTAGCAATGGAGCGGCTGTCCCATACAAAGATTCTCACATTGCTCAATGCTGCAAAGCTTCACTCTTGCGTATCTCATCGAAGAAACTGGAGCTTTTGATAGACCGAAAAGATGGATAATTGACTTTTTTCTTGCGAGTTAAAGTTTTTCAGTAGGTTGCTCAAGCAAATTTGACTTTTTGAGAGTAGTTTGTCTTACAAGTTAATTGCGAGAAGATCCAAATCCTGCTGGATTTAACTTGAACATATGATTTCGGTCGTTTCCGGAATTAGCCGTTTTTTACAGCCGTGTTTGTAAATCATTCGGCTATTGGCGGCATTTCAAACGCGAGCTTCACGTCATTGGGAGGAGGGCTGAAATAATTTATCTTTACAAGATGGCCGTTCTGCGCACGTAGAGAACGCCGTGCTGAAAATCAATTTTAAAAAAAACGAACTATTTTTGAGGATTTTTAAGTTAATTTTGGTTTACAAAAGGGAAGGGAAAGAAGGTTGTTTGCAACAGGAAATAAGTATCATTAAAATGACGTTTTCGATTATATTTAAATTGAAAGACTCTATAAAATGAGGAAAAACCACGAAAACTTATTTTCTAGAACTTTTTCTGCGAAATCAGAATTTGGTTCTTATGGAAGGACGACTGACACGTAACCCACGCCTCTCATTAATTGCTTAAATTTCGAAATAAAAATATAGAATTTTTTTCATTTTCCATGTAAGGATATTGGCAAACACGTAAGCTTAAAAAATTAGACCTGGGGACGAAAGATGTACTTTAAAAAGATGAAGTTACTGTTTCAGTGCCGAACGGTTGAACTTGTACTTGGACCGACAAGAGGGCGAGCTCGAGAACATCGATGAGGAAGGCGAGGAGAAGGAACCGGGAGTCAAGAAGAAAGTCTCGCGGCGATGGAAAAGGGTGAACCATTTCTCCATTTATACAGTTGTCTAAAAGTTTTGTTTTTTCTCTCAAGATAATTTCCTTCTAACTTTCATGAATTTCGACCGTTTTTCCAAAAGTTTTTAGGGCTTTTTGGCCTTTGTTTTTGAAATTTTTATCTCAGATGTTTAGCTTATCGCGTTTTTGTGAACTCTTCGGAGTGGAAAGACGATGTTTGAAGGCCTTTCTCACAAGGTATTGATCAAAAAAATAGTTTCAAAAGTATTTTTTGACTACTTTTTTTTTCTATATAATTCAATTTCTTTCGTTTTTACTTTTTTGTTTTTATTACCACCATTTATTTTTTCTTCTTCTAAGGTATTTGAAGTCTTGATTCCGCGAATTTCAAACTGAAAAAAAAGGAATTCAAATGATACTGTTTTTCTAATCTCACAGTTTCTTATTGATAGTTTTAAAATTTTAATCCATAACAATCTAGGAAGGTTTTCACCAGTTTTTTTTTATATTTACAACATTTTTCTCTGCTTTTTTTTTGGCTTGTTTTGGATCATTGTTACTCGAGCGACCTGTTTTTTGTCGACGATGTTGAGAGGAGATGGATGGGTGTGCGAGAAATTCGCACTGCTCGTCTTCTGGCTGAACCCCCGGGGGCAAACCGCGTACGCACGACCGGCGTGGAAAAAAAAACGAGTACCGCTAGAACAGCATTGCTTCCATTGATTCAGCCTTCTGGGGAGATTTCCGAAACAAGTTCTTGACAAAAGACAGAAAGTGAAAGCAATAGGTTTGGCAAAAATGATGAGTGAGCCCAAAAAGTCGGAATGTCTGCTCCACGGTTTGTCTTTCCTTAAAAAGAAAGACATGATTTTCAACTCCTTAAAAGGAAAATAATTCTCAAAAACTGCTTGATATTCTTCATGAACATCCTGTTCCAGCCAGTCATGTTATTTTCCCTTTTTTGCAGAACTTGCGGATAGTGTTACCTCATGTCGGTCTCGTCATGCTCTCTACCGTCTACACGTTGCTTGGTGCCACCATATTTCACTATGTCAGTTTTTTTTTTCATTTCTTTTGGCATTTTTGACTTTTTTTTTAAACGAAACTTACGCTCATGGAAACGAAAAAATGCTTTTTTTTGTACTAATAATCAGTTTCCTTTCCGGGAAAAATAGGACATTGTGAACATTGAGAATTTCATGAGACTCATTTAGCACGTCAAAGTTTTTTGTCTGTTTCAAAAAATTGATTTTCATTTGTTAGCAATATCCATAGGAGCAAAAATTTTCGACGAAAATACCTAAAAATTTGATATTTATGTGATAGTCCGTATGTTTGTAATACCGAAGAATCCGGAAAAGACATAAATTAGTTTTCGATGAATTCAAAGACTGAAAACTGAGGATTTCTGCTTTTGACTTTTTCGCAGCCTTCAGTTAAGATAGGACGAAAAGTCAGATCTGTTGGGACCCCTTGTCAAGGATATCAGAACTAGTTACTGATGACTTCAGTACGAGAAGCCGTTCGAAGAACAATTGCGGAACGAGACGGCGCATCGGGTGAACGGCTTGAAGACGCGCGTCATCCGCCAGCTGTGGACCATGAGCAGCAACGGAACGGAGTTCTCCGTCTGGCAACTCGTCGCCAACCAAGGGTGGCTTACTCAATTCTTGTCATATTCCCACAGTTTGCTCTGAAATATTGAAGATAGGCGGGAAAAAAGTGTCGAAAAGAAGAAAAGATAGAAGTTGAGAAATACTTTACCTCCGCTTTCAAAGAATAGGAATTGAAAATTTTATGTCTCAAGCCCGCTTTTCGAATGTGAATGATGTTTTCAACGATAAGCTGGATTGAATAAAAAACATTTTTCGAGCCATCGCCGTTTTTTTGACGCTCTTTTGTGTACTAATAAAAAATGTGCAGGATGGACGATCTGATCCGCGACGTCTTCATCGATTACACACGCAACTACATGACGCCAGAAGACGTCATCACGGGCACGGGACCTGTCAAATGGTCCTTCGGCTCGAGTATTTTCTTCTCCTGGACCGCCATCACTACAATCGGTATCTTTTGATTTCAATCTTCACTCGTCAGAACTTTTTTGTTCTTAAGAAGGGGCTTATTAAAGAATAATTTTTTTGCTCATTTGTTTTAACATTCGGGTTTTAGTTAGCGTCCGATGCGCTTCATGAGGAAAAAAAATTTGGATAAGGGTAAAAAATTGAGAGCGGTATAGTTGACTTGCGGACCCTTTTTTGGACTTTTCTAGAAGAATCAAGTAGAATCAAATCAACACGTTTCAGTCAGGCAGATTACACTAAAGGTTCCTCTATGGAAGCAGTAAATTCTTAAATTATAATTTCACGAACTAAATTTTCTGTACCTATTCAAACCGGGGGTATTGGTTATCTAGAGAAGAATTTCCTGAAACCATACATGGGCAAGTGAAGAACTCAATAAGTCCGGGAGGAGGGGTTGACTTTGAAAATACTTAATAATACGTTTGAACTGCAGGGTAATAGTAATGACAATATAAAATTAGGTCTCCACCTTCTGGAAGTAGTATTAATGTTAATTTAGAATGACTCAAGAGAAGGGGTCGGCGGCCATCAAAATTAGTCTGCCCAATCAGTCCGGGAAGAAAGTTCGACTAGGCCTTGAGTTGGCCGGAAACTTTTCGGGTTGTCATTAGCTGAGCCTCATATGTTATGATGCCGAGTTCGATTTAATTACGGCAGAAGAAGAATAACCGTCAGAAAGGGGAAAACATGGTTTCAGTGAGTTAGAGATCATTTCGATTGAGTCGGATGACTCTGCAACAATTTTTCATCGGATTCCGGAGTTGGAATTTCTATAGAGCGGTTTTCAATAGATTAATTCTCATGAAGCCATCCAGACGAAGATCATATCGGACGCATTTCCGCTAATTTGTCCGGGGCGACACGCGGCGAGCTGTTTGTCGAGACAAGCAGATGGATGAGCCCGTGAAATCGCGACGGTCTCGCGGGATGCATTTCATTCGCGCAGTTTCTTTTTTCTGCTTGTTTCCTCCACATCAAATTCGCATTGGGCAATTGGCATTAAGTGGGTATCGAGACGGCGAGTTGCGTTTCGACTCCGAAAATGGTGGTAGATCAAAGGGACGGGCAGCCTCGCGGATTCCCACCGGATGCCCGCCAGAACGCCATCATTTGTCAACCTTGGCCGTCTTTTCCCACCGACTCGCAGCTCGTTTTCGCAACAACACCGAATTCTTGGGGTTCCTCCTCGATGAGTTCAATCCGTTGCAAAACGAAAAAAAAATTATGAGATGACTTCTTCAAAAAAACGCCTTTGAAGTTTTTTTTTGAGTTTTCTACTGCAAAATAGTTGATTAGACTGAATTAAAGAACAGACATTTTTGAAAAGGTAGCAGTTATTAATTATCTGGTAGGCCTAAAGATGACTTCAAATGAATATATTGGCTTTCTTCAGTCTGGTTTTCAAATGTTAAACTAAATAGACTGTGAGTTCTTGTAACATACAACTTTTAAGGGGCAGTAATTCGAAAATTTAAAATTTTGTGAAGGTTTTCGTATTTTGCATCGTAAAGTTTGGGATCGACTGCAAATTGAAGTGAACGTTTTTGCTGACTTCCAGAGAACGTGTTGCGAGATTCATGGACAAAATTGTTTCCGCATCATAGTCAAATCATTTATCGTGTTGTTTTAGTCAAATGTAATTGGCTAGGGTGAAGAAGAACTTTTGAAGTTATAACGATCAACCGCCTCTAGCGAACTAGGAGTCCAAAAGTGTAGTTGATCAAGTTGAAAGCATGGCATTACTTTCCTTCGTCTTTTCCTTTTGCGCGTAGTTTCGCCTTGACAAACTCAGAGTATAGCGGAGCTTGTGCCGGGGCCCAGAAATAGGGTCTAGGTGAAAGCCTCGGAATGAAAGCGACCACAGAAGAGTGAAGATTTTACACGGAAATAACAATTTAAAAAAAAGTTTGAGGTTTTCTAAAAAGGAACTTTTTCAGGGTATGGGCACATAGTGCCTCGGACGAACGCGGGTCGCATCGCCATCATCTTTTACGCCTTGTTTGGAATCCCACTGATTCTCGTTACCATCGCCGACATGGGTCGATTTCTTTCCGGTCGGTCTTTTTCTCAATGAAGCCTCAACATTTTATCAAACATTTACAGGCGGCATTATTTGGGTTCACAATACGTACCGGAATTTCATGGACGCTTGCTGTGCACAGTGTTGGAAAGCCTTCAAATGGATGTGCTGCCGATTTCGTCGGAAACCGCGCCGAAACATTCAGGTCTTCATTTTTCATTCAAAGTCTCCGATTTTGGCATCCATTTTCGTTTTTTTTTTACTTCGTCCGTTCTATTTTGCTCCTCAAAATTATTTTTTTTTACACCAAAACGTTCAAAACGTTTTTATATGGCAATAAGCCGGATTTTTTTTTTTAAATTTTGTATCAATGTCTGTTTTGAGAAATGTATTTCTTTTACAAGCCTTCAGCAAATGAAGTCTAGAAATCGTTAAGGTTTGAAAAAGTCCTCTACTTAAAAATTCAGAATACTTCTTTTGTTAAAAATTAATGTGTTTCCCACCTTTTACTGAACAGGTTACTTTATGTTTATCAAATTAACAGCTTGAGCAGCTCCGTCTTTATTTTATCTTCTTTAGAATTTCATTTTGATTTTTCAATCTTGCACATTCCTAGATTAAACTAAATTTCATTGTTTTTGGATTTTGGAAAGTTCAGATGCCGACAATCGAACTTCTCCAACGCCAACAGAAGCTGTACAACAACAACAACAACGCGACTGTGGCGGCGACGGCTGCTTCGGGCGCAGCCATCGGGTCTGCCAGGAAGAAACGTCAGAGGGGCGACAACGTCAGCGAGGCCGGCACCTTCGACGGTACTTTCTTCTTTTTCTTCTTCTTGCGACCACCATTTCTGAGAAGACTGTTAATCTTACAAAAAAAGGAGAAAAACCATTTTGACTGAAACTAAGAAACGAATTCAATTGATGAAAATATTTCATTTTTCATATGATCCCAAAGAGGTGAATTTCATTGAAAAAATAATTTAAAGAAAAAATTTGAGTTTTTCAGACATCAGCGACATCCACAACAGTGAAGGCGGCAGTGAAGACACAAACGCTCGCGCCGAAGAAGTCTGTTTCTTTTCCAAATGTTTCTCCGAAAAAATGACAGAAGTTTTTCCTAATTCGAATTTTCAACTTTATTTCCATAGAGTGAGATCCATCCTGTGCAAAAGAGTTGAAGTTATTTTTTCAATGGTCATTCGTTTCAGCTCCCAATCACGGTAATCATCAAAATTCAAAGAGATTTCACAAGTCAAACTCAATAATATGATAAAATCAGATAAAACCAGGGAATTTGATGAAATGGATAACTTAAAAGTTGAAAAAGTAGAAGCGAGATTATCTAGAAAAAGTATTGAAAAAGTAAAAAAAAAAGAATCGGTTCTTCTCGCTTCTTTATTGGAAAATGGGATTTCAATACCGTCTTCATTGATAGAACTTCAGTTTTATTTCTGAGAAACCTTATTGACTTTGTCAAGTTATCTATTCCTTCTAACTGATGTATTCGCAATTCAAGGTGGAGGTGATCGAGCCGCCGCACCACGAGAGACGGGTCTCCGTCGTCTTCATCCTTTTCATCATGCTCGGTGAGGGAAAAAACAAAAAAGGGAGAAGCTTTCTCTTCCCTCTCTCTGCAAAAGTACTCTCTCATCCTTCTTCCGAACCTCAACTTGATTCGACTTGGCATCGAAATGATGATATCGCCGAGAGGCCGCCACTTTTATTTTGCAATATTTTTGGCCTCCAACCCAACTCCGCAGAATGTATCGACTTGGCCATTTTCGGCTTTGAACAAAACAAAAAAAAAGAAGAGGGTTAGGTTTAACGAGCTCTTTCGTTAGGGGTGTGGAAAGAATGTGGAATAGGTGTTTTCACGAAAAGAGTTTTTCTTCCAAGAAAGACTCAAAAAGCATATCCTTTTTGTAAAAAAAGTGTAGAAAAAAATAGGCTTTTTTTCTAGCCGAGCTGTTGATTTTTCAGAATTACCTTTCTGAAAAACTCATGATTCCTTTTTTTAGAGATGATTCTCTTTAAAAAGAAAAAACTAGTTTTAAATAAATAATAACTTTTACAGGCTACGTGGCCGGCGGTGCCTATATTATTCGTTACTGGGAGTCCTGGACGTTTTTTGACGCCTTTTATTTTTGCTTTGTTACGGTCACCACAATCGGTAGGCGGTTCCGAATAATGCCAGCGATATCGCGTTTCTTTTCTCAGGGTTCGGCGACATCGTGCCGCTAAATGTAGATTTTTTTCCTGCCACTCTTGCCTACATCGTACTAGGGTTGATAATCACGACAATGTGCATCGGTGAGCTGGAGAACTTTGAAGAAAGCATGAAAAGAATATTTTGAGATCTCGTGGGTAGCGAGTACATCCGCGACATCCACTTTTATGGGCGGAGCCTCGGTCGCTCATTTATGACCATTGGTGGGAAGGTAATTCAGCCAGAAAACTCACCACGTTTGCTTAACGACTTCATAAGAAACAAATTGTTCTTCTTTCTCATTTCTCCCGTTCACGGTGATGTCCGTAGAAGAAGAGAATAGTAGGAAAAATGAAAACAGTTCAACATTCTGACCATTATCACCAGTCTCCATCGTGTGAAATGCTTCCATTCGCTAACTGATTAAGGTCGTTCACCTGGGCGAAGTTTTCGGCTACGTGGCGTTTCTTCAGAAGAACTACGGTCTCACGCCAGAGCAACTCAATAAATTAGCCCAACTGCCAGAGGTTTCTTGCCGTTTTTATCAGTTTGCATTTATTGATTCAGGAATATCTGCTCGATTGCTTGATAAATGGCCGGCAGCCCGATCTCAACTTCATCGGTGGACGGTATGCTCTAACTAAAAAGAATTTCGCATGGAGATTGACGCGCTTTTTTGTAGCGATCACCGAGAAAGTTTTCAGCAAAAAAATATTGTAACGCTTGAAGAGAAGTGATATTCAAGTTGAAAACTTTGTGAACTCACACGATCATACAATTTTTTTTCTTTTTGCAAGCCTCATCTGAACACTGATTCATTTAAAGACGAAAAAAAAAATGGAAGAAGATGATATTCGCAATCGATATAATAATTTCTTTTTTACCTTACCGAAGAGAATAGAGGAATTATCCAGATAGCATTCGTAAGATTCTCCTCATAACTTTGAAGAAAACATTTGCAAATGTGAACGTTCCTGTCCATCTCAGCTGACTTCTCTGGGATTTCTTATGAAATTTTCCCAATCGATACTTTCAGACCGTATGTTCCACCGGATATCTACTATTTCAAGTGGATAGAACACCCTCGGACGCTTTCTTTCGCGTCAGATCGTGTTCTGCAAAGCATGGAAAGCCTCGACCTCAACACCAGCAGGTGAATAAAAGTTTTTAGAAATAATATGGAAAACCTTGGACTCCGCTGATTAAATAAATTTACTTGGAAATGTTGCAATATACCAGTGTTTTTTTAGCTAATAGTTAGACTAATAATTATTTTTTTCTTCATTTCAGATGTTCAACAGCGCGAACATTGACTCCTCGGGAATATTATCAGAAGATCCTGTTCCAGTACTGCAAGCAGTTGCAACCAGAAGAAGCCATCATGGACATCGATTCATGACCCTCCAGTTCTTTCTTTCTTTCCCTCAAACTCATCCATTTTGTCATATTTCACTTGTTACCGTGATTTTTCAGTATAATGTCTTTCTATTAGGTACGTTTTTTCAAGTTCGCTGTTTTTATATTTACCTTTTATAGGATTTTTTTTTGATAATCATTCTAATATCACTGCCTAAACCAATCACCTTTTATCAAATAATCGCAACTCAAGAAACATATCTCCAAATTTCTTACTAGGTCTGGATCTTTTTATCTTTCCCTCTAAATGGAAAGGAGGGTGTGGTGTAATAGGGAAAAGTTGAAAAAGTTTGGTTTTTTTAAATGCCGTGTTCAAAGTGACTCCGCGAAGTTCAAAATAACCGCCAGAGAGTTGAAAAGATAAGTGGTTTTTGAATAGAGTGATAAAGTTTGCGGAAACTACTTTGAACACAGTATTATTCTTGATTGAACAAGAAAACTCGGAATTAAAATTTTTTCAGCTTTCCTATTTTCCACACACTCTTTTATTTATCTTTTCTAAAGTAGGACACAAATTATACGGAATATTTATATTATACCACGGTAAAATGTGATTAAAGTTGTGACTATCGAAAAAAAAAGGCTCATCGAAATTGCAAATAAATTTCTTAATTTTTGATCTCATTTCGGAGCCGCGTTGGAGAAACGGAGAACTAATAAAAAGAAAAATGAAACAAAGTTTATTGCTAGTCGCTAGAAAATAAAATAAATCAACAAACCATGAAGAAGACTTCAAAAACTAAAATTTATCAGTACAAAAAATGGTGAAAACGTCGTGAAAAAAGGTTAAGAAATAATTCAAACCGAATAAAGTTCTTATCCTTCGCGGTAAAGATCTTCGACTCCGAACTGGGCGACACCTTCTTCAAAAGGAATATTGACCACCTGCAATTTTCTTTTTTCTTCTTCTCACATCACTTTAAAAAGAAATATGAAGAGAACTCAACTGGAAACAGAACCATACAATACATTATTACAATATTAGCTCTATGATAAATTTCAAAAATTTAACATTCCCTTTCGATATGTGTACGTGTATTTAAATGAGAAAAAAATTTCCCAAAAAAAGTTAAATTGAAAAATAATCATCCGTTTAATTTCTCTTATTTCTCGTATGTGATAGAGCTATTACATAATAAAATGAAATAAGCGGTTATTTATTAAAAAAATTTCAACGAAATTGTTTTTTTCATGCTTGCTCAACTTCTAAACTTTTTTTAAAACAAAAAAAGACTTATAGAAAATTGGTAAGTGAAGCAAATTTTTTTTCATATTTATTGCGAAAAACGCCTCTACCTTTGAAAAAAATCATCGGTCAATATATTTTGAATTTCCACATGGCGCAATTTAGTGTCAAGCGATACTTTTCATTACTTTCACCTTCAAACTTTCACCTTTATTTAGAAATAGGAACTTGAAAAATAGAATAGCAGCAAACAAGCTCAAATATTTATGATTGTAAGCGAAATAATTGAATTAAGTCATTTAGAACTTAAAAAACTTGATTGTGAAAGGGGTTCACAAACCTGCATGAGGTACCGCATTTCTTCCTTGGCGAGCCATTTCTTCTGTCGGGCGGCCTCGGCAGCCTTGGCGACAGCCTTCTCGTGCTCCCACTCGCGGATGTCAGCGTGGTGCTCACGGATCTGACGGAGGCGCACCGCTCCTTAAACGTTCTCTTCAAAAAAATCTTCATCAAAACTTTTTTCCGAGCTCCGTTTCTGAGATTCATAATGCTTAGCGACATAATTATTTTGGCAACGGCAGTAAGTTTAATTTTTGCGCCATGCAAGAGAGCCCAGCGCCTTTTTTTCAAATTTTTTTGAAATTTTTTTCAGCAATGAATACAATTTTTGATTATTTATCTGAAAGGCCTAAAAAAATCTCTTTTAAAAATTTTTTTTATATGTACTAAAAAAAGACTGTCGTGTTCAAAGTGATTTCGGCTGATTTCGATTTAGAAATTGACGCTTAATTTGTTTAAAATAATTTCGGGAAATAAGAAAAATCGATATTCCGGGTGCCTTCAGAGAAAAAAACGGATCCTAAAACGATTCATCGCAATATATAAATTTTTTTAAGGTGAGTTTTAGACCCGAGTTTTTTTGAAATTTTCGTGACAAATCACTCTGAAATTTTGAGTTGGCGCGTAAAGGTTACAGATAAAACCCATATTTATCTCCTTGTAGGACTCTTTTTCCACGCCCTCTCGGAATTCCGATTCCGCCTATTTCCGAAATCATTTTAAATGAAAAACGCAATTTTTAACAGCCGAGATCACTTTGAGCACAATATAAAATTTTTTCGAGCAGAAAAATACATTTTACAGTGCATGATTTTTAATTCTTATCCTTTTTCGAAATTTAAAAAAATTGAGAGTTTTTTTATTTTAGTTTTGAAAAATTCAAAAAAATGTAACAATTATTTCGGAAAAAAACTATTAGAACATGAAAAAAAGTTAAACTGACCATATAAGATACCAAGTCCAAGAGCAGTGTAACGTCCGAAGCGGATCAGAGGAGAGATCGTGGTCGTGGGCGGCTGGATGACGACCGCATTCGGGTGTCTTGGTGGCCCGGACATTATTACTACAAAAAAAAAACTGAATCATCGGAAAGTGATGATAAGCAGTTTAAAAATGAGAATGAAAAGTACCAACATTATTATTTGATTTATTTATTTACGAAAGACTGGTTTGAAAGTTTACAATATCATTTTCAAAAATACTTTTGTGACTATCTTCGTAGATCTTTTAAAATCAAAAAACTTGAACACTAGTGAAAAACTGAAATACATAAGACATGGTAAAATAAAGAAGAAGAAACATTGGAAAACTGGGGAATTTAATTTTGATTCCGAAAAAAAGGAATTATATGTAATTTCGTATAACCCAATCGGTTGCACATTCATTAACTGGCATATTGTGAAGCGAATCCAATTTGAAAACAAAAGAAAACCTTTTGAAAAGTGAAAAATGGGAATAGAAAAGTAAAAACCGCCCATTGGGCTGAAGCGCATTTTCCCCAGAAAGCGTACTTTGGAACGTCGTAAGGGCGTTTTCAAATTTTTTTCTTTTTAAAAATTTTTTTCCGCTTTTTTTATTTAATTAATTTTTTTAATTAAACTTTCGAAGCAACTTTTATGTCAAAGTGATTGAAATATTTGGTGTTAGATCAAATAATAAAAAGAGATTGATGAACTTCTTTTTTAATGTTTTTTTTTTCTATTTTGAAAATTTCAACTTTTATCAGTACTGAAAAAAGTTGAAATTTTTAAAATAGAAAAAAAATATACTGCAGTATTGGAGTTTTAAGAATGGCAGCCGCATCGGTAAGAGGGTTTTTTCGGAGAGCAGGTCAAGGAATTGTAGACTATGTCAAGCAGGTGAAAAACGACTACGTTTTGGTGGCGAAAGGCACAGCAACTACCTGCCGCGAACGTCCCATTCGGAGCGGTTGGTTATAATTGAATTTCATTCAATCATATCAATTTTTAGGTTTTATCGGATTGGGACTAGGCGGTCTGACGTACGCATACAGGACGAATCCGTCCGAAGAGGACATGCTGAACGAGTTGCGAGAATGTCGCCAGCAACTCGCTCTTGTACCTTCTTCCATCCATAATCCACTTTCAGGTTCAATTTTTTTAAATTTAAGTTTGTTATGAAAATTTTCAGACAAAGAGTTGGAACGCCGAAATTTGCTTTTGGCTCAAAAACCGTTTGCATTACTACAATTTGTGGTTTTTCTCATTTTTGGTGGCCGGCACTCACGACGATCATGTAAGTTTTATCATTTCAACCATTAGTTGTCTTAACTGTGTCAAAAAAAAAAAATAAATAAATAATTGGCGAAAGAATTTTTTCAGTTGAAAGCGCATTACGCCCTGGATTCCAATTTGAAGCCGTGGTTCTGGGAAGAGTACTGGAACAACCTCCTCGACGTCGGTTTCCTCGGATCCTGGCACAAATTGAGCTCGAGCCTTGTCGACTTCGATGTAAATCCCGTTGAAATGGAAGCCTTACCAGCAGATTCCAAATCTTGATTGTCTCCTCCATAATACTGTGAAAAAGCTGAAGAAAATCCAACAGTGGAAGCATAGTTATATAAAGAAGTCGATGGACTTCATTGTACATTTTTGTTGATTTTCGTAGGATTTTATGAATGAATTCTGTATGAAAAAGTGGATTTTTTCTTTCCGATTGCGTTGAATCGTCGATTCTTATCTGTGAAGAACCTTTTTTGTTTGATCTAACAAAGCATCCAGACATGACGGCTTATGCCGAAATCCTGGACGCCGTCGTTGAGCCACTGACGGCAGTCCGATTCGCCAGCGATCATGGCGAGGAGATGAGTCACGCCGACGCTGTCAAGTACTCATCCTATGATTCCGTACCACCAGAAATCCTTCAGAATCCTCGATGACTATGTTTCCACGAAAAAAGACGCAGACCTCTGGGCGTTGTACGAGCTGTGTGGTGTCGAACGCCTCACCGACGGCTTGTTCCTGCCTCTTGACGCGGAAGGGAAGCCGATGGCGCTGGACGTCGTCCGACACGTCGTCGTGCCGAAGAAGGACGTCGAGAAGACGTCGAAGCGCTTCCAGAAGTTGCTGTCCTCGTCGCTGCACAGCATCCAACGGACCGAGGCCAAGGAAACCAAGGTCTACGGCAGCGTCTGGGGCGACTACGACTCGGATCTGCCCGTTTATTCCGAGGCCTCTTCTCAGCAGTCGTCGCAATCTTCGCAAGCCGAAGATTTGAAAGCGGCTAGTGTTCGTTTTTTACGTATTAGAAACGAGACAAAAGAAATCCACGAAGATTAGGTTTTAAAAAATCCTGTTAAATTCTTTCTTTGTGGTTTTTTCTTGTCTCTTTTTGATGGACAAGTCCTTCAGGATGTACAGAAATAGATAACGAGAAAAATAGAAGAAAGTATATCGAAAAAAAAAATTAGTGTACTCGATAAATTTTTCACCCTCTAAAGAGCATTGTTTTCCGAAGTCGGGATCTTCGTAATGTTTTAAATGGAAAAAAAAAAATGAAATTCCAACCAAACTTCTAAGTTATCTGTTTAAAATTTTAAAAACTCATAAAATGCTAAATTTGAAACTTTGGAGGCGATATAAAAAAACGATTTACGTTCTGAACATTCTCTGTCGCTCTTCTGTTAAATGTGTTCCTATCTTTGGAACAAGATCTTCTAAAAAAATTTTTTTTTCTTAAAATTGGTTTTTTTAATTTTCAAATTGCTAGTTTGCTAGATTTGCTACCTAAAACTTCTAAATTCAATAATGAAACGATTGAGATTTCCTTAAAAAAAGGAATGGCTAAAGATTAAAAATTTAGTTAGAACGCGAAAAAAACTCATTGAATGAGAAAGAAAAACTGTTTTTTTCATATAGTTCTTATTCATTTTTTTCAGGCGAATATCACTCGGGTTCCCAGCATCAAACAAATGGGTTCGACGGAAAATGTGAGTCCCCAATAACACTCCGAAATTTTTTTCTTTTTTTCATATATTTGTTGATAAAAAAAACGGAATTTTTCTCGTTTCATAGCTGAAAGCAGAAAACTTGATGAAAACTTTAATTGCCAGCTCAAAATGGAGATTATTTAGAGCAAAAAGCAAAGGATCTTCGTCGAAAAGCGGAGCTTTGGACAAAAATGTTCCAAAAATCAGGTTGGACTTTTTTTGGTCTTTGTATTTCATTATTACAAGTTACTAAAAAAAACTTTTTTATTTTAGAAGAAAGTCGAAAAAAATAAAGAACCCAAAAAAAAGGACGACGATGACTGGGATATGGAATGGAATGTGAAAAAAGAAGAGGAACCGAAAAAAGTGCCTTCCCCCGTCAAACAAACTAAAAGGTGAATCCATAACTTTCTGTTGTTGTAAGACTTATCAACAGACCCTCTCGAAAAAAATCTTTCTTCGAACATTTCAATTGCAGAAAACGTCCAAAAGTCGAACTGGACGACGATTTCTTTGATAAAGACGATGAAGAACCGTCTGTTTCAGAGGAACCGCCCAAAAAGAAGACACAAGCGCCGGAAGAGGGTTAGTCTATTTCTAAAGACATAATTCGATCAAAAGCCTTCATCAAAGATGTCTCCAGTGAGCAGACAATTAGTGATATAGCGTACTTTTGTTGTTTTTTCATCGTGCGGCGCATTATTTCTGGACGAAATGTTAAATTTGAAGCAAAAGCCAAGAAGAAACACGTCGAGAACAACGAAAACTTGAAAGTTTCCCCTCCAACGAGTGTTTTCGGCAAGGAAATCGGCGAAAAGACAAATGCGACAAAAGTGGAAAAAGTCGTCGAAACTTTTGTCGACGAGGACGGATTCCTCGGTAGGGACTTTTCGGCCGGTCAATCTGATTATCAATCAATTACAGTAACCAAGGAGGTTGCCAAAATCGTCGAAGTTCCACGGAGCAACTCGGATCGAACTGAAAAGGTTCTTTCTTTTGATTGTGAAGCGGTTCTTTCGAAATTCATTCTAAAGATGAGGCAAATTGAAAAAATAGTGTTGTGTGTTCTTTCGAATTCATTCAAGTTAAATTCAATTATCTGAGAATTCCCATAAAATAATGTAACTTCGATTTTTTGATCATTTTTCTCTTTTGTGTAAGAATTCGAACAGAGCCATTTCAAAATCTTCTTTCCGATACTAGTGAAAATCTGATCTCACAAATTCCTTTTGGAAAAATTTTTCAAAAATTGATTAAGATGAAGCCGAAAGTTCCGCCCGTAGTGCAGTCGAAGTCGTCCGGCGCCAAGAAAAACTCGACGATCACCTCTTTTTTCAAAAAGGCCTAACTATTTTGTTGCTCATGTTTGTATTTTATTTAATCGGGTTTCTTTTATCCCATCACTCAGACCTCAACCTAACCTGTGAAGTTTTAACAACAAAAAAACAACAACAATAAAATTTTCTCACTATTAAAATTTTATTTTTTCTTCACTATAGTTTCGAAAACGGGGCTGAATCACCTTCGAATAATAACTAAGACATTTGGATTTCTTATTAGAAAAAAATAATAACTTTTTACATATTAAACGTTGGGCAAAATATACAAATACGGGGCTTAATTGTACTTTGAGCGTTTGTTTTTTCAGGAAAATTTACAGGCAATGTAAATAAAAGGAAATAGTTGTACCCATAATCAATAGAGGCAAAAAAGTGTTGATCTCATGGTTAGGTCATGCAAATGAAATATTTTAAAGCGAATTTGAAAAATGAAACAACGATTGACAAGAAATCAAGAAATACAGGAAAATTGACTAGATAAATAGGGAAATTGAATAGACTAGAAAAGACTCATTGCATTGGGGGACCAGAATATTTTCGCCTGGTGTCTTTTATAAGCGAATAGATAGTTTTTGGCCTCTTTCCGCAACTGTTCGCGGAGTAAAAACGGCGACTCGTTGGAGGCGAGGCACAGGTCGATTCCGTCACTTATTAGGTACCTGAAAGTACAGTTAGTTCTTTCAGGGCCAAAATTGTTATGACATATAACGGTTATTTGGAAAGTTTCCGATAATAAAACTTTCCGATGATGAAAATTTCGATAAATTTCGCTCATAAACCAAAACTGACAATCCGTGGTCCTCGGGGTTAGTGATTCCTTGCTGATGGGCGATGACGCGACACAAATTAGCCGCCGTCATCTGCGGAACTCCGGGGAATGTCGTGTATCTGAATCAAACGCGACTATATTGGAAAAAAGTCTTTCTTTTAAGAGCCAATTTAAACCGGTGAGAATTTTATCAAAGAAATGTGACTTACCGCACAGATCCAGTCGTCTCGTCCGGCAGAGCAATCTTGAAAAATGCGTCACAGGAGCCGCCGTTGTTGTTGTTGGTCGCATCGCGGGGCAGAGTCCCCATTTTCGGTGTGTAGCTTCGTTTCGCACTCTTAGAGCCAGAAAAAAGTCAAGAAGAGAAGAAAACACTTACAACTGGCGTGGGCGGCTGAGACGGGTGGTCGCAAATCCGACAAATCGCTCCGTGGTTCTTCAGCACGTGGACCGCCGAGAACAAGGCGGTGAGATAGTAGGATGCATCGCTCTGTAATCACAGACAATAATTGAGCTGGCAGTGAAAAATAAACGATCCGAAGAAACATCAGCTCGAAGTTTTGCGCTTTTTTTCGTCTTTTGCAACGATTCAGCAAAAGAGTTCACGAAAACAGACTCGAGTCAATTTTTCGGCTTTTGTGTAGAACTTGTGGGAAACTATTGCAACTCTATTTCTCGAATTTTCCTGTAAGAGACTTTGATCGGCAAAAAAATACCTGCATAAGAATGGGCTGAGGCAGAAGCTCCCACATGTACCAAGCTTCGACCTCACAGCCAGTGAAGGTGCACTTCGAAAGGATGTAAACGAGCCATCTCACGAGGTCTGAAAATTAAATCTTTACATTTCAATCTTCCTTCCAAATATTTATTTTCGTTTCTTTCTAGAAGAAAAGAAAAATACTTACCAGCGGCGGCGGGGACGCCTCTTTGCAAACTCGGGTCGGAGTTTTCTTCGTTTTGCGACGCGATTTTCTGACCAGATAGGATCAAGTGAACTGCCCTAAAATTCATTCGATTTGAGAAGTCACTTCTTCATTTGAAATACTTCATCAAGTTCTGCAGTTTCTTGAGAGGCGAATAGTGACTCTGCATCCGTCGCAGACATTCCTTCACTTCATCGAACGCCTTTTGCGACGGCACGACCAACTGAAAAAGTTCCAGATTGATTTGGAATAAAGCACTACAGAAAATATTGAGGATCTTGTTCGCAAAAAATATTTCAAAAAGAACTCAAAATAGCCTGCGCCGTCCTGTATGTTCTATGAACAGAAATCGAACAATAAATCTTTGTACTTCGTATTTTTGCTCGGCCGGAAGAAAAATGATTTTTTTTTGAAACCGTAAAAAATTGCTCGACTAATTTTTGAATGAGTTTTTTCAAAGCACCCTCAAACACGTTCAGTCATGGACATATTTTAAGTTTTTTGAAAATTTCGAGCAAAAAATTGAGGATTCACTCTGTGTATTTATGCGTAACATCAAGATTTTTGGAAGTTCAAAGTCAGAATCTGTTCTCAACAATTCAAATTTTGCCGAATTTTCTCTTTAATTAACTTGCGGGTCGTAACTTTGAAACTTTCCGTATTTCTAACTGGTTCTCTCGTTTTTATTTTTCAATCTTCTTGCGCCTTTTCGGGCAAAAAACATGAAAATTCACCAAATCCGATCGGGAGAACCCCATTTCGAAGATGCTCTTGCTCCTGACGAATTCCATATTGAAAGCGATTATTTTCGAAATCCCGGCCGCGGCCAGGTCTCGACACATGACGTGGTACAAGAGCGGCTTCACCTCTCCTGAATTTTCCGATAGAACCGAGAAGGAAGGATTTGGAATACGTAGCAGGAGTTTGTGGAGAACCGCTTCCAGAACTGCGTCGATGTTCAGTATCTGGTTGCTGTTCAACTGGGACCTCTCAGCGTCGATAACACCGTGTAGCTCTCCTGAAATAACTCTTCTTGTACTTTGTTTTCTCTTCAAAATAATCGATTCATGAGAGGGTAAAGTTCCACATTCTGACTTACGAACTGGCAAGTTTTATTACCGCTTTAATTTGTCCAACAAATATTTTTAGACCTTGCCAAATCCTTTTTGAAGAAGATTTTGTTTCCGATTCCGAGAAAGTTTGTGGGTCAGACCTTCTCCATGCTTGACAAGGTAGTTCTTGATGCCGTTGAGGAACTGTCGGACATTCCTGACGACGACGGCCGGATCGGTCTCCCTCGTCTCCTTGGTGCAGGCGATGAACTGCCGGAGAGTGAGGCCGAAGCAGGCGTCTTTTCCTTCAGTCACTCGCGCCAATCTGAACTTTCCGGTCCTCCGAAAGTTCCAGAAGTGCTCTCGATACCGTTCTACATATTCCTGAATGGAGCGGCCGATCTGTTGGTCGATTCCCGGGTCCGCGTTCATCAAACGTTTCTGGCCTAACAGTGGCGACATGGAGTTGAGCGACGTTGGCAGATCGTCCATCGACGCCATGTGAGAGGCTCGTGACAAGGCGCGCGGTAGCTGAAAAATTATTTTGATGAAATTCACTCGGAGAACTTCAAGCTTTTTGAAGCCTAGATCAGTGAAACAATAAGAAAAGAGTGAACGGTACTAAAAAAGATAATGACAATTTTTTGTGAGTTTCGAAGAGTTTGAAAACTTAAAAACTGTTTCAAAAACGTTCAGTAAACACTGGGCAAATTAAAAACAAGCCGCTGACGCGAAATTATGATTAATCTTGAAAAGCGAAGTTTCGGACTTGATTTCTTTTCTTTCCAGATTAACAATTTTCTGAGCGCACGAACCGAAAACGAGCTCGACTGAAGGTTTCTTTTCAGAGTTCCGCCAAATGAGTCATTAAGTCGACTGTCCAACGTGCTGTACTTGCTGCTAAACGGTTTCGAGTTGATCAACCAATTTTCTAATGGGAAACCTGTCGGCGTGGTTCTCCCAGGCTTTGACAACGACGCGGTCGCTTGGGAGGGTCCTTCGGGTAGTTTCGGTCCAATTTTTCGAAGAGCCCTCCTCTGCCTCTTCGTCGTCGTACGTGTAGGCGCCTGTTGTGCGGTCCGAATCCGAATCTTCTTCTTGGATTGTCTCGTTGAACTCTTTAACAACGGAATCACGGAATCGTCAATTTTTAAATTGAACTTTTAGAAACTGAACTTCCAATACCCAAATCTCGACTCACTTTGGATGCTGGTCACTTCGTCGCTGTGATGGGCCAAGTCGAGCAGATTTTCCCAGACGTTCGAGTCCCAGGGTTCGTTGAAAACAGTCCCGGCCACGCTGAGATTGTCATCATCGAGTCCTGCAAAGAGTGATGTTTCTCGAGATGAAAACAAGACTTGAAATTATAAAATAATCCGCATTCGAATAAAGCTTTTAAATTTATTTCAAAGGGCGAAGTTTCAGACTTCAAATTTTTTTTTATCGGTAAATTATTTGGATAGTTCGATTGCAGGTAGGCAAGTAACTGAGAAAATGATTCGGACTACTTTCAAAAGCAAGAAAAGTATGGCCACCAACTCGAAGGGACTTCCAAACGATTGGAAGTGGTAGAGAAGTCGGCGAGCTGAGCGTAGTCCGACCCGAGGCTCGAGTAGCCGCCGACGTTTTTCTTCGAAGGAAGGACTGCGGCCTCGGCAATTGTCATTGCGATATCGCGTCGCGGCTGCGGCGTCGGTCGCACCTGAAACAAGATATTCTCTAAACTCATTGCTAAATCACTTTTCTTTTCAAATGTTCTACATCTACATGGCTAGCCGTAGGAATTTAACATTATCATATTCAAGCGGGATATTTAGTAATAAAACACTAAAAAATTTTCAAAAGCAGGAAGATGATAACCACCAAAAGAACTCTTTTAGTGCTTCAAAAGGCGGTAGCTCGTGTCAAATTGCTCTTCTTTTTTTTCAAAAATTTTATTAGAAATTTTGAGAAGGCTAGCCAATGAGGTCAATGACGGATCTCAAGTTACACCAAGGAAACATTTCAAGAGGAAAAATGATAATTTGGTAGGAAAAGGCCGCCCCTCTCCTATACATGACCTGAAACCTTCGCACATGCATGTCATAATGCGGTAATTGCAGGTGGTCTGACCAACCCAAAAACACGATTCTCCTGCTCCTATTATTCTACATTAACGAATAGCTAATCGCGACAGCTCCAAGTGAATTATTTATCAAAAATCGAGGGGCAGGTGAGTGGTGTGAATAATGGCGCACCCGGAATTTCACAACACAAGGTCGCTTTTCTTGATTTAAGATCGAAAAATAATGAACCGAAATAGAATAAAGATCTGAAATCAGAATAAAGAAAAAAAGTGAGTTCGTTATCGTAACGCTCAAATGAAGATTCTCTAAAAACGTAAGATGAAGTAAATAAGCATAAAGTGAGACAAAACGTGCTTCAAAATAGATTACCTTAGCGATTTTCTGTTGACGAGTTTTGAGCTCGCAGTTGACGGCAGACCACGACGGATTGACGGGTTTCGGTTGTCCCTCGGCGACTTTTTGGCCGACGAGCAACTTCTTCGCACCGACTACAGGACTCTTCTGAAGGGTCCCGGTCGAACAACTCGGAGAATCGTCGCCGACGTTGGACGGCTTCTGAACGGCTTTAGCTCGTCGCCAAACAAGGTCGCTGCACCGCGGTTCTATCGAATCCCTGCAAAATTGAAATAAAAAAGGCAAAGAAACTAATTAAAGTAATGTCAGAAGTTTTTACAAATCAATAAATACGACAAACGTCGGAGAGAAAAATGACCAAAAAAAGTTAAATTATCAAAAGAAATATTTTTTGGAAAAGATTTTTACTAAAAAAATATTTTTCTCATTCAAAACATTGAGAACTTAGAAAAAATGATATAGCGTTAACCTTTTCGAAATAGTTCGCAATTTTTACAGGATTGCATCTCGAAAACAGTTTTTATTCAGTTTTACTAAAACTACCTTGAATGGAAAGTCGACCATGATCTTCCTTTTCAAAAACCACATGCATAATTCAATCGGAAATCAGACTCGAATCAACAAATGAGAAAAAAAAGCATCTAGAAAGTGGGGCAAGTGCACTCGATCAATAATATTAAGCCGACGGGGAAAGATATTTCATGACATTTGATCCACATAACGGCTCAGATGTTCCCCGCGTTTTAATGTGTCGGCGATGCTTGTACATAACTTTGTTTCAGGTCATGTTCAAGGGAAAAAGAATCTTTAACATAAACATCAGAGAAAGTGTAAAATGATAGTAAAGATCATAAAAACTCCGTAAAAATTCGACAAATGCTTCAATAAAAACAGCAAGGCTTGAGAGCTTTTCAAAGATTTCAAGAAAAAAACAAAAAAATAATATTTCTTTGTAGAAACCGACAAAAACTTCTGTCAGGGTTCTGAAAGATGACGAGAAAAAAAGTAATAAAAAAAGTCATTATATAGAGAAAAAAACTAAAACGTTTTTTTCAAATACTTTATAGGTTGGAATCACTACAATTTTTGCAAGAAAAAAAAACTTTCAGCTAAACAGAAACAGCCAGAAAGAGTCCATGTTTTTGAAAGTTGAAAAAACCTTGAACAACTCAGAACAAAATAGGCAATTTGAAACAGACTTTCTTTCTGAAAAAAGCCTCTTTAAAAATGTTTTGATGGGGGAAAACTGGAGAACAGGTTTGGGGTGCTCTTCAATTGTTTTTCGGAGTGTGGCATCAAGCAGATTTGGTCGGGTCAATTGAGTTTCGACGAGAAGCGTCGACAAGATGACACCAGCCCCACTCCACATAATACCTTATGTGGAGACCGTAATACGAGCTTCTCTGGGGATGCAGATGCGAAAATTCAGTGAAGAGCCTGTCCATATGCCCTGTTAGAGGGTGACGATTGTTTCCTCCAGCCGGCTAGTACTTGGATATCTTGGTTCAAAGCGAAATATTTCTTTAGAATCGCTTTTCCTTGGTATAAATACGAAAAGAAACAAAAAACTTATTAGTTTATTCGAACGTCAGAGAGAAAATCGACGTGATCATCTCTACAATGAAAGGACCAAAATGAAACTCTACACTCCTTAAGATATTCACCTTCTACTTGTTCTTTTCACTTTCTTTTGAGCATTACTCACGCTCAAAAGACTTTTGTGACCTTAAGCAGGTGACTAACGTCCATTCCCAATCAGGTAGGCAAAAGGACTTGCGCAACTCCCGCTACAAGGTCGCCAAACTCAATAAAACAGTTTTCGAGATGAGGAATGCTAATTCCTATACTCGTTATGCTAGTTCCTATACATAGTTGATTTACCGCTCACTCAAACACGGTCCACAAAAAAAAAACTAAATGCAGACTTTCAAAACAACGATGTAGAATGGAATAAGTGACGGATAAATGAACGACAAAGAAAACGCCGAAAATAATGAAAGAATGTTGCTTCGAATTCATCCACTGGATATTTCCCAGACTCTAACTACCTTAATAATTACATGGCACAAAATGAAAAGATACAAAGAGCAGGCCGGAAAGCGAAACAGGAAACAACCAAATAAGGGAACAAATATGTCACGTCAGCGCGCAAATCCGTCTCTTTGACGTTCGCCCTTGAGGCCGACGTCTTCGCCTTCAATTGAGATCCTCTGCACCCAAAGCCAACCAAAGAATGCCGTAATTATGCATAATTCCACCCAAACACCACGTTCATTGCATAATTTTCCCGTCGACACCACAGGAGTTATTGGAATCTCTTTCAAACAATAGAAGCCATGTTCAAAACGAAGACCTTCTCAGAGAAGGAATTTCGTAAGTAAAGAATCCGCTTTTGGATGCCTATTAAAAATTCAGCTCAAAGTTTTAAATATGTTCAAATTGCGTATTTGGCTCAATTTAATAGTGAAAAATAGAAATATTTTCTCTTCAATCGACGCCGGAATGAAGGAATAAATAGATGGATGAATTTCATTGACACGGTGTAAAAAATTTCAGAAGATCGAGCAACAAGGAAAATAACTGTGAATAGCTTTTTTTTAAAAAAAAAGATAAATCTCTGGAATTATTAAGATAAATCAACTTTTTCTGAAACGACAAACTGTGAAATAAGTAAAAAAACTTTTTTTCTGGAAAAATAATGAGTCTCCGCTCATATCTGATCAAAAAATGCAAAAAATAAATAAATTTTAAAAGCTCTTCGCTAAAGTTGAAGAAAAGAGATCCGAAAAAGAAAAAAAGGAAGGTGGGATGGGCTCGGTTGATTCGGAAAAGGGACAGTTGGCAGGAGTGGCCGGCGAGTAATTAACAAATTGGTTGTGGACGTTGATGCGAGGCGTCAAAAAGGGAGCCATGAATGAGAGGCGGTCAAAGGAGTCTCTTGCTCCAGAAGAACTAAAATTGTGAGAATTTTTACCAAAAAAACTATAAAATGATGAATTTAAGCTTCTTTTTTTCCATCCCAAAAATCACTTCACACTATTCATACTCATTAACTTCATTAACTTCATTAGCTTAATTATTTTTTCAAATGGGAAATTGTCAAAAATGTCTCGGTTCAGCATCAAAATATAGAGCGGTTCTGCCAAATCAAATAAATTAAATATCGATTTCTTTCCAAATACAGTGATAACCACATTTTTCATCCGATTTCGCGTTCTCAGTTTTAAGAATCTTGAATTTTAAGCAAAAATTATAACAAAACTCAAAAAAAGGAACCCTAAAAGCGAAATTAACATTAGAAATTTTTCTTGTGAACTTTAAGCCTAGTGATACAATCGCTTATGCAGCTAATGAATATATTCAGAGGGAAATCAGCCAACATTCGACTATTATTGCGTGAAACGGGGACCGGATAACGACCCTAGAACACCTGCGCTGCACAATATCCGTCGACGCGGAGATCCTCACCTTCCGTCGGCGATTTCGACGCCTACTGGTAAACAAAATCATCTATTCATCGAGAAACAACCTAGCAGTGAATCAACAAACAAAATAATAATAAATCCGCCTATCGAATCTGAAATGCAAGCCTTATTATTCGAAATTTTGTTGAGAAAAAAAAAAATGATGAAAGCGATTTTTTTGAAAAAAAAACCTTGAAAAAAAATCCCAAAATTATTTTTTTCGCAAAAAAATATTTCATTGAAAAACTTCTCTCATGTTTACCGAATTTTTTTCAAAAAGACACTTCCCACATTTTCTATTGAATCATCCCAAATAATACAGTTTGTTGAAAATGTTAGAAAAACGTGTAGATGAGTTGGTCCAACAGGTATCGCTCGTGGGATACTGGGACGGTTGTGCAAAACGGAAGCGAATTGGTGAAAGTGGCGATTGGAAAGGCGAAAGTGAGGGTCCTCGGACCACTTGGCATTGTTCCACATCGTGTGCTAGCAGAGTGGCTGCAGGCGTGTGAACAGCTTCCGGAGGACTATAAAACACTTGAAAACGAAAAAAGTGATACCTACTTCGAAGTTTGGCATAGAAAGGAGCGCTCTCATCAAACAAAAAAGGTCAAAAATTAAAAAAAGCGAAAAGAACGCTACTTCACCAGAACAAAGAGCGATGTATCAAGTGATCTGTTCTTTCTATTCAATCGATAGAAAACCTTGTGAGAAATCAAAATTTTGCCTCGGAGATATTCTAGATCCGTCAAAAAACCAAAACTTAAGGCGAATGATGAAAAAAACCTGTTAAAACTTTTTTTGCGTTTTGATCCGATCATTTTCCCCCATCAACTATATGTTCTTACATCAAGCTGCCCAGAAACGTATGCTTAAAACTTTGAATTTGTCGAAAAAACAGGAAAGATTACGCCGAAACCCCTCAGTTGGCAGAAAAACAAAGTAGGGGTTAGTATAGAATGAACTTTTTCAATAATATACTTTTGAGCAAAAGTTCTGATTAAGATGGCAGGAAGAATTGGGGACCAGTGGGAAAGCGTGGATATGACTGGAAGAAAGGAGCTAGGCCTTACTTGCTCTCCTGCGTTTCGCCTCGCAACGGTCCACTCGGCTGTGCAAACCGGTTGCTGTGGCTTCCGCTAGGCGTAACCGTCCGGCCACACACAAAACAACCCATTCACGCCTTGCTTTCAACTTTTCCTCTCACAAAACAAGCTTTCTCAAAGAGGTGTTGGAACAAAAAGACGACGTGAAAGAAATGAAACTTTTTCTCTGCTCTTTTGATTTTCTACCGATAAATTCATAAGAGTCGAACATAAGGAATCGAAAAGCCATTTTGAGCTTTAAACCGCATTATTCCTTATCTCACAGTCTTAAATGAATGGACTTCAAGCGTACGCTTGAAAGATTGATCTTATTTATTCACTTAACAATTAATTATGTAAATTGATAGGTAATTTAAAAAAATGGAAAGAGAAAACATATCTCAATCGCCTGAAACTTCTCCAAGAAATTGCAAAATTAAGAAATATTGTGACTTTAAAAACAGCTAATAGAATCAAGAGGCATGCAATGTTGGCGGTAGTTTGAAAAGGCGTTCAAATGGCGCCAAACAAGTTATCTCCATGGTAAATCGCGACGGGATGCCTTACATTTATGCTCTTTATTTAACGCACACAAAAAGAGACGTCATTGAATACATTTTGTGCCACGAGAGAAATAATTCTAGATAACTCTCTATATAACAGAATTATTTTTTGATTTTGAAGCAAAAAAAGAACTTAAGAAGGAAATTCGAACAAAGCCGTTACATAAGCAAGGAAAATTGGGAGAAAAGAAGAGGCGCACGAAAGAATTAGCATTCGTAACACACCAGAGGCCTGCGCAGTTCGTACACATCAGCCTGGGCGACTCAAAAATCGACGAATAACGAACCTGGATTCTTTTTTTTTCTTGAATCCGCTTGGTTTACAATGGATGTCAGCTATTCGTAATTATACAAGAAACCAGGGTGAAAAATCTATGAATTAGTGGAAATTTAACTAGATCTGAGCATACAAACTTTTTAGAAGGTCCTTTTTCGAAAAATTTCCCAGTTTTAATCTGTTATCACCTAGGTTGAACTTTTTTAACATCTTCTAATCCCTTCTTTAAAAGTTTGTTCAAAAAATAAGAAAAACCCTTATCACAAACTAATCACGAATACAAATGGTTCAAAAACGGAAAGGCCTCAGTGTGTGTAATATGTGTGATTTGTTTTCATTTCTTTATTTCTGCAATTATCCTTTCTAAAATAGTCCTCCAAAACTTTTCTGAAAACAACATATTCATACCACATAAGTGAGTATTAGAAAATTGGGAAAATCATGAAATCGAAAAGTCAGTTGAGCGAGAATCGCCAAAAAACGCATAATTTTTCACTAAGGAAAGAGGAAGCGGGAATTCTTCAAGAAAGCCGGAAATGACCGGATTTCGGACGTTGCGCAGAAAGTGTGCGCGCAGGAAAACAGTTCGAAAAACGGAGAGAAACGGCCAGATGAAAGCTCTTGACGGCCTCGTCAGCGAGTTAGATTGGACGTGTTCCCCTGGATCGCTTTTGAATGGAAGAAAAACGAGGAGAACAAAGGGGACAGGCAAATTAGATGCGAAGACTCAGGAAACAAAGCTTTTGCCGAGGAAATTCCAGAACTGTACAACATGGGCGAGAAAACAAGGGGAAATAAAGTTCTGACCTCCCAAATCTTCCACTGAAAGTTTTAAATAATTCACAAACTAACTTTCTTATGACAGCTGTAGGTCGACTGGAAGGTTTCGAGTGATCGAAAAGGGCTTCTAACGCCTGAAAGAGTACTGGATCACATCCAAAGTTACCTAGACTGATTCTAAATTCACAAGACCAATTAATATTCACTCGAAATCGAAACTGCTCATTATCATTTTAAATAAATGTTTACTTGAAAAAAACGACTCTTTTCACCTACCAGAAGTTCGTCACAGTTATATTCGCGACAGTAAAATAAAAATTTCTCATCGGAAGTACTGAATTTTTTTTGTCTTTGACCAGGTATTTTTCCATAAACTTGACGTTTATCGAGAAACGTAGCAATAAAATTTTTTTTCAAATTTTTTTCAGAAGACTTTTTCAAGCGATCAATTGAAATTCGGAACAAAATTTTAGCGTCAAAATGTCGAAATTCTGACCTCTCGTCGCATCGAAACTTTTCCATTGAGGTCGACGTCCTCCACTTCGGCTTCCAGTCGATCTTCAGAGACATGGGGGACAACTCGACTCAGACTCTCAAAGTTCTTCCGTCGTACGACCGGCGTCACTAAGCCTTCGTTGATTGCCTAAAGTGAATTTTTGAATAGGAAACAGAAAACAAAATCAAAAATGAAAAATGGAAACCGTCCGAAAAAACATCTACATTTAAACAAATGAAAAATTATTTCAAAAGAGCTTTCTTAGTTGTTTACAGGGCAGTCTTGATTTATGATACAAAAATAAAACAGAATGACACAAAAAAAAACGATTCAATCAGTGTACATAACGTATGACTAGAATCAAATGAACACATTCAGTTTCAGGAGAAAGAAACTCACGGAGAGCTCGCCGTCCTGCTGGCGTCCGAGTTTTTCTCTGAGAGCTCGAGCCGACTGTCCGACGCTTCCAGGGACGGTCGGATCGACAGCGGCGACGAGGTTAGGCACGGAAAGCCGATGTTCAGGACCTCGGCTGTCGATGGCTCGCCAGCCTGGCGTGCCGTTCTTCGCTCTTAAATAGTAAAATAAAGCATTAAGACAATTTAATTAATCCAAACTCTATTCTGTTCAAAACTATCAACTAAAGACTTTGAATAAAATGGGAGCATTAAAAAATGACACGCAGCCGTTTTCTTTCTTGGAAATTGACGGCGAAAAATAGTCTTGCATTAATTCGAAAAAAAAATATTCAAAAATTCAATTATCGAATACACCTAGGCGCGATTTCTTATTTAAAAAAAGGTGCTAAAAACAGGAGAGAACGAAGAAAAACACGAAAAAAGATAAAGAGAACATCAATGAAGATGTTATGAACAGGATAAAGTCGAAGAACAAATTTGGTCAGAGTTCGAGCAAAATACAGTTGTTAGGAGTGAGTCCTGTTTCGATTTGATGGAATAAAAATCAATTCAATTCAATGGGAAACCATAGTTTCGAGTTTATAAAGATGATTGATCTTATGAAAAAATAAAAAAAAATTGTTGAAGATCGATTTTGGAACCGTTTCAAACAATATTCGAATCGATCTTTACAAGAATTTCGCGGGAAAGTCATAAGTATTTTTGGAAGGAGACATTAAAAAAATGGAAGAATAAAATAATGTTTTGAAAAATTTTTTCTCGCAAAGGACCAAACTTTTGAGTAAACGCTACACAGATTGATCGGAAAATACATGTTGAAACTCGCTTTTACAATAGATCTGATTGTAGATTAACTTCTGCTTCACATTCTCTGCTCACTTCAAAATATCATACCTTAACGAAATTCTCGGACTGGAGTTGACAACTTGACGTGACTGATCTCCAGAAGATTCTGCCGGTGCTGTAGATGAAGTCTGAGGCAGCTCGTGAAGGTTCAGTTCTTTCGCCAGTTGCAACCTGAACTTTCGAGCTAGAGATGAATACAATTTGAAAGCCAATTGAAACATTTAAAACGTAAATAATATTTCAGAGCAGAGAAAGATTCATGAAACAAAAGAGAAACAGAGAAGTGCTCGGCGTGAAATTCAACCCGGCAAAGGATGAGAACTGAAGAGGACCGTAAACACTGGGTCACACGGCGAATCAAGAGCCCCGAGGTCATGTTCGAATGAATTTTCATTTCCGTCCAAACAACCCATCCATGCAACTGAACTTTGGGAAAGATAAACAATCGAAAGATCCTGGAGATTTCCCCGAGTTTTGCACAAAAATGAACTGTAGGAACTAGCCGATTATGACTTGAATTTCCCCGAAAAACGTGAGGAAAGTCGCTACTTTTTTTGCTTGTGCTAATAAAGTAAACCGTTCAAAAAACAGGAAATCTGATGAATTTGACGCGGAAATAAAAAAAGAACCGTTTCCTGCGGATTTCCTCGACGCAGCTCCGGATGACGTGCGGATCGTTCGCATTTTGCGGTGGCGTCATCGGTTTTCGCTGTGTGACCGTCGCGTTCTTCGCTTCTACAGGTCCGGGACTGCTCTCGTTGTGTCGCGCGAGTCGCGTCCCTGCGTTCTTCACAGTCGCCAGCGACATGCCGCAGAGATCGCTGCGTTCGCGTCGCATCGGCAGAGGACGGACTCGCGACGAAATCACAGCTGAAATTTGAAGTTCTTTTCTGAACAGCTTTTGTCAAGTATACTTCAGAATACGACAGTATTTCATCAAAAATCTTTCAAAACAGTTACAGTATACAGAGGCCGGACTTCGAGCTTTAATAACAGGAAGTTTTCTCACACTCTTCTATCCCAACTGCTCTCCAAAAATGCAATCTTATCAACGCACGAAAAATGTGAAAACTCAATTACCCATAGAAAAAAAAACTTGAAGAAGTTTTACTGTTAGAGTTTTCACGTTATATGTAGAAGCGAGGAACAAATAATTAATTCATGAAATCTATTTTTGAGGTCTCTCTCTTCTACTTTGAATAATAATAACACGTAGTGCTTTCAATAATGACATGATCCCTTTATCGAAAAAACGTTTTCAAAGTTTTTTTTTCTTTTCTCTGGAAGATTCAATGATCTACCCCAAGATATTATCAAAACGAACAATCTTCATCAGCGGCCGGTTTGAAAGTCCTCATGAAGCCATCGGGACGGGAGGACGCCGGAGACGAAGTCTTGGAGGAAAGAGTCGCCGAGTTGAACTTCCAGCCGCTCGTGTAGTTTTCGTCGTCGAACTCGTCGCGGTTAGTACGGTAGCTTCCGCCGCGTTTGGCTGCTCCGAGGACTCCTCGTGGTGTCGGACTAGTGATGTCGAAGGCGGACCGCGAGCTGCAAAGTTTTTTCTTACTTCATTAAAATCATCATCTCCTCTTTTTAATACTGATGCAGTAGTGTTTAAAGTTGCCAAATTTGTCGGTAATATTGATTCTGTTGATTATTTCAGAAAAAATTATCAAATAAGCTGTCGTTTTTACTGAAAGCATTCAAACAGAAAGGTTTTGAAAACGCTCAAAGAACGTTATACCGGAAAAAAACGAAACAAAAGCTCGGGTAGGAAATCGGTCAACATAATCCATTTATGGTCTGAGCTTTACTTTATCTGACTCTGGAACGAGACGAGGTTCCACTCACCAACACCAAGCAATGAGCACGGAGGCCATTTCGCCAAGAACATACAAATCACTGATAACGTCGGGTCGGGACGGTCATTAAGAGGAGACAAAAAAGTCGTTGGATGTTGCCAGTTTGAGGAACAGAAGGAGAAGACCTTCGAAGCGAAAGAGGAGTGATAATTCAGCCGAAATCTCAGCTGTTACTCTTTTCCGCGACATTTGTCGTTCACTTTGCCGACACACACGCACGCCGAGATACACAAGTCGCCGGGTAATTAATTGCTTTTTTGTGTTGGATGATATCTCATCTTGGGATAACGCCACAATCTCTCTCACCTTTTCACTGGGCTTCTGCCCCATGGAGTGAAGTAGTCGCAGTTGGCCAGCCGTGCGTCGTCCGACGGGCCTTCTGAACAAGTTCAATTGAAAGAGGAACCTTCATGAATCAAGACATTTCGCGAGGGACAAACTTTGGAACTTGAAAATTCTGGTTTTTCACTAGAAAAGCTGATTTTGAGCTTCCACAAAAAAATTAAGTGTAGGCGAATTTTGAACACGGAAGACCTTTTTTTCGACATAACTTGTCTCGGTGCTCTGTGATGCTAAGAAGAGATTTTTTAACAAGAAACCTTAGGATTTCGCACCAAAAAACGTTCGGACAAGCTCCGCTATGAAACCTGAGGCACCTCTGACCCCAGGCGCCAGCTATCCGCCAGAAAAAGTCATTTCGCCAGCTCGCGCCCATCAAATTTGTGGCGGTTTCCTGGCGATTCTCTGGCGACATAACCAATAGCGCGAATTTGCTTTTATTACTGTATTTTATATTTCGATCTAAAATTTTGGGACTCGCTTTTTTTGTCCTTTTGTTTTTCTATTTGATTTTTTGCTGATTTCACGATTTTTCAGTGTTCGTTTCCTGTTTTGTCCGAACTAGCGCAGAAGCGATGCCGCAATGCAGTTTTGATGTAACAAGCAATTTTTCTTGATTTCATTTTTTCTTTTTTTTGGTAAAAATTCAAAAAGCTGTGTATAGAAGTAGAAAACTGTAGGTTGCGTAGGTCGTTTAAAGAAAGAAACGCGATTAGTTGAAAAGAAGTTTAAAAAAAGTCAGAAATTTATTAGAATATAAACCTTTGTTTTATTTGTGTAGAGCTCAGTAAATGTGATGCGACGGAGGGTTTCAGGTTTAAAAAACAACAGCTTGAAAGGTTGGTAAATAAGAAAATTCGAATTATTTTCTCGATTTAGTTTCGTGGATGATCAACCGCTCTAAAAGCTTAATGTTTTCATGCTGAACTTCTCTTTCCGTGAGGCTGAAAGAACGACTCCAGTTGAATTAGTAAGTGCTTTCTACTTTTTTCCTCAACTGCTTCCTTCAGAAAAAAAGCATCGTCAGGAAGTCCCCGTTACGGTTGAAGGATGTTTTTTTTTCCTCTCACTTTGGTAAGTTTTGGATTTCATGTAAAGTACTTCATCGATATATTTTCGATCTCAACCGACGGTGTCATGATGTTCATTGCAAATGGATAACGATGCTTTAACCAAAATACGGAGAACGGGTACGACGCAAAATGTCCGCGAAATTTTCAAGTTTTTTTATATTTGTAAACTTTACACGTTCATCAACTTTATGAGCCTCAAAAATATCTTGATGCACCCAAATTATTGTATTTTTGTGTCCGTAAAAATTCAGCTTCAAAAATACAGCTTACATATTTTAGCCTCAAAAATATTACTCGGATTTGTCATGCCCGCGAAATTCGGCTGACGAGTAGAGTTTTCGAAGCAGTTTTTTTCGGACTTGAAAATAAGTTTCGTAGTTTGCTTTGAAAAGGGGCTGATAAATTTGAAGAACCGTGTTGTATCACTGCACAACAAAAATGTAATGCCTTGATCATACTTGTGAAAAATCAGAATCTCTTCGCACTATTTTTCTTTATTTTGTGGCCATTTGAAGTAAAGTGATAAATGGCTCAGTTTTCTTCACGAGTAAAAGATTTTCTCTTTTCAAAAAACTTTGTATAAGAGTCTTCTATTTAATTCTCTATAAACTGATTTTAAAATTTAAGCCATTTATTATTATTAGAGCCTTTACCACTTTACGGCCATTGATTATAAAACTTCCTCAAACTTTTTTTTACATCAGAGACTCTAGTATTGCTCTTTTATCCTCTGAATTTCAACCTTTTAGTCGAAGTATGTGCGAAAATAACTTGAGAGGATTTGTTAAACAGCTTAATGTATCCATTAAAAAAAGTTTTTTTGAAAGGATTTTTTTAACTTTGTCTCCGATATAAATTGACTGCTCGTCGATATCACTTTTTTTAAATGCGTTGGAGCTTTTAAAATTTCTCTCTTCTTTTTGGTATTTTGAAGCAACAAATAACTCTTTTGCATATTATCGAAAAATTTTACGAGCAGTCAACTTCAAGTTTCCTTTTATTTCTTCGGATTTTTTTGGCTCACATTTTTTTCTAAGATGTATTGTTTGGTAAAGTTTTTTTGATGTTCTGTTATTATGATCTTTTTTTCGAATCGAAAGATATTGTTTTTAAATTAAGTTGTAAACTTTGCAAGCGTTTCCTTCTTATATCTCATTTTTTTCAAGTTCTCTTGATGTTTGATTTTATATGTTGATTTTATTTCCATTAAATTTTGTATTTGTGAAAAATAATAAAAGTTGATAAGATATATTTTTTTAGTATATAAAAAAATAACAATATTGGAGGAAGGGAAATGATTGAAAAAAGGGGGAATCTGCGCGCTATAGATAAGCCTGGCGAATTTCTGGCGCGTTTCTCGCCAGCTCGCCGCGATATGGCGCGCCAGCTCGCGAAAGACGCGGCGCGCGCTGGCGAAAGATTGGCGGAAAGCTGGCGACTGGGGTCAGAGACTTTATTCGTGAAAACTTTCAATCAATCAACAAACAGTCGAAAAACGCTTATTTTTTAGAAAAATAGACGTACCAATATCACAAGCACGCAAAGGCTTGCGCTTCTCACTGGTTGAAGAGTTGTTGCCGAAGAATAAAGATTTGAGGAAAGATCTGGGTCTCGAAGCACGAGATAACGTTGCCGAGCCGCTGACCTTCGGCTGTGGATTGGCTGAAAAAAGAAATCATCATTTAAGAAATATTACTCAAAAAATTAAAAGTTCAATGAAGAAATTTTAATAGAATCTCGAGGTACATTTTGCAATTAATAACAAACAAACGAGAAATTTCCTGATTAGAAAGCGAGTAAAAAAACCAGATTTCTCGTTCAGTTGAAGGAAACTTTTAAACTAAACGCCACAGAGAAGCCCAAATTTTTTTAGAATTTCTATAATTTGCTACTCTAAGCCATCCGAGTTTTTTTCATTTTTGAAAAATTCGGACTTTCAGAACTACCAAGAAGAAAAGATGAAATGAAAGTGATGGGAAAACGAAGAGGACACGAGGGAAACTACCGGCTTCCATTCCAATGAATCAAAAAGAAGAAAGAAACTTGCCGCTTTTGTGATTGCGAACGGACTGCGACCGCCTTTCTGTTCGCGATATGAGTCCTCCTGCAAAGATTCTAATCATAACAGTTTTTCAAACATCGAAGCATCTCCGAAAGCTATTAAAGAAACATTCAATGGGATTTTAACTTAATTCACATAGATTTTTCAAGGGTATTTAAGTAAAAGTTCCAATGATTGAATGATTGAAAGAAGTTTACCAAATGAATGTGAAAATGGGAATGAGCTGAAAAAATATTTGTTCTAGTATCTTATTGTACAGTCTGATGAGAAATCCTTGCAGATGCTCACATGATAAAATTTCCAATGTTGAGTTTTTTGTGAGCAGATTAAGATCTAAGGCCCGAAATGAATATTCGCAAAGTATCTTAACTCCTCAGAAATAGCCACAGAAACAATAAACAAGGATTATTGAGACAGCCATTAAAAAAAACTATGAGCGGCGAGGACTAGTTAAGTGGAGGGAAGATGAAGTGCGAGACGCCACCTGGACAATGGAATTGTCGACGAAATGCGCTCCGCCGACTAAAAACTTCTGAACCAAAAGACGGCGAATCCGACGAGCGGATCATCCTCGCGAATTAACTCCAACCGTCCAAACTGCGTCGTCAAAAACTTCGTATTTTCGCGTTACCAACTACTTCAACATCTAATTTGAAACTTGGAAGTCCTCGGAAACATATCGAATAAAATCAAAAAATCACAAACAGAAGTTTCACAACCTTCAACCTCGTAATCCAAAAAAAAGAAAAACTTGTAAGAAAAGTTTCAATTGGCGATAGAGCAGTTTTTTGGAAACCAATTAAATAATCTAAATATATTTATTCATTATCTTGTAATAAAATTCATTGACAGCCTGCTGGCCACTTAGTACTTTTTTGTTGAAAGATTATTAGCGAAAAGACTTGTTTTTCCAAAAAATGTGTTCGGCTACTGTGAAATTAGGGATTCCTCGTGGTTTTTTTTGGACTTGAACTTGCATCATTAAGAAGAAATATTTCTATCAATTGAAGTTATCTAGTCGTGAAAATGCGAGAATGACAGAACCAGGCTCTCAAGATCAAGAAGTATACAAAAACCTGAAACATGGAAAGAAACAAGAAGCTACGGACGAAAACACAACTCGGGAGCAGACAAGGGACAGGAAACGACATCGAGACCTTCGACGCGATCGTGTTTCGTCGGCGGCGAATGGCCGCTGCTGCCGCTGTCGACCTCGTCGCTGCCGCCGCCGATGCAGCCAGTCAGCAAGTCGCCGTGGATCGTCGCGAATCGCGCGTTCCCTTGTCGCGTCGACGACGTCCGCTTCTTCGACTGCAACCCCAACATTTCCTTTCCAGCCGATTCTGCCATAATTGAGCAGAAAAGCGATCTTATAAGATGTAAAAACATTTTTTTGGTCAGAAATACATTGAATGATGTAAATATATAAAGATTTGATAACTTAAATGTTTTTTTCACCGTTGTATTTTTAAGCTGAACTCTTGAAGAACCTTTTGTTAAAGTTTGATGAGTTTAAAAAAACTGTTTTTTTCCACAAAAGTTTTTGCTTCATAGTAATTACCAATAAAAGCGTCATAAAATCTTCTCTCTTTTTTTTTCTCAAAATTTCTCACCCATTTTTGGTCGATTGTGCAATGTTCTCTGATTTCCAAGTTCTTCGGGCCCGTCTCGTAGACGGTATTATAACAAGCGTCGAAAAGTTTTCCATCGGGCGAAGTTTCCGTGTCGATATCGATGAACGACGTCGTCGACTCGTTTGACGATCCTGCAATCCTCTGCTTTAAAAAAAAAGATCATTTCTATGAAAAAAGTGCAACATATGATTCCATTATCTTTCAAGTTCAAAAAGGTTAATAAAAAAAATTGAAGCTCTTACCAACGTTCAGAAGAGGCACGGGATGGGATTGTGATGAGCGCGACGTCGATCGCGACCCGCTTCGCGACAACGACATGTCGCTTGTCCAGAAGTCTGAACCTAACAAGTTTCAAAATTTAAACATTTAATTGAAAAATTAGAGAAAGTCATCGATTTTCTAATTGAAAAACGACAAATTTTTTCTTCTCAGATACATACGAGATTATTTGGCTTGATAAAAAAAATCGACTAACCAGGGAACGTTTTTCATCCCCCGGTTGAACTTCTACTGAAACTTTGCTGACGTGTACCTCAGTACCCCCTGATTGCAGATCACGACAAAAAAAATTTTCGCGCAATAGATCTTGTTTCCGAGTTATGTAGCTTCAAAGTGTGCAAAATACGCAAATTATGCCAAAAAACGCTATTTCGGGCTTTGGAAATGTCCTAACTCGAAAACGAGATCTATTGCGAGAAATTTTTTCTCTGTTCTGGAATCAGGGGGTTCTAAAATACACTTCAGCGAAGTTTCAGCAAAAGTTCAACCGGGCTGTAAAACGTTCCCTAGTAAGTTATTCAGGAAAAGAAGATTTTTGCACTGTAATCAAGATTTTTTCATGCTGGCAGTGTTGTGGGATTTCAAAGGTTCAAAACGATAAATTTGAAGGAGCCGTGAGAAACGAATTGAAAAGTAGTGCAATTATGGACCACAACCATTCAACTTCCTTTTTTGTCATATTCGGTTCTGAAGTCTCAATGAAGACCATGAGGGTCGCGCGAAATGGGACAAGCATTGTAGGCCGATGTTTACTAAAAAGGTGGATGACGCACTTAAAAAATGATGGGTCATGGGACCAACGCCAAGTTGCGCAATCCTCGACCAGCCTCGACAAATTGATGGCGCCAACTTTTTGAAGAAACATTCGGCGATTCAAAGACTTAGTTTAATCTAGTATAATCAAGAAATCTAAATAACTATTCTTTGAAAAATCTTACGTTTTCAAATAGCCTTTTTTATAGCTCTAATGGAAAGAAACAGACCCGTCAATCGAGAAAAAAAAATCCTCTTGAGGCTCTCTATTTAGGATTGAAATTAAAGATTTAAAAAATGCAGCGCTGAAGAGTTGAAAGGAAATTAACTTTAACCCTGCTTGAAGGATAACTTCGTTTTATTTTACAACAAGCGTTAAGTTTGACTTTTCAATGTTTTGTTTATTGAATTCGTCGTGCAGATTGCGGAATGTTGAATTAACATTTGAAAAAAAAAATGAAAAAAAAATCAAAAGTTCAAGAACAAGGAAGAAATGGAAAAATTATTTTTGAAATGGAATCTCAAGTGAAAATCGAAGAACAAAATCGACAAAAGGAAAAGAAGCGGCCTTTTTTAGATCTCTTAATTTCAAAAATCAACGAATATTGGAGAACTATAAGACTTTTCACTGCTCCTAAGCAAACCTAAAAAAAATGATAGCAAAGAAAGAAAATAAATTCGAAATTTCAGAGGAAAGAGGACTCAGAAGAGGAGCTTGAACTGAGGTGTATCGGATCGGATATCGGCGGCAGTCAAAAACTCTGAGAGGACGAGCCGGTGCGTAAAAATGTCGAAGCGCATAAAACGACAATTATTCTCGACGGTCTCCGTCCGCCAAGAGTCATAACTCGGGCCGTTCGCCAGCGGAAAAAAAAGGCCGCCCTGCACCCTCCAAAACGCCAAGGACGTTCGCCCATTATCATTTGAACCACCTCCTCTTCTTTTATTAATTATTACCAGCCCGTTGACGCCGCTAGATTACTTCTCACAAGTTATTACCGACTTCTGACAGCAATTAACGCAACTTTTATGATCCCGGGTTATTAATTTATGACTCTTTGTGAAGAAATACTATCGAAAGTTGTCGATTTTTGACCGAAATAAATTTCAATCAAAATTCATAAATTGGTGCAAAATGAGACAGCTTAGACCTGACAGCTGGAGTAAGAAAAAAAAAGACTTGAATGTGACAACGTTTTTGGAATCCAGAAATTTTGAAAATAGTTTTCAATATCGGTTTATTTCATCAGAAATGTTGAGAAAAAAAAATTAAAATATAGAAGAACAGAAAACGTACGAAGAATTTTGATAACGTTTTTAAATTTCTTAACAATATTCTAACATCTTTATCGATATAAAGAGCTTAGAAGTTTCTATTCGGTGAATGAAAAAACCTTATCATGTGAAACTATTGAAAAGTCTGCTTTGGCCACAAAAATCAACAATCGAATGAGATCTGAAACAGATCTAAAGTGGCGAACACGCAACGCATATCAAGAACAAATCAAAATGTTTGGCCGTCGCTGTGCCCTCAAAATAGGACAAATCAAAACCCAAGTGGATTTCACTTTCCAGAAACATCTTGCGGATGTCTTCTCACTCATTTCAGTAATCCATACTTACAGAAAAAGACCAATTCAAGCACACCTTCCTTCCGAAATCCCGGCCTAATTGAAAACTTCAAAACTATGGCTCACTATCTGAACAGCAAAATCAAAGAAGCATTTTTTTCAAAATTTAAAATTGAGCCTAATAAACAGCGACACGAGGAAGTCTAGCAAGAGTGTTACAAAGAAAAACCTGCAAGCTTGAAAATTGTGAAAGCAACGGAAGCATTAGACTTGCGACGTGTTTTTTTTTTTCTTTTTCGACTGCCTATGACCAGAAAAAAAATTTACACCACATGTCAGTATGAGAAGTATGAGAAAAAGGTATCGGATTACGACTCGATTAGAAATACAAACTAGAAAAAAAACTGTCGAATCGGAAACCCCAAAAAAGTTGTAAAGAAATTTTGAGCTTTTTATGTGCACAGTTTGGCTTTTTAAAAAGTCATAAACTTTTTTTAATCGACCTTTTTTTGATTTTTTTAAATCTAAGAACGAAGAGAGTGATAAGAGATAAAAAAATAAATGTGTTCTACGGATCCCGAAATGTTACCAGTACTTATAAAAAAAGTAGCTGAAAGATTTCCATTTGTAAAATTACTGAATTCGATTATGGAAAAAAACGTACATAATTACTAAAAAGACTAAAAAAATTAAAAATTAGGTTTAATTAATTTTTTTGCGCCTACTTTGGCGGAAACGAATATTAGACAAAACCATTTTTTTTTTCAATAATGACAATCGGAATCCCGAAGGCCTTGGTGCAATGATCTACTGCATTTCTTGCGTTATCAGGGCCAAAAAGTGTCGGATCGAACCGAAAAAAGTACCTTGTTCCATGAGAGCGACGCTCTGGAGCTGCTTAGTAGTGCGGCAGGCGCGAATCGCCGCCGGAAGCACCAATCGAGTTTGTAGTTCTTCGCTGAAACATCCTTGTACCTCTGCCTCGGAGCAAAAAAAAGTACTCGTGAGTGCAGTAGTGCTCGATGAGGAGAGGCAGCGATCGGAACTTCAGCTGGCTTCCTTCCAAGCGGATCTGAACTCGAGACAGTCGTCTTGAACCTTTCAATTCTTTTTTTGGAAAGAGAATAACTGAACTATCAGAAAAACTATTACAAGATAGAATTTTACTTGGATCTTAGAGAAATTTTCTATTGAGAAATATAGTAGAAATAATGGGATCAGATGGAAGTTCAAACTGAGATATTTTTTTGTAGTAGACATGTAAACAATTTTTCAACGTAATAAGCTTCTAAAATTTTCTTTCTAACAGTGTGGTTTCACTTTCTAACAAATAGAAGAAGACGGATGAAAAAAATTGAAGTGAATTGTAATTGAGAAACGCACTAAATTGAGCGGCGGATGGTCGCCGACGGCGGCAGAAAGTTTCTGGATGATGTAATGGTCGGTGTCGGCGCCGAACCCAGGCCCCAGACACACCGACAACGCCATGCAGTTCTCTCGCGACGAAGCCCGCACGATGAAGTTCTCAACTTGTTTTTTCTCCACATAGACTATGGCTATCACTTGTGTATCATTCATCTCTAGGTAGATCCGGCTTTCTTCGTTGAGACTAGCGAAAGTCGCCATTTATCTCTCATTTAAGGCGCAGTTTGAAGCGGTCATAATCGCTAAGAAAAAAATAAAAAGTTCATTTCTAACAATTCTGCGCCTCTTTACTTTTCAATATTTTAATTTTTTTAAAAAACCCCTATTATCATGTGTTTTTTTATTACAATACAAGTCTTAAAGTTAAGAAGTATTTTCATATTTTTTTGTGTAGTTTAATTTGAAAAAAATTTCGGTATTACCCCTGGTTCCATTTTTTTCGCAGAAGATGGAGCACTTCAGGTCGTCCAAGGTGAGGAATGTACCTGCAAAAAAATGATTGAAAAAAAGGAAACGATGAAAAAAACAAAAATCTTCCAGCATCTGTGCTTTAAGGGGCGTAGAACTAAGATGCAAAATTTTCATTGCTGTAAAAATCTCTAAAAAGTGTTTCTAAGTTTTCTAACAGATTTATTCAGGCAAACTATTTATTTTCTGCTTATCAGTTATTTTTGACATCAAGACAAGAAAAATTCAAAACATCGAGACGAACACTGCCGCGAGAAACGTCGACGGCTACTTCGCTCCGTCCATTTTATCAGCAACTGGTAGAATGATTAAACTTCTCACCAAATGGTGTGCGTTCGAATGATCTGCTCCAGCAAAGACACCGGCTTCTCAGGCTTCGACCGAGAAACATGAGAACTTCTGGTGAAAGAAGTGTAGTTGTCGGAGCAGGAATACTCATTTGGAGGTGTCGGAGGCTTTGGTCGCTGAAAAAACTCTTATAAAATAAACTTTTGAGAAGAAGAAACTTCTTCGAAAGGCTGCGAAAGCTCCTTGACGATCGGACTGCTCGAGTATTCCTTGGGAACGGCCCAAGCCACCACGTCTGCCACTGGCCTCATTCCATTTTTTCGATTATCGCCTTGATGAGCAGAATGTCTGGACTCCCCGAAAAAATCTTGCTCCCTCCGTCTGCAGTTGGGCGAAAAGTCAGCGGGAGTTGCTGAAAAGTTGGAACAAATGTATTTTCACATCTGAAGATTCCTTCTGTTGATTTTAAAATTTCGAAGATCAATGCTGGAAACGCCAACGCAAATTCTAACAATTTAAAAATGAAACCACTCTGAATATAAAAACGCTTTGAAAATTTCGTTTTGAGAAAGGTGGATGTAAAAAGAAGAGTTGAGAGAATCGACCTCACTGCACACCGACAAAATGACCATTTCATATGTGCGCAAAGAGAAGAAAACGATTGGAAAAAAAAAGCGAGCAGCTGCGCAATCGACTGCAGATAAAAGGAGGGTGGAGAAATGCTATACCAGAAATCAAACCCATTAATAGTTTGTTTTTCATAGGATCGAATTTTTTCAAAGAACATGCGGCGTTGAAAATTTGAATTGATAAAAAACTTCAAACTGATCGCTCTATAGGATCTCGCAAAGTCCCTAGGACAGTTCAAAAAAGAGCAGAGGTCGGCGACGGAAGTCATCCCCGGCAGAAGAAAAGTCAAAAGAAACAAAGGACCGTGGTTTTGGAGGAAAGGGAGCGCGCTCCGCTCTATTTCATTCCCACGCCTCATTCTACACGGCATTTCACAACGCTCAATTAAATTATTGACTTGAAATTTGTTATTTTCAACCGAAAATAATTTTCAGAGTCAAAGGCGAAAAAGGAATTTTTCAAAATTTTTTTCAAAATATTAACCTATATGTATGAAAAATTAGGGCCCAACCGCTTGTTAGGTAAAGAAAAAGAGTAGAAGGTAAAAAGACTGAAAAACGTGAATATCAAACATGAAAAAATCTTTATAAAAAATACATTGAAAACTACCAATATTTTCATTCATATAGGGGGTTTCCAACAAGTTCCGAATCTTTAGGCCTAGAAATAGTAGATCAATGCGATTTGGAGGCGTAACGGCGAACACAATGAAGACGATCCACGCCAATGGTTTTCCCAAAACTCCAATAAAAAGCGCCTTTTTTTACTTTTTGACAAGGAAAATCTTTTTCTACCCGTGAGATAGCAGTAAAAAATTAAGGAATAAATTTTTTTCTGATTCTTAAACTTTTAAAGTGGCGGACAGCTTAATGACTATACTGGAAAAATACAGTAGCTGTACAAATTACTATCTGTTTGAAGGTTTCGCGATGAAAAAGAAATTATTATTCTTGTTTTCCGTCTCTCATCTGTTTTCTTTCTTAAGCTTTTCCTGCGAAAAACCTTTATGAAAAAAAAAGGATACAAAAATACCATAATAAGCGTCGTCATCGACGTTTTCGTCGTTCATCGAATCGTTCGCGTGGATCGTGGTGATGTCTTCCACCAACACGTAGATCCCGCCACACTCGGCGCTGGAACTGAAATAAGTATTTTCAAAAGAAGATGGAACTTTGGTGAAATATCTTAAGCTATCTGAGTGGGCAAAACTAAAAAAAAAAGAGACCAAGGGAGCATAGAGTCGAAAAAGAGAGTTGAGGTCCGCGCTGTATTTATCGAACGGCAATTTCACCTTCTGAATGCGTCGCTGCTGCGGGTTGACGCATAGTCCGCTCGACCATTCCATTAAAATACGTTCTACGAGTAAAGAAAAGAACACAAAACGGCAGAATCACTAATTCAATCAATCAAAGATATGTAAAAAAAAAATCATAGATGAGAAACCATTAAAAACATATACAGCAAAATTAATTTTTCAGATAGATATTGAATGAAAGTTCACGGCTTTTAAGAAATATTAATTTGCAAGATCTTTGTGTCACACCCGTGTATACATTTTTGACACGGAACCGCGCGTCTCAAAAATTTTTCGTTCAGCTTTTTCTAAAAAGACATCTTTCCAACGTCAAGAAAAACGATCACATACAGCGTAAATACGAACATCTGTTTCAAATACGCCTTATAGTATCAATGACGACCACCCCGAAGTCTGTTGAGATGGCCGAACGATCTCCCGCGTGAAACGTCAACATTCTCGCTGGCCAATGAGTCGAGTTGTTTCCCCAACAGCTTAGATCGCAGACTAATTCAACAATGAGCGGACGGAAGCGAACTCGATATCGCGGCAAGGCGATTAACAAAAACCGTGAAGATGATCGCCAAGCGACCGCCACAGAGTTTCTAGTGATTGCAACATTATTTTATATGCTACCTTATAGGAAAAATAAACGAAAGTTTGAGATCACAAGAATTCGAAGATTTCTGACCAGCTGATGGTAGAATGTTAATTTTGTTTCAAGTGCTCTAATTAGGAACATGAGACTCCAAGAAGCCCGATTAAGCCTCGCCGTTTTTGATCTTGTTATTGCAAGAAGACGTTAACAACTCACTCTGAAGGTCGTTGTCGCAAAAGGGAGCCACAACTGCCGCTCAAGAGTTTCCGATCGCGAGCCTCGACTTCTGAAGGCTGCATCATCGCCATCAGGATCGGCTTCGTGTCATTCAGATGTCGCGGCTCGTCGTAGGCCGATAGAGGTCGCGAGTCGCGACTTCGCGACGCGGCGATCGCCCGCGCTGACATCCTGTAGAGCTCTCCGACAGTCTGAAACATGCAGACTATTTTCGGAGGAATGCAGGAGAAATGGGGAAAAACAGCCGCGATAATTGAGACAGATGTAGGTGAACGACAAAAAATATTAACCAAAAATTTATTTTTCGTTCGCCCAGTCATTAAATAATGCTGAGGCAGATTTCAAGAAAACTTAGGTTGAAAAAAAAAAATCATTTTTCTACATTTCTCCCACTCGAAAGCAATTGTTATAGTCTTAGTCCCTTTTTCAATGCATGAAAAAGACCAATGACGCGACGAAAATTCAAAGCGAGAATTTAAAAAAAAAAAGCTGTCTTTTGAGTTGAACAGAAACTTTTGAAAATGTGGATAACCATCGCAAAATTGAAAGAATGTGTGCTTTGGTTGAAAATTAGATAAACTGTAGCTTTTCCCAAAAGCTTTGAAAGAAAAAATGTTAAAGTCTGGAGGTGAGAGATTGAAACTTATTGATTGATAGGATGGACCGACAGATGTAGTAAACAAATAATTGCCAGGTATAGTGAGAAAAGACGATCGGAAAAGCAAAAAAAAAATGACCTTGGATCGTTTGACGCCTGGAGACTCGAGACCTCTTTCAGGTAAGAGGCTTCTGGAGCACGAAGGAGAGTCCTCAGAATCTGGCTGACGCATCCTGACGCCTTCTCGCGGAGAAAATCCAAAGCAAACAGCCGGTGACCTCGATATGGATCTTCTCGGCAGCGGTACTGGCTGGTAGCCGGGAGAAGACGTTGATTGGACCAGAAAAAATCGACGAGGTTTTGGCACCGGCAGATCGGTCATCGAGAGCGTGAAAAAAGTGAAGGAAACAAAGGGGCGGTGACGAAAGATGCAATGGCGTTCCCGTGGCGTATGAGTCAGCAGACAAAATCGCTTTGTATTTTCGAAAAAATAGACTTCGATCGAGGCTACTCAGGATATCAGACGAAATTCAGGTATTTTTCTCGAGTTGCGGTTTGAACATCTTTCTGCCGGAATATTCGAGGTTGGAAGGCGAGACCAACGGTGTGATGATTCGAAGGAAGAATGGGCGAACGGCGGTTTTTCGGAGGGAGGACGGTCGGCTTGGCAAAAAGCGAAGACGGCACGCGTCGCCACATTGGCGATTCCCAGTGAAGGATGGCGGTCATTGTTGAATTTCCCGTCCGTTTTGAGCCGCGTGATGCGTTCTGTGCGGAAGCCAGAGGTTGCAAAAATAGAAAAAATAAAACTGGCCTTGAGGGGTTTCAAAGATTAACTAGCAGAATTGCGAAATGAGGCAAGCTTTAAAAAAATTAATTCTTCTATTAACTTCGAGTCTGTCAATTCGACTTTTCACAAAATACTATGTGAAAGATGAATAAATACTGCATTCAAATGTTATTTTTCTTTCAATGTGAAACTGAAGTTCAGATATTTAAACGAGAAAAATAGGTTTAATCCTAAGTGGAATTTCTATTCAGAGAAAAAAATTGGAAGATCTGAGCCGCAATGGTAGCGTTGATGTAAAATGAATTCCACATGATGATGCAGCTGCCTTTGTTATTGGGTCCGCGCGAAAATTCTTACAGCGGCTAAGACCTCTAGATTGTCGGTTCAATGAAAAGCACCGCCGAAGAACTTTAATTGTTTCAGTTTTCGAATCGTGGTGCAGCTCTCATGTCCCTTGTGAGGATTGAAAGTGAGTCAGCCCAATAACCTTATCAATAAGAAACAGTTTCTAAAGTAGAACTTTTGAGATAAGCAAGGACAAAAAAGCTTTGAGTTTCCGGTGCCGCTTCCTCGCGAGAAAAGACTCCGGTTGCGGTGGGCAAATGACGAGGAGATACGTCCATGACTGAGAAAAAAAAAAGAAAAACTCCTCTACCGTATGTTTAACGAGGAGTAAAGTGGTATAGTCAAAAGAGAATGACTTTTATGATAGACTTTTGTAAACGTGAAAAATCTTGCCTTCGAAATTATACCTCTACTTTGAGAGCAATCAGAAAAATGGAAAATAGCTGTTTGACATATTCATGTTTCACTAATCAAGCGTTGAAAACATTCGTTGGTGATATTTTCAACATAATGTTGAGAATGGGTCACTTTTTGCGGAGACAAATCCAGAAAGTTGTGGAATTACATCTCAAATTTTTTTGCTATTATATATTAATATATATGTAGATAAGAATAAGTCCAGATAAATCAGCACAAAATCGTTAACCACGGATATTTCTTACAAAGGAAACCAAAATTTCTGAGAAGGAAAGGCGCAAAGTTGAAAGAAACTTAGGACAATGCAAAAAGTTAAAAGAAAGTGGCGCCTGAGCCAGTCGGGTGACCGTCCGAACGCGTAAAGACGCTTCACGGGAAGCCCCAAACTGCGCGAATAAACAATAGCCGCAATCGATGTGCTCGAAATTCTGTGCTCAAACCTTGGCGCATGGTCAATCCCGAGTCCGCCTTGGAATCGAGCTGATAGAGATTTGGTACAAAGAGCGATCAAATGAATTTTTTCAAGTTCGATATACAAAAATAAACTACTCGGAAATATAATCTCACCTCGCATTCTTCCTACTGCTGCTTGTACTGAGCTTGAGCGTCTTTAACTTTTGAAACGATTGAGAAATTCACGTCAACAAGAGAAATCAAAAAGGCGAGACTGTGCAAGACGCTATAAACGGGGTATACCGAATAAAAAGGTTAGCTCTTTGAAGATTTCTATAAAACACAGATAAAAATTAAATTCAAGTAAGAATAATCCAAAAAGGTTCAAATTAGCAAAAAATATTTGTAGAAGAAGCTAGGCAGAAGGCGGGTCCAACAGAGACGCCACAATGAGCAAACACGCAAATATATACGTTAACAAGTAGTACGAGGCGTTCCTTTGAGTGGACAAGGTAGACCAAGAAAAGTTGGTTTGGCATCTATACCTGCCAGGCTTGATAACTATTTTGTGTAAAAAAATGTCAGTTAAAAGTCGAAAACAAGGTTTTTCTGTTCAAAAATAAGGTTTTTTCTTTTTTTTTTGTGGATGCTGATAAATTTAAGGTAGCCACAAAGAAAGAAAAAGAAAAGCTACCATGTAATGCAGTTCTTAGAGAAAAAAAAATCAAAGATGGAAAAGGTGAAAAAGAAACTTTTAAATTAATTAACACTGAAAACATTCTTGGATATAAATGTAGACACGATCATACAGATAAATTCAACGTTTTTATGTATGATTAGTATCCATGTACTTTACAAAAAAAAAACTCGAAAAAAAGCGGAAAACCAATAAAAAACCTTTTTGAAAGTTCGAGCTCAACAGACAGAACTATTGACCAATAATAGTAGCTACTAGATTAATTAACATAGGCAATAGGAAAAAATGGGTATAAATTTATGTGCATATATAATAAGGGATGACAAGTTAGCAAACAATTGGGAGGCGGTCAAAGGACCAAGCCTCCGTTACTTTACATATAACGAGCCGTCACCGGCCATTACACTTCTCATTCGAAAGCTCCCGTGTGGCACCTCTCATTCCAAAAACAAATGTTTCTTCTGGAAGGAAAGTATTGAAATCTAGGGATCGGCCAGTAGTACCAAATCTTTTCATTTTTATTTATGGTTTTCATGCTTTCGAAAGAGGCGTGAATAATTGAAACAAATGAGTACTGCAAAAACGAGTTTGAAAAAACCAGATTATATAATCTGATTTTTTATTCAAAAGTTTTCAGAATATCACAAATTCTGCACATGAATTAAGCAAAAATACGTCGAACACATGGCGTAAAAATTTTGAAAAATCGCGAATTATCATTTTTCGTTTTTGCTCAACTAAAGCGGTAAACGGCCAAGGCGACATGTTACATGTAACATACAGCCAATTTATATGGAGTCAGAGCTGACGAACAATATGAACACAGAATTGACACTCCGAAAAAAAACTTGTAAAAAGTAGTAGGGTTTTGAATTCCCAATACAAAATTAAACCACGCCCAGTTTTCTGCAATTGAGGCCCGGTTCTATCTGCCTCATTTTTTCTCCACTACGAGGTTCATTGATGCCGTGTTCAATTTGATTCCGCGAAATGCAAAGTACCCGTTAGAGAAAGGAAAAGATCACTAGATTTTGGAGAGTCAGAGATCATTTTGCATTTCGCGGAATCAAATTGAACACGGCATGAAAAAAAACAATTTCGAGTATGCGATAGTGCGTCTCGGTGTGCTTACACCCTAAACATCATAATTTACGAGAAGTCTTGACCTTGCGTATTAAAAAAAACTCCGTGTAACGGTAACCGGACGTGCTCCGCACGTTTCTGAGCGATTCTAGGGATCACCTAATAGTGCTGACGCTACTAAAGGGGTCACTAGGAATGCCCCGATGTCAAGCCCGAAACGTCACAGAAAAACAATTATTAGATCGAAAGCAGAAATTTAAAAAAAAAACCTTGTATGGCGGCATACTTAATTAAGCTCAAAAACCATTTTTAAAAAAACTTGGAAAATAATGTAGTTCAGATTATTTATATAATGAAAATTTCAAAATGCGTCAGCCAATTTAATTTGGCTCTAATTACAGGAACTATTTTTCTACAAGAGAAAAAAAAAAATACAAAACCGCGAAAAAAAATTAGAGAGCCCAAAAATTGAAAATTTTGAATTTTAAAAGTTTTTTAGTGTCTCCTTTAGCTCTACCTTTTTGCCTCATAAAAGTTAGAGTTTCAATCAGAAAAAATTAATTCTCTTCAAAAAAACGTGAACCCCGTTGCAAGGCGTCGTCATTTTCTTGATATCGAAAAAAATAAGACGTACAAAAAGCCACGTGGCAACGTGTCATTTCTTTTTGTATGGCCTGGGTTCAAATGTCGTTCTTGCTTCCCTACAGTCGTCTCGGTTCTACATTCAACGTCAAGATGAGTTTTAAACATCCATGAAACTTTAAATTTCAAAAATAGTTTTCTGAGTTGTACGCGCTAGATTAGGCCCGCGGGACTCCCGGAGTGCCGATCCTTTTTGCTTGCAAATTGGATACGCAAAGTCACGCCGAAGCCCATTCCAGTGGCTGAAGCATAAACTGTTGGCAGCGCGATGCTGACAAAGCGATGATGGGACCCCCGCGGAAAATGCCGTCACGGCTTTCGGCGTGTAGGATTCTTAGTTGTGACAAGGTCGAGCGGAGCTCTAGCGCACCGCCTAGTTAGTTCCTCGGACTGCATAAAGCTTCCTTAACTTACTTTGACTTTACATAACTAATCAGCCAAAACATTGCGATTCGATAAATGCGATCGACTCAATTTTTTCAATCTTGAAAATATTGCAGGAAGCTCTCAACGAACGTGTTCGAATCAATAAATGGAGGATCGACGTAAAAGTTTAAATAAAGCAGTTTGATATCTAAAAAGATTTTTTTAAATCATTTTTTCTTCAGAAAAAAACGTGTGGAATGAAAATTGGAAACGAAGAGCATTGGAAAATTAGTCTACCGACTACTACTGGCTGGAACATTTGATGTGAGGTTTTGAAGGTTTTAGTTTCGACAATTTTCATGAGAAAAAAGAACTTCGCGTTAAATCACAAACCGCTACTCCCTTACGTCATCCCTATGACATCATTTTCATTTGCAAAATTCGCACACGCAGCCATATCATTTTATTCATTTTTTTTACGTTCCAATTTATAAAAAAATTAGATTCGACGTGAAAACTTTTTCCGGTCACATGAGAAACAGAAAGATATCACACTTGAAAATCCCCTTTTGATCGGAAACTTTTTATTCTTCTATTTTCTTACTTTTTTTAGAAACCTTTTTAAAGGTTTGGAATAATCCGAGGCGTCGAGGCCCACGCTTACGCATAGAATGTTCCTTTAAAATTTTTCTTTTTTTTTTGGGAAATACATTTCACAGATTTTTCCGCTACGCGTATCAAGTTTGCAAATTGTTTAGAGCTACCTGATAGTGTTATTGTGTCCACGTTTTGAAACTAAATGCCTTTTATGTCAAGTATTCATTTATTTGACGAATTTTTCACTGTGGCTCAGTTTTTTCGAAGCGAGCCACAGTCGGCTTCGCGCTATGCGCGCTCCGCCTCCGTGTGAAGCCTTAAAACTAAGCCTATCTTCTTAAGTAATGCATGAACCTGTAGGCGCAGTTTTAATGCAAAGGCGCGATTCAGGCTCTTCCCATTCTTCAATTTTTTCAATTTAAATTTCAATTCATATCAATTTATTCAGTCTTCAGAGTAAGATGAAGAAAATCTCTGCTGAATCATGGTATAATCGAAGAGTTAGTCGTCGGCGCGAGTTACGGTCCACAATAGTTGTCCAATAAGTCCCGGCGTGACAACTAGCGGGAAATAATGTTGGCCCGTTGGTAGTACCAGCTAATAACTGCTTCACCATGTTGGAACAGTACGGCGCCCAGCTTGTCCAGGGCTGACGGGCGTCGGAATATTATCCCATGAGAGAGCGGCAATGAGACCGACCAGTCGACGTGATGAAATGAGATAATAATAATCTGCTGAATCATGTTCACGTGAATAAAATGAATATATAGCCAAATATTTCGATTACGCTTATTTCTTGTGTTACGAATGATGTCATAGGGATGACGTCAGGGAGTAGCGGTTTGCGATTTAACGAAAACTGAAAAAAGAAGGCTTGACCTTATTAACTCCGAATCAAAGCCAGAAAAAACCTTGAGCCGATATATAAACATTGAAAACAATTTGGCTATTAGAAACTCTTGCGAAGATGCTAGAATGGACGGGTTTTTTTTTAGTTGTGTGTACAAATTTTATCGCGATGAATAATCGATTATGATTCGAGGCCTTAGACACTCCGGCTTTGGAAAAAATAATTTAACTTTACGAGCTCTTTTTGATCCAACTTTGTATTTATATCCTATTTTTCGCATTTGGAAGTCTTCTATTTTTGAAAATTCAGTTGATGAAAATGACGAAAAATCCGGCTACCTCAATCAAAGTCGCGACGACGCTCTCAAACTAGATCCATGATGAATCCATGGAAGTTTGATCAACTGCGAGACCGGCTGGAAAACACCAGGTACCAGCCCAATGCTCTTAAAAGCAGCTGAGGGTTTTTTTTCTGTGTTAAATTGCAAAGGAGAAAAGAAATAGCAGTAAATTCACAATGGCTGATATGGTTCCTCAGTAGTACAAAGAATGCATTTATCCTTTTCTCAAATCTGATTGATACCTGTTCAAAACAGACTAGCGAGACTTGTGCGAGGTTCATGTTGTCAGCCTATCGGCCTCCGTCTATTCCATAAATTTTGATAGACTTTTCCCCAGAAAATTACTTCTCAATTGTTTCAAGTTTTGAGTTAAGATTACATGTTTGATAAAGTTTGAAAAGTTTTGTCGAAGCTTTGCTTGGTCCGAGCCGGTGCAAGCTTAATTGCTTCGGGTTTCAATTGCTCGGGCTTCGGTAACGGAAATCGGACTCGTCCCGGACGTTTCTTAGAACTCCAGAAAAATTTGAGAGCGCTGAAACCACTGAAGGAGTAATTAGAAATGCTTAGAAACGTTCGGGGCGCGTATGGTCTGGGGTACCAAGGTCCGGGCTTGTGCGTTCGGCTGGACTTATTTTTACGAACAAGCCGGCGCGGGCTTGGGCCAGGCCACGCTCAAAAATTTTGAAACTTCATTTTAAAAAAATATATCCAAGCTCAAACTTCTCACCGAAAAAAGCTTATTTTCGAACTCGTAGTTTCTGTTGAACTTTAAGTATAAAAAATAATCAGAAAAATGATTTTTGTCGTTAAAAAAAAGCTGATGTTCGTCTTGAAGGAAACTTGAGCTTTTTGAGACTGTTTTGCCTGAGGCTTCGCATAGCCCGTGCTCTGAAAATGACTGGGCCCGTTAGGCTGATGAGTCGGCCCTCGCACAACCCTGTCTCGGACCTCGGTACCGAAAAACGAACGCGCTCAGAATGTTTCTGAGCAATTCTAGCTAGAGATCTAGGGAAGAAATTGTGCTCACTAGAAATGCCAACAGGTCCGGTTTGCTATATACATAAAAGTCCGTGTTCAATGTGATTTCCGCGAATTGCAAATTTATCTCTTCCAAAAAATTGACGGCTACTTTATATTTCGCGAAATCAGTTTTATGCTGCGCTCAAAGTGATTCCGCGAAATGCAAAACAACCATTGGAGAAAGAAAAATATATCTAAATTTCAAAGAGTCAGAGACCATTTTACATTTCGCGGAATTGACTTTGAACACCTCAGACATTGGTAACGCGAAACGGACGTGCTCCGGACATTCTGGGCGATTCTAGGGATCACTTAAGAGTGCTGAGGCTACTGAAGTGGTAACTAGAAATGCCCCAAAACGTCCGATTCGCGTCTCGTTCGCGTTACCAAGCACGGCATTAACACTCTGACATGGAGCGCCACAACTCTTTCTCACACTGTTTCGTCCTTTTCTCGCAGCTAAACAACGAATAAATAGTGTGTGTCAGAAAGAGTTGTGGCGCCATTTTGGAGCTCCATTTCAGAGCACGGCGTAGGATTGAAAAAAGATATTGAAGTGTGCGAAAGTGCGTCTGGGTGTTCACATCCAAAGCACCATAATTTACGAAACATATTGGCTTTCGTTTAAAAAAAATTCTCAGGCACTGACGGCGCGTGTTTGTTGCCAAAAGTGCGCATGCGCGCCGCCTGCTGCGCGCACGCGCGGGGTGTCTCTTTTGTTTTTTAGCTTTTTAACTAATTGCAAGTTATAAATTCAATATTTTTCATGTCTGTTCATCTCTTAACATTGCTCTGCACCAGTTTATAACAATTAGATTGCACAAAAATTTGAAATATCAGAGAAAATGTGAATTTCGCTCGTAGAACATCAGGTACAAGAGAGGTCGTAGGAAGAAGTACGGTGCCGGCTTTCCAAAGGCCGATGGCAGAGATTGAGCCTTTTCGCTGCATGCAGCTTCCAATATTATCTACCCCGGAGGGATGAAAGGCTTGGTCGACCTCGGAGTGGAATCTCTGAATAAAAATAAAGGCTCTTTGAACCTTTCAATATTAAAAATTCTACTGAAACTTTCTCTGCCTTAGCCACAGCTCCTGCCGCCGTTTAAAAACACAGTGAACACAATGAAAGTCGATTGCACATGTATTCTTACATTGAAGATGCAATAAAAAGTTTTATTTTTTTGAAATATCAAAGTTGCACTTTGCAATTTTTTTTTCATAAATGTGTTCGAAAGTGCTCGGGACAACTTTAAAACGTGAGCAGGGGCATTGGGTAGTATCACAAAAATATGAAAAATATTTTTCAAAACCGTATTTCAGTGGAAAAGGCAAAAAAAGAATCAGTAGCCCCTGCGCGTGCGCGCACCAGTGCCTGAGAACGCCGTGGATTCCCTTTTGAAACGCCGTGTTCTCTAAATTTAGTTTAAAATAGTCGTCCTTTTATAAAAAGACGACTATTTTGAACTATTTGGCAAATGCAAGAAAAGGGCGCACTCCCTGAGCTCGAGGTAAAAAAAAATTTTTGTTTAGAGGTCTACATTTTTTTCTTTTCAAATATCATTAGTCATAAATTGACTTGAAATAACACAATCGATTTTTTTAACAAGCGACGAAAAATGTTTTTTTGAAAGAAGATTTAAATTTTGCAAACTTTTTCACTTTGAAAAAAACTTTCTTCTTTCATAGTTATAAACTGAATTCAGTTCATGAACTTGAAATCTTGTTTTTATTCAGGTTATGAAAATTTGAAAAGAGATTTTATTTTACAATATGCATATTTCATGAACAATCAATAATGGAAACTAAAAGCATAAAGTTTCTTTTCCGAAGATCTTTAATACGGCGGTCGGTCGAGGCAGTTCTTCAGAGTGTGTCTGAAAATGGATTTATTTCAATGTATTTGAGAATGGCTGAACTGGATCGGGTAGGGGTTGGAAGCGGCCTGCCAGGACTCGCGGTCGTCGAACTGCCAGTAGCCTTGTTTCACCTGCAAATACTTTTATTTGTCTCTCTAAATAAGGATCAAACGTCAGGCAGAGGCTCTCGGTGGACTTGTTGGAAAAGTTGCTCTTCCTCTCCATGGCTGTCTGGCGAATCGTACATGGTCGTTGTCGTTGTCGTCGTCGTTCGTCTTTAAAATTATTTCTCGTTGCGACAAATCCACGGAAATAATCAAAAACTCACTTTACGGGGATCTGTCCACGATCGTCAAGGAGATGAGCGGCCCATCCACAGTGGAAGAGCAGAATTCCGAGAATCAGAAGTATCAGGGCTAATGGTATGAAAGCTCCAGCACTGTAAAATTGAATGGATCTCAAACTTTGAGCTGATAATTGTTTTCAAAGACTGCTCAATTTAATAGTTAAGATTCGTCTGTTAAAGTTTTTAAAGCTGGAACGGAGTTTTCGGCTAAAAAACGCCTTGAAATTATTTAAGAAATTTTTGAAAATAGGAGTTTCTGACGCAAAAGTAATTGCACTTTTACACCTTTTTTTTTTGCAAGGAAACAAAAAAAAACGGACAATCCAGAGCACTCAACGGCAATGCAGGTGATGAGCATGGCGAAGAGGATGATGACGCCGAGGAAGAAGAGCAAGGCGCCGGTGACGAGGACGCATCTTCTGAAGGCGGATCGACGTCTCCGGATGACAGAAGACAACGAACCTGGCCGGCCAGATGCCCATATAAGTCGGCACGCAAGGGAAGCAAAAGACGGGCGGCGCACGACGGGAGTACCAAGGCACGAATTCGCCGTCCGACACGATCCTCACCATTTCTGGATAAATACTTTATGGGAATTTTCTTAGGAACTCTAAGAATATAAAAGATGTGGCACGCATAGAGTTCGGATAAAAAGTAAAAAAACAAAAAAATTTACTTAGTTCCTTTTCCCTGTTTTTCACGAAAAAAACGATTGTTTTGGAAAAATCTTTCTCGTACACTATTTCTTTTATTCGCAAGGACGAAATTTTTTTCTGGAGTCATCTTTAAATTCAAAGAAAAAAAGTATTTCTCACGAATTTTGTTCACATGAGAACATTTGTATCGCATCCAGCCAGAAAAAACTCGGACAAACTCACAAAAAAATATTTTTTTCAACTTGTGAGCCACAGATATTGAAATTTTCGGAGGAAGTGAAAAACTAAGAAAAAATCACATTTTCCTTAGAACTAATTATCTTTTTCTATTGTTAGTTTATTTTCACAAGTTTTGGGGAGTCACAAATTTCAGATTATTATTTTTTTTTTGGAAAAAAAAATCAACATTAAGATGGGGCGAAAAACTTTCCTTGCCATAATTTCGCCCATTTTCACAAATTTCATTGCTTTTATAAATTTGACCGCAAAAAGAGGTGAAGGAACTGTGAATCGATGAAAAGATTGAACAAAAACAAAAGATGCTCTCCAGCATTCGACTTTTCGCCAATCTCCGATTACCATTCTACTTCGCGACGTATGTAGTCAATCTACTATATAACAAAGATCATTTAAAGACATTTCTGAAGTCTCAAAAGAACAAAAGCCTTTTACGAGGTTGATAAAAGCTCCCTTTCCTAAAAAAAAAAGTACAAGGAAACTGTTTCGAGCTGACCGAAAGAACAAAAAAGTACAGGGAGACTGTAAACAGGAGAGATAATGGAGGTGTCGAGAAAAGAGGAAAAGGCGGTTGGCAGATCAGTGGGCGGGGCCGGATCGATCGGAAAACGCCCTCGGCTCTGTCGACGGCTTTCTTTACAACAGCTTCTCGACTCTTCTTGTCGTTCGCCGAGAAGGCGCCACATGTTTCTCGGCATGTCGTTTTCCGTTTTTCGCGTCGTTGGCACGCACGTGTGCAAAAAAGGAGTCGCCGTTGAGAACTGTTCGAACTAGCTAGACTAGAAGATTGATTCTAAACATTTTTGCTTCTTCTTCTGAAAGGTTCGATTGTCTTCCTTTCCCGTAACGCAACAAAGCTGAATTATCATTGATCTAACTCTCCAAATTCGATGTTCCATTTTTAAAGAGTTTTTAGTTTCGTTGAACTTTGATTATTATTCTTTTCAACTAAATCAAAGTCTACACTCAATTTTTCGAAGCACCTCAAAATGTTCACTTCTTTAGAAATCTACAAAAATAATTTTATACATACCCGATATTTAACCGAAATTCAAAGAAAAAGGGCGAGTCAAAAAAGGAGAAAAAAAGACTCACAAATATTTGCGTTCGTTCCTTCTCTCCATTATCGATTGAACAACTCTCAAAATACTTTGCTAATATCAATGACTCATCCATGAGAAATTTTGTTTATAAAAAACAACGGATGCTTTCTTCCCCCTCTTCATTCCGAACGAAAAGAAAATTTCAGTGAAAAATGGTTCGTTTTGAATATTTATTAGACAAGAATCATTAAATAACCATATCAAAACATATGAAAGTACAATTAAAAAGGAACCAATAAAAGCGATTGGCGCCATGTTGCAACGTTTCGTTGGTGCGAGAGCGGAAGAAACGACACAACTTGGTACGAGCAAGACACGCATAGTAAGCCTGAAAAAAAAGACAAAAAGAATATATAAATTTAGAAAAGACGTATTCAGCTGCGAGAAAGTTGCAGTGTGAGATAGGTCGTGCACAAAGTGGGGATTCATGATTTCTCTCTCGATTCACTCAACATTCTAAGCTTCTGAAATATAAAAATGTGGGGCAAAACGCGATGCAAGTAAATATAAAAAACGAAATTTTTGAATACATGTAGATTATAAGGGAAATATGCGAAAGGCGGCTCGGACATCAAAGCCAAAGTTATGCTCTTCAGAAAATGATTACTGCTCCTTCTTCTCCACTTCGACGGTCGTGCGACGCAGGAAAGGAAGCTTTTCCTCGAGCCTGTAAACACATTAAATAGTTCTCTTCCTTCTGATTCTTGGGGCGTGGACATCCATCTTTATTACACACTTCAAAGTTAGATCTAAAACTTACAAAAAAAAAAACAAAACTCACGTGTTCTGGACGTTCTGGAGATGCTGTTTTACGACGGCGAGGTTGGCGTCAATGGGCTCCTGGTAAGTCTCGTAGAGCTTAGGGATCGAGAAAGTTCCGACGATAGCTAAAAATGGAAACTTAATCAAGGAGTTCACAAGCTTCTCAATACCGAGGAAGGCAAGGGCGCATCCGGAGAACCACGAAGCGATGTACGTCAACGACCACAGGAACAGGCCGAACTGAAAACCCTTTTGTGGGACAAGAACAAAAAAATCTCCTAATTGAAAACTTCATTAATAGGGCTTCCATTTTTTCAGCATTTTATCTCCAAGGCTGACTAGATAAAATTGAGAGAGGATAAATTAAGTTTCCAAGCACTTTTTGTTGAAAATAATCTGACCAGACCCTTTTTGGAGTCAACTTCTATTCTTTTCGTTCTTCAGAAAAAGCCTACTCTGATTTGTTTGAAGTGTTTCGATTACCTTAGCAGTGTCGAGGATGCTGTCAACGAACACGAGGCGCTTGATCTGGTTGGCGAGACAGTTTCCATGTTCGACCAACACGTCGACCTGGGCATGGACGCGGTCTTGAGGCACAGTCAGATCCTTGGCCAGGAACTCTCTGCAATCATAATGATCCCTTTCGCAACATTGAAACATTTGATGGGGTCGAAAGGAATTTTTCATTTGAGCTTGGAAAACCGTATGATCTATTTAAAAAAAAAACCGTCTAAGCTATTATTTTCGCAACAGGAAAAAAAAAACTCACTGGAAGGGGTTTTCACCACCAGTCTTCTTGATTTGTCCCTCGACCGATTTGAAAATACTGTAAGACATCAATTTATGAACGCATTCGGAGAAAAAAGACAGACCGGAAGCCGAGAGTTGCGGCGACGACAGCCAAACCCGTGTAGGCGATCACCGAGAGCAGCGGATAGCGGCCGAGGATGAAAAGAGCGATGAGCGCCAGAGACAGGGCGATGCCGCTCTTCTTGGGGTCGCGCCAGTAGATCAGGTCAAGGACTGCAAAGGAATACATGTTCAAGTTATTTTCAATTGAATAACTTCCTGAATTACTCCGGTATTCTTCTTATTTTAAAAATTTGTTTCAACAACTCAAGTCGAGAATCAAACTTCCTTGCAGATAAATATTTATCTGAGTTCGAAACTAAATACGTGCACTTCTAACCACGTAAGCCTCAAAAAATTGAACGGGCCCAGTTTTGTCAATATAGCTTTTCACAAAAATAAATGCGGATGAAACGGAAGATATCTTCCTTTTGAACAATACTTTTCTTGTTGATTCAAGAAGTGTTTTCCCACGTATCCGGAATATTGATGGACGTCTGCGGTGAATCAATTATCAAGTCTTCAATAACAGAAAAAAAGGATTACTATCAACTATTTTGGTATTTCAACATCTTTCTTTCAAGAGGAAACATCAATGAAATCTAACACAGAGTCAACGACATGAAAAACAACTTCAAAAAGTCTCCAACTAAAAAAAGCTGACTTTCCTCCTCGTTCAACCTCAACAGGTCATCAAGATAAGCGCGACGCCGTAGACTTTTTAGCGACATATTGCATTGCACATAATACACCGAAACAGAATTCGGAACGTATCAAAATGCGGAAAAGCGACGAATTGAAACCGCCGAACAAATAGCGTTGTTCTGCGCCTCGCTGCCTTCGTTCCATGACTCATTTCTGTAGTATTAGCAGTGGCCTCTTCAGCACTTTGTGGACAATATTAGCTTCTTCACGCTTTTCGGCACTTTTAAGCCACCTCGCAAACATTTGTCTCATTATTTCGAGCATTTTTGAAACAAAGGAACTCGAACTCTTATTCTCTACTATGTATATTTTGAGTTGAACTTTGATGGTTTACTTCAGCGAAAGTTTTTTCAATTAAGCGACCTTGCTTCTTTCCTTTGAATTTAAAACAATAAGCATTTGAACGAGTTGAAAGAGCTACCTTGGACAATCGATCTAAATATTCTGTTCTGACCACGTTTTCAAAGTTTCCCGCGAAGCGATAAGAAAGCCGCCAAAAAGAAAAACCGAGGTCAAGATCACGTCAATTAAATATTTCAAAGATAACGACACGAATTCTCAAATCATCATCGATCTTTCAGAAAATCCTATAAAACGACGAAATATCTCACGCAAAAGCGGTCATAAAACGGGGTCTCAGACCAACAAAAAAAAAGGACATGACACAATTTTGTCCCACTTTTTTGTGTAGCGACGCAAAATTCACATTCATCCCGACAGAATGTCTACTACGATACGAGTAGATGCATTCGACACAAAATTAATCAATGAAAAAGCTACACGATACCACTTTCGGTTTCAGAAGAGTTATAGTGTCCATATCCATTTTCTTACCGAAAAAAAAATCTTTCGACCTTTCCAATCGATATAATCAGAAACTATTTGTTTGGCGAGCTGCGCAAACCGTGAAAAAATAGACTGACCGCTGGACGTCGACCGAAAAAGTTGGACAAACATTGGGAAGGAGCTGAACCAATGCCGAGAAATTTCTTCAAGACGAGCCCCGTAGGAGTTCGATCATTGATTTGACAAACGGCTGTTGTTTCTAGAGACTCAGAGAAAAACAGGTGAATGTGATGGACAACGGGCTTTCTTTCCATCATAACGGAAAAGAAAAACGCGTTTGAGTCTTGTTCGAGAATTTGAGACTGAGCTACGGCTCTGGAACGTGAAACAATGAAACTGCTTGTACGATTCTCAGCGACGAAGGAAAGATCAAATAAATCTTTTTCGATCTTGCAGCAACCAATCTATAGGCCAACAGTCGAAAGCTCGTTAAAGTCTTTCCTAGGAGTCCAAGCCTATAGTAGCCGAATCTCTGTCCTCATCCTTTAGAAGATGAAACTGCACAGAGTTTTACGATAACTTCCAAGTCCCATGTTTTGCAGGCGAACTTTGCTAAGTAGAATTCCAAGGAAAAGCGAGATTAAAACGAGAATAAGTACCTCTTCCAACGAAATCGGTTGCAGGAACGTAGACCTCCTTCTGCTGACGACGGAATTTGGGTTGAGCCATGTCTTCAGTCGTTCTTGGGGACCAAGTGAATGAAGAAGAGGGATCGCTTGGCCGGTCGGACAGTCCTCTCCTCTGTCTCTGACGGCCACCTCTTTTTTGTATTCCTAGCTCGCGCTCTCTCCTTCTCACCCACACCCTAGCCTTTTTTTCTCCTCCGCCACCCTGATCGCCGTTCTGTTTCGCAGCATTTGCAGTTCTATTCCAGTCGTCGAACGTCGAAGTTCGCTCCGTTCACAGGTGTTTGGATATGATTGTCATATATGGAAGAAACGTCTTCTTCATATCAACTAGCGTTATCAGTTGCAGTTGTCAATGGCTGATTGTATACTTTGAACGTTTTAGGATTGTTCCAGTTGGTTCAGAAGGAAACTTATGTATGGTCAATAAAGAGAAATCAGCGTTCGTCTAAAAATTCTTTTTTTATTCAAATTTGAATAAAATATTTAGTTTAATTAAAAGAAATTGGTATTGCGGATTTGAATTTTGCAAAAAAAAAACTTTTTTTTGCTTGTTCTAATAATGAAAAAAAAAATTGGAGAGGCAAGTTCAAAATCACGCTTCCATCAAGGGTTACTAATGATTGAAAACTTCGAACTTTTTCTAGTTCTGCAATTCTAAAAGCAAACTTTTTTTAATTGCCTGAAAAAGGGAAGGAACAACATTGAAAATTTCAATATGGCTAAGGTAAAAAGATAATAATTTTCCCCAAGAATTATCAAATCGAAAAAAATCGGTCTCCTTATATTTCGCCTTTTATGTTTAGAATGAAAAAATCGATGGAGCATGTTAAAAGAAAAACTAAACTTTCTTACATGTAAATTTTATCATTTTACTTATCCATAAAGCTAAAAAGTTGAGCGAAATGCTAAAAATGTTTTTTTACAAAAACGTGTCATTAAATTAAAGGCTTTTGGACAGTAAGAGTGAGCAAATCCGTCCTGATAAATAAATGAAAAGTCCACAAAAAGATACCTTCTTTGCGTTCCTTGATGGCTTGAGAAGAGAACTTGCCGACGGCGTAAAACGTCATCCCAACGGAAATGATCAACGACAGGTTGAGGCCGACCCGAAGGGCCGTGTTCAGCAAAAAGGCGATCAGAAGGTACAGCCCCCGGCTCGCAGCTCCCAACTTGCTCATTTTATCCAATCAAAAAGCTGAAGTTGGGGAAATTGCTAATATACAAATAATACGCGATGGAAAAAAAAAAGCTGAGTTAACGAAGGCGATAGTGGAGTATTTATGCAACAAGATAGAGAAATAGCGTGAAATTACATTCACATAAAAGTTTCAAAGTATTCTAATCTTTGGGAAATCTTTTCTAAAAAAATAAATCATTAAATGCCAAAGAATGAATGACAAGCAAAAAACCATCAAGGATGATATTTTTTTTCTGCAGGGGTTGGAACAATAAAAAAACTTGGATTGAAATTTTTTTATTGAAGCCTTTCTAGAAAAAAATTTATCTATTAAAGGTTTTTTTCTCTGAAAAGCGCTCAACTATCAAAGGTTGAAAATTTAATTTTTTCTGTTCAAAAAAAGTGAAACTTTTGAAGTGGAAACACTCTATGCAAAATAGAAAAAAATAGGATAAAACCACGTATTGAAAGAATGAAAAAATGGAGAAAGAAAGTTTGCAAGACCGAAATTGAGATGGTCAGCGGTAGGCGAAAAGGCGCCAAAACGAAGGATTTGAACAAGTGGGAGGCGGTCAAAGGTTTCGAGTGGCGCCAAAAGAGATTCACGATGATGACGAGTCAATTTTTTGATGTTGCTTTTCTTTTCTTCCTGAGAACGAAATACAACCGGGAAAAGTGACCTTCGGCGTAAAAGTTGCGACGCGACATAACTGGTTTTACTAATTTCATGCGCTGCATAATTACCTATAATTGATCGGAATATTACGAAAATGAAAATTCACACAGCATAAATGATTTCGCACTGTTAAGGAAGTGAAAGATGTTTAATTACAGTTTTTAGGTTCTATCAAAGATGAAAACCGCAAATATGGAGAAAGAGATAAAAAACTCTCTCGAGAAAAATTACATAAAACGAAAAATTGGGCCTGTTCTTGAGGAAATTATTCATCAGAGAGTACCTAGGTGACCACCGATGGGCCGTCGTCAACAACCAAATGCGAGAGCGCTACATAATTACTGGATCAGGTCGTGGGCTGCTTAACCCAGTGGAAACCTGACCACATCCATCGGCCAAATGAGACAAATGCGGAAGTGAAATGACCGGATAAGACGAGGGTAAAAAAAATCGCTATATCTCAATTTTTATTCATTTATTTTGAAATTTGAGCGGAGAGCTTTTTCTTGGATACTACTATTCATTTCGAATAATTCCCATGAGAGCATCTCTCAACCTAGAGGCAGCGGATACTCCAGAAGATCTTTTTTTACGTATATATCTTTGGAAGATTCAAGGATTTCGAAAAACTGTCAGAGCACTCATTATTCATCCCTTAGAATCACAGAAAAAAAACTTCTGAGATTAAAAATATGTTGTTAAAAAATTCTGCAAATTTGGAACTCTACTGAAGATTTTGAAATGAAGTTCCATTCTTCGAATGGCGGTGTTCAGAAAAAGACGAACAGAAAAAAATTTGTCCAAATCGCTGATAAATCTGTTGATTGAAATGATAAAATTTTTGTTTTCGATGTTTGCCTCACAAAAGTGTTGATGTTGAACATCATCATTTCAAAGTATATAATCGTTCGGCGTCGAAATTTCTAAATTTCGAAACCTTCGAGAATAAAAAAATTAGGCTCTTCATTAAAATACAAAAAAAATGTGTTAATCCCTCCATTTCGGCCGATTCATTCACCCAAGCATTCTCCAACAAAAATGACATAATCGGGCCATAGATAAACTTTTTCGTTGATTAAACTCTCTTTCTATTTTTTTTTTCAAGTTTTCGATGAAGCACAGAAGAAATCTCTCTACTTCCTAGGAGAAAAAGTGAACTGCTTCAGCTAAATTTGCCACACCTCCAGGACAGCATCATTTTTTTTTCCAGATAAATAGAGCAATTAACATGCTCACCAAAAGAAGCTAACCAAAAAAAAAGGCGAGGAAAGAAGAACAAAAAGTTGAAGAGTTGCCGAGTGCCAAGTGCCGTGGGGCAAGCATCATGAAATGGCAACAACAAAGGGGGTGCAGAATGAGGAGGCGAATTTGCGAGGCCGAGAAAGCCTTTTTCGACTAGTCTGCGTCTATTCGACATCCTAAGGTCACGATTGAGCCGTATCATCACGTCTTTTGACGTCCGTGAATAGTTTTCTGTAGTAAAAACTAGTCAAAAACTACTTTCGCTCGTTTTTTTTTTCACGGTCTACTCGCAGATAACTTTTTTGTAGGTTTTTCAAGCTCGAAAAATTCAACGGCAACGAGTCTGATTTTCAAAAATTTTATTCTTTATATGGAGTCATTAAACAATTTTACTTCTCGAAAAAATCAGAAAAAGAAAACCTTAAAAAAAATTCCCAAAATTGAAAACCTAACTTTTTTAAATTTTGTTTTTCAAAGGAAATGAACCAAATTGTTGGAAAATAAAACTTTCAAACTTATCGAACGTACTTAATGTATTATGTTGGAATTATGGTTCATAGTTAGATTTTAGCTCAACAATACAAACAGAATAAGAAGAAAAAGCTACAATCCAGGAAGAGAAAGCGCAATGATTAGAATAAGAGCCGGAGCATGTGACTGACCCTCGTCCAGCCGGCGCCGTATCGACTTGGAAGCGCGCCAACGGCTATATTCGTCTCACCCAACCAACACCACTACTCGGGTTGGCATCCAGCCAAAACGGCCCCGAAATTGGCGACGCTCTTGTTGTTGTGGTTGCAACGCGGCGACATTGTTCTGGCGACGGATGGGTCCAACTAAATGCAAATTGCCGCAGGGCTCGTTGGCATGAGAAATGCAACTTCGGTAAAACGAAAAATGGTTATAAAAACGTCGACAAATGACTGTGGGTCAAAATAAACTTCTTGAAGCTCGAGAAACGCCCCAGATCACTGCCCTAGTTGAAGTCAAGGAAGAAGATAAGCTTGAGAAACCCGAAGACCAGATTCCAGCTGAGGTCGAAGAAGAGCTTATTATTTGTAAGGTATTTTCAGAAACCAGCGCAAGTTGAAACTCTTTCAGAGAGTTTTAGAAACTTGAAAATGGACTGAGCCAACACAATTTACACACTGTTCGAACGATTCCTGTCGCGACGAATGGCTTCACAATAAAAGTAACATCGCCCTGATCAATTCTTATCGGAATCCGATGAACCCAGCCAGTTCTACAGCACAACACGGCTGAATCTGCTCAGAATTTTTTCACACCGCCTGCAGTAGAGAAAACACAATTCTACAAGTCACAGTGGAGCTGAAAAGTTGGAAAAATATTCAAATTCAAACATTGATCGCACTGAAACATCTTCAAGAGATTTAAATAATTATTCACCGGAGTAACTCAATAAATCGAAAGCGTACTTCTAGAATCGACAGACTTGAAGTCGAACCAAGGCTCTCCTTTTCCATGACGCTTCAGGTTGGAGCCAGAATGAGCTGAATGAACTGGAGCCGGTCCGAGGTCCAAAACAGAAGGCTTAACGGGCTCGTCGCTGAGTTCCTTCGGAGGCGTCGGCGGCCGCGGAACGGTCTCAAAACCGCTAAAAAGAAAACTCATCAAATAAAACTAAAGCTAAATTAGAAAGTAGCTGTTTTTATGAGAAATGGTAAGACCAATTTGCGCTGCATAAAAAAATGAATAGTCTGAGTCTATTCAATACTTTAACTTGCTTTTTCCAATAAAGTCTTGAACAAGTTAAATTAAATTATATCTCGCTTTTTATCTCTATTTCTGCCGTCTTCAATTTCAGCTACTTCATACTGTTCAGGTCCTTCCAAATATTAGAGTTTGTTTCTCAGCGCTGCGTTTTTATCTACATTTTTTGAAAAAAGGTGAAAAAAACTGCTTATTAGCCGTATAGCGTCCATTTACCAGCGCGATTGCCTTTACATATAGTTATTTCTGTCATAGATTTGACTAGCTTTTCAAATTCAAAGACGAACTGATGTGGGGACTGCGGTTTGGTCTCCTCGGCCTCCTTAAGAGGCTGCTCAGGAATAGTGAGAGGTCCGCGACGGTCGTAAGTCGTTTCCTCAGACTCCGGGGTCCGCGTCCGGAAATCCGCTTGCGCAAAATCTTCGTCCTCTTCCACCGGCTTCGAATCTTCGTCTAAAAGCGCCATTAAAAGAGAGCGATTGATTAAAACGCACCAATGAGAGTTTCGGAGATGACTGGCTGGTGCATCTTGTGAATCAAGTTGTCAACTTCGTCATGTACTTGCTGCAAAAAAAAAATTCGGTGTGAAAAATTTGTCTCATATTTGAGAATTCTGTTCCTAACTTTGAAAGTTCGCTAAAACGTTTTTTGATACATTCGGACATACCTCGACGCTGATTTCACAAATTTCAGTTCTCAGAAAGTGATACTTTGCCGTTTTTCTCTATTCACAAAATTTGGTTTTGTTTTACCAATCTTCAAAGCTAAAAGTTTGCTCAGATAAACAAGAACTGCCGCCTTTGTGAAAATAGTTGTGAAAAAATAGGAATTTCGAACTACTTTTTTTCCGTATAATACTTCACAATTACGGTAGAGACACTTAATAGGTCTAACGAGTGGTGAATGACCTACAAAGGACTTGAGCTTTTGAATTTCAAAGTACCTAGAGATGATTTGCATTTCTAGAGCCAAACGAAGTTATAGCTGAAAATATTGAGAAGTTATAATTTTTCCATAATTTCGTTTCCATGTAAATCTCACGTTGACATCCCCATGAATGTCGAGAGAATCAGCCCGCTCGACGACGTCATCACGGATATCCATCAAGTCTTCTGAAATTCGAGAAAAATTCCTCACAAACACCATTTTAGATTGAAAAATGAATTCTACAAGAAAATTAATGGTAAAGCGGACCGTAAGCACGCTGAGAAGACGGGAAATGATCATCGACTGTTTGTTTGTGCAAATCAGGGGTCTGAAATCATGAAAAACCGCAAAATATTGACGATTTCGAATGAAATTACCGGCACGACGTGTTCGTGATAAGGCTCGAGCCGGTCGCGGGCGACGTCATCTTGAGCTTCTCTCGCTTTTTCAAGGTTGTCTGAGAAAATTTCATTGGGAAGAAATATTTCAAACATTAGGGAAAATTATTAAAGTTGGACCTTTTGTAATTTAACAGTACGAAAACTCACAATGAAGATTGTCAACGACGTCGTCGACGATCTTGCGAGCTTCCTTTTCGACCGGCGAATCAAGAAGTTGTCGCGTTGCCGAGTAGTCTTTCTCGAGAACGTCGTCGTGAGAAACTCCGTGGGATGCCATCTCAAAATAAAGATAATAATTAGACTTCAAATAATTTCTCCTTTATATAAAAGATGAGTAAAATGAACTTGAAAGTATGGATATTGTAAAAAAAAAAACAAAACTCGAAGTTGAAAAATTCTAGAACGTTACCCAAAAGTCTTTTTAATGGACTTCGTGTTCGTAATACTCCCCTCAAATAACTAGTTCAAGCAAAGGATAGGAGAGCGAAAAAAAATTTTTGCGGCGAGGGAAAATTTTCAACTTCTTCGCGAACACGAAATGAATCAATAAATACGCGAAGGCAACAAACAAAGTACTATAACTACGGGTATATTTTTGTTATTTATGGTGAATAAAAAACGTGAATAAAAACTACGAACATTCTGGCCTGCAATAAAAAATTTTTATTGGAAATTCGTCAATTGTTTTAAACTTACTAATGAACTTTCTGCTTTTTTTCCAACAAAAACAAAACGGAAATGGTCGCTCGAAGACAAAGTACAAAAAACACATCGATACGAGTTGTTTTGCAAAATCTTATGAAATCGTTGTTCGAACAAGAAAAAGAGTTTGCAATGTTTCATTGCGATGATAATGCAAAAAAATTTCTCCTTGGGTCAGAATTAAAAAAGAAGGAATTTTCGCAGATGAAAAAATCAAAAATTGGAGACTCGACATTTTTATGCAAAATATACAGTTCATAGGATTCAGTAGTGCGTGAAAAAATAACTAGACGTCCTACAGTTTGAATGCAATGTGTGGATGAGGCAGCGATGCATCACAAAAGTGCGAATTTTGGGAGAAAACATATGTACGGTTGGTTGAAAATATTGAACATGGTGTCTTTTTCATACTACGAAAGATACCATAGGTTGCATTTTCATGAAAGTACAAGCACTGACTTTTACTTACACCACTCTGTAAACCATCCTCACGGCGAAAGAACTTTATATAGAGTGTAAATAGGAATTCTCATGTTCTTTCAACTAAAACGATGCGAGAGCAGAGAGAAAAGCAATAAACGAAAAAGATAAAGTTGCGGCGGAACAGAAGATTGAGTCACTTCACACTTTTGCGTTCTGGCAAACACGCAGGTGTTCGACTGTTCTTCTCTTTTCAAAAAGTTACAAACCAAGAAATAGTCGCGAAAAACAGAGAACTGCAAAAATGATCAAACATTGAGCGCAATGCTACTGTCGGTAATTTCAGGAGAAAACAGGTTTCATCAAAACACTCGAGGAAATCGAAGACAACAATTTCAATGTCGAATACTGTTTTGAAATAAACTTATTGAAAATTTTGTAAAACAACATATAATAAAGATAAATAAGAAAATGTTCACTGTTTCACTTTTTTTGCTTGTGAAAGCGGACCGAGATTCGCAAAAGCTGAAACGCTTTCACGGCCACGCAGCGGAGTGTCGTTCCATGAAATTTCAAGTCGTGGCACAACACTCAAAATGGATCATCATTATCCCATAATGTTTCCATCGTGAGACCTCCAGAATCCTTCCAGTCCTTTAAAGTATATCTCAAGTCTATCTCATTCACTTGAAGTCGTCAGAGGTACACTCGTGATATCATCGATAGAGCTCAGACCCTTCGATATACCTCCGGAAGAGTCGTGATACCATTTCTCGATTCGCTTATGCACTGCCAACATGCTGGTTTTCTCTTTATTTTTTATTCACCACTTTGCTTTCAAGGTCATACTCTTCAAATTTATTTAAATTTTTTAAAATACGAAAGTGAATAAACTTTAGCTCCTAAAGATACGAAATCAGATTTTTCACACCTATTAGAACTATTTTAAAGAACTTTTAAAAAAATTTGTGTATTTTTTTTCTTTGTTCTTATGTCAAAAACCGAATTCCATCACACAATCACAACCACCACCACAAAAAAAAAAATCATAATTCAAGGAATGACGAAAAAGAGCATGCCTGTGAGGGAGGAACGCGGTCGAGTTCGGCAGGAGTCCGAGGAAGTTCACGGGCGTCGCTTCTCTTCCTTTCCTCGGCGGCCATGTCGACGAGGAGAAAGCCGTCGTCGTAGTTGAGTTCATCGACACGATCGCCTGGTTTCAGTGTCGTCGTCGGCATCCCTCGCGGTTGTTTCTGTTTTTTTTTTGATTTCTAGCGCTTCATGCATGATTTTTGTTGTTTATAAAAACCACAGAAACCCCCATTTTTTAAATTTTGAAGTTCTAAAATACACAACAGTTTCGGTAAAAACAAATATGTTCAGGGAAAAGAAGCAAACATGCAAAAAGGCACACCGATACATGCAAAGGTAAATGTCCTATTCCGTCAAAATTCACTTAAACCCCTTTTTCACTAATATTCCGAAGGCACAGGACCGTGAAAAATATTGACTTACGTCAGTAAATTGATTTTGCAAAAAATTAAATTTGTGACATACGAAAAAATATCGAAAAAAAGATAGAATAATTGAGCAAAAACGAATAAATGATTTTGCAACTCAAAATATCTCTAGTTGAAAAAAAAAAGAATATTCAAAAGAGCAAAAGGTTGAATAAAAATTTTTTTCAAGTTTATTGAACTTTTTGAATTTCATTCCAGAGTGGAAAAAGAATTTTTTTGCAAGGTTCTGTGGGCTTGGAACAGATATCCCCATTCAAAAACATAAAGATCCCGAGTCGACCAGAAAATGAGTTGAAACTCGTACATTATCATCATAATGGCTAGCCATGTCGAATACAAACGCGTTCAATTCCAAAACGCCATTGGTTGATGTAGCAGAGAAAATAGTCTAGAATAGAAAAGCCAAGTTAAAGAAGTTTGAGTAAAATGAAGTTCAGTAATAATAATGAAAAACAAACCAGGGTTTTTTGATTAGCCTCGGCTTGAGTTTCACTCATCGACTTGGACTCGGCTGTACCCATCTTGCTAGCGACGAAAAAGAAAAAAAAGAAGAGAAAGCTCGGCGTATTTTAGTATGGCGCAAATATATCGTTAAAGTTTTAGCTTGATATGACTCATGTCGACGCAAACACGGAAATGTTTCTAGCTGGCACGCTGTGTTTTGGAAAGAATGAGCATTCCTTTGAGGAAATGAGAGGAATTACCGTCAAATAGCAAACGATCACAGACTTACCACGATCTTCAAACTCTTTCTTTTCATTTTCCGGTCCTGAAAAGAATCATCGGAGACCGGTAGAATGACAGATGTGGCTCCGAACATGTGGAATTCGAAGCTTCTTATTTTGCAATGAGAGAAGAATGCCCGTGCTGAAATTCGAGCAGCCGACAGCTCCTGTTACCTCATTTCTTGGCAACATCTTCTGGGTCTCCAAAAAGAGGATGAAGTTTGAAATTGAGAGGGAGCGTTCGGAATTTGCCTTTATTTTCGAGACTGTCTTCTCTTTTCGAGCTGTCAGATAATTTCGAAGACGTTTCGAGCCGTGGGAGCGAGGCAAAGAAAAATAAAAAAAAGAAGTTGTATTAAGAAAATATTAAATCGAGAGCGGAAGCGAAGACAGAAAATTCAGACATTGATACAAGTTCATGAAACACAGAAAGGAGTTTGGGAAAAGCTGCGAAGAAAGAAGAAAACTCACTGTATCATCTCCAGAAAAGAGAGTTGATTTCTGCATGGGGTCGTCGTGGAGGTCGTTGTATTCGGCAAAGGTGTCGTGATCCACCTGCAGGAAATAAGGACAGCTCCGAAGAAAATAATGAGCCAAGAAACCTTTTCAAAACCACTCGAATCGAGTGACCCTTCAGCTGAAGTATGCTCTGTGGGTGGAGCATTTTCATGCTGCAAATGTGGGCTAAAGTGAGCAATAAAGGGAACCGCACTGACATTAAGTTTTTCGTAGAACTCGCGATGCTCTCCGGTGGGCGGAGCGTTCGGAGAAAGATCGGAGGCCGGAGAGTCCATCACAGGCGTTTTGTTCTTTTGCTCTTCTTTCGGCTCCTGAAGCTTTCTTCATTCGATCAAAGTTTATTTATCCATTTTGAGAAATAAAATTTCCATAGAACTTCCCCTACCTTTCTGACGGTATAACTCACAATTATTGGTATTATTCTATAATATGAACTTCAAGGTTCAAAAAAGATTTTTTTTTTTCAATATATAAAAGTAAAAAGACCTACTGGTTCTTCTAGCGGGAACAGTCCTTCTCGAAGGTTGTCTAGAGCTGTGCGAAACTGTTGGCGAGTTGCAAGGCTTGTAATTGAAGAAAAAGAATCTCTACGAGGCGGCTCGGCAGAGTCGACTGAAAACTTCATATCAAGAAAAATATATCAAAAAAGAAACGAGTAACGAGGAAAAACATCGATCGGAAAGTTGAGCTCCGCTTCTATCATAAAGAATGCCAAAATTTTTGAGTTTACAAAAAATGCCTACAAGAGGAGTTGAAGCGCTGGACGGTGCGTTCGCTGATGTCGCCAATAGAATCGAGGCCTTCGTCGTCGTCTTCAGAAGGAACACGGTGAACTGGCGCCGGTTTGGACTGACTATCTTCTTCCGCTTCAAGCTGCAGGATATCAGCAGGCGTTTCGACTGGCTGCTCTTCAGTTGTAGAGACATCCTTAAGCTGCTGCGGCTCCACAACAATTTTTTCGTAAGTTTCCTCGGATGCTTCATTTGGTAGTTCCGGTAGTTCCAGATCTTTTTTGGACGAAGTCTCTTGGAAGTTAAATTTGCGTTCTTCTGCAGTTTCTGGAGCTTCAGCTGACTTCAGCAAGGGCGTAGAAGATTCAGCTGATTGCTCCATTTTATCGATAGCTTGGGTCAAGGCATCAGAGAGTTTTCGGGGCTCAACATAGAGTTTTTCAAAAGATTCGTCCGTATTGTCTTTGACTACTCCGCTAGAAGAAGCACTAGAGCTTTCTGGTTCAGTTGTCGGACTCGGGACGGAAAACTTGGTATCATCTTGTACGCCATTTTCAGCTGCCAAAAACTCATAAGCGTCGACTTTTTGATCAAGGTCATTTACATGCGGGACTTCGTGGAAACTGAAGGTCTGCTCCTCTGCGGAACCAACTTTCGGAGTTTTGAGCGCCTCTTCTGCGGCGAGAGTGGTTTTGTTTTCAATCGTTTCTTCCTCTCCGTTTTCTAAAGATTGTCCTTGTTCTTTAGGCGTGTCGTCAAACGAATCGATTTGGAAAAGTTTGCCATCTTCTACAACGCCTTGGTTGGAATCGTCGATTGAGCCAAGCGTGAAAAGTTTTTCTCTGCTCTCTTCGGGAAGTGTTGAATTTTCCAGTTTTTCTGAAGAATTTTCCTCCTTCATCACAGCATTTTCAGGATCTTCTTCTGCCTCCAGAGGTTCAACTTCAGCAGAAATCCCAACTTCAGCAAACATCGATTTCAAGGATTTCGTGTCTTCCGAGTGGTGCACGTCAACGTCTGCTTCCTCAAAAACTTCGTCATCCGAAGAGTTCTGATCATCTTCTCTGGGTGCGAGATTTTCGTATTGAGCTTCAATACGAGCAAATTCTTCATCTTCATCTTCGTTTTCAGGATGGTCTTCAAAAACAATGGGAATATGGATCCTTTCGGACATTTCAGACACATCGTCTTCTGAGGCGTGTACTGCACTTTCCTGCGAAGACGATTTTTCGGCTTCTTTCTTTTCCAAAAAATCGGTCTCTTCAAAAACGACAGGAATAACTACTCGTTCAGACAAAGGCGCGGAGTCCTCTTCCAGAATATCCTCTTCTTTTATCCCAGAAACTTCGAGCGATGATCCAACAGGAGCTTGTTCTGTCTTGCTGGCTTCTTCGAAAAAAACAGGAATAGGTACTCTTTCGGAAACAGACGTCTCCTCCTTGGAGTCGTTTCCTTCTCGGGGCTGAGCCGTATCGTTCAGAGATTCTGTTGAAATCTCTTCTGGATTGCTAGCCTCTTCGAACACGACGGCAATAGGCACTCTTTCAGAAACAGACGTAAGGTCGCCTTCAAGGTCCTTTTCTTCTTGTGTTTCAAGAAATTTCTGTGAAGATTCAGTTGGACTTGCTCCTGGATTGCTTCCATCTCCAAACATGACGCGAATAGGGATTCTTTCGGAGACAGATGTTATGTCTTCGTCGATATTGTTTCCATCTCGTTTTTCAGAGACTTCTGATCCAATCCCAGGCTGACGTGTCTCGTTGCTCTCTTCAAAAACGACGGGAATCTCGATGACTTCACTAGGATTGTCATCTTCCTGCATCACGTGGGATACTTCTTGGCCAACGAAGTTGTCCAAACTGTCGAAGGACTGATCGGAGGCTTGCAACAGCTTCGAAACGATTCGCAGCTTTTCCGCTCTATCTTCGTCGGACTCCTCTTCTTCCTTGTGAGCTATTTTGACAGTTGACTTGACATCAGTGCCTTCAGGTGTAGTGATTGCAGAAGAACCGGCGGGTTCGAACAAGAAATCAGCTGTAGGAATAACTGGCTCTTCCTCAGCCTTTTTGTGAACTTCTCCGTTGCCGTCGGAGAGAAGAGTCGAGGAGCCGTCTTTTTCTTCTTCAGAATCCGCGAAAGGGCGTTCGATTATCTCGTTAGCAGCCGCGTCCTCGGCTTCAATAGTTTGTTTCATGCGGTTCAGAAGCACTTCGATGGCGTCGCTGACGTTCTGACCGTTCGAACCAACGTCACCGGCGAAAGATGGCGGCGAATCCATAAGAAATCAAGAAATTCGGCGTGAACTTAGCTGTCTGTGGGGCGTTATGAGCAGGAAACAGGGGGTGGATGGAGAAGAAACTTGAGAGATCTCAGAGAGCCTCGCGACAATTGTCACTGACGTGCCAATTTTTGAACTTTAGCTCTCAGGAATTTCCCGAGCACCTATTCTCATGATAATATATCGTTTAGCGTTCTATGCACTATCAGTTCAAGACGTTTTGAAACGGCTCGATCGGTTATAGTTCAGAAAAAGGGCAACAATTGGAATAGTCGGTTTGATCTTGTACTCTTGAAGTCTGTGTTAAAAAGGAAAAAAAAAGAGTTAGGAAAATTGGTCTAGGCTTTCCATTTCTTTTAAAGTACAGCGAACGTTTGCAATGTGGCAAAGCTAGAGCTGTTCAATCAAAAATATCCCAGAATTGCTGAATCATAGAAATTTCGCAATGATGAAATATAAAAATATTTTTAATATGGTAAATTTTCAACTTCGTGTAACCTCGCTTTTTTCTGATTATTTACTTTGACTAGTAAGAAAAATCTATTGCAAGTGATGAAGAAAGAAAAATCAGAGTTACACAAAAAAATCTTTCATCAAAAAAAGCAAATAACAAAAGTTTTTTTGTGGGCACTTGGAAAAAAACAGAAAAAGCGCGTGATGGATTGAGACGATGGAGCTCGCGAAACAACAATCGAAGAAAAAAGATAAAAAAGAAAACATATGTCAATCCGGTAGAATTGACGGGAAACAAAAGCGATCTAAAACCACTGTTGGAAAGAAAATTGAAATAAAATACTGATAACAGAAAAGAAACTATGAAATTTTTATAGAAAATTGGAAAAGCTACAGCAAGCTCAGAATGGAAAGCAGAAGAGTGTTAACAAGAGTTATATCTATCAAAAACAGGCTGTTTTCAGATGGTCCACAAAAATGTTTGTTTGTATACGTTATCGTGAAAACTGCAGCTGTTTGGAGAAATCGTTGTCTTCCAAAACGGCAAGATAAATGGCCGAAAACAAGGCAAATCGAGAGAAGAATAGCCAATTTCAGACTCGAGATTGGAATCAAAACAAGTCCATGGAAAAAGGGTTTCTTCCTTGTCGAATAAGTCGAAATTAGATTTTTATTCAAAAATGATTATATAAAAAGTAAACATTAGCGTACATGAACTCAAGAAAGAGGATAATTTTCAAAAAATTTTTTTTTCAACTTCAAACTGACAAATTTTAACTTTCCGTTTTTAGAAAAAAAAAGTGGTGAAATTCGCGTTGATTGAAAAACTATCGCCAGGATGCATTAAAGAGTTGTAACCTCGAAATTACACAGCCAGATGATGGATATGATTTTTAAAATGTTGCGAAAACCAAGAGGAGAGCCGAAAATTGTCAGGCGGGATGTTGGTAAACAAAAGAGAAGGTGCGCGAAGATACACCGTGCGGATGGAAGACGGTCAGAGGAAGGGAGAGAGAGCGGTGACGTGAACGAAAAAAGATGAACGGAGGGAAAGGCGCGCCATGTGACCGACGGCAAAACGGACTCCCCGATCATTTCGACGTCTGTTATCGCTTAATCAGTTATATCAAAGGGTCACGTGCCTCGTTCCAGTCCGTTCCTTCACACGTCATCAATTCAAATTCATTTCTTACTTTCAAGGCGAACATTCTAACTACAATAAAAATTGATTTACGATCCGAAATTACAATTTCTAAAGGAAGAAGATTTTCCTTTTATATGTGATAACCATAGAAAAAAGTAAGGGAGACGTTTTTTGAGAACATTTCATTTTTCCAAGTTTAAAATAGACAATTTGAAGAGAGCGGTAGAAATCTGCAAAAAAAAAGAACGCGATTCGATTTTTTTTTTCTCGATTCATATATGACCTCGACGGTTTTGAGGTGTGTCGAAGGAACATTATTGTGGTGAAATCGTTGGATACACGTTGAAAATTAGTTTTTTGATGTTCTGGGATGGGAAGGCAATCTATTATTATCATTTGTATGTTCATTGCTGGTCTTCAGAAATGCAAACCTCAATTAAAAGTTATGATTATGCCAGTGATAATTTTGGAAGGAAGGATGGATGTAGAATATTGAAAAGATAGCAAATTCTTAGAGGGAACTACTTATTGAGTTATGTTTTTCATTTTAAGAGGTCAGCAATCAATATTTCGTTGTCTCATACCGATACGTTGACGAACAGAAATTTTCACGACATTTCTTTCAAAAATTCAGCAAATTTTGTAAAAAAGTAAGAAGAAGTTTGCACTTTACTTTTTTTGTTTGTTAGAAGAACAGTTAATAAGAATAACGAATTTCTACGCGCACTTTTTGTTCGCTTTTTTTTTCTTCAATGTGGAAGTTTTCCAAATTTTTAGAAAAGAGAATGTGTGGATAGAGAATGTAAACATAGCGAAAAGAAACAAATAAATGGGAGCCTCGAATAAATCGAGCACAAGTTTCTGGCAATAGGATTAGGACAAGGAATGTTGTGGCGGAAAATCATCCGTTTTGTGAATGATTGCGACTAGAATGGGAATGCGTACGATTGTGGTAGTGAGCCCATTGGAGGAGCTCTGCGAGAAGCCAAATCGATAGCCTGGAAGCCGTGGGGCGTTCGCTTGGCACGCAAATAGCCGCGCAGCTACCAGACGGGGTGAAAGTGCAACCAAGCAACCAAATTATCCGATTCAGACCTCTGGGAAGGTGGTAAAGAGAACGATAAATTTCGAACTCCTTTTTTTTCAAATTTCTTTCTATTTTAATCAATTCTGTACTACACATTCGAAAATAAATTTATAAAAAAGTTAATTTATTTCACTAATATGGAAGGTCATTTCTAAAAGTTCTGCGTAGGGCTTGGAATCGTCTATAAATTTTCTCAAACTAATGTTAACTTTTTGATTCAGAAAGGTTTGACAAGACAGAAAAAAGAAGCCCCAAAATGTTCTGTTCAATTCTCCCGTCTCTTTTTCGTTTCGCATCCAAAAGTCCGAAGAGACAAGAGGAAAGAGCTCATTAAAAGGCCACGGCCAGCGCTTTCATTAAAATTCGACCCGAGTCTCCCTCATTTCCCATTGTCGCCTTTTGTTTTGGAGTGTTTTCCGCCATAGGGACTTCAAGTAAAGGAATAAATTTTAAAAAAAATACCGAGAAAAAAAGCCTATAATAATTTTTCAAATCGTGATTAACGTTAATCTCAATTGTTTCCGTCTATAAACCTTTTGTCGAATAGAAGTATAAAAAGAAGAAGAACAACTACTTCGAACAGCAAAAAAGGTTTCAATGGTTTATTGGGAAAAGCGTTTGGAAACAACAGCTAAACAAACAAATATGAACAGATTTGCTAGAAGTTTCAGGGCTTATTCTCATCGAACGACGGTTTTTCGGCGCTGTTTTGAACCGAAGGAGCGGCTTGGACAGTCTGGATGGGAATGGGTCGACCGCGTGAGACTTCCGTCTTGGGACCTTCGACCGAGAGATGACCGTCGTGGCTCAGAGAAGACACAACTTCCGAGAGATTCACGTCTTCTGGCAGAAGCACCGTGCGCAAGAACGTCCTGAAGACCGAAAAACCTCTTCCAGAATTTTCTGCGGATTTTAATTGAAAAATAGTTGCGCAGCTTAAAATTGTTTGCTCTAAGGACAATAATATGTTAAATAGTTTTTTTACAGCTTTTCTTTCAGAAAAAAATAATTAGGAAGCCAGCCGCAAAAACATTGTTATTTACTTTTCATTGAATAAAATGATAAAATAACTTTCAAAAGTAAGCTTTGAGAAGAAGAAATCTTAAATAATAGAAAATTTCAAGAATAAATAAATAATTGAAACTTTTTTTTCTCAGATAAACGCTCTTAAAATGAAGTTTAAATCTCAAAATGGGTTTAAATCTCAAACCAGGAACTTTTCAATCTCTCACTAGCATAACAAAAACAGACCGTTTTGAGAAGCCGTCGTCATTTTTGATTTCCTGAACTCCTTCAATAGTGAGCTGCCGACCGTCGAGGTTGATCTTGAGTTCCTCCGGCTTGTAGTCCGAGACGTTCAGCTTCAACGCAAACTTTTCACTGTCGTTCAATACCTGAAACAAGCTTATGAAACAGTGAAACTTTCAAATTAGAAAGAATGGAAACCTAAGGGAATCATCGATAAAATTTCCATCAACTTACCTGGGTATCACTGGTGGCTTCAGGGTCATAGCGAGGCAAGGCGCGGGAAAAAGGCGAAATCATCTGGCGTTCCATTCTCGCGATATCACGCATCATTTCGTTGAAAAGCGAGATTGGTGAGCGGAAGTACGGGTAAATGGACATATCTTTTGCGAAGAAAAAGTTGAAATCAACTGAAAACCGCTTCTTTTTATTCCCATGCTAAGGATTTTTCCAGATGATTGTAGAACTCTCTAGAGAGAAAGAGAGAGAGCGAAAGAAAAGAGACGCAGACAGCTAGTGACACGCCCCCTGATGCAAACGTTGTTTTTGCGAAATTTCGACGGATGATTTTGAAACTTCGTGCTTTCCCAATCATTTTCTTTTTTACAAATTTATGAAGCTTGAAATTATAACAAACAAATGAAAGGAAAGTAGGCGATGATGAGAAGAAAACCCATAATAGAAACACGCACAAATTGCCAAAAGAAACCGTCAGAGTCTCTGAATATGCGGTTTTTGTTTGAGAATCTTTGAAAAATGATATTGATTTGAATTTGGTGGACTTGAATGCAAAAAAGATATCCATGAAAAAATAAGGATTGAAATTTCGGACAAAAGGAAGAATGTTTTGCAAGTTCACCAGTCCTTTGTCGACGTCGTGTTGTTGTTGCTGGGCCGTCGGCTCGTCTGCGACGACAGCATAATACTTAATTTAAAGTTCTAGTTCCGATTAATAATAGCACAAAAATCACTGAACTTTTACACATTCCGTGTGACTTTTAAAGTTTTATTTTTGAGGTTTTCTTTTCCTTTACTCCTACCACAGGAGCTTTTGATCGCACAAGAAATTGAAGAAGATTTATGAATAAAAAAATACAACAATTTTCATTTAAAAAAATAAAAATAAAAAAATACCATGATCGTACCTGTCCTTGTTGATGGCCAAATGGCTGTTCTTTCGCGTGACAGTCTGACACAACGGCATCAGGGGAACCAGAAGAAAACAGTTGGACTGCAACTCGCGCTGCATTCCGCGCTCCCTCGAGGTGCACGTCGGGTCCGCCAGCGTTCCTCTTCTGAATCCGTGCTCATTTTGGTAGTCCCTCTATCGGCAGTTGGTCTCGACCGGAAGGCTCTGCGAGAGCTTCGTTTGCCGGCTTTCGCGCGTTTGATTTGATTTTCGACGGTGTGTTACATGATGCCTGCGGCGGCAACCGAGACTAATGCGGCGTGGCACTTTCCGACTTCTCCGAGACTCAGGAAACGTCTTGCGGACGCAGTTTATCGTGAATCGATGCAAAGAAAAAGGTCGATCTGGTAAGCAGAAGTCAACCTGAAGGCGTTCACTCCGAGATGACGTTCCAAGGTCCTTCGGTAGACGACAGAAACTGAAGGCGAAGGCGTGAAACGCGACAAAACTCCGACGTTTGTGTGTCTTCGGGCGTTCGTCAGCCAGGTCATGTCGTCTTTCAAAGCTCTCCGGTGCCTCTGTAGATTCCAAAGTACCAAGAGAAACACTCAGATATCATACAGGCGCTATTTAAGTCGGATGGATAATGGAAAATAAAGTTTCACATAAGAAATTAATTTTTAGAGCGTCTGATTGGATATCCTTGAATTCGAAAATGAGCGTAACTTGTTTCTGACAAAATTTCTCCCTTTTTACCTTAACTTGTGTTCTTTCTCCTTGCAGTGAGTTATCAAACAAGTATTTTCATGAAAATATCCCCTCTCGTCTCCTTTGAATGTGTCTTATTTCCGGGTACCCGTCCACTCGTTAAGGTTGACTCTTTCCCGCGTATTGTTATTTCTCTGCCTATCCTTCACTTGATCATTTATTCTTCAATTATTATTTTTTTTTTCTGTTAAATAACGGCAGTGAATAAACTATATATTTAAAGTATGAAGGAAGATATGTGAACTCTTTTTCGTCATTCTAAATGTCTGCTAAATAAATTATTCCTTCTAAAAATCGATCATGACGTTTTACATTCTCGAAGATTTGGAGGGCTTTGATATAATTCTTATTTATTCAAACTTTCGAAAAAGATTCGATACTATAGTTAATAAAAAAGGAATCAAATGTACTTGGAAAACCTTGCTCATCCAGAAGTAGAGAAGTGGATTCCAGACGACAGAAGTCATGGCGATAGCGTGCACATTCAACAGCTTGAAGTACATTTGCTCCATTATCTTAGAAGTTTTAATCATCAGAAGGATGAAATTGAAGAGCTCACAATTCTGATTCCAAGGTCTTTGATGAGGTTCACGGTTGACAGGGGCAGCCAACAAGCCATGAACACCACCACCATCAGGATCAAAACGTACATGACCCGCCGTTTCCTGACGGAAGTCTGAGCCTGCGAATGAATTATTCTTTTTCTCTTCAAGGTTGGAGAAACACGAACTTGTTGAGCTGCCGTGAGCATCGACCCTTCTTCGACGATCCAATCTGTTCTCACCTCAAAAAATCTTCTTAATTTTACGATATATATTCGAAACTAAATGCCTTTTTTGAAATACCAAAACAAAACTTATTTTCGTAATCATGTTTTCTAGTCTTTGAATTGGCTCGGATCTATGTGGTAGGATTGGATAATTAGGAGGACAGGATGGAATGAGCCTGAGCACGATATGGCCGGACGTGAGCAGCGCTCATGGTCATTCAAATTAGACCTTCTGGAGAATCTTCCAGTAGCAGAACGACATTATCACCGCCGGAATCACGAACTGGATGATGAGCAGAACGACTCCGTAGGCGAGTTTCGCCTGTTCGCCGAGGTGCCAGTTGAACTCTCCGCAGAACTGGAATATATACTGTATAAAGCATTCATTTTATTTTTTCAGTCTGAAAAATAGCTTCTGAAACATCGCCGAAAATAGTCTTTCAAAAAGTTTTTTCTTCTTTACAAGCTAAATACAGCGACAACGCCTCACTTCTTTTGTGACATAAGAAAGATACTGGTAATTTCATCTTTTTTTGAACTTGAAATCGAAGATTTGATGCAAAAGCATCTCGTGGATTCAAAAAGGATCGCCTTGCAGCAAAGTTTTATGTCTTAACGATCCAGCCAGAAATTTCGGAAAGACTGGTAAAAAAAAAACCAACATCTCCACACAAAGTGACATTCTCAATGACCATCGTTTTGAGGGATTGCGAAAAATACAGAGGGGATGAGGCGAAGATTGCTACACCCCAGGTACAGAGAAGAACCAACTGAAAACAGCAGTTTGAGCAACTCCCATTCTTCCAGAACACCTGTGCGAAAGGCAGAGACCAGGGCTCGTGCAAAGGCGTCACTATACTCCGGTAGCGGTCCATCGCAATATAACAAAGGCACCACGAAGAAATGAGCACTTCAAAACGCCTTGATACTTATTTTTAAAGAACATCCAGCTTCACCTGAAATAGCCTGGCAGGCGGGTACAAATTTGCAGAGAATCGTGCCGAAAACCCAGCGTTTCATGAAGGCCAAAACCGGCGTTATTGGCACCGCCGTGATGCAAAGCAACTGAAAACTGTCTACATTCCTTTTTTTAAACTATTTCGGCCTCACTAAATCTGAAACTGCGAGGTTTATAAGAAAAAAATTGGCGACGGTAAATCTTTTGCGGAGAATGATCGAGCTGATCAGAAGGCCGTTTCCAATGACTCCGATGATGAAAATTAACGCGTAGATGGTCGAATAGGCTACCTGGAGAATGATAAGTTATAATCCAGTCCATTCAGAAAGGTTTAAAAATTTATGTTCGCACATAGAAAGGCTCAAAATACATGCAAAAACGAGTATCGTCTTGTTATTTTTTTCTCTGGTTTGATAAGAACTTCCAAACGATTTTTTATTAATTCCATAGACTCAGTATATGCCATGTTTTCAACAAATTTGCTCCTTGTTTCATGTTTTGAGCTTCAAAGTGTTAGCGAGCTTTTGTTTGAATCAATATTATTACCCGAACTTCCAAGAAGACTGTCCAGTCATTAAAGTTCCTAAGAATGGCGTTGACGTCGATACAGATAGGCGGCGCTGCGGCCGGCTCCATCCGGTGGCTGAAACCCGTGGTTAAGGCTGAACCAGGAGGTGAAAAGACACGAAAACGGAACAAATCCAGTGAATTCGAGGCAAAAACAGAGCAGATTTATGGCTCAGAGATAGTGAGGAGATGATCGCAGCTCGTCCCCTGGGCTCGCGCCTTTTCCAGCTCGCAGAGGCACTTCTGCCGTCGCTCCGCCTACTTAATGAGAAACCCCTGTGGCATTGTAAATCTGCGCAACTATACTGGCTGAGTTGATGCGCAGTCAATCAAATTAATAAAAATATAGGGAAACAGGGGCAAATAGGATGAAGAAAATCTGGGAGCACTGTGGCTAAGGAAGAGCCCAAAATTGAGCAGAACTATCAAAGTTTTAAAAAAGCGCTCATCAGAAATTTTTGAAGGATTGAAAGACAGTAGAGACTAAATCGAAATGTTTTGTCGATAACTTGTGCCTGAAAGAATTTTCGGAGTTCAAACTAAAATTAAATAATCAATTCAGCGAAATTCGTAATCCTTCATAAAAAATTGAAAAAATAAATCATTGAAAGAAATCATGAGAAATAATTTCAACTGAAATTTTCTCTAAAACAGCTATATGAACTCGCGGCTGAAGAGTTTTCATCAAATCTCCTGCAGGAACAATTTGGTTGAGCGGAAAGTTGAGAGAAATAGAATAATTACCCGGAAATGGAACTGAAAAAAGCTTCAAGCAACTGGATAACTGTTGGAATTGAAGTTCCTTGTTTTGTGAGCGTTTCCAACGTGAAAATGCATCAAAAAGATGAACGAGAGCGCCAGAAACAACAAGAAAAAAAAATCTCGATGGCTTGCTCCGATAGGGAAACTTGAAAAATAAGGATCTCCATCATGGAAACGAAAGAACGTCTTGGAGAGCCGTGGGTGACATACTTTTGGTGGTTTCCGGCTATTCGATAAAAAATAAATAACTGGCAAAAAAAATTTCAGTGTTTCCGACTGAGCTTATCTTGTTTCCAAAATTAAAAAAAAATGGTTCTGTCTGACCAGCGAGACAGGATCTACATACCATCCAAAAAAGAGTGAAATCGTAGACATTTTCGACTTTAGAGAGCCCCTAACTTTTTTCACAGACCTGTATGACGGATTTTGAGGGCAGATTTGGAATCAGCTTAAGACTTTTATTTGGAAAGCATGGTATCATTCAAAAGTCCCGCTGTGAACTGAGACCATTCCCTGGTAAAAAAATAAACTTATCAATTGGTTCTCATCACAAGGAAAAACTTTTGAACAAAACCCTTTCCTTTTTCTTTTACTTACAAGCTACCATTGGCTATTGAAGATTTGTTTTCTTTAACTTGAATTAATTACAGAAATTGAGATTTTCTGCTGAAACAAAAGATCTATTTTAAAACGTTTCCGTAAATCGCAAAAAAGTTCAAAATTTTAAACCTTGTTTCTGAAGAAAACAAAAAATATGAAATTCTTCGACTATGGCAAAAAAATTTTTGTCTTCAAAACCTCGGCAACCAATGACGCCGATTGAATTCAATATTATATTTGAGCACGAAAAAAAGCAAAAAAAATTCAATATTTTCGGAAAAAAGTTCTCTTTGGTTTTGCGATTTTTTTTTGACAATGTAACTCAGAGAATGCAGTAAGAATTCCCAGCAGCTCACGCCTGAATTGCAGTCCCATCAGTCTGAATATATTTTTTATCCTAGGAAAAGCAAGGTTTTTGAAATAGATAAGAAGACTGGCCCACTTGTTCAAGGTAAAACCAGATGAGCTGGTAAAGACAAAAAGGCAGAAAATGGGAGGCCGTCCGCAGTGGAACCTAAAACCCTATTTATTTCAGGCATCATCGTCGTCTCCTTTGCCGTCGTCGTCAAACCTAGAGCAAATTGCGTTTTCGGCGCTGCGCAGAACATCCCCAACAACTCCCGGCCACTTCAATTCCAATTTCCAAAATCATTCTCGGCTATCAGGCCACAGGGACCCCTTGTTATGTACCTCGAACTGTTCATCGAAACTCCAGAAATGTTGGCGTCGCATCTCGACTACAAAAGAGCGAGGTTGGTTTCAATCTGGTATTCGGGAGTGGCAAACGAACTTGTAATTTCTATCTTTATTGTGAGAAAATTTGAATGTGTGGTTGGAACCAATTTTTAAATTTATTTTCATCTTTTCGTCAGAACATTTTTTGAACAGTCTTGCTTGTCTGTGTCCTTATTTTTATTACCGACGAGAAAACATGATAAGAGCCCAAAGACGAAAAAAAGGGTGCACTGAAATCGAAGTTAAAAAATCCTTAGATTGACATTACCCTAATGAACTCCCAATTTCAAACTATAAAGATGGATTATTGTGACTCAAATTTCGGCTTTTGGAATATGTCGAAATGATTAAATTCAGTTTTGTTATATGAAACGGATAAATTTAACACGGAGCGGTCGCGTCGCAATGTTTGAGTTGCGCGCAAGTTTTTTTTTCGAAGTCCCTCCTACAGATTTTCTCATTTTCATGGTTTTTTGCATCCATCAGTTCGTGATCAATATAATTCTCTAATAAAAAAACCCTCAATTACCTTATTTGTTACTCATTTTATACAAGTTTGAAGGTGAGTAATTTTCTTTATTTGGAAAACAGCAGCTTGATTTTTTCTGAACTTCTTAGGAAAGCTTAAAGAAGCATCCTGTTTCTCTGCAGAAATGTTTATTTGAGGAGTGATTTTCCACTAATTCCACTTCCTTCAGTGCTCATTTTGACGTCAAGACTTTCTCTCCACTTTTTGAAATAGATACTAGGAGAGGAAGTTGGAAACCTTGCAGAAATGGTGACGATGAACACGCCGGTTTGGATGCCGCCGGAATCTACCGGAGGTCTCTCCTGCAACTGTCAGTACCCTATAGGACTCGTCATTTTCCTCGTCTTCACCATTCTCTCCCTGGTTGTCTGTATCTGCGTCTGCTGCTTCGACATTACCAAGGTTCGCGGATTTCAGTTTTCTCTGTTTTTTTTGTCGTGAACAGTTGTTTGAATCAGTTGTGGTAACGGAAACTAGTAACGTTCAGCATTCAAATTCTATAACTCCAGTTGAAATTTTTGAAATCCGAAAGAGTCGTGACAAAATTTACTATAAAATCTAACATTCTCTGTTTTCCTGATTATTCAAAAAATCTCCCGCAAAAAAGGACATGAGCCCAAAAAAAAAGTTCGACTTTAATATGATAGTTTGCAATAAAAGCGATACTTTTTATTCAATAGATTTCCTGTGTGAACAAAATTTTGAAAAAACATTGAACGAACACTAGCAGTTAAATTTTGAATCAGTTCATTAGTGGTCTAGTCATGAATGAAACTTTATGAAGTTTCTAAATTCTTCACAATATCAACCACATGTTTTCAGTGTCACCTCTGTAAGCGAAAAAAGCCTCGCTTTTCGGGTCTCCACAAACCTTTTGACCCTCGTTTCATCGACACGAGCAAGTTTGTTGATCGAAAGGTTTTTGTTTCGCCTTGAATATGCAATTTGAACTACTGATTTTTCTGGTCTTTCTTCTCGGTTTGTGGACAAGCGGCCTTTTCACGGCCGGCGGGAAAAAGCACTTGAAATTTATAGCTGGTCCTTGACGCAAACTTTTTCAAAGTAAGACTTTTTGTCAAAAAGTTCTTGAGACTGAAGAGAGAGAAAAAGTTAATTTTAAAAGTAAAAAGATCGAGTTCATCTACCTGAACGTTCAGAACTCTTATAAAGAGTTTCACAACTCAACTCAGGAAAGTTTGACGAAATGAAAGATATCGCAAATGTCGTTCATCACGCTGGAACCAACTTTTGGTTTTAATACTATCATGAACTCACTCATATTTTTTGAAAAATTTCAATTATTTGACACCAATGAGTTATAAGACAGAAAGCAGACTTTATTTTATTTTTGAAATTTTTTTTATCTCTCACACACTTTAAGTCTCAAAGATCAAAGCTTTTTGAAATGGAGGAAACAAGAAAAATCAGTCGGAAACCTTTTTTTCTATCACTTATATCTCGTAAACCCATCACGAAATCAGCACACAATCCGCAAGCCAAAAATCAAGAGCCTTTGTTTGCTCGCGACGATGATACACTCACTTTTTGCAGTTCTCGCTGGACCCGCGACTGCTGGAATACAGCCAGTTGCTGCACAGCGGGAGCCTCAGCTCGTCCCAGTCGCGGAGCATCGACGTCTGCTCCAACGGCATGTACTCCACCGACACCTCTCTCGTCACCACCGTCTGACTTTTGTGCAACTTCAGTCCCATCACATTCCGTTCCGGCATTGATCTCGCATTTTCTGAATCTTTAAATAGTTCAGTTACTTTTTCATTCACTTTCAACCTGTGTAAGCTCATGTATTGAAAAGTTTGTAAAAAATGCTGATTTTGCTGCAAAAACGTTGCAAGTCAGATTGAATTCAATATGTTTTCTTTTAAAAGTATTTTTTTTCGATGAAAAGTGTAAATAAAAAAAAACTTTTTTTGTTTTTCGCTTTCAATTGGAACGTTGAAGATTTCCAAAAATTATTGGACACGATGAATCAATGATCCATTTAAAAATAGATAAAAACGAGAACGAATCCCGTTTCCAATTCCATGCTCAAAGTATTTTCCGCGAAATTCATAAATGTCTCTCACTCTCCGAAATTTACTTATTTTTCCTCTTTCTGACGGCCTTTTCGATTTCCGCGGAATAACTTTGAAGTTGTTTTCTCCAAACAAAAGGGACTCGAACCATTTAATAATTCACATACCACAAAAGTCTACTAAAATAGAAACGATTCATTCAATCAAAGACTACAATTTTATAAATATGAAAGCCCGTAAAAATTTGAAAAAAATGAATGTAGTTAATAGTATATTGGAAATAGAGTTCTCAAAAGTAAATGTTTGAACGAACGTTCAACCAAACATTTTCCGAACGTTTGATGAATTCGACCAATTAGTTAAATTTCACATGAACTGTTTGTTAAAAAAACCTCATTTTGGTTAAATTTCATAACTGAGCATTTAAAAAAATGAACAATTACTTATTTTTTTCGAAAAAAATTTTTGTTCAAAAAAATGAACATTTAAATTTCACTCTTGAAAAATTTTGGTCAAAAAAAGTAAACATTCAAAAATTCATTTTAAAAAAATTTTTGGTCAAAAAAATGAACATTTAAATTTCACTTCTGAAAAATTTTGGTCAAAAGAGTAAACATTTAAAATTCGTTTCGAAAAATTTTTGGTCAAAAAAAGTGACCATTTACTTTTTCACTTTGAAAAAAATTTGGTCATTAAAACGAACATTTATTTACTAGTCAGAATATGATTGTTTAGAAAAATGACCATTTATTTTTTTCAGTCATTATTTGAAAAAAGTCACAAAATGAAAAAGAATGAAAGTGATCAATTTTGGTTGATCTTTCAAAAACGACATTCGTTTGAAATGTCAAAAAGAAAATTTTTCGTTTTTGAAAAATGTCATTTTTTTCAATTGGTCATTTTGAGAACTCTAATTGGAAACCTTGATATGAAAATAATTTTAAACCTAAAAACACGGGAAAATAAATTAAGGTAAAATATTTGAACATAGAGTCAGGGCTGGAAAAAGGCAAAGCAGGTGAGCGGCCTTTTCCGGTGTTCGCAGAAGATAGGTGACGTCACTACGATGTAGGAGAAAGAGTGACGAGAGCAGATGACGTCAACATTCCGGTCAGGGAAGGCGTCGCTGGCTGCCGAGTAGATCATCTGCTTCGAAACTGACGGCGATGACGTCATCTTCTGAAAATTCCATGTTAGATCAAATTAGATCAAATTTTCAACGCTTCGAATCGAAATGGTTTCATAGCTGATTCACGGCTGGCTTGAGCCATCGAATAAAGGATCCTGACGCGATAAGAAAAGAGACATTGCCTGGTTCGTGGAGAGCGCAGACACGCCCCCTTAACGTCCCAAGCTAGCCGTGAATCGCCTTTATTACTAACTATTTCTCTTCACTTCTTTCTCAATAATTTCTATCTTTTTGTACTTTATTGAGAAACAGTGTAAAAACAAGCTGTGTTTTTTGTAGTTTTTTCTACTGCTCTTTGAAAAAGTGACCAACTCGCGTAGAACACACAGTGTGAGAAGATTTTTGAAGCGAATTAGGTTTCTTTTCGGGAAGTTTTTTATTTTCAAACGATGCTTGATAAGGTATTGCTCAGCATTTTGAAAAGACAGATAAACTTACATCGTGCATGATTTGCATCAGTTTGAGGTTGTTGCATTTCGAGGAAGTCCTCATGTCTCTCGTCTTCTGTGCCGGCTGAACTTACTGTCCGTTCGGTCCGAACAACGAAGAATAAATACCTTCCAATGAGTCAAGCCGTGTCCGTCAAGCAGTTTTTGCTGCTCGTTGCGTGGCAAAACGGGTTGCGTTTCTTTCTTGATCTTTTTCTGTAGAGATTAAAACTTGAAAATCATTAAATACTCCGCGTGAGGAGTAAGTTTGGGATTTCTTCTGGTATTTGCCATGAAATCATTCAAAGAGTGTTCAATGAACGTATCCGTTTGTTCTTTTTTTGGTAAACGCGAATTTTGAAAAATTATTTTTCAAAAACTAAAACTTTTCGGCGCTCATAAGAATTTGGGAACACTACTTTTAGGAAAAAGAGAAAGAAGAATGAACCATGAAAGCCTTTTCGAGATGTTTATCAGAGTGTGCTCGTTCTTCTCTCGGACCTCCATATCCAGCCCCGAATTCGCTCTCTCCGCCGTCAGAGTTTCCATCATCGGAGTTGGCAAAAGTTGTGCTGCCTGGATAAATTCAATTAACAAAATAATTGGAATAATTCTTACTTTCAAATTTTTGCTGGGTATAAGTTGGTCGCGTGGGTATGTAAGCAGCTTCGGACATGCTATTCTCTGAGTTTTCCATGTTATGATTTGTTGAGGTTTCTGAAGAAATAATTCGATTGGTGATATTTTAAAAACGAAAACCTGAAAAATCGTAACCGGATTGGCTAATGTCAGTAGTCTCTTTCTCGGAAGTTACCTTTGCTGGAAAATCATCAAAGTGAATGGACATCTTCTTCGCTTACCAGCTTCTTTATTGAACTTTCTCGGGGCCACTTCAGTGGTTGGAAGTGGCAACGCTGCAGAAACGGGCCATTCTGAATCGTTTGTGCCGCCCGTGTTAGTGGAGTAAGGCTCGACTTCTGTTTTCTCGGCGGTCAACTGAAACGATACACAAGATTTTCTTCACGAAGGAACAATTCTACCTTCACTTCGGTGGTTCGGACTTCGTTTCGGTCATTGAAATTCGGTGCCACATTTTTCACAGTTGTAGTGATAGAGGTTTCGTGAATGTCATCGACTTGACTTTCTAGAAAAAAGTAAAACAATCATTTTTAAAGAGGGAAGCAGAACCATCAAGAGGATTGCCGCCTCCGAAACGAGCGTCCGAAGACGTCGGCGGCGGTTCCGTCGGCTGGTACTTCTCGTACTCGCTGAGCAACGCCGTATCAAGAGACTCGCCGTTCTTTGCCTGCTTAATCAGAATTTTGGCGGACGGGTGGGAAAAAATGTCCAACAACTAGTTTTGCACGACTTCCAAAACTAGCCTGATCGTGTGAAAAGCGTCCTGTGTAATTGCGAACGCGTCAACGCGTGTCAAAATTGGGCTTTTTTCTTCGTAAAACCGAAGATCGGTAATTTTGAGAAATGAAGCGGATATTTTAAGAATATGGTTGGAACTTCCTATTCAGAATGTTTAGCAACTACATTTTTCCGAAGGAAAATTTTTTTGTTTTGGATGATGTACACTCTTTGAATAGAACTGATTGAATCAAGACTATTATGATGGATTTTTAATTTTTATCGACAATGGAGCAACTAATGATATCTGTGATTATACTGGATTGGTAAATTTTTTGATTTTCAAAGATTTTTATGGATTTACTTCTTCTTAGTAATAGATAGAACTTTCGAAATTGTTTTAGCGTTTCTGGTAATTACAGGCGTTGGAGAAATTGCCTTCAAGAACTTCCAAGAACGTTTGACTAATTTTATGGAAAACTCCAAATATTCCATTTAAATGAATTTTTCGCTTTAAATTCCGTTCGGTTCAAAACTAACCGATTCAACTCGGTTCACGTCGTCTATAAACTCTTTCGTTTCGTAGTCCGTGTCGGGATGTGGGGACAGTTCAGATTGAGCCAAACTGAACTGAAAAGAGTGCAAAGGCCTGTGGAAAGTCCCACCTTTGCTCAAACTTTTGGTTGCTGCTGACTGGTCCTTGAGTCGTGTCCGCAGCTTTTCCCAGTTCGTTACCTGCTTTATAACGCTGATTGTCAACAATCAAATTCGAATATGAGGGTTGGACTTGGACTTGGCGCTTCGGTGGCCATGTTTGATACTCCTGAATTTCAGCTCAAATTGGTAACCTTCCATCTCTGACTTGTCTTTGAGGTTGAACAAACTGCGGAGCCGGAGAAAAATCTGGAGCTCGTGACGGAATCGTTGGATAGACTTGAGACAAGGGCAGCTGTGGTGGGGAAGACCTGTACTCGGAGCTCTTTTTTGTGCTCTTCTTCTAATTTCTCACGGCGAATAGCTGTAGGAGTTAGGCTGCTGAAGTTGCGGAGCTACGGCTGATGGGTTGAAAGGGACGAAGTTTTGCGAGGAAGTCTGCGGCTGTTGTTGAAGGTTGAATGAAGGCATTTGAAAGGGTGCGAATTGCTGAGATGCTAAATATTTCATTGTTAGTCAACGTTTGAAATTTTTAATGAACGTGTTCTTCCGAACGAACCAGGTTGAAAGGCCGGACTTTGGCAAGGGTTCGGGGCTGGCGGACAAAGACATCCGAGTTGGGGAGGCTGTGGCGGAGCTCCGCACGAAGATTGACAAGAACAACCTCCGCCGCCTCCTCCTGAAGATATTCGTTCGAAAAAAAGACATTTCGTTAAGACTCACCAAAAAGATTGCCAAAAATGAAACCAAATGCTGTTGGGAACAGCGTCCCGATCCATAAGAGCTTTCGCATAGGAAGTATCCGATAAATGTAAGTCTTTTTCCTGAAATAAGTTTATAGAGCAGAAAAGTTTTTTTTTCCAAAACTCAAAATTCTAATTCTGAATTTTTGTTTGCAAAACAAAAAAGTGCTCTTCTTATACAAAGGTTGAAGGAAGGAGTTTAGAAAGACGTCGACATCTTCGCAAAAAAAAAAAAAATGATTTTTCATCTTCCGTAAGGTTTTTGAAGATAACTTTTTCTGAAGATATCTTGGCGAACTTTCCAGTTTCTTCATTATTTGGAAGTTATTTCGTTCTAGTACTCAGACGATGATAAGGTGGAAACAATAACAAGAGCAAAAAAAAGAGTGAGGCTGTGGCGCGGAACGATACGAAGAAGCTTCTCGCGTCGGGATCGCATCATTATGTGTCACTCACCTTCTGAGGATGAAGAGGTCCTGGGTTGGCGTGGTATAATAACCGACAGACCGGCGGCCGATCGCAACCTTCGCAGTTAGGCTGGACGACTCAACTCGAGGCGCCGGTTATTTCTTCGTCTGCTTGCAGAAAACTGCCCAATGAGGAAGTTTTTGTACGTTGCCGTTCAGATTGATTGCCGTAGTAACGGCGGCAAAGCTCAATGGAACGGAGGGCAACTGGAACAGTTCTATTTCAGAAATAAAAACTTCTTGTATAGCTCAGGCCGATGGAAAGCTTTATGTTAGCTTCTGCATGTGGAATTTTTAAAGTGATAAAGAGTTTTAAAAAAATGGCTTTCACATTATAATTCATCGAGCCGTTCGGAAGTTTTTTCCAAGCTATTGAGAGAATGAAACTTATATTCAAGAAAAGGTATTTTTTAGTCAACTTTCAAAATAAGTGGGAAACGGAGAGAACCGGGAGCGCTGAAAGAAAAGGAAAAAAGCGCGCTCGTCAACGTTTTGTACCCGACTTCTTCAGCTATTTCGAACCTGTAGCCGCGTTTTTTCTTGCTACAAAACAATAGATTTACAAGTTTCAGTCATGACGCGTTTTGGTACAGACATAATTTATTTTGACGATATTGCGTTCGAAGCATTTGAAATTAATGAGAGTGGAAAACTTGAAACGAATCGAAGCCTTGTGAGAGATTCAAGTTTTCTAGTTGAATTCTATATCTTCAAGTTTGGATACAAGAAAACTTCTATCTACAGTTTGATTTTCAATATCTGTTTGGACTCTAACGACTTTCTTGATATCTGAATATTTAGGTCAGCCAACCGTTCGGCCAAATCTCAATATTACTCCGCCTCTTATCAGATCGTCTTCACCCACATCCTATATCCAGACGTTGTATTCTTTTCTTTCAGAATGTCAAACTCGGAGTTTGAAAGATTTCGGCTTGGTGGACTCGTTTCCATCGGAGTTTCCGTTTCTGCGTTGACCTTCTTGTTCTTCTTCGTCTTGTCCATCCAAAACTCGATCAACAGCGTCGAGGAAGAAATCATGGCTCGACAGGACGCCTTCAAGGTAGCTTTATCGATTGAAAAAGCTTAATTTGTTTTAAGGCGAAGTCAAACATTATCTGGGCTGAGCTGTCGGACACGAGTCGCAAGATTCGTATACCCAGAGGGTATGACGACGCGGAGACGGTATCTGGAAAGGGCACACTCCATAAATGCTCTCGTAAGATTTTTGAAACGTCCAGAAGTATCTAATATTATGATAGAGTGCTCTCGACTGCATTGTCCCGCTGGAGCGATCGGAGAAGAAGGAGCTCCAGGCAACGACGGCTCTCCTGGACTTCCAGGAAAACCAGGAGTTCCTGGTGGAGATGGAGAAGACATCGAGCTGGAGCCTCAGGTTTGAGTTTCGGTAGCGACATCAGTTATGGAGATTTATCTTTGTGAACAGTTTTGCAAAGCCTAACGTCCTGTGCTACATCTATTTTGCGACATTTTTGAACTATTTTCTATAGAATTGAAATCGAGCTTAAAATGCGGAAAATTTTGTGACCACCAGTCTGCGAACTGTGATTTATATTTTTTTTTCAGCCAGACGCACCTTGCTCGATTTGTCCTGCAGGTCCCCAAGGTCCACGCGGACCGCAAGGCGAACGCGGCCTCACTGGAGCACACGGACCTTCTGGAAACCCAGGTAGACCAGGGAAACCAGGTCGCGCTGGCGAACACGGCGCCTCAGGAGCTCCAGGACCTTTCGGAAGATCTGGAATACGAGGTCAAAAAGGACTTCCAGGCGATACCGTTGTCGGTGAGTTGAAATAATTCTTTCGAAACTTGCTTTGTGCTCCTCTCCAATTTTTATTGGCAGCCGAACAAACTTAGAAGAAAGTCTAACAAACCGAAGATGTCTTCTCGAAGCTTATTATTACATTTTTCAGCTGGGGAAGGAGTAAAAGGACCAACTGGACCAGCCGGAACTCCTGGTTCTTCTGGACCCCCAGGAGCGCCTGGAAGACCCTCTAACATTCGTGGAGCTCCAGGAAGACCTGGTTCCCAGGGATCGATTGGAAAAACTGGAAAGGTAGGTTAAACACAATGTTCTAATCATGAAAAAAGTGATTCTAGTCTGGCAAGTACGGTGAGATCGGAATCGTGGGTCCTTCTGGCGAACCAGGTCTTCCAGCCACCTACTGTCCATCTGACTGCGGCGTCAACACAATTCTTTCTCATTTCTCTTCTCCACAAATGCAGGTATTCCACTAAACACAGAGAAAATCTACAACTTTTCTCTTTTTGAACGCCGAGTCCATAAATGGAGAGTCAGCAGCGCCTGCACCAGAGCCCGAATCGTATGAGAAACAGCAGGAAGGCACAACCGTTTCTTACTCTGAAGAGACACAGACGGAGCAGCCTGCGGCCGAAGAATCTTTCGAAGAAACCTCTTATCGAAACTTTTTCGGAGCCAAATAAACTTTTTTAGGAAAATGAAATGAAAACCAAGACATTTATGAACATTCAAAACTGTAGCAAACGAAGAAAATTCTTCGTGACTCCCTGGCCTACCGCATCGAACTTAAACATAAAGCGAATGTCATCAAGTAACTAACCGCCATTTTATTTCGCTGTTTTTGTTTTTATTTTCGTTGAATCCAATTAGTTAATTGAAACAAACACGAAAAGAGGTACGAGGTGACTTTGATGATTCAAAATTAATGAGAACTTCGCAGAATTTGTGTCATGAGAGTTCTATAGGTTAATCGGTCATCTTCAAACATAAATTCGGAAGAAATTTCTTTTTCGTGATTTCTCGATGAATTTTATTCTTCCTATTAAACAATTAAAAAAACCTTATTATTTTTTTTCTGAACTTTTTTTAAAAACTCAGAGTTTTTTTCTATTTTTGGTTTTAATAAGATCTAAACTTAAAAAAATCAAAAAGACTGAAGACTTTTCTTCAGTTGGAAAAATCAACGCCTCCACTGTCTGTTTTTCGACGCAGCCCCCTCTCCCCCCTCGCCATTTCTCCGTGCTTTTCTCTGGCAGTCTGCCTCCTCTAGTATCCAAGTGTTCTAGTCCCCCATCCCCCATGCAGCAAGGCCCATCGCCTCTTTCGCGTTTCCACTTCCACATTTTTTCTCTTTTTCGATATAAGAAGCATTCTATATGTATTCCCACTTCAATATTTTCATTTAATCAAGCGTTTTTCTGTTGCGTTTCTATCATTTAAAAAAAACTGCTCACTATGGTTACTACAATAAATACCTTTTTTTTTCTTACTGACAACTTTTAAATTTTAATTGATGAAATTCTTCATGCGCCTTTTTTTTCATCTTCAACCGATTTTTGCGTTCGAGTTTGCTCGCATTAAAAATAGAAATTTTTCTTCATGTGGAAAAAAACGTTGTCTCGATCAGTTTGTCTGAATGACTTTAGCCTTCGTACACTAAGCAAGAAACTTTCTCAAAAAAAGTCACATAAAAAAAGTAAAATGAAAAAGAAAAAAAGTAGTTGAAAAAAAGAATTTTGATTTCTAAAAATTTTTTTCTCTCCAAGAAATGAATTCTGATAAAAAAATTTGAATAAAAAGCTATAGCTATGTCAACCGTAAATATTATCATTGAGGAATGTTCGAATACGATAAAGAACAATACATAGTTATAACCCGAAAAACTTTGAATGAAAAAAATGGAAAAAAATATAATATAAATACAGGGAATCATTCCAAAAAAATTTTTTTTACTCTAGTAGATTGCCGTATCGGTCCTCATTTCGCACCGGGGCCATTCTGAATTGAAATAGCCCTTCTCCTCCTGCCCTCCCCTCCTCACATATGACTCAGCGCCTCACTAGTCGAAACTAGGTATGGGGGTGAGTGGGTTGTTAGGACGTGGGGGACGACTCTGCAAATTTCCTTAGAAACAGAACTTGTTGCTTTTCAATCGGGCAGAATGTAACTTTTTTTATAACGCAAAATTGCTTCAAAACAAAAAATACTGTTTCTGAGCAAGTCAATGAAAACTTTTTTGCGTTTTGAAAAGGCAACTAAATACAACATTTAAAGTTCTTTTTGTCTCTTTGTGCAATTTGGGGAGGGAAAAATACAAAAAACAATGATTCATTAAAAAGTATTCACGGATAACGTCCGTGTTTTTTTATATGTTATGCATTTTTTTGATATTTTTTTACAAAAAAATTTGGCTGAAAAATAGCGTTCAAAAATAGAAAAACATGAATTTCTAAAAAGAGTGACTCAATTAACTTTTTTTGCTTCAAAAAAATATTTCCAGCAAGAATATCCACGGATCACGTTTCGAAACGTTCTTTTTAATTTTTTTACTTTTAATTTTAAAATTCTAGAGAAAAAAAGATTCTGGCTCCGCCCTCAAATATATGAATCGTTTAAACAAGCGATTTTCCCATTTTTTTGGATCTAAATGGGTGTGGGATTACGTCATTCTGCGACTTGGCGCGTTTTAACCTGAAAATTTCCGAAATTTCAATGCAAAACATCGTTTATTTATTTATTTTTTTATTCAAATAATTTTTCTCAATCAAAAGCACGAGCCGAATCACAGAAAAACGCGGCGGGTTCTCGCAGCGTGATTGGTTTGCTCCGCCCTTCGGGTAAGAAAGACTTGAAGGAATATTATATTGGAAGTTTGCCGAATTGGTGGAGCGATCAATTCACCTTGTGGGATTCCCGGAACCCGCTGCATTTTACTGAATTTCGCCGCGTTGCGTTCAAGCATTTTGACCAGAGAAACTTTTTTGCTGCACGCGTAAAGTTAGCGTTAAAACGAAAAAAAAAGTGCAAAAATATAAAGTGAACAACTTGAACAGAAGGCGAATTTCACAGAATGTACTCTTCGGAAATGTAAAACTCGCTCTTATATGTAAACTCCCTCTGCGCGTCGGTTTTGCAGTTATTGTTGGAGATTCATCCAATTTTTATTCGATTTTACAGAATCGATGTATTTATGGGATTACAAACAAGCAGAAGAGATCAGAGAACTTCCTGATCGAGAACTGCTTCTATGCCTCATGGACTCAGGCTTGATGAAGGCTCCGAAGTGCAAAAACTGTTTTAACGAAATGCGGCCGAGGTTCCGAGATCAACGAGGAAATGCTGTAAGTGATAAGCAATAGGAAAATCGGTTTCACATTCGATTACAGTGGATATGCCGACGGAAAGGCAAAGATTGCTGGTCTATCAGCATGAAAAACTCTTCGTTTTTCTCCAACTCGAACATCAAATTGAAAGAGCAGATAATCATCACAATTTGCTGGCTAAACGGGCTAGATTTAGCGACTGTGTGTGGCAAATGCAAGGTGTCGAGTCATTCCATTGAAGAGTACATTGGGGTTTTGCGGGCTGTCTGCGTTCAGTAAGTTTTCAAAGCATTTAACGCATTTTGAGAATTTTCATAGGAGATTTTCCTTTCTAGAGACTTCACTCTGGAATAAAAATTAGCTTTCTTTTTTTGGTTCGTTTTTGAAAATTCGAACACAGAAGTGGAATGTGACTGTCTTTCTTCCGAAATTGATTGAAAAACAAGTTCCTATTTACATTGACTTTTTGCTTTTTTTAAGTATAAATAATATTAAAAAAATATATTAAAAAAATAGGTCAACATTTGAAAAAAATACAGAATGGTTGAATCAAATATCCCAATTTTAATGCATCTGTGGTTTCTATGCACTTATTGCGGAGGGAAAGAAGCATCAGTCCATTCGGTTGATCATGAAATGAGGAGAGAAATTATGTTCAGGTACTGGAAGAACATACTGCTAGGAGGAAATGAAACGGTCGTGGAGCTGGCTACAGCTGAGATCAATGTCAACTACGAACTGGAGGCGGGCGAGTCTGTTTCTGAAGACGTGCGGCTCATCGCGGCAATCGAAAGACTCGACGGCGGCGAAGCTGTGGCCGGGTTGCTGCCTTCGACGAGCAGCGAGTACATCGATGACTTTCTTTTTTTCAAGGTCACTCTTGTTTTCTGTGAGATGAAATCGTAGGAAGAAACATTTTCGAGTTGGAAATTTAGACACATTCGATTAGCTTATAGCCTATTCACGTCTGGCTTGAGACAGAGAACGGGCGGTTCTGATTTGCACGGTAAAGCTTGATCGTAGCGACTCTACATGAGCCTTTAATGAGAGCCTTATTTTATTAATTATTTCTTTTTCCCATTTAATTTATTTATTGTATAAATTCGTTCCATTGGTTTTCGGATTTACTGTAAACTGACAAGTTTTAAAAGAAAAAGAAATAAGTCATATAATAGGGCTCTTATGAAAGGCGCATGGGTTGTCGCCGTGATCTACCTTCGCCGCAAAGTTAAACCGCCTGTTCGCCGATCCAAATCAGCTGTGAATGGTTTGAACGGAAAAAAAAAATTTGACCGCAAACCGGCGCTTCACGTTCATTGGTTTCGCGGTCCCTAGTTTGAGGTATTTTTTCAGAGCCGGGCGCTGGGCCGAGGACAACCGAATCGGCCCACAATCAGTCGCAATCGCGAACTTTTTTAAAATCTAATTTCATAATTTACATCGAACATTTTTCTTAAACAACCCTCGAGCACTCGCAAATTTTCAAACACTAGGCGAACACATTCGGAGACTATGGCCAGCTCGGTCGGCCTCGAGCACACCTCTGGTTTTGTTTTTCGAAAAATCGTTGAAAGAACTTTCTAGAGCCCCTTGTGTTTCCTGTTTTTTTTTCAGCTAAAAGATTAAAAACAATCATTAAGGTTATTCCGGGATCATTCCTCGTATGTGACGAATGGAGAAATTCTAATGTTGGAGGGATCAATAACAATCTGTTTTCGAGGTGATTACCTATTTCAACGAGAACAATGACTCTTAAATTTGAGATCTTCGAACGAAGAATTTCAAGAAGCTGTCGCAACCATCTGTGGCCAAGCTGCCGAGGAAGACATGGAGATCAGGAGGAATCTTTTATCTATCGTGAACCTGGAAAACCTGAGAAGCCTTCAAAAAGAGAACAAAGTACATTCAGAAAAACTTAACAATTCGACTCTCGCCATGAAATTCTTCGATAATTCTCAATTTCAGAACGGCAAAGCTTCGAAAAATGAAAGCGTGACAGTCGAAGACTTTGTCGAGTTCGTTACACCGACGATCAGTGACGGATTCGGGTTGGACCAGCGCGGAAGAGAGGAAATTCTTGCCGAAAGCGTCGTCCGCTTCAATGGCCGTCACAATCTTCACGAATTTTTCTGGAACCTCGTCGTCGAGCAGTACGACGTAATCGAAGATCTGAGGTATTCCTCCCTTTCTTTTTAAAACTCTTCAAGTCCCTTTTCATCTGAATCTCTTTTATGTTTACGCATTACAGAGTGGGTCAAAAATAATGAGATTTTTATTTTTAATTCTGAAAATATGATTATTTTTTTGTTGTTGTAAAATACATCTTTTAACGAACTGTGTCTTTTGAAGTTTCTTCAGGTGAATTTATATTGTAATCATTCGAATATATCAACCCAAAGACGTATTTCGCAATATAAAAAACGATACTAACTAATTTTCAGTTTTAGGGTTGCCACTTATTTTTGTGTTAAAATTTAATGGCGCATCTCTAAAACGGCTAGTGAAAGTTGTTTAAACCAGTTGATTTTTTTTCAATTCTTTTTTATTGTCTCATCAAGAAAATGACTGCGAACGGGCAATATAACGTTCCTATTCGCAAAAAAAGTTTTCACAGGAAAAGCATAACGAAGTTTGCAATATTTGCAACTTGTAGAATCATCATAATCCACATCTCCAGAGGAATCTTGTAGAGAAGTCGAATGAAAAAGCTCCTAAATAAATATACCTTTTTACGAGCTCATAGTACAAATTTTTGAAAGTCAATTCATACTCAGTTCTTACCTGGTATCCTCCTTTTTACTTCTTGAAACTTTTTTCTCTTCACGTTTTTGCATTATTTTCGGAAGGACGATGACGATACATATTGAGATGACCATCAAAGTCAGATTCACGAGTACATATGTAGCTGAAAAAAAGATTTGTGTTACAAATAAAATATTGAGAAAAGAGCATACCTAAAAGTGGAAGTGATTTGGTTTTGGGCAAGTCTTCTGCCAAAATTCCGAGAATAAAGGTCATGGACATGATGTTGGTCAATCCGACTGTGAACTGAAGATTTTTTGCATCCAGAAGCCTTTTAAAAAGCTTTAACCTTCTCCACCAAGTTCTCAATATTCAGAAACAGCGCCACGATGCTCAGCGTGTTCACAACTAACGACGGCACCATGATGAGGGCTACATAGAACGCCGGGTTACGTTTGATGTGAACTGAGAAACTTTGCTGAAATTGTAAAATCTTATTGTAAGTTCTCACGACGTCAAACTAAATATTTATCAAACTTCCAATCGATAATGAATCTTAATTTGATTATTAACTGAGAAAAAAACGAATCCGCATTGAGCCTCAGATTAAGGTCAGGTATCAGGAAGTAATAAGAACCCAAATAAGAAAAAAAAATTTTAAGACCTTTTGTTTCTCAAACTTTGCGCTACGAAGTTCTCAACTATGCGCTGTTCAATTCATTTTATTTTGACACAATCTTCTTGAGAAAAAAGTTTATGAGTTTTAAGAAAAATGGCCGGTAGTCCTCGACTTTTCTGAACGTCTTTGAATATTAAGTTAAAAAGTAAATTTTGGGTATTTCGAAAAAAACTTTAAGAAAAAAATGAAAAAAATTTCATAATATTTCAGGTGTTCTAAGTTGGGTAAAAGTGAATTTTAATATCAAAATAACGAAAACTCAACCAGCATCTCACTTTCCTTTGGATTTTTGAATATTGAACCATTTCCAGTTGGACTCGTTCTTCGAGATAGTGGTCGAATGCGACACTTTAAACGAATATACGGATATTCTAACACAAGACACGAGAAATGCAATTTTCTCTTAATTTTAACTTTTTTGAATCCAATTGCTCCATTAGGGGAAACATTTAGCGTTCAATTTTGTTTTAACTGTAAACAGACCAGTAAGCGGAACCTTTCGGCCGATGCTATAAGTCAAGACGGATACAGAGTATTTTTGTCAAAAATTTTGCTCGAAAAAAACAAGTGTGACATTAAACAAAGGGGTTTTCGAAAATCGCAGTCAACGTGTTGTTAAACATGCGATGTTAGTAACAAATACGCCGTCGTCGTCGGTAATGTTTTCCTCTCTCCGCCAGATTCTCTTCATCTCCCATTCACCGTTACCCTGTTTGCATCTTTTCTTCAATTAAAATACTTCAGAGTATCTAACCAGCATACTAAGAGGCCTAGGTAAGTAGGTCATGCTCGTAGTTATCTGGTACTCTGCGTTTCTGAAAAGGTGATCCATCAGACTGACGCTGCATGTTTGTTCGTCCAGGGGGAACTTGTAGATCTGAATAATGAGTATTAAAGTCTCTTTTTGAGAAAGTTTCATTGTTTTCTTACATCCATAGCGCAAACAACTGAAGTGACGGTGGCCATGTATGTTCCGACGGACCCGTTATAATTGATCTTAAAGACTTCTTTGAACGAAAAAAAGCAGTTTCACTAACGAAAGCAACTTTCTGCTCGCCTTGCCGGTAGTCGACGACATCGTGCCTGGAATGTTAATTTTTTTTTCTGCCAAAACGAAACATGAAAACTGACGCATCGACAGTGGCCACAGGCGGAACCCAAATGCTGCTGAGACCGATGTAAATGTACTCAATTCCGCCATACTGAGCGGGGTTCCATCGTAGTCTGATGTCTTGCCAAGTCTGTGGTTGAAATCTCATAAGAAAAGTTTCAGCGACCTACTCACCATGAGGTAATCAAAAATGACTGTAACTTTTTCTTCTGGCTCAGACTGAAAAAAAATTTCAGAGTTCTCAAGATACTCAGGTTCTACCACTGAAACCAGTTTGAGCATGCTAAGTTCGATGTTCACTGTGAACATAGAAGGCAGAGATTCGTTTCCATTGTTGAGAGAGTCTGCAAGAAACTGCTGAAAAAGGGATCAGAACCACATACACAATGTGTAGAATGGGGGAATCGCTGGAGTGTATTCTCTGAAAATAACTTCTTGAAGTTTGATCCTTTGCTTCAGGAATTCGTCGTGAACTGAAACTTTTTTCTGAGGAGTTCAAAGTAAAATAGGAACGACGTTGGTTGGTTTGTCCTGTAGTGCAAGTGTCATTGAGAGCGTCGCAATCTCCCAAATCCTGAGAACGAACTAACGTTGAAAGCAAAAGGGCGGCGAGCATCACGTAAACTGAATTCGGATCCCATCTAACCTTTACACTTCCACACGCGAAGTTGTTTGTTTCGAGTCAAATTTCGGGTGGGCCGAAGCAAATAAAAGCCCCCTTTTTTTTTTTACATTCCTGACGTTTTTAATAATTTTTCTTTACAAACTTGGAATTCATGAACCGACGAAAAAGTTCCATTCTCATTGTTTTTTTTTCTCACTCAGTTTTAGGAAACATTTATTATAACTCCACGCAGCGAAAAAGAGAAAAAGTGTGAACAGCGTAAAAATGATCCATTATCCAGTTAGTTGGTCAGACTATCTGAATAATATCTTGACGCCAAGAAAGAGAGGTGCAGTACCCGCCATCGAAAGAAACACAAGCCAAGCCTCGTAGTTGAGATTAGTTGAAATGTCGGAAATTTGATCAGAAAGAGAATTTAGCAAATTCTGCAGGTGGTGGCGCACGAGGCCTTTCGCTGAGCCAGAGAGTAGAAGTTGTTGGTGCAGAAGCCGTTCTTGCTCCAGGAAGCGCAGCTGAAAGCCACTTTTTTAGAATAGAGAAATTCGTGGCTACCTGCGGGATGCGTCCGGCTGGTATGAAGTACAAGTTCCAAAGCCAGGATTTGTGTAGGAACCATAGGCGGCTGTGGTGGAAGGGCAGCGTCCGCAAGTGCGTTGACAGTACTTCTGAAGATGACAATTTGAGAGAGGTTTGGAGAAAGTAGCGGACGTTGACAAAGTCTTGCATTCCAACGGAGTTGCAGATGGTGACGTCGTTGGCGCAGTTGGTAACGGCGTCGACGCATCCTCCTGAGAATTTCGGTACTTTTCCGAAGTAAAAAAAAGTGGTTATACCAGTTCCGCAGAGTCCGCAAGCAGCTGGGCAGTTGGCGGCGATGATGCTCCTCCAGTTGGGATCCAGGCATTGAGAGTTTGTGATGGAGGCGCAGTTCATGCTCGGATCTGGGAGTTTATCATTTAAACGCGTTGCAAACATTCTCACATTGAGCGTTTGCACACGAGTAGGCGCTCGTCTGGCAGCAGTATCCGCACGTCTTCGGGCAACTGGCGATGGCGGCAGTTTTGAGCTCCTCATTGAAGGGAGCTGGAGTGGTTTTTGTGGTCGTGTAGCAGTTTATTGGTCGAGCGATGTTGGTCCCAGAAGCTGGCAGGTCTCCGCCGGCTGGAGTCGTCGGATACAAGGCGTTGCAGGCGGCGTCCGAGTAGACATTGACGCAGTTCGTCGCCGATGTGGAGTAGACGAACTGAAGAAAATAGTTTCTAGATTCGACGTCTTCTGGCTCAACGTACAGCAGTTCCATTGTACGTCGTGCAGTTAAGATCGGCAACAATAACGGCTTCGGAGTGGGGCACAAAAAGAAGACTGAGAAGGAACCACATTCTGGTAAAAAAAAAATATACGGCGATGGGAAAAACAACAACAAGTTTTACCTGTTGCAGGTGTCTTTGGCGCTGATTTGAATGCTTTTCGAAACTTTGGTGGACTTTTATACTAATCCAGCTAGACATTATCGCTGAATTGTTTTGTTCTACTTCGAATCGTACGCACAATAGTTTCCTTTGTCTCATTAGTGCTCGAAAGGATTTTTTGTGTGCGCAGCCTTTTGCTGTTAATCGCCTAAACGCAATCAACCATTTGGAGCTCAATCGAAATATTTTTTATCCTCGGAATTTTTTTACTGCTCATGTTTCGTAATAACGAATATTGGTTTCTTTTAAATGATTCTGAACCATATTTTAACTTAATGAAACCATCACAAAAAAATTTCATGTAAAAAAATAAAAAAATGACAGATTTGTTTTCATTAAAAAAATATATTTTTCAGCATTTCTGGGAAGTTTTATTGCCAGTGTCAAAAAACCGAAATAGGAGGTATCTATTCCGAAGAAAAATTATCAGTGCGTCTTATTTTTCGCTGAAACTTTACTTTGTTTGTAGGTCAAGAAAAAAAAAAGAAATTTGGTATGTTCAGAGCAAATTTTGTTCATTTATTCACAAAAACAAAAAGTACAAATGGAGGAGAATGGAAAAGTTTGTTGTAAGGAATCTTTGTACTTTTAGGGGATTATATGACCAAATGTGTGAATAACAAATCTTTCAGGTTACAAGAAAAGTTCCAGGCGTTTTTTTCTGAAGAATAGAAGATGCATCTGGAGTGTTTCGAGGGCAAGTCTATTTCAAACAAATTCTCTTTCTTTTACCTTTGTATCCAAACTGGGGTATCCAGAGGAAAGAAAAAAACACTTCTTTCAACTTCCCATTTTTTTAATTGAAAAACAATAATATACCAACATCAACCAAGTGTTCCGGCAAATGAAAAACTCACTCTTATTGATATGGAACGAATATTTTGGGTCCTGTTTTCTCCGTCAACTTCTCTTTTTTTCCAAATATGAAAAACAATTAATTTCGAAGTTTATATTGTCAGCAAGACTTGCAACGAATAATTTTAACCAACTCTTTTCATTTTTTTATATAAATGCTGGAGCGAAGTGAAAAAAATTGTTAAAAAAATTTTTTTTTCCGAACTTGGTGAAAAAAAGAAACTGATAAATTCGAAAAAAACTTTCATGACTCACCTTCAGAATTCAATTTATGAAATAATCAAATAAAAACTGACGATGGGATTCTACCAGGCGTAAACTTTAAATTGCCTTGAAAGACTTTTGATGGAACGGATTGCTTTATTAGATTGTGGAAAATGGAACCAAAACGTTTTTTTTTTGTTCCATACAAATTTTGATGTGCAATAAAAGCTTTGAAACGATCAAGCTTGTATAAAAAGACAGCCTGTTCTCGAAAAAAACCTCATTCTGTCGCCTTCAGCTCTACGTAGCGTACGATTTTTAAAATATTTTATTAATAAAAACTCTAGGAAAATATTTGTTAGATTTTGAATGTGAACTAGCTTTACAATTAGAATCGGCTTTAAAATCCTAAATATTTAATTTTCCTGTCAGATGAATCGTTTCGCGATTTTCGCCGTCTTTCTCGCCTTCCTTTCCTCCACTTCGGCCGCAAAAGCTGGAATCTTCGTTGAAGTAAGCTGAATTAGAATCTCTGGATATTTAGAGAAAAACTTGAAGAGAGGCCGAACAGTTGAGCTTCCGCTAGGAGCAGGCTTGGATGTATATGAACGGTTCGTCTCTGCTGGCAAGCAATTCTACATCAACTGCAACATCCGTCGTACATCGGCATGTGGCCGATGGATCAACGAAGTTTGAAAATAACATATATTAATCATTTTTAAACGATAATGTGACGTTGAAAAAAAGAGGTTTCATACAGTCTGTGCCACGACTTGAAATTTCACGGGACGACATTCCGCTTTTCCGCTGCGTGCATTCGCGAAGCGTCTTTCGAATCAAGGTCACGCTTTCAATTGATTGTTATTGCTGTGAGAGCACATGAAAGCAGAGTATCTTGATGAAAGAAAAAAAAATTGAGAGCGCGACCAAGGTTTACAAAGGCGCTCAGCGGCACAACGGAATGTCGTTCCGTGAAATTTCAAGTCGTGGCACACAGACTATACCAAAGTATCTCACCTGATAAACTTACTTTCTTTCATTGAAAACCTTCAGGATGGTAGTGACTCGAGAGCAACAACGACGACAGTCTCCAGCGAAGGCCTTGTTCTGCAATCATTCACAGAATCTGACGTCGGACAGTACAAGATGGGCAACAATGGAGATGTCCTTTCCGCGCAATTTTCGCAATGATTAATTCAATCTTGATAAATAATTTAAAGATTATCTTGGGAAACAGAATTTAAGAGAAAAACGTCAGTCGCTGACTGATTTGTGGAGACAGAATGATCTTTTTCGCTTTGAGATTACATTGAAAATTTCAAACAATGGACACAATAGATGCACTTGTACAACATGTTCGCTGAACAAACATGGAAGAGTATTTAAGAACCGGACACTGGTGAAAAGATATCCCTCACAGTCTTGTCTCATTTTAAATTTGCACAGATTTTCAATTAATAAATTACAGAAACTACCAAAATGTTTTTCTTCTTGGCTTTCTTCTTGGTCCCATTCAGCGACGCCGCCATCACAGTCGACCTCAACTGCACGACTTACAACGGAACAGCTGTTTGATCGAAAGTTGAATACAGAGTCCTCAATGATTTTCAGTTTGTCTACGCCAACACCGCGACCATCTGCTCCAACATCTACTCGGACACGGCCTGCAATGCTCTGTATCCGACGTCTCCGGCCGGCGGAGACCTGCCGGCTTCTGGAACAGACATTGCCAGGCCTCTCAACTGCTACACATCTACTACCACTACTCCGGCTCCACTCAGCACTGAGCTCAAAACTGCCGCCATCGCCAGTTGCCCGAAGACGTGCGGATACTGTTGTCAGACTGACGCCTACTCTTGCGCTAATGCTCAATGTGAGAGAAATCTCACAAAATATTCACTGAAGAGCTCTCAGACCCTAGCATGAACTGCGCCTCCATTACAAACTCTCAATGCCTCGACCCTAACTGGAGAAGCGTCATCGCCGCCAACTGCCCAGCTGCTTGCGGACTCTGCGGAACTGGTAGAATCGTTTTGTTCACTTCGGAAAAGTACCGAAATTCTTAGGAGGATGCGTCGATGCCGTCACTAACTGTGCCAACGACATCACCATCTGTAACTCCGTTGGAATGCAAGACTTTGTCAACGTGAGCTACTTTCTCCAAACCTCTCTCAAATTGTCATCTTCAGAAGTACTGCCAACGCACTTGCGGACGCTGCCCTTCCACCACAGCTGCTTCTGGATCTGTAACTTCAGGAAGCACGGGCACGTGCACTTCTTACAACGCTGACTCTTCTGCCAGGTCTCATTCTCATTTTTTTTTTCGATCATCTATATATGATAACAGATGCGCTTCCTGGAGCAAGAACGGTTTCTGCACCAACAACTTCTACTCTCTGGCTCAGCGAAAGGCCTCGTGCGCCACCACCTGCAGAATTTGCTAACTTTTCCTTTCCTAATTCATTCCAACAATTGTACAAACTTGGCTGAAATGACGGAATCGTGGCGGGTATTTTCGATGTCGTAGATCTGACCAATCTGATCGACAAAATAAAAATTTCGATACAATGATGGATTATATGGCAACGAATAAGATTCAATTTCTTGTTTTAAAACATTCGAACACTACGAATTTCTGAAAATTATTCAGAAAAAGGATTACAACAAAGTTCCTGCATTTTTTCACGCCCTAACTGTTTCACTGACAGTTATTTCCCAAAAAGATTTTTGACAAATAGGATGTCTTTTTCAAATAAAAGTTTTTGTTACAGTCTGATTTCATATAAAAATGGTCTCGGCTGTTTCCACTACGATTTATATTTTTTTTCCAAAATAGTTCCAATGAATAGCCTTTTTGAGAATAGTCGTAAAGAAAGGAAATGATTTCATAAATTTTGTCAGAAATCAAGATTTTCATTGATCAAAAGCTTGTGTAGGTTATCCAGACATGAGATAAAATTTAAAAAAAAGGAAATTATGTTTCAAACACCGAGAGCTTCACAGCTTAGATTTCCACTTTTCAAATGCTTGATTCTCCAGTAAAAAATGTATTCAATGTGAAAAAAAGATGAGAAACAGAACAAAAGGACTCGAAGAGACTCAGGTTCTCTCAATTGAAAGTTTGGTTTTTCACGTTCAAAGAATCCCTTTTTGAAATTTCAGGAAAACACATGTTTCATAGGTGAATCGGGAAGTCGATACGAATAGATACCGGGTTGAAACTTTTAAAAAATTCAATCGGCGTATGGTAATCGGTGGTCGTTTGTAAATTTATAATCTTAAGAAACTCATTCTGAGCATTTTAAAACAAAAACATGAAACCAAGTAGCTTCTGCAAAAAAAGTTACAATTCAAAGTGTCATTTTAGTCGAAATTTCGGGACCATCTCGATAAAAAATTGACTCAAGTACCTCTCAAACGCATCCAACACGGTTATATTACACAACAGCAAGTAAAACGATTCAAAAATCTAAAAAAAATACGCGAGAAAAAAAGAAAAAACTATATTTAAATTGAATGAAATTTTGAGAGGTGGACACGCGCCGCACCGCGTTGCGTTATAGACGATTCACGGATAGCTTGGGGCGCAAAAAGGCGTGTCCTGTCTGCACTCTCCACCAACCAAGGCACTGTCTCGTCTCTTTTCGTGGCAGGACCCTTTTCTCGATGGCTCAAGCCAGCCGTGAATCAGCTATAGAAGGAACTCGCTTTTTCGCCCCATTGCGACGACCATTGTTTTCGCCTGCGCTCGCCCGTTTTGAAACACTGTGTATGCGACCGGGTACTATCTCTATGGTACCTGGGTTGGAGGTCGATGCAAGTAGCTACCTGAAATTCGCGATTGCAACCGGAAAGTCTGGAATCGCTTCCCGGGTCGTTACTTTTTGTTTCAGCTTTATTCAATAAGACCCTGGAAGGCTTGGGAAGGTGTAAAAAAACACTGATGGTATATAAACGACCGATGTGCCAGCCAGTGGCAATCGCGATTTCCAGGTACCTACCCGGTAGCATCGAGATACCGACCAGGTACTATCCAGGTACCATAGAGATAGTACCCGGTCGCAAACAAATGACCACCGATTACGATACGTTGATTGACTTGAGTTGCCTCCCGGTACTTACTTATATCGACCTCCCGATTCACCAATGTTCCCCATAAATTTCAATTGTGATGCGTGGCAAAGTCAGTGTGCGTCGTATCACGGTTTTGGCATCAAGAGATCGACTCCCACGGCAGGAACCGCCGTCGTCTTTTTTTGTTATTTCTTTTGAGTAGAATAAACTTTTTTGTTTAAATTCGTTTTGATAAAACATTTACCAAAAAAAAAACCATTGAATTCATGGAAAAAAACCGAAAAAGTTTTGTTTTTTTTTTTCTCATATCTTTTCATTCAGCCCCTAAAACTGTAAAAGCAGAAATATTTTTTAAGTAGCATCTTAACGAATGGAAATCGATTGAACAAAAGCATTGGACAAAGTGAACACAACCGATAAAACTTTCTATAAATATCAACTTTTTATTTATTATTTGAAGCTTTTTAAGGGCGACGCACATTAGTGTAACAGGCTGTGTGTCTGTTTATGGGTCTACAGGATCACAAGCTCGATCCTTGCAGCGATCAAACCAAGAGGTTCAAGAGATGTTGGTAGTGGAAAACACGTTTTCATAATACCCAGCCGTCCCACAAAAACGGACATGTCACTAGAGCCGGTCCACTGACAATCACTGGTATCAGGATGAAACCTCGGCCGATCGGCTTGGAGCGCTGACACCGTCCAAGCGGTGAAAACGTGTAAGAAAAAGAGAAAGAAGATTTTGAGCTTCTTAAAGATAAATTTCTAATTAGGCTTCCTATAAAATCTAAAAGGCTTGTCCTTGTTTCTTTTCAGGTTCAAACAGTTTTTTTGCTGGGATTATGCAAAGAAAAATAAGCTAACTAAAAATTAAATTATTATAAATATTACTTTTTCTTCAAAAATTTGAAGAAAAAAATTCGTATTTATCCTATACATTCAACTTTTTGAGTAACCACTTCGGAAGGCTCTAACGTGTACAACGGTTGAAAATTTTGTTGATGGTAAAAATTATTCATATTTTTCAAGCAGCTTCCAACTGAAATTTTTCTCAACGCAAAGATAGCCTTCAATTGTACAGTGGGAGCACAAAGAAAAAAATATTTCAACTTTTTATAGTGTTCGAAGATAAAAAAAAACGAGAAAAAACAAAGGACAAACGAGTGAAGCTGAGTAAACGATACAACAATGTCCGAAAAACGTATAAAAGCAGAAGTCTGCAGTGAAAGGACATCCTCCCTTGTTTCATCCCTCCATTAACAAGTGTCTTTTCAGTGCGAGATGCTGTTCTTCTTGGCTTTCTTCTTGGTCCCATTCAGCGACGCCGCCATCACAGTCGACCTCAACTGCACGACTTACAACGGAACAGCTGTTTGATCGAAAGTTGAATACAGAGTCCTCAATGATTTTCAGTTTGTCTACGCCAACACCGCGACCATCTGCTCCAACATCTACTCGGACACGGCCTGCAATGCTCTGTATCCGACGTCTCCGGCCGGCGGAGACCTGCCGGCTTCTGGAACAGACATTGCCAGGCCTCTCAACTGCTACACATCTACTACCACTACTCCGGCTCCACTCAGCACTGAGCTCAAAACTGCCGCCATTGCCAGTTGCCCGAAGACGTGCGGATACTGTTGTCAGACTGACGCCTACTCTTGCGCTAATGCTCAATGTGAGAGAAATCTCACAAAATATTCACTGAAGAGCTCTCAGACCCTAGCATGAACTGCGCCTCCATCACAAACTCTCAATGCCTGGACCCTAACTGGAGAAGCGTCATCGCCGCCAACTGCCCAGCTGCTTGCGGACTCTGCGGAACTGGTAGAATAATTTTTTTTTACTTCGGAAAAGCACCGAAATTTGAAGGAGGATGCGTCGACGCCGTTACCAACTGCGCCAACGACGTCACCATCTGCAACTCCGTTGGAATGCAAGACTTTGTCAACGTGAGCTACTTTCTCCAAACCTCTCTCAAATTGTCATCTTCAGAAGTACTGCCAACGCACTTGCGGACGCTGCCCTTCCACCACAGCTGCTTCTGGATCTGTAACTTCAGGAAGCACGGGCACGTGCACTTCTTACAACGCTGACTCTTCTGCCAGGTCTCATTCTCATTTTTTTTTTTTCCATCATCTATATATGATAACAGATGCGCTTCCTGGAGCAAGAACGGCTTCTGCACCAACAACTTCTACTCTCTGGCTCAGCGAAAGGCCTCGTGCGCCACCACCTGCAGAATTTGCTAACTTTTCCTTTCCTAATTCATTCCAACAATTGTACAAACTTGGCTGAAATGACGAAATCGTGGCGGGTATTTTCACTGTCTTTCTCTAGATCTGACCAATCTGACCGAGAAAATAAAGACTTTTTCAAAACCCGTTGTTCATACATGAAACGAGCTTGTGGTAGTAATGTTGATCGCAAAGTTATTCTACGGAATGGTGATTCCGTATTCAACGTAGTATTAACATTACGAAATCCAACACTTTGTGTATCAGAATAGAAAATGAGCAAACCTCTCTTTCTGGTGTTCGAAGGAATGTGTTTGTAGAAACAAAAGATCAAGTACTCGCTAGAGCGGTAGCCTTCGCGCATTTTACTAGCTTCTCGTTCTCTGAAATTTCCTATCAGTGACGAGCAAAACAGATATGAGTTCTTGCGAAACTTTCTGTTGTCGATGTGCTGAATATAAAGGAAATTTTATCTTCTTTTAGAATTTTCTTTCTGAGTCTTTTCTCCTTGGCGAAACTTCACAAAAAATTAAAAAACAGTACTTTGGTACAGATGCGAGTTTTTTTTACTTCTCCAAAACTTTTCTGAAATATCAAATCCTCCAAGGAAATAAAAGAGAAGATAAAGAAAATCACCACGACAGTCAATTCCATCTACCGTTATTTTAATCATCAGGGTCATACTCAAGAACTTCGTCATATATTGAAAGATCTTTGTGTTATTTGATCGTCTCTAGACTCTAGGTAAGAAATCAGAAAATATTCTCTTCTCTGCTTTCCTTCCAGCTTTAAACTCTCCATGCTTCAGTAAATATGCTCATACCTCTTATTGTTTGCTCGCAATTGGGCTCAGTACTCGAGAGAATTTTCAAATCAACTCGGTTTTTTTTGTCTCCGAAATAAAACCCGCCCTTCTCTCTTGGGAACGCTATTTGAAGAAATAAGGCAACATTCACTATCTGCTTTTTTGTATGATTCGTTCTATGAGAGAAAAAAAAAACTAATACTTCAATTTTCTATTCATAGCCTAGTCATTCTTGTTAATTCACAGTGTTCCAAACTACTCTGCTCGATTCCAAATTGAACTTTCAACATTCCGAAAGCGCTTGGATTTCTTTGATTGTTGAGAGTGAGTAAAGAATCGAGTGAAAAAATGCAAAAAATTTAAAATCCAATCTATATTCATCTTTTTCCCAATTTTTTCTAAATTACTTCTAATGAAAGATCTTCCCATGTTAGCACAGATCTATGATTTTCGGAATTGCTGAAAGTCACTCAACTTTTTTTCTCTTCCGTGGCATACGGCGGAGTCAACAAAACCAACTCGACTGTACTTAAATTCCCTGTCCTTCAAGGACTGTAGATATTTCAAAGAGAAAAAACCAGTAAATCGATTCTTCTCGATTGAGACGGAATCAGATAAGAAAGCTACAAATTTCAAAATTTCGCAACAAAACGACTGCTGTCTGACTAGAGTGAAGGACTTGCGTCATAGAAATGAGGTTGAGCAAACTGATAAAGCAGGAATTTCCGAAAACAAAGTTTGATGATCAAAAACGATAATAAGGCAAAAATCATGACAAGCAAGACTAACCAATCTGGGGAACACTTCTATTCATATCCCTAGTTTTTTATTTCACATTAACTACAAAATTTCGGCTACAGCTTGACAAAACACAGTAGAAAAATAAATTTTTTTTTTCTTTTGAAAAAAAAAGTTATATTACAAATCTTTGTATAAATTCACCCGACCAATCTATGAAGATATTAGTAGTTTCGTGGAGCCTAACAATTGAAATACTCGTAATTTCTACTTTGTGATTTGTGCTTCGGCAAAAAAAATGTGAATTTGTCATTTATGAGGCCCCGACAATGCATTTCCAACCTGATAAAAGGAAAGAAGCTGATAAAGGAAAAGCGCATTATCACACCATTTTCACCCATTTTTGTCCTTTATTCTTCTGCTTTTCCAACATTCGTTTTTTGTGAAAATCGATTAAAATATTTTAGTGTTTCACTCAGGTTCAATCGAATAATAAATCATTCTCCTTTCACCTTCCTATGAAACAATTGTCTCTTACAAACTCAGCTTTCAATTAATGGAAAAGCTTTAAGGTAATTGTAAATGGGGTTCTTGAAGAAGAAAAAGGTAGAAGACTCCCCCGAATGGTCCGTCGACGACGCCATCGTAAAAAATAGAGATGGCAGTGCCAGCGGTGATTCGTGAGTTTAAACTATTGCTTCAAGCTCCGCTCTCAAATTTCTAAAGTTATACTATTTATTTAGAAAAGACAGCAAAGAAAAAGAGCCACCTGCACCGAAAGTGTCAATATTCCAATTAGTGAGCTCGGATCAATATATTATTTTGATCATCACTTTAATATTTTTCAGTTTCGGTACACTAGTGGTTTTGACAAGCTTTTGCTCTTGATAGGTGCGATTGTTTCGTGTGGAACCGGTATTGGACTTCCTATGATGTCCATTATCATGGTTTGTTTTTGACAGACTTACAATTAAAGACGTTGAACTTTTCAGGGAAATGTCTCGCAAAATTTCATCGTCCTCACTAATCAGTACGCCATAGCTCAAATGACACGTAGGATTTTCCCCAAAACAAGTCATGAATAAATTGAAGTTTAAAAAAAGTAGACCAAAATTTACGAAAAGAAATGAGAATGAGTAAATTTGTAATTCAGAATGAAAAAAATGATTTTCTTTACTGTATGTCAAGATTGCGCAAGGTGTTTGCAACTGAACGTTTTGAATCTTCCGCGCAATTTCATCCTCTCCTCTTTTTCTTTTGTTCGAAATATTTTCAGCTAGAGATTATTGTTTTTGTTATTTTCCACTTTTTTGAAAAGTTTTTTGTCCTGGAAAGTTTTTTTCCCCATCTCTTTGGTATAGTGAGTTACTTCAATAGAACAATTACTTTTTTGAGATTTGATTTCTATGAGAATTAGACACATAAATATTACAATACTTTAAAATTTTAGATAACGCTACCCTTGAAAAACAAGCTGAGGATCAATTCTCCCATGACGTCATTCAGAACTGTCTCAAGTATGTCTATCTGGGATGTGGAGTCTTCCTTGCCGCCATGATTCAAGTGGGAAGAAAATATTTATCCTTTTTATCGGTTTTTTTTTCAGGCTACTTGTTTCTTGACGATTTGCGAGAACTTGGTCAACCGTCTGAGGCGCGAGTTTTTCAGGTCTATTCTGCGACAGGATATAACCTGGTACGACAAAAACACGTCTGGTACTTTGGCCACGAAACTTTTCGAGTGAGTTTAGGAATACAAAATTGAATAAACATCATCTAATAATCGATTCTGCTGTTTCAGCAATCTCGAAAGAGTGAAAGAAGGAACTGGAGACAAATTAGGCTTGATGATTCAGTTCGTGGCTCAGTTTTTCGGTGGCTTCATTGTCGCTTTCACTTATGACTGGAAACTTACTTTGATTATGATGTCACTGGCGCCTTTCATGATTATCTGTGGAGCTTTCATTGCCAAAGTAATTCGGGAAATTAGTGTTAGAAGGGAGAATGGCCCGGATTTCAGCTGATGGCCAGTGCCTCAACCGAAGAAGCGAAGAAGTACGCCGTGGCCGGAGGCCTGGCAGAAGAGGTTCTGACCTCCATGAGAACAGTTATTGCTTTCAACGGCCAGAAATATGAATGCAACAGGTTTCAACTTTTTCATTGTAAAGCGACTAGAAATCATTGATTAAGGTATGATGAAGCATTGCAAGATGGAAAAGTGACGGGAATCAAGAAATCGATATACATTGGGATGGGCCTTGCTTTGACCTTCCTCATCATGTTCTCCTCGTACTGCTTGGCCTTCTGGGTTGGCACCAACTTCGTCGCCGACGGATCCATGGATGGCGGCACCGTCATGACTGTTTGATCTGATTTCCGAATTTTGCAAGAGTTATGGGTTCCTAGGTTTTCTTCTCGGTGATGATGGGTTCGATGGCTTTGGGACAAGCAGGACCTCAGTTCGCGGTTCTTGGGACTGCCTTGGGCTCCGCCGCCACACTCTACGAAATTATTGATCGGGTATTTGCCTTCACTCCCTTAAAATATTCAACCGTTTTTAATTTTTAGGAGCCGGAAATTGACGCTTATTCGCAGTTGGGTTCTAAGCCTGAAACCCTCAAAGGCAAGATAACGGTGAAAAATCTCCGGTTCAATTATCCAACTAGGCCAGATGTCCCTATTCTGAAGGTAGGAATCAACAGAGTAATGTTATGAAATTTCGATTTGAGGGTCTATCTTTCACGGCAAATCCCGGAGAAACGATCGCTTTGGTCGGCGCCAGCGGCTGCGGCAAAAGTACTATTATTCAGCTTTTGCTGCGTTATTATAACCCGGAAAGTGGAGAGGTTGATCATACAAAAAATTATGAAGGAATGATCATATTTTGTACAGATCATGATAGATGATCATCACATCCAAGACATCAACATCGAGTTTCTGCGTAATTTTGTGGGCGTCGTTTCTCAAGAGCCAAATCTCTTCAACACCACAATCGAGCAGGTTTAAGAGAAAAAAAAATCCGATTTCAAAAATAATCTCGAAGTTTCAGAACATTCGATACGGTCGCGAAGACGTCACCGAACAGGAAATCACAGCAGCATTGAGGAAAGCTAACGCCTACAATTTTGTACAAAACTTCCCATTGGTACTCTAATTTTTTTGCCGTTAACTTGAATGGCCTTTTAGGGGATCAAAACGTTGGTTGGTGACCGAGGAGCGCAAATGTCGGGAGGCCAAAAGCAGAGAATCGCCATCGCTCGAGCCCTGGTCAGAAATCCGAAAGTTCTGCTTCTGGACGAAGCGACGAGTGCCCTGGACGCGGAAAGTGAACACGTCGTGCAGCAGGCTCTCGAAAATGTTGGATTGTTCGGAAAGTTACTATAAATAAATGGAGTTTCAGGCTTCGAAGGGACGTACAACGATAGTCATTGCCCATCGTCTTTCTACTGTTCGCAACGCAGACAAGATCATTGCCATGAAGGCTGGCGAGGTCAGAGAAGAGCATTTTTTGAAGGAAACAGCTGGGAAGTCCGAACCAGTACATAGAAAAAGAGAATAACTAAACATAAAAAGAACATGAACGTCTCTGATGTGGAGCGCCACAACTCTTTCTCTGACACACACTACTAGATAACGACGAAATAGTGTGTGTCAGAGAAAGAGTTGTGGCGCCCATTTGGCGCTCCAATTCAGAGATAAAGAAAAATAAATTATAATGATGTAGATTTTTGTCAGGGTAAAAGATGAATAGGAGTATTGGCCGGTTTAAAACCAGGAAAATAAAATTAGATTAGTTTTCGGATTTCAGAGGGATCCGAAAATCAATAGGCATAACCTAGCATTCTTTTCACTTTGATATGAAGATAACTAAACAGTAAAATTCTCAATTCTTGAACATTTTTCAGGTAGTTGAAGTTGGAACTCACGACGAGCTCATCGCAAAGAAGGGATTGTACCACGAACTGGTCAACGCTCAGGTCTTTGCCGATGTTGATGATCCAAGTAGGTTCTCGCTACTAGATTCTAAAACTTGAAAAATTCGTATCGTCGGTACAATTCTCAAGTTCAGGTGGCCTTCAAAGAAGCACTTCCGTTGCTTCAAGACAACTATCGCGTCAAGCCTCCGATAGAGAAACAGTTCGTATGAATTTACAAGAGCTGATTTCAGAACTACGTTTCAGAAGATGAAGACCCAGTCTTCGGTTGTCGCCAAAACAACCCAAGGAGAAAATGACGCCAAAAAGCCAGAGCAAGACTTGGAACGCCTCAAGAAAGGTTCTCTTTTGTGGAATCATTTTCAAACAGTTTCATCGCAGAACTGGAAGAGGAAGGGGCGGTCCGCGCCAATTTGTTCCGCATTCTGAAGTACGCGAAGCCGGAATGGATGTACATCGTGATCGCCGTCATTTCCTCCATCATCCAAGGATGCGTCTTCCCTGCCTTCTCTCTCTTCTTCTCCCAAATCATCGATGTCAGATCTTCTGTCTCTTCAAATTATTATCTTATGTTTTCAGGTGTTCTCGCAAACAGATGTGAACAAACTGAGAACCGACGGCCATTTCTGGGCGTTGATGTTCCTCGTTTTGGCAGGAGTCGAAGCGATCACCATGTTGGTCCAGGTTGAAGCCTCGAAAGAGTTACAAAAAAAAAGGTTTTTTTTTTCCAGTGTTTCTTCTTCGGTTTGGCCTCGGAAAACTTGACGATGAGACTTAGATCGAAGGTTTGTTTTTGCTCAAAGATTATTTGAGCTTCAATTAGACACCTGAATTGCAAAAAAAAAAACAACTCTGGCATATTACAGGTCTATCGAAACATTCTGCGCCAAGATGCGACGTACTTCGACTCGCCAAAGCACTCGCCCGGAAAGATCACAACTCGCTTGGCCACTGATGCACCGAATGTCAAGTACGTCTCTGATAGTTTTTGGACTATCCAGCTGCTCGCAGGTCTGCCATCGACTACCGCTTCGGCTCCGTCTTCAACTCGATCGTCTCCGTCTGCTGTGGAATTGGAATCGCTTTCTACTTCGGATGGCAAATGGCTCTTCTGGTTTTTTTCAAAAGCGAGACTTGAAAAAAGATGATTTTAGACAATCGCCATCTTCCCGTTGGCTGGCGTTGGTCAAGCCATTCAGATGAAGTTTTTCTCGGGCAGAGCTTCAGCGGATGCGAAAGAAATGGAGAACAGTGGAAAGGTTTGCCGAAAGGAAGTTTGAACAGAGAAACACGGAAAACGGTTGGAGATTGCGATGGAAGCTATAGAGAACATCCGAACTGTGCAAGCGCTGACTCTGCAGCAGCGGCTCTACGATCAGTTCTGCTCTCACCTCGACGGTCCTCACAGAACCAACCGCTCAAAGGCCCTGATCCAGGTTGTTTTCGCCGTCTCTCCAAAGGATGAAACGAGAGTTTTCAGGGAGTGTCCTACGGATTCGCCTCTTCTATCTTTTACTTCCTGTACGCCTCAGCCTTCAGATTCGGGCTCTTCCTCATTCTTTCTCCCAATGTCCGAATGGAACCTATTCGTGTTCTTCGGTAGGTTCTTTTTATATCCTAGAGACCGAATCTGAGGTTTTCTTTTAGCTACTGTTAACTAATGGAAACAAATTGAAGATCGTAAGTTCAAAAAATCTGAAATCTCAGGAGTGTTTTGGATTGGAAGTTCCTATATTCTCTAGAAAGCCTCGAACGGCTAAATTATCAATCCTCGAAAAAATAAACTATTAGGCTTTTTGCGAAACTAGCATGAACTCCATATTAATAACATTCAAAATCTTTATTTCCATTGTGTTTCAGTGTCTTGTTCGCGATTTCTTTCACTTCGGGCAGCATGGGATTCGCAAGTGCCTATTTCCCTGAGTACATCAAGGCGACTTTCGCTGCCGGCCTCATCTTCAAAATGCTCGAAGACGAGCCGCTCATCGACGGCATGAGTGACAACGGACAGAAGCCGGCCATCTCCGGGGAGGTCAAACTCAATGCTGTCTATTTCAAGTACCCCGAACGGCCCGATGTGCCTATTCTGCAAGGTTTGGACGTTCATGTAAGTTTAAGGTTCTGGAAAAGAAGAAAGTCCTCTCATATTTCAGGTCCGCCCCGGAGAGACTCTCGCTTTGGTGGGACCTAGTGGATGCGGCAAATCGACGGTCATTTCCTTGCTCGAACGCCTCTACGATCCGATGGATGGAGAAGTGGTAAGTCTGTAAATCTTTTGGCTCTTAGTAGTAGTAGATTCGCATTAACCACGGTTCAAGATAGATTTTTCAACTCTCGTTTCTATAGTGAACACGAAATAGCGGCAGCCAGTTAAGCTTTGAAAAAATTGTCAAAGTTTTTTTCAGATGGTGGATAACAACAATCTTCGATTCGTCAACCCAACTCATCTGCGAAGTCACATTGCGTTGGTCTCCCAGGAGCCGATTCTCTTCGACACGTCGATCCATGACAACATCATCTACGGCCTCAAGCCCGACGAGTACACCGAACAAGATATCGTCGAAGCCGCCCAGAAGGCCAACATCCACGAGTTCGTGAACAGCCTGCCTGACGTCAGTTTGAAGCCATCGAAGCTGTGACGATTCATCGGTTCAGGGTTACAACACGAGGGTCGGAGAGAAAGGAACTCAGCTTTCTGGTGGTCAGAAACAGCGAATTGCGATTGCTCGCGCCCTCATTCGCAATCCGAAAATATTGTTACTCGATGAGGCGACCAGCGCCTTGGATACTGAGAGCGAGAAGGTGAGGATGAACAGACGAAAATTCTTTTTTTCACATTGATCCAATTCGTTTTATAATTTATTCACCGCAATTTTACGCCACTGTTCAATTTCGCATAAGTTTGCGCAAAAATGTTCGAAAAAAGTGGAATAATGTGACTCAGCTGGTACAAGACGCTCTGGATGCAGCCTCCCAAGGAAGAACTTGCATTGTGGTCGCACATCGGCTGTCTACCGTAGTCAACGCCAATTGCATCATGGTCGTCAAAGACGGCAAAGTCGTTGAGCAAGGTTTGAACTGGCTCAGCGTGTTTCAAATTGAAAGAAAACTATCAGAGAATAAAACGTTTGCAGGAACTCACACTGAATTGATGGCTAAACATGGCGCCTACTGGGCTCTCACGCAAAAGCAATCTCTCAAAAATTGACAGAACTTGTATCAAGTTGAAAATCTGCTTCATTCACTTATTCTTCTTTTTTTGCCCATTCATCACATTCTGACAGCACTTGACTTTGACGTGTATAATCTTAGTGTTGGTGTTGAAAATTCTATGAATTTTTCATTTTCAGACCCAACACTTGATCTCAAACCGGTAGAATGTTACTGTTATCTTTGACACTTAGTGGAATAAACCAATTTAAAGTTTTCACACAGAAAGTTGTTAAAGTTTAATTGAAGTCGTTCAACCGGAATCTCAATACATGAACCATAGAAACCGTCTCCTAAATCGAGTTTGGAAAAGGACGTCACTAACAATTAGAGTGCTGATGACTGTACAAGCCCAAAAAACAGGGCTTTTGAGCCATTTCAGATAGTGCCATTGGTTCTTAAAATCAATCGGGGTGATCCAAGGAATGTTCTGAAGTCGGCTAGGTGAGCTGATTGTGTCCAAGCTCCCGTGTCTGAAAGGGTTTTTTAAGCAGAAAAGTTGGATGAGAATGTATTGAAATCACTTGACGGCGAAGTTGCAGTGCTTGAGGACGCTTTCTTTGGGAGAAAGAGGCTGGTCTCGCAGAACTTGTGCCAACTTCTCGGCATTCTTCTTGTAGCTGAAGCAGAGGTGAGATGAGACAGCGTGAATTAAATAGAGAACCTAGGAGTTTCGAGGATTTCTTTGACGGCGGCGCGGATGACGTCACCATGAGCGAGGTCCTGTTTGTTGAGGATCTTGGCGCCGCCATGTCTGGCCAGCATGTGGCCGTTTCGGAACTGGTCGGCCATCAGAGGGATCTTCACAGCTATCAGTGATGATCTGGCCGAAGAGCCTCGGACTCACGACAACCGCCGGAACTCCGATGTAGGCCAGTTCCATCGAACTTCCGAGACCTCCATGGGTGACGAACAGGTTGAGTCGTGGATCGGCTGAACAGAAAAGTTCGAACGGAATTAGAGATTCAAGTGCCTAGAAGAGCGTTTTGAGGCATCCAGACAGTGAGATGAACATTTGGGAGGTCCCCGACGAGCGTCGGGTTCGGCTCTTCGTACTTCCAAATGAATGTCGTTTCAGGCATCGAGGTAAAAACTTCCCGGAAACCTTTTCTGAACGGTCAAACAAAGAATAGATACAAGTCTTAGTTTTGCGCGTAGCTATTTGCACTCAACGCTTTTTTTTTTCAAATGCGAAGTTTTTTTTGCTGTTCTAAAATAAATTCTTTTCTTGGGATTTTCTTTTTTTTTTCTAGTGTAGGGAAGGTTGAGGAAGGACGAAATTCCGACCAGGAATTAATGTAAACTGACTTGAACTCATCGGGCATTTTCGAAGAATGAGCATTGCTGCCAAAAGAAATAAGTACGTTCGTTTTTCTTTTGGATAGAATTTCATCCCATTCCTAAAAACATAATGGCAATTCCAGAAAAAAAAGTAGAACTGACTTTGCTTAAACCGATCTTTTCGGTTTCCACTTGCATACCTCCAACAGGCACGGACTTTGGCAAGTAAGGCCTCGGATAGTCCAAATAAGGATTCGAATTGACGAAGGCGAAGGCCACATTGCCCATGTAGTCCTGAGCATTTATCTCCTATTGATCCAAAAATAATTCAAACCCTCCAAGATTTCAGATCTGGAACCAGATCCTTGACTGCGTCGACTTCCTCTGAGAACGAATACTCGAAATACCAACCCCCGGCCGTGTTGTGGAGGTAATTGAGAATTGTTTCGGTCCACGAGCTCACTTCAGCCATTTTAGCCATCGTCGCTGAATAAAAAAGAAACCATGGGATGGATAAGAGTTCCTGTTTCTTTGAGTCTGAGATCAAATAGTAGCTCTTCAAAGTGGCTTTTTTGGGATAATTGCCCTTTCGAGTCGAGGTCGTGTGAGTACGAATAACTGCGGTGTATCTTGAAATGAAAGGTTACAAGATTTTTGAGTCCGATGGGCTTCAACCGGGAGGGAAATAATTACGGAGGACAACTTGAAACTACGTTATTAGAAGGATAGTTTTCAAAATTTCTCCTTTTCTGCAGAAAATCCTGTCACTTGGTTAGAAACTCTATCGGGTTCAAAATAGGATCTCTTCTTAGTTTCTTCATTTCTCAGTGCTACTATAAAATATATTGAAAGCTGTACCTGGTACGTAGTTGTAGTCGTCAGGCTCACCCAAGGAGGATCTGATCGGCTCCATGGTAATTGTGGAAGAAGCCGATATCACGGTAGATATACCCAATTGATCGAAAAATACTGAAAAAATATACAATTTAATAAATTAAGTTTGTGAGGTTAGCCGACATTTTTATTTTTTAACTCAGAAATCAACTTTTGCTATTTTCCCTCTGTTCAGCTCACTTTCAGAAGAGTTCTTGGCATATTTTTTTAAACCGACTTTTATTTTTTCAAATAGTAATCCCCTTCAAGTACCACCTCTACGCGGTGATGGGGAGGCAACGCCATTTATGGCGGCTAACGGTACACCGGTCACGCAATTCGGCTTGCTTCTGCTAACAGAATGGGCGGTCTTTTTTAGCCCTGGCAAGGCAAAAAGGATAATAAGACCACAATTATGCTATAACACGTTCAACACCACGGATGGATTTTTTTTCGCAAGAATACCAGTCAACCAGGACGACAACACTGGATGACCGATTGCATAAGATCTCCTGGAAAACGTGTGGTCCACGCTTCGATCAATAAAAGGCACTAAAAGGCAATAAAAGGTCGAAAGCGAAGATGGACCATCTAAGTATCTAAGTAAGTAAGTAAGTAAATAGTAATATTTTTCTTCACTGCTTTGTCTTCTTCATCTTAAATTTTCAAAAGTAATTATCTTGGTCAATTTTTATGAGTCTCACTGTACGGGCAGAGCTGCATGGGCTGAGCGATGGCCAAGTCGAATTTTTCGTTCTGAAGACTTTCCAAAAGTTCCTTTCGTTCGAAAAGATCTACAAAATTATTCCAACGTCACATTTTTCACACGTTGTAATTTTTTAAAAATGAGAAATTTTGGAACAACCTTTGCATTGAAAAGCGCCAATAGCAGGGACGGTAGTGACCACCTATACTTCAAACTTATAATTAAGTGAGCGATTGACGCAAACTCTCAATATGAAGTCTTTGTTTTTGCTTTCCACCCAAACTGCCTCTTCGAACATTGCTCTTGTGTCTCCTTGAACCTTCGCAGCTCTGAAAAACACAGAGATCAAACGATGAAAAGCTATCATCCATTTTGAAGCTATTAAAAGCCGTTTTCAAAAGAATATTTTTTGTTTTGCGTACAAGAAGTATGAGAGCCGATTTTTCCTTGAAATTCTACTCTCTAATATTCTTCCAAAAAAAGAAAAAGGTAGTGCAAAGTACATAACCTATGCGATTTTTGACTCCTAATGAACTTTCGAAAAATCATTTTACTACCTTGGCACCATCGCTATGGAAACTTGTCAAATTGAATTACTGATTGAGCTGTTCGTTTCCTAATCCGAAACACACAGATCTTTTTTACTTTTTGTTCAGGTTTTGTTATTATTTTTAAATATTATCTGAAAAAAAAATTAAATTATTAAATTCACCCGTCATCCAATATACAATACAGAATTTTCGAATTCCCAAAAAACTTCTTTTCCTTTTTTTTTATTCGGCTCTGTTAGATTTTCTAACAGCTCTGCCTCACTCAGTCTTCATTAGCTCGTAAACTTGCTCAATTTTTTTGTTCTTGAAAAAATTCAAAATTTTTGTTCCAAACAGTGTAGTTTCATGCTTTTCGGAGAGTTCGGAAGATTATACTTATCGGTCTAGTGTTTGATAACGAACTCTTCGCTCATGCTTAAACGGATGACGTTCTTGACGAGTTTCGAGCCTGTTGAACCGTTTTTCCCGACAAAAAACTGGGGCATAAGTAGAGTCTGATAGAAAAAGTTACAAAGAATGTAATAGAGAAATAACCATACCACATCGTTTCCATCGGCCGCCAAAATATCAGCTATTTTTCCAAGAAAATTAGTATGCGAATGGCCCAAAAATGGCGAGTAAACCAACACTTTGTATCCAAAGCCACATTGGTTTATTGCGAACAATAAAAACAGAAGCAATGATGCTCTCATTCTGGTTTCAAGAGGATCCTGGAAGTGATTGAGTCGAAAACCAGATAAAAGTATTAATTCTCGCAAACGAAATGAGTTGAAGAAGAATTTTCAGGCAATAATTTGCAAATTACTAGCTCAAGGTGAAATGATGAAAAAATTCTCCTCGGTTTTTTGATTTATGGGAAACTACAAAAAGATAGGAACTCTTCAAAAAAAGTTTTTTTAGAATCACAAATTATAATAAATATAATGAGGCCATTCACAGTGAATACCTCAAGTTGACAGGACGCTACAAACTTCGAAAAATGCATTGATAAAACTATTTGCTTTCACAAATCATATTATCGCAAAAAAATCGTTGTTGTCTCTTGGGCGAATTATCAGTCGTTTTTTTGAGATTGAAAAACTATGTAAAAAATAACTGAAAAACAGTTTGCAGCTTTACAAATAATTACAGGATAATAAACATGCGACAAAAATCTCTTCTTTCTTTTATTTTTTTTCGCGTACAGTCAGTAAAGGACGTGGAGTAAGAGGGATAAATATAGCAGTTTCTAAAAGTAATAAAAACTTATGATTTTTTTTCTCGAGTGAAACCGAAATAAATTATAACTAAAAACTGTTCTGGAGCAAAATCTTCGTGTTTCTTTTTCTTTCAGCCTGGAGTCTGAATTTTTCTTCCTGAAAAATATTTGTTACAAAAATAGTTTTGAACTTCCTCTTTTGGGAAACTTTTTCTCAGGAAAATTTTTCTTTTTGTTCTTTGAAACGTTTTGGAACGCCTCTTTAAGAATCCCATTTTTTGTTAATACGAAAAACCACCTGTTCGTAGTTTTGGTCAGACTCTTTTCTCGTTCAAACTTCATTATTATCACGTTTTTCGAGATGACTAATATTTCAGATCTTGAAATTTCTATGAATTTTACGGACTTCCAAAGTTCTTTATTACTGTACACATGGTTTTCTGAACGACAAATTTTCGTCACTATTATAATTTATTCTATAACTTTTTTTGTTTAAAAATTTCGATCTTCCAACAAAATGCGCGAATACTGCCGCTTTTTTTACTGAACAACTGTTTGTGGTGAGTTTATTCTTACGATAATCGGAATTTGACAGCAAAACAATTCGTTTTGACTTTGAAAGATCCTTTTTTCTTTTAAATGCTTGACCCTCAAATTCTTTTGTTAATTTTACAGATAACAATGAGGCTAGACAAAAAAGGTGGAATTTTGTTGAGTAATAAAAACTGATTTTTCCAACTTATTATTCATGGGATGAGTGAAAAACAAAATCTGTTTTTAGGAGTTTTCTGTTCGAAGTCCACCTGACGGGTATGGCTCCCGTCTACTTGTTCCCTGTTCCCGCAGTTTATGCCTCAGGCTACTTTCGAGACCTCCCAGTGGAACAGTTCCACGTATTTTGGACGAATTGTGCTCTATTACACCGTAATATTTATACGAGCTAGGAAAAAATATGGCAAATTTCTGGGCTTTCATCTAAAACTTTTTCAAATCTCATAGTTTTGCTTTAAACAAAGCCTCTATGTTTATTTTCGTCTCACATATGTTTCAAAAGATTATCTCGCTCTAACAGTTTATTTTTTTCTCGGAATAAAGTCATCAGTTTTGGAACGAAACGGCTACTTTGCAGTTTCGACCTTCTCGTTGTGTCACCTGTTTTGGTACCGGATGAAGACGATGATGGCCTTCACTTCTTACTACAAGAAGGCGTCGGTCCTCGGCGACGTCTACATGATCGTCACCTATGCCGCCGTCTTCACTATTTACCCTGTTCTGAGGAAATTCACAGTTTATTCGATGGAAGAGCGACTGGAAATCGCAAAAGTGAGAGATTTTTCAAACACCTAATACATCAGTTTGGTGCTTCTGAATTCCTTTGAGATCAAGGTGAAATGGTTCAAGAAGAAAGAAAAATAAAAACTTGTGAGAAGTCGGACATATTATCGCACACGCCATGCGAGACCAAAAGTTGTTTCCATCGGGAAAGTTTATTAATTTTTTTTTTCGAAAAATCATTTGGAAAACACTGATTCAAAAAGGGCTTATCAAAGAGTAAATCGAATCGAAAAAGACTTTTTCCAGGCGGCCGGAAGCGTTCCAGAGGTTTTTTTCTCAGAAAAGGCTGTGGTCTTTGACATGAATACAATGTTAGAAGCGGACAAGCTGCCGTTCTTATTTATGGGAGTCTGCGGCTTTTCTTTGGACCTCGCCGCCTTTTTCGTCCTACCTATCTGCACGGCGATTGTCCTGAAGACGTCGCAGAAGGCCATGTCGAAGAGGACTCATCAGATGCATCGGACCTTCTTATTAGCTCTCTTTTTCCAAACTTCGGTCCATACAGTGCTTTTGTCCGTTCCTGTCGTGTTCACTCAAGTCGCTAACCTCGTCAGTTTCTCCAATCCAGGCAGGTGTTTCTTAATCGAAGAAATGTGTTCAACAAACCTTTGCTGGAATAAAGTTCCCGTTTTCAGCGGTTGTCAACTGGATGGTGTTCATGAACACGATTCACGGATCGGCAGGAACTTTCACAATGTTGATGGCCAATCCGCAGTTCCGAAACAGCCTCGTCGCCGACTTCCAACGAGGTCTGCTTCCAAAAAAGTAACGATCCTTTCTCTTTTGCAGTTATCTTAAGAAAGCAAGCCAAGGTGAAACCCGTTGTGAGCACGACGCAGGCGACTCGCAGCGTAGTCCCGCAATTAGCCCGCCGGAAGTCTGTCTACTAACTCTTGAATCTCTCTTCTCTTCTCAGGTTTTGATCTTTCCAATACAACTGTCATAATACTAGGACCCTATGCAATTCATAAACTCGGTATGGAACTTGTGGAATGAAACTTTTCAACCGAAAGTCTAAGACAAATGCATAAATAAATAAATAAATGCAGTGTAATTCATCGGACACACCTCCAAAATCAAACTAGAAAAAGATTTCCCAAGGCTCTGGACGTTTTACGTGAAAAAGATGTGGAATTGTATTATCGTAAATAAACGTTAACATCAGACGTACTTGGACAGGGAAAGGTGCCAACAGAAGACAATTTCGTGTACTTTTGCAGCAAACTCATTAGGCCGACCCTAGAGAATCAAATTAAACGAGTCACGAAAGGAAAATATATTCGAATTTTTGAAGGAATTTCATTCACTGAACTGATCTTTTCGAAATGACGACATTCTTCTAGAAAATTATCAAGAAGCAGCAGCCATAAGCTTTTGGGTGAACGGAACCTCTTACTCTTAGTTTTGAAGGCTTGAATAGTGAAAATTGCTATTGGCAACAGTTTTTGATAGAACTTTTGGTTTTGGTCCGGTAGATATATAAAGAGTTGAACAATTTTTTTTATGAAAGAAGGTGACAATTTTTTTATTTTTTTCAAAAAAATCAATCAAATACTCAATACTACCAGTGTATAAAGTTTCTCAGCCATAATTAATTTTCAGTATAGTTTTCTTAATTTTGAAAGTATTTTTCTCGAAAATTAAGAGGTTTTGTGGAGATTCACGCAAATATTGGGAATCTGCACATTAAGCTCTATTTGAAAAGTAAGTTTCTTGAAATTCGTTTTTGACTGCCCTATGCCTTCAAAATTCTAAAAACAATACGAAGGCGGGTGGATATTTCTGTTTTCAAACTCTAGGCGTAGATTTTCGGCATTCCTTCACACCTTCTTGCTTGCCTTTTCATGGATTTGCCATGCACAAAAGTTAAAATGTTTGTCCTAAAATCTGCATGCTTCCTGCTTCGCTATATCATAAGTTTTGCTTACCTCATGCTAAATTTATCATAAAGGTAAGCCGGAATATTATGACTAAAATGCTTTCTTCTTCCTGTTGTTTTTGAAGCCATCATGATATCAGGGCAGAAGATTTTTCAGAGAAGAATTGTTATGTGTACTTTTTGTATTCCATTATCTCCTATGGGAATCTCCGCTGCTTTTTGTTTGATTTCTGGAACAATACACCCACACCAAAAAAATAAGTTGGTTTAAAAAGCTCTCGACTTTCGACAACGCCATTTTGTCTTACAAAAATTGCAAGTTTGTTTTGAATAAAACGCTCTCGTGTAACATCATTTCCTTGTTTTCATGAGCCAGCTGATACTAATAAAAACCGCTCATTTCTGCGTGAGACTGTAGAATTTTCCCAGTTTTAGAGATCAAAGACTGAAATTGCGTTCTGCACGTAGTAGCTAATTAAAGATTGACACGCCAAGTAAAATATACAAAAAAAAGGAAAAGAGCTGAACAAAATTATGTTTTGGAAATTCGGCCACCGAGATGTCCGACATGTCTGGTATTTTCTATACAACGGATTCATTAGAGCTTCTTTCAGTTTACTTTTTAATGTCATCAAAAAAAAGGCGGTGTATCATCTAATCTATTTTCTCCCCGTTTTGATGGTGTGCTTTTCAGATTTCAGACATCTAAAAAGCATTTTATTCATTTTGAGGTTTGGTTGACGATATCTTTAAATCTGAATACTTCACTTTCGAGAATTTCTTCTTTTTTTTGTTGCTAAACTTGAACTATGCCATATGCATGCAATGTTCCTAAACTGCTTTCCATACTTCATTACAATTTTTTTTTTCTGGACTCCCGAAAATAGCAGTTTCGCAGGAATCGGATGTCGCTGTTGGAATGGTCATCGGTGGCCCACACTGTGGAATACGCCGGCTTGGTTCTGTCCGTCACTGTCAACTCGACCCTTGCTTTTCTGATTCTGACCAAGTCTCGGAAAGGACTTGGCTCATACAAGTACCTCATGCTCTCCTTCGCCTTTTTTGGCATTTTCTTCTCTTTGGTGGACGCATTCACCGAGCCTGTAAGTTTGTTTAATGTTTAGTTCAATTTGTTAAAACTTTTGGGTCAATATACGGTTCCATGTTTTACTACTTTGACTTTTTTGAATTAAATTTAACAGCTTTCTTAGAGTTGAGCAAACAAATTGTTGTTAGTAAATCGAAATATTGATTTTATTCTGCGATTTCAGTAAAAGTAAAATCCTGTTTTAGTGACTCAATGAGCCGGGAAAAAGTCATGATTTCAGACGATACACACTTATGGAACGACTTTTATGGTTTTCACGATTCTCAGCAAGTATGGACTTACCAAAACCCAAGGCGCCGTATCTTGCGGTAAAAGAGAATTGTAAACTTTAAAAAGAAACTTTTTCAGCCCTGTATTGCTCATGTTTCTGCATGACTTTAGCTCTGCTAGCCATACACTTTCTATACCGTTATTTTGCCGTTTGCAAGTGAGTTTTCAATAATTTTCAAAAGACTTTCTCCAATAAATTTAGACAAGATGGTCTGCGGCTGTTCAAAGGTTATAATATTTTCATTTGGCCGGTTGTTGTGATTTTCCTTGGCAGCGATTGGGGCCTCACCTCGTTCTTCTTGGAAGGAGAGACAACTGAATCGAGTGAATATGTCAAGTGAGGACATTTCGATCGAAAAATGGACTTTTGAACTTGATAGTGCGACGATATGGGAACATTTCGCTCTACGGATGGACGAAATCGGCTACGTTGGTCCGCATTACTTTGTGAGCACTTTGGAGAAGTTATCTAAATTTTGAAAAAAAAGGCTCAAATTTTTTTGGTTTTATGAAAAATCTCAATTTCACAAAATCATTGTTTATTGTAAATATTCAAGGTACATAACGAAAAAGGAGAGCGAGTCTACAATTGGCCCTCCTGTATCGGGATGGTGAATCTCTTAAAAATCATGGTGAACGAACATTTCTAGATGAATAAAACAAGAATCGTCCAGGGAATGTCATTTTCCGTCGTTTTCTACTGCGGCATCTCGACTTCGTTGGCGATGAAGGAACACGGCGAAACCAAGACGCAAAGGACGCGCGAGCTGCAGGCTCAGCTCTTCCGAGCCCTGGTCGTTCAGGTTTCATTGTTTCTTAGAGCAGAGGAAGACGAGTCAGTTCAGACAATGATTCCGGTTGTTTTCATGTACCTGCCAGTGGGTATTCTCTTCATCTCGCCTTTTTTCGAAGTCGAACTCGGCGCTCCCACGAGCTTCGTCGCCATCACACTCGCCTTGTACCCGGTCCTCGACCCTATGGCCGTCATTTTCTTCATCCAAGACTATAGAAAAGCTCTTCTGAGTAAATAACCCTCAAATAGAGTTATCTCTACATATTTATGGCTACAGGAGGACTTTGTGGATGTTTTTGCAAGACGCGGCCGAATCAACACAGTACGACGATAAGCAGCACCGTTCGAAACACTTTGTGAGTGTTTCCTATAACTCGTGGAACACATTACTGCTAACGACAGAATGTCATGAACTGCCCTCGAAAAGTAATTTCCGAATAACTCCCAGGATGTCTATATCTTTCTCTCTTTCTCTAAAATATTTAAGCTTTTTTTGTTTTTCACGATTTCGTGTTCTTTCATGGTTCTTAGGCAGCCCCGATGATGACGAAATTCTCATTGGATCATTTATTTTTTTACTTTTTTTTTGTGTGCAAAAATAAATAAAGAGAGCGTTGAATAACAGAAGGGCAAGAGAAATTGTCACCATAATCGGTAATTGAGAAAAAAAGGCTTTTTTTATATTTTAAAAAAATCTTTTTGAAAAATTCGAATAACTTTTTCAAATTGGCTGAAAATTGAGACTTATCTGAATTAATTTCACCCCGAAATTAATAATCAGGAGAATGCTGAACGTCCCCAAAGATAAGTACACTCGCCCACGTAATGAGAAAGCCAATTCAAAAAGAAATTCAAAGTTTTTTGGGCGTTTTTTGGACGAAATAATTTCTATCTTTCAGCTTTAAGATTGAGCATTTTCCTGGAAATCGATTTTTCACCATTTTGAAGTTTCAGTACTCATGTTTATGTAATTGAAAGTTTAAACCAATTTCTCACTCTAATTAGTTTTTGTCAAAAACTTCACCGAAAAATAAATAAATTTGTTCATTCTCCCGTATTGTAAATGTATAACCGACGAGTGTTGATTCTGGATTTCGACGTGTTCGGCTCGTCGTTTTCTTCTTCTTCGGTCCACAGCGGCTCGAATTTGTCCGCAGTTTGGACAGACGCAACCTGAAGACGCATAAAGGAGATGATATTTCTTCTTCCTTCACTTTGATCTTATTGGTTGTCTGTGTGTACTTGTTCCTCATCTTCGCCCGCTCCTCGAACTTGTCGTTGAGCATCTTCTTTCTGAAATCAACCCGACTACATCGATTAGAGTTCATACTCACTGATGATGACTCATGAAGCGCATGAGAAGTTTCTCCGTGCCTCCCAAAGCATCCGCATATTTATCTGTGACGTCACCTGTAACATACTAATATTTGTGGACTCTTGCTCTGCGACCTTCTTTCTCCATTCCTTTCTTCTTCGACTTCTCAACATCACAAACTGCCGTGACTCCAATGGACCTTTTCCGATCATCAGCTGCAAATTGATATCCGTATTGGTTTCAGAAACATCATCCCTACCTCCACTCGACAAGTTATTCTTGAAATCCGACTCGATTCGCTTCACAATTCTGGCGAAGAGTACTTCCAACTGCATTTGGACTACATTTATTGACATTGAAACGACAGAAAGTCCGATCAAAATCAGCAAGAAGTTGGCCACGGCCACTCTGTGCCCGGGCGTCAAATCACCGAATCCTCAAATAAATTGATGAAACAACCAAAAAAAATGTTCCAAGATACCGATTGTGGTCATAGAAATGAAAAAAAAGTAGACAGATTCGAAAAAAGTCCAATTTTCGAGGAAGGAAAAGACAACGGTACAAAGCGAGACCCAGGAAAAAAGAACGACGACGACCAGGAACAGCGGCATCGGATGCTGACCATCGGTTCTGGCGGATTTCGATGGCAGATCTTCATTTTTCGAGCAAATTCCCTGAAATGAGATCTTTCCACAAGGTAGCTCTAATCTATCAATAAACTTTTAAAAACTACTCTCAAAGGTGAAGGACCAGTAAATCAAATCAAATCATTTATTTTGTTGTTTTAGTCTGATGTAATCGACTAGGCGGTGAACAAGAACTTTAAAAGCTATAACGAACAACCGCCTTTGGCGAACTAGAAGTCCAAACGTGTAGTCTAAAGAGTTGAAAGCATGGTCTTACGGTCCTTCGCCTCGTCCTTCTGCGCGTAGTCCATCCAGTTGCGCCTTGACGAGCTCAGAATGTAGCGGATGTTGAGCTGGAGCCCGGAGACCGTGCTCTAGGTGGGAGCCTCAGAATAAGAGCGACCACTTCGAGTGAAGATTTTACACGGAATCATCATCCCTGATTTTACACGGAATCATCATCCATGGTCAATATAAATTTTTTGATAAGGACCATCTTTTCGAGCTATGAATTCCAATTGAAACGGTTCTTTCAAAATTACCCAAGGTTTTGATGTTTTCGATCTCTTTTCCGTAATTCCAGTTCTTTCAACTATGATTTCGAAGATAAATCATGTATCCCAGCATTATTTCTTAAACAATTTGACAACTCAGAGCTCCATCAATCATAATCAGAGCAATTTGACACAGCGACAAGAGTTACACAGGTGGTTTGTTGGAAAATATTGCTTGAGACACTGGAAACTGACAAATGGTCGCAAAAATAGAACCATGAACTATGATGAATTGAAGATTCCGACCTATACTGTTTTTCTAATCTTCGAATAAAATCTCCTCAAACATACCTATACTCTTTTAAACTCTTCAGAAAACAAACTTTGAGTTCGATAAAAATCTTCCCGATCGTTTTTCAAAGAAAAGCAAAAAGAGCGGATTTGATGGTGTGGCCGAGCAGTTGTCGGATCTTTTGATTAATGCTCGTAATTGCCCCGGGCGTGCAAAAGTGAGAAAAAAGAAAGAAAAAATGTGCGAGAATCTTGACGGAGATTTGATGTTAATGGGATAATAATGGCTGACCTCTTCCTCGCTGGGCCTCGACTTTTCCTTCAGTTTTCGACTGATCAAGTTGATCCATTGCAGGGCGTAGTTCTGCCAGAAAGCTAGAAATTGAAAACATGAAACATTTTCAACCCTTCATACGGCTACATATGTTCTGTAAAAGTGATTTGTATGCATTCACGGCTCTAAAAACAAATTTCGAAAAAATTTTCAAAAAAGTGCTGTACTTGATTCAATAGCCCACTTGTAACGAGAGTATATTAAATGTATCATTCCGAGGTCGTTTTCTGAATTGTCTTTTTTGATTGCTGTTTTACACATCTAATGACCGTCTTAAAGAACAGACTTCTGCCGGGAGCAATGGACAAAAGCTATTTTTTTCTGCCAATTGAAAGTTATTGGTTCAACCTCGACCGAAGGCCGTTTTTTGAAATCTCATCACAAAAGCTCCACAGCTTTCTATACGAAGCTTACTGTAGCAATTTGAGAATTGAGGGAAACTCACAATTTACTGTGTGGAAAAGCATAGTTCCCCAGTCGTTGAGAATCGTGATCACCATCGGAATTCCTATGACGGCGTAGAGCATCGTGAATATTCTTCCTCCGATCGTCACCGCGGCCAAATCGCCGTATCCTTAATCGGTATGCATCCTGAAGAGTCTCGAGCACAAATCCGTTCTTTGCTTCTGCCAGAAATTCTTACAAAACGAACATTGTTTGGGTAACTTGATACTATTCTTCCTGCATCGACAACTGTCTCAAAGGATTTTGACACTCGGATACCTTTTTTCTCAGGAAGAAGTTATTTTTTTAACCGTCCTTTTATTTTCAAGAAAAGTACAAGCGGGAAACATTGTGAGGACGGCCTGACACATGTCAAAACTGGCCGTTTGTCATATCTGAGTCTCGGAAGAGCCCCAGCAAGATTATATAACTGAAAAATCATTCCTAGGAATCATTCAAAACAATTAGGTATTTAGGAAAAAGAGTTTTAAAGTTAAATGAGTGCTTTTTGGCAAGAAAAACGTATTTTTTTATGCACAAATAAGTCATATGAAATATGTTCACATACTATACAAACTTTTCTTCAAGTTAAACGCTCATGTCCGCACGTGAAATCACTCGATGCGTAAGTATCCAACCGAGGCCGAGATTTTGAGCGCACGAAATTCCGAACGAATGAAGTATCAAAGCGGTATTTCATGTGAAGAAGTTGATAAAACAAACCAATCGTTGTGAAAATGGTGCCTGCGTAGTACAGTCCGCCCCAGATATCCCATTTCGGAAGGACTTCGGATCTTCTCGAGATTCCCATCGCCTGATCGTAGTCGACAAGTGCCTTCCTCAGCTGCGCCTCGTAAAAGTCCGACTGGTTGGACCTTTGGAAGTACATGCTCTGTAAGGTTAAGACTAAACTAGACTCAGAGCCGTGCTGACCTGGACTCGCTCGACGAAAAAGTTCTTGGCAGCGACGCTCTGCCGAACAAGTTTCATGCTGGTCTCGTCGTTGCTGCTCCTTTCGTGCTCAGCCTCGAGAAGTACAAAAACAAAGGCCCCAAATAGACTGTAGCACAAGAGAAAGACAAACAACATAAAATGATGAAGATGGTATTTTTCATAGTTCACGGCAACGAGGTTCCAGAACATCCTGAAAATAATAATTTTTTCCCGTTTCGATCAAATTTTCAGGACTTATAATTCAACTTCAATTGGAAAAGGAAAAACACGAAATATAGAAAAAGGTCCATGTTTTCTCTCAAGCCTCACCTCTTGTCCCGCAGAGACAGCGAAACTCTCCGGAACATCATTTTGACAACTTTTTTATCTTTGAGTTTTCAGTTCTCGAATAGATTATTACTTTCAGAATAAAAAGAATGTTCCGGGTGGACAGGTCGGCCGTTCGTTCGTGAAATGGCACACCTTGGTTTTTGAAAAGAGGAGGGACGTTAAAAGGATAGCTTCACTGGCCAGTGTAAAGTTCAAACTATCGTCAGAAAAAGATGTTTTTTTATTAGTTGGAAAAAAATCCCCCCGAACAAAAATTATAGTAAACGTATAAAAAAATCCCATTTCTCTGAGATTCTCCCCTTTGTATAAACTTTTCAAGATTTTTAATTTCAATGGATATTTATTTTTGTTGTTTTTATTTGTCTATTTATGTAAAATTGATGTAGATAACCAGTTTTACGCAGAAATAATTAAAGAGATAATTAAATTTTTTTGGAACTCTGAGCCATGGAGTCTAATTAAGATATTCACAAGTGCTCGATCTTCAAAACGCCACATATTGTATTAAAAAGTAGAAATAATGCAATATACTGCATTTAAATATGGTGATCATTCTCCATAGAGCTCAAAAAACGTTTCAAAGCCAGATGTGCTGCAATTTTTCCGTTTTTTTTACCCACAATTGTTCTTCACAGAAAAGTGTTTATTCATTTTTAAAGATAGATTCATAGGGGTTCAAAAGATTGAAAAAGCTCGAGACACGGAAAAGTGGAACTAAAACACAAGCAAAAAGAGCAGTGACAAGAACAGCGGGTGCGATGATTAGTTTGGCGCAAGACGCCCCCAGGCGATTTGATCGGCCATCCTCCTCCAGCTCCAAGGCCGAGGATCCGAGATCGCATTTGTGTAACCCGGCCAATTATGTTTTGTGCGACTCTACTTGTAAGCCGTCAGCTGTTCAGTTACCTTCCGACACCCTCCATGTTTGTTCCACAACACAAACTTTCGGCGAGCTGTCGCTTCGAGCAGTTTAGTGGAACGTCTGATGTCATTCCACCTTTTCTGAAGACTTCATATTTTCTCCATTTTCTCCTAAACTAAACATGCCATTTCAATATTTATAGTTTTATCATTCTCTACCTTTATAACAACACAACTAACTTTTCGTGAGCCAGCTTCATTCAAAAGTTTCACTTTTTCAGTTACAGTACCGCTCAAAAGTGTATTAAGTTTTGGTTTTTTGAGAATATCTCATCGAGTACTTATCCGATTTATATATAACTTTCAGGGATAATGTAAAATATACTTTGTAACATATACGGTATACAAAGACATGTTCGCAATCACTGTGACGCGTTTTAGGCATTTTTTTATTGAATTCAATTTTTTTTGTTTTTTATGCTTTTATTTTTATTATTTTTTATTAAATTTTTTAAAAGTAATAATGTTGCCATATGTTTTTTTTCATGCTTTCAGACATGGGAAGAACCTCTGGAAAAAAGGATTTGACTGATAACGACAAAAGAGCCATCGTTGTGGGTCGTCAAAATGGACTGACCATGATGACGCTGGCAGGAATGTTCGGCGTGACGGAGGCGGGCATTTCTCAGTTCCTAAAGCGTTGGAAAGCTCAAGATGGCTCTACTAAGAGCCAACGCACTGGAAAACCACGTGTCACTGATCGTAATGACGATAGAAACATTTTGAAGACGTCTAGAACCAATCCAAGACTCACCGCCCCTGCGATCAGACGGGAAGTTTTCTTGAATTCGCCATCTCCGACATCCGTCACGACCGTGAAACGACGTCTGAATGTTGCTGGAATCATGGGAAGACGTCCAGTGAAGAAACCGATGATTTCTGAAAAAAATCGAGCCGGCAGGGTGAAGTGGGCGAAGGAGCATCTCAACTGGACCCGTCAAGACTGGAACGAGATTCTGCGGTCCGACGAAACGGTCCTCCACCATGTTTCACAGTGGGTAATTGGTATTTCGGATGATATCTGGACCCAATAGGTCTACGAACCCACTGAATTCCGTCACTCCCGAAGAGGAGGAACTTGCTTTCGTCGGACCACAGAATCTTGTTCCAGCCTTGACGCGTCCAGTTGAGATGCTCCTTTGCCCACTTCACCCTGGCGGCTCGATTCTATTCAGAAATCAGCGGTTTTTTCACTGCACGTCTTCCCATGATTCCAGCAACATTCAGACGTCGTTTCACGGACCAGACGGATGACGGAGATGGCGAATTCAAGAAAACTTCCCGTTTGATTGCAGGGGCGGTGAGTCTTGGATTGGTTCTGGACGTCTTCAAAATGTTTCTATCGTCATTACGATCAGTGACACGTGGTTTTCCAGTGCGTTGGCTCTTAGTAGAGCCATCTTGAGCTTTCCAACGCTTTAGGAACTGAGAAATGCCCGCCTCTGTCACGCCGAACATTCCTGCCAACGTCATCATGGTCAGTCTATTTTGACGACTCACAACGATGGCTCTTTTGTCGTTATCAGTCAAATTCTTTTTTCCAGAGGTTCTTCCCATGTCTGAAAACATGATAAAAAAACATATGGCAACATTATTACTTTTAAAACATTTAATAAAAAGAAATAAAAATAAAAGCATAAAAAACAAAAAAAAATTGAATTCAATAAAAAATGCCTAAAACGCGTCACAGTGATTGCGAACATGTCTTTGTATACCGTATATGTTACAAAGTATATTTTACATTATCCCTGAAAGTTATATATAAATCGGATAAGTACTCGCTGAGATATTCTCAAAAAAACCAAAACTTAATACACTTTTTGAGCGGTACTGTACATCCTTTTCATATTTTGCACGATGAAAAAAAGTTTATTTATCTCTTTGGGCAATTTGAGATGAACAAGTTTAAAAAAAAAACGAATTGCCTAATTTGATTAAATTTCAGTAAGCAAGAAAGGAATAAGCTCTCTATAAAGTGTTGAATTTAAGAAAAAGAATGATCGAGCTTCAAGGGCTGTTCTTAGATTTAAAAAAATTAATAATAAATAAAAGAAATAAGATTGTACACGTTGGTAGACTATGAAATCCATCAAATATTTCCAAATTTAAAATATTCAAAAGTCGACGACTAAACGACCCTAATGAATTGGAAAGTTTGGAACATCTCGAAGAAATCCGGTGTCATTTTCAATTATCTGTCGATGGTCAAGCCGTAATCAGGATGTGGGAATGGGTTTTTGCGCGAAGAGCGGCCAGCCCCTGCAATTTGTAGGTTTTTAGAGCTTCGGAGAGACGTCAGCACGGATGGCCGAGTGGTCTAAGGCGCCAGACTCAAGCGATTGCTTGCCTCGAGTTCGAGGCCTCTGGGCGTTCTGGTACTCGTATGGGTGCGTGGGTTCGAATCCCACTTCGTGCAGAATTTTTTGATTTCTTTCTCTCTTTGGAGCAATAATCAGTTTTTGTTTTATCTCTAAAATGGGCCTAATAGGGCTGTCTTCTCACCTCGGCCAAAAAAGCGTCTCTGCACGATGCAAAAAAGTAGCACAGTGGCGACTGAAACGAAGCAAAGTATGCAAACACTGAGGAAGATGGAGAATCTCGAAACGCATATGTCGTTCTGGACCTAAAAAAAAAGAAAGTTGCTAAAAATTGACTCATAAAACCTTTTTCTGTTTTCCTACGCTTTCCAGAGGCTTGCGGACATCTGGAACTGATCAGTAAATATAAAAAGTTGCCGTTTTTTTGAGATCAGAAGCTGAACTCGCCTGTTTCCGGAAGGTCAATGACGTCGACCGAAGGAGCGCTGACGTCGACGTCCATCAAATAGCGGCTGATCTCCCGTCGAATCAGTCGAGAGCTTCTGAAATATTTGATTTTCACAATTTGAAAAAGATTTTATTTTTTTTTTTCATTTCCATAAATATGAATCGACACAGAATCAAAGTTTACATCGCCGGCTTGAAATTAGAATCGAAGTCCAAAGGAGCTTTGTCGCCACTTTCCATTTTTTCTTCCGAAGACGTCGGCTCATCGATAAAGTAATCAGAGTCGGGAACCTGAATCTGAAAATAGAAAAAAATCTTTTCACATGTGACGAAAATACCTGCAGAGCATCTGGAGGTCGAGGAAATCCGCTCGGAATTTTCCCGTCAGCCACTCGATTTGGAGTTTCTACCGCAACTGTCCCATTAAGCCGTTTTTTGTCGCAAACTTCGGTCGGTCTCTGAAAGATTGGTATTGAAGTTCAAAAAATTAGACTTAATCGGAAAAAAAATAGTTGCAAGTAATTAGGCCAAGAAAAATTAGAAAAAGCAGTAAAGAATCGGAATTTTTTAATTCTCAGACCTCGATAACGAAAACGGGACGCGCTCTGGACTTTTCTGAGCGATTCTAGGGATCACTTAAGAGTGCTGACGCTACTAAAGTTGTCACTATAAATGCCCTGACACGTCCGATTTACGTTACCAAGGTCCGAGCTGTTAAACTTTTCTGCGCTTTGATGTTTGGAGTTCTACTTCACCGGTGAAATAAAAATATCTTAGTTGATAGAACTTTCAAATATTTTAAGCTTTTTATCTTCTAAGCCATCTCCAAAAAATTCTTTTAACTCACCGGGCAAACGGCACTAGAGTTATCTTTCATTTGGATCCGGATCATGCAGGAGAAAAATATAGTGGGCCGATCGGCAAACTTGAAGACGTGGGAGATTTGGCCGGCCGTGAGGTCGTCGCTGTACTCCAACGGCTGCAGGAGGAAAGTGTCCAGGGTACAGCTGCAAAGGGGAAAATGGCCTTCTGCCTTCCCAACTCGATTCTTCTCATCAGAAAAACCGAGAAATGGGTACCCATGACTGTCTATCAGTTGTTGGCCCATTCCCTGGCCGTCGTCGGCTGTACAGGAATGTACGGTCATGCAGTAGCGAGTGTTGTCTTTTCCCCCGCCACAAGACCACCTATAAGGCGTTTGAGCAATTATCAATCTCGGAAACTTTCTTTCTTTTTTTAATCGTGTTGAAAAATCTTTGCTGGATTGTTTAAAAAAAGCAAAAAGAGCTTCACGAAGTTTTTGGAAGTTGAAAGTAGTTTCCAGTTTTATATAAGGTCATACAAGAGTTGTGTCACTATCAAAGAATCTAGTAATGTATTTTGAACATGCTATGAAACATTTAATGTTGTTCTTTAAGTTTACCACAGTTTTGACCCAGGAACGTGTGAAAGGAAAGTTTTTCAGAAAATTTATAAAAGTTCAGAGCATCTTTTAACCAAAGCCCTTTTCAAAAGGCTGATTGATATGATAATCAAACTTGTGATAGACAGCGTCCCCGACAGTTGCAAATGTGAGAGGCGAACCGCTCGAAGTCCCACTCAAAACCTGAATATTTATACTTTTCCTTTTTTCTTTCAAGAATTTGAACCTCGTAACGGCAGATTGGAGAAGATTCGGCGTCTTGTTGCTCCATGTTTTGAGGGAGTTCTGTGGGTGGCAACATACTGGAAAAAAAAGCAATTCACTAAATGAAGTCACGAGAAATTCCAACCTGACATCTATATTGTTGGTGACTGTTTTCTGAACCTCGAGGTACTGACATTGGACGTGGTAAGACTTGTCGGTTTGGGTCAAGAATATGGGATGGAACATTAGGACGACCGTCGTGTCGAGTATAAGTCCTTTCGGATTCGACTATAAATAAGACAGTTCTCACTGCTATTTTAATTATTTTCACCATTCTTTTGCGCCGAATTCCGCAGTCTGAATCTACGGGTAGAATCATTTCTAGCGTCGTATTGAGTTTTCCGCCTTGTAAACGACATTCTTTCTTATGGAAGTATCCCTAAAACCATCGGTTCTTTATTATTGAGAAATATTCTGAAGCCCACCTTTGTATACAGATTTCCGTTGAATGGTTCCAAAATTTCGAATTCAACTTTTATTTGGCGAACGCCGCATGTGACTATGGGAGGTCCTGAAAAAATCAAACAGAATAAGAGGAAATAATCGATTCTATTACCTTTAACTCCGTTGTTTATTTGAGGCAACGCTAGTACGGCAGTTATGAAACTCAGGGAAGGAAAAAGGCCTTCGATCATCTTTTTTACATATAATTGAAATGTTCTGCTAATTGGATAATATTCTTCTGAAAAATAACGGGATCCAGCTCTTCTGAGAGGGCTTGCGAAAATGAGGACAACCGTCAAATGAAAAAAGAAGGAGAGCAGCTGTTTTTCCGAGTCTGTAATGCGCGATGAGCCATGAAGAATGTGTTTTAGAGACCCTTCCAGGCCAGTTTGAAATCGTAAAAAAAAGGAACCCCGCTCATGGATCAACAGTCAAAACGTTAAAAAACCCGACTAAGTGAGAAACTTCAAAGAATATTGAGTTGAAGATCAACCTTGCAAGTTATACTTTGAGAAGTTTCTCAGTGGCAGTTCTTAAATTGTGCCTTTCCATGAGCAATTACCTAGAAGGTTTACCCAAACGACCTTGAAGCTTCAGACCGGTGAAGATTTGTTATTTCGAGAGCGTACTTCTGATAATTGCGTGGGAATTTGACGAACTATCAAATATACCAGTCGAATCGATATGTGTACATTTTTTTTCTTTTTATTGGGTGATTGGATTGTTTAAACATCAATGAATTGCTGTGTTTTTGAAGGCGCAGAAAGTTGTGTCTCATGAAAAAGGCTCATCGCCACGAAAACCAAATGAACTTTTTCAAAGCTTTCAGTAAGCTTTTGTCAACCAGATAAGCCTTTTATTTATAGCAAAATTAAGAGTGAAAGATTGAGATTCCTGCTCAAAGACCGAAAAGCGAAACAGGCAGAAGTTTCAAAAAAGTCTCGACCGGCTTACAAAGGATCAAAACCTTCGCCGAAAAAGCGCGACCACGGCAATTTCGCCGTCGGTTTTTGCTGGTGAAAAGACTCTCGGAGGGCGTTCTCCACAGGCAAAGGTTCAAACTCAGGCCGGTTTCATAGCGAGCCGAAGAAACTTCTTTTCGCGTCGGAAAAAAGGACGACCGCCGCGTCTAATTGCGCTTAAACTTGGAGAAGAAGTGCCGAACGGAATGATGAATCGCCCTATCGTCGTTTCAACTCAGAAGGGATGAATCTTGGAAAAATTCTAAGATTTCTAAGAAATAAGCTGGTTGAACCCGAGGATTGGAATCTGTAGGAAAAAAAAGTAGAAGGAGGGAAAGGATCAAAGCGAAAAAGGAAAAGGACGAATGGGGTCCGGCTGTTGGCAGATTCAGTTTCCAGTCAGCTTCGGAAGAGGTCGAATTAGCGCGACACTCGAGTCCAACGGCCCTTTTTTTTCGCTTCCTCTCACAGGCGACAAGTTCACCCGGTTATGTCCTGTCTAATTATGTAACGCTCTTCCGAAAAATTGCGCAATAAAATCATGCGGCTCTTGAGATTTCGGAGATGATCCAGTGTCTCCACAGCTTCTGCTGTCTCGAACGAAGGAGAAATCTTGCGTTAGACTAGAAATGTATTCAATTTGAAAACTAAAGCTCAATTTCCAGAATGCACTTCAGATTTACCCCAAATCAGATATAACAACGTTTCATACCCGAAAAGCATTGATGAAAATAAGATTTATACGCTACTAATAGTTTCGGCTGTTGGTGTTTGCTTTTCGCTCTCCGTCATATCTTTTTTCGATTCCAGTTGCTCTACGACGTCTTCTCGCTCTTGAGCCTGAAACTACGAATGAAAAAAAAAACATTTTTTAACTCGGCTACTGGAAAAGTCGGCCACTTTTTCAGGATGCCTAATTTTTAAGTTTTCACAAATTAAAAAGTTTTTGGGTTTTTTTTATGGTGTTAACGGTTTTAAAGTGCGTATTTCTCCACAGTATGACCAGTTTTGAAAAAAATTATGGTCATTAAATTCATAAAAATAAACTTTTTTTCTGAGCTTTTTCTATTTCATTGCTTTCAAATCTTAATTAACACTGTTTCGCAATTAACATGTTTCGATTTATGGTTAAGTTGAAAAGGTTGAAATCGAGTTAATGGAAAAAAACAACAAAAAAATCTTTAATTTTTTTGGCCGCCAATATTTCGTTTTTCAAAACTTTAAAACTAACCACAATCGAGAATTCTAAGCATTTTAGACACTCAAAAAATTTAAAAATTAAAAAAAAAATTTTCAAAAAATGGTCAATAAAAAGTTAAAGTTACCGAACTGACCGACTTTTCCAGCATTCCTTTTAACTCTGATAAAGTTTCTGAATGCCTAAAGACTTCAGATAATTATACAATGACTGACTTCATATACAGGAAGTTCAGCTAGTAGCCGTGGTCCCGTTAACGCGATGATGAAGTCCATCACCGGAGCTGTGAGCAGAACGGAGATTATACAAACTTGGAGAACCTTCAATTTACTTGTTCCAGCATAAATTGGCTTGAAATTAATGTGGTCAAAATAAAGATGCAAAATCTTTTCAGTAGTAGAAATTCAAAAGTAGTGGTGAAGGGAAGGCTCGCAATAACTACAAATACGGAAAACGACTTTTAGTAACGACGTTCTTTTCTGAACTTCTTTTCAAATGGACTTAGCGCTTACAGTATTTGCTTCTGGCAGATATGGAGGAACCAAGTGAGCCATTGTAACCAAGGTGGGTCCAAGGTCCGCCTTAAAATCCGAAAATAAGGAAAAAAATATCTTCAGGAGTGACACTTGGAGTGTAGCTCTAGGAAGCATAGCGAAACCCATGAGAAGACGGTCTTTGTGATTGAATGGGAAGAATGAAGCGGCGAGAAAGACAAGAGCAACACGAGCAAGAAGACCGATCAGAATAATTCCGACGCTGATTCCGACGATTTTGGCGGATAACTGAAAGAGAATCTGGAAACTGGAATGAATTATCGCAATACCAGCTCTCCGTCCAACTTCATGCCAAGAAGGATGAACAGAATTGGAAGCGAGAAAAAGTCCCACAAAATTCGGAAAGTCGTTTCGACAGGGATCGCCTTGCAACGTAAGAAGTTTTCGGGTAATTTCTCAAAAGTTAACTTTTTTCTCATTGTCTTCTCGCCATCTCAACGGCGCCACGCAGCAAATCAAAACTCCGCATAGCATTCCTGCGCAGGGATACTTCAGTTTTATCGACCCTGAAAATGACACTTTTTCCTTTTAATAAACCTAGTTACCCATAATAACAGCGGTGCAGAGTGATCCCAGTAGTAAAGATCGAGAAAACTGCATATTGGAGAAGGAATTGCTTGGAAAGTACCATAATATGACACCTAAATATTTAATGAAATTTTCTTCTTTGGACGAAAAAACCAGCCAAAACTCCAACTGCAGTGGCCAGAACTAAAGAGAGCAAGTTGTACAGGATCGTGATTTTCGGTGACACTTGAATTCGAAAAAATTAAAAAAATTAAATATGATTGAACAAAAAAATCACCGTCAGAAAAACGTGATGGAAGCGATAATCATGAACAAAGACATGCAAGACAGATTGTCGAAACAACAGGCCGCCAGAACGTTGTCAGGAATTCTCTTCAACCTCAGCTCATGAAGAAAAAGAAAAGTCAGGATACCTTTTTAATTCCAATGTTTCCTTCTCGAAATTTTATCATTGACGGGACTGTGATCGCTGGGGAGACGGTGGCCACAGCAAGTCTAAGGAAGGAAATTATGTCTTGAAAGTCAAGAAATTATTTTTCCGTAGAAATTCAAAACTCCAAATGTATTCAATGGAACGCTTGAAAAAGAAAAAAACCCGCAAAGAGAAGCCATAGTGAAAGAGAGTCCAAGTAGAAGCCACGCGGCGACAGTCAAGACCAAAGCCTCAGCTAGAGCCGTCAATCCCAAGGCAATCGGGAAGGCCTCAAAAAACAAGACTATTCAGAAAGTCGAGCCTAGTTACAAATTTCAGAAAAGTCCAAAAAATTATTGGCTGATGTTTTTCCAGTTGAGCTTTCTATGAATGGACTTCTACTATCTACGTAAGATGTATTGATACTTTTGAATTTTTTTCTTGATTTTGAGATGAAACTTTCTCATTTCTACTAATAATAAAACTCAAAAACTGAATTCACAAGGAAAAAATAATTAACTTTTTCCAGTACGAATTTCAATACAAACTGTCTCACGTTCAAATTTCAATATCTTCCGTGAGATACTGTACAGTTTCGTAAATATACCCGATTATTCGCGATGAAACGAGCATTGATTCCGAGCCCCCAACGGACAATAATATTAACGAAGGCGAGTTTTCTGAGTATCAAATCCCAATATGGCGGTAAGATGAACAGCGAATTCAGAGCTGGAATCGTACGAATGACGATTCCCATTAGTAGCGGTCCTTGAATTAAATATAAAATACTGATAGAAAATCGAAGGTACCGAAAAGAGTTGGAAGCCGACAAATCGAAGATATCCAACTGGAAACAACAGCGATGTTAACAAGGAAAAAGGCCAAGAAAACGGTTTTTGAGTCATTTTCTTCGCTGTGGGAATCGGGTTCATGAAGAGGGTCGACTGGAAATTTATAGATAATGATGGAATCAAGAATATTGAAATTCACAAGCAGATAGCAAAAAAATGATTTTAAAAAAATGAAACAACACACCTGGAATTACGTAAGCAAACTTTAAAAATTTTTGATTGAATATTCAGCTTGAAGATTATTAAGGACAAAAGAGTTTAATATTTGAAACCAAAACTTACATACTGGTTGTCCCAAAACGGCAGCAAAAGCGAAGTAAAGTGTTATAAGTGTAAATAAATAAGTTATTATCGAATTGACCTGAATTTTCTGTTTTTCCAATAAAATAAGTAAAAAAAACCTCGTTGTTTCGCAAGACCTTCATCCTTGAAGAAGTGATAATAAACTGAAAATTGCAAAATTGATGCCTCAATTATTTTTTCAATGAAAAGCCACAAACGATCATAATGGGAAGATAATTTCTTGCAATCCTTCTTTCAATTTTTCAAAAGTTTTGGAAAAATATAACTCACGAGAAAAAGAAATCGCAAAAAATGTCATTAAAAACAGATTGAGATCGGAAAAATGCAAATATATTGATGGAAGAGACACCATACTTCACGGCAACCTTTTGGAATCGGCTGTTACACAAAGTTTTGCTGTGCGGCCTCTTGAAAACAAAAGACACAAATACAATACGAACTTTTTTCCAATTACTGTTTCATTTCCATGAAATTTCTCGAAACCCTCAAATCATTACATATTTACTTCCAATTAGAAAAAATAGTAAAAAACAATGAATAATGACAGTTCTGATTACGTAAGTTCCTTGGGACAAGTAGTAAATTATACAAATAAATAAAGAGAATAGATAATGGGTTATGGCGCCAAACAGAGTGAGAGATAAGATAATTTTCCAGTTTCGCTTCATTTCTTCAACTTTTTCGACATTTTATGCATGAGTTTCGTTTTGTCCTCTGCGAGTTGCCGCATTTCAGCGTCGATTTGTGCCATTTCTGACCGGAATCTGTCTTCGATTTCTCGTGCGCGGCAGTTCAACTTCAAAAAAAAACTTTTGAACTTTTTGGTTAGCCTTTTTTTGAATGCAATTAGGACTAATTTGAAGGCAATATTCACAAGTTGAGCTGACACTGAAAACACGAAATGAAAATAAAAAGCATTTCACCTCACTCATTGGAACTTTGAAAAAATAAAAAGAAAAATATTGGATCGATTTTGAATAATATTCATTCCGAACCTGTTCCTCGGCGGTCCTCATCTCAGCTTCGGTGTCATCCAACTTCTTTTTGAACTCTTCACGGAGCGTCGCCTCCTTTCTCGCGTATTCGTCTTGATATTCCTTGTGTTTCTGAAAATTTTGATTTTTGATACTTTTAAAAAATGAACCAATCCAATATATTTTGATAAAAACAAACCGTAGCCATTCTCTCAATCATTTTCGGCCCATTTTCGCCGTCGCCAAACTTCATCTGCCGCATTCTTTCACGACGATAATTCTCGTACAAAACCTTTGAAAGGAGGGAATTTAACAGAAAAAGTTCATTTGCAAACCTCATGTGTCCGTTGCCGCATTTCATCGACATTTGTGCGCAATAGGGCCTCTCTCAGCTTCACAAAGTCGCAATGTTGCTCGTTTTCAACTTAAGAAACATATTCATGGTCCCATCTGATAACCTTTCTAACACTTCCACAAAAAAATTTTCAAATTCGAACTCACGGAAAAGAAAATTTAAAATTTCGTCTCAAATAATAAAGAGACGAGTATTCGTAATTAGTTTTTTCAATCGAAAATAATATATATTTGAAGAAACTTTTCACTTTCAGAAAGTTTCCGATAATTGGACTTCATATCTAAAAAAACTGTAACATGAAGTTCTGAGATAAGCAGAAAAAAATTCAAAACTTGAAAAAAATTTTAAAAAAATTTTTTTTTCTTTCAAAAATATTGTTCTTCTTTTTCAAAAAAACCTGGCGGCACGAATTAACCTTCAACAACGCCCCACGGATATTTTCGCGCCCTGACTCTTTGGCCATTTTCCTTGATAATGTGGTCAACACTTCCTACGACGGCAAATGGTATCGCCGAGTTCATAGTAGAGTTCAGGGTAGAAACCTTGAAAAAAAAACTGTAAAACAAATAGATCGTGAAACTCCTAACCGCCTCGTCATCAGTTGGAAAGTGGTAGATCTCAATCTTTTGCGCTTTCAACTCGTTCATTATCTGGAAACAAATATATTTCAATCAAAGATAAAATAATGTGGCATGTGGAAAAAGTTAGTCCAGGTCAAAATGATCATTTTCTTTTTCGGGAAGCTCTCTGAACCTGTGAAAAATTTCCTAATTGACTTTTTTTGTAATATTCGCAAATTTTTTTGTAAAAAAAGTTTACTAGCTTTTTTTCTTATATTTTTTTCCCGCACGGGACATGGTTTTTTTAAGAAAAATTTCAGACATTGAGGAAAAAAATATTGGAAAAAAAGATACTACGAGAAAAAAAGGGGAATAAATAAGCAAAAAAATTTTTTTACAAAAAAATTTTTCAGTGATTCAAACTTCGAAAAAAATGAACGCAACCTTTTCTTTGAAGCGAGACAATTCATCTTTGCAAGTAGTGTCCGCCTTGGCTATAACCGGAATAACGTTGACTCTCTTGGCCAACTCACGCAAAGTCACCAAATCAAGCGCTTTCAGCCTTCAAATTCACATTTTCATCAGAAATACGTTTTAAAAATATTGATCCATGTTATATGACAAAGAAATTCATTTAGCCGTTAGAGCAATCTAGAACTTCAAAAAATTATTACCCGTGGCCAGTTGGCGATATAAAGTACAAACAGGCGTGGATTCTCGTGTCTTCGAAAAACTGAAGTATGCGACGGACCTTGAAGTTCCAATATAAAAATATAAAGTTTTATCAAACAAAAAAACCTTCAATTCTTCCTGGAGATAACGTTCAAATTGGGTTTCCAAGTAGTCAGCTATCACTTTGGCGCTAGAAAAATTGAATATATATATATATGGGTTTTTTCTCATTTTTATTCCATATTATGGGATACTGTGATTGATAAATCTTGAAAAAAAATTATTTGGAAAGGCAGGACGATTAAAATATCATTCTGACACAAAGCTTCAATTGATCAATGAATCAGAGCTCTAGATTAATTAAATATTATTCAAATTGAGTTCGAAACCTCTTATCTTTGTCGAGCTGATCACCAAAACCAGCCGTTTCTACCAACTGTAGCTTCACCCGGATTCCACCTTCCTCGAGGTCTGCAATAATTTTGTCCCGTTGAAAAAAAAAAAACGTTTTTTTTAAACCGATAGTTTTAGTCCTCAATTCCACAGTTCGAAGCTCATTGTTACAAGGTTCAAAGTCGACTTTTCTGTCAAAAAGCGACTCAATCAACGTGGTTTTACCCATTCCCGTTTCTCCAACACACATCAAATTGAACTGGAACCTGTAAATTATTTAAATGGGGGTTTAGACAGAAATTGAGAACAACAACGCTTTGTAAAGTGAGATATGCTTTACTTGTATTCAAAAAATTTTACCGGTAACTGTACAAGGTTGAAATGGGGCCATTATAATTCAAAACAGCTACTTTTTTTTTTAAATTTCAACTCAAATAAACGTTTTTTTTTTCTTTGATAGTAAACAGCTGGAAAACGTACCCAGCCTCGACCGCTTTTTTCACCAGTTGATGCGGAAGAGAGTCGAATCCAACATGACCATTCAGCTGAACGACGCGGCCTGTATCAACCTGAAGCTCTTTTTTTCGAATAGATATTCCACTCCTAAAAAACTTTTTTGGAAGTGACCGGCTGCGATTGAACACTCGTTCTTTTGGTGGCTGTTGTGCCAGTGGACGCGTTGGAGAGCATTGAATTGTTTTGATTATGACTCGGAACGGGTGGTGGTGGATTTAGGGGCGGCATCTTAAAACTGATTTGGAAGGCTCGTTTTGAGAGCTTCCTCACGTGCAAAGGTTTGCGGTCAACTTCTGTCATCGGAATCTTGGGCTTAGGAAGGATGATTGGTAGATGCTGAAATTATTCAACTCGCAAAAAATATGAAATTAAAGACGGGGAAAAGTTCGCGAAACAACTCACCATTATGAAGGAGTCGAGTATAGTTTTCAGATTAAAGACTATTAGGATAGACTGATAACTAATTTGTTGGCAGATCGCAAAATATTATGCAGCGCAGCGCATCAGGACTTTCTTGGTGTGAAAAGATTTTTTTTGCGGTCGGGACGACGAAAGGAGAAACAGCTGCGCTTTTCGACACAGAATAAATAGACTGTCAAAAGGATATTTGTGAGATGCTAGAAAAAAAACCTAAAGGTTTTAATGATAAAACGAATGATCCTAAAAAAAAAACTGAATAGTGTAAGGGTACGTAAACTAAAAAGAGAAAAAAAAAATATTTTTCATATTTATTTTCAAAACGTATATATTTTTGCGAGTTTCTCGAATATTATGAAACTTGGATACATTTTTGAACAGAATCAAAAAGAAAAAAAGGAAGACAAGAAGTTTTAATCAATCGATCAATCATTTCGCGAAACTTTAAAGTAAAAAGATAAAAAAATTCAAATTTGCGACTTCCGCGCCTAAAAGGGAATTTCAAGGGACTACTTGAGGGGTCTTTTTTTCAACCGACTTCCTTTTTTTTCACTTCAAATCTCCTTATTATCTTTTTTTCTCTTTTTTTGTTTTTTATTTTATGAGTTATAAACGGCATAAAAAAATTTCAATTCGAAATTGTCTCAGCGGCGCATTTTTGAAGTTAAATCGCGAAATTAATGAAAATTAATTAAGTAACAATGAGTCACGGATTTATACATCTATAGCGTTAGAGTTATTTAAAATAAACCGAACGCTCCTTTTTCGAATTATTTTGGGATTCGTGCGAAGATTCAGCGCAGCTGCCCGCCAGATGCTTCTCTTTTTGGTCTCCATTCATCTTTTTTCCATTCTGTCATTTTGACGAGGTCGAACATCAAATTAAAAAGTAGAATGGCCAATTTTTTTTTGTAAAAAAAAAGAAAAAAATTTATTGATTCGTAACAAAGACCCGCAAAAAAATACTGATAATTTCGGTAATGACGAGGCAAATTATAAAAAAGAAGCCAGAATGAGAGGAAGAAAATATGGAAGTGCAGAGGCCGAATTCGGTGCCCTTCGTCGCGAACTTCGCCGTCCGCTTATCCGGCGGCTTTCCGACGACGCCACCGTTCCATCTTGCGTTGGTGAGGACGATCCGCCGTTGCAGTACTCGCCCGCACAATAGCAATATGTCACGTTCACTCTGCAACTGTGAGTTATTTCAAATAGAAGGGAACATCTGTTGCCTCAGAAGAGAAGGAGAAAAGAAAGAAGAGTCGCGGAAGGCTTTTTTTTAAATATATTTCTACCGAAAGCCCTCCTTGATGTGAAAAAAAATGATACTAGACGTTTCTGTTTGCGAGACTTGCTATGCACAGATCCTGTATTGATATTTCAATCGTTAAATTTATTATTTTTGCTGAAAAAGTTATTCATGAATTGTTCTTTTTCGAGTTAATTTTCAAGATGTCTTTTAACTTGCCATAAAAACTGAGGCCTGAATGACTTTTTTTATTCGACTCATTATTTTCACCCTTGAAATAGGATAGTCAAGTTGACAACAGATTTTTTTTTTAAAGTTCATAACTGAAGAACTAAAAAAATTCATGTATGAGCTACTATTAAGTATATTAGAACAGGCATTCATGTATTCATGAAACAAATTATGGTATGCAGAACAGACTTCCTTGTTTTTCCTCTTTCTTCTGTCTCAATTTTGAAAAAAACGACTCACACATAGTTAGATCGAACAGTTCTCTGATGAGTAACGCAGGTTTCATTCTGGCCTTCCTTCAGATCGTGCTTCTTCTTGGCCACTGGCGGCTGGCAGTCTCTGACGATCCCGATGGACTTTCCGATGTGAGGTCCGCTGGCCGCCGTCACGTTGACCGTCATGCAGAGGCCGGGGCAATGGACGCCGTCTTGCAGCTTCTCTTCGTGGAGACAAGAATCGTCGCCTTCCATCGAGTCGCCCTGTTGCATCGGAAGGCCGTAGCGAGACCAATTCTGAGCTTCTCCATTTAAATGACCTCATTCGTGTGAGATTTCAGGTTAATTGAAGTATTTTTTACGGTATCAGCAAAGAACTTATATTAAAAATTAAAAAAACGAAAAAAAGATTTCTCACCATCACTGCTCTTTCGGACGCGCATTTGTGACAAGAGAACGCCTCACTTGTAGAGGGCAATGAGAATGAATACGTCAGAAGAAGAAGAAACCACATCTGAACGAAAATGAGGTTGAACTTCTTTTGAGAATCGATAATTCACTTCGAAAAGCCATTAGAAAACGAAATAAAAGTTTTAACCAAGTAAATCATCATAAAACTTTCTCAAATATCTTCTGGAAGGGTTGTCTTTTTGTTAAAAAATAGTTATTGCCCGCAGATAGCAATCTTGCAAGTCAGTCTAGAAAAAACAATTGGCATGACAAGTTTGAAGGATCACTTCAAGGTGGGATATTCGACCGCGATTGTTTGCTCTTTGCACATTTTCAACTCGAAATTCGCGAGAAAACTTGGGATATTGATTGTTTTAACAAAAATAAACAAAAGTTATTAGGTCGTTTACTAAGTTTCTTTCTTTTTTCGGTTGAAAGTTACTTGGTGTATAACTTTTCAATTTTGGATTCAAACAGCAAACAATTTCTCTCCCGTCATCCTCAGCTATCTGTTAACATGTCTGTTAATTTTGGAGTTCTTGACTTTAAAACGAGCAATGATATACTCAAAAAAAGGTTTCTTCTAAAAAAATTTATGATTTAATGTTTTGTAGTTGATAACAACGAGGGAGGATAGAAGTACAGATAGATTAGGCAAGCTGACTTTTTAAACAAAAAACCAGCCTAAAAATCTTTTTTCTTCAAAAATTTCGGTCAGTGATCAATGACAATGACATGGTCGCTGAACATTTAGACGCTTTTCTCATCAACGGCTTTGAGGATGATTTTGATTTTTGTGGTTATTTAGTACAGACATTGTCTGTATCGGTCACGTTTTCTTCAGAAGGTCTAAACGTTTGACGCCGTCAGAGAGCCTCCAGAAGTTAATCAAGCTGTCATTTCAGTTGATTACCGTTTCTTAAAATTTTAGGCAGCAAAAACTCAGTTGAACCACTTCTGCTTTGACACATGGCTGCAGTGAACTTTGTTGTACTTGTTTTTTTATTAACTTGAGAAATAGCAAAAGAAAAGAAAATTTGAGAGTGGATAGAAACCACTGCCATGGTGCTATAAACATTTTTTGATGAAAAAAGGCTGTAAAATTAAATCCTCGAGTTTCACGGTAGCTGCCGGTTGCTAATGTTATGCCTATAACTTTTTTCAAAACCTCCAACCTGATAGATAATTACGAATGTACTTCGGGTGATATCAAACGAAAACAGGACGCGCATTATTTCAACAATGTTGGCCAATCATAAATTTGTATGGTCTGGCTTTTGAATAAATAACTCATTTCTCAAATTTTTTGGAAGCTAACGAAAACTTTCACGAGCAAGCACACGACCTCAGTTTACGTTTTATGTAACTTGTTCGAATGATAAGATTGAAAAAGTAAGATAAAAAATAAATTCGCAAAACTTTCCAAAAATCGAGATTTTTTGAGTTCGGGCAAAGCTCTGTATCTTTTTTCTGCATAGTGTTATAGGAATACAGTTAGTTTTAATCTGAACTTCAGATTGTGAAGTAGTAAATACTATATGAAGCAAAATTGTGAGAAGTGCTTTTCTGGTTGAAAACTATTTTAAAAAAAGTCCTTCAAAAAAGAAAGAAACTTAGTAAACAACCTAATAGATGAGATTTCTCATTCTTCAAAAAAGAAAGATCAGCAAAATGTAGCGCAAAAATTACAGCTACATGAAGAAAACTCATTCCATTTTGAAAACTCTATTTTTAGTTGTTTTTTCGATTTACAGTCATAGATAGAAATCTCAGAAGCTGCAAAAGTTTAGCTTAAAACAGCGATGAAAAGAGGAGAAAGTATTTCTTATGAATCATGTTTCTTTTGAAGAGTTATTTTTAGCTTGAAATGAAAACATGAAGTTTTGAACGGCATCGGTCGACGGTGGGCGATACCGCGAATAAGTGGGTGGAGCACTTGAAACCGCGAAATGCAATACGAACATCTTCCGAGGCTTCACGTCGGGGCTTGTGTGTTCTGGCGAGAGAATGTTTGGACAACACAGGCCTCGAGGGATGGGCCAATTGCCCGTCGATTAGTCCTCCATCGGCATTGTTATTAGTTCTCGATCGTACAGTTTAGAGTGAAGGTAGAATCAAAAAGAGGATGGTCGTTTTAAAATTACAGGTTTTCTTTAAGATGGTTGATTATTTGAAAGAGAATATCGTGAGATACTTGAAATTATAATTTTATTTGAAACATCGTAGCTGAATCCAAAATATCGAAAAGATTTAGGGAGTCTGTTAGAATGACTAAAGAAATAGCAGAAATGGGATGAATCGGAAATGTTGGATCTTTGCGCGACTCGCATGACCCCATCTATTGTTACCATTTAAAGGTCATGGCAGTCCTCAAATGGTCATTAATGGCATGGGGGAACGATCTTTTGTGTAAAACCAGGCTTTTTCCGACGCCTCGGCAGCGATTTGAACATTTTTTTTGGATTTAGTAGTCGCATGTATATGAATTTTAAAAGCCTGAAGATTACTATATTTCAAAGCTTTTAGGTTAAAAGAAGGAGAGGAAGGATTGGAGAGCGTTGGCGCGCCAACAGATGGCCGCCGCTTTGTTTTGCCGATCATTAACTGTTTTTTCATCTTTCGGATGATTCGATAGACCTACTCATCTCAAAAAAGGCCAGAAAAACGTTAAACAATGAAAAAATGATCGAAAATGAGGGGAAACAAAAATGAAGTTTTGCTAGGTGCAGCCGCGGCAGCAACGTCAATATTAGGTCGACATCAATCGGCGAATAAATCTGTTAAGCCTGTCACTCGGCCTGCTCGACAATATTCCTTGATTCCACGCAGACTTCAATATGAAATAATCGATATTTAAAAAAATTAGACTGTTTTTGGAATTGAAAAAAACTTTAATATTCAAATAACCTGAGATGTTTTGCAATCTTCTTTCTTTCAAAAAAAGTTTATTATTTTTGAAAGTTTTGAAGTTCTTTGAAATTTTTGCTGAATAAACTTCAAATTTGATAATAACCGATGAATGCAAAACTTCTTGCAAACAATTATCAATCGTCATTATTGATTCTCGAGTTTTAATCGAAGCGAGCTTCTAGGAATTTGTGCGAGTTAGGATAATCAAATAATTCGTTAAAAAATCGAAGAGTTTCGGGTTAGCCGAGTTTTAGAAAAATTAGAAGTTTCCACAAAAACGACTCTCCTTGTGAGACCTCGGAAAGAAGTACAGTTCAAAAAAAAAAGTAAGCCTATTACGACTTCCAAGCAGATTATTCGTCCCTGCAACCGGGTTTCAAGGTGCGAAAAAGCCGAAAACGATGTATTCAGAGAGATTTTCTAACCCTCTCTTTTGAATTTGGCTTTTCCAAGGTTGCGGGATTAACTTCTGGTTTTTGGCATCGCAACAGTCCAATCGGTATAAATTCGAAAAATAAACGAGGAAAAGGCATATCAACCTTCTCTGTCAACATTATTTTACAGTTAGAAACTTTTTTTAAAATTTACTCTTTTTCCCCGAAAAGTGTTTCAAAAAAATGAAATCTCATTATATTTTCATTTAAAAAAACCAAAAAGTTTAATATTCTATCTTCATCACTCGTTTTATGGTCTTTTCCTAGTTTTGCGCCTCTTTTCGCAGATTGGTTTTCTTTGATGATATCTCTCAGACGATGCTTCGACTGATTTCCAACCTCTGCATCATTGGTGCAGTTTTGGCGGACGCCTACCACAATGAAGCTCCAGTGACACCTGAACCTCCAGCTCTGGCTCAAGTTGGTCCCGCTCCCTCAGCTCTGCCAGCGGCTACAACCAACTCCTACTCGGCGAGCTACAGCCTGGCTCAGCCTCAGGCTCTTCCCCAGACCAACGAGCCGACCTCCTTCCAACAGGACTTCGCACAGCCTCAGCATCAAGCTCCCACGCAGACCAACTCACCTAGCCGACCAGTTTCTCATGCTCCAGCTCGTTATGGATCTTACCAAAGCCTGCCAGTTTATTCTCTTCCCACATACGGCATCAATATCGGACAGTTCCAACCACAACCTCAGTACTCTCCTTACCTAGGAGTGAACACTTTCGGCTCGCCCTACCAACTCTACCAGCCGCAGCAGCCAGCTCAGCAGATTTTCGTCCCTCAGTCTCAGCCTTCGTTCTTCAATCAACAAGTGCCTACTTCAAGCGGCTATGGCGGTCATTTCAATAGCCTTCTTGGTTAGTTTTGAGTTTCTTGATGAAAAATTGGTCGAATGAACGATTTTTAGGAAACTTGCCGGCAGCCTCGTCTGCCTACGGATCACCGCAGATCAACTTTCCTTCTCCGAACTTTTCTGTAGCCGGTCCTTACTCTCCATCCAAACCATTGGACTCTCGAAATGGTGTTTTCCTCCCAATCGAGAAAAAAACGTATCATTCTTCCATTTACAGGACTTCCGAACTCGAGCAATCAGCCCTCTTCTCAACAAAACCTCGACACATGGGCGGCTCTAGAAGCGTCTCTTCGACACCCAAACAGGGCGAGAATCGTTAAGAACTGAGACGAACCTCCAGGCTTCAGAGAAACTGCTCATTTTTCTCTAAATCGCTAATCCTTTGTCTGTAAAATAAAAGATGTCAAATAGAGGAGCTTGGAACTTCAGAATTCGGTTCTTTGAAAAGCTTTATTGGTGTTACAGCACTCAGAAAAAATTAGATCAGAAAAAAGGAAAAGCTTTTTCGAAGAGCTTTTTTTCAAAACTGGAAGCCCTGATCGTCTTTGATGACGGCGGATCTTGGAGTCAGAAGGCTGTCCCTCTGCCACTGGAGATACCAATAAAGTCTCCTGCCACACACCATGTCGTACGCTTTGAACAGAACCAGTCCAATCATGGACATCACCAGGATCTGCAAAAAACAACATTTCTGAGAAATATGAGGACCGCAGCAACTTTATTGACTTCTTCGCCGACTGCGACGAAGACCAGAAGGACGACGACGTAGGCCAGCGACATGAGCAGGTCCATCGCCGTCGCGAACAAGTACGGGAACAGAACTTTTGTGCTTTTCGTGTAGACTGCTACCTGTAGGTGCATTCAAAGATGATAACTAGAAAAGAAAAAAGGAAAAACTGAGTTTATACACCTTCTTGTCATTAAACGCTTCGATCTACTCTTTCCAACGGATGTCTATAGAAAATAGGAAATTTTCAAATGAGAATTTTGTCTTAAAAGGTTTTTCAATAACTTTTCTTTATCGTGTGTAATAGCGCTTTTGAAGACATTTGAAGTCCAAACTGTCGTTTTCTTTTTGAGTATTGACTTTGATATTTTTTGAGATTTCATGCAATAAATGAACGCTGTGATCACTTATTTTTAGTTTCTTTTTTTGAACTGGTCACATCTTTGCGTTATCGTAATGATTTTAGCGCTTTTTGCGAATAAAGTTAGATGCTTTTTTGTTTTTCAAAGACTTTTTCAATTTGTTGGTACGTCGAAAGTAATTGACCAATGCCAGGATGTCTGTGAAGACGTGGATGATGATCCAGAAGAGCAGAGGACCGTTAGTCGTGCAAATTCGATGTTCAGAAAACATGGGCGGTTCGTTGTATCTTTCCAACAAAGTGACATTATACGTTTGGCACGTCATCAGAGGATGTCGGACTCCTTAAAACTTCTTTGTTGTCCTTCTAAAGTATTCAAATAAAGCTGAGAAGGCTCGCTTCTGGAAATAGACTATGGAAAAAGGAAAAAAAAAATCCACGTCAACCAAATGAAACATTTTTCTCTTTTCTTTGAGTTACATAACGAGAAAATAGAAAACCTGTGAGATATGTGACAATGATCGCGATTGTTTCCATGGCCCTCAAAACCGCGACAGAGATCCAGACGTGGCAGCATAAGACGTTGTATTGGAAGTGTTCCATTGGTTTCTCCAACCCAAGAATTCAGTTATCGAAAACATTTTTTTTTCATTTTGTTGAGATTTCGGGCAAAAAGCACTCTAACTTTTTCATGAGTGGTTTTAACTTTTGTTTCCAGCAAGAACAGAAAGCTTTTGAGAAAAAAATATTTTCCAATTCTTAGAATGGTAGGGATTTTCAGGAGAAAAAGAACTTGTAAAATCAAGAAAAGACTGCAAAAGCTGCTTTCCGTGAAAAGAAATGACGCTGAGCAGCGAAATCTTCGTCGAGGACTCTGTCCCGGAGTCACTTCAAGCGTCTTCGATTAATTTTGACATGACTACGTCAGAAGTTGACATCGCCCAAATCTTACGTGAAAAACAAACGCCTTCTGTCTTGAAAATGCGGAATCTTGTTGAAGTATTTGAAATATTCAAAAATTGCATATTAGAACTTTTTTTCTGTTACCACAGAGAAGAGTTTCGTCTAACTGTTAGTGGAAAAAAATTTTTTTCAGAAAAAAATCTAAAAAGTTCGAAAATTTATTACTTCACAAAAAATTACAGAAAGATATTATTTAGCATTCTCCAACTTTCTTGCAGACGTCAGCGGGGGCGGTTCCGGATTCGAGCTCCTAAATACAGGAAAATCGGTGTTTTGTGAAGATTTTCTCTGATAAACCTTGATGATGGGGTCGAGTTTGTTGTTGACGAAATGGTCGCATTCAGTGGTGCCGAACGGAATAGTGTGGAACATTTTCTTGCATTCGGCGTCAAAGGTCTGAGGGCAGAATAAGTTGAAGATGATTTGTTGAATCCTTTCGAAGTACCTTCTTGATGGAGGTGACGTCCTTGTCAGCAGAGCCAACGTAGGTCTTCACGGCAAGTTCGCACATTTGGCATCCGAGCGAACTTTCCACGACTGGAAACTGGGCCGGCAAGTGACGCGGCAGAACCAGGCACAAAGAGACGGCGAACAGGGCGGAGAAGGCGATGACAGTCTTCATACTGAAAGATGGGAGATTTTTAGGAAAAGAAAAGTAAAATTAGGCTGTTAATATTAGAGGGGTGCATAAAAAAGATGAATTCGCGTTTTATGAACAAAGGAAAGCCAAGCATGGCCTTTGCTTTATCAGCCGCACTAAATGGAAGTTTTTTCACTGATAAAATCGTTTATCAAAAAGGCGGCTCCTATCGAAATGCCGACATTGTTGCTTCACGACTCTTTTCGAATATTTCAACACGTGATTCCCAATAAACCCTATAGCGTCTGGGACGGATGTTTTTATCAGTTTCCTCAACAGATTACGCTTCTCACTGACGCAAACTCTATTGTTTTTCTCTTTTGCTCTGCGAAACCTTTCATTTACTCTCCATTTCAGTAGCGAAATTTCAGAAAATGAAGACTTTGATCGTTCTCTCGGCCTTGATGGCTGTCGCCCTCTGTCTGGTCCTTCCACAAAGAGCAGTTGTCGAAAGCGCGCTCGGATGCCAAATGTGCGAACTTGTCGTGAAGACCTATGATGGATCTGTCGACAAGGATGTCACCGCCATCAAGAAGGTATGATTCAGAAAAGGCAGCTTTTTGGATGTAAGTTTCGAGAAGTTGACGTCCTCTAAATTTTCAATGATTTTTCAACATTATTGTTATAAACTCATTCATTGAATAACATAAGATTTCTAGGACTTTGACGCCGAGTGCAAGAAACTGTTCCATTCGATTCCCTTCGGCACGACGGAGTGCGATCACTACGTCAACAGCAAGCTCGACCCCATCATCAAGGTTTCTTCCTTTCTCTTTCTCCAATGAACTCAACTTCAGGAGCTCGAATCCGGAACTGCTCCTGCTGACGTTTGCAAGAAACTCAAGGAGTGCTAGACTTATTACGAATAAATATCAATTTCTATCGATTTATTGCAACTGATGAAAGAAAGCCCAACGAGAACTGAATTTGAAGGTGTTGGGAAAATACACAGTTTGAGAAATTTTCCGAAGCTTGGATCACAGCAGAGTGAAGTCAGAAGTTTCAGATTAGTGGCTATTGAACTGTTGACGCTGGCGCACCTGTTGTCCATTCTCGATTTCAGCAATTCTGAGTCTCTTTACAAATTCGAAATAGAAAAAAAAGCTCAACTCTTCAAAAATGTTCAAAAAAATAACTCGAACTTTGGTTTCCTCTTCTACAGAGCTGAAAATATGATCTGATAATTTTGTGCTGGTTTTTAATTGCATCTATTTTTTCAAAAAAAGCTTTAGAAGTTTTTCAACGTATTTTCTGAACAACTTTTAATTTTGAATACAAAAAATTGAGAAAGCTTTCAGAAAGGTGAAAAGTTCTCAAATTAAGGTTATATTCAGCCTTTTTTTCTCTCTCTGCAAATGAGCTCTTGTGTAGAATAATAAGATGGTAAGAACTTTATTAGGATGAATTCAGATGTACAGAAAACTGTTCGTCGAGTCGTATCGATCACTTGCGGCGGCGACAGCACTGTCCATTTCCACAGGGAGAGTAGTTCTGCTGGCAGGAGCACTGGCTGGACGGAGTCTGCTGGCAGGCGACCTGAGGAGGTTGAGCAGCAGCGCACGACTGGGCGCAGCTGTTGGTACAGGCTGGAGTGCACTGAGCGACTGGCTGCTGCTGAGCGACGCACTGCTGTTGGCAGGACTGTTCACATTGAGGCTCACACTGAGCCGACTCGGCCACGCTAGCCTGGAGGACGATGTTGATGACCTGTGGAGCCTGGGTGGTTTCAGCTGGAGCGCAAGAAGCCTGGCACTGCTGGCATTGTTGAGCTGGAGCAGATGGCTGGCACTGAGGCGCGCATTGCTGCTGGCACGAGGGCTGCTGTTGCTGAGGCTGAGGATTGTAGGCTGGCTGGGAGTTGGAGCAGGCCGACTGGCACTGGTTGTCGCATTGCTGAGAGCACTGGGCTACGGGCTGTTGCTGCTGAACACAAGACTGTTGGCACTGCTGCTGGCATTGTGGCTGGCAGTCGGTGTCTTGTTGAGCGACGGCGTTGACTTGGAACTGGAGCTGGACGACCTGAGGCTCTTGCGGCTGCTGCTGCTGCTGCTGGCACTGGTTGCTGCACTGCTGTTGGCACTGAGGCTGGCATTGAGTCTGAGATGGAGACTGCTGACAGCTCTGCTGGCAGCTTTGCTGACAAGCTGGAGCACACTGGCTGGCTTGGACCTGCATGACCACAGGAGCTGGAGTCGTGGGCTGAGCGCAGGCGCAGGAAGGAGCGGCTTGTTGCTGGCAGGAGCACGACATCTGCTGAGGCTGCTGCACGCTGGGGGAACACGAACACGACGGCTGGGTGGCTTGAGCGCAGCCACACTGACGTTTCTCACGAAGGACGTTGCCCTGAAACGTGTATTTGTTTGTAGTTTGCTTCTCTTGTGCAAGCAGATGATCATCCTTGCGAACTGTCTCTTTTTTTCGATGAAACTTACCGAGACCGCGAGGGTCGACAGAGCGAGGAACAGGCAGAAGAAACGCATGTTGAGCCGTCGGTGTTCGGTTGATGTGTGTCTTTATCACTGGCCAGAGCCGCTTTTATACTCACCGGCGCTGAGCTTTCTACGGCAACCGGACCGGTTCGAGAGCACACACGTGGGCTTTCCACTCGATTGCCTCTGATAATCGTTTTTTTAGTACGCCGAGCAGCGTCCTTTGAGAGGTCAAAAAAATCGAATAGGTCCTATTTTCGATTTCAGATGTCAGAATTTTGTGGAGGAGGTGAAACTAACTGCCTGCGATTTAGTGAAGATGTGGAACTTTTTGAAGAAGATTGCCGCTAATCGTCTGTTCAACAGGTGTCAATTGAATTTTGATTCTTGCCTACTATCCGGAAAGTCTTATGATCCAATGACCTTATAAAGTACCAGTTCAGAGCTCGAAGGAAAATCTATGGTTAATTTAAAACTACCGAAGATTTTTTATTTTCATATGAGAAAAAAGTAATCACTATTGGGTTTCTAATCATCAGAAATTAAATAAGTTCCCAAGTGTTTTTGAATTTTCATTAATCCCTGTAGTCATAAATACTGTATACACAGTGACGCATTCGCTACATAAAATAAATTATTCCCGCGCGATATATATATATATATGATATATCCATATGATATATATTCATATGGAAGTTTTTTAATCGATTATGATTAATCATCTTGAATTTTTTGCTTTGGTATTTTTGTTATTTTTTGATGTTGCCGAAAATTAATATAAAAAGTTCTATGCTCCCTATAAGGTTCGGTTTTATTTTCCTGGAAGTTTCGTTTTATTTCTCTTTTTTTAGTGGGATCGCTGGTGATTTTTGAGAAGTTTTTCTCCATTCTGTTTGAGCGGATCGTGCTGTTTCTTCTAATTTTGCGTCGGAAAGCGGTGAGTTCTTACGAACTTTTTTCATCAATATTTTCTCATGAAGAAAACTTTTACAAATCTTCCATGATATAAATGTCATAAAATAATAAGTTGCGACTTTTTATCCCAGAATTATCGAGTTCTTAAAATTTTTGAAAGTATTAAGCAAGTGTTTATTTGAAGAGTATGTCGCGAGTGTTAAAAATTCTGTGTGGAACTGGTGGATTTGAATGCAAATGGAGCGAACAAACACTTGGAAATATTTATATAGTAAACAGTCAAAGGCTTTGAGTTTAGTAAATTAATTTACGTATATTATTTTTAAAATTGAAATCTAAAATTTTGTCTTAGTGTAAAGCCAAAATGCAAAGTTCAAGCACTTTATATTTATAAAATTTATGAATAACTTCTTAATTCATGGTCAAAATCCTTTATTTTCGACCATTCAGTATGGAGTACATCCAATGAAAAAAGATTTCCGGAACAGTGTTTCTTTTTTAAGCAAAGAGCGTTTTGGCGTTTTACTGCTGTAGATAAATTTGGACACTATCAGTTTCCCTTTCTACTTTTTCCGCAGTTGGAGAAGGTATGATGGAGGACGGGGAGGGAAGATCAAGACGGACAGCCTTGGGAGGTCGAGCAAGGCCGAACTAGCCTTTGTCGCAGTTCGGCGACCCCACAAGGGTTACTTATGCGGCTGATCTTTTCCTTGTGCCCATCTTTCGACGTCTTCATTTAGATCTCGCTCTCAGTATTTTGAAATAAGAGACAAAGTTAACTCTGCCTTTGCGGCGTTTTTTGGATTCAATCAAGTTTGCGCAATCACTCTTAGTACATGTTGGCCACAGCCTTTCTGTTATTTACAGCCATGAGTTTCGAACTGTGGTGTTAGATTCCTCTGCGTTCAATAAGTTAATAAAGGAATATCTTTCTTCCGCGCTTTCACTGTTCACTGTCTTTTCCCTGAACCGTAAATGAAATCAAACCAAACTGTTCAATATTAATAGTTTTTGCGATAAGTGAATGTTGGATGACGCTTCCGAATTTCTTCCCCGCTGGGTTTGTAAGTTGTACCCATTGCCGAAAGCTGGCTTTTGTAGGAAACCAGTTTCCGGGTAAAGTCTTATTCGAAAGCCTCTTTCTTCTCTTTTTATTGATGATCCCATCCAAAAGTTTTTGTTTGAAACGGCTTTCGTGTCATGAAAGCTTTCAGTGGTTCCTAAGTGATGCACTCAAGTTTTCGATATATTTCTGCTAGAAATTATTTTGAAGTCAACTTTACAACAAAATTTCCTATGTTTTAACTAAATAAGACGTGTATATAGTATATTCGTAATTTTTAATAATAAAAAGTGGATTTACTCTTAAGTTGTTATCATATCAAAAAAAGTTGTTTGATTCATTCGAGGCAGTCTTTTTTTTTTTTGAAGTAGCGAGAATCGTTTTCGGTTCAATATTAATCTGAGAGCGTAAGTTTTGCTCCAAGATCTTCTTTCTTATCGCTTCTGCGCTCACTATGAAAAAGTTTTTGGTCAAAAAATTTCAAAAAATTTCAGAAATTGAACGTGATTCCACGAGGTTCAGGTCATAGGACACATGATGGGAAAAAAAATACTTGTACCTGAAATATATTTTCAAACGATCCCTTTCGTTGAGAAAAAAATGGCGTGATGATAGTCAGAGACGTCACTTTCCAAAAGAAAAGATCTTCAAAAGTACAATCGCCCTTCTCATCATATCACTTGTCTGACTGAACACAATTCTTGTTTATTCAAGTTACGAACAAGTTGAAAAGAAATCGTTATGAAATATTGAAGGAAAGCCCTCAGAAATTTGTCCAGAGATGTCGTGTGATGGACGGTACGACTCTTGGGGCGGTCCCCTTCTCTTTTCTCGTTCAAGGCCCTTTGCACATATTTTTTTCCTATTCCCAACCTCGACGACCCAAGAACCGTTTCTTGCTTCTTGCTTTCTGATTTCTCCTCTACGAGTTCCATTTCTTCTCTGTCATCTTCATCTAGTCGCCGTTATTTCTCAGTTCAGGTTTACCGTCATTACCGTGCTGTTTGTTTTTTTAAAAACACAGAAAAAGGCGCAAAAGGCTTGTGAAAGAGTTGTGACGAAGGTCATTAGTGTTCTGTTGTGTCATAATCAATCGCTTTCACGAAAAAAAAGAGAAAAAGGGCAGATCCACGCTAATTTAGAAACAAAAACTCGAAAGAGCTGTTGAAAAGAGGAGAAAGTTGACGGTTGAACCCGTTTTTTTTAAATTTTTGTGGGAGAATAAACTGAGTCAAACAGAATCAATTCGGATATTGTGTTAGATTTTCAGAAACATATTCCAAAACAGACAATCTTTGGAAATTCCAATGGATTCGATTGAAGTTTTTATAAATTTTCGAAAATTTACGATTGCCTCCAATCTTCCTACGATTATTATCCGCAGTCGCAATTTCTCCTAATGGCTAACTAGCTCCACCACGCCATAAAATACATGGGCAGATTATTTTGTCGACCCCAGTCCATTTTTTTTAACATTAAAAAGAGGACAGCCAAAAAATTTAGTCTATCTCTCCCCGTTATTCGGATAATGTTCGTGAATAAACCTTATCTGTTCCAAATTGAACTCTGACATTTTCCAGAAGTTTAGCGCTAGTGTACATTTTTTTTTTGGGAATTTCTCGATCTCTGTAGATTCTCAACTTCATTGTATTGACCTTCGATAGGCCAAAAGTTTGAAAAAAGGGCTCGATTGGACTGGCCACAGATTGTTCGACTCACCTTGTTTCACCAACAGACGGATGGCTCTTATCTCCTCTGCCATCAACACTTTCGGCGAAAATTTCCGGTTCTGTGTTCTCATGGAGGAAAGGCGTGAGGTACGAGGGTGCTGACCACCTTTGAATGGAGACTTCGATACTGAACTTCGAGCCAACTACACTCAAAACCTCCAGGCTATTTTTGACAAGAAAACCCATTGCAGTGCGAATTTTTTTTATCATGAGAAATTGAATATAAATATTATAATGCTTCGACAAAAGTTTTGAATTTTTTTTTCAGTTTTTTTTTCCATTCCAAAGAAGTGATACTCCACTGACCCTATTATAACTCGTATCGTCGGAAGACGGTAAGAATGAAAGCAGAAATCCTACCTATGCGCTAATTATGTCACCTTGAAACCGCTCCCGAAGTCCCTCATAAGCCTTCCAAGTCCGAAAACGACCTCAATCTCGCCTCTTGAGATCTTCTTGACATCGATGATGATGATCTAGACGACAAAACACGTTGAATTTCTGCAGAAGTTTCTCGAACCCATCTACTACAGTTTTCTTCTGATTGTTTGAGAATTTGTCATATCAATTTTCTTCTATTTTATGTTTTTCTAGGAAAAAAAAACCTTGATCTCATTCTTTTTCCGGTCAATGTCAGAATGGTTTTTTCTCTTCTCTTTTTCTTAGTATTGTGTTGAACGTTTCAAACCGTTTTTCTCACTGTAAAGTCTAGCAGAAAAGCTTTTTGAAGATCTCGAATCTTCCGACGGTTAAAAAAGCTTTTATCAGGGAGGTTTTTTTTTGATTTATTTTTCCTTTCAAAATCGCAAGAACAGGCGTTTTTGAAACGAAATTTCTGACCATAACTACAAGTAGAACATAAAAAGAAGGACTTATGTATGACTTAAAACTGTTCTCAGATAGGGTTTAGGTTTTTTTTTCTTGTCACCTATCTACTTGCAAAAAAAAAACAGCCTCTTTATGTCTTGTTATTTTTTGTCTCGATGAAAAAATGTAATGATTGACGTTTTTGGCATTTCCTGTTCTTGACACTTTTTGCTAATTTTCGGGGGATGACATAAATTATTGCTTCAAAATATCAGTTCAGCCATTAGAAGTATCAATTTCTACACAAGTGAAGATATGAATTTTTTTATTGTTTCAAAGCTCATACGAGACTAGTTAATTTTTTTTTCCTTATAATGGTACCGCGGAAACCTTGGAACGTTTGTAGGTAACCCTGTTTTTTTTTCAAGGTTACCAACAAATAAAGATATTATGACCGTTGTGAATTGGAAAAAACGATATTCGGAAGGATGCTCCATGAGTTGCACCTTTCCGGGAAGAATCGATAGGACCACGAGAACGGCGGAATGTGGAACGATCCGAGGCGAAGATTAGCATCTTTTGGTGGCTGCCCGCCTCGTTTTGCCTCCTCCGAAGCGCTTCTCTGGTACGTGTTTCGTGTTTGCGAATCACCTCCTGACCCAATTTTCATTGTCTTGCTCTTTTCGAACCCAATCTGTACTTCAAAAAAGTTCTTTTTCTCACTATCTCAGCCCTTTTTCTGATTTCATTTCACCAAATAACTCAATATTCAATAATGAAATTTTATAATACCGCCGATTGCGGTTTGCCAAACGAGATTGGTTTTATCTGTTCTTCTTCTATTTTCTAAAAAACCGTTTTTTTCTTTTCTTTTTCCCGTTCTTCCTAGGTGACTGTTATAACTTTTTTTTTCAATTAAAAAACTCGAAAAATGACAAAAAGCAGAGTCATAAAAAATTTGATGGGATTTTAATCTTTCATTGTTTTTTTCCGGTCATGATGGCCTCACTTATAATTTACTATGGACTGAACTTTTTTCAAGTAATGATTGATCATCTCTCACTTATTTTTAGATTTTTCGATTTCATGAAATCGTTTCAAGACGCGAGCTTTCATGAAAAGTTCGTCTTTATCATTTTTTAAGCCACGAAGTTTTTTAATCGTTTTTCTGCATTCTAAAGTTGTTCAAAATGTCCTGTTGGATGTTTCGAAGTGACTACAAAAGACATGAAGGTCACGGAGCGAAGAGCTCTTTTCAGTGTTCGTTCAGGCTATCCAAGACTTCTGCGCCTTCAGTCTCATCAGAATTTTTTTCTATGAGTTCTTCAAAACCACCGATTTATCTAGTACAAGTAATTTCAGAGAAAAATAGCAAATAGATTGTCAAAAATAATTTCATCAGAAAGTGGTTAGAGATATGTTGGAGAACTCGCAAGTAAAAGTTATTACCACGAAGATGCATCAACCCATCGAAACCAGTTCTGAGATTCTCGCCAAACTTCTCGAGAACCGTCTCTTCTGCCTGATCGACACCTTTTCCAATTCAAACTCGGCGCCGATATTCCCTTTCTTGCAAAAGTAGAAGACACCTGAAAACTGGTTTTCCAATAATTTCCGTGTTTGAATTTGCCGAAATGGCATTCGGCCAAAGTTTTAGAAATGAGAAAATATTTTTTTTTTCTCAAATCGTAGCCAGTTAGTGGTTTTTCTTTCAGAGTTTTATCATCAATTAATTACGTTGTCTTCGATGATCTCTTCAGAGAGTTCTTCAAAAAATTAGTTTTCCATTGGTTAATGTTGTTTCCGTAAAATTTTCTTGTTAAATATCTCGGATTCGCCCTCTTCGTGATATTTGTTCATGTGTCCGAAAAAAGACGATTTTTCAGAAATGGACAATTATGTCCTGGTTGATCCGTTGTCCGCGAAGCCCATAGAATGCTGGAAGAAGTACCTGAAGCAGGGCCGCGTTTGTGAGCCGGGGAAAACTCTCAGGTAGGCCTCTACCAAGTGTTAACCGTCAGAAAGTCTTTTAAACTGTTCATTATTCGATTCAATCGTGATTCAAGTTTTAAAAAACTTGATATGCGTAAGAGAACCATTTTATCATTCTACCTTTTTCTTTAAAAAGTCTTAAGTCATAATTTTAATTACTGGAACGAACAGCTCGATTTTTTTTTCAGTATCGTTTGTAGAGCGTCACATTTGCAATTCAAAGACGAAAACAGTTTTGAAAATAATTTTTTAAATTGCAACAAACTCTACAAAAGTCATAAGGACAAAATTTATTTTTTTCTTTTGAGCTGAAATTTTCTCAAGTGCTCTATCTGAACGTTTTGTTTGTGAGGCAAAAAAACTTGAATGTAGTTTTCAGAAGCGTTCCAGTTTTCATAGTTTATCGAACTTTCAATCTCCAAGGTACAAATTTCATGTGAACAAAAGATCCTGTTGTAAACAACAGTCACAATGAAAAGTCCTTCAGACTGGACACGCCCATCTACGAAAATAAGGTGCGCTTCGTTTGCATATCGGACACACACGAAAAACTTCACGAGGTAAGCCGCTGACCTTAAAAAAGCTTGAATTTTTTCGGTGCGCAGGAGAGAAATAAGGTTTTGTAGGTGATGCCGTATATTCCTGACGGGGATGTACTCATTCACGCCGGCGACTTTACGAATTATGGCGACGTCGGAGAAGTCATCAAATTTAATGCCGAAATCGGTGAGGGCAGAAATGCGTGCAACGACTTTTTGAGAATGAGGACGGCCATCCAAAAAAAAACCTGTATTCAAACTTCTGTTCTCTTTTATGATTGGGATTTTTCAATTTTCAAAGTTTCTTTTCATCATGGCCTAACCTCAAGTCATAGGAAGAAAGTTCAAAGAGAGGTGGCTTGAAAAATCAAAGGAAAAGCGCGCAAAAGTGTAACAAGCGAATTAAAACAAAGATCGTTGACCTTCTACCTCGAGTAAAGATTGAAAGATTAAAAAAGTAATGTCCTCTGCGTTTATAGTGTGTTCCGAGTTCCTTCGAAGGAGCAATGACTGTGATCATAGAAGTATGAAGACAGAGAACCGCTTGCAGGGTTATATAGGGTCATGTAAGGTCTCCGTGCATGAAAAACCCTGAAAATAACCTAAGACAGAATTTTGTCATTGACGGTCGTGGAAACTTTTTTCTTCGTGTTCTTCACTTTCTCGACAAGTTCTTGAATACCCTTTTTTTCCAATAAAACTTTTTTCTCGACGATTAAAGGGCGACCTGAGTTTTTCATGGTAGACGGTGTCTTGGGAAATACAATTCTACTCTGTTTACGTACTTTGAAAAGTTAGAAGAAACTGCATTATAGTTGAGAGAATAGGAAAGTTTCGAAGAGATAAGCATGAAAGTTCAAAGGAAAAAAACAGGGGAAAAGGGTCATCAAGTAGTTCGCATTCATAATTTTAAAGTGGAAATGTTCAGGAAAACTGCCGCACAAACACAAGTTGGTGATAGCTGGCAACCACGAGCTCGGTTTTGAAGACGGCGAAGAAATGAGCGAAAGACTGACCGCCGGACTGAACATGCTCGGAATCAAGAAGGCCTACGAACTCCTCTCCAACTGCACTTACCTCTGCGACAAGAGCTACGAGGTCGCATTAATTTAAGAGATAAGAGCTACGAGGTCGCATTAATCGTCTGATTAATAAGACCTTTTTTCTGACAGAAAAGAGAAAGAAAATTTCAAGAATAAGCTCATTGCAAGTTTTTTTTCTCATTTTTTTCTCCGTTCGAACCAACTTCTCAGCAATGAATTGTTTTTATGAATTATTCGAAAATTTCGGGTTATGAGAGCAAGAAATGCGATTCTCCACTCTGTGAAGAAGAAGAACTTGATTACAGGTCTATGGACTGAAGATCTATGGCGCTCCATGGCACTCGATGCCTGGCTACGCTTTCTACCGACCGCGAGGCCAGAAGATTCTTCACAAATGGAATCAGATTCCTGCCAAAATCGACGTCCTCATCACACATACGCCGCCTCTCGGTCAGTTCTGCAATCTGTCATTTCTACGGCTGTTTCAGGACACGGAGACTTCAACGCTTGGAACAAAATGGACGGGATTCTGGCCGGTTGCACTGAACTTTTGAACACTGTCGAACAGCGTGTCAACCCCAAATATCACGTCTTCGGACACGTCCATCAGGTCCGTTTTCTCATCAGAGAATAGATATACGATCATATAAATCTTCATCCTTATTGCACCTGATGTTTTGTCAATTTTCAGGTGATGAAAATAGGGCTATAGAAAGATCTTAAAGGAAGATAGGATTTCATAGCTAAATTGGAAGTATTTTCAAATTTATCTCATATAGATTTTTTCTAATTCATAGATTTCCGATTTCCAGTTGTTCTTAAAGTTTGAGATGAATCGTATTCGCTCGTGAGCTCATCTTCGACATAAATGTGTGGAAACATTTATTTTACCGAAAGATAATCTTTAATTTTTGCCCGTGATTTTTTTGCCATACCCCTTATACGTGCATGCACCTTTTCGATTGTTAGAAGTCGGAACGAAAGGAAAGAATTCAGAAGCACGGCGTGACGACGAACGGAACGACGACGTTCATCAACGCGGCGCTGTGCGATCACAAGCTCCGGAGCGCCTACGACCCCATCATTTTCGACTTGCCTTTGCCTCCTGGCCACACCAAATGTTGAAGCTTTACCTTTGTTGTGTTTCCGTTTTGTTATGCTTTTTTCGTGTGTCTTGCATTTCTTCTAGAACTACATATATTTGCATTTTTCGAAAGCTTTTGCTTTTTCAGATCTGCAAGGAAAACATCCATTTTCCTTTGACTTACCGGTCTATGCGAATTTATATTGTCATGTTTTTTTTTTCTTCTCCATAGCTTCTCATTCTCCATTTTTAGTCACCGTACAGATTCTCCAACTTTTTCCAATGCATTTCCATTTTTCTGTTTTGTACATATATTGCGCTTCCAAAGGAAATTTTAAATTTTCTTTGTCCTTAGATTCTCGCGAGGCTTTTCCTGTGTCCTGTGTGTCTTAATAAATTTCACCAAATTTTTCACGATTTTAGTAGATCGGCTGAAGTGAGTACGATGAAAAAGGTATTGCAGGAATATGAATTCGCTTTCTTTTCTCTGTAGGCTCTTATCGAATCAATGACTAAAACATCAAACTATCTTTTTATTATGAGAAATGCATGGTAGAAAAGTATGATACACGAAACTTATCGCAAAAGAAGCTAAAGCTTTGGGATGATGTCCGCAAGAGTTGACGCGTCGTACCTTTGGAGACACTTCTCATGCAGGTAGCTGTACTCACAGCACGTCACGCACAACGGATTCGGTTCCACCGAGAAAATCTTGTACCCGTATCTGAATTTACAGGTGTTTTTACATTGGAAGAAGAGAAATTACCTCGCGATTGTCTTTAGAAGACTGATATGTTGCTGAACCGTTCCGTGGATCTCAATGAATAGCTGAAAAATACTTCAAAATTCGGGGAAAAGTAGAGGAAAACCTGGCAGACGGTGTTTTCCACGAGGAAAGGCTCCAGGGCAAAATGTTCATCGTCTTCGATGTCCATCTTGAGAATTTCGGCGGAATCCAGCTGCTTCCTAATCAGCAAATCGGCTTAATCGATTTTTTTCCAAAGCGTTTCAATACAAATTTCAACTTATGGACATGTCCTTGCCGACTCTTCCCGTAAAAATGGTTCCCCTCATGGAACGGTATGTTTCTCGTGTCGCTGCGGCAGGCTCATTCTGTGAAAGGGAACTTCAAAAAAGGGTCAGAAAATCCTCGCAACTATTTCCGCTCCGATGATGTTGCATCTCTGGTTGGTTCTGGCTTGAATGTCTCTGTCGAACTGAATCACGTCGTTTAAACCTAATGAAATAATTCTGTAAAGATGATTAAGAATCGAATTCGGATGTTCCAGAACTGACGTGCAGTTATCGGGAATCGCGTCCGGATTGCAGACGTTTTTGCCGCCGTCGCCTTTTTCGCCTATTCTTTCATAGTGAGGACAGACGACCTGAAAATCATTCGAAATAAACATTTCGAGGCTCTCAAAAACCTCTGGGACGATTATCTGATAGAAGTCCGGATTCGAGCTCGGTGGATTGCTGAACTTCTTCATTACCAAAGGCGCATTCGCTTCGGCTTTCTTCTTTTGTAACTCCTGAATTTTTTTGGACATTTGATATAGTCTAAAATTCTCTCTGGGAATTAAAAGATTTAGGCGAATTCAATGACGAAATAACTGGAACGGCTTTTCGCTCGACAATATCAGGGGCATAAATTTTCAAAGAAAAAACTAGCAGTAATTATAAACAGATTAAGAAGAAAGAAAAAAAAAGAAAAAATTAACTCACCAGTACTTTGGGACTGAAACGTTGAACGTCTTCTGTCCTTTCTATCCGCTTTTCGAGCATAATTGTTCGCGATTTCAGCTTCTCCAAGTCTGAACTTGACTTCTTTCTGAATGAAACAAAAAGAAAAGTCATACCATCGAGTTTCGATTTGAAGTGGTTCCAGGCGAAGAAAGTTCCAAAAAGGACCGTCGAAAGAAGCCATAACCACACCAGACCTGCTTTTTTGCCCATCACTGTAGAAGATGGCTAAAGTTCAAAATGGAAACTAGAAAAAGGTCAGTCAACGGGAACGTAGCCGCTTCTTTTATTCAACGGTCAGTATCTCCGGAACAATCTTGATCAGTTAAAGAAGACCAAGAATATCCTCGATTCCACCTTCTGTCCATGAGATTTCTTTCGAAGTTTCAGCTTCTGATGCGGCTTCTCGTGTTTTATTCCAGAGGAAATGCATGAAAAATATCATTGAATATTCTTCGACATGACTATGCAAAGAATACAAACTTTTAAATAATACAAAACAAAAAACGACATTTCTCAATTAGGCACACAGCAGGAATCTCTTAGGAATGAGTTATGCCGTAGAAAAATAACCTTTTTTTGCAAATTTTCCGCTTCTCTTTATTCGAAGTTAGCCTGTTTCTCATCGAGAAATAATGCTTTCACAATTCAATCAATAAACTTCAAGCTAATGAAACTTGAGACTTATAAACACAAAAACAGAGCCGATCGGCTTAATTTCGAGCGTTCTCGCATTTTTTTTTTCGATTCAAAACAAGGCTTTCAGAATTTCACTGATCAACATCTGATTGGTAAATCCTTCGATTTGGATTAAGCTGCAAGTCAAGAACTCTTGGAAATGAAAATTTTGGTTTGTCTTTTAAACTTTCGAAAAAGAAAATGCAAAAAAAATTCGAAGCTTTGATTTGACTTTAAAATTTCCATATTCTGTTCAAGTTTAAAAACAAAAAAATTAGGAGGAAATGAAGGTTATCAAGAAACTTTTTTCAATCAACAATCCGCTAAAAATTCGCGCCCTTTCGAATTTTTTTTTGCGATGCCATTCAACATAAAACTTTTTAATCATTTTTGGAATCTATTAGGAGTTATTATCTTCTAATTATTGTTTTGCTTTCAGATTTTTTTATCTTTCTGACTGGAGCAGTTGCAGAGCAGATCTCTCCGAAACCGGAAAAAATTTCGACGGTATTCATCAATCCAAGTATGCTCAAGGGAAAAAAACAAATGAGTTTGACTTTCAGTTGAGTTCTGTGGCAAATTTCAAGAAAGGAAAAAATGCGGCGTTCCGTGTGAACCCCGATGTAGTTCCAACGAGGTTATTTTTTCATACGAGAAACAGAAATCGAATATGGCTTTGATCAGTATTCATATTTCTATGTCTACTGAACGAGTTGATACTTTTATAATGCTTCCGTCACTTCCTGAAACAGTCGAACTTTTCTGTATTCTCTTTTTCTTTCTATTCTAGCTTATTCACGTTGTTTCTCATTTTTCTCTTATTCGGTTTGGAAAAGAGAGAAAGTCAAACTAGCCTAACTGATTCAAGTGACGAATGAGTTTAAAGAAGTTCAAGAAAGGGTTTTCCCAGGTTCAAGGCGCCTGTCCGAAAATTTGCCTGCCGGACGTGTGTCAATGCATAGCCGGATATTCAAGAAACGCCACTGACGACTGTGTTCCAACTTCCGAATGCAAAGCCAGAAAGGAGAGGAAAATGAGAGCCGCTTTGAAGATTCCGAAATGCGTTTTCGGCGAGGTTTTCAGCGTTTGTCGAGACCCGTGCCCCCCTACTTGCGCCGAACCCGAGGTACTGTTCCAAGACTCCCACTCAAAATTTTAGCGATAAACGAAGTTTCTGAGTGAGATGTAATAGTTCGCATGTGTTTGGAGAAACAAAACTAAATACAATTAATATTCAATTATATTTTTTTCCTAATTTAGCTATCAAAACTTTTTTTCGATATTCATAACTCTCGACTTCTAGTTGGCCGATTTTGATGATTTTATTATCGAAAAGCTGAGGTAATAGATCGAATTTCAATATTTTTGGAATTTTCAATTGAAGTTTTCAAAATAGTTTTCAAACGATTGCTGGACTTAAATTTTATTTGAGGTGGTTAATCCGAGCTTTTTTTTCAAAAAATCTTTTTATTAATTCATCAAAGGTAAAGGTCAGAGCCACATCTGAAATGGCGTTTTCAGCGAAAATGCGTTCGAAGCGAAAAGATGTGCATCCTCGGCTGCGACTGTTTCACCGGCAAAAATCAGACTTTCGTCAGAGAATCCGAAGGCGGCAACTGCATCCCTAGGGATAAATGTCAAATAAGTCAGTCTATTTCTTCTTTTTTGTTTGTTCTTGGTTATGTCAGACGTCCAATAGTCCAAAATTTCGGAAAGTTTCCTTCCTTCTTGTTCACATTTATGGCTTTTTTATGCTTTATAATCTTTCATTGTCGTTAAACGAAAAAAAAAATGAGAGAACGATTTAAATTTATTCCATTTCTTGAACTCAAAGAGGAAATACGAATAAGAAATAGAGAAAATCGCAGACGCGGACTCTGAACTGAATACGTCGGAGGAGAGCTCAGGATGGATGGCGACAGATCCGGCGACGTGCGACGACGTCTTCTGCGACGTTGGATCTGTCTGTGAAATTGTGGACGTCCCTTGTGAAACCGCGCCTTGTCTTCAGCAAGCTATATGCGTTGGGGAAGATCAGTTGGCCCCTTAAAAAAAAAGTCAAAGTTTCTAGTTCCTCCACCGCCTAGTCGATTACATCTATGACTAAAACAACGAAATGAGAATAACTGACCTTAAAAGAAAGAAAATATCTGGAAAATAATTTGAGCACTTTTGTTTTCTTCTTTCAGTATTGCTAGAGGAGGGCCTTAGAAAACTTGGAAAATTTCGAGACTTTTCAACCTGTTAAAATTGAATGATTTTATATGTTGTGTGATTCGACCTCAAATATTTTTGAATTAAGTGGAACTTTATCGAAGTGGAGGCAATTATAACTTTCTTAGTTCTCTTCCTCCACAGATCTGTTTGTGAGCGAAATAAACATTTCAATGTGGCTGGCTTCTTTTGAAAACCTTATCATCAAAAGGGCTAAGCCTTTACCGTTACTAGTTTTCGTTTAATGTTAAATCAGTATTTCAATAGTTTTTGTTGAAATAGAGAATCTAAAAAATCAACGGAAAGAAAATAAGATATTCTTTTTAATGTTTCCTTGCGACACGCCTTCAGGGGAACGCCTACTAGAAAGGTTATATGAGGTGCTCGAAAAGTTGTTTTCCTTATTTGAACACATCTGCTTGGAAAATGCGCATAAAGGTAACTAATTAATTTTCTTTTTTGAAAATGATGATAACTTTGAAGGCATCGGTTATTATTTTTGCTTTTTGTATCCAAACAACGAGCGCAGGTAAGTTTTGCGAAATTTTTATTTATCAGAGTCACGTGTTCAGGATTTTGTAACGAGCCGAATGAAGAATTCTACGATTGCACAGGCTCGGACACATGCGAACCCACCTGCTTTGGCATTCCAGTTAGTTCTTTCAAATAAATTTCAAGCTTTCAAAAAAAAAACTTTCGTCGAATTGAAAAAAAAGTTTCGTCGCCATGTCTCCATGGAGATTATAAATTTCGAAAATTATGTATATATTCGATACAAGTCTGAAGTGAGCCAAATTTTCAAAAATGAAGGGCAAATTGGACTTGATAGGTTTAAAGTTATGGAATTCAAATGCATGAAATCAGACATGAATACAACTTTTGTTAACCACGCCAGCAAAAAAATGGGCCAGGCTTTTTCTGAAAAACTTGCGAGGTGATAAACGAACTTCAATTTTTTATATTTTGTTAAAGCTTCAAGACTTGAGCCGTTTAAAGAACTTCAAACTCATTTTAGTTACCGGGTAGCTACTTGTATCCACCTCCTCTCGATCGGCCTTTGTTGTCTACGGACACAAAATTTGTTTTAAAAGAAGCATCCTTAAAGAAAAAATGCATGAAAAAAAAAAAGAAAAGGAAGAGTTGATTTTGAGGACACATGCAACAAAGAGTGCAGAGTTTGCGCGTGCAAGAGCGGCTACATCAGACACTACGGGATCTGTATCAACATTTCCGACTGTCCGACGCCGCGGTCGAAAAGGGAGGTCTGTCCTCCGAACGAGAGCTTCGACGCATGTGGAACCAGATGTCCCGAAACTTGTGCTAAACAAGGCCCGAGGGTCCGAGTCTTTCTGCAGACATTGATGAAACAAAGAAGTTCAGACCTGCGTCAAGGTTTGCCACGCCGCCTGCTTTTGCAACGACGGTTACATCCGAGAATTCGAAGGCGGCAGGTGCATTCCCCGAAAATCTTGTACCTAGGGATCAAAAACTGTTCGATTCACTCCATCTGCTCATTTCTTTTGATTTATTTGCTCGCTTACCGTAGTTTGGTTCAATTTTCGCTGAATTAATGTGAGAAAAAGAAAAAAATAAGCTTCTGAAAAATGAATTCTTCCAATCGTGAAAATGATACGTGTTTTTTTATTGAAAAAAATCGCTCCTTTTTTTTCAGTGTTTCGTTTTATTGATAGGAAAAATCAAACGAAAGCTGTTTAAAAAAATTTGTAAATAAAGCTCAATTTTATTGAAAAAAAGCAATTTTTTTATTGCAAGAATCGGCCGGAAAAATCAAAAGTTCTGCCTGAAGAACCTGCTGAAAGATTAAAAAAACATTCTGAAAAAGTTTAAAAAAACTATTAGAACAAATTTCTGATCGTTTAACTAACTATGAAAAATATCAATATTTGATTCATATTTAAGCGAAACATTTAAAAAAGTGGTTTTCTGCGTAATTAAACACATTTTGAGAACGTTATAATTAAATCGCTCAGGTCTCTATTTGATCTGATGAGATTCTCATTATTGCCATGAATTGATAGAAAAGTTATCATCCAGTCAGATTTCTCCGAGACGGGAATATGTTTCTAAATGTTTTTTTCTAGCCCTATGATGTCATCACGAACCGGGGAAACTTTTCCATTTTTGACAACCTTGAACTGGGCGCGATTTGTTTTGTTCTTTCGCAGAGAGACAGAGTGTTCTCGCGGAAAGTCAAGCACCAGGCTTTCGCCGAACTCATCCATTTGTTTTTCAACTCTTCGTGAGTCACAGCAGTTATTATTTTTTGTTATTTGTGTAATCTGGTTCGAAAGGGCTGAGAAGCGCCACAAAGTTCAAACGAAAACAAATACCGACCAAAAGTCGAAAGTTGTCGCTCTTTTCATTCCCTGAGATCAATTTCATATAATTTTTTTCTTACCTGCAAATTTGAAACGCTTAGTTATTTTAAGAACCGAGTTTTCTGAATTGTCGCTTTCATCGAGCACTACATTACAATGAACAAAAACTGTTCAAATAGAAGTCATTTTCTTCGATGTTTACATTTGAATTTCAATTCCGTTCAAAATTAATAAATTGCAATCCTAATATGAACAACATTGGTTCAGTTTTCCCGTCTCCATGATTTTTGAATTTTATTTCTCTCAGGGTGTTTCCTGAGAATAAATTAAAATTTATGGCCATTTCTTCCCTTTTCTCTGCTGTAAACTTTGACACGCCCTCTTCAAAGCTTTTAAAAACAGACCCTTGTCTTCATATCCTGCCAAAAAGCTTCGACGAACACTTTCGAGGATGTTCAACATGATGTCCAAAGTGAGCTTACATTCGAACTCTACGTTATTTCGATTGTTCCGCTTTCAGATAACCATTGTCATATTTTTCTCGTGTTTGCCAGCCAGCTTCTGCCTTTCAGGTATATCCTCTTTTTTTGCAGAACTTTTTAGTCAATCTCAAAATTTTCATTGTTCATGAAAGTTAAACGATTTCATTCAAAAATATAATCAGACTCCTCGGAGTCCTTGAAGATGAAGTTATCGAAAGCATAATTTCCAGTGTAATTTTTGGCCTGCGTTCAACATTTTGGCGAGGATTTTTGAACAAACTATGATGTAAATCAATTGTACGATTCAAATTTTTTGAGCCAAAACTATTCCATTGTAAATAAATAAAGTTATTTTGGAAAAATAAAATGAAGAGAAGACAAAAACTTCATTTCCAGTACCTGAACAGCCTCCGAATCGTACAGAAGTTCCGCTACCAGGACCCTGCGAGCGGTTCTCATGCAGGAAAGGCACTGTGTGAGGCTCAAATCCTTCTTTCAGACCCAATTTCCTTTTTTCTAGTTGCATCCTCAAAAAAAAGTACGACGATTGCTCAAAAAACTGCGAGCTGATAACTGCATGCGTTCCACCAACCCAAAAGCGTTCGTCTTTTCCTACTTATATTTTTCTGATAAACTCTATTCCAGCAAAAACTTGCGGTCAGAATGAGGACCTCAAATCCTGCGGCTCGGCCTGCGAACCGACGTGTAATCAAACTCGAGTGAGTTCTAGAAAATCGAAAACCCGAGAGTAAAACTTTCCAGTATTCTTGCACGCTTCTATGCATCGTAAACGTCTGCCAATGCAAGAGCGGTTTCGTCAGAAGCCACGGAAAATGTATTCCTAAGGCCGAATGTCCCAAGATCGTCAAACGTGAGACATGTGGTCCTAACGAGACCTTCAACACCTGTGGAACAAAGTGTCCCTCAACCTGCGACCATAAAGGCCCACGGGTACATTGATGGGAGAAAAAAGAAATAAAAATAAACTGGATTCAGCCCTGTATCAAGATGTGCAACCCTGCCTGTGAATGCAACGAGGGCTACATCCGAGAATTCGAAGGCGGAAAATGCATTCCTCGCAGATCATGTCCCCGGAAAAGTACGCGTCGTCTTCTAGTACTTGACCTTCACCCCGAAAATTCTTTTCCAGACGTGGGTAGCTGCGCCCGCGTGAAATGCTCCCCGGGAGATCAATGTGTTGATGGAAAATGTTACTCAGGTGATATTATCAGCGTAGGATCTTCGAAAACTCTGATTTCTGAAGGTCCGTCGTGTTTGACGGCCAAGTGCAGTGCCGGCTTCGAGTGCCAAATGGTCGATGTTGTGTGTATCCGAGCTCCTTGTCTCAAAGTTCCCACATGCGTCCCGTCCCCCCGAAAATGAAGCAGTTTCGTATCTGTAAAGTGCAATGAAGTTTTCAATAAAGGCTTCATTTTTTTCTCATATTACAAAAATTTCGATATTCGTGCTAGACTAAGTATTTGACTTTTGTCGATTTCCCGTTCGAAGTCGTCGAGTTTTTTCTTGATTCTTGAAGTTGGGGTGATCAGCCGAGGATCGTAGTCCCACGAAGAGTTGCTGAACAAGATGCTTTAATTTGAAATAAAACCGAAACACCTGGGCGAGCATTTCTCCAGCATTATTGGGCCCACAAGTGGATTGTACCAAGCTCCTCTAGAACTCTCAATTATGCTGAAAGATAATCAGGAAGTTCTTTCTAGGGAGTTCTCAGGCTCACCCAGGATCCATCGGAGTTCTTAAGTATTGGTTTGTCTTCCAGCCGTGAATCATGAAGTCTCGCTCGGCATTCCATAGACTGTTGGTCAACCAATTGTCTCGCGACCATCCGGTTCCCTCAAATTTCAATTATATTTCAGAAATGAGAAAGTTCTTCTTGCCTTGTGCATTATGCGAATTCTGTCAAAATCCGTTTTAGGACCCAGAATCGAGCGGATGCACGCCTCGAATGAGAACAAGTCGTCGTAGTTGGCCGATCTCTGGTAGACTTGTTCACATTTTTTGATCCTTGGGTGACTTGGATACAAAACTTCTGCTACGTAGAGCTGAAACTCCGAATAAAAAAAGAGTCATTTTTCGTGTTTCTACATGCAAACCGCCATTGTCGGTTCCATGAAAGCTTTCAGGAAGTCTGGTTTCAAACTTGGCAAAATCTGAAATATCTTGAATTTTTTAATTGCGATAAAATCGACCAACTCTCTAAAAACTTTACAGCAAACGAAGTATTCCGGACAATGTATGAACCCGCTGTGATTTCCCAATTATAGAATCGATCATAAAAAACCACGTCGAAATTGCTATCCATGTATTCTTCAATTCGTCTGAAACCCTCTTTCTTGTCAAATGATAATAGCTTATTAATCAAACGGCTCGAAAATGTTTTGATTTTCTCATAAATTGAAGTCAAAAAAAGTTTTTTTTCTTGTTAGTTGACTTTTCAAGAAAGTGAAAAGAAACCTTTTCGGATTGACGACTCCAATATCGGCATCGATAAAAAGGACCGCTTCAAAGTTCGGCAGAATTTTTGCCACAACGCAATGACGTCGGAAGAATTTCTTGAGCATGAACAATTATTAAAAACAAAAGGGATGTCAAAGGCACTTTGAGTTCACTTGAACCCCAACCCATAGTTCATAACAAAGAACATCATTCGCGCCTCTGTTCTCTTGGTGTGCGGTCGCCTTTATTTGCTCTCTGGTCGCCTTTTATATTATGTCACCTACTCCTCAACCTCCTCCCCGTAAACGACATGCTCATGATGGTTCGACGCCTAGGAGTTCTATTCCTCCGAACTCTCTCGTTCTCCGTGAGGTTGCTGCTTTAAAAACTCAAGTCCAGTTGATCATGCTTCAACTAAATGATCTCTCCGCTAAACTCGATGGCGCGCAGTTGGAAACTCAACCTCCTCGTTCACCGGTCGATGTTCCTATGGCTCAAGTTCCTCCCGCTTCCGACGTTCACGCGAATTCTGGTGTTCTTCCTCATGCCAACGTCGTTCCTTCCGCTGCTTCTGGTGTCCGTGACTCTCAAGGGCTCTCATCTCTGTCTGATCGCGAACTTTGGGCCGCTGTTCATCGCGCCTCGTCGACGACTACATTCCGTGAGAAATCTTGCCGTGCTGTCCTTGAAAAGTTGGCCGACGCCAAAACTCCCCAACAAGATATTGACGATTCCATTTTAGTCAATAAAGTTTGTACACATTTGAATATTCCTCCTCCGTTGAATACTCATCGCCATCCTTGTTCTTCTGTCTATCGACCGCTTAAAATTCAATTTTCCTCTGTATATTTTCGCAACTCGTTCATTTTTGGCTTTAGAAAAGCCATTTTAGCTCTTTTTTCCAATGATAATGCTCCTTTTTGCCGTGTTCGCCGTGATATGATTCCCGCTGAGCTTGTTCTTCTCCGTCGCCTTCGTCATCGTACTTTTGTTCTCAATCGTGACGAAGGTAAATTACGTTTTTATCTTAGAGATTTGACTATTGCTGAAAGATCCCAGTGTCTTCCTTTGCCTGTTCCGCGTACCTCTAACAATTCGGTTTTTACTAATGCTACTCCTGTCAATAATATCTCTTTTAACACTAACCCTGTGAATACTAACTTAACTTCTGTTGTGAAGGATATTTCTGATCCCAATTCTATTTAACATTTGTGATTTATCATCATCCAGTCGACCTTTTTTTGTAAATACTTTGAACTCTGACCCTCCGCGCGCTCTCTCGCCTATTTTTCCCGCGCTTTCTGATTCGGCTCGCATGCTGAGCAGGTGTCTCAACGGGTGTACCCGTATTAAACCCGTGTTTCTGAGGTTATTTTAGTCTCAGTTGGGCTAAAACGGGGGAACAACGGGTGTAAGAAAAATAGGTAACCCAGCTGGGCTAAAGCGGGGTCTCAGTTGGGCTAAAAAGTGCCAAAAGTTCTATCAGCTGGGCTTATACGGGTTTAATACGGGGGCACCCGCGGAGACCCCGTGTTAGCACGGCGGGGTTACCCTGCTCAGCATGCGAGCGGGTCAAAAACTTTCTTGTCTCTATGCAAACATTCGCTCTATAAGATCTCCTTCTAAAATTGCATTGCTTTTTGATCATTTAATCTTTCATAATATAGATTTATGTTTGTTATGTGAAACTTTCTTGGATTCAACTTGCCCTGATTCACTTTTTAATAATCTCATTTACAGTTTCGTGCGGGTAGATCGACCTAAAAATTCTTCTCGTTGCGGTGGTGGTGGCATCATCATTCTCTTCAAAAAAGACCTGGGAATTGCTGAAGTGGATATCGCCTTGGACACTTTTTACCCTGAGCATCTTTGTGAGTTACTTGCTTTCGATTTTGTTTTTCCTTTAAAATCCCGATTTTTTCTAATATATAGACCACCTTCAACTTCAAAAAATAGCACACTTAACCTTATAAAACACATTTCTAATTTTCTACTTCCTTCTAATAATCATTTGATTGGTGATATTAACCTCCCAAATATTGATTGGTCTACCTCGACTACCTCCTGTCCTTTATCTCTGCCATTTCTGGATTTTTGTATTACTTCTAACCTTACCCAATTAGTTCATTCCCCAACCCGATGTACTTCTACTACAGCGAACATCTTAGATTTAATACTTACAACCAAACCTTCTTATTTTTCTAACCTATCGATTTCTGAACCTCTTCTGGGTTCTGACCATTTTTTTCCATTGAATTTTCCATCTCTATCCAATCAAAAAGTTAATAATGTTTCAACTTCTCGTAAAGCTTAACCTTCGTAAATGTGATTTCTCTAGGGTGAACTATATTATGTCCTCTTTCAATTGGGACCGTCAGTTCAGTTATTTTTCATCAGTAGAAAGCAAATTCTCTCATTTCTTGAAAATTTTTAACGAAACTGTCCGTGACTCTTGTTCTAGCTTCATTAATCCTCCTATCAAACGTCGCCCATTCAACCATGATAATCGTATTCGCCGCCTCAATATCAAGAGAGCTAATCTTATACGTGCAAACCTTTTTAACAATTTCACTCGTCTGCAATTCAATTCATTATATAAAAAAATCAAAGCTCGCGCTTCTTCCATTTACTCAGCCCGTGAAACTTATATTGCCAACAACTTCAACCACGTCCAAATTTCCAAATACATTTCCAAAAAACTAAAATGCCACTCTTCTATCCCTAATATTGCCTTCAATAACTCTCTTATCTCTGATAGTTCGTCTAAAGCTGATGTTTTCGCCCAAATCTTCAGTGATAACTTTTCTAAAGAAAGTTACGATCTGATCCCTATTTTTCCTTCTCGAAAACCCATCAATTGCTCGATTATTTTCACGCCCGATCTTGTTTATAAGACACTCTCAGCTTTGCCCCCTAAATGTGGGTTTTCTCCTGACCTAATCAATCAACTTGTTTTGAAAAGGTGTTCAACATCTATTTCAATCCCTTTGTCTATTCTCTTTAATGAATCTTATTACTCCGGTTCCATTCCCTCGTCTTGGAAATCCACTACAGTTATTCCTATTTTTAAACGTGGAAAAATATGTGACCCTTCTAACTATAGACCAATCTCCCTGACACATCCATTATCTCGCGTTTGTGAAAGAATTATCTGTAACATGATCCGTCATAGATTTTCTACATTATTTTCTGATTCGCAATTCGGCTTTTTAAACAAACGATCCTGTAAACTCAACCTTCTATCTTGCCTTTCCTCGTGGCAAAATTCTATTGCATCTAAAAGGTTTGTAGATGTCATCTATTTTGATTTTGCTAAGGCATTCGATAAAGTTAACCATTCCTTGCTCCTTCTTAAGCTTCGAAGTTTTGGTCTTGATGAAACCGTTATTCGATGGTATGAAAACTTTCTGTCTGATCGTTGCTCTACTGTGCTCATTGATGGTTCTCGATCTACTTTTAATTATGCTAATACGTCTGGTGTCCTCCAAGGTACTGTATCTGGGCCTTTGCTTTTCTTGATATTTATCAACGACATTGTTAACTTGATAGACCCTGAAACCTCCATCTCACTATTTGCGGATGACATTAAAATTTACGGTTCTAACCCTGAATCTCTCCAACATAGTATAAACTCTATTTTTGAATGGTCATCTACCTGGGGCTTGCCCCTTGCCGCTAACAAAACATTTGCTATTCACCTGGGCCCTCGCAATCCTAAAACTATTTATTTGATTAATGGAGTTCCCATCCCTCATAAATCTGTTGTACGTGATCTTGGTGTACTAATCGATGAGAAACTCACTCTTGCTCCGCACATTAATAATATTGTATCTCTTGCAACGCTGAGATCCAACCAAATTCTGCATTGTTTTCGTACAAAATCTCCGGCTCTTCTGTTTCAAATTTTCAACACCTACGTCAGACCTATATTGGAATATTGTTCTGAAGTTTTTAACCCACCTATTAACTCTGACCTTTGCTACAAGCTTGAATCCCCACTCAGAATTTTTTCCCGCAAAGTTTACATTAGGTCGAACCTATCCTTTGATTCCTATTCAGATCGTCTAGAGCAATTTCAACAAACCCCTCTGTACATTAGACGAGTTATTTCTGATCTCCTCACTCTCCAAAAAATTGTTTCTGGTCATGATCACTTTCCTCAATTCGAAAAATTTTTGCCCTCAGATCCAATTTAAGGCGAAATCCACTTCGGCTACGTTCTCAAGGTCAGTTTTCTAACAACTTTTTCAAAAACGATTCCTATTTGGAATAAACTTACATCCAAATATCAGTTCACACTTCCACCTAATTCTTTGAAAAAAATTATTGGTCGTTTTACCTCGCATCGAATTTTTTTACCTCTATTCCACCAAGACTTTACTGATCTCAATTTTTTTGTTTTTTTTACTTCAACTTTTTTTCCTCATTTTAAATTGTAGATCGAAGTGAACTCGTTGGGGTTCACACTGATCTGTGAATAAATTATTATTATTAAAAAAAGAAAAACTAACATCCTTCATGTTGCAGTCAAAGTCGGAGGCCAGCGCGAGAACATAATGATACTGTTGTATCTTCGAGTAACACTGTATGGTGCCTCAAAACGACTGGTATTTCTGGTACCTCGTAAGAATTGAACTGAAAGAATTCGAAACCTACGAATTGGAAATTCGTACAAGCTGATGTTATCGACGTTTTCTACCACGGCAACAATTGCAATTTTTTCGGTTGTATTGTAGAACAGCTCGTTGTTTCCGATCACTTCGTAGCCGATCCTGCCTTTAATCTGAAAAATAGTTCCTTTCTGACAAGATCAGAAGCTAGAGCATGCAAGTAGAAGGACGAGTTATGCATTATTTTTTTTATAAAATCAACCCCTATTATTGTGTTTTTATTTACGAAATAATTCAATCAAGAGCTACCACAAGTGAGAGTAATAGACAGAAGATTAAGAGAAAACATGCTTATTTTTTTCGAGCTGCCGTTTCAAATATGTTTGAATAAAACAGTGTAATAACAAAAATGATATCAAACGAAATTTCTTGTCATATGAGTAGATTTTCTCATTATTAATTTCTCGTGAATCCTGTCAACAACTGTGCCCTGAGTCATCTTCAAAGCATGGGCCATGTTTTAAAGACTTCAATGTTCATGATAACGCTTGCCTATGCTCTTATCGGACTATAATAAAAAAAAATCAAAAAAAAATCATTTCGGAGAAGAGAAGTACTGCTCATCATTTACAAAAAACATTCTCACCCGGTCTTTTTCGTTTGTACTGAGTATTGAATCTGGGTCGAATTCCGACTGATAGTTGCTCTAAAAATAGACGCTTCGGATCGACGACCATTAGATACATACCCGAAGAAATAAAAGAGTTAGAAGGAAAGCTGGAACAATTATACATGCGGCTGAAATCTTAGTACATTGAAACCTGCGGCGGAAGGACATGAAAGTGTGGGATCGAGAAAAGACGCACCCTTGAATCAGAATTCGAAACGCTGCGACAGGGGAATTTCACCTGCCAGGATCCGTGGAGAAATTCGGCGGAGATGAAGACCACGATAGACCTGGATACTACGGCCGTCGGCGTCTGTTCGTCCGCGATCCAGAAGCAGACTGGAACAGAACACGATTTGATGTTTCAATCGCGTTTTGATTTCTATATCTCTCAACCGAAAAAAAACGATGAGATGGTAAAGCTTCGAAGAAAGGTTAAAAGGCATCATACTGTACTCTCAAACATTTGAATTCCAGCTTAGAAAAAAACTTTTCCAAGTTGGTCATTCTTTACAAGAAAGACCTGGATTTGGGAGATACGTCTGTGGAAATGCTTATCCAAAAAGGCTTCTAAAGCGCTCTCAAAATGCTGTAGAAAAGGTTTGTTCCCACATGCAAGTTCTATTCCGGTTTATGAGTGCTTCATAACCGGTTCCTCTTCGAGACTCACGGCTTTTGAACCCATTGAAAAGGTAGATATGGCTCTCGGAATACTCCGCGAAAAAATTGCTAATTTTTCTCGGTAAGTGTTTTTGAATAGAATATTGGTCATTCTCGAAATAGAATTTTTTTTTTCATTTTTTTAACTTCCAAATTAGAATTAAAGAAGCATAAAGAGTTTCTTATTGTGATGCGAAAAAATTACACAAAAAATTGGGAAAAAATAACCAAGCGACTCTTATCAGAATCATTTCCAACCAAAACCTTATCTGAAGCACTCGAGAGCTTTAGGAAGCTCCTAGATTCGAATAATTGGTAAATGATTATTGTAATACTTGAAAGCAGAAAGGGAGGCAAACATTCGCTATCGCCCAAAAAAAGGTGGGGTGAAGCCGTATCAATTTTCATTGTGCTCCTTCCCCTGCTGTTCACAGAGCTTTCAAAAGCGTTTCAATTTGAAAACAGCTACAAAATTTATTTTCGACGAAGTACTGTTATGATTGGTTTCCTTTTGTTGCTCGAATCTTTTCTCAAATTCTTTTTTTTTCCATTCTCGTTTCTCGAGTTCAATGCCGTTTCAGACATCATATTTCTGCTGTTATCAATTGTTCTTCAGCAGGGTAAACGATTAATTTTTATTTAAATTATCGAAAATTGTGAGATTCTTGGAGTTTCTGATTATCCTGCAGATAGTGCAGTTTGGTCCATTCAGGAGGGTAGAAATCCGCCGGCAAAAGCTGTTTTTGGACCTGAAACATGGGAGACATGAAACATTCAGATTTAGAAGAACATTTCGACCTTGTCATCGGTCTGAGAGATGTCTCGGTGATACACATCTGCCCCAGGACGAGACAAATATGCTAACCACCAGCCGAAGGTCGAAGATGGCGCTAGATTGACTTGTGCAAAACTTTCAGATGATAAATTTACCTGTTATCAGAAAAACGTTGCAAAATTTCGCCGAGAAAGCCAAGTCGCCGGCGGCATCCAGCGTTGACGTATAAAGCTGAAGAAATAAGCCTAGAAGTACGAAAAGAAAGAAAACCTCGTAAGGTTCGATGAGATCAGGAGTATTGACTTTGATAGGATTGTTTACCGTTCTCGTCCCTTAGACTGAAAGTTGAGGTAAATCCACGGAAATAAGATTTTACCGTTAAATAAAGTGTTGGTCCACTTGATATCGTTCGTCATTGCGACTGCAGTTACACGTCCGCGTTTACGATCATGATCTGAATGAAAATAATGATTACCAATTAAATTAAACGAAATCGGACGAAAAAAACACCAACATTTGCGAACAAGATAGTCTGTGGCAGTTTTTGTGAAGTTGCCGTCAGTTCCTGCGTGCATTCCGTCTGTGAGGAAGTCGCCTCTTCTGATGTGGACACAAACTCTGAAAAATGCTCCATAACACTTCTGGAGTTTCCGGAAAAGTCCCATCTTTTAAATTTTCGTCAAAAACAAAAATTTGAAAAACTTCTACATGTACTCCTTACATCATCTATTTTTTTTAAAAGCTTAAATGGATATTTTAAACCTTCTGTGTGCGCCCCGCCCCTTACATCTGCAAGCCGAAAACTCATTTATATGGTTCATTTTAGTTTGACAAAAACGATATAGAAAACTCATGCACAAATTTCTTTCAATCAGAACTCCTTAACGGGAAAATTTGAATATGCAGGGAAACCGCACGAAACTCACATAGTGTCGTTTTTCCTGTCGTCGGGGAGCAATCTCTCCGCTTTTTCTTCAGCTTCTCGACGCGGAGCTAACATCTTTCTTAGTTTATCTTTTCTATAGTCAAAGTACTTGAAGCTCTAAAATAAGATCTCTCAACTTTCACTCTCTAAAAGGGGTCAAAAATATGAAATAAGGAATTGAAACGCACTTGGAAATAATGGCCGACAAGATGAAGATGGTGGTTTCTGACGGTGACCAGGTTGGAAGGATCGTCGAAAACGCAGCAATGCCCGTTGCTCAACTCTCGTTTCGTTGCTCTTTTCTCCTGATAATTTCAGGCTTCTTCTAACATCTTTTCCACTCACCTTTGCTGGGACCATGCGAAAAAGATTGATGAATCGAGGGAAATTCGGTTTAATCATAGTCTCTAAGACTCGCACGAGCTTTGGGTTCGAAGAATCCAAAGTTGGTATTCGGTTGAGATAGGCGGCGACTCCATATAGGGCGGCAAGTTCGAATAGTTGGTTCCCTCAGAATGAAATTTTGTTTTACTTTTCTTTCTTCAAAGCACACCTAAACCGCCACCAAATCTCACAGCATACAGGTGCGAAGTCAGTATACGATTCTAAAATTATTTTTTTTAGAGAAAATTTTTCTTTTGATCAATTCTCTTGACTGATGGCTTACTTTTGGAGGTTCGGCGAATGTCTGTTCCTGCAGTGGAGATTTGCTTTAAATTGCTTCATTTCACATATTAGACTGGACAAACAACTCACGATTCTGGAATAAAGCGTGGGATTTCGGTAAAGATGAGATAAAGGTAGACTGATGTTGTAAAAACTGAAAATAAATGTTTTGAGATGTGATGAATAACAGTTTACCTATTAAAATAGGGATTCGACGGCAAAATAATTTGATAAAATAAGCAAAAACGGGTCCTTGACGTCCATTTTCGTCTCCAGAAATCGAATTGAAGAACAAATATTTTAAATACATGAGCAATCTGAAATGATTTGTTAGGTACTGCGAAAGGTAAATGAAAAATGGGAAAAAATAGTCAAACTGCGACAGGGAAAATATTGGTTTTCAATGTCCCTGAACGGCTGAATTTCAATGGCACCCGCCACTAAACTCGAGGTCTTTACAAATGAAAGGAAACTACGCTTTGAAAAGATTCCCTTGTTCTCAATTGTTATGATTTCGACTGGAACACTAAGGAAGTCGAAAAGTAACCAGAATTTGTGAAAATTAACATCTAAGGCAAGAATCTCCCAAACCTTCTTTTTGTAATTTTTATCGAACTAGAGTCTATGATAAATAAATTGGACACGACTGAAAAGAAGAGCGGACTCTAGATGAAGGTCCAAAAAACCAACGGATAGGAAGCCGTTCTGGGGTCCAAGGGTCATTCATTCTCGAATGCCGAGACTTGCTTGAAGCCGACTCTACCTGAGACAAGGAGGCGGCATGACAAACGATTTCAAGACAGAAAAGGCCAGACGCAGTCTCTACGAGGGATTTTCAATTACTTTGCAATTTGGATGTTTTTAAAAATTGCTTAAAATTCTATTATGTACTAAATGAAAATCTGTGTAAAGTTCGTCCTGAAAAAAAATGACTTCGGAAGCCCTATAGCCATGCCACAGACGAAACTTAGTTGCCACAGATATTTGTAATGAAACCCGAGGAAAATTTTTTGATGGTAATACCCTGAAAGAGTCGTATACTCACTCCAACGTTTTCAAGAAAGCGAAGGTCAATACATTCAGAAAACTAAAACGCGGCACCCGACTAGATGGAAGGACCGTTTTCGCAAGAGTATCAGCTAATCAGGTCTACACTGGATAAATGCCACGAAAAACCAGAAAATTCATGCCGAAAAAGATGCAAAGTGACCAAAGAAATTCCTTTGAAAATTTGGTACCTCGTTTTAGTCTTTATGTAGCCGTTAAGGTGAATGTTCAGACGAAATTCGACGTTTTCGGCATTTGTGATGAAAGCAAAAATTGAATAAAAAGACCCAATGACCAAAGGATACCTTCGTGATGTTTCTCACTGACGTTCCACTGGAAGCTACACGGAGATCTCGTGAGATAAGGGCAGATCTGAGGAAACGATCCAAAGAATCCATCTTGAAAAAAGTGTTATAAAACAAGGTTCGTAATGACCGTGGTAACCTAACTTCAAAGAAAAACCTCAAAAAAGGAAAAAAAAATTAAAATTAAAAATTAAAGTTGGATATGAATGAAAGTTGCAGGGTTCAATACTTTTAAAACCTTTCAAAACCTTCTATGAAACACTTTCATACGGGTTTATGAAAACCGTTCTTTAATAGATTTTTTTTCCTTTTCTTATTAAAACGCTATCTCCGCAACTTTCAGATTCTCTCAACCACAGGGGTAAAGAAAAAAAGAGAAGTTTAATTTGATGAAATTTCAGCGTTATTATATGACGAAAAGAATGGACAACCAACTCCTCAAACCATTTCCTCTCACCGAACCGGTCACTTTCTCTGGGAAATTGATAGTTCATTAGCTTTGAATTCATACCACTCTGAATAAATTCTGTTTTATCCGTCATATCAAAAATTCGCGAAGATCACGTAACTCGGCACCAGAAATTAGACTCGGCTCGGTTAATGGCCAAAAGGCTACTTTCCTTTCTCGAACTTTTGCTGAAAACTAGTTGGCGTAAAACTGAATTATATTTACGCTTGTGAACAGTGGTTCTTCGGACTTTGAGTTCAAGTTTGACCCGAAGAGACGTGTCGTGGACATTATGGTGGAGATCAAAAAAGAGTGCTCACGCTACTAAAGTGATCACTAGAATTCGCCCGACACGTCCGATTCGCGTTCGGTTCACGTCACCGAGGTCCGCACTTGCACAGCTTGCAATTTTTTTCTTTTCTGTTGCAATTTTCATGATTTTATTTCGTGTCTTTCATTAACTATTCTTTGCAACAAAATGTTGAACAATTTATTTAATTATTCTTCTTGACGAATAAGAAAAATATTTGGTTAAAAAGTGCTTTGAAACAATTTTATTGTAACACGGAAAAGATTATGCGGAAAACTTCAAAACAATTATTTTGAACCCGTGAAATAATATCTATTCGAACTCTTGAAAGAAGACTCACAGGTAGTTACCTACGCGAGCTAAGCTTTTCAACTGATTTCGGGTCACTTCAGCTTCGAAAACGTCCAATTTTTCTTGAATTCTGGTTTCATGGGTGAGAAGCCTTCGATCATAACTCCACGTCATGTTCCTAAAAGATCAGAATTCGTATGGATGAGAACACCCATGAAGTTGAAAAAAATTGACAAGAAACCAACTTCGGAGAGCACTTTGTGACATCAATGTCTCCTAGAAAAGGATTGTACCACGCACTTCGAGAACTTTCGTAAATTCTAAATATTCCTTATTCAATTGATCTCGTGAGTTTTCCGTCCAACCTGACGTCTTCATTAGGAGTTATCTGTAGTTGATTCTTTTTCCATCCGTGAATCATGAAATCTCGTTCCTTGTTCCACAAGCTGTTCGTCAACCAGTTGTCCCTTGCCCAACCGGTTCCCTGAACTCTTTTTGAACTTATCGAATGAAGAAAACAACAAAAAAGTGAGCTGGGGAAACTCTACTCTACCTATACCCAGAGATCACTGTTTTATACGGATCTCTCAGTGCTCATCAATAACTTTATTGTCCACTTTTCTCTTTTATTTCAATTCCGGAAACAGCGATTGAACATTAAAATCATAACCTTTGATCATTTATAACTCTTCACAAATCTTTTAACTCGATGGCTTGATTTTTCTGGAAATTGTTTTTTGAGTTTGTATATTCGAATGAAATTTACGTTTCTATTCAGTCACCTTTCTCATAATTCGAACTTTTCCAAAGTCAGACTTGGCTCCGAAAAGTGCTCGGATGCAGGCTTCGTAGGCAAACAAGTCGTCGAAATCTTTCGATTTATTGTAAACTCTGATACAGTTGGAGATGAAGTTCTTCTCATTTGGAAACAGTTTTTGGGCGAGGTAAAGCTAAAAAATGATTATTTTTTCTTGAAATTTTTTCAAACTCACATGCAAACCACCGTTGTCGGTGCCGTGAAAGCTGTTTGGCATTCGATACTCGAAGTTTGCAAATCCTGAAGAAAACACTGCAGATCATCCGAATTCTTCCCATACCAGCTATTAGGTCTCTTCCGAAAGGCGTATTCTTCACAATGTACGAGCCGGCCATTATCTCCCAATTGTAAAACCGATCATAGAACGTTACATCTATATTTTGGTCCAAATATTCCTCGATTCTTCTGAATTATAGGCTTGTTTCGAGAAAAAAAAAAGTTATTGGATGCATTTTTCATGTGTCAAAAATTCTCATCATTTATTGAAAGCAATTAGAACCTCTTAGGGAAGACCACGCCAATGTCGGCATCCAAGAACATTACTACGTCATAGCCTTGAAGTATCTTGGCCACGACACAATGTCGACGGAAAAACCTCTGAAAAGGTTTTTTGTGAATTCGTTATGAGTTTCAAACGTCTTTGTGAGGACAATCAAAGTCCTTTTCGACAGCGAGGATGTAGTTGTACTCGTGAATAGCCGCGTAGCACTTCATTGTTTCTGCAATGACACCTTTAAGTACAAAAAAAGAGAAATTTTTTGAGAAAAAATGAGTTGAACTAACTGATGGCGACGTCATAAGTTTCGACGTGCTTCTTGTCTTCAACAACTGAAACAATGGCTATCCGTTGCTTCGACGGCTTCTTGTAACGTATCGTGTCGTCATCGATTATTTCGAACGTAAGCGAGTTCTCTTCTTTTTTCTCAAACGGGAAAATTGAGTTTGGGTGAATAGTTCTGATCATTCCAGCACTAAGAATAACTGACGAGATAAACGCGAGCTCGGTGGCGGTACATTGACTAACTCGCAAAAATGTCACTTTTTTCTAGGCGCGATCCCGCATTTCTCTCGGCGCGACCTCGCATTTTTCTCGGCGCCATCTCGCATTTATCTTGCATTTGGGAAATTTTCAAATTGCGAGAGAAATGCGAGCTCGCGCCTAGAAAAGTGCGAGCTGGCGCCCAGAAAAATGCGAGACCGGCGCGAGAAAAAAAGCGAGATGTTTGCGAGCTCGTCAATGTACCGCCAGTGTCTCGCGTTTATCTCGGCAGTTATTCTTAGTGAGCTTATATATAACAAATGATTTTTTTTCCTTTCTAGTGAATCGTACTAACCTCTTTTGCCTGCTCTAGTTTTCGCCTTATGTAATCAGAGTCTTGAAATCTCCGCTGGAAAATAAAAGTAAAGTCATCCACAAAACTTCCAGTTTAACCTGCCTGTGTCAACGTCAGTAGCAATAGCACTACGATGAACATGAAGAAGATAATGGAAAATAATCGGGAAGACATTAATCTATTATGAAACATGAGCTGAACGAAAAATTCTGGTTAACTGATGAATCAATTAAAATTAGCCTAGAAACTGATGATGGAAAAATAGAAAAAAAACGATATAAGCTTATGTGCTCATGTGTCGCAGCTGTACTCAAATGAAGCGAATGATTCACTTTATTTGTACAGGGCCAATGTCCCTACGTTATGGCTCTTCGGAAAATTGTACTAAAAAGGATTATCGTTCACACGTGGTCTGAATTCAGTTCCGGTCTTTGAAAGTTTCACCAGCCAAGAAAAAAAAAAGTTCGAACAACATATGAATGAGCTCGTTCAAACTGAAGGAAGTGTCAGGCACACGGAAATCCTGTTGTCTCTGGTTCTCAAAAAGCTTTATTAGTAGTTTTTTCATCTTTATCTTTCATGAATTAATAACAATGGACGGAAAAATAAACAAGAGAAATACTAGACCTTCCGCAAAACAAACGTATTTTGAACAAAAGAACCAAGATTCAAGTTAAAAGTGGAAAAATTGACGTCGATTGGTTCAGGCTGATGCCCGGAAAACGTCGAAACCCATTCGAAACCTGAGCTTTCTAAAATAAATTGAAAGATATTTGGTCCAACCCGTGAACATTAGAGCGAGACGTATTGGACCGTATATTCTGTGTAAATTGTAGGTGATGTGGTCTCTTCCTTGGGGCATTCCGAGGAATAACAGGCCTGGAAATGAGATATCCTCCCTCGGTGAGGCTGAATTAGCAAGAACCTCCAGGTTTCAACATGCAATGGATTTTCTGCATTTCTCGTAGATCACCGATGGGATCTACAGGGTCGCCGTATCTCAAAATTAAACTAGTAAAAAACTTATTAGAAGTCCAAACAGGTGAAAATCGGTTTTTACTGTTGAGTAGATACTTCGAGAATTTTCTTGAACTGTGAAAGAACGTGAAAAAGTTGGGTTTCAACTTGATTGTAATGAATAAATAAATGGGGGATATTATATGATCAATAAAAAATGAATATAAAGACATAAGCATATAGAGCTTGACATTTTGACGATATAATAGCGATCATAACAAAGTCAATTTAGAAAAATGTTCTTTTCAGGGATTTTTTTTTCTATTTTTTTCATAAAAAATCAAACCTTCCCAATCCAGAATGTTCGATGGACGAGAATGAAGCAGCAAAGTCAAAGGTTTGAGCGTATCTATCGGCCTTTTATTGAAGTTATAATTGAAGCTCACTTGGACCAATCTTTGCAGAAATCAATCGGGAAGATGTGGCTCATACTATCCCGGAAAGTTGGTTCAATGTTGAGTTTGTTGTACTCAACGGTGAGAACGTGCTGGGCTCCCGCCTTGAGAGCAAAAGCTTCGACCCACGGCTTCATGCTGCCGACGACGAACCCTTTTTGATCCCTCAGGCCGACGCTTGACATGGCATGGTACACCGACACTGAAACAGGTCTCAAGAATGTTCCAAAACCTCACAAGAGAAGAAAAGTCGGAAAAAAGAAAACTTACAGGCCTGGATACCATATGCCATATTGGCCAACTCCAGCGGCTTTTTCTTCATTACCGTCGTCATGTTTTCCCACCATGTCGGTTTCTGACCTGTCGGAGAGTCTCGGTCGTCGTGGTAAGCCTGAAAATGCGGTCAGCGCTTTTCAAATCGGAAGAAACTCACATAGTTGACGCTTGCATAACCGTAAAGCAAGAATTTATCGACGAAGTTTTCGGGGATTTTCCTGGGCGGCTTAGGCGGCTGTTTCTGATCGGCTACTCGAAGCCAGCCAGTGAAAACCTTCAACCGAAACTTTCATCTCAACTTTAATCCATTCAACCTCTTCACAAGTTTGAGGTCTCTGCAAACGGAGTACAGCGACTGGCGTGGCGTTTTCCACGATTTCATAGCCGAGTTTACGATAGACCTGAAAAAGAAAAATTTCCGGATTTAAATCTCCACTTTTGACTTTTCCGTCAAGTTCTGAATATGAAACATTTCCGCGGGCACTTCTCACTAGTATGTCAGCCTCGACTTTTGGCCTGTAAATCTTGATGTAGATTCTTCCTCATTCAAAACAGATTTCTTACTGAATTTTTGGAAATGTTTCCGATTTTTCATATTCCTTTCTTTTTTCCGAGCTATCGTAAGATGTTGGACTCGATCTGTAAACGTGAGATAATTTTTAGTGGCAGGAATGACAGAAGTGACTCACGAGAGAAATAAAAAGTACACGAAAAAGAAGCAGCCAACAATAAAAACTCCCGTTGAGTTCCGCATACAATCTGAAGTTAGCTCGACGACAGAACCGAGTTTGGCCGGTTAACAACGTCTATGATTTTTTTTTTTTGAACGTGTTCGTCCCTGTTTTATTTCATATTTTGCTCTAATCAAGTTAATAGAAATGAAGGTAAACGTGGTCAACTTCCAATGAAAGCGAGAACGGAAAAAGTATATAAATAATTGCGCTGGACTTTAAATGAGTTAGTTCCAATAGACCATGTCTCCAAGGTAGCGGCCGGAAACTTTTTCGCCAAAAAACCACAAAATTTCGTACTTCTTTTTGAAACCGACTCAAATTCTTTTTAAAAAAGTGGAAATAGGCAATTTTTGATCGCTGTTTCAAAACCAAGCGCCGAAACCAAGTGGGATCTTTTTTTTCGTCCATGACTTCAACTAAATGAAGAATTGGATCAAAAAGAGAATACTCGACACAGTTTTTCAAGAATCGCTAGTTTTGTAAATATCAGCCAAGGTGACTTTGATAACTATGTTTGTTTTGTCACTGATAACGCTTGGGTTTGAACGTGGTCGTACGTTGCCAAATAGGTTTCCCAAGATCCTGAAACATCTCCGATTATTCGTTGTCCTACACCGGTAAACGGTGAATTCGAGGGTTTTCTGGAGAACTTCAAATGAAAAAAAGAGTTGATCCATTCAAAAATCCGAGTGTTCAAGTGAGAGTTTTTCCTTTCTCACTACTCTTTTCTTAACCATAATAAAATATTCCTTTCAATATCGTTTTTTTTAATTCCATTCTACAAAAAAAAAAACAGAGATCAGATCGCTGATTCAAAACGAAACCACAGTACAATCATTTCGTTTGCCATCAAAAATCAGCCACAAGGACGATTTTACACTTTGGTTCTTTTCGAAGAAGGGAAATTCGTTGGATGACGTCATTCAACCCCAATTTCCAGATGCGCGGCGACAGTTTATTCGGCCAACGTGATCGCCAGAAAAGGATGTTTTCGGCGAACTGGCCCGAAAAACAGTTGGGACTTGGGAGACAGCCAGACGGCGCGAGCAAAGCCGACGCTACCTTAAAAAGACGCCAAACGCGGTTTGTGGCATGGTGTTTTCTTCTGTTCTTTCCTTTCCACTTCTTGTGGACGTTCTTTTTATTTTTATTTTGTAAACTTTACTCACCTTCCGAATTCCAGAAAATGATTTCTACCAGTCTCCTTCTCCTGGTGCTTCTCCTCGCTCTCATCATGATCGCCGAAGCTCAATGGGGATGTGAGTTTCTTTCGACTTTTTTCTTTCATAAACTGTTCGCATTTCCAGATCCCTACGGCGGATACGGTGGATACGGTGGCTACTACCGTCGTCCGTGGTGGCGCCGACGCATGTACGGTTATGGCTATGGTGGATATGGCGGCTACGGCGGCTGGGGCTACGGAAAGTAACCTGCTTCTTCCAACCGACAAGCTTCTCCCGACAATTTACAGCCATCTGTGAAGTTGTAAATAATTATTATATGCTTTATATCAATAAAATATTGTCCCAAATTTGTTCTTTCTTCTGTTCTAACCAAAAAAAAGTTTCGAACAGCATTTTCTTGAGAATAAAATATTTCAGAATGATGAATATTTTCTTCTTCTCTCTCATAGGGGCAGTAAAAAATGGTGTTACAGGTGAAAGCAGTATCTAATACAGTTTTTCTTTGCGAATCGAATGGTGTACTCAAAAAAATTACAGATGTGACAACTTTAGAAGAAAAACGCAATTTTACTTTCCCGCCTTTAATTTTGAAAAAAGCTTTGGATCGCTATGCAGACAACTGTTTACAGTAGCCGTGCACGCGATGTTGCGGACGTCTCATAAGACTCGCATTTTGTGAGAAATAACCGGATATCCGCTTCAAATTAAGGGTTTCTTCTCTGAAAAATCGATTGAGAAAACAGAAAACACACACCGATAATAAAGAAAACACAAAATATCGCTATCCCAACCGAAAGCTATATAAAATCATCATTTTTCACCAGAGAAGCATTTTTGCGATTAAAGTTTGCAAATTATACATGAATAGAAAGCTTTTGTGACGAAAAGAACTTTGGTGACAACAGAAAAAATTGAAAATTGAAAGAAACGAAGAAAAAAGCGAAAATCCGGAAGTTGGCGAAGCCTGTTGTCCATAGAGCAACCTTACTGCAAAGCGCTCTTTGTGCGGGAACTCAAACTTTCCTCTCTCCGACTTTGAATTATTTTTTTCTCCAAAACTAGGAACTTCTGTACGTTTCCAAGTTCACCGTTCGATTCGCAATGAAAAGCTCTACAAAGTACTGCTTTGAACTGAAACACCGTTTTTTACTGCCCCTATGCCTTTAAATTCCTATGGAGAAATAAAAAACGTTAACTTCGAAGTCGCAACAATCATATTAACCATTTATCCTCCCTAGAACCTTCAAAAAAGTTGAGATCGAGAGTCTAACCGCCTAGAAGCATTCGACTTCGACTATTTAATCAACGATATAAACATAATTTCAGCTGTACTCTTTGAACAAAGAACAGGGAAGTCATGACAGAAATAGTTTTTGTGGGAAGAGTCATTCTCAAACTGGTTTTGACACTGTCTTTTCGTTTTTATGTTTTGTTTTTCGGATGGAACGTTTTCCCTCGATAATAAATTGAACAAAGTTCTTCGGACATCATTTGACTGTCGATTATAATGAAATTTCGCGAATTTTTTTTGCTCGAAGCTCTCAAAGCTGGTCTTCAAACCCTAGTCGCCAAAAAGAAGCCATTTAAGAGAAAAAAACGAGAAAATCAAGATATAGTTTTCCTAGAAGAGCGTCAAAATTATTTAAGACTTATAATTATTTTTTTTCTGGAGTTTTTTTTTCACGATGTGCTTTTTGAGATGTCTGCATAAATGTATAGCCAATCCTTCCCGACGTGAAAGACGAGATTGGTAGATTGTCAAGGATGAAGCGTTGCGTGCGCGAGGCGGCTTTTGACGAGAACTCGAGGCTAAACACGAGCCACCTTTTTTTAAATTTTTTTTTTCACAGTTTGTCCCCTTTTATGGGTTTTGAAAGATTCATTTGAAAAAATAAAAATGATGAAAATTTTAACATTTTCTACATTTTTTCTTGATTGCATTTGACCTCGAGTTTCCCGCCAAAAGCCGCGTCGCGCACGCAACGCTTCACCCTTGCCATTATACCCATCTCGCCTTTCAAGTCGGGAAAAATTCATGATATTTGGGATTATTCTACTAAAAAATTGAAAAGGGGTTCAAGGAAAGGGGTTTGCCAATGGAAGCTTTTTTGCGGGCTCTTGTATTCAAAAACTTTTTCACTTTAGAGGTAATGTGCAAATGTTTTGCGACAATGCTTCAATGAAACTGAGATGAATAAATAGTTTATATGTACAAGAAATGGAAAATGATCTATTTTCCGTAGCCCCATGGTCCATAGCCGCCGTAGCCACCTCCGTAGCCGCCTCCGTATCCGCCGTAAGGTCCTCCGTAGCCACCATATGGTCCATATCCTCCGAAGAATCTGCGGTGGTGATGACGTCCCCAGCCCCCGTAGCCTCCGTAGCCTCCGTATGGGTCTGAAAGGACATAAACGTTCAGAAAATCTTTTTTTTCGGATCTCACATCCATATCCGCCCCACTGAGCTTCGGCAACCATCAGCAATGCGCAGATAAGCACAACCAGAAGGAGGAGACTAGAGGAAATCATTTTCTGAAAATGAACTGCTGTAAAAGGGAACAGTTTTGAAAAAACACTAAGAAGTTTCGAGAAAAGTGAAACGGGTGAGATTGGTGAAGAAGCCTCGCGACTTGCGGTCTTATATATCCTGAAGAAGATGAGAAGCAGGGCGGAACTATTCGCTGAACGAGGATCTCCGTAGCTTTTTGAACCGTCTGCGCGGCTTGTTCTGTCCCCCTTTTGATAAACTATCACGTTTCGGTCAGAAGTGACGTGTGGAGGCTACTTGGACATCTTTTTTTGTTTCTCTTCTGTTTGTGGATCAAGGAAGAAGGCCATAAATCGAAATATATCTGCATAAGTACAAAGCGTCACACTTTCGAGGAAAATAAGCCGCGAATTCGTAGAGCTGCTGAAATTTTTTTCCTGTAAACCATCCACAGTATGCCTGAAACTTCGAGAGAAAAAAACTCTCAGATATATTTTGATGAAATAATTCGTTAAATGTTCGGAAATTTCCAAAATTTCTTGGTAAATGAGGAACGGTAAAACACCTCTTCTGAGAACTATAGAACACTTGAAGTTACTTAAAAACAAAGGGGATGTCAGACTGCTTTTTCAAAAACAAAACCTTTGTGACTTCCAACTTATGCGAATTTTTAACGGATGGTCGATCCGCTTCATGAGAAAAATAGAGTTTGGATCTCAAAAAAATTTACAAAAAAATATAGGCGGCGTTGCGAGAAAGTTGTAGTAGCGTGCCTTGACCCCAGAAACGATTGAGGTCAAACCAAAGCGACGTAATATTTCACACTCTCTGTCATCTCTGCCGTTATGTCAAATATTATACAAACAAGATTCAAAGATGGTAGAAATCGTTAATTTTTTCTGTTTGCAAAATTTTTTGGAAGTTTTTTGCTAGAAAGAAGCATGAAAAAGATGATATATACTTACGATAACTTTATTTTAAAATTCAAGCCGAAAATCACAAGTTCCTCAGGTTGGAAGTGTTTTTTCATGCAACAGAACATTTCACAGGCAAACTTTTATTCTGAACAGATATATTAAAGTAGATTTTCGAAGTTTAAACGATATTATTTTCCCTTTACTCATTAAGAATTCGGCATTTTTTTGTGTGGCGGGATGTGCAGATTGGAAATTTTTGGCGGGAATGGGTCTAATGCGCGCCATCTTTTTTTATTTTCGTTCTACACTAAGAATAACTGCCGAGATAAACGCGAGACACTGGCGGTACATTGACGAGCTCGCAAACATCTCGCTTTTTTTCTAGCGCCGGTCTCGCATTAGTCTGGGCGCGAGCTCGCATTTTTCTAGGCGCGAGCTCGCATTTCTCTCGCAGTTTGAAAATTTCCGAAATGCAAGATAAATGCGAGATGGCGCCGTGAAAAATGCGAGGTCGCGCCGAGAGAAATGCGGGATCGCGCCTAGAAAAAAGCGACATTTTTGCGAGTTAGTCAATGTACCGCCACCGAGCTCGCGTTTATCTCGTCAGTTATTCTTAGTGTACTTTTTCTTGATATACAGTTCAATTAATATGAGTTTGAAAAAGTTTTTAAAAGAATAAAAGCTCAAAAACTTCTTCTTTCTTTCTGACTAGAGACTATAGTTGTTCCTTGGTTGCTTGAGCTCGAGCTCCGTGCCGAAATCAATTGTCTATATCGCGGTTGAGAAGCCAATAAGCGTCACTGTTGTCTGTTTTGTGGATTCATCTCAACCAAATACATCATAAAGTTCATTGAGCCAAAACAAATAAGTTATAAAAGAACCAATATGTACACACAACAAAAAGTTAACGATGGAAATTACTTTGGTTTGACGTCGATGTCGATGTCTGAAAATTGAGATGAAAGCGGTCTTGATAAGAAAAGCCTACCGATTCCTCCTTTTCCTGGGCCGTCAGGGCCGTCAGGAACTCCAGGACCATGGCCGTCAGGACCAGAGACAGAGCCTGAGGAAGAGGAGGAGCTCGAAGACGAGCTCGAGGAAGAGCTCGAGGAAGAGGAGGAAGAGGATCCCGACGACGAGAAGGACTTCTCAAGGTTTGGATCGACTCCCATGTCAGAAGTTCCATCTTCGTATCGGATGCACTTCACATCCCTCCTTTTTTTCTAAAACATAAAGTTTTCTTCTCTATCTGATGGTTATGAGAGAGTTCTTTTATTATGTTTCGGATTTTCGACATTTTTCAGACACACTCTTTGATGTGCCGCGTAATTCAAAAGTTTTGCCTTGCGCAGAAAAATTCCGGGGTTTGAGAATTAAGACACAAATAGTTATATTAAACCGTCGCACGATGGTTTTATTTGACTATGAGGCGTAATTTCCCAAAGAAAAGCTTCATTTTTCTCCCTTTCAGAGTTCTTATTCAGTGCATCGAAGAGTGTCTGAGCCAACTGTGAAAAAACTGAAGCGCTAGAAAAGAATTGACCTGCCTTGCAAGGTACATTGAGAACTTATAGTCTTGAATATCGTTTTAAATAACACAAAATCTTTTAAAGTGGCTTTTGAAAGTTAGCTCAATATTCAGATTTGATGGATCCTCATCGAGAAAACTTTCAAAGCTCATCGAATATTCAAGAACTCGACGTACATCGCGCTTGGAGAACTTATCGCGTTTCTTCATCTCGTCTTTTTCGTCGCTTCCTGAGTTGTCGCCGGATCCGGAATCTTTTCCGTCTTTGCCATCTTTGAAGTCACTTTGACCGTCGACTGTAGATGGAACCAGTTTTCACAAAATGAAATGAATATCCTTCTCTCTACCGTAAATTCGACAAAGTCCCTTGAACTTGACGGTCTGCCCGCACGAGTAGGCCAGCGAGACCAGGGCGAGAAGAACTATTATGGTTTTCGAGGAAATCATGGTTGCGAACCTGAAAAGAAAAGAATTCAAAATTCGGGGCGAAAACTCAACAATTCCATAAAATATTAATGTTATGGTCTGTTCAAAAATCCTTGCTGGCGTGTTCAAAAGAGCTTAGACAAATCTCATAAAAAATTTCGAGGCGAAGAGTCTGTTAACTTTTTCTTCTGGTTATGCATGGTACTTACCTTTTGAGGTGCTCAGCAAGAATTTCTGAACTCAATTTCACAGCCCGAAAAGCGTTTTTAGCGTGGCAGACTCACAAAAAGTATGAGAAAAATTGCTCAAACTATTACAAAAAAAGCGTTTGAGATATCTTTTTGGCTAAGATCATCTCTGGGATAAGAAGATAAAAGACAAATTTGGTGAGAAGTGCAAAACGGTGGTACTTTATATGGACGGCACTCTAGGTGCGGAAAAAAAAACCCGTCGGCATCCAACCCAGACACAAGCTGCAACGCTTTTTTAAAACGATTATTTGATGGATTTGTAATGCCGAAGTGACACCCGCATCTCTCCCTTCAACGGCCATCCTTTTCCTGCCGTGATCTGTGTGCTGTCAGAACGTTTCTTTTCGTTCTGACAGTTCAAAATATGTCCAACCACGTAAATTCTCCCACCAAGGCAGCGTTCAAGCTTTCACAGAGACAAACGAAACTTTCATTCAAATTGAAATTTCCAGTTTCTACATAGATTTCCTGAAAAATAGTATTTATTTGGATTCGAAAAAATGTATCTAACTGCGACGTTTTCTGATTTCCAGAATGGGAAAATTCAAAGCATCTTCCCTCCTCAAAAATGAGCTCAAGAAGTGTTTATAATAGTTTAGCTCATAAAGCGAATTACATATCAAACTACTTGCTTCTTTGTATCAATAAGAAAAAGGCTTCATCTGCTGGAATAATTTTACATGGCGGTGGAAGTAGATATTCTTTTTTTTTGTTATCACGTTTTTTTGCCAGATTGTTTTACACAGAAGGACGTTGAGTTCTTCAGCTCGCGAATCCTTTTGCTTTTTTAAGAAGTCAAAAAACCGAAATAGATCTTTTTTTTCTCCTTTCGAGGTTCATTGCGTAATCTTCACTTTCTATTTTATGATAGCGCCAGAAACACAGCTTGTCAAAACGAATTTATTCGGGACATTCTATGAAACTAGAATATTGGGGAAGAAAAACCCGATGAGAAAGTTAATATAAACTTTGAATTGGACTCCTATTATAGAAGTGAATAGAACTATGAGATCAGAAAAAAACAAAGGAAACAATTGAGATTGAGAATGTGGTGCTGCAGATCATTGAGACACGGATTTTTCCCGTAAAATTCCCAGTTTGAGTGAAAAAGGATAATTTTGAGCACTGTTGAGCCCTAAATAAGATTATACCGTCGCCGTAGTGAGCAGGGCTATTTGAAATCTATCACGTTAGTTTTGGTGTGTTGGAGAAGATCCTGGCCTAGTGCACATGAACAACTTTTAGTAGTTGAGAAGAAGCGTCGGACTCGCGAAGACTAGTTCATCTCCGACTTGAATCATCATGGTTGGACTTTCCGAATTTCTCAAGAAATGTTCAGTTTTCGTCGCCGAACGCCTCGTCGAGGATGCCCATCGGACCGACGCGCGTCGCCGAAATCTTCTGCTCCTCGTTCTCGATGACGTTCTTCATGGCGCTCTTGATGAGCTGCTTCTGGAGCATGATCATCGAGCTCTGGTTGTTCATCAGGAACTCTTTCAACGACAGAAGACCGTCCTGGTAGTCCACAGAGGACCGTTCTGACGTCATGTCGTAGCCTGCAACCCGGGATTTTTGCGGAAATAACATGTCCGAGGGAACCCCATAATCATAAAGCCTTTTGCATTTTCAGACCTAGCCAGAAATAATTGAAGGGTGTCGATCTCACAGCAGTTTTTTAAAACCTTTTTTGCCCTTCCAGAAGATGAAAACGTGAGCTTTTTTCATGCGAAGCTATTTCAGTTTCCCTTTCACTCACCTTTAGGAGGTCTCAAGCCCAGTCCCATGTACCGTCGCTTCTTTTTGAAACACAAAAACGAGCGATCCTCCACTTTCACGTCCATCTTTTTGATGATCCAATTGAGTAGTTGCCTTAATTGCCCTTTGAATTTACCTTATTGAACCAAAAAAAAAACCTGACAACGATTGAAGAGACGTTGCTGAGACAGTAGAAGAAGCAGGCGCCAAAGGTCAGAATCAGGAAGTTGATGAATCTGAAAAAAGTTGAACTAAGTGGATGATGAATTGACGGTAAGGAATTAAACAAATTATCTTGTTCACATCCAATTACATGATTCATTTACTTGATGATTGAAAAGTATCCTTTTTCATGTGAAAAAACCCACCTATAGAGATCGGGATTCATGGCATGAACGTCTTTCTGATTAGAGACGTAGTCGCCAAATCCAATCGTGGCAAAGCTGGAAAACTCCCATGAGAAAGTTGAGAAAAAAGTAAGGAAGGCATGAAATTTTTAACTTATCGCGGTTGTTTGCGGGTTTCGAATACTATCAATTTTGTGGGAAAGAAGAACGCGAAGCCATTTTTTTATCAAACAAATTTCTATTTTTTTTATATGTAGTTTTTTTAATTGGAAAGGTGGTGGAATTTCTCTCTTGACGCGTTTTCGGTTCTGTTTCGCTATAAGTCACCGCTACACGCCGAGTCCTTTCTATCAGTTCAAAGTCGAGGATAAAATTGAGAACCTGATAAAGCAGAAGTACAAGGCATCGATGTAGTGCCAATCTTCGACTCGAGAATAAACCAGCGCCGCGACGTTGATCAGAACGAAGCACATACTGAAGAGACAAGCGAAGACTTTGTAGACGGAGGGCCGCCAGTTGTCCATGTGGCCCTCGCAAGAACTGAGAATCCATTGATTTCCCCCCGGAGATGATCCGCTTCATGATTACCTAGCCGACTCGGCGAAGTCCTCGTTGTTGATCAGAAGTGTGACCGGCTTATTGGGACTATTGTTCCTCAGTCTTCGCTGCACCTTTCTTTCGTGCAAATACCTTCATGAATTGTTTTTTAAGAAGCGTATCCGAAAGCGGACCTCAGTGCATAAGACATGGCAGTGACGAGCCTTTCCAGGAACAAATTGAAGAACAAAACGCAGCACGTGCAGCCGACGACTCCGTAGATTATCGTCACAAATCTACCGTATGAAGTTCGAGGAGTCGAAGTACCGAAACCTGCAGGACTAATAATTTTCTCCCTGTTTCAATTTATTGAAGGATTGTTCTCTGATTATCGATAGATCAGTTACGACATCGCCCAAAAGCGTCGGAAGCCGGTTGGCATTCAGCTTCTCTGCCGTTCGGCAGAAACATTTTCTTGGTCGTAACAAAAACGAAGATTATTTTTGAAACGTTTTCTCTTCAAAAACTCGAACTTCTTAGGAAGACTATTCGGGTGGAAAACATCATTCGTAGGGAAAACTAGAAGAAAGCTTTTCTCGAAAAAGATTTTGTATCCTAAAAGCTGTAGAGTCTCAGCAAAACGAGCGCCTCCAAAACTTATCGTATTGCGCACTTCTTTTCAAGATAAAAATAAATTGTAGCAAAACAAACCAATGGTAGAGATGACCGTGCCGGAGAAAAAAAGAGAGCCAAGATAATCAAAACGAGGCCGGTCGAGAAGCATTCCGCTGGCGGCGCCGTCGGCCACCATCTGAACGAAGTCGTCGAACTGACAGTCGGCTGGGTCGCGACCTTGGCAGAACACCTCGCGGTACTCGTCCATCTTCTCGTCAAACTGAAATTTCTTGAGTCTACAGATAATGCAAGACTTTTCCGTCTTCAAACACCTCAAAAAAGGTTTTGAACAGGCTAAATGCTGTTGAAGGAGGACTTTCAAGCTCTCGAAAAAGAGTATGAACAAAAAGAAAGTTACCAAGGTTCATATAGTTTAAGAGATATCTTTTTGTCATCTTCTATGAAATATAGAACTTTCATTGCTCATCTTAGAAAATTTTTACTCTAATGCAAGCAATGTTTCGATTCCAGTCGTAAAAGCAAAAACATCTACAGGAAGCTGATAAAACTCAAAAATTTTTTGTCGTCCCTCATGAAATTTTTCCGTTATCGTTGATCTGTGTTCGAAAATTAAATCAAAATATTTCCGCCTATTTTTATTTGAATGAAGTTCTTTTCTTAAAACAAATTCCAGAAGTTTATAAGGATCGTGAAGCGTTTGAACAAGCTTTTTAGCGGCTTTTTTTTAAACCAGTACTAATAGTGTGTACGGAACCGGCCAAGCTCTCAACGAGGAACTTGAATGAAAAGGAAATTAACTAGGTTCACAGAGTTCAAGACATCTCTTCATGATCTTCTTTGTGAATATGGTAATTCTCCTCAAGAATTGGCATATTTGGAAGTCATTCTCTTCCTCCTTTTTTTGATGGCTTCCTTTTTCGCAAAACAACGCATTTTTGTATGTTTCGATGTCGTGATGGAAGTCCCGCCGCAGACAAAGACATTTCGTCGGAAAAGCACGAGAAATCGAGGATTTGACGGTGTTGCCATGGGGAACAGCCTCTCTTAAATACATTTTGCCGCGGACGCTTTTCCCTCCATTTTTCTGATTATGTCCTGGCAGCGTGGGAGAACACTGACGGTGTGGGTGTGTGTACATAGGAGAAGAAAAATCAAAAAAATTATTTCCACTTATTAATAAGAAGAAGACTTCTCAACCTGAAATCTTGTTAGAAAAATAAACCATCTGCGTGATATTTCAACTTCAACTTTTTCCAAAAAAACGGGGAAAAAAAGTTAATCGACATCAAAAAAACTTCAAAATCTTTTTCGTTTTTTTCGTTTATTTGCGTGAAACGAAAAAAAGAACAAAAAAATATTATAAATTGGACACTTTGCCGATTTCTTGAAAGTCGACAGCGTGGTACATATCAAATTTCCATGTACTTCTGATTATTCCGGATAAAGTTTAAGAAAAAATATGAAGCGGATAACTTTTCGGAATCCTCTGCATGTTTTTCGAATTAGTGGAGTTGAAGTGGAGGGCTGAGTGGATGGCGTGTTGCGTTACTATTACTAGAGTCTCAAATTATACCTGCGCCTAACAAAAGAAAAACAGAAAACCTTTTTTTCATTTGCTCACTGCACAAGTATATCAAAAATATGAGAAACACTTGTTGGAGACCAAAAAAAGTGTTTCCGAACGGCTTTGGGGCTAAATTTCTTATTAAAGAACTCATGCATTGAGAATGAGCCTAGGCCCTTCTCTAGCTTCTTTTTCCAACTATCTGCACTTTATACTTTCAGAACCTACTTTTTATTATTTTATCCGTTTGCCAAAAACAAGGCCGTTATATTTCAGAAGAATTAGGTCGTAGGAGATGTTCCCGAAGAAGCCCCTTGTTTTCCTCTTTTCTCTTCGTGCCAAGACCCGCTTTAATATCCGTTCAAAGCCACCTGGAAACATACTCTCCCCATATAAGGGAACGTTGTTTCGAATAGTGTCATATTACTTGAGGATTGGTTTGCGTTCTGCAAAAGTAAAAAAAAAAACGAAAGTGCGTTTAGTGTGTGGGAAAAATTGAGTTAGGATACTCGTTTTTTTTTTCTTTTGATTCGATAACATTCATTAAGTTATCGGCCTTGATTACACATTTCTGCTTTCTTTTTGCAGAAAAAATGATTAGAACTTTCTTCCTAATCGAGAGGTCAAAATAAAATTTTCAAGCGGGAACTTTTTTGAACCACAGTGGTTATTCTTTACTTGAGAGGTAATGAAACTTTTGAATACGGAAAAAAAGATGATTTTTCAATGTTTTCTAAGTTGAACTGAAAACTAAAAAAACGATTGCGAAAATTTTTAAAAAATGTTAATCAGAAAATATAGTGCTTACAAATAGTTTCATAAAGAGCGCGTTAGGTTCCCGCAGATCCCAATTTTTTTTTCGAGGAATTCTCGACTCGGCTTTTCCATTTATGATTGCAGCACGAAACAAATTCCAAATGCATAGAAAGAACTGCAGATAAATGGACCCTCCAAAACGGTTTCCTGAGGTGCTACGTCATGATTTTTTGAATAAACATCTGATTCGTGATTTTTGATCTCTTGCCATAGCTTCTTTTGTGGAATGCTAATATTCGAAAGTCAAAAGGACAGCTGGAAAGACACCTGTCCTTTCTGAGAATCGTTTAAAAACAACAACAAACAAAAAATGGTTTGAAAAATAGTATTACTAATGCGTTCAAAGGCATCACGGGACATGCAGCAATGTTAATTGAAGGGATTAATTAGAAAAATTAGCTGACCTATTAGACCTTGAGAATTCGCGGAAAACCAGGTTTTTTTGGAAAAAAAAACCCTGACAAGACATGATCGCATTGGTAGGAACTAACCGATCTTTTTTCTTTGACTTCGTTCTCTCGTTCCAAATAATGGAAGAGAACGGCTCCGATAATCAGGTAGATCACCAGAAGAAAAGAGATCAAAACGAATCGCGCGTTTTCCTCGTAGATCCGGAGCCTCGCGAAGCATCCCACCTGAAATATTCTCCACTGTAGGTCTTGGAAAGCAAATAACGAATGGACAACGTCTTTTGACATGATCATGATTATTTTTCAGAATTCAGGTTTTTTTTTCAAAACCTGGCTTCCATATTTCAGTAAGTGAAATACTCTAGAAGAAGACTCGTTAAATCAGAAAAAAAAACATTAATTCGCATTCATGGTTTTCCGTTATCAAAACCTAAATGTCACCACACTCTATCTCAGTGAGTTTGAAAATAAGTCTTTCGATCATCAAAAGTTAGTTTCTTTGCGAAACGCTTCTCAATTTCGAGCTCAGAATCCTCACCGATGGGTTCAAAGAAAGAACCTCACGACCAAAATATCTCAGTGACATAAATATCGTGGGAATAATGTTATTTCTCAGTGCACACGAACGTGTCGTGGGAACCTTTTTTCGGATACAATCCGTGAGGAATGACCATACGACCAAGTTTTTTGCTTTCGGAAAAAGAAAATAATAGCTTGCGTGCTTAGAATGAACTAACGTTATTTTTTTTTGTTTTGCTTCGAATGTCACGTTTTCGTTTCACCTAATCGACCAATGGTGTGAGAACAGAGAATGACTTTTTCGAACTTTTCAGTTATGATTAGCTTCACTGGCTTTTTGTTCTCTCCAGAAGTAGAGATTTGGAAAATTACTTTCACTTTCTATGAAGCTGTAGATCAAATTTAATTTTGATATTTTTGCGGGCGTTTCAGTGGTCCCAGCTAATTAAGCCCACGCTTTTAATAATGTCAAAGTTACAGGTGCGGAGGATAACTTCTTGTCAACATCTTTTGGATGCGGGACTTGTTGGGATGCATTCAGACGTGAAGATAATCAACACCCACGGAACATGGCCTTACATGGGCAACGAAGAAATGTTGGAAGCAAATGTTGTAAAAAATATGTGGACCTAAAATATGAAAAAACATTTGAGAGAGCTTCCGTTGGACCAAGCGAAGTCAATCATTTCCTGTTTTCATTTTCCGCTCCCAAAATATGAGTTATAGATGAAGTTCCACCAAATATCCTTTTTATACCTTCTTGGCTAGGACATTGATTGCATGAACAATGATTCCCAGCAACAGTGCACGGAAACCATGTGTCCAGTCTATCATTTTCGATAACCCTCAATTTGATTCAACTCATTCGTGGTAAGTCTCGATGTGTGGTTCCGAGGGAACATTTTCACTTCAATCTCTGAGGGCGGGAATATCCTTGAAAAACAGAATGACACCGCAGATTTACAGGTGAAAGGGAGATAAGCGGCTGATGAGTTTTCGTTTGGCTTATCCAAACTGAGAACGCGCCTAGAAGTGGATGAACAATTCGCAAAAATGTCGATATTCATGAGAAATTCCTATAACTTCCTTGAAACTTGGCAAACATTCATCCGAACCCAAAACGAACTCATAATACTCATCCAAACCCTGCTCATTCAAAACCATCCACTCCTACGCGTACCCTTTTCGTTACCACTGTTATCATTGGAATAAAAATGTTTCCCACCAATTTCTGCTTTTTTGTCATCGAAAACGCCCAATAAACTTTTTTTTGGTTTGTAATAAAAAAAATTCCACTTATGTTTCAAGGTTTGAGTAAGTTTGAAAAATATGGATTCGAAATGAACAGTTAAAAATTTCGAATGATGATAGGGATAACCAAGAGGGTACGCTTACGCAATGATGGGTTCGGGTGAGTATGGGTTCGCTTTGGGTTCGATTATGGGTTCGAATGAACATAGGTTTGGATGAATGTGTGCCTTAAGTTTATGTGAATTCCAGTGAGCTCTAACCTCAAAAAACAGGAACAAAACAAGAGAAAATATGACTCGTTCGTTCTGACTTATAAAGCGAAGAAAACTATTCGGGTGATATATAAAATGAGAAAAAAAAACTCTTTTGGAAGAAACCGATGATTTCTGTTTAAAAAAACTGATAGTTACTAAACTGATTTGAAGGATATTTTTTTCTTCCTTCAATTAAAAATCGTCAAAAGAAACTTTTTTTCTCTGACTAATCGGTAATCGGTCTTTTTGCTCAAATATTCTATTTGATTTGAAAAAAAAATTTTTCATCCATAAGCTGACTTGAAGTTTTTTTCAAAGACATGACTTATATATTTGGAAAGATTAAAACTGATTTTGATTTTCCAAACGGCTCACATTCTTTTTTCAGAAGTTACTTGAAAGGTCTCCGTTCTTGTTTTAGAAGAATCCCTGGCCTCAACTGAGGGCTTCATCTAAGTGTCTTACTTAGACTAAGTCTACGAAAGCCTCAAACTGACCCTAGCTCTGGTAATGGACGGCAAGGTGTTGGCTCTGAGCATCTCTCGTTGGCCGATTCCCCGGGCGAACTGCAGTTTGTGCATGACGGCTCGCGTCAGTGGCATACTAGGCCAGACAGATTCGATCAATCCGAGTTATCAGACAATCATTCGGGAGTCGATCAGTCCTTGGTGAGTAGTCCGAGGCAAGTACGAAACACACAGGCCTAATCGATTCAAATGCAGGCGAAGCCCCACTGGCGGCGAGCCGGCGAGAAAAGTGGGCGGAGTCGGAGTGGTCGGATCAAAAAAAGGAAGTGGCAGGATATTGTGAGCCTGAGAAAACAGAGGGTGGCGCCGCCCACCTGTTCTTCTCTCAAGATTTTTTGACTGTTGCCTCTGGCCTTCTGGAAGGATTGTCTGGAGACTCTTCTTCTGGAAAGGATGATCGGTTCGGAGTGATACAAACAAGTGAAAGTGAAAAAGCGGACCACGTAAAAAAACGTTGAATTAGATAGAGTTGACCAAGGCTTTTATTTCGACCGACTACTAAAAGCTTCTAAATACTGCAACAAAATACAAAATGCAAGTACTCTTGGTTTTTTTTTCTCAATGTCTGGTATGTAGAACTTGAAATACCAGAGCTTTTATTCGATATATAACAATAAATAAATAAGTTACCACTTATTTTTAAATCCGCCAGTTCCCAGCTTTGTCTGAAATCGTCCTATTTTTCTAAACTTTCTGAATCTTTCTAGTAGAACCGCTGGATAGGCGATAAATCGGAAAAATCTGATAAAAACTTTTTTTAAAAATTATCTCTGGGCAAAACCCAAAGCCACGAAACGATAATCGATAATTTTTAGTGCTTCTCACATAGACAATGACAAAGATTCATCGTTCGAAGGTATTCGAGGATACAATCTTTCAAAATTATACTATCGATCAGAGTGTCTTTGTGAGTGGGAAAAACTAGCCGTATTAGATCCAATACGCCCTTTTCAAGATCTGAGTCGAACAAAACCCTTTTAAAATCCATAATTGAAAGTTTCGGGAGCAGGATTGCTTTGAAACAAGTTTGAAGTTTGTTTGCGTTTTCAAAAATAAAACTTCAAGTTTCAATGTTTGAAACAGCAAAAGACGGTATATAATCTGGTGCCGAAAAGTTGCTCCTAATCCATTATTTATCCAAGATAGTTTTTCTACATATTTTCCTCTTTCTATTTATCTTAAGAAATACCAAATATCCTACATCTTTGTTTTCATCATGTTTACCTTAGTTTATTTATTGTTTTCTTCATCTGGAAATCCTGTCAGACGGAAGGTGGTGTGGTTCATTGTTCTCCTCGAAAACACTTCAATTTTATTGTTGTTTTTTAAAGATTGAAACGGCATGTACGTTTTTCCTTAGTATCACCACGCTTTAACGAGCTCCGGAGAAAATTTTTGAAAATAAAAATACAACGGATTTACATCTTTTCTTTCTGCGATTTTGCTCACCTTACCGTACCTCAAGGACCAGAGTAATTTCGTTTCGTAACGAAAACAATGAAAAATGTTATTTTTGCTCCTCTAATGAAAAAATGACACAGAAAAAAGACAATCCGGTTATTGGCGCTCCCAAAAAAGCGCAAAATCCAACGGGATTAGACAACCTTCTTTCAGTATTTGTTTTCGTTCGGCTCAACATGAAGGGACTTATAGGTAGAGAACGCATTTATTTAATACGCCCGGTGAACGCTATTATCTCTGGTTGATTCGATTCTCGACACAGGTGATGTTAGGTTAATGATTATAAAGGGAGGAAAAAGAAACATATGACATCTTTTGAACAAAATGACGAGAAGCAAATCCTCGAGGCTCCTGTTTCTTGAATTGGGAAGAAAATGACGTCGAAGAAGAAATAATGAAAAGCGAGGGTGGAATATAATGACTTCTGTTTGAAAAACTTTGAGTTCCGAGTGTTTTTATTAGAAATAAGACCACAATAAGTAACGAACTCCAGTTCTCAATTTTTTTAGTAGATTCATTACGATATTATTTTGATTCATTGGGAAAAAGATTGAAGTTAAGTTGTTTTTTATTAAAGGATTTAAAAAAAGCTAACCCTTTGATTTCTTCTCAAGCCGACAGGACGACATTTGTTACAGTCGTCGGAAAACCACACAGAAAGTCTTTTCGAATTGCTGGGCAGTCGCAACGACGCTGCCGCGCCTTCCATCTTCTGAAAAAAAAAACTTATCCAGCAGAAAATCTTCTCAAAATGTCGAAATGAATATTGTATATGGAAGCAACGAAATATCGATCGACCGAGAAAATGTCGATAATTTTTGTCCATAGAGCAACTTCGCTTCAATAAGCATTTTGCGCGGGATTTTTCAACTTTTTTCCTTTTCCATTTTGATTAACTTTCTCAAATTAGATAACTCTGGTCCAATTAGATCATTTATACACACTAAACAATTTTATAAATGTTATTATTATCAAAAACCATTTTCACTGACTATATTCTTAGCGGCCTCAAGTTGGAAATAAAGGATTGACAATAATTGTATTTTTTAACCGGTTAACCATAGGCCGAGGTAGTATCACCGTTTCAAAAACTTTAACGAGAAAGACTCTGAAAGAATTAGATTAATATAAAGCAAATAAAAAAATTGATAGAAAAATTTCATTTGAAAAAAATGTTTATGATTTTTTTCGAAAAAGAAAAAAATGGAGTAATTGTTTTTAAAAGGAAAAAACAATGAGAGCAACGTCCAAACGTCCTATTTCATGCAGGCGGATGTGGGCCGACATAAAACTGTTGAGATTAATAATTTAAGGTTTCTTTGCGACATTTACTGTTCCCAGGAACTTAATCTTCAACTCAACGTCACTTTTTCCCAAAAAAATATGTAGAATTTTCATCAACCCATTAATTTCCGTCCAAAAAGTAGGTGATCATGCGTTCTAAAATAAATGTAACTAAGTTTTTTTTAAGTTCCCTTTTTTCTTCTAGTCCAAATCTTTGTTTTTGTGGGAATTAACTTTTGAATGTTGGAAATCCTAGTTCATGTTTAAAATGAAGAACTAAAAAAAATAGGTACGAGGAGAAATAGCAAAAATGAGTTCACGCATATGTTACACCGGAAGGGTCACCGGCTCTTCCGTGTAAGCTTTAGACGTGTTGAAGGCAGACTGTCATGAAGTCTTTATTCGTGAGCCTCACACGCGTGTGGCCAAGACGCGTGCAGGGGAACCAAGTGAGATACAGGCGTGTCTGCCGGAGCAATTACACGCCGAGAGCATCGCTCACACATGAATACAATAGAACGGAGAGAGATAGTATTCCTACTGTAACACATAATACGTTGTCGATTGAAAGACTGAAGATTGGCTCAAAGAAGCCCTCTAGTGCTGTCAAGGGTTCGATTTCCGTGGGACGAACAAAAGAAAAAAAAACTTTGGGTTGGAGATAAGCTATCCGTGCGGATTTAATCAAGCAACAATGACGAGTGCTTTTTGCACGACTTCCTCGGCAAAAGCATATATTTCTTATGGTCGTTGCAAAAAGTTTACTTTCGCTGAATTTGAGTCGCTGAAAAAAGTAACTTCCTTCTGGCGTGACAACAAACGGAAAAAAAAATTCTCATATTTTTCAACTGGAGCTTTGGTGAGAGTAATTTTTTAACCTAATTTGCAAAGCTTGTGCTATTTTATATTGCTTAGCGCTGTTGCGTGTGAAAAGTAATTATTATTTGATAGTTCTCAGAAATCTAGCTAGGTTAATTGAAAAAAAGATGGTCGAATAAATTTAATCCAATTTCTCTCCAAAAAAACTTTTTTTGCCCAAAAACTCTCTTTCCAATTCAAGAATTATGATTTATATAATATATATTCTCTCCATGAAGGTATCTATATTTCTAAATGTTCAGTGCAAATATTCGCAAACTGAGGCGTCTTTCTCTCTTAAAGACGGCAAGTCTATGTTGAGGGTCAGAGATTCCAAAAAAAGGTACGGTGACCGAGGCAATGTGCGCTCTATGGAAAAATTTCCTGGCACATGTTCAAAATTTCGTTTTTTTACGGAGTTTTTTTTTTTATTTTATTTTTCCTAGAGATTCAGGGTTGAGAGGGCACGTTTTTGTTAGTAAGCTGACCAAGATCGAGGTGTCACGTTATTAAAAACAGTATAAGTAGTGAGTTTTTCATTCTATTATTTGTTTTTGTTTTCAAACTCTTATCATCTTTAAGAAAAAAAGTATAGCTTTTTCAGGGGCGAAAATCAAATTTGTATTGTAGTTACAATTATGAGTGAGCCGCCTAACAGGTTGTCTTCTGATTTTTTTTTTTCAGTTTTGTTCTTTTTTCAGTAAACTGCAGTTTTTGCTGCCATCCTTAGCGAAAAAGTGCGAGACAAGAATTCGGTGCATTTCCCGTAAAATTTGTTAGTTTTTTTTTTGTTAAATTGATCTTTCAAATGTTACTTAATTTATAGCAGAACAAAACGAAGCAGCTGGCTTCGAGGTGACTTTGTCGTTTGAAGGAATACCCGCTTTTCTTCTTTCTTTTAAAGGCTCTGGACCAACAGAATCGTAGGAATTCTTTTCAACATCATTTCTATGTATTTTTCAGAATGGCACAAGTCAACTCAACCCTACATTTCTTGAAAGTTTTCAATAATGAATACATTCTAAACAAAACTTTGTACGAAGCACTTTGTAAAGATTGGGTTTGTGAGATAATTTTATTCCCGAATCTTCAATACTTTTCAGGCCGTAGACCAAGAAGGTTATCGCCGTTTGTTTCTCACTGTTAAGGCCTATCAATATTTTCTTGTCAAGGATTTCAAAGAATTGGCTAAGGTTTTCAATTATCGTCAATACTTGAAAAAGATTCATTACAATATTTTAATATCATTCAATGTTTAATTGAATATATATATTTTTTTCACAGTTCGGCCAACTCGATGAAGTTTCCGACCCATACTATCTTGAATCCGCCCAAAGGCTGCGATCAAAAATTGACAAGTTTATTAAACTCGGAATCTCGTTCAACTTTTGTACTGCCCCACGTTTTCTCGACTTTATAAAGGTAGGTATTTCTCGAATTATCCGGTCGAACTTAAAAAATTAAAGGAAAATACTCCACCAGTTTCTCCACCGGATTCGCCAGAAACATCGCCTTGCAGTAGTGCGAGTGCCATATCCAAAGGTGTTTTAATTTTATATCTTTTTCCTGTTTCAAGAAATATCGAGTGAGAGAGAGATCAAATTGTTTCAGACATCGACGAGGCGGCAGAAGGAAGCGACGGTTTGGAGATCGTAAGCGAGTATCGGCGAGCGGAAACGCAAGAAGACGACGAAATTCAAGTCCTTGAAAGGGCCGAAAAGGTCCTGCGAATTCTGGTGTACAACTGTGAATGAGCAATAATAGGAAAAGTTTTTCCAGTTATTCAAAAGAATTTTCAACACTGTAAAAGGTTTTTGTTGAGAAAAAAGGAAAGCAGATATTATTGTATTTTTAGCGTGATTTTTTATAAGATTTGAGCTTTTTTTTTCCGAAATTAGTTCAAATAAAATCTTAAAAACCGTGAAAAAGCAACGTTTCCCATGTTTTCAGAGAGATCTTTTCTCACCTACAGAATTGGCTGAAAATGGGTTACCCAGGAAGCGCAGGTACCAGTCCGGAAGCATCCAAGATCAGTTCAAGCCGCAAAGTCACTCTTCTCTGTAATATTCTCTTCCCTAGCTGTAATTGATCGATTTCAACTAGGGCTAAGAGAGTGGCGGCTGATCTTCTGGAAGTGAGAAGCAACTGCGCTCCACCGCAAAGTTCGTGTATCGTGATCAGCGATTCTGACGGAGAAGTTTCGCCCACAGAGACCATCACAATCACTTTCAATGGGTCTTCCGGCGTCTCTGATTCTGCTGGAAGTAGGCTCCGTTCCATTGAAATGATGAAAATAATATCGAAAAAGCCTTGGAAAATGGGGCTCGAAAATGGGCGAAAAAAAAAGAGGGAAAAGCTGTTTGTTCATAGCTCGCCGCTCCAGGATTTTGAGAATCAACGCAAAAAAATATTTTTTTAAAGTTTTATAGTTCTGCTACACACTTTAAAGACAGATTTTTTCATGATCGTGGCCTGTGAAGAGGAAATAGTTGAAAATTCAACCTCTTCGGGATCTTTAAGGTCTCAAAATTTAAAATAAATATTTTTCAACTTTTGGCTTACTTTTGGTTAGTTCGAAATTTGATCAGTATTTGGAAAGAATAGAAAATCTTGAACGAAAGATCATCGAAGTGAGTGAAAAAAAAAAGATTTCAGATCTTTTTCTATTAGGTTGCCGTTAAATTTCTACCGTTTTAACTTTTCTTCATGAAAAAAAAATTAGTTAATATGTATGAGATGAATTTGTGGGTTTGGTTCTTGGCGCCAAGTTTTAATGAACAAGGTTAATATTTTAATTGTAGGGACTATCGTGGATTCTGGAACTTCGGCTGATTCATGCCAGCTGCGGATTGAACGTCTAGTTTCTGAGAAAAACGTCGGTTTTTTTTCTTTTTATTCAAACTCTTCCAATTTTTAGGAGAGCGAAAATGTCATCAACATGCGTTGGGAGAACTTGGATTTGGCGGCTTTCGATGAGGCGATTCGATCGGCCAGCGCCACTCCCGTCTGCATGAACAGCACAGATCTCCAGCCAGTCTCAGACGACGAATCTGTCGAATTGGCTAGTTTTTCTATATCGAAAAAATGCGCGGAAAAAGGTTTTATCTGGTCTTTGGTCTAAACGATAGCTCAATTTTTTTTTTGAAGGGAAGGGGCCTAAAGGAGGAGAATTTCATTAAATTATAAAAAAATACGTTCATTGGCTTTCGAATTTTGTTTGCTTCTAATTCAATTTTATTTTATTTCAAAGAGCCATGATTTTATAACGATTTGTGTGTAAGAAAAAATTCAGCTGTTATAACGTGTTCGGTTGAATCAAGATGATGAGAGTTCATTCAACTTGAGACAAAAGTTCGTAACTTTGCCTCGACATCGACCTGCTCTTTCACCTTCGTTGTTCTTGCGAATAACGATTTTGATATTATTGTCTTACAGGGTGATCTGATCGATGCGACGGCGGACGAAGACATGTCATCGTTGGAGTCGGAAGAAGGCGAAGTGAGCGACAGCCACGACGACAACGGCGGCTCTGGAAACCTTCCGACGCCTCCAACACAAGACGGTGGAACTTCTGGAGTTGTTGCGAGACCTGATTCGAAGGACCGTTCCTCGCCCGGCCTCCAGCACATCGAGGGCGCCCTCCACAATGAAGTCTTCCTCGCTTCTTTCGGATTCCTGCCGCAAGACCTCTACGGCGGCCATCCGTCGGTCAACGCTTGGGCCTCTGCCAACAATCTGCCGCTTTCTGCTGGACAGACTCTTTTCGGCGTCGTTTCCAACATCTATGCGGTTTGTAATCGTTTTTCTTTGATTATATCTCTGGCTATATATATATATATATATATATATATATATATATATATATATACGATCATTCGTCTTGAAGTATGAAGAAAAAAAAAAATGAAAAAATGACAAGAGGCTTTTATTAGTTTAGCTTGTTTCCTTGTTTCCACGTCGATAATGAATTTTATGGAGAGTTTTTACACCAAATGTCTACGAAACTTCTTTTTGCTTATTTGAAGCTACCGAGCTCTCTCTCATATTGTTCATTTCAAATCTAACCTTTTTTCGAGTGATTTTCAAGACTCGTTAGAAAAAAACATAATGAAAGTTGAAACTCGATGATAACCGGAATTCGAATACGATTTTCTCTTCAACCATTGTTACAATCATGGCCTATGCGGTCAAATTTCGGCTCTCATAGGTTCCATTTGTTTTCTTTTTAATATTTTCTAGAAGGTTCTTTTTCACCGACATTATTTCAGACGAGTGTCGTCGAAGATGCAGTCCGCAGTATTGCGGATCGGGCTCCGGAATCTCTGAAGATATTGGACGAGCAGATCTGGAAGCACATGAGTCTCACTTGCCTTGTCAGTCCTCAAAAGCTTTCAAAAGGATGTTTCTTTTTTTTCAGAAACGAGAAAACTTCCAGTTGAAAATGGAAGTGCGGCACGCATTGCTGTCTATGATGAAATCGGTGATTTTCTTTTCTGTTTTATTTTTTGCGGGGAATCTAGTTTTACTGTGCGTGTATAAGGGCATTCAATTATAACAAAACCACGAAAAATTGAAAATTAGAAAGCGAACACAGGGAAGAACGAGGTTGAATTTAATAACCGTCTTTGAAACGCCTGCTCTATAGAAAAAAACTTATCGATTTGGTCAATAGGGAAAAAATGGCAAATATATATCTTCTCTCTGGAGTTCTTCCAATTAATATCTCATAAATTATCTTTTTTTTCGAAAAATTATCCCTGCTTCTACCATATATTGATAGTTTCTGTACCGAAAACTACGATTATATTTTTAAAATTAAGATTTTGAACGATGAAGTTTTGCTTTGCGCCGTCGGCTCTACGGTCAACGGCTGCGGCTCTTACAACTCGGACATCGATCTGTGTCTTTGCACTCCGATGGACTCCTCGAAGCCCAACAACGCCCACAACTTCAACACGGATCGGCAGTACGTGGAGAAACTGGGAATGGAAAAGCAGTTTGATGAGTTAGAAAAAGAAGGATCAACTCATCTTTTTTCGTATTTCTATTGAACCTCCCTTTTGAAATTCCTCCACGATGCTCATTTAAGCTTGAATACGTTCTGAAATTTCAATCCAACTTCTATTCAAAGTTTTCAGTATCTAAACTGAGGTCCTGATGAAAAGATTTAGAGCTTTTTATCTCCAAATTTTCAAAGAAAGAGGTTGTTTTAATGTACGATCTCAAGTCACAATGTCCCGTTTTTGTACCGGATTTCCATAAAATGTTCCAGATACGCGAAGAACCTTCTTTATACGGTTTTTATGGCCGTTTCCAGACCTATGCCAAATTCAAACATTGCAAATTTAGTTGCTAACTGCCAGATAATCAACGCCAAGGTATCGATTGTCCATCAATCTTTTTTACCCAAGTGTAAAGGTGCCGATAATTCGATTCTGGCTGACGCCCCCTTATGAAGGCCTCGACATCGACGTCAACGTGAATAACGTCTCCGGAATTTACAATTCTCATCTCATTCACTACTATTCTCGGTATGTTTGATGCTACAAGAAATTTCGATCCTCAAAATGGGGATAGTTCTAAAGAAAAAGCTGGAAAAAAGAATCGTGAAGGGGAAGAAAACAATTAGAAGAAATTATGTTTATTTCTTCCGTTAAGCACTGGAAAGCATAGTTTTTGAGTTCTGATTTGAAGATTGGACAGCCGTTTTCCTGCTCTGGCACTTCTGGTCAAGCATTGGGCCATCAAACAGAAGATCAGCGACGCTTTGACCGGATATTTCAACAGGTTTCGATCCAAAAGCCCCAAAATCAACTCTTTTTCCGCTCAGTTACTCGTTGATCCTCCTCGTCATTCACTATCTGCAGTGCGGCGTCCATCCGCCCGTTCTGCCCAATCTTCAAGTTTGAACCCTCTTTTTTCGCTCTCATTTTTCGATTCAAGAGATTGTTTCCCGAGTATTTCTCGCTTGATATTCCTCTCAACAGTCTCGTACTATTCCACAGAAGGTTTCCGCTTCCTGGTTAGTTTTAAACTGTCTTTTTGAGAACTGAACAAAGAAAGGCCCATTAAAAAAAAAACTTCCAACCGACGTTCCCTCCGATTTCTCTCGTTCATGTTTGCTTCTGGTAGAAAAGTCAAAAAAGGTTGATTATTTACAAATTTTCATTTATGTTTCTTATTCTTATGAGTATTTTTCTTCTAATGAGTATTTTTTTTTAAAATATTTAACATAAAAATTATAAAGATATAAAGAAAAAAAGTTCGCAATAAAAAAACGGTGAGTGTTTTTAAAAGTTGAAAAATTTCAATTAACTTCGTGTTTTTCCTTAAAAAACTAACATAATTTTTTTTTTCTTGGAATCTTCGCGATCAGAACATTTGAAAATTTCCAATCCGCTTCTCGCATGCCTTGTTCAGATGCTCCAGTCAACACTTGGCTCCTGGGGGAACTGCTCATCGGATTCTTCCAGTACTATTCGCGATTTGATTTCGCCAACTATGGAATTTCTATCAGAGAGGGCAGGGTTATTCCGCGGTTCACACTTTCCGAACTTCTACTTTGACCATATGAAAAGTTGCAGAGGGCGGATAAAGGCGAGCGGCGAAGTTTACATCGAGGAGCCCTACGACACGTACAACACGGCTAGGTTCTTATTTTTCAGTTTGACAGCTCTTCAAATGATTTTGAAAGAGTATTTATTGTGTTAATGTTATTTATGAACCGACAAAGTTAACCTAGGAAAAAAAACAAGTATATTGTGATTCTGCCTGCGTTTAACTTTGCACACCTGAAGCTTTTATAATTGGAGACAAACGAAGAAAATATTGACGTATGATTAGTTGTCTGTTATCGGGATTCTACGATTTTTGAGCATTTCTTGATAATTCAAATCATTCTCTCTTTCGATTCAAAAGAATGAGAAAATTTTGCAGAACGGTGACAGATCCCGAACGGATGAGGCACATCCGCGAGAAGTTTGCCGAAGCCTGCGAAGCCTTTTCCAAGCCAGAGTTCAGCCTCGCGGATATTGGCGTTGTTATCAGTGATTAGAGTTCCAAAATGAAATCACAGGGGCAATTAGATCAGGTAGGCGTTTTTCTTACTTCATTCTGGACGCTTTTGTTCAAATTTTCATCTCTGTCATTCTACTTCTGGTATTTGCTCAATGCGGATAAGATATACGTGTATTTTGATTTTTTTTTTTAATCTTTGCTCCGGTTTCGTTTACATTGAAATCTGTGCTGAGACTAGTTTTTTTTTGTAGTTCCGCTAAGTTTATTTTTACCTCTACATGAATGTCAAATTTTTTATCGTCATTACTTGCGTCTAAAGTGCCAAATATGAAGATTTACTGATTTTGGGCTTGCATTTTTCGTGAAAAGAAGTTCAACGGAAATTTCAAAAAATTCTCTCATTCGAAAGGGACGTATTGAAAAGGTGTATCAATATGTTAACTGAAAATGAAAAAAAGGTCAAGACGCCCAGTTTGAATAGAGCGACTCGGAGAAAACTGAAAAAAATGTAATAAATTTATCCTTTGTTTTTTTGTACAATTAAAAAAAGAAGAAGTTGGATAGCAGTGGATTGGATGACTCGGTGTATTTTTTTATTTTTTTCAGATGCTGTTCAATTCTTGGCTAACTTTTTAATTTTAAAGAAGAGAGAATTGGAAAAATGTTTAATAAAGAACAGTTATTGCTTCGTAATTGTCACCATGAGGCAGTTGTTTCTATTGCGAAATAGAAAACTAAAATGAAATCAGCTCCGCTCAGAAACCTTTTATCTGTAATGGAGGAGCTGGATACATTTCATTCTTTTCTTTTATTGCAATTGTGTGCGGTTGCTCCCTCTGTGGAGCTCGCCTTTTTATTTCCGTTTTATTTCGTTTTTTCTTCTATATGTATATAGTTGGTTTAATTACCCAAGTTTGAGGTGATAAATATTGCTCTCTACGTTTTCTGTCGTTTCTCGTGAAAGAAAGAAGAAGGACGGAGAGTCCATTACAGCAGTGAATACTTTTTCGTGTGAAATGCGTCCTTGATATCGGGAAAAGCAGGATCGGAGAAAACCAATGAATTTCTCGAATCTCAAACGTCGTGAACTTGTCAAAAAATACGATAGCGATTTTCATTCAAAGGAGATCCTGGAAAGCAGCTGGAGAAACCAGGAGGAAAGAGAGGATATTTAAAGAAGAAGAAAGGTGTTTCGCACGAAATCTGAGGACTTTTATCCAGAAAACGTGTGATCTTCCATTGTGCTTTTGTGCGTCCAATTTCAGGGAAAAATTTAGATCATTTTTATTCTTATTTTCGTTTTTTATAAACATCGTCGAGCACTTTTTAAATTCACAAACAAGAAGTAAAACGGTTTTTCGTCCTTTTGGAGAATTAGAGATGATTCTAAATTTAGCGAAAAATATTTTGAACACGAAATGAATTTTTCGTTACTTTAAATTTTTTACATAATGTTTTATGAGAACGCTTGATTCCAATATCGGACCTCTGGTTTACAGCCATGTTAACGTCACAGAAATCGGACGGTAATTCTTTTCATCACGGGTCTAAAAGTGCCCGCGAAGCTAGCTGCCCCCGTTGTTTCGCTGCGCCCGACCATGTGCGACTCTCGCGTAGAGCCATTTTCTACCATGGAAATGCAGTGGTAGTACCTCGTTCGCTACTTTTCTCGTTTTTTTCAAATAGAATCTGCAGCTGTTTTGAATTATTGTATTATTGGAATTGAAAACAAGATTTTATGACTTGCTCCTTGGAGAGAAGAGGAATTCTTTATAAAAAAAAGTTGTTTGGAAATATCGAAAAAATCGTCGACATCACGCATGTTAAAGGCGGCCGGTCGTATTACGGTAATCAAGCTAGTTTTTTGGGTAATAAAATGAAAATTTGTGTACTTTTTGTGTCCTTAAGCTGAGGTGATCCCTCTGATCTCCTTCTTTGTTCCTTTTCCGATGAAGACAGTTCCAACGAAGAATTTATCTCAAACTTGGGTAATTAAACCATATAAACAAAATAGAACGAAACAAAATATAAATTACGACAATAGATATAAAATCGTGAAAAAGGAGAAATGAAAAGTGGCAACGGGGAAGAGACCGAAAACTGCGGGCGACTGAACGCTGGGGACGGCGTTGCACAGTTCTGAGTCAGCGCGTCTAGAGTGGTACGGGTTGCGGCTGGCCAGAGGAGGGAGCCCCAAAAGAATTGAAACAGGCCAGAGACGTCGAGGGAAGGCCCTTTTCCTCTTTGGAGAGTGAAACCAGTCTCGTTAATAACGGACGGTCTTTTGGCTCCTTGAGGGGACCTTTATCCTCTTGTTCGACGTCTTTGGTCTGTTTATATGATTGGTTGTGATTTGATTCACAACAGTCCTAGCTTATCTTGTAACCTCGCGAAATAGGCCCTTAACAAATTGCAAAAAAGAAAAAAAAATTAAAAAAATTTCCTGGCCCCGAAACTGACAGCGCAATTTTGACCGGCCACTGGCCGGACTGTCTTAAACATGCGTGACATATAAGAAAAAATTGTTTTCATGGCTCTTGTTTTCCCTTCAGACAGAGTTCAGAATAACTTTCACATGAGAAAAGAAAATCTTCTTCCAAATAAAATGGCTTTGTTAGTGTAAGCATTTTTCATTGAAAAAATTATCGAGAAGAAACTTTGAGAGCGGTTTTCGACCAAAATAAGAAGACACACAAAAAAAGCCCAATTGATATATGAAGATCATCCAGATACACTGCAAAGCTACCAAAAATGATTCGACCAGCTAGGAAAACGGCTGTATATCTCGAAACAGAAACTTCCGCAAGATTTTCCCGTTCTTATTAGGCGGCGGCGATTCTCGTGTCGTCACCACAATAGCGCTTCGGCAGCTTCTCGTTTGTGAGACGATTGCGTCCTTCTTCTTTTTTTCGTCTTTGCTTTGCTTGCTTCATTATCCCCATGTATCTCGAGTGATAACGATTTTTCCTTGATTGAAAGCCTACATAATTTGATCTCGGAATGCCGTTTTTTCTTTCCGAGGGTGGGTCTTGCTTTCAAGATATGCTTCGGAAGTTTTTTTTTCAGATTTCCAAGTTTGGAATGAGATTTTTAGAGTGTGATTGAAAAATAAAAGCTCTACTCGCAAAGGTTTGAAATGTTGATCTGCTGCATCCGGATCAACAATTATCACTTTTGTGGACTTCGATTTGAAAACTCTAGTTAGGAACTTCTTGGTAGGAGTCTCTGAGTGAAAGCTTCCAATTTTTTTCCAAGTAATTTTTCGAATCTTAATCGCTTCATGTGGCACTTGTTGAGCGATTTCGAACGGGCTGAATATCAGGTATTAAACTTGGGAATCAGGTCACAAGGTTTCCTTTTGAGTGATTCAACCAAAAAAGCTTCAATAAAAGGTCAACCATGAAAAGCCGAAGGTGAGCTCTCCGACCTTCCAAATAAGCTCATCAAAGGGCAGCTTTTCGTGAGGCGAGATAATACAGTCCGGGGCCGTCGGCGTGTGCCAACCTGTCTATCCGCCAACAATTTTCGATGCCGCCCCTCTCCGCTTTCGCTTCCTCCTGATTTCGCAGTTTTTTCGCCTTGTCCGACGGGTCCAAGACCTTTTCCAATGGCGGCTTTGGTCTCTTGGGATTCCGTACATCTTCATTAAGTTCTTTGATTAATCTATGTTCATTATTTTCACTGATACAACCCATCTTTCGTTACACTAAATGATTCTGGGAAAAAAAAAAAACTTACTTTCACTTTTTGTGCTGGTATTAAAACAAACTTATGTTCGTTTCTGTTCTGAATTTCTCACTTTATGACTAGATCTGCTAAGTTGAGAATAATATCAGCTCAAAACTCGAAAACGATTTTTTTAAAATTTAGAATTTGGAAAAAAGCCACTAAGGATGTTCTTTTTTAATTCCTCTCACGTATTTCAAATCCCAGCGGCTTTCTAAGATCGCCATTCAAAACAAATTGTTCTCCCGTGTTGTTTGACAAGTACACGACGTTTTTAGATTCGAGGAATTTTATTGGTTCTCTTCGATTCTGTCCAGATTTTATTCGAGAAGATTTTATTTGAAAAGCCCTTTGAGGTCACGATTAACTGTGCATTTTATTCAATTTCCAAAAATTTCGGAAATCTTTAAGGGATTTGTATTTTTAAATTTCTTCTTCTTTCAGTTTCTACAATATACATGATTCCGTTCAAAAAAAGCAGATTCTGATCCTCGTTTTGGATTCTTCCCGAAAAGCGACGAAGGGTCGCTCCATTCAAACTGAACGCCCTCTTCAGCTCTCGTTTTTCTTCCGAACCTTGTTTTCAACCGTCGCTTTTCTTTGGAACTTGTCCATGAATAAACTTTCTCATCTTGTTTTCCAGTGAGAAAAGTTCACTTTTTCGTTTTTCTGTGAACTTGTGGACCTCATTTTTCTCAAATAAACTCACTCACTAGTCGGTTAAACTTTTTTTTGGTGATTTTGACATCTGACACGAGAATTTTTATTGTCGAAAAAAAAAACCTGTAGTTGAATTTTTGCAAGCAGAGTCGAGCTATTCAGAAGAGGAATTAATTATATTTTTTTTATCTCCATGACGATCTTTTTGAAGCGAAGATTCGAAATTGAGTCCCCTATTTTATTATTCTTGAATAATAATACATTAAATGAGTTACATAGTCGAGAAAAGCCATTTTTCAGCTCATTATATATAGTTCTTTCAAAAACAAGAAAGAAGAATTATATACAGAAAAATCACTATCGAACCTCCCCGACTTTCTTAAAATATAACTTTCATAATTCCAGGGACGTCGATGAAATCACCGGGTCATGTTTTGTCGAAGAAAAATCAGTCATTTTTTTCAAACAAACTGGCTATCTTGTTTATAGGTGAGTTTTTACCCTAAATAAAAATAATTTTTTTGAAAAATTAGCTCGGTTCAGTTCATAAGAGGAAATAGACAAATTTTTTTTGATTTGATCTCAAGAATTCTTACAAGATCTCAGTTTCTACTGTATTGGATGAAATCCATATTCATCATAAATTCATCACTTGGGTCAAAAATGTTGAGTGACGTCATCTGGAATAATGGGCAAACTTTTGTCGCCACGCGTCATTAGCCATTTCGGGCAAACCAGCCTTTTATTCCCGGGTGCAAAAATATTCGATAACTCGCTTTTTTTTCGGAAAAAAAAATTAAAATTGAGAAACGATAAATGGGATCAATCAATAAATATAATTAAACTTCAGATATCCGGCTCCATTTTTTTGGATTCCAGTTACACTAACCGTTGTCGCGACTTTCGGATTGCTGAGGTTTTACGAAGAAAATCGAATTTGGTACCTTTACAGGTGAGACCACCGTTTGAATTTCTATATAGATCTCATTCACTCGTTAAAAAATTTAATAGATAGGCTTGTTTCCGATTAGCGACAGTGAAGAGCCTTCAATAAAGTGGCAAAACACTTTTCAATCGGTTTTTTTCTTTCAAAGTCAGTTCTCCAAAACCTATATTTATATCAATTTTATTTTCCATAGTTCACGTGAATTTTCAGTCCGACCGGAGCTCAGTCGCACGCCGAACATGCCGTGGCCAAAGAGTTTTTCAACGATCGAGGCGGCAAATTTTGGCTTGAGGTCGGCATTTTTTCCCTTTTTCCAATTTCACTATTTTTTCTCACGACGGAAGCCAAATAAGCGTCTTTTTGACCGAATGGCCCGACAAGTGGCAAAATCGTCGGGGTTTGATCTTGGCTTCTCGGTTGCGCGTCGGCCACGCAATAGCCAGTTTCGACGGCCTTCCAACCGTTGCCGCTTTTACGAATATTCTTCCCCGTGACGTGGAAAAGACGTCTTGGGTGCAGATTGTAGCCTACAAATTGATGGCACTATTTTAGTTATTTTTCCAGAACTTCAAGGACAAAAATCGCTTTGTTCACTGGAAGAAAAAAAAGATTTCGTGAAAAACTTTCAGTCAAAAGTTTTTGGAGATAGTTTGCCTCAGAAAGCAAGAGTGCCAAAATCGAGAAAATATGAGCTTTAAAGATATTTTTTAATAAGGAGTTTCCGACGGTTTTTTTCTTCTTTTTTTCTTGGCGGTCTTTTTCGAGGATTTTTCCTTTAGATTGCAGAGATTTTTCCATTATTGATTCTGTTTAATATATTTTTCTAAACTTGTTCTCTGAAGTAAAATATGAAGGAAGTATTTGAAGAACTGAATGAAAATTAGATTTTTACGGAGCTTTCTACTGCTTGAAGCTGAAATCTGAAGACACTGACTCTAGGAAAAAGTGATAAACGTGGTCGCCCGGTGAAGTCAACGAGGTGAACTGGTTTCACAGAAAACTTGCTCGGATTATTAATCGTAGACCACGTCGTCGGTCAGAAAAAAGGGTCGGTCGGAAAGTTGGACTTGCGAGTCTGACTCTGCGGATTACAGAACGAGAACCGCCGCTGGGGTCCGCTCAAGCGGAAGTTATAGGTTTGAAGAACGGATATCAAACAGTCGCGAGTGGATCAGCCGCGAAAAAATAGGAAATTTAGAACTTTGCAGTTGACGATCACGGCGAAGGACATGGAGAACCTGCTGCGACGGGACTACCTGGACGGCGTCGACTCGCTCAGCGAGTACGTCCAGTACAACTTCACGGTTCCCTGTGACCTCAATGGCAAGACCCGCTGCTCCTTCAGCGACCTTTGCTCCGGCGCTTGCAATGAAAACCAGGTTTCTTTTACTTTTTATATTCAATTAAATACCAAAATCCAAACTCTCGTTCAGTTCTGTATACACCTTCTTAGGCCAAAAATTACAACCTACTTTGAAAAATCACAATTCTTATTTCTCATGCGATTTTGAAAAAAAAAAAATTATTTGACTTAAACTGTACCTAATAAGCAGCAGTGGAACTAGTTAAAACTATCTGAGAAGCGATCTGAAATTCGAATTAGGCAATTTAACCAAAAGGAAAACATCTTAATTCTATCTTATTTGCTACGAATCGAAATAGTCGGCAAAAGAGTTTAAATTAAAATCAACCCAGTCGAAAAACTTTGAGCCCAAAAAACCTCAACCATTGCAAAAAAAAGAAACGAACAAAGATTTAAGGTGATACCGCTGTTCAACTTGATCTACCGGAACGCGTCCTCCCGACTGCACCCCAACTTCCGGCTCACTTATCCGACCATGCACCTCTACAACGACGAGTACTACGTCGGCGAACACTTCGGCGGTGTCGAAATCGACGCAAAGACAAACGTGTCAGTCGTTCCTTGTTTCTATTCAACTGAAGAGGGACTTGAAGGATTTCCCGTGTGAAAGTCATCGTCCTGTATTTTCGGACAGACCGGCAGACTCCAGAAATTTCAGAAACGATTGACCGGCAAGTCTTTTTCGGGATTGAAACTTCTTGAGACGGGAAAGTTTAGATGGGAACAAGACTTCATCGATTACACGGAACACTTCTCCCATCCTCAGCTCAACATGACCATCAACAGCGACACCATGATCGCCAGAGAGGTCCTTTCTGGCTATTCACAGAAGTTACACTGAGATTCAGGTCCGGGCCAACGGAATGACATGTATTCCCTACTTCTCCATTTCGATAGCTCTAGTTTACACTTTCATCCTTCTCACGAATCGAAGGGAGCATTTCCATCTGGGCCATTCCATCGTCATGGCTCTTCTAGGCGTTGCCGGTCCACTCATGGCCATCGGCACTACGTGAGCTATTCCAAATCCTGTTCCCTTGAATTTTCTGTTGATAGGTTTGGGTTCCTTTTCTTGTTGGGCTATCCATTCAACTCGATAGCGCTGGTCATGCCTTTCCTCATCATCGGAGTTGGATCTGATGACGTCTTCATCATCATCCACGCGATGCGGAAAACTGACAAACGCAAGTCATTGGAAGAACAAATCGGTTAGTTTCGCTCGAAAAGAAGTTCTTCGGTTGAGAAAAAAAAAACTGAAAGCTTACAATTTTTTTCTGTTGAGATAAGGAATAGAGACCATCTTTATCTAGAACTTCGGAGAATTCTCTCAAGCACACAATGAAGCTACCTCTTCTATAAATTTCAAACCTTTCTTTCCTTTTCCTCTTCCAAAATGATTATTCCAGCCGAAACAATGGAAGAAGCTGGTCCTTCAATCACGGTCACCTCTGCGACCAACATCCTTTCCTTCGGAATCGGAGTTTTGACGCCGACGCCAGCCATCTCCTTGTTCTGTCTGTACACTGCCGTCGCCGTTGCTGTCGACTTTGTCTATCAGGTGAGCGGCAATTATTTTTCCTACATAAAAGGTGGTTTTAAGCTTACGTTTTTTGTTGCCGCACTAGTTTATGAAGAAAAGAGAATCACGAAAAACTTGGAAAAGCCGCCGATCGAAGAGGTTTACCCTGTTGGAAGTATTGAGAACAATAAAAAGATGGCCGTATGTTTTCGATTTAATTTCATAGCCAAAAAAAGTTTTAAGATATGCGCTCAATCTTCAATCAGGTCAAATCATCCGGCCAATCCTCAAGGAATCGTGGCGCGTTATTGTGCCTTTTTGAAGCGTTGGCAGGTAATTTTAACTAAAAATAGATTCAAATCAGTTTTTTGAAAAATGACAGACGAGACTTTGTCTGCTTCTGATTCTTATCGTGTACTGGTCGGCCTCAGTCTACGGCTGCATGAATATGGAGGTGAAGATGGACACGACGAATCTGGTCATGAAGGAAAGCGCTCTGAACAACGTTGCCTACATATACGAGAAGTTTCTCTGGAGCGAAGGACAACTGGTCTCCCGGAAACAAAAGAAAAACAATTCTGAACTCATTTGCAGGTGCTGATCTTCGTGAACAACCCGCCAGACATGACACAGGAGAAGAACCAATGGGCGGTGCTCGACCTAGTCGACAGGTTCAAAGACGATCATCAACTCTGGGAAGGAATATTTTTCAGGTTCGAAAAGCTCCCATACTCGATGGGCCACAACTCGACTTCCTTCTGGCTGAGGTCCTTCTTATATCAGAGTCCACTGTATCACAATCGCAAAGGCTTCTACGCGTTGTTGGATGAGTGGTTGAATGTAAGTTCGGCTTTCTGAGAATTTCTGAAGAAAAAGCCAAAAATTTCAAGCAAAAGAAACTATTCAAAATTTAAGAAGTTTACTTGGAAGTTTTAGGACTTTTTTGCAGAATAGGCCATACCAAGGCTTGTAGTGGTGGCGTGGAAAACTTTCCCGGTTATAAAATAGGAAGTCTGGTGATCTAACTGAGTAAGACAAACATCGGTCGATTTGAGACAATACCAAGCCTTCAAATTGAAACCATCACATATGTTAATCAAATTATGCTGAAAAAGTCTCCTTTGGTTTTTTTATGGAGTAAACTTTTGAGAAATTGGTGATCTAAAACATTTTTCGAACCTTTGGAGCTGTTACTGTAATTTATCCTTAGGACCCTGAAAGCGGAGCTTCGCGGTGGAAGGACATGATCCGGCTGAAGAAATCAGAAAACGGCACGACCATCGGAATCGACAAGTTCATGTTCGCGACGGCATGCGCGATGGGAGACGACGCCAACTGGAACACCAGAGAAAGGCTTCAGAAGCAGTGGCGCGCCGTCGCCGGCCAGTATCCGCAGTACAACGTCTCCGTCTTCCAGGTTCTCCTTTTCGAAGTCTCGAAGTGAGCTTTTTTTTTCAGGCCTACTCGTTCTACGTCGACCAACTCGACTCAATTGGAAGCACGACCTTGTCGACGGTGATCGTCGCCGCTCTGACCATGGACCTCGCTTGTTTCCTCATGATTCCTAGCGCCAGTTCGATCTTGTCCAGGTTCATCAATAAGATCTCCGCGATCCCTACCGAACTACTTGCAGTTCGGTAGCGATGCTCTCAATAAACGTAGGCGTCTTTGGACTTTTATCGGTTTGGAACGTCAACCTCGACCCGATAACTATGTGTACGACCCTCATGAGCATCGGTTTCTCTGTAGATTTTACAGGCGAGTGGTTCTTCTATTTTTGTTGAATTTCTGGTTTTGTCAGTTGAAGTAACTTTTTTGCAGCACATATCAGCTACCACTACTACCGCAACCCAATCACCTGGACAACAGATGAAAGGCTTGCAGATGCATTGAAGTGAAAAATGAAGTGATAAAGATCAAGAAGAAGTTATTAAGATCTATCGGCTGGCCGATGATCCAAGCCGGCGTCTCCACGATGTTGTGCATGTCGCCGCTGTTGATCAACGACAGCTACATGGTCGGCGTCTTCGTCAAGACCATCTTCCTCGTTATTTCGTTGGGACTTCTCCACGGCATCATCTTTCTTCCAGCCCTTCTTCTGACGGTATCGTTTATACTTTGAAAGTTTCCAATCAATTAAATATTCTCTTGCTGAAGTTTGAGTCTCTTCAGGTCGGTCGGGAAGCGCAGAAAAAAGTCGCACCAGCAGATCAGTTAGCGGCGACTTCTAGTGATAAATCTTTAATAAGCAATACATCAACACTCAAGGAGATCCCTCTGGAAGGTACGCAGTTTGAAAGTTTGCTTCGAAAAGCTTGCATTTCAGTGAAACCTCAGAGGCCGAACCTTTCTGAAGAAGAATCGCGAAGGACAGGCTGAGACTTTTTTTTTTGAAATCTTTCATGTTATTTTCTAGAACCAACTTTGAAGTTTGCCTTATTTGAATGCCTAATTTTCTCGGTCTTGATTAATATTGCCACCACTTTTGCCATAGTCTTTTACATGTCATTTTGTTCTTTTTGCTCCTCAAGTCTCCCAAAATGGATAATTTATTTCTGTTTCAGCTCAAATCTCGCTGTCACAGCGTTCGTTACGGGTTCCCTTTTTCTTCATTTGTTTTCTTTTTGTGACTAATATATTTAAGAAGCAAAAAAACCCGTTTATTTTTGCGAGCGGTTGATTTGAATATTAAAGATTCAAAAAAATTATTTTGAGAACGTTGCATCGCGATAGGCCTGGAACAGAAGCATGACTCCGGCCGATATTAGGCCTGAAAAATTAGGTTTTCTGACTGAAGAGAGCAAATGAACTCACGATGAATTTTTTTCTATCAATAGTTAACGAGCAACTGGGATATTTTCTTTTTGAATCTATTTCTAGAAAATGAGAGAAAAGTTGAATCAAACCTGAAAAAGGGAAAGTCAAAATCCAAGAGATCATGACTTTGCGGACCATTTTCCAGTGGATCACAGGCCCCGACCGGACAAATCCCAGCAGAACTAATGAGCCAACCTTAAAAAATTTATTCAAAGTCAGAATTTAGAAGATTAATATAAATTTTTTTAACAACTTTGTTTAGTTGTTAAAAAAACTTTACCCTCGTTATTTTCGGACCGTTTTTTTTGAACCTGAGTGTTTTTCATATTTTTACTTTCTACTTGCAAATAATTAAAAAAATAATTAAAAAAATGGTTCTTTTAAAAACGCTCATTGAGATATACATGAAAACGCAAGACAGACTTGAAAAGGAAAACATAAAACTGTGTGTCGACGATTTCAACGAGAATTTTTTTCTGATTATCAGAGTTTGGAAGACACTGACCAAACTGTGAGTGTTGCTCTGTGGCGCATTGAAAATGTTCGTGAACATTCCCGTGAAGGCGGCGCCGAACTCGACGGCAAAACCTCTGAAACCTGCATTTGGCAAAGAAGTCAGCGATACGTGTCTCACGTTGCCGGGTTGATCTCCGAGATCCCTTGGCCTACAGTATGGATTACTCGAGTTCCGATCGACCAGATGCCGATGATCACCGCCAGCGTCGCGAACATGCCCAGAAGCACAGTCGTCTGAACCGGGAAGTCTAGCTCTCGAAAAACATATCGCCGCTTCAAGTTTGTTGAAAGCGATTGAACTTTTATGGAAATGAAAACCAGGATCATTCTACATCAAAGTCGAGTAATTTATGCCTACATCAAGGTATCCAGAGTTCAGCTCTTCTTGATTGTACATCCGCAGCAATTCGTACAGAGGAGAAATGGAGAACCTCAAAAATCCGTATAATCAAGATGAGATGATAATCGGACTGACATGATGTCGTTGGCGCCGTAGGAAAAAGCAGAAAAACAGGCGACGGCGACCTGAAGAAAAGCGAAAAGACGGACGGCGTCTTCGTCGTCCTTCTCCTGCGAAGTTCGGAACCAGGCCAGAAATCCCTTCAAACCTGAGACAAATTCCAACTTTTCTGATAGATATATGAAAACAGAAAGATCTGTCACTCACAGCCTTTCGACCTGCATTCCCTTTTCAAGTATTGAAAGTTGTGGTCCGACCGATTTCTGCGCAAGTGAGGGGCTGGCTCGCTCTTTTTTTCTCCTATGTCATGAATTTTTTGATTATTTTTTTAAGAAACTTTCTCTGAAAGAACCGATGAATCCCAAAATAGTGTAATAGAGTATTTTCAGACTGAGTGGAAACTCTGGAAATGCTCTTCCATTTACAAAAAGCAGTTTCAAATCACCTTGAAAAACGCTCAAAAATCTGAATTTTTTTTTCCAGGAGAACCACAAAAGTACTAATAGGAAAAGTTTTTCAACGCAAAGTTTCAAGTTGTCATTGACTATTATTTAAAATAAGTTTTATTGGATTTCGAGCACGGAGAATAAAGTGAGGCTTCTTATGTTTCGGCTACTGTAACCTGATAAAGGAAGGGAACCAGTGAAAATCTTTAAAAGCTTCTTTTGGTTATTGGGAACAAGTGAGATCAGAAAATTCAGTCTGAAAATCTGCTATCAAGAGTTCATCGCGTTTCTGGGAAAAAGTACAGGATAACAGGGAAAAGACAAACTTCCTATTCTCTGCCGCATGAAAGGCTCGACGATGAACAGAGCGAACAAGCCAAAAGTCCCACCAGCCGCGATGGAAATGAGCATGACCATGTCCACCGGAATGTTTTGGAATCCCACTACTGAATTTCAGCAAACTGTTTTTTTCTTCCACACTAGTGCTTTACTCACTTCGGCTGCCGTCAGAAATCACTAACGCGATGGCAATGAAAAAAGTAACAAAATAAAAGGCCGGTAGAAGGTTCGAGGCGGCTTTCAACGGGTTTTTCTGGAGGAGAAGGGCTTTCAATACATATATTCAAAGACTTACTCTTCGCAAAACAGTGAAGTCTATGATATAGAAAACGAGGATAGAAAAAAGGCCGGAAACTATGGGCGAGAAGATCCAGACCATCGCTGCAAAGAGAGTCGCAGTTTTTTTCGAAAAAAATACATTTTTTTGAACATGATCCAGTCCAAAAAATATATATATATATATATATATCATTTGTCATCAATATCGGAGTAGTCTTAGGACAAAAAAATTGCGGCTTCAAAAAAACATGCTTCAAATTCTTCAAATTCCTGGATGAGGGCCTTTCGGCCTTTTGAAATCTTTTTTTTTTCAACTTTTGATCTTATAGCCAAATAATCGGTCTAGTTTCAAGTCTTAAAAAACCTTTTTCTAAAAAGTTAGTTCAACCAAATAATCAAAAGGTTATACTTAAAAATTTTCTCCTACTGCAAATCGGAAGCCAAACAAATCATTTGAGCCAAAAAACTTTTTTCGAACCCATGCAAACGACATTGTCGGTTTTTATTTGAAGCATACACTAACTCTCAATCTTTGAACACCAGAAAGAAAAAAGCCTTTTTTAGCAGTTCCCAGCAGTCTTGTAAGCTGGAAGTTAGTGATTGGGAAATGCTATTGTTTCAAACGGACAAATGGCGGCGACACGCGTCCAGAGAATGCCGTTGAAGCCTCTGAGGACCAAAGAGAAGCCGATGTTGCCGCCGACGGTCGCGTGGATCGTCGAGACGGGCATCTTGTAGGCCGTGGCGACCATCAGCCACGTCGTGCATCCTGACTACCGTCCTTGTTGAGCTTCACACATTCCCCACCGATGATAGACGCCACCTGGCCGAGGATGAGTTCGTCTGGATGGTCAAAATAAAGAGGAAAGTTGATGATATCGAGGCTGGCCATCAGTGTATTGTTGAGACCTGCGATTTTGCTATTTTCGAGGTGCTTTCCTACGACGAACCAGCTATCAAGGATCCGACCAGCTCAAAAAGCGTCGCCAGAATGAATGCCTGATTGATGGTGACGGTGTGGGTACCAACAGAAGTTCCGAAAGCGTCGGCGATGTCGTTGGCACCCATCCCGATTCCAAGCAAGAAAGACATTCCGAACAGTAAAGCCCATTCAACTGCTTTCTGAAGGGAGATATCAGGTTATACTTGCCTTTAGTGGTAAACAAAAAGTTCACTAAAACAAAACGAATCTTGAATCTTGGAAAAATGAGACCCGAGCTTTTGAAAAATCTGATACTTACAACGTTGAAGTGAGGTATCGGCTTGTAGCGTTCTGTAGTGACGTCTAAAGAGGCTAGTTCGAGGATATAATCGCCAAAAGGAGCCTGTGTCATGAAAGTTCAGCCGAAACCGTTCTGCCCAGACCACACAGAACGGCGCAAATTTTGTTTGAACAGTCTTCTCCGCACCTCCTACCGGCTGAGCAACTGGTCACTAGGCAGAAACATGCCTGTTCAAAGTATAATTTCCAGCTTTGAGTCAAATCTCTCACCTGAAGAAAGGTCAACACCCTAACAGGATAGAGCAGAAATGCACCTAACTGATGAAAAGCTGGTCTCTTAAAGAATTAATATTCTTGTGCTTTTTATACACAAATTAATAGTGGATCTAAAAACCACTAATGAATGTCTAGTCAGAAAGTTGAGGATTCTCGTGACTTGATAACAGATGAATTAACGTCTGTAGGTGTTTCATTAATGAATTCGTATCCACGGCAACTCTTCAACCATATGAAAAAGGAACTTCCTTAAATGCCTAGATCTTGCTCAAAACACTCCCTTTGTTTAGACGTTCTTTCTATGATAATTTCGTTAGCCTCTTCCCTTTAGTTCTATCTATTACCATCTCCAAGATCCTCAAGAAAACCTTTGAGAAGCTGAAAAAGGCACAGGAAACAGTTCTCAAGACGTATTGCGACTGCTATTTGTGCAAACACATGTTTGCGACAACAATATACTTGCATATTTGCATAATAGGACTGGCCATTGACCGGTCGGAACTCAGTGAAGGGTTAAATTTATAGAAATCATGTTTTGGGTTGAAAATGGCAGATTTAAAGGTTATAGCCAGAATTAATTTCGAAAGATGTCTGCGTGAGTCACTGTGTGGGCGATATTTGACATTTTGTGGTCTGCGTCTAATAAGAATTATTATCTTATTATGCTCAAATGATTTTTTTTCTGAGATTATGAATATATAGAGATCCTGAAAGCCCTGTTTTCTTGTATAACGTTCAGAAACGCGATCTTTAGAGCGTTCGTTATTGAGAACTGGAAAGTTGTTCAGATGTAGTATACCCATCAAGATCCCAACTTTGTTTGCCAACTAAAAATGCCATCCTTGTAAGCTGAACCAAACTTTCCATAACTTCTCAAGTATCACTTAAACCATCTTCAGTCCCCTTGGAAGCCCCTCAAAAAGAGGTGAATGTTCTGAAAGAGCAATAACAGCTTTGAGCAAGTTAATTGTTTTCGAAAAGACAGACCGCAATAATTTCCCAGTAGACGCATAATTGATCTCAGGTCTTTCCTGCACTGATTAATTCTTCATAACAGCTTTCTATCAACTGCGCCACAAGAGTTGATAAAATAATTACCTAGACAGCCTGACTCAAAATCGACAATGTACATCTTTTCTGTAGACTAATTAAATCGATAAAATGCGATTCCCTCCTCTTTGGTTTTGTCGACAAGTCTCTAATTAAAGCCAATTTGAACCTTCATCACACCTCGTAGTCATACTTGTTATAATTTCAGAATTATAGAAAATTTTCCTGCCGTTCATATATTTGTCTGAAAAGTGTTAGCGCATAATTGCCCTTTTTAATACTTAGGAACATCAGAAGCAAATCATTTGCGCATAAAAACAGAGTGCAGTGCACCTAGGGAGCTCTTGAACTATGATGCAGATCTCAATGAGTAAATAAACTTGTTCTCAACACTACCAATTGAAGCGAAGATGACGGTCGGTATCGCCGTTTGGATCTATCGGTTCAATTGCTACGCCAGCTGCGGCTTTTCGATGATCATCAATCCACTGTTGCTTTTTGCTATCGTGACAGAGAAGGCGACCAAAAACAGAATCAGAACGGTAGAAAGATTGTTTTCGAATCCAACGTATATGTACTTCTTTCAGTACAACAACGTCTTCATAATCATGGCTATTTCGAACATCGTCATGACTGTCATCAACACCTCATTTCAACCGGTAAAACATTGATCATTCACAGCTGGCTTGTTGAGTCCTACAAGTGCGCTCCGACTGCCGTGTTTTTGATTTTTTTTTTTTAGCTTCACATGTACCCTTTTTGAATTAAGTCAGACACTTACAAGGAGGTCATTTTACTTTGCGGTTGAAAATTTCCTGAAATTCGCCAGAAAACTTATTGATGTACCAAATAAACTTATTGATATACCAAAAGGATATTCTGAAAGTAAACCTGCCCAACTCCCTAGTTTTCGAGAAAATAAACTTCAAAATCAGAGAAAACCCCAAAATCTAAAAAAAATAAGCTATTTTGAGGCTTTAAGCCCATATTTCTCGAAAGATAGAAAGTTGTGCAGGTTGAGACTTTCAGGATCTTCTTCTGGTACATCAAGGAGTTTTCTGGCCAACTTTCAGGAAAATCCCAACCGCAAAGTAAGAAGGACCTCCCTTGTTAATGTGACTCAAGCTTATCTAAAGATCTTGATGAATCAATCATGAACAGACATGTTTTCAGGTGTTCATTCTGGCTCACAGAGTGATTTACATTGTGTTCTTGGGACCTTGCAACGAACTTCAGGTCTACTACCTTGTTATTTCATTCTCCGTTCTAACAGCCATCATTGTTTTGAAAAACGTCAAAGTACCAGTGGCCTACGCGTTTCGCTACTTTTTGGTTCTCAAGTGGGGCGTTTTTGCATCCGAATATCCTCTAAAAAATATGCAGCAAAGAGGAGCTGACCCTGCCATCCTTTTTGTGGTTTTTCGCAGTAGTCGCTCTTTTCTCAATTGTATCTTTGGGCGGTACTCTACTCGTGTTTCTGAGCAGCACGAATATGGCCCTCATTAACAAGGCCTCTACACAACTGACAGTGAATACCTTCACTGGCGAGCATTTTGGCTGTTTGACTATAGTCATAGTTCGTTTTTTCGTCTTAAACGATGAAGACATCTGAAATTGCATAAAAACAGTTTAATTTCAGAGCATGAAATGGTGGCTCATGTGTCTGAATTTAGTGATGGTCTTGGCTTTCCTAGCATTATTGATCATCGACAGAATTATTGTCCGGCATATCCGCCTTGTGAGCATCCACGATATGAGTCCAGCCTACACGCAAACCAGCGCGATCACCAATACTCTCATGATTACGGTAGGTTAAGCCATTAATCTTCCTAAGTAAGCTTCTCCTGAGAATCCTTCAAATCAGAAAGGCTCTTTTCCTCCATTCGTCTTCTTGAAAGCAAAATGTCTGAGGCAAAACTTTCCGTTAGAGCTTCATGAATGTTGCGGAGAACGTGTGCCTTTTTCGACGCACCTGTTCTGCTTGTTTGGAGGAAAACTAGCAGAACTTTTGCAGGCCATCGAAACGATAGTGCTTCTAACAGTTCCGTCGTGTGTATTCAGCGTATACTTGTTCATGGAAATCGACACAGGCGTCTCCTCGCTACCGATGACTGTCGGACTTTCTTGGCTGCCAATTCTCACGAGCGTCACTTGCTTCACTCACATAAACAGCTACTGGTTCGGGATTTTTGAATTGAATTCGAGGAAAATTACAGGCCGGATCCGTTTAAAAAAAAAATGAAATGTTTCACCCGTAGTAGTAGTGCACATATGTTTTTCAGAACGAAACTTTTCAAACTGAAACTTTAGCTTTGCGAGCTGTCTTTCCAACGGAGCAAACTTGAAAACTAATTTGATTAAGCTATTTTAAAATTTCGTTGTTCCCTTCCTTCTCATTTTGATTCAAATAGACTTTAAGAATCAATTTCCTTCACTTCAAAAAAATTGTTGAATCTCAGGAACAAGGTCCACTATGTGCTGGTCAGTTGGAAAAGAAACGTTTCGAAGCCTCAATTCCAGTTTACCGTCACTTCCACCACAGACACTATGCCCTCCATCGCGTATTAATCAATTAAAATGTATTTTATTTTATTGAAACGTTGTGCAAAGTGCGGCAATTTGAAAAAAAGAGATTACGAAGTAAATGCCCATAAATGGAAGTATTCAGGGAAACAGCACCATAGAAAATATGTATATCTCTACCGTCGTTGACACATCACAGATTCTTGCGATATTTACAAATAGAAAGTTAGTATAAATTATTGTTATTATATGGATGATTAAACTGTGAAATGCAAAGTGTAGATTATGCTATGCTACAAGTTTCTTAGTTGAAAAGTTTGAAAAATACAGTTTCGAAAAAAAGGAAAAGGAACACACTTGTGAGAAGAGTACCTGGCGCTGATCATTTGTGTTTGTAGAGCGACTTGAACTGAACGAGATCGACTTAGGTTCAACGTGTTTCTCGGAACAAACCATGGATCTCTTCTCCTTGGTGGGCGACTCGGTCTTAGGAACCTCCGCTCCGTGAGCAGCAGCGACGAGCTCGGCGACGTGGTCACTCAACTGCGCCAACTGGGCGTCGTAACTTCGTCTCACACTCGCCAACTCCTCCTGAATAACGATTTCTGCACGAAAACATCGTTTTGTCTTCACCTCAATCATTCCTCGTCCTTCTTCCAGCTTTTGGATACGATTTTCCAGTTCCGCTTTCTCACTTTCCAATTGCAGGTTCATTTGCAAGATGATTTCGCACTAGAAAAAAACGTTCTAATTCGATTTTTAAATTTAAAAACAGGTTTTTTTCAGCATGAATTCTCAATTATTTGAATAGAATACTTTTCCTTCAATTCAATATTCGATCGAGTTTCGGCAACGACAACACATTGTGTTTGAATAGCGAAAATTCACAGAATGTAAGAGTAGGAGAAGGAAGAAAAATTGATAAGGTGAGAAAAAAAAAGCATATTTTAATATTCACGGTATTTTTCGATTTTTAACTACATTCAACTTTACTAAATCATGAGCTTCGCGTATCCGTGAACAAAAAAAAAGATTTTCGAATTTAATCGCAGTGATTTTTCCCGACAACGACTTCAAAAAACAGGAAATATCTGACTCACAACATATTTAAATTTTCAGGACATTCGCGTAAAATTTTTTGAAATAATTTATGATATGCGAACTATAAAATAGATTTATATATCATTTGAGTGAAACTGAAAAAAATTAGAAAAAGAAAAAAATTAGCATCAAAAAGCTCCAAACTCCCCATTCTGGCTCATGGGAAATATTTAAAAAAGAGCTTTGGGCCTTAGAACTCTTTTTTCGGCTCAATTTTCACATCAAACCTCTTCCTTGTAATATCGCCAAGTGCACTCCGCTTTCTCGACCTTATGCAGCAGTTCCTTGGTCATTTGCCGGCCAACATCTCGCAGATGGTCAATTTCCGAGGATGTGGTTCTGAAAAATCTCGGCCCTCTTCGCACAAAAACCATCGAAACTCACTTTTCATTCCCACTTAAAAGTTCCAACTTTCTCTTCAGCAAAGAAATGTCGACCTGCTGTTTGTCCCGTTCTTCTTGCAATCCGTTCACGCGTTCTCGTAAGTACTCAACCTAGAGACATTTTTTATTTTGAAACTTTTACAGTCTTCTACGAACTTTTATGACATCGATCTTGGGGACGTGAAGGTCAGCTCTTTCTTCCTCTACTGAAATTTTTTGATCTTTTGTTTCCTCACTCTTGTTCAAGTTCTTGGCACAGGAGTCACAGAGACGGTTGGAGTTCGCATCGTTGTAAGCCTGAAAAGCTTAGCTTCCAGTTGTGGAGAAGTCAATATACCTCTTGACCAGAATTTAGTTTCGCACGATCTACATCATTGTTCTCCTCGGGTTGAAGAACCCGGTCTTGTTCTTCTTTCGTTTCTTCTTCCTGCTTAGCTTCATTTTCTATCTAAATCAGACTATTCAAAAAGAAAATCCAGTTATATCGAACCAATCTGAAAACGGCAGATGTCCGGGCGTCGAGTTTGGCCGTTTCGTTGGTCAGAAGCTGCAGACAGTCGGAAAGAGCCACGCCGACGCATCGCATCTTTTTTGTCGAGGTCGGAAATCGCGATTCGTGTACCCATCGGTCCCGGAAGATGATGCCGAGATCTAAAAGTCGGCAAATGTTAAAAAATCCCCAAGAGGAACTATTGATTCAAATCTACGGTGCGATACTGTGAATGAACTCGGATTTCTTTTTTTTTCTTTTTTCTTTTATATTTTCGTACAAAAACTAACCCATTAATGAAATGTTTTTGAAACTGTCTTTTCTTCAATAAAAATTCAAAAAACCATTTCTGAGATATTCGATGAAAATTTATTATTTCACTCAACAAGAAACGTTACAAAACTTCGAAAACGCAGAGGATTAGTTTTTGCACTAAAAATACATTCTTTCCATACATTGAAAAACTTGTTCTCGATTGAAGCTGCTCAAAACTGAATTCTTACCTCGGACAAACTCTGAAAGCGAAGAGATAGTCTTGAGAAGGTCTTCCAGAGATTTCGTTTCGGTCCAAACATCTACAGCCACGCTGATTCGGCCAAAGACATCAAATAAACTGAAGCAGAAAAACTTTGATGGGAATTTGCAAGTAAGTGAATCACTTCAAAATCGCATCGACCCAATCGCGATTCATTTGCTCCAACTGCTGCGTACTCCAAGTTACCTAAGTCATTCAAACATTTAGAGACACAAAAAGAAGGAAACTTTATTCTCTTCGTCGGTCATTTTCCGCAAAACTTCGGGCATCATAGTAGAGCAATGGCGACTTATAAGAGCGAATGAAGAACGAAGAGTCGCCGCATCCACTGATGGCTGCATTTTTTAGATCAAAAAAAAGTCTATTTTCGATAATATTTTAATGAAACGATCTAAATTGGCTAATATGTTTCACTTGTGTTGAGTATGTAGAATGAAGAATTAATGAAAAAAGATCTCGTGGAAACTTAGACCATTATATAAGGGACTGATTCCACAGATCATGATTGAATAACTCAAACGCCTCGACACCTCATCTTCCGCTCCGCCGTCGTCGCTCCAAGACGACGACGACTAGTCAATCCAAAGAAACATATATAAAAACTTGATTACGTAAAAACAATGGAAAACGATTGTTTTCCACTGTTGATCAGCATAAGATCATACACATCCAAAAATCTCTACACCTTGCTGACGACTAAGAAGCCAAAATGAAAAATAACCTCAAATTCGCTTTTTTCGACAAAATCGTCGACAAATCGAGTTGCCTCGCTGAATAACTTGGAGCACTGATCGTAAGCTGCAGCCAGCTGAAATTTTTTATTTTTTTTTTCTTCAGAAAATATGTTTAAAGTGAGTAGAAAAACGAAAGCTGCGGAAAACGAGTCAGAGAAAACATTGCCAAAGATAAGCGAGTTTTTTCATATACTTCAAAAATTTACCTTCAGAACATGGCTCGGCAAAGTTTCCATCGTCACATCGTATGGATAGATTTCAGAGCGTTGTTGAAGTAAATTGAAAAAATTCGTAAAACCTAAAACAAAAGTAAGACAAAGAGATTGTGCGGAAAAAACCTCGCAAGGTGCTCTGGACTGTTTGGGCGACGTGAAGAAGCGCTTCACTGGCCGGTGGCGGCGGCGGACTTTCTACCGTCAATACCTCTTGATTTACGTCTGTCTGAAAACTATTCTTCCACGAATCATGACAGTGTATTAGAAATAGGAGAAATTCAGCTTATACTTCCTATTTTTCAAAATTTTCAGCTTTATTTTCATTCACTTTAAGAAAATGAACTTGTTTCACCACCCCAATAAGGTTTTAGTTCGAAAACTATCAGCTTGAGAAATGGAAAAAAAGAAAAAACGTTTAATAATGAAGGTATGTAGAAAACAACCACTTCTAAAGTTTTTTCGCATCCTTTTTTCTTCGAGTTTTCATTTCAACATGATCTCAAGCCAATCAAAAAACTACATTTTGGAGGGGGGACGGAACTTGAGCGGAGAAACTGGCGGATCGCTTGGCCTGCTCTCTTTGCATCGAATCGAGCTGCGCCTCAAGTTCGCGATACTCGCGAGCCAACTTCTGCGACATCGCCGCCATTTCTTCGTTGTGTTGCCGTTCGTTTTCCGCGATCTGTGACTATTTCTTGCAGCGAAGAATAGGAGGAAGGTCGCACCCGAGTGACTAGCTCCTCGTTCCTACGAATCTTGTTGTTGAGTTCCTCCTCCAAGAGAAGGACCTTGGCCGCCATCGTTTGCAGTTGCGCCATTCCGTCCTTCGGCAAACCGTTCTTCTTCGGCGCCTTGTCTTTCTGAAACCGAAAAGTTTTCAGAAAATTGAGATGAACCACCGGTTTCAACTTATGTTTCAGTTGACTTCAACGATCAGAAGTTTTTGAGGTGGCCTCGGAAAATATGAAATTCTTCAGGTTGAAACTTCTTTCATCTATTGAACTGATAAGTTGATCGAATTTCCCAAAGACTTCTCACCAAAAGTGTTCAGCATAATATAGTTTCAAAAAAGATGTTTTTCTTTTGTTTGTTCAGATTTGCAAGCCTGTGAAATTTCTAAAGTCTAAAAATTAATATGAGATTCAAGGAAAGCGTGAATCTTTCCCACGGATTCTTTTTTTGTCCCTACAGTTGAACCTTAACGCTATCGATCCGCTTGAGGTCGACATCCTCCTGCAGACTTTCGACACGTCGGACGAGCTGTTCATTCCGAAAGAGCAGACTTTCGTTCTCAGTCTGCAGCTTCCGTGTCGTCGCTTCTGCCGACTTCAGTTCCTCCTCAAAGTCAGATTTCAGTCCCAAGAAAGAGTTCCCAGACCAACCGCCAACTTTTCCGCTTTACTTCGCTCCGACAAAACTCCATCTCTCAATACCTTCGCTTGAGCTCGTAACTGAAACTTCTTGATGAAAAAAAAATCGACTGAGTTTTTAAAAAAATGCCAAATTAGAGCCATTTTTCTTATATACTTTTCAAAAAAATTTCGTGGCGGAAGAAACCTTGGAATATTCCGCAGCAAGGCGTTCGTATCTCACGTTAACATCTGTGTTCAGCGACACAGACGAAACGGACATCCAATGCTGACCAACTGAACTGTCATATCCACTGGTAATAAGATCCCAAACATGCAAACGGCGTGCCGATTGGAGATTCGAACACTGAGAAACACAATAAAAAGCACTTCATTACTTCTACTCGGGAAATGACATGACGTGTACAGGATCAACAGATTAGGAATGAAAAGTAGGCAACCAGTTAAACTTCTCAAACTTCAAGAGACCATAGCTAGTTTATGCAGGTAAGAAAAGCGGTAAAGCGTGATCAAAATATGGAAATCAGACCGAAAAATGGATAAACATGAAAAAGATAGTCATGAAAACAGGAATAGTCAACAGATATGCTCAAATAAATAACGACAACTGAACGAGGCAATCAGAAAGAAATAAGTGCAAAACTGAGAAATTATTCAAATGTGCAAATAAATTATACAGTTTTAAATAACTAAGAGGAAAAGAGTATTTATTTCTGCAGAACAACTGCAGATCCGCGTCGGCTCATGCTGTTGCGAATCGGTCGCGTCGGCGTCTTTTTCTGAAATTCGCCCCTTGAACAACAAAAGAACGAAAAAGCACCCACTTCGGGGACATTGCAATGAGTTGTGCAGATCCACTTCCCTTGGGGCGCTTCCTTCACACCCACACAGAAGGTATGATAACCGCGATCGCAACGATCGCAGAACATAATATGTTCCTGCAAAAAGAGAGTTCTTCGGAGCCTGGAGAAGAGCACGAGGAATTTTTGAGAAAGCGGACCTCCTTGTCGGGTTTGTGACACAGAGTGCATTTCCTGCAGTCGACGCAGTTCCACGCGTACGTCTTGACCACTTCGAGCATTTCGTCCGTCATTTCGAGGCAGTCCGTGTGGGAGTTCGCGCCACACGCTGCGCAGCTGAATATTCCGCATTTCTTCAGTTCTCACAACCTCAAGATACCTTATAAACGGTTCTTCGTCCGTCTCCGAGCAAATTTCACACGTACTGACTTTCGTTAACGTCGTCGTGCTCTTAAAAAAAAATTATTTCACTTTCTGTTTACTTGAGACACGATCGCCCGACACAACACCATTCACGGCCAGCTTGGGACGCTAAGGGGGCGTGTCCTGTCTGCGCTCTCCACGAGCCAGGCGCTATCTCGTGCATTATCGTGTCAGGACCCGTTTTTCGATGGCTCAATCCAGCCGTGAATAAGTTATACCGTTGATTTAGAGCTTCATTAAAAATAAATTCGAAAAGAGAGAAAAAAGAAGAAGCTCACGAAACTTGATCAACTTATTCTTCTTCAAAAACTTTGAGAAGTCAATAGAATTTTCTCATCGCAGCAATTAGTAGCCGACGCCCCGCAACTCTGTCATAAGTTTCTTTCTCCCCCGAGCTACAGATCCCGCTCTTTTTGTCTCTGTGAATGCGCCTTTTATTTGACTTGAAAATTTTCGTTATACGTGAAAAGCTGGCGCGGATTAGGCCGTACAATTGAAAAGATTGATCGAACTTTTACGAAAAAGTTCAAAACGAGCTTTTTCAACGAATTTATTATTACTTATTCAACAAGAAAAGCGATTAATGAATGTCGATTTGAGGGCAGGATATATCTGATGGACAATTATTTACAAAAATTGGATACAAGAAGAGATTCTTTACAAATATATACCTTCACTGAGTTAAAATTACACTTTGTTTCTTTGAAGAATAAAATATCAAAAATCTTCGTCGAAATCTTCTTCGCTTTCCTCATCAACGAAGACGTTGGCTGGGGGCGCGCGTCGCGAGCTTGAACGCACCTAAAACAGCCATGACGTTTACAAGACCCATACAATTAAGTTATCTTCATGATTAGCGGTGTTAAAAACATACTTCCAACAAATACTCACAATGAACAGAGCGATTTCTATCCAAAACTGTTAGAAAAACGCCATGGCTGCCACAAAGAACAAAATGGCAAAAAATGCGTCCAAGCTCGGCATCTAACATATTTTCTAACTAGAAGCTACGCATTTTTTCCATTCTATGAAAATGAAAGAAAAAGACAAACGAACCGATTTCCGAACGACTTCCGTTTTCGGCGTCATCATCGCCATCAGCTCCTGCTTCACAGTGATCCCCGCTCCTTCTGACGCGCCGCCGGCGGCTTGAAAAACCAAGTATTAATGATAGTTTAACTCAGAAAATACTTAAGCCAACATATAAACGAGAAAAGAAGATATTCTTTTTTCTTCAACAAGAAAGAAAGGCGGCTGCGTTTATTAACTACCGTGTAGTATTCCAAAAAAAAAAATTAGGTTTCGTGAATGAAAAAGTTTCGAAAACTATAACCGAGAAATTAGATATAAATCAAAAAGAAGAGAGATTTTTTTAGAATCTTGAAAGTTAAGAAAAAAAGTTGTCAAATTATTTTTTTGTTGTTCTAGGTTTTCTAATAGAAAAATAAACGTAAGGTCTGATATTTAAAAAAAATGTATCTCAATAAATGTTCGAAGCTGAAGCTTCTCAAACGGTTTCATTGCAAAAAAAAATGTGTCTTCAGATAAGTTTCATGATATATGTATATATTTTTGGTGCTATATGCAAAAAGCCCAGAAAACCCCAAACTCGGAAATTGTTGTTTTCTTATTTATTTTTGCAACGAAGGCCACTTTATTTCATTTAAGATATTCAAAAGAAGTCTGTTAATCAATAAAAGTAAGAAATATAATCGAAATATTGAGAAGACAAACCGGCGACGTCTTTTTCCGTGAGATGAATCGGAGGCGGCGAACGGTCGCGTTCCACCGGATACAGATGCTCTCCGTCGACGATCGTGCTCAACGGCAGACGCAGCAGCTCGTCGCGCGAATATCTCACAAAAAACTGGTGAGAAACAAGCTTTTTGTGTCAGGCTGGGCTTCAGGCCTCAATTTTGCGAATAAGCCTAGCGTGGGCCAGGCTTAAAAAAATTTTTATTAAATTTATCAGAAATATTTTTCATCGAAAACTTTTCATTTACTTGTTGAAGAAATAGTTTTTTTGTTCGATTTTAAGTTTAAAAAAAATGTCAACAACTTGATTTTCGTCGAAAAAAGCGTGATATTATAATTGAAAAAATTTTGAAATTTTTTATAACTCGCCCGGCCGTTTTTTTGAGGTCTCGCTAAAGCCGAGCCTGATGAGAATAAAAAAAGCTCTATTACTGAAAATTCAACGAACTTCCGATAATAATTCTGGAACTGTCCCTGAACCAAGGCACACGAGTATGGATGGGGTCGCGTCGCTTCAGGCTTCATTTTCTTCCAAAAAGTCGCTCGCGATTGGAGAATCTAGGAATAAATGATGTTCATTTTGATAAGGAAAAAATTCTCACATTCGTCTGGATGTCCCAAAACTGTTTCCGTTCGACTCGACGCGCCTGTTGCATCTCCTTGTTGAACTCCATCGCGCTTTTCATCGACTTTTCTCGGAGTTCCGCCAGTTTTTTAGAGTCGTTCCGAATCTTTAAACACAAATAAAAGATAACCATTGATCGAACTTTATAAATAGGCGGAGGTAAAACTCGAAAGACGCGCAAAAAGAGATAATATGAGTTTTCTTGATTAAAAAATCCTTAAAATTCGTCGTTTTAACTTACTGCTTCCATTTCTTTCGCTTTCTCCGCCATCAGAGCCTTTTCCCGCGCACTTGTCGCCTTTTTGTACTCCTGACGAATAGAACACAATCGAAGTGCAGATAATTAAAAATACCTGATAAATCGGAGCGTAATCGTTAGCCATCAAGTCGAGGATTTCGACGGAGCGCATGGCCGTTAGATCTCGAAGTTCTAGGAAAATGTTCTTCTCGGATGAAATTGAAGCCTCAGACTCACGAGTCTCATTCAACAAATCGTTAACGCGGAAGATCGAAATCAGAAAATCCCTCTCTTCGATGGTTACTTTTCGGCGTGTGAGGTCAGGAAACTTGCGAGAGAAAGACTTTATGTCCAGCAATTCGCCGATTTGTTCCTGGAATGATTTTTTGTCGGAGTTTTGTGTTAAGAATTTCTTTTTCGATCCGCTTACCCGGCGTCAAGTTTTTTAACCGTTTTATATATTGAGAATAAATTTTATCTAGCTCGAAAATTGACAGCAACTTTTGTTTAATACATTTGGAAAAATAACCTGCAGGAACCATTTGTCACCAGACTTCGGCGGCCATTCATAGTCGATGACATCTCCAGGTTGGACCTGAAATTCTTTTTCTTTTTTGAACCAAAATTTCTCAATCAACTAACCACTTTGTGAGTAACATCCGCAGTAATGATTCGATTGAGATTTCTCGTAGGAGCCGCCATCTGAACTTGACTTCCTCCGTTCCCAACAGATTCCTCCGTTTTTTCCTCTCCCTGCTCTTCTTCTTCGATCGGTAATTCAGAGTTATCAACTTCTTCAAATTATTCGATTTCTCATCGGTTTGAAAAAAAGCTCTGAACCTTTCATAGGTGATTCTGCGAAATCATCAGAAGTCGTGGCTTCACCATTCGGTGTTAGCTGCTCTCCGAGGGGATCGGCTTCCATTAGCGCCTCCAGTGAACTACATGACTCCCTCTCTTCTGGAGCCCCTTCTCCGTTCATCTGAAAAAGAAATTACAAGATGGAAAAAAAAACCAATTTATTTTCGATAAAACCATGGCTGGCACCAGCGAAAATTTAAAAAAAGTTTAAATAGCGAAATTTAGAGACCTGATGCAGTGTTCAAAGTTTTTTCGCTAAAGATTGAAATAACCGTCAGAAATTGAATAAAGCAAACAAGTTTTGGAGAGTCGGAACAAAAAAAAAATCGAAGAATTAATTTTAAACGTCAAAAAAAAATTTTTTCGTAACACGGAATAACTGACTCTCCAGCGAAAATTAACAAAATGAGGCCCACCCAAACAGTTTAATGAATTGGAGAACATTATAAGGTTTTTGTTCTGCGGATGGAAACACTAATAGTGATAATTCATAAACAATATACATATAAACAATATTTGAACTGCAATGCAAAATTTTGACGGGAGACGCTCGCCGTTTTCTCATTAGAGCGCAAATGGTCACCTCTACAGGGCTGGCAGGTCTGCGTTGCTGATGACGTGAGACGATTGTGACTCCGGGAGATGGACTCACATCTTAAAGATTAACGATATCCTAAACCGATGAAAAAATGATTTGAATGGTGAAAATAAGTCTCAAACTCGATAAATTTCTCAAAAAAGTTATTATTATACGTTTGATAATGAAAAAAGGACTTTTCGTTATCGAACTTCTTATCTATGAATTCATAAAGTTTGCCATTATTTCCATTTGAGTCATCAACGCTTTCTACGTGAAACGTGTGTTCTTTGCACAACTTTGGCTATGGTTGCGAAATCGGGCACATATAAACTCACGAATGTCAATATTTATACGGGTTTGCTGGACTCAAACCAATTTATAGATTTTTTTTTATCAGCGTCTTTTTTATCAAATATATTTGAACTGATTCTCGACAATCTGATCCTTTTGCTGAAAAATGCGGATCTTCGACTACGACGATTTATACGATTCGTAAGTTGTGCCTCAAGTTGAGCAAGTGAATTCATTAAATTAAAGATATAAAGGCGGTGGTCCTCCATGGGAGCGCAACCGTCTGCACAACAAAATCATGAAGCACATGTTTGAGCCTTTTCCACACATCGGAACTGTCGCCAAAGTTGTGATTGAAGCAGGCGACGAATCTCTGGTTATTTTAACGTTTCCATATCTCAAAAGGAACTTTCCGTTTCAGAACAAGGATCTTGAAGCTCATCTGAATAGGTATCACGATGAAGACGATATCGAGTTTAATGTTGACTACTCCTTGAATAAGAAGAAGCGTTGGGAAAAGATTGTGAGTTTTTTTTTCTGGAATTTGAGAAGACTCCTTTCAATCGTCAATACTTATCCGAAACGGTTTCTAACGCTTGTTTTCTTTCCAGACAGATCCAATTTTTCTGCTTGAAAGCTGTTCATATCTTCTTCCGTTCGCAGAACTCGTCGTCTGTGACCAAATCATTGCAGGTATATATATCTTTTTTTCAAGAAGTTCTCTATTTTGTTACTCTCAGGTCGTGTCAACCTTGCCACTTCTTCAGTTCATTCTTTGCAAACCTCTCCTGACAGCGCGAAAACTTTTATAAGAACTCAACATTCTAAAGGATATGGACGGAAGGTTTTTTTTTGAAAACTAAGAGATAAAGAGAATATGATTTTTTGGTTGCAGTTCATTCATTTCGATGGCTATAGACCCAGCTCGGATCCTACCAAAGATTCCCACCGTCTTCCCATTGTGGTGTTTTTCGTCAAGAAACACTACGATAATATTTTCGTTTGCGTCCAGCGCTGGTTCTCCAAACTTTTCTACAGTAAGGTCATTTCCAGCTCACAATATAAGTTTTTTTCTTTTGAAGAGAGATACAATTGGAAGCGAAGTTCTCCGGGCCACTGGACCAATCTTTATGCGAAGAACGCGATTGCTTACGATATACACCAGGATGAGGACGAACAAGTTCTGAGTGAAAATGAGGATCAAGACCGAACTTCTAGTCATCTAGATAGAAGGTTTAAATCGAGAACAAAACTTTGATTTCAAATGATATATTCAGATTTACCTTGGAAAACTTCATTTCCGACGAAATTCCCAGAAGGAAAAGAAAAAATCGCAAAGGCTTCACTTCAGATTTTGAACTAATCGAAACGCCAACTGATTGAGGCTCACCATGAAAATTTATTGTAAATAAAATTCTCCCTTCAAAACTTTTTCAAAAAATATCCTGCAACCATCATTTTCAGAAGGAAGAATATCACAGGGTAGAAGAAACCTGGAAATGCCAAAAATTTCAAGAAGTTGAGGCGAACGTCCAGTCAAACCTAATTTGGAGGATATGACAGCCAAAGAATGAAAAATTATGAGCAAAATGACGCCCAGTTCCAGATATCCCGATGAGATAGTTGTGAGAATGACACCAATCTCGAAAATTATGATCCAAGCTGAAAATTTCGATTTGAAGAGCTTCATAAAGAAAAATCAGACCTATCGAAAACCTTTCATGCAGAAGTCGGGTAATGAAGCTGAGGAGCGCTATGAAACCGAAAAAAAAGCCGATTACGAAAAGTATCGTGTTAAAGTAGTCGTACTTGAGCGGGTCCAGGTCCATCAACTGAACGAGAAATACCGATCAAAAACTATTTCGAAAAATTCCAAGTTCATGTTTTTTAAAATTGACTTACAGCAGTACAGTTGTAACTGAAATGGCAAATTTCTCATTTCCTATTACTTTGACCTTTTTCCGTAATAACTCAGTCTCTGATTGTGAGAAAAAATGTTCTCAGCTGAATTAGCTTTGATTTTATTCGACATGAAACCTTCTAAGACACGAGAAGAAACTCAAAATCGAACGCGTAAAACTTACAGAATGAAATATGTCAGCGAGCTTTTTCATTGTCAAATTTAGAACATAACGTTTGGCATAAAAAGCGGCCAACATTGAGCCTTCGCATACGATCGCCAGAGTTGCTTGTCCAAAAACAGATCACATCAAACTCGAAGGGAAGATCTTTCGAACCATGTTCGGCGAACGAGGCGGCAAGGGAGGTCATGACTGCGGCAAACCACCTTGGCACGTCGAAGAACACCAGAGGCATCATCAAGACCTGGACGCAGAGCTGCCAACCTGAGCAGGCAGCTTTTAGTGTGAAGAAATTCCGACTCACTGACAGTCAGTCGCTCGTGACTCCGAATATTCCAGAAGCAAGAACACACGAAGATGCCGACCATAGCCACGACGTAGGCATTCAGAAGGGCTGGTGGAACGGCAATAACCCTTCGATAAATGAAATCATCCATACTCTTTTTCCGCAAGGATATTTGCGGCGAGGAAGGCCAGCCGACAGAAATCAATCAAAACTGCAAGCCGTTATCAGGTTATCACGCAAATGGGCCACCTAAACAACGACTATATTGATCAAGAATCAACACAGAAAGCCTTTTTAGAGAGAATACCTACAATACGTTTAAGAATGTTCTGTTTGAATTTTCGAATTTCGAATTTTTGAATATCTTTCCGCTTCTTTTTACGCACCACAATTCTCTCCAATGATGCTTGTTCTTGTACCTGCCCACAGGTGGGACGCGACTCTACAAGGAGCCGCAAATCTTAATCCGCGGCTCTCGCGAGCTCATCGAGCCGTGAAAATCTCAAAAGAGCGCATCTCAATCAAGTGTTTCTTGTTGACCTTTTAAGTTTCCTGTTTTTGCTGAAACTACCATTGAAATTTTTAAAATAACAAAAAAAAAAGTAATTAAAAATACAAGTAATTTTGAACTTGGAAACCTCCGGTATGCATGAATCAAGAGCAAAAAAATGAAAAGTGTATTTCCATTATTCTTTTTTTGATTTTTTTGACAAATAAAACTTGAACGTTTAAATTTTCCGATTCAAACTTCATTTCCGTGCCACTTTATGTGCTCTCCATTGGTTGATTTCCTCTCAAATTTTAATGAGCACAACAAGAAGGTTAATCCAATTAGTTGTGGACAGGAAGCGCTAACGACTACCTCGGGAGACCCAAGCGCTGGCCCGAGCGCCGAAATTGGCGTCCTCGAAGGGACACGTGTCCTCGACCACTTCACACCTGCACAGTCTACGGTAGCGGCCTGCAAGGGCTTCAGCCAAGAAAAAGAGAGTTAATCCCTTGATTTGACCATTATGTGGGCAGCCATTTGCTTTGTCGCAACGAAAAAGAAAAAATGAACCGACTGAGCCATTACCTGTCGCAACCGTGTTTGCAATTTGACACATAACTGTTTTCGCACCGATTTACTTTGAGACGCGCCGCGCCGATGGACGATTTGGTCTGGCAATTACGATAGCGATGGTGTGGAAACTCTTGATCAAGCCAGCCTTTGAGAAAAATCTGAAAAAGTTTGGAGATAAAACGGAAATCAGCCAACGTCCAGCCAACACTTTCTTTCTGCTTTCGGCTCTTTTAAAAAGCAAGACTTTTTGAACAAGCTATACTTCCAAGGCTTCCCAGATACCTGGTTCAAGATAAAGAAGAAAAATTTGGAAAAAGTTGATATCTTGCAAATTTTAACTTTCTTTCCGTTCTTTTTTTCCCATGAAGATGTAAAAAAGGGTTTTTCAACTTTTCACCCTATTTCTAAATACAATTCAGGAGTCGTTTGGAAATCCGAGATTATAATGAGAATTCTCATTCGAAACAGTTTTAGCGGTTATTTTGCGAACTTATTTTTCACCCTTCAAGTTACCCTGTATGATTTATTCCAAGGGTCGTCAGTCTGACTTTGTATAGAACTCTTACTACTGCAAGAAGGGAGTTCAAAAAAGATTTCTAGATGGAATCTTTTTTTCTATTTGAAAAATTAAGACGATTCGAGAAATTAGCAACAATCGCAATGGGAGCTTAATTGAGCGGAGGTGTTGGTTCTAGCGCAGATGTAAATCCGATCGTCTGCCGATAACGACGCCTTATGTTGTTCTAACAAGTTTTAGCTACTGCAATTAGTTAGTAATCCGAACAAAATAATTTTAAAAAAAAAAGATTTTCTCTTATTTGAGTTTGTAAATTTTTATTTTTATTTTTATTTTAGTTTTTTGGGACTTTTATGATGCAATATTAACTTAATAATTGAAAAAGAACCTTTTTCCTTGCTTAAAAATTAAAAAAATGAGAATGAAAAATCAATATAATAGCTTTCACCAACAAGGAGGTCATTCTACTCGATGTTTTTGGCCATTGAGGCGTTGCTTCTCGAAAACTCAAAATTTTCCCAGGTTGAGACTCTTTAGATTAATTTTTTTTAGTTTTTACCAAAAAAGTTGAAAATTCAGAATCTTTGTCTAGGTTTCATTGAATACTCAGAGCATTTGAAATTTTGAATCAAGAAGACCTTTCAGGAAACTTTGAGTTTCAGAATCCGTCAGTCGGAGTAGATGCAGTTCGATGATCCCAGCGGGAAGTCATATTAGGACACGAAGAGGTGTGGGATGCAGCTGGCGACACGAGCCAACAATGCCCAAGTAGGGTCCAACTCCGATGACTATCTTCTCGACTTCGCCACCTGACCTCCACTCGACACGTGTCCCGAGCAGCCATCCAATCAATTTGACAGACGTCCTCCTTGGCTCAGAATTCCACTTTTCGAAATTACTGTATCATCAAAATGAAACGGAGAGAAAACTCAAATAATACAATAAAATTAATCTCTGTCAACATGAACTCTTAGAAAGGAGACTTGGCCCAAAACCGGAAAATTGGGAAAAGACACAATTTTTTATAGCGGTTATATACTTGTAATTATATACAGTCGTAGTGTTTAGAAAAAGGAAGATTTGGAGTTTGACAAAAAAATATTTCAGTCAGTTAAGAAAAATCTCACGATTTTGAACTTAGCTACTTCTGAATACGAAGTTTTACAAATTCGTTAAAATGAAATTTCTCAGGTCACTGCTTCAAACTTTTGCTCTAAACTTATTTCTTGGTAAAGAAAAATTGATTCCAAATTCAGCATTAGAAAACCTGATTATTGAATTGAGCCCTTGCCGAATTTTGAAATCCGAGAAATCGCCGACAAGGGCCAGTTTTCGTCTTCCATCATTCATATTTGAAACAGGACTTCCCTGTAATGATTCTGACTTCTTGACTTCTTCAGTCTTTGCGCCGTCTTTCGGATCCAAGGACTCTAATAACCGATGCACCGGAAATCATAAAGACAGGGTCCAACATCGTCTTCTTCTGCTTTCAGATGCACAGGTTGCCAAGCAGCACGTTCGTAATCCGAGATGCCACCGTAGTTCTCCGAAAGTCAGCAGGGCTCCTGAAACTTGCTGGCAACTACCTTCTTCTCGTCATGAGCTCATCCTTTTTTTATATTTTATGAAATTTTCTGATTTTTGACGGTCTTCTTATCAGAAAGCTTATTTTTGGACTTTTCGTGTGCTTGAAAATTTTTCCGACCGGCTTTATGATTTGACGATCTTGCAAACGAAAAAATTGTGAATCCTTGAATGTGACAAAAAAGGGACGCGGCTAATCCAATTATGGACATCTTCGCCCCGCGGCTCAAATGTCGTGCCGCTGGAATCTGAGACTGACTTCCAATTAGGACAGGTGCTCATTTCGGCCCGAATATGGTAATGCTTCGGAGGGCGATCTTTTCATCAAAATGACTTCTGAAAAATAGCACGAAAGAAACTTGTATTTTCAACTTCGGACTACAAAAAAAAAGATTTCGAGTGAAGCATATATTTCAAAAAAAATAATGAACTTCACTGTTTTTGAATAACGGGGAAAAATATATATTTCTGGAAACGATTAAATAATTCTACCTAAAGTTTGTGAAAAAATCAGCAACGAGAAGATCATTTGGGGTGGAAAGCCAGAGAAAAAAAGTCAGTGTATTGTTTATATTTTTTTTAATATTTGCCTTTACAATCGTCTAAACCTCCTCAATGTTCCTAGCATAATTTTCAAGTTTGTGGAAAACTTCGATCTTTGGTGAAAAGCATTCATTGGGAAATACTATCAAAAGAGTGATTGGAAACTTCTTCAATCAAAGCTAATTGAAAATAACTATTTCTAAACAACTGTTCCAGAAGTCCAACTGTAGCGTCTACAACCTTCGCCCTTCGAATCAAGATTCCTTTTTCTCTGATAAAATTTCCAAACGCGAACATGAACATCACTCCTAAGAAGCTGATATGGTTGTAGGGATAGAGCCAGAGCTCCGCCCTCTTGCGCGGCGACCCAATGAACGACGGCTACTTCGCTCCGCCTCCATATCCGTGCTCAGAGTACTATCAGCAACAATTTGTGGCTCCTCACGCTTCTGTCAACTCGCCGCTGCTTCCTCCATTAGCCCAGGGCCATCCGCCCTGCTTCGCCATGATTTATTCTATCGAACAGGTTTATCCATCACTTCTTTATTTTGAAGAATCACATTTGAGGAAGTATTGTATTGCTCATGTTAAGTCCGATGTGAAAATTTATCCGGTTCATTTCGATTTTAAGTTTTCAAAATATCTTCCCGTTCTTTCAATATACTCTACAAAAATTTGCATTAGAAAAAATTTTTTTAATTTTTTTCAAGCTGGTTTTTTTAATTTTCCACTTGTCCGAAATCCGTTTCCCCGTTTCCTGATACCAAATCTGAAGTTTCAACCATGAGAAACATTTTTTTCCCTCGAAAGAAAAAAATAAAGAAAGTGGGATATAAAAAAATTCCGAAATCTATAACTTTACCTCTTTTTGAAATTAATTTCTATGATGAATCTGAAGGTTTGCAAAGACTTCAAATTTAAGTTGATTTTTCTTCATTCCTGCTTCTATTCTAGATTTCTTCATTTCTTCTGGTCAGTTTTGAAAAGTCTCATCAACTGGTTGCCAAATATTTTACTTTTCTGGTTTTCAAAAATCAATTTAAAATATTAACCCCGATTTTTCATTTCTGATCAGTTCGAAATATTAAACCCTTCTTCTCTGCGCCTTTGAAAATCCAAAAAAAGTTTCAACGTACCATTACTTCTCGAATGGAGCTCGACTTCCGGTGAAGTGACTCGAAAAAGATCCCCCGCTGAGTATAAACGTCTGGCCCGAGCGCCCAACTTCCTCCAGACAAGTCAATATTTGGTCCGTCTCAATGATACCCACTTGAAACTCATTGAACAATCAAAAATTGTATTCTCCGGAAACGAACAAGAGTAATCTCAACAGCTGGATTTGAAAAAGAAAACAAATGTATCAATGTCGAAATTCAAACACGTGAAAAACGAGCAGGCTAGTGCAGTTTTTTCAAACATCACCTAGGAAAATAATGCTGAAAAAAAGAAGTTTTCTATGCTGTAATTTCTAGAAATTTTACTGAGAAAATTTTTAAAGATTCGTTACCTTCAAAACCCGAGTTTTCTAAGATTTTTGAGATTGAAATTGCTCATTTTTAGTTGGAGGCGATCTGCACGACGTTGTACCAAGCACACGACGGGAATCGCCTCGTCGCACTTTTCCATCAGGTCGGCACCGCCGAAGCCTGGCAAAACGAAAGCATCCTTGTTGGTTCGTTCTTTTCATCTTGCATGCAGTTTAACATACCCTTCAAGACCCAAATTCGAAAATCTGAGTTTCAGCTTACATTTACGCTTTATACCACGCCGGCGACTTTGACCGCCTTTTCCACATTCTTCAGACGCGGCCTTTCAGCGCGAACCGCTTCAAGGAACTGCAAGACATCTGGTACAATGCTCGGTACAAAGAGGTACTCCTTAAATACGTCTACAAAATTGAGAAACTTTCTGTAGAATGAAATGAAACGAGGAAAAGAGCTCGGCGCCGTGGAGAAGTACCGCCTGAGGCGTAAATATCCTCCACCGAAGACGATTTGGGACGGAGAGGAGACCGTCTACAGCTTCAAGGAGAACAGCAGAAAGGTTAGATTAGACGAAGGAGTCTCAACATTTCTTCCGTGAGGGTTTCAGTATCTGAAGCAGTTCTACAAGCAGAACAAGTATCCGACGATGGAACAGAAACGCGAAATTTCCAGAATCACTCAACTACAACTTGTTCAGGTAGACTGAAAAGCTCCTTTTTCCAAATGAAGACTCGAGTTGCAGATTTCAAACTGGTTCAAAAACCGAAGACAACGCGACAAACCTGCCTCGAAGGGATCTCCAGACTCGAGTGGAAGCGGCAACTCGGAGCATTTTCGAAGTCTTCTGCAGCACAATCTTCAGGCCTACGCGCCGCTCAACATGAACATGAATGCCATGAACATGCATCCTTGCTAAGAAATCTCGGGAGTTTAGGATAGTTGAAACTGAATCGAGACTCTAACAAAAAGTTGAATATCTTATATAATTAGTGATTTATCTTTTTCCTTAGGAGCTTCCTAAGATTGGGCAAGATAACCCTTCGATTTTCGAGATGATATGTCAATCTGCATGACAAAAATGAATTGAGACTACTGATTCTCCGTTCTCTGTAGTGCAACTATCTGGTTAGACAACTATACTCCCATTTCAGCTTTCAAATATCTAGATTCTCCTCAATCAAATGTGTTCTCATGAAATTCCAGGTTCTGTACAGAGTAGATGTCACTGAATTATTGTTGTTTTTCTCAATTTCTTTTTTTATTCAAGATTAAAATTCTCCATTGACACCCAATCGTTATTGGCATTTTCTGTACACTTCTCATTTTCCATCGGTGAACGAAAACTCCATCATCGCCGATATCTTGATTTGGAAGTTCTACAAAGACCTTTCCTTTGAACTCTCTCTCTCCCCAATCGTAAGCCCCATAAAAAATTTCAAGCCAGCGGTGAAAAAACTACAATTATTGATCTCTATTTTTAAAGACTTAGTTAAACCCAGTTTTATGCCCTCGCCATTTCCTTTGATTCCCATTTGACATGTGAGTACTTTTTGTGAGAAATGAATGAAGTAAAATTGAATAGTTTCAACTCTGAAGATTCACAACGGTGCTCCATACAAAACGGGAGTGTCACGTATCCTCGCCGACTCTTTGGGTCAGTTTCAACGGTAAACAAACAACTCAAAGTCCTTACCTCCGCGCTTTTTTCCGATTCCATTTCGCTCTTTTGGAGCATCTATCGAATAACAAAAAGATCATCTTCGGTTCATTTTCGCCGCGAACTCGTCAGTCTTTCAGGAATTATACATTTATTTTTTTTTTTTTTGAAATGGTACTACTGATCTTTCTGATGTTTCATCAAATTCCGGAGACAAATAGTTCGGATTATTGCAAAGATTTGTCGCCCGACTGTGTTCAACTGGCTAGTTGGTGCAGGTCCACGGACCAAATCGAACAAAAGCTCATGAAAATGAGTTGCCGAGCCACCTGCAACGCTTGTCAATCACCTGTCGGTCAGTTTGAAGCTTGAAAGTCTCAGAAACTTCGAGTGAAACACCTTCAAAGTTTCAACATGGTTCGATTCTTATAAGGAAATTATAAACTTTATTTTTTTCGGCCTTGCTAAAAGTTGAATTTCATAATAGAATTCAAGAACAACCATCTGTTTTTTGCACTTGTTTTTATTATTCTCGTCGAGTTGATAAGAGTAATAAAAACCTGAAATTTGCTATCTTCATAGTTTTTTATTTGGAAATCTCTATTCCAGATGAAAATCGATGGAAAACAACTGCTGCGCCAAAGGCTCTCCTGTGTGTGGATGAAGCCGAGGACTGCGACGAAAGACGTCATTTTTGCCGATTGGCCCATTACCGTCGGATGATGACCGTCCAGTAGGTCTGTCTTATCTGCAGAGTCAATGAATCAAGTTTTCATATGTGGCAAGACATGCAATCTTTGCATAAAGAAAAGGCAATTACCCAAGATAGATGAAGAATGGGAAGAAAGTTCAAAAGAAATCGAAGAGGAGCAAATCGAAAGAAGAGAAGAAGGAGTTATGAGATTCCGTTCGAGTGAGTTTTGTCAGAGAAATCTTTTATTATCCTTTACCTTTTTGTAAAACTGTACCACTTTGTATCCAATTCTGACATCCAGGACTGCGTCCGAGCACCATAGAAGATCTGAAAGCGACCGGAATTCTCGAAGAATTGGTGGATCTGCTTCAATCGAAAGAAGAAAATATGTTAACGGTGAGACTTAGTTTTATTGCAATGTGATTGCGAAAAACATGTCTGAAAGAGAGATTACAGACATGTGTGGACCAAGCATCCGATTGTCAAAGCAAAGCGGAACTTTGTCACCACAAAACCTACGCCAAACTCGTGATGAAGCTGTGCGCGAAGACGTGCAATCTCTGTTCCGTAGGTAAAAGTGGAGGCAACGCGGCTGAGTGCAATTCAAGCCATTAATATTTCATCTCGTACTTTTATTGTATTCCTTGAAAGTATTTCACAACGGGAGCCTCTGATCAATGAAATAAATAGTAGTCTTGAAGAGACCTCCGAGCGAAATGAAACTTCAATTCAATTTACAGCTTATCTTGTCTATTTTTGGTTTTGAAGAGATTAATTTTCACCGATTTCACTGAAAACAAGTTTATTCAATCCTGATTAAACTTCGAAAATTTAACAAATAAAAACAGAAAATCGATGCTATTAAGACTAATCAACAACCTACGAAAAGGCCTATTCCTTGAGTTCTCCACAATCCGCAATCGTGACCGTCTTGCTTGGAGCGCCGCTTCTGGAGCCGACTTTCTCGATTTTCTTCACCAAAGACATGCCATCAGTAACCTGTCCGAAAACGACGTGTCCTCCGTCGAGCCTGAAGGAATTCCCACTGTACCTCAACCATCCGTTATTTATTACCAATCGGTCTTGACGGTGCAAATGAAAAACTGAGATCCGTTGGTTCCAGGACCGGCGTTGGCCATGGAGACAACTCCGGGTCCCGTGTGAGTCAGTTTGAAGTTCTCATCCTGTAAAAACTTTGTGATAAGTGAAAAAAGAAGGAAAACCTCGAATTTGTGACCGTAAATTGATTCGCCACCAGTGCCATTATGACGGGTGAAGTCGCCTCCCTGAATTTTCGATTTTTTTCAAAAGTTTTTTTCGAATTCATGAAGAAAGGAAACCTGGATCATGAACTCCGGAATGATGCGGTGGAACCGCGAGCCTTTGAAATGCAAAGGGACGCCGCTTTGTCCAACACCTTTCTCGCCTGTGCAAAGAGCTCGGAAGTTCTCTGCCGTCTTCGGAACAACGTCGTTGAAAAGCTGAGAAGATAACAAATGACACAAGTCAATGATTAGCCTCAATAAGTTGACATAAGCTTGAAAAAAAATTCGTTATATTCCAATACTTCAAAGACGTATGAAAACATGTATTATATAACCGACTTCAATGGTGATTCTTCCGGCCGGCTCGTCTGCGATGTTTACATCGAAAAACACCTGAAAAATATGATAAGACAAGTCGAACTGAGAAATGAACGGAAAACCTTGGTCCGAGCTTTTTCGGAGGCCATACGTACGGCGCTGGTGAAAAGAGAGGCTCCACGAGTGAGGAATTTCATGACTAAAACTAGAAAAGAGGTCAAAATGTGAATGACTGTCAACTAAGGTATTGAGCTATGCTACATTTAAAATAAACGTAAGGAAAATCACGATAAATTAAAATCTTCATCAACAAAAATAACGTTCAATAGAAATAACACTGTAACAAGAAAAAGTGTAAGGACAATATGGATTTAAGAAGATCTTTTGGCGAGGATCAACAAGTTTTCCGGAGAAACACGGGCTGGGACGTATTCAATAACGGTGGTTTCGTATCCGACGCTTCTCAGCCATTCCGCTCGTCCCATCTCCAGAATTGCTTTGGCCCGACGTCCCAACTCCGTAGGAGGATAGCGGTCGCGCCTTCAAAAAAGGAATATTTCCACTTTTCAATGTTTTCCGTCAAACATATTTGCCAGCAGAACTTTTAGGAACAGAACAATTTCTCACATTATTTCCTGCGATTGGAGGGAAAAAATTGAAAACATGAAGGCTGTTTTTTTATTGAAGGAAACTTTAACACTAAAAAACCTTACTGCCTTTGTGACAGTTTTTTTTGAAGGTTATTACCATGTCGATTGGCCGATTTCTCTCGCTTCAGAACAACGTAAATCCGCTCCATTTGTAGCAAAGGAAGCGATGTACCTCAAGGCTGAAAAAGCTTCCAAACTGTCCAACTGCCAATTTCCCAGAAACTCTCTTCCAATATACTGAAAAATGATAGGGAATGGTAATTTTCACAAAATCAAAACCTCATCATAGCGAGATTTATGATGGCAGCAAGGAACAAGTAACGCTGAGTCGAAGCGAATCCCTTCTGAAACAAGAATAAAGCAAAATTTTTGAATATTTCCTTGAACTAGGCCATTCAGTAGTAAGATCTTTTTTTATATTTTGAAGAAAAACTTTGGCCCTTGTCAAAAGAGAACTGCAAAGTAGTATATGGAGTGGATTGAAGAATTACTGGAAGAAGCGTTGAGAAGACACCGGATACCGGCATCGGTGGCACTGCCGCAGAAATGTTTGCACACGGCGAACAGCTTCTCGGCGTCCTGAAACATAAAACTTATAAAACTTGGAAGATATGGAAAGAAACTTGGAGCCAATCGACTTTTCTGAGGTCCAAGTGTTCAATGGAGCAACGTAGTCGTTTCATTCTGAGCTCCGGGGTTTCCTTAAAAAACTTCACCATAAAAGTTATTTTGAAAACTTACTGAGAGGGCGCGATTATCCCACTTGTTCCTCGCCCCACTGCGGTCCATCAACAAGTAGGAGCCTTCTGGAGCAGCTTTGGCGATCCAATAAGCGAGTTGTGCCTAGGAATCTTGATAAAGATAGTTTATCAAAAAAGAAAACCTACTTTTCCAGCTCCGAGTTCGAACATACACGTCGATGGTTCCGTTGGTAAGAGGTTGTTCTCAAGCAAATGACCTTCAAACAACAAATACAACAACGTGTATTAAATCTAAAGTAAAAAAAAAACCAACCCACTATGGAACTGATCTGTACCAAATGTTTTCGCTTAGCTTGACCGAGTTCGGGATTTTCTTCAAGAAATTTCTGAAGAATGATTTTTTGAGAGTTTACGCCAATAGAAAAAAGAACCTCAACGAGCGAATGAGTCTTCTGAGAAACAACCAATCGAGACTGGACAAAATCTTCATAGCATGTCCACACCTTTTCAACAATTTCCAGTATTTCTTCCTGATTCAAAAAAGTTTTCCGAATAGTTTGGCTTGTTCGAAACCTCAGAAGGACGCCGATCAATCTTTTCGTTATGTCTCGTCTCTCCTTTGATGGCGTTGGAATCCGGATCTATCCATTCTTCAGCGCCGATTCTCGCGTTGCAACGCTTCAAATGAGCTTCTAGCTCGCTTTTCAACACTGTGTGTTTCGTGTCGATGGGGCAAGGTATGCGGTCCTGAAGAAAGAAAACTAATCAGAAAAAATCAGCCGAAATATGTAGCTTGAACTTATATAAAAAATTTTCAATTTAGTTTATACTTTCCAATGAAAACCTTTTTGATGATTCAGCCTTGAAATGGAGACTCGAACCTCGTTCTGAACGTCGAAGATGGCGTGCTCGCCACAGAACAACTTTCCGGACTTGACGAGCATCCGACAACGGCGCTTCTTCTTCGGCAGAACGTAGGTGCAGCGACCATCATCGGCTATCATTCGATTTGTTTCTCAGCCTATCACAACTTTTTGTTGCTCTGATGATAGAAACATAAAGTTGTATGGGAACAACAATATATTGTTTTCTTCATATACTTCATAGAGATTCACACTCCAGTACTGTCGAAAAAAAAGAAAAGAAAATTGAACGTTTTACGACTACAGCTTGACCGGGAAAATTTGCAAATACGCAAGATGAAGAATCGAATCAATACAAATAAAGTAACTACAAATATGACGAAAATACATTCTCTATGCAAGTTTGATGGTGAATTCTTAGCAAGACTATGAGATTAAAAGTGATAGAGGTGATACCCAAAGAAGAGTATAGCACGAAAAGCAGAGCGAGAAGAAGGTTAAGATTGAAGGAGAGAAGGCGCTCGAAACCAGCATGATGATACATATGAACAACCATTTATGAAGCGGCAGTAAATAAAGAAAAATTATCAATGGGTTTTACTTGAGTTACATTGAACATTTTTATCGTATGAAATCCATAAATATGTCTCCGATCGCTGAAAAATTAGAAGAAAACCGAAGTCAGCAATGAATCATCTTTACTAGCCACTCAAATTACACTCTATAGACATAAAGGTCCTGCGGGGAAAAAGTCTTCAAAGTTTTCGAATTTTCCTTTTTTCACAACATTCGAAGAGACTAGTTGTTCTTTTTGTTTTTTTTTTTTTTTGAGTCTTTTTGAGGCTACTCCATGAGCCTTAAAAATTGAAAACAAAGCTCATAACGACTTTTTCCACCTTTACCTTACAAATTGAAATAGAAAGAGAGCAAATGTTTTATAAATCGAGTTCTACTTCTTGGTCATCGAGTTGACGGCTGGCTTGCCTTGCAGAGAGTGAGACGGAGGTCTGGTCACCGTGAAACAGTAAATTCCCATGTGGTCGCAGATCTGGCGGGTGATGAAGAAGCAGTAGATGAGCAACGACGTGTAGGCGTACACCGTAGTCCAAATCAGAAGCTTCTTTTCGGTAAAGATAAAGTCGTAGTACCTGAGAGTGTAATGGAGTTTTTTTTTTGCAGAAAGCTTGGATAATATATTAAAAAAACTGTGAACTTTTTTTCCATGTTCTTCTTATTCTTGCTCTAATTTCCAATAGAATAATTGGAAAAATCGTGAATAAAACCTTTTTTTGTTGCAAACTTCGTTGAAATTGTCTCTTCAAAAATTCATAGGGAATCGTATCATATCAAAAAATTCAAAAAATCTCTTGTTTGTACTTCTACCCATCAGACTGCACCGCCAATTACGAAAAAGTTAACAGAATCAAATACAAATCCAAGAAATGTTTGAATAGTTTTTAATATTTCTTCAAAAATTCGAACTCACTGGTTCAATATAAGAACGATTGGACTAAGATAGATCCAGTCCCATAAGCCCAGCTCGCTGCGGCTCATATGAGCAACAATCAGACGGTTTGTGGCCTTAAATGTATTCAATTTATTATTTGAAAATTGTTTTCACCCTGAAAACAAAATAATAAACAGAAAAAAACTATGAAAGTTGACTTGAAGCGGCATGAAAAAAGCTGAACATTTCACAAAAAGTACAATCATACCTGGGCAAATAAAGAACCCAGTGAACTGAGAGAAGATGCCGTGAAAAACGGTAAAAAGGAAGAAATAAAATTAACTTTCAACCTGAGGAAAGTAGTGTTGACTTTAAATTGAGAAAACTTGGGAGGCAATAGCGGCTCTTTAGATTAGCCTGCCCATGTAAGCATACATAAGTTAAAAACTCCGTTTCTTTGTTTTATTATACTATACAAAACCCCCGTGAAGAAACTTTTGATCGGCTTTCCCAAACAGATAACCAAGAAAAGGAAAAAAAAAACCGAAACTATGGTTTATTAAAAAACATTACTGGTGTGAATCCCTATTTGTGACCGTAATCTAATATTTATTTGAGTATACGAAACAATTCCCATACCTTTGCAGCAACTGCTCCAAACTGAAGGACGAAAATTGAAATGTTTTCCTCGAAAACTTTCGAATTCGATTTACTGTAGACCATGCAGTAGGGCACAACGACGGCCAGCAGGGGGAACATCGGGAAAAGTACAGAAGTTCCCGCAACTAAAAAATTCAGAATTCATTAAAAACCTTATTCATGAAAAGCGTGAATATGTTCAAATTGCGTAATTCAATTACCCCAAAACGTTTAAAAATTCAAAATCTTTGCTTTTTCGAAGTCGGAAAATTTATTCGAAATTCAAATCAACAAACTATGTTCTTGCCGTTCTAGAGAAAAATCCGTTCTCATTTTTTAAGCTGCACCGGTATTTCATCTTAATTGACCCATGGGCTTTCGACGTGGAAGATGTTTCCATTGCCATTTCCTATTGAACTTTTCACAATGACCGGTTGTAAACTTGATCTTGTTCATTGATCATACTTTGAGACCACAAAATTTCGACATTTCGTTTAACGATCATTGAAGTGACCTGTCGCTAAAAGTTCATTCGATCATCTTTAAACGGTCTTTTTGGAGGGCTCTACTCCTAACCATGAGATTATGCTTCATAAACATAAGCTGGTGAAAACAAGCTGTGCGCTTTTCCTACATGTATAATAAGTTGATCGTCGGAACGCTCATATCTCGGCTACTAATATCAATATAATGACGAAATGATCTATGAAAAGTTCTTAAACAATAATAGTTTCGCGAACCGTCGGAACTCTTTCATCAAATAATCCATAACTCAGCAGACTCGTCTCTGAAGACTGAATATGTGTGAATAAATGTGTAAGCAAAAAATGAAAAAGAATTATTTTGGTTATCAGAAAAAATTCCAGCCTTAGATTATGTGAATTAATTTTCATAAAACATTCAAGCTATTAGGAAAACCTGTAGATCCATTGCGCCCGACTCCGCCGTTAATGATAACGGACAGATAACCCAACGTCTGGTAAGCCGTTCCCAAAAAGGAGATCGTTACGAGCAAATGCTTCAACGAATACCCGAGTATTCCTGAACCTCAACGTTTATTAAGAAATGTTTCGAGATTGAAAAACCAACCAATACTCCATATTTGGGGTCCAAATATCGCCGTTGTCAACAACATGGCGATTACACTCATTTGAGCTTCCGTGACGTCAAATTTGGAAAATCTGAAATCCGTGGATCATTCTAAATCTAGAAATTATAAAGAGTTATGGAAAAAAAGAAGGCCAAAAAAAAATTTGGGGTAACTTTTTTTCTAATATGGAGTCGAGTCAGGTTGGATGTTTCAAACCACCAACCTGAGCTGCCCAATGCAATAAGTGCTCCAATGAGCCGAGTAGAAAACCGAGGCCGAAAAAGCGCAAATCACGAAAACGGCGGCACGGACTGTGCCTAGCTGCAGTGCGTAGCAAACGTTTAAAGTTACGAAAACCTTGAAAAAAAAAATAGTTTGTCAGAAAAAAAATGGGAAAAAACCTGAGAGGCCGAATCACAGCCGTGATCGAAAAGTTCTCCCAGTGGCGAGGATGCACCGATCCGACGGGCCTGCTTCCCATCTTCAACATCGTTAATTATCAAGGTTTCCCAACTTTTATACAGTATAAGGCTTCCATTTGAAGAAAAACTCAGCATTATCGGACTACGAAAAAACATTGACTTAACATTTTTTTCTCAGAGAATTTTCTAATTTAAATGTGATGAAAATTTAGATTTTCATTAGTCCACTTTTTTGAGATGCAAAGTGTTAATGGGACCCACATTTATTATTGATTCGTATTTTTCTTAATTATGATTTCATTTCTCTCAAACGAACCTGTCGCGTCCAGCGTTTGATAGGCGAAAAGTCCAAAAGCAGACAATAGATAGACCCAGCTGGGTGCTGTTTCCGTCGCAGTTGGACAATAATATGACAAAATCAAAACTGTGAAAAGATTGACAATGAGACCTAGAAAGTATTTATATTTTATAAAACCTATTCCACAAAATTCTTACCGATCAGAGTGATAAGATTCGGTGCAAGCCAGAGAGGATAAAACTTGACGACAAACTCCCAAAAATCTTTCATGAAAAGGTTGTTGAGCCAAGAAGTGTCAGACGCAGAATATACGTGATCATCGAGCCGCTGGAGCTCGGCTTGGGTTAATAAGCAGTCGTTCTGAAGAAGAAAAACAATTATTTTTGGGAGAGATGGTTTCAAAAAGAAAAAAAAAACCTTTAGGTAGTGATCGATAGTCTTCCAACGAATGAACATGTCAGAGTCCTCGAACTGTTGCCGAGGGTGATAAGAGTACCTAAAGGAAAATTGATAGTATAAAAAAAAAGAAAACTGATTGAAGGAATGATACCTCTCCGTTTTACTGCCGGAATTCCTGTTTTTAGAGCGAGACCTTGTTGTCCCCATTGCGAATACCGTGTGAAGAGCGTTCTAATGGTGTATTGAAGTCCCTTATCTGAAAAAAATGTAAAAATCAAAATGTTTGATTAAGAGAACGAAAAAAACAAATCAGGCTCGAAATATGGTCCAATACGTACATGCAAACTTTTTTTAAATTTATAAAAAAAGAACGATTTATCTTTTCAGTTGCTTCTGAGCATCTTTTTGTTAAAGGATGCGAAAAAGATTCAAAAATGAAACGAAAAATTTTTCCTGACCATTACAACGTTTTGCTTAGCTTCTGAGTAGCTTTTTAAAGTTACGTTTTGCCCGAGGCCCGGATTTCTGTTCTGAAAAAAGCAAAAACTTTTTCGCTGCTTTTGAAGAAGTTTTTGAGAGAAGAACACTACCGAGTCAAAGACTCATTTAGTTAAAAGGAGCTAAATAGCGTCCATCAAGCACTCAGCGCAGTATTTTTCGTACTGAAAAGCCTTGAAAACGCAAAAGCTAAATTAAAAAAACCACACAAAAAATGGCGAAATTAAAGTATCAATGGAGCGCGTTTGCAGACACTAGACCACCGTGGGGCCAAGCTTGTGCGTCAGGCCGAGCGGCCCGGGCTTTGGGCCTCGTTCTCAGGAAAAAGCCCGCGTGGGCTCGGGCCAGGCCGCGCTTTGAAAAAAAATTTAAAATTTCATTTAAAAAATTTTCACCGAAATGTTACTTTTACTTTTGAAATCATAGTTTCCGTTAAAATTGAAGTGAAAAAATGAGCAAAAACGTAATTTTTGTCGTAAAAAAACTTGATTTCCGACTAGAAAAAAATTGCGCGTTTTGGGCCGGGCGGGCCATTTTTTCTTGAGGCCCCGCTGAGGCCGAGCCGGGCTTACGAAATGGTCGGGGGACCGGGAGGGTGACGGGCCGCTCCTCGCACAAGCCTGCGCAAGGTCAAGACTTCTCGTAAATTATGATGCTTAGGGTGTAAGCATACCGAGACGCACTATCGCATACTCGAAATTTTTTTTTAATTTGAGAATTTGCAATTTTAGGATAGTAGTTCCTGGAATGTTCGAAATTTGTCAGTTTGAAGAATAGGATGTGAGAAAAACATTCACCTACGTTAAAAAAAAACATTTAGGAACGATTTCGAAAGGGGAAAACTCTAAACTACTGATTACAGAATAAAAACAAACAATATTATAAAAATGAATCAGCTCCCATTGAATAAGCAATTATAAATACGAAAAATATTGAAATGAGGAAAGTTCGAGAGCAAGTGAAAAAAAGAAACATTTTATATACCTTGGAAACCTAGCTTCAGAAAAACGAATAATGGATAGAAAGCAGAAATTTTTAAAAAAAACCTCGTTTGGCCAAATGTTTGTTTAAATACGAAAAACCATCAAAAAACTGGAAAAAAAGTATAAGTTAGATGATTCACATAACAAAATCTTTAAACTGCATCAGCAAATTCAATTTGGCTCTAATTTACACGAAACCGGTTTCAAACTACGTCAAAGGAATGGGATAATAACTTGTACTTATAAAGAAAAACGTCAAACGAAGTATTAATAAAGTAAAAAAAGCCAAAAAAATATGCTTTTTTTCAATTAACTCTTTCCGTAAATCTTGAGAGAAACTTTAAAGGATGGGTCTTGTAATCCAAAAAAACGGGTCCTGAACAGATCAAAAACTACTTTAGTCGTACGTTTCAGGAAGGCCCCCCACCCAATTTTGTGGACTATATCGCAGCGAGAGTAATGCTATATCGCGGGGGAGCCGCGAGCAATATCGCTCGCCTCTCGCTGCGACCTCGCAAACGTCTTGCGCTACATCGCTCTCGGAAAAATTTTTCTTCAAAAATTTTTTTTTCTTGAATTTGATTGATTTCATCATAAAAGTCAAAAATAAAGCAAAAAAAATGTTTTTCAAATTTCAAATTTTTGAGAGGGAGCGATATGGCAGCGAGACTTTGACGAGGTCGCAGCGGGAAGTTGGTATTTTTTTTTCTGCATTTTCTTTCACTGACAACACCCAACATAATTGCCGATATCGCAGCGGGCCGCAGGCGATATAGCCAAGGCTTCTTGCTGCGATATCGTCAACATGTCGCTGCGACCTCGTCAAAGTCTCGCTGCCATATCGCTCCCTCTCAGAAAATTTGAAATTTTAAAAAACTTTTTTTTATTTGCTTTATTTTTTTGATTTTTTTATGATGGGGCGCGCCGTAGCGCAACAGGTTGTGTGCCTGTCTACGGTCCACAGGATCACAAGTTCGATCCCCGCCCCGACCCAACCAAGGGGTTTAAGAAATGTTGGTAGTGGGAAACCACGACTTCAAAATCCCCAGCCGTCACACACAAGGACGGATATGTCACTCGAGCCAGTCCACTCAGGCCGGGCTTCGAAAGAAATATGATGATAAAATACGGATTCAGATTGAGAAACAATATTTGGCGATTCCTTAATTTTCTTTGGGTGTTTTTGTTCGCCCTTATGATTTCGCAGAAACAAAACTCTGATTGAAGCAGATATGTCCGGTTATCTCACACAAAATGGGTCTGATGACCGCACCATCGAGTGCACGGCTACTGTAAACAACTTTCTGTATACACCGATTCAAAGAATAATTCAAAATTAAAAGGCGGGAAAATAAAAACGCGTTTTTTTTTTCTTAATTACTCATATCTGTTCTTTTTTTAAGTAGACCGTTCGATTTGCAATGAAAAGCTCTACAAGGTAGTGCTTCTACCTCAATCTCCGTTTTTTTAATGCCCATATGAATTTAAAGGCTTTTTCCCGTTTTCCATTTTTTTCACGTTTATGAATAAATATTTTTTTAAAAAAATGTTTACTTTTTGTATTTCTCGTTTTTCGAAATCAGGTAATAAGTTGGCGCCAAGGAGAGCGGCAGGCGATTTAACGGAATCACGCGTTTTTCACTTTTTTTTTTCTCATTCAAGTGGTTGTTTTTTTTTTCAAAAAAATCTTAAGATAAAAGAAAAATTCGTTCCATGAAAGGTGTTAGTTTAAATTAACTGCCGTTTTAGTTTTCCTTATTTATTCGGCATTCGCAGTTTTGCGACGTTTTCGTAATTTTTTTAAATGGGCGTGTTTGATATGTGTATACGTGGTTTTCATTTTTATTTTGACCTGTTAGCGCACCTCTGTCATTGTTGACCTATTGATCTTTCCGTTAGAGGGAATCCTTGAGACTTCTCATTCAAGAAACAACTAGAATTTGGCTTTTTTGGACGTGGGAGGCTATTCAAGAATTTTCCCCTCTCTTCAGTTGTGAATATGGTCTGTTCAGATTTTGAATGTCAAGCAGCTAACTCCACCCCAAGGCTACAATATCTTTCGCGTCAATGTTTTATCTACATGTGCCAATGGCCCTTTAATAAGGCTGCTTTTTGACCTCTTTTTCTATCTTTTAGATCGAAAAAGATCAAAATTAGTCCCGCGCGATGAAACATCGACGCGAAAAAGTACCGTCTCAACAGGGGCGGAGTTAGCTGGTTGACATTCAAAATCTGAACAGACTATAAGTTTCATCTCTTATTTTCAAATTATAAGTTTCTCCACTGGGCCTTACTCTTAAATTTTTGATTTATATTCAACTAGAGTTATGTCTAACATTATTTTTCCAGCAATGACGCCAGGGGCGCTGAAGGTTGTTAAAACCTTATTTGATCACCTAATTAGTCCTGAGAGCAATGTCGAAACATTGCAGTGTTTTGCATTGTAAGTTTTTCGTCTTTTAACATATTTTTAATAATGAGATGCTCGTTTTTAAGATGATATATTCGTTTTTATTTTGCAGACAATGCCAAATTTTCGCGGATCGCGGCGAATATCTTGCTGTTCGCGACAAAGCTTTCGCAGCTTTTTCGCGAATGCTCGCATAAGGAAGGAAATGAAGGAAAGTGATGCGCTACTGCATCTTCTGAAAGTCGTGGTGAGGAACAATTATTATTGGATAGTAAGAAATGAAATTGTTTAAAGGCGAAAAATAGCCGATCTGGGTCCACGGGAGTGTACGAGACGCTGAACAGTCAAGGTCGCTTCTCGAACTCGCTGCAGTTCCACCTCCAATGGGCTGAATCACACGGCCAAAAAAAAGACCTGGAAGGCTTCAAAAAGGTTTTTCCTGTTCAGATTTGAAGGTTAAAATCGTTTTTATAGGTATTGGATTTGGCTCGAGATCGCCTCGTCGGCAAACAATCGCTCGAAAATTTGGAATCCGGATTCAGGTCAGTTTCTTTATTCTTGATTAATAAATGGAGTTTTGCAGGGATTTGGCCGACGAATACTTCCCCGGCGACGTCGACAAACTTTTCAGTCAAATGGACGACACGAACATCATTTTTAAGCCGCTGACACCGAACGGAAATCAAAGAAAAGGTTGGAAGTTATTTGTTTGCCTTAAGAATGTCTTTTTTTCTCATCAGGTCGACGTCGATCCTCGGTGGCGATTCTCCAGAGGGCAGCTGCCTCTTCGAATCCGACGGCCGTCGTCTCTTCTTTCGGCCCAAAGAGTCAGTTTTTGGTATTCTTTCTTTTTTAAAACTTGGTTTGGGGTTTCTCAAAAACACATGGGCCAGTAGATGAAGTTTCATGTTGATTATCGATCTAATATCGGAAATGTGTGTGAAATTATCCCAGCTCGATAATAAAGAATTCGATTTGTCGGTGGTATGAAAAAAACACCAGCGAAAATTCAAACGGCGATTTTTCCGATTTTTTCATATCGCTAGGGAACTTTCCGACGGCCACCTTTCCGACGAAATTTTTTCCGACTTTTTTTCTCGATAAAATCTTCGTTCTAAAACTTCCTATATAAAGTAAGTAGTTGGTTCATGATTAAAACACAAAGAAATAGGAAAAAAATGTTTATAGATGTTTTATAAACATAAAAACATAAGGGAAAAAAGTCGGAAAAAGATTCGTCGGAAAGGTGGCCGTCAGAAAGTTCACTAGCGATATGAAAAAATCGGAAAAGTCGTTTTTTGAAATTTCGCTGGTGTTTTTTTCATACCACCGATTTGTAATAAGGCCTGCTCTCATTTAAGAATTTTTGCGATTTTTTATTAAATATTTTTGCAAATTTGTTGAAGATTATCCCTCGAAAAAATTTCTAATGCGGAAAATTTGAACAAAAGAAGTAGGCATATAAAGGTTTTTCTTTCAAATCCAATCCGTTTTTTTCTTAATATAATATTTTAACATAATTTTGAGCCACCTTGTGAATTTTCATTTTCAGCTAGAACCTTGATCCGACCAGAGTTCATCTGCAGATCAGACGGCTATTTCGGAATTTCAGTGGAGGAATTTCGAGCCGCACAGTTATCCGATGACCAGGTACCACCAGAAATTTCATCTCAAAATAGATTTTTTGTTTTTGTTTTAATATGACATTTAGATCTCAATAAAATTTTCCAGGGAGGAGATATGGACATTACTGAGATGGAAGAAGCTCATAATCCACAGAACGGCCAGACGAGACGCGATTCTGGAATCGTCAAGAATATTTTCGAGTATTATCTCTACTTTTCGGGCTTTTTTATCCTTTTTTCTCAGGCCCTTAAAGACGAATAGCGATGCAGTCATCCAGAGAATGAAGGAGATCGAAGTTTGTCTTTTTTTAAAAATTATTTTCACTTTTTAAACGTTTATCGTTGGCTTTTCCAAAGACGCGTGTGTTGTTCATGACCTAAAAATAGAATCGGAAACGAATTTTTCACCAAGAAACCTCTATTAAATTTATCTATGCTTATCTTATATTTTCGAACAAATGAACATAAATTGCTGAGAACGGCTAAAATATGTTAGTTTCAGAAAGAAAACCGACGACGCAAGATGTCGCAAATCGAGGAAGAACAAAAATCGGAGAAAACTTTGGACGACTCTCTTCTGGACAGTACCGACGACAAAAGACCGCGTTTCCACTCGCCGTTGGCTCCTGCCAAAACAAAATCGAACGGTTTGAAAACAAAATTCATTTTTTTGATTAGCATAGTCTTGCAGTTTCGAGCCTCAGGGATAAGACGATCGTGTTGTCCTCGGACTCGGCGAGATCTGGGACTGCTGCGGACAGGACGCTGGGCGTCGATTCCAGTTTCACGCTCGAAAATGTTCATTCGGCGCAGAAGGGCGGTTTATCCACGAAAGAAGGTCGCAAAACGGAGAGAACTTCAATATTTTCGTTTATTTTTTTAGGTCGAACCTCTTCGCAAAAGCCGGAGATTTCGTTTACTGAGACGGCCTACAACGAAGCGCGTGCCCTTTTCTCCGACACTGTTCATCTCAAAGGCACGATTCTTTCAAATTTTTAGTGCTAGTAAAAAAAAAACTATTTTTCGGATCTCTTTTTTGGATCTCTTCATTTTTCGAGAATTTCTTTAGGAGGCATGGCTTTTTGTCCTTCGAGTATAAAAAATTCTTTCTTATTCATGCTGCTATTTAAATATCACATATTGTAGACGGACGGTTCTTTCTATCAGACCTACCAGACGGTTCTTAATGCGAAAATTTGAAAAAAAAAACCATTACAAGTCGTGTTATATAAGGTCTATTTGACAATGATGATAAGGACTCCCTTCAGACGGTTCGGGAGGTGAGGAGGATTTGACGACGGCCGTCAAGGGCAAATCGCCGCCCGTCGAGGAATCGTTCGACGTGCTCGACGATCCAGATCCAACGATGCTCGTTCATTCGGAGAAGCGTCAGTCCGACGTGTCAGTGTCCTCTTAGTTTCTCCTCAATTCGACCGATCTCTAGGCCATCTTCTGGTTTGAACGTCGTCTTTGACCTCGAGTCTTCTGAAGAGTCTCCTCTTCTGAAGAGCGACGAAATCGAACAAATCGCCTCGCCAATTGAACCTCATCCACGTCAGTTTTCGTTTCAAGATTTCTTTTTGAAATTCAAAATGTATACTCCGAAGCAAAAGAAAAACTTAGCTTCAGCATTTTTTTTTTCAAGTATTTTTCAGCCTTTGTAAAAATAAAAACTTTCAGACGGCGCCGATGAGAGCATTATCATGGGAAATTTTTTCCGAAGGTCTGGAATCTCGGCTGTAACCTCAACGCCAATGGAATCTGGTATATTCGTTTCGGCAGAAGGTTATTTCTTTTCCTTTACTATGAAGATCATCTACATTCGTTTCAGAATTCTTCGGGAATTCGCATGCAAACGATGTTTTAAAAAGCAAGCATGAAGACGACGACGGCGTCTTCGCGATGCCAAAGATGCCCCCAGCTGGCTTCAGAGTTCGTTTTTCTTTCTTCTCAAAAGTATTCAATCGCTTATCTTTGCTTCAAAATATCAAAAAAAAATATATATAGTTACGTCCTGATGTTTAATATTACTTTTTTTTTGCCAAAACTTTTTCCATGGGGCTGGAGCGTATTTTCATACCTATTTTACACGATTTTCATGAGCCATTTTCTTCTTGCGATTTAATCTATTACTGTACTTGCCTCCATAATAAAACCGTAATAAAATATTCCTTTTTTGAAAAAGCTGATTATTTTTTTCTTTCAGAGACAATCCTTGGCCAACACCACCAGAACGAACACCGCTCTCAGTGTCAAGAACGAATCGCAGAACAAGGGCAAAAGTTCGAGTGCACTGGAAAAGGACATTTCGGTCTCTGACGTCCTGGAAAGCGACATCCGGCGACTGAGCATCGGTGGCGTCGAAAATATCTCTCAGAAGACCGCCGAAGTCGATCTCAATGAAACGACCGGCGAATCGAAACGTCGCAGAAGGTTTTTGGAAGGTCTGAAAGGTGTTCTGAAATAACTTGATTGCAGTGAGGTCATCACCGGCATGAATCCCTGGGATCCGAGCATCCGGAAGAAGATCATGGCCTCCGTCCGACCGCCAACTCATCTCCATGAATTCGAAGTACGAAAACCGTGACTTTTTTTTTGGGAAGTGGTATTGACAGCTCTCTAGTTGGCGCGGAAAATAGAAACGAGTTTTTTTTGTTCAAGCCTCTTTCGGTATATGAGATAATCGATTAATAGCACACAAATGTGGAATAAAATTGTTTAGAATCATTAGCAGCTTTTATCACTAGCATTGTAATTGTAATAAAATGTTCAAGGGAATCTGTCCAAAAGTTCAAGCGATGCGCGATTTGACGGTCAGCGGAGAAAACGTGCAGATTCTGACGTTGATCGGACAAGGCGGCTACGCCAAGGTGTACAAGGGAAAGCTGGAGGACGACACTTGCATCGCCGTCAAGGTAGCATACTAGGGAACTAATCGTCGGAAACTCCCCTCGGTTTGCAGTACGAGGTTCCGTCATGCGCCTGGGAAGTCTACGCCTGCGACCAGATACGTCATCGGCTCCTGAAGAACGCCAACGCCGACCTCGTCAACATCTCCAACAATGCCGTCATGCAGGTCCCTCCTATCATTTTCTCTCCTCTGGACAGAAAAGTCTTCAGATCACGGAGGCCTACATCTACAAAAACGCGTCGTTGATTTTCAACGCTTTCCATGAATATGGTACCTTGCTGGTGAGTTTCCAGATTTTATGTTTTGGTTTTTAAAAATTAATTCGTGTTTCAGCTAGGTATTTTTTATTTGGAAGCTCTCACAGTATTTATTTTACTGAGAAGATACATTTGAAACTTCAGCGCTTTTCAAATATTGGATCTATCAGTTTTCAATTATTTCCTTGCACAGCTTACTGTTGTTTAGAAAGAATGATCGTGTTTAATTTCTTCCAATTTTTGGCAGAACTTCCAATTTTGCTATGTCAAAAGTTAGGAGCTTGTGGTCAAATTTAAAAGAAGGAAGTTGTTTTTGGAACTAACTGAAGTACTAAAGTTTACGAATCACAGGACCTGACGAACTCTGTGCACGATCCTCATTGGATGCACGTTCTGTTCGTTGCGATCCAGATGGCGCGAATCGTGCGTTCCGTCCACGGCACTATGATTGTCCACGGCGACATCAAACCCGACAACTTCATGATCACCAAGAAGTTGTTCAGCTCCTCGAAGCCCCTGAAAAACAAAGACTTACTCAGGATCGACGCGGAGTTGTCGTCGGCGGACGTCCTGGACGACTACGTCATCAAGCTCATCGACTGGGGCAGATCCATCGACCTCGCCTCCTTCCGAGACAGCACTTTCAAGGGTCGCGCAGGCACGGAGTGTTTCGACTGTCCGGAGATGATTGTCAGTTTTTGATCAGAGCAAAGAAATTAAGTATAATTTGTCTAATTCTCGATTAGACGAAAGCGCAATTTTCTTCAAAAAGACTGAAGAGCTTATGAAAAGTTATATCAATAATACTTATTGACAGATCAACGTAATCTTCGTATAATGGTAGATTGACCAGAAAATTTTCTGGTTTCAATCCAGAACTATTCAAATTACACAAGGTTTTTTTCAAAATTCTGGCGGATATTTTGACTTTTGCGGAATCAATCTGGACACGGCATCATGAAAATAAATTTTGATCTTCGCTGAATTTGGAAAAATGTAAACTTTGACGTAAGCTCTCAGAAGATTCAAAAAAGCAAGACTGAATGATCAAAATTATCGGAAGAGAAATAGAAGTAGAATGATCCATCTCAACGAGAAAGATCAAGATGATGCGCATATCACTTTGAAAATCTTTGGAAAACATCAAAGTAATTGCAGGACGGACGCCCTTGGACATACCAACCGGACTATTTCGGCTACATCGCCAGTGTTGTTCTTATCGCGACCGGAAAGTATGAAAGTCTGAAGGTGGACGGCTTCAGTCTGGGCGAATACAGACTTCCGGCTGTCATTAAAAGGTCGAAATCGTCTTTTTTTTATTTTTGTCTCTATCAATGTCCTTTCAAGACGTTTGGTTATTCGGGACATGCTAACCGAAATGATTCATCAGTTCCTCAACATCCCATCCTGCAACGAGTTGCCCAGCTGGGATGCTGTCATCGAGGTAAAAATTTTATAAAGGGGCTTATCTAGGCTGATTTGAAACGGAGAAACAGGCGTTTTCGAGTTTTATGATTTTTTTGAGATAAAAATGGACATCGAGCACAGATTTTGAGGATACTGTGATTAGAAGGTCTGAGCTAGGAGAAATTTCAAGATTCTTATCTCAGACAAAAAAATCTCGAGTTTCAACCAAAATTCCTCACAAAATTTATAACATTTATCTTCAGTTTTAAAAGAACCTCTGAGCCATTATTGCGCGTTCGTTCGGTGGAAAAAAAAATCAGAAAATCGAATTTACTTTTTCGAATCGGCTATTTCTTTGCATGCCGACGGATTCTACTCGGTTTTTCAGAAGATGGAGAGTTTCTGGCACGCGAATTTCACGGCGGTCGAATGGCGAAGCGTCGTCGGCAGGTTCAACGGCGCGATCAGCAGTTTCGCGACTCGCTGATCGCCTCAATTTTCAATTTGTAAATGGGTCCTATCCTCAAAGCGGGTTTTTGCCATTCGTAGCTCCCGATTTACAAATTGATTTCATTCATGTCAAATAAAATAAATTTTTCCTTTTTACAAGTGTTTTCTGTGACAATTTGGGCTTTAAACAATTTCTGTTTTATATTTTCGTACAATGTTAAGTCTGGGATCGAAGTTTTGAAAAGGTTGCGTTCAATTATTTTAGAAGATAATTTAAAGCGCTTTGTTTGAAGTTTTTCTGAACCTCTTTAAAATACCAATAAAAAGGAAAAAAGGGGGAAAGTTTTTAGCGCCTGTTTGAAATTTTAAGGAAACTGCTTGAGTGTATCCTAGGATCCTCCTGGTTCCATGGAACCAAAACACTAGAAAAAATGAAAGGCTCGATAAAGGGACTTTTTTGCTGCCTATCTGCCGCCTTTTTTAAGCCTCTTCCTTCAAGCAGCCATTATCCCCCATCCCGACTTTGTCCGAGTAGAAGCCTCGGAATGAGAGCGACCACTCCGAGTGGATATTATACAAGGAATAGATCTCGTTTTTTGGTTAAGACGCTCCAAAGGCTTGAAATAGGGTTTTTCTTCATATAGTTTGTTCATATTTTGAATGTCAAGTAAAATGACTTCATACGAAAACGCTCTGTGGATGGCTCGCTCTCTGATTGGCTTATCGGGTCATTAGGGGCGGAGCATTAGAAGCGACTTGACATTCAAAATCTGAACAGACTATAACTCGCGTATCTCGCAAAGCTTTGGAATTTGGATTAGACAGTATATTGAACATTTGTCAAAAAAGCGGAGCAATCCCATCACGCCGCGGGAACCCGCTGCATTTGGCTCGAACCCGAAAAACTTTCGCTGCGAGCGCGTCAAGTTAGCTTGAATGACTCTTTTTGCACTTTTTGCGAGGAAAAGGTTACTCGGAAGTTTTGCAAATAATGCTCACATTAACTCAATATTTATAAAAAAGTCACGCTCACTCCTTAAAAAAAATGTTTGATAACCCAAATCGAATATGGGAGAATCATAGGTGAAACTGAAAAGTTCCTTTGAGGATCCTTAAAAGATCCTGAGAGGGAGATAAAAAGCTTCCTCTAAAAGCTCCTAAAATGATGTAAAAAAGCTTTTGAGCACCTTTTTCATAGCCTCAGAGGATCCTTTTTGAATCCTCTCGGATCTTTTTAGTTGCTTTTCAGCATCCTTTTTGTCAGAGGATATGAAAAAGATGCAAAAAAGAATTGAAATGATGTAAAAAAGATCTGCTGGGGACCCTTTCAAGGTCTTTTTTTGAGAAAAGCTTTTGGGGAGCTTTTCAGTTTTGCTCGAGATACTAGGGGAAGCGAGCAGGGTTACACGGAAGTGAAATTTTCGAAAAAGGAAGCAGGAACACGGATTAAGGAACAGAAAAATTTTAGGAAGAAGAAAAGCGGTTTTCAGAAAAGATTTTTTTATTGTATTTATAAGCGAAATACTCTGCTGTAGAATTAAACCGAAACTATCGAAAAATATTCACCAAAGAAAATTTTTAAAAGAGTAACGTGAAAATTTTTCAAACGAAAAATAACCAGTGAAATTTGAATTTCGCGGCCAACTGAAATTATAACGAACTATGGTAACTTCTGAGTAAATTTTAGTGGAATTCAACGTATCGAGGAGCTTCGAGTCTCTTTCACAAGGGCCAGGCTATCAGCCACGAGACAGAAGAGTCTCTCTGACTCGTTGAACGTCGATTCAAAATAAGATACTCTGATATTGGAATTGAGAGAATAGGTGGCTCTTCTACAGATATAGTCTGTTCAGACTTTGAATGTCAACCAGCTAACTCGGCCTCTGCTGAGACGGTACCTTTTCGCGTCGATGTTTTAGCGCGCGGGACGATTTTTGTTCTTTTTTTTTGATCTAAAAGATAGAAAAAAAGTCAAACAATGCAGCCTTATTAAAGGGCCATCGTCATCTGCACATATAACATTGACGCGAAAGATATTGTAGCCCTGGGGGGTGGAGTTAGCTGCTTGAAATTCAAAATCTGAACAGACTATAGTATGTAGGTGAAATTAGCTTCATTACCATATCTCACGAAAACGCACATTTTTCTGACTAAAAATGTTTAAAATAGGAGCTGAAGAACGAAATTTTTTCAAGGAAGACGGAACACGGGTTAAGGAAATTTATGCGGAAGACGGGTAACGGAATTCCGTGCAACCCAGGAAGCGAGCTGTTTTTTTTTATCATTTACGTAGTAAATTTTCAAACCTCAGACAGCCTATTTTCTACTCAAAAATGTTTTTAAAGACCTCCTTTCAGTTGATTCATAAACGACTACGTATCTTAAAAAAAGAATTTGATTTTTTTCTACATAATCAGGGGTGTCGCAAAACTTTGTTTTTTGGCCCTTGTTGAACCGAAAATATTTCTACAAATTCGATTTATGAAAACCTACTTCTCTGGTTTCTCTTGCAAGAAACGGGAGTTTTCAGAACTATTTATGACAACTTTCCTTGGCGTTATAAGTGGAAACTTCCTAGGAAGTTTGATTTAGCTGATTTTGCCCCCGCTTTGGGAGTTGATATCATAACTCAAAAAAAAGTTTACGTTTACCACTTGTCTGCAACTAAATTTCAAGTTATTACATTTTCGGGAAACTCATTTTCTCGACCTGCACTAAGCATTTTTCTTTCTCATATAATCTTGTTCCTGTTTTTTCGCGTCTCACTTTTCGAGATTCCAGTTTATTTTTCAATTTCAAAAATTTACTTGAGAGTAGTTTGACAAAACAACAAAAATTTTTCCAAGGAAGTTTTTTCTCTTGGAAAAACTTCAAGGAAGTAATAATTTGCGTGGATGCGAACGTGAGATATTTATTTAAGTAACATCTACAGAATTTCCGAACACATCTCGAGGGTCTACTATTACGAGCTTTCCCTAGCTCTAATTTCATATCTGTTCGGTTCATTTTGCGCTGATCTGTTTGGTGCTTCCTGTTTTTATCATCCTGACTTGTCTAGGCGTTTTTTCGTTGAGCATTCGAAATCTATGACTGAAAAGGCAGACATGGCGATGGAAGTGTTCATCGTGACGGACTGCGTCGTCCTAACGCTCCAGGTCCTTTGTGGATGCGGCAACGGCTACATAATGGCGCTTTTCTGCAGGTTCGTTAGAAATATTCTTCTAACAGCATGAATCTGTGAGGATCTCTAGTCAGAAGCTTGAAAAATCGAAGAATTTTTCTTTTTTTTTTTTTGATCTTTTTTTGATCAAATTCATGCGTTTTTCATGATAAAAAAATATTGTTATGGTTAATTTATGAGTCAATTTTTTTCAACAGAATTTATTCAGTTATCTTATCTTGACTGGGCAATTTTCAGATACAAACCAATCAGAAACAACAGAGGCGCCAGACTTCTCATTTACCTGGCTCTGACCAACTTCCTATTAGCTGTGACTTGTATGTCAAATCTTAACTTTTCAAAAAATATCATTCGTTTTCAGCACTTCCATACGTGATTTACTTAGTTAGCTTATGGAATCCAGTCCGACTGGACTACGACCCTCGAATGATCATGATTTCCGGTATGCCGTTGCCGATTCAGCTCAAACTCAGCCTCGCTCTGTCAATCTTCCTAGCCTTTGAAAGACTTTGTGTGAGTGAACACTTGAATTTTCAACTGAAAAGAAGTTTCAGGCTTTATACCGCCCTGTTCTCTATCGGAAATTAAACCCCCTCATCTACGCCAACGTCGCCTTGGCTGTCGCTGTGACAGGGGCGTCCATCGATATCTTCTTCGAATTTCTGTGGTCTCCATTCGATCATGTAATCAACTGCGCGGCTTTCGGCTGTTTTGTCAGCGCGAAGTTTCGTTTCTACTGGGGCAACTGCAACACGGTGAGTTTCTTTATCTATTTACTATTTTACAACTTTATTATACGAAACACTTAGCGATTTGATTATTTCAGGTTCTCGGGTTCATAATGATTTTCATGATGCTTTTTATAATGATCAAGTTGCGGCAATTGAGTAAATCTTCAAAGTCCGTGATACAAATATCGAATAAAGAAGATCGTCGCTTTCGAAAGGTCTGACCTTTTTGAATCATCCCGAAAATGCAATTGGAAGTCCCCAAAAATAGTTTGGACAATGATTTTTTATTTTGAAATCATATGAAAGTGATCTGAAGAGCTGTTCAGTTTCTCATTAGTTGGACAGTGCAGCGGAGAGTTTGCATGGCGAAACAGGGATTTTAGTTCGATTTCTTTCTGTCTTCCGAATTTTTTTTGATTGATTGCAAATCCCTCCTGTCACACAGAAAGTTCAGTTATTTTCCTTAACATTTTACTCCAACAATAGTTTTTCCGATCCTATCTCTATATCTATCAGAGCCGCCAATCTATAAACTTCAGGCAAACTTAACTACATGTTCTTTCCTCACGAGTACTCTGATATTCATCACGATTCCCAGTGTTGGCGTGGGCATCTTCGAGTTGACCGGAAATTCAATTTTTCGCCTAGTCGGACCGTTCTACATTGTTGGTATCCTAGCCACCGGTACATTGATCTGCATTCAAAATAAATGAGAAAGAATATTCCAGGTGTTTGTCACAGCATTATATTCCTCACACAAAATGATGATGCCAGACACTTCGTCAAGAAGGAAATGTTCAGAATCGACCATTCCCACATAGTCACAAACCTCTCCGATCCTGCCTCCCGCTTCACGAGGACCAACAACAGAACACTCTTTCAAAGAGTATAACTTTTAATTTACAGGTGTCTTGTAAATATGTTCGTATTGTTACTTTTTATTGAACATTTCTCAGAGTCTTTCACACCAATGAAAAATCAATGGGAATGAAATTTGCTTCCAATTATGTTTCTATGGAAAAGTATATAACATACACTCTCGCATAATTCGATCAGTCCACTAACTTTTTTTTAAATTGAAGGTAGATTCGTAAGAAAAGTAGAATAATTTATCATATCCCATTAGCGGACCAAAAAGTCTAGCCTGTCTCCGCTCTCTTGATCTCTCAAGTTGTTCACTTTTTTCGTTTTTTTTTTCCTGACTGTGCAGTTGAGGAAAAGCAGAGACAAGTCTGACCATCTTTAGCCCGATTGTAATGTACAAGCCTAAAAATTTACTGGTAAATCTAACCTTATACGAGTTCTCCCTATCTGTTCCTCCTCGACTCTATGGATGTAAAATTGAATAATGTAATGGCAGTGAATAAACTATTATTATCTCAAATCCTGAACTTTATTGAGCTTTTTGGGGTTCACACTGATTTGTCAATGAATTATAGCTGAGCTGAAATATACAGAAACGATTTCGAAATCAAAAAAGCAATCACAAGACCAACACTCGTAAGCAACTATTTTTGTTGAATTGCTACGTTTATGATACTTCCAAAGGCTATAATTCACGTTTTTAGGAGAGAATTCTCGGCAATTAGTAGTTTACGAGAGAAACTCAGTTGCGAGTGTACCACAGAGCTCAGCGATTTCATTACCCTCCATTCTGCAAGCGCCCAAGTTCATTCCCTTTCTTGGACCTCTCCATAGCTTCTGAACTTTCCACCAAAAACATGTTTTTTGAAACAACAGAAGATGCAGGTAATAGCTATTTTCTATTTCGAAAAAGGCCTCGTTTAGAAGAAATACCGGAGAGTTCGTTCATCGAATTTCTTCTCTTCAGCGTCGTGAAGTATGGATTCCTTTTAACGGCTCTCGGCCTAAATACGTCTTGTTATGTGGCTTTGATTCAAAACAGACACAAAGACTTTTCAGTTCGTAAAAATACATTGCGAAAACTGAATTACGAACTCAAATTTTCCAGGCTCGATTCTACTGTATCATGAAAGTATTCTCGTTTTGTATAGCTTTGAATGCTGTCTGCAGTCTCTTGTACTTTGCGATATCTGATGTCAGTTAAATAAGAAAAACAGTTATAAAAATCGAATATCTAGGCAGGAGTGAGCAATGGCGTTTTTAACAGTATCAGCATGACGGTGAACCTTTTCACGAGTTATCTTTCCGGGCTTTTCATCTTCTTGGCCGGCTTCAACCGTGCCTACACCCTCAGCTTTCCCAATAACAGACTTTTTATCTCGTGAGATCTAAAAAGTGGACTGAATATCCTTGAAAAGAATAGATGGCGTTGTCGGGTGACATGTGCCGTTTTTGTTCTGATTGCGGCCTCATCGACGATTGTGGTGGTATTCTGGAGCGGATTGACTCGCCGTTACGACGAGAGCAACGGAATCGTCGTCAACACTGTTTCCAACTTCTTTGTTGTCAATGTAAGGGTTTTCTCGGAGCCATGAGTAGGAACAGGGTATTTTGCCAGGGTTAATAGTCTGTGTACCACGACTTGGAATTTCACCGAACGACATTCCGCTGTTTCGCTGCGTGCTCGGCCGCGCCTTTAATTTTTTATTTTATTTAAGAACTCGACCAACGCGTGTTTTTAGTGGAACAGTTCATCTATCAGAGATGAGAACCAACTAAAAGCGAGACCGAGGCTCGCAAAGACGCTTCGCGACGCAGCGGAAGAGCGGAATGTCGTTCGGTGAAACTCCAAGTCTTGGCACACTGACTTTACCTTTGTTCTTGTTAAACTTTTAACCAGTTCTGAGTTCCTGAAAAGAGAATGGGTTGAGAAAATGTTTTTAGTTTGCTACAGGTTAGTTCATTCAGTAAGACTCTATAACCTCTCGCTAGTCTGCGCCTTTTTCTCTCACCGAAATCCTCAAAAAATAGTTGAATAGCTCATTAATATTATATCGCCCCTGGAAACTTTAACTGCAGACTCTCGAGTTTCATAGTTCCCATTTTCGTCTCTCACAGAATTCGTCTACTAGATTGATGAATCTATTTCTAAAAACGTTAAAATGAACTTGAGAAATAACAAACTTGCAGTTTTTTGATAAACAAAACCCTATTCAAAGATCTTCTGCTGACTCATTCACGCTTCTTCAAAATAAACTACTCCCAAAAGTATGAATCAACTGAACTTTTGATAAATAGTGATGATAAGTTATAAAACGCAATAAGAAAAAGAACAAGTTCAGACCGTGAACGTGGTGTTCCAAGTGATTCCGATGATGTCGGCCTTCCTGTTTCTGCTGTTGTTCTTCCGTCTCCGACAACAGCGCCGAATGGCTACTTCAGGGAACACCATCGGGCTGATCGATAGAGCCGAACGTTGCTCCTTCCTTCAGTTCTGCAGCATTCTGACCTTTTACACGGTACTTTTCGCCTTTTTCCCAGTTTTGAAAACAAAGAAGTACATTCAGACAGCGCTAGTCGCCCACATTTTGCTCAAAAAGCAACATAAGAGTTTGGTGTGCCTCTACATCGATGAGCTTGTATCGATAGTGCCGCAAATCGGAGTCGCTGCTTCTATGGGATTGTGCAACAAAAGAATGAGAACCGTCAGTTTACACTGTGAAATACCTGAATGAGAATGAAGGCTGCCTTCAGAAAGCACCATCAGATATAGACTATTTCTGATGGTGCCTTCGTTCTTATATAGTTCTCCACGCTGTCTCCAGAATGTCAAGCATATCTCCAAGAAAAGTCGTAGTTATTCAATTCAAAATTTTTCCAAAGTCAGTCGGAGGAATTGAGATTTCAAATTTTTAGCATTTATGACTTTCCAGACCACCTTAATCTAAAAAAACAGCTTTGGTCGAAGTTTTTCCATCAGATGTCACGTTTCGACTTGAGTGGCTTCCTATTTGGTTAGCAGCGCTATCGAATCAAAAAGATCAAATGTTTTTCCTGGTTTTCATAATATTAAAAAGATTTTCTCTCTCACTAAAGTAAGCCTATTCTCGTAGTCCTGCTGATTCGCGAATAAACTTTCAGACTATAAATTGAGGCATAATCACTCGTAGTTTTTGAGGCGCTCAAGAACGTCTTCCTGATTGGAAAGAGCTCCACTGTTTCGTCCAATACGACAACCAATGAAATGAACGGCCTTCCGAAGGCCCAACCACATCTCAAGAGTATCACCGTCTCGCCGAAACCGAGCGAAGCAACGAATACGTCGACTAACTGTCCAGAAACTCAGCAAACCGCCTCAACAGACGGTTTGAAGCGAAGCTCAATCTGTTTCAATCTGTTCAAGAATGAATTCAAATCTTTGGAGATTCTTGGAAATTTCAACAAGAGCTTTTCAACAAATTATATCTTTCCTAGTTCTTTTTTCATTCTTTCAGTTGATCTCCGGAACCCAGCTTTATGCGACACCACCGTTTCATGCTCTCTCGAAACAAAGTGAAGGCCGTCCGTTTGGTAGTACCTTAACAAAATAACCGATTTTTTTTGGTTCCGTTATTTCTTTTTCCATTGGGAAACACATAAATAAACTATTTTTTGCTTTACTCTTTGTTTTTTTCCTTTGAAACCTTGCCGATTTTGGTCAGGCTAGAAAGGAATCTTTGAGGCTTTCACTCTTAACAAATACTATTTAGTAAAATTACATGGGCGGAAGTTTCCATTTAATGTTTCTATTTCTTTTTTTGCAAATAACCAAAAACCGAGCCACATAACTTTGAAAGCCCGGCCTCCAAAAACAAAAAAAATTCCCTGCGGAACGCAGCGAATTCGGTTGCCATGAGGAAAATGACATGTTTTGTGCATCGCCGGTTTTACCTAGAATCGGAAAAAATTCCAACACGCTCCTTGAGTTTTATCATTTTCTTTCATTTCTTGGTCGTCAGTCCATCTCTCAACTCCTTCGCAATCAAGCTTCCGTGCAGTTCATTTCCTAATCAACACAAATCTCCTGGTTTTTGCTTTAGCTAGTCCTTCGGACACTATTACTCTCCTAATTTATTGAATCCGCTCAAATTTGATTTAACGCGGGAACTATACGTCTTTCTTTCTTTTATTGGAATTTTTCAATCCAAATATGTTTCAAAAAAGCCCTTTTGATGACAACGGCGAGGTGTTTGAACCAGGATGTACACAGACTCTTTTTTTTTCAGCTTTAGTCATATTCCTTCCTTTCTTAGGCTTCCAATTTCAGAAAGTTCAAAGTCACACACAATCCCCCCTTGTGAAAGTTGGCAGGAAGTGTTGGATATAGAGACCAAATCTTATTTATCTCTCTCGGCTACCAATTAAAAACTGAAATCAATGAGAATTTAATCCACCTGCAAAAATATGTCATTCTTTTTAATTTCTGAATATAAAAAAACTCAGAAAAAGAGGTTTTGAAACGAAATGCGCCTGAAAATTTATCAAAGAAAATTTCAATTTGAAACACTATACTTGAGAAGAAAAATATTAACCTAATCACTGGGTTCAAGTGAAAAATCGCACGAACAGTGATATATAACCCACCTGAAAATATCTTTGATACCTTTAAGTAGAATATCAAGTTTTAAGGCACTATTTTTTTTAATCCAAAGCTTTATTTTTTTAAAAAGATTGTTCACCACATCTTTTGATAAGATAATCAAACTTCCCATTATTTTTTTGGTTTTGATTTCCATGAAATGTTCATCGAACCGTATAAAACAGAAGCCACATCCTCTCATTTTCCAATTATTTTATTATTTCATTTCTAAACTCCGCCGAACTTACAAAAACGTGATTTTCTTTCGAAATTTCACAAGATTTATAGTCATAACAAATTACGCTTCTTGTTTTTGCCAAAACCATCGAAGCGTTGCAATGTTTTCAAGAAGAGGTTCCTGTGCCAAGCGAAGAATCATAAAACAAATATCCCAGTACCGGCTCTCTTTTTTAATCTTCCTTGTAAGCCCCGCCCACGCCTCCAATCTTTCTTAAAGCTGTTTATGAATCCTTTTTCACGCTCCGTTTCTTTTCTCGATGGCCGCGACGACTCATCATTTCGAAATCTCCTTTCGGCTTGCCAATTATTTTTCATTTCCTTGTTTTCGAAATACAGCCAATATTCGTGTAGTGAAGTCGTGTCGACTTGAAACGCCATGATCGCAGAAAGAATAGCGCCAACTCTTGGAAGCTTCAAGCCCTTTTTGCACTTTTTGCGTCCGACTCGATTCAGCTTGCGCATCTGGATAATATGATTTTTTTCGCTTTCATGATATTTTTTCAAAAGACAAAAAAATGCGAAAAAATTCCTGCAACCATGGCCTTTCTGGTCGAGACGAAAACTCATAGATTCAACTTAGAAACTATAATCCATCTAACTATGCGTTTTCAAGTAGGACCTCCAGGTAATATTGTAACCGAAACGCGAAGAGCCCGGCTCTTCGATGGGAGGCCAATGCTCCACCAACAGTTACTCTCTCGACAAAAGCGCGTACATGGCTCAGGTTAGTTCCAAATTCACGTTCAGTTGTGCTCTCCCTCAAACTCATTTCACCTTGCGAGACTGAAAACTGCAGGTGGAAACGAATCGAAAAATTGAGGCCGAAATCGAAAAAGCCAAAGCCAACAAAACCCTGAAGCTTCTGTTGTTAGGTAATTTCGAAATTGAAATAAGCGCAAATTATTTCGTTATAGGCCCTGGAGAATCGGGAAAAAGCACCACAATCAAACAAATCAAGTCAGTGTTTTAACTTTATTCAATCGAATTATCATAGAAGACAGAAAGAAAAGTCAAAGTTTGCAGAATAATTCACGACTCGGGTTTTTCGGATAATGAGCGGATAGTTAGGCGGTACGGCATTTATTTGAATCTTCTGGAGGGTCTCGAAGAAATTCACAAAACAGCCATCGCCAACAATCTCCAATACGCCAGGACGCAAACTTATGTGAGTTAGATTTTGCTCCGAATCAACTGAACTTGAATCAAAAGTTTTGAATGAGTCTATTGAAATCGCTAGATGCAGTTTCTTGAGAAAAAGCGAAAATTCAGTTTGGATTATATTGAATTGCGAAACGAAGAATCAGAATTCCGCAACACAATCGTGTCAAAGAGAGTCCCTTTCTGAATTTCAGAAGTACGCCTCTGACATAAAAATCTTCCTGGAAGAGATCAAAAAGTCGGAAAAGTATTTCCCGCAGCTCGTTTGCGAAGAAATCTCAAAGTACCTGGAGGATCCTACGGTCATCTCAGTTCTCAACGACCAAGCTCATTATCACATCGACGACTCTACCCTCTAGTTAGCAGAAGTTCCAGATTCCTCAAAAAACTTTCCTTCACAGCTTCGTACAAAACTTGAAGCGTATAACTGTTTATGACTTCATTCCATCGGACGAGGACATTTTGAGAAGCAGAGTCCCGACTTCCGGCGTCGTTCAATACAGCATCATGTTGAAAAACTTCAGATTCAGGTTCCTGAGGCTCTTGCAAAGTTTTTCATTTCAATTCTCAGCATCTTCGACGTGGGTGGCCAGAGAGCCCAGCGCAGAAAATGGCTGCACGTTTTCGACGACGTCCATGCGATCCTCTTCATCACCTCGTTGTCAGAATACGACCAAATGCTGCGAGAAGACTCAACGACGGTATCAAAAATCGATGGTTGTAGAAACTTCTGTCCGTTCAGCACCGGATGAAGGAGTCGCTGAGCCTTTTCGAGAAGATTTGCAACGGACCTTTCTTCACAGACACGGCGATGATCCTGTTCCTGAACAAAATCGACTTGTTCGAGTTGAAGATCCAACACACCAACATCAACGTCTGCCTCAAAAGCTACAAAGGTTTGGGTTTCTCTTCCTTTCTCGCATTTTCCATGCAAACGAGTTGCTCAGAACTGAGACAGAGCAGAGCTCAATTTAAAGGTTAGATTTGATACTTCTAATGGGCTAGAGTCCCAGATAATTGTCCAAATGTAGTCGGAGTCATTTGTTGCACAACGAAACGGACGATTACAGGGCCGCAGACGCGAGACGACGCCTTGCTCTACATAAAGCAGCGGTTTCTCTCACTAAACAAGAACAGAAAGAGGACCGTCTACGACCACGTCACCTGTGCGACAGACACCAAGCAGATCCAGGTTCGTCTCGCCATCGCAGCCTTTTTTGACCTTCTTACCTTTGAAATCAATTTCAAAATCGGTTATATATGATTCGAGAATCCCGATTTAGCCTTGCTCGAAAGTAATAAAATAGAGCGGAACTTACTTGTCAAAAATCAGTTCACTAAGTACTGAAGGACTTCTGATGGCTGAAGTTCGGTTTCTCTGAAATCGGATCCAGAAATTAAGTTGACAAAAATGAGAATACTTTTCTTCAATAAAATTCTATAAGTTTGGACAGCAGTTAGATGATTTGATGAATTCAGTTTATACTTTGGTTTATCGAATGTTTCAAGTAACATTTTTTTTTTGATTTGTCTTCTTCTTCTTCCTACGCCTTTATACCGCTTGAGCGGCCTCGGCGCCCCTAGTCGATTAGCCGGGGTCCTATCCTGATATCAGTGGACTAACTCCCGTGACATATCCGTCCTTGTGTGTGACGGCAGGGGATTATGAAGCCGTGGTTTCGCACTACAAGTATTTCTTAAACCCCTTGGTTGGGTCGGGGCGGCGAACTTGTGACCCTGTGGACCGTAGACAGGCACACAACATGTTGCGCTATGGCGCGCCCCAGTTTTTTTGATTTCAATATAGAATAAATTGAAACCAGAACCATTAGTTTCCATGTAAAGTTATGCTATGTGTTTGTGTCGATTTCGAATATTCAACGATGGAACGAGTCTTTTTTCAGGTCGTCATCGACTCCGTCATCGACGTCGTCATTCAGAACACGATGCAGAAGGTCGGCATTCAGTGAATGCCAATTTGCAGTTCGAATGTTTTCCCATCGCCTTTTTTATATTGCCACAATATACAGTCGGTTGATCGGACGATAAAACCTTCATTTTTGAAATGATTCAATGGAAAAGCTAGTTTCGTCTTGGCGGATCTTCAAGCAAAACTGCGTCTTTGAAAAGTTTATCGAAAGCCTCAAGACTTCACAAATCAGAGAAAAGATTCCATTTTGAAAATTTTTTCATGTTAAAACATTCTTTAAAAAGCTGTCTCGGAAACATGATTTTTTTCAACCGCTTCTTTGTCAATAAAACTTGAGCCAAAGTAAAGGCGAAATCAAGCTCATCCATTGACTTTTTCAAGGTACTAAACGTACAAAAAATCGAACCTATATGTGAATTATTGTTATGCAACTGTTGTATTTTTGAATCAATTTGGTTTTTTGATGATTTGTTGTTTTTTAGAGAGTTTAAACGTAAAAGTTTTCACTCTTATATCGAGAAAGTCATACGAAATTGTTATTTCTTATTTTTTTCGCAAAAATATTCCTTTTTGTTTTCCTTTCACGAAAAATAAAAATTTTGAAGACCGTTGAGTTCTCACAAATTTGAAACAAAAGGATCGTCCCCAAGTTGAGAATGAAGATGCCGTTGAATAGAGGCGATGACAGATTGCGACCAACATATGGACACTTTCAAGTTGAAAGGCCTCGAATCTATTGAGAGGATCCTGGGAAATTATTCCAAACCGCAGAGAAAGGTCTTTATCGCAATGCTACTTCATAAAAAAATATCTGGAATTTTCCGTTGAACAATTAAAAAAATCCTGAGACATTTTTTAGGTCTCCTGTAGATTTCTTAGTAGAATAAAAGATCTTGCTTTAAAGTGTAACTTTTAAAATGTTCCTGATGAACTGGTCCCTTTGAGAACTACAGTGATCGCCGACTGTTATTGATTGCGGAACTGCTTGAAGGAGATTAAAATTCCTATATTTCAATCATGAGGTACTGAGCGAGATTCAGTCTCTTTTCCCACGTCAAAGTTTTTGGATCATTTCCAGTCACGGAAGAGCGACTCTGAAACGGGAGTTGTTGCAAAAACGAGCGATTATCCAGGCGATCGGTCGAACAAATGGACGCAGCGTGCAATCCGCTATAGGTGCTAAACGCCTATGTTTGGCACGAAAAGCACTGCTCCGGCAAACACTAGAGGAGGCTCCTCGGTGCTCTGTAAGTGCTTTTTCGGGCTCGCGTACCACGAAACGTATCCAGGTAATGACGTCGGGCTCGTAGAGCAACTAGTGAGACGACAAACAACTCTCTAGCTTTTCTTCGTTGTTTTCTCTCATGTAACTTTCAAAAATCGGATTTACCGGGTTTTACAGCATCACGACTCCGTCATAGAAGCTGTCGTAAAAGTAGCGCTCATGGAAAGTTTGAATTTAGAACCAGAAGAAAGTAGCAAAGAAACAGACTTCCAGGTGTAACAACCGCGAGGATACTCCTTGAAGTTGACGCCTTGAAGAAGATTCTTCCTCATTTTTTGGAGCCTACGCGTTATTTTTGAATCGAGGTGATTCAATCCTTTCACTCTTGCTAGCTTCTTTCAGCTCATAAAATCTGTTTTCAGGTCTTTCCACCGTATGCTCAGAGACGGTAAAAAAGTTCCTCTGAGTCCACCTCTCAAAAATTAGAAGTGATTGGCGGGTCTAATGCGACGTGTCGAATGCATTACGCCGCCTCTCTTCTTTCTCATTGACGTAACACTCTGCGCATTACATTACATTAGGAAGCGATTTGCGTCGGCCTTGTGATACAGTATCACGTCCATTAGCGGCCGCCCTAAGGTACGGCCTGGGCCAGGTAGATAACCAAATTGGCTATGGTTAAGGAGGACAAAAGTCGAGCCACTTTCGTGACCTGGCCGCAACTTCTTCAATGATGCTAATCTGAACATTCCTTGATTGAGGCTGAAGAATCACAGTTCAGGCTCAGCTTTATGATATGCCGTGTGAAAAGCCAAAATATCTCTTTTTTGCGCTGTTTGAAATCAAGTTGGAACATTTTCTAAAAGCTTATCTGCGCTCTCTTCTCCATTACTGGCAAAGTCATTGAAACTGAAAACAGCCTATGGATGCGAGAGCCTCGTAGAGGAAGTTCAGAGCGCTGAGAAAAGGACTGTTTCAACCCATGACAACAGGAAAAACGCAGCCTTTTCTTTTCGGAAATGATCCTCATCAAAAGTGTCCGTTAGAAGCTTTTTGAGAAGAAGCTGAAAGGTTGAGAAGTTTTCAATCATTTTTCTTCTTTTGAAGTTACTCCATCCGAGTTATTAAACCAACTGAAAACCTAAGATTCGAATACGATTCAATAACACATTTTTTGGTGGTTAGGTGATTATTAATAAGGAAACTAAAAAGAACAGAAAGCTGTTTTCCGAATCACAAAAATAGCCTAGAGTACCAAATTTTTCAACTGATAATATTTTTTCTTGGCCTTTTCCTTAAATAATGAAAACGAGAAAAGCTCAGCTATCAGACTTTCGTTCTTCTGAAGAAAAAATTTTTTTTCGGAAAATTGGCTCTCGTAACAGGTCGACCTCGGAGGAAAGGAGAAACTCAGAAGACCCCTCATGATAGCGAAAAGGCAAAGAAGAGCCGCTGGAAACACGACAAGAGGAACTATCTATCGTGTCTCTTATGATCAGCCGAAACCCCTCGAGCGAAGCGCCTTTCGGCCAACAAGCTTGCGTTTTCGGTCCGTGCTCTCTGCGCAAACAGCGGCGTCTGCACTCGAATACCGGTGCTAAACGATACCGTGCTTGCTGTCGCTTCTCTCGTCGGGTCAATTACCGTATAATTTCGCTGCGGGATGCAACAACACATGTGTCATTACTCTGTAGTATGTATAGGTACACGGCTGTGGGATTTAATGACCTGCAGTTCGATAGGGCGATGGATCGCTGAATGGATAGGTTAGCCCCGACTTGGATATACAACCGCGATTCGCCATGATCAGTTGCGAAGAAAACTATGGGATGAGTGTTAAATGTCACCAGAAAGTTGGATAAAAAGAAAATCTGAAAATATATTCTTAGAAAATTCAGAAAGTTTGATTATTTTTCTTCTTATGAACATTCAAAACGGATTCCTGGAATCCTGGGCTTCTAGGCTTTCTTACAAAACAAGCTTGAAGCAGAAAATCCTGAGGACTCTTTAACCCATACAGAGAAAAGGACTGGCTTGCCTACGCTCTATTCTTTCTTCTAATCATAGGAAAAGAAATAGCACGGAACACTGATAGATAAAGAGGGCGCAGAAAGGTCAGACTGTCTTGTGCCGCCGTTAAAGGAGATTGCCAAAGTTGATCTCAGGATCGACGCTTGTGAAACGTTTCTGGAGAGGATCCAACGCTGAAATTTCGTGAAAGATTTGAAAAACTCTCGTCTTCAGCTTTTGTTGCATAAAAAAAATTCAATTTTCAACTTTTCCAAAAACCGCCTGGTAGTTTATATTCTATTTGCGGAAGTGTATTTTTGATTCCGTTTCACCTTAAAGTGCAATGGAATCTTACTTCAATGATCGCACCGAAAGTGTTGTTATTGAACTTTCCTAGTAAAATCCTCTCTCAATTCAGGTTCAGCCAAGCAGAAGAGCAATCTCCTGTACTTTCTGATTATCTTTTGAGAATGTTAAAACCGAAAATATCCTCTCGATCATTGGTGAGAGTCCCTAGAAATGTTTTTTGTCGGTTGGATTCACGAAAAGGGCAAGTTTGGAGGTATCGAGGGCAAAACGGCTGGCAACTGGCCGCACTCAGGTTAATGAGCGTGTAAGGTGAACAATGGAGTGTTTGTGTCCATCTCTGTCGTACCTCATATCCGTAATTGGTTGCAAAACGGCAATCCTGACACCGATTCCGCTCCATCGGCTTCTGCTCAAACATAGTCATCAGCCCCGTCAGAAGTATGACTCACTGAAAGGAAATAAACTTGGGGAACTTTTTCATTTCACAAGTTTAATTGAAATATCAATCATTGAAAATTTGGAAGCTTTTTTGAGTGAAATAAAATCTTCAGAAAACCGTAAAAAGCATCAAATAACAGTTTTTTTCTAAGAATTTTTTTTTCTTTTTATTTTTCAGTATCAAACTTTTCAATAAGACAAGACCAAATGAAACTTTTCGAAAAAGTTTCTCAATAAACAAGTTCTTATTCCTTATGAATACGTTAAGCTTAAAACTTCCTTCGAGTGAACAACGAAGCTCAATTCGAGCTTCACCCTTGTGCAAAGGTCACATAATGAAAAAAAATTACAAAAGTTTTTTTTTTCTGAAAAAGAGAAAAAAAAAGGAAAAAAAAGCTCTTAGTCATTATTTTGTTCAAATACTAATGTTTTTTTCATTTTGTAACCTTCATAATCAAACTTTTGATTTCCTAGAAAGTTGATGATGTAGTTGATCATCCCGGAACCACTTCAAAAGCTCCCATATACATTCCGTTTGGATGAGTTTCTCAAAACTCGTTCATCCGTCTTGAACTTTTAACTTCAATTCAACAAATACAACTGGAAAGAGCGTTTTACTTTTTTTTCGTAATCTTATTGAACACCGCCGTTTAAAAATAAACATTTATGTCCTGGATTTTCGAGGGAGACATGCAATAAAGTATATTAAAACAACACATTTGAAAAAAAAAACGCGATTTTTCAGAATCGAAGTTGGAAAGCGACCAAACTCGAAAGATAATACATTTGCTCTACAAGATGACTGCTAGACACCGCTGACAAGCATTTTTCTGAAAAAGGACACGACTGAGTATCAAATGTTGGGAATGGGGAGGATAGCGGTGCAGCAGCCACCAACTGTTGCTTGAGTCTTTGTACAAATTTGGCAATATTTAAGAAAAAAAGTGAAGAGACGGGGAAAAAAAGCTCTAAAAAATATATATAATGATGGTTGTTACCGGATTTTTCAAACTTTGGAGCGAGTTTGTGGCTTTGGATTTATATAAAGGAAAGTAAAACAAACATTCAATAATTATTCAGATAAACTTATAAATTACGTTAGTAGAGAGCTAGTTCTGTAACTGAGGTTGGGACTTGGGAGAGTCGGCGTGGAACATGGCGGTTTTGACGACGTCGTCTTCGTCCTCCTCGTCTTCTGCCGTCGAGGAGGGCTTCAGATCGAGAGGAGAGGCTGGCGGCTCGCTAGAGGCGTCGTCGCTCTTCGGGTTGGAGCACGGAGAGCACTGAGGGCTGTCGGCCTTCAGGTTGAGGATGACGTCGATCGAAAGTTTGTTCTGCGGCTTGCGGCTCTCCGTTTCCGGCTGAGGCAGGTTGAAGAGCTGCGGCGCGAATTGGAAGAACGCCGGGTTGAACATCAACGGATTGAGGAACTGCTCCAGTGGAAGCTTTCGGAAGGCGTCGGGAAGCAACGAGGCCTGAGAGGCGAGCAGCTCGGCCGCCGTCGCCTGATGACGTCGCTTAGAGAGATCCTTCGGCTCGTCGATCGGCGAAGGCGAATCTGTCATGCTGTCGTCGAAGTCGTCATCGCTTTCACTGATGTCACTCGATGACGTCTTCTTCAGCTCTACGCCGATGATGTTCGACCTGCAAATGTTTCTATATTCAAAGTACTGATCTTTTTCCGCAGTTCTTTTTGAACTATCGTGGCTTAGTATCCAACACATCGATTTGCTTTTTTCCTTAATTTTTACCATAGTTTACTTAATTTTTATTCACAGAAACGTTGAATCTTCACATTTTCACTCAATTTCAACTCATTAAAAAAATAAAAAAAAAATAAGAGCCGTACAAACCAAGTTTTTGAAAGAAATATTTGAAAACTGAAAATGTAGTTCAAACTTCCATTTCAGAAATAAAAACAAAAAATTACATTTTACAGAAGAACAATCGAGGTTTCAAATCTGAAAATCATTACCAGCCGCATTTTCCGACCTTTATAATAATCCCATTCCTCACTCCAAAAATAGTAGTTTCTGAGTTTTTTCTCCACTTGAAAAAAGAAGACAGTCATGCCGATCGGTCTTGTTTACACTCCTGCCCATTTTTTTCGTTCTCACTTTCCTCGTCGGTGGCATTATACTCGGCAAAATCGCGACGATTTGGGCTCTAAGTCGAAAAACGCGAGGCAACTCACTTGTTCTTGGCGGCGGCGGCACGGTCGCGCTGTCGTCGGTTCTTGAACCAGTTGCCGACTTGCATGGCGGTGAGCCCTGTCGCCGTCGCCAGCTCCTTCTTTTTGGCCGGGTTCGGGTACGGATCTTTGAGGTACCATTCCCGGAGCAGTGACCTCGTTCTCTCCTGAAAGAGCTACATCATCAACGGGCTTCAAAACTATTTTAAAAGTTCCTTTTGAAAATGCGTTCTACTTGTTTCATTTAAACTTCAAAATTTCTGATATTCAGTTCAAAAATACTTGATTTTCTGAGTGAAGATCCTGAAAGCCTCAACTTTCTCAGTCGGCAGTTTTTTGGAAACCAGTTTCTAGAATTCATAGCCAAAATCAGGAAGATGAAAAAATCTCGAGAATGTCCAGAATCTTTCTTCAGCAAATCGAAAAGACTTTTTAAATCGATTTCCAAAAGTTAATTGTTTAGTTAGCATATTATCCGTCTGAAAACTTTGTTGGCTGTGAAATTTTTATACAAATATTCCGAAGATGAAAATCGAGGAAGACTGACCTTGAAGCAGTGGGTCTTCTGCTCGCCGTCCCAGATGGTCCGCGGCATGGGGAACTTCTTGCGGACGCGGTACTTGTCGACGGCACACAGAGGCCTGCAACTCGGTCCATTTGCGGCTTAGCTTATCCCTCCTGTGTTTTGTCTGTTCTCGCTGACGGTGGTACACACGAATCACGCCAATCTCCTAATTATAGAGCGCGGTGAGAGGGTCCGAAGCGACAGAAGGCAGGCGCCACGCAACGTGTCCTATAGCGCATGATTAGCGTACATTAACGGTAGCAGATTGCTGAGCGGCTACCGACTTTTCGTATTGTATTGAAGCTAATCGCGGCGCATCGAGATGACTCAGGAATCTTAACCCCCGCCAAGGAAGATCCGTGAAGAAACATTTTTTTTTCTTTTATTTTATTCGCAAGATCTCTCAAAACGGAACATTATCAAGCTTCCTGGAACTTATGAGATGAGTTCGACGGAAGTTGGCAAAATTAATTTAAAAATATGATCATCAAGAAATCGAAAAACCAACCTTCCACGCTGCTTCTCCTGCTCGCGATAGTGGGCCTCATGCCACATGTCCTGCAGCTTTGGATGGCTTCTCGTGGAGAATTTGTTGTTCTCCAGGATCGAGTAGAGTTCGCGGAAGTTGCCCATATGGAAACAGACCAAGGCTCGGCAGCGCAACACGGACTCGTTCGTCGCCACCTTCAAAGAGAGCATTTTCAGTGAGCTGCGACTGGAAATGAACTCCTCACATCTTGGGCTTGCGACGGGGGGATGCTCCAGAGGAAGCGGGCGATCCGGTCGACGTCTCCTTTGTCTTCCAACTGCTCGCACGTCTTCACTATCTGAAAATCTTTTGATGAAAAAAATGGGTTTTGAAGGATGAGGAACCCATAACAACAAATGAAAATAAAGTTTTAGCTCCGAAAATTCAAAAAAAGACGACAGTTGAAAGACGATAAAGCGTCTTTTGTAATTTTTTTCAATATACTTTATTTCTTCTCCACATTTTTTTCAGATTGGCTGTCTTTTTTCTTCCATTTTTTACTGAATAATGTGACTCTTTCTTTTGAAAAGCTAATGATTTTTTAACGAACATCATCATAATTCTGTGATTGAAGCAATTTTCGAATGTAAATTCTAGGAAATTTGACGAAATTTTTGTTAAGAAAGTTTTTACTCTTTTTTTGCCTCAGTCAAAACAAGCTGCATAGGAGAAGAAAGCGAAGTATCATGTCTGGGCGCGGAAATCGAGTCGACAAAGAGTTGGAAATGCGATTTTCGTCGAGATTCGCGTCACACAATGGCCGACGCCTATCCATTCTCCAGAAGCTATTAAAATGAGAAAATAATTCTTGAGCCAAAGTCTCCATTTCCCCAAGAGGTGTTCCTACGCGTTCTCAAAACAAAACGAGAAAAAATGGCGCTGCATGAGGAGCGAAGGTGAATCAGCAGGGACGACGAATATATCACATGAAAAGATTCCGCCGGAACAGAAAGATCGGTGGCGTACAGAAACCGCGCGACATTTTGCCTCAAATGGCGCATCGAGCAAATGTTAACGTCCATTAGCGGGCGTTACGCATCGTTCCTTCTTCTATTTTTTTTATCGATCCGACTAATGAACAGGACGGTGATGTTCAAACGGTTCAAAAAGGTCAGCTAATGGACCGTTGTGAAGCTCGGCGCTGCAGGGAGGGAGGCGACATTTAGACAAATGGACAACTGGGTAAGAAAACATTCAAAAACGGTTTCAGAAGTTCATCTTACACTGCAAAATTTTTCAAAAAGTGTAATTTATTTTTTTCAAACTCATTCTCCAACTCTATAAATATCACTAGAAGACAGGAAAATTTCCAGAAGTACATTTTTTTTTCAGTAAAAATTAGGAAACCTTGAATTTTCGATGAGAAGACTACATTATTTTGTTGTCTAACAAAGTTTCAAAAAAATATATGAAACAAGATCAAAAAGTTGCTATGCATTCTAACTTTTAGCTCCAATTAGCGGGTTTGAAAAAAGTAAAAGTCAAAACTTTTTAGGTCTAGTACCATTTTCTACTCGAAAATTTTCTTACGCCTTTAAACACGGAATAAAGCGTCTTTGAGAAGACAAAAAGCATAAACGAATTATTTTCATTGAAAAAAGTATTGTTTGTAATTATTATAACTCCATTTCAAAAAGCAATCTAGTAGATTCAGCTTATAACTCTTTTACATATTTTTAAAATTCTCAAGAATATCCAAAACAAAACGTAGATGATATATATTCCCGAAAACGGAACTTTTTTGTGTTGCTACGATTCCCATTTAAATATGAGAATGATGCCCTCAAAAATTGCGATGTTATCATTATCAAAGACGTGAATCATTGCTCAACAGAGCGCAAAGAGAAATTGAAGATTCTATGTAATATACATATTTTTGGAGAATACGACAGGACGAAAAGATGGAAAAAGTTCATAACTAATAAGAAGAAAAAGAAGAAGCTGTTCAAGGAAAACTAAGGAATTCAAGGAACTTGATTAAGCATCAGATTGTAAAATTAGTGCAGTAGAATCCAATTGGCGAGTCTGGTGCTTTCAAATATTTTTTTCAGGAAATTCAAAAAAAGTGTGAAATAAATTTTTTTATAATTGATATAATAGAAGAATCCGCTGTAAAAAGGGATCATGAGTGGAAAAGAGAAAAAATGTTTAACTAGTTGAGATTGAAGTTGAAAGTAGAGGAAACCAACTTCAAAAGAAGAAAAGACTGATGGAATTTTCAAAAAAATGTGATCAGAAAACATGGAATAGATGAAGATAATTAAAAAGGAATTAAAAGTCAAACCTGGTCGGAGTTGAGGTTGGAGGTAGTTGGAGACGCCGGATTCATTGGCGGAATAACGGTCGGTACGGCCGGAAACAGGTTTCCAGAAGAGTTCTGCTGCAAGGCCTGCAGCATGGCCATGTTGTGGCCTGGGAAGAGGCCGGCCAACTGAGGCATCTGCCCCAGTTGGCTCCACAGCTTCTGTATTTGTTCCGGTGTGAACATCCACCAAGAAGTGGCGACTTCGGAAGATCACCTCTTCAGATTGAACACCGGTGGTTGTGGTAGCAGATAGACGAAATGGGTGCCGAGCCGTGGCGCAGCGACGATGATACGGGGAGCGAAGGAGAAGGAGGCGTGGCAAGGACGGCGATTGGCTGCACCGTCGCCATCGACACGCCCATCTCATCGTTGGCTGGCGTCAACGACCAAGATCTTCCTAAGTTTGGATAGGGGTGTCAACTACAAAACTTCGAACAATACCCGACAGTTATTTTCTTTTCTCTGACTTTTTTCTTCTCTCTGCTTGTCTAGTGATTAAAAAAAGTTTTTGTGAGTGCTCATAATGATTCCTGATAGCAGTACTCCATATAAATCTTGAATTTTGCGATGACTCGAGATTTTATTTTTTTTTTCAGATAGTTAATCTTGCAAGTTCTAAGCTTCAAAAATCAAAAAAATATACTTAGAAAACTAACTCACATTGTTGTCATAGCGGTCGTGGCTGCAATTCGACCTTCTGGGCATTCAATCAGCGGGCTTCATTGTGATTAGTTGCTCGGTTTCTGTTTCGGCTCAATGAAAATATTCAAATATCCACAGCCTACCATTCCCAAAAAAGCCCTAAAGAATTGATGGTTTTATAAAAATAGGAATTTTCGAAAAAAGCGTCACAGTATTTTCAATTTTGTTCGACGTTTGAGGTAGCTGTAACTTTCTGAAATGAGGAATTTATTAAGGATCTTTTGATGAACTGAGATTATTTCCAGTGGAGAGATAACTATCAACTTCCTTTTTTTGGGACAAATTTAAAAAAAAGCGCTTTCTGAATTGAAAAACAATAAGCAAGCAATATTTCCCATTTGCCCACCAAGGTCAAAAATATCCGAGTGAGGTGGAAACTTTTTTGGATGTTTACACCACCGGCTACCGTAATCAGCCCCCTATCACTGAAGTTTGACGATCAGATCAATTTTGGTCTCACCGGCAACTTTAACCCCTTACAACACTTGTCAGCCTCTTTCCAAAAGTGAGTGCCCCTTGGAGAACTAGTTTGCAGTCAGAAGTCGAGTGCAAATGGCATCTTCCTTTTTTCTTGCCTTTAGTTTTCTTTCTGTCTTTGGTTTTACCACAACTTGTCGCACCATACGGTAGAAGTGTGCCCAGAACACTCAATTATTTCCTACCGAGGTGCGACCTCACGCCGAGGAATTGGGTGTTAAGCGGTTGGCCCGAGCACGTTGTTACTCTCTTAAAGCACTTTTCTGGATATTTCGAAGAATATTCGAAGTGAAAGGAGATGAAACTTTTAATCACGAGATTCTCAATCAGATGATCCCAATAAACGTCAAAGATGCCGATCGACTAGAGATTTACCCAAGCACAAAGTTGGGCCGCTCTTAAGAAAGTTTTTTTCCAATTAGCCAAGTAATACCAACTTTCGGTTTCAGTGACGATTTCAAGAGAAGTTTCAATTCCAATTGCCAAGCGGTTGGCCCAAGCGCTCGGCCCAACTCTCGGCACGTATATTGTGCTAATTGTTTGTTCAGGAAGCAAGAGTCGTGTTAATGGCGCTGCTGCCGAGGCTTAGGTGACAAACACGCACTCCAAGCGCAATCACTTCTCGTGTTTGGCCAAGTTATAAACATATAATCCATCGGTTGCTGCTCTTCATGAGTCGTAAAGTGCTCCGTTGCCGAGTTGAGCAAAAGACTGATCCGTGCACATATTTTTCAACTAATCATTCTTGGTCAAGAAAAACCGATAGCTGAGAATTCACTTTCAATCACTCTTTTCGAGCTTTAATAGTCAGCTATCCGAAAAAAACGATCTGCTGATAGCTGATCAAGCTGATTTTCGGAAAGTAGTGACGCTGGAAACACTAGCCTGTTTTTCGAAAAGACAGACTTTAGGAGAACAAAAAAGGCAGGTTCAACCAGCATCAGTTTGAAAAATCGAGAAATACTGAACTGGAGACTATAAAAATAGTCCTCAACTACGAGGATCTTGCAGCTGATTGAATTGTACCTAAAAAAAATTTTTTCCAAGTATTATATCTCTATTTTTTTCATTTTGGAAGGGGATGACAGCGAAGAAATGCCTGCGGATTCAAAAAATTCTTAGTTGAACACCTCTTCCCTCCCTGCTCTAAAAATAAATCTTCAGCTCAAAATATAAAATTAGCGAAATGTAAAGTTTTGAAAGTTATAAACCTTGCCGCGTCGCCGAATTTCCTCCGACAGATTTCTTTTTTATTATTATAGAACCGCTTCGCGACCGCTACGCGCTTGTTCGGCCAATACTACTTTGCACAATTCCAACTCCTGGATAGCGGTGTAGAAACATTTTTTTATCATTCCGCTGAACTACTTTCCCATTGACCTGCATAGGTTCGGTGGAGAAAATTTTAAATTTATTCAAGATCTTTTGATATTCTCAACCACTATCATCGAGAACAAGAGTTATGTTCAACATTCCCCAAAATGGGATCCAAACGATCTGCCACTCCAAAAATGTGTTCTGGAAAATAATCGGCCGGGAGAGTCAAGTGTTTGATCAACTCGGCTAGTAATCCAGGGAGCAAGTGTTCCCAGAGCCATTTGGGGAAGCGCGATTGCGCAACGGCCATGTGCCGTCGTCTCGGCTGGTCGATCAGCTGCAATTTGTCCTCACCTAATCCCCGCCGGCGCGGTAACAGTAACCGAGTGGATTTTGTCGCGATATCGCTCCGGAGAGAGAAAGAGATCGAATGTCAGCGAGAGGCTACCGTAGCCGTCGGCGGCGGAGGCAAACATTTTGGGAGAGCGAGCCGAAAGCAGCACGCATGATGAGTCTCTTTGTCAGGTGGAAACAAATGCGAGCAGCTCGTTTAGTCTATTGCGTCGCGGGTGTCAGTTTGGTGGGCTCCTCTCTTGTCGGCTGTCAATAAACGCGGCGGTCTTCACGTTTGAAACACACTGAACTGTTGCGCAAACGCGAAGCTCACAAGACACTTCCTAGGAATAGTTGTTTACTGAGATTCTCTTGATAAATAGCCTTTTTTCCGAGTTTTTTTCAACAGCCAGATTACAGACTGGTGTGAATGATAGAACTCTGTTATAAGAAAAAATAAATAAAACATGAAAGAAAGTTCTCAGACTTTTTGGTGCTAAAGGTAATGATTACAAAAAAAATAGAGCTGCATTCTTCTTGAATAAAGACCGATTATTTCATTTTTTTTAAAAAATCATTCTTTCTTTTTAAGGTTTTTTTGTAGCCACGAAATAATTTGCCGGAAAAAAATTTCAAAAACGAGAATCTGCGCTCTATGGATAACTGATATTTTTAATTCATATCCTTTTTCGCTACATTAATTTTTTTAGGCCGATTTAAATCCAGTTTTTCTTTTAGCCAAGGCTCAGACCTACAGAGGATTTTTCGGAAAATTGAACTTACGAGAAAGTTTTTAAAACAGTTAGACAAAAAAAATCCAAAGTTTATTGCTCCTTCAACTTTTTTTTGACAGTCATTAGCCACTCTATTTCAAGAATCATCTAAATTTAGAAGTTCAAAAATAAGAACAAATAAAAAAACAAATATATGTGGTCGGCGTCAATTCTCTTGGAGAATAGTGGGAAGAAGACGGCGTCGCCGTGCCGAAACCTTGACCAAATGAGTTAAGCCTGTTAGTGCGGGCGATGATACGGAAAACGATGATAGGCACGACTCCTTGGGAAATCCTTCGACTTTGGGTCAGGGGCCGAGCTGTTTGTTGAAGTGCACTCGTGCCGTCTCAAAATATACAAGGCGATCGGCTTGCTTCCGTCCTTCCGCTGTGCTTCTGTGTCAATTGCTCGTGTCCGTCTCACAACTTTCTCAAGTGCGTCTCTTATTGATTTTTTTTATCTTTTTTTGCCGGAAAGGCCAAAAAAAAGCGTCTTGTCATGGAGGTAAAGATCGTTAATCCTGTGATAAAAATCTTTCATGCTAATGAAAGACAGGTGTGTAAGATACAGCTTTCTAGGAAAGTCCTTTTGTCAATTCTTGGCGAAAAATGTGAAGCTTCCCTAATTATCAACTGACTCTAGAAAAGTGTGAAAAGTGTGAGATATATTTTCAGCTGACAATGAGTTAACGACCAGACAACCCAGTTCTCACATTTCAAACTCACTCTTCACCTAAGGTTTATGACAGTCTCTGTACCAAAACTAAACGAAGCCCAACATAAACCAAACTTTCTCACACCTTCCTTCGCGCCTCGTTATTATGGCATCTTCTGGAGAAATGGAAAAAAGGATGAAAAAGTTCTTTTTAACATCGAGAGGAATCAGATTGCTTTAATTGATTTCGTTGGAGGTCAAAAGTTGGTCTATTAACAAGGACGAGATTGGCATCATATTCGGCCGTGATATTACAGAGGTCACCGAAACGTTTCTTTTCATCGACGTCTTCCAGCCATTGAGAATGTTTGAGAAATTACCTTTTCGAGCACAAAGGAGTTTCCAACGCGCGGATCGCAATTACCAGCGTTTAGCCCTACTGTATTGCAACACCTTTCGACACAATTTCGGCTCGAATTCCTTTTCGAAGGACTCCCGCCGCGAAGAGCCCACTTTGCAGTTTCCATCCGCACTTTGGATATTGGGAAACGTGAGTTTCTCCTTTTTATGAGAGGCGAGAAGCTCGCTGTTGGAGTCCGTATGAGAGAGAAAAAAGCAGCTGAAGTAAAATGAATGGAATTCCTTCTGAAAGATCACCGCGAAGCCAAAAAAAAAAAGAACAAGGTATACTCCATTCCATTCTATATTTTGTTTAATTTCTTTGTTTCAAAAAATCATTATTAGCTTAAGGGAGGGATCCGGAAAAAGGACCAGTCCATACTGATCACTGGTGATCACATCAGAGAGGAGCCGCTTACAGACACTTTTTTCTTCTCAGAAAAGCGAGAAGACCGGCCTGGTCCAGCCGCGAAATGGTATACGGTATCGGTACGCGAGCTGATACAAACGAAAGAGAGCTATCTCTCTTCTCTCTTCACTTCGCTTCTCATTTCGCCCCAGAGCACTTGTCATAATCGCCATGTGTGTGTTTGCGTCGCCGTGTGTACACAGAGCGATCTGCGAATCCAATTACCGTAGTTTGGTGCATTCCGCCACAGGCGAGTATCGTTTTTCGAGTCCACCCCACGCACATCGCTTTTGGCTCCGTCGGAGCCGCCAATTAACGATGCGTCGGCTTTCAAGCAAGACCACAAAACGTCTTGTGCAATTACGCCCGGATGCACAAATGAGACGCCAATCCGTGACATTCTAAGCGCTTCTGAATACTCCAAGCTTGGCTTGAGGGCTTTTTGCATTGTTTAGATTTTGCTAAAAAGGATGAAAGCGGTTCAACACAGGACTAGAAAAAAGGAGACTTCACGTTAAAGTTCCACTCTGAGATCAAAATTTTATCCATACTTTGCCCTATTTTTTCAATCATTATTATTTTCAGCAGATCTGAATTTGACAATAGGATAAAAAATTAACTAATAGGAAAGTTGATGATTGATTTATTTCAATAATTCAATAATAATACACCTTTTTTTTTAGCACTTTCAGTGCGACTTGAAACTGTCTAGTTTGTTTGGCATAACACTGTTTGTTTTTAAAATTAAAAACCTCATTAGTTGGTGTACGATATTTTTGATGATGATCATTTTATGAATGTTTTTCTTCCAAAAAACGAGTTGAATTACTTGATTTCAGCAAACTTCAAAAGAAAAATCAGACTGATGAAATTATATAGTAAATTGTACTGTGTGAAGGTAGATGTTCTAAACGGAATCGCGGCTTCCGCAGTGACTCCTAAAGGACGTCCGCTAGTTGCTCACTCATGGACCCATGTCCACTTGAATGCTGCGCCGCAGCCGCCGCTTCATTGTTTCAGGAGGCACTTCCGGCGCCATTATGCCGCCGCCGACAATGCGCCAAAACGCGATCAACGAAAGAAAGGCAGGTTAATGTACTAGGGAAAGAACTGATTCCTTCCATGGTGATAAATTTTGGTCAAAACAAAAAAAGATCCCAGTTTTTTACGATCGGGGTTCAATCGATTCGATCATGTTCGAACCATGATTTCTTTTTCGAGGTTTATATTGTAAACCTGAAGACCTTAAAGCTCCTCGAAATATATTTCAAAAACGACTTCAACTTTTTGTTATTGCTAGGCTTGCTATCTGAACTTTTGGATGATGAATATTCAAATTTTTTCCATATATATCCACTTTTCTCTTTCTTACCCGGAATTTAAACATTAATGCACTCAATTTCCAGAATATTTTGGTGGTCAGACAAAGACCCTCATAAACTCTAGGTAGAACGATATGTGGAGAAACCTCTTGATTTCAACTGACTTGTAAAAATTTTCGATAATATCATTGAAAAAAAATTATTTGCAAAAAAAAGAAAAAAAAACCTTGCAACAATGATGTGAAGTATCGGCCTTTGAGCAGGACCATCATCTCTTAAATTGTGTTTGTCGATGCGCTTAGCTGCTTCCGCAAGCCGTGTAGTGTGCGCAGAGATTACAGAAAGCTTTATCTTTATATGCATCTCGCGAGTATTGAAACAAGGGCTATGATCGCTGTCGGAATGACCAACTTCGAAGCCGCCGAGCTTCCTTCTGGCGGCGACACAGCCAGTCGGTCGTTGTACGTCACCAGCAGGTCCAAGATTGCTCCGTTCGTCCAGCCGAACCCGTTCTAATAACCCTTTTTGGTTGAAAACTACATTTTGATAACGGACCTGTACATTGTATTCTCCACCAGAGCCTGGTTGAGGATAGGTTCCCGTCACGTTGTACTGAAAAACTTCTGTCAGAAGGAAAATCAGAGGGATATTGCAAGTATAAAGGATGATAGTGGAGATAAGCAGAGTCGCAAATCCAATTAACCGGCCTAATGGTCTCAGCAACACAACGGCGACTGACACTAATGGACAGTCCATATAGGATATTTGATACGAAACAAATCTCGTTACTTTTTTTCTTTGGATTTTTAAAGAAGATAAATATATATATTATGTCAAAAAAAGTTTAAAAATAGGTCAATGTACTCCTTATAATCCTTTTTAGACGAAGTTTATTTCGAATAAATCATCTTAAGCCTTCAATCTAAAAAAAAACAAAATCAAAAAGTTTGTTAGCGATTACCAAAAATTTGAAAAAAAGGGGTGCTGTTTTTTTCTGAAAGCTTTTTGGAATGCTTTTTGGGAAAAAACTATTTTTAACTAAACATTTTTCTCGAATAGAAGATGAAGTTTTCTTGATCGGAGAAAAATCTCATAGTGAGTGAAAAAAAACGCGAATGAAATCTTTCGCAGTTTTAGAAATCATTCACTTCGTTTTTGTATTTTTCTGAAACTTTGACAAGTGTACAAAAGTTTTACCGTAAACCATCTAGTATCCTTCTCTTCCAACTCTATTCAACTCAACTCATCTCAAATGTCAAATTAAAAGTTGAGCATGTTCGACAAGCCGAATCCGGCTGTGACAGCCGTGATTTCGGAGCAAAAAGCCCTTGACACGATCTGCACATGCGACGCTTTATTAAGTGTCTATGTGTGTCTATTGGAAAGGTCCTTCTGGCACCCCGATTTATGCTAATTCCATTTGATTTCAACCAGACCCGCCGTTTACACACTCAATGCGATAATTGCTAATTTGTAAAGTGCTTGTTCGCGAGATCAGCCTATGTCAACGGGGATGCGCGACAGCCGGACTCAAGTTCTCAAGTATAAGCCCTTTTATAAGACAGACTTCGAAAATGTACAAGAGTAGAGGGTTTTAGGCTAAAAATTTTTGTTGAATAATGACGGAAGCGAAAATTTAACAAATGTTTCTAGCACAACAGAAGTAATCTTTGAACTAAAACAATTTTTTGAATAATATTTTGATAATTCACACAAAAAGCTGCTTTTCGTCTCACCACAGCAATCAAGTAAACTTAAAAAGTTTTTTTAATTTTTTTCAACGAAAAATCAAAAAAAGTTTAAAAAGAAATTATCTTTATCTATCAAACAATTCGATTTTTTTAATTCAGGAAAAACATCAACATTTTATTTTTTTGTCGCCGCCCTCTGTTTTTTTTTAGAAAAATCCACTCTACCATTCATTAAGTAGTTGCGTTAAAGTCAAATAATAGACGGGTTGAAGATTCTCGCGCACAACAACAAAAACCAGACAAAACGAGCCGACGATCAAGTGAAGTGTCTCATTTGGACAAGGAATGCCGTTGGTGGCGCGAGCCAATTGACCTTCCGATTGACAGTTGTCACCTTTTCCATTTCCCACTCTTTTTTTATTATTTTTGCCTCCTCCTTCAGTCAAGTGAAGTACAATCGAGAAACCAGCCGATCAAAATAATAAAGCGATCAAATGCCTGCGCCGCCCATCTTTGCGGCAACCCTGTTAATGAAGTCATTGGCGAGATTACAGTTCGAAATATTTTTTGGGAGGCGGGGGAGGGTGGAATATGCCGTATTCAAATTGATTCAGCGAAATTTAAAATAACCGTTAGAGAAAGAAAAATATAACTTAATTTTAGAGAGTCAAGATAGTGTTGTATTCGGCGAAAATTGCTTTGAACACGGCATTATGGTTTCTGCAGGAGTAGTCCGATAGACTTTCCAAAGTTCCACTTTTTTTCCAGTTCCCAGAAGCCTTCGTACACGTTCCGCCTATACTTAAACATATTCCTATTCAGTGACTTTTTATGTAAATCCTTTAAAAGCCTTGGAAGACAAAGAGTAGTCGATTAGTGTGACGACCCGAAGCAGGATGACGACCTTGTCGTCCGCCACGCCAAACAGGTGTCAACCTCTCGCTAATCCCGATCCGCGGTGTTGATTCGGTTGGGCAACGCTGCTCAGGCGATCGTTATCGTCATGATTGACCAGGAAAACCGTTGTCTCGGATGTTATCGCAAGGATTAACAGCTTGCACAAATAACCAACCTGTTTGTCTTATCGTCTTTTTTGCTACAGATGCTCCCCACTGGGCTGTTATTAATAGGAATTTACAGGAAGTGATCGAAAATTTCACTCTGGCTACTTTTGAAATTCGCAAACTTTCCCGAGAAACTTTGATCAAGGGAGTAAATGATGTATTTGTATTTTTTTATGGTGCAGCTCGCAGAAGTACTTTACTGGTTTTTTTCAGATAAAAAATTATTTTCTAATTTTTCAAACATATCGGTTCCAGCTGGTTATTTGCTTTTTCAGCTACAGGCATTCACCGCCATCCGTTAATGGTCTGAAACCTTAGAAGCCACTGAAAAAAGGGTCAAAAACAGCATTTTTTTTGGCAATTTTACGGAGATAATGGCATCACGAAACGTTTCAAAAGGTTTCAGGGAAACGGTTTCAATTTTTTTAGTCCATAAAAAAGTTGTTTTAAAAAAATTTAACTCTTTTTAGCGATTTCAAAGTAATTCAAGGAAAGGAAAGAAAAAAAGAAGACAAAAACAGTTTTTTTCAGACTTAATTTTTTTTATGTCTTTGAAAACTCAAAGAAATTTTCAAAATATTGAAGCATATAAATATTTTGTGACGTTGCAGCTTACAAATCAGATTTCCAAACTACTTCCGACTTTTCCAGGAAAAAAAGTTCAGAGAGGAGTAACAGAGTTTGACGTGTTAATCTGAAGGACTACGGTATCTGGACGCGAGATCGCCTAATCGACACCACTCTGGCGTCACTTTGCGGAAGACCTTGGCCCCAACGGCGACGCTTTTTTCCCACGGCCAGAATCCGCTTCATGCTAATCTCAGTGCCTCACTTATCCACCCATCTGTCATAGGAGGATACTGTGGCTCGTCGATACCGTAGGAGCTGAGCAGCAGCAATTGAAATTCAAATGAGAAGCGAAACTTCATCATGTCGGCCAGGCCCCACTTCTGGCACACTTATGAGAGCTTGTAAGCCTTTCGTTTTGCATAATAGCCGCTCCTCCTTGCCATCCCACTTTACACGGAGCTTTTTTGGCAGAAGAAGGAGAATCGCAAGTTGTATGGTGACTGACCTTCTCCCACATGTGGCCCGTCTCCTGGAACACGCGATAGTTGCCGAGCACCCACTTGGACGCCAGCTGGAAGCCCTGCAAACACACTATTCATCTGCGTACATGGAAACGAGCAGTCAACCTTCTAAAAGTTCCAACAACTGCGAACATTTTTGTGATAACAATTTCAATTAAGACAAAACCTCAAAAAAAAAAAAGAGAAAGTAGAAATTTACTATCTTGAAGACTTTTTTAAATTCAAAAATGATGCGCTGAATTTACCAGTCTATCTCTTTTTAACTGCTTCATCATTTTTTTTTTTTGCAGTGCTGCTTCACAATAATAAAAAAATATTGAAAAACCCTTCTTATCGGCTTTCTTTTTTTGAAAAAAATTTAAAAGAATTTCCAAAAATGCTTTTCTATTGACCATAAAAAAACTTTTTACATAAATACCATTTGGGAAAAAAAAAAACTAAGAACCTGGTCTTGCATCTCGGGATTGGCATTTTTACGAAGCCCTTCAATAATCATGTGATTGGAAGGACTCCAGCCGTTGGGGAAGTCCCACTGCTCGCCGCTGCCTTTGATCATCGACGTTGGAATCCCAGAAGGATAGTCGAAAACCCCATGTGTCTGGAAAAAAGAAAATTAAAAAGAAAAAGAAAAACACAGAGCTTCAAACTTTATGAAATTTCAAGCTGAATAAAAATCTGAGATCTTCCCTCTGTGTTATTACCTTCATATAACCGAACAATCGTTCCGATTTCCCAGTGTTCAAAGTATTGAAACAATTGGTGAAAAGCGGAACAGCAATGGATGGATAGAACTCTGTGTTGTGCAGCTTTGTCCGAAGATTGTAGTCAAACCTGAAAACAAGTTTATCAGCCATTTTATTGAATAATCATAAAAGTCCACGAGGAGCCAAGAATTAAAAATTGTTCTTGGTGCACTTTTTTTTTACTTCAGTCATAGTACAGAACATTCCCATAGCGCTTACCAAGTTCCCTGTGTTTCGTTGTAGAAAACTTGGTAGAACGAGTCTCGGAAAACTGCTCTTCGACTTCGGTAGATGTTCGCAGTCGCCTGATCTCCTACAATAAAGGAAATATTCAACTTTACGTAGAGGAATCATTCAAAAAAAGAAACCTGCTCGTTCATACAAGTACTCCAAGATGTCGAGGTTCCAACAAACCACAGCGTTGAGGTCAACTGGCAAAATCTGAACAGAAACTTTTTTTGAGACCGTGTTGAATCTTAACGTCCTATTTGAATATATATTGAAAAAAAAACCTTAGTCGTTTCGATTTGGGTCAACGTCTTCTTGTCGGCGAACCAGCGCGTAGAAAAGTCCCAGCCAGATTCGGCAGAACTGGCGATGTCCTGCCAGAATTGCGCCTGCGCCGCCGGAGTCATGCTGGCGGCGTTTTTCGTGTCGACGCTGTAGGACTCGGGCCTCGGCACGTTGCTCGGCGTCTTGTACTGGTATATCTGGTGCGTAGTTCCGTTAATTACAATATCTATCTGAAAAATCTCGGATTATGAAGGTTTCGTGCTCTGTACCGCACCCGCCGGTTGGCGTCCCAAAAGTTCAACTCCTTGACGAGTGTGGGCAACATCTCAACAACGAACGCAACATCGCCGGTCGCCTCAAACAGTTCGTAGACCATACCGCTGAGGAAAGGCGGTTGTGACCTCTGCAGGTAATAGACTCGACCACCATTCGGAACGAATCCATACCTGAAAGCATCAGAAATCAAAAAAATGGAGAAAAAGAAAACATATATCAATTGTAAATTATAAAATTATCAAAGTTTAAAAAAAACTTGAAATGAAACTTTCGATTAGCGTTGATAAACTATCAAAATTTGAAATATGAAAAATGAAGGCGAAATTTAATTTTTAGCAGTCAAAAGCAGATCTGCGCAGACTTAATAGCTTTAAACATAATAGCGCATTCGAAATATCTAATGTGCTAGGCAATCTCTTCAAAAAAATTAAAAATTAGTATAATAAATTTATTGTGATATATCATTTTGAAACCTCTAGAGCAGGCTTGTGCGAGGGTCGGCCCGTCACCCCCCGGCCCCTCGACCATTTCGTAAGCCCAGCCCGGCCCAGCCTTAGCGGGCCTCAAGAAAAAAATGGCCCGCCCGGCCCGAATCGCGCAATTTTTTTCTAGTCGGATATCAAGTTTTTTTACGACAAAAATCACGTTTTTTTGCTCATTTTTTCTCTTAAAGTTTAACAAAAACTATGAAGTTCAGAAGTAAAAGTCACATTTCGGTGAAAAATTTTTTTGAATGAAATTTCAAATTTTTTTGAAGCCCGGCCCAGCCCGAGCCCACGCGGGCTTTTTCCTGAAAATGAGGTCCAAAGCCCGGGCCGGGCCGGGCCGCCCGGCCTGACGCACAAGCCTGCTCTAGAGGAGTGAAAAACCCGATTTTACTCGGACATTGGTAACGCGAAACGGACGTGCTCCGGACGTTTCTGGGCGATTCTAGGGATCACTTAAGAGTGCTGAGGCTACTGAAGTGGTCACTAGAAATGCCTTGACACGTCCGATTCGCGTCCCGCTCGCGTTACCAAGGTCCAAATTTGGATTTAATGCAGCCTATTGCCAGTAGAGCGCGCTTTCGGAAGAAAATATTTTCTCACGTGAATGAAAACTGTAAGCAGGTCGATTGTATCCGGATATAACATCCCCCTTTGCGCGCAAAAGAAAATTTATTTTGCAAGTTTTTTTTTGTTTTTCTTCAGAATTTTGGGGTAAAAGAAAGTTTGAACATAAGTCAAACACGCGAAAAATATTCATTCACAATTTTTCCTAATTTCAATCGCTTATTTCTCTCAACGTTTCCCACAAGCTTTGAATGAGACATTCATAAAAACTCGCATCCGTCTGCATACCTGTCAATGACCGAAGCCAAGTTTCGGATCATGTTCTTCGTGGAATCATACATGTCACAAGCAATAAGACCCTGAATTTTTTGTTTCAATCGAATATATTATCGATAGGGAAATTACCTTAATGATCCAATAGGCATCCCAATAATAAAATTCACGGAATCGACCACCTGGTACGATGAACGGATGCGGAACATAGAGCAATGAATAACGAGAACTGTGGTCCAGAATCGTCGTGTTAACCTACAATTTTCATTCTTTCCTATGATAAGTTTTTATTCGCCAATTTCTTTCGAAATTTTTCTAAGTCATATAAACTTCAAAATTCCTTTGAAAACCCGGTTATCTATTAGAGGGAGCACGGCTGAGCATCGAACAGCGTTGACTCCCCCTATATTTTCCACTCTAAAGAGAGCTCATGTAAGTATACTTTGATCCCAGCAAGCTTCTTATAAAATAGATAATAGGTCTTCGAAAACCCTTCATGGAATTGTCGAAAAACGTTTGTTTTTTAAAAGCTAGAGTCTCGTTCAGTGACGTACTCGTGGGTTGTAAAGCTTCAAAATTCCGTTCCTTGTCGTCAAGATGTCACTCAAGAGAAATCAAGCGAAGAAACCTGTCTGCAGAGGTCTTTCCAGATATTGTTGAGTTGGAGCGCCCAATCTCGGAGCTTGGGATCTTGGATCGTTGCCAACTTTGGCGGGTTGGGCTTCCAATCCGATGGAGTACAGACCACCAGTTCGCTTCCAGGGGCGCTTAAGATGCAGTTTCATAAGGTAGATCTTTAGGAGCGTTTTTAATGAACGATGAGGATTTTTGAACAGAAATTGCTTCATATTGAACTCCAACCTGAAATACTGATCGATGAAGGTTTGAAGTCTAACTTTCGACATATTGTTCGAGTTGCTGTTGTTGCCAAACACCGAACTGAATGCCGACAAAACCATGGCTGGAAATCTGTTTGAAAATATCTCAAGGAAAGAACAGACCTGGGTCCTGAAGCATGGGCATGTCGACAAACGTCTTGGAATCGTTGTAAAGCCCCATGTCATTAACTGCTTTTAAAATTGGCCCATTACAATAAATATATCTGAAAATTGAAACTTTTTGAATATTGAAACTTTTCGGAAACGAACGAATTGTTTGAGTTGCTCGGGTCGCAGACGGCGACCTGAATTTTCCCTTATTGTTATCCACAACTTTCTGAGGTTCTTTGTGACTAATTTCATTGGAAAATTTTTCCTTCTTCGCATGAAACTTTCACATCTCACAATTTTTCTGGCGTGATGAATTGGTTCCGCGGAAGTGATATTGGGTCATAAAAACATGAAGGAGACAGGAAATTACTAAAGTTTTTGTTATCGAAAAAGAAAAAGAAATATAAAAATCAAAGCAAAGATAGTGGATAGAAATATAAATATTTTCTTTTTAAAGTTTTTTTTTAATCCAAATTTTCCACCAGCTCGGGATCACTAACGATATCAAAAAGAGAAAAAAGAAAAGTTTCCAGTTTGATAAAGATCAAATGATCAATATTTTAATTTCGAATCGAAAAATCTCACCGTAGAATTATTATCCTGGTGTGAACTTCTGAAGAGAAGAAAAAGTAGAGAATTCAAGATCCACCGCATTTTGAAGACTAACGTGAGAATCAGAAGAGACCGCTTCTCATGGACAACTGATCAGTGCTTTTCGTTGTCCAACTGATAAGCAGCTTAATCAGCCGAAAACGAGGAACGGAATTTTATCAGTAAGGCTGCAAAGTAAAGCAACGTGATTTCAATTTTGATCTGATAATTTTATCAAAAAGGATTAGAAAGTCGAGAAATCTAACTTTCAATCAAGCAAAGCCCAAAATGTTTTCACGGAAGAAAACGAGCAAGGTACCTGAAAAAAACCTTTGGAAGCTCCGCCTCTGTCCACGTTTGTTGCCGACTCTCGTGTCGCCTTTCAAAAGCGAACATCACCACAAATATATTTATTTCATGTATCAGTTGAGCCAAACAAACACACACAATGCGTACTCTTGATTTTTCGTTCTGTTAAGTTTCGAATAATCGTTCGCTGCGGAAAGTTAAAACCCTTCGCAAATAGAAAATAGATCTCTATAAAAAAAGGGAAAAAAATTGAGCAACTCATCAAAATAATACAATCAAAATATAAACAATTAAAGCTATGACATTTTTGGTATAGTATATAAAAGAGGCGCTTGTGAAAAAAAAAATTCAGAGTTTGACTTCAAATTTTGGTAATAGAGTTATGAGTTCTACAAGCTTTGAACAGCGAAGATCGTGATTTTATAGATCAAATTGAAGCCAATTTACAGACGGCTTGGAAATTTTCAAAACTTTTTACTTTTACACTGTTTTTTTTTAAACTTTGAACCGAATAGATATAGGCTAAGGCGGCGCTTTGTACAAACGAAAATGATAAGAGTGTCAGGAAACGACAACAGTCGAATGTTGGCTGAAAGAGCCGGCAGAGTTTGGCCCAGAGAGACTGGAAGGCTCGCCGAAGACGTCGTCCAACTCCTCGAGTTCTTCCAGAAGCGGCGGTCGAGCACTGTTCCTCGCTCTCCGCACGTCGATGTACTGCAAAAAGACGATTCTTTGTGAATCCTGATTCCCTCTAGTTGCCTCGTCTATTGTTGGATCGACTTGTATGATTTTGGCCGATTGCGCCTTGGCCTTTTCTTCGTCGACGCCTTCTAACCAATAGGTGAGGAGTGTTCCTATCGACTGAAATTTCCAATTTTGACGTATAAGGATATCGGATCTTACATCAATCTTGACGCTGCCTCGTGAACAATGTGCGAATTCCGGATAATTTCTTGATATCAACTGAAAATGGTTTCTAGAAGCTGATAAACAATCTGGTTTCTTGAAAAAAAAAAGCTTCTCAGAAATTTTTCTCAAAAAAACTTGATAACTTTTTTTAATAAGGATGTTTTTTTGCTGGATTAAAAAAACTTTTGAAATTTTCAAATATTCAAATATTTTGGAAGTGGAAAAACATATATAAAAATAATATATCTAATTTGGGAAAATTTATGAAAAAAATCTTCTTTTTTTAAAAGGTCATCAAAGGACCGCCATAGTTAGATTTCAAATAAATTTCTATAGTCCCGGATTTTTCTTTTCCGAAGTTTCGAAGCTCTCTCTTACGTTTCAAATGACTATATTTTTCATTCTTATTCAATTTTTTCATTGAATGAAATTTTAGGGATTGGAAGAAGTACCTTTTGACTTGCTAGAGACATTTGAATGCGGTCAGGCACGCCAGAGCTTTCCAGCTTTGCAGCGATTGTCACCTGAAAGACCAAGTTCTTCCTTCTCACCTTGCGAATGGAAAGAGCAAATTGTTTGGGTAATATTCAAAATTACCGTAGGTCCGAAGACGGCGTATCTCGGCGCGCGAATTCCGACGACTCCTGTGAAAACAGAGCCGCTGTTGAAACCCCAGCGACACTTGAGATACTGGCCTGGTCTATGCGGAATCTCGAACTTGTGCAGGAACTGGAAAATATCCTTTCTCGAGTGAGAAGCAAAGGGGCCTACGTCTCGTTGCAACAGGGCCACCATGGCGATGTTCTTGACGTGGGCCGTCTCTGAAGCGATTGGAATTCCGGAGGCCACGCAGTAGGCGTCGCCGATCGTCTCCATCTGCCACAGCTTTCTCTTTTTCCATGCGAGAAGGGAAAAAACCTTGTAGCCGTTCTGCTGGCTGATGATCCGGTCGAAGGTCTGGTACATGCCGGAGAGCAGGGCGACCACCTCCATCGGCTGCGACTCTGAACAGAGCGAAGTGAAGCCGACGATGTCCGAGTAGAGGATCGTCGCCGAGTTGTACGTCTTCGCATGTACCATCCTTCCGTTCTTCAGCTCCTCCGCTATCGACCTAAATCGCATCAAAATAATCTCATGAACAAAAAAAAATCAGATTAATTAACCTAAACCTATTTTAAATCGAGGTGAGCTTAAGGAATAAAAAGATCCGTAACAAAAAGAAAACCAAAGAACACTAGAAACAGATTTGGTACGGTTAGCTGGAAAGAATTTTGTTGTTGAGATTTTATCAGTTTTGAAAAAGCGATACTATAATTTCCACGGATCACATCGTAATTTATGAAATTAATTTTATCAGAATTAGCAGAGTAAGGAAAGTTGGAAAACATAATAAAAACTATTTCGATTAGATAGAAAGTAGTTGAAAAAAAAACTGGTTTTCAAGTAAATAAAAGGCTATTTTCAAAAAAAAAAATTGGACATACGGCGGCAGCAACTCAGAAAGGAGCATGTCGGCCTTCATCTGCTCTTCTTCGAGTTGACCCGTCCTCTCGGCGACCAGCAGCTCGAGGCCGTTCGTGTACATCTCCATGTTCTTCATCATCTGATCCACCAGCGATCCAGACCTGTGACAAGAAGAAAAAAAATCATGAGAGCTCAGAATGACTCCGTCTACATTTTCAACGTGGCGTCGGTAATTTTTCTCGCCAGAGCGGGGTCAGGTCGGAGCTCAGGCTGCCGTGTCCAGCACTTCTGGATGAGCTCGACGAGGTCGGGATGCACGTCGTCGCTATGAGGGAAGTCTGGATTGTCCGGCACTCTCGACTCAGCTTCCAGGTCCATCAAGGTACATTCTTCTGGATATTCCAAATCTGGTTCGAAGAGAATTTGAGATCTTACGGTAGACTTTGTCGTCGATATTGACATACTTCTGGCCGTAGAGGATTTCGTAAAGAACAACGCCGAATGAAAAAATGTCCGCCGTCTGAAAGCTTTTTCCATCTATAGAATAGAATTATAAAAAAATATAGATAATTGTGCGAAAAATCATTTTTGAAGTCCAACAGAAAAAAGCAAAACTTTTTTTCTGTTGGACTTCAAAAAAATGTGAAAAGCCGTGTTCAACTATGTTTTTTTTTCTGACTTAAAATTATTTCGCTTGTTTTTTTTTTCAACTTATAGATTTTTATTCCCCATAAACCTACACTTTTTGCAGTATTTTCCCCAAATTGAAAAATTTGTTTATCAAAAGACATCTGCCAAAAAAACTAAACTACAATCATGTTTTATAGATCTTCAATCAGCTCAAACCCGTCCAAAGGCGTTGGTGAAATGAATTTTCTCAGTACGCGTGCTTGTCATGTGGGTCCTCAGAAGACCTCTCAGCTCAGGAGCGTAGTAATGAAGTTCTGAACTCTCATATTACTTCAGAAAAGAGTTCGACCCCACCTGGATTCGCAATGATGGGCCTTCTGTCGTGCGTGAAGAGAAGGTTGGCAGCGCGCCATCTTCAAATCGAAGACAAACGTCAGTATTTTCATGGGATTTGAGCACAGACACGGGAAAACCCACTTGTAAAGTAATCGGGCGACGCCGAACCCGGAGAGTTTGAGAATCCAATGCGAGTCGATCATGCAGTTGGCTGACGTCAGAGCACCGTGAAACCCAATTTCAGATAAATGAATGTAGTCTAGCCCCTGAAGATAAAAGATTTCTTACTAGGGAATGGTCTCCATTCGCAGTGGGGCTTCTGAATGAGACTAGGTTCACTAGATGTAGTTTTTTTACGCTGATTCCAAATCTGGTCTCAAAAACTGCCCTCGAGACCTGTGAAAAAAGTTAGGGGCTCTCAAAGTCGAAAAATTTTATGTCTTCGATTGAGCTCATTTTTGGAAGGTATATAGATCTTGTCCCTCTGGTCACGAAAAACCATCAAATTTCTCTCAAAAAAATTTCGGAGCCCAGATATGAACTTTCAAAGCCCCGCCTAACACAAGAGCATGCGAGCGCGGTGTCCTATGGCGATCCGACGGCTGTCGAAGCAACGGCAGCGAGGAGCAGTGGTAAGGCGGCGGACTGGGGATCACGAGGTCATAGGTTCGGTGCCCACGCTGTGCAAAGTTTTTTTTGCAATTTCTCCTTTTTTGGATACTTTCGTCTAACTGCTCCTTTTTTGAGTTTTGAGGCGTATAAACACGAAAAAACTGCGTTTTGAACCTATTCCAACAGCTGAAATTCTTTTTGTCGCAAATTTTTTTCATGAAATTTTTTTCGTGATTTTTCCATGTATATGAGCATGAGTTGGATTGTCAAAATTTTCAGAAAAAATTTTTTGGTTTTTTTTTTCTTTTTTCTTTTTCCAAAAGCTGTCTAGACCGAATTCATCACAGCTACGCTGACTGACCACAGAAAAAAATTTTTTTTCTTCAAAAAACCCTTCGTTATTTGCAGTGGGCTCACCTATGACCATCGCATTTTGCCGAAAAAAAAAGAAAATTCCCGCGGTTTGCCCCAAATGGAAAAGATTGAAAATTGTCCAAAAAACTTATATCTCAAAGAAACTTCATTTTTCTTATTTTCAGTTTCTTTTTTATTTTGGAACTTTCTACTCGCCGAAGTCTGACTATAACCTTTCAAAATTTTCATTGAACGGAAGTTTTTAGTGAGGTTTTTTTCTATTAATTTTATTCACGGATCAAAGAAAGCCTCCTTGAAAGTTTCAGCAAAAACCTGAATTAAATTTGGGTGATTTTTTTTTCTCGTGAAGAGGTAAGTGAGCACCGCAGTCTGAAAAAAATTATTGAAAAATTTCCGCATCATCTATCAGCGTAGCTGTGATGAATTCGGTCTAGACAGCTTTTGGAAAAAAAGAAAAAAAGAAAAAAACCAAAAAAATTTTTTTCTGAAAAATTTTGACAATCCAACTCATGCTCATACACATGGAAAAATCACGAAAAAAATTTCATGAAAAAAATTTGCGACAAAAAAAGAATTTCAGCTGTTGGAATAGGTTCAAAAACGCAGTTTTTTTCGTGTTTATACGCCTCAAAAACTCAAAAAAAGGAGCAGTTAGACGAAAGTATCCAAAAAAAGGAGAAATTGCAAAAAAACTTTTGCACAGCGTGGGCACCGAACCTATGACCTCGTGATCCCCAGTCCGCCGCCTTACCACTGCTCCTCGCTGCCGTTGCTTCGACAGCCGTCGGATCGCCATAGGACACCGCGCTCGCATGCTCTTGTGTTAGGCGGGGCTTTGAAAGTTCATATCTGGGCTCCGAAATTTTTTTGAGAGAAATTTGATGGTTTTTCGTGACCAGAGGGACAAGATCTATATACCCTCCAAAAATGAGCTCAATCGAAGACATAAAATTTTTCGACTTTGAGAGCCCCTAACTTTTTTCACAGGTCTCGAGGGCAGTTTTTGAGACCAGATTTGGAATCAGCGTAAAAAAACTACATCTAGTGAACCTAGTCTCATTCAGAAGTCCCACTGCGAATGGAGACCATTCCCTAGTTAGCTAAGTTTTCTAGGCTTATTCCAAGCAAAGCGGAATTCAGAGCTTATCCCAGAAAAAAAAACTCAAAACCTATCAACCTTCTCGTTTAAACAAATTGAACTCAAGAAGTTTATTTTTTGTTTCACACAGTAAATCTGAACGTTTTCGAAGTCTCTGTATCTTCAAACCTTGAGAATATCTCGAACGAAAGCTCCGCGGAAGTTGTGGTGCATAACCATTCCGTTTTCCATTTTGGGCTCCAGTAGCAAATCCGCCAAGTTCCCTCTGAACAAATTTCCGGTCACAAAATGCTTGAAGCACTGAACCTGAAACATTGAGTCCAGATTTGGTAGATCTCCTGTTTATCGAAGGCGAAGCCGATGAAGGTGTTGAGGTTATCGTGTTGCGTTCTCCGCATCTGAGAATATTTAAAATCAAGATCGTCTTAGGAAGTAGGAAACATTGAACAGAATAGAGCTGTCGATCTTGTCGAAGCGAAGGCGATCCTTGACGAAATACTTTTCGGCGATGACGTAGAGCTGGTCGACCGTCGCCAGGAACCTTGTTTTTGTTGCTGTTTGGACTCGTTGCTGAAATGAATGAAGTCTTAAGGAGATTTGCGAGAATCCAAATGCAATTAAGCTCAGACGTTTTACCAAAAAAATACAGCAAAAAAAACACTAAATTATTTAAAGAAAATTTGCCGTCCTTAGTAGATTAAAATGTTGAAAAAATTTTCATCCTTTTTTCCGAACTACTTTACAAAAATTTAGTAAATATTCAACTTGAGCATATAATTTTAACTGTATTCACTGCCGCCTCCATTTTCTACAGCTCCCGTGTCAAGTCGGTTCGAAAAGTTCTATTTATCTTGATTTTCCATTGAAAAGAAAAGTTTATACCTTTTCCTCCATTCGTTGTTTGAGGCTCTGTATGGACATGTACTGACTCTGAAGCTTTCAAAAAATTGTTCGTTTAAACTAAAAATGGGACTCACTCCTTCCGTAGCGGCGAGATCGGTGAACTTGACCTCCTCGATGGGAATTACCCAAGGTGACTTTAGTGATCTTTTTGTTTTTTGAAATCTGGAATTCCATTTTTTCTTTTGCTTATTTTCGAAGCAGAAACTCACTTTCTAACTAGACGAACGTAGATATATGTACAAATGAGTAAAAGAATCATTCCTAACAAAATAACAATAAATGGCCTGAAATAGTTCATTTTGAAGAGTCGGCAAATGAAATCCAACTTGAGTTGACTGCAGAGCTCGTGGTTGTACCCACAAATGGGACTGTCCGCATTTACATCATAAGAAGTGCTGGAGACGTCCGCAATCTGATCGATTATCGATTGAGAAGCGTTTAGTTGTTCGAACTCACCAAACAAGTGATAGTGGCATCGCAACTCATGGGAATGTTTGAAAAAAGAAACTGAAAGGCGTCTCGACCCGACATTGACCCGTTTATAAGTCTGACGTTGAACCCAGTGATACGGTAGCCGTTTTTGTTGAAATTGATCGTTCCAAATGGAGCTTCAAAATAGAAACTTCCTCACAAACCGATAATCCGACCAACTTGTAATATTTCGAGCTGCTAAATCGCCTCGAACGCTTTCAGGACTAACAGTGTTGGAAACTTGCGCCATCGTATACATCGCTTCATAGAGTTGAATTGAAATCAAAGCTTCCTGGAATCTTCAAATTTCTGGAAAAGAATGCAAAATGTTGACTCACGTCGTCGTTTTGAAAAGAAAAACTTCTCGCGAAATCCGATATTTTTGCTCTGTCCTGCTTGTCATTGTACAACTGTCATTTCAAGTTAGATATTTCGACTTTGACCAAACTCACGATGAGCGCTTTGTCGTACACGTTCAAAAGCGAGGGATCCGATTCCCAAGGCAACGAAAGCTCTTGTAGCTGAAGAACTGTGGGTGAGCTGCACGCTTGAAAAAAACCTACAGAGAATCTCGTCAGGACCAGAACTGGAGTGTAGCCGTTCTCCGCAGTGTAGTTCCGGGAATAGAACGCTTGGAGAAACTGTGTGTAGTCGGCCAAATTGTTACCCAGGAGAGCCACAACCACTGAAATAAAACTTCAAAATATCCCAAAGAGCCGACGAAACATGTAGGGAGAGGTCCGAAATAGGCTTGCCTCAACTCAAGGGATGAACAAAGAAAAACTCCAAGATTCAATATGTTTTTTGCGTTCTGTCCAAATTTTTAATAGCCAGTTTGACGTCAATTTCGAAAGTTTTCCTGTTTTTTTTTTCATAATTTGAACCAGTTGCGATTGGTGTTCATAGTGAATCACAGTAATCAGAGCTGGTTGAAACACGAAAGATCAGTAACGAAGTCTGATTCTCTACCGTTCACACAATATTTTCCTTGTCTTTTTAAGGCACTTTCTTTGAATTTGGTCAAGTTTCTCCCAACAACTCTAGTACAGATTGAACCTTGAAGAAAAAGGAAGAAATTATGAACGTTTACGAGAAAGTTAAGCTATCAATTATTTAGAGTCATAAGTAGAAAAATCATTAAAAAATCAACACCAGAGTTTTATATTTTACGAGAGTATATCATGCAGATGAATAACCTCTAGTGACGTCGGTCAAGTCTCCGAACATGGTGGCCAAGGTCTGCCGTGGCGTGTTCGGCTGCACTCGCCACGTCTTCGTGATGGCGATGCTTTTCGTCGCTATCATCCTCGAGATCTCGCTGAATCTGTAAACAGGGGAGTTTCCTGATCCTGATTTTAAAAAAAACCTTTTTTCGCTTGCAAACACGTCCGTCATATAGCAGGAGGCACAATAAAGAAGAGAAATCTAGAATTGAATGTTCTTTTTTACACACATCGGGTTTTGAAGAATTAAACTTGAGTAGTTGCCGCATATAACTTTGAGGGTATCTCCAATATTTTAAAGATTCCAAAAGCCTTTAATAAATCATTTTCCATTGAAAAGCTGCTTGCCGTTTTTATAAATGAAGGCTGAAGGCGTTTTCCAACAATTAGAGACAGTCTACTGTTTCATGAAAAACCAAAAATAGCATTTTTTTTTTCATTATTTAGGACTTCTGGTGTTACATACGCGATGCGAAATCATTATTGCATTTAACAATCGTCACGCTGCTAAGAGAAAGTATAGAAAATTATAAATGTTTAACCGAATAAATTATTTTCAATTCAATTAACGCGTACACATCCTAAAACCCTGAGTATGGTCACAAAACTTACCCCAGTCCACTGGAATCCTCTGGCCAAGCCGATAATATTCTCGGCGATGTTTACCGTAGTCCTTGCGGACATCTGAAGAAAACAACTAGAGTTTTGGGTAAGGAACTCAGCGAAAAAAAGAGACCTGAATGAGACTATTGGTATAAATTGATTCTCCGAAGATGTTGAGGTGTGGAAAACGAAGAGAACTTGTGATCCCGAGCGCAAGTTCAACATCTGGAAATTAGTCGCCAATTAGTATTAGTAGTCGTCCAGAGACGCTTTTCGTATCATTGTTCATCAGGCAATTAACTTCAAAAAAGTTTGTTTTCGAAAGAAGAGAAAGGAGTTGATAAACACTTGTCTTCTATTTTATTTCTTTCATGGTCCTCGATGTTCATGAAAAGTCGGAAGATCTTCACTTCATTCCGCACTCAACCAAAACACGACACGGTTCAAAAAAACTCCAAATTTCATTGTTTTTCGTGAATCGAACGTCTTTTTTTCCGATTCCGAGTATACCACAGCACTTCTCAAAAGATTTTTAGAATATTTTCTGCTCTGCCGTCTCAGGATAGTTTTTTTTTTTGATAACGCTGTAATCCAAATTTCTTTGAAAAACTGAAGGTGAAAAAACTGAATATTATACAGATAAAAATATTGATTAAACAAAATCAAGGATTTCACAAAAGTTACTGCGAAGGGAAATGATACTATCGAAGCGAAAACTTTCATGACCCCGTATGGAAGGCTTTAATAAATGGTTCTGCTCATGAAAGAGCTTATTTTGACGTTTAGAGAGCAATTATCAGCAACTTATCAATCTTGGGTAAACTACGGCAAACGTATAGACGATTCACGGCTAGCTTGGGACGCAAAAAGGCGTGGCCTGTCTGCACTCTCCACCAACCAGGGCACTGTCTCGTCTCTTTTCGTGGCAGGACCCTTTTTTCGATGGCTCAAGCCAGCCGTGAATCAGCTATATTTACCGATTTTCGTAAAACTGAAAGCAGTTTTTTTTTTTCTCCATCACAAACCTATTCCGTCTAAACTTTATATTCGGTGCCAATTTATACGAAATGTTCTTTTAATTTGGGGGTTGGCCTAATCTCGCAGCTCTCTTCCCTTCATTGCGGCCTCGTCCAAGTTGCGAAATCAAAAATAGTGCTCAATCCTGACCATAAACTACTGAGTGGGATTTGGAAAAGGAACCTTTTTGACAGGTTGGCCCAATCACGGCGACGGAACTTTGTTTGATGGCTCCACTCAGAAGAAGATTGATGTCGTTCAATGACGTCATGTCATCATTGCACGCTTCTGACGTCTGCGTCTGCCATCTGAAATCCTTCTCACGGAATCACGAAATTTAAAGCTGAAACCCCAATTCTCAACTTCCAAACGATTTGTTCGATTGAAAATACATTTTTATACGGCCCGAAAACAAAGTACACCTAGGACTACAAGAGATAAAAAAAAATTAAAAAACCTAAACTCAGTAAGCTCGCTTGAACAAACATGCGATTGAAAAAAAGGAAATTTTCGATGTGATGATAGATAAAAGGTTCAAAAAAGTATTGCCCAGTTGATTAGCCCATTTGAAATCGGACCGGAAAGAGTGGAAAAAGCGTCTAAAGAACTGAAATGCTTACGCATTTCTATCCGTATCAAAGTGCTTAGGAAGTGGAGATATAATAGTTTCTTCTCTTTCTGCCATTCGAAACGAGGAAGTGAACCCACTGATAAGAGGAGCCGGGTTCGAAGCCGGCAGAAGCGAGTTCAGACTTGGTCCGCTGAATGATCTCGACGGCGTGGCGGATGGAAGTGTCGGTGAGGATGGTGATCGTCTGAGAAGTGACGACGTCGGCCAGCCAGACGAAGACGATGAGGCCGACGACGCAAGGAGCGCGTCGTCCGCACTTTCGCCGTCTTCCTCCAATGGCCGGTGGCCCGCGAAACGTTGTCGGATGGAAGTCGTCAGGAACGAGAGGCCTACAGTATTTTGAGAAAATTCTTTATTTATTTTTCCTTTTTTCTTCGGAAGAAAAAAGAGCAATAAGAAAATATGAAGCGAAATTTCCCGGCCAGGGATTAACAGTGAAAGGCACAAACAGTTCAAATTTTAGGTTTCCAGAAAAGGACGAAAATTTCCGATAGAGCTTACTTAAACATAACATTCAGCAGGGGCGATTACTTCAAGAAACTTATTCTCTCTATAATAATTCTTCTAACATTCTTTTTGCATGAATGAAATTATAATCTGTGTTTCATCATTAATTATCAAGTCATCATCACAATTAATAAGACCAAGCATCAGCCGCCGAACCGGACAGCTGTGAAGCACAACCCTCACTTCCAAGATCATAACTCCTACCTGGAGATTTCAGAGTGACAAGCCGACTGTGTGATTTCCAAGTTTGGGGATCGCGAGTAATTACCACGGTTGGCGGTGTCGGGAGGATGAGCAAGAAAAAAGAGCCGACAAGTAAGAAGTAGAAGCTCCGCCCTGCTCGGCGAGCCCGTCGCTATGACCACGCGAGAACCTGTTGACTTGTTGGCGCGACATGAATAACCGCCACTTAGGAGCGCATCCTTGGCGTCGGAGCAATCTTTATCCGAGTCATTGTGATAAAAGGATTACCGGAGAGGGATTTCCGGGCAATCTGATATACAGCGGCCGTCGAAAGCTACGGTATCAATATGGAACAACTTCCTTGTTAACTCTTTTTTTTTCGATTGAAATACCTTTGAGTTTTGAAGGTTTTTAATTTCATATATTTAATTTGATGAACTTTTTCTGATACTGCATCTATCAATTTTGAATTGAACTTATAAGTTGTAATTAAGACCTTGAAAAATTTGAAAATGGAAGTAATTAGATCCGAAAAAACTGATTAACGAAAAAAAAGCTCACAGAAGAGATTATAAAAAATAGTTCCTAATTCCTACACTTCATGCTCGAACCTCGGTAACCGGTCATTCATGAGAATTTCTAGAGATCCCTTAGCGGCGTCAGCACTCTCAAGTGTTCACTACAAAGCTCAAACGTCCGAAGCGCGTCCGATTTGCGTTACCGATGTCAGAGTGAGTTTTTAGATCAGATCTCATTGGAGCGAAATTACTCAAGCAACTGGAGCTGATGCTCATTTTTCGAAATAAGTTGTTCCCACCGTACCTTTATCAAATCCGGCCATTTCAGAGGATTTGCTGACAAATGTGGCATTATATAGATATGCACTCAACCTTTTCTGATTGCACATAATGCAAGATTATCCTTGCCTCGCCACTTAACGATTCCATTCAACTGGAGCAAATCTTCTCTATTCATTCTTACTGTAGTCCATCAAGCCGAAAGGATAATGGTTTATTCGCGCGACAAATAGAGGAAATTAGTAAATCTCGTGGAGCCTTTCTCGTTCGCGCAGTTGCTGCTCCTCCTGCGCATGTCTGTACTGAAAAAAGAATCGAGGATGAAAAGGTCGAACCTTGGCAAAAATTTCGCCTTTTCCATGTTATTATCTCTATTTCAGCTCTCACATTAGAGAAGGGCGGATGTTTTTCTCTATTTTTGCTTTGTTATACAGAGATAATGAGGGGGAACCGAACTGCGAATTTACATTCTTTTTTTTCTAGCAAAAGAGACAGGTAATATCCGCAGGACGGAAATTTGACACTCGCGTTTGATAAGATTTTAGGAATTTTTCTCATTTTCTCTTTTTTTTTTTAGCAGTAGGAGGAAGAGAGCAAAACATATATAAAAAGAGAAATTTTAGACAAACCTTGCTCAAATAGCTGACATCTGCGTGGGCGTAATAATTAGTTTCGCCGTGGGGCAAATTTGGATCGTCGACTTGATTCCACATTTTTATCCGGAGTATTAGTCCTGTAAAGCCGTAAATTCAGTGAAAGGTTTGTGGAAAATGTCTCTTCCCTTGAGAGGTCGTTGAGTGACAAAAACAGCAAAAAAAAATTTTGGAAAAAGAAAACATTCTAGAAGAAGCTTTAGGCTAAAGCCTTTAGCTGAACTCGACCATTTGAAACTCGAACCTTCAAACCGAAGTAATTTGAACTTTTTTAGTGAATTTTTTTCGGTCAATCTTAGTATCGGAAACTTATGTGAGTCAACGATCAAAAAGACATTTTTACCGGTCAAAAGTCCGCCGCAAATCGAGCAACTGAGGACAATTGTCAGTCCGGCAAGTTGATAAAGAGCTTGGGATTGATTTTCGCGGTCGCCGTTCATCGGTCCTCCTTTCCAGTATGGATAAATGTGGTAAAGCCTGAAACCGTTTTTTTTCTAGGGACTTCAAAAAAAGTCCCAACGTTTTTCCATAACTTTCAGCGTCATAAAACCAAGCGAAAAATATGCCAATGATCCCAGACAAGATGCCCGGCAAGCCGTGCAGATTGTGTACGCCACATGTGTCGAAAATATGGAAACGACGTTCCATTTTTGGCTGAAACGAAGTTTTCTTGAAATGATCAAAAGTTTGGGTTTACACTAAGCCAAGCGTGTCCAAACACTGAGAAAATCGAAGCGATGACCCCAACGGAAACCGCGTGGAACGGCAACAGAATCACGTTGGCCGCACAACCTGTGGAAGTTATTTTTCAGGTTATGATGAAAAGTTCAAGTGGGAGATCACAGGGAGAAAATATATTTTTTTGAAGAATTGAAGATATGTTTGTGTTTGAATTAACATCTCATCTTCATCTAACTGCCACTTAAAAATTGAAATAGGATATTAGAGAAGTCCCTTTTCGGGTTTCTTTCCTGAGCCAACCAGAGTCAGATCTTTTTTACTATCTTTCTCTCTTTTCAATAACTCAGTATCTACTTCATTCGTTTTCTGGCTTTTTTTTTTGTCCCCCATTTCTACCGATAGCCACGCCGCCCGAAAGCGTCGAACTCTGGATGTGGATCATGTTGAAACGGGCGAGTTTGTCGACCATAGAAGAGAACAAAAAAGTGGTGACTGTTGCCGATGCCATAGCCAGATAGGTATTCATGATGGCTCGATGACGTGCGTCTTCTGAAAATCGACACCTTGACGATTTACCATAGTCTCAACCTCACCTGGCTCTTGTACAGACGCATTGAATGAGGGGAAAAATACCCAAAGAAGAAGGGTTCCTGGAAACATGACACACGTTGGAAGAAAAGGAAGAAGGTGGGACCGATCATGGAGAAGAGGTCCGAGTGGTGGATTCCGCCCTGCTCGTCCATTTCCATCACGTTCTTCTTGGTCCCAACCACCGCCGCCGCGAGTCCGAAGTAGGCTCCGAAGGTGTGGACACACAAAGAGCGTCCGCTGTCGTTCACCTGCCAACCACCATTTCAAAAAAGATATCAGAGAGATTCCGATCCAAACTCATAAATTTTCATAAAACCGTGATATTTTTGAAACACTCTGAACTGTGGCTGATTAACCTGGTTGGAAACTTTCAAAGTATTGTTTCAGTGACCAGAAAATCTCTAACTAGTTCTCAAATCTCAAACAGCCAAGCTTTAAAAATTAACAAAATGCCTATTTTTTTGTAAATCCTAAATTGTTGATCCCAGATAAAAGTGAAACCAGGGAAATGACTTGTTAATTTATAAACAAGATAAATGAAAGAAGACTTTTTCGCAATTCTTTAGCACTAATGATAATTATTATAGAAAAATCTACAGACTGCTAATTTTTCGTTATTGAAACCAACAGAATGACTTTGCAATCTTTGAAACCTTGAAAAAGACCATAAAAATTATCTTTTGAAAAAAATTAGCCTGTTTTTTTCAATAATAGTTGAAAAAACGTGAAGAATGTTGAAGACGACGTGCTCGACGCAAACGGCAAGACTTGTCTCGAAGAAGCTGAGCAAAAGGAATTGAGAAGGCGTCAGTCTGCCCAGAAGCACTCCCATCGTTATCAGGACGACTGCGCACGAGCTGTCGGCAGCTACCATTCTGAAAATTCAAAGTTTTCCGCTTGATTTTTGAGGATGTGTGCGTTTATACCTTTGAAAGGGTGTAAAAAGTTGCAGCTTCCTTTCTAAACTTTCGCCTAGCTAGTTAAATTTCTAATTTTTACAACGCAACTCTCGACCAAGCGTTTGTGTTAAGTAGCCTCATGGTACAGTGATCGAGAAAAAAAAAGATAAATTGCTGAGTTACCAAGAAAATGCTTGCCGAAAAAAAAAGCAGAAAACGCCAAAAGTGCTTTTATTGGGTTTTTAGATGGAAAAAGTTTTGCTAGCTTCGATCCTAGTAGGAACTGCTAGGAAAGTTATTTTGACAACCGATGAAAGCCGTTCTGAAGCTTTTCTGCGCACAAACTGATTTAGTATTCAGGAAATGAAATGAATCCGTGATTTGAAACTCTTCAAAGAATTTGTTACAAGGTTCTTGGTTATTCATACTCAGGAATGCCGATGGTGAAGTATCCAGTGTCGTGGAAGCGCTTGGTGAGGAACCCGCGGAGCAGGATGGCGTACTGGATGACGAACGCCGAGAGCAGCAGGTTGACCGAGACCGCCGAGAAGCCATACCTCTAGCAAACAGCTTTCCGTCATCTCTCAGTCCTCCACAAACCTTCAAGAACGCCATCAGGAACCCAAAACCCACGAAGATCATCAAGTGAACGTCTTGGAACACTGAAAATCGGTCAACCGTTTTTGATAGCAAGAAAACAAAATGACTTACATACCTGTACAGTATACATGTCCACCGAGAGTTTTATTGAGAATAAACAACTTTTTTGCGGAATTTACACTCTGTTAAGTGAACCCTGACTGCATGTGATTATTCGGAAAAGATTTTTAAACCATTTTTTTTTTACTAGATAATATCGGATGGGTAAGAAAAAGTTTCAAAACTCTTTTAAAAAGAGTTTTGTTTAAGATTGTTTTTCGCGTGAGCTACGAAATAGTTTTAAAAGCCACAATTATTATGTGTAAAATTTAAATTTTTATTTAATAAAGCTTATGTGACTTGACTTTTCTCGAAAGGAGTAGAGCATTAACTACAATAAACTTACTTTCAAACCAAGGACTTTTCCCTAAAAGGGTTATTTCCACAACGCTTATTTTTTTTTCGCAAAGATAAAATTGGACCTAAAGTTTAGACTTAAGGTCTTGAAAAATGACGAATGAAGCATGAAAAGATCGAAAACAGACTTACAGGGATAATCAGTTCCAGAATAGACGCGTCGGCTCTCCTCAAGAGGATCAGTATATCTACAAAAGACGGAGAACAGAATAAGGAAGAGCGTCTGGAAAAAGGCGGCCATGAGGGAGAACTGCCGCCTCTGCAGCACCGACGTCATCTTCAGAAGCTCTTCCGAGGCGAAGATGTTGCAACGACTCGTCTAACGGCGCCGTCGCGAGTAATCAATAACCGACACCCGTTCAATGCCACTATCATATCGCCTACCGGAATCTATGGGGTCGCCCAACTTCAGGTAAACTTCTTTTCCTTCTACGCCCACAAATCATTTTTCAGCGACGGCTGCTGACAGGCGCGGCGCATACTCAATCATAACGCTTCTTAAGACCCCAAAAAATTGCTACCCTGTGGCCAAATCGTTCCTTTACCAACGGGAAAAAAAAATCCACCACTCCGACTTTGCCCGAGCCTTCCTAACCAATTATATTTGACTGTGAAAGCATGAACTTAGAAAAAATGACCTATATAGTAATAATCTTCATAAACAAAGTTTATTTATTATTTCAAAAAGTCTAAAAATAGGGGTCTTTTTCAGCGTGAATTATGAAATTTTTAATATATTTTCTAAAAAACTTTCTGAAAGTTCTCAGACCTATTTTCAAAAACCAATATCTTCACAGATATAGAAAAAAAGATATACCAACGCAACATCAAAGTTTTAGAGAAAACCTAAAAAATTCAAAACTTCACCCTGTAATAATTCTCTTAAAAAATTTTCGTTTTTATTCATTCCCGCTCTTAAGGGATTTCACCTGACTTTGTACTTCGTCTCACTTTCATCCTCATTTTCTTCCCATCTCTCATACAAACTGAAAACACATGTATTTTAATTATCATCAAACAATAATTTAGCGATATAAACGTGAACAAAATGTCTAAGAGACGAGGGTACTCAGAAATCTTCTGCCTGGCAGACAAGACGAATGGTGCGGATGTCGTCGTCAGAGAGCTTCAGAGATCTAAAAATGATTATTACACTGTTTGAATTACAGGTTATTTAACCTCAAATGGGGTCCAAAAGCAGAATGAACTCTTTTGAGCGAAGAAAGGAGCGAAGTGTGAACCAACCGCAGAAAAGTGACGTCTCCTCGGTCAGAACGGTCGACAGTCGACTGTAGGGATAAAGAATTGGAATTTTTCGGCTATGCAATGTGAAAGCCACATCTCAAAAGCATCTACACAAATTTCGCTCCGCTTTGCACTTTTAATCATTTTTCTCTACACACGTCATATATGAAAAGCAATAAAAACTAATTATTTTGAATTTAAAAAAAAAATGAAAAATACAAATTCATTGAAGCTCTTATGATATTTTGATGTCGAGAGACTTCATTTTGAACATTTATCCATTAAAAAGCCGTTATCAGCCCCTCGGCCTGTTAGCACTATTTTCATGATGAATTGCCTGATTTCAGGCTTTTCGGTTTCTTAACGAGAGAAACTAACGGCTCTGGCGCGTTCAAATGTATCAATGTTGAGCAAAACGCGACACAGCAAAGAAACCAAATCCTTGAGATCTTTCTGCACGACGCCATAACGATCCTCGTGCAAAGAGTCGACGACCAGCATGTATAAACCTGCAAGTGATCCCTCAAGGAGGCCATCATCCAGCACAAACCTTCTGCTGCCAGAGCGCACAAGTGAGCTTCATATCTAGAAACGACGAGAGCTGGAGCAATCGGAGCGATTTTGCGAGACCTGCAGAACTAAATGTGTGAGAAAGGGATGAAAAGGGGAAGAAAAATAATGAAATAAATGTAAGTTCCGGAAAATTTTAATTTTAACTCAAATTTTTAAAAAAGATACTTACTTAAGATATCACTTAAAAAAGATATCAAAAAATGTTAGATATAGAAAATCTGAAAAATTCTGAAGCCTGACCACTTATTCGGCGCCGGAGCTGTGAGAGGTCGGAAAATGGGTGCTTGTCTCTGTCTGGGGAACGCTGAAAAAATGAAACCTATCGAGATTCAGCGGGTATAAAATGACTTCCAGGATGAAAAGATAAGCAAAAAAGCTCTTTTTTGGTATTTTTAAAGGGAATTTTCCAAAAAAATGTTTTTGAAGGTTAGTTTCACAAAAACTGAAGATATTCACTATATTTTTTTTTATCAAATTCAAGATTTTCCCTTGTATTTTCCTATTTTTTCCAACAACTGACCGAGGTCGCGCGACTTTTGCGGCATGAGAAGCATGTCCTTGGGCGCCGACGGATCGTCTTCGTCGTGGTCGGCCCAGGAAGAGCCGGTGAGTCGCGCAGAAGCCGCCACGATTTTCGAGTTGAACTCCTCGAGGACGTTGGTGCACGCCGCAGAGATGGCCTTCCAGTTTCGTGGATGACCGCCGGGTTGGCTCAGGGAGAAGACATCTTGACGTCTCTTGGCATCGTTCCAGGCCACGTCGCGTAGATCCGTGAAAGCGAATACCTTCAAGGTATTACTTTGATTCTGATCTTGAGTGCTATCAAATATCCTCGAAAAAAATGGGGTAGGAGTTCTAACTCTTTAAATTTTGTAGCACAACATGACCAGGAAGTTTCGTCTTTTTTATTTTTTTCTTTTTTTCACCAAAACTTTCATGTGGTAGACAACATTTATTTCAAAACTTGCTCGCCCCAAGTATACAACTGTGAAAATCTCGATGATATTCCGAATGGAGAGAAGATAAAAACGAGCCTTGAGCTGCTTGTCGGAAGTTTCCAGAACATTGGTCAGAGTGCGAGTTTGTTGTGGCGTTGGCGAATGAACTGCATACGGCGGCGGAAGCGAAAATTGGATCGGCTGGAAAAAAAATATTCGAAAAAGCTTCGATTTTTCGATATTTGATAGATCTCTAAATATTCAGCGCCCAAAGCCGAAACAAATAAATTATTCTTCTCCACTATTAGATAAAACTTAAACTTACTTCTTCGAAAAAAAGAACTTACGGTCATAATTATTTGATTCGTGATCTTGATGCTGAGTTTGTAATAGATATGTTGGCAGAACAGGTTTGAAAACACGGTGAAAAAGAAAACAGCATCAAAAACAACAAGCAACGAACGGAAGCCAACGAAAATAAGACCTGAAGAAATGAAAAATGTCAGTATTTATGAAACAGATACCCAAAACAATCTGAAGAGCAACCGTCGCTCCGAAAGGACACGAGGCCTCGATCGCGCAATTTTTCAAGAAAACCAGAAAAGATTCTGACGTAATTGCGCTGATCAAAGATCTTATAGAATCCTTAAATTCATGATTCAGCGACTTTGATTAGAAAACCCTTTACAATTTTGGAATTCGGGAAACGGAGCAAAAAGTCATTGCGGAGGACAACAAGGCACGAAGAAACCAAGCACCCGATGCTGATCGAAGTCAAGTAAACTCTGCAAGAAACAGAACCGAAAATTGTGAAAACTGAAAAATTGTACCTCGTTTGATAATAAGAGGACGTGGTGTACAACAGAAAGATTGTGAAAACCATTTTGTGAGCGAACTCTAGAGCAATCGCCAAAATCGTCTTCAAATTTGTTGGTGAGAGTCGCGGAAGCTGGTCAACTGCAATTTCGTATAACATACAGCCTTAAGAAATATTAATAATTGAGCTTACCGTCAAACAATTGAGTTATCATGATGTATATCACTGCCATGGAGAAAGCACCGAAAGCTGCCATCGGAAACCAGTGAAGAGGAAAAATAAACCAGAAAATAGCTCCTGTAGAAATAATTTTGAAAAATATCAACTCATTCAGATTTACCTTTGACAGAGGCAAATGGTGACCAAACAGAACAACTGAGCAAAACTTTAAAAAAAGAAAAAATGAGAACAGACAGAAACGCACAAGCTGCAGCAGCTAAGCGTGTCCTAATAAACAACTGAAAATATAAAAATGATTAGAATTCTCTCATATTCAATTCAGTACTTCAGCTCGGAACCAATTGATGATTTGATCAAAAATTGTGGTAGTGATTGTCGGGCGAGAAAATGAGCCATTCATGTTTGGACTACGTGTATGGGACATTGAAACGTTTTTTGAGATACCTGGCAAACTGAAAAAAAAAATCCATTTATAATTTTTCTCAGTAAAAAAATTACCGTCGAGAAGCAGATCCACTTGAGAAAATCTTATCATTTTCAACAAGTAGTGAAGAGCTGGGAGAGGCGAAATCGCCCAACATGCCGTAATCTGAAATTTGAAAGCCTAAGCTTAGAAAATGAAGGAAAAATTCATGCTATTCTGAATAAAACATCAAAGAGAGAGAAAACCAATGAGAAAATACAAAAAAATGATGAACTCTTAATTTGACAAGAAAAAGGTCACTGTTTTGATATAAAAAAAAAATCGACCTTCCCATGTAAAAATTGTTTTTCTGGAGCCGTTTTTCTCTCACTTTTACCACAGTAACACAAAAGCAGACTGCTGGTATCAGAAAAATATAGGAAAGAATGAAAAAAAAAAGTTTGAAATCGCGATTAAAATTCGAAAAAGTTCAAATTTTGGCGCGTATTTTGGTGATAAGGACAAGCGTGCTCCAGCGAGATGAATCGAGATCCGGAGGGCCTGCTTAAGGGATGAAAATCCGTTTTTGCCTGTGATTAAGCCGAATTCGACCAAAGTGTGAATAGAATATTCTCACCGAAACAAACCCAAAAACCAAATTAATATAAGCGTTCAGAAGCTCTAAGCCCGTGACCGTAATAATATCAGCAAAAAAAGAATCATGAGAAACGGAAACTCCTAAAATAGAAATTCTGAAAAAGAGCCAACGAGAATTCTCAAATTAGTTTGAGTTTCTCAAATAATTATTTCTCTCAATAATTTCTTGAAAAACTTTTTGCAAAGGTTATTATTCATAACCTTTGCAAAAGTTTACTTTTCAATTCAAGCTTATGCCGTGTTCAAAGTGATTCCGCGAAATTCAAAAATAGCCGTCAGAGAAAGAGAAAGATAACTGAATTTTGGAGGGTCAGAGACCATTTCGCATTTCGCGGAAATTACTTTGAACACGGCATTAGAAGTGAGGTCGCTCTCTGTCCAATATATAATACTCTGAAAAGAAAAAAAAAATAAACAAAGTTTTTGATGTCCAGTATGAATTTGTTTTTGCATTGTAAGATGTCGACTTTCCAAAAGCTGAACATTTGTTGTCTTGAGATAATCCACCTTCGAGCTGTTGGAAGGAAAACTCAACAGGTGTCCGTGCGGCGGCTGCACGCCGCGAAATGAGCAAAATGTTCCGATTCGCGCTCGTTTCACTTGTTTTCCTCGTTGCTTCCCATGCCGATAGCTTTTCCAACGAAACAAAATACCGTGAGTTGAAATCAGATATATTCTGGACTAGTTCAGAAGATTTCGAACAGTTCGAACTGAAAAAATCTTAAAGATGACGGTCGACTTTGGGACGTAATCGTCGAGACTTGCGACACTGAAGGAGCTGGAACTGACGCCTCTGTGTACCTCAAGATTTTCTACGAGTCAGGACATGACTCTGAAGTTTTCAACCTCGATAATCCGAGCAGGTAGTGCTGCAAAAAAATTGATAACGTATTATTTCACAATCCTCTGTCCAATGCTTCCTTTTTAATGAAGACTTATAAGACCTATACTAAAACTAAATGAAGTTTTCATGATTTTTTTTTGAACAACTCCCGTATATGACGTACTACTGAGCCAGTTTTCAAGAACCTTTCTGAAAACTTAGTCCATTCAAGGTTTTTGCACTCTAATAGTTTCGAGGGACGACTTCGAACGTGGGACTCGAGATCATTTCAAGCTGTACTTCAAACAAAGTGACATCGTCAATATGGGCTTGTTCTGGTGGCCTGGTTTCAGTATTTACCAGTCTTGGTGTGTAAATTGGGTGAGAAAATAGTCTATTTTCGTGTAATAGGAAATTTCCAGGTCCTTCTTCTGAATTCTGACATAGAAGCTTGTTTCGAAGGCATTTTCGAAAAATGGATTCTGCACTACAGGTTTGAAAATTAGGCATTCAAGTTCCGAATATTCTCAAAATAGAGACCCTCCGACGTACGCCACAAAATTTCATCGACTCAAATTCGCTGACTGCGTTCATCCGGGTCCTGCACAAGCCAAAAGACGTTCCTACCTTCGCTACGATGATGTGATCCGAAACTCAGGCGGATCTTGATTTTTCTTTGTTCTCGAGAATAAATGTTCGTAATATGAAAAAAGAAACTGTTTATTGATGAAGTGAACCTTCGAAAATCACAAACTTCAAAGTTTTGAAATGAGCTTCCGATCCGGTTCTAACCTCAATACGGCTGCGACCACTTGACTTAAGTCTTAGGTCACTCGAAGTGCGTTTCAAAGCGAGAGAAACGGACTATAAACATTTTATTTTCAGCTGTTGTCGAAAATGACAGAAAACGTGTGGACGCTGAAAATTGTCATTTTTCTACATTTCGCAGTTCAGGGATCGCAGCGCTACTTTTGCCCATAATGACCGCAATGAATCCAAGTTATAAGGTCGAAAAATGATATTATTTTTTCGAGTAAAACTTAAACTCAGAATATTTTGTCTAAATAGGTCTGAAAAGGTTTCAGCTGCGGTTTCCATTCAAATCTCTCAAAGCTGGAGCTCATGTCGAAGTCACAGGAATCGTTCAAAAGTTTATTTTTCTTCGTTTAAATAATTTTGATTCGAATTGAGTCCAAAAAGCGCGATAGGCTTAGCGAAAACGTCGTCTGGCGAAATTCCTCTCAACTACCTTACTCCAAAGTTTGTTTATTTCAAGAAGTAATATCATACAGTTTAATTTTTTAGTGAATATTCAGAGTTCTTAAAAAATCCAGTTGCTGAAAAAATACACAAATCGTATCCATTGAAAGACGATGTTGCGAGTGGCCAGTGAGTCTTTTTCTGTTTTCTGATGGTACTAGGCTTACCAGATGAGAGAGAAGTTTTTTTTTGTCTCATGAACACTATGAAAGTAGAAGGAGTAGTATTCGTAGTGGCAAGAATGAGCATAAAATCAATAATGAGTCCCAAAGAAGATATTTAACTTGAATCGCTTTTTGGCCTATTTTTTCTCGCTCAGTCCAGTTTATCAGTTTTCTGTCTATGACTTCTCTAAACTCTTCACTCAAACTAACTCCCATGAGAACAAAAGCTCGATGAACGGTTCATCGGTCCAAAAGCGTGTAGGCGTTGGTTGAGTAAGAGGAGTTCAGCTGGTGGCTCGGACGAAGGTCGGCCTTCGAGGCAGGATTCCATTTGGCCGTCAACCGGACCAACTTCGGCCACTACGCGGTAGTGCAGCCGACCGAATGGATGGCGACGGCCGACGCCTGGCCGCAGCTTCTTCTCGCCGTACGCACCATCACCGGCTGCATCGACCAGTTCCTTTACGAGTTCAGCCTCGACTCATCTTACAACGACCTTTTCCCTAATTTTCCGGTCAGAACTACCTATATCCTTTTTCAAAACTAGTTATTTTGCTCAGGAGCGAAAAGTTCAAATTGATGAAGCTTTTTTGCCCTCCGTCGAGTCCTATCCTCCTATTATGTACTTCAGAATAATCCTAGACAGGCAAGAAACTTTTCGATAAAGTACAGGAGTAGAAAAATCCAGAAAAAATGATCGAACAGGCTCTTTATTTCGGGTTTCTATGGATAATTTTAATTGGTTTTTATGTTTTTTTTTGCCCTGTATAGTTCAGGTTCCGTTCCCCACGAATATTGTGAATTACTAGAATTCAAAAGTGCAGAAAGGGAAAGTAAAGTTTCAGCCATGGGCAATACCAGCTACTCGGTGACACTCAGAAATTCATAAACCTCGAACTTCTTCTCTCCCATTACTTCGGTCTTCAAGTACCGTATATTTCATTATAACCTTCTACTTGCAGAGAATCCTCTGCCGATTCTAAGAGCAAGATTTGGGGAAAGTGTCACTTTGTTCCTGACGTCGCTGGCCAACCGTCCAGCTGATACTCAATGGCCCATACCTGGCCCAGGTATTTCATTGTTTCTTTCGAAATTAAAGAATTACAGTTGCTGTGAGTATTTCACAGTTAAAAATTGTATTGGGCAGGGCTTAAAACTTTGAGAATGGAAAAGTAGTTTTTTTTTCATTTTTAATTTCAGAATGTTCTGGAAGTCCGAAGATCATCCTCCCTCGGCCGGAAATGCGCACTATCGCGAAAAACCCTTTCAAAGACTACCACGTCAGGTGAGTCCGCAAAAGTCTCTGGATTTCGTTTCTTTCATCTCTCCAGAATGTGGAACCTGCAATACGACGACTCGAACGCGAGGTTGATGCGTCTTGGCGTGATGACTGTGAATGGGGCCTTCACCAAAGTGTGCATCACGACCGTCAACGATCCTCTTTACTACAATTCGAAGCAACTCGATGAACAGATCAGGTGGAAGGAAATGAGATAGTTCCATTTGTTTTCTTGATTTCAGTTTGCTGAATACCGCGGCCAAAGACCCCAAATTGTGCGTTTTGAACTCTTTTTTCTGAAGAAACAAATTGATCTGCAGGCACTACGCTGGTTACGACAATCTCGTCCATTTCGTCGACGTCGGCATAGATTCGGTAACGTATTTATCTTAACACTAGGGTGCACTCGAAATCGTACTAACTTCTTTTTGTTGGAACTTTTCCAACTTTCAACTTAACGTAGATGTTTTTCTGACTTCTCTAAAGTCTGTGTTCATCTACAGGTATCAGAAAAATTTTAAAAACCTACGAAAATGCTTCATTACGGTTAATCAATCAATCAATCAATCAATATTTATTGGTTGTTTTAGTCAGATGGTATCGACTAGGCGGTGAAAAAATTACTCTTTTGAGCGGCACTAACACCGCCTTTGTCGAAAAAGAAGTCAAAACGTGTAGTCGATTGAATTGAAAGCATGGTCTTACGGTCCTTCTCCTCGCTCTTCCACAAGTAGATCCCTCAGTTTCGCGGGTACGGGCACGGCGGGGATGGTAGGGCTCGGGCACGGACACCGTGTACACTCTAGGGTAGCCTCGGCCGATTGTGAGAGCTACCACTTCGAGTGAAGAAAATACACGGAATCACTCGAAAAAATCATGCAAGCGTATATGAAAGGCTAAAAAGTCTTATTATTTTCGAAAAAAAGTGAGCTTTTCTGGTTCTGATTTGTTCTAAAAAAAGAATTGGAGAAAATTCATAAATCATTTATTTATGATAAATGAAGCTCTTTTCATTCTACGAAACGTTTGTTGCAGAACTTTTTCTGGCGCGCTGTCGAGTACGCAGAGGGCCTTTCGCTGCAACGCGTTCTCCAAAAAAGGAAAGTCCTCAACGAAAACTTTAGTCAGCGGATACAGTGCGAAATCGCCTACCAGGTTGAGTTGAAGAGGGGATTTTATGTAGGGAAGACAACTTCCAGATTGCCAGTGGAATGGCCTTTTTGGAACGCAACGGACTTTGCCACAAGCAACTCATGTGTTCGAAGATCCTCGTGACCAAGGACAGTACTGCGGCGATGGTCGTCAAAGTCGCAGACTACATGCTTTCCCACCACTTTCTGAACGATGTGCCTTTTTCTTCTAAGGCTTCTTTCTGAAAACGTTTCTCAGAAAAAGGGAACGTATCACGAAGAAATGGTTGCTTGGCCGTGGGCCGCGCCAGAAGCTCTCCTCAACAGGGAATACGGCATCCGCGCAGACGTCTGGAGCTTCGGCTGCGTTATTTTCGAGGCTTGAGAGCCGAACTACAGAAAAAAAAATGGAATACTTCAGATCATGACTCTCGGCAAAGCGCCATTTTCCTATGAAAATCTCAGAGAACCTAAAGAGTAAGTGATCGAAGTATAGTGCTCTGAAAATTCCAATTCAGTTTGAAGAAGCTTTTCGAGAAAAAAGACAAAATGAAGTTGAATGAGGTGATCAGGGGAACGTATCTCGCTTTGCTTTGTGAATTCTGCCAAAATTACGATATCAAGGTCGCATTTTGATTTTTGGCGTGGAATTTTAGCAATTTTTCTAGGAACGGCCAAAATTCAAAGACCTTTGTGAAATGCTGGATTCGGTTTGTTTCGACGGACAGCATCAGGTCGCAGCTCAACTTGCTCGCAGAATGCGGAAAGGCGCTTCTCCGGGACCTGTCAGCAAGACTACCGCTACAGGAATCCCCGCCAAGACCATCTCTGCGGCGACTCTCAGCAAGGCAGTTGAACCCGTGGACACCAAAAAGAAATGATCTCTTTTCCTGTCTCAGAAATGTTCATCAAATAAATATTGGACCAGGAGAGATTTTTTTCAAGGATTTTTCAATATATTGGCTTCTTTCCTAGTAAAATTGAAAAAAAAAAACTTGATGCACTTTCTCAGCCACAACTAACATCTTCCTTCTCTGCAGCCTCTTTCTCCTCAGACTCTCATGCTGACCAGGTGTCTCAGCGGGTGCACCTGTACTAAAACCATGTTTTGTGAGGATATTTGAGTTCAGTTGTGGTAAAACGGAAAAATAACGGGTGCCAGAAAAAAAGGGGATTCAACTGTGATTATTTCGAAAATCTGAGAGAACCATCTGCGCAAAAACGAGACAGATGTGGTAAAGAGAAAAAAGTCAAAGATTTTACTAGCTGTTCTATACAGATTCAATACGGGGACATCCGCTGAGATCCTGTTTTATCACGGCTGATTCTAATTCCAAAAATTCCATCTAATTCCAAAAATTGATCTCTGAACGTGAAAAAGCCTCCTCATTTCTATTCAATGATCCGCTGGCTTTTTCTGTTTTCATCAGCACTTCAAGTTTCTCATATATTGAACGTTGTCACTTCCATCAACAGTATCGTTTCCAACAAGAACACACGAAATGTTCTTTTCAGACAAATCGGAGTGGAAGGGTCCCCTGCAGGTTGACATGCCAACAGGCGAATCTCTTCCGTCAGAAGGAATCGAAGGACAATGTTTTTTTAATAATCTTCATTTTTTAGTTTCAAAACCGCTCTTTTTCAGCCGTGGTGCTGACATTGATCTCAAGATTCGCGTACGCGATCATAATCATAGTTGTCGTCCTTTTCTTGCTGGCCACGTGCGGCTTATGTATTTTCTTTTTCATTCGTGAGGTTTTTCATCAGAAACAAGCGCCATCGGAGAAATTACGAGTTTTGTTCTTTCCAGCAAAAACGGGCTAAGAGAACAAGAGAGCAGAGAGAGCTTGAGCGGTCGAGATTGTTGAGTCACACTGAAAACGAGGAACAATCTTTCGAGGTTCTATTTCATTCTATGACGAGGTATAATACTTCTCACTACAGAACGGTCCTATTTTGTTATTTTGAATCGAATAGGACAAGTGGAGTTAGTGAGCTCTAAAGTGATATTTATTTTGACTTACTAAGTCCAAAGGTTCCCATTCGTGAAGCTTAACATCTCCTTTGAATTCAAAATACATAGCTTTAAAAACTTTGGCTTTTTTTTCAGAAGTCAAAAAACTGATTGAAGATTTGAATTTTTCTTTTTCTTTTACAGTGCCAGTTATCCGTGAAAAATGAAAGCTCGAAGCAAGATTTTTCATCTCCGCTCGAGCGTGAGTGAAATCTTCTTGAAGAAGACAAATAAATCGATGATTTCAGCTTCGATGTCCAGCGACGTCATGGTTTCAGATAAAAGCAGTGCAACTAAGATTCTTGCTTAAAAACTAGGTTTGTTCAGAAATTATTGAAAGGCAAGACTTTTCGTACAAACAGAGTTTTTCAGCGAAGATTGAAGCAAGTCTATCAAAATCCCGAATTCCAGTGTCCAGAACCGACTAAACACGTCTTTGGATGAATTCAATTTTTCATTAGTTCATAAAAATACTAGAATGAAAAAAGAAACCGTAATTTTCAGTATTCCCAGTTTTTGTCATGATGACGTTGATATGTCGTTTTCTTCCAACTTCTCCGGCAGAGGCTCAGATTTTTTGCGAGAAAAGAAGCCGCCGAAGACTGTTTGAAGACCTCGTCTCCTGGAAAGAGAACAGTTATGGGGGAGAGAATAGGGACAGGACTTGTTGTTGGGTTCGATGTTCTCGTCGGGAGACAGCGGATTGCTCTCCTCGCTGGGCTCCTCGCCTTCTTCCACCGTCGACGGCAGTTGTTCTGGGATCAGCGACAGTCGCGATCGGAAGTGCACCGTGTTCGCCAAGGAGGACGAGGTCTGACCCAGGGCTATCCGGTCCTCGAGCTCCTCCAGCTCTTCTATGTCCCGGACGGTCAGATTTGCGGGAATCGTTGACGCTGTCGCTTAATTGTTTTCTTGTAGGGAGCCGAGTAAATGTGATCTCATTTCGTTATTTGTTATCAAAAATAATCGTGTCAAAATCCATTTTGTTTCACTCAGTTCATCGTCAGCTTTTTTAAAGAAATAAGCTAGTTACAGAAATGACTCATAATAAAAAAAAAAGAAACGCTCACAAGGATCTGAATGCGATGTAGCTATATGGACGCGATTGGCGGGAGTCGGTGTGAAATTCGCATCGAAGGATTTCGATACGACGATCTAATAATTCACTTTCTTGTTTCTAGTATACGTTACGGTCACCTGACTACTACTCCCATCGCTGCTCATCGAGTTTTTCGAGATCTGGCTCAAAGTGCTCTCTTCCCGAATCAAATCCGTTAGAACCTACAAAAATTGGTTATTCCCCTTATCTGGCAGCTTTTCCCACTAAAATATCGCCGTCTTCTGTGTCGACCATGCGCATGACGTCATCGATGGATAAAGTTCGCGGCAAAAACTTCAATCTGATTCGAAAACTTGGAGAAGGTTCGACTTTAGGGTCACCTCGAGCTGGTGACGGTTCTCGAAATGGACGTGCAGCTCGAAGGAAACGACAGAACCGTTTGCACCGTTTTATTGGACTTTTTCCTAGAGACGAGCGCGCTCTGCAGAAATATAAAATAGAGTTTACTCGTGTTGAATTCACCTGAACGGCTTCCCTTGTTAGGGAATGAACAGAAGACGACGAGCGGAAAATTCCTGAAACGATAAACTTCTTGAGCTTGACTCCTATCTTACCTAAACTGCTGCCACGTCTCCGAATGTCCGCCCCAGCAGGTACCACCAAAGCGGCGGTCCCATGATCAATACTCATTATTTCGATGACTCTTCCTGCATCGTAAGTTCTTTCCAATTTGGCCTGAACTTTTCACTTCACTCAAAGAAAACATTCAAAAGCACCTGTATCAAATTGATACACATTGAAACAAGGGACAGTCCGATGATGATGTAGATGAAAAGCATGAGAAGGTATTTTGGCTGCGTCGGAGTTATGTCTCCAAGGCCGATCGTACTGTAAATCGATTTATTGAATGTATCTTTTGAAAAGTATAGCATATCATTTTTTCACAGTTTTCAATAATTTAACCGACACAAAAAATTATGCTTGAAGATCTTTGTCGGTTAAAAAAATTTTTTTAACATCTCAAGCTGTTATTTAGTCATTTTCAAGCCTAAAAAAAGTTGATTATAGCGCGAAAAATTATATTATTATTTGAGTCATTCGAAATTTTGTATACTCAAACTTTTGCAAAAATAAAATTCGATAATAAAAACCTGAGAGAGATGAAGAAAAAGTAAAAAGCGACGAAATAGTCCCAGTCACTCTCCCAAATGCAAAAAGTCGCCGAGCAAATGAAGATCCAGGCTACGACGACGAAAATTGCAATCGGAATGGGCAAGTCGAAAATTTCGAGGTCTGCAATATTTCTTTTTTTTGTGTCCGGAAATTTTTTGAGAAAGTTTGCGTTTATTAGAGTTAGGTTTGAAACTTGCAATTTTCAACTTTTAAAATTTGATCAGGTTATCTTGTCGATAAGCTATATGAAGATCTCAAGGCAGAAATTTGTTTTCCCAATTATTTCGAGTCTTGGAATATTCCTGTGCATTGACAATCATAACAAGCATTATTCTTTAGAACAAATTTTTTGTGGGCTTTTTTTTATAATTCTCTCAAAGGAATTATTTTTTCATCTGTGAATAACCTCGACGATCATCGTCGTCCAGCTTGCGGATCTCGGCCAAAGTCTGCTTCGTACAGTAACGGAACGCCCTTCTGCAGGCGCACTTCAGAAGCCACCACGGCGTTTTCAAACAACGCGTCAGAAGTTTCCCTACAAAACAAGTCATTCCGCAGTGCATAACTCTCTTTAAACGAGCCAAGAAAAAACATTTTCGAGTCCCTGGGGACGTTGGGAACGAAGTGAACTTCTCGACGCCATTCATTTATCATTACCACCAGCGGAAGCTGGGATTTGTCATGAATGTGGGCGCTTTCTAGCTCGAGGGTGTTGAATCGAAAAGTAACGAACCGAGGTCGTCTAAAATGGAAAGAACCAATGGTATGCCGAAAATGGCATAAACCATCGTGAAAAGTCTTCCAGGTACCGTTGAAGGGTACAAATGTCCATAGCCAATTGTAGTACAAATCGTCTGAAACACGAATTTGATAGGATTGATAAAAAGTATCCAGAAGTCTCTTCGGAAGTCTAGATTTTCAAAGGAATACTTGCTTCGGTCGATTCTCGCTTCAACTCATTTTTTTGTGAGTTTTTGCGGGTGGAAAGTCAAAATAAGTCCGAAAAAGGTGACGTCAAGATAGACAATTTTTCAACAATATTCAATAAACTTTCCCTCGAAATCTAGACTTATAAAAACCCAAGAAAGCTAGTCAAAACCTGCGCGTAGAGCATCGCGTTCCAAAAGTCCCATTTGATCTTTTGGTCTGTGTATTTGATTCCCAATTGCGTTTCGTAGTTTTCGACCATTTCGTGCAGAACCTCTGATACCTGAATCTCGAAAAAGAAATTGCTCATTCTATGCCCGAGAAATCACCTCATTTGTCTGCTCATCTGACAAGAAGAATAAATATCGAGTATTGTTAAAAAGCTTCGGAACGATTTCATTGACAAAATTGGTACGATTGGATGATATCCTGATTGAGAATCCATAAAACTTTTCATTAACTTCACAGGAAATACCTAGCTTTCCAGAGCTTCTCCTTGTCCTCATCGTAGCCGGCCTCACAGAAATAAAAGATTCCGGCGCCGATAAATTGATAAAGGACGAGTAGAGAGATCAGACAAACGTGTTTCAGACCGTAGTCGTGATAAATCTAGAAGTACTTTGATTATATCAAACTTATAAACAGAAGAAGACTAACCTTGCGAAGAATCCTGAGCCATCGAGGCGTCTTTCGGACCCTCTGAAGTCCCTGTCTAACGTCGTCCTTCACAAGTTGCGCCTGTTCAATCAATAATTCAAGACCGAAAAATGAAACGATGAGAATAAATAAATACCATGAAGAAACTTTCAAATTTCCTTTTTATTTTTTATTAGAAACTGTTTCTAGTTAGAATTACATAATTCATAAAATCAAGTTCAAGTCGAAAAACCTTGTCGCGGAAGGACTGACGCAGTCGATTGACTCTGGAAAAAGGTCTGTCCGGAACGTTGGAAGGCGACAGCATCAAGGGCAAAGGGCAGAGCCGATTGTGGCGAGTCTGCAGCGCGAGAATCGCCCTCAAGTGGTCTCTTGGGAGCGGCTCTCCGTACCGCTCATGAATCACGCCGGACGCTTTGGGACCGCTTCAACATTTATTCAACGTACGAGTTGCTAATAAATTGCTTCTGATTCTCTTCGACAGCACTTCTCGTTTTTGTTGAGCAGAGTGTAAATTTTCAACATTTTTATCGATTACTTTGAAAAGTGATTCTCTCTAAATATAGCCAATCAGCGACGGGTTCGACCAAAAACCAAGTTGAGACGTTCCTGACTTGTGATATACCAACATTCCAAGGTTTGAACTTTCTTTTGTGATGAAAAAACTATTCATGAGTATGAATGCCGTTCAGAAAAAAAAACGAGCAAAACCGAGAAAAAAAGGAAATTTTATTAGGCACGGGCTCTAAAAATCTTGGGGTACTGGTCTCATTTCCTTGAACTGAGACTGGAAGTTCTCGATTTTCCACACTTCCTCTACATGTTTCGGTAGGAAGTCGGCTCGTCGTTCGCCACGACCTCGCTTAGTCTGAAAAATGGTTTTATGCCAAGATGAAGGAAATATTTTTGAGTTCGAAGCTTTCCGAGAGGAAAATGAAGAAAAGCGGAAACGAACGGTTTTTTCTCGACGACATGGACTTCGCGAATTTGTCCGTCGGGATTCCTATCGTCGAGGATCTGCAACATCATCTGTCACTGGCGGCATGGACAAAGGCCCAAACTTTGTGGATGAAGGTGGTCTCCGGATCGTCGGGAATGTGGAAACCGATGAAGAACTCGTAGAGCCACGCGCCAAGTAGGGCTCCGATCATGGGACAAATGATCGGGATCCAGAACCACTTGTAGTTTCGATAGCTTCAAGAAAAAAGCAGGTTTTTTTTTGTGAAACTCAACTTCGGTGAAAAGCAAAGAAAAACGAGTTTTCTCGAGCAGACAAGCAACGAAGATCATTTTATTGATAAAATCGTTTTAAAAGATTTTGAAAATGACAAAAAGTTAATGATACTCTCTGTGAAGATTCTGTCTGCACTTTTGAAAACTGGAAACTTTTTGGCAAGTTTAGACTTTCAAAACCTTTCCTACTTTTTAACTCCTAATGAGTCCAGAAAATTTTACTTTGAACTGACCTTCCTTGATGAGCGCTCAAATGAATTTCAATAAATCTTGAGCTTCTGCTTTCCTCATTAAAGTTAATAATTATTAAAAAAACATTTTTCGAAGGGAGTTCGAATTAGCTGTTGACTAAGAAAAGTTTGAAGGAGCCCGATAAGGAAAAAAATGTGGTCCATTGTAAAAGCCCAAAGCACCCAAAAATTCAAAAATTTTAATTTAAGTGCTGCTCTCTATTTTTTCCTAAATACGCTTTTATCTGTTCCATTGTCCAACAGTTCAGCTCAGCTCATAATTCTTTCTACGACATCATTTTCTCATAGAATTAAAAAAAACCTGAAAACTCTCCATCCGTAGCCGGCCATAAGGGTGAAGAGCCTCGGAGCGAAGTCGCGTGCCGGGTTGATGGCATAACCTAAGAGAAGGCTTCGTCAGTCGCTATCACCAACTTCTCCTACCAGCATTCAAACAGAGAGACATCCCGATCAAGGCGAGCAGACAGCCAAGAAAGGCGGGCTGCAGGAAGGGAGGAATCCGGTTGCGCCGGTCTACGATCGCCGCGATTCCCATGCAGAGCACCATCGTTCCGACCACCTGGAGCCAATTTACCGCTTGAAAAGGAAAAAGTAGTGACCTGGTCAATGACACCCCCAAAAGTGGACAAATGAGGACCGGGATAAGTGGCAAATATGCTGGCCGTGGCCGCAGGTCCTGAGACATTCCGGACCCCTTTATCAAACGCGTCGATCGCGTCTGAACATCATCAGTCTTCCTCACTCATTCCACATTCATAAGTTGCGCATCAAAAGACGTTTCTCAGAAGAAAGAAGCAACTTGCCGTAGTAAACCATGAAAGTGAACATGGCGCCGAAGAAGGCTCCCACGTTCTGGGCAATAACAAACATGACAAATCTGAACAACATGTCTTTTTGGGAACGTTTTCAGGCTCACCGAATCGGGGGAATCTTTCCTTGAGTTAACTGGAAAAATGACACAGCTGGGTTGAGATGCGCTCCTTAAACTTCACTTACGAACAGTTGATCAATTGATATATTGTACAAAAGAAAATCAGTTAATTCTTTTTCTGAAGCCCATGAAACACCAGAAAATTGAAAACCTTCCTTTCAAAAAACACTTCCTCAGATCTTTAGAGACCACTTTTGTGTATATACTCTCAAACACAGCAACAAACATTATTTACAGAATATGATCCTTTCTAAACTTGGGAAAAGCCGAGAAAAAAAGAATTCTTAGCAATTTATAAAATTTTACATCGTGCGAGAAACACTCGAAAAAATCGAATTTATATGAAAAATTTCTTTGATCTTTTTTCTTTTAGCTCGTTCTGTCTTTCCAAATGTAATGTCCAGGGGAAATTTTACATGTCATGCCAAATGGATAGAATCAGCAAACCTGAAATCCGAGCGCCCATCGTGACGGCAATCACAAGAGAAAAAGCCCAGCCAATGGTCACGCAAATGAATTCGTTGTTCTTCCGCTGAGAAAGCACGAACTGCGCGTTGGTGCACTCACCGCCAAACTGAACGTGATCGTGAACTCGTCATTCCAGAAGAAACTCACAATGAGGAAGCCCGTGCAGAAGCATTCAGCCAGAGTAGCTCTCATCAGCTCGTTGCCGATCTGAAGCTTCACCCGAAGCCGCTCCACTATGTTCATGTTTTTCTGTAAAACTAGATGATCTGTGGGTGGATCGACACTTTCAAATAGAGGTCTTTCAAGAAAATAATCAAATTCAAATTGTGACAAGCTAAAAAAAAAGGGCAGGTTCTTCATCGTCAACTTAAAATCTAAAAGAACATCGCATTTCAAAGGATAGGATTTCCTTCAAAGAATTATTATCTTGTCGAATCAGAAAACATTATCGTCATGAAAAAAAGCGTATAAAATTTTTCCTTTTTTTTTAAAATTCAAACTCGGAACAAAAAAAGCTCCAGTGAGTAGGCTTATTTGAAAATAATCATCTTTGAACTGAGATGCCTTTCCAATCTCAGAAGAAGTCAAAATTATAAACTGGACAAAGAGAAAAAAAGAGATGGCTGTCATCATACATTGAAAGCTCAGTAGAAACTCTATCAGAAGAACGTGATTCTGACTTTCTACGAGAGATTTAAAGACATCTAGTGAGTCAAAGTGAAGACTATGCTTAAAAACACTAAATACGCAAAAGCATTTTCATTTGAATATTGAAAAAAAAAGACATGGACATTGAAAGGTTAAAAGAACATGTAGAAAAAACACGAAAAAAACCGTTGCGATGAGATTTGCGACGAGAGGCGGCGGAACGTCGGTGTGGCGCGAGGATTTCTGGCTCGGCTGGATCTCGAGGCTCATGTCTTCATTGGCGGTTGGCGTCGGCGTGCGTTCCACGTTCTTTTGCTTCCTTGGTGGCGACGGGAGTGCTGGAAGGTTAGTTCAGCACCAAAGACAAGGACTTAGTGAATATAACTGTTGAGAAAAGAAAAAAAATATATAAACTTGACTTTGTTTTTAAACTTTTAAAAATCCTTCAATTTTTGTCATGACTCGAAAGTGTCACAGTTGAAAAAGGTCGCATTCATGGGACTGAAAGAGGGAAAACAAGGGGAGTTTTGACGTGGAAATTTCATTTTTCAGGGAACCTCTCCTCTCGATTATGCAAATCTGGGAACATCAGTGCAAAATTTACTCTATTCCCAAGGCGTATGGGCAGTAAAAAACGGGGCTCAAGACAAATGAAATAAGATCGAGATATTTCGTAACAAAAAGCTCTAAACGGTACTGCTTTCCTCTCAAACCCCGTTATTTTACTGCCTATATGTCTTTAAGTAAGCATTGACTCACAATTAGATAACCAAATTTTTTTTTCAGATATATAATTTTATAATCGTATTAGTTGCCATGTTGTGTTCGAAATGAATTGAGTCGTACAAGTTCACTTTGATCCACATAGAAATATCAGAATAGAAGTAAAGAAAATTACTGAAAACTTTTCAAACTTTTTCAATCGACTTTCATTTTCAAATTCCTCTCTCAGCTTGCGAGTTGATTTTGTCACGGCATCCAATTGATAAAAGATCAAAAAAAAGGACCTGAAGGAGAATGGAGGGCAACGCTGAAGGGATTCTCCGGGTCGTGCTTGGGCGGAAGCTCGACGACGGGGTAATCGGAGGTGTTCTCGAAGGAGAAATGGTGCGCGCTGGAAGCACTCGGAGTGACTGCCGCCGAGTGATCCGATAACATTTTGAGTCAATCGACGATCAACACGAAGTGAGGCAAATGATTGGATTCCGTATTTGTTGGGTGAGGGAAGAACTTTGGACGATTTCACTGCCAACTGAGACAAAGGAACACAGGACAAAACAACTCTTTTTCGAACTTTTGAGGACATCATGATGGATTCTATTCTATTTCTCGTTAATTTCTCATTTCACAGCAGGAGAACTGAAAGAGGGAAAACAAGGGGAGTTTTGACGTGGAAATTTCATTTTTCAGGGAACCTCTCCTCTCGATTATGCAAATCTGGGAACATCAGTGCAAAATTTACTCTATTCCCTGTGAAAATAGAACACGATTCGAAAAAATTATTCAAGTTTCAATAGTAGTCATCAAACAATTTACAAAAAAATCTAAAAAAACTATTTCGATTTACTTCTTTTTTTGAACGTTGAAAAAAATTTACAAAAATAAGGGGGCGTGAGAAATTTCCGAACTTAATTTAATTTGATTCATTTTTTCTGTGTAATTATTTGAGCGTGATCTTTATTCCAACTATTTGTTATTTCTTTTTTTCTTAAAATTAAAGTTATTTTTCTCACATGAGGCGCTTTTCTTTTTAGGGTTCTAAAAATGGCCTATGTTATTGGAGAAAGTTGAACTTTCTCCAAATGACATTGAATTCAATATAATCTCAATAGGAGCTTCTTAACTTTTCTGCGACTATCTACACAAGTTGAGGAGAAAGTAGAAACTCATAAAGATGGGAAAAAAATCCAAGCTGAGAGCATCATATATGACCTCATTCAGGAAAGAAAAAGCCTTCAAAAATACGGTAGGCTGGGCCATTTCCGTGACAGCGGTGAAGGGAGTATACTGTCAGAAAAAAGAAAGAGAAACTAACAAATGAAAAAAGCGTGGGGTTCGTAAAGCGAAGCGAACGGATTGTGGTTTGGGCCGACGACGCAACTGTCGCGTCTCTCGGATTCCAAAGAGTGTCGTCGTCCCATCGATTGATCACTTTTGAGCTCTTGCCAATCACTGAAAGGCATGAGCTCGGCGGAAGTTATTTACCGTTCTTCTAAGATCATTGTTTTTCCGGCTCAAACTGACAAGGAAGGAGAGAATAAACAGCTTCGGCTGTTCAATGGAAAAACAGCAAAAAAGAAAAAAGCTCAACTTGATTTTTTTCTAGGACATTTTATTCACAAACAGCTGTCACATTTTGAAATATTTTCCATTAAAACAACATGCTCTCCGAAAATGACACTTTTCGGATCGGAATCCTTCATTCTGACGTTAATATATTTTATGCAAAAAGGCCCGATATGAAGATAAGTTATCTAAACAGTAGCAATAAAAATAAAAATTCCAAAATTTAGTTTCAATGATGCGAAAACCGCCAAAGTAGGATGTTTCAGACATATAGTCTGTTCAGATTTTGAATGTCAAGCAGCTAACTCCACCCCCAAGGCTACAATATCTTTCGCGTCATGTTTTATCTACAGATGACAATGGCCCTTTAATAAGGCTGCATTTTTTGACTTCTTTTTCTATCTTTTAGATCAAAAAAGATCAAAATTAGTCCCGCGCGAAAAAAACATCGACGCGAAAAGGTACCGTCTCAGCAGGGGTGGAGTTAGCTGGTTGACATTCAAAATCTGAACAGACTATAATTAGCAATCAACTTGCAAAAAAGAAAATTTTCACTCAAATGGAAAATGCTTTTTTTCTGGCAAAATATAGTCTGTTCAGATTTTGAAAGTCAAGTCGATGCTCAAGCTCCGCCCATAATGGTGCGATAAACCAATCAGAGAGCGAGCCATCCACAGAGTGTTTTTGAATGACGTCATTGCACTTGACATTCAAAATCTGAACAGACTATACTAGAAAAAAAAATCTGAACAGAAATAATTTTCGATCGAAAAATAAATTTGCAGCGTACTTTTCTAGGCTCGTTTGCAATGAAAAACCAATCAAATACGCCTACCTCCACAATTTTTTTGTAGAAATGACCGAGACACGAAGGCGAACGGCAATCAGAAAACATCATTGTTAATCGCTTTATTTATATCATTGCACCGGCGGCAACAAGTTCTCAACTGTATTTTGATCATTTAAAAAAACAAAAACAGATTTTAAACTCTTTATATCGTATTTAAGATAATTATGCATAGAAATGTATGAATGTGATCATGAAAATGGGATAGGACAGGAAACAAAAAACTGCAAAAGGTGGCAGGGACAATAAACCGGCATGTGAATATCATTCCAAAGTTTTAGAAACATGTAAAAGGCACAGGAGTAGAGCATTTTATGATCGTTAGATGAAGCCGAAACTAATAGAGTTAGTTGCTTACCTTAGAAAACAAAAAGAGCTTAGAGCTCTAAAAACGGGGATGAACTGACTGAAGGAGAACATATTACAGAAATAAAAGGATTTGGCCAATATTTGTGGGGAAAAGAAGATCTAGATGAAAGTGGTGACCAGCATAGTGTGATTGCGACACGCGACGAGCCGTTTCTCCAGAATCTTGTTCTCCTGAAGCAACGCGTCGATCAGCGCTGTCCGGTTGACGCCGTTCGTCTTGAGGCCCGTGCTCAGAGCTCTGAAGCCAAACAGTCTGTTTCCGTTTTCAGATCTTCTCGACTCACCCGACGTCTTCGTCTTGTCCTATCAACTTCTTCGCTTCTTCCAGTTGCTTCATCAGCTGCCGTTGGCGAATTCGGATGTGGTCGGCTTGCCGCGCAAAACTCAGTTTTTCTTCGTTCGTTCTTTTTTCGAATATAGACGGTTTTGCTAAAATTTTTTTTTACAAAATACTAATAATATCGAAAGTCTTACTGTAGGTATGATAGTCGCCGGAAGCCGATTCGTAGCCAGAAGAGGCTGAATACGACTGTCGTTTTGTTCGTTTGGTCTCTTCGCGTGAGATCGAAGTCGCGTCATCGGAGCCTCGTCCGCTTGAAGACGTTCCAGGGCCGCCGTAAGTCCGCGGAGAAGTCATCTGAAAAGATGATAGTGAGAAACGTTTTCGTTGCGTCGTTCACCCAACTCATTCTTTGAATAATTGTGGAAGCTTTTTCGATATCAAATCCTATACGATTTTCAAATGAATGTTCTCAAAATTTTTCGTATGGTCTCAAAAGTTCTTGGTGTCTTGAAAGACCAAGGCCAAATTTAGGCAGTCAAGATTTGCTGAGTTCGGTTTAGCTATAAGTATAATTGAATTCTGAATAAATTAATGCACATTTCTCAAAACTTCAAAAAGTGAATAGAAAAACTAAGGTAATATTCCGAACCGACACCATTCTCTTTCTTTAAATCTATAGCTATGAAGTGAGTTTGACATAAACTTTTATTGGAACTCTGATAAATATCCTTTTCAAGATCACTTTTTTCGCTGAATTCTTTTCATATCTGTTGCCCTCGAAGCTATTTTACCTAAAATATTTCGAAGACCAAATAGGCTCAAATTTGATTAGGAAAGAAAAGCCGCTTAATTAGTAGCAAGGACGCGTTGTTAATTGGGCGACGGACCTGAGAGTAGGGCGAGCGGATCCAGGCGTCTTCTTTGGAACTGCGACGTTCCTTCTTGTCGCTGCGAGTCTTGCTCGACTTCCGCGACTGCGAAGCTGTGGAGACGTCGGCCGAAGACTTGCGATAGCTTGATGAGAGTTTAGTGTGTCGCGGAAGACTTTGGTGCGACGACGAGTAGCTCGTTATCGGACCTGCCGTCCAGGGTGTTCTGAAAGCGCGAAGAGTTAGTTTGGATGGTGGAGATAACATATACTGCAAAAAATGAAACAAAACCTGTCAATAGCTTCAAACAAAGACTCATCATTATAAAAAATATTCACGTCACTTGAAGGCTTCATGTCTTTTCTAGGATTCAGAAGATTGTCTGAACTCTCGGCTCTTTTTCTAGGTGAAACTTTAATAACTGAGGCCAAATAAATATTCCTAAAGTATTTTCGCAAGCAGTTCGTTTTTTTTTTGATTTTCAAACCTAGACGGAGAAGAAGGGAGCAGTTTGCGATGGCCACTCGTCGGCGTCGACGGCAGCGAATCAGAAGTCGCGCGCGATCGGTGGGAAGACGACGTCGCTCTGCACGGCGACAACGAGAAGTGATGAAGTTGTCTGGCGAGCGTTGTCGTCAGCGACTTTTTGCCGTCGAGTTCCTGATGCGCAACGTTGGGGTTAGCATTTCGAATGAGTTGATCCAACCTTATCAATCAAGGATCGTTCTCTCCTGAGCTCGAGCTCCTCCATTTTCAGCTTCTCTCGTCGCTCCCTAAGCTCATCCTTCCTCTTCTCCAGCTCTATAGCCTCCAACTTTTCCTCCCTGGAATTTCTCTTGTGAAAATTGGAACGAAGAGTTGGGAAAATGAAAAAATATATTTCTAAAAAGTTCAGTTGTGTTTATCAAGATGAGCCTTAATTTTTTCAAATACTCAAGATTTTCTCTTACAATTGAATTCCTCAAAATAAAAACTTTTCTCCGTGGAGCACATCATAAAACAAGAAGAATCTGCGCCTATTTTATCACTATTCTATTTGAAAAAAGCCAAGACAAACTTCTTGCGTTCGATAGCGCTCCAGTCCACGACGGTGCTACTGGAAGAGACCATACTCTGTTGACAACAGTTGAGGACAAACTTCTTCTTCTTCTTCGAGCTGCGATTCTCATTCTCGATCTCCTGAAATAAACGACCTGAAGGACAGAGAAACAGGCTTATTTCGAACCTGAACTCGTTGTAAAGCGTATTCTTCAAGGTGACTGGCACGTCTGTACATGTCCATCTCGCTGTGGCCGGTACTTGCTGAAACAGAGGCCGAAGGTCCACTCGGAGTCGCCGTCCTCTGAAATTCGAACTTCAAATTTTTGAAAAAGAATTCACAGAAACTGCTGAAACTGCTGTTTTGATATAACTTTTTGAAGTTGAAATTACTTTGCTCTTGCCAAAACCGAAGTTTCTCTTTTAAATTTTGCCCCAGTCAGTTTCAAAGATTCAAAAAAAAAACTCGATCTGATTTCTATAAAACTCCCTAAGAGCCCAATTCGTAAGAACGAATCCTTATCTTTCGCTGGACTTTTCTGAAACATAAATCGAAAGACCATTTTCAAGTAATTCTCCTGTACTACACTTTCGAAATTCGAAAATAACTTTTGCTATCAGAAAGTTTCCCTGAAGCTCTTCCCAAGCTAGACTCATACAATTCCCCAAAAGAAAAAGTGTCAAACGTGTGAATATCGTTTTTGTAGCTGGATTCAAGTGTCCCCCCTTCCCCGCCAATTGTTTACGAAAAGAGCGTCGACCGGCTGATTTGCATTCACGACGGTGTCGGTTTTCGCCGTTTCGTGTATTGAGTACGCACATTGCAGCCTCAATAAACCTGAAAATTTACCAGAGCTTCCAATTTCGCCAATATGTCGTGTGATTTTATCGACGAGATCGAGGCCGCCATCGCCATTTCCAAGCCATCTTCGCCCTCGCCATTCGACTCCTAAATGTGCTTTTTCTTAAAAATCATAAAATTGAGTTTCTTATTTCTCATAGTGTCTTGAAACTTGAAATTTGATTCAGTAAAGAAGAAAGACATGTAAAGAAAAAAATTACTTTTTTTAATACGGTCCTTTCCATAGTAAAAAAAGGAATCTGAAAGTATTTGAAAAAAAGAAAGAATGGAAAAAAATTTTTCAGAATTTTTTTCTCTTGAAATATATCAAAAAAATATTAAAAAAATTTTTCAGCAACCACATCGGGCAGCGATATTTTTAAAAAAAGTACAAGACGAGAGCGAAGAAGAAAGTATAACAAAGAGAAGAAAGATAATTTTGATCAATGGAGCAGGTATGATGGAGAAGAAATGTATCTATGGTCGAAGTGAGAAATTCGCTTTAAAAAGTTTGAATAACATCTTTTTCAGTAGATTGGTACCTATTCTTGTAAATGATTCTATTGTTAATGAGCTTTTGAAGTTTTAATTTCACATTCATTGAAGTACGAGAAATCTTTTTTCGGTTTATGATTTTTCTGGAATCATTTCCAGTTACTTAGCGTAGTAATCGACAGATTCCGTTACTTTTGTCTGTGAGATTAGTGTCTTCTAAAGATAGCCAATTATCGCGGCTCGCGTACGAAGTGAGAAACCGCGACACGTGAGGTGCAAAACCGATTGGGAAGCAAGATAAATGATCTAACAGGCGGCTATCCATCAACATAAACAATCGTGACGACTTGCCAAAGGCTCCGAGTTCCTTGTACCCAGGAATCCGCGGAATTTCCGAATTTTTTTAAATCAAAGGCTCGGCCAAACCTTTTGTCCTGAGGACTCGATTTTGTCCAAATCCTGCTTGCTGAGGATCCTCAGAGGATGGTCTTTGCGAGAATTTGTGGTGGAAGTCTTCATGGATTCTTCTTCCTGCTCGATGATGTCCTCCAGCGGATGTGATAAGATCCCACATTCCTGAACATTGTTTCGTTGTTTAATGAATGAGTGGCTCACACGAAGATCTGTGACGAAAAAGGCGATCAGAAAATGAGGATCTTTTTCACTTTGTTTGAATAAAAGGTTTTGAAACTCACATTACAAGAGCGGATTCCCTTAAAATCTCAATCTGCATAACTTTCTAACTTTTGAGATTTTATTATTTCGAAAATATACTCTAAACTTATTCTCTGGTAACCTACGAGCTGAGGAAAAAGCCGAAAAACGATAATCCTAACTTTTGCGTTTACAACTATGTTACTTGACTGTTCTTCTCAGACTCACTCTTGAATCGTCGACAGCTATGTCGAGGGCGTTGAAAAGGATTGGCGGCGCTTCGGAAGACTCCATCCACTGCATAATGTGCTTCCTTTTTCCATCGTCCAGATTAAATCTGAAACACAGGAATTCAAGTGAATCGAAAAAGGCTACTTGAAAATTTCTACTTCTATCAACAACTTGGGCAAAGTTTAGAAAAAAAAAACCCAAAATTCTATTTTTTTTTTAATTTTTGAAAAAAAATTAGTTTAATAAAAAACCGTGTAGAGTCTCCAAAAAAATTATGATTGAACGTTAAAGTAATGAATATCGAAGTAGATGCATTTTTATTTCTTAGGAGTTCATATTTTTCTAATAATAATAAATTTTTTCATACGGTGTAGAGTTTCATGCTGAGCCTTCAATTAACAAGAGTGAAAAAAAAGCCAGCCAAACTAAATTTCTTCATTCTTCATTTTTTTTTTTTTCAATCCGAAAACTTGGTCTGTACGCTAGAGCCTAGTCAAACCGAGAAAAACCCATAAAACAAAGCCAAAAAAGCTAATAAAAGTCATACATTGCGCGCTGGATGGCGTACTTCAAGTATTTAAAAAAGCCGATTTGAAAGAAATCGTGAGGTGGTGGGTTTCTGGACATGCGACAGCAGCGGAAGTCGAAAACAAAACTCCAAAACCGAGTGAGAACACAAGCCAAGTGGCGTCGGAACGTCGGCTGTGTTGGGGTGGGAGGCAGCCGTCAGCTGGGATTTGATGGGGAAGTGATCCTGGTGAGGGTGCGCAGATCACATCAATCGAACAACTTTCAGTCTGTGTGGTCGAAAGAATTATGATCCCAGGAATTCAGTTACATCGGGAAACATGAGCGCGACGTAACACTTGGTTGAGTGCGGCCGAAAGATTCTTCTCTTCTACTATTTCAACTTTTATTGCTCATTTAAACTCACTGAAGCCTCGTTAACTTCGTGGAGCTGATCAAACTTTCCAGTGTCTGAAAAAGGGGAAAGGCAGAGGATTTCTCACCAAAATGTGAGTTATTTTTAGAAAAAAATAAAGAAAAGAAACAATGTCAGGAAAATAGTTGGTGGTTTTGTTTTAATTGGAAATTGGGAAACTCAACTGTTGTTGAAGTTTTGTGAGAAGGATAGAAAAAAGTGAATATGGAATTGCAAAAAATAATGGATGGTGAAAATCTTGGCTTTTTCCCTCTTGATGAAGATAATTATCAACCCCATGATCGAATGCTATGTTTAACTTTCTATCCACTGCCCTACATAGAATAGTGGCTGCCTGAAAGAAAAGAGAAAACTCTTTGAATTTTGGAAATAGTTTCAAACAAATGAAATGAACATGACAGAAACTTCAGAATCGATTTCTTTAAATTCGGAGCTGAATCGCTCAAATTTCTTGCAAGGAAATTCAAAGCCCCTAGATTCAATCAAGAAATCTTTTAGTACAAAAATCCTATATGTTAAATGAAAGGTGCTTGAACCAAAAATGAATGCAAACTTGATGGAAAAATACTCAACCTACACCTTGAATTTATGAATTTTCTATATCGCAACTCAACTTTATGGCTGATTCCATAAACTATGAATCTTTCAGTTTGAAAGATACTATCCTCACAAATGAATGAAGTGAGAGGTCCAGTACACAATGTTTCCTTTTCAATGCACCATACTCACTTCGACTTGCTCCGCGGAACAGTAGAAACGACGTGTTTGGCGATCGTGACGCCGAAGTCGCCACGGTCCTGCAAACTGATGAGTAGAAGATTGGGATCGAGCCTGTTCACCTCGTAGGAATTCCCTCCGAAGGCCTGGGGCGACGAGGCGGAGGTGCTCGGCGGAGAACAGAGTTCGTCGTAGAGCCGCAAGGAGGCCGACAGGAACGGCGTGTGGCCCTGTAATTGGCCGTCGTTTCGGTCGGTGCCAAACGCGTCTCAGAATGACGGATTAGCCGCGATTATGAGCTCGTTGACTCGATAAGTGCCGCTGTCGCGATTTTTTCTCTTTCGGGTCATGGATTTCAAAAAACTTTCCTTCTTTCAAAGTGAAAAGGGTAGCAATTCTACTAACTCAGGCTAAATTGAAACTTTTATCAACCGAAGATCTTCTCCTAATAGTAGCGAAAAACTAAGAAAGTTTCCCAGAGTTCTTGGCATCCCAGGTGTCTTTCTATGTCTTGTTAAAAGAATCAACAAAAAAATAGAAAGTATAGTCAATGTTTCCCGACTTGAAAGGCGAGGGAGGGGGCAAGGGGCGGGACGCGTAGCGTGTGCGTTCGCGGTCCTTGGCGCATGTTCAATTCAACCGCCATCGACCCTTTGAAAAGCCCGTTTTTTTGCTCTTTTTCATTCCTTTTTCAATTATTTATTGATTATGTTTATGTGTGCATCAAAAAAATAGTAGAAAAAAATTGAAAAAAAGCGGTTGCCGAGCTTTTTTTAAATAGTCGGCGGCAATTGAATTGAACTCGTGCCAAGAACCGCGAACGCACACGCTACGCGTCCCGCCCCTTGCCCCGCCTCCCTCGCCTTTCAAGTCGGGAAACATTGACTATATAACTCAAACTTTTGTCAAAAACATATCTCGGAGTATTCCGATAATCTTCAAGTTTAGTTTTCAACATTTTCAAAAAAACTGAGATCAATTTTTTTAAAAAAAGTTAAATTTCAAAAAAAGGTAAAACTTCAAATCCAATTTCTTTCACTTAAACAAGAGCTTTTCAGATGAGATACCTAAAGATTGCGGTTGAACTTTTCCACAAGAACTATCAATAAGATGTTCACAGTTCAGAATTTCGTTGTTAAAAAACTGTTCATAGGTCATGAAAAAAAGAGAAAAGAGCGTTCGAAAGTGCTTAGAACCCTGGGAAACTCCATCATGACGAAGTAGGCTTAAGCCGGCTGACCTGAAGCATCGGCGGAATGGAGGAGGTCGAGTGATTGGGCGATACTCCGGGACTGCTCAGCGGTGCCTACAACAACCCCATGGAATGGATGAGACAATGTTTGCGCGGCCTGTGCCTACACATGCATGCCTATTCATCGAGACATCTAATTAACATAAAGCTGGCCCAATATACGTTTGGAGAGCACCGACCTTGGGAGGTGGTTCCTGGAAGGAGCGCGACGTCCGGTGCACGGCTCGAGGCGTCGGCGGAAGCGCTGAAACACAGGAGTTGGGAAGGTCTTCGGAAACGAAACGAGCAGCGGAGCGGTTTATTACAAAAAGTCGAGCGCGAAATGAGAAATGATGGATTGGCCCCTCAGTTGCGTGTGACTTGCGGTAAAGACTCGCTTCTTTCCAAGGAAACCCCCCAACAAAAACCCCGCCCAATACAACGTCCGTTTGGTCAACTAGTCTTTTTTGTTGTACATGAGAAGTGCTGTTGAAAAACGAGTTGTAACAGCTGTCCAAAATATCTCAAACGTTTCAAAAACATCATCAGTTTTTTTTTCTAATATTCATATGCAATAGGTAAAGAAATAGAAATACTTTGGCCTGTGAGCAGCGATTCTTCAATTCTTCAAACTAAAATATGAGCAGAGAATGAATATCTTGAAATTTTTTCCGAACAATCTCTCAAAAAAGAGGATGTATTTTACCTACAAAATTCTGAACAAAACTTGCATCTCGCTTCGACAAAATTTCGAATGTGACAGACCGTAGCACAACTTCGAAAGCCTACTTTTCGTGATCTCCAAATTAGGTTTTAATAAATTATATCTTATAATGATATTTTCTTGAACTAGGAAAAAACTAAAGAAATAAAGAAATAAGAAAGAAACACAACCAAACATTTACAGACAGTTTGTGTGATTGAGAGAATGAGCAGAGCATTTTGGGGGCAGGACGAATGGGCGTGGCGTTTTTGTATGTATTGCTGTTTCACACGAGGCCGACCCCTTGATCGAGTGCCAAAAGAGTGAATGACGTCACGGCTGGTTTACCTGGATTCGAGCCAAGGTAGATGACCGTCTCGGCGCCGCTCACTTCTGAGCCGCTCTCGAGTTGCTGCTCTCGACGTCGCTCTCCAGATGACTTCGAACACGTCTCCACGCCGTTGATCTATAAATGGAGCTTTTCAAAAGTGATCAGAAATTTTGCGTCCAATGATTGAGTCCTCGTCAACTTTTTTTAAACATTTGATTTAAAAAACTTAATAAGATAAAAGGCATGAGAAATGTTTTCTAAACATCACCAGAAACCATAAAAATACAGCTCATGAGTTACAAGACTCACATGGAGATCAAGAAACCAGATTCAGGTGATTTATTTTTTTCTTATTAAAAAAGAGACAAAAGTTGTTTTTCATGATTAAAATGTTTTATCATGATTTGAAAGCAAAATAAATATATCGTACTGTAAAGGGGCCGCATGGGAATATAGGTAGCCTTTTTTTCCTTCTTAAAATTATAAATGTATATGGAAATTGACTGAAATGAGAAGAAAGCACTGATCGCTGAACAGAAACGAAAACTGATGGACAGCATCAATAACCACCCCGGAGCTCAGTTCTTTTGCAGAAAAAAGGGATACGTTTTCTGTTGGTCATAAATATGCTTTTTGCACACAAGAAAGATCAAAGACAGGTGGTGCCATGAGAAAAACTCGAAGGTTATCCAATCCATCCACCTTCAAAAAATATATAGTTCGACTTCTAACAGCACGCATTCGCGCCACAAGACACATACCAGATATCCGTTCACATACAACACAAGTTGGCTGTAAATCAAGGGTTCGCACCAAAAAAGGAGCATTCTTGTCATTTTGATGGAGGCTCAACACCATACGAGTTCCTCTCGATGATCGGAAGTGTGAAACAAAATTAAATAAAAATGCCATTCAAAAAGTGATAATTAGAAAAACCATAGACGTTCTCGAATCAAATCTCATATATATATATAGATATATGATCGCGAAGACTCTGGCGAACAAACATTCAAAAAAGGCCATTAATTTTTACCCACGCGCCAAGATTCACACGTTTTGCGTTATTCTTATCACCGATTTGCGCAATGGCCCATGTAAATTGCTCTTCAAATATCTATTTGTTTCCGAATGCTATAAAATCTTTAACGACTTTTCCACGAACTAAGTGCCCGTTTTATGAAACACAACAACATTGACCTCTCGGCTGGAAAACGAACAAGTTTTCGAGCGTGAGAATTTGAAACTTTAAAAAATAATGTGAAAGTAAAGCCTTCCACATATAGAGGATAACCTATATATTCATATTTTTTGAGTGAAAGCCATTTTGTACGAAATTTCAAATTTAACTAAAATCGAGAGTGAGGTTCTCTTGAAATTTCAACTGTTGTGAATCAACTTCTCCATTTTCCTTTCCTTTTCTTTTTTTATTTGTACTACTTACATGTACTTGTCAGAAAGTGTGCCAGCGTTGAAATTTGCAAATAGCAAAGATATTGAAAACACCTATGAAAAGAATGGAACATATTTTCGTATGAAAAGCGCTTTGTTAGCTGAAAGCTCCTGTTATCAAATTTGAAACCAATGTACGTTGCAAAATGGGAAATAAGACATTTGAAAATTCGAACGAATCTCATCAAGTAAATCAACGCCAAAACTGTGGTGTATGTAGATACGTGGAAGATAAAACCACTATATTAAGGTCTGTTCTTACAGGGCCTCGTCAAGAACCTCGCCCCCGACGACGCCGACGTACCCGATGATTACGAGTCAACCACGGCGAGTTGATTTTACTCTACTGTTCTTTAGAACTGAAAATGAATTGGAGCGCTAGCGCTTCAGTCTCCGAATGACCAGAAAATTTCACGAATTCCACAAAAAATCTCTGTCTCTCTTTCTCTCCGAGTTCGCCAGATTTGACGGTTTCGACTAAATAAATAGGCCATAAAACGAGAACCCCAACCGCAAAAGCAAAGCAAAAAAGAGCTGAAAGACAGTCGCAGCCGTTTCATCATTAAAACCGCCTGGTTAGTCGTAAATATTTTGAGCGAAAGCTTTCACGCAGAACTCATAAAAGACGTCCGAAGTACCAACAGAGGCTTTTTTCGATGTGCCGGCTGTCGAGGTTTTGCGGGTGCGCGAGATCTTGTGAGCCAGCTGGGCGACGTTCTCATTGTCGTCGTTGCGAGAAGCGAAGGAGAAGAAGAAGACGTTGGACCTCGACGACGTCAGCGCGCACCTCATCAGCTGCCCCACGTTGGTGTCTCTGGAAAAAACACAAGTGAATAAACTGTTCTAGGGGGTAGGTCATTTAATTTTTGACTAATTATTAATCAAAAAAAAATTTCGTTTGAGCGAATATAACAGCTACAGAATCCGGAAACATTGAAAAAAAAATTAGTGTTATAGCCTGTGCACCAGGACTTGGAATTTCACCAAACGGCATTCTGATGCGCCGCTGCGCGTCTTTGCGAACCTTGGTCGCGCTTTTAATTTTTTTTTTTCTTTTGTTAAGGTACTCTACTTAAATGTGCTTCCACAGCAATAAAAATCAATTTAAAGCGTGACCTAGATTCGAAAGACGCTTCGCGAACGCACGCAGCGGAACAGCGGAATGTCGTTTGGTGAAGTTTCAAGTCGTGGCACACAGAATATAGCGTCTGAGCTTTACAACGCGACTTACAAAGCGATGTGGCTGATATTCTCAGCTTTTATCAATCTGCTGAGCTGTCTTATCAAAGTTTTTCCCGTCAATATAACTTTTTGCAGACACCTTCGTCGTTCATCACTTTTTTCAAGACAGAAATCTTTCTCTTTTCCTCTCTTTTTTGCAATACTCTACTATGAAACTTTTTTGATCCACCCGAAGACGATGTCAAAATAAAGAATAAAGTGTCAAGGCATCCGGCGGCAGGAAGAAGAACAATTCATTTCGAGCATCTCCGCGCCGTCCCCAAGGGCCGAGATCTTCACACTTCTTCGTCCGCAAACACACACCAAAACATGTATCATCCCTCATCGCGCACTTTCCGGCTCCAGAAGGTTGCTTCTTCTTCTTCTTCTTCCGTCTCCGCGCAGAAAAACGTGCGCGGCGTCGATGAGCCATTTGTCACTAAGCTGAGCCACGCAGCGGCGGCACCTTTTCAACCTCCGCAGTCAAATCATTTTGAGAAATCGCTCGTTTTCTAGCCAAAAAAGCGTCGCTGCTGGCTTTTGTGGTTTCATCATTCATGAATCGGAAAACAGCCACAAATCACTAACAGATTCTGATACTTTTTAAAAAAATCAGTTTTTTTAAAAAGAAACATTTCTCTCAAAAATATTCATTTTTCGTGTAATTGAATATCACACTTTTGGGATAAACTTTCGTGTTTGTGCTTTTTCGAGATGAATTCCTCTAAGTCAATTTTTTTGGGGCTATTTCTTCGGTCTGTTCAGTCATGAAAATTTTTTACTTTATTTAAAAGTTTGATGAAAAAATAATTGAACGCATTTTTCAAACTCCTCTCTTTTTTTTCTGCCATTCAGCTCCAAACGAGTTTAAAAGACTCGATTCACCTGGAGGGTATGTGTTTGTTGCGCTGAAGCATGGCCAGGAGCGCGCAGCCGATGGAAGGCATCGTGAGGCCGCCGTTCTGGGAGTTCCGCTCACCGATTCCCATGTCGAGAAAGGAAAGACGTCGGCGCCCGCCTGAGAGCTGATTTATGCGGCCGGGAAACACAAGATACCGACACCTACCTTGCAATTGCTTCTCACACATTCGGTACGAGTACAGTGATAACGAAACGAGAACGTGGCTCGTACGGTGCGTTTGTTCGTCTTCTGCAAAAGGAACTGTGCTAGGAAACTCGGCCGAATATTACGGATTAGACGGTGATCAACGACGGTGTTGAGATAGAACAGAGCTTGCTCGATAGAATCCACGCGGATCTGCAGATTAGGGAATCAGAAGAAGAGAAAACATTAAAGAGAAAAAGTCAACAAGAAAACTCTCGCAATATACCAAGCAATCAGATTAAATAACAAAAAGAAAAGTTTTTTTATTTTTTTATTTTTTTCAAGTTGAAGAAAAATGACAAAATATAATTAAAAATGAAAATCAAAAAATTAATTTAAAGTATATCCGGAGCATAAGAAGAAAAAAAAGCATCCTTCTTTGAACTTTCGGACGAAAAAAGAGAAAAAAAAACAGATCAATACTTTAAAAAAAAAATTTCGAATACACAGAAGAAAATAAAATAACTCACCTCAGACTCGTTTTCAATGTAAACGCCGCTTTTCGGATCGTCGACAATCCGTACAGAACGTCTTCGCGGATCTTCAATTACAAATCTCATGAAAAATTTCGAAATTGAGCGTCTACCAGTGTTAAAAGGACTCAAAAGGTCGATAATGGCGGCGTCACGTTGAGATATCATTACGGCCGACATTCGAACTTGAAATCGCTGCTCTTCGCTTCTGAAAACGTCCCTTTAGATCATTTTTGAAACGAAAATCCTACTTTGTTTGTTCGACAGCTTCCATCAGACCAACAACAAGAGAATGGACTATTCCAGGCCGTGTCGAATCTTCGCCGTACAGCCTCCGTTCCTTTCCTGAACATTGAGTCTACTTTTCCTCCACACAAAAATCGAATTCTTCAAAATGATACTGATCAATTCCAAAATTAAGGACCTGGAGACTTAGCGCCGATGGCAACGAAGGCGGCGTCTTGTCCATTGAAAACAGAAGTGACCATATCCGGCAAAAACTTGCAGCAAACTTCTTCCTGGACAAAAAAAAACCCTCAAAACTTCATTTGCCACGACTTGACATGTCGCGGTCGCACGCGGAATGGCTCAGAGCGTCGCGGCTTGAAGCAGCCTTCACGCTTCGAGCCCACACACATGCGACCGTGTTAGTCAGCTCAGTAAAAGTTAGAGATTCTCCACGAACCTGTGGGTTTTCAGGAAGGAAAACGTGGTCAAAAGCATTTTTGGAGAAAACTTTTCCGTCGATCGTTATCTGATCGCCGAAAAGAACATTGACGCGATCAGTTTCGACGTCTTCGGCACTGACGCTCGCATAAGTTCGAATCTGAAGACTCCAAACTGATTTGGAACAAAAAGAGTCAATTCGTCGAGAAAAAAAAATCTTTAGATAAATTTAAATCATTCATCGATGATTCAGCCATGAAAAAGAACGTTATATATAAATCATTGAAACGAGCAAGCCAATTTTTTCTTATTCTATTTTACTTTTTTTTTCTATTTTTTTTCGGTTTTTTCTTTAGTCAGATGAAAACTGCAAAATGTATAAACTTGAATTCCACCTATTTTTTCGAACCCTTCAAGGGTTATTCTTCAATCTCAGAAAACGTTTGAGAAGCTCTGCGCTGAAAAGCGAAAAATAGAAAAGCGTTTCTTGTTTTCAAATAAATACTACTATTGCATTATTTGCATTTAAATCTCAATAAGTACCTTGGGGATCGTTCGCAAAGGCGACGCAGGAAGTCTGGCGTTTAGGTGCTGGCTCCATGGCTCCATTCCCCATTAATCCGCCGTTCTGCATAGTTTATAGTTTACGTTATGATTGCTACAGGTGTCTTCGTAAACAAATAAAAAAGAGAACGGGAACGAAAAACAACCCAGTTTTTGCAGTTGAGAAGAAAAGTTGATTTCTTTGAGAAAATAACGATAACCGATGGGAAAAGAGATTTAGAGATGGACTAAATGTGGGAGTACAGGAGTTCCAGATTTCAGAGAAAATAAAAAAGTTCCAGAGTTCGGAGAAAATCAAAAAATAACTAGCAGAGAGGGAAATTTAGTTTTCGTTTTACATTAACTATAGCTTGTTGAGGTCTCAAAGGAACATGGAAAAAATTTTAGAAAAGACCGTTTTAAAATGCGTCAAAATAGTTTCACTACCCAGACAGTGGAAAAAAAAATTATACTCGCAGGTACGAAAACCTGAACATCGCGAATGTTGGTTAGAACGTGAAAAAATTAGAGCTTTAAACATTTACCAATTCAAAAAGGAAGACGAACACCATGTCATAGCTGAACGAGGGGCGGAGAAATCAAGTTTCGGGTCGGACCGCACTCTTTTTCCGAATGGGCAGCAACTCGCTTCTTCTTCCTCTGCAATGGTCCCTTAATGCAATAGAAGGAGCGCAATCAACTCGAATACTCGCCGCTTCCAGCACATACTTGTACTCCAACCCGCCGTCCGACCCTCCACAAACACAAACATTCCGAATCGGAACAGCCCAACGAATTTGACAAAATAAAAATATATCGGGTCTGATGTAGTTGAGTAACGTCTGATTCTAGTCAACATTCAACAGAGGAGATAATTTTCAAAACGAAAAGAGCATTCTGAAGCCGTTCAAGGTTCAGAATAAAGATTTTGCCCTTCATCAACAACCTTGATGATAGGACTTTTATTTTACGAAGGAGTGCAGCAAAAAAGGACTTATTTAAGACAATCAAATAAAATTTTTTTATAAAAATCAGGTACGGAGAAAGAACTGATATAAAGTTGGAAAAAGCTTTGAAATAATAATTCTTCAGAATTCCTTATTTATTTAACAGTACACTTTTTTTAACGTATTACTTAAACGCTATAGAAAAGAAAACAATCAATATCACTGCACAGAAAAAAAAACTGTAATTAAAGTCCATTTATTTCTATTCAAAAAGGATCTATCCCTATGAAAAATTAATGTTTTGATCAATTGATTCTACACGTGTGAAAGATCATAATTAAATGTGAAGTTATTTTCCCTCCAAAAGCTCGGAAAATTGAAAGCCCATTGATCTTTTTTCGATGGTAACTTAGGAATTAGTGTCTTACTTGTACAAATCAAAAAAATTTTTATTAATAAATATTATTAAAAAAAGGTCTATGTGAGAAGAGATAGGAGCGAAAAATTGCAGAAAATAATTAGAACAGCTTTTAGGTTGAACTATGAAGAAGATACTGGAATGGGTTGGCACGAGCGGACGATGATTAGTCGCAATCGACAGTCATGCGAGACACTTTCGATTCCGAAGAGGCGCCACAATTGCCTCCGGACATGTGTGTTTTGGCAGATATCATCTTCTCAAATGAGGCGACAGGGAGGTCCCAAGGAGCGCAAAAATGGGAGCCAAATTAGGAGAAATGCTCTAACGAGGTAATAATTCACGATTAAAGGCATTCTTCGAATTGAAATCAAATGAGTGGGAAATGAAAAAGAAAGAAATGGCTTTCCAATCGAGATAGCGATCTCGGCAGTGAATTCTTAGCACTCGGCGCGTGGTTTTTGGTGTGCACCCTCAAAAGACAAAGGTTTTTTAAGTCATGGCCGTTAAATTTTTATTTTGACGAAAATACGAAGTTCATACAATGAAAATAATTAATGCGATAATTGAAACTCCTTATTTTCTCCAATAATATAAGCCTAGTAAAATGGTCTCCATTTGACTTATCTAAAAAAATTTTCAAAAAAAATTTCTTCAGTTAAAAAAACCAGAAAAAAATTTTTGAAACATATTCTCGGAAGAATTTCTCGAGAGAATTAGTTTCTTCAACTCGAAATTTGATACAGCCAGCGCAGCTGTGCACAAAAAAAATCATTCTTAGCGTAATTTAAGAAAAAGGCTCAAACAAAAATCAATCGATTAGTTTCACACTGCGAGAACCGAAACAAAAAAATAAAATAAGAAAACTGATTCATTGAAATCTTCACGCGGAAAGAGAATAGCGCATTGAAAAGGCGGAACCAAGAGGCGTGGCCGTAACTTACACGAAAACGTCTGGGGATTTGATCGGGACAACGGCGAAACTTCAAAAAAGATTATGATTTTTAAGCATGTTCTTAATTGAATTGAGACTCAAAATAACAAAGTTGCTCTTTAATATCACTACACTAAGAATAACTGACGAGATAAACGCGAGCTCGGTGGCGGTACATTGACTAACTCGCAAAAATGTCGCTTTTTTCTAGGCGCGATCCCGCATCTCTCTCGGCGCGACCTCGCATTTTTCTCGGCGCCATCTCACATTTATCTTGCATTTCGGAAATTTTCAAATTGCGAGAGAAATGCGAGCTCGCGCCTAGGAAAATGCGAGCTCGCGCCCAGACTAATGCGAAACCGGCGCGAGAAAAAAAGCGAGATGTTTGCGAGCTCGTCAATGTACCGCCAGTGTCTCGCGTTTATCTCGGCAGTTATTCTTAGTGTAAGAATAACTGACGAGATAAATGCGAGCTCGGTGGCGGTACATTGACTAACTCGCAAAAATGTCGCTTTTTTCTAGGCGCGATCCCGCATTTCTCTCGGCGCGACCTCGCATTTTTCACGGCGCCATCTCGCATTTATCTTGCATTTCGGAAATTTTCAAATTGCGAGAGAAATGCGAGCTCGCGCCTAGAAAAATGCGAGCTCGCGCCCAGAAAAATGCGAGACCGGCGCGAGAAAAAAAGCGAGATGTTTGCGAGCTCGTCAATATACCGCCAGTGTCTCGCGTTTATCGGGGCAGTTATTCTTAGTGATAATGCGTTTAAACCGCCTGGCTACCATGATTGGGCTCTTTAGAGAAAAAAAACCAAAAAAAATTTTAACCGATATATCGATATTTTGATACATATCAAAATTTGATTTCTGAATTCAGAAATCTCATGAAATTGATATATCAATAATCGAATTCAACTTTTTGGAAATTCAAATATTGTGCGTGCACCGTCTAAGAGTTATGGGATACAGTAGACAATATTCTAGTGTCACCCGTCTCGTTTTTTTAATTTTATTTAGATATTTATAGTTTTTTTGTCGCTTCAATAAATTTTTTTATATGACTTTTTTTAAAAAAAGTTTAGCTTCAAGTCTCTTGAAAAATTTTTCAACCCGATCATTAAACTTGGATATGTGTCAAACCCTAAAATGTTTTGCTTTCCAAATATTTCATCTTCTACTCGTTCAACTATAAATTAAATCGTATATAGATAACAGATATCTGAATTTTCATTAGAAATAATTGCTCATCAATTACGAAAGATACTAATATTTGAAATTGATGAGTTTAAAATCTCGCACTTTCAAAAATTGCGTTTGATTTTCACTGTTGCGTACAAGTTAATTTTGCTAGATTTTGTTTGCTGGAACTGTTGGTGATGGCTGGCACCAACTGTCCTGCACCTATGTTAATGAGCCGACGGCGTGCGAAAATCGTTGAAACTTCAAAGGAAAGAAAACGCCAAAGAGGTTGGCGCCGTGGTCAAACGAAAAGCCGACAGGGCGCGGTGATTAGAAAGTCCCGCGGACGGGTTATGGCGCTGGGAAACAACGGAAGGTCAGTTGGAAAAAAAATATTTAGATTTCAGGTGATTTTTCTGAAGGTTTTAAATAAAAACGCAATAGCCAAATTAGTTTAGTTTATAAATCAAGTGGCTACACGCCGCGTTCAATTTTAACGATCTCGAAATTGCAACGATGCCGACGGCTGTGTTCCATGGCTACGAAAAAAGGCGACAGCCGTGTTGTTTCACTCGTTTCGCCACGGCAATCCTTCACCATCGGGCGTTACAAATAAGTGAATCAAAACACGTCGCTTCGCTGCGAAAAAAGAGCCAATGAAACTTGTTAGTGGTCCATTTATCATGAAAATGGACACGAGAAAAAAAAATCGAGTATATTTAAAAGTTTATAAATGATTAATCATTATTCGAAGTTTTCAAAGCATTCTGCACGAGATTCTATATATTTTTAGCTGCACAGAAGCGACGGATACGAAATATCTGTGAGACCTTAAGTCTGATCAAAATTTTGGAAGCCGCAAAAATTTTCTGCGTTTTAAGTTCTCTACCTTGCAAACTGTCACTCACCTTCTGTAGTACAAAAGGGTCAAAATATTTTCCGCCTTCCACTTTCTTCAAATCATCTTAAACTGTCAAAAACATTATCGTCATCATATTTCTCGCGGCGCGTGTCGAGACACATGTTTATCGTAAATCATCCGCTGCTTCGTGCGTTCTGATCTATTTTCCCTTCAATTCCTTTTTTCCCGGCTTCGTTTGGCTTAGCCCATCGAACCGACGAGAATGTGGGTTGGGTTCCAAATTCAGAGGATCACCTGGCGCTTTAAAGAGCAATTAAAGGATAAACCGCTGCATATTACAGAACATGAGAGAAACATATTTTGAAATAATTGGAAACACGAGATTGATGAAATAGCGATTTTTAGTTTGTATGAAAGATTATTACATGTTTCATTTTACTTGACTCGCTAATAATTCATCCATCCATTCGAACAGTTTTTTCTCCCCCTTTTAACTCCGCAAAAAAGCAGAAAATTTAAAACTTGGTTCTAAAAAACCTCTAAAATCTGAAAATCTATACGATTCCTCATTTGAAATGCAGAAAGAATGAATGAGGTGAATAATCACGGTTGGGGTGGTCCTAAAAAAGGAAATTGAATTGTTCTCGCAGCTTCCGACGCACCGCAAAGACGCCACTGATGGTCAAATCGCCTTTTACGGCTTCCGGACCTCCTGGGAGGGTCTGTTTATGCAAAAAATAATTGTTAAATTCACTTCTAGAAAAATGAGTGGATGAATTTTTCGAAGGTTTCGTTGATTTTTCTAAAATGAACTATATTTTTTCTAAAGGTTCCATTGAACCCATACAATCGATTGCGTAATCCTCTAAATGAAAATATGAGCGCTTCAAACCATTCAAAGTTCTGGGAGATTTCAAGACCTTTTCCAAAGATATTATATTTCAAAAAAATGAAAAATAATTTCAATAGGTAGAAAAAAAGCATCCTCTTTAAAAAAATTTGTGTTTCGCTTTTAAAAAAAGTAATGAAATCAGCGAAATAGGATATCGCCTATTGTCAGACTTCTATAAGTGAAAAATGAACGAAAATGCGCAAAAAAGAGAAGAAAAGGAAAAAAAAAAGTTCACAGTTTAGCGGCAATACTATGCGAATCGCCGACCGCAACTCAAAATGGGAAAAAAAAACACGGATCTTTCAGTTTTTTCTTCGGTCCGCCGAGGGCATTTGTCATAGGCTGGCGGTGCAGTGAAAACGCCGCTTTTTTTTTCTTTCAGACAAAGTACGGCAGAAAACAAAAGAGCTGGGCAAAAAACAACTCACAACTTCAAAGTTGGAAAAAGTTCCAACGGAGAGGATCAAAAAAGAAAACTTTAAAAAAAGTGATGGGTAACTTCGTTTTCTTTTTAAAGTTTTCACAACTCGGTTTGGATACCTTCTTCCCGGCTGAGGATCGAAATTCTCTCATACAAAGTCTTCGACTCACTTTCATACACCTGACATCAGCTATCAATCAAGTGCAATCCAGGAGAAGATTGAGCAGATTGCTCGGAAGAAAAAATGGTTAGACTTGCAGAAAAGCTTTTTATTATCATCAAAAGTATTCTCAACTTCTTCAGTTTTCAATCCATGAAATCATTTTTGAGAGAGAAGGATGAATAATTGAAAAAAATTTTTAAAAAAATTCAAAGGAATTTGATTCCAGTTTTATATATCAGGCGTCAACAACTAATCGAGATGATACAGCTAAAAATTAACAAAAAAAAAATATGTTTGACTTTCTGTCAGCTTTTCTAGCAAAAAATTTTTCCAAAACCGATGAATATCTCCCGAAAACAAAAAAAAGTTGGAAGAGGCGAAGACAAAGGAATTTTTGGAAAGACAGCCTGGGGGTGAAACAACAGAGGTCCAGGAGGATGGCCTGAATTGGATTACGGACGGCGCACCCGGATAATTCCATTATTGCGTAGCTCATTTCAGTTTTGTCAGACCATTCCGCTTAAGTACTGCTCTTGCTGCTACTATCATAACGGAAAAGGTCGAAAGTTTGGTACAGGTATATGTTATATGAAGATTTGCTTAAAGACATAGGGTAGCTAACGGAGAGATAGTTTGAGGAGATTGGTAAGGGAAAAAGAATATATTTCGTAGCAATTTTTCGAAAAACTTTTCAACCGTTTAATGCACTGTGGAAGCAAGAGAATTGCTTGGAAGGCATTACCGTACGCTTAGGAGACAAAAAAGCGAACAAGCAAGACAATAAACGCTGGCTCCTAACGGCGCCCTTGGACACGATTCATCGTTAATGCTGGCGGCAGAATCGTAAAAAAAAAAAAAGTGAACAGACCGAAAAACGGGGCGGTTCGCCTGGGTGGAAAATCCTAAGGACAGAAGACATTCATATCGTCACCCCGCGGAGAAAATGAACCTATAAACACCGAAAAACGGACGAGTGGAAGGCCGTTCCAATTGAAAAAAAAAGAGGTATAGTCGAAGGAGCCAATAGGTAGCAACTGGAACTTATGAAGAGATGTTAGTATTTTGGTGAGGCCGGTTACGTTGTTTGCTTTTTCTTCCGACCTCAACTGATAGTTTATCGAGAACCGATAAGCTCAACTTTTAAGCAAATAATAAAGTTTTTTGGCTTCCACAAACTATATGATTGAAAAAATCCATAACTTTATTTGTCAATCAATAAAGCCTAACAAGAAAAAGAACAATTCTTACTAAAAAGTGAGCAATAACAGTAAAACAGTGCTTCATTGTTTTTTAACGAGAAAATTGGATAACATCACAAGAATATGCACAAAGAGGCACCTAGAAATCGTATCACACCTATTATAACGATTTGATTAGCATAAAATGGGAAATTATGCTGTACATTTTTTTAAAATATTGAATTGTCGTAAAAAAAAATGTGAGGACTAACGAATTTCGAACGAAAAAAGTCGCAGATGATATGGAGAAGAAACAAAAAGGAAAATCTACATAATCGTGCCACCCAGGTGCTGATTCGAACACGATAAAAAAGTTTCCGTTCGCCAGTATCGCCCTTACAGCCGCAAACAAGAAGACATTTAAATGATTGTCTCTAGTTTCATCTAATATTTTTGGTTTAAAAATGCGAAAAAAGAACAGACTACTGAGCAGCAGTTGACTTGATTGTGAATTCCTAATCAATCAATCAATTTGTTTATTTTTTTCGCAACATCGGGATGGTATGGTGATGTTGCAGGGAGGGAAAAAGACCACTAGGTGGATTAACTAACCCCACCTGTGAAGAAAAAAAAATTTTAAAAAGTGATCATTCTATTTAAAACTTCAGAATTCTACTAGAAGATCCCTTCTAACATAAAATCCTCGCAAAATGATTTTTTGAGAAAATTTTCAAATTTGCTTGAGGCGATTTTCAGAAAACTTTTGTTTTCAGTAAGATGACCTTTTCTGCAAAAGAAAGTCAAAATGAAGAAAGTAACGTGTTTAATGGTTATGAAAGTGTTTCAAGTATGAGCTAAAGTTGATAGTCTGCCCTGAAGGTCAAATGTGGCAACTAAGGGGAAATCTTCAAGTTTGGCTATCGAGAGTGAACTGTTAGGAAAAGCTCAAGGGAAGATCTGACGGATGACGTCTTCGACTTCCTTGGCGTGATGCTCGCCTATGGCGGTGGCGGTCCAGGCGAGCTCCGGCCGGCCCGCGTACGACAGCTGCAACCAAATCATAGGGGCGAGCATGTGCGCGAGAGGTCATCTCAGGTGTTACTGTCGCACGTGTCGAGGATCAAGTTCCTCAGATTATTTCTACGGGAAGAGACACCAGTATAAATATACTCAAAGACTTTTTTTTATCGAAAAAAAGAAGTTAAAGTTCATCGGAAATATTTTCAGCTCTACCAATTTCAAAAAAGAAAGACTCGCAGTTCGACAAAACAATGGAAAAAAACAGCTCGTTTTTTGAATCGAATTCTTTGCTATTGAAAAAGTTTCGTTCATCATGCAAAATTGTGAAATTCCAGTTTCACATGATTTAAACAAATGGCTTTCTAAAATTTGCATGTTTGTCGCTAAAAGAAAAGAAGATCTGCATAGTATAACCTTTTTGAAACAATAGCCAAACCTAAAAAAATTTTTTTGAAGAGCGGGCTTCTAAAAAAATTTTTAATTTTAAAACTTTTCTCTTTTTTTCTATGAGGGGCCGTTCTCACACTGAAAGAAAAAAATATTTTATTTCTCATTTAATTTTGTTGTAACTCATCCAAATATTTTCTACTCACCGAAATGCCGACGGCGTTCTCGAAACGTCGACTGACGAAAGGCCACGCTCCAGCGTTTCTCGGCTCCTCCTGCGACCAAACGAATTCTGAAAAAGCGCAATTAAAAAAGTCCTTTGAATCTTTTTTTTCAAATTCGGCCGCACAGAGTCGAAACACACCGGAGAGCTCATAAATCCGGCCTAGTTGAAGGACAATGCGTGTTAACAGCGTTCACAGAGTCACTCGGAACGTGGTGGTCCTCCACATGTTGTTTATTGCTTCGTTCCCACCAATCTCCACTCACTACATCATTTCTCTTCGGCTTCCACCCATCGGTAACAAAGTTCGCGATTAATTGAGGGACGATCTAACTGACTCGGAATTCAAGGCTACTGCCTGTTCTTGACGCACCACTACGAATTCAGATTGATGGGGAACCAACTTTGTAGACCACGTCAAATCTTTCCTTTTTTCAAAAGTTTACTTTTACTTTTTTATCAAAAACGGTGTCTGATTTTAGTATATATTATTGCTATATAAAAAATTCCAATTGATGATAGTAATTTCATTTTTTTTTCTTTCCTGAAATATCGCGCATGAGGCCATTTCGCTCTTGTTCGACTTGTACTATTTTAACTAGTTGTAAACATTTACAAGCCCAGAGGTTTTAGCAGTATTCTCAACAGAAGTTCAACCGAATCTGTAAAAACATTCAGTGAGGGGTCGTAACGAACTTGTTTTTGACCAAACCATTTCAAAAACAGGAAAAAATAATTAAGCCCAGGAGTGGACACGATTGCCAAATGCAGTGGTTGCGTGACCCTTTACGGCGCCGTAATCCATGCATAATAGTGCAAATATTATATATGCGCCGAGGAACTGTAGGCAGCTGTTAGATAAAAGTGTATTGGATCGACATATGACGCGTGTTGACGTTCATGGCCACTTGGGGAAGTTAAGTGCCGGCTGTCCATCGGCTCTTCAGGAAGCAGGTCTATTCGACATATAAGGTAAGTTAGCGAGTTTCCGAGTTCGTCCATAAATTTAGTCAGGGAGCTTTTAAATGAGATGAAGTGTTCAGAAAGTCGATCAAAATGACAGTAATTTGTTTTTAGAACCCATAGCTTTACTAGTTATGATAATAACTTCAATACCTTTGGCTTTGGGATACTTCTTGAGGACCTGCTGGAGGTCTGCCACGGGGAACGGACACAACGACTCGAGGCGGACCACTGCCACCGTTTCTCGCAGATTTCGTTCTTCGCGCGCCTTGTCGACGGCCGTCCAGTGCTTGCCACTCGTGAAGACGATCTGAACTCGTGATATCGACCGACGTTCCTTTGTCCTGCCAATTTTCATCTGATTTCCGCGTTTTCATGAGTCTACGGGTACAAATTCGCACTACACTTAGACTTCCAGCGTACCAAAATGTTTTGGAAAGGCTATAAACATATTCCCTAATTTCAAGACTTTTTTTGCACTTATTATCAAGTTATATCACTCGGAAACTAACTCATCAAAAGAAAAATTGGGGCATAAAACTGTCTTTTATGGAAACAAATTAAAATAAAAAATAGAAATGAGTACGGCATACTCCTAACTAAAACATCAACTTTTTCTCGATTCTGTTTCTGAACAAGTTCTGATGTTCATCCGCTCACTTTAGTGACTTTATCAGCAACACACGCGTCGTCGTCGATCACATTCTTGAAAAACGTTCCGGGAGCGAAGTCGACAATTGAAGATGCCGCCTGCAATTCATTCGACGTCGTCGCCGAAAGCAAAGAACGTCGGCAGCTGTTCGTTTCGCCAAGGCGGCAACAACAAAAGGCGCTAAATACTTTATGAGCTTCCGACCTTGGGATGCCGGAGCAGAATCTTTGGCGCGACGACCACCAAAGGCTTTCGGTAGTTTGGCAGCACCTGAGAATTTTTTTTGAGCAGGAGGAAAGCAGGGGTTCTGAACTTGACGGCGGAGAAGATGGAAGTACTGGGCGCTGGTCGTCGGGTTGGCGATCCGAATGTTCACGTCTTCGCCGTCCACTGGCTTCTGGTCTTCTCGCGAATCACACATTTGCAAGAACCTAAAAGACACTACCAATTGAAATCTTCCTTTTCGTTCGTCTTCTCAGAAAGGAATATCTTCCTACTCTCAGAAGAATGAAACTTTCTAAAAATTGGCCGATAATTTCTTGGACTTTTTTCACAAAAAAAACATTGAACAGTTCAAACAATTTTTTAAAGAAAAGATCCCTGAAGATTCTAGTTTTTTTTGCGCCGTGTCCAGAAAAACTAACCAATGAAGAACTTGCTCTAATGAATTGAAGAGTTTTGTAGGTTTTTTGAGATGCTAGAAAAATAAATGATTAACTATTATCGTTCGAATATCGAAGACTTTTCCAGTGAAAGTCAAGACCAAACGTGGAATGAACTAGAACCAACCGTTCCATGCGACAACTGCTGTGTTCTGGACCGGCGCCGTCATAACCGTGAGGCAAGAGAAGCGTCAGGCCGGACTGTGTCAGCCACTTGCCTCAAAACTCATGTTGCCCACTTTATAGCACTCAAATCCTGTCACTTTCTCCACTTGCAATGAAAGTATCGATGATGATCTGAGCTCCATTGAAGAAATCGCCGAACTGAGCCTCCCAGATGCAGAGCCGTCGAGGATTCTCAGACGAAAAGCCCCACTCAAAGCCAAGAATGGCTTCCTCTGACAGCAGATTATTCGCGACCTCAAGTTTTTAGTTGAAAAAGCAGTTTTGAATTTGAGAATTCACTTCCAGGTAATTCTTCTGCCCCTCGATGATGTGATTCAATGGAATATGAATTTTATCGCTGGATTGGTCGACGAACATCGCATGTCTAAACTCCTGAGATGATAGATTATAAAGTGCATAAAAGATCTCTAGAGGAACATTTCTCACAAAAGTTATCTAATCATGATTTTTTGACAGCCGTTTGCATCTTTTTTTCTGAAGTAACTCGTCCAATACTACCTGTGGCAGAAAGTGCCACGACCGACGTCCTGGCCACTGATGCGGACATCGTTTCCTTGTAGGAGAACACTTCCGAAGGCCAAGGCCTCGGCCGTCGCCCAGTCGATGTTCTCGCCGCTCTTCATTTTGTTCAGTCGTGCTTCAATGTGCGTTTTCTGGAGATGCTTGTGCGAGTCCTTAACATTTGAATTCGACCTTCATTTTTATATTTACGGTAACCCACAAAGTTATCTGGGAAGTGAACACTAGCCGCGCCTACGAACCGGAGAAGGTCCACGTCGACTCCCGTATCCCATCTTTCTACACTCGAAGGGGCTTGGACAAATCCTTTCCAGTTGCCTTGTAGATGAGTCACTCTCAAATATTGAAGTTGCGACCAAAAAAAAAAGTTTTTGTTTCTAACTCTGGTTGCGATTTATCGACCGATTTCAACGTCACGTTGAGTTCTTCCGTCTGTTTGTCTAAATCTTTCTTGATATCTTCCTCCGTCGTGATCCCTTCAGAAATCAAACGGTCCATGAAAAGTCGAGGCACCGATTCTCGCGATTCAATTTCCTAGCCGAAACATATTAAGAGTCCATCTCTCTACTAACTTTATACATAACAGGAGACGTGAAAGTTGGATCATCAAGTTCGTTGTGACCCCAACGTCGGAAGCACACGAGATTGATGAAAATGTCCTTACGGAACTTTTCTCGATAAGCCAGAGCGATCCTAGTTGCCTTCACTAACTCCTATGAAAGAAATTATATGGTTGATTTCAAAGTTCCAAAGAACCTCAGGATGATCTCCATTGACATGGATTACAGGGTATTCAAAAGCCTTCGCGATGTCTAAAAGGTCAGAAATTGTTCTGAGATCTGTTGATGAAGAGTACCAGTGCAATGAGTGGTCGACCTTCCAATGCAAGACTCGGCCGTGAAGGCGACTTGGTTATTGGTGACGAGATGGACGGTTCCGCCGAGTCGGAAGTGAGGAGCTCGACTCAGGGCCAGCGACTCCCACACAATGCCTTGGCCGGTGAAAGCGCCGTCGCCGTGGATCAGAACATTCAGAACCGAGTCGCCAGTACGAGCCGACCGTTCCTCGGCGCTGTAGTCGCCCTGTTTCATCGACCTGACTTTCAAGGTAAAGCTCGGAACTTCTTTTTCGAATGAACCATGCTCTGGCACGAGCTTTTCCCATTGCCACAGGGTTGACGGCTTCCAAGTGCGACGGATTGGGCAACATCGTCACGTGTACCTGTCCTTCCTTTCCTTTGTAATCGAACGATGAAACTGAAACTCGAGGATGAAGGAAATAAACTTTTACGCAGAAAATTTTAAATATACTTTTTCTTTCTTTATACAAGTCTTTGCTTCCCAACTTATACTTTACTGCTATACTCACTAAATTTGAAAACCATTGGGCAAAACTTTCAAATTTGTCTGTTTTTAACTCTCTCACTTCCCACTGTCTTCTTCGAAACATACCCAAATGCGACAAGACGTCACCGGAGCCCGAAACATCATTCGGGAACTCTGGCTTTCCTTTTATCTTAAAATCACTCGATTTTTCTTGTCTTTTTTTACTTTGATGTCAACCTTTCTGAACATTTGGAGAACGGGAAACTGCATTAGCTGAGTCAGCAAGTTCAGACGTCCGCGATGGGCGATTCCAATAACAACCTCCAGAATTTCGAGATGTTTGGTTTTCTATTCACTTCACACCTGTTCAATATTATGCTCCGGAGACGTTTCGAACAACTCCGAGAAGAAGCCGAACATGCTTTCCGCTCCTTCGGCGCCATACCGTTTGAGCGTCGGGAATTTCAAAGCAAGGAAACGATCAAAGTTCTGAAGAGAAATAAATTGAGATCGAGTTTCTGAAAGCCATCCCAAAAACTCCCTTTTCTATAAATAAAAAAGGATTCACTGACTATCAGCTTCAATGAATCTTCTCTAAGTCGATTATTTTCAAATCCATTTCTAGAGATTTTGAAAGCCCTCACTTCGCAACGGAGCATGAGCTTCCCGATGTGGAGCAGCTCCTCTTGCCGCAGTTCTTCGGCGACGGAACTTTCGAAGCGCTGCGCTAGCCACTGCCGTTCCTCCCAGTTCTGCAATCCGACCACCCACGATGATAAAGCTCATTCGCGACAAACGTTGATATGCATGAACTCGACGGCCATCGGACCGCAGTAAATCAGCCGAAGCTGTTCGGCGAGATCGTTCAGTGAAAATCCAGACTTGACGTCATCTGAGAGCGACAGGCCATACGCGGTCGGGTCTAACTCCGGCACTCTGAAAATCCTCTTTTTTCGATCTATCAAGGAAAAAAAAAAATTTGGAACAGCTTGAAAATATCGCAAGTTCGACGAAAACTAATCAGAGAGTATATTTCATTAAATATGAAAATGTGTATTTCTGGAGTTTTTACGAGCGGATTCTGAAACCTTACGTCTAAATCTCAGTTCTCACTGCCGTTGAGACTCAAGTTAACTCAAGATTATATCATTGAGAACGCAATGAGAAATTCAACAAAATGAACTTTATAAACTTCAATTAAATGAACTTCCTAGTATTCAATGTTTCTTCATGATAAAAATTGCAAATTTACAGATTTTCCTTGACTTCCTGTCATTTCGAAACGTCAACAGGCAACCCTAAAGTCTTTTTCGCGTAATCGCAAGCCGGCGCCGACAAAGAAAACTGGATATCCCAAATTGATATCAAGCAAAAGAACGCTGTCTGTCCGAAAAAATTTATGGGTCCGACAGAGACGTTCCCGAAGGAAAAGTGCAAAAATTTTTTCGAAAATCATAGATTGCATGACATGTGTTAGAACCCAAAAATCAGTTAAAAAAATAGCTCCCACAATTGTATATATTTGTCGTTTCTCAGTTAATATGGATATAAATTTTATCAACGTTCCGGAAATATCTGATAATTTGATCCTCTACATCAATATTGTCTGCGAGTTATTCCAAACGCGAATCGCCTTTTGCGACAAGCCAAAAAGTGCGAATGGCGTCGAAAAAAAAGCGAAATAGGTCGGGACTCGACGCGAATCCATTCTTCAGTCTGCCTTCGATACCTATCTAATTCGACCCGCGCCGAACCATTGTGAAACACCCACTAGGAAGCAAAAAAATGCCTTAGGAAATACGATTTTTCGCCTCTGTCGCTCTGGATAAATGGCCTATAAAAGAGGTGCTGAGGCCGGCGGATGAGTCTGAACGCCTCCGTAGTTCTCTATCCGTTTCGTTTTGTATATCTTCAAAAATAATTTACTCTCTTTTCCTTTCATTGTGCGTATGAATTAATTGTCAACTTTTCAAAAAATGATCTTTTTTTTTTTGAATTTAGGAATCATGTCGGTGACTTCGGCCACGTCCGGAGCCCTGTTGTTCTCGGGAACCACCTTGCTGGTTTCTTTGTTTGCCGCTGCCTCGATTTATTCTCAAGTAACGTCGATCTGGAACGAACTCGACAGCGAGATCAACAACTTTAAAGTGAGAATTTCATAAAGTAAAAATAAAACCAAGTCATCTTTCAGTCTTTGACCGACGACATCTGGTCTGACATGGTAAATCTTGGGGCCGGAACTCCTTCGAACCGTCTTCGCCGTCAGTCTTACGGAGGATATGGAGCCAGTGGCAACCAGCCACAGCATCCGGAGAATCCAAGCTGGCCTCACGGCGACAAAGGTCCAAACGTCAATCCCAACTTCCCAAGCGGTGGCCCGACTCCTGGCGGAGGCAGCGGAGGTCGTTGTCAGGTGGGAAGTTCATCTTATAGAAGCTATTCTTAAACACAAATCCTCAAAAAAGGGTTGGAACCGAAAATATTGTATATTGAGACATCGCATTCCCACATCAAGTCTATATTCAAAAAAATTTTAACTAGCACTATATTTCTGAGAAAATAATCAGAAGCTTTATTTCAGTGCTCAACGGAGAACAGCTGTCCAGCCGGGCCAGCAGGAGCAGAAGGAGAAGCTGGACCAGACGGTGAGGACGGTCTCGACGGAGTTCCAGCTCCCGATGGAGAAGACGCTCAAGATATCGAGAACGCGCCAAGCCAAGGCTGCTTCACCTGCCCACAAGGCCTTCCAGGACCTCAAGGACCAAGTGGAGCGCCAGGAATGCGTGGAATGCGAGGAGCTCGAGGACAGTCTGGTCACTCCGGCCGCGACGGTCAGCCAGGAATGCCTGGAGAGATGGGACCACCAGGAGCGCCGGGAGACGACGGAAAGTCTGGAAAGCCAGGAGACAAGGGAGACGACGGCGAACGACCAGTCGGACGTCCAGGACCTCGTGGAGCTCCAGGAGAGCAAGGCCCAGAAGGACCTCAAGGAGCTCCAGGTCGTGACGCCTACGCTGGTCCAGCTGGTCCAGCCGGAGAGCCCGGATCGCAAGGATACCAAGGATCTGCTGGTCCAGATGGGTTCGTTTTCAATTCAATTTTTTTTTTAATTTGTAGCATAATCCTTGACTTCGAGGAAATATCTAACTAGATTATTTTCAGTGAGGAAGGCCCAGAAGGACCTGCCGGAGCGATCGGAAAAGACGCTGAATACTGCAAATGCCCGAATCGCGATGAGGCCGTCAGCAGCTCAAACTACCGCCGCAAGCACAAACGCTTTTAACTCTTCTTATTTCGAGACAATGAAGTTTTGCGGTGCTCATTTCTTTTTTGAGAAAAAAGCAAAAACATAGCAACGGAACCTTTGTGGCTACTTACTTTTCGACATTCTGAAGACCCAGCGGATCGAGTTGGGCTTCCAGATATCCGTACCTACGAAACGCGTTAATTAGCTGTACCCTTTGGCTGTTTTCCGCACTCAAGCTACCTGGAAATAGAGATTATGGAAAAAGTCGCTCCGAAATCAACCTTGTGGCTCAAAAACGCTTCTTGGTGGCTCAGCCAGATGACCAAAAGCGCCGCCTCCGGGTCGGTAGAAACGTATACCTGTAAGAAAAACTAAAAGTAGTACGAAAAAAATCCAAATGGTTACTTTTTCTTCCCATTTTTCTGTATAATAAACAAAAATTCGAAAAAAAAAAGTTTGTTTCCGACTTCTATTTTCATATCTTGGAAGTAGCTGCTTCAGGGAAATATTATTATGGAAAGACTTTTTAATCATAAAAAGACTGTTAATTGCGTCTGTCCAATCTTCAAAGCGAAAGACGCAAATGAATCTTAAAGCTTCATTTTCTGAGAATGGTTTTTTTTGATTGTTATAAATAGTAATTTAATAATATTTTTTGATACCAAAAAGATTCACTGGCTTCTAGAAATGACCAGAAAATCACCTGCGGTCACTAAAACTTCCATCTTAGAGAATTTCAATGAGACAGACGAATTTGCTCTCGAATGTCATTTACGGAACTGCGACTTCATTTACTCTATTTACACATTAAACGAACTGCTTCAAAAGTTCACAGAAGAGAAAAAAATGTGATATCTTTCAAAACTGCTCTCCGATGTTCCTCCAATAAGAAGAAGACTCTCACAGGTGCTCCCGGAACACTTGGCCATGTTAGGGCCGCGCTGTTGACATAGTACGCCGACGCTGGCTTATTCCAGCTGACCACGCGCTAGAACTCTCTGCAACTCGTCAACCAGCCTTCCGTAAGTCTCTCTCCCACTATCCGTCTCCGAATATTTTAATAATAGGCGAAATAAAACTCTTCATTTTTTCGACCAACCTAAAGAGACAATATTTATGTACTTATTTTCGTGAATTTTTAAATAATGAAGAAAAAGAATATTTGGAAACTCATATTACTCAAAAATCAACACGCCCTTATAGTTTATATTTAAAAAAATTTTTTTTTAAAGAAGGCTTTTTTTCTTATCATTTCGAATTCATTTTTTTCTAGGTCTTAGATCCATTTCTTAAAAATTTTTCTCCCACGAACCGAGCTTCAAAGTTTTTTTGAAGACGTTCGAACCATTGCTTGTCCTTCAAAGATACTATTTCTCTGGACTCTTTCCTAACAAATTTTCACAGAACAAGACTCTCTAGACCTTTGACGAGTCATCTGCCAAACATTTTTTTTTTTCAACCCTTGCGGAGAAGAAAAAGTTTGTGGCAAGGTGTTATTTGCCTTCGAAACACAGAAGGAGAAAAGAGAGACAGAGAGAGGCGCTACAGGCTGCCGCGGTGATGCACCGGAGCAGCGCCGACAACATCATGGAACTCGGCGACCTCCACAATCAATACGAGCCCCGCGGCGGCTCCAGCGCGTCGTCCAACAGGTTGGCTTCGGTCACAACGAGTTGAAATCGATTGTTCACAATAAACTGAATTTTATTTTCACAGAGATCATTTACGATACTTAGAAGATTGAGACTTTTCGAAGGAAGAAGAAGAAGATAACTTGAGAGATATTGTCTCAACAAGCTTATTACAAAAAGGGACACTTCTTTTGTACAGTTCCGAGATCACCTTGAAAATTAACGGGTTCTCTGAATATTTCTTCAAGTCTGGAAATCATAAAAATCGAAAAATTTCAGTTTATCGAAAAAACTTTGCAAAGTTGAACATCTACTTTTCTGGAAAGGAGTTAGGACCAGGAGTTATCAAAAGATCGATGTGAAAATGATTTCTTTGCATTTCAATTGTAGAGAAGTTCATCGCACACAAATACTGAAGAACTATCATTTTTCGACTTATAGTTGATTTTCAACAGTCGGATTTTTTCATGTGCAAAAATCGTATTTCGTTCTGATTTTAAATTGAAAAAACTCTTTGTCGCGGGACCTCTATCAACTCGACATGCCCTTATAAAAACCTTAGCAAAAAAAACCCTTATAAAAACCGTAGTAAATCAAGATCATCTTGAACTTTCAGACGGAAAACCGAGCCTCTGCCTCCTTCTACGCTCAACCTTTTCGCCTGCATAATCGCGTAACCAAACCAAAATGACCTTTTAAAAAAGTCGCTTTTTAGGTCAGCCGCTTTGACAATCGCCGTCGTCGGCCTCGCCATAGCTTTTTTCATACTTGCATTCAGTTAAACAGGAAGATCGCTTGTAAATATTCTCTACCTCCCCTCAAAACCCGTATTTTGTAAAAAGACAAAACCTGTTTTGGCCCTCGCATAATTTGCGGCGATAGCTCGGAGCATCTGGCCGATCCCTATACTGTATTATGTCGTCGTTAGTACAAAGCAAACGCGAAATTGTTTTTCAAAGAAAATGGCGTGGAATGATTGACCACGAGAGCATTTCAATGTTCAAGAATGCTTCTCAAATAAAGTTTATCATATCAATTTTAAAACATATGCATAAAGTAGGTGGATAAATTCAAAAATTAGCACAAGGAAAACGATGACTCGATATCAAATTAAAGAAAATCACATGAAAAACAAAGATCATTGGCGGGAGAGAATGAAAAACTTAAGGACTTTATCCAGAGGCCTAGCTAGCCGATCCGGGATCTCGAATCTTGTTGTTGTTGTTGCTGCTGGAGTTGTTGTTGCTGTTGCAGGTACTGCTGAGTGGTCATGACGTTCATCAACGAAGACGCGAAGGGCTAAAAGAACAATGTATTAGAAAGAAAAAGAATATAGGACTTCAGAGTATTAGTGTGAAAAATGACTTTAAAAAGAGATTTTTTTTTTCGAATAAAAAGAAACCCTGACCGCAGGTGCCGGGCTGTTCGAAGCCCCAGGTTGAGTATAAGGCGATGAGTTCGTCACCACAGGTTGCGTGTAGGGCGCGGAGTTTACAACTACAGGTTGCGTGTAGGGCGAGGAGTTCACAACTACAGGTTGAATATAGGGCGATGAGTTCGAAACCACAGGTTGCGCATAGGGTGACGACGTCGCATAAGGAGCCTAAAACTTGATTTTTGATTGTATTTATAGGACTTTGCTTATCGGAATCACTCTAAATTGGAAAAACTCTAGAATTAGTACTATGTGAGAAACCTTCTTCCACAAAATAATAAAGAGATTTTAATAAAAATATTGAAAAATCTGGGAAGTAAAAAAATTCATTCTCTTATTAGATATAAAAAAACTAATATTCTTGCGAGCCAAACTTTTCAGTTTGCAAAAAAATATGAAAAATTACACACTCTGAGAGAGCCGTTAGCCGCATAAGGAGAAGCGGTTGGAGTCGACTGGATATACGGAGCAGTGGGCTGGACAAGCGGAGAGGCGTTCGATGGTTGGTAAGATACTGCCGACGCCGACAATCTGAACGACGGGAAAGTTATTAAACAACTTCCGAAATTCCGGTTGAAATATTGAGAAAGTTTTAAAAAAAGGTAAACAACGACGGAACGATAGAGCCGAATCGACGCGACGCGTTGTAGACGTACGAAATAGACGAAATCAACGAGAATCACGATATAAAAGAGCAGTTGAGCTAACCACGTGCACGAAGATTGCTAACTTTGAGGGAGACGGAACCAAAAAGTTGACTTTAAGCTTTTCTCCCGCTATAAGAGTCTATATCTAATCAATCTGGAAATGCGTGGGACGCTATTGTTCTGGTCTTCTGAATCGAGAAGAAACAGAGCCGACAAATGAGACAGCAAGGTTTGATAGTATAACGAAATTTCTTAGTCAAGCGTACGCTGTAGAAAATTTGAAAAAGATCTTGAAAAAACCAGCATATATCCTTCCCTCTGGTCTATTAAATTTTCATTGTTGAAAAAATAAAATTTGTTTAAAGTTCTTTTTTTTTTTAAAGTTCTGCCATACTTCAACTGTTGAAGGAATCAAGACCAAGCCCCTTTTCAAGATCTTTCACGTGCTTTTGGAATCTCATCAAGCAAGAAAACAGACTATAGAATAGGATCGATGTTTAAAACTGTAACCTGGTCCTGGGAGGAAATGAATCATAAACAAAAAATGCACGCTAAATACGATCGACACGATGAGTGATTATTTAGTGAATCAAGAAGAAAAAGAGCCCAGTACTGGGTGCCAGAACTGGAGATGGCCGCCATTGGCACGGGCACAGTATATCCTTGAGGAATGCTGAGTTTTTTGGCGTCGATTTCCTTAAGCAATCGATCCCGGTAATACACATAGCGTGTACGCGCTAGCGAGTACTCCTGATACAAGGGCAAGAGATCCCTGAAGACACCACTTTGAAAAAAGTGAAAACAGCTGGCAACGAACGGATCAGCAGGTTGGGGAATCTCCGAATCGACAGCCGTTTGTTGACTGAAAGGCGAAACTTTCTTCACAAGCAGATCATCTGCACTGCTAAATTTTAAAAAAGAGTTATTTCCAACTATCTTCAAGTATTTCGTCTTCAGAAGCAAACCTTTCTCCTGGCCGTTTCAAACCTCTTGTCAGATCAATTTTAAACGTCTGTGTAACTCTGAAATGCAGATGTACAGAAAGGGGCTGAAATGGAAATGCAAACTGATTATTTGGATCTTGAGGGCAGTGAGGCGTTTTGTGTTCTTCCGATCCACACCGAAAGCATTTGTTAGTCATTCCAGGCTGAGGCCGTAGCTTCGACGTCGATCTTAGATTTTCATTGGAAAAATGAACATGCGAAATACGTTACTTTTGAATATGAATCGCCTTTCCGTCTAAATTGTACCCATTCAGCCTTTGTATCACAGGCTCAACATCCGTCTCTTCGACATGCTTAAATGAAATCACGGTGTATCAATCACAAGGAAGATCCTCTATATGTGATTGGGAGTTAATTCAAATTTTGGGAATTATTTCGGATTTTCAACCAAGTCAATCAAAATTTTTTCATTGGCCAGTGTTTTCTTTGATGTACCAGATGACCTTAATTCTCGCGCTATATAGTTTCGTTTTATGACATATATATAGAAAAATCAACAAAAAGTTGCTACCAAATTGGATATCGGTTATAGCCTGTTCTGCACCAGCTTATCAAGTTTTTTATTTCCGCCGAAAATACCATATACCAAATTAGAACAATAATGGGCATTTTCGCTTCAAGACCTTGACTTTTTCTGCCTTTTTAAAAGCTTTGTAGAGCAAAAATTTGTGTTTACGATAGATTTTTCTTTTCAGTTCTGTTAAAACGGGACCATCTCGCGCGGAAAGCACTTTAGAATTTTCTCAGTGATAATTTACGATTATTATCTTCAAAAAAAAAAAACGAACACCTTAGAGCGAAGCGCGGTTGAATTTAACATGTACTTTGCTAGAAAAATAATTCAAAAATTGCAGCGCTATCAAAGGATCATCGCGTGATAAACCATTGGCGTAAAATATATTGTACAAAACCGAAACAGACTATGCCGACGCGATCTTGCGAAAAATAATAGATTTAAAAACGACTACCAGTGTCAGGATAAGAACGTTTTCGGATATTAAAAAAATAATATTTTACCTTTCTTAGCTGACAATAATGAGTTTTCTTTCAAAAAAAAAAACTTTCAAAATCTATTGAGAAATAAAAATCCTACAACGAAAGCGTAGTTTTTAACAACGTCGCACTCCGTGACTCGACAGAATTGCTGGAATACTTGCTTCAATCTGTTGGCGTCAATACCCTCAGGCAAATTCCCCACAAATAACTTCACCATTCTAAAATGAATTATCTCTGGTTTAATATTCTTGGCGTTTTGATTTCGATATCGATTGGAAATTAAATCCGAAAAAAAAATCTTTCAAGCGAAACCACAAAAAGAATCATTTATGCATTGTCATTCAAACGAAAAAATGGAAAATGTGTTAAAACGTAGTTTGCATTCAAAAGACGGAATAAATAAGATACAAATAATAGACATAAATGATCAGTTTTCAGAGTTGGGTTGAATGGTATAACGGTCCTTCTCCCTGAGAAGAAACTTGGCCAGGAAATCGACTGGATTCTCAGGACGTTCTTTGGCGAGAGCTCCCAAGCCCTGAAAAAAAAAGCAAAATCAAAAAGCTTCCAATTAAACAAGAACCTGAAGCAGAATCGGAACAATCGTTTGGTCGAGGTACTGTCTGGTCGGAATCGACTGAAGATTTCTTGCAGCCGGCGCGCTGGGAGGGACCGGAGCCTGTGGCTGCGCTGGAGCGTGATTCTCCACGGCGTTATCAGTATGAGGCTAAAAATCCACTTTGAGTGAAAAATAAAAAAAAATTGAAATAGCGCCCCCGCGGTTCTCATGAAGATCCCTTTCTATTTTTATCGGATCTTTTAATGGCCCACGCGTAGGACCAACGAGTCAAAACTGTCTCAGAAACTCGAATAATCTTCGGCACAAAAAGAGCTCTTTTTCAAAGCAACTTAATAAATTCTGTACTTGATGTATATTTTGTCTTTTATCAAAAACACTTCGATGAATTACTAAAGATTAGAAATTGAATTAGAAAAACATTATTATAAAAACCTCCTTTCAATAATAAAAAAAAACATACGAAGTCAAAATAAGATTGAGAATATGCCCATGGTACCATAGCTACAGATGAATTTATGAAGTATATAGGGAGAACTTTCTCCGTACTACGCATGTGATTAAGCTTTTCCGACGGCTAGTTCATATGAAATCATACAGCGAATAATCCACGCATTATCTGTGGGCGTGGGAAAGTTGAGATAATCTTTTATCATATTCTGATCTGTTAATAAATTGCTAAAACTACAAAAAGGATTCAGAGCGTTAGCTCCATCGGAAAAAAAAACAAACTTCTTGCGCAGTTTCTGTGTGAGAAGGGGCTTGTTCAGGACCGGCAGTGTCCATAGTTTCGACGGTGTCCGCAGGCTTAAAGATTATTTTCAGATATAATATTCAGGAGCAAAGGACACTTTCACCAAAACTTGTCCCACCTCATCCACTAAAAAAATTATCACAAATTCTCCCGTTTCTCAAAAACTACAATTAAGTATATAACCTGTGCTGAACACCCTAGGCGCAAATTTTTTTCTAGTTTATTGAACAAATACTTCGGAATTTTGGAAAAAAAAAGAAGTCGTAATATCGCAAACCTTTTGTTGAGCTTCCTGCTGGTTTTCAGTTACAGCGTCGGCCATTTTTTTCTTTTCGTAGAACTTATCTGGAAAAATTATTCAAAAATTTTTCCAGTAAGAGCAGATATTTTGAATATTCGAAAAAAACGTTCATCAAATATTTCTGTAAAACTATTTTAAAAAAATTTTGAAAGAATTTTCGAAAAGGATTAGTCGGAAACTTCTCAATCGGAATTCCGGAAAGTTCCCTATCGATATTAAAAAAATCGGAAAAAGTCACCGTTCAAAAATTTCGCTGGTCAATTTTTTTCGAAAAATCAATTTTTTTATTCTCTTGACATGTAACTAAGAAGAATATCCACAGAAAAACAAAAAAAAGTTGAAAATTGGAAAAATGAACGCCGGCGTTTTTGTCTATTGAGAATAACACCACACGCGAAAATACAGATTGCGAGGTGTAGGCACCATACTGCGTTACAGTAAAAAAAAATCACCTGTGGGGCGGGTCTAAATTCACTAAGAATAACTGACGAGATAAATGCGAGCTCGGTGGCGGTACATTGACTAACTCGCAAAAATGTCGCTTTTTTCTAGGCGCGATCCCGCATTTCTCTCGGCGCGACCTCGCATTTTTCACGGCGCCATCTCGCATTTATCTTGCATTTCGGAAATTTTCAAATTGCGAGAGAAATGCGAGCTCGCGCCTAGAAAAATGCGAGCTCGCGCCCAGAAAAATGCGAGACCGGCGCGAGAAAAAAAGCGAGATGTTTGCGAGCTCGTCAATGTACCGCCAGTGTCTCGCGTTTATCTCGGCAGTTATTCTTAGTGAACTCTCGTTATTTTTCTGGATATTGGTATTTTTGTAGTTCAGATGTTTTTAGAAAAAGTACGATATAGATGTTTTGAAAATTGAAAAAAACTTCAGTTTTGCTTTTTCCTTAGCTGGATCGCAAAGTTTAATCGGCACTAAACCAATAAAAGCTTCATTACAATTTGCACAATATTTGAAAAAGTACACATTAAAACTTTTATGAACACAATGTATTTGAACGAAGTTATGTTTTCGTAGGGTTGCTCACGAGAACAGAGTTCCGATGAGAGGATAAAGGGACTTGAGGCAAGGAAGAGAATATTTGAGTGGGAGCGATAACGGTGGGCGTGAGCAGAGTGGAAGTGTTGCCCATGTTCATCTGAATCAAAATAACATGATGACCGTCAAATCGAAAGAATCTTACACTTAAGGAAGCTGGAGCCAAAAGAATTGCTCTCAACTGATCCGTTTCCACTCGAAGTTGCTCCAATTCAATACGAAGCTTCATGTTTTCCTTTTCGAGCAAAAGAGCTCGGTTGGCCATTTCATCTTCCTGAATTCATTTCGTGGTCATTAGGAATGTACCTTTGATGAACCCCATCGAAAAAAAGAGCTGAGGGGGAAAAATAAACCTTCTGACGGCGCTGGTCGCGGCTTCGCTTGGCTGCATCGTTATTCTTTCTTCGGCGTTCCCAGTAGGCCTCGTCTTTCACCTGGTCCTTAAGTATGCTCTTAAACTTCTAGTTTGCATTTAAAATAACCTTCTTCCGTTTACCGTCGTTTCGAACGATTACATTTTCTCGTGTCGATGTTGGGGAAACTGAACTTCTGCTGTCTCGGGAGGAGGAACATGAAGACTGTAACTTTTTGTTTTTATTTTCCAGTATTCGTTTGGATGGAAAATATTTTTACAACGTTACTCGATTTCGTATCGTTGCATCTAAAAGCCGAGAGCAACACCAACCTCAGGTTTGTCGTTGTTGTTGTTGTGTTCGATGAAGCGATCCGTGTTGTCGTAGACATTCTGCAAATCTTTCTTGTAGAATTTGAGCTTTTCAGGATTGGGGAGAACAAACTGAAATCCTTTTTTTGGGCGAGGAAGGGTATTTCCGCGCGGGAAACGAAAAAACGAAGCAAATCGCGGGTCAAACTTTCTCTTCCGACGGATGTCGTTTTCCCAACAGGAGTTTCACACTTGCATTTGGAATCGTTTTTCTTGCCCAAGGCTCAAATAATTCTAGGACTAGAATGAACTTGCAGTTTGATGAAAAAAAAATTGAGTTGGAAAACAAATAGAAGGTTTTTAACGTCAGGGATAACGTGTCGAGCTGGGAATGTACCTCCGGTCGGACTTGGTTATTGTAAACAGAGCCATTAAATACTTTTTGAAATGTTCTTGATCAAACATGTGAGATTTAAGCAGCGTTTTTTTAAAAAAATGATACCACTCAAAAAAATTGAAAAAACTTTTAAAGTTCTTTTTCAAATATGTTTTTTTACAAGTACTGAAATTCAAACGCCAGTTTTAGGTTTAAATAGAGGGAAAAATTTCAATCAATGAATAATGAGAAAGACAAAGGAAGATTTTTCTTTCCCATTCGAGTCAAATTTTTTTCGCAGAATATTAGAAATCATATTGAGTTTGAAATGATATCGTCAAGGTTAGAGTTTTTAAAGCATTGTATTATTGTGCCCTCTATTTCAAAACATTATCCCTTCAAGCCTCTCTTTCCAAAACATGATGAACAAAGCCTTCCATAGCGAATGCTCGTCTTGAAGCAAAGCAAAGAACTCACGTTGTAGCTGAGGTTGAAGAGATGGGAGGTGGAGAGAAGAGCTGGATGAATGACAGGAAGATGGAAGGCCGAGGGATAGGAGACGTCGAGGCCTGGTCCTACTTCGCAGGTCCTGCAGGCCTGCGATGGCAAGTTGAGCGCGGCCATACCGGCGCGGTGAAAGTCGTCCGAAAGTGAGATGACCCAATTCCCTCATTTCACTGCTTTCGCCTCCCGCCCCGTGCAATTCGTCCACAAACGAGGTCATCGTTGGTATTATGCAATTTGGCGTCGTTGAAAGCGAAAATGACATGATTAGCCACCAAAATGGACCTTTGCTCGACCAGCGAGCCTGCACAGATTGATCAACGCGCCACACTTATCCTTAAATTAACAACACAGCTTTCCTGCAAATCTTTAGATATGATCAGAGTTTGGTGTAACCAACAAGTATCTATGTGAGCATTATAGGCTAATTTTCTGCATCACTGTGCTTTCAAATCATTTCGTAGAGCCTGTTCAACCGTTTTGAGATTTCTGACTAAGAATAACAACATTAGTTCTCATCCCGAACCAGGGCTTACTAGTTAAGATTAAGATTTCGGGTAAAAATCAGTGAAACCCAACTCTTCATTAAAAAAACTAAAAACTTGAACTGGAAAAAGGATAATCTGATCGTCTTAGGGACGACAATTTTGAAAAATTCTGAATAAAAAAATATTTCAAAAAAATGATCTGGCTGTTTTTGCTTGACTCCATAAATTATAGACCATAATTATATGCATATTCCATTTAGTCTCATTCAGAACCACAAAGTGAACAACGCTGTAACGGAAAAATTCGAATTTTAATGCAAAAATCTTCTATTTGATTAATTATTAAACTTTTCTGATGATGGCGCATTTCCTTGTTTGATATTGAATTATTTGAAAATATAGCTTTTTGAGAGTCGTTGCTACTGTGTTTTTTTTTTACTTATTACTGTGAAATTTTTTTAATTCAAAAATAACCGATTTTATGGTTTTTCATCTTTTAAAAATGCAATGAGAACATACTGATAAAATGGACTTTGCTTGATAAAAGAACAAATAAAACGTTGAAGTTGGAACTTTCAAAACATTCCTCGATATTCATAAAACAAAATTCTTTTTTCGAAAAAGTTACATGGCGCATCCATTAACATGAGCAACGCCGAAATTCTCACATTTGCTGCTTTTTATTCTTCTAAAAGCTTTAATTTTAGCAGGTTCCAATTTTTTGTTTCGATTTTTGAAAAAGAAAAAACCCTCAATCTTCAAAAAATTTAGTTTGTGTCCCGGAGGCTTGTTCCATATACTGATCGCCAACCGGAAAAAGCCTCAATAAACGAAAAATATTTTCCTCTTTAGTTCTTAATATTCACTCTCTAATACTCTTCGCTAATTTAGAAGGGATGGAGTCAAAACAATATTAGTTTATACTAAAATGCGATTTTGAACTAATTTTCGTTGAACCAGTTAGTAATATTTGTTTACCAAAAAACTAGAAATTCTGCATGGTACAAACTTGTAATTTAAGTCACTGTTTTACGTTTCTCGCCAAAAAGATATTGAAAGTTTAACCACTGTACATGCTTTGGAGCCCAAGTCTGGAACTATCTTAACGCTCCGGTCAGCCCATTTATTTTTTTGATTCTTTAAAAATTGCCCACTTGAAAAATCAAAAAAAAAAAAATTTATTCATTGGAGATTGAGAAACCCCTCCACTGAAAAAAAAAGATAGACCAACAAATTCAGGTTGACTTTGTGGGTTTTGAATGGGACGGGTGAAGGCCAACAGAGCTCGTCGGACAAAACCGTCTTTTCGACGCCAGGCTTCGACCGTTCTTCATGCTTCACGCTATATTTTTCTTCATATTCATATCCTACTCCGAAGTTTATTTTTGATGAAGAGTTTTTATTACTGCCAAAAATTTCAGAGTTGTCAATCAACAATGATGAAAAAGGCGCAAAACGACATGGTCATCAGAATTTCAAATCATCAAGACGTTCCTAATTTGTTGGTTTTTGTAGCATTTTACTGTAAACTTTTACTTTTACACAAAGATTATCTTAGCTCTAAAATATTTATTGTTCTCACATTCCAGACAAAACTTTTGAAAGTTATTTTTTCTTTGAGATGATTTGACGCAGAGAGAGTTTAACCTTGATCAATGGGGAAATCAATGAAAATATTTTTTGCAGAGATCCCGGCTGCCGGGGCGGAGAAATTCAGATTATCACTAAAAAAGCTTACGACGAAGCTACCGTTGAAACGAATGTTAAAAAGGTTCAGAAGGATATTTTGGAGCTTGAGAAGTATTCTGGTACTCGAATAACTGAATTTGCTACTTCTTTTTCAAAAATGACCACGTGAGCGCTTTTTTTGAAGGTCCTCAATAATGCTTTCATTCAATATTGAAACTTCAGGAAAGTCACTATGAATGGCAAATCGTACTTTGGCGTGCAGTTCAGCATGCGGGAAGTCCTTGGGCCTTGTCAGAAGCTTCGAATGTTTATTAAAAACGCCGTCTCGTGGAGCTCGGACGTAAGAATCGACTTCAATCGGCTTTTTTTTCACGAAGCGTTCTTTTGAGATCCAACGCGCCAGAGTTGTATGCAGATGTGAGGAGACCGTGGACATTTTTCGCCTAGAACGACCTTTTTGATCTTTTTGAAATGCCCTATAAAATAAATAAACACACAGAGAAATCGTACAGCATATTAACCTGAGGGTCGAGCTCAACTGTATAAAAACCAAAAAAAATACGTTTTCCTCCTGTTTTCCATGAAGTCCGCCATTTTTCTCGTTATGTCTTTCGCCACTTTTACAATCACAGAGGTAACGAGGACCTTTTTATAAGAAACACTTCTTTTTCAGGCTTGTCATTCCTCAGTCATGATGGACTCTACGACGCAAAGGTCAGAACAATTTAGCGATAACTGAGACATTTGAATTTCAGAGATTGTGAAACTAGGGCCGTAATTATTTTGAAATCTACGTACATCTGGGACGAGCAGAGGACTGGAGTCTACGAGAAAAAATTCTCGAAGAACTTGAAGGACCTCCAGACTTACAGCCACACGAGCATCGACTCGTTTGGCGAAATTACACGACAAGTTGTGTAAGTTTTTTCTTCATTTATCTCTGCATGAACTTTTTTAAAATTTCTTTTAAGTAAACTTGAAGCTCCAAGAGGCTCTATTTACGGAGAGCGTGTTACCGTCGAGAAGTTATCGAAAGATTGCGCGGATGTTCAAGAAGTCGTACGAAAAGCAGTTTCGTGGAGCGACGATGTTCGTTTGAAAAGAATTTTCCCTTTTTACGTAATAGTAGAACCCAAAATTTTTTTTCCATTTTCATTGCAGAACAGTCGACCGATTTCTTCACCAAGTGGAATTTGTTTCAGATTCCAACAGCCACGATTCACTGCCGCTGCAACCCGGCCAAGGACATTTTTAAGTTGACCTCGACCTCTCCAGCCAACACTCCTTGATGCCGCTTACACAACTAGGTCGCTCACCAGATAAAACCAGTTATCTCATCCCGGAAACTGAGCTTATCTCTTGCCTCTGACCAGTGAGCTCGAAAAACTTGTGCACAATAATGAATCAAAAATCAAGGCAGCGACGACTTTCTCTTATGATTAACTAGAGGTTTAAATAAAAACAATTTGTATTGCTTAGGAAATTGCTTCGAGCTGATCGGAATTAATTAAAGGAGCATACCCAACTGCCGTAATTCAGATTTACAATTTGACCTTCGCCATTTATAAATTCTTTTTCTTTTTCTTTTCCTTTTTTTGCCGAGTTCAAAGTAATTTCCGCGAAATGCAAAATGGTCTCTGACCCTCCAAAATTTAGTTATCTTTCTCTTTCTCTGACGGCTATTTTGAATTTCGCGGAATCACTTTGAACACGGCATTTCTTTTTTTAATTGTTTTACTCAATTGGCGTATTCATGGGAGAAACGGAACATACTTCAAAACGAAAAATCGTGTTCATCGGCACGCCAAAGTCGCTCCAAAATGTTTTGCGTTTCGAAGCAATGTTCGTTTTGTTCTATGAACATGCCATAAATATCTTCTCGCATTTAGTTAACTTATGACGAGCTGAATGAACTTGAATATTTCAATTCTTATACCAGTAAAAAATATATACTATTTCTTTCCTGATTTGAAAGCTGTTTCCACTATTTCCTGTCGACAAATTTGATATACTTTGCTCGCCAAAAGTCCAAAAATGTGTCTATTCATTCCTCTTCTATTCAGTCCGGTTTATTGAAATTCGTGTGACAAAACGGATACTGTTAACACATGTTTTGTGAAAAAAATTCAATCATTCATGTTTAATACTAAAGTATTTTCCATAAAGATATCAAAAATGGCAGAAATATTTATATATAAAAACTTCTCTCTGAAAAAAATTCGATAGCTGTCAAGATGTTTGTAGTTTCATCACAGAAAGTTTGCGAGATCCTTTCATAATAATCTTGAAAACTTCCTTCATACGTTTTGAAGTCTGAAAAATATCTAATTATGGACCTATATGGAATATCGTTAGATTGAAATCGTTATTTAACATGGAATTCACATATATGTATAATAAATTTGTTTAATAAACTTCATATTATATATGGTCGCGCAAGAAAATTGCATTCTGCTTAAGTTTTTTGGAAAGCTGAAATCTTAAAGAGCATTTTACTTTCAACCTCAAAAAGTTTAAAGCTTTTTCAAAACTTGCAAGGTTTCACTTTCAACCCTTGTTTGTTTTGCAGAGGATGAGAAAGTTTGCATTAATACGTTCAGATCATTCTCAACAGCTTCAGGCCAACTTTCTTTTCATACAACTTATTTTTCTAAAAAATAGATTTGACCTATTTTTTTGAAAGTGTAAAGCAGGAATCAAAATGGTCTATATAAAATGTGCGAGAGGGCGCGGCGTGACGTGTACTTGCCGAGTTAGACACGCCCCCTTTGCGATGTCGAGCGCTGATTGGTCGTCGTCGACGTGGCCCAATTGCGTCTAGGCACCTAGAGCTCACTGCTGACGACGCTTTGGTCTGGGCTCACTTCGTTTTATACAGCCGTTGCCATCCTGAGCGATATTTTCCGCCTTTTGCTGTCTTTACTTCCACAAGCCTTCAAGCTTTCTTCTAAAATAATTTTTTCAGTAAAACTTGGAGGTTCAATCTAAGATGAAGACGTCTCTTTGCCTGCTTCTCCTCGCCGCCGTCGTTGCGGCTGAGGTTTACTTCAAGGAAGAGTTCTCGGATGATAGCTGGGAGAAGAGATGGATCCAATCCAAGCACAAGGATGACTACGGAGCGTTCAAGCTCTCTGCTGGAAAATACTTCGGCGATAAGAAGCGTGACCAGGGCATCAAGACCAGCCAAGACGCCAAGTTCTACTCGCGCGGAGCCAAGTTCCCCAAGTCTTTCTCCAACAAAGGCAAGACGGTCGTCATCCAGTTCACTGCCAAGCACGAACAGGGAATTGACTGCGGAGGCGGTTACGTTAAGGTTTCTTTTTTTTTTAAATTCTAAAACCGAAAAAATTACCCAAATATAATTTTTGCATAAGTATTCCCGACCGTGAATTGGTCTATCATACATTAGTTTTTTTTTGCCAGAAACTTGAAAAAAATTAGGGAAAGTTTGTAAAATAGTATTTTTGGTAAATTTTTTTATTTTTCTAAACTTTACACAGCATGTTTCAGGTTATGCGATCTGACGCCGACTTGGCTGACTTCCACGGAGAGACTCCCTACAATGTGATGTTCGGTCCTGATATCTGCGGCCCCACTCGCAAAGTCCACGTTATCTTCTCCTACAAGGGCAAGAACCACCTTATCAAGAAGGACATTCGCTGCAAGGTTCGTCAAAAACTAATTATATCTTGATACTCATTTTTTTTTTTCAGGATGATGAGCTCACTCACTTGTACACCTTGATCTTGAACCCCGACAACACCTACGAGGTGCAGATTGATGGAGAGAAAGTCGAAGGTGGCTCTCTCGAAGAGGACTGGGATCTCCTCCCAGCCAAGAAGATCAAGGATCCCGACGCGAAGAAGCCTGAAGATTGGGATGAGCGAGAGTACATCGACGACGCCGAAGACAGCAAGGTTAGTTTTTAAAGTTGATAGTTTGGACAAAAAAAACCATCACTTTCACCATGGTAAAAAATTTCATATGTCAATCAAAGTAGCTATTCTGGACAAATTTTTTATCAAAACAGTAGAAAGAACAAACAATTGGACAAACTTTTGATGATGACGAAGCATTTTTATGGTCATTTTTGTCAAAAGGAACATAAGAAAACGATAACCTTATTGCTAAATAAGAGTATTATATTTTTCTAAAAACGTTTTTTTCAGCCAGAAGACTGGGACAAGCCGGAGCATATGCCTGATCCGGATGCCAAGAAGCCGGACGACTGGGATGATGAAATGGACGGAGAATGGGAGCCACCAATGATCGACAACCCAGAATACAAGGGAGAATGGAAGCCGAAGCAGATCAAGAATCCCGAATACAAGGGCAAATGGATCCATCCCGAAATCGACAACCCAGAGTACACTCCTGATGACGATCTCTACCTCTACGAGAACTGGGGAGCCATCGGATTCGATCTGTGGCAGGTAGACTATTCTTGAATCTAATTTAAATTCAACATTGCTCTTAACAAAAATTCGAAAAATTTTCTCTTTTTTTAGGTTAAAGCCGGTACCATCTTCGACAACGTCCTCGTTGCCGATTCTGTTGCCGATGCCAAGGCCCATGCTGCCGAGACTTTCGACCTCCTGAAGACGGCCGAGAAGGAGCAGAAGGAGAAGGCTGACGAAGAAGCCCGCAAGAAGTTGGAGGAAGACGAGAAGAAGCGCAAGGAAGAAGAGGATTCCAAGAAGGAGTCTGCCGATGACGAGGAAGAGCCCGAGGAGAAGGAAGATCACGATGAACTTTAAACATTTTTAGTCTTGTCCTTTTTTTCCGGGTTTACTCGTACTACCCTTAACGCGGGTGTACTCGTTTTTCATTTAATTTAGTTCTCTCAGTTTTATTTCATTCATTTTTATCACATTTGCTCCCTATCAGCTGAAAGTTATAGGCGCATGTGGTTCTTTGTAAATTATGATAATAAGAAATAAAGTATACGGAATCATTTTATACAAACTTTCCAAAACGTGGCACAGGAAAAGCAACAAAGTGAACAAAGTCATGAAAGTGTTTTCGAAGGAAAAAAGAAGAAAGAAAAGTGAGATCTGTACCCTGAATGATTACACGACGGTTATAGGACGTTCTTGGACAAGATGAGGTAGTCGAGTCCTTGGTTTTCGTCGGGACAAGAGACGTCGTTGACGTAGCCCAGCTTGTGGAAGAAGCACAGCGACTTGACGTTGAAAGCGAAAACTGTCGCCATCACTTTCTCCATGCCTGTTCTGCAAACACGGAATTCTCTTCATACTACAAAAAATTAGGTAGAGCCGATCGAATTTCGGTTTCTAAGTGAACTTATAGAAATAAAAAATAGAAAAAATTGGTGAACTGAAACTTATACGTGGTTGGAAGCTTCCGACGGGCTCATTTTTCGCGGCTCAAACCTTCGGTAATACTAAAAAATGAACATACTTTTCAGCGAGTGTTTCCAAAGTCTTCAGAATGATGCTACCGACTCCCTTCTTTTGGTAGGACTCAAGCACTTGGATCTCGTAGCTGAAAGAAGTCAAGTGAAAAAAAAATGAAAAAAAGTACAAAAATACCAGTACAAAACCGCGCAGTCATGGTCGATGTCGAAGCGATAGTGAGCGTATCCGATTCGTTCGCCTTTCTCGTTTTTTGCGATCAGAAACCTGCGATTTCCCACATTCTATCATAATTTTAATCAAATTGAAAAAAATAAGAACATTCTGCTTCCAATAACTTGTTAGGGCTTTGAAGGCGAGTAAGTCGCAACGAAAAAGACGTAAAATCTTCGCCTTTAAACCTTTAAGACTGTCATTCAGGTAAAAAAACCAATGAGTGTCGAGGAGAAGTAAATAGGTAACAATAAGAATGGTTTAAATTTTTTCATAACTCTAAAAACTATTTTGAAAAAACTTTGTAATTTTTCTTCGTTTTCAAAGATTTCTGTGATTGAGCTACATCGATAACAAAAAAGAAGATCCACCTAGCGGTAGTGGCTCCCAACTCGTTTTTCTTGGACTCTGGATCCCAGCCCCACTGCGACATCGAGTACCTTGAAAGTAACAAATAGAATGAGAACAAGAAAACACTGTCACAAACATTTCGAACATATTTTCCTTAAAAAGGTCGAAAGCCCAGTCGGCCGTTTCCTGTGGAAGATTCGTCGCCCAACTCATCTCGAACGAAATTACCTCTCTGCAAGAAAAACCTTATTAAAAACCATGGCATCTGAAAAAAAAAACCCATCGGCGGTGGTTCTTACGTCCGGCGAACAGTCAAGCTGCTCAATGGGATTCTTCATTTTCGATGCCTTTTTAACTGTCTTTTTCGATTTCTCCGCTGGAGCCATCTTTAAATCCTATTTAGGAAACCATTGAAGCACAAAAATTAAAAAGATAGAAAAGATAGAAAAGACAGGATGCAAACCATTTTCAGAAAAAGAAAATTTCTAAAATGAATATTTTATTAATGAAGCGCTCCTAGGGAAGCTATTATACACGGATGAATATGAACAGAACAATAAAATCGATAGAAATCTCAATGAGCATGAGGAAAATCAAAGAACACCGAAGACGTCATGAAGAGACAAAAAAATGACAGCACATTCTTGAGTAACATTACCTAACTGTAAGGCACGATATCGTGGAAGAATCGTGAAAAGGATCTTCTATTTTTTTTTTTTTCAAAATCGAACTTGAAGTTATTTGAAACAAGCTTCTTACAAGAAGACACTTTCACAAGTTGAAGAATTTGCCTTCCTCTAAAAATTTTCAACGAAAGTGGAAGTCTATACTTTTAATAAAAGCGAGTCATACAAAAGTTCGCATATTTACATTATATCTACTCGTAAAGTAACTAAATGTTTCTATGAAAAATCGATTTGACCTAAGAAGCTATAAACTAAAAGATTCTCCACATCCACAAGTGCCTTTGATGTTGGGATTGCGGAAAACAAACTCGGAGGAAAGTTTGTTTGTGACATAGTCCATCTCGGAGCCGAGTATGCTGAGTTGTGCCTTCGGCTCTATCCAAATCCGCACGCCGTCCTGCGAAATTCTCATTTTTTTTTTCCCACTTTTTGCTAATTCCGGAGAAAAATCACCTGCAGAACCTCTTCGTCGAACTTTGCCCGGTCTTTCGCATATTCCAAAGTGTAAGTTAGGCCGTTGCAGCCTTTCTGGCGGACCCCGATCTGAACGTTTTTGAACGATTGAAAGAACCTCTTCCTTTCTTTTCATCTTTTCTCATCTCTAAAAATATTAATTCTGTACAATATTCTGACTATTTCAAATATGGTCTCGTCACAAAACGCGCTTTTTTGGCAAACTCAGATTTGTTAGAAAAAAGGAGGAAAAATGACAAGAAACAGATCAGCAGTGGAACTTATTCAACGTTTTTTTTTCCGCGTAATTATGTCCCAACTCTAAAAAAACTTACAGATGCTAAAAACAATTGCTTTACATTCACAGCAAAAATTTCGAAAAATGAAACTGAAACTAAGAAGATGAACAAAACATTTTGATGTTCTTTCTAGTGATAATAAATGAAGGCAAGCAGAAAAAGGGGAAAAAATCACCCGGAGAGCCTTGGCGTCGGTTTGTTGCTGGAGAAGGGCGCCGATGCGTTTGACGGCCTCGTTGGTCAGCGTCAGGGCCGCCCTTCAAATCCTTCTTAATTAGGTGCGAAGATTCTTGGTTCGACTTAGGTGCACCAACTCTTAGGCGCGAAAAAGAAAGCTTGTTGGCGTTGTTCGAAAAGCTTTTTTGTCTCAAATTTTCTTATTAAACGTGATACAAAAGCATAGAAATTGTTTTTATCCATTCCGTTTTACTTCGAAATCGTCCATTTTTTTCACCTCGTATCATTTTAGAAAAAAAAACCTTTTTCATGAAATTAATTCAAATTATCGAAAGCCGCTCAAAGTAAACTTTTTCAAAAAAAGACCAAAAAAATTGCAAATTTAAAACGAATTTTGAAGTAATTTTCGCCCTCAAACCTGGTAGGCCGTGAAGAGCCAACAGTTCCTTTGATCACTCGGGCCGTCGCACCAGCGAACTTTGACATTTACTGAAGTTGAAAATGAAAAATCATCAATTTTCAAATGAAAAAACTAGGTATTGTCTCTGAAAATAACATTTGAAACACAACAGAAAATGCACAAAAGAGAGTACTAAACGTTTATTTCCATAGAATCTCAATAAATTATCTGAGAAGTACGGCCAGTGGCAAGGATTCGTGAGTACCGTAGTCGTCGTATCTAACCGTACACATTCCTGCGGGACCCAACTGCACGATGGTCGCGCGGTAGAACTGAAAACATTTATTTATTCGAGAAGAGAAATTATTTCGAAACCTCGCCATCTTGCCACGGCGCCATGCACTGCGCACCGACTCCGAAATGACCTGACGGCGGCGGAGGAAAAGAAGGATTGTTGACGTTCATTCTTTGGAAACCTGCAAATTTACACTTTATGAAGGTTTTTTTGAGATTGTGTACATAATTATTATTTAGCGCTCCTCATTCACTTCAAAATCTCTAAAAGTCATTTCCTCTGATTTCCTCCTCTATCTTACTAACGATTCTTATTTTATTGTGTATTCGAAATATCATTTAAATCCCAAAAAGGTAGTTTTTTTTTTTTGCAAAAGTGAAAAGCTTACGTTGTTCTAAACCCGTCGTACTCGGTCGATGGCCGTCCAAGTTAGGCCTGCAGAAAGCAACGTTCAAATCTCCTTTAATAAATGTTTACCTGCTTCTGATATTCTGTTCCTCCCTACGATTATTGTGACCTTCGAAATCGTTCCTATTAGATTGATAGTCTGACCGGTTGTTCGATTCCTTCTCTTTGAAGTTTCTGGGAGGAGGACGACTATCTTGGAAGTTCTGCTGGCCTCGATGGCCAGATCCGTTATCGTTCCGGAAGTTCTGGTCTTGTCGGTTTACTTGATCACGTCTACTGTCGGAGGAAACGCTCTGGAATTCCCTCGACTGGTTTTGCGGTCGGTTGCCGCTTCCCGCGTTTTCATTCAATCGTCTCGGAGGCCCTTCTTCCGTCGTTGTTCTTACATCTTGGCCCCTTCCGAAACTCTTCTTCTGCCTATTCTCATTCGTACCGCCGTCATTCCTGGCACTATTCCCATTATAATTCGTCTTTCTGTCGTCTTGGTCTCTTTCATAGTTTTGTTTTCGCCTAGTTTCATTGGGGAAATCACGTTTCGCATCATTTCTTGCGTTAAAACTCCCTTTTCCAAAATTGGCAGCTTCGGGAGGACGTTTACTTTCCGAAGGACCTTGGTAATCTTTTTGATGATGTTGCGGCCTATTCCCATTCTCGTTGAATCGCTTTGGGGAAAAGGTTCTTCTGTTCTCTTGGCCTCTTCCGTTATTTCTGTTTTGTCTGTTTGCATTTGTCACGCCGTCATTTCTCCCGCTGAAACTTCCATTGTTCCGGTTCGAGTTTGGCGTCTCTGTCCGTGGATTCTTCTCAGTTCGATCCTGATGTTGATTCCGCGGTTCACGTCGTTCCTCTCGCGGTCCTTGTGTCCTCAGTCTTTGATTCTGGTTCCGCTGATTACCATCAGAATGTCCTTTGGGCCCATCAAATCGGTCAGACGAAACATTAGAAAAATTCTGAAAAAAGTAATTTTCTTACAAAAAAAAATAAGGCTCTAACGCCAGATCGGGAAGGAATTTCTTTTGTTTCAATGGGCATCGAGCTTGAAACAAAATCAAAAAGCGTCGGCTTGACTGAAGGCTTCGTTTCACCGAAATCCTGGAACACCGGATTTTGATTTCATCCACAAAATATTACTTCGGAGTCAGGATCGCCTCTTCTGCCTCTGCCTTTTCTTTCGTTGACTTTTTCTTTCTTCGGTTGGCTTTTTCTTTCTTCAGCACTTTTTCTGGAGTTTTCGGCTGCCGATGTGGTCGGCAAAGGAACCTGAATACCTTTTTCGAAATTTTCGACACTTTCAGAAAAACTTACAGAGGGCTTTGCGAACTTCTTCTGTTTCTCATCGTTGTCTTGCAGCTCCCGGAGGGTTTGCTCACGATTTTTGGCAAACTCTTCATTTTCTTCCTTAGGCTAAAAGTCGAAAAAGTAAGGAGAAAAAGTAAAATAATTCACTTCAATCGCGTCTTTCGGTTGCATCGCGTCGTTAGCCCTGAAATTTCCCGTTTGTTTGCTACTTATTGCAGACGCTCCTTTCTGAATAAAATAGCTATGGTTGGTATTCGAAAAAGAGAAAACTTTTCCGAAAGAAATCCATTTCGGAGCTCCAGACGCGCTTTTTTTATCGCCTCCAGCCGCAAAAGCGTTCTGAACCAAATTGAAAAGACCGCCAAAAATTTCAAACGGAAACCTTCTCAATAACCCACTTTTCGATGAGCTTTTCAACTTTGCCTCCCAAAACGCGGGTGTTCGATTTGTCCAATAACATAAATTGTCCTTCAACCGATATTCTTCCGTTCAGAACCAGTTTCGTTCCGGGCGGAGTTTCGCTACTGAAAGTTTCTTCATACAGTCTACTCTCTGCTTTCTCATTGAGAGCCTACAATTTTTCAGAATGAGCTTGGATTACCTTCAGAAAGTTATTTGCTTTTAAATGACTGATTTCACACGGGAATCTTTTTCTTAGCCTCAATGATAGTTTTTGATTAGGAACAAACCTGATTCCAATAACACTTTCCATGAGAATCGCGGCAAAAGAAGCATGACCATCAGTCAGGGAAAGACGAATTATCGAGCCAGATTGTTCTGATCCAAAAACTTCGCGAACCTTCGGGAGGCACACGTTCCTGGAAAATTGTTTCATCGGCTAGAAAAATATTCCCAGGAACTTTTTTCTGAGATTATTTCAGGTTCAAACTTGACTATCCATTCATATTTTATAGATCCTTTACAAGCATCTTCATACCTGTAACGGACCAATTGCAGGATCAACGGTCCTTGACAATAACCATCCTCTTTCCTGTACAATCTTGCGAGAGCAGGATCCCCGAAATCGCGAAGATCTTCCTGAAAACTTACATTTTTAACGAATTTGAAACGGAAAGCTAACATCGCACAAAGCTTTTTCCAAGATTGAAGCCTCTTTGGGGACTTGGGAATCGAATATTTCTTCGACCAGCTTCTCATTAAGTGTCCATCCTTGTTTCTGTAGCGATTCCATTCAAAAAAGAAACACCTGGAGCAAAAAATACATCGAAGTAACGAATTAGCCAAAGGTACTCTTGAGGATTGAAACAATTGAACTTAAAACAAAAAATAATTCTAGTACAATCTTCATTGTATGAAGAAGAAATAATATATCAACATAGAAAAAAACCCGTTTAGAAATTAGTCGCAGCCATTTTTTTGGTTATTCAATGAGATTATCGATTCAGGGTGTTCATATAATATTGATTACTGGAAACTATGATATACACAAAACCGAGATTAATTTAGAACAATCGTTCTAATTTAAAAAAGATCTACCGGTCTATTTCAAGTCTGTACATATGAACAGCCAAACAGCACATAAATCGTGAAAACAAGAGTGATTGGGACAAGAAGAGAGTATCCAGGAAAAAGAACTGGAAACTAATCGGACACAGGATCGTACCGAAGAGGGGCACAGAAGAAGCTCGGAGGAGCGCTGATCTTTTTCAAAGTGTAGAAAGAGCCAGGAAGAAAGTTTTCTCGAGGCTTGCGGAAGTAAGTGCAGTTGCGGTCGCGATAGCCGGGAATGAGGAGATCGAAGAAAAAGGTCGCGTCGTTGAGGGCCGTCACCTCGTGGACGTTACCTTCAGAAGACGTCGTCAAAGTCGTTCGGCTAGTTCTCACCTATCACTGGGTCAAGGAAGACACAACTATCTTTCTCGTCGATGACCACTTCCCCTTCATATTTTGCCTTAACGGTGAGGTTCTCCTCCGATTCTTTGTCGATCGTAAATGAAGAAATCGAAAATAAGCAAGGTTATATTTCTCTCTATAAACTTCTTAGTTATATTTCTTCACGACGGTATTAGGGTTTCAATTTCATCGAAGGAATCGAAAACCTCATAATTCATAAAGCATAATTTATTTTTCAAAAATACAACTCGGCAAAAACATTCCGCCATGAAATAAAACTTCACTTGCGAAAATTATGTCAGGACTATTTTCTGAAAGACTTAGTTTTCGGCAGTTTTCTATCAAATCATTTTCTTAGAGTAAATAAAAACCCGGAAAATGAAAAAAGAAAACTTGAGTCTACGTAAACGAATTTTTGTTTTCTTATTCTTACCTTTACCTTCCCTCGGAGAATCCTCAAAAAACCGTGCATATTCGGATGATTGTGCAGAGGAATGACCTCGCCAGCTCTTCTACATTTTGTTTTTGAATCACAAAAGAAACCTTGAATGAACCTTATTCCGAATATACTGCCATGCACGTTTTTGGTCAAAAAGACGTTGGCATACATGGCGGGAGCATACGCGGAGAGAAAGTCTTCGACATCTGGCAGCGAAACTTCTTAACCAACGTTTTATCACTGATTCCTTAGGTGAATGGATACCTAAAATTTGAGAATCTATAGAATTAACAAGCGTCGTTAAATCCTGGATGACGGCTCCGGAAGGAACAACGCCGCCTTGAAAATATTGTGCTAACAAGTTGATTTTTGTTAACAACGCCCTCAACATCAGCCTTTCCATTTCTTTAAAAAATTGGAGTTAGAAAAATGTATTCACTTCTGAAAATATTTGATTCCGATATTCAACGGAATCTCTTTGCAAAAGTAATAAAGAATGTGAAGAAAGGCAATACATTTATTATGTCACCGTCTCATGAGATTATGCAATGGTGTAAAAGAACCCGCAATGAAATAATGCAATCAGAAGTGATATTGCGAAGGCATCAAAGGCATGTAGAAGTGATAAATGTGAGCAACCAGTAAAATAAATAAACAAAGTGAACAAAATTCTATCACAAGATGCAATCTAAAACTTGATAAAACGGCACAACATGCATAAAATTGATAAAATGGAAAAAAAAAAAATGAATTTAGACATATTCGGATCATCTGAGCTCATTAGAAGAATGATCGAAACCGGTAACAATGTCAGACTTTGGATCTGGATACATAGTACTCCATGGGAGTTTCTTGCAATCACTGGATTCGCAGTGGTCGTTCAGCTCGTAGAACTTGCGAATGAGCTCTAAGTCGGAGATTCGCCCTTCGGGGAAAACGGGGAACTTCATGACGGCGATCGGAGATTTTTCAGATCGTCCGCGAACCACCACAGACCACTCGCCAAGCGCCGACGTGTTGACGCTGAAAAGTTTTTCAAGTCAACAAGAAACTGAACCGAGAGAAAAATATCCCAGAACACTCAGTTGAAAATAAACTCTTTCTTGGTTCTTTTCCCTGAAAAAAAGATCGTATAATGCTGAGGACTTGCTGGAAATGAATAAAACAGAGAGAACATCATCATAAACTATCATCTAATCACATAAGCTCTCGCGCTGAAAAAAAAAAAAAGTTGGTTTTTCTCAAACACATCCTCAAAAATAAGCTGAAAATAAATACTATGATTAACTTCTCCGGAAATTCACAAATTAGTATCTTCCAAAATTCTAGACCTTGTAAGGGCTGAAATTTCAATTTTAAATTGTTTCATTGGAGACCTGTCGATATTGAGCTCGGCAAACTGTCCCCCGAAAGCAGAATCGTAGGGCTTCATGTCACTAATGGCGACGGTTCGGCCGTTGGCGTCGCGCCAGAGCATTTCCACTGTGGGACTCGTCTTTCCATTCTTGCTGGCCAGAATCCGTCGATGCGTCGGATCCCACACGAGTCGCACCTGCGCCAACGTTCTCTGAATAACTCTTGCTACAAAAATTGATTTTTCCCTCCAAACATTGGTGACGAGGCCGAGGAAAGAGCGACAGATTTCTTCCTTGAGGTCGTACTTCGTTCCGTATTCTACGTCTTTCAGAAAAAAATCGTCGATTGGAAGCGGTTCCATGAGCTCAACATGCCTTTTTCGTGACAAAAGGAACTGAACGATCTTGAAGTCGGCCTAAATTAATTTTATGGAGAAAAACACGTGACGCCATGGTGAAAAAAGAAAAAACCATGTTATTTGCCATATAAGAATTGATTTACAATAAATGAACAGAAAAAAAATTCGCTTGGCTAACTATTTAAAAAAGAGAATAAAAAGAAAGCTCTTTCTTGGAAGAACTTTTCATGCCTCAAACTACTTGACTACGATGATGTAACAGGAACTTTGAACTCAAAAACACGGGGAAAAAAAAACTCATGGAGAAGCCTTTGTTGAATGGCTGGAGGATAAAATAATTTTAAAAAGTTGAACTGATTCTAAAATCTAAAAAGTTTGAGACTGACCTTCAAAGTAACAACGAGCTGAACGGAAGCTGTGGAATTCCTTCGAAAAGCGTCAATTCGTTCGAGGACTGGTTTATGCAGGTTGATCGGCGAAATTTCAGCAATCGAAAAAGAAAAACTTTCCAAATTAGTGTCTGAAAAGTTATTTGAGAAAAAAAACGGGAAGGTGATACTCGCCGTTTCCATCGATATCCCTTTTGTAGACGTTAACAAAAGATGAATTGTACGAAGGATGGTCAAAATCGATGGAATCTCGGTCGACGGAGAGTTTCTCAACGGCGGCGATCGCGTCTACATTCACGATGCTGTCGAATTTGCGAGCGAAGAAGAACGGTTTGGCTTTGGATTTCTGAACAGGAAATACTCAAAACAAAAGAGAATTAAGAAGGATGAATTTCTATCACATTTTTTTCAAGACTTACAAGTAAGGTAATTTGATTCGGAGCATCAACAATTTCTGAATTTATCTAACTGTGACGAAGTTTTTTTTTCTCTTAAACAGAAAGATTGTGCCAAAACGCAGGAAATTCAGAAGATCCGATTGAAAACCAGAAAGAATTTGATTTAATTAAGAACATTCCGTGTAAAGCCTTGATTCGAAGTGGTTGCTCTCCTTCCAAGGCTCCCACCTGGAGCACGGTTTCCCGGTTTCAGCTACAACCCCCACTATATTCCAAGCTCGTCAAGACACAACTGGATAAAAAACGCGCCGAATAAAGAGGCGCAGGACCGAAGGCCATGCTTTCAACTTGATCAACCACAAGTTTGGACTTCTAGTTCGCCAAAGGCGGTTGCTCGTTATAGCTTTAAAAGTTCTTGTTCACCGCCTAGTCGATTACATCTATGACAAAACAACAAAATAATGATTTGTTTGATTGAACTTAATACAAAAAGAAAAAATTGCCGTTGAAGTGTCTGAGAACCTTTCTTTCTACTAGACTTCCACCGATTGTGAATCTACCTCAGTAGAAAACTTCGGAATGGTTTCCTCGCGGAAAACAAGAGGCGAACAACCGCACCAATCCACGACTTTCTTCAGTCCTGCACATCGACAGCCTTAAAATCTCACCTAGAAAACGAAAAAATCGAAAAAAAAAAACCTTGCTTGCGATACCAATTCGTAAGACGTAAATTGCTCGCCACCACCTTATCGCAATATTGAGAATTTAACGAAAGCTTGAAATTTATCAAATTAATTCACGGAGAGATTTTTGCAAACCGTGTGATAGAAGCTCTCGAGGGGTAAAATGATGGATTTGAACAAATTTCTCAATTTTCTTGGCAATTCTTCGTTGGACACCTAAACGCAAAAAATATATGGAATTCAAAAAGTAAGTTTTTACTGAAAATTCCGCCAAGTCCCTATGTAAAACTACCCAATCAGAACCGCCGTCGATTTGGAGATTCGCAGGGAAATTTCCCCTATAAAGACCACTTAGGATGATAGTCACGTATATATCTTGCCTGTTTCCGATCCTCCACATTCGCTCTTCGCACTCCATGAAAACATACTCAAAGCCTTGCTTCTGGATAAATCTCCCGGTGTTGTAGCCGTGGCTGGCGAGAAATGAATAGCCCATATTCCTCAAAAAAATTTTTTTTTCAAACTGTATGTTTCTTGCAAAAAGCTCTTCTTTCTGGAAAATTGCGGAAAAAATTTTTCTCACAACGTTTTTGTATGGAACTCAATATTTCTAAACTTTCTGAGCTGTTTGTTTTTTTCTTTCTGCAAACTGAAATTTCACTATGTTGTTAAAAATTACAATCATCAAATTTCGAAAAGGATCCAGAAAGATTGAATTTCATACAAGAGATTTGTGATCAGAAAACCGTTTTTCGTATCTTTTCTGACGGAATCGTATAGTTAAAAAAAAAGTTTTTGCAAAAGTTAACGTCAAGTCCAACTTTGAAAAAAAAAACTCGAACGATTTTTATGATATCTTTTTCGATCATTGAAAAAGGTTATCTCAAAAAATACCTTCTGAGCAAAAGCTCGAAATCTTTGATGGGAAGTGTGGGAAAGTCGCTCTCCGAAAAATTGATTACGTAATCCCAGTCGGCCGTTTCCCTATTTTCCAATGCCTGTGCGATGACGTCTGAATGAATTCTGTTTTCAAACTCAAGTAAATTAGAATAAAACGAACCTTGAAACATTTCCAACAAAGAAGCACCTCCCCAAATAGTGCTGTAGCGCGTCTTCGAAATGAACATGTTGCCCAATTTCGAAGCTATCTTCTCTACTTCTGAAAAAAAATTTTTGAGAATATGTTTCTTTTCTTCGAAATTATAGTCCGTTTTTCGCGACTCGAAAGGGCGGGACTTTTCTGCGCCCTCCTTATCTCTCGACGTCACTCTCATGTTTACGTGATATTTCTATTATTCTCTGACCTCGCCGGTGAGGAAACAGAGAGACGCAGACACGCGAAAATTGTCAAGTCGCGGCGGAAAAACTATACCTTCAAACATGTAGCTTTGCCGTTTGTCAACATGAACATAATAGTAATGATGTGGAGAGTAAATCGATTTAAGGAATCTTTTTACCTGAAAAAAAAATCTAGAAACAGAAAATCCCTCTAAGTGAACCTGACGATCGTTTCTACCGTTGAGCTGAAGAACGAAAAGAATCTTGACTTGAGGAGCGTCAAATGTCTCATTCACGTAGAGCACTTTCAACGGGGAAAGGATTTCTCAAAAGGATATTTCAAAATATTAGGAAGAACTCAAGAACCTTTGATTCCAGTGCGGAATATCTCGACGGCGTTGAATCCACCACAAGAGCTGGATCCATCCGAACAAGGATACTTTTGACACTCGGAATCGTCCAAAACTGAGGCATGACCAATGGAATTACCGCAGAAACATTCTTTGCCGAATTCCAACCCTACGAAGAAGTCAAGTGTTTTTTTTTTCCAACTTAAGCTTTACCATAGTACAAGAAGCCTGCTTTGTAACAACTCTGGCGGCACTTTTTCTTAGAATTAGAGGTCGCGAATTCATATGAGAAATCGTCCAGAGTTCGGTTACCCTTCTGGTCAGAAAAACAACCAACACGGATATCTTCCAATAAATCATCTTAATAGCTCTATTTTATCATTCGAGTATATCAGAGCTCTCACCGTAGTTTGAGCACGTGCTTAGTGGAAATTGGTCGTGAAACGTTCCAGAAGCCAGTTGACAAGAAGAATCCGTAATCTGGAAACTGAACTTTAGCATAAAAAAAGAATGAACGAACCTTAGAACGGCACAGTGTTGTTTTTGCTCGCTGCAAAGCACTCAAAGCCAAACTGTCCGTTACATTACACAACTTATTTTCGTTCACCAAAGAAGCTTCCGGGACATTCTGAAATTCAGCCGTTCTTCTAAATTTGCTTCAAAGGACAGCTTACGCTTGATGTCCCATTATGACCTCCGTATTGAGCGCTATTGTAAATCCACAATACATTTACAAAAAAGAGCACAGAAGTCAGACCAACATAAAACGAGTAGCGCATGGCTGTTGAAAACCTCGATTATAATGAACCGAGAGTTTATAGAAACGAAAAACCTCCGTGCGATCCTGCAGATGTTCCATACAGAGGGCCTTGTACTAAATGTTTATGAAGGCGGGATTCGTGAAATCTAAAACAGATGAAAATTACGGACAGCTTCCGGCGATGAATAGAACGGTATTGAATGATCGCGATCAGCAAATTTTCAACAAAGTTTCGGTCTCCCTTTTTTTCGATGAAAAACTTATCATTTCGACAAAAATTAGATAATCGAGAAAGATTTACAAAGGTCCATGCAAAAAACTTCAAAGTATCAAATATCTGAAAATCACGATTTTTTCAAAACATCTTTTAAAGACCCCCAGATCTCTCATCATAACTTTGATACCTGCTCTCTCAATGATTGAATTTATAAAAAATAAAAAAACTGTATGCATGATCGAATTTAAAAACAAATAAATTTAATCTTAAATTATAATTTAAAAAGTTTATTGAAGCTTTATTTTTTTGAGAAAAAAAGCCTGCCTAGGCAGGGCTTGGAATAAAAAAATTTAAAAATTTCATTGAAAAACATGCTCGCCGAAAAAAATTCTTTATACTTTTTGAAATCATAGTTTTTGTTGAACTGTAAGTGAAAAAATAAGCAAAAACGTGACTTTGTCGCAAAAAACTTGATATTCGACTAGAAAAAATATTGCGCCTTTTGGGGCACGTCGGCCATTTTTTCTCGAGGCCCCGCTATGACCGGGCCGCGCTTAAGAAATGGCCCGGGGGCCGAGAGGCTGACGGGTCGGCCCTCGCAAAAGCCTGAAATGAAAAACGTTTCGCAAATGCGCGCCAGCGATGCCTCAGGAATACTGTAAGCTTTGACCTTTTTTGTTTTTTTTTGTCCGTTTATATTTTCTTTTTAAATGCGTTCAAGTGAATCCCGCTATCTTTTCTCTCATATTTGACGTCGATAAATCATTCAAAGAATCTCAGGAAAGCCTATAGTGGCCGCAAATTATGTTGTTTATTTCATATTTTAATACTTTGAAGAGCTTCCTTTTTCTGTTTCTTTACATTATCTTTGATACATTACTTTCAGAGTTTCAAAAATAGTGTAACAATATGAATCACAGATTCCGAGGAAAAATTTCAAAAAGTAATATTTATTTCCGTACGTTTCAGAACTAATCACAAGCTTTTTCTAGTCGTTCCAGTTTTGATTGAAAAAGAAAATAGAGAACTAAGTTTTAAATTTTATTTAGCCATTATCTGTCCACGTCAGTTACTTCCAGAAGAAGTGTCCGGCGAGTCTGCAAATTAATTTTAGAGCGGCTAATGTTTACTTGTCTGCTTCTACTTCTCGATAGGGAGCTCTCGTGTCAATTTCCAGGCGAATGACCTATCAAAAGGTTATCGGAATTTAGTTATTTTTTCCTCTATGACGGCACTTTGTCTTTTCAAAAAAAAAAAAAGCTGGAAAGACCGTTTTTGTGATCTTCTACCCTTCTTCATTGCTTCAAATATCGGAAGCTGTTTGATATCTCAACAACTTCACGGCCTTTCTTGAGCTCTCTCAAGCATTAATAGTTTTCTTGATGGATTTCGCGCTCGATGTTGCATGATTAGAATTTTGCGGATGTACATTTTGATTGGGTTTTCGGAGGCTGCTGGCATTGTGTCTGCAAGAGGCGTGGGAAGAAGCGGCTGAGGATGGTGATTGGTAAAGTGGCAAGTATAAGGGTGGTCCGAGACGCGCGGCTCTTGCGGAGGACTCAGGCGACGGGTGCCATTTGAATACGACAGCTCGATCGATATATTAGCGTGCGCAATTCATTCATCATCCAGTATTCTCCTTCGTTTTCCCTCCGTCTTTCCAGTTAATCGATTCGGCCTCTTTTATCCGTTTGTAGGGTTGAACCCACTAAGGAGTGAATTTTAAGGAGAGCGAAATATTCCGCCGGCATGGTATTTATCTCTTAATCTTTGTTAGCGCCTTCTTGGTTATCGCAGACTCATTCTGGGCCGTTTAGGCTTACGAGAGAGGTTATTTTAGTTTGGGGTTTCATTTCGCCCATTCTTTTGTTGATTAATCTCAAATCTAACTTTTGATGAATACAATTTACAGAAAAACAGCTCTGCGAATTAGGTTTTTACGTTTTCTACAACTTACAGTCGAGCGATAATTTTTTCTTCAAATTTGATAATCCAACTTTCAATGATCGATGTTTTCTTTTTTCATTTTTGAGATTGTACGAGGTCTTTTTTTTTTTAGCTTAGCACGCATCTGTTCTTGTGGGATCATTTTTGTTTTTTTTTTGTGACTGAAAAATATATCTGAAAGACTAAGCTTGTCTACTGTAAATTTATTTGAATCTTGATTTTTTCTATCAAAGTTTTGCTTTGAGTTGGATGGTTTATATGATATATCCTATAAATTGTTCGCAAGTTATTAGTTTTTTTATATTTATAAAAATCCCTATTCTTGTCCGACAGATATTATTATTATTATATGGTTTCCAATAAAAATTTATGAATAAAAATGATCGATAATTTTTCAACGGCGCAGTAGTTCTAAGTTTAGCCTTTCACAAATATAGGCCGAACACTTAAAAAAAAGGTCAATCGAAAGTGCGAATTTCAGCGGGAGATAAAGTCGAGGTTTTGCGACACGTTTACCTACAGCCGTTTTGTTTCTTAATCGGCTTCGGATATATTCAATTACGAAAGTAGGTCATGGAATAAATGTTTGGGCGATCCCCTGCCGCGTTAATGCATCCGCCGTCCGTTTTTCCGCCGACGTACTTTGATTCTTTGTGACGTCCCGCCGTCCACTCTTGCAGCAGGTCCTTGTTTTTGCCAGCCTCTTTCACGTTTTACGAATTCCCTCCCAAATTTAGCTCATTTTCCGGTCGTCTTTGCCATTTTTCATTAATTTCTACTTTCCTCCTTGATAGAAATTCCCACGTCTCCTGCCTCCGAATAACAAAGAATTCTTAGTTGGTTTTTATCAATTTGTTATGCATATCATTTTCTATAGCTAGTTGAACTTGGAACTCTTACTGTAAATGACAACTTGGGTTGTGGAAATACCTTGGAAATTTTTTAGTTAGTTTTTTGATCGCCCTAAGCTCGACCCTGAAGATCCATTCCTCCTACCTTATCAAAAGACCTTTTGAGGAGCTTCAAGATCCGATATTTTTCAAAGTGGACGTTCATTTTGCAGAATCGTATTTTGCTTTGCGTATTAAAACTATTCTCGCGAGGTAAATTACAAGCGCCGGTAATTTTCACTCATTATTTTTGAACATTTCGCATTGGCGCGCACATTTTTCTTCATAAAACTCGCAAACTTGATTATATCCATAACAAAGGAGATAGCGTTAACGGAATAGCTTTAAACCCTTTTATGAGCCAAATCTTTGAGCTTTTTTTGATTTTTAACATTGAGAGTGAAAAATAGTCTTGCGAGGTTTTTACTATCACCGTTCACTTCGCGAGGCGAGAATAGTTTAATTTTCTTTTTAGTTTTTCTGTTGAAGTTCGAACGTCCGTTCTTTTTAATTCAGGCAATAACAAGGGTGGCAAATTTTTGAATTTTACAACATTTTAACGTTTGTTTGTCTCTTTTTCAAAAGCCGAAAGTTTTGAAGTATGTGCAATTTAAAAAAAACCGACGAGTCAGTTTCAGACCTCCCCCCCCCAATTTAATTGAAACAGAATTTCGAAATGTATCAATGAAGACATCATGAAGTTCATACATTGGTCGCTTCAAGATTAAGTTCGGAGCGACTTTTCAGAATGATTGCATATCTCGTTTTTTTTTTCAAACTGATGTCGTTTTTTGAGCTTCTCAAAATGTTTACCAAGGAGGTAGGAAAAATTACTGAGACTGTGTTTTGAACTGCAGAAATTTTTTTCAGAGTATATGAAAACGGGTTTTCCATTTGTTTCAAATCATTTTTCATACATCAAAGTTATCATGTGTCATTTTTTTTTTAGAAAACTTTAATTTCCAGAAAGGGTTTTTCAAGCAAAAGAAAAAAGGGAAAGTCAAAATTAATTTAATCTTTTCCTAAATCGACTCTGATTTATTAAAAAATTTTCAAAGTTCTTAACGATGTCTGTTAGAAAAAAATTTTTTTTTTACTTTGAACTCTTTCAGAAGAAATAACTTTTTCGGAATAGCAGCTTGCCCTGGTAGCGCAGAAAGTATGTGTGCATAGGAGGAACGCGGTGGTAATGGAATGGAGTTTATTTGTATAAACATACGGTCCTGAACGGTTGGCTGACAGCCCACACACACAGGCGCCACACGCGCAAGCCGGAGGAGCCGCTCCGGTGTTCTTTTTCTCGTGACCCCCAAAACTGCCCACTCTCTCCGCCTGTGCCAACCTTCCGAAGATCTTGCTCTCTCGCTTCTTCTTTCTTACTTTTGTTTTTGTATAGTGTGTTCCGCGGCAGACGGTCGCGTTTCAAAGCACAAAAGAAAAAAGATATTAAATACAGCTTTTTTCATTATTTTTTTTTCTCTCTCAAAAACTGAAAGAAACAATGCTTTCGGGGCGAAGTTTGGTCAAATTTAACATACGGTCTTTTTTGCACAAAAAATGGGATAAGGTTGCGCCGAATGGGCTGTATCACTCGAAAATATGGATCCTAACCGTTTTCAAATGGCTTCGTTTTTTTTTTTCTGTTACTTCAGGATTCGGATCAAGTTCATTCACTACCATTTATATTAGTCGTGAGCTGTTTTCCTTTCCAGGTTTCAATTCATTTTTAATTGAAAAACTCAGTTGCTGGAATTATTATTTGTCATATTTATTGACCCTTTTCAAGGTATTTAAAATATCTTTACCAAAATCTCACATCAAATCTCAGTGATTAGCCCTTTCAAATCGCTTGCTCAAAAATCCAATTGCTTTAATTAGCTCGCAGAATTGAAGACATTTATCTAAGAAGTGCTCCTCGAGGCCGAACCCAACACTTGTTCGTTTCGCGCTGCCCACTCCGTGAGTACTACGCCGTGTACACCTTTTTTCTCAATTTCTCTTCCCTCCTCCTCTTTTTTCCGCTCCTCCGAGGCCAATCTCGTCATGTTCCGTCATTCGATTCGTGTATATGGAATACGCAAATTCCATTTTTTTTTTTTCACTCCGAATAGCCTTTTTTGACCGGTCAATGAGGCTCATCATTAAACTCTGGCCGTCTGCGTTTCATGTGCTCTTTTTGCTTACTTCTTATTTTATCTCTCTCAATGTCATGAGAAGGATCGATACAATTTTCGTTCTTTTGGTTCACAGCTGGCCGAAGTGATTGAAGGCGCTAAAATTGATTTTGAAAAGGTTCTGAACTCAGTTTTAATTTGAGCTAAACTAGTATTTGCAAACGACATTTTCTGCTCTTTTATCCAATTTCAAATCCCATTATACTTAAAAAAACTAGTTTTTATTTCTGAAGCTTCATTTGCTTCTCGCCATGGTCAGAAATAAACAGATGCAAAAAAAAAACGGAAATATTTTTTTCAATAAAAAAAGATTATTTTTTTAAAAATTAGAAAAGAGACATTACTTTGTGACTCTTTGATTTGGTTCGAAATTTTTTTTAATGTCTTTTTTTGATGATAAGAATGGATTTTTCATAGATTATTCAAAAAAAAAGGTTCTCTTTGAACGTGAATTTTTCATTGCAGCCTAAAAATTGAAGTTGGTTCGCCCGCGCGAAAAATGGCTTTCTTACGCTCTTTTTTGGGGTTCAGCCGACCACGAACGATTTGCGTTTGATAACATCAAAGGAAACCGCCAAGGGCGAAGTGTGAACTTTTTTTTCTTGGGACCGTTGTCATAAGTTCCACATGCAAGTTCAAACGAAAGAGGAAAATTGCAGTTGACAAGTTTTCTCATTAGGTTTTTAAAAATATTTGTATGATCAATCATTTTGTCGCCTTTCAAAACTTTTGAAAGGTTCAAAAACTCTTGAACTTTCTTAGAATCGATTCTGCTCTTTGAAACTTTTTCCCTTGACTCTGGCCGTGAATCACCGGCCTTATCTGTGCATTTCTTCCTTTTTTTCTGTTTACTTGGCGATGTTACTACCTCTCAAATTTTTCTCCATTGAAGTCTTCATTTTTATTTTTTGAGGTGATTGCTGCGGCCGTTTTTGGGTTTTGGAAAGACCAACCATAAATGGTGTTATGTTTGCTCGTCGATTATCAACCTAACTTTTATTGAAGAATCGAATTCAGCAATGAGGTTTGAGTTGAAAAAAATTTTTTTATTATTAATTTAATCAACTGAAAGGAGGTCTTTAAAAAAATTTTTTGAGTAGAAAAATAGGTAAAATATTAATTATTGCTGATTGTTTTTTTAATTATTCATATGTTGAATGAATTTCTCAAAATATAAAAAACTCGAGTTTCCGACTTTAGGAGCTTTTTTTGAGTTATTTTTTTCGTAGCTCTCATTAAGTTCCTTTATAAAAAGTTTGCTGCTTTTTTTCACATATTCCTAATGTTTCCTAGATTGTCGGTTTGAAAGTTTTTTTCATTCAAAATAATGGATTGTTTCGACTCGAAGTAAAGACTTTCAAAAAAACAAATTTTATCAGTAAAAGTGTTTTTGAAGCGCGTTTTGTGGCCTTTCTTATCGAAAAAATTGTGCTTAGGGATTTTAAAACAGCCTATCAAGTACGGAAAAAAGTATTTGGATCTATACGCATTTCTAAAACGGAAATATGAAAGTACCCATGCTGCAGGGTGTAACCGAGAGAATTGAATGGAAAGGTGTCATTTATTATGAATGGGGCCTTGAATGCAGTTTTTTTTTCTCTTTTCATTGGGTGTAGCCGATCCCAACAATATTATTTTAACCAGTTTGAAAAAGCGTGAAAACAATATTGAAGTAAAAGTACTAATGTTTTCAGTAGGCACTTCAACTATGCCTTAGCCAAAACAAATTTTTAAGCAATAGAGAATAAAATTTGAGAATAAAAAAAATTATTTTGCAGCGAAAGATGTGTGGCGGCGGCCTACGCCGAGGTGATGATCTACAACGAGGCGGCGAAAAAATGGCAGCCGCCAGGAGGTTCCGATGGACAAGTCAACAAGGTATCATTTGATCTCACGAAATGTGACAGGATAACTGTACAGTAACGCTGTCGAACTATTTTGTGAGCTCTTCTCAAATCTCTTGCGCTTGATTTATAATCAAACGAAGACATTTTGAGCTCAACTTGTTCAGTAAACTTTATTTTTAATACTTTTTTTCATAGCTGGCAAAAAAACTGATAAAGTAAAAAAAAATATTCGAACTTTTTTATACATTTGAAAACCATGTTAGCCCTACATGCATGAAGCTTATTTCCACTAACTTTGTATATCTTTCTGATGTATATTCTTACATAAAAAAATTTTTTTGCGAACTTTTTTTTGTAAAACAAAAATAGTATAGGCCATTCCGCGCTAGCTTGTCACGCTTTTCTTTCCGCCAAAACTCCAGGTCAAATTTAACCAACTTTCGCTTCAAGACCTTTGTTTCTTGCCGTTATAAGAGCAGAAATTTGATCTAATTTTGTATACGGTCCTTTTGGCGGAAAGAAAAACGTGACAAGCTGGCGCGGAATAGGCTATATCACCAGTGAGTCTGCAGATCTTTGCAAGTCTCATTCATGAGTCACGTTTTTCAGGTGGAAATCATGAGCAGCCTCCACAAGACGGCGTTCCGGATCGTTTCCCTCCGAGAGCGCGTAGGACATTTCCCTCGCTGTTCCCTGTAAATAGATTTTGGTTTTGAAGGACGGCGCCTGCATCCTCAACTGCAACATCTACAATCGCCTCAAGTACCATCCCGCCACCAGCACGTTCCACCAATGGAGAGATGAGCATCGACAGGTTCCTTTTGAGGATCAAATAAACACATTTCTGAAAAAATGATAGATTTTCAAATAACTTATTCCGAAAAAAGTTCATCTTATCACTAACCTCTAACATCGAATTCCGTACTGAAGTTTTCTATCACTTAAAACAACTTATATCTTTTTTCAGAGATGTAAAAGTTAAAAGTCGACAATTTTGAGTTGAAACTTCTTAACGGAATTGAAGCCAGGAAATATAATTTTGAACATCTTTTGAAAAAGGTTTGAGCTTGAAAATAGCCACACAGCATTTTTATCAGCTTATAATCGTTCATCTAGAAGTTCATGGATCATTACTTTTCTGTTGGCTCAAATTCGAATGAGAATTGTTTTTATTTCTATTTCGCTGTATATTCAATAGAAAAAAATCTAGAAAAAATCTTGAAATCTGCTCTTCTTTTTAAAGTTCTTTCTCGAGAATTTGTACTAATTTTTTTGGCATAGGATTTGAAAAATCACTTGGATTGATTACTTGCATAATTATATATAATTCTATGTACTTCTCGAAAATGTTGAAAACGGAGTTCAGGTCTACGGTCTCAACTTTTCTTCGGAAGTCGACGCTCGGAATTTCCTGAGCGCCATGGGTCAGGCCGTTGATCAACTGAACCACCAGCCTCCCACCGAATATCATTCTATCAATTCAGGTAAACTTTTTTTTCTCTTTTTAAGAAGCGAAGTTATCTCTGACTTTCTAAGGTTTAATAATCTTTTCCACTCTTTGATGGTTATTCTGAATTTAGCGGATTCGCTCTGAACATGGCAAAAGAAAGTCGAAAAAATAGAAAAAGTTTTGGCTGTTAAAAATTTTGAAAAAAGTTGGAGGCACTGCAAAAAAGTTTTACCGGAAAGCTTTCAATGAAATTGAAAACGCTAGTAACTGGTAAACGTTCGAAACATTTGAAAAGCAACCTTTGGTAAGAAAAGTTTTCCTTTTTTTTTTGAAGTTTGAGCATTTTTTTGGAGTTCTTAAAAAATAAATCAATCACCTGAAAAGAAAGTCTTTCGGAACGTTCAGCTAAACCTTTTTGCTAGATTTATTTGCTAGTACATATCTCCCTTTGAAACCCCAAGGGAGAACATTTACCAAAATCATCATTTTTTCGGGAGCACTCTAAATTATTAAATTTTCCCTGACCATAATCTGGACTTTATCGTTGCCGAAAGCTTCTCAAATAGTAATCCGGCCAACGAGACTTAACATATCGATGTTTTGCAAGTTCTCGTGCTGTCGGCCTTCTGATAACTCAGGTTTTCTTTTTTCACAGTACTTGGAATAGAAGACGTAGTATAATGGGTCCTTGAAACGAATTTCGTTGAAGGTATCGTTTTTCCAGACAACGTCTATCAAGATCCCCACCAGCACTTGTCGCATATCCACTCGGCGCCGGCTTTCGGAGAACACCACGAAAACGAGAACCACGTCGCCAACGTCAACGCCAGCTTTCGGTTAGTCTTCCCATAACTCATTAATTATTGATAGTATGTGTTTTTCTCTGGAAATTGCATAGAGCCACTAAGATTTCTATTGCAGCGTTTGGTTGAGATAATTTTTGGGTATAATTGGTTAGCTAAACGACTGAAACATTTTCAAAAATCAATCACTATATGGAATTTCTTAGAGTGAACTAAGAAACTAAAGAAAATGTTCTTAGTCTTGGGGAAAAAAACTAAATTAAATACAAATATTTTTTTCTATTTTACTGAAAAAAACAAAGAAAAATTTTTTTGAATACTTCTTCATGGTTTAATTTTTCTGAAGGCGTCTGGGTTTTTTTTCACAGATTTTTCCTTTACAGGAAGTCTTCGCAGCCGGTGACCTCTATGAACTCCGTTCTGGGGATGAGTCAACAGCAGCGAAGAGCCTCCCAAGCCTCGAACAGCAGTGGCAGCGCCATCGCTTCCAACTCTCATGCCTACTCGCAGGTATCTCGCCCAAGTCTCTACGAGTCTCCAACGTCAATCCTCAGGAACAGTCGGACTCTCGAGGCTACTGGCAGTCGTCGGCAGCTCCTGCAGCTCCAGTCGCCGCCCAAAATGCTCCTCCTCCAGCTCCAGTGCCTCCGTCTTCGGCAGTTCCGCCGGCGCCGCCTCTTCCACCTCTGAACAGCGGTGCTCCGCCGCCGCCGCCTCCTCCGCCGCCTAACTTCGCTGCCGCGAGTACGGCCAAAGGGACGAGGTTAGTAATTTGAATTTCCTCGACAAAGCTTGCACAAGAAGCACTTTCCAGTACCATTCAGCTTTTCTTGCTTTTCCACGAATTAAAAAAAATTACAGTTTGGCCGATCAGTTGAAGATGAAAAGCGCGGCTTTGAACAAGACGGTCGGACCAAAGGAGACGAGAAGCCCTGCAGAACAATCGACGGCAGCGCCACCACCAGCACCTGGTCAGTTTCATTTTTTTTATCATCAAGTTCAAAAACTCATGTCACTTTTGTTAAGATTAACTTTATTGCAGCTTCTGGAAATCTGATGTCGGAACTGGCGGCGACGATCAACAAGCGGAAGATGACGCAGGCGAAGGCCGACGCCGTCGACTCCAAGTCCAACACGAGTAACGGTCTTGAACGACGTCGCCTCCCGATTCGCTCACCGATCTCCATTTCAGCGTCGACAGACAGCGGCTGCGGCATTCCGCCGGTCAACGGGGGCCTCACCAACGGGAACGTCAAGAAGGTCGCCGACGTCAAGCTCAACGGCAGCGACAGTCCCAAAACCCACAGGAAGTCGGACTCCAAACAGCTTCCCGTCCTTACAGAATGTCTTTCAGAGCTCCCTCCGGCTCTTCGATTTTCTCGCAGGACGAGGCGAAGGCCGCTAATGTTGCTGAGCTTCTAGAGAGGTTTGAAACTTCATCTTCTTTACTTTTTGAACTTTTTCTAGATAGACAGATAGAAAATTTGCTCAGTGGGAAATGTTATCAATTTGGGGTTTTCGGTCTCGTTCTTTTCTATGAAGTAAAAGCGAGATGATTCGAGAAAATTTGCCATTTTTTTCCTTGTTTTTGAAAGAATAAAGATATAGACCATTACTCTAATTTTTAACTTTCACACAAAATCTTTATTTGCCATTTACCTTGTGTGTTTCTCACCTAGATCTGTAGTAAAAATAGGATGAAAAGTCCGAAACAAAAATCTCAAAGTTTACAAAAATCTCAAATTTTTCAACTTTTTGATATTTATAAAATTATTGCAGATTCAAAGCGGATCTGATGGTGGAGGTGCGGTTAGAGATAAATAAAGCCAAGCATGACATCATTGAGGCCTTAAGATCTGAACTATCGAGAAGATAGGCCTTTTTTTCCTTGTTTTTTAGAATTTGTTTCTATCTTAGATTGCCATCGTTCTGTGTTTTATAATTCTGAAAAAATCCTTTAACCTGTCAATATTGAATTGATTTTGGTGTCGACGACGGTGCTCTTTGTGTGTTATGTGTTTTCCACTCATTATGCTAATCACCATTTTAAATGTAAATTGCTCCAACTACTACTTCTACTGTGGATGATTATTTCCCAAAAAAGTCTGTTCATAAGGGTTTCACGCTCGACCGATTGCTCCTACTTGATTTGGTTTTACTTGACCATTGCCACGACATTTTCCCTCGAAGAGTTCGACTGGGACTACTCGGACCACATGACTCTTTTCTTCTTTTTTCCTCCCGTTTTAACCGACAGGCTTTCATTTTGTGTTGAAAGATGCTGCCTCTCCCACGAATACGAGCTCAGTTTCCCCTCACGCTCAGCTGAACGAGACTTTCGGTCTCTTGGTTCGATGTCATTTTTCAGCTATGTATCTAATGCATTTGATCGGAAAAGTGTCGGGTTTGACCATCCATTGAAACAGTAGCACATACGAAAAGTTCAATTACATTAGTTTAACTTCGAAATTGGAAGTTTTGAGACAAAAAAATGGCCAAATTCAGTACTTTTCTTATTATTGTCAATTCAGTTTTCGATTTTGTCCTATTTCTTTGTTGTTTTACCCTTATTTGTTTCCTGTATCTCTATTTTCCTTGACTTTAATCTCCCCAAAGATGCAATAAACCAAATTTTTTTTGTGAATCACTTTGTTCCATAATTTTTGATTGAATCTTTTGGCAAGATAAATTTTTTACCCTTTTCGTCTAATTGTTAATAAAGAAAAAAATGACCCAAGCGTCGGAGTTGGGCGTGGTCCGACCTCAGCCCAGCCTTGAGATCGATAATACCGATAGCGTCAGTTCCTCCTTTTTGGCCCTTTTTTGGCACTCACAAGAGTTTCGGTGTTCCAGGCGATGATTCTACCATTTCTGCTGTTTCTCGTCCTTTTCGACAGATGTTCTGCCATCGGTACGCTCGATTTTGATTCTGTTTCTCATTTGAAAGATGAAAAACTTCTGAGCAGTTTTTCTTGGTTCGAACATGTGAATGACCTCCAACGAAAGGATCTCCCTTTTCCATCATAAAAATCATTGTGACAAAAGGGTTCTTAAAAGTTTTCTTTTTGAGTAGGGACTTCATTCTATTGTTCAAAATGAAGTTCATGATTTCATGACGTTTTTTGAATTCACAAATCAATATATCCTAAGAAAGAGAAAAAAATTCTATTGGCAAAAATCGAAGGATTCAGGAGCTAAATTCGATTATTTCATGCTCACGAAGATTTATCCTACGGCCGTTTGTAGAGCTGATGACGACACAGGTTGGCAATTGACCATTAAAATTTTAAAAAAATGTTCAAAAGAGGGTTTACTGAAAAAAAAAAACAAATTAAAAAAACCTTCTTGGCGATTTTTATTGAATGGGAAAAAATATGTTTCATTATTTTACTCTGATCGAAAAAGCAATGTTTCGAACTTAACAAAGAAAAAAGAAACCGAACTTTGAATTCTAGACTTGAACTGACAGACCTCTAAAACAGCTGTTCAGTTCCGGATTCCTGCGAAATCCCCGACGGGACCCCCAGCTGGACGATGCACGGCCTCTGGCCCAACTTTGCCAACGGCAGCTATCCTCAGTTCTGTCCGGCTGTGCCCAAACACTTCAACGAGGACCTCATCAAGTTGATCGAGCCCAAGTTGACGTCAGTTCTGTCCCCCGAGTTCCAGATAACAGGGTCAGGTGCAGGAACTTCTGGCCGAACTTGTATCCGAGCAAGTCGAAGGCGTCGTTCTGGAAGCACGAGTACGACAAGCACGGCACCTGCGCCCAGAGCGAGAAGAACTTCGACTCCGAACTCAAGTATTTCCAGCAGTGCGTCTTTAGATACACTTCACAAAAAGAAGATTCAATTAGGACTAACCTGTGCATTTTGTGTCAAGATCTGGCAATGAAAAGAGTAGATCTTCTCCCCTAACTGCAACACTTTTGAAAAACTTACGGGTACAAGTTCCGCACTTTTGCAGATTATTACGCTCGATCGGCCACAAAAACTAACTAATTTATGAGAAGAGCTGCTGAAACTTTGCGCCTAGTCTTATAAATAGATAATTAAATAAGGAAACAACTTTTTATATTTAGAATTAGAAAAATCAATTTCGTCCTCACACTTTTTATTCGCGAAACGGAAAAACGCCAGGATGCCTAGAGTTTAAAAAAATATTTCCTCGGAAATTCTTGAGAATTTTTAGTTTCTTAAAAAGCCTACTAATTTTGACGTTTGTTTAAAAAAAGTAGGAAAAAAACCAACAGAATTTAATATTTCATTTCAATTACAAACGTTTTAAACCAATTTTTCGCGTACAGCATGAAGAGAAAGTTTTGCTTATCTACCTGAAGTCTATGTGCTCTAAATGGAACTAAAAGGAGAAGACCATTATGAGGAAGCAAGAATCGTCTATAAACAATCAAGAGTTCAGAGGCAAAAGAGTGAAGAAATTCAGGGCGATAGACCTCTTCGCCTTGTTCGACGTCGACGCGGCCCTTTCCTCGTTGCCGCGAGGGTCGCTCGTCACGAAAGCGGAGGTCCTGCAGGCCCTGCAGCCACTCTCCAAGAGCCAATCCGTCCAGATCCACTGTCTCCGCGACAAGAAGGTCTCTCTCATCGGAAGAGACGTTTTCAGAAACCCGGTTTCAGACCTCTCAGACGCTCCTGGCCGACGTCCGTCTCTGCATCAACAAAGATCTCTCGCCTCGCGCCTGTCCCGACAGACTCAACAACCGACTTCCGACTGTTTCCGACGTCCTTCCAAACTTTGTTGTGAGCTCATCTAGTATATTAGTCGAGGGAAATGACTTTTTCAGCCGTGTCCTGGTCAATTCGTCTACCTACCATTGAGTCCAGAAACGACCTTCTCTCACCCGAAAAATCTCAACTCTATCTCTCTTTAAATAAATGTCTACAAAATGAAACTAGGAAAAGACCATGATACTTGAAACTTTGAAACGTTCTGAAATTGGATTCCACGTAGTAAAATAGGGTTCAGAACACTGAAGAATGCACAATTCATTTTTTCCGAGAATGGCAAGATTTCTTCCCCGAACAAAGTGCAAAAGACAGAAAAATTGCGGTATTCTTTAAAAACAGAGAATTTGTGCAGATTTTTATTAGGCTTACACGATCTTCATCTAGTACATTCCATTCAATATTCAACAGTGATTGGAGTAGAATTATCTCTCCTTGTCAGAATGGCAACTTTTCGCCGGATAAGAGAGGACTCATTAGTCGGATCTCATTCAAGTACTCGGAAAATGTGTGTCCAGAAAAAGAGAACCTCATAACGTGTTCTTGTAACTGGACAAACTTAGGCAATAAAGACAAGAGCTCTAATATTCTCCACCCGAGGCTCGTTAACTTAACTTTGGAGCGGGCGGAGGCGTCGAGGAGAGACAGAGGGACGAAGGCGTCGACGGCGTATTCCGCAGATGATGAGGCCTTCGCGACCGCGTGCCTTTCTCCTGCTCTCCCTCCTGCTTCTGCTTCAGCTCGCCGCCGCACAATTCTTATCAGGTATCCCTATCATTTTCTTCTGCACAAAACATTGTTTGCAACCGTCTGAACCGAACAAGAACAGTTCCAAGAAGGCCGCGAAATTCTGACGCTTTTCGAAAATTAGAACCCCAAGGAAATTTATCCAAGACCATTACAAGAATCCTCAAGTCCTATACTGAAGCTCAGTGACTTTTTAGCTGTTTTTTTCTCACAAATTATATCTTTTTGTAGCTAGTTGTATTTTTCGAACTTACGCGGTCAGAATCTAACGTTTCGGAGATAAATTTGATAGAAAATATCGAATCAAAGTTTTCAGCCTGAATTTCATAAGGCTCTTTGAGAGTTTTTCCTGATAATTTTAAACTAATCAGCATTCTTTCAATTAGTCCTGTTTTAAATTGTCATATATAGTTTCTAAGAGTTTAGGAAGAAAAAAAAGTTGCTCCAGAAAACGTTCAATGGCAATAAGATTCGATTATTCGATTATGATTCAACAAGCCAACTTTTGCAGAAGACGAACTCAGCGACGAAACACAATGGCGAAGGGAACGTCGGAGCGGCCTTCTGTTCGGAAAGTTGGCGCGGATCTGGGGATCCAACGACAAGAGATTTGTCCTTCGACCGATGCCCGATTACAAGTGAACCTCTGTCTATAAACCCTTGCAAGCGTTGAAATGGTTCTAAACAAGTCTTTCATACTATATGACGGAACAACATCTTAACAAAAAAAGTACAAAGAGAAATGCAATACATGAACTAATCTTAAACTAAGAGTACTCGAGGCCATTCAAAAAAAAACAGCCGAGAAGTTGAGTTGGGGATCTAAGCAGGGATGTGCTAACTCAAAATTTTTTTATTTTAAATTCAAGTTTAAAAACATTTTTTTGTAGCCTCATCCCTCACAAGAGAAACTCTGACTGTATTTCTAATTTTCACTTTTAAAATTTGAGGTAAAAAAAGCCATACTTCTGGTTGAAAAATTTTCACACATCCCTCAATCTAATCGCCGAAATTACGCGTGTCTAAACAAGTGCCTAATTATTTTGAGCAAAAAAAAAATAACCGAAAAACAAGGCGTTATAAACTGAGAACTTAATTTACACACAGAGGTTCGGAGGAAGGCGACTGAGACGGAGCGCATTCAGAACACGACTCCTTCGTTTGCGATTCTGATCTAGGCTCCTGCGGCTCAGATGTCGGCGTCGCGTCTGAAGTGTCCACTTCAGGGGCGGCCTCGCCGGCTTCGCTCGCAGTCGCTTCGTTAACAGTCGCCGTCTGCTCGTCAGCAGCCGTCGTTTCCTGGCGACGTCTTCGTTTCAACGCCTTCTCGACGGCTGATCGAACAACTTTTCCTTTGGCTTCGATTTCCCTCGCAGCTTTGTGCGCCTTCAATATGGCCTTCTTGCGTTTCTTAAAAGTCGACAAAATTTTTTTTGATTCTTTCCTTTTTTGAGCCTAATAATAGAACTTGATGAAAAATTGGGATCAAAAATCACGCGAAAAAAAATGATTCTGCAGAGCCTTGAACACTTTCCTAATTGTAATGAAAATCCAAATTCAAACTCTATTTTCTCCAATTTAACTTTAAAACCCAATTTTTTTCATCAAAAAAATAAATGTTTTTTTCTGAAATAGTCCTGGAAAAAATAGAAAAAATGAAAATTAAAAATAGCCCTGGAGTCCAAACGTTCAAAACTACTGAGTTTTATGGGCTCTCATTTTTTCACAAAACTTTTAGCGGCTAGAATATTTCGGCTCATTATCAGCTCCTTTCGGTTTCACCATTCTCTTTTAAACATCAGAATTGAAATTCTTTCAAAACGGAAAAACTTGTTGACGATTCCAACCGTCAGAAGAGAAACAGAAAAAAAAATTATAGCTACATTTGTCTGTTTCGCGCAAGTCGCGAAATGTAGTTGGCCTGCACGTGCATCGAGATCCTTGGCATGGTGATCAAATATGAAACTTTTCCAACCAAAAACACGGCAATTATATTTGTTTCTACGGCCGCCCACGTGGAATGCGAAAATGACGATGCGTACGACGGATAATGAGCCTCATTTTGAGCCGAAAATAAGGCAGACCTGCCCCAAGAAGTACGGGCCGCCGTGGTTGACGATCCAGTTGTAGACGTACCGCGGGATGTTGGCTTCTGGATTATCCGAGTAGGTGAGAACGTAGTCTGAAAGCTTTGAAATTATCACACTTTGCCAGGTAACTCTAGTCCCTTTTTAAAAAAGTTATCGAATTTTCTCAAGTTTCCCTGTAAAGTTATTTTTCCTTCTCACTCTCAACAAGCTCATATTGGAATAAGAAAACTTTGAGATCAAATTGAGACGTAATGAAGAAAATTCAAAGATCTGAAGATCACGAAAATATACTGATTAAAAAAGAAATAAGAATAAACCAACAAACTTTTTGTACAAAAACATTGGCTCCCAAGCATTAACTGTTGAAAAATGAACCTAAACCGTGGTCGTTCCACGTTTTGTGAGCTCGAATCGCCATCCGAGATGTGTAGGAGCAGACGCGAACATTCGAAGACGACGTCGAGGGGTACTCCTGAGAACTCATTCGAAATTAAACTATTTTACTTTTTACTTGAAGATAATATTCGGAAATTCCGGTCTGAATTTCTTTTCTACCTGATAGATTTTAATTCATAAAAAATTGCAAAGAAGAAATTTTTCGTGTCAATTTCACCGATTGTTTTAAAGTTATGCAAAACGTTCAAATAAGATAATTATCTCTTGAAAGGCGGCAAATAGTCCGACTTCAAACTCCGCACCTGAGGAAGAACGACGTCGCTGTTGACGACGGCCGTCTTTTCGTCTTCGGAAATCCAAGTCCGCCGCACGTAGATGTATTCCCGAGGATACATCGGATACGGGTATTTGGCGACCCATCGAACCAGCTCAAAACCCAGTTGAATTGTTGTCCATTTGTGGAAAACCTCTTGATCCTCCTCTTCTTCAAGAAGTTCCAACGTGATAATGTTGTCGTCCCACTCTTTGCGGTACTCCAAATCGTTTTGGGCGTCTTCAAAAAGTCGAAAATGATTCTGGGCTTGATAGAAACGTGCACAAAAAGTATTTTTCAAAAGTTAGAAACTAAAAAGATTTTTCGATCTCATGATGATTCATACTTTGAAAAACTAAAACAGAAACTGAAGGTTTCACAATATTAACGGAGTTTCGAAATTAGGGTGAGGCTACAAAAACTGGCAGAGAAATGGGAGTTCGTCTCTAGTTTTCAAGTAGAATTTTGATTACTGGAAAGTGTGCTTAATTTTATGGTTAATTATTATTTACTTCTCTAGAAATCAGAAAAATTCCCTTTAATGGATAACAAAAAAACCTAAAAAAGTGCGCGGACTGATGTCGTAGTAAGATCCGACGCATTTGTATTCGTAAATTTCATACTGCGCCTTTGTTCTTCTAAAAGAAAGTTATATGAAAAATGCATCTTTCGAACGGCCACGAACCTACGAAACACTTTCAGATCCTTTTCCTGCACCAACATTTCCCATCCTTGAGCTTTTTCGTCGCGAGCATCTGTTTCAAAATTCAATTCTTCGACAACTCGTACTCAAGAATTACCAAAGTCTTTCGAATGGTTACCATCGAGAAACTGATCTTCGGAGAAATCTATCAGAAAAATATTTCAGATTAAAAACGAAATTTATGAAGATACCGTGGCTTTTGAAAGAAAAATGCGGCAGTTGAAGCAAAAAGCGACGCAAAAATCGACGATCCGGCTTCAATAAGTTGCGGATTGGTAATTTGAATCTATAAAAGAAAAAAATGAAATAATTTTTTTCTCAAAAATTTTGGAGATATTTTGCTTAAAAATTCTATCAGTAAAGGAAAAAAATTCAAAAAAAGTTGTCATTTACTATTTTCTATTCAATTCTGGTGCGATGGAGCCCAGAAAAAATCTCGAAAATTTTTCTTCGCTACTCGATTTATTCACTGTTTTTTTAAACACACAAGCATTTTACAAAAATTTGTGGAGAAGCAAAATTTTGAAGAGAAAAACACAATATCGACAGAAAAACTGAACATCCGGAAATAGTGATAACCGCTTTTTTCAAAACCAGTTTTTTTTTTTTTTAAAGTTTGACTATTTTCTTTCGCATCATTATCAAACCTTTTCCACTTGAGCCTCGCCCATTGTTGACTGAAGTCGCGATAAAAGAGAAACTGAAAAAGAAAAACTGAAGTTCCATGTATGAATTTCCTTGGGAAACCTTTTTGGGCTAGTGAAATCCAATTCTTCAATATCATTATCGAGTTCAGCAGCTTATTAGCATTCTGCAAGGATTTCCGTGTTCTTGCTCAAATATTCATATATAAAAATAATGGATGGAACGTGACCGAAGCGACGAAAAACACAGAAACAGAAGAAATAGAAGTTTATTGCGGTGGATAAACATGAAATGACAAAATATAATACGTACATATAATAGACTCTGTGATAAGGCGGAGGCAACGGAATGGCAGTTAGTCGTAGTCCAACGCTGGAAAAAAAGTAAAAACCATTTCGGTATCAGAATCGGGAAATTGTTTTTTTATTTTTTTATTTTTTTATTTTTTTAGATAGGAAAAAAATAAAAAAATGAGCACGAATCGAATGAAATCAGTTAAAAAAATTTGTTTTTTTCTAAAAAAATTGAAATTCCTAAAAACCTGCTTTAAGACATTATATTCGAAAATTTATTGACAGGAGATCTTATAAAGGAGAGAAATTTTAAAAATGGCTTTTTTTAGAGTCTTTTTAATTTTTTTCTGAAATTCACATATGGCTTATGAGCTGAATCGCCTAGTGCTCGAATTAAAACAAAAAAACAAAAAAATTAATTTAAAAACAAGAGTTTTAAAAATTGAATGAAAAAAAATTTTCTTCAATTTATGTTTTCTCCAAAGTAATATTTTCGGATCCAAGACTGGAACTTTCACTTTGATCGATGTAAATCTCTCTCAATAGCTCATTAACTCACAAATCGGCGTTTCGGTGGCTATAACGGCACGAATTTCAGAGATTATAGGCTCTAATTGCCTTCTGGAGTGAAGTATTTGGCCAGTGTTCGTCTGGAAAAAAAAAAATCTTCCCGTCAATAAAATCATTAGATCACTTCACCTGATGGGAAGCGAGGAAGAAAGCGCAAAATGACGGGAAAGAGAGGATGATAAGTTGCGTGGGATCGAAGAAAAACATGGAAGCCTTGTGTCCACCTCAATGATTCATTTTTCGCCAATTAATTTGAAACCCAAACAAAAAGTAACTTTCTTAAGAAATGAGTTTGAGATTTTCTTTTACAACGAATACTCCAAAAATCTGCTTCGAAATCGAAAAACGAACCCATTTGAAGTCGCGAAGCTTGTTCGACTACATTTCTGTGGCTCTGAATGATGGCGGACCTTTGCCGGAGTTCATCTCCTTCAAATATAACTTTCCGTCTTTTTTATTCAATTATGTCGAAAAACCTACGGAACAAACGACAGCGCCATCCTTGTCGGCGATGAAAATGGAAGATACTCCTTCAATTGAATTTCGGACGTCTTCTAAGCTTCGGACAATTTCCATTTGTCCTGAGATTTTAGTCATCGAGCTTGTAGGTAAAATTAAGTAACTTTCAAAGAAAAAAGAATGTTAAAATGCTCAAGACTTTAAAAAAAACGTCAAAGCGTTTCTGAAGCGGATTTTTTTTTTAAACCTTAAAGGTCATTTCAAAAAAATACAACCACTTACCAGGGAACGTTTTTTACCCCCCGGTTGAACTTTTGCTGAAACTTTGCTGAAGTGTACTTTGGGACCTCCTGATTGCAGATCAAGAAAAAAATTTCTCGCAATAGATCTTGTTTCCGAGTTAACGAGCTTCAAAGTGTGCAAAATAGGCAAATTAGGCCAAAAAAGCGCTATTTTGGGCTTTTGAAGTGTCCTAACTCGAAAACGAGATCTATTGCGAGAAATTTTCTTTTTGTTTTGGAATCAGGAGGTCCTAAAGTACACTTCAGCAAAGTTTCAGCAAAAGTTCAACCGGGGGGTAAAAAACGTTCCCTAGTTAAAAGAGCATAGACAAAAAATAATTTCATCTTCCCCGAACTTTTGGTTTTATGAAAAATTTGAATTCTCGATAATTTTTTTATCCAGTTTACGAATATAAATACTCCAAATAAAGTCTTCCTTCTAGATTTAAAACAGATCTTCAAAAATGAAATATAAGGAGTATAATCAACTCGAAGCGACTAAGATAATTCACTTCTTATCAGCTCGATATGTTATACGACAGAACGACAGAAATACAATGCGACGAGTTCGATGGAAGGTATTTATATCACATACGATTATCATGCAGAAAAACAAAGAATATTTGAGTTGTTAGTAGCAAACTAGAAGATTTATTACACATATTGCACAAGAATAAAGTAAGTTACGTCAGACGTTCCAAGAGATCTTAAATTAAAAACTTGTGATTGGGGCGTGAAATACTGTAAATTCATCAAGTTATACCTGTAAGCAGATTGAAATCGCTATTATGGATGAGTGAGAGAATATCACAAGTTGTTGAAAGCCTTATTCACAAAGTGGAAATATACAGAAACTTGAGGGTTGAATGAGATTAGGAGTCGAAGCAATGATCCTGGAAAATGAGACGTAGGAATGGCTTTTCAGTGGCGAGCATCGTCGTGCAAAATGGGCACACCGGATGGAAGCTGTTGGTTCCCTGGGGCAACGGAATCCGCGACCAGTATCTGAAAGTCGTTGGGTACAGTTCCAGTGAAAAGTTATACAGAAACGAAATTAACTTTTTCTTAGTAGACTTCAAAAAAAAATGGGTTCGATCCAAGGTGAAAAACTTGAACAAAGTTTTGTAGATTTTTAGATGTTCCTCAACGATGTGATAATAGATACATTTTCTCGCTTAAAAAAGCATGAACTTTTTTTTAAACTTTTTTAGTTTACTTCGTGTGGACTTTCTACTCACTTCAATATGAAAAGACCATTCTAAAAATCAAAAAGGCCAATATTTGAAGGTTTTGCCACGGTCAACAAAAAGTGTTCAACAGGAAAAAATTTGGAAACTCATGTCTCTCTTGAAAGTTTTCTATTCATTACTTGAAATTACCGATTGCAATTTTGTGCAAGTTTTCGACCTCCATCCTACTTTCGATGAGTATATCTTCAATTCTCCAAAATAGAAAAACGTACCTGACGGTATTTTTGCTGGCGACGTGGCCACAGGGATTGAAGGCGTAGTCGAGAGACCCGGAATCGATGTGAAACGTCGTTTCCATTCCCATGGTGAGCTCAAAACTGGAATGAAACCAGAGAAATGGGACCTTTCCCACCTGGATGATCCGTTCGCTCTCCACGAGACAAATGGGACATTTGCCGCCGGAAATCTGTCCGTTTCCATTCATGACGACGCCCCACTCGTGTCGGCCTTGCACGTGACCACAGCGAAGATAGACCTGAACATCTTATCATCCGAAAATTATTTCTCTATTGGGATCATCTTTGTTTTTTGCTGTAGGTAAAGTTCTGTTTTCGGAATATCCGTTTGGAAATTGAGGAAGAAAAATCGATTTAACGCAAAATTCACGAAGACCTTATTCCAATGTACGTTTAAAAATTTCATTAATATATGAACTAGGAAATTCAAACTGAACCAACTATTTTTCCCATTTTTGTCGCTTTTCTTTGAATTTTCAGATGAAGTGAAATTTTATAGTTAATTTTCGAGTAGATTGCACGGTTCTCACATAGGCTTGACGGCTGTTGGTGGCCTTCGAACTCTTCTTCTTGGGAATGATGAGAGTGTTGAGGTTGACGGGACATTGCGGGCGGCCTATAAACCGTCGTTTTGCTGTTCGTGAGAACTTGGGTCGTCAGTTACCGGCGTTCAGACGATCCAGCGCCATTTCGAGTTCCAGCGCAGAGGGCGACCGCGCCAAACCGTCAGCGGTCCGCCACAGGATCGTCGCGCCGCAGAGATCGATCAGAGTGCCGTCCTTAATTATAACAGGCATTGCTTTGATTATTAGGAAAAGGGTGATTTTTTTGGATTGAACAAAAAGGCAAACTTCCGTTGAAAAAATATTCATACGTTTGCCTTTCGAAAAAGTCATAAAATTTGTGATATTCCTTTCTGATATTTTTTTCAAAACGTTTCATTATCTTATCAACGTTCGATTTCCCCAATACCCAAAGTTGATCTTTCAAAAAATCTTGGAAACTTTAGAAAAAATCGCCTATCACGCTTATTTACATCATCTCAAAACTTTTTAAGCTCGTGAAAACGTTATAGTGATCTCGAAAATGTATGGAATATTCTGAAACTTTTGCTGCGATCAATAGAATCGCCAATTTTTTTTTCTGACCAAAAACAGCGTGAATGCGGCGCTTCGTTCCGTAGATATGACAGCGGAATTTGTGCCAAACTTTTTGATATTTCGATCCGTTTTTGAAGAAGCACTGAAAAGGGCAAGAAGAAACCTGAAGCATGTTGGTTTCCTCAGGAACAAGTTGTCCACGAGAAGAACTGCTGCGGGTGTCTCTCAGCGTGTAGATGTCGCCGCCGACGGAAATTTCTCGCCACACGTACAATTCTTGGTTCTCAGTGTCTTCCGAGTTCAGATCCTTGAATAAATCCCATGAACAATGCCGAGAAACAAGTGAATACTTCGGTGTTGCGATTCGGATGCAGAATAAGAACTCCATTGGTCGTCAAACCGTCCATTTCGCCGTTTTTCTTCGTCCATTTTGTCGATTTATCCTTTACAAAATTTTTTTTAGTTTTTGTTTCCAAACTGTTACAGTACGCTTGTTGTTAAGAAAAAAAGAATATATAATTGATCACCCCCAAGAAGATGTTCTTGGCCAAATCGAAGCCGGCCGCGTAAAGAAAAGCCTTGTTGCCGTTCTCGCGATCGATCAGAATGCGACAAGCGTAGCGACTGATGGTCGAAGAAATTCGGTCCGACTTTTCCGACTTCTTGTGGTGATGATGGTGCGCTGCAAACAAGGAACGGATAACATTTTGCATATTGATGTATATCCACTAGTCAGGGAGATTTCAAAACTTTACTCATCATCAAACAAATTCCTCTTGGTCACTATATCCCTTTTTTAAAGCTTTTTTCTGCACTTAAGAAAAAGATTTATTGAATAGATTTCTCATTTTTTCGAGAAACACCGTTTTCGGGAGGCCTCCAGCGTAGGAGTAACTCAAAATATTCGACCTTTTTTCTTTTGAATGATTTCTTTTTTCATACTTCATAGGTAACCAAAAAGTTCATAGATAAAATTCTGACAAGTTCAAGAAAGGCAAATAAATTCGCCACAATTCTTAGAGCCTTGTGCACATTGTGATGTTTTCTGACATAGAGATATCTTTTTAATCGATATAACTAACCGGAGGCAGAAGGGGCCACAGCCAAGTAGGTATCGACGACGGTGAAGTCGATCTGTTCCTCGGAAGATCGTCCGATCTGGATAAAATTACTTTCAAAAAGATCAACATAGTAAGATACTATTTGATCTTTTGGATCTTCCTTGCAAAGCCGGAAGTCGATGACGCAAAATACCAGCATTTTTTAAAACCATTTGAAAGGCTCTATAAATGGCACGCTGACATTAACCTACACACTTCACTGGACCCAGTTCTTCTCTCCCTTCAATTCAGAAATTTTCTTCATTCTCTAGATGTGTTCTTAGTTCGAAAGGAAAAACTGCCACGGAGACGCCGAATGCGTCCAAAAAGTGATGTCTCCCCAACGAAAGCCGACCGCCTTCAGAGCGAGTCTACGAACTCTCGTCCCAGAAGCAGCATCTCTTCGGAAACTTCCAGTGATGCACGTTTTTCTTTCTCATCTACGAACCACGCATCATAAGAACTAATTACTTTGAGTTCATGAATTTCTAAAATCCATTGCTAAAGGCCTATATATTGCTTATCACCGAAATAACTTTAAGATTAATGAATAGATGTGGACAACGGCTGACCCGCCTCAAAACCGCCAAGCTGGCCGGCCCTCCTGACCTTTTCACCGCATACAACTTTTCATTATATTTTTATAAAATATATATTCTCAAAGACCTTTTGCACCTTTTTGGTTCTTTTTGGTAGTTTTTAGAGTGTTTTCTATTCGAGATGTAACTCTTTTTCTCACCTGAAACATGTCTTTGGAAGGTTCGATGACATATTCCTCGACGTGAGTTTGGGTTCGTCCCGAAGTGAAAAATAATCGAGTAATTGTCCGGGTCTTTGGAAGCCTAAAAAAATTCTTCCAATGAAAAATCTTCTTTGAAAAATATTTTACGAATTTTCTGCTTTTTGACCTAACTAAGTATATCTTATATCAATCAAACCTTTTTAAAAAAAACTATACTTTCAATGGTAATATAAATTATGCAAGTTTAAATTTACCAAGTAATCTTTGAACGGCGAGTTAACGACACTGAAGTCTCCTTTTCGGATTCCATTGCCCTTTTCGCGTCTTTTCAACGTTATTTTCGTCCGGTGCTTCTTGGCTGGCAAACCGCCTTTGCTTTCTGCGATCCCATTATACCTGAACATCATCTTGTTGCGACTCATTTTCTTTTTTTGATAAACCCTAGAAGGACCATCTGCCCGTAGACGCTCTCGTCGTCTTCCAAGTTTGCGTTCGATGGCATTTTCACACACTGAATGAACAACTTTGAACACAAGAGTGATGAAAAAAAAAACATTTGTGCTCGGTAAGAAGTTTTATATGATTCAAAAATCAGGGTTTCTATAAATCGAAGCGCGAAATTAACCATCAAAAGCTGGAATAAATCCTTGTTAGCTGAAATTTGTTTGCTTATGATTCTTATTTTTTGAAATTCCTACGGAGATATTGACATTTATTATCAATTTAGAAGCCGCTAAAAACACACTGGTAACCTGGCAACCCCATTACGCAGGTAACCACTAATTAGACTCATCGACCGCTTTTTTATATCTTCAAAAAAATTTCTCACGTTCTGAGAGCTTTCGTCACAGAAGAGAGATTCGGCTGAATCCTCTTCACGATTCTCCGCCATCGACCTGAAAAAGAAACAATTATTCCAACTAAAAAAAAAGAAGCGTTTCAAATTTTACATCTCAAAACACGAAAAATTCCTCGAAAAGAACTCAGGAGAATTTTTCAGAAATTATATGACAAAGAAGCTGTACGGGACTGCTTGAAAACAATGAACAGGCCAAGCAATATCGAGAAAACAAATTTGCCATTCTAGAAAGGAATTTTGCGCACGCAAAACTATAATTTTCTGAAAGACTCGAACGGAATGGAATTAAAAATTAATTCCTCTTCAGCGGAAAGGGAAAATGGATGAGTCGAGGGTGCACTTGGTTGAGTTAAGGTAAAGTGCAAGGGAACGGCGACAGAGCAAAGTGGCGGTTAGAATGACCAAAAAATGAGCCGGAAAGCAAAATGCGGCAGCCGCCGTTGCCCAGAGACAATACACAACACAAGGCCTCTCTGTCGCGCCGGCGCACAGCGTCTTCTTCTTTAATAACTCGTTTCAATCTCTCCGAAGCCCCATCGAAATGTTTATATGGCTGCCAGATGAAGTAGTAATCAATTGCGTGCGCTTTCCAGTTCTTACTCGGATGTAGAAGACAAACACGGAGGTTGCTGAATGAATCGCGCTTTGTAAAAATAGGAGAACGAACACAAAAATTCATTCAGTAGCATATGAACCAATCTAAAGAAATAAACGTGAGCTTTGAGTGCCAAATTGAGAACACTTTCATAAAGGACAGAGTTTGGCACGAAAAATATTTAAGCTTACTGAAGGATTTTTTCATGGAATCTTACACACTTTCCTGAAGATCGAGAGGAGCTTGGAAAATATATAACAGCAACAGAACTTTGATTTACTGACAGCTAAACAAATTATATTCTCAATGTACGGGAGTAATACTCAACTGGTTCGAAGAATTTTCGAAAGATAGATCACAAAAAGTTAAAGTCAATAACAGTATTTCGAATGAGATAAAAATATTGTCAGGTGTACCGCAAGGTAGCTCATTAGGACCTCTTATGTTTTTAGAATATATCAATGACTTGTCAGAAGTTATTAAATACTGTAACTTGAGCATGTTCGCAGATGATTGTAAACTGTATTTATCTAGTAATGTAACAAACCATAAAGCCAAACTTCAAGAAGACTTAAAAAATGTATACCAATGGTTAGAGGGCCGTCAACTATCAATATCTCCTGAGAAGTGCATGTTAGTTCAGTTTGGAAAAAAAGACAGAACCCAGTACATACAAAAATTAACGATCAAACTCTTAGCACTAAACAAAAATGTCAGAGACCTGGGATTCTTCTTCACGAATAATCTGAAAAATGGGACACCATGTGAGTATAGTAGTACAAAAAAATGTATGAAAAATAATAAATAATTTATTTCGCTGTTTTTCATTTCTCTCAAAAATAACTTTCTAAAAATGCTATAAAGCCAAAAATCTTGCCTATCATTGAGTACGGATCCGAACTAATGTGCCCGCTAAATTTGAATGATATAAATCAACTAGAATCAGTCCAGAGAAAATTTACCAAAAGATTATATCCGAAATTGGATTATCGCAGTAGATTAGCCAAACTGAAACTATCGACGTTATGGACTAGAAGACTTTTTAAAGACGTTTGTTGCGTTCACAAATACATTCATGGATATTTTTGGAGTGAGTCGCCTGTTAAATTAATGATGAATTCGAGAAGAAATAATCAACTCAGAGGAAATGGAATGAGACTTGTTCAACCAATGAATGAATTGATCAAATTTGAGGCAGAAAAAGGGTGCAGAAAGGCAGCAAAAAGGGGGCCTTCGTCACCCTGAAAGGAACATTTCTATGGAGTCTTCCAGCACCCTCGGAGAGTCCTCGAAGGGCCCTTCGGACTTTGCCTATGAACAACGCTTCCTAAATCATAGAGTCATACCCATTTGGAACCAACTGGAGAGAGAAACTATCATTGAATACGAAATCGGCAAGTTTCGGATTATGCTCACCTCATGGTTCGAATCAATTACATCGTTTTTAAAATCATTAGATCCTACTAAAATCTAGAAAAAAATTTCTAACTTATTAAAAAAACAAAGAACAAACTTAAATACCAAATGGGGGTTAGCACCGTCTATTCAGACAATCTTTTCCTCCAGCCGTTTCCACAGATCAGCTGTTAGATTTATTTGATTGTTTTGATGTTTCATTTTTTTTTGTATTTGTCGTGCTGATTGCGGAATGGCGAATAAACACTTGAAATGAATGAATAAATGAAAGGCGATTTTAAAGAAAGATTTCAAGCATTCTAGCGCTCGTCCATGAAAAATAAAAATTAAAATATTAAAAATAAAAATGAGGACATCGAACTTAGTCAATTACAATGAGATACAACGATAGAAAAAACATTGACTCGAGAAGATTTCACAGAAGAAATTTTGACTGAAATGAGCTCCTTGGTCGGGAGAAGAAAAATGGTTTTTTTTTATTAATCAACAAAAAAAATTGGTAGAGCTCAACGTAAATTAAAAATCAAACATTTCGGAATCAACACACGAGCAATAAAAAAACATTTTGAGATCAGAAAACTGTCAATGGAGCAACATTTCAGAATCACGCACAGTAGATCATGAGGATTTCCGCCGTGATGTCGACACATGTGGCACTTTATCACACGACATTGCCTTTTTTTTTAATTATTTAAAAAGAAATATTTTTTACTAACATATATGTTTATGTACATTTAAACTCAAATAAGAATTTTCAGGTCGATTCAGTGACTATTTAAATCCTCAGCGTTTTCCAGTTTCCACGTGTTTATATTAAAAATGGAAAACTGCGAGTTTATAATAATTTCAGAAGTCCGAAGTCGAGTCACTTTTATGAAGCGAAACCTATTTTTCTCCGGTCTCAGCTGGAAGTTTTCTAGGCTTTCCTGCTCTCCTTTCGTAGCACAATGCTCGTACAGTTTGCAAATTGCTCCACCCGTTCTTCCGCCAACTAGAGGTTGGATGAAATTTACTTGGATGAAAACTTTGATTTTTTTTTTCTAATTTTTTTCTTTTACTGGTTTTTCTAGACAGAAAGCGACCTCATTCTTTTGCCGAACTCGTGAAGTCTCGCTATGGCAGTCAGCTCGATGAAATGAATAAAAACATCAAAGAAATGGAAGTGGACAGGCAGAAATTTTCACAGGTAGAAGTTCATACAGTCAAAAATTTTATTTTCTTACTTTTTCAGGATCCGACACCAAAATTCTTTTTTGACAAGCTTACCGAGGCTGTATTGAAAGACACCGCAAAGTTTGTTGCTATCGGGTCTTCAGTAAACGGTTTTGTCTCCAAGTCTTCCGATTTTGACTTTGTAGGTATAAGAAACTTTTTATTTTACAAAGAATACTTCAGGTGTTCTTTCCAACTGTAACTGCGCAGAGAATTCGCTTTTCACGCGACTTTCATAACAACCACAGTTTCAAAATGTAAGCTGAAGAATTATTTTCAAGACAAAGAAAGATTTTTTACTCAGGAATTTTATGCAAGTTTTCTCTAAATTGATTTCGCGGGAAAGCAAAAGACTAGGCTTCTCAGTGAAAGAAACGGTTGTCCTTTCCAGATTACGGGTGAGAAACAAAATGTTAATCCATTTCCGTGATGCAACTTCAGGTGCCCCTTCTGATCGTTCGCTTTGAGAACGGGCTGAGCATCGACATCCAGTTCTCAGAACACGGCTTCCACGCGATTCGGAACACGCATATCATCAGGTGTTATGCGCAAGTTAGAACTCAGTGAGTCGACAAACGTCGATGGAAAACTTTGAGTGCGATGAGCGGTTCTCCCAACTTTTCATGTGGCTGAGGACAGTTTGCGACGCCTTAGAAGTCAGAAACAGCAAATTCGGTCTTCTATCCTCATACCATCTCTTGCTACTGGTTGTCCATTTCCTACAAAGTGAACAAGTATGCTAGTATTCCAAGTTTCTTTCACACCAGAAAAATTAAAGTCGCTCTCCCCTTGGCCAGTGCTTCCGGTGCTCTCAAAAACGCATCCGAAGCTAGTGGCGTCGTCGATTCCCATCGAAGACATCGTTTCCGCTCTGGAAAGACCGGCACCGGTTATTAGTGAGTTTCAAGATACTTGAGGGCCACACATATTATAGTTGTAAGCTGAAAGGTTCGGGAATATTTCAAACTAGCTTTCTTTTTTTTTGAACTTCGTTTTAGTGAAAACATGGTTTTGTTTTCTGCTATAGCCGATAGTCAGTCTCCATGATTTGCAGCTTTTTTAATAGGTTGATAAATGGAATTGAAAAAAAAAATCTCCTGATCCGAAATTGAGAGGAAAATTATTGGACTTGTGCCTTGACTGAAGTTTTGGTATAGTTATTCAGTCTTAAATGTTTCGAAGTTGACGTACTGAATGAGTATCAGGCGCGATCGGCTGAGCTTATTCAATGAAAATTGTAATTTTTAATAAGCTCTTTCAAAGTTTTCCTCAGAAGATTCTTTCGGAAATCGAAAAACTTTGATTTTGCCAGACTGGGAATCGCACAACAAAATGAGCGTGGCTGAGCTGGCAATTCGTTTTGTCGAGTACTATTCGCAGTTTAATTTTTCCACCGAAGCCATTTTCATCGCCAAAGGGCTGACGATGAAAAGGTATTTCACAAGCGACTCTAAATGAGCTTGAATTAATGTTTCTGAAGAAAACAAGCACTGAACTCGGTGCAAATCCAGCTGATCGATCCTTTCTCACCGTCGACCGTCTGTCGATCAGCCTACGCAGCCAGCGCTTTCATCTCCGCCATTACCTTCCTCCGATCCCAGATGAAGAAAGGTTTCTTGGCCCCTCTCAGCAAAAAGAGCATCATTTTCTTTGAGGTCTCATGTTGGATGCTCTCCCGAACTACCCCGAGGTGGAACTGTTCAAACGAGAGACGCAGTTTGCTTCGTGGCGTGTACAAATGTCCAATAGGCGGGTTCTTTAAAAGACAGAAAATCTTATATTAAATCTCTTTATGCAAAATTTGGCCAGGCAAATAAATATATAAATGTCCCGTAAATGAGTGTAAAAAGTTGCGTTTCTTTCACCACTCGATTTTCTGGTCCCTGTACAGGTGAGCTTTTCGAGAAAATTTGCTGCCGCTTCGTTCGCCGAGCTCGCCAACGTGTCGAAGCACCTGACATTTTCCGATTTGCATCATAAAATTGCTGGGATATTTTTATTCAAGAACCGTCGTAATGGTCTAATACTCTAAAGTCGTTTTCAGTTCGACTTAATAAACAATGTCATGGAAAAATAATCATTTTATGGGCGAATCAATGAGGGCCAACCTCGTCGAGCAACTCTTTTGTGTGGGCGGCGGAAATGCAGAACCGTACTCGTCCCTCAGTCATGTCTGTCGCTGGGAAGGACACTACCACAGTTCCCACTTTCCTCTTCAGCATCTCACGGCCATAGAACCTTCAGTGCTTCGATTAATAACGCCTTTCGAAAGCTTGATACTCACCCACACATGGAGGGGAAGTAAATGAGCATCGGAACGACTGGAGAATCGTTACTGCCGTAAACGATGAAGCCCATCTGCTTGAGCCGAAGTCGGAAGTATCGCGAATTGCGGGCTAAACGTTCTATCCTCTCAGCGCCTGTAACTCATTTAATCATTCTGTGATGCTCTTTCAATCGATTAACCGTCTGTAGTGCCGTCTCGTCCCATGATGATGCTCATGCTGCTATAGATTTGCTGCGCTATGGGCGGCGACATTGGAGAAGAATAGTAGCCTGTGGGAGACGCCACGCGGAGGTGATCGATTGTTTTCTAAAGATTATTTGAAATTTTCAAATGGATGTGGGATGAAATGGATACCTTGGAGCCGGCGATGTAGCCTCCTGCAGAGCCGAAACTCTTGGTGAAGGTTCCCATAAGAATGTCAACGTCTTTCGGATCGCAGCTCCAGTACTCGACGATTCCTTTTCCAGTTTTACCCATGGCTCCTGAAATTTTCGCTGAAATTAGGTTTCCATTAGGAGCATACCAATTGAATGAGCTTCATCCAGGTAAAGATAGGCCTTGTACTTTTTCTTCAAAGCGATGATTCCTGGCAAGTTGCAAATAGAGCCTTCCATCGAGTAGATTCCTGAAGATTTACTCTTTTCCAGATATTTTGCTCCAGTTTCCAAACCTTCCACAATGATCAAGATTTTTTTGTAAGGTCGGTGGGTCTTGGGATTTCCATATGCGATTGCGTCACGAAGGATCTTCTCCAAAGATCCCATATCTTGATGGAATATTTTTGTGAAAATAAAGAAGAACGATTCGTTTACCGTTATGCTTGAAGACCTTGGTTGAAGCTCCAGAAAGTCGGCATCCGAGAATGAGCGAGGCGTGATTGTACTGGTCGGAGATGATTAGCGAGTGCTGCAAGTCTAGTTGGAGATGAGCGGTTCTAAGTGTTTCACTTTGTCAACAAGACAAGGAGCGTTCATCGAGTTGGTGGCAAAGCCCATACTGAAGCAGATGGCGTCCTCAACGCCTAAGAACTCGGCGACCAGCGCTTCGAGTTTTGCCTGCGAGACGGATCGTCCTAAAAAAATAATTGAGTACCTCTGTTGCAAAATTCAGAAACCTTACCGCGTTCATGAACCGTCGTGCAGCAGGCGACGCCTTCTTCGTCGATACTATTGACGGAGGCCGTCGCGCAAGGCCCTGCCGCCTAAAATTCGAGTTCTTTGGTGATTATTGTGTGCTTTCAACCTGAGCGAAGCCCAAGTAGTTGTACGAGGCGATGTTGATGACCTTGCTAGTCGTTCCGGGGTATCTGAATTCAGCTTTTCTCTCTAGTGTTCAAGAATTATAAACTAACTCATACGTCCAGTTGCCATCGTGGGAAACGCGGTCAAGAAGATCTACGGTAGCGCCAGGAACACTGCAGATGGGCCGTTCGAAGACGTCGCGAACTCGGATGTAGCAGTTGCGCTGATAAAACGCCTCGAAGTCGCTGAACAACGGCACGAAGCTCTGAAAAGAGAAACTTTTGTACGCATTTATGAATAAAAACATAAATTGCTCAGAATCGGCGGCAGTCCGCTTCTTCTTCTTCTCGACTTAGTCAGGAAAAACTTGTTTTCATCGGCAAACTCGGCAAAACTCCAAAATGATCATCAGCTTCTCTTTTCCGTTTCAAATGGCAATTCAGACTTTTCGTTGACAAGTTCCTCTTTTTCGTTTACCTTCTTATCACTTGAAAGTGGCCTGACCAGTCATTGCGACCAGTAATAAAGAACTACCAATGGATCTAATGTCGAAATATATGTTTTTTTTTTCACCTTGAGCTTCTCCAGCTCCTTGTTGGACTTATCAGCGACAAAGCCAAGCCGACGGAAGATGTCTCGGACGTAGGCAAAGACAAAAAGCATGACCCAGCATATATAGACCATGATGACTGTCGATCCGCCAATCTTCAAATTCTTCTTCAGAGTTTCGAAAAACATTTTTTAATATTGAAATAGTTTTTTGTAAGCGAAGTATTGCTTTTATCAAACAACATTTATGGTAGGATAAAAAAACCTGCTCAAATTCGTTGTCCGCCCTGCTGCCGACATCTCCATAAATGTCGACATTCGGCTCATTTTTCGCTTCAGTTTCCTGAAAAAAAAAAACCAAATTTGAATATATTACGTAAAACCCGTAGATTTTCACACTTTCTCAGTGGCGAGGCGTTTTTGCAACTGATAAGCTACTTATCAATCTTTTTCGTTTTGCAGGTAGTTGCACTATGACAGGTTCTTGCAAAGTTCCAAATTGATCGCTCTTTGTAGTCTTTTTCCAATGAAAAAATTCATTTAAAACTTTTTTCTTTTTTAGTTAAAAAAAATGCAGTAACAGAAGTGGTTTTTTTGAGGCACACCAAAATATATATCTTCTCTTTAGAAAATGTATGGAAAAAAATTTTTAAAAAAATATTAACTTTTCATTTTTGCTTTCCCAGTTTTTTCCTGCACTGATGGAACGAAGATCAATTTTCAGAAAGAACAACAAACCTTGTTTGGAATGGAATTACTTCTAGCATTAAAACAAAAAAAAAACTAACCGCAAGGTTTTCTTCGAGGTCCTCCTCGTCGACGTCGTCGTTCCGGCGATGCCAGGCGCATTCCAGAATATCGGTCCGTTCGGCAAGCCGCCTGCTCATAAAATCGTCAATGCACATAGAGTTTTGACGACGTGACATGGCTAGAATGTTCGGGAAGAGCTGTGAAATCCCAAGAATCACAGAAAAAGTGGCTCCTACTGCGGACAGCGATCAGACGAATACGTCGAATCGACAACTGACCACTTTTTTTTATCACTTTTTATCAATCAGACGGCATGTCCGGTAGAAAACTATACTTCGGACTCACTTCAAGTCGTCGGCTTCGTTTTCCCGTTGCTGCCGCTTCTTCGATTGAGTGACCGTCTACAAATTTCTAAATTAGAAAAGCCGTTTTGATCGGTCATGTAAAAAAAAAGAAAGGATAAAAACGACGTCCTCGCGTTGAATTCCATCTTCGGCGAAAACTTTGAAGGGAAACCTCAGTAATATACTATCAATTTTTCAGGCAAATTTATTACTGCAATAAATCTTTTTCAACCTAGTTATCCCAACTCCGATATTCTTCGATCCTAGCCTAATTTCAGCTGCTGAGAAGTGATTCGCGTGTTCTTCTTCTTCTTTTTGTTTGCTTGTTCTGTGTACCCGGCAAAACCGGTGCACTTGTAGTCTAGAAAAGCACAAAAAGCACTAATCATTTCTGGAAAAGCAACAATTAGGGTTTAAATTGCATTTTTTGAAACTAAATTTTTATAGGATTCCCAGATATTTCACACTCTTCAAAATCGAGAACTATGAAGAACAAAGTTTCTAGCCGCAAAATTCTGATTTTATGTTCCTTTGTTGGCATACGTATCAGTTAGAGGCGTTAGTTATATTCTGCGGTTCAATGGCCTCCATTATTTTATCTTTTTCTTATCAAGGGTGTGAACATTTTTGTTTTGTTTGGCTAGGTGAGTAATTCCAAGTTGTAATCTAAGATTGAAAGAAAAAACAGAATAGTCGAACTTGGTGCAAAAAAGTTAAAAACAGCCGAGAATAAAGATGAAGAACTGAAAATATGTACTTTAATTAGGAAATCGGGCTGCACAGACAGGGAGAGTGATGTATGAGGAAGTTAAGATTTCGAAATTACTTGAACTTCCTAAGCGTTTCTTGAAAATTGTAGATTTGGAAGAAGAAAAAGGGACATAAAGCGATGAAGTTTACTTTTTGGAAAAAAGCTTGAAAATGACGGTAGCGATTTCACTTTTTCAGTTATCAAAAATGTTCTAACAGTTTGTCAAGCTTTTGAAGTTTTCTCAAATTGAAAACTTTTCTTAATTCCAATCCCGCCCTCAAACAAAAATATGTCCGCTGGAAAAAACTTCAAAAGCTCGAAAAGCTGAAAATTAACGCAAAAATAAATGAAGCTGTTTAGACTGCTGGTTGTAAAACTTCAGTTCAATACCTACTTCATTCTGAATTCTTTCTAACCAAAAAACGAAAATCTCTCGCCTTGGCTTCGGATTTGGCGCCGAAGGTGAGGCGAACGGGGAACCGATGAAAGATGCGGAAAGCGGAGCGACGGTTGACGTCATCCGGAGCCATCTTCTGAAGCGACGATGAGGTACAGTCGGCGATGAAGCACTGGGTCATCGATTCTTCGCAATCAGTGACTCACAATCGCGATGGCAGTGTGGCAAGAGCAACAAGGGGCGGGTCTCCGTTGGTTGGATGACTCTCGGCATCCATGGAAACCCGGAAGAAGAAGCCTTCTTTTGTGCCTTGGCTCCTTGTTTTTGTGCTCGACAAAAAAAAAGCACATTATGACATCATCTCGGTTAGTTTTGTGACAACTAGAAGACAATTCAAGTTGGGGAGTAGGTCAAAATTTTGCAGAGCCACATCTCCCCGTCTTCATTTACCTGTCACCAGAGCAAAGAACGGTCCGCGTAAACTTTAGATTCGAAAATTGGCTATTTGAAAACAGAAGTTTTAAATATCGGCTCAAAAATTAAGTTCAGGTTGTTATTGCAGTACGTAGTTTTTTTTTCAAAAAAAAAAGCTTGACACTAAAATAAGAATCTACCATGATGAAAGCTCGTAAAAAAAAACTTGACTTTTATGCTGGGGTTTGAGAATAATGCGACATTTTGCAATCGAATCAAGACAGTTTTTTGGCCAATTTTTAGCTTTCACAGAAAAAAAAACTTTCCAGTGAAGAAAAAATCGAAAAAAAAAACTGTTCAAAAACGATAATTTGAATTGTTAAAGCCGTAAGTCATTGGTTCGGTATATAATCACATTACGAAAAGAATTTTGAGCTTCCAAAAAATTAGCGTCTTCGAAGGCGAGAAAGCGTCTTCTAACAAACTATACATCTCCAAAAGCTTTTTGAGCAAGAAACAGATGTGAAGGAAACGATCAAAAGTTGAAAATTTCTAATCAGTAAGAACAATAAAGAATAAACTGACCTCAAAAAAGACAGTGCGAATTCAACGGAATATGACGAGAGGACGTCTCGCCAGCCTAGCACGACAAGGCAAATATTTGCCGGCTTGCGACTTTCTCAATTTGCCGTCTTTTCGGTTTTCCAGTTGTCGAAACTGTTCTTCAACAACTTTGCTTTGCTCCAAGGTCAAATAGACCACTCAAGTATTTATTTGAAAGCATTTACATGTAAAAGTCAGGAGTTCCAGGTGAGGGCGTTGTTGCGGACGACGTCGGCGTAGAACTTCGAGGACTTCTTCGGCGTTCTTGTTTTGTTAGGGCTGTCAAAGTCAACCTGAGACAAGATTTTACGGAGGCAATTCGACTTTTGATTACCTGATGAACTCCAAAAAGATTAGTGTAGCCATCAGCCCATTCGAAGTTGTCGATGAGGCTCCACAAAGTGTATCCAGCCACTTTTGAGCCTCTGGAGATGGCTTTGGAGACGGCGGCGATGTGGCCTCCGAGGTAACGGATTCTGGTGACGTCTTCTAGACTCTCTCCAGGAGTGTCCATGCATCCATTCTCTGTGATGAGAACCTAGAAGTTGTCCTTGAGAAGTCCGCAGTAATTGAAAAACCTCTGGATTGTCGTACTCTTCGCGGATGATGTCGAGAAGTCCTTCGAGTCCTTGAGGATGACTGCGGATCCAAGAATGTTCCCGCCCTACCCTGAAAAATCGCGGTGATCGTTTCATCATTTTCCATTTATCCTTCATCATTCGGTCGAGACAGTTCAATTTGAAAAAAAAATGAGAGGACTTACGGCATCCATTTTTTCGAAAGCCACAGTTTTGCTGGAGCATCCATGCCAAACATGTTGACCCTCAACAATTTATGAATCACACTTTTATAACTCAGGAACACAGACTCAGGTTTGCTGCTTGTTCTCACGATCATCGAAATGTAGTAGTTGAGTCCGAGGAAATCGGCAGAGCCTGAGAGCAAGTCCAGTTCATGCGGAGTGAATTCGGGCAGCCGAGAAGCGGATCTCCCTTCTTTCTTCGACAAGTAAGCGAGCCACGCCTTCATCTTGTCTGGATAGTCTCCTGGAAAAAAAAAAATGATATTTTCTAGAAATAACCTATCAAAGTGTACTTTTGAAAATGGGATGGTTGAACCAATGGAGGGAAAAGTCGAGGACAAGGTCTCGAACTTTTTCGTCGTCTTGGCTTTCTGCGATTGGAAAGAGCACATGGTTGGTTATGCCGACTTTGCCTTAAACGATCACTTCAAGTTTTCTTCTCAGAGGAAGCTACCTTTCCCTAATCCGCGTGTTCCGTGGTAGTAGCGGTACGCGTAGGCGTGAGCCAGAAGCATGTGATGACCGACGACGTAAGGCGCCCAGTCACAGTGTTCCTGAATTCTTCTTTTCGTGGCTGCCTCACAAGGAAGGTCATCCCAGTTCCAAGTTTAGTAGGCTTTACGAACTTACTTAAGCATTATTTACATCTAGATGAAGGACCTTCATAGTTCTTAATTTTCAAGCTTATAGTTTCAGATAAATGAGTTCTCGAATTTCTTACAGGGGTTATTTTAATTAATGGTTGGGGATTCCCTCAACTTTGGCCAGAACGAAGTAAGAAGTTGTGCAGGGAGGCATTATTAAAATCTTCTTTTCGTAGATCAAGGAGTGTTCTGGTCAAGTTTCAGGTAACTCACAAGTAAAATTAGCTTCCTTGTTAGATTCAAGACCGAAATCAATATTTGGCAACAATGAAAAATCAGCTTCGAAAATAATTCAAAAAGTCATAGTTTAAAGCGAAGTTTGGAACTTTCTTTATGTTCGATACAGTGTTCGAACATAAAGAAAGTTCCAAACTTCGCCTAAACCTCTTTTTCAGACTTTCTACCGTTATTGGTTTGACGCCTTCAGAAACTAACCTTCAAGCCGCCGGGAGCATGTTCGCCCCAAAGGCCACAGTGTCCGTAGGTCGAGTGAATTATCGGCTCATTATGGGTTATCCAGTATTGAACCTTGGGTTTCAATATGTCAATCAATACATTTTTCCATGTCAAAACTAACCTTGTGGCCGAACTCATGGAAGCAAAATTTGGCGTAGTCGAGGTACCAGTCTACGACATCGCGGTTCAACCAGCCGCCACGGTCCTGCAAGCCTTGAGGGAGGTCCCAATGGAACAATGTCACCTCAAGACGAAGATTTCTCTTTTTCTAACAACCGAAAACCCACAACTGGAGTGATTCCATGGGAGATTAGTTCGTCGAGCACTTCATGGTAGTATAAGACTCCGGCTGGGTTCAGTGAATTTGGAGTGCCATCAGCGAAAATTCGAGACCACGAGAAGGAGAAACGGTACTCTTTTAGCTGTAAAAATGATAATATTCGTCTTTTGACCGTCTTCTGAACCCCCATATCACTGATCAGTTGAATATCTTCTCTGAACTTGTGATAACTGTCCGAACTGACGTCACCCGTCGAGTTGTCGATTATCTTCCCAGGTTTCCTTACAAATTTGTCCCATATCGAAAGTCCGCGGCCTGCAAAAACAATAGTCTACACTATTGTTATATGTATTTACGTTTTTGTGAACATTCCAGCTGTCATTTTCCAATTAATTGGGTTTTTCAAAAGAAAAACTTGCTATTTTTTAATCCGAGTTAAAAAAAAACATAAATAGTCTGCATTTGAAAGCTTTGCTTTTTTTGTATGTTTTGCGAAAGCAACGATAAATAAACTAGGTTCCACTAACATTTAAAGTAATCATTTTTTTTCACTTTTTTTAAAATTGAAAACTCGTTTAAAAAGTGAACACATAGAAAAAAATTGAATAATGGTGAAACGTAGACTACGTATAAAGTCATGAATGAATCTAAAAAAAGACGATTTTTTTATTGATTTTTTTATTTTGATGATGATGATGATAATTTTGTGAGAAGATCAGAAATAAAAAAATTCGATTTCAAAGAAACTTCAGTACTAATCTGAATCAGTCACTAGTAGTATCGTAAATTGGCGCAAACACAATTTTTTTTTATTGAATTATTCAATTTTTGAACTCTCGAAACTCGTTCTTCTCCATACCAGAATTCAAAAAAATACAAAGCTTCTAAAGCGATTCTCCAGCGATCAACAAAACTAACCATCTTCATTCCAAGCGCCCTCGATTTGATAGGAAGCGGTGGCGGTGGACCATCGGAATCCTTCTGGAAACTTGTAAACCTTTCCTTTGTGCTGAAACAAGATAGACTACTTCCATCAAAATATAAGAAAAACTTCGGCCAACACGAGGGACAGCCAAGCAGTAACGAAAAGCAGCAGACGGAGCATCGCTGACCAATTCCCTTATCGGCAACTTTTCCACACTGTCACTGGCGATTCCAACAAACAAACGCCGTAAATGTACTTAGAAGTTTTCTGTTTTTACCTATCTCTGGACTTTACTGATTGAAAGTTGTTTTCTCAGGGCAGTTGTGTAGGTGTCGCTAAGCTCCACCCACTTTCAAAAAAAAAATTGGTTTCTTATTATCTTTTGATCACGATTTTGCAGTGTTTTGACCTCCAAATCACATATTAAGACTTTTATAATTCTACACATTCGAACTTTCGTCCGAAATGGAAAAAAAAATAATCACGAAATGTTCTCCAACTCAATTGGACTTTACGACCGGTTCTCAACTTTTTTTTTTGAATTGAAGAGCATCGAGGCATGCATGAATTTAACAGATATCGCCAAATTAGAAACAAAGGTAGCCGTTGAAAACCTTCTACTGACACTTTCGTGTCATCGCCTTTTTTTTTGTCATTCATTCAATTTTTTTTCCTGTTGTACAGATAACAGTTTATTCGAAGTCACGTTTGCGGACATGATAAAGGAACCCGGAAAGCTGCTCATTGTGAGCGACATGTTGATTGTGGAGGAAGACGTTGGGAAAGCCGTCGAGAGACTTCGGCTGGTGGTACTGGATGGGATTCACGAGGCACGCCAACAGCAGATCTGCCCAGGTCATCTAGAAACCTTTTTGGAAATAAAATTTAGAAAAAATTGAAAAATGAGCTCAGAAAACTGTGGACGAATCATTGCGACCCGGAAATTGGCCGCTAACATAAGAGGTGTCAGAAGCAAATTCATGCATTCGTCATAGCTCGAGAGTGGAACCGAACCACGCACCCTCCGAGCGGCGATCGGCACGCTTGCCAATGGCGCTACGCGTGCAACACTCACCGCGTGGCCGACAAGCCATGGTGTATTGTCCTCGCGACGCAGACGTGCTTCGAGGAGAGGGAAGACTTCGGCGCGAAGATAGTCTATTGCCGACGTTGTTGAGCAAGATTCCTGAAATTGAAATGTATTAAAAAATTCAAGCAAAAATTATTTAAAAAAAAGTTTTACTTGAAAAATAGGACATTTGTAAGAAGAATGATCTAACCAACCAAGTACTACATATAAATATACGGTCTAGTTCTTGAGTGATCTAACCTATATTGAGTAATACTTCAGTATTAACACTGAAAACGAAAACGAACGTCGCAAGCGTGTTCGGCGGCGTGCTCAATGTGGTCTAGCCAATTTTTGACTTTGAGCCTCGCCTCGAAAACTTTTTCGGCCAGCATGTCCACTTGCGCGTCTTCTTCCGCTGTCTTCCCGGACAAATCTTGAAGATTCTCTTATTATCCTTTGAAAATCTTGAAAAGGAAAACTGTATCTCCAGGCGAGATGTCGGCACATCGAAGGGACGCTTCCCAGCTTGCGGTTGTTCATTTCGAGCATCGGAAGAGCGTAGTAGGGGTAGTCTGATACTATCTTTTACTTTTTTGGTGGTTGATCAAATGAGCTGCTGCCTAAGTTAATGATACTGAAATACGATTGAGCAAAATTTTTTTCCGCTTTTTAGCTCCCATCACAAAAATCGCTAAAAAGAGGGGGAAAATCTATATTTTTTCTAATAATTAAACTTCCTACTTGAAGGACCGGAGATCCAAAAAGTTATTTGAAATTTGAGTAGTGAGATGATGATTTTTGACAGAGTGACACGAACAAGAGGAGATCTGACAGGTCTCTTTTCTTTCCTAGTTCTTTGAAAGTTTTTCTCTGGAAACTACTTCCAAAACTTACCTTCAAGAATAAAGTCGTCCCGATCGACGCTTTTGAATTCGTAGGGGACGTTGAAGAGGTCGAGAATCATCCGAATCGGCTTACTTTCTTCGCCATCCTCGAAGTCGTGCAGCACGTACGTCGGCACCAAGAACGACTCCATCGTCTTCTGAATTTCTCATTGTTTGAGAAAATAAAGAAAGACCTCAGGTTCATATAGATAGTTCGGTTAAGTCATGAGACTATATTCAGTAACATTTGAAGGCTCAGAGTCATAGCAAAAATACTTTTAAAAATCTGCATAAAACAAGTAAATTAATTCAATCTATTGAATTTCTTCGGGCAAGTAATCAGTCAATAAAGAATACCTTTTCTTGGTCCTCTTGGTTGGAAGCCGTCACGGTGACTGACAAATGTCGACCCTGTCCGCTGTTCTGGAGAATAATTGCTTACTAGGACCATTGAAAGTTCAAAAGATTTTTTTTAAAATCGCATAAGCTTAAATAAGTATTCTAAAAAAAATTTAAATATACCGTGGCGACAAATTTGGGGAATCTGGAATAGGCAATAGAGAATTGAAGACATGTGTCGAGCATGGCCGAAGCAAAAACGAGGCAACACGAAAGAAAAGCTGGTGGCTCAGAGGCCCGAGCAATTTATCAGAAAATCCAAGAACTCTGACTGCACCTCAGCCGACTTTGAAAAATGACCGCCCGCCTCCGGCTGATTTCCGCAACTCTTTTTTCATTTCTCCATCTGTCGGTCTTGCTTTTATTTCAGCATTTTCTTTTCTCTCTGTTGTCTGTCAAAAATTTTGCATTCAAAAACTTTCAACTTACTATAAAGAGTCTAACTTTAAAAATTACTCGGACAGTGGTAACGCGAATCGGACGTATCGGGGCATTTCTAGTGACAACCTTACCTGGTTAGTAGCGAAAGCACTTTTAATTGATCCCTATAATTGCTTAGATACGCCCGGAGAACGTCCGGTTTTCGTTAGCGAAGTTCGAGTCTGCTTGCAATTGATGGACGGAGCATAGAAGCTCAAATACCAGAAATCACTGAATTTCAAATAAGAAAGGACCTGTTTCAAAAATTTGCTCTTTTTATTTATACTTTCATTTGGGTTTTAAAAAGTTACACTAATTATCTGGAACATAATCTGGAGTGCTTTTCGCCAAAAAAATCAAATGAATTTTTTTGAAAAGTCAAATTTTTTTCTAATCTTTTTCTGTCTTCAAAGACTAACATTAGTAGTTTGCAACCCGCGTTTTTTTCGAAATTAAAAAAAGAAAAATCGGCATTGGCGCTTGTAAAAATCTTTTTTTTTTGAATTTACTCGTTGACACTACTTTTGATAATATTAATTCAAATTACATTTTAAACAAAAATTATTATGTATATAGAAACTTTTTTTAAAAAAAGGACATGTAGAAACAATTTTTTTGAAAAAAACAAAACCGCCATTGCCAGAAGTTTCAGGTGACTGTAATTTTAAACAAAGTAAATCGAAATAAGTGCTGAGAGAAAATGAGAAAAATTGTTTTGTGGTTTCCACTCGCCATAACTCAGACAAATGCTTTTTTGAGGTTCCTTCTGGGCGCCACAACGCAAATCAAAACGACAGGTGACTCTCCTTCAGAGTTTCCCGCTCAAATACCAAGGTTGACAGCAGCACTTTTTTTAAATACCATTCGTAAGATCAATATTAAATCATAGCAAAAAATCCTAGAAGGAAATATTTTGCAGAAGAGAATGAAAAGAAAAACAGCGAAAATGACCTTGCCAGTACAAAACAACACCTCGAGAACTTGTTTCTTGTTATGATTCTTACGGTTTCAGTTTGAATTGGACAAATGAAATTCGAAAAAGAAAATGCTGCTAGAATTAAAACCCAGCTAGATTTAACCATTATTATATCAAACGAAGAAAATAAAAATAAATACATAGAAAACACGATCGTGAGTTTTTCCATAGATATAAACTAGAAAAACTTTTTTATTGACAGAAAAAGTAGAAGACTCGAGCAAAATTTGCAGGAAAAAGTTTGTCTAGATCATATTTCCGTTGTTTTCAAGCTTGCGGCAGAGTTAAAGAAAAAAACGAGGCTATCATGTACAAAAAAATAAAGACAATTTTTTTAAAAAAAGGATATTAATTAAATTATAAGACTTGAAAAGCAAATCTGAATGGAGTAGTACGGAAAGGAGAAAACTTCAAAGAGTAAGATCAGACAGCTTTATATGGATCGCAAGCTGGATCATTTCGTCGCGATAACGTTCCAAAAAGCATTCTCGATTGATGGATAAAACTTTGCAAACGACGCTATTTTGGCAAGTTTTTATTAAAAAGGAAAGTACAGCTTTACTGAATTTTTTATGAATAATTTTCAGTCTTACTAAAGTTTTCCGGTAACCTTGAATAAACTTAATTTTTTTTATTACGAGAGGAAATGGCAAAAAAAAAATAATTTCAAAAAAATAAGTGGGACATTTTGGTTTGATTTTTGATCGTTCTTATCTAATATCTATACAAGTTAAACTCGGAAAGACTTCAATAGAAAAAAACTTGAAGATGAGAAAACTATTCCCACGACAGAACTGCTGTTTTGCCGGCTTGTTGGATATCACACTAAAAAAATGGAAAAAAATAAAGATGAAAAAAATTAGTGGCACTGGAAGTGGCAAGTGGCAGGCGAGAGGTTGATGCGCAGAGAAAAGAGGGCAGATCAAGAGAGGCATGAACTCGATCGATTTCAAAGCATGAAAACGTTTCTGTTAATAGCCATGTCGCGCACTGTTTGCATTTGGTTTCGATTTGAAGAGACGAACGGCCAAGAGAAACTTATCAGTCCACGCCACGGGCGGCGCACTACGGGAAAGAACAACAATTCAAGTTTCTCTCACCGAACAAAAACTCTTGAAAGGAAACCGAAACCCATTTATCTTCTCAAAAAAAGTGGGCATGTATGTAAGATATTCCTTGCTTAAAACTCACTATACATTGAGTTCTAAGCTTTCCTATCGCTTTTTGAGCGATTTCAGAGAATGATGAGGCTCGAAACCGTGTTGAAAATATGTTTAAGCTTATTTATTTCTTTCAAGAACAGACTTTTATATTTGCTGAAGTTGCAAAACAAACATAAAGAAACAAACAAATTGGTTACAAAATTTGAAGCAAGGCGATCAAATGACTGAGTTAAACAATGAGGAGAAATGAAGAGAAAAAAAAAAATCAAAATCTACTTGAGCTTTGGCTAACCAGGAAACTCGAAAACGAGATCTATTGCGAGAAATTTTCTTCCTGTTCTGGAATCAGGGGGTCCTAAAGTACACTTCGGCAAAGTTTCAGAAAAAGTTCAACCGGGGGGTAAAAAACGTTCCCTAGTAAGCCTACCTTGTCGGTAACCTGTACGAAAAAAAATTTTGTATTGAAACATTTAAGTCATATGATGAGTCGAAACCTTAAAAAAATGCTCCGGTTTCAAAAGACCATTCTTATTTATACCTCAATCATATTTTTTCGCAGAAATAACCAGGGTTTTTTGAATCGAAAATTTCGAGAATTTTTAAATCTACAATCAAAAAAATTCTGGAAATTCGAATGGACTGACCTTCGGAGAAACGCTTGAAGAAGTCGGCGAGGATACTGGTTTTAGACTTTTCTGCTTCTTTCGTAAAAACATCACTTCCAAACTTTGACTCTGAAATCAAAAAAAAAATGAAGCACAAAAAAAAAGTGGGCCGCAACAGGAAAAAAATGACAATGAGTAAAAAAGTCGGCTTGCAAAATCTTGCACTTTGTTCTTTTCGTATTATTTATTTTCCTTTCAAAAACTGACAAAGAAAAATATATTTTCGAACACAGGTATTGGCGTGAGCTGCGCGACCTTGAGGAGTAGATTTGAGCGTTTCTCGGGCAAAAGAAGAGTGAGTCCACCTTCAAAGAATAATTAACCCCGAGAAACAATTCATTATTATATTCAATCGATCGAAATTTTAATGAAAAAAAAAATTAAAAACTTCTTGAAACAGATGCGGAAAAATAGCATCTTCCTTAGAAATAACAGGTTTCACTTTTGAGAACTTGAAAAGAAACTTTTTCCGAGAAGTGTGGATAGTTAAACTTCCCAAAAAAGGAGAAACTGCAGGTTTTTCTTTTTTCTCTCTTGCCTATAGGTAGTAAAACCTCGATTTTTTGATTCTTCTACATGTTATTAACATTTCACTTGTTAAAAATCGAAGGAAAGGTTTGAAAAAAAAAGGCATTCAAAGGCGAAAAAAGCCGTAAGAAAAAACTGCGCAGCAGAAGACCTCTTATCACGCCTTTTCAAACACTTAGCCGACGTTTTTTGTTTACATATGTACATTTGGACCTTGCGTACACCCTACTTCTCTTTTGTTGCTCCGAGTTGTTTGTATCAGAAAAAAGACTCTTTATTATGTACAGACATATTTCTAAGAGGAAGTTTCGCTGGACTTGCGCCAGCTGGAAATCACAAACTTGTCGATTCCCCCGTAACGGAAATTCAGCACCAGGCTCGCTATTATGAAATACGCCACTCCAATCTGAAATATAGTTGAGAAAATATGTGGGAGAGTGAAAAGATTGAAAAAATGTAACATGACAAAAATGATTTAGTAATGTTTAAATTATTTGATTTTAAAGACCTTCAATACGAAAAGTTACAAAAAACGATAAGAACTGGAAAATGAAGAACATCCATAATAGTTTCATTTATTTGGAAAACGAAAGAAAAAAAAAACACACCTGCAAAGTCCTGACGAAAAATATATGATAGGAGCAAGCGGATATGACGATAAGCCAGAAAACCAGTGAACACAGCTTGACGTAATAATGTCTCCTGGGTTCTTTCCACTGTAAAATCAGACATATTCAATTTTTCCTATTTTAAAATGCCTGAACGTGGAAAGTTAACTGAAAAAAATTTTCTTATTTTTTTAATTCAAACCTTCTTTTAAAATAAATTCCTAGGCTTCCCCCGCACTTTTTTTGAACTCAAATGCTATCACAATAAAAAAATTATTTTATATTTTTTTGCTTCCACTTTCGAATTTCAATAGCGGAACGTCGAAGCTAATTTTAAATTTTTTTGTTAGAAAAATACCCAAACATTTCAAAAATTGGGATTTTTGTGCGTAAAAAGTCGCTATCTTGTCACAGGCCCCCATTTTTTTCTCACGGATAAAAAAATTAATGATTAAAAATCAATAAAAAAATTATATAAATTGTTCTTCAACTGTTTTGAATATATTTTCAGCTTACCAAGAAACTCCAACAAAAAAATGAAGTTAAAAATCATTTATTGAACATATTTACAAAGGGAGAGTAAACTTTTGAAATTCCCGATTGACTTTTTCGGGGTGAAATTTTAATCTTGCTTCAACATGTTAGAATTGTAGGCTTGCGGACTAGATTATCAATGAAAAGAGAAAAAAAAACTGATGCGATGAACATACGCTGCACCAAAGACGATCGCCTTGCTCGACAGGAAAAGCGCGATTTACGGGCTGCGGCTCGGCGTAGAAGTCGTGGAGAAGCGCCTCCTTCAGGTACCAACGTCTGAATCTGGTGAGCGGAACTTCAGAAAAGACCTACTCGTGGAGCCAGCGAGTCGCTTCCGCTTCATTCACTGGCACATGAGAAATCGGGATCTTCCGGATGAAAAAGTGAACCTCACGAGGGCTCTTTCCTTTCAAAACCAGTTCCACCTGCATGAAGAAAAAAATTAGTTTCATTTCCCAGAGCCAAAAAAGACCTCAGACTGAACAATATTGAAGGGATAGCCTATAGTTATGTCGTAGATGTAATCGACGTAGTCTACTGTAAAGTAATAGATTGGAACTAAAAAAAAACCGTTTTCCTATAAACGAACCACTTCTCATTTTGCTGATGAGATGGAAAAAGCCCGTGACCCTTGGATACAAAACATACTCCAAATTCCGTAGACCATTCTTCTTGGCGTATTCTCGACTTTTCCTCGTTGTCCATTCAGATTTGTCTGTGCCTTCAGGGAAAAGAAGCACCTAAAAACAAACCTAAAAAAATCTTTCAAAGTGCTCAAAAAGAATGTCAAGAAGAACTAAAAGATGGTTGAAACTTATTTATAATCTTTGAACGAAATATTTAAAATAATGAGCGAGCCAAGTATCAAAGACGTTTCAGTTTGATGTGCGTTGATTTGGAACTATCGATAAGTGTGAAAAAGAAATTTTTCGTTTTTTAACCTTTGTTTAACATTCCCATTACAATGAAGAACGTAAAAGGTCATTCTTCCGCCTTGGATTGGCTTTAAAGAAAGAAAAAAATTGAAGAAAACTACGAAATAAAAGTAATATATATATTTTAGAATGAAACATGTAGTGAGTGAGAATTATTTGTATAGATGGTTCCTTTTATATATGTGTGTGCGTGTATATAGACGGATCAAAATAAAAATAAAACCTGGTAATTCTTCTCCATGCCTTTGAAGTAGTCGATGGCCTGGTCGAAAGACTCTTTGTCGACACTCATATTTCTTTCGAGAAAGACGAACTGCGCAGCAGCCATGCCGAAGCCTGGAATCGGCGTCAGTTTCGTTTTAGGCACCTGAACTAACCAGCTCCAGGTAAATTCTTCAGTTGAGCCTTCAACGATATTTTGTTGGTCGTGATGAGCCATGGGTTGACTTGGTACAAAGCGCACCACATGTACATCCAATCGAGCCTGTGGAACGCTTTTTTACTGCTTCATTCAAATATACCTTGTTCTGTGATTCATAATAATCAGAGCAGGCTTTCCGAACTCGATCTCATCCCCACTTACCCGAACTCTCGTTCCCATAACAAGTTCCAGGAATCCCTAGGTTCCAATGCTTAAAAAAGGCTTTGATCTGAATTTCAAAAGCAAAAAGATTACAAAACGAACCATAGGAATGGTCATCCAGAAGGAGATGGCGCGGTCCATCATATGCCGCCATAACTTGTGGCGGCCGGCACCGACAATAAAAAGGAACAAAGTGATGATGTAGTTGCCGAACAAGGCCGTGAACAGGATTGTGATGGCAAAGAGCCAGCCGAGTGGCGGCCGCGCCAACGCCGGCAGCCTCATTGCTTCGCTTCGCCGCAGGTGCCTCCGTCTTGTCTCGACCTACATTCGTCGTCGCCGCGGAGAATGTCGCCCCATTGTACTTGGCCAACTTTCTTCGAAGATCTCATTCCAAGTTTTAGCGATGACGCGACTTGCCGAGGCTCCTTTAGTCTTTGGTCATTAAAACACCCTGCAAGATTCCTTTTAAAAAAAATATCACTGGTCTATTCTTAATACGCCCAGAATTGCCAGATGAATCCGATAGAACCGCACTTGTGAAGAGCTGGAAGTTAAAGAATAGCTCTCCACACCAAACTACTTGACTATTAGAACGAAAACGATAAAACCGTTCCGACGTCAATATCACACAGATTGAAAATTTCCAGATTTTTGGAAAAAAAAACCTTCTCTTGATTTTTTTTTTAGAAAAATAGAAATTTTGCGAAACGGGAAAAAAATCCTATATTATCTATAAAAGCTTTTTTTCTCGGTACTTTGATGAATAACACGCCTTAAAGTGATCCAACAAATAATTTTGAACATCGTTAAAATGAAGATCAGATTTTCTAAGGAAATTCACGAAAGGCTTTTTTCAGACTTTCAAAAAGCACGAAAGTAGATAAATAAAAAAATTTTTTTAATCTTTGACAAGTCCTGGTCAGATTCAGAAAGAAGTACATCAAATTCTAAGACTGTTTTTCTTCGATAAGATTTTCAGAAAGTCTTATGAAGATACGAATTAGTATCCATTTAAGGAAACAATGTAATCATTGATCAAAAATAATAACATATCGATAACCTAAAATAAAGATTCTGAGAAACAAACATGAATATAACTACTCGAGAGCACGAGTTTTCTTCCCGATCCATATTTTTTCCCCCATTAAACACGCCAATTCAATTTAAAAAAATATAATTTGCATATCATCCGTAAATAGTTCCTGCCCCTCTTCAGAAGATGCAAGTTTTGAACCGGTGGAAAGGTTTCGTCACGAATTCATTTTGGCGCCAAATTAAAGGAGGAGTGGGAATTTCGAAGATTTGGCGCGCAGAAGTTCTTTGTCTTTGGTGCTGTGCCCTCACTTCGTATGGGTCTCCTATTCACGGCTGGTCGTTCATTATTCTCTGTATATTTACAAATATTCTGACATCAACTTCCACGACTGATCGCCTCATATTCTCTGTATTCTGAATTATGCCTGTATTATGTATTCCGCTATAATTAAATAGATCAAGACCACCGGGCATCGGTTTTTTGGTCCTTCTCTCGCGGCAATGACTAGAAATACGATGCTCGGCTGGTGTTCATCTAAATTTTCTTTCTTAAACTCCCCTACGTTGTCGAATTCTCACCCAGCAGTTGCTCTGTGATCCGCTAGTTTGAGTCGAATCACAGTCAACTGCCGGCCGAGCGTCTCGCCGATTTTACCTGAGCTGTTGCGGTCTTATATAAGATAATTATATACATAATGCCGCGTTCAAAGCTGATGAAAAGAGCGTAGCGAATTTTTTTCTAGTTCAAGGCTCGAGCCGAAAAACAGCGGAATCCCACGGTGTGATTTCACGTGATGCCGCGTTCGAAGCTAATTTGACGCGCGCAGCGAATCAGTTTTCTTAGTTCAAAAGCACGAGCGAAAAGCTGCAGGTTCCCACAGCGTGATTGGACGGCTCCGCCTTTTTGACAAATGGCCAATATTAATTTATTTTCAAAATATTTTTCTTGCAATATAGGCGGAACCAACCAATCACGTTGTGGGAACCTGCTGTTCTGCGGTTCGTGCTTTTGAATCAGAAAAACTTTTGCTGCGCGCGTCAAATTAGCTTTGAACGCATCGCGAACTTAATACTGATGGCTCCGCTATTTTAGAAAATGTCCATTACGTCACATCTGTTCAGCCCGTTCGGTTTGGCACACTATGTTTGAATTGTGCATACACCAATCGCGGTTTTTGGGCGATATCTTCGCTAATAACGAGTTTTTTGTACGAGAAAATGAACAGATTTGAAGAAAAACGCAAGTAGAACATTCAATGATACAATCTGAGTTTTAACAATTAAGTTTTTCCAAACGCTAGCAAGCCTTAAAAATGGCCTAATTTGGGGAATGCGTATTTAGTAAGTAAAAAGATTTTTTCTGTACTTTTTTATCTATTATTGTCGGAAATAGCCTTGTTCATTTTAATAAACAGAAAAAATGATTGAAAATGGTCTAGTATGGCCAGCCGAGACGGCGCAGTGCAAACCGGACGGGTCCCTGTAGGTCTGAACTGCTGTGATGTATATATTTTTTTTTTCAATTGGGCGGAGCCGACCAATCAAGCTCTGGGATTCTGCGTTGAGGTCAAGTATTCACTAAAAGGTACTTGAGACAAGTCTTAGTTTTATTTTCAACTGTATTAATATTGTTGATACGATGAAATTTTTTTTCTATATGAATAAAGTTTTTATTTTAAAGAGTGTTTTTTAGTTCACTGGAAAACATTTTACTTCGAACATTTGGTCGAGAACAGTTGAGTGGGGGATCAACAATGAGTATCCACCGCAGCCTTAATGTCACTGACAAATGGCCTAATTGAGACTTTTTTCGAGAAAAAAGCCTGTTGCATATTTGTATTCTTCCACAAGAATGATCACATAATTTACTGTACACGTGAAATACCCAAGTAAAAAAATAAAAATAAAGCAAGAATAAGGCTAGTTTTCCTCGTTGTCCGGCTGTCTGTCGAACCTGAAACAACATTTTTCATTTAAGGACTTAGTTATAGATTGATTGCTCAGCTCAGGATTACAGTTTATCGAAAAAAAAAAAGAGTTCATCGAAAGACGAACCGTGCAAGTCTTCTCCTACGCATTTCTTCGCTTTCTGGCGTCCTTGTTACAGGAGAGTTTGTGACGGCGGAAGTGCTGACGGATGGCGAATCAGGTGTTTCAGGTCTGACAGCTGTTTGATTCACAGAAGAAGAATTGTTGCGGAAAAGAGACTGCGCCGAAGTTCCTGATGTCGTCGGAAGGTCGGCATCAGGCGTTGGAGATTCTCGTGACTCTGTTGTTTGCCGAGCAAACCTGGATGGGTAAAGAAGTTTTATAATATTATAATAAGAAAATTCACCTTTTTCACTACAATTATACGAAAATGAATTACTTTTTGACGAATAGTTTCTTCCTTTCATTCAATATATTTGTTTTTCTTTCCTATCATCAAAAACTCATACTGTTCATAGTAACATAGAATAAACTTCACATTAAAAAAAAACCTAGTCGAAATAAGTTAACATGTGTCGTAAATTTAAAAGAAAAAAGCCGATGGAAAATCGAACTCTTTCGGACTTTTTTCTTCAACTTGAACGTTTTTTCCCCGAAATTTTGAAATTTTCCTCAATTAACTGGGTTATCGTAGATAAAAGAGGACCTCCGTATGAGGTCAAGATGCATATCATTAGTTTTGCAAACCCATTTCACAAATTTGTATGAAAACTGTGCCCAGTCCCCATGGGGACTTTATTGAAGCGCTTAAAGAAATTTTGAGGAAATTTGAATTATTTCTGATTTCTGAATTTAGTCACCTTTTTCTCTTTCTGACGCTTACGTTATAGTCTCTTCAGATTTTGAATATCAAGCAGCAAACTTGAGTTTGAGCGATGAATTGACTTTAAAAATCCGAACAGACTAGACCAGTGCTACTGACGGGGCGCCGCGCCTCACCCCGCTGAGTAGATGAGTTAAAATTAAGTTTAAATGAAAAAACCGCAGAGTAACGACCAATAAAGTAATATATTGGTCGAAGAAAATGAAAAATCCTTTATATCAATGAGTAACTGTGGAGAAATCTTCTAACAGTGTGACCGCTTCGCGGGGCGGGGCGCCCCAATCTGGTCAGCAGCTCTGGACTAAACAACTTAACATTCGCCCAAGTTTTCTGAAGTCTGAATAAAAATTTCACAAGTTTCTAAGTTTCACTCTGACGATAATTTTGAAATTTGTGGAATTACTTTGAAACTAGAACAAAGTATATCTCAGTTATATTTTCTGCGAATAATTCAAGAAATGTTAAGCGAGAAAATAAAACTCACGGTGCTGCGTTCAGGTAGATTTGCATGTTGATGCTGACCGCGTCAAGTAACGTCGAAATATCGTTCAATAGTCGGATTCGTGCTTCAACTGCACTCCGGGTCTGACCTAAAAAAACACCGGTATTTTCATATTCCGCCTTTCAATATGTGTTGCCTTCAATTCTTCGCAGCTCTTCATCCGAAAGACCATCAAAAGAAGGAGGATTTGGAAATTGGAAGGGTGGCGGAGGCATGAAGAATGGAGGCGGAGGCGGTGGCGGCAACTGCGAAATTAAGAGTATAAAGTTGAAAAATGACGTTTGTTTGATTTTTCGATAGAGTCGGAATCTTTCAACAAAATTTTTAGTCATGTCAGCGACTCGGCTCGCATAAATCTAATTTTTTGTTATCTTAAAGAGAAACCTCTAACTTTTGTCTGCATTCTCTCACAAACCATGAACTCGGGTCGATTTTGTGGCGGGGCAGCATAGAAGATCTGATGTGGGAAAGGTCCAGGAGCAGGGTTTTGACCGGCAGCATGAGGAATAGCCTGGTTGGCGAAGGCGAACTGATGCGCGACGAATGGGAACAGTTGCGGTTGCTGTGCTTGCGGAGGCTGGCCACCGGCAATTCCCGCGTTCGCGTTCGCTGGTTGCTGATTGGCCGGACGTCCTGAGAGCCGATACCTCATTTCTGATATTAACTGTCGAACAAATAAAGAAAAACTTTTTTCGGGTTCTTATAAATTAAACTCACTTTCCGTTAAATGAAATATTAGGGTCATAAAGAGAAACTTGTATTTTCTTCAGACAAGGAAAAAAAAAGACAAGGGGCGGCATAGCTCAGCTGGCATAACTCATTTCTAACATCCGCAAGGTCGTAGGTTCGAGTCCCCCCGAGGTCGACCAAGCCTTTCATCCCTCCGGGGTAGATAATATTGGGAGCTGCATGCAGCGAAAAGGCTCAATCTTTGCCATCGGCCCTTGGAAAGCCGGCACCGTACTTCTTCCTACGGCCTCTCTTGTACCTGATGTTCTACGAGCGAAATTCACAACTTCTCTGCCTAAGCCACAGCTCCTGCCGCCGTTTAAACACAGTTAAATCAATGCAAGTCGATTGCACATGTATTCTTACAGTGAAGATGCAATAAACAGTTTTTAAATGAAAAAAATAGCTCGTTGAAGTTATTCACTTTTTCTTTTCCATTAACCTTTCAATTTTTTTTCTCCAAGTTGTTCACTTGAATGATTTTTTAAAGTCTACCACCTTCTTCATTTTTAAAAATTTCATATGAGAGCTCGGAATAAGTCTGAGGAAATTTTTGTGGTTCTTTAAAGCCTGATAGACTTTAGCGATCTCCCCGCGGCTAATAATTTTTTTTAGAAGAACTACCTACACCTACTGTTTTCTGAGCTTTGTTCGCGAGATAAACTTGCACCGACCCCAGATCTCAGTCCTGCAAGTGGGACAAGTCTGCTGCCGCTGGAACCAGCTGCGGAGACAGTGGGCGTGGAAGACATGGGAGCAGGGAAGTCGCTTGGGAGAAGAGTCGGCGGTCATCTCCTCGCGGCAGATGATGCACGTCGCGTCCATCGACAGCAGCTCCTCGGCCGTCACGGTCGGGAACTGGCTGAAAGTTCTTGTGTGACGGGCTGGCGAGGTCGAGTCAAACTTGTTCATCGCGTTGATCGCTCTGCGTGAGAGGATGACGTCGGAGAAGGCTTTGTGGAGAGCCCGCAGAGAGACGTAGAACGGTCGGACCGAAAACAGCGGGAAAGTGTGCACGCGGAGCATGACGACAGCGAAGGAACCGTAGAGAAGACAGCGAATCATATCTGAACGGTTACCTTGCAAACGTGAAGAGCAAAGAGAGGGTATATTATTGGAAACATTGAATTTCCTTCAAAATTATAAAATCTGAGAAAAAATCTTATTTTAGAAAAATCTGGCGTCTTCACATATTTACATTACATCTTTTGATATCGTTATTTCATGTTTCATATCTCATTTTGTTTTCCAACGGAGCGCCCCTCACCGCCATTTTCTCACAGCCAACCTTCTGAAACTCACTAATGAGAAGTTCCGCATACAGAAGGAAAACGGCCTTGCTATCCCACGCCTGCGCGGTTCGAAGGTCGTACATGTGCAAAATGTACTTTGTGGCGACGTGGATAACCATTGTCAATAAGATGGCATATCTTGAGAAGAGATTAAATCGAGATTGTAGCCAACAGAAAGACGAACTCAAATCCGAATACAATTTGAGAGCTGGCGCCTTTGACGAGAGTCGTGAGGTAAGCGTGTGAGACGAGGTAGGAATCGATGGCTCCCAGAAAGGCGACGATCGCTGAAAACATGCAAATTGAACACATTTTTCACACCTCTCAAAATTGAATAAACTTGACTGAATGAATCCAATTTGGTTCGGCCATCTTCTAAATGCTTCCTTTTTGACAACAATCAAACATGACGCCGTGTTCAAATTAAATTCCGCGAAATGAAAATTTATCTCTGACTCTCTCAAATCTAGTTATCTTTTTCTTTCTTCAACGGCTATTTTGATTTTGCGGAATAACTTTGAAAACGGTATGAAAGGTCGACAATGTTAATTTGCCACTAGCTGTGATAAAAAATAAGTTTTTGGTATAGGCTTTTTACTTATCGATTAGATGGGCGAAATTCGAAATTAATCATTGCGATTGAATGATTTTAAGACTCATAATTTCGTATAATTCTTATTTGTCTTTCTTGGCATATCGCCAAATGGATAAATGGAAAACAAATTCGAGAACTGACACATCATCCGGATGTGGAACTTGAGAGTGATGACGGGACTCCGCTCCATCATGTCGACGCGGTCGTCGGCCAGCCAATGGAAGCATTTCGTGAAGAGCAAACCGACGAACTGCATCACGAAAACGGAGGAGAAATCGTCGCGGAACACCGTGAAGGCCAGGCACGTCTCCAGGATCGCGTGCCACGCACGTTCCGACAAGTGCTCAAAATTTTTCCATTTTCAAATCATTTTCGAAAGTTGAGAAATTTTTTCCGTGTTTTTTTAATCAATCTCCACCAATGGTAGATCAAACTACAGCTTAAAAAGTTAAATTTAAGTGTGCAAGTAGATTCTTTCTGCCCAACTTCTTTCACTAACCTCAGCTTCGGATGCACGTAAATCGCCGAAGAAAATGTACCGTAACAGTTGGAACAAAACGTACACTAAAGTTAGTGCTTGAAGGTAAAGAACCTGCAATTTTAAATAGTTTAATATATTACTCTGAAAAAATTTAAAACTGACCGACATGCTGGCATTGCTTTTAGTCATGTACACGATCGAGGGATAGAACTGCTTGTTGATGAGAAACGCATTGAGAACGGTTCCGCCAGTGGCGAGGCAAGCGAAGCCGATTAACAGCCCCGCCGAAATCCTCATAGAACTTCAAAAAATCAAATTTTTAATCATGAAAGACAAACAGAAAATTTGGTCGAGCATTATATGTTGATTTCCACTTTTCAGCTCTACTCGGACGTCTCTGGGCGATTCTAGGGACTCCTAAATAGCGCTCACGCTACTAAAGTGGTCACTAGAAATGCCCCGACACGTCCGTTTCGCTTTACCAAAGTCCGAGTAGTTTCGCGGAATATTTAACATGTTCCTACAACAGGAACAGAAAAGATTTTAGTCAATTTATAGTTATTTCACTGCTGGTTTGAGTCAATCTATGAAAGGTGGAATTGCATTTACGAAAAAACTTTTGAATAGAAAATAGATATACACCGAGTTATAGTCCGTTCAGATTTTGAATGTCAAGTCGGCGCTCAAGCTCCACCCACAATGGTGCGATAAACCAATCAGAGAGCGAGCCATCCACAGAGCGTTTTCGAATGACGTCATTCTACTTGACATTCAGAATCTGAACAGGCTATAGCGGTAGATGTTTAGAATCCACTGTAGTTTGTATATATTTATTTCTGCTTCTAGAAGTCAAAGAGATACACGGTTATTTAGGTGTGTGAAGGAGAAAATCCTATTTCCATGAAGATTTCGAAAATAAAACTTTTTTTCCAGAACGGTCGTGCAGAAAAAGGCTTGAACACATCGGAAAATAATTCACAAGCATCTACATCCAGTAACTGGCATGGGAAAAATACCCATTACAAATACGCAAAAAAAAAAATTAAAAATAGAAAAACTTTATCTTTGCTTCACCAAGTAATAGAAAATTTGAATCACAGGAAGAAGATTTACCAATTTTTGGTCGAATGAAAAGCGGCGTCCCTCAGAAATACAATCAATATCATGCAAACTTTTCATCTTGAACCAGTAAATCCAACGCTATACAGGAATAAGTTAGGGACAGATGTATGAACAGGGGGAGGAAGGCTAGGTGAGGAAAAGCACGAAGACGACGAAGAACACCATGAGGACGCCGAACACTTGGATCATGAGCCAGCGGTTCTTGCTGATGTTGTGTAGGTACTTGACGAGTTCCGAGTGGGCCATGTCGATGTTGAGCGCCGTGTCTTCCACATTCGAGTCGATGCTGAAAACTTTTATAATAATTTTCCGGCGAAATTAAAAATTTTAAATCAGGAGCTCACACTCAAAATCAAAAATTTAATTTTACCCCAACGGAAAAATGGGAAGCGCATCGATAGAAATTAGATCTGATCTTTGCTCCTTTGAAAAACATCAGCGAGGATTTTTTTGAAAAAAATAAAATACACTTTGATAGAGAAAAATCAAATATAAATTTATAGAAAAAGTTATCATAACGTAGTCGGGTACGTTATTTAGGGATTATTTCGTATTTTTTTAGTAAGTTTTTTTTATATTGTTTGATTCATGCTGAACCCAAGAAGGGTGTAAGGCTAAACCAGAAATTTCAGTTTTTCTCATTCAAAATATTTTGGTTATTACTTCAAAATGTGAGAAAAGGAAATGCAAGCAAAAAAGTTGATTAAATTCCAGCTTTAGAAGGTTAAAATTCTCGTTATTCCTATTTTTCCATATAAACGTTCGAATACTTTGATTGAAACGAATGAATGAAATGAAATATCACTGAAAAATGGATTGAATTGTTTACCGCGTGATCATCTCGCCCTGTTCGCTGACTAAGCTGGCTAGTTGCGAGAAAATTTGCCCTAATTCTGAAATCGAGCCTTCGATCGTTTCCATAGTGTTGCTGCGCGCCTGCGCATAAGATTCTGATTGGTCTTGGAACACCTGGAAGAAAAATGAATGACAACTGCAAAAGAAACCATTGTCACCATTTGCTGTTGAGCCCGATAGTTTTCCAGAGATCCCATGTCGAGGGCGACGCTGCCTCCGCCATGCTGATCGTCGTCTTGCAAAAGGCGAGAACGAACTGAAAATATTAAGAGTTGCGGTTGAAAAGGAAAATTAATGCTAAAAATTTATTGCAAAAGTTTGAACTTTTAAATCAACAAATTCAAAAAAAAAATGCCAAAAATATATATAGCTCTTAATATCAACCACCGACCGGGAGACAGAAATCAAGAGAAATAAATATTGAAAAACTCATCTTTCCACTCTATTCTTTTCCGTTTCCATGTAACCTCTGTTTTTCATGTCAAATTTTATGAAACAGTTATATTTCGATTCGTTCAGATTGATTAAACGTTTACCATTAGATCCAGACGAGGAAGACGGAAGGCCCATTGGCATCGGCGTGGACTTTGAAAACTTTTCCCTTCTGCTTTTCTCGATTTTCATATTCTGCATATCGCTATAAAATTAGAATCTCAAATTAATCCACCTCTGTGCTGACTTCAATAACGTTCTGGAAATCTTTACTAACACTTGCAAGTTTTGATTGAAGTCCAACGACGACCAACTGGCTGAAAAATAGTGAAATGTGACATGAAACATCTTTTTTCTACCTGTGACCCGTTCCTTGCGTTTTAACAGCATTTCCTGCTGCTCTCCTTCTGGAAAACTCTTGAAGAGCTGCTATTTGTTTGTTGAGGCCCGTGATATCCTGAAAACAGAAAAAATGAGCGCCCTGTAAGCATTGATTCATAAAGAACAACTCTAACGAAGAAAAACTGAAAAGATAAGGAATGAGAAAAAATCAGCCGATAAGAAAACGAACTTCTTTCACAACGGCAGAAAGGTGCTCTATCTCTGATTTCTCATCGAATAAACTTCGCTTTTTAGCAAGTTCAGCAAGTTTCTCCATCTTCGCACAAGTTTGGCTGAGATCTTTGCCGATTCGCCTGCAGTAGAAAAAAAAAATAGAACGCAAAAACAAAAAAATATTACAAACTTTGCCAACTGATTGAACTGAATGGATTCTTGTAGTACTTCATGTTTCGCTGTAGGATGATACCCATTTCCATGAATTTTCATCTGCAAAAATAAAAATGAGACATTTCGCAGTTATTTCGTTCACCTCAAAAGATTTTGCAGTCGTTTTGAACTCTGCGGTTCGATCCCTGGACGGCATTGTAATAGTAATCAAATCGAAAGGGCTTCCAGAGACGCTCAAATTTGAGAAAGCTACGTTTTCTTCTCCTGATTGGTCGAGTGAATTCGGAAAAGCGTCAAACGAAGGCGAAAGGGCCTCCTGAACGAAGGAGATCGAGTAGATAAAATTCCGCTCGACGACGAACCTGCGCGGAATTCCAGAGTTGGGCTGCCGACGCGTTAAAGACGGTGCTCAGCGAGTTGTAAGCAGTTCCTCTACTTTTTTGGTCTGGATCCTCGTCGAAATTAACAGTGAACGTGGAAGAGTTGTCCTGGTTTGCAACTCTACGACGTGATCTAATGTAAGAGTCCGACATCCGACATCGAACCTAATAAACTCATTGAGAAAACGTAACAAGTTTTAATTCGGCACGGTAATCAATATGTCAGAGTGATAAAAATAGCTTGATAAACAAGACAGAATCCGCATTAAATAAAACACGTTTTCAGGAATATGGAGGGTAAGTTTGCTCCGAAGAGAATTTTTTCTCAAGTGGTGCGCAAGGTGAGCGTCTAAAAAACACGCCCTATAACTTTGAAAACATTGTTAAAATCCGTTAGAAACAATTTCCTGCAAGTACTTTTTGGTTGTGCTTCTTTCCGATGGTCTTGTAAGAAACCCGTTTAATGAAAAGTCCAAGGAATCCATTTTTTGCTATATTCAGAATTTAATTACAGTAATCTGAAGACCACGTCGCCTCGAATTACAGTATCCGTGTATATTTACTGGCTCTTTTGTTCGACGAACTTCATTTTTATTTCTACCTTTTTTGTTTTAACTTTTTTGTTCCTTCTATTTCTTTATTTATTGTTGATCATTTTGACAGGAATATGATCCTTAGATGTTGGGCGGCGTCTATTTTACTTTTGGTAGTGAAAGCTCATCAGCCGAACCAGTTTCCAGGTCAAAACGCTAATCAGCCACCTGAAGTATTATATTTTTCTATTTGAAACAGTAATTTTGGGCTTCAGATTCATCACCAAAACGCTGCGGCGAACCAACAACAGCAACATCAACAAAATGTTCCACCCGCACAGCAACATCAGCAATTTGGAGGAGAACATGCTCGCGATGAACAGTTAGTGAAATTGAAGATATATGATTATTGCAGGGGTGTTTTCAGTTTGTAATGACTTTTTTTCAGTCACATAAAGGAACACTTGGACGGAAAAGTCGACCCAACTGCAAATATGACGCCCGAGCAGCTACAGTTCCATTATTTCAATATGCACGACTTAGATAAAAACGGGAAGTTAGACGGAATCGAGTTGATTAAAGCTATCACGCATTTCCACTCAGGTATTTTTTTCAAAAAAATATTTTTAAAACGAAATTTAATTAGAAAAATCCTGGCCCACAACATCAAAACAACAACCAGCCACCTCCACTTCCGAGCGAAGTTGAACTCGAAACGATGATTGACAGTATATTAAGGTTCTTTACATTTATTGAATCTATTGAGCTTTTTTTATCGAAAAGATTCAAATCAGCTATGTATATATTTTTTATTTTTACATTTTTACACCTCAATAATCAATTTTCGCTAATTTTTCTTTAGCGGTAAAAATGTGTCGAAAGTAGTCGGGCTCTTTAAAATGGAAACAAAAAGCTGAAGAAAGGTAAAATCTCAATCACGAAAGGAGGGTTAATAGAGTGAATTTCATCTTTTCTAGGCGCTATAAGAGGAGATCCACTTATCTCACCTCTTGAGTCATACCTAGGAAACCCACAATATTTCAGAATTAGATTTTGCTAAATCATATATTTTCATTTGATTTATGTCCTATCAAGAAATAAGAAGATGAATCCAAAAAAACTTTTGAATTTCTAACGATGCTTTTGCAGAGACGACGATTTCAACGCCGACGGTTTCATCGACTACGGAGAGTTTTTGAAGGCTCAGCGGATTCGCGAAGGCGAAGCGCGGGCTCAACAACAAAACCAGCCACCACAACATTGATTCAACAAGAAAACTCACTGGTATTTCTTTCTTTCTCAACTAGCCCCATCTCAATTTAGTCATCTTTTTCCTGTGATATCGATTTATAGAATTTTAACTAGATCAAGTATTACCAAACCTATTCATTTATCGCTTTTTTTAAATTATTGTTGCATAATTTGTTACCTGGGTGCTTGTATATTTCGTATCTATTTATAATAAATTAAGAATAATTTAAATTTCCTTCCTGAAGTTAGACTGAAAAAGTCAACAAAGGCAACTTCTTTATTGAGATTTAAAAAAACAAAAAGTTTTCCTCGTGATTTTTACTTTTGTTCATCAAAAATTTCTTTTTGCAAAAATCACATGGATAGGAATTTCTTCTCAGATTTTCTCAAAGAGGCGTGGTTTTTGAAAAAAATTTTTCAGGAGCGATATTGAAAGAGCAATAAAGTTAGATTTGAAAAATCCAAACGAGGAACTGATTTTTTCAATAAAATTTTATGGCTGGTATGAAAAAGATTATAAATTTTTTTGTTGAAAAAAAGACTAGGAACTATTTTTTTATTGCCAGATTTTATATCTCCACCAACAGCTTGAGAACAACCACAAACTAAAAAAACAGCTAACTCATAGTCAACAATGATATTTTAAATTTTCAGTTTATTTGAAAGGTGACTGTATTAAAAAAAGTTTTACAGCGCTTATGAAAAATAAAAAAACGTGAACCGATTCAAAAAAATGAACTTCCCGGGGTGATTCATTTTTCATTGAAGCACGGTTCAGATTGAATAACTTTCTCGCAAAATTTGAAGCAAAAAAATTGATGAATTATTGAAGTTTTGGCATATTTATTAAGCGGGTTGAGAAAAAAAAATGTATCGAAAAAGAAACTAGAAATCTGGGCAGCCGTTAGATGAGCAAAGAATGATGGAATTTGAGTTTGAATTTTAAACTAATTTCATTCGAAAAAGCTCGATGAGGTGCTTAAAAAAGCATATGCCGATAGCCTGTCTCTGTATTAATTGGAGCTCAGCTTTACTAGATAAAAAAAAGCGATGGTGATGATAATATTCCAGTCACGTTTGGATCAAGAAATCGTTCAGTTTAAAAAACTTATGGTTTTTGAATGAAACGAGAAAAAGGGAGGCTGGATATTCGGACAGAGTAGATTTGAATCACGAAATATATGCGACGGATCAATTGAAAAACAGACAATGGCAAGAGATCCGAACAAGGGCAGCGAGTCTGTTTGCACAGACCCTCGCTCGCTCTCCACGCATTTCGATCGGCTTATCAAACTTCAACCCAATTCATACACGTGTACCTTTAGTCTTACTTTCGGTAGCGTTTTCAGTGAAAAATGCGATTTTTCCTAATTTTTTGTCTGCTTTCGACTGCCTTCTGTGCTGTCAAGTTTGCCGGTGACTCGGAAGTTCACGATGAAGCGTTTGTTTTTTTTTTCTTCTTCAGATGTTCAGTTGATAAATTTGAAAATTTAACAAGAAGACCTAAGCAAAGAGGATAAATTTCACTTTTTTAACTTTTAAATGTTCAGTGTTTTTCAAAAAATTAACTTTTTCAAGAAATAGGTTAGGAAAATATTTTATGTTCATTTCGACGTTTTTTTTTTCTTCTTCCTCCTCAATCTTTCCAAAAAAAAGGGCTTACTAACTGATTAGGCATCGTAATTTCAATATTAATCAGACTTTTTCGTTTGTCAGAAAAATAAATCATCTATCAGCGCCATCTACTTTTAGGCACATCAAACAACACTTGGAGAACAAGATCGAGGTGGAGAAATTGACCGAAGATCAGCAGAAGTTTGTCTTGAAACAAGGTTTTTATAACAAGAAACTTCAGGTTTCACTATTTTTCTATGCACGATCTCAATAAGGACAATCAAATCGACGGTATCGAAATCATGAAAGCGATTACTCACGACCACTCGAGTCAAACTGAGCTAGGTAGTTTTTTTTTTATCTTCAAATTTCAATTTGAAAAATTATATTTCTGGAGGTCTATCATGTAAAGAAACTTATCATAGAACTGTGAACGGTAGAGTTTGAAAAGATGCTCTGATGAAATTTCTTTTTGTGGAGAATGCAGGTTTTTTCAGATTGAAAAAAGATACGTGATGAACTTGCATATCAATGATCGTAAGAACAATTGAGACTCGCCTTTTTTATCTCGTGGCCAAACTCGTAGATTTCACTATATGAATGACAAATGTTCGAGGTCTTCTCAGTGTTCGAGTCTTGAATTAGCGGGGTCTCAGGTCACGGCCTGGGCAATCCGGTAACGCACGAAGAAGAGATGATCGGCCTCGTCGATTCGGTTCTCCACGACCTCGACGCCAACAACGACGGCTTCATCGACTATGCCGAGTACAACAGAAAACGATAGTTTCAGTTTTTATTTATTTTCTTTTCTTTTCTCTTGGTTTCACCCGGCTTCATCCAAGGAGCTGCGCGATGGCATTTCCTTCTTCTGCCGTTGGATTTTCGTCTGTAAGCCGTTTGTCTTTCATTGTCCTTTTCTCGACAAATTATAAATCACTTACTGAGGCCCAGCAGTTTTTGCGCGACTTCCCCTAGTGAGATTCCATCGACATCGCCTTGCAAGTCTGAACGGACTATTGGAAAGGATCCTCCCTCGTTGGACTGAAAGTGCCTTTTTTAGGCTGAAATTTCTGAGGTTAAGATTTATGGTCACGGCTAAAGATTGTAAAGGGGTAATTTTCAACGGAATTCGGAGGGATCAACAACGAAGTAGCAATCAATTCCCGTGGAAAATTTCTCGGGGAAAAACTTTGCTAAACTTTTCCATATTTTATGCTTCGAAAAATGCGAACCTTTGTGATTGGAAAGCCTTTTGTCCTGCTGACGTCATATTCCGGGTCTTTCCGTCTGTTCATCAAATCTCCTATTCGAAACATAATCGAAGGTGCTCCAAAATTAAAATTGTTCAAGAAAAACAAAAGAAACTGACGAGAAACTGAGTTTACAATTTTTGAAAGACCGTTCGTTTCACGATTCATATCTGGGATATTTCTCCAGCTGGAAGAAGGAGCATTCGAATAAGGTATTAACTGCAGCCGAGTTGGCCTGAATTGATGCTGATTTCCGTCTAATTTGTGAAAATTCTCTAGAGCTGTGAAGTCTGAGCGTCGCGTTGAGGATTGAAACCGCTCATAATCCAATCAATCATTTCATTCACAATTCAAAAAATTAATAATCACGCTGAATATCATCTCAGGTTGCCCGTAAAAATAATATTAAAAAACTATATCTTCTCAAAAAGGCTTAAAAAAAAGAAAAAAATAATACCTGATATACTCTTTGTTCTCTGAAATCGGGTTATTCTTGAAATTCTGGTCGGCGGCCATCTTCATCTCAACAATGTGGGCGAGCGAAGACGCTATTTGCAATATCGGCTGAATTTTCAGATTTTTGTGAAATTTAACGTTGGAAAAAGCTGAGGTTCGTTCAGAAAACAAAAAAGACTATACCTTTCTTTTTATACTTACCGGTAAACCATAGTCGATTACTGGAGGTATGCCCATCACCGGTACTTCCATCGGTGGAACCATAGGAACCGCCAAAGGAGCTCGAAACTCTATCTAAACATATTCTTTCTCAGGGAACAAATTGTTTCAATATACTCCGATTTTCCTAGCCTAAAAGTTCATGATTATCGAAGCATAACTGCTGCACCCGACCCAAAAAAACTTGCGCGCAATATATATAAATATATATATATTCTTCATTGAGGATTTTTCTAACAAAGAAGCTTTTCCATTTTTTTTAAAGTTTTTTCAGAAAGCCTTTCGATGATAAAAAAAACGATTTCCAAGAGCAAAAAAACCATTTTAGAGGAGTTTGAAGTATCATAAAAATTTCCTTTTCCCTATCTTTTCTTTTCGGACAGTACTCAAGTTGCTGTTCTAACCTCATCAAGAACAGACTTTCTCAAAGAGCAATTCATCATTTGGCGACCCCTGATCACGTGCAAGACGAAAGTACGCACATAAATTGCGTTTTTTCGCCGAGCCCGCCGCTTTTCTTGATGGGTTCCAGCAGTTCCAATCACACGATGTTTGAGTACTTGATATTGGAAGTCGACCAATAAACGGAGTAGATAGTTTTAACTCCAAACTAGAAACATTTACGGTAACTTTTTTAAAGAGTCTGTCCGTTTTTAAAGGATTTCAGCTCTCTCATGCATTTTCAGTTCTGAAATAATTAAAAAAAGCCGATAAAATCTTTCAAAAAGCCTTTCTTGCATCTTTCAAGAACTTTTTACATACACAGTAAAATTTCGCGGCTTCTTTCATCTTCAATCTTTTTTTACACAATAAATTGCCCCGAAAAAAGGATGAAAGGTTTTTTTTATCCTGAAAAAAGCTTTAGTGAAAGAGTTTAGATTTACTGAAAAAAAGAATATTTTTGTGACTTTGCCATTTTTAAAATTTCGCCAGATTTTCATGAGTTATTCTGAATCTTCTTCTTCAGACTACAGTGTCCATTCCTAGCTCTCAATCTCCTCTAGTGACAACTGAGAATTGAGCATCTGAATTCTTGACTTCATGGGATTCCAGACTCTTTCAAGGAGTTTATTTGTGCTCGCGTAAGCAAATGAGAACCGAAAGAGAAGAGCAACGGTTCAACAAAAGCTAAAAAAGAAAAGAGCAAACCGGAATGAACGGCGGCGGGAACATTTGAGCCCATGCTGAAACGAGAAACACGACCGGAAACCAGCAGAACGTCATCCTCGGCTGTTTTTCATTTTTTACCCATTCACAGGTGGGTCAAAACTCTTGGCCCAGATTTTCGTGCGATTCTCGCAAAGCGCACTTTGTTCCTCAGCCCTCACTTTCTGCGAACAAAAGAGAAATGACTTAAAATTCATTTGTGCAAAAAAGCAAAGAGTAAGACACACATTTGGTAAAGCTTTTGTTTCGATGAAAGATATGATGAGGACCCATTTGTTTCGTTCAATTTGTAATGTATTGTGGCTTGGAAAATGAAAGCTTCTTCAAAAGGCAACCGTGAATATTTCGTTCCTATAACTCATGATGAATGCATATGTACATGTACAAGTTTAACGGAGGGGAACGATTATCTTAGGCAAGAACTCGGGCGGTTCTGACGATCATTTCCAGGCCGAAAAGGTGTTCGTCGTCGTCTTCCGGGAACAGAAGACGCACGTGCTCCGCGAGCTTCAAGACGTATCTGAAGTCGATATCTGAGGTGAGAGCTATGGAATGGCTCAGACTCACTCGCAGTTGGGTCCTGCGCATCCACGAGCATTCAAAATGTCACGAGCCATCTTCTCGAGCTCATCAGGCCCCAGATAGTAGGAGTAGCTGACGTCAGCGACGCAAGTTAGAGCTCGGACCATTGATCCGTCGGCCAGCTCCACCGAGATCATTCGGAAACTGTAGCCGTTGTCAACCTGCAGACCAGTGGTTAGGAGTTGGCTCAAAGGTTTTCAATAACCTCTCTTTCTCGGAGATGTTCGATGGCTGAAGTGATGCCTTTGACGCCGTCGATTCGAAAGGCGACGCCGTTGGTGATCGAACTCGCTTCTTCGACCATCGTCGCTACGCGTCCCGGCTGAAAAATCCTTTGTTCTTTCCCTTCGCTTGATTTTTAATTTGACTTCATCTGATTCATGAAAACAAACACATTTTTTGGTTCAAAGGAACAATAGTCATTTTTGCTTTACGTTTTCCCATCACTCTCCTCCCTCTTTCAGCAAGCTTGTCACGTGCCACAAGCGTGCCTCAGAGGCTAAAACAGCTGCAAAAGAAAGCAACTATACGAAAAATTGAGAGGGTCGGAGAGGAGAGACGGCAAAGAGACGCGTTTGGGGGAAGCCGTCGCAGAAATTGCGCGTCCAGGAAGTAGAGGGCATCGAATGAGAGGATTTGTACTAGTTTGAGGAGCAGCGGAAAGTTCAAGGAGGCCAAGGAGCAGAAAAAACCCGAAACCTTCCGTTTTTCAAACATAAAATCAAAAAATTGAATAAGTGAGCCTCTGGTACTCCGAAAATTAGAATACAAGCTTCCCTTAAAATGAACAAGATCTTAAGTTGAAGGGGAAAAATCGCGATTCTTTATTAAACTTCGAACATTTGAAAGTTTGGGCTTATCATATACTACGAATGATAAAAACCAAATAACAGTTTTATCAGCCCTTTTCTGGATTTTCGGAGCGGCTTTTTCAACTTTTCTTTCCGAGCTGGAGCTTCAGATTAAGATTGAGGTTAAAACAAACCAATTTTTCGTTGCCGCGATGGTAGACGTTGCCCTGGTACATTCTGCGGACCCAGCCGATGGCGTAGGCCTTCTGTTTCAGACTGTAATCGAAGCCAGGATTCCAGATGAGGGAGCCGTAGCCGAAGACCCACAGAGAAGGCTGTTGCATCTTGTTTTTGTTTGTCGTTGAACTGAATACCAATGAAAATGGAGCCATTGAGGAGGTGCCAGCGGTTATATAGGAAAGTGAGGATCGAAGGCGGCGCGAGGCGCCATGACACGGCCCAACGGCGCTATTGCGTCAGCCGCCGGCACACCGCCAACATTTTGATCGGCTGGCTGTTGGAACTGAGGTCGGAGTTCAGATAAGAATTCCCTTTCAACCTACGACAAAGAGCATTTCTGTCAGGAATTGTCAAAGAACTCAACATGAAAACCATTCTGAGGTTATATCTCAAAACTTCCATAAACTGCTAGAAAACCGAAAGTCAAGAATCGAGAAGTTCAAAATTATTAAGGCTTCATCAGTCCAAAAACCGAACACAAGAGCATAGAAAAAGCAATATGCTATTTTAGGAAAGATTTGAACAAAAAAATCACAACATTTTTTCCCTTCTATGATTCTCGAAGAGAAGAATACTTCTACCTCGTTCGAATGAAAGCTTTTCTTCCAAATTATCTCATTTTTCCAATATTTTTATAGTATCAAAAAGTTTAATTTCCTGGAACGTATTCCGTTGTAAATTATGGAAACGTGTAGGAAGAAACATGTAAATTTTCACTTCCATTTTTAAAAGCACAAAAATCTTTCTAACAGCTATTCGGGTTGAGCTACGAGATCGTGATGATGCTTTGAAAAATTTCGCTCTATCGAGTAAGTAGAAACCGAAAAAGAGTTTTCAAAAAAAGGCATATTTTTTTTCTCAGTTTTACTAAAATTTACTATTTGCTGAGATTTATAAAAATAAAGATCCTATTTAACCGCTATCTAAACTGAACTAAAAATGACTGAAATTCAGGTCTAAAGATTAATTTGATAAATTTTCGTTTGAAAAACCTTTTTTTCCAACCTTACCTAATTTTGATAAAACCGTGAAACTTTCTAATAACCGTCCAGCTCATTTGTAAGTTCTCTGCAGTCTCCATCCAAACGAAAATGGCATAAAAACGTCAAGTTTGGAATTTTCGGTTCAACGTGATAAGAGAAGAGAAAGTGTCAATTGGTGTCGAAAAATCACATAAGATTAATAGTCTAACACCATAATGGTCAACCAAAAAAATAGGTTTTTAGAAAAGGAAGAAAGGGAAGAATAAGAAAGTCGAGATTCTTTCCTTATCTTCTTTCGATATCAAAAACAAGGATCAAGAAAATAAATAAATAATAATAAAAAGGGCTTTGGCCATTATCCTGAGTCGCACAGGAATAAGAAGCGAAAGAAGTATAAAATAATGGAAAATGTTTGAAACAAGCCAGGATCAGCTCAGAAAAGCCGAAAGTGCAGTTATGTCAAATGAGCTAACGAAATTGGGAAAGGGATAGCGGACCAAGGCTCAGAAAGGAAATAGCTGGAGTTGTGCCGGTGGGCGGCTGGAGGACTTATTCTTTTTTCTCTAAAAGGGGTTCCCCTGATGCACCAGACCAACCAAGGCAAACATTGACGTTGAGTTTTCCGAACAATCGGATGAGTGAATCACGTGTTGCTATTTATGCTGAAGGAACTCTAGACCAATTAACCAGGTGCAGCAGGTTTGCACGAACAAAAAAACTCTATTTGTTTCATTTCTAACTTCAACATTTTGCAGAAACTTAGCTTCTAATTAGCTCGAAAGTTTCCGAGTTTTTGGAATGTATTCAGCTTGAAGTCTGAAAAAAGGAACTGAAAACTCTTTTTGAGGCTGACAAGGAGAGGAAAATAGCCTTTTGCGCCTGATTTTTCCGTTTTCTGTTCTTTATAAACTGGAAAATTCCTTTTTCCTTTCTTCCGATTGAAATTAATTTTTTATTAAAATCTTTCACCCGCCTACGAAATCCGATAATTGTTATCCAACTCTTTTCCCAGGATCAATAATTTGTTCTTAACTTTTTTTTTTCCAGTTTGCTTTGGATACAAGGATTTAATTAAAGTTGTGACGCAGCTCAAGAAAAATTCATTCCATGTCTTCTTGAAGAAATTTAAAAAAAGATAAAAAGAAAAACTTTTTGCGGAAGTTCAGAGTTTAACGGCTCAAATAAAAGAAGAATTCGGTTGTCTTCTGTCTTTCCTGTTCATTCGAACTCCAAATCTATACAATTACACACAAAGTCTCTTTGTTTTCTTTGTCTCCTCGCTAATGCTCTCTAATCCTTTGTAGTGAATTGATATAGGTTGAGTTGAGAAAAACAATCTCTACCGTTTCCGATCCAAGATGAAAGCGGAACTAACAGCTCACATGACCTGTTCTCAAAAAAGATTCTCCTATCAAAACGATTTCTTTGTCTTTTTTTTGAGTATAAAGTTCCAGCCCAACGTAAGTTTGATAGGACTTACATCAGCCAAACAATGCACCTAATTGAATTAGATTTTACGCGTTTTCGGCCACTTAAAGCGGCGCTTCGAAGGACGCCATCAGAACTTGAGATGATGACGCTGAGAAAAGGTCTCTAAGGAGACTATTGAACTGGAAAAATCATTTTTATTTGGAAATACTTCCTCCCTCAACTTTCATGTTTACCAGTTGTCTGTGGAATCCATTTAGGTTTCGATTGATCGAAGGGCGAAAAGAACTCAGAAAATTTTCTCTAACGAGAAACAAAAACTATCCTAGATCAAACTTCGAGTTTTTACGGCAAGTTTTTACTTCCCTCTGTTTGTCCGGTCAAATAAAAAGTTTAGAATGGCTTCTGGCCGCATCTATTTTTTCAGTACCAGTACTTTTTAGATTTAAGTTTTTCTGCCCACAACATTTAAAATTATTTCAATGGTCTCCTCGATGTAACTAGTCAAGCTTTCCAAATAAAAAATGAACATAGAAAAATTCGGCCAACTTTTGTATGAAGGTCATTTTTGAACCTTTTCATAGATTTTTTTCGCTTTCTGTGTTCTTGAGGTTCAAATTCAGGACGATTCCGAAATACGCTCTTTTCCAAATATGCTTGATCTTAAAAAAAAAAAGAAACCCGATGAAAATTTTGGAAAAAAACAGGGGGTTCTTCAATGACCGTACTTCGAAACTGCACACATTTTTAAACAATCCGTAATTCGAGACTGTAAACACACGAAGACTGTCGAAAAAATAAACAACGAAGAATGGATTTTCCAGAATGACAAAAGTTCAAGCTGAAAAAAAGAAGTTTAAGAAAATCTTGATTTATTTTGATAGATAACAAGCGAAAATGGCTCAAAAATAGCTTTTCAAAAATCGCGGTATTTTGGCTGGGCATTACAATTCTCGAAAACTGTGAAAAAGAAAGGCAGCGAAATTAAACAAATTTCAAATGTGTCGAAAATTAATTTAAAATTTTAAACACTTTCTTTGAGAAAAATGGAAATATTGAAAATTTCTGAATGAACTTGACCTCGCCGCACACTATCCTTCTCTCACCAACGTGTGTTTTTGTTATTGTACTTTTACACGCCAAAAACTAGAGTGAAATTCAAGAAAATTGAATAAACAGACAGGATTTCTATTTGATTTCGAGAATGATGTCAATTGTTTGTTTTTCGTTTTTTTTGTTATTTTGATTCATTAGGAATAACTCTACTTATCGTGTCGTCACTGTGGGAACCGAAAACCCAACCAATCACAGATTCAGAAAAAAAATTTTGAATTTGATCACTAGATTAAAAAAAAATCGACGTCAATCATTTCATTTCCTAAACTGGAACGAGAGTTCAGGGAACTTGGAAAAAGCTAATGGCACCTCTCCGTATACAGAAGAGGTTTTGAAGAGTTCGACTTCTTTCAGTGGTCAGAAAATCACGATGAGCCAAAAGCTCGACCAAAAAAAAGGGTGAAAACTCATTTTTTTGATCAAAATTGGTCAAATGCTTCGAACAAAAGATTGAAACATTCAGTTTACAAGAGATCTGATCATTGAACACATTATCAATTCGTTGTTCCCAAACAGCTTAGCTTTATTTATTTGAACATTTTATCTGAAATGTTCATCGACCACGTAAAAAGACAGGTTCTCATTAGTGCAAATAGTTATTTCTCTAGAAATGAAAAAAACATTCAGCGGGGGACTTTAAAAAAATATTAAAAAAACTTTACCTTTTTCCTTTTTTTGAGGGAAGCTGGAAAAACCTGGAGTCGTTGAATGAATTCTTCTTGAAGATTTGCGCTTCTTTTTCATTGCCAAAAAAATTTAAATATTAGTTTTGCTATGGAAATTGCGCAGAAAAAGTGAGATTAGGACTAGAAAGAAAGCTGAAAAAAAGAAGGCTGCTTTTGAATCTCAAAAAAAAACCTCCCGTCCCAAAATAATTGAGATCTAGATTTTTTTTTTCACGAGTTTTTCAAAGAAGTCAGATTCACCAGTACTCTTTTAGATATTACAAGTCTGTTCACACTCCTCAGAAGGCTGCTTTTGAATTAGAATACCAATTTTAAACAAAAATTCCCACAGGCTCAAACAGAGAAGCCATTCAAAATGCGATAATTTATCTCTCGTATTAATAGAATTATGTGACAATAAATATAATTAAAAAGAATCTGAACATTGCTGTTTGAAAGGAGAAAGAAAAAGAGTCGACTAATACGGAATCACAACTGGTACGACATTATGCACACGAAGACGATGAATCAAGGCAAAAGCAAAGAACCGCAGAGGAGAATGGTCAGAACGGGGTCTTGAATCGGGTTAGGATGGGATGAGAAAGTTGAAACGAGTGTGTGAGAAGAGAAGAAGTGAAGTTTTCGAAAATGATATAAAATGCAGGAATTATTACTCATCGTCGCCGAGAGACGGGTACACGGTCTCTTGGTCGCGTTTCGACGGCGGCACCAAGTGTTTGGGCAAATCCGCGGGAAGCTCGTGTCCTGAAATACAGTAATCCAGAAAAGACGGACAGTGAGAATTCAGCTTCGGTTTCCAAGAAACCTATATAAATACTTCCATTTGCCAAAAAAAAAAAGAGCGAAAAATTGAGCTTTTAACATCAAGTGAAACATTTCTAATTTTTCTTTCTTCTTTTTGCCATTTAAATAGATTCAATGAGATTTGTCGAATATTTCGAAGTTGAACTTTCAAACGTTTTCAGTCTGTAGAGCACACATGGAAGTACTCCATGAATAAATTTCAGATCATTTTCCTGGCGCTTAACGTTTCATGGCTTAAGAGGAACTTTTCATATAGGTTCTAACTTATGGCTAAAGTTTGAAAAGGCTCCGACTTTCGTAATAGCTTAAATATTGCGAAAAGTGTATCTCGAGCGCTCTTTTCAAGCCTCCGTGAAGATGAATGATTATTTTATATATGCATTTTTTTAATAATTGACATGCAAAAAACAATCTTCAGACTTTGAGATGAGTTTCTAAACTATTTCAAGGGTATAACTCTCTCAATTTTCCTCCTCTTTTTGATTGGAAACAACTTTCAACCATTTAAAAGTTTACATAAGATCCTCAATTCAATACCTTCGAGTTTGAGATTGATTAGATAGTTGGCGAGAGCAAACTCGTCGGCGTCGAGCTGACCGTCCTTGTCGACGTCGGCGAGTTTCCAGATCTTTCCGAGCACCGAGTTCGGCAGCTTCGACTTCACCATGTGATCTTTTGCCGCACGTCCTGAAGTTCTCAGTAAATTTCGAATTTTCTGAGGAAATTAATACCGCTGACGAATCCGTTGATCGGCCCGAGACTGTCGAAGGTCGTGTCGGCTTGTTTTCTTTCGCGGCTCACTACCCATTCGTTCTCGTCGGCGCCCTTGTCAAAACCTTCTCCCTGAAAACCCACAGTTCCTATTTTTTCTTCACAAAACGGATCACACAGGATTAATATTTTGCAGAGGAATGAGGTTAACAGGTAAAATGGTTCATTTTTTGGGGAAAATGGGAAAAAATTCTAATTGAATCCAACTGCTCTGAGGTGTGTAAAGGAAGGCTTTCAAACAGATCAAACTGTTCGGCAAGGTTGGTATTACGAGGAAAGATGATATTTTTAACTTTAGAAAGGAGTCAGGCATGGAAAAACTGCAAAAAACATAACACTGCCTTTCGAATGATTCAAACCATCGCAAAACGGAAAGAACATGAAAAAAAAAATTCTGCAATCCACCACGGATGGCTTCAAGGCTTCCATTTTTAATTCATATAATCACAAAAAAAGAAGCGAGTAAGATTTGATGCATGGGAGAACTGGCATTTAAAAACTTTTGCTAGTGATTAGTACAGACCAAATATTTTCATAAGAAAAAACTTTTTTGTTGGTTAATGTGAAAATTTTAGACGTTGGCTTTGAGTAATTACAAAAGCTTTTTCAGAACTTTCGGTGGTTAGGGTAGGAAAGATGGTTACAGAAGTTCCTTTTTTAGCATCTAAAATTGTCCCAATGACACGAAAGCAAAAGGAAGAGAGGTTGCTTAGAGGGTAAAAAATTGAAATGCAAACCCGGCATAACCGCTCACCCAATGATAGTTGAACTAAAAAGGCAAAGAAATGAAATGCGACGAGAAAACGAAAAAACAAGGTTTTTCGAACCTTTCCGAAGCCGAACGGAGTCTCGGCCTCCTGTGCCTGACTGAACGCGCCGCCCTTGACGGTCGGCTGCTCCGCGATAACGCCTCCGTTGGACGCCGCGCCGAGCGACATCGCCTCTTCCTTCGGAATTTGCGACATCAGACGCGCTGAAATTCAAAAAATTTGAAACTTTTTTTGCCGGGTTGTTTCGAAAAAAAAATCTGACGTCATTGAGAATTTAAAAAAAAAGTATGAATGCTCAACGAACATTAAAAATCAGGAAGATTGAACTCAATCTATGAATTTGTCATAAGTTATACAAGCCGTTCAAAGCCGAAATTTTATAGTTTTTTTTTCACATGATCAGCAAAACCGTAAATAAGAGGTTTGTAGTTTTTTACAGTCCAAGCCACCGTGATAGGAATATATTCATAAATAAGAGTCTAGATGTTCGTGAAAAGAATTATAAAAAAGCCTTTTCCAGAAAAATCAAACACAGTTTTATTTTTATCATCCACAGAAGCTCACCAATATCTGTAGCCAACATTCCATCGACGACTTCCAACAACTTGGGCTTGATGATGTTGAACTTCGTGAAGTCCTGAGAGGACGGAGGTGAGTTCTTCGCAGTTCAAGGAAAGCGATTACCTGATTCTGGAGCTTCTCGCGCATCTTGTTGACATCCGGGAAGTCACCAGGCGAAATGTTGTGCTCCCTTTGGATCTGCTCGAAGATCTTGTCGAGGTTCTGGATCAACTCCTTCTTCTTCTTGTCCTTGCCGATCATCGACGGCATCTGCTTGCGCAGCTCGGCGATGATGAACGCGTGGACTTTGGCGAGCCGCGCCCTCTTGATCAGGTCGTTCAGTTTGCGGAGAGCGGCGTTGCGCGGAAGGGCCTGCAGGTCTTGGAACAGGTCGTGTTGCTCGTCTTGGAACAGCCGCCTGGAAAATGAGACTTTTTATCATATAATGAAGATTCAATCCAACTCTTCAATTCAATTAGTGCTTAGTAGGGACTTCTTCCTCATTGATTAATATTTCAAATCTCCCTTTCTCTTCATAACACTCCTCATTTTGAATAAGATATCATTTCAGATCGTTATTTTCTTCAATCTCCACAGGCAAAAAAAAAATGAGAAAAATATATACCTGTTGATATCGTAATGAAGTGGGTGATCCCAGAAAGAGCCGATGTATACGCGCGAAACTTCGGGCGTTTTGAAAACCTGAAAATTTCCGTTCTTCACTTATTATCCCTTCAGGGTAAATGTAAAACAGCTCATTGAAATTTCTTTTTGCGTCCCGCAATATTTTAACTTCGAGAACAATTCCTGGATGAAAAATCGAGAAATGAGAATAGCCAAAGAGTTATCTTTCCTATGTTTTCTGTTCAATTACCTTCCCGAGTGACCACATGAGAGCTCCATAAACACGCATCAGCTGCTGATGATCGACCATGTCACTCTTGTTCAAAACGATTCTGATCTTGTCCTCGTTACCTGGAAACAATCTTTTTCATTTACTTAGGTTGTATTTTGAAAGATCATTCGAAAAAAGGATCGTACCAGAAAGAGCCTCGATGCATCTTTTGAATTCGTCGGAGATGTCGAGTTTGTGAGCGTCGAAGAGCAGAATGATGCGGTCGACGCGCTCGGCGAACCATTCCAAAACTCCCGTGAAGTCGTATCCACGGTCGATTCTGAACCAACAACGATACCCCAAAAATCGTTGGTAGAGTTATTTAGGGTTTATGATGTGCGAAATCAAAAAAACTAAAAACATTTCAAAAAAATGGCAATGAATCGGAAGTTCCAACCTTTCAAATAATTTCAATTGTCAGCTAGATCTCTTCGTAGTTTATAATCACAGAATCGAGTTTTTATTGTGAAAATTTTTTGAATTTGCTTTTTTTTCTATAAGGTAAAGCATTCAGTAATCTCTAGGTACATTGAAGTTTGAAAAAAATCGGTGACCTAAATTTGATAGAAGCTTCTGTTGTAACTTTTGATCCGATTATTTTTTCTCATTTTTTGAGCTTTCTACTTGTATTTTTCAAGTTGTGAGAAACTTGCTAAAATATCAAAGTTCTCTTTTTATATTCAGATATCTTGCACTTTGTATCTATGTATGCATCTATGTATGAAAAAGTTTTCAACAGTTTCAAGAAATTTTAATCGTTTTTCATGAATATATTATTATTAACATATCATTTTTAGTAAATTTTAGATAAAATTCAATTCAAAGCACATCATTAGAAAGTTGTGAAAACAACCAAAAATATATTCTCAAGCCAAAAGTTAGATACTTCGCTTTCAGTTTTTTTTAAGGAAAATCGGTTCAAACAGTCAGATTTGAGAAGCTCCACACAAAAAGTTTACCCTTTCTTGAGAGTTCGAGAATAAGGCTCGTTTTGTGGAGAACTAAAGTTGAAATGAAAGCTTTTTTCGGGCCAAGAAATGTGAGAAAAGCGCACCTCTGCTTTTCTCCGGAAAGAATTCCAGGAGTGTCGACGATTGTGACGCTTTCGAGCACCTGGTTGTTGAGTGTCGAGCACTGGAAGCGGTTCAGGAACGCGTTTCCGAATCTGAAACATTCATTTTAATCCACTTTTCCGAAGTGAAACCTTTTTGTAACTTCTTCTGTTTCTCAAATTTAATTTAGATTTTAGATTTTGAATGTCTGAATCACTTTCTCATCTAAAGAAAGAAAAGCTATCAAAAAAAAAGGAAAAAAAATAGTCATCAATTGTTGTCGTTTTTTAAAAATTTAAATGGAAGTTGTAACTATCAAATTTGGTGATTATTCGGGACCAAGTTCAAAAAATGATAAATTAGAGTACTGAAATACTTTCTGCTAGATCTGAGAATAATTAGAAGACTTGCTTGATAAATATTTGACAGGGTCTATTCAATCTGATTATTCTGCAGTGTTTGAAGTCGAACTTCGGGTCAACAATGGAAAAAGCTTTCTGCATGAACTTTAGTAATTTCTCCTCTTTGTATGAAAATGTCAGAAAAAATTATGATGAACATGAAAAACAAGTTGTTCAGGTAGAAAGAAAAAGGAACCCGCTGAGAGCGCGGAACTGTTTCTTGGCGTCGACGACGAGAGCATTTCCTGGAACGATTCCTTCCTCTTCTCCGTGCATCACAGCTATGAAACGATCTGTTGTCGGCTCTGGACCAATCCGAATGCCCGGAAAGTCCTAAAAGAGAGGTCCTTCCTATTCTCTGTCTTTTCCCCCTCACGCTTTCAAGCAAATAACGGATGAAAGTCGTTTTTCCCGTAGAGTACTGTCCGACGAGCAGAATCATCGGTTTGGCGTCAAAATCAGGATCATCTGCAATTTACTTTTCGAAATATAAACAAAAAACACAGAACGACGAGAACCGTGGTGGTTTCGATTACGTTTACTTCTCAAATTTCATATCTATCGCTGGAAAAATGAACCAAAAACGCTTTTACCGAGAGCTGGACTGTGGAAATCGTGAAACTTGTAGAAATCTTCGAGCGGATGAAGCTTCTGCTTGTAGATTTTACGAAGTCCTTCGCTCACTGACTCCAAGACCTAGAAAAGACCTTTTGAAAGAAGGAAAAAAAAATGAATGAAAAAAAACCTCCTTGTTCTTCTTTTTAGAAGAATCCCCGCCAAGCCAACTGAACATGCTGCGTGATTTCTTTTTACGGCCTTCCTCTGAATTTGCAAAATATAATGGACAGAGACACAATTTAGTTTTTATTATACGTGTGAAGAACATTTTTTTTTTTTGGATTTATTTTATCAGCTATTAACATCAATAAAGCTATACGGGAAAATGCATTCATTCCATTCATGAATATTTTGAAACGATAATAAGCGAGAAGTCAAACGAACTTTCTAATTGTATTTAATTTTCTCGTTTTCCGCAAAGCGAGTTTCACTTTCAAGCGATAGAAGTTTTTCGAACGAAAATTACAATCGAAACCATTTGAAATGAGAATACGTCACTCATTCAAATGGAAACAAAACAAAAAAGACGCTGGCGATTTCGACAGAAAAGTTTTGAAAGAAACGAAAATCAAAAGAGCTTTCTATTTTGTTATATATACACAGTTTTTTTCGGGTCGTTGCGAAATTCGGGCGACGCGATGACTCATAGAGAAAAGGAAATAGTTTGCGCACAAATCAACGAGTTGGCTATTGAACATGAACAAAAAGAGGCTGGAGATCGAACTGGAGGCCGTTTCCGACAGATCGATGAGAGCGTTCGGCCCATAAATCAGAGAAAACACGGTCAACCAACAGTGAAAGGCAGCTCTATTGCACTTTCCTGAGAAAGAAAGCTTCAAATCGCTTTGCTTCTTGGTTTCGTTTCCAAAATGTTTGGAGCATCGAAGGGACGTGCACCCAAGCAATAATAGATGAATTCCATCAGAAAGAAAGGTTTATGACTCATCCTTTTTCATTGAAAAGTAGGAAGAATGGGAAACTTGGGGGCGAAGAGTTAACATATATAATTCGATTTCTCACGAGAAAAACAGCACACAAATCAATTTCTCTGACCTGATTATACTTTGATTTCTCCGATTTGAGTATATTTCTACAAATCTTATCTGAAAACAAAAGTGATTTTAAATTATTCCAAGATATAACTCTGGATACTTTTGGAACATCAAATTGGCTAGGATCAACAAGGATTGAATCGATTTTTTAGCCGCAAAAATTGCGGTGGAACACGCAATCGTCTAGGCCGAGGTCCGACGGAATTCATACGGCCGCAGAATCCCGCCCCTCAAGGGACGAGAACAAGAGTGAACCAGACGTCTTGTGCAAAAACCGAAAATCATTAGTACAATTTCTTGATTATCTAAACAGCCTTCCTATTTGTTAAAATTCCTAAAAATAAAAGCTTTGGTAAAATTGAATATATCACAACTTTATCATTTGACCGATTTAGACAAAATGTTTTTTTTTCGAATTAATGGGGTATTTCGAAGCAGATGACTACTTATTTTCAGACATGGAAAAGAAAAATTAGGAATTAAAATAAATTTAACAATATTTTATTTCCCTGTTTGTGGGAAGCCACCACTGAAGCTGCAATAAAGCGAAAGCGAAAAGAATAGTGGGTCAATAGCTGAACGAAATGTGAACTCAAAGTTTATAACGAGGACAAACTCGCGCGCCAACTGCTCTACTATCGATCAAAAAAGAAGACGTGCTGAAATCTCAACTAAATAAGTTATCAAAGCTTCAACTGAATTGTTTGTCTGTGACACGTTGCGCCGCTAAACTTTCTGCAAAATTTATCACTGAAAGGCAACATGATGAAAGCTCCTTTAAAGGGACACAAAATGCAGTAGTTCGATTGGAACTTAACAGTTTAATTTTGGAATTCAAAGAAAGTTGTTTGACAAACGTTTGTCTTATTTATAGAGATTTTGAGCTATAGCTCTTCCTAGACATTCATCGTATAGTTTCCATGGCTACAACAAAAAAAACCTGTTCGGTAAGTGAACATTGTGATGAAAATAGAAGTATGATGCGGAAACGGACGTCTTTCTTGAGGGAAAATCCGGAATTTAATTATCGACAATTAATTTTCAAAAAATTGTTTACAGTAGGCTAAAATACGCAAGCACATGCAAGAAAGAAAAGTAAATTACAGTAATGATTTTCTGGAATAACATTCCTCATTTTTCCAAGATTGGTTCAATTTATTTCTTTAGGTCTTACAATAAAAAGAACAAACTCAAACCTAGTGTCATGTATACAGCGGCGCTCGAGCGAAAGGAAAGAAATCTACGACTGCATGCAACTACTAACTATTGGCAAACAGACTCTGCTCTGTGCACACAAAATAGTGTACAAAAACCTTGCGAACGATGCGTTATCAAGTGTGGAAAGATTGACAGCAAAAAGACTTATCAGCTCAGAAAAATGGCTATCTAGGAGTAAGTAGCTTGCGAGCCGGTGGACTTTTAATGCGCAGTCCAATGACGCATATTTCAAATGGTCTGGAGTCTAGTCATAGAGGGAGGGTTGGAAAGAAAAAGGAAGCAGGTGCTTGCATCAGGGAAAGTTTTTTCAGAATTTAGATTTGCTCTTGATAGTTTCCACAGACACGTGTGAAATAATTGAAGCCGCTCAAATTAAAAATCGAAGATATTGAGAAATTTTGATATTGTGGGGATCGTTTTGGGCTACTGCATGAAGTCAAACGAAAAATTGATCTTTGCTTCAGTTTTTCTATATGGAGTTGATGTTATATATTTTTCTACCGTTTTCGAGGATATTTTTGAACTTAGATTAAGAATCAGCCTGCAAAAGCTATATCGTGTCATAGTCTTGTCTGATACAGGATTATTCACTGTACATACTATTTTTGAAAAATCAGTTGATATCTCTGGAATACGTTATCGGATGGGGACTTGAAAAAAAAAAGTTGTATGACCAATTTCGAATCTCAGTTTCAGCAAGTTTAATGATGCTTTAGAGATGCGTTATATTACTTACAAATAAAATAAAAAATAAACCTTTAGTAGGAGGGAGAGCGCGACGAGGCAAGGTAGCGAATGAAAGACGCGACTTGGCGACGGGCGAGAAGAGACTCGCTTGCGACGAAACCAACGAAGCCGAAGAGTTGTGAGCACTGGACATCTTTCTTGGCGGCGGACGGATCACGACTTGAGACAAACGCCTTGGCGGCGGCGTCGGCGACGGAGGAGAAATGGCGGCGACTGCCTGGGCCACTGCCTCCTCGGCTTGTGCTGAATCGGGCGGAGCCGGCTGATCACAATCAGTCATATCGATCTCCTCTAAGTGCTTAGAAATGACAGTCGTGGGCGAATTCGTATCGACTATTTCGTCATTTTTTGGCGGAACAGGCGCACAGTCATTGTTTTGATTTGGATTTTTCAGAGGCCCGTAATCTAGCTCTTTTTCTTTAGAAAGTGAACCAAAAGAGCATATTGCTGCAGTTTCCTCTGAGAAAGACACTTTCTTATCCTCCAGCAGTTCACAGTTGTCGTTTCCAGCTGATTCCAACACATCCTCTCTTGCAAGAGGTTCCGAGCTGCACATCACAACTAGTTCCCCCGAAGAAGTTGAGTCCGTTTCAGTTTCAGTACCATTTTCGACGTTCATAGCCTGATCAACTACCTCAAAATCGCACTCAGAAGCGTTTCGAGTATTTTGGTCTTGTACATTAGGAAGAAGAACTTCCGAACTGCTGATAGCGTCGGTAGATGGCGACCAAACAATGATCGAAGGAATTTCTAAATCTGCCTCGCTTGAACAGTTCTTCAGAAATGCCGGTTCTTCTTTCGGCGTGGGCGAAGGCTCACGAAGCTCAACGATGCTGTCTAGGCCGGGAGAAGAAGCCACTTTCTGAATAGGAACGCAGTCTGCAGGGAGCGTCGCGTCGACCGAGGGATGACCGGAAGTCGCGGACATGAGAATGCCGTCGGAAACAGGCGAGGGGAAATGCTCTCTGTCGATGGAAACAATGGTGGCAGAGGGCATTCTTCGAACCATTCCGCCTCTGCTCCGTTCTTTCCATCTTATCACTCATTTCTTATCGGAAATCGCAATCAAAAGCGTCTGCTCGCTTGGAAATGCCATCAGAAGAAAACCAAAAAACCGTCAGCTTCCTGAGAAAACTTCTGTTATGTCTTTGAGAAGTTCAAACAAACATCCACATGAATGTTATTTTTTCTGAGGAAAAAAGTTATTGTGAAACTATTTCGATGAATCATTCCTATCATGGGAAAATAGCGTAGTTTTTGTTGTTGTGCGGATATCACTTTGCACGTCACAATTCTAGAAATTACGTGGGCGATATTTCAATTATGTGAAAAAGTGTCCATTCGTTTATTCTTATTTTTCATGATGCGGATCGGGAGTTTAGGCAACTGATAACGAAAAGATTTTTCTGATCAAACATTCCCCTCTTTCACAGTTATCGTTTTTGTTGACCGAACTAAACAAAAAAAAAAATTAAAGTTTTTAGATAATCAAAATTTACTTGCCACACCAAAACTTCATTTCATCAAAAAGATTTTATATTCCCAAACCAAAAAGAAAAAATTAGAAACAGCAAAAAGAGGAGGTACTGCATATATTTCGCTCAACCTCTGATCATAACTTGTTTTTATCCTTTCCTCCGACCTCTCCATCATGTCATTCATCAATGATCTCCTTTTTCTTTTTTTATTTCTCTATATCTTCTATTTTGTTTACTTTAAATTTAAGACGGTAGTGATAATTGCAGGAGTTATAAATCCATTTTTGCACTGCAACGAGGAAATTCTGACGATTTCTTCTTCGGATAACTCTCGACTCTGATCGACATGTAATTTTTAAAGTGTAAATGTTTGATACATATTTCTGTCCGCTATAAAAACTCCAGCAAAATTAAGAACAGGAATTTGCAAAAATTTCGTTTTAGAAAAAACGGACATTCATTCAAACCTTCGCCTATCATTGGCAGAACTTTGAACACATGACTGAATAAATTTTGAAATCTAGGCGTGGGAACCCATTTGCAGTCACGGGCCATAAGACTGAATTCATGTCGAAAAGGAAACCGACCAAAAGGATTGGAGGACTCGACGTAGAGGTCGAGGTAGGGATTGGAGGCGTGTCGATCGAGACTCGGCAGATGGATGGCCCTTGGCGCGGCTTCTGCGACGAGCGGCTTGCAAGTCTGGCAGCCCATGTTCGGCCGCCCACGCACACCGTTCCATCGAGCCGTCGGCCATCGATTGCCTCGCCGCCTCGGGGACTTTTCCAAACATCCACGCGTACGGTCCGGAGCATAAGAGCAATATCCGTTCTCGGTGAAGCAGCTTGTCAAGTGTCGGAAAACAAGGTTGCAGCGATGACGCAACCGCTGCATTTTTGGTCTTGGTGGCATTTCATAAGGCTTGCAGTACTACTTCTATCGTATTCTTGCTACCTTTAGCGATAACATCCTTCTACATACAGTAATTTGCTCTTTTTTTACTTGAGAGAGCTTCTAAGTTACATAAGAAACATTTTATGATGAAAAGATCAGCGAATTTTGATTTCTTTGAAAAAAGGATCCTGTTCACAAATTCATATTTATGGTGACAAAAAAAACTTTCCCAGCCTTTATTAGTAAAAGTTTCCTTTTCCATTATTTTTGTTTCAAACAGTTCACAGGACAGTTCAACAAAAAAATTGGACAGTTCAACAAAAAAAATAAGGTAAGTCAGAAATGAGTCATTTTTTTTTCAATTCCGTAGAAATGAAATAAAACTTGCGTCTTATAAGAAAATATGAATGAATTTTTACCGCTGTTCGTATACTTTTTTTCTATCAAAAAAAAAGATTAACTTTTTAACAAAGCCTAACCTGGAAAGAAGCTCGAAGTCTCATCGTGATCGATTTTAGGCAGTGTTCGTAGTAGAGACATGATTCCACGGAAACGGTTTTGGAAAATAACTCTCAACCCTGTCAATGCGATGCAAATCCTCTGCGTTCCGTTGCCCTCTATCGTCCAGAAGACGCGGAAAAATCTCTTGGCAACGCGACTCGAGGAGAAAAAAGCAACAAAAAGAGCCTCGAGCAAACACAAAAAATAAGTAATAATGCGAGAGGAGACTTTCCTACTGCTGTACGGCTTGAGCCATCTGAATCCTCTGAATGCGTGCACGTGGCCAGCCGTCGACGCTCTTTTCGTCGTCGACTCCACACCTTACGTCACGTCCTTCCAGCACCGTTCTCAGCTCCAGTTCTTTCGACAAGTGAGGAGAGATGAAAACTCATCAAAAAAGTCCTTTAGGTCCTAAGCAAAATGAAGTTTGACGGTGACGGGAGCCGAGTTTCTCTCGCTCAGTTCACTCCGTCCGCCAGGCTGGAATATACACTTCTCAACTCTTCCAACATCATTAACACCATCGAAGTATTTTCGTTCGTCTTAACATCGTCTCAAATTGTCTTAGGACATAATGTATTTTCCCTGCGAGCTGGAGCAGTGTCCCCGGACCAGTGTGAACAATCTGGCCAAGGTTTCTCTAAGCGATGGAAACCGAAAAGCAGTTCCTGACGTCATAGTTGTACTGTCGAATAGCGTCTATCCTCTTCAGGAAGTGGTAAGAACTGTTGAAGATAGCTTTTGCGCATACTTGCAGCTGGAAAAAGAGCCGCTCATTTCGCCCCAGTCGCCGTTGCACGTCTTCTACGTTGTTATTGGCACTCAAGTCGTCGTTTCAAGGTTTCGAAGAGTCAATTTGCGATAAGAACCATTTATTTCTTTGTTCAAATACTCTTCGAGAGAGCAAAATCACTGAAAATCTCGTAAAGAAATCAGAACTAAAAATTTTGATAGATTTTTAAAACTTGCTGCTAATTTTTTTTTTCAAATCAAATATTGATCTAATTCTTCCATGCGTTAACGGTAGTAAGAGTTTGAGTCCAATTTTTTATTTGTAATTGTTTGATATGAACACTTCGAAGATTTTCAAGTTCAATTTCTGAAAAGTATATGATTGTATAGGTTCGAGCCGTCGGCACACACTGTCGGGCTGAAGGTGACGGACTACGCGAGTCTCTCGGAGCTGGTGGAGCCCATCTGCGAGAGCGTCAACGGCTACATCCGAGGTTGGCAAGGGCGTCCGCGGTTGCCAAGTCGCGAGTCCCACCAAGTCGCCGCATTCCCTGGGGCCGACTAATGTCGCATGAGTAAAATCATCCCCGACCTCTCTTGGTGGAACTTTCTGAACTGGAACTCGACGGCTTGTCACCACCACAATGCTCAGAACACTGTTTTTTGGACCACTCCATGTAAGAAGACGCTTTTCGTTGAAGACTTCCACAGGATATCGGATGATTCTTCCATTTTCCGATTCGCTAATGAAGGAATTGAATTCAACAGCTGTTTGAGAAGATTTTCAGGTGGCACAACAACTCGGTTTGGTTCACTTTGCTGGATAATCATTGCCGTGACGGTGGTTATAGCGGCGCTCCTTCTTCTAATTCTTGCCTACGCTATCCATTCCTTCCGAGAAGAAAGTCTCGATTTTCTCGACCAACTGTGAAAACAGCTCATCTTGTTACAGATAAAAGGTTACGGTATCGGATGATTGAGAACGAGCGAGCGCTGAGAAAACAGAACGAGTATTTTACCGCCAAACTGCACTCACAAATGCAGCAGCAGATAAAATCTGGAGAAAAATACGCGGAAGACATTCTCAAACAGCAGGAGATCTTACAGGCAAGTTCATCTCCTTTATTGTCTTCAGGGAAAATTATCTCCAGGCTCAGTTGGAACGTCAGCCTGTTTTCACGACTCAACCACAGCCGATCACCGTTCCGATTTATCTCACAAATCCAGCCAATCCTTCTCAAAATCAACCAGAACGGCCAAGGAGTCGATCTCCAGCTGGCAGAAAGGATCACAACGAAAACGACATCGAGGTTCCCGACTCTTCTTTTTTTGCGACAGCTTTCTCCTAACTACTTTTCTTTTACAAGCTCAAGAAATTGATTTTTTTTAAATCGTTTGCAAAAAATGAAATTGATATGGGCAGAAACTACAGAAAGTAAAATCTGTAAGAATATTTCCTCGGAAAACTTGTTTTTTTCTCAGGAAAACCATGTCACAAGTCCAGAAAATGACGTCAAAACAGGGCAAGAAAATGAAGGCGATTGGAAGTCTGAAGAACCAAGTTCGATGAGCGACGAATCGAGTGAGCCTGAGAGAAAGACGCATCTCCCACCGAAGCATCCGGCTCTTTCTCTGCCTCCAATCGACCTCATGTTCCTCGTCGACACCTCAAGTAGCATTGGCAACAATAACTTCGAGATTGTTTGTTTGGCCAACACCACTGATTAATCAAACGCTTTCAGTTGAAAAACTGCGTTTGTGAAGTTCTGAAAGAGGTGGACATTGCTCCTGGACGGTCTCGAGTTGCGTTGCTGCAGTACGCCCAGGATCCAAGTGTCGTTTTCGGGTTTGACCGGTTCTACTCGTATGAAAGTGTCCGAAGTGAGAATTAGAAGCGAAGGAAATCATGAAACAGTTTCAAGGAGGCGTCATGCGACTTTCTTACACTGGAGGAGCAACGATGCTGTCCAAGGCGTTGGCTTTTGCCGGCGGAATCATGTACAAAGAGCAAAACATGAAGACTCAGCACCGTCGTCACAAATTCCTGCCCACTCCTCGTCACGACCGACTTCAGGTATCCGAATAAGTTATAAAAGACTTCAACTGATATCAAGGTTCTTTGTTTGGTCTCGGACGGTTATTCTGACGACAACGCGGACAAAGAGAGCGTCGTTCTTCACGAAAAACTACATGTGAAGGTCTGGGCGTTATCTTTTGAATTTAATTTTCCCTTTGTCATGAAACTTCGATCTAACTATCGGAAAACTTTTTCAAATTCTACTAGTCGTCAAAGTTTCCACAGAAATTCGATATGAGCCTACTTTCAGGTCTTTGCTATCGTCACACGGAGCTTCAATAAAGAAAAGCTGGTGCCGATCACTAGATTCGAAGGATCCGTGTTCACAGTGCAGCAGAAGGAAAGTATCGCTATTTGGCTGTGGCGGCAGCAAGTGCGAATATTTTACTAGTTCATTCAAAAATTTACATTCGCAGAAAAACTGGGCTGAAAACTACGCGACCTATGTGGAGAAGGAGAAAGCATTGGCTGCGAGTAGCCGTGAAAAATGAAAAAATAACCCAAAAAAAAAACTCGAGTTGTACGAGTCTCTTTCGTCTTTCATGTTTTCAATTGTTTTTACCATGATTTCAATAAATTTATTGATAAAAACTTCATTCACACTTACTTTGACTACCGTGGGTTCATAAAAGGGATTTTGCAAATGCAAAAAAGAAGCTGAACATACAATTTGAAGTTATAAAAAAATTCATATTATTGATTTTGTACCTTTTGCTTTTTATTCAACCAATAAAAAAATGTCAAGCTTATTTTAGTACAAGTTTCAAGCTTGCAAGCACCGCAGCGTTTTTTTTATTTTGAAGTACGGTAGTCCTCAAGTGTGCGTTTGTGCACCACTGCGAGATTTTTTTGGAATCGCTCCAATTTTCTCACTTCTAAAAAATACTCGTTTTTTAAAAACTTCTTTCCTTTTTTTCTGTTTTTGTTTTTTTTCTAAAGTATGGCTGGAAAGGTAAAATTGAGTTTCAAGATTGTTTAAAATCGTTTTGCAGCAACCTTATACTACTCTCGTCGATCTTGAAACGCAGTTGTCCGACCATAAGGCTAAATTTGAACAATGGAAGAGCGATAACAGGTATTTTATTTCATAGGTGTTTCTTAATTGTTTATTTTTTTAAGTCGACAAAAGGGCACAAAGTCATACTCGGATTATGTAGCAAGTGTTGCATCTTGGGAACAAGGCGTGAAGGATAAGTCAGTCAGTATACTATGGCTTTTTCCAATCACATTATTTCAGAATTGCAGCATTAAGAGCTGAGCAGTCTACAGTTTCAGGACCGAAAAACGTTGATTTGGTTTTAGGTACGTTTCCTTTTTTAACATTCCTTTCTAATTTAACTTTATTTTCAATTTGTAGAGGAACTGTTGGAAGATGCTACAGTAAATGAGTTCGCCTACGCGTTGATCAAAGTTTATGCGAATGATAAAGATTTCATGACGAGTTTCATCTCTGCTTACGACAAAATACAACGTTTGTTTTATGGATTATTCGACACTGAGAAGTTATTTCAGGGAGCGTCGCAGAACAACAACCTGCTCTTGTCGTACCAGCGGCGCAGTTTTATCCTGGTCCCACATTTGGTAAAGAAAAAAAAAAAGAAAATGGGTTTATTTTTCATTGTCGTCTTATAGGATCTAACTTCTCATATACTACCCCACAACTTCCACAGGTGGCTCCGGGGATATCCACCTGGTCTTTGCCGTTAACCACAGTTTCCACACCTCCAAACAAATATCACAAGTGATAAATATTTTTAGTTTTAAACAGAAGTATAATCTTTTTCAGGCCTCTGTCACCAATTCGAGACTTTCAAAAAAAGAGCTCAACAGTGCCATTTCGAGATTTCGGCGCCTAATTTATTTTGTTATATCTTTGTATATTTTTGTACTGAATAAATTTTTATGTTAAACTTGTTTGTTTTTTGATCATTATAATGCCGTTGTTTTTGCGATTTTGTATTTATCTTTATCTAAAATCTTTCCGAAATCTTTGTGTAGAGAATAAGAGCCGCTCGATATTCTATTTTTGTTATTCAAGACTTATCCGTCGTTTTACAAATGAAAAAAAATTTTTTTGAGCGAATTAAAAACTTGTATTGTTTATTAAGTGTTCAAGACATTTTTAATAGCAATATCATTTCAGAAAATGTTTCCTCAATGCTCACAAGCATTTCTGCCATCAAGTAAAAAAAAAAACTGTTTTAAAATGTGTTCGAGGATGTTCATTGATACGCGCTTGTTAAATGACAGCGGTTCCAACGCGAACAACAAATATATAAAACTTTCGACGAGGCTTGTTAAGAGAAAGAGCGTGCGGCATTTGCTCAACCGCGCCAGTTGAGGCCGCCTCTTTGGCCCTTAATTCCAATTTAAACTTAAAAAATGACTTTTTTTCGATTGTATCATATGCGAATAAGCTCTGAGAAATCTCATTCAACTTGTATTCAAGGGTAAATCACGAAGATGTTGGGCCGACGTGCAGTTTCCCTTCATCGATACTTTTCGCGGAGTTCACGACAGGTTTTTCTTTTTTTTTTTTCATTTTCCATCGATTGATTCCAGACAGTAAACGCTATCGCTGTACAAAAATGTGGATCACGAAGATCGAGTGAGCTTTTAATTATTTTTTTTTTGTCAAGTTTTCAAACTTTTAAGGCCAAGGAGTTTTGTTGCAATCCACCGGAATTCCAGCTTATCAAGCCAAGGCCAACATCTACACAACCACGAGATGTGAGAGAATTTAGTGGACTTTCATTATTATAGTGCTCCCTTGGCTTCAATCTAAGGAGTTTTCGATCTAAATCGCTTTTCCTTTTTTTCAAGTCTTACCCGTTTTTTAATTTTGAGTTTTTCTTTTTCTCTTACCCCTCTTATCCTAATTTACTGTGTTTTATCATGATTTGTGGAAAGTTTTTTTTTAAACTCGACTCATAATTGTAAATATTTTCAGTTTTTGACGTGATCACAGTGGAAGGCCCTGCTTTCGCGGAATCAATTTCTGAAGGCGATATTCGGTGGATCAAACGTTGGTAAATCGTGAATTTTCTGCCTCAAATTGGGATTCCAGAGAAGGGAGACTTTGTGAAGGAAGACGAGCTTGTTGCTGAGATTGAAACTGACAAGGTTCTCTTTTTTTCTCTACTTGTTCAATAATGATGTGAATATCAGTTCAAGAAGTGATTTCAGACGTCGGTTGAAGTTCCGGCGCCTCAGTCAGGAACTATCGTCGAACTTCTGGTCGAAGATGGGGCCAAGGTGACGGCAAAACAGAAGTTGTACAAACTCGAGCCGGGAAGTGGCGGAGGATCTGCTGCCAAGGAGGTTCGTTTCATTCTATTTTCGAAGTTCATACATCGCGGAGTTTATTTTATTTTTTAGTAAATAGTATTTTTCGACTGAAAGTGTCTTGTTACAAAATGCTGTGCGAAAAAAAAAAATTACAAATATTTGCAATATTTTCTTCTTAACGAGTTAGTGGTCACGTATATAGATGACATAAGATTATCCATTATTATTTCTCATTTTAACTTATGCCGTGTTCAAATTAATTTCCGCGAAATGCAAAATACCCGTTAGAGAAAGGAAAAGATCACTAAATTTTGGAGAGTCAGAGATCATTTTGCATTTCGCGGAAATTACTTTGAACACGGCATTAGATCTATCAGCAACTTTTTCGAAGAAAAATTAGTAGATATTTTTTTTCTGTAAACATTTGTCCGTACTATCATCGCAACTTCACGATCTGTCAAAAAATCAACTGAATTAAAAAAAAACTCCAGATTTATGTTAATTGGCTTTGCGAAGAAAAAAAATACGTGCTGTAAATGCAGAAAAAGTTTAACTTTCTTATAGTGTCCTTTGTGTTGATAAATCGGAAGAAGTATATGTGTCTTTCCTATTTAATAATTTTCTGTGGAAATTTTCGAAGTTCTCTACAGGAGCCCAAAAAAGAAGTGAAGAAGGAAGAAAAGAAAGAAGAAAAAAAGCCGGAACCCGCCAAACAAGCTTCTCAAAGTGAGCCGCCGAAGCAGAAAACGCCTCCTCCTCCAATGGCTGCTGCTGGTCGGTTTCGGAACTTTTAAGTATAATTTTTTCTTCAAATTGGTTGGAAGTTCTAAGAAGAAGGTTTAGGCGATATCCCGAAACAGGCGCCACGAGTTCCGCAGCCGCCCTCCGGTCCTTCTTCCTCGACTCCTGTCGGCTCGATTCCCGTCACTCGAGTTTCTGTTCCTCCGGGAGTCGCTCCAGAACACGCCATCAGTGGAGCTCGTGACGAGGTTTCTCTCCAACAGCTCCTCAGTTCTCACGGATATTCTTGGAGGTTCGCGTCAAGACCAACCGAATGCGCCAACGAATCGCCCAGCGACTGAAGGACGCCCAGAACACTTATGCCATGCTCACGACCTTCAACGAAATCGACATGACGTTTGTTTTTTTTTCATAGAAGGAATGATCGGATTGATAGAAAAGGAAATTTTTGGTAGTATTGAATTTTTTATTTAATCGTATTCTCATTTGCTGAGCGTAAGTTAGTAGCAGTAATTCGTTGAGACATACATTTCGATTATTTTTTATTATTTTTCGAGATACGGCATTTCACAGAATTGCGTTAAAAGCTTTGAAATAACTAAATCTCGATTAAAACTCAGAAAACCTAACCAAATTATGTCGGTAAAATGCCTAACTTTAAAAATGTTATAATTCTTTCTTTTTTTTGTTCATCTTAGGTTTTTAAAAATAAAGTTTTTTCTAAATTTTTCGCTATCTAATTCACGAAAAAAAGTGCTACTTAATGAGTCAAACTTGGATTAAGCGGAACTCCATGAATAATCCGGAAAAAAATCTATAAAAAAATGAGAAAAAGTTCAAAAATAACTTTTTTTCAATTTTTTTAAAAGCTCGAATTTATCAAACATGGGATCAGCATTGAAATCGCATTCAAGCTTTCTCCAGGAGGAAAAATTTTTCACCTCGAGAAAACTTTTATTTCGCATTTTTGCTCACCCTTTTGTTTTTTTCCTAAGGTCGAAATATGTAATGACGAAGTAGGGTATTTTTACAAAAGTGTGTATGTTTTTGTTGGTAGATCCCTCCGGTCTGGTTTTAAAAAATATCGAAATTGTTATAATTTGTAAAAAAAAAAATGTTGCGCAATTATTTCGAAGTTACGCATTTTTTTTTCTTTTGGAGCGTCGTAGCGACCCGATTATGTTTTCTGGACATTATACATAAGCGTTTCATCACATATAGTTCTGAACGGTAGATGTGAGTTATTATCTTTGAAAAAAAAAGTTTTGTATTTTAATACATAGCCAACTCTCTCTATAGATTTGGATGAAGATAACTGACTTTTTTTCAGGAACATCATGGAGATGCGCAAGACCTACCAAAAGGAGTTCCTTGCCCGCCACGGAATCAAAATTGGGCTGATGTCTCCATTTGTCCGCGCCGCCGCTTACGCTCTCCAGGAATCGCCTGTCATCAACGCTGGTAAGACTCCGTTTTCGACCCTCAACTTTTCCTTCCTTCGACAAGTAATGTTCCGTTGGCTTTGCAGTACTTGACGAGAACGAAATCGTTTACCGTCGCTTCGTCGACATTTCCGTCGCTGTGGCCACGCCAAAAGGTCTAGTCGTGCCGGTTCTCCGGAATGTCGAGAGCATGAACTACGCACAGATTGAACAGGAACTTGCCAAGCTCGGAACCAAGGTTCTGCTTCATTTTTGTGCCGGATTCTCTGAGTTCATTTGTAATTTTTACATTTTTTGAATAGGCGGGTATTACTTGTCAATATAGTAATCTTTGTCTTTTTTCTTTTTATCAGAACCGGTTTGTGATTGAAAAAGATGATAATGATTATCAAAAACCAAAGAGTTAACTCAAGAGCTGAATAGTGTGTCGACACAATTGGCAAGAAATTGATCATTTTAAATTGGGAAATTTTTTTTTCTGATAGCTGAATGAACTCTTTATTTAAATTTTCAGCGACGCGAGTCCGTTTAAAATGTTTTAACGATGTAGTGAAAGAGCTTTTTTTTTGTCACATTCCCATTGAGAAAGAGTCTGAGATATAATATCCAATTTGAGGCTCGCGATAACAAGCTTGCCGTGGAGGACATGGAGGGAGGAACTTTCACGATTTCCAACGGCGGCGTCTTCGGATCGGTCTTCGGTACCCCGATCATCAACCCGCCTCAGAGCGCCATCCTCGGAATGCACGGCATCTTCGACCGCGTCGTCGCCATCAACGGAAAGGTCCTCCTTCGCCCAACTCCTCCATGAAAGCTGAATTTTCAGCCTGAAGTGCGGCCGATCATGCACGTCGCCTTGACCTACGACCACAGACTCGTCGACGGCCGAGAAGCCGTCACGTTCCTGAAGAAGATCAAGAACGCCGTCGAGGACCCGAGAACCATTCTCATGAACTTGTAGTCACCCTCCTAGGCATCGCTGTTCACTAATATCATCCGAGATTTCAGTACCTTGCAATTTTAGTTTTCCTTGTCGTTCTTTTCTTCCGTCGTTCACCTTAAATGCAGCTTTTCCCACCCGTGTGGCTAGATTTGCTAAGTCAGAGTTCGTTTTGTTTCGTTGTCTTGAGTTTGATTTTTTTTTTTGTATTGTCATGATAAAACGTTTCAACTAACTCACTAATTTCTTTTCGAAACTTTAATTTTTGATCTGGTCATCATTTGATACTTTTAATTATAAAGCTTTGATTTTTTTCAAATAGAGTTGGGCAGAAGAATTGGAAGTTTTGAATTTTATAATTTTGTTTCAGAATCTGCATAAGTATATGTATAGGAATGGCTTTGAATGAAATATCCTCTTCATAAAGTTTTCGATTCGATTAGGGCTTAAAAAAAATTTCTACGTCTTTTTCAGTGAAATAAAACACGGATTGGTTTTTCGAAAAGGTTTTTTGGAAAGGAGACATGAATGACAAAGTTTTCTTATATTCGTTTGTATCGGGTTTTTTTTTCCGAAAACAACATTGAAAGTAGGAAGTCTTACAGAAAAAAACCGATTCCATTTATTAATGACGCCAAACAAAAAAGAACGTTGAAACCTCTTCTTTTCGTCCCACTCATCGTTTATAAAGACCTTCAAATTTTTTTCTCAAAATCTGTGTCATGTTATTTCGAAAATCTTAAAACAACAGTTATTTCCTTGATGAATCGTATCAGAGCGTTATCCTATTTCTTGAAGAGCCTCGAAATGGACGGCGAAGAACTCGAAACGCCGATCTTTTCCTTCACCGCCATTGTTCAGAGACGTGAGCAGGAGGCAGCCATGGTCGGTTTTGAATTTTGAACCGGAATTATTGTTCTGGTAACGTTGGAAAAAAACTTATCCGAGAAATTATTATATTCTCGAAGATAAATCTTCGAAATTGTCAGCAAAGCCTTAAATATCTCCTTAAGTTTTTCTCAAAGATAGAAAAAAGAATGAATTTCGTTTAAAATGTCATAAAAAATTGTTAAGAAATGCTTTGCACCTTCTTATCATATTTATTCTTGGATGTTCAACAGCTCCCTTTCTGACATTTTTGTTCACTGTTTTTCATCCTCGAAGAAGTTTTTTTTTCAGAAGACAGGGAGAATGTCTTTCGAAATCTTGTCAGAATACTCTAACTTTTTTTTTATCGAAAAAAGAATCTCTTCGTGCTGTCGGAACGGTCCGCGTCATTTCTTATCTATTCATTTTTGCGGGGCTTTTTTGGTGATAAAATGCTTTTATCATTCAACCAGACATTTTCAAAAGGTTGGAGAACTTCAACATAAAAAATTTGATAGGTGCATAGTTTTTGGTTTTAACTTTGAAAGAAGCTTCTCATGGCTAGGATGTTTTATTTTGTCTTTTGCAGGTATCAGAGTCGAGGAACAGCATCATGGCTGTCTCGCATGACGAGGTTCGTTTCGAATAGAAAGTAACAGATTTTCAAGGGATTCTGAGAATTATATATGTTGGAGACAAGTTTCAAAACAGAACTTTGGCTGGGTTTAATGAATGACACAGGAGATTGAGTTGATCGTCGAAAAAGTCGCGAGAAAAAGGAAATCTAAGATATCTTGAGAAGTTTAGAAAACTGAGATTTAAGAAAAGTAAATGAAGAATTTTAGGCACTCTTGATTTCAGGCACTAGCTGAACAGAGGTGATTGATATCTAACGAAAAAAAAAAACCGTATTTTTAACCGAGATAATGATCGATTTATTTCTGTTGGAAAGTGGGAAAACGATTTATTTGTTATGTTCGAAGAGAATTCGTAAGGAACGGCGAAATTCAAGGCTCACTTTTCATTTGAGTTATAGAAGCGAAAAAGTTTCTGCAAAATTGTTTAAATTTGTAGACAAAATCGGGAGAATCTTCGATTAGTCGGGAAGTTTTTTCTAAGGGCTTTTCGGGAGTGTTTGTCAGTTTTGATTTTCGCCTTCTTTTTTTTATTAAAAAAATAATCACTTAGAAATATATTTATAGAACATATGCTAAGTCTTCGACATTTATAAGAGTATTCAATGCAGATTCTCGCGAATCAAGTGACTCCTGAAAAGTGGTCGATGGGCGAAAAACGAAAGACGACGCCGATGAACTGCAGCCCCAGCAAACAGTGCAAACGCAGGAGGTTCCGAGAAACAGAAATAAAACATGAAAAAAAACCAAAACTCTATACAGCTCAATTCCCGATAAATTTCATAATGTTCTTTCCACATAAATATTGCGAATTTCGATATTGCCGGAATCTTTCCAGAAAAATCGAAACATGAAAAAAAAACCATATTTTCAGTGTGTTTTCGAACTTCTTGGAAGAACAGTTAATGGAAAGATGTCATTTTTTCAGAGAAAGACTTTCTGAAAAGATCGCGACGTTCGTTTTCATGGACCTCGAGACGACTGGAATTTTCGAAGGTGGCTCAAAACCTCACTTTTTTCGTTTCATCGAATTCAGAAGGCTCTTCTCGAATGCACGTCAACGCGGAGACGACCAAAACGACGGAACAATTCACGAATTTCCTCAACCATTCTATAATAAACAGTTTGGTTCAAGAGAATTTCGCTGCAATCGAAACTTGGTTTTCAGCCAGACAGTCCGACTACCCACGGATCACTGAAATGTCGTTCGTTTCCGTCCAAAGACCGACTCTGGTCGAACTCCGAGAAGCCATGGAAGCACTTTCAGAGAAGGAGGTTTGAAATTTGAATTGGTTCTCACTGAGTTCAACTTCGATTTTCGATTGATTATTCGAATTGAGGAGGCCGCAAAGGTCTTTTCGGACTCTCTGTAAACTTCTCTGAGTCATGAACTGAACGCTTTCCAGCATAATGAATGCTCTCGAGTTGAGGATTTTTCAGCCAGAAGCTTGTCTGAAAATGAAAGTTCCGTGCAACGTGCACACAAGGCAGATCAATCCGAAGTTGACTGCCGCCGAGTGGTCCGTTTACGAAGCCAAGCGGACAGGAGCCAAGAAAGGAAGTCAGTGATTCGACGTCTTCTGAAAACTAGAACAATCTGAACAGAAAAGAATGAAAGAGATCCGAAGTTCGATTTTCTTTCTCATGGAGGATCAATAAAGTTTTCTTTCACAGAGAGACTTTTTGAACTTTCCATTTTTTTTCACTTAGTTCCTCACTTTTACAAAGCTGCCTCAGGGAAGAATATTTCTTGTTTACAGTCCTGGTTCACGCGCAGAGAACCCTTCAGCTGAAAAACACGTTCGAACAAGAATGGCCCTCGGTTGTACAGTTCTTGGACATGTGTCCCAAGCCCGTCTGCATGGGTTTTCCTTTTTTTCGCTTCTGAATCGAATCCTTTCATTTCAGTTGCGCACAATGGTATCTATTTCGACTTCCGAATTCTTTACGGCGAAATAAAAAGAGCCAACTATTTGGAGCGCTACAAGATCCCCGATGACGTAAGTTTTTCGTGGTTAGAATGTTTGACGGAAAACAATTTTAGTATAGGTATCATATTGAATTAAATTTTCGGGTTTTTTTAAATGATTTTTATAAGTTGATCCTTTTTTAGTTAGGATAAAGAGCAGACTCTGCTTTTTTAACTGAAATTTAGTTTTTCTTCTTCAAATGTTTTAGAAGGCGCGCAAAAGAGATAACTGACATATAGTTCTTCCTAGATCAATAAGCATTTTCCCATGTGAATGAAATAAATGAATGTTATTATGAGTAAAAATCGCCTCAGCATTTTTCTCTCATAGAGAATAATTACATAGTTCTGGTATTTTTTTGGATCAGGTGCATCAAAAAGGATATCTATGCGAAAAAAGTATTCGAAAAAAAATAATAGAAAGATATAGCCTTTTAAAACCTTTTCAAATAACATACCGAAATCAGGTTCTGTTCATCGACAGCTGGGTTATGATCAAACAATTGGAGGAACGTTACTACAACGACTTGCAGACAATTATTCGAGGCATTAAATGGAACGGTTCGTTTGAATACTCTTTTCTTGGGTCGACAATTTCAAATTGATAATTAAAAAAAGTTTTTTTCTTAAAGCTCTGCATAGTTTGACAAAAAAATAAGAGAATAAAACCCTTGAAGAAAGAAAAAAAACTTTGAATATTCCTATATTTCCAGATGTCTTCAGAAATCATAACGCAAAAGTTACCGCACAACAAGCGGAAAAGTCAACTGGAGACGAAGATTCTCTAGAAGAAGCAGTGGCGAGCATCCGGTTTGCTATTGAACATGCAATTCTAGTTGAGAATTTATTGATTTCAGAGCTCAGAAGAATTCCACAGACCATCCCTTGATGCATATGAACGTGGACGATTGGTCCTTGGCCAGAAAACGCCGCACGAAACCTGAATATTTCAGGTGACATTCAGAAATATTGCTATGAAGAAAGAAATGTTTGAGAGTGATCCTCGAGGATAAATGGGACTTCAACAAAGACGCCGCCCTGAAGGCCGCGAAAAGCGTCTCCGCTGTCTATAAAGATGTATGTTTCCATTCGAAACGAGAATCTCTTTTCCTGTCTTTGCAGGTAATTAAAGGACCCTATGATGCTCATTATGCACAAGACGATTCCGAAGCATTGCTGCAGGTTTTTCTTTCTTCCTCAGTTCAAAAATCGCCCTTTTTGCAGATTTGCTTGGCCTACGGCGTCGATTTCCTCAACTACGCTGACAACCGAGCAGCCGACTTTCCATTCTAACACACTTGTCAAAGTTTTCTTGTGAATGTTTGTAAATTCTAACTTGTATGATACCGTTTGTAACAATAACCTAACATTCATGTTGAGAAAAAATACAATTGAATTGGTCTCTCTCACTCGACAATCACTTAATAATTGCATTTTATCTTGCCTAATAAACTTGGTTTTCCAGATTTTTCCTTGTAATATTTCCGGATCGGAGGTAAGACGCCTCTCGTTATATCTCGTTTTCAAATCAAAAGTCGCTGAAGAAGAACCTGATCTATCCAATGATGTTGAGATGGACAAGAAACCGACAGGAAAGGGTCGGGGAAGAGTTGAAAGGGAGAAAGAACCGCCCGTGGCCTATAAGAAAAGCATTTTGGCGGCTTTTGCTCGACAGAACAGCGGAAGAGTTAGTTCAAGCATTTTTTGAACGGAGGGAAAGTGTTTTCCAGAAATGTCCGGTTTGCGACGGCCAAATCGCGATCGCCGAGTACCGCAGTCACCTCGACGAATGTCGTGCTCCCGCCGGCGACGACTGTCAGGTAAAGATCGACCTCTGACTATTTGCTTATTGAATTAACTTATTGAACATTATGTCAGAACTGACTTTCTGCTGCTCGAAACAGAAAAGATTGAAAATTGAAAGAAACGAAGAAAAAAGCGAAAATCTGAAAAATGGCGAAGCCTGTTGTCCATGGAGCAACTTTACTGCAAAGCGCCCTTTTTGCGGGAACTCAAGCTTTCCTTTCTCCAACTTTGAATTATTTTTTCTCCAAAACTAGGAACTTCTGTACGTTTCCAAGTTCACCGTTCAATTCGCAATTAAAAGCTTTACAAAGTACTTTGAACTGAAACACCGTTTTTTTTACTGCCCCTATGCCTTTAAGGGAAATTCCAATATTTTTGCTTTTATGATTGATTCTTGAAGACGCTGCCTTTATCGCGAAATAAACTTGAAATTCAATTCCAATGATCAATTTTTTTTAGAACTTTTCATGGTTCAGGTCATTTGCTCGTACACAAAAGAACAAGCAATCCTCTTGAGAGCCGGGTCGCCAGTTGTTCTCGACGAAAACGACTCAACGGAAAGTCCGCAGCCAAAGAGAACTCGACGTTCGAAGGTCTGCGAAAAAAGCTATCCACATTTCGGATGGTTCTCAGAGGCTCGTGGTTGTGGAAGAGCTGGAGGTGAAGGTGGAAAAAGAGGAGGAAGTCCAGCTGAGCCAGGTCTCGCCTTTGATCGATCCTTCCGAGTTGTTCCGGGAAGAAGAAGACGAACCTCAACCTTCGACAAGTTTCTCTCTTCAACCACCTGAGGTGTCGACATTGAGAAAAAGGTTGAGGTCGCAAAGAAAATGTAAAAAAGGAATTGTTCAAGGAGATCTAGTCCAAAAACATTCGACGGGGCCCGAGTAAAAGATGAAGTCATCACGGCACAAAAACTGGTCGAAATGATTGATGTTGGTTTTCCTGATCGATTATCTGTCAAAAATAGGAATTCAAGAGATTGACGCCGAAAGAAGGTGGGAAAAAGGGAAGGAAAGAAGATCCCGCCTTGGCCGATGAGCCCGAAGAAGCCGTCCTGGCCAACTCTCCTTACTTTGTCACTTTCGCTCTGCGGATCATGAGACGGGTAATCTGGCGACTCGGGAGAGCGAGAAGGTTCTAATCGAAGCTTCTCAGGTTTTGACGACGCGAAGATCTGATGGAAGACTCTACGACGAGAAGTTCTGGCTCAATTCTGACCTGCGGATGATGTCTAAATTCCTGCATTTCTCACAGTCTGCGCGACAATTGTTCCTCAGACTTTTCTTAAGAAAGCCACAGTGGCTTTCCGTTGAGAAGCTCAAGCAAAGGTCTGGGGTCCATGACTGAATTTAGAAACATATGTTCTTTTTAGGTACTCTACGTTGGCCAACATCGATGAAATTATTGACGAGCTAATCAAGTGTGGATTTCTGGACAGCGGTTGGTCTTGGTTTTTGTTTTTCAATTAAGTGGCGGAAGTATGTGCTAGTACAATGATAAATGATTTATTACGATTTCCGTAGTTCTTCAGGCTAAGATTTAAGCTCAGTTTCAGCCGTCACCTGGCTGTCTTTAGTTTGGCTGTAGTTCACATAAACTGGATTTTGACATTGTTTCCTTATTTATATAAATGTATTTATATGAAATTTTATTTTTAATCTTTTTTTAAATTTCATCTAAAAAGCATATTGAGGGGTGATCTCAATGTTTCTGTAAGACATGTCTCCGATCGAAATGATCACGGGTGTGGAGTCCCTTTTTCAAAACAACGGTCCACAAAGCTTTCAGATTTTCTCTTGTATTGATTGATCGGTAGAGTTGGAACATTTTAGATACCTCACTGAAAAGCCTCGAAGAAGCTCTTGAAATTTCGGATTCACACGTTCTGAGGAAGGTTTCCAAAAAATATAAATTGGATTACAACAAGGTTATAAAAAGAATGATGGCCGAGGATTATCAGAGCTTCAGGGGAAAATTGAGTTGAGCAAGGCGTTGACGACTTTCGCCAGCTCACAAAAATCCATCTTTGGAACGACTGGATCTGTCGCGTTAGGAATGCTCAAAGAGTTTGGATTTTTTTTTCTGGTCCGAATATTTTTCGTTCGCAAATTTCAGACTCAAAGTGGAGATCGGGAAAGTCGTGAGGGTGCAAAAAGACGTCATATTGTTTTTCAAAGTACGAAATTTGTATTTTCTTTGAAAATTGATAAGCCATCTTTGAGGTGTTGATGACGTTGTACGCTCCAACGGAAACGAACTCGGCTCTGGTCGTCGACTCGGCACGTTATCACGTGTACCAGGAACTTCTGTTCGTTTCATTGTTTTAGAAGAGAAAACAGCCGGTAACGTTTGGAAATGTCGAGGGCCAGAGAAGATTTCCAAACTTTCAGAAGTCTCCATAATACTTGAAATTGGTTAAAGGCTCTTTGGTCGAATTGGTTTTGAAGTCCTTATGAGAACATTAGATATTAGAAATCTTAAGGAAAGATAAGCTTTAAAGCTTATCGAAGTTAAAATTTGAAAGAAAAAGTAATTAGTTTAATATTTATGTTCGTTTTGAAATCACAGCTTCACCATGCTTCAAGTGGAGAATGGCTCGATTTTGCTCCCAGCACCGCGTCCATGTCCCTCCATCATCAGCATCTACGAGACCAGAGAAAACCTTTTCAAGTAGATCGTCTTGGACTCAATCCGCTCTAACTTTTCCGGCTCAGCTACGTCTCGGCCAAGGAGCTGGAGACGAGGATCCTGGTGGCGACGGCGTTGGGGAAAGTCGAGGAAGCGTTCGCGATGGCCTGCGACGCGCGTCAGAACCTGATTTCCTGCAGTCCACAGATGTTTGGGCCGATAAACAGCCTCTCTCACTGACAAAGTTATGCAGCAAGTCCGATTTGTCCAATTTACCCATTCACACTCGGAAATTCACGATGGCTTGGGTTTTGATGAGGTGTTGCGGCCACGGATCTTCGGTTTTGGAAAAACAGAAGAAGTACTCGATGGCTGTGGAATGGCAACGCTTCTTGTTGCTCAGTGATGGTTATTTGCCTCGGATAATTGGAGTCACAGAGTATTCGCAGAACTGAGATCTTTCTGTCCCGATAACCGTGGAGTCTGGTGGGATCGGATGACGCTCAACCTCGATGCTCATCTGAAGGACCGGGATGAGGCGGGCGACATGCTCAAACTCGCCATGGATGATCCTCTACTCATGGATAAGGAGAGGCTGATGCTGCAGGTTTTTCTTCTCGAATAAAATTGTATTCGGTCTCGATTTGGTATTAGGACCGTGCCGAACGAACTCTAAAAGGAGATTACGACAAGAAAATCAACATTGATTCGCCTAGAAAGGTGATTTACAATGTCATAGCTGTTTTATTGGAATATTTTCAAGGTCATTATCAAAGCTCCAACTTTGACGAAGAATCTGGGCGACGCTCGCGTCAATCGCTTTATGATTCGCGACGGGTCTTCAGAAGTCGAGTGCAGCGTCGAGGAAGTCGTCAGAAGACGGTACATGCAAAATGAGGGATTTTCTACAGGTGCACTTTGGATTCACTGTTTGAAAGAAAGGAGTTATTTCAGGTGTTCACGACGAAGGAGCATCTTGGCACACGGTGTTCGGCACGATCTTCTATGACGTCATCTTCGATTGGAAACTAGAAGACGCTTGGCTCAGCGAGCTTCAGGTTTCTTTTCTTTATCGTTGGCTTAAAGAATCAATTATTAGTTTCAAAGGGTTGAAGTTGTAGAGTAAATATGGTAAAATATATCCTTCTGTTAATAAAAACTTTTTCGATGGTTTAAATTCCAGTCTTGTCCCACCGACATGAACTACAGCCTGTATGAACGTCGAGAAACTGCCTTCAAAGAGCGTTTCGAATGGCTCGCCGTCGCAGAAGTCGAAGGTCTGAGGGAGTTGATCGAAGAGACCTGGGAGACCCGGAGCCGGGAGTCCAACCGCGAGTGCGCTTGGACCATCTTCGAAACTCCGCAGAACCTTCTGGCAAGACTATCGGATGGGAAATGGAGGTTTTTCTCACGACTTCAGGATTTCATCACGTGTGTACCGCGCGACGCGCTGTGTGCTGTGCTGCAAAGAATGGCGCGGAATTACCGAAACTGTCGCTCCGGCTTCCCTGACCTCACTCTATGGGACGCAGAGAAGAAAATTGTCGCGGTCAGTTTTTGGGTTATGCTTTTTGTTCAGTATTACTGCGAAAAGGTTCAAAGATCTGACTCATTTTCATATTCTCTCGCAGAAGCTCTGTTTTTATATTCGGACTCTGTAAATGAAACTAATTAGTTGGACGGCTGGTAAGTTCTGCCAAGTGGGTACTAATAAATATTCAATATTCAATACTATAAAGATGCACCCGACCACGAAGCGACTTGCGCGCGTAATTGAAACTTTTAAAATCCGCAATACATCAGTTTCAAAATGCACAGGTAAAAGTTGGGAAGCCTCTGCTTTCGGTTTCTCGGAAGGCATTTCGAAGCTTTCCAGCAAAATATCAAATGTCTTCCAAATACCTTCCCAACACTTTTACTTATCTTCCAGAAGCCTGCTGGAAGTCTACTGGCAGGCATTCTCATTTTTTTTTTTCAAGGACCTTCCAACTACCTTCTGAATGCCTTCCCAAAGCTTTCTCAAGACCTTCTAGCTTCCATTCACCTTCTAACCTCCTGCTGGTTACCTTCCCAACACCTTCCCAGGATTCATCTGAGTTTGCACTTTTAGCCTGAGTCGCAGCGGGACCGCCTCTTGTTGATCTAATCTTATTATATTTTCCAAAAAAGCGTCAGAATACAATCAGGGCATGAGAATAATTAAGAAAGAGGTACTTTGAGATTTGAGAACTTTCAATAATGATCTGAATCCCAAAATTTTATGTCACATTTCGGTCACAAGCTCAATAAGCTTTTTGCGAAATATATGTACATATGGTTATAGAGATATTTAGAAAAAACCTCGAACCCTGATTCCGACTGTAGCACTGGAAAACAGGAATTTTTTCCTAGAACAGGTTGAACTACTATATTTTGTTGGGCACAAAGGTCATTGAAACCGTTGTCCTTTGATGAGAAATGGGCCATTTTGCGTAATTTATACGTAGATTTATGACTTTCAAGACCTGTTCCCAAATAAGTGTTCTTTGTGACGGAAGTAAGAAAGAACACTAGGAACATGAAGTTTTGTTTTTGTTATTTTTTTTTTCGATTTTTCGAATTCAGGAGCACAAATTTCATCTGTTGTCTTACGAAGTAGCGTTTCGAAAAAAAGTTTATCTATTTAATAAGGTAAGTTTATTAGTTTCGAGTCAACTGTCGCTCGTGGGGAGTTCATTTGTGAAGACTGCGCCCGACCATGAAACGACTTGCGCTTGGTAGCATATATATCTCATCTCACTTAAGGTGGAGCAGAAAAAAAAAAAGCAAAAGTCGCTTCTTTTTTTGAGTTTTTTCTTTCCATTTACCTCCGAAATTTTTCAAAAGCAGGACAAAGTATTGAAATTTTTTGCAGTAAAGACATGTGACTTGAGGCAGCCAAGAATGAATGGTATGTATGAAATTCGTAGTTTTGTTGAGTCAAGCACGTGCGGCTAAAAAGTTTCAAAACTTCTGAAATGAATCATGGCTCCTCCTTACCGATTCAGACTTTTGAAATCACCCAGCGGGTCAAACTAGGAAAAAATCAGTTCATTGAGAAACCCCTGCTTGATTCATTCTATTTACCATCGAAATGTGAGAATCATCAGTTCGTCGTCCGTCGTCCCATTATGACGTCACGTCTCGGGATATCAAGGCTAACCCGTTCAGTTCCGTTTGATTTTTGTAGTATAGACACGAGAGAAATTCGTCGAAGCGTTTCGTCATCCGAAAAAATGTCCGAGGAGGAGGTCGCCGGTCAGAGAACATATCTGGAACTGACGAAACGACTTTTTTTATAGTCGTGATGATTCGTGCAGCTTTATGATCGATCGCATTCCTTCACGGCAGATTAATTAATTAATTTATTTTTTGACAGGGATCCTTCTTATTCGAAAAATCGAAACAAGCTTCACAGTTTTTAAGCAATTTTTTCGGACTAAATTCTTTCGTTTCGCTTTCATTTTCTACCAAACTCAGTGTACATATGAGTTTGGCGATTTATTCTTCCAGTTGAAGTATTCCTTTTTACTATTTCTGCCGTTTTTTTCAAGGTTTTTCGAGGACATTTTTTTGGACGCAGATTCTCAAATAAGATTAAAAAAACGGGTTAAAAAAAGTAAGAAATGTTTGATGAGAGATAATTCACTAAACAATTTCATGAGTCATGTCAAGCGTATCAAATCTTTCCATTTCCAAACGTTTTTTTCAGCCAACTTCGAAGCATTCTAGTCATAACGTTTCGTATAGGGAAAGTCTTTTCGATAGGATTGCTACGCAGGAGTTCATTCTCAGAGACTTTGAGGGTTTATAACTATATTTAGTGAGGTAAAAAATAAAGTAATTTTAAAAAAGTGGGCGCTCTGAGACATTTTTTCTGAGTTTGCAAAGTGTTCTGAAACGGACATTTATCTCTCGCCATTTCCTTGTTAGGAGAGAACGAATTGAATCTTCTACGGCAACAAAAAAGGAAGAGATACGATTCTCCTATCACATTTATTTTACTCTTGTCACTTCTGTCTCTATTTTCGGAAACCTCCCACAGAAGGATCGAATTTTCGGAGAAGTAGGATTGTTCGGGTTTCCCCCGGAAAACGTAGTTTGATCTGACAAAGATGATCTCACTAAACAATCACGTCTTTTCGCTGACGCACCAAGAATCTGTTTTGATACTTTTTTTTCTGAAAACAATGTCAAAATCATGTCATTTAACGCATTGTTTTCCACCAATTACATTTTTTTCAAATCTCGCGTGTAACTGCGTCAACTGAAGAGAAAGACAAAAAACCAGACGAAAAGGGAAAAAGAAGACGAAGAAACGAGCAGAAATCAACCGTTTTCTCTCTTTCTTTCCGAGGCCTTTTGAACCGTTCTCTCGATTCTTTCAGAGGTCGAGACCGAAAAATGCTGGTTTTGGTACAACCATTCTTGTTACTTTTGTGTCTTGATGTCGTCTTCGGCGAGCAGGAAAAGACAGGCGGTAGTGAGACCGAGGTGTTCCGCGACGCGAACTTTGAAGCGAAGTTTCCATGCCTTCTTTTGCGACAATGAATGAATCGAGTGGCTTTTGTTCTCTTTGGTGATTCATTCTGGTGTTTGAAGTTCGACTTGAGACTGATTCTTACTCTTTTGGACCTTCTTCAAATGCTCCTATCGATTCCAAATCTATTCGGAACACCTATTTTCTTGAAAGCTTTTCATATTTATTTTTTGAAATCAGTCTAAAAGGTCAAATTGCATCTTCTCTGGCGAGATTATGACACACGCTCTTTTGGACTTGCTTTGGATTAAAAAGAAATTTTTCACTTTGCACATGTGTCCAAGTCAAGCAAATGCTTTTCTGAAAAAACAAGATATAAGCTTTTTTGGAACGTTTAGAGCGCTCTGTTTTCATTGCCTCCCGATTGAAAGGAAGAATTCGTTTTTGAGGGCTTTCGAAGATTTTCATTTCTCACAGGTTAAAAATTTAAATATTTAGTAGAGAAATAGTATTTTTCAAATTTTTACTTTGAGTAAATTTTAAAAATTAGGTTTTCAGTAGACTTCGTCAAGCAGAATGATCTAACAGTTTTTTTTTACTACTGAAATTTTTATAAAAGTTGAGTTTATATTTTTATTTTCTCAAAGAAGTAGTTCAGAGATTTTTCGAAGGGTTGTTATTGCCAAATATGTTTTTTCTTGGTTAGCCTGTACTTTTATTGTCGAAACTCTAGGCCTATTGTCAGGTCTTCCAACGACTTTTCGCCTTTAAATTTCTGTTCTTTTCTCTCTTATAAACAAGTCTTCATAAAACCTGCAATTTTGACTCGAACACTGGGCAAAGCAGGAGGTACTCGAACGAATAAGGTATAATGCGGAAGCTGTTTGAAGACTTCCTGCATGTGAAGTGTGCTTTCGAGCATCGTTCCCATTTGTTTTCTGTGATGTGATGCGATCGTTTTTCTTCTTCCTTTTTCCCGTTCTCTACAAATGCATTGGAAAAATTGGTGGTTGGGCGAAAAAAGAAAGAGTGATGGTTGTGGGGGAAAAAATTGGTTTCCTGCTATCTTCTTTATAGCATGATGTCCAAAAGGTTTGTGGATGACTAAGAAAAAAAAACGGTTTATGCTGTGTTCAGAAATCATTTCTTTGCACTTAGAAAAAGACTCGGAAAGATCTCCTTTTTGAAGACAAACATGCTGAAGTACATTGGAATTGGTCATCTAGCTCAATTCATCAAACATCTAATTTGTTTCTCGCTTTCTGGAAAAATAAAAAATCAGCAAATGTGCAGAAAAGATGGAAAGTTGATCGGAGAGCAACGGTTTCCTCGCCGATGGAATTAGCGGCGTCACATGTGCTTCGCTTCTGATTCCTTATCGTTCGCGAACACGCGATCTTCGGCTTTCGCGTGCCTCTTTTCATGTTTTTTGAGTCGTCCTCAAAAAATAGTTAAAAAAGATGGTCGCTTTTCAAAAATTTCGATCATTTTGACGTACCGAAGAAGGAAAACAACTTCTGACCTCTTTTTCCGTCGCTTTCAATGGGACATGTTTCTGGTATGAATTGAAAAGACGAAATAAACCAAAGTTGTTGAAAAGAACAGCTCCTCAACGTCAAAGTTGTACATAATTTTTAACTATCTGTAGTTTGTGTAGCCTTAGTCAAAACATAAAAAATTACATTTTTGGTTTTGTTATTTCACATTGTCTTTTCAAGTTCAAAACACCCAAATCGCAATCTAAAAGATCAGAAAGTGATCCATTGAAGAGCATCAAAATAATATATGGATAGATCGCAGATAATTAGGAGAGGCGTGAATTTGCATAACGGAATAGTAATTACTCAACCTTTGAGGTGTCTTACTTCCTGCGAAAAAAAAAATAAAGGACCTTTTGAGTTATTTTCTGATGGCCCTTTCAAATTCTTATCGTTTTTTGAATACCGTTTCAAAAAGGTTTAACATCTTTGCGTTTTTTATGCTTGAGGTCTCAAAGGAAAATCTGCGACTTTGTATAAACGAGCGATTGAACAAAAAGCTTTTCTGTTTCCAAGAACCTAGTGATTCAGAGTGCAAAAAATTGTATTTGATATCTTCTAGACGGGACGGAAATGTTTCTCTGCTGTAAAACTACATTTATTCGATTATCGCAGCAAATCAAGGAGCTAGAAATTCTCATTAGTTCCGGTTATTTTGGGGTTGACATCAGATCTAGGCTTTTCTAAGACGGAAATCGTGTTAATTCAGTTCCGATCTCCTGGAAATATCTTAAAATAGAAGTGAATCGAGAAACTTCAGGTAGTGGAGGTGAAAGGACCTGGGGACAAACTTTCGACGAAGCAACGACTTTGGCTCGATTACTTCTCGAGACATGGAATTCGTGCTGAAGTCTGCCACGTCGTTGGTCAGTTCGTCTGAATCTTGAACCTTGAATAGAGGAAAATCAAAAAAAAAAAATCATTATCAGGTTCTCATAGTTTTTTTTTGCAAGATCCTTCACGTTGAAAATTTAGGAGAAACTTGGATTTGAATTATTGAATCGTTTCATTCGAACTTTGGAATAGAAACTTGAAGGCTGAAATGTAAAAAAAGTTTGGCCTGGAGTTTCTCAAAACTAATAAATTTTTTTCAAGCTGAAATCTTGAGCGTCTTCTTCTATTAATAATATGTATTTTGCCGTTCTAGCGCACCTTTTCGCCCATCCTCAATTTTCTCATTTTTAAGCCATTTCAAGGCTTATTTTTAACATAAACAAGTCTTAACTCTTCAAAAATGTGTCATTTTAAACAATTTTCAAAAATGACCAAAAGGTCGAAAAGTGCGTTATAAAAAAATGTGGTCGAAATCCAGTGGTCGAAATGGTCGAAATATTGCGCTAGAACGGTGAATAAAAAAATGCTAAATAAATGATCTTTTCAAAAAATCTTAAACCTCTGACAAATTATGATCTTGAAGAACTTGTAAAATTATTAAAGATAAGAAACTTCAGAGGAATCTTTATGAGAGATACTTTACCTTCTAAGATTAAAGAAGAAGAAGTAGGCGTTGTCAATCTGGATTCTTCTAGTGGTAAAGGTACTCATTGGGTTTGTTATTCTAAAAATAAAGGAAAGATTTATTACTTTGATTCCTTCGGACTTGATCCTCCTTTACAACTTCAAGAATATCTCAAGAGTAGAAATAAAAAAAGATAAAATAGAGCTTTCAACATTCAAAGTTCAAGATTTTGGAACACATCATTGTGGTTATTATTGTTTACTACTTTTTAAAAATTATTAGAAAAAAATATGATTTTTCAAAAATAGTGTTTTATCTCAATTTTTTTATAACCATATGCCAGAGTCTCAAAAGAATCTGGAATAATAACTCTTTTGAATTGTAGCATTTTCGCTTGAGTCAATTCATTATCAAATACAACTTTTTTTCCTGTTCTTGGGTGTATAATTGTTGTTTGATACTTCGAATACAACATTGTTTCTTTCTAACAATACTCTTATTGAAAAGACTTTCTCGAAAATCTTCAACTTTTAACTTCTTAACAACATTTTTCTTTATTCCTTTACTCTTTTTAACCTCATCACCAGGTTTTGGAACTTTTGGAAGTTTAGGATTCTCTATTTCATCTTGAATTCGTTTATTGTAATAATCTACAAACTCTTGACGTCTTTCCTCAGCAATTTTATATGCATATTGTTTGGGTTTCAAGGCTAAAAAGTTCCTGCATTATTAATCCATTTAATTCATCTTTGAATTTGCCAACAACTTTTTTATTTTCTTCACTATACAATGGATGAACTTTAGGATATTCACTGAAATCGAAATATTTTTTTAATGAAGAATCTTCTAATAGGTCTTCATAAAAGTCAGATGTAAAAATTTCATAAATAAGGGAATCAGTATCCTGATAGCATAATTTAATGTTATCTCCATATTTTTTCTTCATAACATTGTAATGAAAATCGTACATCAGCCACTTACTCAACTCCAGGATAGCAAAGCCAACATAAATAGGCTTATCTAGAACTATTTTAGTTTGAGCCATTTCAACAAAACTCAATTCTTTGTTTATTATTATATTCCTATTAAAGTTAGGTTTCTTAGCTAACTTAGTTATTCTATCTTTCTTTGAAATGTAATGCATTTCACCATTTTCCATACATTCATACTCACCAGAATACACCAACTTTACATCTACTCTATTACGAACATTCTCCATAGTTTTCCCAAAAACACTATTATTCATCAATTTAAAGAAGTCTTTTTCAAAATCATTTTTAGCTTTTTTTCTAAGGTTAGTATTCAAATCAATATAGCTCGCAAGCCAATTAGATTCATCAAATTTAAGAATTCTCTTAATTTTTTTCAATTTCATTCCAAGATCTAAAGCTTGTAGTAAATTTTGATAATGAATAACATAATTTGTTTTATCCTCTAAAGTATTACACAACTTTTTGATTCCATTACCAAAGTCTCTGATTTCAGGGCATAGAGGGAATTCATTATGCATTTTGTGAATTTCTGTAGGATACTCGAAGTCTACTTCTAATATACAACCTTTTTCCTTGTCTATTCAGGTTTTTCAATGTATTTCTGAATCGTTACTTTGCTTACTTCATTCATGGAAATATTTAAAATACTAAGTTGTTTTTGACTTTCGAAAACAAAGTTGCTTTGAGGTAATTTCAATTTCATTGCCCAACCATATAAATTGTTTGCATCTAAATACAAAAGGAAGTTTGAACATAATTTAGGATTAAAAATTCTTCATATATTTATTATTAGCTTTCGTATACCTTTTTAACAGCATTCACAATTCCACCTCTAATACCATTTTCAATCATGAAAAACTTCTCAGTATCGTTAATAGTGTCCAGTTTAACTTTAGTGTATTTTAGCATAGCATCCCAAGATAATCCTGGACTTGTATAATACCAGCAAGGATCTAATTCATAGACATATCGAGTAACATCTCTAAAGTTCTCAAAAACATCTGCCAAAAGGAGCACATCATTAATCATATATATTCTAGTATAATCTTCTAAACTAGAGCATCCCATTTTTTTCCAAACTAACTTTGCATACAAGTATTCCTTAGTTGTACATTCTTTTTCATTGAGGCTATCATAAAACGAAGAAATACTTGGGAGTTCAGTTTCTTTGTATCTCTCGAATGAGTTAATATATTCATATGGATAAACACCCTTTTTTTCCTCATAGTTTCGAAGACATCATTACCTTGAGTGGAGTAATAATTATTTGATATATTCATTTGATTATCATCTAAATTTTCTGCAAGTTTATCCAATGAAGATAACATGAAACACATCGAATCTAGAAATCTTACTTCACATGTTTCCCAAATATTTTCTGTCAAAGAAGGTAAATGATAACTAAAACTAATGAATTTCTCTGAGTTAGCAGAAATATTTGACACACCTACATCATTTTTTCTCAGAAACTTAATACTCATAGGATCTCCGAGAATGAGATGTGAATCATAGCCTTTTAGGTTGTGAAAGAATACTGGGATGAACTTATTTTTCTTTTTCTTCAAGTTACATTCTCCACATAATGGACCACGATATTCTCCAGTCCAATGATCATGATCTTTCACTTTAGTTGTTTTCATATTTGAAGAGTCAAAAACAACATCACACATAGGACAACTTCTGCATGCATAGAACTCTTCCTTTTCTATTGAAGACAAATCTCTACAAGCAATATCTTCAATGCTCATAAGATTTCGAACAATTTCAATAATTGATGTATTAAACTTTAATGCAGCATTATAACCAACATAAGACTCGATGTCGTATATAGTTTTAGTATACGAATCAACTACTAAAATGCAATATGCAGATGGAACATGTTTTCCAATATTCTTAGTCCATTTATCTTTTTCCTTGTTTTCACCAGTAAGCTTTCTTGGATTGTTCTCTTTAGATTGAACAAAAGCTTCTTTGACTTTTTTATTATGAATTTTTTCTATCAAACTTTCGAAATCTGAATAGATAACATAACGATGCTTTTGAGTATTCTGATGATTAACGAATTCAACAATGTTTTTACGAGATAATCTATGCTCAATTGGTGGAGTATTTTCACAATTCTCAAAGTGTCTATCTAACTTTTCTTGGTTATAGTAATATGATAAACATCTACAACAATAATATTTCATGTTATCCCCATTACTTCTACTTAGAAGTCTACTTAAATTTGTGATAAGACTAAAATGTCCATTACCTTCTGAATCTTCATTATAAAAAGAGGTTAACAGTTCTTTCTTTTTTTCACATTTATAAGTTGAATGATGAATTTTATATATTCTATGTTCATAATCATCGGGTGTAGGTTGGTAATTATTTCTCGTTTGAGCATAATTTGAAATAGAATATTCATATGCAAAAAAACATGAACACTTAAATTATTCATACCCTCAAATTTTTTTCAATATCTTCAAATTTGAAAGGAAATTCAAGTCCATCAAAAATTCAATTCATCCTTAAAAGGCGTGTATTTAGTAACTCTTTCTTTATCTCTAGTAGCAGGGTGTAAATGGGCTAGAATACACCACTTGAAACACATGTTATCTTTGTTCTGGATATTTAAAACTGACCTTTTACTAATAACAAACTGAGGATTCGGTATGTATGATGCTCCTATCATTGCATCAGTTTTAGTTTGAAACATAGTCAATCTCAAAAACCTAGTTATCACTAATCCTGAAGCATGATGTTCTCTATTCTCCACGTCATTCATTAATGTGCTACAAGCTGCTTGATAGAATTCTTCCCTACTTTCACCAGAATGTAAAATTTGACTTGTAGTGTTGACATGAAACTTTGCTGCATCAGTAGAATCAGGCTTCTTTGTTTCACATTCTAAATAAAGCATTATTTTAACATTGGTTTTTTTGTAAATGTCGTTGACTACAGTATTTTGCTTCTTCTTGAGAAAAGAAGCCAATCTTTTTTTTACAAGATCCATGTAAAATTCAATACCTTTCTCTTCGATCAATTCAAAAGGATTTTCTAGAAAATCTTTGTTGTTCTTGCTTCTATAATTTGTTACTCTTGAATTAGCATTTTCTCTATCTTCTTGTTCCATAAAAATCAAATCATCCATAGGAAAAATCTCATCTGGAGGTGGTAATGGATTTTCTTGATTTTCTTGAGAATGATCATTAATAAATTGCTTCATTTCATCCACCTTCATCTTTTTCATTTGAGCATCAGTCATTAGTAATCTTTTCTTTTTATTAATTTTTCTAACTATACGGAGAAGTTCATCTCTCAACATTGTCAGATGATTTTTCTCAAAAATAATTACTTTTTCAAATCTTAGAAGGATGTAGGACTTCCTTTTTATATAGAAAAAAATTTTTTTTCAAGAAAAAAATTTAAATTTCACACTCAGCG